ATACACCCATACATATGACTTTGTACCACTTTACAAGTCTCCTAGTATGAAATTCATTACACAAAATTGCTGCTCAATGCAAGCATACTTACTTCCATCTCTACTACTCTCTATGCGTTCTCTATCAACTTGAATAATATATTGTATATAATATAAAGAAACATTCCCAATATCCAGTGAATTACAAAATCTTAAGAGGCTTTAAACAAAGAGAATAGCGATTCACACGCAAAAGGCAAGAGAGGCTAGACAATTTAAGTTTTAATAAAGAAATTAAGAAGTAAAAAACTCCAAAAGCCAAATTTTCCTACTACTGTTCGACCAGGGCTAGGCGATCGACGTCTAATTTCTCTTCGTCTTTCAACCAAAAAATCAGTCCAGAAATGAAAACATTTACTGAAAATCTCTCTCAATCAGTGAAATATTACTACAAATTTCAACATTAGTTAACAATATTATAAAAAATTAAATGCTCACGTATTTTTTTGACTGCTTTCAGGGAATGTGATCAGCAATGTATTGATTTTTCAATTGAGAAATTAGGAGGGGTATGGAGCTAGAGTTGACCCACATCTCATAATTGTTTGATTAAAAACAAATCGGCTTATAATTTCATGATAAAATATGTATATTGTGCGATTTCCTAACAGTCAATTGTTATGAAAAAAAAAAGACTTCATTAGTGAATCTTTAAGCTCGGTTTATCGTTTGTGTTTGATAAAGAGACTTCCCCCATCATCAATACCTGTTCAAGTACCATGTAATGCATTCTTTTCAGCTCCTTGTACAAAAGGTTTATCTTTTATTCCTGAAGCTCAAAGCTCTCGGGACTGTATGCCGAGTACGTAAGAGGATATCAACCTTAGAAAATTGAATAATTTACTTCAGTACTGAAAAAGATATTCTCAAAGTTGCAAAGCAAGAAAAATAAGCACCGAAGACAATGGCAATTACTAATGAAGTAAAAAAATAATCTTTAACACCGACAAATAAATTGTGGTGGCTTCTGAAGTATACTGTGGCACGGTTTATTCTGTATACACGTGTAGCTCATATATAGAGAAATTTGCACCCATTATTTGATTTTAATTCTACAACTTTATTGAAGTCAAAAAGTGTCGTTACATTTTTCTGTATTTAAAGTATTCTGGGCTCAGCCGCTTGTTGTCGGAGAATGGAAATTACAGTGAGCAGATTTTATACACACTTCGAGATGCAAATATTGTTTAGCGATTTCGCAAGCATTACTGTGTACCATGTCCTTTAACTTCGGACATATGACTTTCAAATTTGCACTCGTCATACGCGCTTAAAGACTTGGCATTGATATTTATAGACGTACGCTACATTCAATTCTCACTGTCAGGCTTTATGATTTCAACAAAATGAACGCTGAAAAGATTGAAGACAAACACAACAGTGAACTCGAAGTGTATGCCGTGTCATCTACTTCAGAGGTTGAGTCTGAAACCGGCCTTAAGAAGGGCCTTAAATCAAGACACATTGGTATGATTGCAATTGGCGGGATAATGTAAGTACTGAAAAAAAAGAGCGGCCATGAATTTAATTTCAGAACTAACAATAATAGTGGACCAGGATTAATTAGTTCTCTAGGAATATATATTCAGAGCGGTGGTCAAGCTGCTTTACTTATCGGATACGTTGTGGTTGGAATCTTGGCATTTTGTTGTATGCAAGCAGTTGGAGAAATGACCACCATGTTTCCAGGTGGAGGGTTTTCTTTGCATGCAAATAGATTTTGTAGCAAATCATTCGCAGATATCATTAGTCTCAACTATTATATTGCTTGGGTTTGTGTGGCTGCAAGCGAGTATAATACGCTATCATCGATAATGACATTTTACACAGAAAATGTTCCTATTTATGGTTGGATTCTAATATTCTGGGTCTTTTTCCTTTCTTTCCAATTACTTGGTGTCGATTCCTATGGAGAGGCAGAATATTGGCTAGCATTAGTAAAAATCATTGGACTAACAGCATTTTATATTTTTGCTCTAATCTATATGTGTGGTGGTGTTAAAGGGACTCCCGCCTTCGGGTTTCAATATTGGAAGAATCCTGGTGCTATTACCCATGGGTTCAAGGGTGTCGCTACTGTTTTCATTATGTGCTCCTCTTCATATGTAGGAATTGAAGCGATTGCTATCACTGCTGCAGAAACTAAAAACCCAACAAAGTCTATTCCCTCTGCAATTAAAAAAACACTTATTCGAATCGTCTACATTTACGTCTGCTTGGCATTCTTTTATGGAGTTACAGTTTCTTCAAATGATCCTATGCTAAATAACAAGGATCGTGCTTTAAAGTCTCCAATGACCATTGCAATTGTTAATGCAGGTTGGACAAATGCAGGCTACTTGGTTAATACTTTTATTTTAATCTGTGGGTTATCTGCAATCAATAGTAGCTTGTACATTGCAAGTAGGACCTTACTACAATTAGCAAGAGATGGTATTGCTCCTAAAATATTTTCAAAGACAAGCAGGCGAGGGGTTCCAGTTGCAGCTGTTCTTGCGACAAATGCTCTTGCTCTCATTTCCTTGATGAATGTATCTGTTGGAGCCTCCGTTGTTTACGGGTACATTACAAATCTATCTGGTGTATCAACATTTTTAGTATGGGCAGGAATATCTCTCACCCACATTAGATTTAGACAAGGCTGGATTAAACAGGGGAAAAGTTTGGATGAATTAATCTTCCGGGATCGCTTTTATCCATATACGTCATACCTTGGGTTGTTTGGAAACATATTCTTTGCACTTGTCCAAGGATGGAGTACAATTTACCCTTTCAGAGCATCAAACTTCGTTGTGGCTTATATTTTGATCCCTGTCAGTATACTTGCATATATTATTCTTAAAATCAAATTCAAAACAAAGTTTATAAAGCTTGACGATATGGACTTTGAAGAAGGACGATCGGCTGTTATTGAAAGTGCTCTGAGTGATCAAGTTGTTAAATCCAGAGGCCTTGGTTTCTGAAGAATTGATCTATAAAGAAAGTTGGAACATTTATTTCTGTTTGAAATTGGGCCCAGTATTACAGTGGCCCTTCCTCAAATGGAGGAAAACTTACTTGTTTTATATTATTTAAGGAAATCCATTATCCACTTTTCTGTTTGTACTATGAGTACAATAGGTGACAGAAATGTTAAACTTACCCTCCAACGTCTACGATTGATAGCTAAATACTTCACAGTAGACTAATCTAGTATATGAATACGGGCACCGTCAGATAATACTGTAGTCCATCCTTTTCTTTTATTTTTCTTTTTAGAAGAGGGCCACGGGTTCTCTGAATTGTCCGTTTCAGGTCTGCAATTCTGTGCACGGGAATCCCCGCAGAATATCCTTCACAAAGGTCTTTTATTTTGTGGCTGTCAGGTATTGTTTAACTTGTTCATTTGATGTTTCTGAAAATTCGTGGATCTACACCTTCACGTCTACTTGAGGTGGAAGTGATACTCCAGACCACTTCACTCCTTCAGCTGACTAATAAAGTCAAAGAAGGACGCTTCCAATATAAATCCTATTAGAGGTACAATTTTAAAAATCGTCACATTCACTAAATTAACTATTTATCAGCTTCATCAACATAGGTAGTTGGGTCAAATGGCCATCCTGAAGTAAGTTCATATGCATCTGGCTTGTCAAGAGTTTTGAAATCCTCTTCATCAAGAGTAACCTTGTCTAAGACTTCAAAGTTGTCCCTAGTACGTTCAATACTAGTAGTCTTGGCCAAAACGATAAACCCTTGATCATAAGACCATCTCAACAAAACCTGTGCTGGAGTGTAGTTATGCTTCTTGGCAACTGCTTGCACGTCAGGGTCATCAAACTTCTTAGCAGTAGTCAATGGTGCGTAAGCTTCAAGATAGATGTCATTCTTCTTTGCAATTTCTCTAAATTCATGTCTTGGTAAGAATGGATGTAATTCAACTTGATTGACAGTTGGTTTAATAGTTAATCCTTCCCAATCCAATAATTCTTGTAAATGAGATACACCATAATTAGAAACACCAATGGACTTGATCTTTCCCTCTTGTACTGCTTCTTGTAACGCCTTCCATTCACCAAGTCTATCAGCCTTACTAGCAAGCGGACCATGGATCAAGTATAAATCAATGTATTCAATCTTGGCCGCCTTTTCAAGTGATTCAGAAATGGCAAGCTTTGCTTGTTCATAACCTTGGCGACTAACTTCCAATTTGGTAGTGTAAAAGATATCTTCACGCTTGACCTCTGGGTAATCAGCTAAGAACTTGGCAATTCCATCAACAGATTCTTGTTCATTCTGGTAATAAGCAGCAGAGTCAATGTGTCTGTAGCCAACCTTCAATGCATTGTAGGTAATGGTTGCAGTTTCACCAGGTTCGGTCAAGTAAAGGCCGAACCCAGCGATGGGGATTTCTTTCCCATTGTTCAATTTGTAAGTAGATTTGGTGTTTAAAGTTGTATTAGACATTTTGTTAAGAGTATTATCGATGTCTTGTCTAACTAATTGAATTATATCTGGAAATTTCACTCCTTTTATAATATTTCAATGCTTAGTAATTTCTAGATCATTTTGCCATTCAAAAAGTCAAATATGTAAGCTTTACCCGCATTTCGGAACTTATGTTTACTTCCGGAACTAATCCATGGTTGAATTTGGTATTAAATCCGTCGATTTTTGGAGTCTGAAGGTTCTAGAAACATTCCAATACAAGGATAGTTAAGGTTACGCCCTCTCTAGAATTCAATCTAGTGAAAAAACCCTAAAAAACTCCGACAATAAAAGGTAGATTTTAGTGCCTTTTCTGATCATAATCTTTTTTTTTAAACTATTTTTTTTTCTCACCAACATATTTTCTCAAAGTTAACTTTCTTACACACAATTCTATACCTTGTTGCTTTTGTCACACGTGCCATTATACACACTTTTTCATAGATAGATGTTATCTTCCGCCATAGTTCAGAATCCACTCTTTTCGAATTCCCATTCAATTGAGTATGACAAATTGACTTCATCTAGTGAATTCGGACAATAATTTTCGTCTCTTCCCAATCAACAAATTCAGATGCTGGTAAAGTTGAAGTTATGTACAATGCAAAAACAATGTGTATATAATGTGCTGCACGATTGACAGAAGCGTAATCATCAAATCCCATCTCTGAGCCATCGAGACAAGAGAGCCATAGTATTATGATTTGGATGAGCTGGTTGAGATTATCAACTTTCTCGCATTAGTTGACCGCCTGGACTCTTTTGATGATTTTCTTGCTTCTGCTGAATCTCACAAACCACTTTGATGAGCTTGTTGGTATTGTCCATCTACTTAGCTTTTGCCTTCAACTTTCCCCAACACCCAAATATACTTGGGCTGAACATCCTAAGGTTAGAAAGGTTTCAATGACGATACAAGTGCACACACCTTGAAATCAACTCAAACCATTTGGCAATCAAGAGAGTTTCAAAAGTGAAGTAAATGCCACTCAAGTAGAGAATCATAACCTCACTCTCATTCAAAATTTAAACATTATATTATGTACATATCGATGCAGCTCATTAAACCTAGTAGAGGATTATCATAAATATATATATGTATCTCAACCTTTAGAGGAAGTCGATCATGATATACAACTACGCACATTCCAGTTGAAGAAATCCTTAGTGTTCCTCAGTTTAACGGGAAGATTTAATAGTGTGAACAACTAAAATGCGATCGACAAGAAGGTTCAACCAAATCATTTACTATCAATGTGTTGTATACGTATAATCGAAGTACTTCCAGTATGGTCTATAGTATTCTGGAAAATTTCAATTTTCTTGTAAACGAGAAATTGAATCTATTCAAGCCAGTTAATTATCTGTTTTAAGGATACTTATTTCTTACCGAATGGTGAACCAAATGTTATTTTCCAATATGTCAGCTATACATCCTTTGAACAAATCAACATCTTCATAGTATAATCCATAATTTTGTGTCCTTGACTTCGTAGGCATCTTGAAATACAATAAACAATGCACATATAACAAACGCAGTGATTACCCATAAAAGTGCCTACTGCATAATATTTACTCATGCGGCTAAATCAACTCGTATATTGCCGTATAATCACACAAAGTTTCCAGCTTTGTGTTAGATGAGAGAGTCCCAAAAACAAGGCGGGAACATCGATATTACACGTCGAGGGTCTTAGAGAAGACCTTTTGAAATTTTGCGAATGATATATTTGGGAACTACGATATTAAAACGTCTAAGTATTTTGTTAGAGTTCCTATGAATAGATTCAAAGGTGTCAAGCAAAACTTGAGTCAGAGGTCTAAATATTGAATCTGTAGCTCAATACGAGTAGTAATTGAGATGACTTGGCTCATGGCTTTTGAAATGAGTACATGTTAATAAACCCATAGGATTCTTTAATATTTCTTAAGTAATATCTGTAGCCTTCTTTGGTATAAGTTCACGAACATGCGTCTTTTAAGAAGAACTAAATTGTTCGATTGATGATTCATCTGAAATTATATCTATTGACCGTAGTATATATTTTTAATTAAATTTTATTCCATCAAATAGAAGTTCTTCATCATACTATAGGTCATGCTATGCACATTGCACCATGTGGTAGATGATTTGTGTTTTGTAGTTGCGGATTTTAGTATCTTTGATGATTGTCGGAGAAATTCGCATAGGGAGACGGCGATAAGACGGAGATAGTAAAATATGGAACAGCCCCAAAATCATATAAATAGATTGAAAACTACCTAAGATAAGTGATTTATTGTCAGACCAAAAACCATACAAATGCCTCAGCCTATTGCCTTGGTTACCGGGGCTTCTTCCGGAATTGGATATGCTATTAGTATTGAACTTGCTAAGCGTGGCTTCAAAGTTTACGCAGGTGCTCGTCGTATGGCGCAGTTGCAAAAACTCAAGGACTACAAAATTATTCCAATTGAGCTTGATATCACTTCTTTAGAGAGTGTACAAGGTGCTAGAGATATAATTGCACTGGATAATGACCATTTAGATGTTCTTTTCAACAATGCAGGAGTCATTGGAGATGGCCCCGCTATGGAGGTATCCGATAAAGACGTACAATACTGTATGGAAGTGAATTTCAATTCACAAGTTAGGGTTACTCGGGAGTTTTCTCCTTTGGTAATGAAGTCAAAGGGTGTAATAGCTTTTACAGGTAGTACTGCTGGACGCGTTATTCTCCCATTTGGCTCTGTATATTCTGCGTCAAAAGCCGCCCTTTGTGCTTATGCCAACACTTTGGCCTTTGAGGTAGAGCCATTCGGTGTCAAGGTTGTTAACTTTATAACTGGAGGGGTGAAGACGAGCATGACTGTCGAAAGCTCGAAGCCTTCACTTCCAAGTGGCTCGGCATATATTGTTAATGGGGTGGATCTTCTTCGTCTGAGTAGAGATAACCTCGACCCTTCGTCACTTATGGAAGCAGAAACATACGCTACAAAGGTTGTCGATGATATTGAATATGCATTAAAAGGCAAGAGTTTTCTTCCTGGTAATTACTTCGTCTCTTTCAGAGGTGGAGCGTCTACAACGGTGAAAATCCTCACGGATTATTTCCCAAGAGCCTTGTGTGCTTTTCTTTTCCTTAACTTATTCAAGTTGAAGGAACCGTTTAAAGAAATCCAAAGGAAAGCAAATTAGCTTATACTAACTCAGTTGATTTATATAATGTGTTGTATTTTTAACTTTATCTATAAACTTTTTGTTCTTTTTCATGTAAATCTTTTAGTGTTTTTGAATAGAAAGTGGTAGCTTAATTGACATAGAAGTACCATTGTTTAAGATGAAGTTTGTTTCGATATAGTACATTTGAGCGATTTTGCAGTGTTGAAATTCTGGGACAAGTGAATATAAATCAAATGATCGTTTACCCTTATCTGTTCGTGCGTTATTTAGGCAAGCAGAAGCAAGATCCAAGTATACCATAAAGTTCGCTACAGGTTGTCCATTCTTCATTGACCACCGGCCAGCGTTGGGTGATACTTTCACGTCATCAAGTTGTAATGAAACAGTTTTCTGTCTTACGTTGCCTATACTTCTCAATTCATCTAGGAGGTACTTATCACAATGGACACCTTCAGTCTCTTTGATTTGTTCCATCAATTGAGTTGAAAGGTCAGAAATTGGACGCTGTACGATAGAAGAAAAGTTTTCTCCTGTGGAATTATTGAATATCATATCAGAGTCAAACTCTAGAGGAATACTATCCTCTGAAGATGTCGCAAACGACACTATTACAAGTGAGGAACAGATCAGCTTGATTTTAGGGGGTTTTACCTTGGAAGAAGTAGTTAAGATGAGCTCCACTGGGAAGCTGATCTTCCACGAATTCAATATATGAGGTGGAACGCTGTCATTTGATCGATATTCTCTTTGCGGTATGTAAGGTATCACTTTTTCAACAGCTGGTACCGACAATCTAATATTGCCATAATTTTTCGATCCACTAATCGACCTTTTCATCAATTGAGAAGTGACATTATAAACATCAGGAGAGAATGTAAATTGAGGTTGAGCTGTTTCATTTTTTCTATATTTGTATATTTTGGCAGCAGGTACCATACCACGAATTTCTTTCATGATTTGAATATCCCTTCGAATTTTGTTGAACAAGTTATCAAAAGAATACTTTACTTGTGCTTTGAGGAATAAATCTTCAATTGAACTCATCTTAACTTTTGTAGGTACAATACGTACTTCTCTTTCCGAATCTTGTAAAGAATAGTATTCTCGAGTATTTGTATCGGGAGCAATACATCTCGCATGTACAGAATATTTAATTGATGTGTTTAAGAAAGCCAAGCTATCAAAAGAAGGTGGAAGTCTTAAGTGTTGAGATAAATTGGGATTCTTGCAATTAGATTCAAGCAAGTTATGTGGAATCCTGAATGAAAAGAATCTCTTGTATTTGATACCTGGGTATAAAAAATCATTAAGACCAAATTGAAGATGTGTGTTATCAACTCGATCAATTTCTGGAAGTTTATCAATATTCACTTTATGAGACGAAGCAACAAGATCAACCACTTGAAGAAAGTTTGATGTTCTTTTCTTAGATGAATCAAATATTTCGCCTCGAACTATATTTCCTTCAAGTAGAATATATATCATGGTAAATGCTATAGGTATATTTGAATTGCTTTCAATAACCACATATCCGCATACTAAATCCCCTTGATTATATTCATGGTTTTCAATGTAAGTAGGTTCGACACCTGGAATACCTGGACTTTCAGTCAAATGAATCTCCATTTTTATTTGCAGATTACATTTCAGAACCTTAAGTTGATGGTGTACATCAAGAATAGTATCTCCAACTACATCATTCGAAGAAATTACCGTTGATTCATTATTTGATGCATAAGTCGAGATGCTGCTTGGGTATCTAAGTGAACAGCTTTCCGAATCCATGTCATAACTTGGAAGAGAATCATCAGAGTCGTAATCCGACATTTCCATTGGTATAGAAACACTTTTAGCTAACAACGCTTGGTGCATTTGGTAAGAAGGGAGTAGGCTGTATTGAGAAGTCATGATATGGTACAAATTTTGAAAATATAAGTATGAGATTCTACAAAAGGTGGGACATCAAGCTCCTTTTAACTTGCAAAATTCCTTGCAAGAAATTAGGGAGGGAAGAGTTTAAACCCCCAAAGATTACTATATCCGTCTGCCAAAAGGGGACAATTCTGCAAGAAAATCAGAATTAACATGCAAACAACATCCAAATTTCAATAAAAATTATCCAATCATATCATGAGTACCGTGTCTTCATTCCAAATTGGGAACTACGAAAGGGAACTACGAAAGAATGCGGTTCAAAAATAACTAAATGTAGCCAATCATATATTAGAAATCATTTTTGCTAAGGCTAACACGCAGATGACCTTGCAGCTTGCTGCATATTTCAATTTTCAAATAAACAAGGCTGGCACGGATCCAGAACAAATAGTGGCCAATCATGTTACCCGATGGTGCGAAATTTTGATTTTTTGGCCAAATTAGGATGTCGCATGTCGTTTCAATAAAATACTATCAAATTGAGCCAATAAAAATGAATTTGAGAGTATTTTTCGCGTCAAGCGTAGTATTTTTGTCCAATCATGTTGGAGTATCATACGCCTAATTTGAAACATAAAAATAAACATTTAAGCTATTGTTGTCTATCATGCAATTTCCCCTCTTGATATTGTTGAACTTCAAACTTGTTAAATGGCACTTCAATTCAAGAGGTCATCTAATTCTTGGGCCGCTATTCCGACATGTTCTCATATACAGCAACAAAAAAAAACTCCTCTACAGAGTCTACATTCATGTCATTTTTCTCTAAGATGTATTTCCAATAATTTTTTATCTATGTACAAGTGGCTGTTTTAAGTTAGTATTCCTTTTGTCTTCGTAAAATATACTGTTTACTTTTTTTGCTTGGCCAATCAGATATCTTAGATCTATCTTCAGTAAAAATCAGAAGTCTAACGTCTGTAAATCTATTTGGATCATCATTTAGACCACAAAAACATTTCGGTGGTGATACATACTCATTTCATCAAAGAATTAATAATTTTTATATATCCATGTATCCTTGAAAAATGTTAGTAAATTGATTTGGAAACTTGAAATTGTTCAAGATTGTAATTCTTTAAATCAGATATCTTAGATCTATCTTCAGTATTAATCAGAAGTCTAACGTCTGTAAATCTATTTGGATCATCATCCAAAGAACCACTTTTCATCTTTTCTTATTTGGAACATACCTTATTTTATATCCCCAATTATTATCTATATTTAACCCAAAGGAATACCCTTTTTGATTACTTTAGGTAATCCCTTAATCCAACTCTTTCCGGTCTTCTTATTAATAATAACAAAGACCCTTCCAGATTGTCTCATTCTGCCTGTTCTCCCAACACGATGAACCAAATCAACAGAAGTATTTGGTAAATCCATTAAGATGACATTCTTTATTCCAACAAAATTTAACCCTCTGGCAAGTAAATCAGTCGTGATTAAAACCTTAATCTTGCTAGCATTAGGATCGTTAGCAAGTAACTCCGCAGGTTGGAGAAATGGTTCGATTTTGGCTAACCGTTGTTGTGGGGAGTCTTTACCAGTAATCCCCACAATATCTTGTTCTCTTTGACCATATTTTTTAATCAAAGTTTCTGCAAGTGGTTCGACATCCTTTTTCTCATTAACAAAAATTAAAATTCTCTTAACAAACCCTTCTTCAGTTCCATCCTTATGGATAGCATACAAAGCTTGTGCAAGACATCTAGTCTTAGACCCATTATATGGCGAAAGCTCAGCATCGATAACCTTAAGATGAATCTTTTTAGGGATCTTATGTAAAGATGGTGTAACAATATTAATGAGTGAATGTTCTCCAGGGAACATCTTTTCCAAAGTCTTGTTGAATTCACGAGGAATTGTTGCAGAACAAAAGACCAAGTCTTTACATTTAGGAAATCTTTTGATCACTGCACTTGTATCAAGTAACCATGACTTATCCATCAAGGTATCAGCTTCATCTATCACACAATATTCAACATGTGAAAACATTCTAAATGGATTAGACATCTTATTGATATTGGCGAGCGAAATCAACTTACTTGGTGTAGTAACTAACACATCAATTCTGCCTGATTTAGAAGCTTCAACCAATTTCGTGTGTGCATCACCAGCACCCCATTTCACTACATTCAAGTTGAGTGCATGTTGTTGATCTGGTTGTTCCAAGAACTCCTTATACTCCGGGCTTTGAAGAAGTTTCTGATTGATATTAGATTGAGCATTGATTCGGATGGTTGCAGCTCTGTTAACAGTATCATAAACTTGTTCCACTAACTCGTGAGTTGGGAGCAAGATGACGGATCTAACAGCTGCAGCCTTCTTATACTTGGCGTATTCCTCCTTGGATCTATGGAAAGCTTGCATTTCTTCTTCCTTCAATTTAGAAAGTAATGGAGCCAAATATGCCCAAGTTTTACCCGATCCAGTTTCAGCAGCAATGGTAAACACTTTCAACTTATTCAATTCGTTTTGTTTAGCCAATTCATTAAGAATTTTGTTACTTCCATTTGCCAATTCCTCTTGTTTCTTCAACTTGGTGAGTCTTGGTTGAGTCAATTTACGAATAGCAGCAATTTGGACTGGAGATGGTCTGAGAGCCAATTCCTCCTTGTCCTTTATATATGTGCTTTTCAAATTATACCCATGTTTAATCTCTTCCTTCATAGCAGCTCTAACTGAAGGAAAGATTCTCAACTCTTCAAAATTGGTAATTTTTTCAATCACCTTACTTGAAGTTTCACGCAGTTGACGTGTTGGTTGTTGTAAACCAGAGAAATGTCCAAACAGGAACAGTTGATTTGATTCCTTTGATTGGTTATTCTTTGACAGTGTCGTCTTTTTGGTTGATGTTGGCGGCGCTTGCAATGCCTTCCCTGGCTTCGACCGAAGGACGGTACCTGTACCGTTCCTACGGGACGAGCCTGAGCCCCCTCTTGAATACTGACGGACAAGCCGAACCAGTAGATTCACTAGACTCATTAAATAAAAAGTAAGTTACTAAGAAAAAAAATTTCTTTAGATGTGGATTCAACATATTTAAAGAGTGAAAAGTTTTTAAGTCCGAAAAGTTCGAGAAGGTTCAAACTGGATTTGGTTGGTACTGCAGATAGCTGGATTTATTTAGATTCCCTAAAACTTCAATATATGAGTTTGAAATTGAAAAAAGTAAATCCTGCATATCCAATTAAAAACAACTGTTCATCATTAAGGTCTACAGTTTTTAGGTAGATTCATTATTGATGTTGTAGAGGTGAATGAATATAAATAACTTCTGGAAGTTGACATGAACGTTACAGAATGTTTGCTTAACGATTTATTAGTTGGGGGAGGTTTTTATTAGTGGTTTATTTTTTTTTTATTCTTTATTTTTTTTTGATAACATTCTTATTGACCATGCTTGATGTTTCTCTAACTGTCTACAGTAACTTTTAAATCATTCCAGTACTACTACACCTACACATTCCCTCTCTTATTATATTACTGTAAAAATCGGCTCTTAACACCTCTATTGTAAATTCTTGCACTAGATATTTTATTTGAAACACTAGGTGCAGTCCGTTGATCTTTTTTTGTGTCCAATAATCTCGTGAAAATTTTGGTATAACAAGATCAACACCCCAGGGTACTTAGAACCGTTTAAAACAACTAATTACAACCCGTTAAGCCGTCATGTTGAGATTTGCGTTCAATCGTGTGGCCTCTGCCAACATGTCCGTCAAATCCTGTGCCGATTTGGCCGCCAGAAGATCCTTTTCTTCATCGATGGTTGTGCCAGCTGCAGCACCAGCAAAGCCTGTAAAGAAGAAGATTAGACAAGGTTACACCAGAAACACCAACGCTTCTGGTAAGGCCAAGAAGGGTGGTATGACTGATATGAAGTTCAGAGACGCTGTCCGTGGTCTTGGATATGAGAAATATGCCCCTTCATTGAGCAACCTTCATTTGGAAACTCTTAATGAAAAGGCTGTTGGTACCAACAAGGTGACTAAATTCTCTTCCAAATCACTTGCTAAGCTTGTATCTTTGGAAACTTTCAAGAAGTTCCAACACGTGGAAATGTTCAGTGAACCAGTTTCCTTGGTTACCCAAAACACTCACAACATTCATGCCAACTTTTTATCTAAATTGAATGATGCTAAGCTGCCTAGACTTTGTCTTTTGGGTGAAAAGGGTTCCGGTAAGTCCACTCTTATTGCCCAAACCATGGCCTTGGCCTTGGAACAACATAACCACAACATTGTTCTCTTGCACATAGACCACCCAGAACAAATTGTTAATGGTACCAGTGATTATATCTTCAATTCTAAGACTAAGCAATACCAACAACCAATGTTCACCAAGAGATGGATCGAAAAGGTCCGTGACGCTAACAAGGACGTTTTCCAACAATTGAAGTTGTCCAGAGACGTTTCCTTTGTCACTGACAAGAAGGAACATCAGTTGAAGAAGGATGAAAACACCGTCTACGACTTTGTCGCTAACAACGCAGACTTTGCTAAGCAAGGTTCCTCTGGTGCCCTTCAATTTTTGATTGAAGAACTTCAACACCATTCTAAGACTACCCCAGTATTAGTTTCTATCGACAACTTTACTGGTCTTATCAATGACCCAGTTTCTAAATATCGTCATCCAGACTTCACTCCTATCCATTTTACTGACTTTGAAATGGGTTCCTTTGCTTTGAAGGTTGCCAATGGAGAAATTGAATTTGCCAAGGGTGGTGTTTTACTTTCTCTGTCCTCAGACAACAGAAACGCTCACACTTTGAATGTGGCTCTTGGTCTTGAACAATATGACCCATACTACAAGAACGAACAATGTGATGTAGAAGTAGTGGAAGCCTTATTGAAGAATGGTGGCATTGCTAACTACTCATTGACCAACTTATCCAAAGACCAAGCAAGAGAATTGTTAACCTTTTGGGAATCAGCTGGTGTTTTACAATTGAGAGATTACGTTAGAAAGGAAAAGAAGTTTCAAATGTCCGAATTGGCTAGCCAAAGTAACGTTCCTCAAGTTCATGTGGAAGCTGAAGAATTATTTGAAAAGACTGTACAAAACTACTTTACCCTTTCATCTGGAAATGTTGGAGGATTGGTTAAGGCCGCAAACTTTTTGTATTAGCATGTAAATAGATATAATATAAGAAAAATAGTAAGGAGGAAAGTGTAGAGAGTGTACTTGGAAAGCAGAAATTACTAAGAATTTAATCTGTAGTGGGTGCTACATGAAGAGGATATATTATGGATTACTATACGTTACATTATTAGCAACTTACACATCTCACGAACTATTATAGAAGTGAGACCGTGCGCAAGCTAGTAGCTCGACATAATACTTTTAACTTAATAGCTACACCTATTAGCTAATTCATCAAATTCAAAAAATCTACATTTTCATCCTAATAACTTTTGTTCTTTTCTTTATATGTCTAAAATACACAGGAACCTAGGTAAACAAGGTGTCCTCCTCTCTCAAGTACTCTCCGATATCACCTTGTCTGAAGGCAACAATGGCTGTTGGTTGTAAGTTTCTAGCTTCATTGGTAGACTTGGCAGAAACACCGAATCCTAAAGGAACGTCACTCATGGAGTAAACTATGACACCGGCGTGTTCTGGAATGTCGTCGGACATACGGCCGATATGGGCCTTCAAGACGTGGTTACCGTACAAGAAAGGCATTTCACCGTTAGTCTTGATCCAAACCTTAAACTTGGCGTATTGGGCGAGGTATGGCAAGGCGGTAATATGCAATCTAAACTTTCCGGTCTTGGTGAACTTACCGAAACAAGTTCCTACAGACATCAACTGGTTTCTGGAAACAGAAGTAGCGAAACGAGCCACTTGTTCAGATATGTAATAAACTCTATCCTTTTGTAAACGGAAGACATGTGGGTTGGTTGGGTTGTCCACAAGGAAAGAAATGTTTCTTCCAATGTAGTTTGCGAGCTTCTCGAACACCACCTTGGTTTCTTCTTCTGTTAATGATCTCATCTCGGAGGGGTGGAGAGTGTTAATGCAATGGGTTTTAATTGGAAGTAATCCTCTCTATATTTATCACAGATTATACTTTTGGAGTACGGGTTCTACTATAAATTTTTCGGTCACGTGCCGAGATGAGCCTGAGAAAAAAAAAAGATTTTAGAAAAAAAAAAATACCACCTAGTTTGTTAATAGAGAAACTAAATTGGGTGTAGTTTTGTATTGTAGATTTAGTGAGTGCGACTCAAGATTTTTGATAGCTTCACCACAAAGACATCTATCGCATCACAATTATCAGTAAATTTAGGGTGCGATTTCAGAAAAATTTACTTTTTTGTAGGTGTTAAAAAGAAAAATGTCTGATCTTATTAAGGACGAAAAAGTTGTAGAAGCTCCAGTTGAGGCTGTTGTTAGTGTTGAGGAGAACAAGACTTCCACCACAGAGCAAGATGATACTGTGGATGAAAAGAGCTACAAGCGTGGCCAACAGAATAAGTGGACTCGTGCTCGGACTGGCGACAACAGAGACGGTGACAACAAGAGACCCCGTAAGACGTGGGAGAGGGAACACAAGGTCCAGTAGGTATGTTACTGAGCTGGGAAACCTCCTAGCTGCAGTGTAGATGGTCAATAACCTTTTTTGTTTATATCACTTACTAACTTTTTTTCTAGAGAATTCACTCCACGAGTAGATGAAAATGGGAACCCACTCCCAAGATCGGAAAGACGTCCTAAGAAGAAGGTTGCATGTATGATTGGATACTGTGGAACTGGATACAACGGTATGCAAATCCAAAATAACCCAGACGTGCACACCATTGAAGGAGATCTTTTCAAGGCCTTTGCTAAGGCTGGTGCCATTTCTCCAGAAAATGCTGATGATTTGAAGAAGAGTGGATTCATGCGTGCTGCTAGAACTGATAAGGGTGTCCATGCCGCCGGTAATGTCATTTCCTGCAAGCTTATCATTGAAGACGAAGATATTTTAGAAAAAATCAATGCTGAATTGCCAGATCAAATCAAAGTTTGGGGTATTGAAAGAACCAATAAGTCATTTGATTGTCGTAAGATGTGCTCCCTGCGTATCTACGAATACTTGTTGCCAACATACACTCTTCTCCCACCTAAGCCAAAGACTATTTTAGCTGAAATGGTCAACAAGGCTAGTGTTGAACATCCAGATGTTATCAGAGATGACAAAGAAGGTGCTCAATGGTGGGAAGAAACCCGTCAAGCTCTTCTTGACAGTGGGATCTCTGAAGAAGATCTCTTGAAGGCTCAAGCTGTATTGGAATCCCAAAACCCAAACAACAACTTGGATGCTGATGGGAAGGTCATTGAAAGACCAGAACTTGAAGGTGTTGAATCCGTTAAAACTTATGATTCTGACGGTAACATCACTGAAATCGGCAAGTTGATTAAGTCCATTAAACTGGTTGAAAACAAGAGAAGAAGAGCATACCACACTTCCACCGAAAGATTGAACTTGTTCCGTGAAGCCATGAAACAATACGAAGGTTCTCATAACTTCCATAACTTCACTTTGGGTAAAACTTTTAAGGATCCATCTGCTAGAAGATACATGAAGTTGACCACCGTTTCAGACCCATTTGTCATTGAAGGAACCGAATGGGTTTCCATCAAGATCCATGGACAATCTTTCATGTTGCATCAAATCCGTAAGATGATTGCCATGGCTGTTCTTGTCGTTCGTACCGGTTGTCCATTGACAAGAATCTCCGACGCCTTTGGTCCAACCAAGATTAATATTCCAAAGGCTCCAGCTTTGGGATTGTTGCTTGAAGCTCCAGTCTACGAGGGTTATAACGGTCAATTAGAAAAGTTTGGTTACAGTCCAATTGACTTCTCCAAATACCAAAAGGAAATGGATGCCTTCAAGATGAAGTACATTTACGACAAGATTTACGGTGAAGAAGTAAAGGAGAACGTTTTCTACGGATTCTTTGCCTTTATTGATACTTTTAAGGGTAACGGTGACACCAAGGAAGGTAGACACATCTTTGACTTTTTAGGTGCCGTTTTCGAATCAGCTAGTAAGAAGGATCCTGCTGAAATTGCTGCTTCAAAGGAAGATCCAGTAGTTGCCAAGCCTCAAGATAACGTTGATTAAATAATTAGAAACACTTTTTTACATACACATTTCAAAAAAATGCTTAACGCTTACTATTATTAATATATTTTTTTTATGTAAATTATTTATAGGTTTAGAGTAAATGACTGATTCCTACCATCCTCTAAATCCAAGATGGATTATTCTGGGATGCTGGTGCAGGTGATGGATAGGTTCTAATAGGTTGTTGTTTTCTTTGTTGAAGCAAAATTGGACTTGATTGTTTGAGTCCATCAATTTGCAGAAGTGGCTGTTGACCAGGTATTTGTTGTGACAGTTGCAATTGTTGGTGTTGAATTTGTTGAACATGTTGTGGTTGTTGTTGCACTGGTTGTGGAGGATGTTGTTGTTGTTGTTGTTGTTGTTGAATTTGATGCTGGATTTGTGGTTGTCCAATTTGGCCCTGTGGAACTGGGGATTGTTGTTGGCCCTGTTGACCTTGTTGTTGCTGTTGGACTTGTTGCTGCACTTGTTGGATTTGTTGTTCTTGCAGTTGCTCACCTCCGTTAATCTTGGATTGCTCCCTTTGCTTCTCTTGTTGGAACTTATATAAAGTCCAGTCGAAAACATAATCATATCGATAATTCTCTCTCTTGAATAAATCTCTGAAAATCTTTCTTAAATAAGAATAATCTGGCTTATCATCAAATCTCAAGGTTTTAATATAATTCATATAATCCAAAAATTCTCTTGGTAATCCTTGAGTTAAAATATCATTTGGAGTAGTGATTTTCTTTTCCATGATTCGATCATACTTTTGTCTCTTGGTAGCAGCCTTCAACCCTTGCCATGGTAATGATCCTCTACAAAAGTAAATCAACACATATCCCAAGGATTCCAAGTCATCTCTTCTACTCTGTTCAATTCCCAAATGTGTGTTGACTGAAGTATATCTAGCAGTACCAGTCAAGTTTTTGTTTTCTCTGTAAGGTATATGCAAATGAGTTCTAGGATCTCTATATTTTTTAGCCAATCCAAAATCAATCACATTCACTTGCGATCCTCTTCTACCAATCCCCATAAGGAAATTATCTGGCTTGATATCTCTATGAATGAAGCAACGAGCATGGATGTACTCAATTCTACAGATAAGTTGGTCTGCCAAAAGTAAAACTGTCTTGTAGGTGAACTTACGGTTACAATAGTTGAAAAGATCTTCAAGGGATGGTCCTAAAAGATCAATCACCATAGCATTGTAATCACATTCAGTTCCATACCATCTGACGAATGGGATACCAACACCTCCACTCAAGGCCTTGTAAACCTTGGCTTCATACTCCAACTGTGGATGCTTGGCCTTGGTGTTTTCCAATTTGATTGCAACTTCTTCTCCTGAAATGATGTTGGTACCAAGATAAATGTCTCCAAATGATCCTGAACCAATCTTACGACCGATTCTATACTTCTTACCAACTCTTAAATCCATGTTCGGTTACTGTATGTATATAAAATTGCGGATGCTGTCTCGAGATCCTTGTTCCAATGGTAGGTATATATTAAGAGAGGCCCTCGTTGTACTTCTTCAATTGTTATTGCTGTTCGATTATCAACAGAAAAAAAGTCTTCTCTTGATCTAAATATATGTATAAATGGTTTAGTAAAGGGTGTTCCAAATAAGTCAAAATATGATATCTATACACTTCTGGCTCCTTCTCAACTAATCTAATTTAATTTAGGCTTATTAATTCAAATAAAATGCAATGTAAAAGATTATCACCTTGTGTTTGAGAGGACACTTTTTAGGGGAATTCGTGTAAAAATTTGATTTTCGTACAAAAAGAAATCACAAAGCAAATTGGAACAGGAGTTTCATCACGTGCATGCTTATCAAAAATTTAGTGTGAACAACATCAAAAGTGAATGATTGTGTTGTTGACTTCCTGATTGGGGCTGAGGTGGGAGGCGGTTTAGTAAGGCAAGAACGATATTGATACCTATATTAATTAGAGGTTACCATTTACATTCTATATATAGATGGTAGTGGCTATTTTATTTTTTTCCATGTCACTAGGCAATTAGCTTATTAATCGCTATAATTACCTATTCATTTCCTTCCTTGTTTGTTCTATATTTACTGTTTCAAAATAAAGAAGAGCATAAAAAATAATTAGGATTAAACTACAAAGTGTACAAAAGACATAAGTGACATGAGAACAGTAATAGCAAACTCGATCCATCTCATATATATTCTCTATCAAGTTTCGAACTACGAATACTATTACTATTACTAAAACTAAATCATTCATTCCAATATACCTGACTGATTAATGTTTGCGTGGTCTTACTATCCTTGCCTGCACAACAACATAACTTAATAAAAATAAAAAGTTTAAAAACATGCACAAAGAGAAAAAGAAAATAAACGTAGGAAAGTTTAAAACTAATTTTTGTGTTTTTTTTTTTTGGATGTGTTTTTTTTAAAAAAATTAAATTATTTTATTATAATATGTAGTTTACACCTTTAAAGCTATGAAGGATGAATAAATTATGGACAGCAATTGGGCTGCTACTCATTCACCCACTACACCTTAAGCTAAGATGACTCTACATAATCAGTAAAAATTATTAAATATTAGACATTAAGACGCTTGTACATAGATACATAGATATTCTGTTCAAGCTGCAAAACAATTAAATTGGAATTGTTTGAAACGGGAGAGTTTAAAATTAAATAAATTGATCAGAAACTTATTTAGCAGCAGTAGTTGGCTTCTTGAACTTGGCCAAGAGCTTCTTGAAGAAATCATTCTTCTTTGGTTCCTTGCCAATCTTTTCTGAAGTCTTAGCAACGTCAGCCTTGGCTTCGGTGGCGCTTTCTTCAACTGGTTCTTCAGCGGCAGCTTCAACTGGAGCTTCAGTTTCAGTGACATCCTTTTCAACTGGGGCAGCTTCAGTTTCAACTTCAGCTGGAACTTCAGCAGTGAGGTCTTCAGATGGTTCAACAACTTCTTCCTTAGCAGCAGTTTCAGTTTCGGCAACAACTGGTTCAGTAGCAGCAACTGGTTCAACAGCGGTGACAGCTTCAGATTCTTCAGCAGCAACAACTGGTTCTTCAGTGGCAACAGCATCAACTGGTTCAGAGGTTTCAACTGATTCTGGCTTAACTTCAGAAATGTTCTCCTTGCTGTCAGAAGAAAAGATCTTGGAAGCTCTCTTTACTTTATCCTTGATACCCATTGTATATGTTTATGTGTGTGTGTGTAAATATATAAATACAAAAAAAAATAATAAACCGTTCCTAAACGTAAGAATCTATATCTCTTTTATATATAACAGGGGGCAAAAGTGTGGGTTTCGGGGATGTGGCGGAGCTCTTATATATGGGTCGCAAAAATCCATACCAAAATCAAAAAAAAAGGTCTAACAATAGTAATGCATGACCGCGCAGCCGTGTCCTGCAGAAGGGACGTTTGAGTGGTGTGAGCTAAGGGTTCATCCTGCACACCGGTCCTGCTAACAAGTCCACACGGCGTTACTGACAGTTTAAAAGAGGTACTCTGCAAAAGATGCCATAATTCTTCTCAACTGTGTGACAAACTCAAACTATCATAACGGAAGAAACTCATCTTTCCCACACATACACTGACAAGAATGGTGTACACCATTAAAATATCCCCCAATTCAAATTCGTGTTGAGATCTCCCACTAGACGACGCGTTTCAGCCGTATCTTTTTTTTCTATTTTAGTATTTTTTTCTTCGTATTGTGTCTTTCGGCGTGTTTTCACATAGAGCCGAGTCTGAAACACGCTTTTTACTCTTATTTTTCTTATTTTTTTTTTTAATAGAACCTTCTGGTTACCCCGGCTACCAAAGGCGTGTCTACTTGATGATACCGGCACTTCCGTAACGCCGACTGTAAGAATAGTGTAGGAGAAAGATTTAAGAGGCGTATGTGTATTGTATTTTTTTAATGTAAGCCAGCCAGCAGGAGTAGGTGGAACCATTGAAGTTTCATATACTACACGAACATGATTTGAAACGGCAAAAGCTAAAATTACAGCAATAGCAAGAATTCGGGAAGTATGGACCAGAGGACAATGTACAATCATTCCGCCACCGAGACATAGTTGGGCGGGTAGCGGAAGTCATGCTCCCGCCATACGAAAAAAAAAAAACTTTTTTACGAACTTTCCACGTTTTAATTTTTTTTTTTTGCCTTTTTCTGGTGTGGTTTTTTGTTATGATTTTATTTTTTTTGAGATCCATTCTCACCGCTTATTTTAGGTGTGAAGTGACAAGCCTGGTGGGTAAAGATCAACATGATAGCCGGACATATTGGCCCGATATGTATGAGTAGACACGTATTTCAGAAATTGTTGCAGTGAGGACATCTGGGCACGATACACGAGGCTCCCAGTTCAATTCTTGTCTCCTTCAATAATGACATGATGACGCGTATGCTGATAAGGTATGGTTGTTATTTGCAACATTATCATTTTGACGAAAGAATGATCAAACAAGTATAATTCAACCTGTGAAGTATTAGTAAGAAATGATCATAGTAATGAAGTAGAAGTTGGTTACTATGCAGTATTTGTATTATGTAATTGATTATTTTTCGTCTATTAAAATTGGGTGTGGCACTTTTGACAATGTCTTATCAATTACCCCCCTTCGATAACAAACCCCTCTTTCAAAAATAAAAAGTGTATTGTTGTAAAAGATGTACAATGGTATGAGATGGTTAGTTAGATAATGGAGTAATAAGAGTTAAATTTGAGCGAGAATGCTAAGATGGAATAATATTAGATGCTAATAATTGGACAAATATATACCCGAACACAATATTAATAGTCAATATCTTGTCTTTGGTACGGATACTTGCAAAAAAATGACAATCTCTTCTGCTTAATCTTATTACGTCTATCGTTACACTATGGGTGACAAGGTGTGGAGATATGCAATATATAAAGAAAAAGTTCATTTTGTGCACTTCCTTTCTTGTGAACTTGAAGATGAAGTCTCTCTACAAACTTTCCCTTAATTAAATAACTAACAAGTTCAAGTACATGGTTAGGTCATACCTAGCAAATCTAATCCCACCCCAATATCTATTCAACTCTTTCTTCTATACATCTATTATCTCTTACTTCTACGTCATGTGCCCCGCAAACGCTCGTAACCTCGCTTATCAATCAGTAATTACCGAAAATTTACTGGAGAACGAAAGATGGGAACCCTTTTATATCTTTTCTTTTTTTTTCCCTTTTTTTCTATTATGGTATGGCTATCTAACAAACTGGCTTTATCTAACATCTTCATATCAATACGTAAATATACCACTAAAAACAAATATTTTGCAATGTCTCATAGCATAAACACTACTGTTGCTGAACAGCAAAATGATATGTACTTTGGATCAGAAGTGATTAATCGAGTTTCATTTTTAAGAGGAGATCTGGATTTCATTACCAATGCAGCCATTCATCCAAGTGCAAGATTCATAGCCTTTTATAAGACTGATCCACTTATCAATAAACTGGCTGCCAATAAACTTGCCATCTTTGTGAATGGTGACGAGCAACTTAAAGATTCCCAGGGGTTATGGAATCTGTCTTTGTGGAGAAACACCATCCAACAATGGTGTCAGGATAATAAGGAGCAATCCAAGACCACTAGGAGTGGTGAAAAACCGGTGGTTTTGTTCATGGGGTTGGAAGATGAAAGTGTTGGATTGAATCTACTGCAATTGAAAGCTGGTGAAAAGGATGATACAACCACGGAACAACAAGAAAGATTTTTAGATCATCAAGGTAGATACCAAGGGATCCCATATTTTGCCATTGATTTGACCAATGCCTCCAAGGAATTGATTGAATTTTTCAAGGAGAATGTGGTTGAAGGTAATCCTTCCAAAGAAGATGTTTTCTTTACAAGATCAAGGAAACATTATCTTGGATTCACCAATAAGGAGGCTGCTTTATATTCACATGGGAAAATGTTTATGGATTGGTTGAGTAGAAATCATTTCTGCCCTGGGTGTGGTACTCTTGTGGTTCCAATCCATGCTGGAGGGAAATTGAAGTGTACCAATGAAAAGACAATTCAAAAGAAAACCGTGGCAAAAGAAGGTGAAGAGCAAGAAATTGAAATCGAAATCCCTGCATGTCCAGTGAAACAAACATCTGTTTCAAATGTTTCATTCCCAAGAACAGATGCTGTGATCATCACTGCAATTACCAATACTGACCGGACAAAGGTTCTTCTTTCTCTTTCCAAGAGACATGCAGCCACAAGAATGTATGCATGTACTGCTGGGTTTATGGAACCTTCTGAAACAGTTGAAGTGGCTACTAAGAGAGAAATCTGGGAAGAAACAGGGGTGGTTTGCTCCAAAATCAACATTGTGATGACACAACCATGGCCATTCCCTGGGAATCTCATGATTGGATGTCTTGGTGTGGTAGACTTTAACGGCATCAATGAAAACATACATTTAGGCCATGATAGAGAATTGGCCGACGCTAGATGGTTTGATACGGAAACCATTCGTAAATGGATATATGATAGTCCAAAAGTTGATAATCCAGAAGAGATTTTGTTACCTAATCCGGAATCGATTGCATTCCTGCTTATTAAAATGGCTGTTGACCAAAGACAACAGAAGTTATAGAAGTAGTATTTATAGAGTATTAGACGAATAGATGGGTAGAGTAGTATGAAGGTAGATTTAAATATTGTATGTGCTATTTTTTTAGTACTTGTATCTGTGTACAGTGGCCACTACATAAAGTATATAATTTTTGTCGCATTATCTTTTAATGATATCTCTTTATGGCCATGATTGATGCTATCATAAAAGACTTATCGTCTGCACTTGAGGATGTTTCCATCAAGGAAGATGGTGTCATACCGAAGGATGAGTTTGTTCTTGTCGATAGTGGAGATCAAATATCGACCGAAATTGATTTGAAAATGGTTCAACTTCTTGAATTAATCGATCAATATGAAGTTTTAACCAACGGAGATTACCGCTTAAACTTCATCAATGGTAGTCTTAACCTCAGTAGGGCAAACTATAATACTGGTCTGTTATCCAAGAAGTTTGGGCCTGAGTCTTATGACTTGAGAAGTTACAATGCATGCAAAACAATTGAGGTTATCAAGGGACATTTCAAACTTGTAGATAACTTGAAAATTCAAAAGGAGAAGGATTTATTAGAATCTGAAAAGAAGACAGATAAAACTGTCCAATCAACTGAAATAGAGGTGAAAGAATCTGAACCAACTTCTACTACAACAAATTTGGCTAAACCTACTTCTTTAAAAAATAGAAAACAGCTGAAGAAGCAGAAGGATAATACAATCACCACCACAGATGAACAACTCAACAAACTCAAAGACCCAATAACGCAATTTGGTGGGTTGGTTCCATACCAATTACGCCAGTCTCAGCAATTCTTCCAGTCTTGGTTGGAAAATGCCATGACAATTGTAAACTTGCAAAGTCAAATAAATAAGCTCGTGGCCGACATTACCGAGCAGGAAGTAATACTGGGGGGCGGGACCGATAAATAAGCTACAAATACAACTACATTATTATACACTTTATTTTTAAAAAAAAACTTCCACTTTTGTATTCCCTCTATTCTATCTATTCTTCGATGTCACTATACAAGTCACTATCATTTTCGTAATCTTCAGGCTTGATATCTGGGGCATCTTCGTCACTCAGAGACATTTCCACGTCACTGTTGTCAGATTCAGCGCCTTCGGCACCTTCTTCACCGTTCTTAGCGGCCTTTCTTCTGGCCTTTCTTTCATCCTTCTTTCTGTTCTTGGCATCCACATTAGCCTTTTGTTTGGCTCTTCTCTCGGCCTTAAGCTTTTGAGCAGCAGCATGCTTACGAGCCAATTCCTTTTCTTCCTTGGAAGTCTTTGTCACCTTGGCGTGGTACAAGGTCTTAGATGAACCAGTCAAGTTTTCTTCAATCTTGAGTAAGGACAAGTTCAATCTTGGTCCGATTTCGGTCAATTTGATCGCTCTCTTTCTGGTTGGAGTACCGTTGGCGTTTTCACCATCTTCACCATCAACCGGCTTCTTTTCTTCCTTTTTGGAAAGTGGGGTTTCATTCTTAATTTCAACAATGGCATCGTCTTCCACTTCAGAATCAGAGGTCACACCACCAACGGCATATGGGTCCAATAATAACTCAGAAACATCATTAGTTCTGGACAAGTTAGGTAAACTCTTCTTCAAGTTGTGGTGCGAGTTGATCAACTTCTTGACGTTTCTGTTTCCTTCTACAAGCTTTGTGTTGATGGCGTAATGTCTCCATTCAATTTCATCATTTTCTGGATTCTTGGTAATCATCAATACTCTCTTAATTTCGGAAACTTTGGTCAGTTGTGGTTGGATAGGTGGGAACATGTTTTGTAACACGGTCACAAGTAATTTCTCGTGGTTCTTGTCTGAATCCACTTGGAATCCATTAAGAACCAACAATGGTGGGGCAAGCATTTCAGCTGAATCCTTACCAACGGACTTTGGATGTTTCAAAATACGACGGACGTCCTTTGCCAACGAGTACGAGTTCACTCTGAACAGGAGGGTTGGTCCTCTTGGCATCTTACCGATTCTTAACGAAACATTCCCAGAACTTTCCTTTTGGTTGAAAATGAACAAATCAGAAACTCCCAACGGTCCGGCCATTACAATGAAATCCTTGAGCTTGTTGGCCTTTCTTTCACGAAGGTTGATGGCAGTGTGTGGTTGCATCACGTTTCTGAAGTCCTTGACAAGCTGTGTGAGCGAATGGTTTCTTAATGAAGACCCGAGTCGAAGTACCATCGATCTGGGTATTTTAGCGAGTTCCTCTTCCGAGACCTTTTTATGTGTTCTTGTCTTGGTCTAAAAAAAAATGCGGGTTAGTATGGGGCTTATACATCGGGACGTTTATAGATTGGTACTTACTCTTCTCTTGGCCATTTTTGTATTAATTGGTTTTTATAATGTTGTACTTAAAAGCAATATTTCTTTCTATATGTGTTTTATGAAAACTTCCTCTCCATCGCATCGCAAAAATTGGCCCCGATGAACTAAAATTATTTCCGCACCGCATAAAAAAATTTAAATATGTTTTGTCACCCTATCTAATCACATTAAACAAAACATCAATCATGTCTGTAAGTGTAGGAGGTGTGACTAAAAAGGTCAAGAAGAGCAAGAACAACGATGCTAAGGCATTAGCTGAAAAAATAAAGAGAAATGCGCTCAAGCAACAAGAACTTGAAAAGTCTAAAACCAGTCAAGCAGTCGATGCTGCTCAAACTGAACCTGCTGAAAAAGAAGTAGTTGAAGTAGAGACTAAAGTTGACACTATAGTTGATCCAGATGCTCCGCTCAAGTTCGAAACATTCCAAGAACTCAAGCTTATTCCAGAACTTTTGGAATCTATTCAAAACATGAAATTCACAAAACCAACTCCAATTCAGTCGGAGGCTATTCCACATGCTCTTGCCGGGAAAGATATCATTGGGTTGGCTCAAACTGGGTCTGGTAAGACCGCTGCGTTTGCCATCCCTATCCTTCAGGCACTCTGGGACGCCCAGCAACCGTATTTCGGTTTGGTTTTGGCTCCTACTCGTGAACTTGCTTACCAAATCAAAGAAACGTTCGATGCCTTGGGTCTGGCCATGGGACTTCGTTCCATTTGTATTGTTGGGGGTATGGACATGATGGACCAGGCCAGAGACTTGATGCGTAAGCCACACATCTTGGTGGCTACCCCAGGTCGTATCATGGATCATTTGGAACATACCAAGGGGTTCTCCCTTAAAAACTTGAAATATCTTGTTATGGATGAAGCTGATAGACTTTTAGATATGGATTTTGGTCCTGCCTTGGATAAAATCTTGAAAATCATTCCAACACAACGTACCACATACTTGTTCTCTGCCACCATGACCAACAAGATCGCCAAGTTACAACGTGCCTCTTTACATAACCCTGTCAGAGTTGCAGTTTCTGATAAATATCAAACCGCAGACAACTTGGTTCAATCCATGATGCTTGTCAGTGACGGTTACAAGAATACCTTTTTGATCCATTTATTGAACGAACACATTGGTAAATCCATCATTATCTTCACCAGAACATGTGCACACACTCAAAGAACAACTTTACTTGCTAGTATTTTGGGATTTTCTGCCGTTCCATTACATGGACAACTTACTCAAGCACAAAGATTGGGTTCTTTGAACAAATTCAAGTCTGGTAAGGCCAACATCTTGGTGGCAACTGACGTTGCTTCTAGAGGTTTAGATATCCCATCGGTTGATCTTGTTATCAACTACGATATTCCTACTGACTCAAAGGCTTACATCCATCGTGTCGGTCGTACTGCTCGTGCTGGCCGTTCTGGTAAGTCTGTGTCACTTATCACCCAATACGATTTGGAAATGTACTTGCGTATTGAAAGTGTTTTAGGTAAGAAGTTACCTAAAGATCCATCTCCACCAAAGGATGTTTTGGATGCATTGCATGTTCATGTGGATAGAGCCAGTGCTGAGGCAATCAGAAGAACTAAGGACTTCCATGAAAAGAGAAACGAAAAGAAGAGAGGTGGTAGAGGTGACAACAGGGATAGAGAAGAACGATAAATAACGTGTATATTACGATCATTAATTAAATAACAAACGGTATAAAAAAAAACTGTAACCTTTCTCATTTACTTATTAACCAATATATTACCTAACCTATTACTAAATCTCCTTATTTATGTAAAAAATGAACTGGACATTCACCATACCCTTTCTTATTAAACCAATCCTTGATGCATTTGTAGTGGAAAACACATAAACATTCCAACCGACCAACCTTATCTCCAGGCTTCAAATCCTCTAAACAGATAACACATTCTCGATCAACGTACTTTTCAGACATGTTAACTGTTGAAGTGGAGTTGTCAGACCCCACCAGAAACCCTCCCAAACCTAGACTTGGTTGTGAGCCGCTGCTTTCAGGATTATCGATATTATTGGGGATCGACTCAAACTGTGGTTTAGGTATAGGAGGGATATTATAGACCAACATTTTATTTCGTGTATGCATACGAGAACCGTTTGCCGTAGGACTTCGTTGATGGTCAAGATTAAAATCAAAAGCAGTTAAACAGTCACATATGTGTGCCTCTTTGAATGCTTCAAACTCGTCGTTACCAGACCCTTGAAAGAGTTTCAGAAGATTTACAGCACATACAGGACACAAGTTGTGGTCACTGTTGTCGTCATCTTCAGGGGTGTTATTCGTAGCTCCCTGGAGCAAAGGGGTTCCATTTACTGATGATTGTGTAGACGATTCCACCATATGAGTACTGATTCGAGTGTTCATATACTTTGTGATACTTGTTGCAGATCCATTATCATGATTAGAAGATAATTCTTGATCCCCTGAATTATGAGACGTATTTGTGGCACGATTACCATTTCCGCCACTGGAATTATTAGTTATGTTGGCAGGTTCACCCTCGTCCGCAGTCCCTCCTTCAGCGAAAAGGGCTCTACGAATCATTTTGATCTCATCCACACATTCGTCACAGGTGCGGTATGTTTCAAAGGGTACTGGTTTGATCTGTTTACCGTTATGACCAACGATCATAGTGCTAGCAAAATATCGAATAGGTTGTTCAGAGCAACTGGCACATACAATTCTCCCACATTTCCGGCAATGGTGACGTCTATTGAAGAAAGTGAACTTGGTAGAGCATAACACACATGCAGAGGCCTCTTCATCGGGCTGCCAGATCGGAACAGACGACATGGTATGTGTAGCTAGAGATGATGTTAAGTGCCCTTCAGAAATCAAGATAAGGGAAAACAAAAAAAAATAATAAAAAAAAAATAACCGTCAGATCAAAAGATAAAGGAAATTGAAGTCGTGCGGGGTGAGAGAGACAAAATTTGCTATGACAGCCTTTCGAAAAAAAAAGTGTGGGTATGTTCCCGTGGAATTCGAATTCGTCAAGTATGTTCTATCAGAAAAGTTAGTGAAATTCACAGATATTAAAAAAGTTACCTTGATTGTGGTGGCGTTTTTATTCAGTTTACTGTTTAGTGAATGTTTTAGATTGTCTTTTTTCGTGCGCGACTCAATAGTGAAGGTGTGCATGCCTCAATATGGGAACGGTGATATTTCATGAAGAGGAGGAGAGAGTGTGAGGTAGTATATAGAAATTAGTTAAAGAATAGAATAATGACTGACAGACTTACACAACTACAAGTGTGCTTGGATCAGTTAGTTGCGCAATTCAATGCCACTGTGAATTACGTAAACACAAACAGTGAGGCTGCTCTTTTGGATCCTGAAGAAAATTCTGTGGCCAACATTGCAGCTTCAGCACCACTCCCAGGAGCGGTTGTACCGAGCAATGAACCAGGCAGCAGTAACAAGCAAACAACTGCTAATAGTGTGTCCAATCAGCCGACTGCGCGTGTCGAAGCCGAGCAGAATTTTGAAAATACCATCAATGAATTATCCACAGATATAATACTTAAGTCTCGTCAATTGAGTATGTTGATAGACTCCTTACCAGGCATTGGTGTGTCTCCCGAAAGCCAACTTCTGCTCATCGAGGAGTTGGCCCGTGAATTGGAGCAAGTGGAGAAGGAACGGGTGGCGAAAATAGAAGAAAAGGACGTTTTACTAGCCCAATGTGAATCTCTCATTATGGATGTAGCTAGTGGTATTTCCGAAACAAGAAGATAATAAAAACGTTTATAAAAATGTTTATTCTTTTACTTTAAGGGGGGCGAAGGCATTTCTATTTACAATTAAAGTCCCATGATCCGATAAACCGCGCAGCCTGGCATTGGTCGAAAGTCCATGGAGTTCCGTATATGATTGGCATCAATGGAACAAAGCAGTAAACCGCTCCTCCAAAAATGGAAACCATCAATAAGATGGCCAAGTACCTTCTCTTTGCATATTGGTATTCCAAGTACTGTGCCGTGGAAAGTATCGAGAAATAGAGTGCCACCAAGTAATGATGCAAAAATAACTGTCTACCCATGTGGAAGTATGGTAAATAATTCAATATCCATCCAAGAATGAAATCGAAACTGGCACCATGGAAAATGATTGTGTCGAACAGTTCCAGTGGGATTTTGAATGGATTGGAAATTTTAAGTAGATAAAATGCCTTCTTGGCAAGAATTAATGACACAATAAAAAAACCCACATAGTTGATCATCAAATTACCCATGTAGTAAATCTCTTCTCCGTTAGAATCAAGATATTTAACTCCACGCATCAAAAATGGCCATGTTTCAGGAAGTGATTCGTAGTCATGACTTGATGTCAATCCCTTGTTTGCTCTCCACATTGCTTGATGGTATTCTTTAACCTTATCCCAAAAGGTCAACTTTCTCAAGTGAACTCGTTCCACCTCGGGGTTATTGTCCATTTTTGGATGAGAATTACTTTCAATGTACCACAAGGTGTTTGGGATTGTTGGTTCATTAACACAAGTCACTTCAAACTGTTCAAATGCATATTTAGGAAGTTTTTCTCTATGACTAAGAAGTACACATCGGGTTCCCTGGTGAATAAGTTGGAATACCGATTGGGCGGTTCTGAGATGTGTGAGAGCAACCCGCAGGGTTTCGTTGTCGTCAATTTGCGCAACAATACGTACCTTCCATTCAAAATTAACATCTGGGTCCATGTCCCATTCTCCAGCACATGAAACTTCGTTATTATATTCCTTTTCTGAAATTGGTGGTCTCACGTCATTGGCCCGTAAATACTTTTTGGTTCCTCTATGAAATAATCTAATGGTATCTCCATCCTGTATAGGTCTGATTTTGTTTTGTAAATCACCCTCTCTTATATTCTTATTCTTTAATTCAATGGTCCATTCATTGTTAAAATCAGGTGAAAAGCCATACACAGTGACTTGTTGTTCTTGCGATCCAGTTTGGTAATTGGCGTCATGCAGATGTAAATATTGTCCCAATTCGTAATGTTTGAGTAAGATATTGCTTCCATACGAGACTGGAGCAGGCATATTCACGATTTTTTCTCCTTCAGATAACGTAGCTTGGAAATCTGGGGACATTGAACCTGAACCAGTACCATTATTGGGCAATAAGGCAAAATGAGCAGCAAATGATCCTAAATATATCGTCAAGGGAATAATTATAAACCCAAAGATTCTTGCAATAACGTGTTTAAACCAAGTAAAATCTGAAACTTCTAAATCACCCAAATAATACCATAAGTCTAAAACGGTTAAAGCCCCAATGGTTGCCACTGTGAAGGCCCCGGCACATTTCACTGAAAGTGAAACCCCCAACCCAATACCAGTACAGATTAAAAACTTGTACCATTTTCTTGTAAATGGTTCAGTCAATTGAAATTTCTTAAATCCATACATTGTTAAACTTATACCGAACAATAATGGACTATCCAAAAGGATGAGTCTGGACTGCGTCACCATGGAGTTATCGATGGCAACGAGTGACAGACCAAATAGAGCTACCAATGAACGACAACCCGAGGCCCTCAAGGTTCCATAAGTGAGCAACACGGTGAAAACTCCCAAAAGAGTGGGTAATAATCTCATGGCCACGTAGGGGACTTCGTCAGTATACTTGTCTCCAATTCTGGCAAACTCAAATACCCCGTCCCATGACAGGAATAATGCCACCACATAATATGCCAACTTGGACAACGGTGGATGAACATCAACGAAAAAATCTCCATACATGTATTCACGAGTAAACCCTCCAAAATGAGTTTCGTCAAACACCACTTGCTTTGGGTATGGGAAATTATAGAATCTAATGGCAACCGTCACAACTACAAGGAAATATAATGCCACATGGTCGACCTTATTGATGGCTGTTTTGGCTAACAACACTGGTGATCTAAAAGTGGAGAAATATGGTCGGGCTCTACCGTGTTTATATCCGTCCGGAAGTACTTCTTGCACCACCGCGACCTTCTCGGCATTCCTCGCTATAGAAGTCATTTAATGGATATCTATCCCTGTAAAAGCTCGCTTTACAAACACAATGCACTCTCTATGTTTACTGGTGTCATGTTACTAAATTCTTCTAAAAATGGGTTATATAAAAATGGGTATATGCAGTCTCTATAAATAAGTCTATGTAAAAAGTATGGGGGTGGTGGGTCATTAGTAACCGATATAAATACCTCCTCCTCGTTCATCTAGGGCGTTTACGATGAAGTCGACGTACTCTGACTTTGGGTCCCAGCCCAATTTGGCAGTACAACGGATATTTTTCAAATTTGGAAGACGTTCATCGTTCAAGGCAACGGCTAGATCAATAGGGTCAAGTCTAGTGGAAGTCCCCAACATCCCACTACTCTCGAGATACATTGTTTTCAACGGGCGAGGGTATTCCATGTATCCTAAGTTCTCTTCGTCGAAAAAGGAACTCGATACGTAATCTACAGCTACTTCTAGAACAAGTAGATTTGGGCAATAATAGAATACAGGGTCAAGGGATTTTTCCCGAAGTCCAGGCATTGGGTATTGTACTTTAAGTGTCTTGAGGGTTTTCCCCATTTTCCGTATAAGTTGTTGGAATCCGAATTCCTTTATGGCTGGACAATGAGAAAATTCAAGTTGGGTAATGGTGGAGGGGAATTTAGTTTCAAGTAAGAAATCGTCGGAGATTCCTCCTGATAATCTTAGAAAGGATAGTTGTGGAGGCCAGTTGACATTATTGAAGTTATTAATGGCCACAGATGATCGTGGAAAGGAAAGATGGGTAAGGTTTTGAAGTGCTTCGATGGAGTTGAAAAGTTCACGAAGATCTAAAGTTTCAGAAACAAGTCGAAGGTCAAGGATTCGTAATTGATGACAATTTTTAAGTGAAAGTAATGGTGCAAGACCGAAACTGGTTTGTGGGGCAACAAATACCCTTAATTGCTTTTTCGAACGTTTCAATAATTTCAGTACAAAGGCATTTTTGCCACTTTGAATGACACTGGAGAGATCGAGTTCTTGCACATATTCTCCAGACTTTTTGTTCAGTGACATGGTCTCTACAAACAGAAAGAAGTTTGTAGCCTTTAGATGCGGACGACGGTATATCATGGGGAAGGCTATAAGGTAAAAAAGTTTACAAACTCTTAAAAACTTTGGTTTCAATTTCCCTCGTGCATCTAAAATCTCCAAGATCTTTACGATTATTTCCACTGGAAGTTTCATAAGTTTCAGTTCATTCTCTAGCTCAAACTTGGCTCTCTCCATATTCTCTTCAAAGTTCTTATTTTGATTTGTTAGGGCACATTGCAACACATCAATCTTTTCAAATTGTGATCTTGGCCATATATTCCCCTTGAAAACAAACCTGTTTGTTAACACATACGTGGAGATAATGTGTGAATTTGCCTTGAAATTCTGCAACGTGGTCCCATACACATCCTTCTTGGCCACATCATTCTCTAATACATCTTCCTCTTCTTCTTCATCACTACTATTGGCTTCTGTGAAGTTCAGGCGATACACATACCTTCGGTATGGTGCCTGTATCTTTTTGGCCCTTCTCTTATTGGCCATTATTTACGCTGGTATATCTATTATCAGATTGCAGGGGACGCTATATATCCCCCAGAATAAATTCAAGTTTTGTCTAGTATATATCTATGCCATCTAAAATCACATCACTAATCTTTGTAGCTGATATAATAATTGTGGTCCTGCATGAAGAGGAGCATTTTAGATTGTTTTTTGTTTTTTTGTTTTTTTTTTTGATGGCCCTCTACTTGCTTACATAAATGAGAAAGGTTGCAAAAAAGATGAATCAAAAATAATTGACAACAGCCTTTAGTTTATTTATATCCATCAGAAGAACCAGGAGGTCCAAAAAAGCTATATAGAGATATGTTATTAACGAATTTCTTATTTCCATCGTTATTTGATCTTTTCCATAATTTTCTTATTATTAAATTTGGAACGAAATTTATTATTTTCCAGTAGATTATTAAACCTTTTAGTGGCAATTTGATCAACATAAACGTAGAAATTGTGAAAGGTATCAATATAATTCTAGCAATTTGTTTAGATATCATCGATATTGTGACACTATTATGAATTGCATCCCATATCATGTACATTACTATGTTACTCCAAGTGATAAATAGATCATTATTCATATAATGTTGAATTGTTAAAACTAACTCTCTAACCATTTGAGATTGAATTTTCTTTAAACTATTCTTCAATCCTAATATTGAAATATCTTTGAGTAATTCTTTAATTGTACATGATTCTTTTTCTGATATTTCTTTGTTTTCCCTCTCATTTATCACTATGTCTTTCCCGATCTCTTCTTTATTTTCAATGTACCCTGCAGATATTAAATGTAATTTATCATGATATCGACGAGTTGGTAATATTGGAGACTCTCTAATATTCTCAAATATAGGTGTTTCATTTAATTTCTTCTCTTCCGATAATCCATGTAATGAAAAGAATTTATTTTCAACGAAAACTTCATCAATGGATTCTTTTATTAATTCATTTGGCACAGAATCTGGTCTTTCACTCACTTCTATTAATGTTTCTAAAGATCCCTTATTTTTGATTTTGGGTGGAGTGATAGGTTTTGGCATATGAAGATTGGGTATTGATTGAATTGGATTTAAATTTTGCCTACAATTATATTTATTCTCTTCAAGGATATCTTTTCGATTGATTTTCCCTGATCTTTTGTTTTCTTCTTCTCTTTTCTTCTCATCAAGAATAATATTTGATTCCTTTGGTGGATACTTTTTTTCAAGATTCCAAGGAAATAATTTTATTAATACATCTCCACGTTGCTTAGGGGTCAAAAGTTCCAAATAAACTTTTTGTTCTTGTTGTAATTGTTGAATTAAGTTCTCCAATTCCAATGTTTTCAATTCAATGTCGATAAATTTTTCTATTAATATATTATTAATATTCTCTTTATTAGATCTTGAATCTTCTTGTACCCCTTTTTCATCTGGTAATTCCTGATTTATTAAAATTTTGGAGGTTATTTTTTTGGCAACACATTCGAAAATCAATTGAATACAAACGACACCCATAAACATGTAAATTGAATTAATGGTAGACAATGGTTTAACCGTTACCAAAATCCATGGAATGTCATCCCAGACTCTTTTTATCCATAGCTTTACCATATCTTGCACAAATAATAATAATAGGGTTCTGTCCCTGAAATTTGTTAAAGTTTTCTTCATGTTGCAAAAATCCCACAAACAATTGAGTAAACCTTTTACGCTTATCTATGAAATCTCTTACCCATACAATGAATAGTATATTTGCAAGGTACTACCAGATATGTACACACAGACCGTACCTACGTATATCTCTTGTTTAAATGGTGTAATGCCAATATTTATCCTTTTATTCTTGCAACTGCCATTACCCCCCTTTTTTTAACCTTTTTTAATTAAGGGGAGTGCCTTCCATTATTATTGAAATTAGCGCCGCTAATTTGAAAAATAGAGATCTCAGTTGCAGCTAAAAAAATACCACACAATTGAAAAAAAAAACATTCCTGTTTAACCACTGAAACTCTATATGTAATAAGATTAAACAGACTAACTTACATTCATAGACTGTTTGATTATACCTTAACCACGAATATGTATTCTATCCTGATTAATAAAAATTCAACATAATAAAAAGAAACGAGGTAATGAATTTCGCGGGGAATAATAGTGCAAATAGATTAGCCTTAAAGCAATTAGAACAATATCTCTCTCTAAGGCTAAATTACGCTAAGCTATAAACTATTTACCACACTTTTCTCTATCTGCTCTTGTGGGGTCACACACAAAAAATTCTGAAAAAGAAATATATGTTTGTGATTTGTTTCATCTAGATATTAATTGCTCTGCACACTAAAAAAATGGATGTATTATTTTATTCAGTTCACCAATAAAGGTACCTATCTCCTCAAACAAACAATAGCTATCAATTATATTTATTGAAACCATTGTTTTCTGGATCTTGCTCCTAGATTCTATTATTCCTAATGCATTTCTTCGTATCTGTCGCCCGTCACTCCTGCATGACACATGTTTGGGTGCAAATCCATTTTGAGAGACTCGCTTGTGGAATCCCCTCCCACATCCTCATATCCATGCAACTTTAAACTTCAAATATTAGTCATATTATAAAAATTTTGTACCTCTTCCCCTCCTTTTCAACATTTTTACCACATACTTTCCCTCACTCCTCCCCCTCCTTCTTACAATTGTCCTTCTACATTTATCTCCACGTGACCTTCAGATCCCCAAACCCTTGACTGCCTAATTGGGTATGAAACGAAAATCTCCACCAAATCGGGCAATATGTGGCAAGACACAAAAAAAAGCAAAGTGAAAATTTTTGGAAAAAAAAAAATCCAAAAAAGAAAAATCCTCGATGAAAAATTTTCTCAAAGGTCGCCCCCTTACGAAAAAAACTCTTAAATTTAACGATTCAACCTTCTTTCTTCTTTCTTTTCTAATTAATAATATCAATCACAATATAATACAACATGGTTTTAGTTAAAGATTTGTTACACCCAAACCCAGCTACCGAAGCTCAACAACACAAATTGAAGACCTTGGTCCAATCCCCAAGATCTTTCTTCATGGACGTCAAGTGTCAAGGATGTTTGAACATCACCACTGTCTTCTCCCACGCCCAAACCGCTGTCACTTGTGACAACTGTGCCTCCGTCTTGTGTACCCCAACCGGTGGTAAGGCCAAGTTGACCGAAGGTTCTTCTTTCAGAAGAAAGTAAATGCCCTACTGAGACTCTCCCCGCCACCCATTTGGGGAGCCTAGATTTTTGCATGGTTTCATTGGTTTAATAGGTTTGCATGATGTATAATAGACGACAGCGGCTCTTGATTCACGGGAGCGCATTATATAGCTTCCGCAATACACGCGTTTTAAGTATTTATTCATTGTAGTAGTAATAGTAGTGGGTAATTTGAAGTGGGGTAGAGTCTCTTTACTTTGTTAGCCTATATTATTCCCTCTATGTACATATTATATAACTTCTATCTATTTACAACCCATCATGGTCAGTTGGATCAACACTGAATCCGGCCTTCTTACCCTTTTGCTTGTATCTTTGGGAAGATTCCAAATCGGTAGCAAGACGATCTGCTAATTGCATAAAATCTTCATCAAACTTCTCCTCTGACAGAGAAACAATCTTCTTCCATTTCTTCTTACGTTCTTCCTTCAAGAATTTCTTCTTACTCTTTTTAGATTCAACCTTCATATTATCAATCTTTTCTTCACTCATCAGGTTCCGTACAGTAACTGTCTTCTTCCCCAAGGCCCATAAGTCTCCTCTTTCAGCCTTTCTAGCATCATGATATTCTTGTTTCCCCACACTCTTTGGTACATCCCAAACTTCAATCTTTCCTGATGGTGAGCAAACTTCAATCTTGACATTTTGCTTCAATTTAAGTGGTTGTTTCATGATTCTTGGCCAGTTGTTAGCGTTACTCATGTCAAGTTCTTCACTTTGAAACTTTCTTTGTTCTTCAATCTTTTTAATGTTTTCAACATCATTTAAAGCTCTTTCAGCAATAAGGTATGAATAACTTCCAGATTCGTAATCGTTACCTCCTGGTCTACCACTACCTTCTAACGTTTGCAATGTGGATTTGGAAAGCTTATCCAACCCAAACCCATCATGAGATGATTTATCCCATTTAGTAGCCAATCTTTTCCCTCTCTTTAATTCCATGGTATACTTTGGTCTTTCAACGGTCTTGTGGAACAGACAGAAGGAAAGTCTATTCTTATACTTGGGGATCTTGTAGAATGATGGGTTCCCAAGTTGAAGTGGACATCTACTATGGTGTGAACAAGGAGCAATAATACTTAAATGATAATCAACACTTTCTGAACTAAGTCCAGTAGAAGTAGTTTCTCCTTCAACTTCTGTTTCAGTCGACTTTGGTTGTTCAAGAGGTAAAACTTCAAAATCTTCACTATCTTCAAATTCAAATTTCAAATCTTCTTCATCTGCTTCACCATATTTGGCTAATAAATGCTTTTCAAATTCAATATCTTCATCGGTGATGATCAGGTCCAAACTCTTCATTTTCTGTGGCTTGATGCTAGAACCTTTAACGTATGGTCTAGGTATTTTCCCATGTTCTCTATCGAACTTTTCAGGCCTGATCATAACTTGTCTAGCTCTAGCAATGGTTTCAAACCCAACAGCGTTCCCTCTTTCTACAAAGACAACGTGTCCTCCTGGACTCAAAAGACGTAAGATAGGATGCAAATTCATATCCACATCTCTTGGGAAATTATACTCTCTCTTCAATAAGCATTGGTTTACAATGATCAAATCATACTGCTTATCAACGGGCAAGGCGTCTCTGAATTTTGTTTTAATTTGAATCTTGGAAGTGTCGATACTTCCCATTGAAAAGCCTTCTTCTTCTTCTACTTCTTCAAATTCCTCTTCTTCAAATTCTTCTTCTACAAATTCTTCTTCCATTTCTTTTGGAACGGACTGTTCGATTGGAGTAGCCTCTTTCTTATCTTCAACTTGTTCCTCCTCTATTTCTTCTTCCTCTAGCAAGTTTTCATTTAATTGTCTGGATAAAATAACCTTTGCTCTGGCTTCCATCCCATTAAGACTTCTTCCAATAATATAAACATCCTTTTCCTTTGGTACCCATTCGTCCCCCATCATCTCATTCAAGGCAACCATACCAGTGGCAGGTCCATACCCTATGTCAAGAACTCTCTGAGGATTGAACAGATCTCCAACTCTTTTCTGTAAATCTTTCAATACCAGAAGACAATTGGTATAATCTTGTAAGAACAATGCGGCAATATGTCCATCACAATCTAATTCATCTTCGGGTGCCTTTTGAATCTGGTCCTTATTGAGACTCTGGAAGATCACTGCGGCCTTGGCCCTTAACTTATCTGGTTCATGTTGACTTAAAATATGTCTACTAATCACATTTCCAACTTCTTTGGGAAGTTTTGTGATTGCTCGATCTGATCTTCCAATCAATGTCCAATCATGTAATCTGGCCTCGCTTGCATTGTTACCCTTGATGTAGGACCCATCTTCTCTTCGGAATGGAGACATGGGTTCATCGCCTATCATATCACTCTGTTGTTCAACAACTACATCGGATTCTTCTGTTCTTGTAAAGCTACGCTCATCGGAATCAATGCCCGTGAATGACTCTGCGTTCCTCACATTTAGCGAGTACGGTCTCAAATTAATTGTCGACCAACCTCTGCTTCGGATGAGATTCACCCTGCTAAAGTTTCGTAACATTATTAACTTAATCCAACTTAAAAGAAAATTCAATTAACTTGTTGGTAATTTCTCCATCTCTGTCTCTCATCTCTATTAGCATTTCATCACGCATCACACCCTTTTTTTATTTTTCGCGCCTGCATTCAAGGCTCGCGCTTTTTTATTTTTTTTTTATTTTTTAAACTCCTGATTTTTTTTTTTTTTAAGCAATTTGTAGCCAACCACTCAGAAACGATCGAACAAACAAAACCTCATATACATAAATAAAATAAAAACGAGATAGAGAGAAATTTCGTCCCTATTATAAAAGAACATATACACATAAATATGATTGGTCCTACTACTTTCCGTGCTGCCACTGTAGTTGGTGGCTCCGTTGGATCGCTCTTGCTTATGAAGTCCCCCATTGCAAACGACTCTAAACGTAGGTTCTACGAGGATGAAACTGAAGTAGTTCCAGTACCAGGTACTGTTACTCCTTCTTCAGGTACAGAACTTGAAATATTAGGTCAAAATAGACTCATTGACGGTATATCCGTGCGTTCTCCTTCCTCGCTCGAATCTGCCTTCAAGACGATTAGAGAATCCGTAGTAGACGTGTACAACCAAGGACGTGCGTACTTGGATACCACATATGTTCAATATCATGAAACTGAAAGAAAAGTCACAAACACCGTGAGTCAATTACATGCCAAGCAAGAAGACCTCTTGCCCAACTCCATATACGTGTTGGTTGCTGCGTTATCCGGTAACATTTTGGCGCGTCAAAGAAACATAGTAGCAAAGGCTACCTTCCCAGTGGTGTTGGGATTAGCATCTTTCAAATACTTCTTGCCAGAGACCTTTGGCAGAACTACAGGGTTTGTATGGTCTTTGGAAAAGCAAAACTTACCTCACTTGGCACAACAACAGGAATTGGCTGTTGCTAAGACAAACGAGTTGGTTACCACCATTGGACAATCCACCGAAACTGGTCAAAAGAAGTTACAAAGCGGAGTGCAATCTTTAAGAAGTTCTATTGCAGGCATTACTGGATTGAACTTGGATGAAGAAGTCTCTAAAAAGTAAAGGGGATAGGAAGCCTGGTGTTTGTGTGTGTGTGTGTGTTGCTTATGTTAGTGGGATTATTATTTTATTTTTTTTTGGCTTTAGAAAATTTTCCTATCTGCAACATTGTATTTGTATGTTTGTGGTGTACACAAATAAAAAGTTTGATAGATACATTGTAGAGTAGATATAATAGATATAGGAAAGAAAGAAAGAGAAAGTATCTCAAGATAATTAAAGAGTTTCAAATTGCCTGCCTTCCATTATAATTGATAATGACGTAAGTATCAGGGAACTAACATGTTTACTTCAGTTAATGATCACCTATTATATTCATCTACTAACATGTTAGAAATATCTTACTAAATGGACATCATGGTTCTACCATAAACATGTCACCTTCCAAATATCCTCTGAGACAAAAGCAATCGGTTGCGGGAGAATTAAAATTATCTTCAACGGCTGCAAAAAATTCCCTTAGTCGTCCAACTACGGCAATCTCAAGGGTTTTAGATAAATTCACAGCAGTTTCAGGAATCAGTCTTTCCTTGGCAAGCAGTAATATTGATAGAGCTGCTAAATCTGCAAAGCAGCTCCCAATAATGGCGTATTCATTGCAAGCTAAAATCTCCAAAGTTATTAAATTAGAACAAAAATCCAAACGAATAAAATTAGAATTGGTTGAAGATTTCCGAAGTTGGGCTTCAACTATTCCAAATCCTGATTGTGAAGCAATGATTTCCGAATTTGCAACCTTATTTCTTACTCAAACAGATACTACTACCTCGATTTGTGAAAAGTTAGATATATTGAAATTGAATTTAACTGATGTTCATGAACGTGAAAAGAAACAAAGAGATCTTTATAATAATAAAACTAAATTACTACGTCTGTTAAAAGAATCTGAAGTGAAATTTGGCCCGGGAGCATCTGGTAGTACCCTAATTAAGGAAAAGTTGGAGGAAAATGTGTGCAATTTAGAAGTTGTTGAACTCCAATATATTCGTTCAATCAATAAGAATTTGAAAGATTCATTGATTGAATATTTAATTTGTTTACAAACAGTTGCAGCCATACTTCAAGAAGCTACCCAAGAATATTATGGAACACTTATAACTCTTGAGCAAAATTCCAATTTAACCGGAGGAACTTCCAATATAAGTCAACAAAGGAAATTCAGTTCGCCAGCAATTGGTATCAAGTCAAGAAAGGATTACATTTATCCTGCCAGCGGGGGTATATCCAGTATACGTCCGAGCGAATTGAATGATCTCAGAAGACCGACAAGTTCCATACAACAACAAAATCATCAGGATGAACAAGGAAGTCCTGGAAGGCGTGATTCAAGCGTTAATCTGTCCATATCTAACTCGTGTGCTCAATGTCAAAAACTTGATAAATATACCAGACTTCTCACTACTTGTACACATTTACAGACTAATAATAATGAGCAACTACCTCCTTCCAAACAAAATCAACCTTCTAGAATGCCAGACTATATTCCAACAGACCAATGGAATTGATTACATGGATACCTATATATATATTTATATGTATGTATGTTTGTATGTATGTATACATAAACTCTATGTACAAAATTTATTCTATTCCTTCTATTTATTGTTTTCCTTTTTAAAGAACTTCTTCCCGATTTCATACGACGAGATCATGATGGCACATGAAGGTGCAATCTTCATGATTCTCGGCCATATCCCGCTGTAGAGGGCTTTCATACCTTCACGTCTATAGATTGAAACCAAGAAGTTGAACATCGATGGTTTAGGGGCATTTCCCTTGGTCATATCACTGGTGATTTGTAATCTTGTTTTCCCTACATCAAATGGATTTGTGCAGAGTGCGGCCACTGTTCCGGCAATAGACCCAGAAAGGAAACTTGTGGTGAATACTTTCAAATCATCATTTTTCGAGCTGTCGAACTCGGCTTTAAGAACTGACCCTATCTGGCTTTTCAAAAGTTCATAACATGACCAATAAATTCCTGAAAAGGGAACATCTCTCCATAATGTGATTTGTAACCCTTTAAAGAGTGAAGATGGTCCCCTTTCCTTGACTACAGCAAGCAGGTCTTTTAACAAGTGGGTCAACATTTTGGGAGATGCACCACCGTTTTTCCCGTTTTTCTCCAACGGTATGGCCTGTAATCTCGTTTTCACGAGTTCTATTGGTGCTATAAACGTGGCTGCCATTATACGCGCCAAACTTCCACAAAGTAATGGGTTTATAAAATGCAGTTTCAACGGAGAATGGTCCCTGATATATTCGTATCCAGTGAAATATATGATATTGGAAGGGATGGCCATGAGTAATGTAAGCAGAAGACCTCTCCAAAGGGTTGGTAGTCCTTCAGACCTGGCAATAACTCCGAATCCTTGGAATGTGGAGTTAATCTTGGAACAGTTTTCAGCAGCTTTACAATAATGTTGACTCACCCAAAAGAGTTCTGGCTTTGAGGCCGCTGAAGAAGTAACAGCTTCCGTTAACGTATTCCTTGTAAGTCCGTTCTTTAGCGTATTTCCTATATTACTTGTAGGAGGTGGAACTTCGCAGCAGGTCGCCGGAAGAATTTCTTGTTGTTGGATCCGAATACGGACCACATCGAACGGCGTGACCACTAACGATGTTATAAATGAGCCAGAACATGCACTAATCATCCTCTGGGAGAGAGTGATATCCTCAGAGTTTGCTACGGGTTTTATCTCCGCTGGAGGACGACCAAACCGGAGATCGGTTTCCTCAATAGCACCGGCTATTTCTGATGATATCATACTTTATACAAATCTGTTTCTTTCGTGCGTCAAACTGGACATACGGTGATGAGCACTCTAGATTGTTTATAGCACGGGTAATGAGTTGAAAGTAATAAATATAAACACTATAGTGGCAAAGTTTCTCCAGATGTTTGAGGTCTTTCTCCGGTTTGCGGTGAAGTTCCTCAAATGCAGGCATGACACAAATTTCAAATGAAAGTCCAAGCGAGCATCATCAAGTATGATACTCTCATTAGGCATTAGCATTATCTAATGCCTATTCTCTCGTATATGTACTCTATGGTCTACATCTTTAGTATATATTTGTATCTAATATTTTCCTATTGATAGTAAATAATTTTAGCTTGCATGACTTTAGTACTCTTGTACTGTATCCATACATGTATAGATGTTGATATGGGAATCTTGGTTATAATTTGTAGCCATCATCATTTTATGAGGATGGAAAACGGCACTTGAGAGATAACTGGAAGTTCTATTGGCAAGATATGTGTCGTGTGGATTCTTCAATGAAGAAATCATGTCTCCTGAAGTGGTCCAAAGCTTCACCGATTTGGCCCCCGTGGTTATAATTGGTGCATGTTCATGAACATCTAAGCATCGGATAGATTTCTCGGGTGAATTTGTGTATGTAGCAACCGGATCATTGAGTCTAATGTCCCATAAATTGACATATCCATCTGAAGATCCACTAACGAGTTCTCTAAACCCTCCTCTTTGCATGTGTACATTCCGGATAGATCCAGTACCCGTATTTGGAGCCCCTGGTTGTCTATTTTTCTGCCATGTTTTAACCATAGATTCTCTTGAATCCAATCTACGATCGTAAACTCTCAAACTACCATCATCAAACCCAGCAATGAAAATATTACCTGCAACTTGATCTGATGTAAGCGAGGTAATGGAAGAGGTGGATCTAGCAGGAATGTCAACCAAACAAAGCTCTCGAGGAGCATCCCAAATTCTAATGATTTTAACGTCACCACTGACCAAAAGGGAACCTCTAGATTGTTGCCATTCTGAAATTAATCCAGAACTCTTGGATGTAAGTAATAAATCCGTCAAGGCTCTCCAAGATGCAATCATTTCGATTGGATGGTCATCATCGTATGTATGGAAGTTTTTATATGTCTTGATCACCCCATCCAGTGAACCGGTCAAAAGAAGTGGTAAATCATCTTCATTTAAAAACTTAATGTCAGTAATTTTAGTACCAAATGGATTACCATTCAGAAATTTCTTGACTATGGAATTATATTCCCAATCCCATACGGTAATATTATCTTTTTCATCACATGAAACTAATATCTTTTCAAATTGGGTGAATTTTATAAGTTTTGGTTGGGTTTTGTTATTCATAACACTCACGTTTCGATTCCAATCTCCATAAACAGCCATTTCCTTCTGTGGTTGAGTTTCTTGAATGATTGATTCATTTCTATTCCGTCTCCATAATCTCTTGGCATATTCTTTGGAGCCTGGTTCATCGATTTCATTCTTTGACATTTGAGGCTCTTGGAAATATTCACATGAGTATTGGAAAAATCCCAGTTCCAGCGCCAATTCTGGTTTGATAGAAAGATCCCGTTCTTTAAATCTGGGGGTTTTAGGTTTATATTCTAATCCATAATTTGTAGGCACTGGACCAACAAAATTAAGTAATCTTGAAAAATTCTTCAATTCTGATTCTTCGTTAATTTGGAACGATTTAAAAATCTTGGAAATTGATAAGTTTTTAATTCTTGAAGTTAAAGATTCATTAGAAGTGACACTTCTATTATCATCCAAATTACTAGTTGATACAGATCTGGTGGGGATTCTATTGATGGTCAAAGTGTTTTCCTTTCTTTGAAGTGTAGATCCACTTGATGCTTGTCTCCTTATTTCCTTATGACCATTAGCATGTGCACCTCCATTTCTCATGGAAGTTAATTGCCTATTAACTATAGGTCTAATTGGTTTGAAGCTTTCACTGATATTAATGGTAGATTTGTTCAACAAATACTCTTGCATTTCTTTCACTAATTGACCCAATTCACTCTCATTAAGTTGTACCATCACTGAATCAATAAGCGTTTCTGCCAATTGTTTGACATCCAAATGAGGATCTTCTGATAAAATTAATAAAGATTTCCAAATAGAACTGAAAATAGACCCATAAGCAGGTGATCTTTTCCTAAATTCATTGAGATAATTGGAATTATCAATTAAAACAATTTCTTCTTCAAGTTGATTAAATGCAACAACAAGGAAAAACTTAGAGTAAATTTGAATAAACTTCCGTATAAAGTAAACAATTTCCTTTCTAACCATCGATGAACCATCTCCAAGTAAACTTAATATGGTGTTTGCTAGCTTCAAATCTTGTTGCTTCAACTCATCTCTTCTTAAATCCAGAGCATTGATGGAAAGTGTATGCGAAGAAGGAGACTTGGTGCCTCCAACACTATTAGCATTGCTGGCGGTAGCGGGTTCAGGTTCACTTAAAAACGTGGTCAACGCTAAAATGATCGAACTTCTGACTTCAGGAATTGGATCATTAATCAATTGAAGTAACTTATTCAAATGTCCATCTTTATAAATTATCCATTTCCCATCAGGGTAGCCCATCCATAATTGTGACAATAAAAGACAACACCATTGTCTAAGAAGAGGGTTTTCGCTACTGGACAAAAATTTCAAGCAGTTATTAATCAATTCAATGGAGAAGCACAATCTTTGTCCATTCTTAAAGTCCTTAATAAATAAAGTAAGAATAAATGCACTCATGGCCTTATGGTCATCATTGATTAAAATATTGGAAGAGCTTCCAATTTGAGGCTGGGCGGAGTTTAAAATCAAATAGAAATAATTGTATCCCTTGTCCTTGCAAAGTTCTTGTTGAGTACTTTTATAATCAATTGCCATTATCCGGGCCCAAATGAAAATCAAAACTGGCTTTAATTCTTGTGCTGGACTTTGCAAAAGTTTGAGAACATAGGGGAATATACCAATGGAAAGTGAGAGATACACAGCCCATGGTCCTAGATCAAGAAACTTTGAAAGTAAAATCAATGCTCGAAGTCTATGTACTTGTGAAAGGAGAACTTGAAGCACAATGGGGAGTTGTTCAGGTGGTTCCTTGGTCAGTGACCCAGCATATTTGAGCCATATTTCAAACGCCGTAAGTTGTTGTTCGAAAAATGTTGAATGTTGATAATTTGAAAGTTGAGATGCTGCTGCTGCATTGGATGATGAAATGCCTCCTCCTGCTCCTCCCATCCCTCCAGTGACGTTCGTTCCCGAAACACCGCCACTGGAAATACTCATGTTGGATCCGGAAGAAGATCCTCCAGTACCTGATTGATTCTGCAGTTGTTGTGATACAGTACCGTTCCCGCCAGACCCATTGGCAACATTGGTGTTGCTACTATTATGCTTATTATTGGTAGCGGAAAATCCCGGGAATCCATTCTTATCAACATTGTTGTTTGTATTCAAGTTATGGCTTTTGATAAGTTGTGAGAACACTTGATCGATGGCCAAGTCCCAAGAGTCCCACATGTGGTGGAATCTTACAGAATCAGGAAGTGGTGGGTCACTTACAGGGTTACAATTGAAATGAGGCATGATCCGCTTGGCTAAGAGAAAGTTCCGGAATAACGCCGCAACCATCAAATCTTGTCTAAAGAGCCTTTTAAAAATTGGTCTAGAGAGTGTAGTCCATGCAATGGTGTCGGTAATGGCGGTAAAGATCCAATTCAATTCACCCAAGGGGGTTCTTCTATCGGTGAGCTTCCCGGGTATTATCACGTTCCCAATGGAGTTCTTTGGTAACATGGAGTAGTAGTTCTTTCTCAATGGAGACTGCATGACGAACCATTTGACACTGATCTCTATAGGACAAGTCAAGCAACAAGTAAACAAATCAGCAGGAAGGTCGGGCAGCATAGGTAAGAGTTCGTTACTCTTTCCACTAGCAAGTTGGATACAGTCGAGATATGCTGAAGTTGGCGATGGAGCACTCATGTCGTGGTTCCCCTCATTGTCGTCATCAATACGTTTCTGAACAAACTTTTTGAAATTATGAACAATGTTCCCGGCACTGTTACAATCGTATACAAAGATCACGGGGGCCCCCAACCACGTCTGCAAGTCATAAAGAGATATAGGGATATATTGGGTGTAACCTCGATTAAACACCCAAATCTCCCCACTGGCTGTTGGTTGAGGAACTCCATGGCCATTGTAATGGAAAAGAATTCTTTCATCCTTGGCGTTTCTACGAAGCGTGTTACAGAACCGTTTCACGTCCTCGACACATGGGTCCAAGGAGAGCTTATATCGAGTTCTGAGAGAGAGGGTCTCGTATTGCAGTTGTAAAGTTTTCCCTATGCTCTCGATGGCCTTCTTGGTGTCCGGATAAAGAGAAGGGTCACACCATGCCTCGAACTTTGCACATGGGTACGTTTTCATGATGTCAGGAGGATCTACCCCCAAGTTCAAACACAACACAATGGCTGCCGAGATGGTCTTTTGTCTATCTTTCATGACTTTCCAGTCCGTGATCGGCTGGTATGTCTTGTAGAGCTCGGGTGATCGTTTCATTTCCTCGGTGATTGGGTTCCCATTGGTGTTATGTCGCTTATCATCAAAGTAGATGTAGAAGGTGTTGGCCAACAAGTTCAAGAAATTCTCCGAGTTATAGTCCTGATCGAAGCCGTGTCTCATTTTATCATTGAGTGGTTGTAAGGGTTTAGGTCCGTACTGGACCATTTGGTGGTTGGACATGTTGGGCGGCGCTCGGAGCTAGACTGCGGGTTTTTTTTTTTGCTACCGAATCACTTCCCTATTCTAGCTAGAGTCTCTGATGTGTGGCTAGTCCCTCGGATGACGTGTGTGTCTTTCCCTAGCGCGGTATAGATGGGGTGTTTTAGAGTATGATCCGTTTGAAATTTCAACTACCTAACTCTAGACTTCCAAATTCGCCTCACCCACTCTGGAAACGGAAAATGTTACTGTGCGTGGTTATATGTAGGAAATGCCAGTCAAATTGTACACAAACAAAGTTTAGATAAGGAATATACACGTAAGGAGTGACCACCGACATATCTACAATAAGTATGATGAACTGGAGATAAATGGGAGGGTTCAGAGTGAACAATGGGTAGGGTTTATTCAGTCTCAAAGTGGACATTTTCTGTAGATGTTATGTTTGTAGTTTCTTAGTCGGGGGTGGCCGTAAGTCGCCCATGTGGTGTGTGTGTGTGTACAAGCAAGGACCTCCTTGTTCAGCCACGACGGATAATTAAAAGGATTAATCAAGGGTCTTCAACCTTCATTTTATTATTTGAATTACAAAGTATGTATTTGTTTTATATGTAGATGTGTGATGCTTAAATACAAGTGGAGTCAGTAACTTTGAAGCTTTGTTTCTCTGAGATCGGTTATCTCGGAAGGAGCACATAAACCACTTTCTGGAACCCTTACACGTAGAATTCTAGAAGGTTGGGGACTTCTCCTCGTAGAGGTGCTAAGCACCATACAGTGGCTCTCCCGGAGTAGGGGCCCAGCGGAACGACTTGCTTCTCCGGTATACTAGTGGATTCCCTACGGGGTGTGCAAACCGCTCCGTGGGCCACTAGCAGTAGAGGCTCCTATTCCTCTATCGAGGAAAGTCTAGCTGCTTTTTAAAGCTGAGCGGGCTTGTTTTTAGGATAGGAACAAAGTAATTTCGCTTGGCACAACCACTTATCGTGGCAAAAAGTCCCCCTGAGTGGAGAAAAGACACTCTACGCCCCAGGGGGTAAAACCTCTCAAAATTAACCCCAACAGTGATTCCCCCGTTTTTCAACTTCTATTCAACCCCTATTTGTCTACTCCTCTCTTCTCCCTCTCCTACTCTACATATAGAATTACCTATTATTTTTATTTATTCATTTATTCATTTATTCATTTATTCATTTATTCATTACTTCCCTATTTATTTCCATATTCCCAACCAAAATTAACATGAAGAACTAGCCAAACCATCGACTATTTCCCCCTGCCACGAGTAATACTTGCTCATTTCAACATGATGTTTCTTCCCATTCTTGGCTTCATACATCGAACATCCAAACATTGATGCATATGGTGGGGTGTATAAATGTAATGACACAGAAACGCGATCAGTCAAGTTATTAGAAATTTTATGCAATCCGATATCATCAGAAATATATCCAACAACATTTTCTTTGAGGGGAGTAACTCTCTTAGGTTGTAATTCATCTCCTTCATGATCAGGTACATTGTACAAAGATTCACAAAGTTCACCTTTCAAAATCTTCATACAACAATGAGCATTGGCATGATCATGGATAGCCGATGACTTGCCCGGACTCCAAACTAAAATCAAAAGATTGGCATTCCCATTTATGTCAACAATTCCATTTCTGGAATAATTTCTGGAATCATCATGAAGTGCGAATTGGCCCCATTCTGATTCATCTGACTCATATTCTTCCATCACTTGTTTCACCTTTTCAATGTCAACGTCTTCACTGCTAATCCCCTTGTTTGGCCCCAAGATATCCTTAAGCTTTTGGATGAGTTCACCAAACTTGTTATCAAATATTGGATCCACACGAGCTGATGCTGGTGCAGATGCTATACGGGGAGATGCGCTTCCACATCCAGATTGAGGTCTGAGATGAGGGGAATCAAAATGATTGACAGTGAGCATTTTTCCGCTTATTGCTTTTTTTTTAGTACAGCAGTATTCAGTAGAGATAGTAGTAATAAAAAGGCAGTCTTGTCTAAGAAATAATCAAATTAATGGTAGGAAAAAGATTATTCTTAGAAAATTGTTTTTTATTAGAGTGTGTTGTGGAGGAAAGAAAAAAAATTTGAGGGGCCGCTCGTCTCATTTTATAGAGCGGGCCCGCGAAAAACACAATGTGCTACCGCGCAAATTCATGTCACCATTGTTCCGCATGAGGCAATAATGTTGCGAGCTCCGCCCCTAGGCGAACGGAGCGGGAATAAACTTCTTTTTGTGGTTCAAAATTTTAATAGTAAATTAAAAACAACTTATTACAAAATATTAAAAAGTATAATGTTCTAAATATTCAAGAATCATCAAAGGTTCAAATGTGGCTGTGCTAATAGGAGGAAGACAACCTTGTATGTTCATAACATTTCCTTTTCTCTTAATAAACATAGCTCTCTCTTTTTTCAAATTTAACTATCTACTCACTTCTCGCACGATGCCCGCCCGCCCGCTTAATTTCAACTCCTTATCTTATTTTTTTTTTCTTTTTGACCCGCTTTCCATGTGAATTCGTGTCTTGTCGGGTATTCTAACTTTTGAAGCCGTGGAAAAAGTCGGCTGTGCAGCGTGTCCCGCCCAAATTTCACAGTTTTTCGCAAGTCGGTGGACGGCTTTCCCTTATTAGGAAGGTAAGGCGGTCATTCCCCCATCGGGGCAGCAATCGGGGGTGAGCCACGTCATCCTACCCAACTCCCAACAAAATTGGTCACACCACTATAAAAAACAAATGAAAATCCACAATTCCTCACCCACTTCTATCCATAATCATTCAATACCTTGACCTTATATCAACCTATAACATAAAGTTTGTTATATAAAAATTAATATTTTCTTCCCCTGTATACTTTGCAACCCTACAATATCGCAAATCAGTTCATATCGGGTAGTTTTATTCAAACTTTCAATAAAAGCCATACCTCATCAGAAAACGTTTAAATTTTTCTCATTTTAAAACGCCACACTTTACACAAAAATGTCACAATCAGAAAAATCGCGCGAATTCAAAATTGCTGCAACACCTCCAGTGATACCTCAAATTTCATCAGAAACGGCTGAAGCTATCGCGGTGCCAGCCACAGATTCTTCGCAAAACCTGTCAAACTTTAGCGAAGTAACTGCAACTACCAGCGGTACGATTTCATCTCGGTTGTCTGAAGTCATTGATAACAGACTTATTCTGGGATTCCATCCAGCATACTTCGTAACCGTTATGGGTACAGGTATCTCATCTGCAATCCTTTACAACTTCCCATATCCAGCTCATTGGCTCAGAATATGCTCCTACATAATGTGGGCCACTGCCATCTTTTTTTTCTTATCAACTACCATCTTTTGTATTATCGCAATGATCAAGCATCCAAAGAAACTTGTTACCTTTAACACTGATCCAGCGGTTGCTCCGTTCATGGGTGCATATTCCATGGGGTTCACTACCCTTGTCAACTTCCTTTACTTTGTAACTGGAAAATCATGGATAATTGGTATCTACTGTCTTTGGTGGATTGCTGTGATACTATCCCTTTATACCGCATGTGTCATTTTTTATTTCGCATTGGTTGCAAAAAATAAAAGTTTCCCTCAAATTCCAACCCAAAATTTACATGCCACTTTACTTTTGCCAATTGTTACCCTTACCGTTGTGGCATCTTCTGGGGGGATCTTCACTCCGGAATTACCTACAAATAACCTCAAGATGTCGACTATGGTTATCTGTTACATATTGTGGTCTAACGCCATTGCTCTTGCTTTCATTATTATCACCATTTACTTTTGGAAATTATTTGTACATAAGATTCCAAACACTGCCATGGTATTTACTTCATTCTTACCAGTTGGTGTTTTGGGCCAAGGAGCCTACGGAATCCAACTCTTGGGTGTCAACATGCACAAATTTATCCAAGACAACTATGCTGATATTTCCCTTGCTCAATTATCCTATATGGGCTCTGAGTCAATGATTGATGCTCATCAACAAGACCTTGCTATGATCATTGGTAACATCATTCTTTATATGTGTACCATGATTTCTCTCTTTTTGACATCCTTTGGGTACTTTTGTACCTTCATCGCGGTTATTTCTTGTCTCTCAAAGATTAGCCCATTTTGCAAATGTCCAAATAAAAATATTTGCTACGCCCGTGAAACATCTCATATCATCAAAGATAGATTTATTGGCCTTGTTAGATTCAACAAGACATTTTGGGCCTTGACTTTCCCTCTTGGTACTATGGCATTGTCTAACAATGAATTGCATAAGGTCTTCAACAACCTTAAAGCTTTCAGGGTTATTGGTACTATGTATTCAGTGTCTCTTGTTTTGATCACTTTAGGATGTCTTATTGGTTGTTTCTACACTGTTGCAAAGGAATGTCAATATATTGTACAAGGAGATAAAGAGGTCGAAGTCGATGTTAAACAGATGGTTTAATTTATGTTCCACATAGCATCATTATATTTATTTAATTTTATAACCGATAGAAACATAAACAAAGTCTAAGAATATATGAAATGTAGAATATATTATTGAGACTAATATAGAAGTCACTATGTCATCTCTGTAGTTAAAAACCCCATCAAAGTCTGTAATATTTCAATTGTGTATGAGATTTAAATACTTTAACGATGTGAATAATCTTGTGGTAAACTTAAAACCAGAAGCTCGGATAAATGTGAACTTGCTAGTCTTTTTGCTCTTAAATTTGAAACATTCCTACTGCTCTATATTATATTCCGTGATATCACAATTTGATTAAACATTCTTTTCCAAAATGAATTGTAATTCAATAAGTTTTTTACCTAATCATAGTCCATTGAGGATATGTCTTCTATATATGCGAGTCTCCAAGCTACATTGAATTAATTAATCTAACCTACCAAAAAGAATAGAATGAATCTAAAGCACCCATTAACAACTTAAGCCACTTTACTCCCAAAGATTCACTTATTCTAAACAACGGAGGTATCATAGTATAAATTACAAAAAAAATGAGGCTCGTCGACAGCATTAGGTGATTGTCTCAAGTACCACAAATCACTATATTCTTTTTGTTTCTCAAATTTTAAGGAAATGATTCCATACTTACCGTCTCTTTCGATATCACTCAGCTTGTTGACCAATAATATATTCGTTAATGTAACTTTTAAGATGGTGCAAGTTGTAATTTCTCTCATCCCCAATAAATGTAGTGTGGGTGTACGGGTTAATTAGACTAGTTTGCCAGCAAAACGGCTCCTTCCTCTTCGCCAAATAGTCGCTCCGTAATATTGGCGATTAAGTGATTCTGTTGTCCCGGCAGTCGTTTGATACCATCTGTCCTTTTCAGTTTTAAGTAGAGAATGTACTGGCTTTTCTTTTTTATGATAGATTCATAATTAATTATATTTTTTGAAAAAACTGGTTCTTAATGAAATTATCTCGAAAAATGATTTTACTCATAAACTATATATATTCTGGAACTCTCCATTCGTAAAAACGGTGGTATTGACATATTTTTTAAAGCTCAGCGCTTTTTCTGTACCGCCCTTTATGTTACAATGTAGTGAGACAAATATCTTTTCAATACTTCAAGCTATACTTTACTTAGAATGAATATGATCATTAATATATTTAACCTATACTGAAATTTAAACTGGAACAGCTACTAGTTTCAACATTTATGTCTGGAACCGTTTATACTTCTCTCATTATGTTTAGCATTGTTTTCTGTTTATGGTTGATAGTGATTGATACATCATTAATTCATCGATCACAAATTGCCACATAACAAGCACTTGCACTAAGACGATAGGTAAATAGATCCATTAAATGGAGTTGTGCTATTGATCTAGATTAAAAAAAAACAGTCCGAATTTAAAGAATCTCTAGTATTCAAAGATTACGCAAGGGCGTAAAATAAAGCAGTCTACCTCTAACTATCTGAGTATCTTGATAATAGGGTTGAGGCTCAAAATGAACCTTCCAGTACAATCATTTTTATGTTTGGGTCTTTTATAAAATTCTTTGACAATCAGTATGCTCTCTTCTCTGTTCGACCAAAACTGTTTCACCTTAATAAAATTGATTTTGAATGAACTATACTCTTAGTATTGAGGAAAATAAAACAATCTTGGGACATCCTTTGCCAGCTACAAGAGTACTGAGGGTGAACCGTAAAAAAATTCGATATAACTAGTCTGAAATTGTTATGACCCTACAGCTCTCAAAAAAATGGCCCTTATATTTTCCTTTAATGAAGCAATGAAATACTTGACATTTTGTCTGTATCAACATTGTAGGAACTGCATTTTGGGCGAACTCGGGTATCAGTTAGAACCAAAAATAAGAATTAAAGTTAAGCTATGTTAAATCTGATAGCTGCTGTACGAAATCATCGTGTTTTGCAACAGTTAGGAACGAAATAGTGAAATCTCTAAACTTCAATTTGGCAGTTCACTTCAAAGTATGTAACTACCGAGGAATGTTGAAAAAGATAAAAATAAAATCTAAAATAAGGCGAGCCACCCTGTATTTGGTTTTTTTTTCATCTTGAAATCCATCGATCAATGTACATAGATGCATTTTTTCTTCTTACTGGTCCTTCAATGCATACAAAATGACATACATATTTGGAGAATGCATTGTTAAAAAAAAAAATTCTCTGAGAAAATTAATTCGATACCGACTTGGGGTACCTATAATCTAGAAATGTTCTCACTTTGCTTTGATCCCCACAACATGATATAGATGTAATTTTCCCTCTCAAGAATAACACCCTAACCTATTCTTACATTGATGAGTACTTACCAGTATCATACACGAAATTTTCGGATTAGTGTCCCATGGTATTAACTCGTAAACTATTTTTTTATTTGGAGAGATAGTAAGGAAGAAGGGAGAAGTGTGACTACTGCTTAAGCCTCTTATATAACCCGTCCTAAAGTTTCGATAGTAGATGTATATTATCTCCCCCTATTTTTTTACTATGCCGTACATGTGAAGTAAAACCTGTAAGGAATTTGTGTAGCTAGTTCAGCCGGTAAAAGATAATTTCCTACATATTCCCACATATGTATATGCAGGCGTAACAATAGGTTATGGACGTTTAATTTTTTTCCTTGCATTGATTATTAAAGAGTTATTTTGTTGTGGGATTTTTCTTGAGTTGTACGTGTACGTATTTACATTTATATTGACCGTGCTGAATCTCTTTTGCTCATAGACCTCTCACATCCAAAGGGTTAAATTTAAACCTTACTAAGCCTTTCGGGTGTTGAGGTATGATGTAATTCTACTGTTAATAAAGTTGTGCGCATAAATAATATCTGAGCCCCACTGCACGTCAAACACCGGTGTTTTTTTACTGGGTTAGCATGGCTGTCGACACCTATTATTATTTTATTACAGATATTCTGGACATTGTCGTTGATGCCGCCGCTGATGTTTTACGGGTTGATTCTATATAATATATTTTTACAATTTATTAAATGAGTTCCAAAATTGATAGGTTTAACACGGTAGTATAGTGTGTTGTAAAAAATTAAATGACTTATATACAAGGTAATAGGTGAAGTAAATGTGAAATAGTTTCATTGACCCACTTATGGCTAGATTTATTTTGACGTAAATTGACACAAAAAAAAAGGCTTCGAAGGAATATTTATGCACGCCTCAGCCACTGCATTTTTTAGTAGCAAAATATTTGGAGCTCCAAGAGTAAAAAAGAGTTTTCAACATAGGTGGTGATAGTTTTAGGAGTCAACAATTTAACCAGTCAAGTACCTTAGCTAATTACGTTTTGAAAATCTTATAAGATTGATAAATTTTACACCTTGATGAAGGAACAGCAAAACTATGTATAACACCATTAGCTGTAAGAATAAATCTAAGATGCTCAACAGAAATAATAATGGAAGTATCAGTATCTAAAACTTAATTGACCTAATACATATTGGAAATGCATATTTTATTTTGATATATCTTTATTTAATTTATTTTTTATGATTTTATCTTAAATAAATTTAAGTAAAATTAAATAATTAACTTTTAGTCTCAGAAAATCCTCTTGTTATTAATATTTATTTGAGTTTATATAGATATTATTCTCCATGGAATAAGGTTAGTAACTCAGTTTCACTGGAGGCGCTAGAATGTTACTGAGCCAAAAAGACCAAATATGCGAAGTAACATTTCCAGCAAGAATCCGTCCACAATGCTTCAACAAGGTGATATAGAACCTGCATCTATATACACCTAAATTCAGTATTCACCAAATCCACCAGGCCTCGGAAGCTATAACTGTACAAATCCATTTACAAATATTAAGATAATTATTTTTTTACAGCATTCTGCTCATATTTTTTGTTCAAACAGTGAAAGAAAATCACAATTAAGAACTTTCGTCTTTTTACAGTGACCCGTTAGTTTCAATTTGTCTCCGAAAGATTACCGACTGAACAAGGGAGGTATTGTAACTCCTAATACAAGAAGTACAAGCATTGTATATCCTGAGAAAAGCATATTATCACATTAAACATTGTGTCTGTGGATGCACGGCACCATCCGATATATCCGTTACTGCAGTATCTAAATACTGACATATAAGTACTCTCAAATTTTATGCCACTCAATATTTTACAGTTCCATCTTTGCAAATTCGACCAAAAAAATAAAAAAAATGCGTGTAGTAAAGAGGTTATTTGTGTACAAATTAATATTTTTAATGTATTACCTAGCTAATTTTTTAATTGTTTGTTTTGAAAAGAAACAAACAATTAAATATGTAGATGCAAGTATAAGTAATGCATACTCCGATACCCGGTATTTCTTTAGTGTAAAAAATACATTTGTCTTGAGGTGATTGAAAAAAATATTAAAATTCAGCGTGCTGTTGTTCAGTTATGACGGTTTCAAGCGAGATGTTTTCAAAATCAAATACGAAGTACATTTTTTTAGCACTCTTTCTCAGCACTTTCGGAATTTGGTTTTCAATTGTTATATAGATTCAGGATTAACTATGCTAAGCTTCAAACAGAGAACATACTAGAATACGAATGAATTTGTGCACCGAAGCATTTTACATTGTATTTACGCCTAGCGAAGATCATCACTGTATGAAGAGAAAAATTGATAACTACATGCATGTGGCCACACATGATACGGCTTGTAGTCTTATAATGGTAGGTAAAAAAAACATGCGATTCTTTTCTACTTCTCCTTCATAGAGTAAATTGTAAATTATTTTTTAATGAATAAAACACAGGGTAAATGTTCCTTTGATTGGCTTCAGGCTTCAAATCTGATTATGTTTACGGTTAAATTTTTTTTTTTTTGGGATTATCATCTATAACACCAATCAAGGAAGTATCAACTTATCCTGCAGTTTATGCGTTTATAATTCAATGTAACCTATTTTTTTATGGAAACAACGTACAGCATACACCCTCCTATTTCATATAATACGCAGATAGCTTTTTAATTATTGGGATAAATTTATTGTTTTACTGCTGTATATGTGCTTTTTTCTCTGTAGCCTACTCGATGAATAATTTACTTGGAGCACATATCTCCTTCATTACCCAACTATAATGGAGAGTAAATTCTACTTAGAGAAATATGCAAATTGACACAAGGACATATATGATAAAATTGTGTACTATAATACAATAAACTCAAAATAGTACTTCGATAGCCCATGAAATAGATCAACTTACGTTATAAGAATTAAAAATTGCAAGGTATCATCTGCAGATAATTATTTTCTATCTACATGCAAGATAAAATCTAAGTTTCGCGTAGAAAAAAAAAAAAAAAAAAAAAAAAAAACGACGTATCCTGTAAGCTGCAACATTAGACCTTTAAAGAATGTGTTGAGCAGATGAGCAGGGAAGACGGGAGTGGTGTGCCTACTGAATAATACAAATTTGCAAGTTAGAAGAAGCTGTATTTAAACGAGAGGAATTCCCCTTTTTATTTATCTTATGAATGACTTACATACCAAAGATGCTCTTCAATATTTTACTATTCATTGGTACTGCAGTTGCTTCTGGAATTTCTAGTTTTAGCGTTCCAGAAGGTTGTAAGCCAGTAACCCCAGTAAATCCTGGGTTGAACGCTGTATTTTATGACTATCCGTTTAACAATTTAGATTTAGATAGTGATATGGAATATATGTCCTCTGGTTATAAAGTCAACAACCCTCCTGTCGCATACGCATACAATGTTACTGACCTCAAAATTGATTACTATATGCAACAATATGTTGAGACAGACATTCAAAATGTTTATGGTGCCGATGTCAATGTTGCACATTTCTTGGTTGAACTTACTGGTTATTTCTATGCTACTGAAACGGGTAACTATACTTTCCAAGTTTACGCTGACGATGGTATGTTGTTTCGTATTGGTTCTGGTATGGCTTTCACTTGTTGCAATACCGAAGATTTAGGTAATACAGGTGGAATGCTTAGTTTCGGAATGAGTAATAATCCAACATTTTATTTAAAAGCCGGTCAATACTATCCAATTGCAATTACCTATGCAAACGCGGTCTACTACCTTGCACAACTTGAATTGACGTACACTTTACCAAGTGGACTTAAGTCCACAGGGGGTGACTTCTATTTCAATACTGTCAACGATCCTCTGCAACCATGTGCCGCAAACATTATATATGACACTATTGTTTGGACAGGATCAGATGTTCAAACTTCAACCTTGCCTCACGATAGTTCAGCAACGGAATATACCATCGACATCTTCACACCACAACCTACAACCAGTTTTACGAAGTATTGGACAGGATCAGAAATCGTTTCATCTATTTACACGGAGAGCTCAACTGTTTTTGTTGAGGTATTGAAACCTGAAGTTGCCACAACTACTACAATTACTTGGACTGGCTCTGAATCCTCTTCCACAACCATATACCCTTCCAACGATGACGGAACCAAAACAATTGAGGTTTTTGTTCCAGAACCTACATCTACTTTCACCACAATTTGGACCGGATCTGAAGTTAGCAAGTCTACATATACTGAAGATAGTACTGTTTACGTTGAAGTATTTACACCAGAGGCTGCTATCACAAGAACTACCGTATGGACTGGAGCTGAAGCATCTACTACAACAATTTACCCAAGCAACTTGGAAGAAACAATTGTTGTTAGCGTATTTGTTCCAGAGCCAACTGTCTCCTCCACCATCGCCTGGACCGGATCTGAAGCTTCTACTACCACTATCTACCCATCCAACTCCGATGGTACCGTGACCGTTGAAGTCTACACTCCAGAACCAACCGTCTCAACTACCATTGCCTGGACCGGATCTGAAGCTTCTACTACCACCATCTACCCATCCAATGCCGATGGTACTGTGACCGTTGAAGTCTACACTCCAGAACCAACTGTCCACACTCCAGAACCAACCGTGTCAACTACCATTGCCTGGACCGGATCTGAAGCTTCTACTACCACCATCTACCCATCCAATGCCGATGGTACTGTGACCGTTGAAGTCTACACCCCAATGACTACAATTAGCACTAGTGCATTCCCTACCTTTTCTGCTACATCCTTCAGAACTTCTTCTGACTACGCACATATTACTTCAACTTTAGTTCCAAAGTACCTGAACAGCACTATTACTAGCCTGAGCCAGCATTCCACATCTACCCTCTCCAAAAATGATATTTCAACCACTGTTGTTACCGTTACATCTTGTTCTGATGGCGGATGTACTAAGGTTCCTATTACTACTGGTGCTACTGTTGTCACTGTTACCAACGACGAAGGTATTACCTCTTACACTACTTTCTGTCCGTTGACTTCCAAATCTGATTCTGCACCAACTGGCTCTGATGTCTCTTCAGCTGCTACCACTGTTCTTTCAGATTCTACAATCACCAAGAGCGATATTTCAACCACTGTTGTTACCGTTACATCTTGTTCTGATGGCGGATGTACTAAGGTTCCTATTACTACTGGTGCTACTGTTGTCACTGTTACCAACGACGAAGGTATTACCTCTTACACTACTTTCTGTCCATTGACCACAAGTGATGTTGTCAACCAAGACATCAAATCTTCATCCCCTCAAAAGCCTTCTCTTGATGCCTCATTGGAGTACACTAGATCTGAGACAGAAACAATACCTGTCACAACATCTTTAGGTTTTGGTACTCCGTCAGTCACAATGGCTATTAATTCCAAGACAATATTATCAACTGGAGCACACACAACTCAATCGGCATCTATTTCATCTGTGGGCGCTAATATTGACCACAGCCCTATTCTTTCGGAAGGTAAGGCTAACAAGAAAACAATTTCGTCTTGTTTGACCTTACTCTCCATTCTTTTGTTCATTTAAATTATTTCTGCATTTTCATACTTTTCGTTTTTCATTTTCATTGCATTAATATTTTCGGTCTATATACCCTTTTTAGCTTTAAGCATTTAATACACTTTTTCAGTCAATTATACATGTAGTAAGGAGGGAGAATAGTTTGATAGAATATTTATTGAATTAGCGAAGTCTTAAAAAAGGCTTAAATCTTACGTATATGCACAGTGCCGCCAATATGCATCATGCAAGATACCCGCTTGAAGTTTCATTTTTTTCTCAAGTTGCAGAGCTCCTACATATATATTTCTAAATTTCATCTGTCTAGACTCTAGACCTGGACGGCTAGGCTGTTGTCTTCCCCCTTTTTTTTTACTCGCTTAACCAAAAAGAAATTCGCTTGAAGTACATTTTTTGTCATCGCAAGATTTTATTGATATCATAATAATGTATCACAAGAAGCATTCCTCAAAATGTTAAAGCATTTAGCACTGCACAGAGGACGGAATTCCAAATGGACTTAAATCAAATTGCTCTGAATGTAAATCCAGTATTACATCTATATACTGGAGGGCCAACTGTTTCGAACTATTAGAAAATCCACAATAAATGTATAATAATTCTCTAATCACAAATATACTTAAGTATTTTCATATCAAATGAGGATGTATATCACATGTTCAGAAATGAATTTAGACTAGCTGGTACAAGCTTGAAACCATATACCTCAAGTGATGAACAAGTTCCGATTTATACACGAACATTCCAGAAGTGTTTACAATGTCTGGAAAGAGAGAGTTCAAAAATTATGTTCGAAATTATACTCGATCAAATGTTAACGTTAGAGACATGTATCAATTATGCATGGTTTATATATATAAAGAGTGATTCTGATGATTTACTTGATGATACTAACGAACCCTCTTTTACTTAATTAACAGTCAATATGAAGCCAAGAATTGAATTGCGAGTCACATTATAAATGGCTGACTTGTAAGTTAGCACTCATACGACCCTCAACTCACTGTACTGAAGAGCTAACTAAGTGCTAGAATCTTAACCCTCAATGCGGTGTAGTGCCACTGAGAAGTAGAAACAAAGAAATGTACAAATGGTTAAGTTTTGTAAACTTACTATAGTTATGAATTCAAAGGAATACATCACAAAAAAAAAAGTGTTACACACGCAAATCACCTCATATCATTTCTAAACTCTATATGTACTCAGGTCCAGCATACACAGCGAATATTGATCTCTCTTTGTCTTCTCTTACACACTCTCATTCTCTTTAACTATGTTACACTTCTAATTATTAAACTGACATAAGCATACTCCTAGTTGCAAAACCTGTACATAAATTGGCTCAATTCATATTTTTCTTGAATGTCACGTGTCTATATCTGGCCGAGTTCGATTGAAGATACAAATTCAATAGTCCAAGCTACATCAAACCACCACCCAAAAAAAAGCAACAAATGAGTGTCCAGATAGTTCTACCGACCTATCTGAATGAGGAATTGGCACAAATAGATGTTGTGGACCGATTTTTATCTCGATTGGAAGCGTCGACAAGCAGATCAGTTGTATTTTTTGACGAGTCTATAACGGGGTATGTGTACCATCAAGGTGATTCGCCCACGTCATTCTCGGTCTTTTTGGACGTCTCTATATATCCTGGAGATGAGAGGGGAGAACCTGGATACAAGAATGGGTTTGAATCAGTAGATACAAACTTGGAATACAATTCGAGTATCCATAACATTTTTAACTCCACTCTAACCGACAAGGACATAGTCTTTTCTGGTCATAGTGAGAGCAGGGGAACCCATTGTAAAGTTTGGAAGTTCACACTTCCGGTATTCTATCCGCGTAAGAAGTTTGATAACCCCAAGGTGAAAATTTCGTGTTATTTGAACGAAGAACATCCAGAGGCTTCCAATAAACATGGAGAAGACCACCCTGAAGTAGACGGTATGTTATCTGCACCAGAGATTCTCCCTAATTTTGCATATGCAACAAAGCATAATATTTTACAGGAACTCAATAATAATGTCAAGGTTACCGACCAGAAATCAACGTATCAAAAATTTGAGTTAAATGATAACGTTGAGACAAAAAATCAAGACTCAGGATATGGGAAAGTGATCGAGGAAGACACAGAGACACCATCAATCCCTCGCGTGGCCGAGCCCGTGGTACCAATCCATACACACTTGAGCTGTCTGATATTTTTACCGATCACCGTTTCACTTGTCATTAAGTTAAAGTCCACGAAACCCGCCGGTCGGAATAACATTCTTCTTTCAACCCTTAATATCGAGGCTTCAGAAGATTTACAAAAAGTGTGTTCATACGATAATGATGTTTATTTCGACATTCTTAACCTCACCGTGGGATTCAAATCGGGTGAAATACAAGCATTGAATCCTCAAAGTACATCGCAATTTCCTGTTCGGTTCAAGGGAAATGATTCTCTCAATCTTACCTACAGACTAATTAATAATGACTTTTTAGAGAAAGACTTACGACAAACAGATAATGCCATTGTTTCTGCGTCAAAAGTTGTGAATATTCATCTCACACTTCAAGTTTTGAAAAAGATAGGTACCGATAAATTTGAAAAAATCAGTAACAATATCACTACATCATGGAATCCGCATTTAGACTTTAGCATTATAGCTCCACCAATCAACAACTCTTTAAAGACTACTACGATTGGTGGCGGTGGTGGCACTTCAACACCACAATCTGGAATGGCAATGGGCGCAGCCGGTGGTCAAATGTCGAGAACAAATGTACGTAAGACGGCATTATTGAATGTACATAAGCAAAAAGCTGCTAGTAATACCGATGTTCTTCTGGGTTATTCAGGGAGCACGACCAATGGTAATGGGAATTCATCCTCCCCAGCTATAAATGCATCTAAACTTCATACTTCGGCTTCTTCAGTGACCGTTAATCTAACCAATGCATCATCAGCTCTTTCAGGGTTGAAACTCACTTTTAAGGGAAACCTAAGTATTAGGCTTGGAGAAGTGACAACTTGGAAACTCCAAGCTATCAACAGTTCATCTTCAGTGTTAAACCTTACTATATTGGTACAACCGCCAATGCCCACTAATCAACCAGTTAATCAAGGTACAAACTATTCCAGTAGTAATCTTTTAGAATCCAAGTTTAATAACAGTAATAATGGAATACTGTCGCCAAAGAAGCCTATTGTATATGGGCCAAACCTGCTTTATTCGATTTACAACTCTCTCAATGTTGTGAGTCGTGGTGCCGTGATACTAAACAATGATATCCGGTTGGGACCGCTTGAAACGAATAGTGTGTTTGAAACTGAGATCGAACTTATTGGAGTAACTAGAGGAGTTCATAACCTTGACGGTATAAAAATATTTGATGCGAATACAGGTGATGGTTTAGATTTTGGGAAATTGGTTGAAGTTTTTGTTGTATAGTTAATAAAAGCATTCAGGTTTGGAATGATGCATGTGCTGGAACATCCTGTAGACAGTTAAAAACAATATAAATGGAATTGACCTTTCAATATTATTAATATTGGAAAGCAAAAAAAATAAAAAAGAAGGGGCGAGCTGGGAATTGAACCCAGGGCCTCTCGCATATTTGAAGAAATCAGCTGGAAACCCAACTGTAACCCAAAGCGAGAATCATACCACTAGACCACACGCCCGATTTTATATTCTTGTTTTATCACTTGTTTGTTTAGTCAGAATGCCAAAAAATGGGCACAAAATTTTTAAAAGTCCATATATCGACCTCAATATTAGTTGGAAACAAGAAGAAGTCAATAATAACCATGTGGCAATATTTAATATCATTAATCGTGCAAATTTGGAGGTAAAAATTTTGATTTTTCATTTTGAACTATGAAAACTTTTATGACCACGTTGGATTTCATCTTTGGTTCAAGCTTAAAGTCTGTTCACTATCATAATGGTTTATCCAAGTTTAAAATTGGTCAAAACTTGCTCCTGCCTATATCTAGGTTTGGTGAAAATACAAGTTTTTCTCGATCTTTTTGAATTTTTGCCATTCCATTTGTAAACTTCATATTTTTTTTTGCAGCAAAGATGAGAAATTAAAACCATCTACTATAATTCTCAAGACTAATTTCTTTTGGCTTCACAATTACTAACTACTAATAGCTTATTCTCACCCCGGAAGCAAGAAAAAACTCACATCTATTGAACTTCAACAACAAGTTAACATAAAAGTTGCACTGTGCAACCACTAATTTCCGATGAATTTCCAATTACTCGAGTTAGCTTTATACATAATATGTCTTATATACCCAATATATTACTCCCAAACTATTACTCCACCTCCAAAATCAACTACAATTTCAAACCTAGACGTTGTAAAGTTTTTAATATTTAACACAATCGGCCTTTTTTTGCTTCGAAATAATACATCAACTAGATTGAAGATCTATACGATCTTTGTTACACATTTACTCCCATCCGTCCTACTTTGCGTCAAAATTAAGGGAGTCCCACAAGTAGAAGTTCAGATTACGGTATATTCACAAGCTTAGATGTGAACAATTATAATGATAATAATTATTTATATTTATTTCGTACGTAACAAAAGATTCTTACTCAGTGGATTGAGTTTCGAATGGGGTGAGCTTAGCAGTACCTTCGGACCAAGTGGAGTCTTCGTAAGTAATTTCCTTGATAGCTCTGACAATGTCTTCAATGGAACCTCTAACTTGCTTGGTGGAATCTCTTTCTCTCAAGGTGATAGAATTGTCCTTGACGGACTCAAAGTCAATGGTGATACCGAATGGAGTACCCAATTCATCGTTTCTAGCGTATCTCTTACCGATGGAAGCGGAAGAGTCATCAATCTTGAATGGGATCAATTCCTTCTTCAAAACAGCAGAAACCTTCTTGACAACTGGTTGCAATTCTGGGTTAGAAGACAATGGAACCAACAAAACCTTGGTTGGGGCAACCAATGGTGGCAAAGACAAGACAGATCTAGCTTCATCTTCTGGTCTAGCCCAGAATTGATGTTCGAAAATAGAGTAGATGATTCTACCAATACCGAAAGATGGTTCAATGACATTTGGAGTGTATTCACGAATGTGTTCGGTTCTGGTAACCTTAGCAATCTTAACAAAGTCGGTATCTAATTCGATTTGTTCTGGGATGGCATCAACCTTGAAGGTGATCTTACCAGAGTCAGCCAATTCCTTAGCCAAGTCTTCCAATTCACATTGGGTTCTGGCCAACAACCATTTTTCAACAGCACCGGCATCCTTTCTGAACTTTGGACCAAACTTCTTCTTGGCGATATCAATTTCATACTTTTCAACAGTAACTGGTTCTGGCAATGGTTGTCTAACAATCAACTTTTCATTGGTTCTAGCAGCATGAACGCTCAAGTCATAGGCAGATCTGTCGGCACAACCAACACATTCAACCCAACCGTAAGAGGTTTGCAATTCAGCATCCCAACAATCGGCAGCATAATGGGCCATTTCGTTGGACATATGTTGTCTGAATCTCAATCTGTTAGAGTCAACACCAATCTTAATCAAGAATTGGTAGATTCTGGCAATGAAGTAACCCAAGGTCTTGTTGTCAACCATACCGCTGGCAACAGCTTCACCAATGGTCTTTTCAATCAACTCGGTTTGTCCAGCTTCTTGAACGTCCTTTGGCAAGAACTTCAACTTGACGTCCTTGACAACATCAAACTTAGCGTGGGACTTATCATCTGGGTCAACGAAATGTTCAATTTCAGCCATCAAGAATTCACGAACTCTTAATAAACCAGCTCTTGGAGAGATTTCGTTTCTGAAAGACTTACCAATCAGGGCAGAAGCAAATGGCATCTTTTCGTTGTTGAATTCCAACAACTTGTTGAAGTTCAAGAATTGACCTTGAGCAGTTTCTGGTCTCAAGTAACCCTTTAATTGGCCAGATGGACCAATAGCGGTTTCAAACATCAAGTTGAATTCAACTGGCAATTCCAATGGACCACCGGTAGATGGGTTAGTGATGTTGTACTTGGTGATCAATTCACCCAATTGAGGACCGGAGAAACCGTCAATTTGAGCCAAAATGTTTTCATATTCAGCAACTTCTGAGTCTGGCAACTTGACAGCCTTGATTTCCTTGACCTTCTTCTTTCTCTTCTTCTTGTCTTCGTCTTCTTCCTTGACTTCGGCAGCAATACCTCTGGCTTCCTTGTCACCCTTCAATCTGGATTCCAAGACTTCTTCAACCAAGTGATCGGCTCTAAAGATTTCACCAGTCTTCAAGTCCTTACACATCCAATCAGCAAACTTGTCAACGTGACCGGAGGTCTTCAAGACTTCATGTGGAGTCAACATGGTACAATCAACTTCCAACATGTCTTCTTCCAAAATAAAGTGCTTTCTCCAAGTGTCAATGACATTGGCTTGGAAGGCACAACCTGGAGGACCATAATCGTACAAACCAGAAACACCACCATAGATTTCAAAAGCTGGGGCGAAAAAAAATCTTCTCTTTAAGACTTGATCCAAGGAGTCCCTGGAAAATGGGACAGTGGTTTTAGAAGTAGACATTTTAGCAATCGGAATTACACTTGAACAGAAACGGAATGAATGAGTCAAGCGCAGAAAAGATTTGATCAACGTGATTATAAACTGTTTTTATGCAAAAGTACTAGATATGGAAGGTATAGTACTTGTGCAGAAAAACTTGGGATAATAGTTTTATACAGAAGAGGGAAAAAATCAATGCTTTGAATCGTTTTGATACACCTGTTATACTTTCTCTTCATTCATTATGACCCAAAATGGGCCTATTGCGATGAAAAATTATATTTTTACCTCGCACACGACATTGCAACAAGTCTTGGCCATTTAGTTGCAAACTTCATTTAGATCTATAATAAGACTAAAAAGCAAAAAAGAGAAGACTATTGATATTTTGGAGAAGATAGGCTCTATATCGAGAAAATAAAAATGTTCTTTTATCCACTTACACATAAGACTTTGGAAACCCAAGAAAACCTTTGTCTTGTAATAGGGGGCAGGCTGTGGGGATGATTTATTGGCATTATGTGAATGTTTCGAATTTGTTGTGGTGACTACAATCATATTCTCCACCTTCTAATGGAGGTACACATAGATATGTGTTGCTTTCTAAACAAGACCAAAAGATGACGAAAGTATACCACATGGAGTTAAGAGCCAAAAAAAAAACTTGACAGGATAGGACGTGAACTGAAAAACAAACAGACGAGAAATAATTTTAAATTTAAGGTTATACAGATCATTCGATAAAAATATGAACCCTTTCAGGAACAGCACATTGTGAAGCTTGTGATACGCCAAATCTGATTTTAATAAGATATTGAGGCAGTGCGATGAATTAAATGTTGTGATGCAACACCCAAAAATTCTCCACGATTCATAAATCCGATTAGTTTTCTTGGATACATGTCCAAATTAGGAAAATTTGCCTCATTTAGACAAAGGATTTAGGCACCAACCGGGCTAAATACGACAATGAAGTATAAAGCTCCTTTACAATTTAGAAACTATCGTGCGACCATAGACATGTGCAGACCCAGGATGGAAGTAGAGAACAGCTAGATGCTGAGATCTAACTTGTTTCATTTATTTGATTTGATCTTTCATCTCTCCTGATTTAGCGAGTGTGCTATTTGGTTGTGAAATTATTGTACCCCACCGGATTCTCGGAAAAAAGAACACCAGTATAAGATGCAGGTACCTTGTATCATATGAAGAGGGGAGGTTGCTGTTGAGATATAGGGGACACTTATCTCCAAATCTCAAACATCATCTGCCTTCCTATGATTAATAAAACAACATCGACCAGATCCTAATGAGGGGCAAATTGAAGTGCTTTCCTCGGTACTCATCATGGCGGTTATTCGACTCTAAGCTTATTTCAGGCGCCTTCTTGTTTCTTGAGAATCCATTCTAAACTGCACACAACGGGGCTGTTTGTGTGGGAGGTTGTCAATTATTATTCATGTGATAACTCGCATATCCACATGTCGATATGCAAGAACGCTTCATTTCTCCGCAGTAAAGTCCGTGAGGCGCGTCTATGGGGTTCCATGCCAGTGTTCGAGATGATCATTACCAACATTGATGGGGTGACGAGTTCATATGAAACTAATAATATAAATACACGCCAGTCCCTTTTAATTCGACTACTTCTTCTATTGCTTTACAACTATTTTTCTTTCTATTAAACTTTTTCAAACGGCTGTGCCACTACTCATTACCTTTCCCAAATGTCAACAGTTCAAATTACCCGTGAGTCCCATGAGGACCCTTTCAAGTTCAGAGTGAAGTATGAGGAGGCAAATGAAATCTTGGGGCCAAATGAAACGCTCCCTGAGAACAATCAGCTTCCAGTCTTGAAATCCTCTTCTAAAATCGCTATTATTGGAGGAGGGTTTGGAGGACTTGCATGTGCCCTCTCCTGTATCAGGGACTTGAAAGAGCAAGATTTCACCATTTTTGACAAACATTCCAATTTTGGGGGCACATGGTATTCTAACACTTATCCCGGTTGTGCTTCTGATATCCCTGCAGTCTGGTACTCCTTTTTCAGTGAATTAAACAACAATTGGAGTGCTCTTAGACCACCTCAATATGAAATGGAAGAGTATATCATGGCTGTGGTAAACAAGTATGGTTTAAAGTACCACGCAAGATTTAGAACTTCTATCGTTGAATCGAAATATGACGATAAAAATGCTGACTGGACCATATATGGAAGAGACTTGAACACTGGTCAACGTACTGAACATAAGGCGAAGATCTTGGTTATGTCTCAAGGTGGATTGGTCTACCCTAACCAATTGAAGGCCCCAGGTTTGGAAAACTTCAAAGGTGACTACATGCATTCTGCCTTGTGGAAACATGATGTTTCTTTCAAGGGGAAAGATGTTATTATTGTTGGTAATGGATGTTCCGCTAACCAAGTTGTCCCAGCACTTCTTGACAATTATGCACCAAAGTCAATAACACAGGTGGTTCGTTCAAAGCATTTCATCATGCCTCCATTACCAAAAATTGCCTATTCTCTCTACCGTTTATTGTCGTTTTCAAGAATTGGAATTATCATTGTGCGTTGGATTATTGCCACTGTTGCCGAAATGAGATATCCATTGTACAACGGGACTGGTATCATTCCAAGCATTGTTCGTTGGATTAACACCAGAAATTCCATTAATTACATGAAAAACACTACACCAAAGAAGTTCCATGATGTTGTGATTCCAAATTACAAAATTGGTTGCAAGCGTATTATCTATGATTACACTTACTTGCCATCTTTACATGACCCACGTATGGATGTTACTGATGATACCATTGATCATATCGAAGAACACCACGTTGTTTTGAAGAGTGGTAGAAGACTTCACGCTGACGTCATTGTTGCATGCACCGGTTACGACTTGAACAAATCTGTTCTGAGATTCCTGGTTATTGGTTCCAACGGAGTTAAATTACAAGATACTTGGGGTAAAGAAGGTGCTAGTGCCTACGAGACCATTCTTGTCAAGTATTGCCCTTTGTGCTTGGAGGTCCTAACTCAGCTACCGGTCATTCTTCGGTTGTATTGGCTTTGGAGAATGGATGTGCTTATTTCACTAGAGTTGCAAAGAAGATATTGTCCGGAGAATTTAAGTCAGTTCGTGTTGACCCAGAAAAGTATGACGGCTGGAACACTAAAATCCAAGCGATATTGAAAAAGCAGGTCTTTGGTACTCCGTTTGGTGGTTGTGTGTCCTGGTACACTGCAGATGGTCGTAACGCTACCGCTTATCCTTACTCACAAATCACCTACTGGTGGAGAATGAGACATCCAAAGTGGAACGACCTTATTGTGGAAAAGGATGAAAAGAAGACTGTGTAGTTTTACTCTTTATTATATCAGTTTATTATTTATCAAATGAAAATTTTACGTTTATTTCATTATGTAATTGTTCGTTAATATGCAAATTTAGAGTATTGAGTACCATCTATCATCAGTTCTTCGTCATATTCATCATCGAGATCATCATCAAGATAGTTACGAAGAATAAGAACCAAGAGAGTGACAATACAAGTAATTCCAAACACCTTATCAAACCAAGAATCGATAAATTCAACTTCCTTTCTTGCCGACTTGACAGAATTCATGGATCCAGTAAGTGAGAGAATCTTTGAAACTTGGATAGATAAATTTTGCGGTAAGTTCGTTCTAATAAGAAGTGCTGTAGACAAGACGTAGATTCCAAGAAGTTCGGAAATAATCATATGTTTCAACCAGGTAATTGTAGTAGGGGACATGTTATTTCCCATTTGCGGGAGGAATTTTTTGAATGATTTTAAGGTCGTTAGTACGTTTGAAATCGAGCAAATGAAAAGACCACCTGATAAGAAGAAACTGATTTGGTAAGTCATTTGAGTTTCAGAAATTGGAAAGGAAGTAAATGAAAGAATAATCTTTGCCAACGTAATGGCCAAGGCATCAGTATCTGCTGGGGGTGTACCTGATTCGTTGTCAGATATATCTTGAGATGATGTGAAAAGATAAAAGAAAAACTTAAGCACCAACACGTTAAAAATACGATACACACAATAAAGACCAAACCCCAAATTGAACCATTTTAAAAGTAAATTCACCAATTTCCTATCCAGGGAAGCATCCTGCTGGATTCTATATTTATCCAACATCTTCAAGAAATCATCATATATGTGATTATTCAATTCTTTAAGAGATTTTATTTCGTCCGTTAACTCCTTTTCCTCCAGATTTTCTTTGCCTCCCATTCCCAAGCTTGAAAGACTGGCAAATGATTGTACCTTGTGCATGAAACCTCCAAGAGAGGCAGTTGAGGAAGATGCTGGATGTTGAAGTGGGGGGTTTAGTGAATTGGTATTGGTATTATGAAGGATATTGTCTGATGAAGTATAGCCTTTAAGATTATAAATGGTGCCACCCTCTTTAACCAAAAGAGAATTGAGTTGCAGCTTTCTTTTATTTATGAGTAAATTTGTATGATTATATGATTGCGCAAGATTATTCAAGTCCATTTCCGTGACAGTCTTTCTGTTTGTTGGGGTAGCAACTCTTGATTTAAAGATAATTGATAACACCTTCCGAAGTGAAAAGAGTTCGTAGGGTGTGGAAGCAGACCCAATTCCAGAAAGAATAGCCATAATCGTAATTCCGGCAATAGAAACTTCATTAATTTTCCGTTCAATCAATGAACGGGAAGATGAAAGGTTAAGTTCTGGAGAAAAGGATTGTGAAAGAGTGCCAAATTTATGAAGAGCGAAAAACCAGAGTAGCATCAATACTACCGCGAGTGTTTTGCGCAAGTTCGGCGTGCTCGATGTGGGTATAAGTTGTTGGAACAATACCAGACCAATAATTAGATACGGTTGTACAAAGGTGAGCAATAAAATGAGCAGATCAATCACCAATTGAAACAAAAACACTCTAGTCTTGGACTCATCGGACTCGCCAACAAGTTCCAAGAGAATGAGAACAACAAGATGGAAGCTTAGAGTTAAACCAAAACTGAAGATTGTTCTAATAATTTTATCTGAAATTAAGGGTCCTCCCTTAGATCGCGTGGGATGAAACCTCTCCGCCTTATCATCATCCTCATCCAATTCACCTTCAATGTCAAATGGAACGACGGATCCTAGGCGGTAAGAGCCTTTCAACTTCTGGATATGGGCATTGATCTGACTCTTTGGGATTTTCGAAGGATTTAAATAAGATGGGATAAGGTTATGATTGTAGGTGAACGTGAAGCATAAGGTGAAAATTAACGTGAAGGAAGAGATAAACGGTACAACGCTGAAAATAAAAGATAGCATTTGATTTGGAAAGTTTTAAGCAGATGGCGGGGGGTAATTCTCTCCAGTTAATATCTTAGTTTCTGGTATCTGTATTCAATATAATCTTCATTACCTCTTTCATAACTATGATCATAGACTCTATAGGGTCTCTATAGGTCTAAAGCCATACCCAGTGTTTGTGTAATATGGTGATCCGCACGACCCACCTTTTATTTTTGTTCATCCTCTTTTTTTTTTTTTTTTTTTTTTTTTTTTGAGCTACGAACATCAAAAACTTCAAAAAAAGTTCAAATTCAAATCGAGAGACAGAGAGTATTCAACCTGATAGAACCAACGCTTTAAAATGGCATACAAGACCACCGCCGAGAAGAGAGCTAGAAAGCTTCTCGTTGACCACCTCAAGACCAGAAAGATTAATGGTGCCCGTATTGCCGAAGGTGTGAAGACTGCCGAAGATCTTGAAAGACTTCAACTCGCTCCACAAGTTTTCCTTTTCAAGAATCTTTTCTCAGGACAAGTTTTATACTCCCAAGTGCCTGCATTCCACCAAGATCAAATTGATGAACAATTTGTCAGACCAAACTGGCAAAATAGAAAGCCTAGCAGAAGAAATGACTTGTGGAGAATCATGTGTGTAGCTGAATTTGCCAACTATGAGTATGCCGTAGCTGCATACCATGGATTGGTAAAGCTTAGAAAGGCTAGAGACACTGTTTTGAAGAAAGAAGCACAAACTTATAGAAAGAAGAACGACGATGGTAACATTTGGTTTTCTGGTCAATATAGACCAACTTTTTCTCAAGAAGCTGTAGCAGACTTGTCTCATGTTATTGATGAATTTGAGTTGGAAGGAACCCGTTTAATATGGGAAAACATCTGGAGAAAGGGTGCTGACGAACACTGGGGTAGCTTGGTGCAGCATGAAAGCTTGCCAGCCCACAGTCCTAGACACGAAGGGATATTATTGAACGAGTTGAGAGAAAAGGCTGTTGAAGAATTTGCCAGAGCTAGAGTTGAAGCTGGAATCCAACAATAAACCCATTAATTTGTAGATCAGAAATGGGCATTAGGGCCACCCTTTTGCATTCCCTAATCCCAATAAAGAATGAATGTATAGCACAATGTATATAGTACTAAATTAAACAACAAAGTTAAATGGGTGTAGGATGAAGAAGTATTTGGTTTGTTAGAGAGAGAGAGAGAAGTAGAGAAGTGGGTAGATGGGTATTAGAGAGTATGGGTAGTAGAGAGTATGGATACTAGATAATGTGGGTAGATCGTAGTTATAGATTATTAAATTTTGATATAGAGAATGTGGTTCTTGCTTCAGAGGAGTATGTGATATTTAGTCGTGCAGTACGATATCCATGTGGTGAAACAGAGAAGATATGGAATGATGTATTTCAGCATTGGGAGATATCTCTCTAAACTACCTCTATCACGTCTAATAATGGAAGATGTGAGCTTAGGTTTAGTCTACAAGTTAAAGATGAGATAATCCTCCTAGTATCTATCATAGCCTCTACTTCAGTTGAGGTTAGAATCAAATATTGAAGTATCGGACCACAATATCGAGATTTCTTACACACAAACACAAACCATAAGAAAATAGCAATTATATAAGACCGTTTATCACAATTATAAGTAGAGAAAATTCCTTAAACTAATGTGAATATACTCCTCTGATACAATACAGACGGACTTATCCGAACAGGACAAGTTATGTACATATGCTACTGTTATCTTGGCTAGTCTGTTTTTTTTTTTATTTTTGTCGTCCCCGTTCGGACCGGTTCATTCCCGGAGATTTCTTCTATCACCATTCTTTATTTTTTATTTTCTATTCTCTTTTTTTTCTATTTATTCATATTTCTTGATATATCTGCTTCTTTGAATCATCATAGTGTAACCCTCCCTTCACTCAGCCGTGAACTGATATCATTTTGAATCAAACTCCCACACTAGTGTCTTTGCTAGCCGAGCGGACATCTCAAGATGGAGCCGATAATGGACGGAATTTCTTTTTCGCGGATCCACACGTGAGATCGTAGAGTTTCCGCATTTGGCGAATACTCCCGCCTTTGTCAGACTTAGAGCCGTAATTATAATAGGCATGACGGGGCCGGCGCCCGCTCGAACAAATTTTACTTTTTTTGTTGCTGTTTAGTGATTCTTTTCTTTAGGTTTTATCATTAATATTACCTTTAAACCTTCTATTTCCATTTGAAATTAACCCCTGAAGAATTTCGAACCTGCTCTCTTCAGGATATCCTATTTTTATTGTTGGAAGTGCTCCCTTTTTATCATTTTCCACCCCGAACACATCTGCTCAGCCACCGTTTGAAGCGGACCATATATAAAGGGAAACACCCGACCCGCTAATTTTTTTCCTTGCGACTATCGTCATGGAGTACTATTACCGTAAACTGATGGGGAATGGAGCTGAAACCTCCAAATTCAGACTCAATGTTCCTCCTCCTATTCAACTGAATCAATCGAACCTCAGACTGGCTGCTGAGAACGATACGGATAGAAAAGCCACATCCCAACAAACAATCCAGCCACTTACCAGTAGATCCTCCAGCATAAGGTCACCAGATAGTGTTAAATCTTCTATCAGTGACGCTGCTAGCACAGATGGAACGTCAATAAGCTCCCCTGTTAGTGCAACAAATGATGCCACCACCACCACCAATAACAACAACAACAATGGAACTGCCACAGTAGTATCTAAATCAAATCCAGTAGAATCCCCAGAAACTCATCATACAAACAATTGTAACCGATGCTATAGACTCAAAAAGAAATGTCTGAGAGAATACCCAAAGTGTGCAAATTGTACAAAGACCAGAAGAGAATGTGTATATGTGAGCAGAAGTAACAAACGTAGAAAGAGAGTTAAAGTTGGAGAAAATGAGACTGTGTTGGGCGATTTGAATAAACCTCTCGCTAAGACTAAGGATTTGACACCACCATCTGATCAAGCGGAGCCTGAGTTCATTCATATAGTTGCTGGAACTTCTGGTGACTCTAAAACTTCAGAAAATGAAGAAAAGAAGGCTGTGGCAAATCTGCTTGTTTCCATATCTTCACTTCTTTCCAATGAACATACAAATACAATTGAAGGAGGTGATCGATTTAGAGAAAAGAGACAATTTCCAACCTTACTTCCTCCACCAAGAAGGGATTTCTTCAACACTAACAACAACAATAATAATAATAATACCTCTGTTGCATACGGAAATGGTGGAGGATTTTCGTCCTATCGTCCTAACCCAGCAACTTCATTCATTGATAAGCTTGTGGTGAAATCACTCCATTCAAGCTCAAACAAGGAAGACAATTCCCTGGGTCAAGAAGAATTCCTCACCATGAGAGCCATTGCAGATGAAGATATTCCAGTAAGATTGGCACTCAATTACTTCCATAACTATGAAACAATCTGCCCATTCATTGATCAAGAACAATTCATGAAGACAATCAAATTGATAGACTTTACCAAGGAGACAATTGTCAATTTGGACGTGTACTTGTTGTTGAGTGTTGGGTCGTTGATTCATGACAAGAACACCAACTCCAATCTATTCAAGACTTATTTCAGTGAAAAGATTGTCGAATCTATAATTGATATTGTTGAGTTCAATAATATTGATAGTTTGAAATTACTTCTTTTATTGACTATTTATTCATTACATCTGTATAAGGAAGATCTTTGTTGGGAATTATTGGGGGTTTTAACGCGACATGTGATACGACAAGGTTTGTACAAGCCATCCAACAAACCAGATCAAGAACAATCTGGAACATCACTGCATTTTGATTTGAAGGAAAGGGTCTTTTGGTCAGTGTACAATTTGGATAAGACATTAAGTTTACTCATTGATAGACCAAGTCAAATGCCGCAAGAAGCGTTCATTACTCTTAAATTACCAATAATAAAGGCAAACTGTGAGTCTGAACATACCATAGAGATATTCAATCAAGAGATTAGATACAGTAAACTTTTGGATAGACTTTTAACATTGAAACTTTCCGAGGAAAAATCAAATCTTGTCACTCAAGTGAAAGATTTATCATCCAATATTGAGAAATGGAGAGTTTGTATCAGTCGAGTGATTCATAGTTCACAATATGTTTCACCTGAAGATTATATTTCATTAATTAACTTGAAATATTATTATTTTTTGATTGAACTTGATCAATTATCACTGAGTGAATCATTTCAATTTACTTTACAATTTTTATCAAATTCTTTTTCATTGTTAATATCAGACAATGATGTATCTTCCAATACTGATAAACCATCCAAATCAGGCATTGAATTCTCACTTTGCACTCTGTTTTGGTACCTGCAATTGTTCAAGGTTGTTCAATGTAGTCTTGAATCGTTGAGTTCAGTGGTTGAATCTGAAGTTGATTTACAAAAAATTGAAACAAGTCTTAAATTGAGTGAATTTAATAGTAATTTACAACTTATGGTGAATTTATTTAAATATTTGATGAAACAAAATCGTCAATTTGGAGGCCATAACACCCAATTAGAAGGGATTATATGTGTTTATACCGCACAATTAAGCACCCTTGGGATGAATATGATGGGATACATGATGGCTGGAAGTGATAGAACAGGTTTAGCATCAGAATTGAAAAAGATTAAATCACATTTAAGGGAAACGGAGTTATAAAGTACAATAAAAATATCAAAAAAAAAAAAAAAAAAAAGAAAGAGAGAAAAGAATTGAAAGTATATAAGAATAGTATAAAGTAATATATTATAAGTATCTCCAATATTAGCTTTAAGTGTTAAATTTTCTCTCTCCTCCTAACTACTCTCTTTGTTAATTAATACATACTATTAAGTTAATTTTTTGTGTAAGTTTGATCACGTGTAAGGGACTGTATATAAACTACCACCCAGTCGTGTGCTCTACGAAGGCAAAACCCGTCGTGTTACCATAATCAATCTCACAAAGACTCAAACCAAAGTGATCAATTAAAGATCAATAAAATCAATTAGATTTTTAATAATTTTCTCGATAGATTGAGTGGATATATTTGAACCTATTCAACTTCTTGTACTACTCGATTGAATAAAGAGGGATAAAAGGAGGATAAAGAAAAGGACGAATAACAAAAAGTTGAGAATTTATAAAGTAACCAACAAATAGAAGATCAATTTAATAATGCCACCCAAAGCCGACTGGGATAAGTATATAGCTCCTAATGAGGATGACGAAGCTTCTAACGACAAGATCGTCCCATTGAGTGAGGGAGATATCCAGGTGTTGAAGACTTATGGGGCTGCCCCATACGCCACTCCACTTAAGGCAATCGAAAAGGATTTGAAGAAAATTGAAGATAGAATAAAGGAAAGCATTGGAATCAAGGAATCTGACACTGGGTTGGCAGCTCCACACTTGTGGGATGTCATGGGTGACAAGCAAAGAATGTCTGAAGAACAACCTTTGCAAGTTGCCAGATGTACCAAAATCATTGAAGCCACCAATCCATCCACACAGCCAAGCTTGATGCAAAATGCTGATAATAAATCCAAATATGTGATCAATATCAAGCAAATTGCCAAGTTTGTGGTGGGGTTAGGTGAAAGAGTCTCCCCAACTGATATAGAAGAAGGTATGAGAGTAGGGGTTGATAGACAAAAGTATGAAATTCAATTGCCACTCCCACCTCGGATAGACCCTTCTGTCACCATGATGACAGTTGAAGAAAAGCCCGATGTCACCTATAGTGATGTTGGTGGATGTAAGGAACAAATTGAAAAATTGAGAGAAGTTGTTGAATTGCCACTTTTATCCCCTGAACGGTTCGTAAAGTTGGGGATTGATCCTCCAAAGGGTATTCTTTTGTATGGTCCTCCAGGTACTGGTAAGACATTATGTGCCAGAGCTGTTGCCAACCGTACTGATGCCACGTTTATCCGTGTGATTGGATCGGAATTGGTTCAAAAATACGTTGGTGAAGGTGCTCGTATGGTTAGAGAACTTTTCGAAATGGCCAGAACTAAAAAGGCATGTATTATATTTTTCGATGAAGTAGATGCTATTGGAGGTGCTCGTTTTGATGATGGTGCTGGTGGGGATAATGAAGTGCAAAGAACCATGCTTGAATTGATCACACAGCTTGATGGGTTTGATCCAAGAGGTAACATCAAGGTGATGTTCGCCACCAATAGACCAAACACCTTGGACCCTGCCTTGTTGAGACCCGGTAGAATTGATAGAAAGGTTGAGTTTTCATTGCCGGACTTGGAAGGTAGAGCCAACATTTTCCGGATTCATTCCAAAACCATGAGTTGTGAAAAGGGAATTAGATGGGAACTTATTTCACGTTTATGTCCAAATGCTACTGGTGCTGAATTGCGCAGTGTTTGTACGGAAGCTGGTATGTTTGCCATTAGAGCCAGAAGAAAGGTTGCCAGTGAAAAGGACTTTTTGAAGGCTGTCGAGAAGGTTATCAAGGGTAACATGAAGTTCAGTTCTACCAGTCAATACATGCAATACAACTAGATAGAAGGATTAGATGAAGAGATAAAGAATAAATAATGAAAACAAGTTGGTTTCTAGGTGTAGCGAGTGATATTATCATTCATGTGATCGTCAATTAATGGCCTGAATCTATATATATATATGTGTATATGTATTTGAGAGGGGAGGGTTGTGAATTTCATGGAAAGCGTTTCTAACGTGGCCAATGAATAGTAACACCGTAGATGAGAGATTACCTTCAGTTTGTTTAATCCCACCAAGAAACACAGCCCATACCATCAGTTTGACAAGATGCCAACAAGGCGTACGGAGAGACCTTATTTTCTGGTTCCAGTAATCCTTGAGCTTCTGAACTTGTCTTTGGTTTGATGTTCACAAAGATTTCCTCTTCTATTCTGAATCTAATCTTTTCATTAACATCTATAAACAATTCAGTTTCTTCGTCTGGTTGCCAGACCCACGCCTTGTCTGCCGGTCTGAACGAGCAGTTTTCAAAGAGATAGTTCTTTGGGATAACAATCTCGTCAAAGAATTCAGTTTTGATCTTTATACCTTCAGCAGTACACTCAGAAACCCAACCGGTTAAGATTTCTCCAATGAAAGGTTTCCACACCACGCATCTGAAGCGAACCTCCACAAAGGCTGCACCATCACCTGGCTTCAAGAGCCCGTCCTTTATGTCTAGCAAGTCCCATACACACACCACAAGGCCCAAGTTACTAACCACTTTATTGGCGTATTTCTTTGAAAGCTCATTCGAAATCGATTGAGGAATCGGTATATTGAATGTATGAGGGGGTATACGGACAAGGTCCGACACTTCTGATAATATAAACATCTGTTGTCTGTGTGTGTGAAAGAGTGGCTAACGGGTCTCCTTTGGATTATAAGTCGTCAAATGATTCGATTGTATACGCCTTGTATATGTCTGTGACTCTCATCGATTTCACAAAAAAGTTGTTAACACCCATCACGGTGTATGCAGGAAATGCGATTTACAACATGAGTGTGTGTATATTTTTTTTTAGTTTGTGTTTTTGGCTGTAAAAGAGACCATAAAAGGGGGCAGTTTGTTGTTTGTTATAGATAAAATGTCAGGATATAAGGTAACCAAACCAAAGGGAAAGGTCATCGATAGCTCCAAGTCGTCTGACCGGAGGTTGGCTGCAGGAAGACAACCAGCCAATTTCTTACATAGTTCAATTAATGTTGTTAAACCAACAATTAATCTTAAAAGCAAAGTAGATGGAGGGAATGAATCTAACTCCAAGACGGTGAAAAGAAATGTTGGTGATAAGACATGGGAAGATTCGTCGCTTCTTGAATGGAATCCAAAGCATTTTAGACTCTTTGTAGGCAATTTAGGGCCAGATGCAAACGATGCATTATTAGCAACAGCATTTGGGAAATATGAAACATTGAGTAAAGTTAAAGTTCCTATAGATAATCGAACTGGTAAAAATAAAGGATTTGGATTTGCAGCCTTTGAAAGTGCGGATGATTATTTTAAAGCTTTTAAAGAAATGAATGGTAAATATATAGGACAACATCCTGTACAATTGAAGAGAGCAGAGACTAAGATAAAGCCAGTTAAGAAGAGAAGATAATAAAAGAGCAAAGCAGGAAGTTGAAGAAAAAGAGAATAGAATAGAAGAGAAGAGAGTTGAAGTGACTTTAGAACTTTCCCCCTAATTTGACATCTAATATATATGTATGTTTGAGAAAGATTTGTGGTTATTTCTGACACTGGTGATCAACACCCCATGGGCTCTTTTACTATGTCTATTCTACAGACCTTGTCTGCAGTCTTGAGCATTTTTCAGGCTTTTTTTTTTTTTTTTTTTGGAATTCTTTTTTTGATATTTTTTTTCAATCATATCATTACGTTTAAAGGTATAGTAGTTTCTTCTATAAGTGAATAAACATGCTACTAACTCGCTTGGCGATTGCGCCTCGTATATATACAAGACCGGCAAGCTTGCTAAGCTTCGGGTCGAGATCGTTCTACAGATTCAGATCGAACCTTCCGGAAAACTTCAATCCAAAAACTGATTTACCTTCCGAAGGTGAATGGAAACATATTAAACATCACATTCCTGGAGAATCAATTCAAAAAAATGATTTGAAAAGTAGAGTTCCTAAATTCCCACTTGTCAAGGAGATTGTCCCTACATTACTTCCAAGACCAGGAGTACCACAAGTTGGAGATCAATATTCATTCAAGCAAGTTCTTAATATTTTAAAACGTAAAACAAAGCCAGAACTTATCTATGAAGCTGAACCTCATAGACTTTACTTCTTAGCTTCCATTTGCTTTGCCGTACTTCTCACTGTTTATGGACTTGTATTATTGGAATATGGAGTATATGAATCATCAGAAAGATATAAATTAAACGAAAAGGAATTAACCAAGGAATTATTAGATAGAGAATGGGTATTTGATGTAGCTAAATTCTCAATTCCTGGATTAATTTTACTTAGATTTGCCCTTGCCGCTGCAAGATTCCCCACAAGACTTATTAGAAGAATGTGGTATTTGCCTGGAAGAGTTGAACATATAAAGTTTACATCCTATCCAATGTTCCCAGGTCAAGCAACCCCAGTTTTCACAGTTCCATTAGAAAATCTTGTTCGTAGTAAACGTGCCAAAGTATGGACTGGTCGTGGATTCTATGGAACTGCAGACAATTCCCATTTTTATTTCGCACTTCGAGAAACTGCTCCAAAGGCTAGACTGTGGGTAGTTGATCGTAAGGGATTTTTCTGGAGTGATGGTAGAGTATTTGATGTTTTATTCGGTAAGGAATCCGTAGCTGAAGCGGAATTGGGTATTCCATATGATGAACAATTTGGAATCATTAATCGTGGAGTTAAAAAGCAAAAGGACCAACTTCGGGCTCAACATGGAATGTTTTATAAATATAAACTTCAAGCAGCAGAAATGAAAAAGGATTTTAAAAGAGCTGGTGATTGGGTAGGTTCAAGAGTTGGAATTGAAGAAAATAAACAAAATAATGATAAGAAATTGTTGGAAGATGAAAAGAAGAATAAGAAACACTGAAAGGAGTAATTATCCTTTTTATTTTTATTATTGTACATAGAAAATTAACACACAACAACACACAACAGATGGTAAGAACAAAATAATTATAATATTACCTGTATAAATTGTTAATTCAATACCTGAAATTCACTTAAAATGAACTGTTTCTCCTATTTATTTTTATGCCCGTGTTAATATTTTTTTTAATGAGGGCGGGGGATGGTGGTTAAATTTTAGTTTTGCAACTGGGTCCCCCTCCTTAACAATTTAAAAATCTTACCCGTTTTTTTTTTGAGTTTAAATGGCTGCAACGGGAAAATCTCGTAAACATCCTGTATGTTTCTTCTATACACGCATTTTCTCCCTTTTCGTCCATTTCTTTTTTTTTTTATTGGGGTTACCCGGATATCGTTGAGTTGCCACCGCATCGACGTTAGCTCTCAATACTAACCCTCCTTCCTGCGGACACTCCGACACCCAAACACTCGCAACATTCCTCCCCCCCCTTATCTTGACGACGGCAACAAAATAAAATATAAACACAAAATAAAAATAGTATATTCTTCCAGAGTACTTTTTTTTTCTCTACATTAGCAGTGTCGTTACATAGAGTACGATACAGCACAAGTAAACTTGCAATACAGGGCTAACTTTTGAGGAGTTTTAATCCAGTTGTTTCCCATTTAAGAGAGCGCGTTGCAATATTAAAATCCGTGACCTCCACTTTTAAACTGTCAAGGTATTTCAAAATTTTGGGGACGGGTTAACTGAGCTATATTACCCACTAGCTACCAATAATAAATTCATAATAATAATAATTTCAACAATAATTTTAATGGCTGCTAGTTTAATCCAACCGAAGGAAAAGAGGAAGCTCTCTGAACTTGAGGATATCACGAACAGTAATACATATCATAATAAGAAGATGAAGGCCAATAATATCAATACTACTAGTGCCCGTCAGTACAAGGACCCGGCTCCACAACAACAAAGGTCCCCTTCTCCCACCGACATGACCCCTAGTTCTCGAGTTGTCTCGTCACCTCCTTCAAAGACAAGGTCCAAATCTGTTCTGTTTGCCACCAACAGTTTTAATCATCAAAATCCACATAAACAATATCAAGAGTCTCCCTTATTGACTCCAAAGGAGGAAGATGATTATGATGAAGTGGATACTTGTAGTTCCAAGTCTAACGATGCCTCAAATTCATCGTTTGACCTTGACTTGGATAATAATCCTGATTACATAGCTCTTTCATCAACCCTTCGTTTACTTTATTCTTCAAAGAATGAAATTAGTGGACAAATTAGAAACTTATCACAACTATTGGAATTCCATTCAAAAACTTCAAATAAGGAAGATGTGGTTGAATTTGTCCTTAAGCTAATTAATAACGAATTAAACCTTCCTAAACAAAATAAGGTTATACAAACACCAGTGATCGAATGGACCAAGTACCATCAAGGCTTGAATGTTGGTGATTGGTCGTCGAAAGATGAAAAGCCCTTGTTCAAGACATTACATTTGTTTGACAATTGAACGGGAAGAATAAACGAAAAAAGAAAATAGTTGATTGGGATTGAAAGAAAATAAGAAACAAGAAAAAAAAGTTTAAAAGAATAATGAAATGGTTTATTAAAAAAAGAATGATGATGCGACATAGAAGATTGTTGGTCGCTTATGGTTATGATTATATAGTTTGATTTTGGGTTGGGTAGTTATTTGCTTGATAAATGTATATAGTACAATTAAAAATAAAGAAGCAAAAATGGGAGTAGTCGTGAATTGAAGGTGATTATCGAATATTATATATACCATATTTGATTTTTACTACTTTTCAGTTTTCTTGGTAGTTGGTGCAACTTCTTCATCTTCACTGTCAGTGACCAAAAATGCGTCAGAATTGACAGGAGCATCAGAATTCAATGGTTGCCACTTCTTGTTGTTTGGCTCAGTAAAGCTATCAGATTGCTCGGTTCCAGTTTGGTTCAGACGTCTAGGTAAAACTGGGGCATCATCATCATCATTATCATTATCATGGAGATTAATTCTATCATGGAAGTCATTAGAAAGAATTATTGGATCCTCATCAAACTTCAGCGATTGCTTCTTGTTGTATGAAGAGCCTCCCAAGGCTCCAAAGAGCTTAGGGTTGGTGGAAGGACGTTGTTGTTGTTGTTGTTGCTGGTACTGTTGGTGAGGTTGTTGTTGGCGATTTTGTTGTCTTCTCTCCTGTTCTTGTTCCTCTGGATCTTGGAATTTCTTAGTTAACCCGCTAACCCATCCATTCAACGTAGTTCTGGCCTCTTCAAACCCTTGAGTGAAAGACTCCTTGATTTGTTCAAATTCGTCAGGACTGTCATAATCATTAGGATTTTGTTGACGACGTTGTTGTTGCTGTTGTTGCTGACCCTTTCTTCTTCTGTCATGACGTAAACGTCTTTCATGTTCTTCTCTTTCGTACTCTTGTTGAAGTCTTCTGGCTAATTTCTCGTCATCAGTCAAAGTGGCAACTGGAACAGGTCCTGCACCACTCGAGGATGGAGCTGCACTAATAGGGATTTCTGGCTTAAATGAAGGATCAGAAAGGTATAATAATGCATTAAATGCTGGATCTAATTGTCCAGAAGATGCAATTAATACGGCAGTGATAATCTTATCTTCAATTGAGGGGAAAGCCTCCTTCAACTCCTTTGTACGTTGAGTCACTGGTGAAACTGGTCTGGCAGGTTTGGCAGGAGCATCTTCTTCATCTTGTTCATTCTTTCCAGAAGCATTCACTTTTGAAGATTCCTTCTCGGGAACTGCTGGTGGTTGCTCAGTTTTAGCAACTTCCTTGGTGTCCTTAACGCTTTCAGTCTCTTTCTTAACATCTGAAGTCTCGGATTTCCCATCGTCTAAAGTAACTGGTTCCTGTGGAACAACTGAAAGTTTCTCTACTTCTTTAGCCATAGTTGAATATATAAATAATATATAAAAGTGTCAATTGATTAAAACTATATCTAATTATTAAAACATTTGCCGTTGATCCATATCTAGTACATATCTCACTATTGTGGCACTAAAACCCCCTATTCTACCGCTTACGCGTGCGTCAGATGGCTCTGCGTAATTCTGAGTCCGTTGCACAAGTATAAAGAACGGCCATCACAAATTTTTTTTATGAATGTTTAGTTTTCTTTTCTTCAGATAGATAATTTACTCCGAAATATTTTAGAGCTTTATACTGGCGTTCCATTGGTATAGAGTGTGGACAGCGGAGGCATAAAGATAGGATGTTGGTTCTGGTTGGAATTTTATTTTCGCCAGGGATCTGATATATGTTCAGATCCATCAGCCATCATTCGATAGATTGTAGAATTTAAAACTGTGTAAATGAAAGTATCATCATAACATATATTGAAACCTGTCTCAATATTATTTGATGATTCTTTGTTGTAGGATATCTAAACATCGTTTTATGCTACATTTATTTAATCATCTACTCTCAAACGGGGGGTCAAACAACCTACTAATCCTAGTTCTACAAAAATTTTATCTTTGATTCTATGACGTATTTTATATATCCAACCGTCTATGGATGTGAAGTTATATTTCAAATGGAAAAAAAAGGACTTCAATGATGTGTGGAGCATCTCCGCTCGTCTCCTTGATTTCTTCGTTTACTATGGTTTTCTCATGTTTTACATTACTCTCCCTCCGATGCTATCCTGTCTAAGCAGAAGATTCTTCCTTCATGGTCTTCTTAAGTTCGCTCAACTCTTGTTGTCTTCTCTTGAAGTCCAAGTTTTCACATTCTTCCCATGAATGCTTGTCTTGCTTACACACAATTGATGAGTTTGCGGATTGTCTGACAAGACATATTTTGTAAAGAGCGTAATAGGCAGCACATCTATCTCTCCACTTCAATGGAACTTTGTACTTTTGCAAATCTTCTTCAGAAACTAAAATATCTTGTTAGTACATATTTCATCAGAATTCAATATCTCCCCCTTCAACGAATTATTCTTTCTCCTCTCCCTCATTATGTTCAAACGTTACTTACGAAGTGGTGGGAACTCAGTGACAGTCATTTTTACACTCGTTTAGTAGTACAGTATATAACCTAGATACCTTTACAAATGATTTTGGTTTTTTCTGGTCATATCAAACGTCCTCATAGGCCAATTAAAAATTACACAAATGTATATGCAGGATATATCAGATATTATAATACTTACTTAAGAAGATAGAAAACAAAATCATAGTTTTAATAAAACAAATGGTTTAAAAATGATATTTATATATTGTAAGTTGATTCTAATTATACATAGCTTTTGTTCGAATTTGATTTTAGAAGTAGAAGAAAAAAATCAGCGATAGTAGTAAAAAGGTAGAATATGTTGGAAAGTGTTCGACTCAACATATGTTCTAATTCTTCCTAATAACCCGATGTATGGTTTACCATGCCTTTGCCCTTTTCATTTCCTCTTCTTCGAGAGTTAACCTACTCTACTAAAGCAGTGCCGAACATGCAAAGGTAGTTTATTTGTGAGCAGCAAGTCTGTCCTTAAGAGTGAAGTATTGACACTTGAAGAACTCATCCTTAGTCTTGGCACAGAAGGAGGTTCCCTTGTCGAGACACTTGTAGTATTCGATCAATGGGGCAGCACAGTGGTCTCTATGCACGAATGGAACGTCATGAGCGTCCATGTCTTCTTGGGAAGCTGTAAATGTATTGTTAGTAACAAATTTTCGTATCATTTCTTTCTCCAATCTTAAAGGGAGAACAAAACAAAAAAGTAAAGAGTCCCTCATCATTCAACTTGTAGATAATCTTCCAAATGTAAACATAGTCTTAGCATTGTATACTAAAGTCCATGAACCTGACTTTTTACTTTATTTTTTTTTTTTAGTCAAATGGAAGACAATAGTTTCAAATCATCCACAAATATAATTGGGAGGCCCTCTCAAAGTTATGGTTACATACCGAGAGCAGGATATTCGTATTTTTCAGCAGTCATTTTGGCTCTAACTAATCAATCAATTCAAAGTTTGAGTCTCTTTCCTTTTACATATTTTAATCAAATTGAATGTAATTGGTGATCAGTCAGATTTGTCAGAGATTAGGTAATCGTAAGAAAATTAAATTTCATAAAAAAAAATTATTTCCCAATAGTGAGAAAAATATAAAAAAGAAATGCTGGTCCCAGGAATCGAACCTGGGTTTGTTCGGCCACAACGAACTGTACTAACCACTATACGAGACCAGCTGATTTTCGAAAGATGAAACTTCTGAGGTTGTCCAGCGTAGACTACCCATAGAATGCACATCCATACACCCATACATTAAATGTTTTTATGAATTATTACTATCAATCAGTCAATAAATGTAAAGTTTGGCATAATATTAATTATGAATAAGTCTCTCGGTATCCAGTGGTATATAAAACAAATCAGTTTTACCATAAAAATAAAAACTTTTTAGAGTTAATAATTTTTACTGATTCAAAATTTTAAAAATTGAAGGTAAAAATATTATTTTGATAAACTTTTTGAAGATAGATTTAGATGTCTTATATTCTGATATGGAAGTAATCTTTATTCATTAATTTTGGTCTTAAAGTGAAGGAAATGTTAAATGAATGATAAATGCTATCTAGTTCTACCTGCAAAACACTTACCTATATAGTTATTCAAATGAGTAAAGAAGGAATTATAGATAGATATTTTAACAGGGGAATCTGGTGGTTCTAGCTTAAGTGAAGAAGATTAGAAAGAGAAAGGTCTTACATAGTAGTATATAATTATTTATTTCCTCCATGGTTCTTTTTAAAAAATAGTTAGTTGACTTCATCGAATGTGTGTTGAAGTCTAAAGAGTTTAGGTATATTCAAGTAGCTTTTACTTAGTAAGATTTTCTCGTTGAAATTATAATACGTCTTACCACAGCGAGGGTTTGAATTAGAGTAGAAGGTACTGGTATGTAGTAAAGTGGCCCTTGAAGAAATCGAGTAGGTATCATTGCCTAAAACCATTTACAATGCAAAGTTTGAAACTAGTTGATTCCAAGAACAAACACCATTAATTAATGTGAGAAGATAAGGAGAGTACTCACTGAATATCTAAGGAAATCTATCAGACATTGTAGAAAATGTTCCTCTAGTGACTTAAAAAATATCACACAATTGGTGACGTAACATTCTTTTGAATTGTTAGTACTTTAAAAAAGATACAGCTGATTCTGAATTTAATCAGTACTAGAACTGCAATTCACCAAATTAAGACAATTGTGAAGTATGTGACCTGAGATCAATCGAATAAGTCCAAGCTAGATGTCTGTACTTTAATCGAGTTCGGGGAGAAGGAGACTTCGGAGAAAAGGATATGTAATACAAATAAATCCATTGTTAGATCTTGGCATGCAATCAATCAATCAAGGGCCAAGACTACCCCTGATTTCCATATCCCCAAAGAGTTATTCTCTTATTCTATGACATTATTATTGAATTCTTCATGTGAAGAATCCCAAATCATATTTTTTAAAGTTTTGCAACCAAATTTTTTTAAAAGAAGGAAAAATGAAAAAAAAGACAATCAGCAAGGGTGCCCCCCCCCACATGTAAATATGAATCAACGAAGCAACATACTATTTCTGCAATCATGAGCACATTTTTCAATACCTCCATGCAACCTGACTGGAAGCCCTGGCTATAGAATTTCATATTAATGTACATACCTTGACCGATGTATATGCAAAAGTGTACCCTCTTCAAATAAACGACTGATTTCCTATTATGGACTTATTTCCGGCTGATGTCCACCCGGCAATAATGTGTGCGATGTTTGCGCGGGGGAGGGGGAGCGAAAAACAAAAAAAATAAAACATCTTTCCCTCGTGATCGGACTTATTCACGGTCGTGCAAAGTGGATTATTTTCGCTCCCCTGAATCCATTGGTGTAAGAATGCCAGTACAAGGAATAGTGTAAAAAATATTTAGACAATGACAATTTTGTAATAGCCCCGACTCATTCTTGCGGCTTTACAACTAAACTTTGTCGGTTCGTCCGTTCCACGATCCAATACTTAGAAAGTAGGCGCAAGAAATGGAGAATCGATCATACGTATAGACTTCCTGATCTAGATTATAGTTTGAATCTAGTGGCAATCCTGTAATATGCGTATCTGTATTGCGGGCACTACGGAGGGGGCGGGCACACTCAGTGCACACTCAGTCCCACAGACAATTTACGCAGCATATAACCAATTCTGGTAAGATGTGTAGGGCCCACTCTCAAAACTTTTTTGGCAGTGTCTACTCTACAGGGAGTTTTCAATATAAGTCCACTTTATGCATATAGTACAATCAGTAGAAAAAAAAAAAAAAAGAGACTCTGGCCGGGAATAAGAAGTGTAATTCGCACGTTAAGATTTTTTTCTAGTACATATAGAAACTACCGAGGAGCTTGCATTTTAAGGAATTAGACATCAAGCTTCGTTCGGGGACAAGCTTTCGCTGTAACTAGAACTAAATCTATAGGGTAGCACCAATAAAACGATGCAAACGAAGATATCAAAATAGTAAACGCTGCAGTGTATTAGGTCTACACTAGACTAATTAGTTAATCTGAAATGAAACGACGCCAAATCACAAAGTTGTGGAACATACAGGACCGGCCAAGAGTTGGCAGATTTTTGTAGAGATCGTGCATTGTTCCAGGCTTTGGGTTGGGATAGCCTTACTTTGCTCATAATGGAAATCACGGGGTACCGCTGCTTCAAAGTAGTAGGTTAGAATTGCGCGCATCATACTTAAATTGCGCCGCTTCCAACATGAGGTATGCATCTACACGCAGATGGTGTGATCTCACAGTTTGGCGCATGGAATTCGTCTTTCTTTTCGTTGCGCGCCTGTCTTCGCCCCATTCTGAGTCAAAACTAGCGAGGGTTACCGCTGAACTTGGTACACCCTACAATAAACCATGCATGAACTGTAGTTTTGCGAGAATAAAAAAATATTCTATCAAGATACGTAGGTGGGGGGGATCACATATTGCCGTATTGGTTTTGTTTAGGTTCAGCGAGTTTCAGGTGTAATCTAGACCCCCCCCTCCTCAGTGTGGAACCACTGGATCCTGCTTGTTCTAGTGGAAGGAGTCAACAAACTGGCGTCGATATTTCCAAACCAACTGAAAGCTTTCTTATCAGTCAGTAGCTGAGGCGGCACATTCTCCATTGTATCTGGTTTGTACATTCTCCATGGTACCCTCTGGCTTGCACATTCTGCAGGATCTTCAATTCCCCTGAAATGACGAGCACACAATCTGTAGATGTCACCAAGCGCCTTCATGTACAATTTGGACTTAGTTGCGAGAACTTGACTTTCGCAATGTACACACAACAGATACAAAAATAGAATTTAGAATTTAGGTTAGAATTTAAAATTTGAGAAACTTGCCTAGAAAACAATGCATTCACTAGATCTTGTAGTAGTAGCAGGTGGTGCCCGTATTATTCCCGGTATTGTTTCATGACACCCACTTGGCCGAATGGCTCCGAGAGGGCTTTGAAGGGGAACCCCATGACAGGTACGAATTCTTCTACCCAACAAGAGGTATGCAAAGACGTGCCCTCCCCCTCGCGATAACCCAGTTTCTCTCAATCTTGTCGATAGTCGATACCATCTGCAGATAGATGCCTGTCTCGACAAGCCGCCTGCTCCCAAGAATAGATTGTCGAGGGTGCAGGAAGTCATAGGATATATGCGTCAATCTCATTTCATGTCGCACATTTCGCCTACATTAAAACCGATACGTACTTATCATTCCCGAGTTCTTTTTTAACAAACCCACTTTAAGTTTTCTCTGAGGAATAGCGCTTCGGGTACTATTTGGACTTCAAGATAATCGATCGTGCAGGAGATGTGTTTTACTGGCCAGAGTTAGAGTCTATTCCAAGAAGGAAATAACAAAATTGTAAGAGGTATACATTTTTGTGTAGGTTATACTACCGGGGGAAAGGGTCTCAGACCAGAGGAGGTGGCTGTGGGGCCATGTCATAGACCCTACCCTTACTTGCTACGTCCATTATGAACAGTGCCGGCTAATACATTTCCCATATGTACGAAACGGCAACCGGCTAATTTGGAAATAATTATTTCCGAAGCCGACTCACTTGCCAAATCCATATCTTAAAAATAGAAAAGAATCTAAAAAAGTTCATGCACGGTGAGCTCGAAAATACATGCGGTTAAAAACTTTTCCGAACAATCTCACAACTCCGATTGCTAAATCCGATCGCAATAAAAACTCTTCCTGCACGAGACATCGAAGACCCTACCGACCATCACTTTTTTAAGTGCTCTATGATCATGCCCGATAGTCCAACTTAAGCGCACCGGTCTCGGTGACTAGATGCAATAAGGTTATTCTTTGTTCCGCCACAAAGTAGCATTTTTGTCAGCGTTCATTGTTGTTTCATACCATAATTTGGAACCCACAGATGCATTCCCTAGATGGCAAAAAAAAAAAAAAACAAATTGAAAGAAAGAAGCGCAAAATACATTCAAATTAAGGGAAAAAAAAAAAACTGCTCTGTGAAGGTATGCGGGTAAAGTGAAATCCAGTATTCCCGAGTAAATTGATGTAGAACAATTGCATTGAAAAAAAGCCTTTTGTACATTGTTCGAGGCAGGAGGAAAATATCAAGATTCTGTCGGGTGGCCATTTAAAACTACAACGATCTCCAATACCTTCAACCAGAGGTGCTTTTCAAGAAAAAAAAGACTCTCATGAGTGTGTAGCAGGAGGACGAGCAAAAACAAAAAAAAAAAAAGAGGCGTCGTGTCCAGACTGTATTCCCTACCTACGCTGCATGCTGCTGCCGCATGTACAAATTAATCGGACGTCGTCCTCGACCAGACTGCATATGGCGCGACGCATAGCTCCAAACATTCATGCTGCACGCATTTTAGTGCCTCCTCCGTCCCATGCATAAGCACATCTCGTTAGATTCATTATAAGTGATGATGTGCAATCCAGGGTCTGTCGCGCCGCACTGCACACTGCACACGGACTTATTCTTTACCTTCTGTGTTAACACATTTGGTAGTTATGCCCGTTCACTATTTTTTCTATATAAACTGACGGCCTACCCTGTCATCCATTGATTTTGGATCTGCCGGATCATAGATAGTTTCAAAACTAGTATTTTTTTAGATTACATTGTATCTACCCCCAGTTGACGGATTCTTTAGTGCTACACATTCGAGCGTCCAATTAAAAACTTTTTTTAAAAATGGCATCATCCACCAGTCGTGTACGCTTGCCCTCTATAAGTGAGCTCACTTCATCCACCTCCTCATACATCCCGTCGTTATCGCCACGGATCAAGGAGGAGAAGGAAGAAGTCCCACCAATAGAGACTGCTTCGTACAAATATCCAATTAAGCATTCGACTCCAAATTATGTGTTGAGCACCAATAATGCCGCTGTTCCTCCTCCCCCACCTCCTGCATCCTCCACCCCGGCCTCTTTCCCCAAGCTGGCCGCTCCAGTGACCCCTAACTTCGAGGCACAACAACATCCTAGCCAATACCAATCTCCATTGGCCCAACCACAATATCAATCGCCTCCATCCCAATATCCATATCACCCAGCATACCAACAACATTCTCATGTCACACACTCTCCTACTCAACAACATCAACAGCAGCAAGGTCTTCGCCCCATTGCGGCCCCAGGTCCTCCACCTCCAGCACCGGCACCAGCCCCAGCCCCTGCCGCATACTCGTACGGAGGCTACTACCAGCCGGTGTACTACCCACAACAACAACCACAACAGGGCCCAATTCCACCCCATCCTCACATGCATTCCACCCAACAACAACACATCCACCACTACCCACCACATGGCAACTCTGCGACTGGAGCGCAATTTGCTGTGCCAGAAGTCATCAACAAGCCAAACAATAAGTGTCACAGATGCGGGACTACTGAGACCCCCGAATGGCGCAGAGGACCCAACGGGGTTAGAACTTTGTGTAATGCTTGTGGATTGTTTCATGCAAAGTTGGTTAAGAGGAAAGGTGCCGCATTAGCCGCCGAGGAAGTACTTAACAACAAGGTGTGCAAGGGTAAGAACGGCAGAAGGATCTCAATCAAGAAGCACAATACGGAGAACTCTTTGAAGAGTCACCTTCAAGTGCAACAACACCAACAACTTCACATGAACGAGCCACCAAAGATGCTCCACCAGGGCTTGCCTCCTATCATGGGCCCCGCTTTCCCCCCTTTCACCGTTCACCCTGCCATGATCCGCCCATAAGCGCCCCCCGCCGCCTGTATAGAGAGAAATAATCCTACGAATAATACGACTTTTTAATAATACTAATAATACCTAATAATAATGAACTTCAGAAGATAATTGAACATTGTAGACGCTGCCAATAATGGCCCAGGAAGAACAAAGAGCCCATAACCAGAACGGTACTTTCCATTGAAGGTTGGAAAAACGAGACAATAAGAAATGATAAATCTTAAAAGAAGGGGCAACTAATTCCGAATCGTGCATGGAATTCTTAATTCTTTGCATTTGTAACAAATCTTTTTTTTTTCTCGTACATTTGTCAGTGCCAGCGCTCATGATTGTTTTTTTCTTTGTGATTGGAGATGCATTGTAGCGACGATGATCATCTTTTTGTGTGTACCCACAACAATTTTCGCGTTATCCCCCACTTTTGTTTCCCAGCTTGTGAGGAAGACCCAGAAAATGTGGGTGTGGGAGGGGTGTGGGGGGGTGCCTTTACGGAAAAACGTTACTGTTTCAGTTTAGTAATTTCAGGAGGATCGTAGTCAACGTGTCATAAAATGGCGTGGTTTAGCTAAAATAGCCAGGCACTAGAGGAATTAAAGGGCACCCTCTGTGCATGACGTACCTTGGGATAGCATGTAGCAAGGCAAACTTCACAAGCCTGAATGAATCGCTACATTCCGACTTACCAACAGGAGGATGTATGTCCTCTTTCTCCGCATCATGCGTGCGGTTGTTGCCCCAAAAAGTTTGTAACATAGTCGAGAATGCACGATTCCTGCAGCTAGAGATCGATCCACCCTGGAAAGAACACGGGGGATGTGGGAAATTAATACCAAAAAAAAAAATAGACGGAGTAGGAAATGCGCTCTTTTGCTCTCATAAGGGATCTACTCTAACTTTTTAGTTTGTGTTTTTAGTTTGTGTTTTTTTCGTTTCCCCTTTTCTTCTGGCCGAGGTTCTTTTAGCTATTTGCTGGGTGGAAATGGTTCGACCAGGGGTTGTCACGTTGCGTTACCAACAAAGGTGGACGCCACACAGCAATTATGTAAGTCAAGTTAAGTCCTCGTCTTGCGTTTTCATTCTGAGAAACAAAAGAAATTTTTGCGCGCACACGGCCAAAATTAAAAGATGCAGTGTGAGTCTGCGTCATCACAACACTCCCACTTGCTTAATGCAGAAGTGGTACACATTTGAGGATTGTTTTGCAAGACAAGATTTTGACAAGGATCTTCGTCAATGTGAAAAGATCCTCTGGTAATGTTCGGCAACTTCTTTAGATTTCCTGGACGCCAGAATTGTTGACTGGCTCCCTATACTACATGAATGCGCCCTCCCCGATGCACATTGGGGACCACATTCCTACACTATATGAGTAGTCGATCTATTTAAAATTGTAGTGGTGTTCTAAAATATACGAATTAAAAATCGGGAATGATAGTCGTCTCTATACCTTCACACCTTGCTAAAAAAAAAGATGAACCTGCAAAAGACTTTTCTGAAGAAAATTAGAGGCGCGAAGGTGCCAGCGGACTTAATCTTTACTTGCATGAAAAAAATAACGTGCCTCAATCCTAAAAAAAAAAGACCGATTAGATGCAGTACATATTACGTATATACATAAGTATGATTTTTTTTTTTTATTTTACTCTAAACATCAAATCCGTTCGTGCGTAAGGTCTCCCGTACAGACGCAAGTACGTCATTGTGGACACCTGCGGTAGGATGGGCTATGGCCAGGCCCCAATCCTGGTCGCGGTACACGCCAGTTCTTAGTAAAAGGGACTCCCAACCGGCGTCATTCGCGCCTTTGATATCGGACGCAGGGTTATCACCAACCATGTAGATCTTATCAAAGGGCAGATTGGTTGGAGTAACGCCAAGTTCTGGCAAGATTTGAGCGGAGGATTCATTTTGAAGAGTAACACCGCCATTAGTTGCCATCTTGGCCTTCCAATCAATCAATACGTGATGGGCGTAATCGTACAGCACTTTGAAAGGTTTTCCCATGATGGTGGATTCTAATTTAGCGCCCAGATTGGATTCGGCATATAGGGCCTCGATCATAAGCCTCACTGCACCTTGACCAAAGCGAGGGAGCTTATAATCATTAGCCCATAAGAAATCATTATTACTAAAAATAATGGGGATTGAAGGGGTTGATCTCAAGGTGGTGGTTGTATGTTCTCTATGAGTACCAATAACACCATTTTTTGAATTTAACATGTCAAGAATAATTTGAATATCAGTTGACATATCACGAGGATCATTAAATACCAAGACTGCATCCACTGGAGTTGAAATATCAACATCTTTCAAGGCAAATTTATTTAATTCTTCTTGAGTAAATCGATGATGTGGTGATATAGATGGATCTTTCCTAACTAAATCAATAGGCATAATTACATCTTTAAATCCATATTCTAAGGCACAATGTCTTGCCAGGTCGTTTGGGCCGCCCACGACCATCACCCGCTTATACTTGTTAATTTGAGCCTTTAAAGGGGTATGAGATTGAACAATTTGTAAAGGAGAAAGTGGGACCCCGATTTCGGAAGATAAAAAGTTTACTCTACTACTTTCAGTAACCCCTCCACCATTTGTAAGTAAGATGAAGGGAATATTATTTTTATTTAAAAGTTCTAATGCGGGTTTTGCGGTTGGTAATGCCTTTGATCCTCGTACAAGTACTCCATCTATATCGAACACAAACGCTATTTGTTTGAGAGATCGCGATGCAGAATAGAAGGGTCTTCCCCTGTTAACCGTGGACTTTACAAATGAGAAGAACATTATCAATTGAATGAACAAGAATGAGAAAGAACCTGATTCTTTGTTAATCTCTATTCTTTATTTTTTATTTTTATTGATAATCAACTTTTTGTGGATTATGTAATCGCTGAATAATGAGTTAATAAAGTTTACAAATGTAAAAGATTAGGAGGATGATGAAGTAAGAATTTAGATTAATGGTAGAGATTGAGAGGATTTTTTGCTTGAAATAGGTTAGAAAGAAGGTATTTTAATATTGGATAATGTAACAAAGGAGTTTCAGGGTCTTCGATTGAAAAAGATGTCATGGAGAAAGAATTTTTGTAAGGAGATTGGCTGCAAAACAGTAAATATGAAATCTTTGTACTTTCATGTCCTAACCTTTTGATACGTTGCTTGACCTGTAGGGTGATTACCAACTACCCCGTGGGATATGAAGTTTTTAGTCCCTGTGCAGGGGAAGGGCCACTGTGTGGGTCCTAACTTGTCTACGAGGGAGATCTATAGGCTCTTTGCACCCACAAGCATTTGTACCACCTGGTACCCGTACGAGAGAGACCACATTCTACTAGTTTATAGACACAAGGCTATTACATCATGTAGAGTAGATACTTGATGTTTTTTAGTTTTGACTAGCTCAATATTGGAACTCGAGTGTGACTAGGTGACCCACGGTCATATTCCACTACCAGTGACTTGAGAGTCTTAGCATCCCACAGGGAAGTATCTTGCCACTCCAAGGAGGTTTTAAGAAGATCCGCGATCCACTAGTTCCAGGGGGGCAATAAGAGGGTCCTCAGAAAGGAGCTAAACATCACACAGTGGCCCTCCCGGGACTAGCAGGGGCCGACGAAGTATCTTCCTGTCCCACAGGGTAGTCGAGGAATCTGCTAGCCGCTACAATGTAACTCTTCTGGCACTCTGTGGACCACAAGCTGTGGGGGATCTCATACCCCAACGAAAAATTCAATCGACTTACATCTCAACTTTCTCAGATATGAACGGCAGTTCTATTCTATTCTATGCTATTCTATTCTATTCTAGCTCAATTTTATTCTATTAGAGCAATAAATAATATCCTCTTTGATTATTTCTCTTGGACTTTTTCAATCAATTCTAATAATGGGTTAAAATTCGAATGGCCCCCATTCCATCCCTCTTCAACTGTCCATTTGGAGTTACCTTCTATTTTAGCCTTTTCAATCACCTCACATGCATAACCAGTAACAAGCAAACCCGGTGGTCTAGACCCATTTGCTTCAACCGCTTCTGCAACATCTCCAAGACGTGTACGGATAATCCGTTGATCAGGACATGATGCACGTTCCACTACAGCAACGGGCAATTCTGGATCCCAACCCTTTTCCTTTATCAAATTTGGAATCAAATCAACCACTCTATGTAATGACATAAGGAAAACAGTTGTTCTAGATTTAACAAACTCAGGTAAATTAGGCAATGCTCCACGACGACCTGTACCAGTACAGATCAAGACCTGATCAGCCACTTCTCTATGAGTTGCTGGAATGTTGGATAGCACCGGTGCTGCCAAGGCCAGGGTTATTCCTGGCAATACTTGTGGTACAAACCCATGTTCCGCAAAGAAATTGTACTCTTCACCTCCACGGCCGAAAATGTATGGGTCACCTTGTTTCAACCTCACAACCTTTTCACCGTTTTGTAAGGCTTCAAGGCCAAGCGAAAGAAGTTCCTCTTGAGCCCTTTCAGCATTACCAGGGAATTTCCTAGCAATGAATAGTTTTGTTCTTTGTCTTGGTATCAAATCAAGAACTTGTTGTGGCACCAATTTATCAGCCAAGATGAGATCGGCACTGTAAATCTCCTGCAAAGCACCCAAGGTTAAAAGAGATACCGATCCAGGTCCAGATCCCACAAGAGAAATCTTCCCCTTCTTCGCCACTACCCCACTGGAGTTTACCTTGGAGTCAATTTTCGCAGCCATTTCAATTTTGGTGTTTTTGTATGCATTGGTCAAATCATCAAGAGAGATCTCCAGCAATGAACTCAATGGGAAATATTCCACAATCTGGGAAAGCCATTTAGTTCTTTGAAGTTTATTTTGTTCTTTGGTCATGTTGAACTCTTCAACCAAGGCATTCAATTTATTACTATGCACTGCATCGTCATCATGTTCTCCAATGGTAGTTTCTTCGAGTTGATCTTCCTCTTGGATTCTCTTACGAAGCTCTCCAACCTTATTACATACTTCTCCAATATTTTGTGGTAACGTTGCAGCCAATTCTCGTTTGATCCTAGACGCCAATTTGCAACCTTTTCCATTGGTGGACACCCCCAATTGGAAGTCACCGGAGGTGAAGGTGGATAATAAGGTGAATGTACAAAGCTCTGGAGAATCGGAAACATTGACAGGTATTCTTAATTTCCGAGATTCATCATAGATCAATTTTTTGGTGGAATATTCACTGATTGGTAATGACACAAAGACTTTATCAACTACGTTTGCCACCTCTGGTCTTCCCAAGGTGGTCAAGTCTTGCACGTCAAACTTCTTATTGAGTAATTCAACTTGTGTTGGGTACAAGTCAAATGTGGTTCTAATGGTGATGGGTAAGTTTTCCAATGATTCCTCACAGATAACTTTTACATTTGCACCAGCTTCACAAGCAGAGTTTATACGGAGAGCAGATGCATTTGAGCCTCCTATCACAAGGTGGACTTCACCTTTACACTTCCAGGAAGTAAGAAGTGTCATTGATAAAAAAGAAAGTTGAGGGCAAAAAAGGAAAAAGATAGGAATACAAAAGTTACATATATATCATCTTTCTATCTGGAACCCCAGGTTGGTAGAAAAATAGAGAAAAACGAAATCTTATCACCATTCACGTGATATATTGTCATCAAAGATTTTTTATTTTTGATTAGTTCTTCTTTTTTATATGCAGACTGAGAAAGTCTACCCGTTTATGTGCAGACCGAGAAGACCTACTCATCACCTGACCATGGTCAAAAAAAATGAAACATGAACTGATTGTCAATGATAGAGATATTAATTTAGAATAAAACCTTGATTTCTCTTTTATAATAACTGCAAGATGGCTAAGAGAAGCAAACATCTTGGATTGGGCAAAGCTGCCAAGGCTAAGAAACAAAAGGTTGCTGAGACCACCGAAGAAACTGGCGATGAATCAAGTGCTTCTGCCACGCCAAGCAATGAAATCACAGTTGAACTTAATGAAGCTGCCGATGCTGACGATGAAATGGCTCAATTGAAGGCATTATGGGGCACATATTCCAAGTCCGAGAAGGAAAACGAACTTGTTCTCAATGGGATCATCCATGAATGTGACCGTTTGTTGAGAAATGGTAGTGAAGATGAAAAGGTTATCATTCCAGATTATTTCCATTCTATCTATGCACTTGCCTTATCAGAACTCGCACTTTTCCATACTGTAGATGAAGATAGTGACAAGAAAATTAAAGAATATTTCACTGCTGCATTAGAAAGAATAGAATTAGGACTTGAAGCTAACCCTGAATCCATTGATCTTTTGTTTGCCAAGAGTAGAATTCTTATGAATAGAATTCCATTACAATATATTTCACAATTGAAGCAAGATGTTACATCTAAAGTTCCAAAACTTGAAAAACTTCTTGATGAAGCGTTAAAAATTTATGAAAATGCTGAAACTAAAAGTGAAAGTTCAAAAGATTTGCAGCATTTTAATGAAGAAAATTTGATCATTCTTGAAGCTCTTGATGATTTATTGGATATGGTTGACAATTTCGGAAGACCACAAAAGGAAGATGAACAAGATGATGATGATGAAGAGGAATCTGGAGATGGTGAAGATGAAGTAGAACTTCCAGAAGACCATCCATTGTACGAAATCAAGAATTCTGACTCATACAACCAATGGTGGAGAGATCATACCATTATCTTTTTAGAGAAGGTGAATGCTAGAGAATCCAGTGAGGAAGTTATTGGACTTCGTAGAGAATTGGCCAAGAGACTTGGACAATCATACTTACAAGAGGCTGAAATTCCTTCTTCTGTGTATACTGCCCTCACTTACGATGAAGGACTTGAAGATGTCAAGGAATTACATGGATTAACCAGGGAACAAGCTCAAGAAATCTCCAAGGAATTGTTTATCACCGCCACCAAGTATTTCGAATTGGCTCAAGATAAAGATGAACCAGAATCTTGGGTACCTATTGCTGAAGCCAAGATTTCTCTTGGTAACTTGTATGAACTTGAGAGTGAAGAACAAGAAAAGTTGTACAAGGATGCTGAGAAGATTTTGATTAAGGCCAACAAGGCCACTCAAGGTAAATATCAGGACATTTTAGATAACTTACAGTAGAGAGAAATGATTAATATACGAAAATGATTAGAATAATAAGAAATGGAAGAAGAGGTGATTAATATACGAAAATGATTAGAATAAGAAGTGATTAGAATAAGAGTGATTAGAATTAGAAGTGTAATAAAGAAGTGTCAATAAATATTTGTTGGTAAAAAGATGAAACATGTGAAGTGTTGCAAATGTGGCAATTTCCAAGAATAAAGAATATGTGTTTGTTTTAAGATAGAGGTAACATAAGGATGAAGGATAAGGGCTGGTATGACAAGATTATCGGTCTATCAAGCTAACGAGTTAGATATTTACCAAAGTTAATCACATCCACTTACACAAGTACAACCTACACATTTGTTTAATATTTTTATATTTTCTCATTCTCATTATCGTATTAATACCCATATGGGGTGCTGTATCTACTAGTGTATATATATACATATACATATATCGTTAAACCCTAGGGGCCATAGTGCTTTCACTGTGTAACTTCATGGCATTTCTTTCATGAGCTGAATCCCTGCAATATTGCAAGTCTTGACAGTGATGGTCTTCAAGAAGACGGTGCTTAGCACAAAACTTACCAGAGCAGTGCGAGCATTCGCCAACCATTCTTAATGGTGCAGAGGAGCACGATTTAAAAGAACAGCGGGACTTCTTCTTTGTGGCGTTGGTGGTCTTTCTGACGGTGGTAGGGGTCAAGGATGGAGAACTGATTGGACTGGCCACTCCGTTACTCATCAAAATAATGTCACTACCTTCTGGACTGATACCAAAATCCAGAAGAAGTTTGTAATGGGGGTCCAACTTTTGCCCGTTATAAATAAGCTTAAAGTCAGTGGGGAGTTTGGCTGATGGGGGACACGCCACTTTTGCTGAGGTTCGAAGGTCTTGCACGGTCGAGTTGTCAGGGATGGTGAGCGTGTAAGCCGAGTTGGTGGATAATCTAATTGTAATTCTCATGGTTGGGCGTGAGTCGGGTTTATGATTTAAGGGGCAATATCGCGGGGTTGATCAGAATAAATATAAACTGTTTCAGTAACTATTTCGTTAAAGTCTCTCCTAATGCAAAGATAAGGAAAGAAACGGTAGGAAAAGAAGGAAAAAAAAAAATAACTTTAGAAGAAAGGTAAGTTGATTTATGTGGTCACCAGATTGAATCAATGATGCTCGGTTGGATTGAAAGGTACTTGCGCCTTTGCGCCTTTGTTGCCACTGTTTCTGCACCGATAGGGCCAGTACAGGAACAGCCGGTGTATGCAGAGCGAGTCGAGAAAAAGCAATACCCACAAGAAAAAAGAAATTTACGACGGGGATATCAATTTGTGACAGGATAGACTCATATATATGGGAGAGAAGGGTTTTTAAAAATAGGAAATAGTTCTCTCTCTTACAATGACCCCGTGTAGTACGGGACATAACAAACGGCACCATATGCCTAAACTCTGTTTTTTTTTATTTAGTTTGTTTGTTCGTGGAGGCAGTGAATCCTTTTTGTGTCTATGAGGTCACACTTCAAAAAACCAAATATGGATCCTCCTGTTCCGCAGTTAGGTTGGTTTGTAGCATCCAAAAATATCCGGCATAGTATATCGAACAACGATACCGAGACTTCCCACCCACAGTGAAGTAGTACAAAAAGAATGAGTAATCTAACACATTTTACAAGGCACGCATGTATTGCGGATGACTTCATAATGGACTTATGGTTGTCACCCACATGCGACTGAATTCACACATTATTCTATGGGGTATTACAGAAGTGGCTAAAAATCTATTCGTGTGTATTCATGTGTATATATTTTTTTCTATCTTTATTCGTAAATTCATTAAGGTTTGTCGTCGTGTACGTCATGATTTCATGCTAATTTGTACTCAGAAACGTCGTTTCCCAATTCGGACAACAGGGTAACGGACGGAGCTTCGTACAGGACTTTCGAAGAGTCCAAAGGTTCACCACTATTTGGATCACTAAACAAAATGTGAGGAATATGATCAGGAGATGCAGTTGGAGTGTAGGATGGGATCAATGTAGAAAATCCAGTCGAAGTGTAGGCCAAATTTTCTGGGGTTGATAAAGTTGCCCTGAATTGCACGTCGGCAGGAATAGGAGTTGCCAGCACCGTAGCTACAAGGGAGATGAGATATAAGATGTGCATGAGTAGGGTGGTATCGGCGGTGTTGGCTGATATGACTATCTAATTGCTTGAATTGAGCCGGCTTCTCTGGAGGTTTTATATATGAAACCTGCTGCGGTCATTTACTGCATCTGAGCCTTTGTTGTGTTTTGGTGGTGTTTCGCGTTTTTTTGTTTAGGTTGCAACATCAGGGGGATAAGGATTAATGCATAGAATGGATGCGAGCCCGCCGATCGTCTAGACTCCAGTCCACGGTTTATTCCAATTGTTCCGTGGAGAAACCAGCTTAGTCCGTTAGGAGCAACTTGTCATGGGTTGACCAGCAAGAAAACACCATAGGGGTGCTCTACATTTTCAGGGCTATGCTATATCTTTTTTTTTTCTTCTAGTAGAATATTTCCAAATTGTACTCAATCAAACCAAAACCAAAATTGAATCCAAATTGTCCTTACAACTACTTTGAAACTAATTTTATTCAATGCATGTAGCTCGTCCTATAGATGGCCCATCAAATTCTCAAACGCGCTCAAATTCGCACCTTTCTGTTTCAGATTCTCAACAGGGCTTCAAAAATGATGCATCGAGTAGTGCACGATAATTAGCTCATACGAACAGATTTTCTCTACAATTCTGCTACAATTGTCCTACATAGATAGGAGTCATAGGGCTGGTATCGAACACGCTTCATTATTGTCAATCTTTGTATTATTTATTTCCTATTTACAACTCAGTCACGTGCACAGCCCCCCTGCCCCTCCTCGTAGAGGAGCTAAGCACCACGCAGTGGCTCTCCCCGAGCAGGGGCCAGCGGAGCGTCGTGGGGGCAGTGCACTTACTTCTTGGATACCCTTCTTCTACGAATTTGAGATTCATCCACCACTTGTGAAGATTCCTTTAAATTGCGTTCTTGTTCATCTTCTTTATCAGATTCAGATTCAGATTCATCTTCACCATCTCCATGATTGGAGAAGATAGGGATGTCTGCTAAATCGTTAAGATTAAAATTCGATAACCCTCCATTTAATACACCTTGGTTGGTCTTAGGATCTTCTGATTCTTCACTATCACTGGTGTAATCATCCTCTTTAATTTCATTGTAGTCCCGGTAAAATTGATCGTAATCTTTGAAAATCCCCGGTCCATATTTTTCACAAAATTCAGTCACTTCATTAGCCAAAACTCTTCTTCTATCTCTCAATTCTTTCAATTGCATGATATCGGAATTACTGCTCAAAAATGCATAGAATAAAGGCTTTAACGATTTGTAGTAGTCAACCCCGATTTCTCCAATTCTTAAAGAGGCATAGGTGGTGAGTACAGACCACCCGTAACAAACCAAAAAGATTACAATCGTGGGGACCTTACCATGGAGCAAATCCAGCTTCACAATGAATACAGTGCCCAACACCGAATACAAGATATACAAACATGGAGCCCATACCATGGCTACCAAAATCTTCCAAGTTGCTAAAACATCCTTAGCTCTTATTTTCACCACTGATCCAGCCAATGCATCGGCAGCCTTCTTCTTGGAAATCCGTTTACTGACAATGAAAACGGGCGAGAAAAGAAACACTCCTGGAAGGGAAAGTCCACAAAAGAGACACACTTTGAAGAGTCTTTCGGCAAACATCACGAGAGCTCTTGTACGGTTAGATTGGTGGAGGTCTTCCACCTGATGGTCATGCAACCCCATTCGTTTCAATTGGGTGTTGTACTGGCTGACGTCTTGCTTGACCTTGATGACATCGGGATGGTCTGCATATTTCTGATACCCCTTGATGAGTCTTCTATTCATCTCCAACACCATGGGGAGTGGGATATTGTTTCTATTGGTGGATGTATAGAGTCTTCTTGCAGCTTGAAGGGTTTTCAAGGTATCATAATCGGTACAAGTGACTGTGACTTCGCTGAGCCCCAAGGTGATCGTTTGCAAAAGCTCATTAACCGTGGCCTTTGAATCCTTTTCATACTTGGGCCCCCAAGTGTCCTTGTCAACAACAATTGGTCTACCAAACTCAACCACAGCTCTTGATCTGAATTTGTGTGGATGAAAGTAATTCATCCCCACTGGGATGACATTGATCGGTTCAGAGTTGTCCTTTGAGGTGGCAGCTCCCAAGGCCATAATGGCAACCCCAGCTTTCAAGGGGAGCAAGTCTGGTCGGTCATGAGATCCACCTTCAGGGAAGATCCCCAAGATTTTCCCGCCATTCAAATGATTGAAAACGTTATGGAAAAGAACGTTATTATCAATGTGAGGCGCCGTCTTGTAGCTGGTACCCTCAGTTAAGAGCTCAATCACCTTCTTATCCTTCTCCGTGGGCGATTCACGGTTGATTTTGAACGGTTTACGAGAATATAAAACGGTGTCCGACTCGATTCGATCAACCTGGACGTTCCCAAGCGAGTTTGGAAGGCCAATGAGCCCCTTAACCATGCACTCCTGGGTGAAAAGGGTGCCCTCTCCGGTGATTCTGGCACCTTGGTCGTCGTTGTCACTGTCAAGATCAACAAAGATTTTGCCCGTGGCCAGCTTTAAATTATCCTGAGCTCTTTCCACCGGGATGGCTCCGGTCAATTTGGCAGCAGCACCAATGAACTTTCTCCGGAAAGACTTGGCAGCAATTAAAAAGGCAATTCTTCTTCCTGAGTTCTCCTTGACCTTGGACATCACCACGAGTGGATCAATGAATTGATTGGCATGTGGAGCAATCACAAAAACAACAGGGCCCTTTTTAGGGATGTTGAAGGACCCTCGAGACTCAATGTCTCGGAAAAACGTGTGGATGATGAGACTGAAGAAGTACAAGACAAAGTCGTAAGCTATGTAATGGAGCCAATTGAGGAAAACATTGTCAGTGTTCAAAGGTGGAGGGGTTGCTGCAACTTTGTTGAACTCCTTCCCACCCTTTTCGCTGTTACCGTTCTTTTCACCCATCTAAAGAATAAAATATGAGGTAATACGTAGTCTAGAAGGCTAGCGGTACTATCAAAAAGGATAAACAGTGTTATCTCGAAAAACAGATGATGAAGCAATCAAAGGGGTTGTCACTCCTTAAAGAGTGCGCACAGTAAGAAATTTAATTGTACAGGGGAGCGCTATGATGTTGGGGGTGTCAAATTATTATTATCGCATATTTTTAACAACCTAATGACCTGACCAATGAGGGGAATCTCTCCTCGCAGAGAAGCCAGGCACCACGCAGTGGCTCTCCCCGAGCAGGGGTCAGCGGAGCGGCTTGCAAGCCCCGCAGGGTGGTACTCTCTCCTACCCTCTGGGGGTGTCAGCCGCTCCGCTGGCACTCCGTGGGCCACTAGCCGTGGCGGCTCTAGTTCCTCTAACGAGGAATACAGACTTCTTATGGTTGTATATATATATATATATATATATATAATTACATATATTCTTCTATAGTACATACGGCTAAAGTTCTCCAGCTGGAACAGCCTTTGTTAACCGTCTAATCCTCACCAGCTGGAACTTCATCCTTCAAGATTTTGTTCAACTTTAACTTCATTTCTGTGTGTTCGTCACCTCTTAATACATCCTTTATGAACCAACACTCCACGTCCAATTGTACCATTTGAAGGGCTCCGCGTAATACCCCACACAAGATTTGCGAGTACCACAATTCCTTTGCAATTTTTGGATCTGAAGTGATGGGCAATTCAACAAACTCAGCCAAGGGGTTTTCAGTGAAGATAAGCAGAAATGTCTTTCCGTCTTGGGTCCAATTGGCCACTGTAGGCTGTATGTTGAGGAAGATTTTAAAGGCAACTTTAGAAATCATTTCTGAGGTTTCTTTGAATGTTTGACATCTTTGAGCGCCTGTCTTGGCAAGAAACTCTTCAATCAATCTCAACCCGATATTGTAACCCATTTTATCAAGTTGTTGGTTTACTTCTATGTAATTATTATTGAAGTCACGACATAATTGTGACACTACAGATCCATAAGTAAGGGTGAAAAGTTCAGAATTCTTGAATTGTTAGTAGTTTTTTTTTAATATAAGACGAGAGAGTAAATTGAAGCGAGGGGTCCTTGTCCTTTAGTCCTTGTGTCCTTGTCCCCTACAATCTCTGGACACACTTTCTCTCTGCTCATCAATCGCTTTTTCCTTGATACACATACTATCTTCTCAACACTGTTCTTCCATATGTCATCTCCAGAATATCTAGAGGATTTAGACATTGTTGAATATTCCTCTTTTAAATGAAGTACAAAGTATGATCTTTGATTTAAATTTGTTAGATAATATTTTGTCGTGATTTGTACAATTTGCTTAGTCGGAGAGGATTGCTGGGTGTAAGGATGTTATGATCTTTTTTTGGATTTATCAAAATAGATTAGTAGAATAGTGAGTGAGAAGTAAGACTGAGTAAGTGAGAGTAAGAAGTAAGAGAGGGTGAGTGAGTGAGCGATTGGATATAGTACATTTCAACGCGTCCCACTCACTATAAGAGACTGGTCCTGTACCGTTTATGTAATCTCCACTTATTCTTTTCTCCCGTAATGTCTCTCTGGAAATGTCTCTTATCTCGACATAATTAGATAAGATCTGGCTTACTTCATACACAAATATTATTATATAGACAGGGACACGTATTGTAAGATGGTCTTTAAATCTGCAGATTTCATCACTCTGTTATCCTATACCGAGTAAGTCACGTGCCACAATCCTCCTTTCTCCTCGTAGAGGAGCAAAGCACCACGCAGTGGCCCTCCCCGGGTAGGGGCCAGCGGAGCGTCGTGAAATCCCACTGGGAGGAACAACACCCTTCAACATTTCATATTCCGTGGCATGACAAAAATCAATCATCACAAGTTTATAGATTCCCCCTAATTCGTCTAAACGCATAAACGCATGGAAAAGGCTTTGAGTACTTCACTCTCACATAATGTGACTCCTCTGGAAAAAGTCACGGTTTCCAGTGTTTTTTTCAAAATAAAAATAAAAAGTTGCACCATAACCCAGCACATTCCAAGTCTCTTATAATATCTCTTGCACCATATTTCAAGTTTAGCACTGAATTGCGTAGCTGTGTCTCCTATTCTTGTCTTTCTACCACCACATGACCCGTCTCTCATGCAGTACCACCCACGCTCCGCATACAGTATTGTTGTCTTTTCTTTTTTTTTTTCTATTCTGTTCGCAATGTTTTTCTTTTTCTACAGGTCATTGCAGATACTAAATTGAATCCAATATATATAGGACCTGAAGGATTGGTGTATTGTACTCTTATCTTAACCCGTCCACGCAACCCCCACTCAATTTTACCGTTTATTTGACCTTGTATCGTCAATATTCTGTCGCTATCCGTTGCCACTCCAAGCACAAGAATAGCATCACCTGTTCGCACACAAATCCGAAAAAAAGTTCCCACTTTCGCGATTACAAAGGCAATCAACATCGTATAAACTTGATAAAAGGATAAACAAGTGTCCCATTAATAAGTTTGACCAGCCTGGCACACACAAGACTTTCAAACAAGTCCGTTTCCTCTTGCAAAAAATAAAGGAAGAGAGAATCTCCAATTGATTGAGTAAAGGCATAACCAGAACTTTGTTTCACTTGCCCCTATTTTGCTTTCTTTTCACTAAAATGTCATTCAAACTTTTAACTCAAACCAACATCTCGGTGATTGCTCTGGCTACCCCACCTCCGCTTTTAGCAATCCCACAACAATCGCTCATCAAGGGTTTGCCCGATGGAATTCTTGCCATCATTGCGCCTGTGGTGATGTATTGGACATATGCCACTTTTTTCCATATCATTGATGTGTATGAACTTGCAGAAAAATATCGTATCCATCCTTCTGAAGAAGAAGTTTCTAGAAATAAAGTAACTCTTCGCGCCGTGGTGCAAGATGTGATACTTCAACATATCATTCAATCCATCGTAGCCTATTGTGTATATCGTTTAGACCCAGTGGTTACCACTGGACATGAACTTTATACCATGTGGACCTTGAGACATTCTTCATTTATGCCATCATTTGTTTCTGATTCGGCCATTTACATTGGTTACACATATTTATGGCCGGCAACCAGAGTGTTTATTGCCCTTACCCTTATTGATTCTTGGCAATATTGGTTGCACAGAATCATGCACACCAACAAGGCTCTTTATCGTAGATTCCATTCAAGACATCATCGTTTATACGTTCCATATGCTTATGGAGCCTTGTATAACGATCCTGTAGAGGGCTTTCTTTTGGACACCCTCGGTACAGGAATCGCGGGCATTATCACCGGATTATCTCCACGTGAGGCTACCATTTTGTACACTTTTGCCACCATGAAGACGGTTGATGATCATTGTGGTTATAGATTACCATACGATCTTTTCCAAATAATCTTCCCTAACAATTCAATCTATCACGATATTCATCACCAGAATTGGGGGATCAAGCATAACTTCTCCCAGCCTTTCTTCACCATATGGGACAGAATGCTTGGTACTCAGTATGAGTTTGTACAAGACTACAAGACTAAACAAAGCCAAATCACCTTGACCAAGTACAAGGAATTCTTGGCCAATAGAAAGAGCAAGTCGATCGAAAAAAAGGCCAAGACTAATTGAGAGTTGTTCTATAATCCCAAACTAATGACCCCCCCGGAACCGCTATACCTTTTTGGATGTAAATAGAATAAACGTTAATATCATATGAAGGAACTACTGTACGCTGTTGTAAATTTTTTGCAGTCAAAAAAAAATGAGGGGAGTGCCAATTTTCTCAACAAATGTTTTTTTTTTTTTTATTATTTTTTGACAGCTTCCTGCGGGTGTGTGGGTGTTCCTAACTGAAACGTTTAAGGAGAGTAAGAATGATCTAGAGACATTAAAAAAACACATTCACTCCCTAGACGATGCTAATACTGCACTTACTACTATGTCGATTCCTAATTTTAGTTATTTTATTATGCCCACCTGATGTTCAGGAATCTTTTTTTATGCCCACACAAGGATCTTTTTTTAGGCCTAGATCATTATCCCTTCCCCTTTGGTCCCCACACGGACCCTGCATGCAAGACGACCCTTAAATTAACCTAAACCACAAAAAGGTAAAAAAAACATCTACACACATAAATAACAGAGCAGATATAGATAAGACTTTACTAGAAAAAGTCATTAGAATCCGTTCAACCAACCTTCTAATATAATACCAGACTTAAGCGTTACCCTCACGGCAGAAAAATAGGAAGTAATAATAGAAAACAAGTCGTTTAGTAATAGATTTAGTTACTCATACACAAAAATCTTAACAGAGCAAATTAAAAACAAAATACTATTTGTTTGTATTGTCACCCTTACAGTGCACCTTGAGGACCCCCCCTCACATTTCTATTCAAAACTTGTCAACTTGAAATAATTTACACAATAAAAGAAAATTAGCGCGCAAAGGTGTCACCCCATAAGGAACGAATAAAGTAATAAAATCCAAATGGCTCGTGATTTGACTTTAAACACGCCAGGGTTGAGTCTGGAAGACTCTGGTAGTGACCCGTTCAGAGGCGGTGAAGATACAATCGACTCGAATTCGTACACACCACCGCCAGGTGGAGAACAATCATACCCTGGATACGGCGCATATTCACCCAATGGAACAACTTCAAACCTACTATCCGAATCCTCATACGACGATATACACGGTAGTGGAGGTGGGAAAGTCTCTGCACCTCCTGAATTTGACCGGTTCCCCTCCAAGATTGGCTCTAGAGCAGTTTCCAGCTCGTCATTGGCAAGTCTGGTGATTTTCGGATACTACCAAAAGGATGCTGCAAATGGAGAAAACCTCCCCACTGGAACGGTTAACCCGGTCATCAAGGATGGCGAGCACTCCTTGTACGATTTTTCTCCCTTTGGTGGGTATCCTGCTTCCTCGTTCCCCCTTCATATCGATGAAAAGGAACCTGATGATTACCTCCACAATCCTGACCCCATTGCAGATGCAAAATATGACAGACACCGATTTTTCTATGATCTCAAAAACTTAGATAAAAGGTCTCTTGGTGGTCTTATTGGGATGATTGTATTATTTCTTGGTGCCATTGCAGTTTTTGTTGTTCTTCCCGTGTTGACGTATTCCAACGTTGAACACCATGCGGTCCCGGAAACGTATGAGATCCTTACCCAGTACAGTTATCCAGTATTAAGTGCCATTAGACAGTCTCTAGTCGACCCAGACACCCCTTCAGATGCATTCACCAGGAAAACAGCATCTGGAGACGCCACTTGGAAATTGGTATTTTCAGATGAATTCAATGTGGAAGGACGAACTTTTTATGAAGGAGATGATCAATTCTTCACTGCCCCTGACTTGAATTATGCTGCTACTAAGGATTTGGAATGGTATGACCCAGACGCAGTAACTACCGCAAACGGTTCATTAACCCTTCGAATGGATGCTTTCCAGAATCACAATTTATTCTACCGTTCAGGAATGGTTCAATCGTGGAATAAACTTTGTTTCACCCAGGGTCTTTTGGATATCTCTGCACAACTCCCCAATTATGGAAATGTTTCTGGACTTTGGCCGGGACTTTGGTCTATGGGGAACTTGGGTAGACCTGGATATTTGGCTCTGACTGAAGGGGTTTGGCCATATGCGTACGACTCATGTGATGCGGGCATCACTCCAAATCAATCACTGCCTGATGGTATCTCATACCTTCCAGGTCAGAGGTTAAACGTGTGTACGTGTAAAGGTGAGGACCACCCGAACCCAGGGGTGGGGAGAGGTGCACCTGAATTGGACGTCCTTGAGGCCGAAACTGACCCAAAACTCCACCTTGGAGTAGCTTCCCAATCAATTCAAATTGCTCCATTTGATGTGTGGTATATGCCTGATTATGACTTTGTTGCCATTCATAACAAGCTGGTGACCACTATGAACACATACGCCGGGGGCCCATTCCAACAAGCTGTACTGGGGACGACTACGTTGAACACTACTTGGTATGAGTATGGGTACCCTGGAGCACGTAATTTCCAGCTGTTTGGCTTTGAATACATGAACGATGATCATACTGGCTACATTACATGGTATGTCGGGGAAGATCCGACATTGACGGTGAATGCATACGCACTTTCTCCCAATGGTAATATTGGCTGGAGACGAATATCGAAGGAACCAATGTCAATTGTCCTCAACTTGGGGATTTCCAACAGTTGGGCGTATATCGATTGGCCCTCATTGATGTTCCCTGTAACGTTTAGGATCGATTATGTACGGGTATATCAACCTGAAGATCAAATAAACTTGACATGCGATCCTCCTGGATTCCCAACCTATGATTACATTCAGAAACATTTGAATGTGTATCTGAATGTGAATCTCACATCTTGGGAACTGACAGGATATTCATTCCCGAAGAATTCTTTGGTGAATAAGTGTTAAAAAATGAAAAAAAGAGTACAAGAAGGATTCGGAGAGATTGATTCGGAGAGATTGATTTTACGGCTAAGAGTCACCCAATAAGAGTCACACAAAAGAAAGACTCATTCATTAAGGAAAGGAATTTGTAAGATATGTATAGATAGGACCTGAATAAACGGCGTGAGTTTAAAGTCTGAGAATGCGGGGAGGAAAAAAAAAACCCCGGCACCGGCCCGAAACCGGCGCCAAAAAAGGTATACCCTTTAGAGATAACAACAATTTAGAAACTATATATAAGAGCACTAATTACTTACCAATAGGTACAATTTAAAGAGCTATAACTCAACAGGTTTTTACTTTTTATAGCCATGTCTACTTATTCTGATAATTCGTTCAACACTAGTCATTACAACTTGGCTAGACCAAGTTACCCTGATGAATTTTACAAAACGTTAATGGAGTATCATGACTCGAAGGGAAAAGCCCGAGGATTAGCAGTTGATATTGGTTGCGGTTCTGGGTTTGTTACTTTCAAGTTGGGGAAATATTTCCAAAAAGTGGTGGGTACCGATATTTCCGAGAAAATGATTCAACAATGCAAAGAACAGAATGAGAGTGATGGAGTTTCTTTCTGTGTGGCTTCTGCAGAAGAGTCACCAAAGGAGATCTTGGCCGGTACCGTGGATCTCTTGACTGGTGCAGAGTGTTGTCATTGGGTAGATCATCCCAAGTTCTTTGCCGAGTCATACAGAGTTTTGCAGCCAGGAGGAACCCTTGCCTATTGGTTCTATAAGGACCCAATCTTTGTCGGGAACCCAGTAGCCAATGAAATATATGAGAGATATTGTTATGGATCGGATTCTAGCGAGGGCTACGAGAAATACATGGGACCAGTCTGGCAACAACCAGGACGGGATTATTTAAGAACTCTTTTGAAGGAGATCATAGTACCAGAATCTCAATTTAAAGATGTGATTAGACACGAATTCCATGCTGAGGAAGATCAAAAGTCTGACACAACCTTGTACATTTCTCGTCGTGCTACTTTGAAAGACCTTTTGGGATATACAAAGAGTTGGTCTGCCTACCACACTTGGATGAAGCTCTACGGAGCTGACCACAAGGACGTGGCAGAGAGGTTTGTGGATGAATTGAGGGAAGCTATGGGATGGTCAGATGATTACGAGTTTGAGCTTGTTTGGGATACTGTTTATACATTTGCCACAAAGAGATAGTAGATATGAATGAAATACAATCAGTGCATAAACCAGAAGATAAGTACAACGCCCCTACCCCCCAGCAGAGCCCAAGTGGAGCGTATTGTAGGCCTTCCCTACGGGGTGATCAAGCCGCTCCGCTGGCACTCCGTGGGCCACTAGCCGTGGGGGCTCCTGTTCCTCTAGCGAGGAAGTACAGGGAATGGTCAGGACTCCTCGTAGAGGAGCTAGGCACCACGCAGTGGCCCTCCCCGGGCAGGGGCCAGCGGAGCGTCCTGCAGCCCCGCAGGGAAGAGGGTTGGTACCTCCCCTACACAGTGTGTGAAAGCCGCTCTGCTGTATGACTACTTACATACGTACCACGGTTATCGTATCTTGTCTGTTGTATCCCGCCAGATCGATCTTATCTATATCGGGCAGCAAGCCCGGGCACGCAACCGTGTGGATCTTTTTTCTTTTGCAACATTTTTGAGGCAAATTGCAAGTATGGCTCAAAAAACAAACACGGTACACAGCTGACCATTGATGGTTGTATAGAGCAACACAATCACACTTGTATCTGTATAAAATGTAGCACACCTGCTTATCCATTCACATCTCTCAATTTGTATTCAAGTTAAGTGTTCCCTCTTTTTTTTTTTTAATGTCTAGAGTAGCACTCCTCCCGCTGAAGCGGGATTCATTATTGTCTTACTCCCTTGTAAAAGAGGTCCCACAACATTATATAGATCTCTCATATGATGCTGACTTGCCTCACCACCAGTCCAAATGGTTCAAATTAAAACATTTTTTGGTGGACTCATTAGATAAACACCCCCTTGAAAGGAAGTTTCTCACCAAATTGGACTTTTTCCTACTCAGTTCAGCAATGTTGGGATACTTTATAAAGTCATTAAATCAACTGAACATATCTGTCGCCTATATAAATGGAATGGATGAGTTCTATGGGATGGATAAAAATCAATACAATTATTTACTTTCTGCCTGGACGGTTGGTTATGTTTTGGGACAAATCCCTTCAAACATTATTCTCAATTCTGTCAGTGCCAGGTACTATTTGGGAGGTCTACAGTTCCTTTGGGGAATTCTTTCTGTCCTTCAAGTGTATGTAGTTGACTTGCAAACATTATATTTTGTTCGGTTTATCGTGGGGTTGGCAGAACTGGCTTATTTCCCCGGTATACAATACATCTTGGGAAGTTTCTATGCTCCCTCAGAACTTGCCAAGAGATCTACTCTTTTCTCGGTAAGTTCAAGTATGGCTGGGGTCATCAGTCCATTAATCCAACAACTGGTGTTGTCTTGGGGTGCCACCCATGGTGGCAATTTGCAACCTTTCCAATATATGTTTGTCATTGATGGATTAATTACATTCCCTATAGCATTCTATTCCATGATGGTTCTCCCAAACACTCCATCAACCACCAATGCATTCTATTTAACCGGACAAGATAAATTGATTGCTCTAGAGAGAAGACGAAGAATTGGTGCCAATAACACCAAAAGACAAACTTCCTACACTTTAAATCAAATCAGTAAATATTTCCAAACTTGGCATATATGGGTGTTTCCCTTGGTGTTTTTAGCCTACAATAACTCAACCAGTTGTCATGGCCAACCAACGTTCCAAACTTGGATGAAATTAGATTTAAACCTCCCATCGGAAAAATATAACGTTATCCCATCGATTGTAAATTTCATAGGGATATTCGTTGCATTGATGGTTTCTCTACTTGGGGATTATATGGGTCGTGGTAAATTGAACCATGTATTGGTACTGTTGATGTTTATCACAACATCTGTAGGATGTGCCCTTCTTGCATATTGGGAACTTCCTCAATGGCTCCATTGGACCAGTTATATCCTTATATCAATCCCGCTGCATTGGGCTCAACCACAAATCTTTCTGTGGGTCAATCGCTTATTATTTCAAGACGATATGAAGCGGAACTTTGTGGTGGTTGTTACAAACACATTAGCATATGTTACTGCCGCATGGGTACCTATATTAGTATGGGACACCAGAGATAAACCTCGGTACTTCATTGGATTTACATACACGTCGATCTTGTGTGCTACAGGGTTTCTATTAACTTGTCTCTGTACTAGATTTGAACGGAGAGATATTGAAATTACATACTCAGAACAGGATATACAGATTAAAAAGACTCAAGGTGTGCAGGTTACCGTGAAAGAAGTTGAAGAATTTTAACTAGAGCAAGTAGCTTATTAATAAAGTTTACATCACCCCCCCTCAAAACTATATTTCTAAAACATGGCGGGAACTCATTTAGACGGCCCGAATCGGGTTGCCCTTGCCTTGCCTTGCCATGCCCTGAGCCCCCACGCCCCACCACTCTCTCGCGTGAGCTCTTAAGTTTACATTGTGCGGTATAAAGTTTAAATTTTAGCCGGGAGTCTTAAAGTACTGAATCTATCAGTAAAGCAGATCAAAACTCTTAATAATAACCTAATGGTAAGATCCATCATTCTTGCTCGAAGATCATAAGTATTATCTTCCATATTTTTAACTTGTTCCTTGGTTGCAAAATGTTCCATTGAAATTTCAATCAATAAATTAACATCATTAAACAAATCAGGAGACTCTGGTTTACAAAGACAATTCCCCAATAAATTCAAGAAAGCAGCAATTGGATAAAAGAAATTCCAATTCCATACCAAGTTTGCCAACTTTAAACGATGAACGTCATTCACAAGCATTAAAACAGTCCGAGCACTATTTAAAGACAATTCCTGAAAGTACGAAGTCTCCTCCGTTTGAGTACCCATCACCAACATCGAAGGAATTCTGTTAATGAGCATTAAGTGTGAAAAGAAACTTAACTTTATGGTCCATTGACCTGGTCCCACTTTGGATTGCCTCCCATCGAAAACATGGGTTTGGAACTGTGCGTCATAAAAGAGTCTTGGTTTTGTTTCTGGAGTCATTAAGTCGGTAATGGCGAATAGACCATTATTGAGAGTACTAAGTGTTTCTACAACACTCTCCAATGAAGAATTAAGAGTAGAATCACAGAGGAGCTTGTGGTAACTGACAGCTCTTAAACGAGTGAACTCCAGCATGAAATATACACAGGAGTTTTCATGCAGCAGTAATGAGAATGGTAAGCCCGTTAAGCTTGGATTACCATAACTTGGGACCGCAAATAATTCTTCATCGTGGAAACTGATCGATGGTGGTTTACCACTACGATAGCAGATTTCTATATCAAGTGCACGACATGCAAGCCATAATCGCCTACGAGTTTCTCTTTCTTCGAGGGGCAATACTTCGTACGATTCAGGCCTATGAAGACCGATTTCTTGTGCAAATCTAATGGCCACCGCAATCAAGATATAGTTGACATGAATGGTGAGGAAATTACTCTCAACGTAGATGAGCAAGTAAAGAATCGCTAAAATCGTCTCCACTCCGTCACTAACCACCAGAATCATACGATAATATTGCACAGCATAATCAAAGTATTCTTCCCTTATTTTCACTAATTTCTCAGTGCTGAGATCTTTCAAAGAATTTGGATTTTTATGTATTGAAGATGAACCATATTGGCCATCTCCACGTGTATCACAGTCAATTTTCGAAGAAATACAGAAGCAGAGGGATAAAGACATTATCAAAAGTTCAGATATCTTGAGTCGTCTTGTACGAGGTGGAGTGTCAGCAGCCGCCGCTTCTTCCACAGTAGATGCACTAGCTGCAGCAGTCGGACGTCTCAGTCTATAGTATATATCAAAAAGATGTTGAATATGATCTGTAGGAACTAGGAACGAGGGTAAAAACATGTCACTGTAATACAATTTCAACAAATCGTCAACGAATTTTCTATCTTCAGGAAAGATACCCTGGAAAAGTTTTCTCTTTTTTCTTGGATCCAATAACGGAGGGTCTATCCATTTAAGTAACGCTGGTTTCAGAATATTTTGGAAAACAAAGGGGATCTTCCTAATTGGATCCACTAGATTAGCATTTTCATTCCCCAAGGTTTCTTGAATTGTTGAGAGAGATTTTTCTGAAAACATCGAAACAATTGAATGATTTCCAAAATACTCCTCTGTTTTTGGTTCCTTGAAAGGGGGTTCTGATTCTGTATTTTCACCATTTTTGTTCTTATCAGGAGCTGTCGCTATTTCTGATTCTTGTTTAATCTCCCCATTATTGTCGAGGCTATGTTTAGTTTTCTTTGTAGTTATTTTATCATCACTGCCAGTATTAAAAGGTTTGATGTTGGTATCATGAGAAGAACTGATTTCGACTTCACTAGATTCTTCGTCTGTGGTGGCACAAGAGTCTGTTACATCATCATCAACGCTCCCACCATCATCTGATTTTTGTTTATGATGAGACTGCCTTTTCTTATTGCTGCTTGAATATTTCCCATCGAATCGATCGACAAAGTTCAGCAAGATTCCTTCTAATCTAGAAAGTCGATCATCGATGAACTCAAGCTTAGTCTTTTGCGTTACTTTGGGCTTAACGGCTCTTCGTTTATTTGGAGTAAGTTTGTAGTGACACTCAGTAAGATTTTGGGTACAATTTGCACATGGTTGATTACCATCACATTTAACCTTTCTACCACGACAGAAGTCGCACGCCTTCAAGACCCTTTCACGACGCTTTGACGACGATCCTTCATCCTGCAGCATAATAATACAAATGTAGGACTATTGTTTATGTTCTTAAAGAATATGAGATGACATACTAATACGAATTTCAAGCGATCGGCCCGATCGCAAGCGCCGGTCCCCCCCTGGTTACCCCCCGCGGAAGTTCTCTCGATTGTTGCGAACTTAATTCGAGACCGATACGAAGAATCTATATGGAACTTCCACGACGTGTGAAATTCGCAATGTTAATGACCGGAGACGATCGCTTGTAGACAGAAGACATGTGCTGCTGATGCCAGCATGGGAAAAGTGCGCCTCCTAATTGTCTGTCCGGGACTCTTTGTTCGTGTGGCTCAAATCCGCAAATGAGAGGGGTTTATATCGGGGCTTTTGGATGCATGCAGTCTCTACATCACCGAAAAAAGAATTCAATAAATGAATCGCGCGCGTTAATTTCCGCCTTGGCAACGTCCACCTTGGAGAAGGATTACATCTCTTATTACATAGTTGTAGCTCCAATCAGCCTACAAATGGGATTCGTTCTAGTTACGACAGAGCCACATACACACACACAAACACCTTTACTTTTAGCTGTATATATCTTAAAAATTTCACAATGTCGTCGTTTTTTGTCGTGGACACATTCACGGGATTTTCACTCATCCGTGTCCGAAAATGTAAACAAGTTCTTATCAAACATAACATTAATATACGGAAAACTCCGGTGATTGGATGTACATGAGGACAACAAAAAAAAAAGAAAAATCAGTGATAAGTGTAATTTACACCTCGTTGAGCGCCCCGCCTGAATGTTCGCATGGATGTACGGTGAACCAATCCCCTCAAACGCCATGGTTCCCCATTTGGCAAGGCTTTTTATCACACAATTAATATGTGGTCGTGGCTTGGAAAATTTGGCACAAATTTGCATGAGGGCATAGCCCGAGTTCCCCATTAGGAAATATGATCTAGTTACATACTAATTTGGTGAATTGCCTAGACCATTGAAAGGGCACAAGACAATGTGTGAGCTACACATTTGATATGCTACGACTACTGGGATTACCACATCCTTGAGATCGATTCGAAACAACATTTTCAAAGCCGATGGCTTCAACATTTGTTTGTTTGAATTTTTATTGAATTTTGTTTGAAAGACTCGTTGGTTCTCTTAATCTCATCTTACTAATACATAGAGAACAGCCCGATGTCATCCTTCTTATTGTTTACTAGAATTCCCCGCCTATTATTTTTTACCTTCCGGGATATGAAACTTGGCTTTGCCCCAGCGTGCAGAACATGCGCATGGTGCGGGTTGCCGTATATGTGAGCATGTACGGCAATCATACTCTTGGGCTTTACACATGTTGGGTAGGATTGACGCATGATCATGCTATCATCAACTTTGTTTTAGAAGTGACCAACGAAGGCAGATCGCGATCTACTCTCAGCCCACCATCTAAATACCCACAAGCCAATATAACCTCCGCGTAAGAATTCCATTTCTATTTTAAATATATAACTTTAAAAAAAATAAAAAAAACATCTTTTGACAGGAGGGGACACGAATTATTAAGCGCGATTTTTAATTTTTAATTTTTAATTTTCTAATTTTTTATTTTTTATTTGTTTTTTATTTTATTTTATAAGGAAAAGTTTTTTTTCCCCCATTTTGCTTTTTTCCCTAGAAATGAACGGTTTCTTTAATTTCTCTCAAAAGCCTCACCAGGGCTAAGCGCAAGAATGTGCCCTGGCCACCAGCTCTCTTTCACTTTCAGCCTTGGACCTGGGCAAACAACAGGCCCAGGGAACTACAGCAACAACACCGCAGACAGGCAAGCCCTCTCTACCGGGAACCTTTACGTCAAATATGTGAAATTTGGTTGGATTTTTTTTTTTTTGCTCACTTTTAGCCTTTTCGGGGCTATGCCGCTCAGACACCGAACAGACATCCTAATGTAATGCAAGGTGTGGATTTACGTCACAAAAGAAAAAAGCCTCATAGTTTTAAAATGTGTCAAACTTTTATAAAAGACCACCTACATCCACCGGATTTTGCTTCTGTCCTGTCGATACTATACACAACTACAAGGACATCTTTTTTTTCCCCCTATATTCCTCAGTCACCCGCCTCTGGACTCCCACACTTCTACCCTGGCTCTTGATATAATACCACCTTGTTCCCGGCGCCCAGACCTGCCAAGACGGAGATAAGAAGAAGATACAATCCTTGTGACGGACCAGCAAAACATCCCGTTGCCAACCCAAACTCCTCCTCAGCCCCCAACCCCGCGGCCAGTTTGCATCGATTTACAAGTCCTTCCTAGCCACCCAGCTACCCGCCAGCTGTACTTGTAGCACCTGAAACACTTCTGCTAGGCTACCTTGGAATACAACCCCCCCTGTTCAATTCCTCAGACTGATTTTGGAAGTTAGCGCGTAGAAAATATTTTTTGCTTTTGTGTCTACTCGGCATTCAACCGCAATGATGGCGTACTACTATCCAGACTTTAACTATGTGTATGGTGGTCACCCAGGATCGACCCAGGCCCCAACTCCGGCCAACACGCGTCACTCACCGCCCCCTCCCCCGCCCCCACCGTTGTATTACTACGAGGCCAAACAACTTCCATCAATCATGGTGCCCCCCGCTGAACCACATCCGCTGTACTACATGCAGCAGCAATATGCACATCCTCAGGGTGGTCCTCCCCAGGTTCCTCCTCAAGGTGGTCCACCACCACCACCTCCTCACCAGGTCCCCCATTCCGCCCGGTACGCTACATCCACCACCAACCCTTCCTTAGCACAATACTCCCACGATACCCTGGGCTCTGCGAGTGTGTACCTGTCTCCAAAATCGAACCTGGCTCATTCAAGCACCTCGTCCGGATCTGGCCCCGGATCTGGATCCGGGCTCGGTACCTCGGTCCGAGGCACCACCACCACCTCTACATTCTTACCACACTCCCCAGTCCACTCACTTGAGCATCAGCTCAAACATAAGCTACCACACCCACACGCACCCTCACACCCACTCGCGCACGCGCCCCCTGCATTCATCCATCCATACCACCACCAACAACAACAACTCCATACACCCACCAACCCATACCATACAACCCCACTTCTGCCCAAGGGGATAGATTACCCGTCACTAGTCGGGTACACTGTACTGCCCTCGCTCAAACGGAAACGTAAGTCCAAGGGGAGCATTGTCCCGGACCTGCCGGAACAATCATTCCCATGTCCACAATGTGACAAGGTGTTCCAAAAGCCCTACAATCTCAAGTCGCATATGCGCACACATTCAGACGATAAGCCCTACACTTGCAACCATTGTGACCGAAGGTTTGCACGATCCCATGACAAGAAGCGTCATGAAGCCCTCCACAATGGAGAGAAAAACTTCCGTTGTGAGGGATACCTCAAAGACGGATGTACCAAATGGGGGTGTGGTAAAAAATTCGCCCGTAGTGACGCACTACTGCGACATTTCCGCACTGAAACAGGGTGGCTCTGTATCAAGCCCCTCATGGATGAGGCCAAAGAAAGCGACCGTCTGCCACATGGTGGGGCTCCTCCCTTTGGACCAGGCTCAGAGCTCAACACCCTGTACGTTCCTCTCTTGAAAATGGAACCGTCCATGAATGGCGGGTCGATTTCCTTGATGGAAAACTCAAACTTCATTCGCAAGATGGTGCAAAACAAATACGTCTGAGACGTTCAACGGGACTACACGGTATATATATATAGGAATATAATTGGGACTTTATAGAAACTGTAGGTGGCTCCTCGTAGAGGAGCTAGGCACCACGCCAGTGTTTCTACCCCCGGCAGGGGCCAGTGGAGCGGCTGACATTTCCCCCCACCCTGCGGGACCTGCAAGCCGCTCCGCTGGCACTCCGTGGGCCACTAGCCGTGGAGGCTCTTGTTCCTCTAGCGAGGAAGTTCTGGCTGCAAAAAGTCTCCTCGCAGAGGAGCTAGGCACCACGCAGTGGCTCTCCCCTAGCAGGGGCCAGCGGAGCGGCTTGCAACCCCCGCAGGGCGGTACTCTCTCTCTCTCTCTCTCTCTCCTACCCTCCGGGGGTGTCAGCCGCTCCGCTGGCACTCCGTGGGCCACTAGCCGTGGAGGCTCCTGTTCCTCTAGCGAGGAAGTACAGAGAGTGTCCAGGATTCCACGCAGAGGATCGAGAGTGGCTCTCCCCGAGTAGGAACCAGCAGGGCGTAACCTACATTTTACATTTACACATAAACTTGTTCTATTTTTACAATACGAATTACACATATGCATCACAGGTACCCCCCACAAATTCTTATCTTGCAACCGCCAAGTCATGTCCGCTTCTGTTCTTAATCTCCAAGGAGCTACCATCGATAAACACATGCCCAATGATACACTTCTCTAATCGCTATCGCTGACGTGTCTCGTAGCTATCCATTTGTAAGCATATACCCCACCCATCCCTCTGCTACTTCCACCCATGTAAAAGTCTGTTTGATTAAGGTATCTGCATTCCAAGAGTCATGACCGCCACCGCTCGTGGAATCTCGGCTCCCCGATAGCAAAGGTGCTCGTACCCAACAAATAAGGTTTAGCAAATTTCATCTGTTTCTCAGCGCAAAATAGCCCGGACCAAGCTCCATTATTACCTAAATTTAAACACAAAGCGGCAACCCAAAGGTTATTACTAACATATTAGATATGTCCAAGCCACAACTCTGAAGCTCGTAAAGAAATCTACACAAGAATGGGGCAGTACTACCAGGGACTGCCAGTGTTAAAGTGCTACAACCCCACAACAACGCCACTACCAGGACTACTCGTCATACTGCCATACTCTGACAACACACCCCCCGATCACATGAAAGAACCTACTTATCTACCCTACACTCAGAATTCGTATCAGTCTATTGTTAAACCTTGTTCCTGGTTGAATCCCTATCTCTCAATTCGTCATGAATCTTGTTTCGCCCTTTTTTTTTTTTGCTTTTCTTCTCTTTTTTTCTCTTTTTTTTTCTTTTCGTTTTTCAGTCCAGCTAAAGTGGAGTTCCCTACTAACTCCGCACATTCATTCCCCAGAATCTCCTCGATTCATCCAATAGGAAGTGTGCTTCAGACCTATCTCCAAAAAATATCGGGGGTCCTGCACGTGGACTACCCCACAAAGGCGTTAAGAATTGAGTGCGACTTTTTTGAGTTCCGAGGAGGGTCACCCATAAATAATCGCTGTTCCTCCAATTATTGCTAGAAGCATCTTACAGCTACTTCATACCGACCACGTCTATTGGCCACGTCTATTGAATCATTATGAGCACATTCTTAAACGAAAAATCCCTCCCCCATCTCCCAGTTCCGACCCTTACGTCAACTGCCGGTCAATTGATCGATGCATTATCCCCGCTTGTCACTTCAGAGGAATTATTAACCCTCAAGGAAGACTCCAAGGAATTTATAACCAACCCATTAATCTCCCTTATTCAAAGGCATCTAATCACCGCATCCCAAAACCCGGACCATTCATGTTATCTTAACTCAATCAATGATGAAGTCAACCCGGGGATTTACGGAGAATTGAATAACGACATTTTACCCCGGAATCCATATTTGGTCTTGGAAGAAGATCCATACCTGCAAACCATTAACCCGCCAAACCAAGCACAAAGAGCATCCTCCCTCATCAATTCATCCCTCAAATTCATCCTATCCTTGAGAAATGAAACCCTTAAACCTGATGTTACTCCGAAAAATGGGAATCCATTAACAATGAATTGTTATAAAAATTTATTTGGTACCTCGCGAATTCCGGCCGAAAATCACGTGACCATTAAGAGATTCGACCAAAATGATAGTAATCATATAATGATAATTTGTAATAATCAATATTATAAATTGGAAGTAATAAAGAGTAATCAAAGGGTTGATGATGATGATGTGGATGCATCCTCATTTTCCGGGAATATATGGTTCAATAACCATGATTTATCACTTGTTCTCGAGGAAATCGTGACCGAGGCCACCAAAATTGATACCATTGAATCGGTCAATAGTTCAATTGGATCTATTACAACCCAAACTTTCAAAGTATGGAAGCAAGCACGTGAAGAATTACAAAATTCTAATCGAGAACTCTTGGAAACAATCGATCTGTCGTTATTTGTAGTGGTTTTGGATTCGGTTAATTCCCCAGAAACTGATCAAGAAAAGACCTCGGTGATTTCTCATGGACTGTCGAATTTGTTACATGGCACCAACATACAAACTGGATCGTGTACATCTAGATGGTACGATAAACTCCAACTTATCGTGACAAGGAATTCCGTGGCAGGGGTTGTATGGGAACTGGCTCTGATGGATAGTACGGCCATTCTTCGGTACATCAGTGATATTTACACAGATCTGATTCTTAAACTTGCCAAGGATATCAATGGAGCAGAGTATACCTTGTTTGATCTGAATGTGACGAAATTTGTAAGTAGTAAGGACAATGAAAAGAAACCTGTACCCAAGAAATTGGAAGTCCATAGAACTCCTGAATTGCTCCATCTCATCCATTTGCTGGAAACTCGGCTTGCCGACTTGATCCACCAGCATGAATACAAGATGTTGACCATCAAGTTGGATGGCCATTTAGTCTCGAAATTTAACTTGTCTGTGGATCTGGTCTTACAGGTTTGTTTACAAATCACCAACTATACGTTGTATGGGAAATTGGTCAATACTTTGGAACCCATCACTACCCGTAAATTCCGTGATGCTCGTACGGAATTGGTCCCAGTTCAAAGCGAAGCCGTTGCGCAATGCTGCAAGACATTCATCAGTAATGACGACATCCAGGTCAAATGGAAACGGTTCAGAGAATGTTGCGATGCCCATAGTAGACAGTATCTAGATGCCATGCAAGGACGAGGGTTTGAAAGACATTTCCTCAGTTTGGTCCATTGTATCCGAAGCAGTGAAGCAGTAGATTTTTTAAACGAATTAAATAAAGACGTCGATGGGTTGCCTCAGATCCCACAGTTCCATCATGAGGGTGGGTCCTCCGCCGCGGGGTTAATCCCGCCACTTTTGGCAAACCCGTGTATTGACAAGCTCTCATCCCCTGAGTTGCTCATTCTGAACTGTGGGAACCCGGCATTGCATCTCTTTGGGATCACTCCAGCCATTGACCAAGGGTTTGGTATTGGATACATCATCCATGCAGACCGCGTGATTGTCACTGTATCATCGAAACACCGTCAAACCGACCGGTTTCTAGCCACCTTCAAGCACGTTGTGCACGAGGTCAAGTCCATATTACACCAGCAGGATAACTTGTTGTACACCACGGCAGATACCGAGGCAAGGAAAAATGAATTGGAACAGTTGAGAAGGGAGAAAGATAATGGATCTGACTCGTTACCACCAAAACGTAAAGGTTCAACCTCTCGTGGCCAAGCCATCCCACTCACAATCGCATCCAACCCGATTCCTTATTCTCCACATGGTACTTCGCCCACGTCTACCCTCAGCGATGATGTCAAGCAAGGAGATGATTATGATGTGTTTGGTGGGTATGGATACTTTGACTTTGGAGAGTTGGATCATCGGTCGGATATCCTCTCACACAATTCTTCGTACATGAACTCGGAGATCTCCATTTCTTTGAATTCTGCATCCACTTCGACGTCTAGATTGCAGTCAAGACACCATTCGTCGACCAATTTACACAAGATGGCTGGGGGACCAGAAGATTTGAAACAAAAGATTTCGTTATCGGAGAGTATTCGTGATAGATTGCAAAGTACCGAGTCTTTCCACTCGTCTATTGAGCCGGAAGTCGAACACAAACCTAGAAGTCAAATCGGCAGGGCCCTTGACATGTCTTGGTTTAAACGATAAGGTAGTCCATACAGAATATTTATAAACATAAAAAGTAAAGCAATAGTAGGTAAGTAGTAAAAGCAGGGGCCAGTGGAGCGGCTGACACTCCCGGAGGGTATTCCGATCCCCACCCTGTGGGACCCGCAAGCCGCTCCGCTGGCACTCCGTGGGCCACTAGCCGTGGGGGCTCCTGTTCCTCTGGCGAGGAAGTTATGGCTGCAAATAATCTCCTCGTAGAGGAGCCAGGCTCCACGCAGTGGCTCTCCCCGAGTAGGGGCCAGCGGCGCGGCTTGCGAGCCCCGCAGGGTGGTACTCTCTCCTACCCTCCGCGGGTGTCAGCCGCTCCGCTGGCACTCCGGGGGCCACTAGCCGTGGGAGCTCCTGCTCCTCTAGCGAGGAAATTCTGGCTGCCAAGATTCTTTTCGAAGAGGAGCCAGTCTCCACGTGGCTCTCTCCAGTGACTCTCTCCAAGCATTTGAACTAGACAAGATTTCACAGTAAATTGACCTAAATTTTACATAGTATATATAGGACTCTCATGGTGGGTACTCCTCTTGGAAAGAAATAAACACAGGGATGGAGAATTCCGAGCAATCAAATCTACAGGAAAGTATCACACTTGGCTTACACTGAAGACTCTTGGTGGCCCACTTCCGAAAGAAAATAAGGCGATCCACCCAAATTATGACTACCCTAATTCCCAAGATTTCACATGTGACTTCATATGTTGGATGTTGGTCTACTACTCTCGGCCCCCGCACTCTCACTTCATGCAGGCTATATCTATATAGGTCTATTAAAAAATAATTCTCCTCAAACTCATTTTACGGAATCCCAATAGCGATAAACAACACCAACTACCACTATCTCCTCTTCAACTTATATCTATTTGTGTTACAAAATATTTGCATGCAAGCGCCCCACCCAATCGGCAATAAGGACCATACTACCCCCATTTCCATAAAATTATGGGTTGGATGGTCTATTCTATTGGACTCACCCTTGCCAACAAACAACCCCCTCTTGCCCAGTTATCATCGATCACTAGTCAATCTAAATATGTTCTTTCTTATACTACAATTGGCGCGCAACCTAAGCGGAATTCAGCTCTCGAAAAAATACCCCATTCGGCATGCCGCGCGGGTCGCAAATTCACATTAGGTAAAAAATAATTTGTTCCGCATATTCTTATCTTATCATTTCATCATCGATATAAAGGTGGAACTCACCTCTTTAATTCACATTGAAAATGTAAATCAATACCCACAGCAACCTCCTTCATCAAAAAAAGAACATGGAGAATCAAAATTTAAATAAAATTCTCTCGGGAGAAAAACTTTCAATAGATGAGGAAATGGTTCCGGGAACCATCCACCTTGTTGATCTTGAAGGTACTCTCAATGTAAAGAAGGAACTGGGTTCTCAAAGCAATATCATCTTACAACCACAACCTTCACTGAACCCAAACGACCCTTTGAGATGGCCCAAACGGAAAAAGCTTGCCCAATTTTCTCTCTTGTGGTTCTGGGCTTTCATGCAAGCAGTTGCAGTCAATTGGTCAGGACCAATTTGGACCCTTTGGACAGAAACTTTTGATTGTACTTATATGCAACTTAACATTTCATCTGCCATTTGTTTTATCTTTTTAGGAATTGGATGTGTGTTTTTGCAACCAACTGCAATGAAAATGGGTAGAAGATTTGTTTACTTGGGATGTACAATCATTGCCATTGTTTCCAATATAATTGGATCTCAGGGGAATTCTGTACAAGTATTGTATGTGGTGAATTTACTTTCTGGATTTGCCGCAGCACCAGTCGATTCTTTAGTTGAAATATCCACCACCGATGTCTTTTATCAACACGAAAGAGCCCTGTATTTGGCATGGTTCATCTTGGCCCTTTATGCTGGTTCAGACTTGGGCCCAGTGGCATGTGGATACATTGTAGAAACCTTGAGTTGGAGATGGTGTTATTACATTCAAATAATCATCTTTGGAGTTCTCTTGATTGTTCAATTGTTTTATATGGAAGATACAACTTTTGAAAGAATTGATAGAGATGATTTAGAAGATAAAATCATCCAACAAATGAAGTCTAGAGAAACAATTCTTCTGGCAGTTCAAAGTGGTCAACTTTCTCAGGAGAGAGTTAACTCGGATGAAAAGTTAAATGCCATTGTTTCGGTCAATAACTCAATTAATACCGATGATGATGATGAGTCAGTTGATTCTTCAATCCCCATGAGAACTTATTGGCAAAAGATGAGATTAGTTGAAACTGAATACAATGATTCACGTTCATGGCTTACAATTTTCTATAGACCATTTTTCCTTATTTCCTTCCCAGCAGTAATATGGGGTGGGGTTGTATATGGATCTCAAATGATGTGGCTTTCTCTCTTGGCCACCACTCAATCTGAAATCTATAGTCTTCCGCCCTATAATTTCACCACTCCTCAAGTCGGTTTGACAAACTTTGGCGCTCTTATTGGGTCTCTCTTTGGGATGGCATATGGTGGACCATTTGTTGATTGGATTACCATCAAGTTATCTAAACGTAATAATGGGATTTTGGAGCCGGAATTCCGTTTATGGACCATGATCGTTCCTACCATATTCAATGCTGCTGGATTATTAGCATATGGCTTAGGGGCTGCATATGAAGCACATTGGTTTGTATCTGCTGGTATTGGACAATGGCTCCTTGGATTTGCCATGTCTTCGTCAGGTGCCATTTGCTTGACATATAGTGTTGATTCGTATCCAAAACTAGCCAGTGAAGGTTTGGTCCTCATGTTATTCATTAGAAATTGTATTGGTTGTGGGTTCACATTTGCCATTCAACCTTGGTTAACCAGAAATGGATTGAAGGTTACTACTTGGTTGATGTTTATGCTTAGTATAATTATTAATGGGTCATTTGTTGTGTTGATCAAATGGGGTAAGGACTTTAGAAGAGCTACAAAGAACAATTATTATAAATATTCTGATCCGATGTTTGGGGAATTGTTTAAGAAATGATTATATCTATAGAATAGAGATATCAAAAGTATGAATGTGTAGGGTGGTCACTGGAAGAATGTTAGAGGAGAGTAGTATCCCTTAAGTAACAAGCTATGAATCAGTGGATTTGATACCTAGTAACAGGTGGAAGGTCCACGATCCAATGTAGCACTCCCGGAGGCAGTTTGGAGACTTTGGTTCCTCTGACAAGGTAATCTTTCTCCTCAAATAGGAGCTAGGCACCACGCGGTGGCCCTCCCCGAGCAGGGGCCAGCAGAGGGGCTTGAAGACACCGTAGGGTGAGTACACACCCCTACCCTCCGGGGGTGTCAGCCGCTCCGCTGGCACTCCGTGGGCCACTAGCCGTGGAGGCTTTGCTCCTCTGACGAGGAGTTCAGGCACAGGTCTTATATCGTATGCATACAGTGTTACAAGGGGTTTTTCGTGTGGTCCCGGGTGTGTGATCCTCCTAGAACTTTGGCGGGAAGGGCACTGGATGGGCCGTTAGTTTTCTACAGAACAAACTACAGGTTAGACACATCATGCTGAGGTATTGCAGAAAACAACAGTGGTGAGAGTCAAATCACAAAGTAAAATTTATAGGGACAGTAGAAAGAACATTCCGTACCCAAAAATCCTCTTAGAAGAGCTAGGCACCACGCCAGTGGCTCTCTCCAAGCATAGGCCAGTGGAGCGTCACAGTGACCTCCCCATAGGGTTGGGCTGGTTTGTCTATGGGGGAGTGTAGTGTACTGCCCATTCTCTGTATGCAGTATTTATATTTTACTAAGCACAAAGAGAAAAAGAATTGTTAGTAAGAAAGGACCTCTTGCAAAGAAACTTCAAACTTTGAACATGAGAATACCGGTAACAGGGCTAGCTAAGCTTTCCAAGACGATTGTTAGGGTTGAAGGTCCCGATGCTACGAAGTTCCTCAATGGTTTAATCACCACGAGGATGCTCCCAACCTTGGTGAAAAAGAAGGAACACACCATTAGCTCCATAGATAATAGACACGCCGAATTGGCAGAGCTTATCGATATTCATACAAATTGGGGGGTCATGCACGAAGACTTGTACGATCCAGAACAACATATATTGGTGCGTAGAGATGGATTAAACTCCATGTTCCTTAACTCAAAGGGTAGAATTCTTACTGATTGCTTTGTATATCCAGAACCATTTTGCCTGAAATCCGGTGGTGATGTGCACGTGACCGCCGATGCAGTTCCGAGTTTCCTTGTAGAGATTGATCTGAAAGTATATTCACAATTAAAGATGATGCTTTCATTACATAAATTGAATGCCAAAGTAAAGATCAAGCCAACTGATTTGGAGTCGCATTACTATTATAACGATTCGCTTGAGTTTGATGATTGGTTAGAAAATATTCAAAATGAATTTTTTGCAACCACTTCTCCAGTCAGTGCTTGGGAATCTGCCAATGAGTTTTTCAAGAGTGATAAACTTTTGGGACCTGGTGTTTTAGGGTTTGCCATTGACAATAGAATCCCCAACTTTGGAATTAAAATGATTAGTGGTGCTAATGAAAGTAAAATTTTCTCTGATAAGTTCCTTTCTCAATTCGGGACCCCAGAATTGGTACCAGAGCAAACCATTGTCCAACGGAGATATTTGAACGGGTTATTCGAGGTGCTGGATGCCAGCAAGGGCCAACAATTGCTCCCATTTGAAGCCAATCTTGACTACACAAACGGGTTGTCGATTGAAAAGGGTTGTTATGTGGGACAGGAACTCACCATTCGTACATTCAATAACGGGGTTATCCGGAAAAGAATCTTCCCCGTGCAATTCTTTGCGTTGGATTCTATCAATGTAGATAAGATAGATCCAGATCTCATTTTGGATCCTACCGACCGGGTCGTTGCAGCTCTTTCCAAAATCGATCAATCAGTGTTGCCCAATTTGGAGGTCACTCCATTGGTTGAAAAGCAGAATGCGGACGAAGAGGAATCTAAAGCCGCTGCTCAAGATGCAGCCCCATCGCCATTCGGTAGTAGAGTGGTCAGAAAGAGAAACAAATCTGCTGGGAAGATCCTTTCCGTCAGGGACAACCTTGGGTTCATTCTTGCTAACACTACTGAGATTGAAAAGAATAATCTCTATAAGGTAGAACTCCCAGTTTTGGAAGGAATTGCAAAAGTGGGTATCAAGGTGGTTGAGCCAGATTGGTGGCCAGAAAACTGAAAAATCTAACATCCTTGATCGGTTTCTGCTCGATATTTATTCTTGTATATATAACGCATTTATGATTTTTGCAAGTATTTTGTATAACTTAGTGTAGGTGAACCGTAGGTAAGTTTATGAAATAATGACTATCGCTATAGTGGGTGTCGGCATAAGGTTTGGAAACCTCTCTGTAAAATTTCGATTCTCACATTATAATTGTTGTTTCTTATCCATTTTCGGTATTCTTTTAAAAACTTGAGTACATTTTACAACTTATTATAATGTGTTGTTGGACTTCTCAAGTATTGCTATTCTAGATTTTTAAAATTTATACTCACCACTATGATGGCTATGAGCTATTCTAGATATTCTCCATTGAATGCATATCATCGCGCAGAAACACATTCTTCACAATTAGTTAACTGGTGTCACATCAAAGTTGTTCCGCTTTGTGCATATATTTGTGACGTAGAAGACCACAATACATTGTTCCTGATGAACCTTATTAAACCATATCCTCTTGGGAGGTTCGTAAATACCGAAAGAAACATTTAAACATGTTCTTCGAGTCATTCATCCAAACCGTTTTCTAAATTAATTTAAATAAATATTTGATTTTTACATAGATTTATTACCTTGTACATTCATTCCTCACTTTCTTAACACCATTAGATCGTTTAGAAGGTGATATTTGCATTAATTAAGGCAAAAAAATGCCAAAATTCGAAATTACCGATTGTTCACTCTCAGCCCACTTAAATTTTAAACATTTTATAAAAATTGGGCGTGTGGCGTAGTTGGTAGCGCGTTTGCCTTGCAAGCAAAAGGTCACTGGTTCGATTCCTGTCTCGTCCATAATTTTATTTTTTTCCCTTATCTTCTTTTTGCAACACAATTTACTAAAAACATACCTACAAATGAACTACAAGAAAGGTAACTTCATCAAATGTTTTAATTCTCTATACATATATATACTTCATCTATAACAATAACTTACATTCATTACTAATTTTACAAAACATGAAATATTAATCATACAAACATGTTGTTTCCATAAAGTATTACCTCTTTTTACTGTCAAGTTCTTTAAGCAAGTTCTTGATATATTTGGACGCCAACTCCACGGTGGTTGCCTTTGATGGGATGGAAACATCATCGTGGTAATATTGAGGAATCAACAGCGAAAGCTCTTGGATTGCAACATTCATTCTATTTCTTCTGCCTTGTTCTGCGACTTTATGAGACGCCTTTTTAGTGGGCATTTGCTTCGAGTTGCTTCGGCTTAATCCGTTTATTTTAGGAGAATCACTTCCTTCCAATACTGGAGATGTATCACTTGAAGACGATGATTTCGGAAGGATTCTGGAACTTATGGAAGACGCTCTTGAAGATCTTGGTTTGGTGTGGCTGTTATTATCCGTTTGTTGTTCTGCTAGACGACCCATAGTAAACCCCATCATGGTTGCAGCTGGGGTTTCCTTCTTGATTTCAACTTTTTTACTCTGCGGTGGGAGCATAGGAGTTGATTCATTACTCGTTCGAATGTGTGAATGTTGTGATGATGGTGGTGGTTGGAATTGAGATTGAGATTGATCAGATGTTGGTGTTCCTGCAGCTTCGGGAAGCTTATCAAAGGGGGACATTGTAGTCAATGGAGATTTCACTGAAGAGGACGATGGAGTCCCCGATTTAGGTTTCACCATAGGGGACTTTTTAGAACGACTGGAAGTATTATTACTGCTGTTATTGGCCAGGAGGATTGGTGTCCCGTGGGGGGTTCTTCTTTTGGACGATGTATTCAATTTCGGTTCATCAGTGGGTCCATAAAGCGAAGAAGAAGTTCTTCTCTTGTCCTGTTGAGCATTCAAAGCCGGTGAAGTGAGCGGTTCAAATACCGCTTGTAAAGGAGGGAACCCGGCACCAGAGGCACCACTCTTATTCAGATTCACTTGAGTTTCTAAGGGTGTTACAGCTGGAGAAACCAATGGAGTGAAAATGGCATCGGGTCTGATATGTTGTGACTGTGGTTGATGTTGGAAAGTGGAAGACAGCAGACCATCGGTGGAATTACGATGATTATGATGCTTATGAAAATAATGTTGGTCATTGTACGACTTTTCGTTTTGACCTGGCAAAATGGGTGATGCAAATGCCTTTGGAGTATGTTCCACCAGTCTCTGAATTGATTTGTTGGCAAGCATGCTTGGGGTCTGAGGCGGTTGTATCGAAGGAGGGAACGCGGTGGATGTCGATGCCCCTGATATAGAAGTCGAATGGTGATGAAGCTCTTCACCCAGCAGCAGCATATTCCTTCTGATTTGGGGCATATGGAGATTTGTCTGCGATGGTGGTGGTGGTGGTTGTTGTTGTTGGTGGTGGTGGTGGTGGTGAAATTGCTGTTGGGAACGAGAATGAGGCAGCAGTTTCTGTCTATTTTGTTGATGAGTTGACTGTGTTGGTGGTGGTTGGTTATACGATTGACCTTCTTGGTAATGTAAGTCTTCCGGAAGAATAAAGTGAAGATTGTCAAACGTCTGTGGAGTGCCCCTTGAAGTGCCAGGACCACTTGTTTTTATTGACGGTTGGTTTGAAGGAGTTCCTGAGTTGCTGTCATAGAGGTTATTTTCTATTTGTTGAAGAAAGTATTGGTCCTGCTCTGAGAAATTTGCAGGAGTATTCGACTGTGATACGGATGCACTCCTTGGACCTGAGGCATTGGAGCCTGTTGAAGCTGGAGGAGGAGGCACTACCGAGGGATGGTTAGGCGTACGCTCATCAGTTTGCACAATCTGTTCGTTCAAATCTCCAAAGAACATCTCGCGGTCTGGAGGTGAGAACGTACTAGACCAGTCGTGTTGCTCCATGGTGCGCTATATATATATGGAAGTTTGTTGAAGTTCTGGATCAAGTTGATGCTGTGTTTCAATTTCAACTCAGCCGTTATCAGTAAAGTATCCACGGACTGTATAAAAGCCTTCTCCGTATGTATGGCTTCGCCCTTTCTATCTGCTTGTTCTGGTACTTGGTGTTCCCAAAAAATATAAAACAGAGCTTGTCGAGTGAGATCAATGATATTATACAACCCAAACCGACTTCGAGTCTTGCTTATTGGTGTTAATCCTACACTGGATCAAAAAAAAAAAAATTATAATTAACGGCGTTATTACATACAATTTTGTGTAATTCTATGCGAGTCTACAGGAACCTGGTAAGTTTGCGCAGTATGGGGTTTCCATGATATCTACAAACATTGCGGTATTGTGTCAGAGAGGGTTATGAAGACAGATAGAGAGGTGCAAGTCATACCAAGGAAAGTAAGGGATCAGTTGAGCTTTTAAGTTTATTTTCCAAGTGAGGCTTCGGTAAGCAAAACCAATTGAAGTAGTTCACTCGTGTGTGAGAAACTAGAATTCTAACCCACAAGACTAAAATTTACTCCTTACCACGTGGGTTGGATGTACTTAAAGCTATTAATCGTTTTGTACGATCTCACTTATTCTTTCCTATTCGGGTTCCATATGCTGGCGCGGACACTTCAAATATTCAGATACATGCAGGGCTCAAACAATTAGGCACATTGTTCGGGTTTATTGAATGCATTCATCGAGTCAAATTCGAGTAGGTTGATGGCCATTGGAAACAATTAATTTGGATCAAACGAATAATATTGTTGTGTTAAGATCTTGAAAGTATATTTATCCTTCTTAATATGAACTCCGCTATCAAAAGTCGACTCTTTTTTGGTTGTATTTGCATTACCGCGCGGTAAATTCACCACCTAAACTCTCCCATTGACTCGGATTATCCACCACAAAACTTGACATGTATTCATGGTTTGACCTAACCACCAGAGGAAGTACATTCATTGCCGGTAGTACACTTCCAGGTGTGAGCTATTTTGTGTCATGTGGATTACATCCTTTCATGCGGTGGATAAATGTGGTAGATTTTCTGCACCTATCTTGAACAAGACTTTCTCAACCGGGTAGGTGTTCCAGATTATGGGTCTTGGACAACATTTCTTGAAAAAATGGAGGGGATCACTAGAGGGGTGAGCCAGTATACTCTCAGGTAAGAAAATTAAGAAAATTTGTAGGCCTTAGATCTCCCAGCGTTCCAACGATCTTGGCAACCATCAGATCAATCAATGTCTAGCGCTAATATACAAATACAATAGATACAGCCTCGGTGCATTTTTTGGAAATAATGAGTCATGACTAATGAGTCTCTAATTATCGATTTATCTACAAGATTTCGAGGCGTGTTTCAGTTCTGTCTATTTCCCTACTGATGTGAGAGTTGTTATCCCCGAAGTATCGGAAATCTATGTCAATCCCCCGCAATTACTTGATGTCTAGCAAGCGCGATTAAAAATTATTTCTTGGCATGAATTATTATTGAAGGCTCTCTAAATAATATCTAGATAGAATGGGGGCGCTCCGCAAAAACTGTGGAACCCTGATGACTCCTAGCCCAAAAACGAAGGAATACCCTCGCAGATAATACCCCTCCCCCTCTATCTTCCCCCCATGTTGTAAAACACATTGTGCAGATTTTAACCTCACCTGGGTATATCCTTAATCTTGGACTGGAAGGAATCTTATTGGAGATTAAATTCGCGAAATTGTGGTATTTACGAGTTTTTTCCCGCCTACCAAGTCCGGGCAAGTGACATCTCCCGGAGTTCACCCCCCGCAGATTTGACTCCTACATGCTTTGTTTTGTCCCCAAATCAACCAACCTAGTCTCGTATTTATCGCTCGGGACGTGGCTTCCCTTCTCGTATTCATCTCGATACGACTGCTTTTTTGTATGGGGTATATGGAGCTACCCACCTCATTTCGTGAATATTTGCTTCCCCCACATTGACAATTCTTGCCGCATAAATTTTAATGTGTCTGTCGTTTCTTCCCCACACAAAGAAAATATTTCTTGGAACAAAGAAAATGCCATTCAATATGCCATATCAAACATTCATCGCAATTTTGGGTTCACCCCACATTTGAATCTGACTGTGCATTCTGGATATAAAACTATAGACTTCCTGGAAATCTTAACCTTATAATTTCTGTCTCCATCTTTTCTTTTGACAATATATCTCTACTAACTAAATGGCCGGAGAATTTAATAACAACCCCGAGCTGGACTCTGGGTCAGAAATTATTCAGAATAAGAATATCGCCAGTAATCTATACAACGAAAAACCTGATCTCTCGGCTGCGGCCATCAGACACTATGCTGCTACAAGATTGTCCACTCTCTTTGATATTCCAATCATGTCGTCAGAGAAAACTGTGTGGCAGACTATCAACCCAATTCCTGCTCTTCTGGAAATGAACGCAAGAAACTGGAATGACTACTTTTTGGGGTTTTTTGCATGGGCTGTGGATGCTATGGATTTCTTTTGTGTATCTGCAAGTGCGTCTGAAATTGCCGCTTCTCTCGGTGTGAACATTAAGGATATTACATGGGGTGTCACGTTGGTGTTGATGCTTAGACCTGTTGGGGCCATTATTTTTGGTATTGCCACTGATTACTATGGAAGAAAATGGCCATTCATTGTCAATTGTTTACTCTTTGTGGTTTTAGAAATTGGTACCGGGTTTGCACAAACCTACGCTCAATTCTTGGGTGTACGTGCGTTGTTTGGGGTTGCAATGGGTGGTATGTATGGTAATGCTGCAGTGACAGCTTTGGAGAATCAACCAAAACATGCAAAGTCTGTTTTGTCGGGATTCTTCCTTCCTGGGTACAACCTTGGTTATTTGTTATCCATTGTATTTTACAGAGGTTTCCAATTCCTGTACAAGGAAGGAGAGGGCTGGAGAGCACTCTTTTGGTTCTCTGCTGGTCTCCCAGTCATTTTAATCGTTTGGAGATTTTTCATTCCTGAATCAGAAGTTTACTTGCGTATGAAGGCTGCAAAAAAGGCCCTGAATGCCAGAAAAAGGGATTTAGAATCAAGTGGAGAAGTCCAAGTTGTATCTAAGTCATGGAAAGATAAAATTGATCCTTCTATCTTCGTTACTATCAAGACTGAATGGCTCATGTTCATTTATTTGGTTCTCTTGATGGCTGGGTTGAATTTTATTTCGCATGCTTCACAAGATTTGTACCCTACTTATCTTCTCAAGCAACGTCAATTTGGAGTGGATGAACGTACAGTTATCATGGTTGTGGTGAATTTAGGTGGTATGTGTGGTGGTATTGTTATTGGTCAAATGTCTGAAGTACTCGGGAGAAGACTTATGATGATCATTGGTTGTATTGCCGGTGGTTGTATGCTTTACCCGGCGTATATGATGAGCTCTAGAGAAGCTGTTACCGGTGGAGACTTCGCATTGGTGTTTTTCATTATGGGTATCTATGGTGTTATCCCAATTCATCTCATGGAATTAGTCAATGCAACCCATAGAACTTTCCTCTCTGGATTAGTTTATCAGCTTGGTAATTTAATTTCATCTCCGCTGGCAACCATTGAAGCTGACCTTGGTTCAAACTTCCCACTTGATATTCCTGGGGTGGAAGATGCATATGATTATGGATTGGTTATGGCCATTTTCTGTGGAGCTATCTTTGCCTATATCATTGTCTTGGTTCTTGTTGGTCCAGAACGATTCAACCGTGACTTACTGGTTACAAGTGACCATTTGAGTATCGTCGAAAGTAGAGTTTCTGAAGAAGAAGAATCTAAGCTGTTAGACAAGCCTGAAGATGAACAGGTTGAATACAAGAAATAATTATATATATATTATTTAATGAAGAATATATGAATTCGAGTGAAATCTGTCTAATTGTAAACTCCCTTTCCTACATCATCCTTTGAATCCCATCTTTATAATAACATTTCTTATTATCTTCTACTATATATATACACAATGCTACAACTATTCAACGCCTTTTCTAACACTAAGCTTCCACGGGAACACTTGTTGGATCGGCCTTTCTCACCTCCTTTCTAGCAGTTCCAACAGGGCTCTTGATTACCGTATTGGTGATTTGTTTGGCCTTGTTGATAGGCTCGCCCTTGACAACCTTTTCCATTTCATCCTTTGTCAAGGTTTCATATTCCAATAACCCTTCTGCGAGTCTTCTCAATTCGACGCTTCTTGCATTTAAAACCTTTCTTGTTCTAGCTTCAGAGTCAATCAAATAGTTTTGAACTTCTCTATCGGCCAAATCTCTAATTTTAGACGACCAAGATTCCCATTCATCACTCAATTTCATTGGTCCAATTTTATCATTCATACCATACGAGGTAACCATGGCTCTTGCTACACTAGTTGCATTCAGCAAGTCTGAGGAACAACCACTGGTTACATTATCTGGTCCATGGATAATTTCTTCGGCGACTTTACCACCCATGCAAACATCCAAACGGGCAAAACATTCCTTCTTGGTCATGTCAACCTTGTCCATTTCTGGAAGTTGGAAAGTGATACCGAGTGCTCTACCACGAGGTAAGATGGTTGCCTTGTAAAGAGGTGTAGCTCCTTCAGAGTACATGGCCATAATAGCATGGCCAGCTTCATGATAGGCGGTGTTTTTCCGGGCTTCTTCGGTAATAACCATGTTATTCTTGGCAGCCCCCATCAAAATCTTGTCCTTGGCCCATTCAAAATGGTTCATGGACACCAGAGGAGCGCTTAATTGGGATGCATGGACGGCGGCTTGGTTGACTAAATTCATGAGTTCTGCACCGGATAAACCTGGGGTACCTCTGGCAATGATCAGTGGGTCTACATCTTCAGCAGTTTCGACATTTTCCATATGATGCTTCAAAATATCAACTCTACCTCTCACGTCCGGAAGATCAACATTGACTTCCTTGTCAAATCTACCAGGTCTGGTAAGAGCCTTATCAAGAGATTCTGGGAAGTTGGTGGCACCAATAATGATAATACCTTCAGTTTGCAGGAAACCATCCAATTCCACCAATAATTGGTTAAGAGTTTGTTTGGCATAAGCTTGATCCTTTGGATTACGCTTACCTCCAATGGCATCCAATTCATCGATGAAAATGATAGCAGGGGACTTCTCACGAGCTTGGGTGAAAAGTTCTCTAATTCTCTTGGCACCTACACCAACGTACAATTCATCAAACTCTGAACCGGACATAAAGAAAAATGGGACACCAGCTTCACCAGCAGTGGCTCTTGCTAACAAAGTTTTACCAGTACCTGGAGGACCGGTCAACAAGACACCCTTGGGCAATTTCCCACCCAAACCAGTGAATTTTGAAGGATCTTTCAAAAATTCTACGATTTCTTCCAATTCAGCTCTTGCCTCGTCACAGCCACAAACGTCCTTGAAACGAACGGTAGATTGTGAAACGTCCACGGATTTATCATTAACTTCGGAATTCTTGAAAATGGTTCCGTTTTCTACAAGATAATTGAATGCATTGGTGGCACCATATGTTAAGAGGGCCACGGGAATAAGCCATTTAAGCCATTTGGAAAGAATTGTAAGGATAGATTCAGAAACAATGACATGCACTGGTTCATAACGAGATCCAACACCACTTCCAGAATGGATTCCAAGGCCACCTAGAGCACCTCCAAGAGCACCTCCTCCATTGGCCAAGCCACCACCATTGGCACCTGCGCCATTTCCAGCACCACCAGCAGACAAAGATCTCAAGACTTGTTCTGCCTTGCCCTTTTTACCCAACTTGTTCAAGGCATCCACGTACAACAATGTGCAGTCCGCACTCGCAGCAATCCCTGGGGTTTCATACCGTTGAACGACAATGTGAGGGTAGTTGTTGGCCAAAAGAGACTTGTAGAAGGAGGCTTGGGCACCAGTGTTCTTCAAGTCGGAATTTGCAATCTGTTCTTGACTTTGAAGAAGATTATGAGTTGAAGACGAAACGAATCGTTGACCTCTATTCCCAGTGATCATCCGAGAACGAGAAACGCCACCCAAAGCACGTCTTTGGGCAGCCACAGTCCTGCTCAAACGGACCACTGAAGAGGCCCCGGCCTCTCGTATTAATATTCTAGACAAAGCCGACATTTATATGTATATGTCACTGCTTTAAGAACTTCTTTTTTGTGAAAATAAGTGTTCCCCCAGATATATTTGCTCGAAGTTGGTTGAAAGTTTGTTAGGCGCATGTCGCACTCGGGAGTCGTGTAAATGACCGGTTTGGATTTAGTCTTGTATAGAACTTGCTAGAAGTTTGTCACGTGATGGTGGGAGAGATCATAGAGTAGTATTATAGAGAAATAAATAATATTTGAATATTTGATAAGAAAAAAATTCTAAATATAAAAATGAGGTACGGAAGTATCCCTATGACCCTTATAGAAGTCAAATCCTTACTTCTCACTAACTTCAATCATATTTTCCCAACCCTTCTCCTTCACTAGTACTCCCACCCTCTTCTACAATTCTTTTCTTCTTTATTCTACTCTCCTCTTTTTCATAAATCATGACCATTATCTATTTAAAACCCAGTAATCTTCAAATTGTCATTCGTATCGTTCGTACTAATATCCAATCCATGCTCATTTGCTAAATGTAAAAGACAAATAAAGCAAAAACTTGTAGAAAGATCTTTCTTTTCTTCTGGTGGGTACATTTTCCCAATGGATGTAATTACCTCTGCAAAATCTTTGGAAAGCTCTTCTTCTTCCTCTTGTTCTTCTTGCTTGATCGATCTCCAAAGATTGTCTTTCAAAAGCTTTACATCTACTCGTTTGGCTATTCTGGAAAAATTAACATACTCTGGTCTCGCCTTTCTACCCCCACTAAGAAGTTGTTGTGTGGAAAAGGTGCCCTTTTTATCTTCAGATTCGTCTAATTTACTTGGAACTGCAAGTGCATCATTAAAATCTATTCCTCCAAAATCATCACCGCCAAAGTCATCATCATCATAAAATGGATTGCCAGTTTCATTCCCAATTCTAGACTTCTCCGCTTCTGCTGCTTCTGCTTCTTCTTGTTCTCGTTTAACATATTGATCAGCAAAGAAATTCTCATCAGTAAGAATGTTTTCATTGCTTTTACTGCCATTAGGACTCTTTCCTCTTGTCCACTGTACAACCGAACGATCTTTAAGAAATAAATTAGTCAATTTCAGTGAATTATACTGAATATCTTCTGGCAATTTATTCTTCTTGAGCTCTCTTTGATCTGGTTTAATTGTGGTACTAAGAATATTCTTAGGGGTTTCAAATAATTTTTCCTCTTCATCTTCATCATTGATATTGAAAAAATTTATTATTGTGGCATTTTTCTCCCTTGACTTTCGAGTGGTGGTGGTAGAAGTGGTACTCTTACCATCATTATTTTCTTGAGGTTGTCCCTGATGACTCTTTTTAATTTGGGCAACTTTCCAATGTTCTGGACCTCTCCAATTGCTCTTCATGTTCGTATCAAAGTATGCCATAAGATCCCGATCCAATATACCGCCTGATTTAACAACCATTTCTTCATCTCCATCATCTTCCATTATTTCTCTTTCTCCATCATCCATATTAAGAACCAGTCTTACTACACTTTCATTGAAATGATTGGATAAATCGTTATCATCACCAAAATCGTCAAATTCATCAAATGTTGGAACATAAGGGGAAGGTACAAGACTATTACCATTTTCTCGTTCTTCTCTTTCTTCATCCAAAAATCGATTGTTAACATCTCCAAGAACCTTCTTGGCCTTATTAATGTCTGTTAAGACTAATTTCAATTCATTAAGAGATGGACAAATAGAAAGTTTTTCAATATCATTCTCTTCAAAAAGAAAAGATGACAACTTCAGAACTCTTTCTTCCATAATAGAGTCATCAACAGATTTGGTTTTAATTTGTTCGGCTTCCTCTTCAACAACTTCCTTTTCTTCACCTCTCGTGGTAGCATCAAAAATCACTCGACCACTCTTATCTATACTCAATGTGTTCAACAATAAACTCTTGGCACCTCCTTCATCAAACTCACTCAATGCCTTTTTGAATAATGGATCAATTGCCAACTCTTGATCAAATTTCTTAACTTTAATAGTTTCAAACTTTACAATGGTGGACTCCATCACTCGATTCATTTTCCGTTTCTTCCTTATTTCCACTCCATTTTCATCTACGTTGTTCCCCTCTTCTCCATCTTCATCTTCATCTCCTGCTCCATCTTCTCCATCTTCTTCATGGTTACCCTCTTCCTTCTTCTTAGCTAGCCCACTCAACAATTTCCCCGTTTCAGTGGCTGCACTTTCAACACGACTCAGATAAATCTTGACACACCCGTCCAACGTTGCTGAGGCTCTTTGGAAATTGATATTCTCACCATCCTTGATCACATTTAAATCTTTAAAATAATCAATCAAGGCAATTTGCCATGAATTCTTCAGGGTGATTTTATTGTCAGTGGAAAGTTTGATCCATTCTTCAAAATTGGAAAGAATGGTATGTTTATTTTCATCGAAATGAATAGCATCCTCCAAATCGGCACTACCATCTCCTCCGAAAAGATCTCCTCTACTAGCCATTCGATTCCCAGTGCTATTGTTGTTGTGATGATGACCACCGGCACCGCCATGGTGGTGGTTGCTGGCCACTCTCTTAGACTTCAGAATGGCTCGACCCTTGTTCGAGAGGTTGTGGAGTGATGATGTTCTACTGGGCACCATCCCAATCGTGGTAGAAGCTGTAGATGAACTCCTTGATCTTGCCTTCGGTAGAATACTCATTGATATATTGATGGTTGTGTTTCTGGTGAGCTCTCTTTCTTAAAAAGTCTATTCAAACAGATGCGTGGGTCTACTTCCTCCACGTAATACTTCTATACCTATATCTATTCTCTATGTCTTGAAAGAGTCTTGCTTGTGTTTGTGTTTTGATTGTCACGTTTTCTGGTAATATTTTTGTTTTCATATTGTGATCTGCGTGTGTAGGATTAAACGCGCATACAGGAAAGAACTTTTAATTAAATAAACAATCAAAAGAAGGATAAATTAAGATTGCCAGCATGATGATAAGATAACATAAGAAATAGATTAAAGAGAATACATTAAGTAAGTATATATATATCGAATGACTATAAGTAATTCTAATAAAATTTAGAATGTTTCATTATCTAATTTTGAACGAATTCTTGTAATCTCTTGTATGTGGTATTTATTTAACACACGTATTTATCTTTTTCCCACAGATATCCCCCTAAAAGGGTCTTCTCAGAAAACGGATAAACCGAGAAATTTGGTGTACCCAAAAAAATAGACATACACAACGTTTCACAAGAGAACTTAATTATGGTAAGAAGAGAATAGAAGAGAATAAAATATTTGAAAAAAAAAAGAGTAGGAGAGTCATACTAAAAAGAAAATTAGTGGGAGTCTAATGCTGTACACCAATTACTCCATCCACTCAACAATCTACTACCCCTATATATTTGTTCTCTCCCCTCACTTCTCTATTATCCCTCCTCTCTCCCCACTTCTCTCTCATCCCTCCTCTCTCAATCTGTTCATGCCCACCCAGGTATTCTTGACAGACTGTTGTATGGGTTCATATTATTCAACAGACACATTATGCTCTTACAGATCCAGTTTCTTTTTTTTTTTTCTTTTTGCCTTTAACCTTTAATTTTTATTTTTTTATTATTATTATTATTTTTGGTACCTATGATTTTTTCTCGGAATTATTCATCCACGCCAATCTTTTATGATCGCATTCCCTATATCGGAATATCCTAAGCCATGTAAAGGACTAAACTTATGGATATCCTATGTTGCCCGGTATCTTGCATGGTACGTCCTACATAGACCACTTCTACGGGCGGTTGTGGCCCATCATGCAGGCCCGACACAGTGGCAACACCTAACATGACCTCAAAACATGCCATAAGTTCCCTAAGCGCATAAGTTGATGCGCACGCATGCGCTTACACACGCGGGACGTCGGATGATCATTTCTGTGGTTGCAATATATATATTGCAAGCCCACACCATCAACAATCTATTTTATCCTCTTCACTATTCAAAGTAAGGATCTCAAAGCCCTTTACACAATAAAAACAAAACCCTAAAAACATTTATCATGTCTGAAATAACTCTCGGTCGTTATCTTTTCGAAAGATTGAACCAACTCAAAGTCCAAACCATCTTCGGTCTTCCAGGTGACTTCAACTTGTCCCTTTTGGACAAGATCTACGAAGTCGAAGGCATGAAGTGGGCCGGTAACGCCAACGAATTGAACGCTGCCTACGCCGCTGACGGTTACTCCCGTGTCAAGGGTTTGGCCTGTCTTGTCACCACCTTTGGTGTTGGTGAACTTTCCGCCTTGAACGGTGTTGCCGGTTCTTACGCCGAACACGTTGGTTTGTTGCACGTTGTTGGTGTTCCATCCATCTCTTCCCAAGCCAAGCAATTGTTGTTGCACCACACCCTTGGTAACGGTGACTTTACCGTTTTCCACAGAATGTCCAACAACATTTCTCAAACCACCGCCTTCCTTGACGACATTAACACTGCCCCAGCTGAAATTGACAGATGTATCAGAGACGCTTGGATCTACCAAAGACCTGTCTACGTTGGTCTCCCAGCTAACTTGGTTGACTTGAAGGTTCCAGCCTCCCTTTTGGACACTCCAGTCGACCTTGCCCTCGCCGCTAACGACAAGGATGCTCAAGAAGAAGCCATTGACACCGTCTTGTCCTTGATCAAGGATGCCCAAAACCCAGTCATCCTTGTTGATGCCTGTGCTTCCAGACACTCTTGTAAGCCAGAAGTTGAAGAATTGGTCAACAAGACTCAATTCCCAGTCTTTACCACCCCAATGGGTAAGTCCGGTATTTCCGAACGTCACCCAAGATTCGGTGGTGTCTACGTCGGTACCTTGTCCTCTCCAGAAGTTAAGGAAGCCGTCGAATCCTCCGACTTGGTCTTGTCCATCGGTGGTTTGATGTCTGATTTCAACACTGGTTCTTTCTCATACTCATACAAGACCAAGAACGTTGTTGAGTTCCACTCCGACTACACCAAGGTCAAGCAAGCTACCTTCCCAGGTGTCCAAATGAAGGAAGCCCTTCAAGTCTTGTTGACCAAGGTCCAATCTGCCGTCACCAACTACTCCCCAGTCCCAGTTCCTCAAGTCAAGTTGACCAACACCCCAGCTCCAGCTGAAACCAAGTTGACCCAAGAATGGTTGTGGACTAAGGCCTCCTCTTGGTTCAGAGAAGGTGACATCATCATCACCGAAACCGGTACCTCTGCCTTTGGTATTGTCCAATCCCAATTCCCAAACAACACCATCGGTATCTCCCAAGTCTTGTGGGGTTCCATTGGTTTCACCACCGGTGCCACCTTGGGTGCTGTCATGGCCGCTGAAGAAATCGATCCAAACAAGAGAGTCATCTTGTTCATTGGTGACGGTTCCTTGCAATTGACTGTCCAAGAAATCTCCACCATGGTCAAGTGGGAAACTAAGCCATACTTGTTTGTTTTGAACAACGACGGTTACACCATCGAAAGATTGATTCACGGTGAAAACGCCACTTACAACGACATCCAACCATGGAACAACTTGGCCTTGTTGCCATTGTTTAACGCTAAGGACTACGATGCCATTAGAGTTGAAACCACTGGTGAAGTTGACAAGTTGTTTGCCGATGAAGCTTTCAACAAGAACTCCAAGATCAGAATGATTGAAGTTATGTTGCCAAGAATGGATGCTCCAATGAACTTGGTCAAGCAAGCTGAAGTCACTGCCAGAACCAATGCCGAAAACTAAATGTAAAATATGAGGTGATCAATAATGTATAGACGATAATAAAACCGATTAGTATGACTTTTAAATGTAGAAAAGGAATTAGACAGAGCATTTGATGTCTAGAATTGATAGTTGCTTCAATGTTCTTACAAAAAACTGGACGAGATCCATACGGGGCACTGGGTCAGCTCTTCAGTTCCTCCACAAGGAAGATGGGAGTAAGCGAACTCCTCGAAGAGGAGCTGGGGCTCTCCCCGAGTATGGGCCAGCGGAGCGTCTTACCAACTCCGTAACAGAACCACTAGCTTCCCTGCGGGCACTAGCCGTGGGGGCTCCAGTTCCTCTACGAGGACGTTCTGGCTGCACGAGTCTAATCGTCGGGTACTCATCTGGATTTCAGGTGTCCAACCGGTAACCCTCTACACATTATACTAGTTATACTTTCAATCCTTCATTAAACTATTTAGCGTCTCCCCTTGGATTTATTACTTTTACCCTTACCGTTAATTCTATCAATATCCACTTGTGAAATAACCAACCCGTTTCTTGTGGATCTACCCACAGAGCTGATTTTAAGTCCTCTATCTCTAATTCTGACCTCCTTCTTCTTCCCGGTCCCTATCCGGTCGCTCGCCAAGGTAGATCCCTTGCCTAGGTTCAAGCTTCTACGTTCTCCCTTCTTCACCTTAGACAACACTATACCTGCGTTTCTGGCCTCTTCTTCGTACTTTCTCACTCTTTCATCGTGACTACGAATCATCCCCTTTCTCATGGACATGGGCATCTTTTCAAGCTTCTTTGGTAACCCGCCAGTTTTCGAGTTGGTGGCCGCCAATGTTCGGATTCTCGAGTCCAAAGTTCTCTTTCTGGCCTTCCCTGTAGGCTCCTCATAATCAATGGTTTGCAAAGTCAAGTCTGCACCGGAATGCATATCATTGCTGCCAGCAAGAATGTGAGATTCTTGAAGAAGTCTTTGAAGTTGAAGATCATTTTCCAAATTATCATCGTCTTCCTTGGCTCCTTGTTGTTGTTGTTTCTTGGTAAGTTTACTCAACTCACGTTCCTTACGTGATATTTCTGCCAAAGTGGCCGCTCTTCCAGATTGTAAAAGCTTCTTATCGGCACGAGAAAGGACAGTAGGTTGACTTGAAAATGATGAAAGTTTTATAACCTTTGGTGTAGCAGAGTCTACTGATTTATTTTTAACATTCTTGCCCTTTGGTGTCCCATCTTTTCTACTAATGAGTTTCCCATGACCTTCTTCATCACTAGAATCCTCCTCTTCTTCATCTACTTCATTATCTGTTCCATTATCATCACCTGATGTCTCATCGCTCTCCTCATCGCTCTCATCTTCACTCTCCTCTTTCTTCGTTTTATCTTCAAATCCAAGCGTTTCTATCGACCCAAACTGCGCCTCGAAATTCCTACGCTGAATCTCTAAAGCTTTCATATACTCGTCAGACATCCTTCCAATACTAAAATTACGATTAATATATAAAAAGACCTGGCTCTCGTTCTTCCACCTGTAAATTTCGCAATCTTTTTCTCTGCACTATTTTTTTTTTTACTGCTTCCCCAATGTATGGGTGTACGGGTGGACAACCACCAGTATGATTCATATCTCCACATTAAAGATATGATAGTCCTTCTATTCAGTTTTCTTCTTCTACTTCTTCTTCCACATCTATTCCCAATATGACCCGTTTCAGAGGCTGTATCGATATCCATGCTGGTCAAGTGAAACAAATCGTCGGTGGCACTCTTACTCAAGATGATACCTCCAATGACGGCTCAGACACAACCACGGAAAACTTTGTATCTACCAAACCGTCATCTTATTATGCAGACCTCTACAAGAAACATGGCATATCTGGATGTCATGTCATCAAACTTGGCACCAACCAGGCCAACGATGACGCCGCTAGAGCCGCGTGTTCGGCCTGGCCCCATGCCTTGCAAGTGGGTGGAGGAATCACCAACGCTAATGCCCTTGAATGGCTAGACACTTATCATGCCGCTCAAGTCATTGTCACGAGTTGGCTCTTCACCAATGAACAATTCGATTGGTCCAAATTGAAGCAAATCTCAAACCTTGTCGGGAAGGAAAGACTTGTGGTGGATTTGAGTTGTAGAGAAGTCAAGGAAGATGGTAATGGAACTACCAGTTGGGTGGTGGCAATCAACAAATGGCAAACTCTCACCACCAACGTCTTGAGTGCCTCATTCCTTGCTGAAGTTTCCCAATACTGCAGTGAGTTCCTCATCCATGCAGCAGATGTTGAGGGTCTCTGTAGAGGAATAGACGCCAATCTTGTTGAGAAGCTAGGTGAATGGTGTCCCGCTGGATTTGAAGGTAAGATTGTCTATGCTGGTGGAGCCAAGCTGGTGGACGATTTGGCCACCGTTTCCCGTTTGAGTCATGGGAAGGTTGATTTGACTTTTGGAAGTGCCTTGGACATTTTCGGCGGGAAATTGGTCAAATTTGACGATGTTGTAGCCTGGAAGAATTAAGAAATCTGGACGATCCTGCCAGTCAGTGACTGTCCCACTTGTGTATAAAAGTATAGCATGTATCAATAGAGACCAAACTTCTACTCTATATCTTCCAACACCCAGCGGGTGCCCTCAAGACTGGCCACTAGTCTCCCTACGGGGTCTGTGATCCGCTCCGCTGGCCCCTGCTGGGGGAGAGCCACTGCGTGGAGCCTGGCTCCTCTGCGAGGAGACTCTTTGCAACCAGAACTTCCTCGTAGAGGAACAGGAGCCTCCACGGCTAGTGGCCCACGGAGTGCCAGCGGAGCGGCTTGAGAGTCCCAAAGGGTGGTACTCTCTCCTACTCTCCGGGGGTGTCAGCCGCTCCCCTGGCTCTCCCCCGAGTTAGGGCCCAGCGGGGCGTCCTACAGACCCCGTAGGGTAACTACTCGCTTACCTACGGGGGCACTCAGTGCACCACTAGCCGTGGTGAGCCTCTCCTTCCCTGCGGGACTCTAGGTCTACATCCAACTTGTCCTTATTTATCGTTCTATTTTATACATTTTCAGATTAAACTTTTTTAACCCCACGTCGAGTTCCCGAACCCTCCACCTCCTGGCGAGTTGTTGCCACCACTAGGAGATCTTCCATATGTTGTAAATCCTCCCGATGCAGCATTGCTGGCCTCTATGCCGTCCTTGTTCAACTCCATCGAAACACCTGCAAGCTTCAACTGTAAGGTCTCAATACCCTTCAACACAACCTCGTCTGGAGGCAACACCCCTACGGTTTCCACATCGATGTAGAAAGTCTCTGGCTTGGCATTGTAGTCAAACTTTGCATCTGGATCAGGGGCTTCTTCCCATTCACAGTTGGCACTCTTGGGCCATTCAGCATCGGCATCTTCTTCGTACCAGTAGTCTGTATGCTTCAACTTGTTCCATGGGTCGTATTCAAACCCCACGGCGGAACATGGACTCCATTTGGCATGTTCCTTGGCTATACCCTTTTTGGCAATACATGTGAGTCTCAACTCTTGATGCTTTCTCAACTTACAGATAAGTGGACCCTTCCCGTGTTGGTCACGGATGACTGGGTCCCCCAATCTGACCCCGTTGTGAAACTTGGCCAAGTCTACCGCGTAAACGTTCATGGTGGAGTCGGTGTCACACTTGGCAGTCAATTCCAACTTGACTGAACAGTTGGCACAGTATTGGTCACACGTGCAGTCTCTGGAGTACGACAACGCATCTATACCTTCACTCACCAAGGGGATCAACCCAAGACGGTGTGAAATGAACTCATCTGCCAACACAGAAGTATTCACCTCGATCTCAACAAGATCTATGGCCAACGTCGGCACTTCAGCGAGCATCGTTCTACGGATGGAGTTGGCAATGGAAATGTCTACATCTTTCAAAAGAAAGTCCACACGATCGCGCTCGGTCTGTCTAATCGTGACACGGGGTCCGCTGTCTGTCTTATCCATGATGTATAACGGGTTGATGGTATTACTAACCTATTAGTCTATTGACTTTGACTTTTTGTTTATCTGAGGGCGTAGCGCTAACAAAAAAAAAAAAAAAAAACTCAAACTGGAGAAGTAAAATGAGTTTACAGGTTGGTGTAACCTGTAAAAATGAAAAAAAAGATGTTGTCACGTGACTAAGTGTAGATGAATATAGTCAAGGGGATGAATTGATTTGCAACAAGAATGTTCAGAGGAGAGAGTTTGATTAGATTTAGGATATTTAAGCATTCAGGATTATAACTATCCATGATATGTAGTTAATTTAATACTTTAGAGAGTAGTAAATGTAAGCAAGGAGCCATGAATGTGGATATATTTCAGGGGAGAGTCTTGTGAAAGACTCCTGGTAGAGGAGTTAAGCACCACGCAGTGGCTCTCCCAGAGCAGGGGCCCAGCTGAGCTTCAAGCTGACCCACAGGGTAGTAAGTGATCACCACCCTACGGGGTTAGTGAGCCGACCCGCTGGCACTCAGTGGACCACTAGCCGCGGAGGCTCCTGTTCCTCCACCGAGGAATGAATCAGTAAAGTATATTCTTGCAGAGGAGCTCAGTTCCGCATAATGGGTCTCTTTCTAGGTAGGATTGTCCATTTATTACTGTAGTAACACTAGAGCTGGGTTAGTTGTAGAATAAGACGTCTCATTGTTTCCTTTAGTTATTCATCAGTTAAACTTTTCCAGCATTTGATGAGATTGTATGAAACAATATAATGAGAAGGGAAGTGCTCACGGGGACGATTATTTCATATGGTGCATTTTTCCCAAAGCCACTACTAGTAGTACTGTTAAGTCAGAAGCTTCTTTTGGCTTGCAAGAAATCCCAAAGGAAATTAAGACTCATATTCCAGAAAAAGAAGACGTTTGCTCAATGTCGTACAAATTCCTTAGTCATATGCTAGCAATCTTCAACTTAGTAGTGCTTCTAATAATATATATAATTGAACTGGATCTACCAAAGAAGAAATTACCTGGTGTTAGATTGTTTGAAAAGACAATCAAGTTAAAGATTCTTACTCACTGTGGAGTTGATATTACTTCTTTTGTGTTCTCTAAATGTGCTGCTCAATACGATAATTATTCAATTCAGCATTCAATCCGTTGCTTCAACCATTACTATCAAAATTGTAGCCATGTAAAAGAATTCCTGTTGTTGTTTTCTGACAATTGGGTGCATGTCACCTGAAATTTATATAAACCTTCGGATATTAGCATCCAAAGAGTGAGCACACCAATAGTAGACGCCTCTAATACACTTCATTATTTAACAAAAAAAATCCCAACAATGAGACACTGTCACTCAAACTCTAGTCGGTGGTTGTATGTTTGTGAGTTTCTAACTGAGACCTTTTGATTTTTTTTTTTTTATCCTATCTATGATTTCATTCTTCATGCTTGTATACTTTCTTTACAAGAAAAGGAGACAAAACGAAAGAGCTCTTTATGTTGAGTCTATTTTACCAAGATGCAATTATTATTTCCCCGGTAGTCTGTATTTCACGGCTCTCTTTGGGCTGGAGCAATACAGTTAAGGGATTGAAGCTCGCCCCAAAGTATAGTTTTCCATACGATTAACTGCAGAAATATGTTCAAATTTGAAAAAAAAAAAAGAAACTATTATGATGGAGCCATGGAATGAGGCGTCTTTGAACTGTTTTTCTTCTACATGTCTGGTGGTCAACTTTAGAGAATGGAAGAATCGATCGAATGAGTACATAAAAAATATAGCATGTTCTTCAGAAGATGACCTATTTTCCTTCCACGGTTGGATAATGAAGGGTGTGTCTTATCTGGACACCCTGGCATGGAAGCGCCCTGCAATACGATTCACTGTGGATTAAATAAATTTTTTGCACCCAAGGCGGGGCTAGAGCATAATAATATTCGAAGTTGTGTGTAGGATGAACTTACATACACAGGAAAGGGCTCTAACCAGATTTTGATGGTAGTCCGAGACCTATGCGAAATATTGGGAAATTTACGAACCCCGTCGAAGCGAGAATTTACGAGCCAAAGACTGATGTCATAACCTTATCATCTCCGGGAGGAGGCTGAGGGGTTCGGCTTATACATTGGCGAAATCTTGTCTTGTAGAGAAAAGATAGTACGCATTATGTACCAGTAGATTTAATCGTGACTAAATCTCAAAGATGTGTAATTAGTGGGCTGTACATATGACGCTTGGCGCATCCTCCAAACGCTCGTAAAAAAAAAAACTGCTATGCATCTCCTCAGGTCATAAAAGGACCACAATCAGATCAGCACCGAGTCATTTAGTTTGACACCTTACATATATAGAGGCGATTCCTCTTCATAATTTAATTGCTTGTAGAAAGGACAACTATGTCAAACTGTTCAGTAATCAAGAGTCGTCAGACTATCATCTCTATCACTATAAGGGCTATTCAATTGGCTTGGACAATAGCTGCATTGGTTACAGCCGCAATCTCCGATTCCAAACTCCCCTATGAGAGAATCCAATACTCACTTGCAGTCTCGGTAATTTCTCTCGTTTATGTCATTTTAACGGTAAGTCCTCTTTATCGCTATGCTGTGCCCATCCAGGTGGTTCTTTGTGAGGGCATTCTTTCCCTTCTTTGGCTAGTGGCATTTGGACTTATGGCCAACGTATGGGCCAGTATTAATTGCGACGTTTTTGACACAAGCTTTTGGTCTATGGCACTCAATGACTCTAAGGCGACTAAACTTCTTGATTCACTCCATGATCTGTGCCCTGTAAACAAAGTAAACATTGCGTTCGCCTGTTTGGCCTGGATTTCATTTCTGGTTTCCTTCATCTTGTCACTTGCTTGTACCTATGTCCCTGTATCCAAGGGGGAACAAGGTCTTAGAGAGAAGATTATGTCATATGGTGCACTTTTCCCAGCAGCCACCACCACTTCCGCTACTACTGCTACTACTAATTCTACTGATCCTGAAGTCATTAATTTTGAAGGACAAACAACTGGAATCAGGTATGATCCCTCAGTTGGTTTCGATGGATATTCAAAAGAGTCTGAGAATCATACTCCAGACGATGAATTCAATCAACATCCCAACGTCACACGTTTTGTATAGTTCCTCAAACAGAACTTCGGCGAGCATTTTATAACATTGGTAGTGTCATACTTTTAAGAAATTATATATAAATATATAAACTGGATTAAACCAAGGTATTCTTGTGGTTGGATTACCACTTGTACTGTATGACGAAGATAATTGTTCATAGTGGGTTAACAGGACTTTCCATATAGCCAATTCAAGCAAGAAGAACTGTTTGATTTTAGTTTTTCTTCCTATGTTATTTCTACTCGACAAACCCTATTACAGGTCTTGTCGTACAACAAAATGTATGAAATGATGATGTAGTTTTTTAATATTTTATCTTATCTCCTTTCCATTAAACTATTTTATCTAAGATTCTTTAACTCATAATTTTAAAATAGGTGTCCTCTCTCTTTTTTTTTTTTTGACATGTCTAATCCCTTCCAGTAACTCAAATAATACCCTCTATACTCTCTCTTCATCCAATCATACATTCACTTATCTAATAATTCTCTTTCTCTACATAATAAATAGTTAGCTACCCTCTATCCTCCTTATACTGGGTGTTCGGATGTACACCTGCATATAACCACAATCAATTTATGCATTATTGACAAATTAATGACAATCCTTAGTCTTTGTTTGATTTATCAATCAATTAAACATCGATAATGTCTATAACTATACCCGATCTTCGATTTGAACAAACATTTCTTCGTTCATTGAACACATATGCTGGTGATACCAAACATGCAGAACCAGAGGGAGAAAATTTAATGAAAAAGACCAAAAGATCGAAAAATGGTAAATTAAATTTTGATGTAGATGCCGCTGCTATGGTACCTTCAGAACCTACACCTCTTGTCACACCTTCAATAGTTGCTTATGCTGTGATCAAGGATCAGATAATTATGCCACTTCTTCAAGGATTCCTCTGGGCGGGGATCCTAGTTGTAATTTCGCCACTTAGATCTCATATTGTAGCTGGTGGACAACTGTGTGGGAAATGGTTATTCAATGCAGTTGGATTAGGAAACTTAAGACCAATACAAACATTGAAAGATGCAAATGTGATATAGAAAGAGTAAATATGTATATTAGAAATAAAAAGAAAGATAATAGATTATGTAGGGTAGATTCTAGTAGTATTAGTGAAGTCTTACACACTATCACGTGACACATCACATGCCCCCACAAATTAACTTATTGATTAAAGATTTATTATTCAGTATAAACAAAGTCTAGTTTCATCTATCCTTTATCTATAGTATACTTCATGATCTTGGTGGCTGCCTATAGTTTGGTGGCGTCAATCTTTTTTTTTTTCTTTTATCTCACGTAAATTATTCGGGTGGGCCCGGATGTAGGTATTCCCGAAAAGTATATATCATAATGATGTTTTGCATTGTCATTTATATTACAGTTGTATAGATTTATAGATTAACCAAGTACGAGCCTATCACAATAACCTTTAGTAGAAAAGTTAAATGAGTAAGGAGGTCAAGCTCTCCTAAATACACTATACAGGGATGTAAAATTTAAGGGGGTCTAATTAACATTTGCTTGATATAATCTGCATTTTTTTAATTACTTGATTAATAATTTTCTGATGCTTTTACTATTTTTATACTTCCTTATCATGCACTGCAGTTCAATTCGTAAAATAATCGGCTCGTATGTTGTACATTTGTCATTTATGGAAAAGTCTACTTAATAACACACAAAAAAAAACCAAAGAGTAAAAAACCAAAGAGTTAAGGTAATGTAAAAGATCCCACTGAAATGGAGTTATAGTTCTCTAGAAAAGATTATTTCATTCATAAATATTTCCCGTCATGCCTAAGCCACCCCGAATACCATTCTTTGATGATGCCTTTGCAATCCCTTTCACTATTCTCCTTGTTGATTTCTTCTTCACCATTGGAGGATCACAAAGTTTCGCTATGAGTATAAGGGAGAAAGTTATAGAGAGAAATTATCGAGGTGCTCCAGAAAAACCAGAGTAGTTAATTGCTCTGTATTAAATCTTTGATAACTCTTCCTGATGGCTTCAAAAAGCTGGTGCCGTTCTAAATTTAAGCAATTTGATCGTCTGTTGCAATTGTAATTCAGTTGAAAATTCAAGATCAATAACTTGGAAAAGAGTACTTTGTTTCACACCACGTGACTCATCACATGGCACAAACTCCCGATCACATGACTGTCCTATTTTTAGCTAAATATATTTTTTTTAAATCGACTAATGAAATTTAAATCTAGATCTATTAATCAAGAGCAATTTTAAAACCAGAATTATCCAAATAATTAACCGCCACCCTCAATAACTAACCAAAACTCCTTTCCTATATCATTTCAAATAATTTCAACGGTTTTTTCGGTGGCTGGCTGACCCATTCTCTAGTGGCGTCATTGTTTTCTTTACTTTTTCCATCCTTCCGTTCCTGCACGTGTGCCTGTTTCCTTCTTTCCACAGAACACCCTTAAACCCAGATAACTATACTAGTACTACCACTACATTCAGTGATTAACATTTTCTCCCTTCAGTAACGAGTTATTAGAAAATCTCTACATAGAAACTAGCTAACACTTCCATCCAAGGACTTCTACCCAATTCTAGAACCCTCATCTGAATACAATCCCGGATCTTTACATCCCTTAATTTTATCTCCGTAAACACCCCTACAGGTCCATCTGCAGTACCTCGCAGCAATAGTGTTTTGGAAAGAAAAACCAACGCAATAACTGACGACGAACAACTGTTCTTCTCTTCAATTACCCACTTTTATACACCCATTTCAGTCGATTGCTGGCTGTCACTGCACTGGAATAACTCTCTTGATTGCACCACGTGCTGGAAACCGGCACCTGAGCCTTTTCACTTCTTCACATTTTGAGTTTACATTCCTGTTCCACCGTCAATGTTTGGTAGACGTCAGGCCAAAACCACCCACAAACCCGCCTATACCGGTGTGAACCATGTGGCAAGTGCGGACCATCAACCCAACTCAAACGCACTTGCTGCTGCGCTTACCATTGGCCAGTCCCTCAAGCAGCAACTGCCACAACAGCCCCAGCCCCAGGTACAACAACAACCACCTCGGTTCCTGCTTCGCTCTAACAGTATTCAACACCAGAATGCCACTCAGCAACAGCCCCAATCGCGTAGAAGCTCACTTCTTAAGCGTTCTTCGTCCATTACAACCAAACCAAATGCCGCTAATGCGTTCCAATCGTTTGGTCCACACACCCCTGCGGCTGCGACTCCTCCATCGAGAAGACAAAGCGTAGACTCCAGTTATTACGAAAACCACGCCCATATGAACGACTTGCACCATGGTGGAGCTGCTGCTGGCAGTGGACCAGGAACGGCAGCTCCTGTGAAAATGGTGAAGAAATACGTGCCAACTGCCAATGGGATTCAAATCATTGAAGTCCCAGAATCTACGCTTGCCAAGGAGATTGCTCGTTCTAACAGTTTGAGAAATCTCCCCCGTACAAACAGTGTCATCCGCAGACCTCCGGGAACTGCCGGATCGCACTCACAACGTACTGCGTCTCTCAGAGCATCCTCAAGACCAACATCGCGTCTCTCGTCATTGGTGGAATCTCCTAGTAGACTCAGACCAATGCGTGAAGAACACATTTCTACTCTTTCAGAAGAACCCAGATCACCAACCGATTCGGAATTTGAATCCTTGGACAAGGAAATTGAAAGAGAAAAGAAATATGTAGAGGATTTGGCAAAGAAGAGAAGAGAATATGAGCAATTGAAGAATAAACGATTAGAAGAGGAAAGAAAGATTAGAGAATTGCAACAATCAGAACAGGAAGAATCTCGTGATATTGGAGAAGACGAGGCCAATGCCACCGTGGAATGCGTTGTCCCTCTTGATGGTGTTACATCCACTGCCGGTACGTCTACATCCACAGCAGGTACCTCTTCGTCCAACAACAATTCCGCATCAGTTGCCCCATTCACCGACTCTGATATCTCTTCATTTGAACCAACCATAGACCCAAGCCATGTTGTAGTAGATGAGTTTGAAAAGAAGGCACTTGACCACACTGTCGATCACACTAGTGAGCAGATTAACTCCACTCTTCCAGACCCGGAACCATCGATGGTGGATGAGGGAACCGAATCTACTGCAAGTTCTTCTTTGGCCAAGCAACTTAGACCAACGTTTGACACGGAACCAACGGTTATAGAAAAGGAACAGTTTGATCATCAACTTTCCGACCAGCTTAATGCGGAATTGCTTCAAATCCCTGGTCCTTTCATTTCTGGTGGAAGTTCCTCATCATCTATTCGATCATCTGGTAGTTTGGACTCGCCTTCTAAGTCCAAGAAGACTCCAGTTAAGTCTGCTATGAAAAACTCTCCTTCCTTCTACTCTAACAAATCTAGAAGCAGAACCAATAGTAACACCAACCCTGCACATCAAGCATACCTTTCGCTCACAACTGCAGAGAATACACGTTTGAACTCCAAATTGTCGTCATCTCAGTTGGACTTGGTACAACTGTCTGGGAATGTATACCATCCACCACCTCCTACTATTCAATCTACTGCCCAGACACCTTCTCCTCAATCAAAGAGAATGTCTCAAACTTTAAGAACCCCACAAGGCCAAACTTCTTCTCCTAACGGCCCTGTGAATGGTTCTGGATTCCATCACAATGGGAATGGTGCCGCGCAAAATGGATCGCTCTCGGGTCGTTCTCTTCGCCCACAATCATTTGTTGATCCATCGCGTCGTAATGCTCAACCGGAACAACCAAAGGGTATGAGTGGTAGATCCCTCAGAGACAGATCGTCCGTGTATGTGGCGCCAATAGGTGCACACCCAGCGCTTCAACCTGGATATCAATCTCCATCCAAGGCTCGTGCTGCTGATCTATATGCGAGGGCCAACGCAAGACCTGTTTCTACCTTTAAACCACAAAAGAAGTCTTCCTTCAGTAGAGAAGATTCTCACGGAGAACCTCAACCTGAAAGAAGAACTACTCTTAGAGACACCAGTGGAAATATCAACAATGGTGCTGCTATCGAACATCAAGCTACTGGGGAAAAACCTAGTCCTGTAAATGCAAATGGTGTCATTCCTCTCAAGAACACAGCACAGGCTCCAGGTTCTCGATTCAGATCTCGTCTTGCTGACTCAGATGATGAGTCTGAACCAGTTGGTCTTGGTCACCCACACGCGCACGCACCACCTCAAGCCACTCGCTCGTCTAGATTTGCGTCTCGTTTCAATGATTCTGACGATGAAGACGATATTTTCAGCAATGGTCAACACGCATCATCTGCATCATCACCCGCGCAAAACCACTACCACCAGCAACACCACCAACAACACCACCAGCAACAAAGCGCCACTTCACCAACAGGTCAGTATTCTCTCAGAGAAGACAAAAGGGCCCCAATGGAATCCTTGCGTAACTCAGAACCAAAGTCTGAACAAAAGCCTAAGAAGAAGTCCTTTGGTAAACTTAGAAAGCTTTTTGGTAAAAATTAAAAGAATTGGAGAACCTTAATTAATGGAATGTACCCTCCTAATTAGCTACATAATTGCTTGAATATATCTTCATATATATATAAAATTTCTATATTTACAAGTCGAGACCCGCTCGGTCGTTCATCTCCACTCCTTCAATCATGCTCAAATTCAATGAGGTTCTCTTCATGATCGTGCTCGTGTTTTTCATTCTTTTTCGTAGCCTCCTCTTCGGCCTTATGGAATCGACTTAATTCTTCTTTACCAGCTCCAGCTCCCAGAGTCTTGATTGGATCGACCAAAACCTGGGCTTCTGCAGAAAGAAGGAGATCCTTATCGGTATCATCAATGGCAATGACTCCAAAGTCATCATCTCTATCTTCTTCTTCATCTCTCTTTTCAGACTTGCTCAGTTTCATCGAAGTGTTATCACTGTTGTTGGTGTGTAAGGCATTAGACGCAGCTGAATCCATTCTACGTCTGACCTTCGTGGCAACCTTCCTTCCATCGGCAAGTAATCCATCAAACATGTCTCTGAGATTTCTAACAGTGTTGAATTTCTCGTCCAATGGTTTGTCCACATGTATGGATTCACGAAGAGTCTTACTGAAAAGTAGTTCATACGTTTCATCGGCCAAAACAACCATTCTAAAGGTAGGAAGGTTAACAAACACAGGTGCATTGGGGTTAAGTGCTGCATTATGAGAAATCTTATTATCAGTAATCACCAATTCTTCAAGAAGAACGGTTTCCTCTTCAGGCTGTGCATATTCAAAGGCTCGGTTAATAAAGGTACTGGCTGCAGAAAGATATCTTTCAATTTGTTGATTTTCAAGCTTTTGTCTATCAATATCAATTTCCAGTGGGAGTGGGATCATATCCTCTGGGAAGTTTTCTCCGCTGGATCGTTGTTGTTCTACTATCTTATCAGCAATGGCATTTTCAATGGCAATCTCGGTGATTCGATCAAGAATATATCCTTCCTTCCATGGAGTGGTGATGTAAAGAAGATCCTCTGACATTTGTAGAATACTTTCTCTATCCAATTTCCCACGATTCTTCGTATCATATATCTCGAAAAAGTTTTGGATAGCACCCATAAGATCTGGTTCACATAATTTGTTGAGTCCAACCGCCAAGTCAGACAATGTAAGAGCAGATTGGGATTCAGAATCCCAATGATGGAATAGTTTACTGAGGAATGGTCGACAACTACTACCTCCACTATTGTTCCCATCACCTTCTTCAAATTCCACCCAATCGCAAATCTCCAGCATAAACTTCTCAAACCCTTTAAAGTCCATCAAACTACTACCACTGCCCATGGTAACGTTATACGACTCTACCACGGAGTAGAATCGATCATACAAGATCAGGAGCATGTCGGGAGTGAAGTTTGAGGTCTTGGGGAGATTACGAAGTTCTGTTCTTTTAACAAACGTTGAAATGTTTTGGAAAATGGTATCACGATGTTTCTTTCTATGTTTTTCAATCAATGTTTCGTCTACGATTGAGAATTCCTTAAAAGCAGTGACCAATAATTCCTGGAAATTCGTAACACTACGATACTTCTCATTAGGGGAATTTGGGTGTGCCAGTTGATCTAAAGTTTGGAAATACCCTTTCAAGATTTGAATGAATGTTCCGTCATCCTCTGTGGTTAACAATTCTTCTCCATTAAGTTTGATGATGGCCAAGGCCACTTGAAATAATGTTTTAGGTCCTTGAAGGAAAAACACATCGATAATTCTGAATGCAAATACCAACGGCATGCTACTGAGATACAGTGAGAGGAACCATGGAAGTGACACCACCGAAAGTTGAATGTCATACTTGGTGATATGTTCCCACAAGATGGGCATTGTTTCCTGAACCAATGACTCAAACACTCTCTGATCAAGTAAGGTACCATACATGGTCTTGGAATAATAACCAGGAAGAATTCTATCACACAAAACATTCAAACACCAAAAGGCTTGTTCCTCGCTCATGTATATAAGCAAGGCGGCCACCACGATGTTCATGGCTTGACAATATCCAACCTCAGGGTTTTTCCACGAGTAGGCGGTGAGAACTCTTCTTAATCGTTCAATCCCTTCAGGTTGTTGATATGCCACGTATTCGGGAAGTGATCTGTTCAAATCCTTCTCAATTTCCTCTCTGGCAAAACTTTGTTTATGGGCATTGGCGGTCAAAATCCTCTCATATTCTCCTTGATTATCAAACCGTTCATACATCGAACCACAGCAAAGTTCCCAGATTTCTCCACGAAGTCGGTTGGGTAATCCAACCCGTACCAAACGGAAAAACATCGGAGATTTGATCACAGATAAGTTGCGACCATCAGCTCTCAACAAGTCAAACCATAACTTCATCTTGGACTTATCACGAGATTCACGGACATTCCCCGGGAATTTGAACTTGAGACCAAGCCCACCGGGCGGGACCTCTTCAATTTTCTCCAGGGAAACATTATTCTTACTCAAGAGGTATTCCGAGTAGCATGTTTGAATGAATGGTTGAAGCTTGCGTACATTGGGGAGATTGTCCTTAAGTCGAAGCTTGAGGTTGTGGGCGAAACGTTCGCTTTCTGGACGAACGCCAACCAAGTAGAGTGTCACCACGATTCGCAGATGCGTGGTAACAGAGAGCGCATACACGTACAGACGCGTTGGAAGTCGTTCCACTTTTTTAAAAGTTGACAAGTGGATGGCAAAGGAACATGTCTTACGATCAAATGCGTCACGGAACACCAAGAAATGTTGGGTGAGGTAGAGGCGACCCTGTGGGAAGGCTTGTGGCAGCGGTTCATGGCCGTCCAGATGCTTCCGGTCTCGTTTGGCAGTGGCACTAGCGGGTGGAGTGTTCTCCAGCTTGACGCCAATCTCAGCGGCACTTTCATCGATAACCGTCTCACCCGTGGGGAGCCGATGTTCCAAGCAGAACAATTCATCCTTCAGAAGACTTTGCTCCGACTGCTTGTTGTTATCCAAAACCTGGTTGAGTGTGCTGACTGCCTTCTCGCGAAGAGCTTCGAAAAAGGCCATCTTACAAACGGAAAGAGCCCTGAAGGGGAGGAGGTGTACAGTGACAGCGGATTACCCTGGCTGAGTGTCGCTTTGGTAGTACAATTGGAATAGGTTGCGGTCTCGTGGAGGTTGGCACGGGTCGCACGGGTGCTTGAACTAGCGTATAGGGATATCTGAACTACTCCAAGGGGCACTGGCAGAGTTCAATGGTGAGATTAACGGAGACATTGGTCATTCAATCCCAAATGTGTTTATACCAAGACCCTCAGAACCCACCCGTGCGCGATGTTTCGGTTTTGTGCAACGTATTTATATGTAGGTTGTGGGTAGTTGGGGTAAAGGGGTGGAGGCTTGTATTAGCGCTGATACGTGTCTAAAATTAACGGGGTGGATTCCAGTGGTAAGGTGCAACGTAATGTATAAATAGCTGTACTTGAAAATGGGGTAATATTACTTTTCCAGGTCCCCAAATAGATATAAGGTATACATATGCTAGCGAAGCATTTGAATATGCGCCTACGCTGGCTGCGAAAATTTGACTTTATGTCCGAGACAACCATGTTCTTTCAAAGGGAAGGATGTGATTACACACGGCGAGCTGGTCGATATGGGTGATACATAGGGAACCAGAGAGGCCATCTAATACACTTGTCTATATGGAAGATTTTACAAATATGCCCACTCATACAATGGATATATACACACAACAGTGGTACGCCCCATCCGCACGTCCCGTAAGCACTTCTTATCACCGAATCTAGAAGTTCATCTACACAGATACACCGCCTGATTGATATAAAACCAAACTTCCCCCCTATTAGATACATCACTACATTCTCCTTAAATTACCTTATTTTATCTTATAAATACATATACCTCTACTCTTTCAATGGTGGAAGGTCTTCGGAGCTTACGTCCAGTACCTCCGATTCCAATTCCACGTCTCCTTCTGCCAGGTCACCTTGGGTACCATTAGCTTCTTCTTCAGTTATTTTTGTCTGCAGTTGACCAGGATCATCTCTGGTGCCCTCTTCTTCTTCTTCCTCCTCGGTATCGTCTTCATCTTCGTCTTCGTCGTCACCTCCACCATTAGTTGAAACGGTGTCCAAATATGCGTCATACTTGAATGCCGGCGTGCTCTCGTGAGTACTCAAAAGCAGTTTCAGACGATGGTGGTGGTGATGATGGTGACGGTGCAGCTCTTGGTGCCGTGGTGCATGCGGATGGATATGGTGGTGTTCACTGCCAGTTTTCCCAAAATCTCTTGAACGCCCTTCTTCTTGCAATTCTTGCACTGTCATGAAGTTTGCATAATCTGCCACTTGCTTCAAAGGCTGTGAAATCGTGGATCTCTTTTTCACCTTAAACTTGTTCCCAATGATCTTACCCAGATGCGCCAATACAATCTTGATAATATCCTTCCGAAGCCTTGTGAAGGCCTCTTCAGGCGACCAAATCTTGTTGCGATACCGCAACAGCGGAATCGTAAGCACAAGCTTATGGAAGTCAATGATGTTCAAATGTTTTGGTGTTTTGAAAGAGATCATCAATTGGAAAGTGGTGACCTCTAAATCTATGACTGACATGTACTTCGATGCACGTTCGATAACCAAACTGATCTCATCCTTGTTAGCTTGGTTTTTATTGACACTACTTTTTGATGTGGCACTAGATGTAGGTGTGTTCTTACCAAGTGACAAATCTGAAGATTGTCTTGATGAAACAGATTCAAGATTAGAAGAAGCGATGGAAGTAGAATCAGAATCAGTACTAGCAACAGTAGAACTTGATGGAGAAGAAAGTAACGATGAGGTCGAGGATGCAACTCTTTTCTTGATGAAGTTTTTAAATGGGTTACTTGAATGATGCTTAATTTCCTTGGATTCAACCTTGGATACAACTTCCTTGTGGTGGTCACTTTCCCGATCACCGTTATGGTCACGTTCACGTTCCAGTTCATGCTCCTTTGCATGGTCCTTGTTAGCCTTTTTACCCTTGGGGAAGATATAATCCATCAATTTGATGGCTGTATCGTAATCTAATTCAACCTGAAGTGGTTGCACTGCAATCCTTGCATGTTGCATGATACTGATACCCCCAACTGGCTCTAACATCTTCCAATGAATGCTCACCACTGGCAAATTGGCATTAATTGAATCATGGAGTGGTCGAAGAAATTCAGGATAAACAGCAGTCGGTTGCAAATTGAACCCTTGAATCATATTTACTTGAATATTGTTCGATGTGGATGCATCTAAGGACACTGTTCTTGAATATTGTGCTCGAGCCAGTGCCAAATCAAGGAATGGTTCTCTATTGTCATTAAGCAAATGTAAGATGACCTGGTCGGCAGAAATTGACCAACTCAGGGTCACTTGTCTTTGAGAATGGATTTTAGTGCTCTTCAGACCCAAACTTTTCATCAAGACAAACAATTCTATCTTCATCCGTTCCATTTCCAATTCTAAGGCACCCAATTGATGTTCTTCTGAATCACTTAATCTAATCCCACGCAGTTCTAGTCTAAGGAAAATTTCACGGTAATCACGGATAGATCTCTGTAGATTCCGAAGTTTAATATCAAAACCTTCAAAGTCACGGGAATCCGACAAAGAAATCACCTTATCTAAACGTTCCAACACTCGATCTCGTTCTGACTTTCCGTGCACAAATAGAGTCGTTACAAGGCTCAGAACAATTGCATATTGCTTCGAGGTGGCAGAAATGACAACCTTTGCAAGATGAATAAGTAGTTGGTTTTCATGAGAAGTAACTGGAGGAGACGATGGGACTACTGTAGAAACAACATCATCAGTAGTCGAGGTAAACAATAATGGATTATGCTTCCGATACACGAGTGCCATTGAATTTCTCTCAATGACAAGTTCGTTCTGATTCCAAGAACTATCATAGCAAGACTCAAGATCCAACCATGGAGGCCATGATTTATCCAAGCCGCTCTTGACCTTATCCTTTTGGAATACAAATACATGCAGGTCTTGGAATAGAACCCCATATCTAGTTTCTATCAACCCAGCAATAATATCATTGTCACTGATAAGTTCGTGGACCCCTTGTTTGTTCACGGAAAGAACTCTGAGTTCAAGATCTCTTGAGTTAATCAACATACACGAATTCTTATCTGAAGTATTGGTTAACTGGATTTGAGGGTGGATGAGTTTAACCAAATAATTTCTTTCAGCTTCATAATCTTCAGCAACACGAGAAATTTCTTCCTCAAACGAGGAAATAACTTCTTCTCCAGATCTACAACTGGTATGTCCCTGGTGCGTCGAGAATGTAGAATGTGCACTTTGCTTATCATTCATACTCTCTTGTTCATCACGTTCTTCTTGTAATTTCTCTTCACGAATTAAATTTTCCACTAGTTCCACCGCTTGTTTACTCAAATAGTATACAGCAGATTTTCTATCCGAGACTCTTTGCACGTACGCAACTACAAGATCTCTGATTTTATTGTTCCACTGCAATTGCATATTATGAATGATGAATCTGTTGTGGTACTGGGTAGCACCTTGGTTCATCAACAGTAGTTCTTGCATATCGGCAGTTGATAGATGGGAAGCATAAACGGAAAGCCTTGGACCGGTACTTAAATAACTTTCATCTGAATTCGAGTTAATGGACGACGCAGATGACGAAGTGTTGGACGTTGGATCTTCCGATTCAGAAATCTCAATTTTAGGAGTAGGTGATTTTGAAAGAGGAATCGAAGAAGAAGATATCGAGGGCAAAATTTCATTGTTGCTCAATGGTTCCAACAATACATCGGTGGACTTTTCCAGTGATTTCTTTCGATTTTTATCTACGGAAGACTTGTATGGAGTTGAGCCACCCTTATCGTTTTCCTGTTCATCTTCAACCAATTTTTGATGTACCGCCTGTAAGACGCCCAATCTTTCCTTCCCTTCTTTGATATCACTATGCAACTTTGACAAGACCCGTGGATCTTGCGTCTTGTGGAGCATACGCTCATTATGGGCTAAGTCATGCTCAACTTTCTCTATACGCGCTGTAACCAATTGCTTCTGAGTTTCCTCCGGGTTGCGACTGCCCAAGACACATTTATGACTCTTCTCCATTCCAAACGGATACTTTCCACGCTTCAGAGGAGTGAACTCTCGTACATATGAAAAGGCAGGGGAGTAGAAAAATGGCAATACCCTCACTTTAGGATAAGCCGATAATATTTCCCTTTGTTCCAACTCGACAAAATCATCTGAGTCCACCCAACCATTGGCAAACATATCAGAGGAATTGTTGCTTTCACCAGAAGATGAAGAAGTGTCCAAATCAAAAATATTTGCAAGACTGTCCCCCTTTGTATCTCCCAAATGTGATGCAAGGTACCCTGTTATCAGTCGCTCGTTAAATATAGCGCTTATGACTCGGATATCTGCTCCATCGATATCAATTGCTCCTTGATTCATCTTTAAATGCAAGATTTTATTGTTAATATTCAATTTTTCATTGACATACCGAAGAGATTCTTTTCTTTGATGTAAATCAATGGCACATCTATCAAATCTTCCCTTGATACCCGTGAAGGCAATACGGTTCTTTGCATCAAGATCGTCACTAGTAGAGTGCATATACAAGTGTGAGATTGTCAATGGTTCAAGAATCAATTGATACTTGATTGTGAATAAATGAACACCCATCTTCACATGAGATGACTTATCAGCGGTAGTGGACCCTGCGAAAAGAGCTCCTTGCTTGATGGGGAGTGACATATGTTTAGTCATAAGATTCCACCAATGGAAAAAGTAATGGAAAGTCAAAGGAGTGAGCGAGAGTGTATTACTTCCACCTTTCAGTTCAACACTAATGGCCAAATGAAGGTAATCAGAACGGAACCCAGCATAAGAATCTGGATGGTATTCAAATGCAGGGTTTGTCACAATGACGTCATAATGTGGTTTGAAGCTGGTGGAACGTTCCTGATCGTTACAAAGTTGTGGAATAGACGAGTTACAATTGTGAGAAGCCACATTTCTTTCAAATAAAAGTCCAACCTTCCATTTAACCTTTTGAGCGGAGGTAAGTTTCATGACTCTCTTTTGATACTTTCTCGATTCTGAAGCCAAGAAATCGGTATTAAGAAGAGAAGGTTCTCTTCTCATTCCCTCATACATTAAACTCCACAGAGCAGACTCCAGGACGGAATAGTTTGGAATTGCCAACAAGAAATCATCACTTTCAACTGTGATCAATTCGTCATGTTTACCATTACCATTAATTTGGAATAAAACGCTATTCCTCCAACTGAAAACAAAACCTGAAGCCATCCCAACCAATGCATATGGGTCGGTCAGCCCCTTAATATGAAGACAAAGCTCGTTTGCTATACGGCACCGGAACGAACCATGCATCAAGAGTGCCATCTTATCCCACCATCCAAGCGGACTGTCATCAATTTGAGGCTTAGTAAAGTTATCAAATGCAGACATAGTGGCCAGCATACCTGCCTCATAGGACTTACACCATGTAATAATACATGCTCTATCTGTCTGCAAGTCACATTCCAAATCAACCACAAATTTTACCGGTGTCAAAGTACGTGGAACATATACAGAGTAGAAGTTATCCGATTCATCGCTAGGTGCAGCAATTGGAGAAAAGGGTACAAATATATACCGCATTTCTTCAATCCTCTTGATCAAAGTCTCATTGATTACAATGTTTCCTCTTAAATTGAATACAGGAGGAGGATCGTCAGTTGTGGGCGAGCCATTTGCAGGGAACAGGAGGACTGGCAAGTGATAATCTTTCAAAAACATGAACAATGAACGGCATTTGAGTGACATGTACATAGGAATCAAGATGGAATAGTCCTGCTTAGGTTGACCCTTTGCGTGGTCAAAGATAAACTGGTCAAGATCATCAATTCTAGCGCGGTCTAATTCCAAGTCAAGTTCACGAAACAAACCCGAAAAGAGGGGTGCACCGACTGAATAGTTCATAATGTCAAACTTAGAACGCATGGTTTTATTGATGGAATCTTCTGTCCATACAGTCAGAATCTTTTCCTTACGAGAAGATATTTTGATACGACGGAAGCGTCTATACTTGGCGATCCAAGATGAACTAAATGCTTGGTTGAGTTTTTCACGGGCAGTTTCAAGAAGTTTCTCAGTTTCTTTGGAAGAGCGTGGCAATCCCAACACAGAAGGTTCTTCCTTCATTGTAGTTGCATCTCTTGCAAGAGGACTACTGAGCCCGATTCTACTTTCAATTGACTCGCTTCTAATTTTTTCAGCCTTTTCTTCAAATGCATCGAGAAGCTTCATTCTTTCCTTCTGAGCCAAGTAACCTAATTCGAATATATATGATAATTCATTTTCAAAAGGATCATTTTCCAACGTTAAAAATAAATTTGTAGCCTTCACATGGACATGAGGGAACTTAAGGGCTTCCTTAGCCTCTGGTAGAAGACGATCAAAGTCATGCAGACCTTCGATAAACCTGGTGAAGTTGTGTTTGATTTGCTTAATTGCTTTGAAAAAAGTTAAAACATTATCAATGACAGTATAAAAGAGAAATTGATGAGGGATATTTAATCTTATACCATCACTCTCGACTTTATAATCATCTATTCTATCCATAAGAACAGACAGTTGTTTCACAACAAGCAAGCGGGTCCATAAGTGAGTTGTAGGATGTACCACATACCCACGCACCATATTGAATCTCAAGGATTTGGTTTGGAATACATCCAAGATTCTCATTGTATCAACTTCCAAGAGAACATCAACGTCAGTGGGAAGACGAACCATCACTGCCACAGAGTCCACTAACACATCAAGCCTAAGCTTCTTTGAAGGACCTCTTAATGCCGCCATTTCTTGGGCGGTACAACGACGTTGCACGGTGGGGGCAAAGCTCTTAATTAAACTTGCTGCATAGCACGAACACCAGATAAGGAAGATGGTGACTCTAGCGTCAACTTCGGGGAGACGCAAAAACAACTTATTGGGATCCTTTTCATCATTATCGTTACAAATGGTTATGTCATGGATATTAAGAACCTTCTGAGCTCTTGATCCAGGAACTGAACTGGCAGAATGTACCCCATGGAAGATGGTTGAATCTATTGATCCTACATCGGAAAAATCTTCCATGTCTGTATCATCTTCAGCACCAGACTCACCGAATGGATCATGATGGTGGTGTGCTCCCTTCTCACCAACCTCTCTATTCAACTTCAAATCAAGTTCTAAATCATGGCCATACTCGGCTACGTGATCTGTCAAGGTAAAACATTGAACAGTCTTGATAGAGGACCTCAATTCCTTCTTGTGCTTCTTGAGGGTAAATTGTGGATCATCCAAACGAATCGACACTCCACGACGGAAGTCAGAAAGATCAATAGGCTCATATAATTCCGGATCTTCAATTACATGGGAGGGTAACCCATCTTTACAAATTATATCTGCTTGCACAGTTGAAATTTTCACCGAAATGGAAGAGAGGAAGCTCGGAAGTTCATTAAATATGTCCAAGGTGACAGTTCCTCCAAAAGAACCTGGAGAATTTTTATCCTGACAAGCTGGGGAGAACACTTGAGGTTGCGTTATAGCCTCCTCATACCTTCTGTTGTAATGAGTGTTGCTCCAATTCCGGATCTTTCTGAACATGTGGAAAATGGCTTCATTGACACTCTTCATACTGATCTTCTTGACAAACAACCTAACACTCATGGAATTCGACAAGATATTGTAGAGTACAATTGAGTTGAGCTTGTTGATGTGAAGAAGATTATCGAGGGCATTCATTCTCAAGTTTTTCAATTTGAGCGATTGAGATGTGATCGTGGGGCCGTCCAGCGATTTCTCTCCAATGTTCTGATAGTTGGTAGTGGAAGACCTGTGAACAAATGTGGAGAGTTTGAAAGTGACCACTCTATTTGTCGTTGAATTACGATGGTATGGGGTGACTGGATCGGGAGGTATATGGACATTGATTTCAAGTTCTACAAGCGTCAATTTGGTGGTCAATTGACCAAGAAATTTCAAAAGATGCAAGGGTAGACGGGTTGGCCCCTTGGTTCCCTTATCCTTCTTGTTCAAATACGGAACCATAAGATCGGCTTGATCATAATAGAAGTCAATCATGGGGTGCGTGATCGTCACCTTGTTATCACCGCTCAATACAAGCAGCTTATCCCAGTCCTCGCCGCCTCGCAAGGCACAATTAACCACATTCACTAGATTACCACCCGTGATATCTAAAGAATGGGTCAAAGAGGGCAACTCGAAAACCTTACTAGTCCCCTGGAAGAGTTTGGCAGACACCAAATAGATCTGTAAATTGACCCAAGTGCCGTTCAAGCGATCTTTATTGGTCAACGTAGTTTGGAAATTCGACACTTGACCTTCGTATTCACCGTTGATGAATTGGAAATCTTCGAATTTGAGTTCCATTGACAGCAAAAAGGACAAGTTTGGCACACGAGGCGGTTTGGATTTGCTTTGGGACTTAGGGGAGATCTTTCCCGCCTTTAAGGTGGTGACCATTTCCCGTACATTTTCCAAGGGAATCATCATTTTCCCAATAGAGAGGAAGAGACGGAAATTCTCCAATTTAACAAACAATCGACCGGGGGAAGACTTCTTGCACGAGAGAACCGTGTCACATTTGACTGTGAACTCGATGTTTCGGTAGAGTTTGACCTGAGCATCTGGGTCTGTAGTTGGGGCGTCCTTGGCCGATTCCTGGTTGTCCAAGGACTCCTTACTAGGAGGTGCCATTCTTTGGAAAATACACCCCTTTTCATTCTCAACGTTCTGAATATACCCGTTATAAAAGGTCACCACAAACCGATTACTACCAGTCTTATTGAACTGATTCTCGAGTCGTATGTAATCAAGAACGAATTTTTGCTTGAGTTGCGAGTGTTCGATGGAAGTTTGATAGAGATGGATGATGAACTGGTTGATGATCTTGTCCACCACAATAAAGTCAAAAATCCTTTTATTCACCAGGAATGAGAGCAAGTCGGAGAGAGAATCTAGAGAATTGGTAGGCTCATCTTTAGGGTCATCTTCAACTTCTTGTTGTTCCTCACTCTTTTGTGGACTCACCTGAACTTTCAACCCACTGACTTCTAAATGAATAAACTTGAACGGAGACCCAGCTTCTTTCCAGAAATTGAGTCTGAATCCAACCCGGCGAACGTATAATTGGGTCGATCCCAAGTCTATTGATACTTTCTTAAGTGATAACCATCCTAATCCTTTCACCGACACGTGAGAAAACTTGTTGAGCACAAGCAAGAGACACACATAGAACACGCATACCGCGGCCACAAAGACGTAAACGACGGCGTGCATAGATGTGGAGCCTGTGGATGTGTCTGGGAAACGTTGATAGGGTTACTGTTATCAATGGCAATGGTAGACCCTTGGTCTTAGATGAAGAGAAAAAAAAATATATCAGTCGCGCAAGATAAGATCTCCGGCGATTCCGAGAGAGAAGAGCACTACAATGGAGAAATAAAGAATTACTGGTCCAAAGGACGGCTGCTACGGGAAAAGTGGACGTTCGCACTCTACTATGGGATCTTCTTGTACAGAAAATTGTAGATAAAGTGTCTCTTATGGAACCCACTCAATCACTAGTTCCACTAGTAGAGGGTCAAAAACGGCGCGCAATTAAAACACCTGAGGCGGTGTGGGTGCACTGATGATGCGAATGCTGGGCAGGCCTGGACTACTAACGGGTGACTTTGGCCATTTTCAGAATAGCCGCTAGAATCTGTACATCCTCCCCAGTTTACCCCCAATTCTGGGACAATGAAATGGACTAGTTGTGACAGGTTCATTCTCTGCAACTCTGCCAATACTTTAATTGGAAATAATAAATGGTGTCAAGAGTCAGAACCTGTCAAGCGGTATATGAGCTTAAGTCAATTCGCCTAAGTCAATGAGCCTAACTCTAAGCTATTTCTAGCCACTCTAAGCATTAACAGACATAATCATTTTCACCCATCACCACTCTATTCATTCTCACCATTACCACTCTAATCAGATTTACCCATTGTACCACTCTATCCATCATTACTCTATCCATCATTACTCATCATTACTCTATACATAATTACTCTTTCCACCATCACTCTATCCATCATCATTCTCACCCATTCTACCACTCTACTCACTCTCACTCTACTTCTACAACCCACTGGTACTCTCAGGTTATATTATCGTACTGACACACGCTCATTTTTACCCCACATCTATCTCCTGATACACACACACTCCCACCAAACATTTTTCACTCCTACAAAATACCAAACCGACTTCCAATCATGGAAACACTACAAACACCACCGGGCAGATGGACAAAAATGGGCCAGTTCGCTAGTTCTAACATTCCCTCCAAATTAAGCTCTCTCCTAACACCCCCAAGAAAATTTTCTCTCCTTCTTTCGACTCGGTTCTACATTCATTCCTATAAAGGGCAATTCTACATCTCCTGTATGTGGCATGATGTGTCCCTGGAATAAGATCTCTCCTCAATAAAATACCTTCTCATGCTCGTTCGTCTACTGGACTTCCCAATCGGGAATAAGTAAACTTTCCTAAAAGGTTAAGCCCCAACTTTGAAAACTTCCGCATGCGGTATAGCCAATGCAGCTGCACCGTATGCAGGCCCCCTTTGGAGTGGTTGCAACTTTTCCACCAAACTCAATTTGTAAAGCCCCCACTTCAATACTACTTTGGGTAAAAAGTTGGCATGTTAGCCTGTCGTAATTAATGCACTGTCTCACCGTCTCCTCACACAACAGGATCTTGTGGTTGACTCCTCCTTCAAGTCCAACCGCCTATATAAGTCCGTCCTTGTCCTGTTCAATTGGCAAAATGTTTTTTATTATACTGTGTACCTTACAGCAATAACAATTAGCTTTTCTACTTAGCATACCTTCCTTCGCTACAACACTTTAATAATGAAATTCACTACCACTTCCGCAGCCTTGGCCTTGGCCATCGCCACCTCAGTCGCCGCTGCTCCAGCTACCGTTGAAACCGGTTTGTCCAAGAGAGAAGCCGACCAATTCAACCTTATCATTGCCGACATGGACCACCTTACTGCCAAGAGAGACTTGATGGCCCAAGAAGACATCGCCAAGAGAGAATATGCTATTGTTACTCAAATTCTTGAAGCCATCTCTAACTCTGGCTTGGCCCCAAAGATTATCGACGGTTTGGTTTCCGACCCAACCTTGGGCCCAATTGTCGCCAACGCCATCGTTGCTATTCTTAAGTCTGGTTTGATCAACTTGACCACCTTGCTTAAGGCTCTTGTTGACTCTGGAATCATCAACTCTGTCATTCAAGGCTTGATTTCTGACTGTAACTTCTACGCTGAAATTTACAAGATTGCTCTTTCTTACATTGGTGACTTGGCTAAGCTTATTGGAAGCAAGCTTGGTCTTTCCAAGAGAGAACTTTTGGAAGGTTCTCCAACCCTTTCCTCCGAAGAATTTGGTCTTGAAAAGAGAGCCACTGCTTCTGCTTCTGTCTCTGCCTCCGATGACGGAATTGTTGCCAACTTGTTGGACTCCTTGAAGAAATCTGGTTTAGCCACTTCAGTGGTCAAGGCTTTGATCACTGACAAGTCCTTCTTGACCTGGGGTGCCTCTTTGATTCAAAAGATCATCCAACAAAAGGCTCTTACCCTCACTCAACTTCTTGATGCCATCAAGGGTTCTGGTTTAGTTCCATCTTTGTTCCAACAATTCTTCAACTTTGACACTTTAAAGACAGTGACTGTCAACGCCTTGGCTGCTGCTTTCGGCCAATGTGACGGTGCTTCAGTCACCAGTTCTGCTACAGTTCCTGGCACAGTTACTCCTTTGCCTACCAGTGGCGGTGGTAACACTGCTGTCCCAACCACCACTCCTACCGGCACCCCATCCAACTGTAAGAGAAGAAGAAGATCCTACAACTACTAGGTTTTTGACAACGAATGCCTGCAGTGCTAACCGTTCCAATCCTACATCTTCTTTCCCCAAAAAATAACTACACATACAAACTGTTCATGATCATACCAATTTTTCTTTATATTCCAAAAGGTGTTGGTTCTGGCCGTTTGGTAGCCCCTCAAATTCGAATACCTTCTATCATCCGTGCACCTTACCGGGTTTCTAACTAGAGTCTCGAGTCGCCTATTGCCGCTCCTCTTCCTTGGAACCGCTGCTGGACAGCCACGCGAACAATTACCCGCCATCAAACTCCCCCCATTTAAAACTTTCTACATCGTTTAGCTTAGATTGTATTCTCTAGCTATATTTCTTTATATTTTTTTTTCTATAACTTAGGGGCCATCACTGGCTATTACGCATCTCAATATATGATAATTATTACTTAATTCAGTAGCATAGAGTTTCTTCATGCAATGGCTTCAAACCTTAAATTGGAAATTCGCAACAATTTCCTAAATAGGAAGTTTTTTAACGTTCCCCACATAGCTCCATATACAGTAAAGAACTAACCGGTATTTACTAGGGTAAACGAATGCCTTGGCAAGCAAGGGCCATGCATAGGTTGTAATAGAAAGATCTCAACTGAATACCCCAGATATGGAGGTGAAGTAGGCTGTAGAAGAAAAGTCAAAATAAAGAGTGATGGGCATTGTCCTCGTGGAGCCAAAAGCCGCGGGGTAGGGTACCTATTAGTGGCTCTCTCCGAGCAGGCGCCAGCGTATAGTAATATCGACCCCAGAGTGTGGTCATACTCCCTTCACTGCGGGGAATGCAAGCCGCTCCGCTGGCACTCGGTGGGGCACTAGCCGTAGGGGCCATCTTCCTCTAGCGAGGAAATTGGCTGCGAAATGTTCTCCTCGTATAAGAACCAGATACCATGTAATGGCTCTCTCAGAGCAAGGGTTTGGAAGAAGTTGTGTTCCCCGTCTACATGTGTATGTCTCTAATATCTCTATTAAAATCTCTATAGTACCGATAGTTTTATCTAATATTTCTCAGCTTGCAGCTTGTGATGTGATAAAATCACTTCAAGTTGTTCAACTTGGCTTGAAAGCTGTTGCGTAAGTTCTGGATCAGCCACCGTATCATCAGTCACCGTACGGAACCTGTACTTTCCCCTACAGAACCAATACACCAAGGCATATATCCCAAAGACAAAGATGACTACCGACACATAGTTCATGTTACCAGCAGTAACAGGCATTACTGGAGGGAATGAGTAAACCACTGTAGTGAAGGAAGCCCAGAAAAGTAGGATGAAGTTTGTAAAGTATCCAAATTTCCCGAGCCAAAAAGGTCCATGAACAATATTATCTCTACCTTTAATCCAAAGACAAGCGACTGGGAGAATGTACGAAAGCAGCAAGAAAATAATACAGGCGGTGACCATGGCGTTGTAGGCGGTGGTGGATCCCATATAGATACAGCCAATGACAGCACACCAGGCAGAAGACATGAGATGGGCATTTACTGGTTGTCTTGTTCTAGGGTTGATTTTAGACCAGTATCTAGAGCCTGGTAACCCATTGTCACGAGAAAAGGACCAACACAAGCGAGCTTGCCAAGTATGACAGGCAATATTACAACCAATGGCCGTGAGAACAAGTAAAAGCTCCAAGCAAATTGCACCTGCTCTGTTGCCAAGGGCTTGATAAAAAATATCCAAGATAGGGACTCCGGTATTCGAATTTAAGATCTGGTCCAAATCAGTAATACAGAAGAACATAGCAATGGCATACAGGAAGGCAGTGACGAAACCCAAGACAACAGTAAGCATGATGGCCTTGGGGATCTGAGTTTCGGGACTAACAATCTCCTCAGCCATATGGGTGGCACTATCCAAACAGGAGAACGACCAATTTGGGTTGATAAGACCGATAATGAATGCTAATCCGGACGATTTCCAACCAGTAGCGTTGTTGAAGTCAACAAAGACAAACTTTGCCGTGGCGTAGTTACCAGAACTTGTTGCCAAGACAGTGATAGACACTATAATGAAGGAGCAGATGGATATGTACATGGAGATGGTGGAGATAGTAGGGAGAGGTTTTTCCCAAATGTTGAAAAGAAGAACAAAGATGTTGATGAGTTCGTAGGTCACAAACACTTGCCAGGTTTGGGCGGTCTTGTTGGGGTCACCAGTGCCCAACACGTACATGCCCATAACTCCAGAGGCAATGGAAAGAGTCACAGAAGCAGAGGTGAACACAGAACCAGCCCATGCAAACGCACCACACAAATAGGACAAGATAGGAGCATATTTCTTCGGGGCAAGCTTCATGGTCCAATAGTATTGACCACCGGCTGAGGGCATTGCACTGGTTAATTCAGAGAGAGTAGCACCAATCCCCAAGGAAATGGACGCAATGATGATGATTCCATATACAATGAGCATAGGCCCACCGGACGAGATCCCGGTAACAAGAGATGCGGAAATACCAAACCAAGAGTTGGTGAGGGCAAAACCAACCCCAAGCAAAGACCAAATGTTGAAATTACGACGCAATTCTGGAGTGTGACCAGTTTCGGTTGCAAACTTGAGGTTATCCTGGGCCTCTTGGAGAAGTTTTGCGGCATCTGTGTCGTTGGTAGGACCCCGCAAGATGAAGTCTTGGATCTCACCTACAGCCACAGAAGCGACGGGAGACACCTGGACGGTGAAATTTTCTTTCTCTTTTGTGTTCATTGGATGGGTAATGAAGAGACAAGAGCAATGAAAAAAGCAGAGATGTTACAGTGATTTTTACCCAGTTATATAGATCGAATTTTGGATCAAGAATTGCAGGAGAGTATGGGGAAAAGATCTAGCCAATAGGAGCACGTAGCCGTCATCCTAAGATAACGATTGGAGATGGAAACGGCTAAGATATTCATTTCTCTATGCACTTTGTCAGTTTCTATGCTCTTATCTTATCTATCCAAAAAGAGCGCGCTCGGATATGACAAACTTTTTCCCAATGGGGCCAATACGAACGAGATTACCACATTTAATGTTCCGCTCTAATATTTAGCCTAGTTGAATCAAGAGTCTCGTTGTCCTGTACGTGAGTGCCGAACACCGCCTTTTTGGACGGTACTGTAACGCTCCCGTTCATTTAATCCGAATTCAGTAGATTAAATCCTCAGATTTTGTATTGTAGAACACATACCCAAATTGGGAATGAACATTCATGCCGATCCTCTTGGAATGGAGTCATGTACAGTACAGCAGCTTTGCTCAAGTAGGGGCGCAGTTAGGCCCGGCGGAGAGACGTTTGGATCCTCTAGTAGAATAGTCGTAGCTCGCTTTTATGCGGGGCTGTAGGTACGCTCCGCTGGCACTCCGTAGGCCACTAGACGTGGGGACCTTCTTCCTCTAGCGAGGACCATGTAATGACTCTCTCGGAGCAAGGTCTCGGCGGGAATATCAAACTGTTCGTGGTTGAGTCTCCGCCTACATGTATATATCTCTAATATCTCTATTACAATCTCTATAGAACCGATAGTTTTATCTAATATTTGTCGGCTCGCAGCTTTTGATGTGATAAAATCACTTCAAGTTGTTCAACTTGGCTTGAAAGCTGTTGCGTAAGTTCTGGATCAGCCACCGTATCATCAGTCACCGTACGGAATCTGTACTTTCCCCTACAGAACCAATACACCAAGGCATATATCCCAAAGACAAAGATGACTACCGACACGTAGTTCATGTTACCAGCAGTGACAGGCATTATTGGAGGGAATGAGTAAACCACCATGGCGAAGCAGGCCCAAAAAAGTAGGATGAAATTTGTAAAGTATCCAAATTTCCCAAGCCAAAAAGGTCCATGAACAATATTGTCTCTACCTTTAATCCAAAGACAAACGACTGGGAAAATGTACGAAATTAGCAGGAAAGTAATACAGGCGGTGACCATGGCGTTGTAGGCGGTGGTGGATCCCATGTAGATACAGCCAATGACAGCACACCAGGCAGTAGACATGAGATGGGCATTGACCGGTTGTTTTGTTCTAGGGTTGATTTTAGACCAGTATCTAGAGCCTGGTAACCCATTTTCACGAGAAAAGGACCAACACAAGCGAGCTTGCCAAGTATGACAGGCAATATTGCAGCCAATGGCCGTGAAAACAATTAAAATCTCCAAGCAAATTGCACCTGCTCTGTTGCCAAGGGCTTGATAAAAAATATCCAAGATAGGGACTCCGGTATTCGAATTTAAGATCTGGTCCAAATCAGTAATACAGAAGAACATAGCAATAGCATACAGGAAGGCAGTGATGAAACCCAAGACAACAGTAAGCATGATGGCCTTGGGGATCTGAGTTTCGGGACTAACAATCTCCTCAGCCATATGAGTGACACTATCCAAACAGGAGAACGACCAATTTGGGTTGATAAGACCGATAATGAACGCTAATCCGGACGATTTCCAACCAGTAGCGTTGTTGAAGTCAACAAAGACAAACTTTGCCGTGGCGTAGTTACCAGAACTTGTTGCCAAGACAGTGATAGACACTATAATGAAGGAGAAGATGGAGGTGTACATGGAGATGGTAGAGATAGTAGGGAGAGGTTTTTCCCAAATGTTGAAAAGAAGGATAAATAAGTTGATGAGTTCGAAGGTAACAAACACTTGCCAGGTTTGAGGGGTCTTGTTGGGGTCACCGGTACCCAACACGTACATTCCCATGACCGCAGAGGCAATGGAAAGAGTAACGGAAGCAGAGGTGAACACAGAACCAGCCCATGCAAACGCACCACACAAATAGGACAAGATAGGAGCATATTTCTTTGGGGCAAGCTTCATGGTCCAGTATATCTGGCCAGCGGCCGAGGGCATTGCACTGGTTAATTCGGAGAGAGTAGCACCAATCCCCAAGGAAATGGACGCAATGATAATGATTCCATATACAATAACCATGGGCCCCCCGGACGAGATCCCGGTAATAAGAGATGCGGAAATACCAAACCAAGAGTTGGTGAGGGCAAAACCAACCCCAAGCAACGACCAAATGTTGAAATTACGACTCAATTCTGGAGTGTGACCAGTTTCGGTTGCAAACTTGAGGTTATCCTGGGCCTCTTGGAGAAGTTTTGCGGCATCTGCGTTGTTGGTAGGACCCCGCAAGATGAAGTCTTGGATCTCACCTACAGCCACAGAAGCGACGGGAGACACCAGGACGGTAAAATTTTCTTTCTTTTTCGTGTTCATTGAATGAGTAATAAAGATACAAGTGCAATGACAAAAGTAGAGATGTTTCGGAGATTTTTACCCAGTTATATAGATAGAATTTTGGGTGGAACATGGCAGAAGAGTACGAGGACAAGACCCAATAGGAGCACGTAGACGTCATCCTAAGATAACGATTGGTGATTGAAAGGGCTAAGATATTCATTTCTCTATGCGACTTTGTCAGTTTCTATGCTCTTATCTTATCTATCGAAAAAGAGCGCACGGATATGACAAACTTTTTCCCAATGGGGCCAATAAATGTTCCGTTATATATTAATCCTAGGTGGTTCGAGAAGCTCTTTGTTCTGGATGTGGGTGCCAAGTACTGCCTTATTGGATGGTATAGAAGTAACACTGGTCTCGCTTCCGTTCATTTAATCCGAATTCAGTAGAGTAGATCCTCAGATATGTTACCTGTAGAGCACATAGACAAATCGGGAATGAACACTTCATGCCGGACTTCTTGGAGCGGAGCCACACAAGATAAAGTAGCTTTTCTCAAATAGGGACGTAGTGGGATCCAGCGGAGAGACATGTGGGTCCTCTAGTAGAATAGTCGTATCTCTATTTCCTGTGGGGCTGTAGGTTCACTCCTCTGGCACTCCATGGGCCACTAGGCGTGAGGGATCTTCCTCTAACGAGGAGTTTTACTGCGAGAGTCTCCTTGTAGAGGAGCTAGGCACCACGCAGTTGCTCTCCCCGAGTAGGGGCCGGCGGATCGTCTTACCAGCCCGTTAGGGTGGTCATACTCCCTTCCCAGTGAGACTATCCTTCCTCGTAATTTCCCCCCCTCTCCACTTCTACTTCAGTTCTCTCATAGTCATAATTGACTTATATACGTATATATCTCGATCTCTAGAACAAGAGACCATCCTAACTACTTCACTAAAGTACCATCCAGATGGCTCCTCCAAGAATGGCTGCCAACAAAAACGCCGTAGCAACACCTGCACCGGCCTTATCCTTCTGGCTGACTGTGATAACGTTGTTATTTGTTTGAATAGAAGAATCCAACCCCGCGTCAGGGTTCGATTTGGAAGACCCTCCGTTTGTTGAAGTGTACGGAGCAGCCACGGCAGAGGTCAGTCCCAAGAGCCCCTGGATCACTTCCAAGGCAGACATTTGTTCTCCAAGGCCGAACTTTGTATCCCATCCGTTGACTGACCAGTTTTCCCCGCACGTGACGCCGTCACTACCACCAGAACAGGATTGTGCTGCAGCAACGGCACTCTTCTCGAGCAATGGTTGGATGTCGTCGTAGGTGCTTGGGGCCATGACAGCTGTCAAGGCCAAACAACGGGAGAAAAGCGATCTGAAAGAACGTTGATCGTTGTTACAGTGGTCACCAGGGGCACACGACATCTCGGTCATGATGGAGTTGTTGAAGAAATAGTTGGAAGAGACTAAGATGTCCTTGGTACGTTCTAACCATACGCTCAGCTCACTATCAGTCCCGTTCTCGGCCGTGTAGTTGTACATGTACGCACATCCGGCCATGAAGATCCCGTAGGTGTACGACCACTTGGTCTTGGTGATGACTCCGCAGTTGTTGGCGATCTTGGCCCCATCATAGATGACCAATTCCTCCTTCCCGCTACTGCTGGTGTCCTGCAAAATGAACTGGACGTCGTTTTCCATCCAGTCCCAGACTTTCGTCGCAGTCTGGGCGTATGAGTCGTTCCCCGTGTACCTTGCGAGTCTGGCGGCAATATGGAAAAGACACCCGTTGGCAATGGAGTTCTTGTAGTCGTACCCGGAGTTCCAGGTGAAGATTTGCCACCTGAGGCCCCCTCCACACGTGGAGGTGTCCCAACGGGCATTCATTGTGTTGTAGATCGCCTGTGTGAGTTCCAACCAACTGACGTCGGATGGGTCGGTGAAGTTCCTTTCGACGGCCCCCATGGTGGCCAACCCCCAGACCCCTTGATCATCATTCCCCTCAGTCATTGATTGATTGGCTGGGATATAATTGTTCGCCAGACCTCTTTGATCGTACATCCCGTTGTAAATAAGCCTGTAAAGTGTGTCGTTGGAGGGCTGGCAAAAGGTGTAGAAGTCTATCAACCCACCAAAAGCCTCACCGGCATGCCACCAATAGTAAGGGTACGTGAACATCCCGATAGTACCACCATACTTGAGCCCTTCATAATAGTTCCATTCACCATTGGCAATCAAAGCGGCAGCATCACAAATGGAATTCTTGCTCGAGGTGTCCAACGACACCGCACGGACAGACGCAGCGAATAGGAGCGCTACTAGAGAGTACACCTGCATTGCTGATTGTTTGACGTTAATACCAAGAAAAAGAGTGACAGGTACCTTAACTAAAAATAAACGTAAATCCCCGTTTACGCACTCCGCCGAGAAAAAACACGCAAAGGAGTCTCAAAGGGCTGAGTGAATGAGACTACAGAAGAGGACCGGGCTTCCTCGCTACTCGATTTTACATATGCTACGACCAGAGGGATCTGAATTTTTATTTACGAACAAGAACGGCACTACAACCAACAATTCGATACTTGGAATTGAATCCTGTTAAACTTTTGTTCTTGGCTATTTGGGGTTATTCCACCATTGTTGACATAGAATGTTTTGTCTGTTTATCTCTTCATAGTGGGTTTACGGGTGTTGGCCTGCACAAGACCCTGAGTACGGCATGCAGAACCTGGAAAAAATAAAAATAAAAAAAGATCATTAGAAAAGGACGGTGTCACGTGATGGTGCTAGAGGTAAACTAGGGAAATGGTTATAACACAGAGTAATTCATTGGCCAACACTAGTTAGTGCCTTCCCTGAGGGGTCCGAAAGATGCTCCGCTAGCACTCCGTGGGCCACTAGCCGTGGTGGCCTTGTTCCTCTAACGAGGAATTGGGCTGCAAAATTAGTCGTAGAGGAGCCAGGCTCTCCCCTAGGAGGTAACCAGAGAAGTCATTAAGAAAGAGTATGAGTATTATTGCAGGGGGTTTAATGGGTTGAGGGATTTTTGGCTGAATGGCCGTTTGGTTGGAGGCTACTTTAAGTTCCACATTCCCTACTATCGATGCTAACAATACTACTGATTTGAAAAGATCAAGAGAAAATGTTTTACCTTCGTCAAAGACTTTTTATGCAGATCATGTCTAAAGGTGTACAACTCTTTAAACCGCTAACACAATTTTACTAATTTTATAATCTTTCTTCTCTGATCCACCGGTTATAGTTGGAATTTATTCCAATTTCAAACACATTTATGTGGCCGAAAACTAAAGGACTCTCAGGAAGGTATAAAAACCAAATAAGAACGTTGAACTGAACCCAGCTTCCAATCTGTTTCCTAATTCTAGCCTAATATGGATTTAATAAAGGGTATTATGTGTGGGTGTATATGTGGAAGTTTCGCGCACGTGATCTATACTGCATATAAACATATCGCGAGGGGTGACATCTTTTGTGTTTTAAATTTGAAAAATCTGGGCGTGTGGCGTAGTTGGTAGCGCGTTTGCCTTGCAAGCAAAAGGTCACTGGTTCGATTCCTGTCTCGTCCATTTATTTTTTTTTGCATTTTTAAGAGAATCTACAACACATAACTTAATTGAATGTCCTTTCCTTTTTTTTTTAATCTTTTCAAATGACAATAAAATGATGTAAGTTATGTGGATGTAATTTCGAATACAGTCTAATTGCAGCTGTGGTGCAAACAAGAAAAAAAGAGTAGATCCCTCATAATCACGTGATGATTGCGTGCTAAGTGAGACATGTGTAGCAAACTTCACAGCAAAAGAATAGAGGCCCAATAGATAGCCTGGGTAACTTGATATGATAGTTATATCAAGTCATATGTGTCTCTATCTATATTAGTCAAATATATAAATGTTCTACTAGTTTCGAATATTCTTCATTTCAATTTTAACAAACTGTGGAAACAATTTAGAAAGATAATTCCGTTCGGCTCGGAAGAGGATCGGATATTTCTATAACTGTGGCATTGAATCAACTAATAATCGGTTCGGATAGAAATTATATAAGACGGGGTAATAACTCCCCTAAAGCTAATTGTAAAAGCTCTACATTCTATAGTTGTAAAAAAATATATAAAGAATGACTCAAGATAAAACTGAAACCCTTTTGACTGGTTCAAAAGCATTCCCCATTACCAAGGAAGGACTTGAGAAAATCAATGAGAAATACAATGTAAGACCATTTAAGGAGGCCAGTCCTTCAAAGGCGCAGGCTAGTACCATAGATCTTGATTTCATTGACTTGTCGTTGTTCAAAGAAGGTGATGAAAATTTGGCTGGTCGTCAAAAGTTGGCTGCAACTGTAGAGAAGACCCTTACTACATATGGATTTTTGGCCATTAAAAATCATGGAATTGATATTGAAGAGTTTGAAAAAATGAGATCTATTGCTCAATCAGTATGTGAACTCCCTGAGGAAGTACAACGTGAGTATCTTGGAGGAGCCATGAAATCTGATTTGGAAGATCGGTCCAAATCTTTGGGGGCAGAACGTGGTCACGGGTTCAAGCCCAAGAAGTATTGGGCCATGAAGAACGGTGTAGAGGACTCAATTGTGTTTTATAATGTTAGAAATATTGTGCAATCCATTGTGTACGACACCGATGAGTCAAGATACCCAGAGCTTGTTTTACATTATTTGCCAGAAATTGTTCATTACTTCAGAACTTTGCATAATGTAGTATTGAAGAAGTTGACCATCTTGTGTGACATCATTTTAGAGTTGCCAGAGGGGTACATTTGGAAGAACTACTATGAAGTGATTGATGGCGACTTGTATAACTCTGGACAAGGGTTTGGACGTATGATGCTTTATGAGCCAATGAACAAGGAGGATGAAAAGAAGGTGGATAATCACTGGCTCAGAGGTCATTCTGACAGTGGTGGGTTCACCTTACTTACATCCCAACCTATTTTGTCGTTACAAATCAGAGACTATTTCACGGGAGAATGGAAGTTCGTAGGACATCGTCCAGGTGGACTTATTGTCAATGTTGGTGATGCCATGGAATTCCTCACTGGAGGATATTTCAAAGCTGCCATTCATAGAGTGATATCTCCACCAGAAGATCAACGTGCATTCCGTAGATTGGTGCTTATTTATTTCAGTGGTCCAAAATTCTCCAGTGTTTTAGACCCAGATGCATTAAACTCGCCAAAGCTTAAAAGGTTGGGGATTTCAAAACCAGAAGAATGGGACACCATCACCTGTGGAGAATGGGATAACGTTAAGTCCAGATTATTTGGTAAGAAGGCTGTCAATAGCGCCCCCGGAGACTCTCCAAATTTGGTGCTTTTGTACGGTAGACTCCACGAGAGATGGCATCAAGCACAAAAGGATTTCAATTTGGAAGAAGCAAAGAAAACATTTAACATTATCGAAGTTTAGTATATAGTATATGGTATATGTGAGAGAAGAGTAGAAGATGTAATAAACAGAGTAAATAAGATTCGAGAACATCAATTGTTTGTCGAGTGAATCGTTTCTTTCATTGATATCCAACCCATGGGTTCTGATTCATCCAATCAAGATAATGAAAGGTACTACCAACATATATCGAGATATATTCCTACTGCTACCGACAATATCACTAAATTGAACACAACTCAATTCTCGCGACATCATAGCCAATATAAAAAGCAATTGACAAGTGCTGCGGTTGCAAATAATACTAATAAAGTCGAAACATTTCACAGTCTTAGGATTGACAGTTCACTGGTATGTTGTTCCTGTATTGTTTCATTCTTGTCTACCGTGGCCATTTTTGATTTTAAGTGAAGCGTATGAGGAATACCAAATCTGGATAATTCCATTTGCTTGAATAATGTATGCCCCACTAGTCTAAAGTTTAAACGTTCTCTTGTATTCATAATATCTGGATGAACAGGTAAAGGCTAGACCAATTTCCCTCGTGTTATTCATGATGTTATCCTCCTTATTTGCAAATTCAATACGATGAAACTGGGGTATGATATGTTAGTGATTGAATTTGTGCAGCATCTCAAACTATACAAAGAGACGCTTGTTTAGCTGTAGGTTTCTTCAGTTAAGAAACTTATTTTGAATTCTAATTGCATTGGGGCCCATCTTTATATATACCTGTAGTAGCTCTTACATAAACTATCACTAATCTCTCTTTTTCTTTTAGTAATGGCTGCGAAATTTACCATCCATATGATAGTTTGTAAATAATTTTGCAATTTCAAAGAAATAATAGAAGTACAAAAATTTTTTTTTTAAGAAAGGGATAAGCCCCTTAGATGTATTGATATAAACACTCTCTAATTGACAACCAGCCCACCTATCTAATCCAATCAATTCTCTTTCAATAAAAGTTATCATGTAAACCCAGATGTATCACGTGCTATTTATGATCACGTGTACAATACGCGCCTGTTTATCAAAATGTAAACATTGAAATACACACAAAAGTTTTTACAACCAAAAGGAAATTTTGACAACCAAAAAGAGGCAATTTATCCTTAAAAAATGCCAGGGTAAGTACCATAGAACTAACGGGAGAAAGATATGTCAATTCTTGGTGATCTGTCTCTTTCTCTCTCTCTCTCTCCCTTCGGAGATAACTCCCTTTCTACATAGCACTAACATTATCTCCAGTGAAGTCATTTCCTTACAAACGGGCCAATGTGGCAATCAGGTTGGTCTTGAGTATTGGAACCAATTAGCAGCAGACCATGGAATTTTGCCCGACGGCACAGTTGTCCCCGACACAGAAAGACCGTTGCAGTATGAGTCACTGGTGGGCAGCACAGACCAAATTGCAAACTCAGGGAGTCTTTCCACGGCTACTGATCTTTTCTTCACACAATCTGAAACGTCGCGATATATCCCACGATCAATATTAATTGATCTAGAACCTTCTGTGATATCCAAGTCCATGAGTAAGATGCCCATGTTCAATCCTCGCAATGTACATTTGTCGCATCAGGGGAATGGAGCCGCCAACAATTGGCAGTCTGGGTATTCATATGGGTTACAGTATCAAGATGAACTTATGGATTTAATTGATAGAGAGTGTGATAAATGTGACAATTTGTCGACGTTCCAGTTGTTCCATAGTGTTGCTGGAGGGACTGGATCCGGAGTAGGGTCATTACTTCTTGAGTTATTGAATGATCGCTATGGCAAGAAGTTAATGACCACTTTTTCTGTGTTCCCATCCAATGAAAAGACCTCAGATGTGGTGGTCCAACCGTACAATACCGTTCTTACGTTGAAGAGACTCATAGAGTACAGCAATGGGACGTTTGTGTTTGATAATGATTCTTTGAATTCCATAGAAAATACCTTGTATGGGATGAAAGATGCTCTGGCGTTTGAAGGTACAAACAAATTGATTTCATTTGTAGCAGCCTCAGTATCGAACTCTCTCCGGTTCCCGTCATATATGTACAGTTCGTATGAACTGGTTCTTCTGACGCTTGTACCGACCCCGGATTTGAAGTTTCTTACTGCTTCGTTAGCACCACGTTCCTCTTCAATGAATGAACATGACATAATTCTCGAGCTCATGAATGACAAATACAAGATGAATCGAGTGGAAGAGCCTGCCAAATACATATCGGTGCTCGATTTCCTTGTCGGGGCTGGGAACAACAACATCAGAAACGGAGGATTCAATAACATCAGCTCGAATGAAATTAAAAAGGGGATTCTTAAATCACAATCTAGATTGGATTTCGTGCCTTGGACATCGAAGTCGGTCCACGTTGTATTGGGCAAAGGTAGAGACATTGCAGGCGGTAGTCCATCAAAGTTTGCCGGGGTTCAGATTTCCAACAACACATCTATAGCCGGGGTGTTCACCAAGATTGTAAAACAATACGATCTACTTGCCAAGAGAGAGGCGTACATCAACTACTACACAAGCGACAACAGTACAGACGAAAGAGCAAGAGTTATGGATTTGTTCAATGAATGCAAGGAATCTGTGGTTGGGGTTATCGATGAGTACAAGGCGTGTCAACAGGGAAACTACTTAGATGACGATATGTAATGGGTAGAGAAGATATATATATAGAGGACTACGATTCAATAATGAATACACAATACGGTGCACAATAAATCCATATTGAACACAGCGATTCTCTTACAGTAGGGGCACAACGAAGTGTCATACAGCCCCATAGAGAATGGTGGTAAACTCCCCAAGGGGCGTGCGAGACGCTCCGCTGACACTCCGTGGACCACTAGCCGTGGTGGCCCTTTTTCTCTGACAAGGAAATTAATTGTGAGAGTCTCCTCGAAGAGGAGATAAGCCCCACGCAGTGGCCCTCCCCGGTTAGGGGCCAGCGGAGCGTCCTACAGGCACCGTAGGGTAGTATCTACTCCTTCCCCTCCTGGATTTGTCAGTAGCTCTACTGAAACTCCGTGCTCTTCTCCACAGCCCATGATTTCCATTTGTTCGTCAGACAGAACTTCGCCGATTGGTAAAGAAGGGGATCTTGGCCGATCGGCTGTCGCTGAACGGGGAAATTGATTCCCACGACCGACCGGCCGCGTCGTTCGTCGTTCATTTCGCTTTAACATGAACAACAAAAATGGCGACACTTTCTACAACCAACCCCCCAACCCGAGTCAACTAGCCGATCTGAAACAAAAAATAGAAATTATTTGTCACCGGCTAGTATGGCTCATGTATGTACACAGTTTCAAATAAGGTGCCACATTCGCGAATCGGCCACAACGCGGAGTTGATGACAAATAAGCCCGAGTGTGTCGACGGCGGGGCTGCCTATATATATATAGATAGATGTGTACATGTTCCCATTGGCAATATTCACTTGTTCCATCTACTAGTCCAAAACAACCATTGTTGTACCCAGCCATTGTGATTCACACGGCTCATCTATTCTTATCGGCCCTCCACTTTTAAGAGTTACCCCTTTAAGCGATTTCGCGAGATAAGGATTGGAATCGGGAAATCTCATTTTCTGACCCGTTGCCCCGCCGCCCCTGTTACCACTATTTAGTTGGGCCACTTTCCATTTTGAAATTAGTTGACCTCTGATCTGTATTCTTCATTTTAGGAATTAATATGACTGTCACTGTTTTTGAACACGACCACCTTTTATCGGAAAGGGCCAAGGCTCGTTCGTTCCTGCATTTCTCACAGGGACCCACTGATGGCGCCCCTGAAGGGTTCAAACCACATCCCAAGCCCTTGGCATTACACTGGGGGATGCCCAACCCAGGGTTTTTCCCCATTGATCTGATCGACGTGAACCTTGTAGACTATCCGTTCCAAAAGTCGTTGTCTCTTCCCACCACCAATGCGTCGGTTGAGTCCTTGATCCCTCAGGGGAAATCCACTGGTCGCAGTGTCACCATTGCCAAGAAGGAAGACGATGCCGATATCATTGACATTTCGCGTGGACTTCAATACAGTGAAGTTGAGGGACTCCCACAACTCCGTCAATTTGCCCGTGACTTTATCAAGAGAACCCACGCACCAGCCTATTCCGACTGGGATGTCATCATCACCACTGGTGCTGGTGACGGGTTGAATAAGTCTGCAGACTTGATTTTGGATCCAGAAGATGTCATTCTTATTGAAGAATTCACCTTTTCTCCATTTCTTTCCAACGTGAAGGCCAATGGCGGCATTGCCGTCCCCTTGAAGCTCAATTTGGACGCAGAATCAGGACCTTTGGGGCTTGATATCGACTATTTACAGAATCTTTTGGAGAATTGGTCTGAACTTAAACCCGGCTTAAAGAAGCCAAAGGCGATTTATACCATCCCCACTGGTCAAAACCCCACAGGAGTCACACAACCGGTTGAATTGCGTCGTAAAGTGTACGACTTAGCCGTGAAACACGACTTTATTATCCTTGAAGATGATCCTTATGGATACTTGGCACTCCCTAAATACTCCAAGCCCGAAGGTCTCTTAAGATTGGGACAGTTTTTGGAAATCGATGAGTATTTGGAATCTCATTTGACCCCATCTTACCTCACTCTTGATACCACTGGCCGTGTAGTTCGTATTGAAACGTTTTCCAAGTTGTTTGCCCCAGGGCTTCGTCTTGGGTTCATTGTGGCACAGAAACGAGCCATTGATGTGATTGGAAAATATGCTGCCTTGGTGACCCGGTCACCTTCCGGTACTTCTCAATTGATTGTCCAGAATGTAATCCAAAAGAAATTTGGTGGCGTGGACGGATGGATTGAATGGATCCTCAAGATGCGTGTCACTTATGCCCACCGTCGTGACGTTCTTCTTCTGCAATTCTACGAGTCTGACGCCTATAAGAAGGGGTACCTCGACGTCATAGATCCGCTGGCCGGTATGTTTGCCCTGGTGATCATCAAATTCCCCGAGGGCACCACTGACGCAGATGCCAAGACGAAGTTGCTCAACTGGAAATTCGTTGCCTTTGGTGTCGGGGTTGTCCCAGGGGCCAACATGGCGGTAGACAAGGACTTCAGTGCCGAGAGATCCAACTTTTACAGAATCACGTTTGCCCCAGCCAACGATGACGAAGAGTTGACCGAAGCGGGCCAAAGGTTTGTTGGAGCTGTTGAAGAGTTCTTCGAAAAGGGATTGAAGTTTTAGACACACACCTCCCCAGATATAAACAAAAGAGTATGACCAAAAAATTGTAGCGTTACTGTAGTGGACAGGTCTACCATATAGACGACCGGCCCCAGACGAGGAGAGTCCTAAACACTTCGAGTAGAGTACACCGTATGTTACCCACTGGGTTTACAAGCCTATCCATGCACCACTAGAAGGGCCCTGACCTACCTTATGGAGCATGCAAGCCGCTCCGCTGGCACTCCGTCCACTAGCCGTGGGGGCCTTGTTCCTTTACGAGGAATTTAACTACGAGAGTCTCCTCGCAGAGGAGCTAGGCCCCACGCAGTGGCTCTCCCCGAGCAGGGGCCAGCGGAGCGTAGTACGGACCCCGTAGGGTGTTGATACCCCCTCCCTGCGGGGCCTGCATGCCGCTCCGCTGGCACTCCGTGGGCCACTGGCCGTGGGGGCCTTGTTCCTCTAACGAGGAAATTGGCTGCGAAAAGCTCTCCCAATTAAGCCCCCCCCTCTCATCTACCCACCAGTGATCTTCAACCTCCTCCACCTTCCCACTAGTAGTCCCCTTATGCTCCTCCGTGACCAACCCCTCCATCTACTTCTCTACTCCTCTACTCTTCTACCCCTAGAACCTCTATGTCTCTGGCCTGGTCCAACACCCACACACCCAAACGGTGGCCTCCTACATACAAGCGCCCGGTTTATTACTACGGGGCGGCGCTGGCGAGAGACGAGGGGTGACGGGGCCAGTACTCAACTAATTGACACACACATTTGGAAGACCATCACCAGTTCTGGGCATATAACTTTCCTTCGTAGTATCGGATCCATAGAGTAGCCATGTCTTTCAATTTCTCCGCCTTTACCAAGGACCTCAAGTCTCTCGGAGACAAGGTCACCAGCGAGTTCAACAATGAGCTCTTGCCCTTTGCCCAGAGAACATCGCGGATGGTCCAGGAGCGCATTGGGAAGGTCAACGTTGATGACATTTCGCAATTGCCCAGTGAATATACTGAATTGGCCGCGCAATGCAACAACATCGAGCGTTTGTACAAGAACGTATTGAAGATCACCGGCACGTATGAGACCGAAGGGTATGATTACCCCACCAACGTTCAGGAGCTGTTCACGGAGTTTGGTCAGAACTTGACCAGCCGTGTGCAAAGCTTGTCACGGGCCACCACTCCCGCCGAGGCCCAGGCCGCCTTGTTGAGCGGGACTGCCCTTGGTGGTAGTGGAAGTGCTGGTGCTGGTGGCGAGTTCAAGCCACCCAAGACGTTCTACCATGCGTTGGCCCGTGCCACCGATGGGTCTGTGTTGGACGCTCAAGCGTCTCAAAGAGACGACCCCTTGGTCAAGTGTCTTGACCAGTACCTGTCGACAATCACCAAGATCGCCAACGCGCGTCTTGGCCAGGACCAGCTCGTTGCCACCAAGTTCAACAAGCCATTGACCACGACACTCAGACTGTTGATCCTGCAAAGCAACCTGATCCAGAAGAAGGTTGATGCCAAGAGGCTCGACTACGACTTGGCCAGACTCAACTTGGCCAACTGTCTGTCGCCCGCCAAGGAGCCACAGCTCCGCGTGGTGATGGAGGCCGCCGAGGACGACTTTGCCAACACCGTCGAGGACGCCATCAACATCATGCAGAACGTGTTGGACAACGCAAAGCCGTTGGAGGAGTTCTTGGAGTTGGTCAAGGCGCAGTTGGCGTACCACAAGTTGGCAGCCGAGTTGTTGGGCGGCTTGGCCAGCGACTTCGAGGCCTTGGTCGAGGACAAGGCCAAGAAGGACGGCAGTGCCAGCAGTGCACGTGAGAGTGGCGATTTTGACATCTAAGGAGCGTGGGGGTCCGGGTCCGGGCCCGTCGAGGGGGCAGTCCTCTCGCCTGTCGTCTGGTTACGGTCCTTGACCAGCGGAGCCACTGGTCCCCCTCCAGGGGACGCGAGACTCGGGCTGGACCAGGGAGAGATCGGCGTGGGTACCGCCACACATTGGGCAAGCAGGTGGGGGGGACGCAGACTCGCCAATGCCATGGTTTGTTTTATAGTTGTAATTTATGAAAACGTTAGTTTGATGTAGGACGGAGTGACAGCAGGGCGACTTGCTTGTCCCTGGGGGAAGGGAGTGACAACATCCTACGGGGTCTGTAGGACGCTCCGCTGGCCCCTGCTCGGGGGGAGCCACTGCGTGGTGCCTGGCTCCTCTACGAGGAGACTTTTGCAGCACAATTCCTCGTAAGAGGAAGGGGGCCCCCACGGCTAGTGGCCCACGGAGTGCCAGCGGAGCGGCTTTCAGGGCCCGCAGGGGAGGGAGTAAGAACTACCCTACGGGGTCTATAGGACGCTCCGCTGGCCCCTGCTCGGGGAGAGCCACTGCGTGGGGCCTGGCTCTCCGGCTCCTCTACGAGGAGACTTTTGCAGCACAATTCCTCGTTAGAGGAACAAGGCCTCCACGGCTAGTGGCCCACGGAGTGCCAGCGGAGCGGCTTGCATGCTCCGTGCGGTAGATCAGGGCCATTCTAGTGGTCCATGGAAGGGCTTGCAGGCCCCACCGGGAAGGGAGTGGCCACACCCTACCGGGTCCGCTAGACGCTCAGCTAGACGCTCAGCTAGACGCTCAACTAGACGCTCAGCTAGACGCTCAGCTAGACGCTCAGCTAGACGCTCCACAGGCTCGCCTACGAGGAGTGGGCCAAGGTTACAGACTACGGGGGGCGTTGTGGTTCAGGGGTGTGTGTGTGTAGTGTCCTACTCTATCTATGTTGCCTCTATATACAAATTAAATCAGGGGGGGGGGGTGCGGGGGGTTTAGCTCATTTTCAAGGCCTCCAAGCGCAAATCAACCGCGCTCTGGGTCTCCTCCAAGTCGTACTTGCCCTCCAAGAGCTTCGCATGGATGCTCTGGAGCGCACGAAGGGTGTCCTTCTCGTTGATGACGGCCGAAATGTTGATCTCGTTGGCCCCCTGGGAAATCATTTCGATGTTGATTTTCTCGTCGGCAAGCACCTTGAACATGTTCCCGGCGATCCCGATGAAGTTCACCATCTGTTTCCCGACGAGCGAGATGATGGTCATCTTGCGGGTGACGTCGACGGTCCCCATGCGGTTCAACTCCTTGAGCGCGTGCTTGAGCGCCTGTGATTGGTCTGGTTGGATCTGGAGCGCCATGGACACGTGCACCTCGGACGTCAGAATGAGATCAACCACAAGCTTGTAGTTGTCCAAGGTGGTGAAGATGTGGGCGAGGAACCCATGGGACAACGTTTTCTTGTTCAGATGGACGTTGATCACCACAATGTCTTGTTTGGCGGTGATTGCGGTGGCGGACCGTTTACGGTGGGTGGCAATGTATACCGACAGGAGTGTCTCATACGCCACTGGAGGGTGTGGAGGGGTGTCCTCACCACGACGTGCAACGTTGTCCGGGTAGATGATGGTCCCCGCACCAGTCGGGTTGACCACGTTTTTGATCCGAATTGGGATCTTGGCCTTGATCACTTGTTCCATGGTGAACGGATGGATCACCTCGGACCCATAATAGGTGAGTTCCGCGGCTTCCTCCGGGGTCACACTTTCAAGGCATCGAGCATTGGGCACCTTACGAGGGTCTGCAGTGAAGATCCCATCAACTTCTTTCCAAATCTGAAGTTCTTCCGACGAGGTCCCCACGGCAAGAAGTGCAGCACACAAATCGGTGTAGCCTCGGCCAACTCCGTTGAGAAGCCCGCCCGGAACGGTCCCAAAGTACCCGGTGAGCACCGGAACAACCTCTTGATCGTCATCTTCAACCAATCTAGCCATGCTTTTGGCCAAAAATCCATAGAAATCATCATCAAACCCATTGGCAAAGTCATAATCCAACGGGATAATGTCCGACAAATCAATGTATTTCGCACGAACACCACGATCATTCATCAAGGCTGCCATAAATAAACAACTTAATTTCTCCCCAATCGACATGATCAAGTCAAGGGTTCGAGGCGAGATCTCACCAATTACCTGGCAAGCCTTGAGAAGTTCCTCGGCTCTTTCAATTTCGTGTTTTGTATCGGCCACAAGTTTGTTTTGAATGACCTCGGATTTGATCTTGTTACGGGCATTGTCCACGTGGTCTTGTTCAATGACTCTTAAAAGAGTTTGATAATCTCCGTTTTCCAGTGCCAAGTCAGCACTACGGATCAATCGAGACGTGGTACCTTCACTCTTGGTGTTGGATGACCGAGCAGAACATACCACGGCAACCCTACTACGTTGGTTGAAAACCTTGACAATGTTATCAACTATGCCCTCGGGGAACTTTCCGACCGAAGTACCCCCGAATTTCTGGACAATCCAACCGGATGAACGGCTTATCATGTTCGGATCTTGAAGATCAAGAACGGAATTATATGAGTTTTCTAGCGACATTGTGATTCTATGTTACGGGGTGTATGGTCTCCTGGGATGGTGTAAGTGTTCCAGGAATACAAGCTGAATTCAAGAAAGGATGGAAAAAAAGAAACCAACACAATGATTCACTTTGGTTAGGTAACCCGTTGGCTTTTAAAGTGAAAAAAAAAAGAAATGTTCCATATGACTCAACGACCAGGACACCAGGCGGTGATCACGTGCCATGGAAACATGATGATGTCACACAGGCAAAAAAAAGGAAAAAGCGAAAAAGCGAAAAAGCAAAAAAGGGAAGGAGATTGCGAGGGAAAAACAAACAAGAACGACAAAAAAACGGACAAGAATCAGGGGAGAGACTGGTGAGTCTGAAGCCAGTAAGGTAGGCACACACGTATAGATACCCTACGGGGTCTGTAGGACGCTCCGCTGGCCCCTGCTCGGGGAGAGCCACTGGCGTGGTGCCTAGCTCCTCTGCGAGGAGACTTTTGCAGCCCAATTCCTCGTTAGAGGAACAAGGCCCCCACGGCTAGTGGCCCACGGAGTGCCAGCGGAGCGGCTTGCAGGCCCCGCAGGGTAGGGAGTGGCAACACCCTACGGGGTCTCCAAGCCGCTCCGCTGGCCCCTACTCGGGGGGAGCCACTGCGTGGAGCCTGGCTCCTCTACGAGGAGTTTTCTGGTTGCAAATTCCTCGTAAGAGGAAGGCGGGCCCCCACGGCTAGTGGCCCACGGAGTGCCAGCGGAGCGGCTTGCAGGCCCCAAATTGTAGGGGAATGGCACTTCTTCCCGTGACTTCTCTCTGCCACGGGGAGGACGCTCCACGGAACATGTAGCTACTTTCTTAACCATTCGTAGTATCTTGTTATTTTCTGTAACCTCTTTGTTTTTTAGAAGCTAGGAGTGCCAGCCGTACGTTTTGGGCCTCCGGTATATAGAGTGTCCTTTTCTTATTTTTTTATATTCATGCTGAGAATTTCTTCTGACCGCTTGAACATGCACGTGAACAGGCACGTGACGATGTTTATAAAAACACTTATGTTCACATTGAGGAACTGGGGTGGGAGAGAGCTCCTCTAAGTGGATGTAAGACTCCACGGCTAGTGACCCATGGAGTGCCACGCCGAGCGGCTTGCCAACCCCGTAGGGTGTTGGCATTTCCCTCCTCTGAGGGAGTACCAGGGGCCCCTTCTAACGGCCGTCACATGGTACCATGACTCTTTGAACGTCTAGGAGGTCCCTCCCCAGACACCAGGGAGCCCTTTCAAAGCTAGCCAATCTGCACATCTATACTGAAGGTGGACTTCCGTGGCCAACTAGCCGTGGGGCCCCACTTCCTCTAACGACGGATAGAGACAGATTCCAGCTCTCCCTAAATGGTCCCCCCTACTACATCTCTACAAGACAAGGGTAAGGGTGTAGACACTTCCCTGCGGGCCCTGCAAGCAGCTCCGCTGGCACTCCGTGAGCCACTAGCCGTGGGGGCCTCCTTCCTCTGACGAGGAACCAACTGACTCCCTCCTCTCCTCGTAGAGGAGCCAGGCCCCACGCAGTGGCTCCCCCCGAGCAGGGGCCAGCGGAGCGTCCTACCGACCCCGTAGGGTAGTTCTTACTCCCTCCCCTGCGGGGCTAGCAAGCCGCTCCGCTGGCACTCCGTGGGCCACTAGCCGTGGGGGCCTCCTTCCTCTGACGAGGAACCAACTGACTCCCTCCTCTCCTCGTAGAGGAGCCAGGCCCCACGCAGTGGCTCCCCCCGAGCAGGGGCCAGCGGAGCGTCCTACAGACCCCATAGGGTAGTTCCTACTCCTTTGCCACCGACCTCGGAATTCACCCCTGTGCCCCGTGACTCGCGCCCCCCGGTTTTCCACCCCAAACCGGTTTTGTGTAACTTGTTTCACAATCATCTCAGCTGATGCGTGAGGTCAGATGAGCTGATTCAAGACGACAAACCTTCACCAGTACAAACTTCTTCTTCTTCTTCCTCCTCTCTTTTATAGGACCCCACTAACAGTACTGAAATGGTCAAGAGAAACGCAGAATCCGAACCCGAACCCGAGCTGGCTCAGACCGTGCCCGCCAGTGTTCCCGACATGGTGGCCAAATCCGAGGACACCCTCGTCACCGGTAATGACGCAAAACGTCATGACACAAATTTCTCCAAGACAGATATTAAATCATTTTTCAATGCCAAAATTTGGGACCAGGATCTTCAAGAACAACTTAGAAGCACCATCAGTCAATCCCAACCTTACCGTTGGGGGTCCTTCACCGACCTCATCGACGACACGTTGCTCCGTCAAGTCCGTAAGGAGGTGCTTTCGGAGATCGCCTTCTCTAAAAAGGAAACCGACATCTATAAGGTGTACCAATCGGGGGACTTGGCAAATTTGTCCGGGCTCGATTGGGACGATTTATCGAGACTCCCGTCACTTTTCAAATTGCGAGCCGCGATCTATTCCGACCAATTCCGGGATATAGTGCTGACCGTGACCGGATGTGGCAAACTCAGTGGGGTCAAAACAGACATGTCCATTAATACCTACACCAAGGGGTGTCACTTGTTGACCCATGACGATGTCATTGGCCTGAGAAGGGTTTCATTCATCTTGTATTTGCCCGAACCAGACCGTGAATGGAAGGCCAGTTATGGAGGAGCGTTGAGATTGTTCCCCTCGGTTGTCGAAAACGTGCCCGAGTCGGATTTCCATCTGAAGTTTGTGCCACAATTCAATCAAATGGCATTTTTCACCGTACAACCAGGGTTATCGTTCCATGATGTGGAGGAGGTTAGAGTTGATAGACAGAGGTTGTCGATCCAAGGATGGTTCCATATCCCACAACCGGGGGAGGAAGGTTGGAAAGAGGGTGAACAAGAGGAAACTGAGGCAAGAAGTACATTGCAACAATTGCAGAGTAAGGAGTTGGAAGGTTGGGATAGACCAAGAATTGAGAGAAAGCCAATACCTCAACCTGAGACGAAGTCGAAGGTTGAGTCTAAGAACGAGGAGACCGGAACTGGGTCGGAATTGACCGGAACTTCGTCTGAATTGACAACCGGAACTTCGTCCTCGGTCGGAACTCAATCCATTCAAAAACCCAATTCCACCTTAATTGAACCCCATTTGGATCTTGAACAACTTTCCAAATATATCAACCCTCTCTACCTTCTCCCTTCCAACATCTCATCCCTTCTTTCAACTTTTTCGTCCGAATCCATTGTAGAAATCCCAAATATCCTCAAACCGGAATACGCGCAGCTTCTCCGGTCGACCCTCATTGATGAAGAACTTGAAGGGACAATGCCCACCACTGCCAAGGACGTCCAGCTTCCTTGGAAGTGTGCTGTGCCTCCACACAAGCAGAGGTATTTGTATATAGATGAAGCAGAAGTGGCCAGCTCTAGCTCTAGCTCCGCCACTGCAGCACTTGCAGAGCTCTCCAATTTCCTCAAATCGACCGCCTTCCATCAATGGCTTGCACAAATCACCGGACTCATTGCCACCACTGAACAGGTCCTTGTCAGACGGTTCCGTCCTGGTCATGACTTCATTCTTGCCACCACCACCGAGAAGAACCTTGCCCGTAACGACGAGGAACTCAACGTTCTCCTTGAGGCCACGTTGAACCTCACGCCCACCGCCACCAACCGCAAGAACTGGGAGTCTGGCGAGTTCGGCGGCTACGAGTTGTGCATGGCCATGGACGAGGAGCGTGACGACGACGACCCGGCCGTGTACCGGGCCAACAACCCGGACGACGACAGCGTGTTGTACACCAGCCAGTGCAAGTGGAACTCGCTCTGTTTGATGTTGAGGGACCCGTCCGTCTTGAAGTTTGTCAAGTACGTGAGCATCAACGCAAAGGGCTCGCGGTGGGACATCAGTGCCCAGTGGAATGTCAAGGACGCCGAGGACGACGACGACGAGGATGAGGACGAGGATGAGGAGGAGAAGGACGGCGAGTAGGAGGCCCCATGGCCGGTGAATGTGTAGCGGCCGCTTGAGTAGATGAATATAACGAACTTAGACAGAGACGGTGTAGAGGTGTAGAGGTGTAGAGAGGGACCACTTAGGGGGTGTATACTCCCTTCCCTGCGGGGCTTGTAAGCCGCTCCGCTGGCACTCCGTGGGCCACTAGCCGTGGGGGCCTTGCTCCTCTACGAGGAGAACCAGAGGGGACCTAAGTGGAGGGACAAGGCACCACTGAGTCGGCCTCCCCGAGTCGCCACCCTACAGAATGGTGGCCCGGTCTGTGAGGAGCCATCAGTCATGGGGGGCCATCCCTCTGACTTGGAGTGGCGTCGCGGGAGAGCAGAGAGAGCAGAGAGAGTGCCAGAGGAAGATGAGAACAGGTCCACCTAGAGTCACGTACGGTGAGTCTCTGGTACATGTGCTCTACGGGGAGCAGTTGCCACAGTGGAACTGTTTGTGGAGACACGGAGCCCCCCAACGAGAATGGGAGACGCCCTATGGGGCCTGCAAGTCGCTCCACTGGCACTCCATGGGCCACTAGCCATGGTGACCTCCTTCCACTCCTCGCAGAGGAGCCAGGCCCCACGCCAGTGGCTCTCCCCGAGCAGGGGTCAGCGGAGCGTCCTACACACCCCGTAGGGCGTTGCGCCACTCCCTTCCCTGCGGGCCCGCAAGCCGCTCCGCTGGCACTCCGTGGGCCACTAGCCGTGGGGGCCTCCTTCCTCTGACGAGGAATTTGCAACCAGAGATCTCCTCGCAGAGGAGCCAGGCTCCACGCAGTGGCTCCCCCCGAGTAGGGGCCAGCGGAGCGTCCTACCCACCCCGTAGGGGGCTGCCACTACCTTCCCTGCGGGGCTGGCCAGCCGCTCCGCTGGCACTCCGTGGGCCACTAGCCGTGGGGGCCTTGTTCCTCTTCCGAGGAAGGTAAACCTCAGGAGACTCCTCGTAGAGGAGCCAGGCCCCACGCCAGTGGCTCTCCCCGAGCAGGGGCCCAGCGGAGCGTCCTACAGACCCCGTAGGATGACACCTACCCCCACCCCTGGGGACTCACGAGTCGCTACACTTCGTGGACCACTAGCTATGGATCCCCCACGGTGGAGTCCTCGTTGCGAACCTACCCCCTGAGCTCAGACGGGCCATCATAGCCACCTACACACACCCCACAGGGTCAGTCTACCCATGGACCTGTGGAACCTACGACGTCCTACACTCTTCTACATCAAGACCATACGCCAGACTTGTCCACGGCAGTCTTGTCTACACCAACCTTTCACATGTCTCTCCCTTTCCCTCTCTCTCTGGTAGCTGCTTCACGTGACCCATCTGGCAGTGTCATGTGACCGTCGCGTCACCCCCTCCCTCCACTCCTCGTAGAGGAGCCAGGCCCCACGCCAGTGGCTCTCCCCGAGCAGGGGCCAGCGGAGCGTCCTACACACCCCGTAGGGTGTTGCGCCACTCCCTTCCCTGCGGGGCCTGCAAGCCGCTCCGCTGGCACTCCGTGGGCCACTAGCCGTGGGGGCCTTGTTCCTCTACCGAGGAAGGTAGACCTCAGGAGACTCCTCGTAGAGGAGCAAGGCCCCACGCCAGTGGCTCCCCCCGAGTAGGGGCCAGCGGAGCGTCCTACACACCCGTCTACAACCCAAACGCCCACGCCCACGCCCACGCCCTCGCATCCTCACTCCCTATTCGTATAAAATCTTTCCTCTTGCCCTCCTCCCCTGACAGCCCCCATTGACAGCCGCTGCACTGTGACGCGCACGCACCCCCGTCGGATGGGTCGCACTTTTCTCCCTAATCCATTCATTTTATCCGGATCCTGCACACCGTGCCCCCCGGAAATCATCACCGTGTTCGGTCAATCATCTGCGTTTCAACGGCCAATTCATTGCAATAAAAGATCCTCTGCTCCCTCTCTTCCTCTAGATCTTCCTTCCTTCTTCCTCTATAAGCCATTCCTCCAGCTCCCCTCCAGCTCTCTCCCCTTCTCCTCTGCAGTCACCTCATTCACCTTTGTGTAACTTCTGCACCCCAAAAAAACAACGACATTTTTGCATTTCACGAGCGCGGCGGGCCCAACTTTGACCAATTTCCCTCGCAAAACCTTTTCATCAAAACTACAACCAAACTCAAAAGGGAAAACTTTTTCTCATAGGTGTTTTTTTTTTTACTTCCTCGGGATTCCAAAAACGATCATATCAAAATGTCGCAACCTTCGACAGAACCCAATCCAATTCTTGTGTTTGCCACCGTGGCCTCCATCATTGGTGCCACTGTAGCCTACTATTTCCTCCAACAATCCAACAAGAAGACCAACAAATCTCCAATTTTGAAACCTACTGAGTTTCAAAAATTCCCCCTTATTCAAAAGACTAGGGTCTCCCACAACTCGTGTGTTTACCGGTTCGGCCTCCCTCAATCAACCGATCGGTTGGGCTTGCCCATTGGCCAACACATCTCCATTGGTGCTGTCATCAATGGTAAGGAAGTCGTTCGTCTGTACACCCCTATTTCCACCGATGATGAATTGGGATACTTTGATCTTTTGATTAAAACTTATGAGAATGGGAACATTTCGCGTCACGTGGAGCTGAAGAAGATTGGTGAATCAATCGAAGTCCGTGGACCAAAGGGGTTCTTTACTTACACTCCTAACTTGGTTGAATCCTTTGGAATGATTGCTGGAGGTACTGGGATCGCCCCCATGTATCAAATCTTGACGGCCATTTTACGTAATCCAGCCGACAAGACTAAAATCCTGTTGCTTTATGCCAACGTGTCTGAGAACGACATTTTATTGCGCGCCGAGCTTGAACAAATGCAGGAGGATCACCCTGATCAATTCAAAATTCATTATGTTTTGAATGATGCCCCGGAGAATTGGACCGGATCCGTTGGGTTTATCACCCCGGAAATCATCGAGTCTCACTTGCCCGGTCCTCTGGCCAAGTCCAAGTTGTTGTTATGTGGCCCACCACCAATGGTGAGCGCCATGAAGAGAGCAGCCGTGGGCTTGGGCTTCGAGAAGGCAAAGCCCGTCTCCAAGTTGAACGACCAAGTTTTTGTTTTCTAGGCGGCGTATATAGAAGAATTCACACTACCCCTCGAGAGATTTGTAGCTTGTAGATAGAGAGCCAGCAGAGGCAGAGCCAGCAGAGCCAGAGAGGCAGAGGCAGAGAGCCCGAGCAAGGGAGGAGGCGCCACCCTACGGGGTGAGCAAGCCGCTCCGCTGGCACTCCGTGGGCCACTAGCCGTGGGGGCCCTCTTCCTCTGGCGAGGAATCAACTGTCTCTACTCTCCTCGCAGAGGAGCCAGGCCCCACGGCAGTGGCTCTCCCCGAGCAGGGGCCAGCGGAGCGGCTTGGAGACCCCGTAGGGTGTTGCCAGTGCCTTCCCTGCGGGTCTTGCGAGCCGCTCCGCTGGCACTCCGTGGGCCACTAGCCGTGGGGGCCTTGTTCCTCTAACGAGGAATTGTGCTGCAAAAGTCTCCTCGTAGAGGAGCCAGGCCCCACGGCAGTGGCTCTCCCCGAGCAGGGGCCAGCGGAGCGGCTTGCAGACCCCGTAGGGTGTTGCCAGTGCCTTCCCTGCGGGGCTTGCGAGCCGCTCCGCTGGCACTCCGTGGGCCACTAGCCGTGGAGGCCATGTTCCTCTGACGAGGAATTGTGCTGCAAAAGTCTCCTCGTAGAGGAGCCAGGCACCACGCAGTGGCTCTCCCCGAGCAGGGGCCAGCGGAGCGTCCTACAGACCCCGTAGGGTGGCTACCCACTCCCTTCCCTGCGGGGCTGGCAAGCCGCTCCGCTGGCACTCCGTGGGCCACTTGCCGTGGGGGCTCCTGTTCCTCTTCCGAGGAGTTGAGAGTTGCAAGAGGAGCCAGGCGCAGTGGCTGCCCCCGAGCAGAGGCCAGCGGAGCGTCAAGAGACCCCATGGAACTTGGACGAGCGGGCGTCTACAGGACCAGTGACAGGCCCACAACTGCTACAGGATGCTACAGACAACTACACAGCTACAACGGTGACCGAGGTGACTGCCTGAATGCACCACAGTGCGAATGGAGGGTCCTGTCGGAGAACCTTGTCCACCGTAGGAGAGGACACAGGCGCACCCACCGAGCTCGGGACCAGCTCTGACAGCACCACACCAACCTTCTCTCTCTCTCTCTTCCAGACCCTACCCTCAACACTTGGACCACGGGGGGCGCTTGCAGTTGCACTGGGCAACGGTCTCCAAATTAGCTGCAAAGTACTGCACACGGCCTCCCACGGTCTCCCAGCGCCACGATCTCCCGGACGTCACCCACACCACGCCCCCACCAGTGGCCCACGGAGTGCCAGCGGAGCGGCTCCCAAGCCCCGCAGGGAAGGCACTGGCAACACCCTACGGGGTCTCCAAGCCGCTCCGCTGGCCCCTGCTCGGGGAGAGCCACTGGCGTGGGGCCTGGCTCCTCTGCGAGGAGACCCCCTCCTCTTCTCTCCCCTCCCTTCTCCCTTCTCCCCCCCCTCTCCTCTGCTCCCCTGGCCTCCCCTGCTCGCCTGGTCTCTCTCCTCGCCTGGTCTCCCCCTGGTCTCCCCCTGGTCTCCCTGCCTCTATCACGTGACGCCCCAACCGCTCGTAGCGCTGTGCGCAACAGGTTCGTAGCCCCGACCCACATGGCAACGTCACCCATGTTTAGAAACTTCTGCCATCTCACCCGGTTAGGGGGTTTATCTCCCTTCATTCCATTCCTTTCTCCTCTCCTTCCCTTCTCCTCCTCTTCCACCCTCCCTAGAACACAACCTCCCCATCCCTCACCCCCCCCCCCCCCCCCCCCAGCGCAATCCCCCTTCCATCCCCCCTAGTACCTTGCACCCCCCCCACCTCCTGGCCGTCTCCGTTTGCCTCTTTTGCCCCCCCCCCCCCCACACAAAATCCGCTCGTTTGGGAAAATGCGCTTTGCCTCAGTACTGCTCGTCCTCCTCCCAACCCTCGTGCTATCCACGGTCCTCCCTCCGGAATGGAACGAACCACTCCACGCGCTCGACCACGACCCCGAGGCTCCCGACCGCGAGGACCCCGACCTGGACTCCTCCTACATCTTCGACACCATCTCCGACCCGTTGGGGGACCGAGAAATGGCAATCCAAAACGTCTTGAGGTCCCCCACCAAATTTGCGAATTTCCCGCCAATTGTCGCACACCCAAAGGACCACGAGAAAACATTGACCCCTGGTGAAATCCCGGACTACGTCTTGGACTACTCGCCACATGTCTACCTCTACCTGGAGGAGCGTTACCTCCCCTACGACATCCGCGACTTTGTCACCCACACCCATGCGCGCTGGAAGAATGGCACCGTGTTCAATGAAACGGTGGCAAACATGTCGCTCCACAAATTGGCAACCCTCCCGCGCAAAAAGAAAATTTATCTCACATGTAACACCGACTTTGACCTAGACCCAGACTGGATCACAGGGGTCCATAACCGGCCGTCGTTGATCGATGGTGAGATCAAGAACGCCCCCGCCACCTTGATTGTTGTCGACAAGGGCAATGGCTGGGTCGATTCGTTCTGGTTCTACTTCTATCTGTTCAACTTGGGACCCTTTGTCTCTGGCCTGGGGCCCTATGGCAACCATGTTGGTGACTGGGAACATTCCCTCGTACGCTTCTACAAGGGGAAACCCGTCATTGTGTGGCTTCTGGCCCATGGAGGCGGCGGTGCGTATTACTACCACAACTTGGAAAAGCTGCAGACCTCGCCCTTACACCCAGTCATCTTCTCCGCGCGCGGTACCCACGCCAACTACGTCTCGGTGGGGCAACACCCACACGACCTCCCGTACGACATTTTGTCAGACTTCACCGACCGCGGACCCTTGTGGGACCCTTCGAAAAATTACTTGGGGTACACGTACGACGGCAAGGTGGCAACCCCCGCCGCGCGCAACGCCAATGAACACCACACAGGCCGTGAGCTCGAGTATGGCAATTGGCTTGTGTTCCGCGGCCACTGGGGCGACAAACAACTCCCCTTGACCGACCCACGCCAGCAGTACCTGTTGATCGCCGGCTACCACCACATCGACGGACCCACGGGGCCCTTGACGAAAAGCTTGCTCCGACTCTCGCCGTGCGGGCGCGGCAAGTGGTGGAACTTCTGGCAGGGTTGCAACATCCGCGAGAACATCAAGTGGGGCATAGGTGTCGAGAGCGAGGGCTACAACTGCGGCAACATCTTCCTCCACGTGCGGCCCAAGTGGCTCCGGCTGGTGCTCAACCAGCTCACGTGGGGCGGCGGGTTCTGCTACGTAGTCGACTTGCTCTACGGCTAGCCTCCCCCTCCGCCGTCGCCCTCTGGCGTCACGTACCTTATAACTAATTACATAAAACGAGCATTAGAAGAAAAGAAGCACCTGTAGACCCCCACCCCTTTGGATTGTAGGCGCCGCTTGGCCCGACCCGACCCGGGGGAAGACCGTCCTTTCGCGGGGTGGACGAGACGCTCCGCTGGCCCCTGCCCGGGGAGGGCCACTGGCGTGGGGCCTGGCTCCTCTACGAGGAGTTCTCCCGGTTCCTCGTTAGAGGAAGAAGGCCTCCACGGCTAGTGGCCCACGGAGTGCCAGCGGAGCGGCTTGCAGGCCCCGCAGGGAAGGTAGTGGAAGCCCGCCACGGGGAAGACGAGACGCTCCGCTGGCCCCTGCCCGGGGAGGGCCACTGGCGTGGGGCCTGGCTCCTCTTCGAGGAGACCTTTTGCAGCCTAATGAGTGACAGTGGAGCGGCTCACAGGTGCCACATGGACGGGCGTAGACTGAGCTTGGCCCGTCGAGGACTGCTGGGTGACATGTTGAATGCCCTGTCTTGGCCCTAGAGTCGCTCTGCATGGTAGCTTGTCTAGCTATTGGTCTAGCCTCTCTGTCTAGACTCGTCTGAAGCTCACGTGTCTTCCTCGAAGAGGAACACGGCCCCCACGGCCAGTGGCCCACGGAGTGCCAGCGGAGCGGCTTGCGGGCCCCGCAGGGAAGGGAGTGGAAACACCCTATGGGGTCGGTAGGACGCTCCGCTGGCCCCTGCCCGGGGAGGGCCACTGCGTGGGGCCTGGCTCCTCTTCGAGGAGACCTTTTGCAGCCAAATTCTTCGTGGGGCATGCCACGGCTAGTGGTCCACGGAGTGCCAGCGGAGCGGCATAGGGCCATCCCTTCTCCCCCTCCCCTCCCCCGGACCACTCCCGTTGTTCCCCTGCTCTGAGAGCCCCACTGGCCTACCGGATGATCAACCTAGACACCCCCGGCTACTCAGGCCGCCCGTGGTCAGATCCGAGGAGATCACGTGACTTCCTCGTCAGAGGAACAAGGCCCCCACGGCCAGTGGCCCACGGAGTGCCAGCGGAGCGGCTCACATACCCCGTAGGGCCATCCCTTCTCCCTTGCTCCGTCCTCAACTCTCACCACGCTTCCACCCCAAGCCTGCCCCAAGCGTCCTCCAACAACCTGAAAGCCGTGCTTGTGCACTCTATGCCTACCCCCGGATGACTCACAGGACCTCCACAAAAAACGCTCGTGCCCCACGTGCCGTCAATCGCCGTACAATGGGAATGCCATCCAAACACGACCCCCCGATTGTGGAGCATGCACGCGCGCTCATACTCCCTGGCACCACCTACCCTTACCCTCTTACTTGCCCCCCTCCACCCCCACCTCCTCTCCTCCTCCCTGCTCTTCTCCCCCCTACTCCTTCTCCCTCCACCCTGATCTCGACCCCCGGATCTCCACCCGGATCTCCCATCCGAGGGCACGCTCCCACCCCCGGATCTAAAATAAGCTTTCCGTCCTGCGAGTGATTTTTCGCTGCAATCGCGCGCGCGCACGCACAAACTCAAACTCCCACAAGCTTAGCGAGCACCGCATCACATCAAGAAAAAAAGAAAGCAAAATCAAAAAAAAAACGGCCAAAAAATACGTCACGGGGCCAAAAATTTGTGAGGTGAAGAGAAGAGCAAGTCCCACTAAGTCTTCCAGCCAACATCTTTTCTTCAGAGCTAAGCATGTCGAAGATAGATTCTAGCACTTCCAAGCCGGGGCTTGACGACGAGACCATTGTGCTCCAGGACTTGAGACTGACCGGGTCGCTGAGTGGAGTTGGTGGTGCCGCCGCAGGCCGTGCATCGAGACAGAGCGGCGGCAATGGCCACAGAGACATTGAGGCCGCCCATGGAACCACCTCCTCTGTTTCACGTTGGACCAACTTCAAGGATTCCTTCAGAAGGTATGAGGACCATGTGTACGTCGAGGACTTGGATGATGACGACGCGTCCCTGGGCCGTGGGTTGACCGACATCCAACGAGCCAACTTGAACACCGCCAGGTCACCACTCAAGCGGAAATTGAAAGGTAGACATCTCCAGATGATTGCCATTGGGTCGTCCATCGGGACAGGGCTCTTTGTTGGGTCTGGGGGTGCCTTGAGTACCTCGGGTCCGCTCGGGGTCATCATCGCATGGATGTTGACCGGGTCCGCCATCTTCTGCACCATCCAAGCGATGGGTGAATTGGCGGTAACGTTCCCGATCTCCGGGTCGTTCAACGTGTTTGCCAGTCGGTTCATCGACCCTTCGGTCGGGTTTGCCGTGGCCTGGAACTACTTCTTCCAGTTCTTGGTCTTGTTGCCCTTGGAGCTTGTGGCCGGGTCCATCACCATGGAGTATTGGCACACCAACGTCAACCCGGACGTGTGGGTGTTGATCTTTTACGTGTTGGTTGCCGCCATCAACTTCTTTGGTGTCAAGGCGTACGGTGAAGCCGAGTTCATTTTCCTGGGTGTCAAGGTCATTGCCGTCATTGGGTTCATTCTTGTTTCGTTGGTGCTTGCCGCCGGGGGTGGGCCCACCCATACCTACGTGGGCGCCAAGTACTGGCACGACCCGGGCCTCTTTGCCAACGGGTTCAAGGGGGTTTGTACCGTGTTTGTCACCAGTGCCTTTTCCTTTGGAGGCACCGAACTTGTCGGGTTGACGGCCGCCGAGAGCGCCAACCCAAGAAAGGAAATCCCAAGGGCCACGAAGCAAGTTTTCTGGAGAATCTTGATGTTCTACATGATCAGTTTGACGTTGATCTGTTTCTTGGTGCCGCTGAACTCCGACAGGTTGTTGGGAGCGTCGTCTGTCGACGTGACCGCGTCTCCCTTTGTCATTGCCATCCAGAATGGGGGCATTGGAGGGCTCCCCTCGGTGATGAATGCCGTCATTTTGATCTCGGTGATTTCCGTCGGATCCTCCTCCGTCTATGCGACCCTGAGAACCCTCACGGCCTTGGCCGAACAAGGGCTTGCCCCCAAGATCTGTGGGTACATTGACCGGGCTGGACGTCCTCTTGTGGCCATCATCATCACCAATGTGTTTGGACTTCTCCTGTTCATTGCCGCGCTGGGCCGTCAAACCGAGGTGTTTGACTGGTTATTGGCAATCTCCGGACTCTCGCTGGTGTTCACATGGCTCCTGATCTGTGTGGCCCACATCCGGTTCCGTCGTGCCCTCCTGGTGCAAGGACGCAACACCTCCGAGTTGGTGTTCACCTCACAGACCGGGGTCATTGGGCTGTGGTACGGGACCATTTTGAACACTTTGGTCCTTGTGGCGCAGTTCTGGATCGCCCTCTACCCGTTGGGCGAGAAGCCCAACGCCCAGGGCTTCTTCCAGAGTTACTTGGGCTTTGTCATCTTGATCGTGTTCTACTTTGGCCACAAGATCTGGAAGAACAACTGGATCTTGTTCCTCCGTGCCGAGACCATCGACTTGGACGTGGGCCGTCGTGAAGAGGACATCGAGGCCTTGAAGGAGGAGCTCAAGGAGGAACGTCGTATCTTGAGCCAGAAACCGTTCTGGTACAGGTGTTACCGGTTCTGGTGCTAGAGTGCCCAGAGTGCCCCAGAGGGGCTGGAGAGAGAGGAGAGAGAGAGAGTCATATAGAAAGCATAGAATTGAATAGAATAGATAAATACAGAGAGAGATGGACTGTGTAGATGGGGGTAGGGGGAGCCCTACGGGGTTGGCGAGACGCTCCGCTGGCACTCCGTGGGCCACTAGCCGTGGGGGCCTTGTTCCTCTACCGAGGAAGGTGGACCTCAGGGGGTAGGAGGGGGTCTCCTCGAAGAGGAGCCAGGCACCACGCAGTGGCTCTCCCCGAGCAGGGGCCAGCGGAGCGTCCTACCGACCCCGTAGGGTGTTGCCAGTGCCTTCCCTGCGGGGCTTGCGAGCCGCTCCGCTGGCACTCCGTGGGCCACTAGCCGTGGGGGCCTCCTTCCTCTTCCGAGGAATTTAGATGCAAAAGACTCCTCGTAGAGGAGCCAGGCCCCACGCCAGTGGCTCTCCCCGAGCAGGGGCCAGCGGAGCGTCCTACCGACCCCGTAGGGTGCTTCCACCCACCCTCTCCCTCTGCCCCTGGTCTTGGCTAACCGCTTTTTATCCTACTCCCTTCTTCCCACTCACGCCAGGCCCACGCACGTGACTACGCACGTGCCGCCGCGTTTTTGTGATTGAACAGGAAAAGCTCAAGAGATCGAGTCAAGAGGATGCGGCTGGGTGATAACCTTCTACGTTTCTAACTCATCCATCAGATGTCCACTCATTACCCCACCTTCGGCCGGTCCTCGGGGCTAGGAAGCGTGTTCAAGTCGTTCACAAAGTCGCTCAGGGCGTCCGGACCGTCGACCTCGGGGTCGTCGTCGTCCCAGGCTCGCGGATCTGCCGCGGCCCCGCCGATCCTGGTGAATCCAAAAGTTGTTGGAGGAGGTGCTGACCAACAGGCGTTGTTTGCACAGCTTCAACTGGGCCCTGTGGCGTCACGGGCGAATGCAGCTCGCAAGATGGCCCAATCGCTCGATCGCTATGCGATCTCATCGGTGCCAGAGATCTGGTACGCTGCCCGAGACTTGTGTGACCCTCGGGTCTCTGGAGGGTCTCGCGCAGTCCGTCGCGCGGCCGTCGAGCTTTTATTGCGGTGTATAGAACAAGACAAGGCGATTCTGACGAGTGTCCGGCTTGTTTATTTCGAGGATATAGCGAGGAATGTCGTCAGTAGTAGCAGTAGCAGCAGCAACAACACCGGAGCTGGAGCTGGAACTGGAGCTGGAACTGGAGCTGGAACTGGAGCTTCAACTGGTGGCACTGGCAGTGGCTGTGGCCCCGTTGTGCGCAGTGGCCGCACTGGTCAATTGCTCGACCCAGACCTCGACTTATTTTTAATGGCATTGAAGGAATTGACCAACGATGGCCGTGATGTTTACGATTTGATTGTTTATCACCATGAGAGGAACTTGGTCCTGGTGTTGGAGGACTTGCTTGTCGATAGCATTGACAGTGTGAGGGCTGGTGGGGCCCTGGCCCTGGCCCGGTCCGGCTCGGCTGGCGCGATTGCCACCCTGGAGCCAACGCTTGGAGCCTTTGGTATGGGGGCTACTGTGTCGTCTTTAGCGGCTCTAAGTACTATAGCGAGTGGCAGCACTACAGTCAGTGGACCCACCACCACTGCTCCAACCACCACCTATGGGGGAGAGTCTGTGCAGTCTATACACTCCTCTTCAGGTGCCACCACTCAAGCACCAGCCCCAGCCCTGGGCCTGGGCCTGGGCCTGGGCCTGGTACTGGTCCCGGCTGCTCCCACCACCGTCATCCCTCCTATAGTCACCCTTCTTCAATTCACTCGGAACTGTCTCAAGTTCAACTTTTCACTCTTGGAGGACCAAACGGTGGCGTCGCTCCTCCACAAGGTGTGCCAGCTTGGCCATCAATGGACGAGCTCCATGGAAGTAGACCAGCTGGACTTCCACATCAATGCCGGCTGTGTCGAGGTGATCGATGCGGTGGTTCGTTTTGGACAGATCCCTCTGGGAGTCGTGTTCCAGGACGTGGTGGAGTTGCTCTGCTGGCTGCATGAAACGGTCCCTGCGGTGCGCTCCGCGGTCTGGGACGTGATTATCGCGTTGGACTCAGTCTACTTGGTCACCAGCGCATTGGTCGAGGTGATGCGTAAAGGTTCGGACGTCGACGTTGCCACGTGTCTCGGGAGCGTCCATTTGGTGGAGAAGGTTTTGGAACGTGAGCCTCAGAGTGAGGTTGACTGTGTGTTTGGAGACGTCATGCGTGGCATGAAGAGTTGTTTGGAGGCTTGGAGGGGTGAGGAGGCGGTGAATTTGGGAGTTTTGCAGTATTGGGTGAGAGTTTTCCAGGTAGCAACAGCAACAGCAACAGCAACAACTACAGCAACAGCTACGTCAGTAGCTGGAGCTGGAGTACCTGGACCTTCACAAGCATCTACTCTTTCCCCCGAGTCAGCGATCGCTTCACCAGCTAGCGCTGGCTCAGCTGGCTCTGTCCTGTTCATCTTCCTCTCTTCCCCCACCCTCTCCATCTACCACATTCTCTCCACCATCTCCATCCAATCACCCGCCACCACCGATCTTTGGAAACGGCTCTGCACCTCTCTCCAGACCCTCTACCAAGATCACACCCTCCAGTCTCCAAGACAACCACTCATAGACCTTCTTCTTCTCCACCCAACACTCCTCTCCCCGGGAAACATTTCCTTCATCCTCGCACACTACTCTGAGGACCATCTCTGTGTCTCCACATGTCCCCATTCACAACAGAACTGCTACGATCTCCTAGCAAACTTCTACTACCCTGCGATCGATCCGACCGCCAGAATCAACACCTTGGACCTTCTCCATCGAGCAACCTTGCTCTCTCTTTCCCTAGCTTCCACAAAGACCCTTGCCATCCTCACCGAGGTGTTCCACAAGTCGTTCATGGAGACAACTCATCAGGTGGTGGACCATCTCTGTGGGATTCTTAGCTCTCTTTATGCACAGGTCCCTGAGTTCGAGCTGGATTTCCATCGTCTTGGTGAGTCATTCCTTCTGCTTCTTGAGGGGAATAGTACCAGCCGCAACAACTCTCTGGCTTCCACCACTTCCTCGGTCTCCCCTTACTTCCTGGTGAAGTTTGCCGAGGCCATGTGTACCTGCTTTGTTACCCGCCCTACAGTCCAAGGGTACCGCTCTATAATTTCCTTGAGTCAATGGGCCATGAAGCAGCAGCAGCAGCAGCAGCAGCAGCAACAACAGCAGCAGAAACAACTGGAGGAAGTTGGTCTGCTTCAACAGGAGCTTCTCTTGACCACATTCAGATGTCTTGTACGACTTCGGGCCACCTACAATGGCTCCCTCTACTTCTCTCAGGTCAGAGATATGGACGGGTTGGCCACTGCCTTTGGTCGTAATGTGAACGATTCATCGTATGTTCTGCCACTCCCAGAGGGAAGTAGTAGCTCCTCGAATAGCTCCTCTAGAAATTATTGGACCTATCCAGAGTCTCCAGATTATCTCCCCATGGAACACTTTGATAAGCCCCTGGCCCAAGTGACCACAATCTCCGTCGACCTCTCACTCTGGCTAGACATCCTCTTGGATGTCTTCTTATCGTATGTCTCCTGGGAGGTCTACACCTTCTGTTGGGCCCATTTCTGCCCTCAACTCGCCAACATGGCGCTATTTGAGCGCCACCCGAGCCAAATCCTTCGGTTCAGAGAAATTGCCTGTGAGCAATTGACCTTGAACCTCCCGGCCAATATTTCTCTTCCAAGAGCTGTTGGTAATGGCAGAAGATCAGTGGGGAATGGCAGAGGTAGGGCCGATAGTAGGAGCACCGCCTCTAGTGGTGCTGGAGGTGCAAGTGTCAAATCTAGCGGTTTCAAGGCTGGTGGTGTAAAATCTGGCAACTCTGGAAACTCTGGCAGTGTTGGTGGTGCATCCTCAGCTGCTCACGCAGCTTCGGCAACCTCGGCAGCTTCGACAACTCCTACAGAAATCACCAGAGCAGACATCCAAGTAGCCATAGTTCGAACATTCTCCGCCCTTCTAGGCTACCATGAACTCTTCCTGAAACAAGACGAGGACCAACTCGTCAATGCACTCATCTTTGGCCTTGGCTCTTGGGAAAAGACCGCCATCCCATGCATCCACATCCTCACCATCTGCTGCTACGAGATCCCTCTCTCGATCAAGAAGTTCCTTCTTGTCATCCTCACCAAGCTCCAGACACGGATTTCCAGTCCTTTCGCCAGCTCTCCCACCCTTGAGTTTTTGATGCTGCTCATCAATTTAGAGACCTTGACCGCAAACTTCACTTTGGACGAGTTCCGTAGGGTGTTTGCCATTGCTTTCAAGTACATCCAACAGGCCAACGAGCGGGTAGAGCTGCTGCAACAACAACAACAACAGCAACTACCAACTGGCGGGAGCAGACCTGTCCAGTCCGACCAACTGCACCTCCAAACCCACGGCCTTGACGCCACCGTAGACCAAACTCCATCCACCACCCACCAGTCAACCAACACCACCCACCAATCAACCCTGACCTCGCAATACGTCAACTCGATGGCCTACTCGGTCATATCGGCATGGTACCTCAAGCTAGAGCTCCCAGAACGCCGGCAACTCTCGTCGTTCCTCGTCAGAAACCTTCTTTCGCTGAGCTCGGACCCGGAGAAGGACGACCAGACCATGGCGTACGTCGACCTCGTGATGCGGTTCACCTACTCGGACCTTGACTTGGTGATCACTCCACCCGCACGCCGCCAGAACTCCATCAACTCCAGCAGCTGGATCATTGGCGTCACCATCCTCCAGATCTCCACCGACCCAGACACCAAGGTTTCCGAGATGATCATCCGAAGACCGACCGGTGTCACCATCATGAGGATCTCCTTGGGTGACCCAAACTTGCTGGAGTCTCTGCTCACCTTTTCTGCTGGGACTACTGCTGGTGCTGGTTCTGGTGCAGCAGCTGGGGCAACTGGGGCCACCACCTCTCCTGCCACATCAGTTTCCAGCACACCAACTCCTGGTACACCCTCTGCATCTTCAACTGGTCTCGGGGTGACTCCTACTACTTCCTCAGCACTTCCACCACGCTTCACCCCGTCACATCTCCTCCTCCAATTGTTCAACTCAATCGACCCGTTGAACCGCTCGAAGCCTCTCCCGCTCATTGAGGACCAGGCAACCTTGCGGGCGGTCTCCACCTTTGATAGGATCCCAACGGTGGAATTCCACAAGGTCGGCTTGATCTACGTCGCACCCGGCCAGCGCCTGGAGACCGAGATCCTCCGCAACCAGGTCGGGTCGCCCGCGTACCACGACTTGCTCCAACACCTTGGCCAGTTGGTGCCCTTACACGGATGCCGTGAGGTTTACGTTGGCGGATTGGACGTGGAGAACAACACCGATGGAGACTACGCGCTCTTCTGGAAGAACAAGACCACCCAGTTGATCTTCCACACCACCACCATGATGCCGAATAACGACAACGACAAGCACCTGGACTGCAAGAAGCGGCACATCGGGAACAACTACGTCAATGTGTTCTTTGACGAGAGCGGCGAGGAGTTCAACTTCAACGTGATCAAGTCGCAGTTCAACTTCTTGAACATTGTCGTGACCCCGACAGCTACCGGTGGCGGTGGTGTCCTTGGCGGTGCACTCCCAGGCTCCAACACTGGATCCTACAAGGTCAAGGTGTACCGTCGGGCCGGGGTTCCTGCGGTGTTTGCCACTTGTCATTTCAAGATCATCTCACAGCAACAGCTCCCGCAGTTCATCCGGAATTTGGCCATCCTTGCCAACCAATTTGCGTCCGTTTGGCACACTCCGGGTGAGCACACTTCGAACTGGGCGCATCGACTCCGTCAAATCAAGGTGCTCCGCGAGAAGACCATCCTCACTCACGCGACGCTCCGCGAGGAGAACGACAAGCTCAGTCACGAGCAGAGCAACCATGGCGCCACGGGGACGACCGCCCAGTCGTTCTTGGACCAACTCAGACAGGTTCACCCGGCCACGAGCCACGTGAGTATCGACTCGGCCAAGTACGAGTACGTGGACAAGGACGAGACAGACTTGTACAGCGCCCTAGAATTCAATTCCTATACATAGAACATTTTACATCCAAGAGTCCCTTTTCATATACATACAGTGTAGCTACATAGATCTACAATGTCTCCACCGACGCTACAGGGCACCCTCAGCTCAGTTTAGCCCAGCGGAGCCCAGCGGAGCGTCCTGCAGACCCCATAGAGCGAGGATCCCCCCTGCCCTACGGGGTTAGCAAGCCGCTCCGCTGGCACTCCGTGGGCCACTAGCCGTGGAGGCCTTGTTCCTCTACCGAGGAAGGTAGGATGGCAGACTTCAGGGGACTCCTCGTAGAGGAGCTAGGCCCCACGCAGTGGCTCTCCCCGAGCAGGGGCCAGCGGAGCGTCCTACAGACCCCGTAGGGTGTTGCCAGTCCCTTCCCTGCGGGGCTTGCGAGCCGCTCCGCTGGCACTCCGTGGGCCACTAGCCGTGGAGGCCCTGTTCCTCTACGAGGAATTGGCTGCGAAAGGTCCTCCTCGAAGAGGAGCAAGGCCCCACGCAGTGGCTCCCGCCGAGCAGGGGCCAGCGGAGCGTCCTACAGACCCCCTAGCATCCCTCCCCAGGGACCTCCGACCGCCCTAGCCAGTCAATGGCCGTCACGACCACCTGGTGCAAATTTCGCAGCCATTGCTCCCCAGCGCATCAGCCCCGGCGCTGGGCTAACGGAAAACGAGCGCTGAGCCGGCCCGCGACCACCGGAAATTGCCCGCCGCCATAGTGAGGAAAAAAAGTGCCCCAGAAAAAGTCCAGCGTCAATTTCGCCAGCCAGGGAGTCAGTGCACCCTTGGCAATCCCTGGCCCAGCAGGACTGCACCCCGTGGGCCCCTTGTCCAGGCTGTAGGGGGTCTCCCCCCCTCTCGCAGCAGTCTGCTGCTACGTGGCTGTGTCCAGCCGTGACTACCGGGAGCAGGCGAGAACGTCAATGTAGGGGGGGTGGCAGCTCGGGCTGTGGTGTGGCGGAATCCGACCTTCTCACGTGCGCCACCGTTAATTCGCATAATTTGGCTGATTTTGGCGATAGGTCGGAGATTAAAAAAGGAGATAATGAATAATAATTACAGTTTGTCGGATATAACGCCAGTAAGCCGGGACCTAGATTGTCCCAATCTAGGCGAGGAATACAGGGGAGAACATCTCCCTTTGAAGACCGTGTAGGGGCTGCTGGGGTGGAAGAGGGTGGTGGTGTAGGCCCACCAACTTGTAGGGGGGCGGTCGGAACTGATGCCCGTAGATAGAAGGATTTAAAATTTTCTGAGTAATTCCGGGCGTCGCCATTTCGTTTTGTGCGGCGCGCGGGGCCAACCATCGCCTCTCTGGGAAGAGCCCACAGGAGGCCTAATCTCGAGCAGACGGTAGATCTTTTTCCTGGTGCAAGTCTCGAGGATTAGTCAGCGGTCCAGACACACGTTCGACTCCGTTCTAGCTGGAAAATAGCAGCCCTACTTCATTTTTGATGCTGATACAAGACACTGTGAGTGAGAAAGTAGATACGACCGTTGTTCAAGTTCCGGCCATGTTTAAGGTCGAAACAGATATTGAGGTCGTCGGAACTGGATCTCCAATTGAGGGGAAGGGTGTTGCCACCGGAGTGGGTGGTACTGTCCGTTCCAGCATTGGCACTCGTTCTGGCAGCACTGGCACTCGTTCTGGTAGCACTGGCACTCGTTCTGGTAGCACTGGCAGTTCCACCGATTCTGGAGGCACTGGCAGTCCGCGCCACTCTGACCACTCTGGCAGCCCTCGCCACCCTGGCAGCCCTCGCCACCCTGGCAGTCCTCGCCACCCTGGCAGCCCTCGCCACCCTGGCAGTCCTCGCCACTCTGACCAGCCTGACCACTCTGGTACCTCCACCTTCATCACCAAAACCTTACCATCAGTCCAAACAACCCTCTCAGCACAAGCAGAGGCCCTTGCTGCCCTCTCCCATCAATACCAAACATGTGCCTACTCACAGGGACAACTCCAGGCGCTGCTTGATGTGCTCTTCCAGACAGCGTTGCTCCGTGGGAAGGTGGTTCTCTGTGGGATCGGCAAACTGTACAAGATAGCAGCCAAGTTGGTGGCAACCCTCAACTCACTAGCCATCCAGTCGTCACTTCTCCACCCGTCAGAGGCGCTACATGGAGACTTGGGAATGGTTCGTGATGGTGACGCGTTGATGTTTGTCACCGCGCTGGGGAACACCCCGGAGTTGCTCCAATTGCTCCCACACGTGTCACGGACAGTCCCGATCGTCTTGTTGACCTGTAGCAACGACCTGAAGCTCACCCGGAGCGGCCGGATCACCCTGTTGTTGTATGCGTCGCTCGCGCAACACTTGACCGAAGACTCGGTCCATGGGCTCCCGGCGCCCACCATCCTGACGACCCTTCTGCTTGCATTGGCGGATGGTGCGGTGTTGGCCCTTCTGGAGATGTTGGAGGACGACTTGGCCAAGCGGAAGACTCGGTTCAGCATGAACCACCCGGGGGGTGCCATTGGTGCCAGCTTGAGCCATTTGAACGTCAACTTGTTGGCGGCTTCTCTGACGGTTTCTCCGTCAACTGGGAGACCTCCAGCCACTAACAGCCAAGTTGGCAACCAGATCACCAGTCAAAATGGTGGCCAGATCACCAGCCAAGTTGGCAGCCAAGTAGGAACTCAAATAGGCACCGGCAGACCAACCCCTCCATCCACCGCCAACGGCTACGACACAACCGCTTCTGCACAAACTGGAGGAGGAGGAGGAGCAGGTGCCACCATCATGAGTACCTCATCCTCACTACTCTCCCTCAGTCAGATCCGCCGTTGTGTGGGCACCACATCCAACGGGACCTCACTCTCGTCTCTGGACGACGAAGAGCTCCTTCTCACGGCGCCTGACGGTGGTTCTGCTACTGCTACCACCACAACCTCCTGTGGCGGCCACCCTACCACGGGTGCTTCCACGGGTGCTACCACGGGTGTTGCCACCCCTGGACCGCCTCCCAAACCACGTTCATCTCTGGAAGATGCCACGTCACCCGTCAACGGTCTCCTGAGACCGTTCAGAGACTCCATGCCCCAACTCTCAGACACCCCATCGAATCTCTCCGACCTGACGATACGACTGGGCGGGGCTGCCACCGTCTGCTCCACCCCGACAACAGAGGCGCAGATCACAGCACGGCCGTTCTCGGAGTTCACCCCACTCGAGGTTCTCCTGTGGATCGCACTCCACGACCACATCGTGCTCCTCCGCGAGAACGGGTCAAAGCAACGCGCCGACACCTCGGCCATCCAACGCCTCTACCGGGCACACGGACAACACGACTGGCCAGAGTTCCTCAGACTTCTCGAGCTGCAGTTTGTGGATATATAGCACCTTCCCCCCTCCCCCTTCACCCACACAAAACTCCCTCCCTTTGTATTGAATACGACCCTTGGACGTTCCAGCCTTTCTGGATAGACATGATAATGAAACACGCCGTCTGTAGGTTCTCGCTTCTCTCCTCTGCTTCCTCCCCTTGCACACTCTTCTCACCACGACCCCCCCGTCAGAGTCCTACACACCCCGTAGGGGGCCACCTGCTCCACTCCCTGCGGGGCTAGCAAGCCGCTCCGCTGGCACTCCGTGGGCCACTAGCCGTGGAGGCCTTGTTCCTCTACGAGGAATGACAGGTCGTGGGCCTCAAGTGTCTCCTCGAAGAGGAGCTAGGCTCCACGCAGTGGCTCTCCCCGAGCAGGGGCCAGCGGAGCGTCCTACGCACCCCGTAGGGTGGCTACCTACTCCCTTCCCTGCGGGGCTTGCGAGCCGCTCCGCTGGCACTCCGTGGGCCACTGGCCGTGGAGGCCTTGTTCCTCTGCCGAGGAAGTGACCCCCGCCTTGTAGCATTCTCTCCTCCTCTCTACACTACTGGAATGACGTCGGCTGGGCCGCGTTATAGACTATACACATATAAACAAGATAGAAAAGCCCTTGGGCTAATAAAATAACAGACAAGAATATTTAGTGGCCAGGTATCACACCCTTCCTCGCCAGAGGAACAAGGCCTCCACGGCCAGTGGCCCACGGAGTGCCAGCGGAGCGGCTGGCTGGCTGGACTCCCTAGCGGAAGCTCATCCCCTTTCTCTCTCTCTCTCCTTCTCTCACGAAGACTTCTCGGCCTCTCCAAGAGCAGTCTCCGCAACAATGATCATCTTCTCCACCAGAGCCAAATGCTTGCCGTAGTTGTTCTTCAGGGAGATCTGTTTCAAGTACTGGCGAAGCTTGGCCACGAGAAGCTTCTTCTCGTCGCTGCGGGCGTCAAAGCCCTCGACAAGCTTCTGGATGACGTAGTTGGCGTATTGGTCCTTCATCATGAGGGCCAACGGCAGCAGGTCGCCCACCACGTCGACGCTGGTGTCCTCGTTGCCCAACATGACCTCGTGAAGGATCCGCTTGCGTTGCAGAAGCGTGCCGAACTTGATGCATTTTTCAATGACGTTGGAGGCGAACTTGTGTTTTGAAAAGTTCACCACCAGTCCCAACACAACCTTGAGGATCTCCTCGCGGTCTCGAGGGTTCCCTCTCTCGAGGATGTGTTGCATGACGTAGTTCCCGTACTGGTCCTGGATGAGGTAGAAGATGAACCGATTGAGTTCGTTCAAGATCTTTGTTTGATCCTGTTCGTCCAGGTGTTCGAGAAGTCGTTGGATGACACGACATCCGTACGGGTGGGTCAGAAGATGGTAGATCTGGTTATCCAAGGCCTCAAGGATGAAGGTGATATGGGAGAATGGGATCCTTTCGATCGATTTCTGGATCACATGGTTCCCATTCTGATCCTTGGCACAGATCAAGACGTAGTCTTGAAGTTCTGTGATTACACGGACTTGATCTTTGAGCTCGATAGCCTCCAAGGCTCGTTGGACCACTCTACAACCGTACATTTGCAACGAGAGCTCGTAGATGTGGCCAATCATGTACTCAAGAAGGATCTTTTTCTGGGTGGTGGATCCAAATTCAAAGTATTTTTGTATGACATAGTTGCCAAACACATCGGTCATCAAGTCGTACGAGATGTCTCTGATTTCATTGAAGATCACCTCCTTTTCCTCGGCGCTGGCGGTGGGGAGTTGCTGTTGAATGAACCTCGACCCGTGTTGGTCCTTGGTGAATTCAATCGCATGTCCATAGATGTCCTTGAGGAAGTATTCCTTGCCTTTGAAGTTGGACCGGACTTCTTCAAGGAGGGGTGAACGGTAGATATGGGATGGTTTAGGTTTGGATTTGCGCTTGGCGGCTGCCGAAGCTGCCGAAGCTGCCGAAGCTGCGGCAGCAGCTGAGGTAGCACCTGGACCAGAACCCCCAAGTCCTGTTGATTCACCTACAGATGGAGAAGCCGAGGCTGAACCAGAATTCGAGCCAGAGCCTCCATTAGCACGTCCTGCACCTGCTGAAGCACCTGCTGAAGCTGAAGCTGCTGCTGCTGGCCCTGGTGCTGCTGTTGCTAGTTGTGCTGTTTGTGTTGGTGGAGTACCTGCTTCATAAAAAGGGAACATGAACCCAGGGCTAGGGAACCCTCTAGCATATCCAATTCCAGGCTGATGAGGAGCATAAGGATATCCCTTCAGTTTCAGTTGCTGCTGGGCATTGGTGGGAGACTTCTTATTCTCGTCCAGACCTTCCAGATCTTCTGTTTCGGCCAGTTCTTTCTCCAGACGTTGGTAAAAGCCCGGGTCCATGAATGGAGGAGGTGAAGGGATCATGAATGTACTGGGGACCCCGTTAGGACTCCCGGGGACTCCAGGAAGACCATGAGGATGAGGCATTCCAGGCCCAGCACCACCCGCGGTGGTGGCCGGTGGAGGCGCGCCCGGTCTTCCATACATTTGGAAAGCCGGGAAAACCGCGCTTGGGTCCATAAAATAGCCATAATGGGTGGGGATTGCCGCTCCTGGGGCCCCACCTCCAGGAATGAAGGAGGTGGCCGTGGCCGGGTTCCAGAAGGTGCCGGCTCCATGAGGACCGGTGCCACTGTCCGAGGTCTGGGCGGATGAGGAGTGGCCCGAGTGGGACGTTGGTGAAAGCACAGCATGGGCTTGGATTGGAGAAGTGTTGTTATAATTGTCAATCTTCTCCAGGATGGATTGATGGCGTGAGGTGCGCGACGGAGGGATGTTGAGGTTTTCATTGAGTGAGCCGTTGGGGGAGGAGAAGACTGGTGGGTAGTCTCCTCCTACTGCTGCTGCTGCTGCGTTAGCAGTGGCAGTGGCAGAGACCGAGCCAGTGGCAGAGACCGCACCAGGAGCGACATTTACTCCCGAGGTGGCAACTGAAGACACAGACTGACCACCAGCACCACCTACGGTGGTGGTACTCTCTCTAGTGGCATCAGCCACCGAGGCAAACTTTCTTAAAAAACTGTCTGAAGGAGGAGGATGTCTACTGGCAATGCCACCCGAAATGGACGCAGCACCAAAGATCCGCAGTTGGGCAGGCTGACCGTTCTGAGACCCACCGGCCGCATGCGGGTTGTGAGAATGGGAATGGCCATGAGCATGAGCATGCGAATGTCCATTAAGATTGGCCAGAAGAGAACCGCGTGGGAGGAAGAAAGGAGCGTCAATGTCGCCACCGTCATTGAAGGAGAAACGACGGCCCACGGCGCCCGGGGCGTGCATGGGGACGCCTGCTACCGACGAGGAGGACGACGACGGAGCGCCGCTGAGCGCACCATGGGATCCACTGGTGACAGACTCGGCAAAATACTTGGCCACAGAGGGGTCGACTTGATCAAGAACAGTGCGGTATTGAACACTTCCCACGGACAGACCCGAGGTGCCAGGGTTGGACCCGGAGGCACCCTGCACGGGCGAGCCGCCGCTGGCGGTGCTCGACCAGATGGTTTCAGAGGGCATTGGGGGGTGCGTGTGATAGCTCGGGCGTAGATGGTTGACGGCCGTATTGAGGGGAGAGTGAGCGTCGTCGCTCTTGACTGTTAAAGGCTCAGAGAGATCAACACAATTAGCGCCAGAACGAGGGCGCGCACAGGAGGGCGCGCACGCACGGGAGAAAAAAAAATTTGGTCTGGCAGTGCGAACGCCAACTCTCACGTTTGCGCACTGCAGGGCGGCAAGGCACCATGGAGGGCCGCCACAGAGGAAAGAGTCCGCAAAATGCGAATCAGGTCGGGCGCACTGACCGCGCAATGAGTCGCACACGGGCCCGAGCGGGGTGGATGGACCAGGTGTGTATGCTAGGACGACGAGGAGGGCGCGCGGAAAGGAGAGGCGTTGGGCCGTGGGGCGGTGTGGTCCACCAGCGGGAGGTTGACAAGCGGGAGATGTTTACGCCGTTCGACAGGCCTGTTGTCATGACAGGCTCAGGGGAGTCATCAACTGAGATCGCTGCGACAACAAGGGAGGAGGTAGCCAACCCTACGGGGTGTGTAGGACGCTCCGCTGGCCCCTGCTCGGGGGGAGCCACTGCGTGGGGCCTAGCTCCTCTACGAGGAGTCCCCTGAGGTCGACGTCCTGTCATTCCTCGTAGAGGAACAAGGCCTCCACGGCTAGTGGCCCACGGAGTGCCAGCGGAGCGGCTTGCAAGCCCCGCAGGGAAGGGAGTTGGTAGCCACCCCACGGGGTGTGTAGGACGCTCCGCTGGCCCCTGCTCGGGGAGAGCCACTGCGTGGGGCCTGGCTCCTCTACGAGGAGATCCACGAGGTCGACGTCCTGTCATTCCTCGTAGAGGAACAAGGCCTCCACGGCTAGTGGCCCACGGAGTGCCAGCGGAGCGGCTTGCAAGCCCCGCAGGGCGAGACTTCCTCCCCCATTGTACTCTATACTCCCCCACTCTACTGTGTACCCTACTTGTGTACTCTACTCTCATCTACTCTACTACTTAGCCACTCTCCTCTCCTCTCCTCTCCTCTCCTCTACTGCTTGCCTACTCTACACTAGCCTCCTTCCCCCCCCCCTCCTCTACTCCCTAGAGTCAGTCTCTCCTCTGCATCACGTGAGACTACCTGCATGTAAACATCACACTTTTTTTTACTATGTGATCTTTTTTTTTTGTTTTGTGTGCCAGAACGATAAAAATCCACACTTCAGTGAACCGCTTCAAACTTTCCCATCCATTCATCTTTACCTTGAGAGTTTCGTCCTCTCTCTCTCTCACCCGTCTCTCTACCATAATGTGCCCCTCCAAACTCCCCAAGGGTGCCTCTGATCGACTCTTGAATCTATTGTATTCTTCCGCTCTGAATGAAATCGCTCCTTTAATCCCAAGAGTTGGTCAATTTCTTTATGAGAAATCTTCATCACCTCCTCGTCATCAACAACCACAACCACAACACCAACAAACTTCCACAAAATTTGTCTCCTCCGCCTTGGAAAACTCAAAAATAACACAAGAAAATTTAAATCAATTTGACCGTAAGACAATGACAGTACTTCCTTCCGCGGGGCTCCGCGGCCTGAACTCAGATCATACCACCATTACTACCACCACCACCCATAAATCTATATTAGATGATCTTAAATCAAATCAATGGAATCATAAACCAAGTGAAGATGCCTTAAAAGATCTTCCTAAAGGACCTCAAACATCAATAAAATCAAATGTTCTTCGATTTTCTTGTAAGAGTAATTATCTTACCGAGGCAACATTTCAAAATCTTTATCCAATTAAACGTGAGAGGAAATATTTAATTCCTACAATTAAACAGGCACAGGAAATATTGAGAGGTAAACCATACAAGGTGGATGAAATTATGAATGAATCTAATAGATCTGGAATTGATTCTACTAGTTCTAGTACTATTACTACAGGTTCTTCTTCTAAAATTAATACTAGTCTTTATTCTGATCACATGACGCGCACGTCCTCCTCGGATCACGCGCCCGATCACATGACCGCCGCAGAATCCATTATATCCACCACTAATCATCTCCCATTCCATGTTATTAAAGGTAGAACCCCTCTACAATTACAACCAATTGGTTCATATTATCTTATTTTCCCCACCCATCTTCATGCTTGTATCTATTACCTTGAAACCATGGGGAAAGTTGTCAATGGATTTGATTTATCCCTTGAATTTATTTCAATGCATGGGAAAAATTCTGATTTGAAGTATTTATCATCTCCTTTTCTTGATGATTCGATGGAATTACAATCGACTAAAAGTGTCAGTTCTTCCAATGATCTTGCTGCTGATGATTTTGTAGGTTCACCCACAAAATCCAAACTTTTCCATCAACTCTCATCCTCACCACATCACCATGAAAACCTCCCACTTGCTGCTCTTCTCTCCTTTGCATCCAGTGACTCGAGAACAAATTGCGTCCTTGTGAGAAACCTCCCGTTTGGTCTCTCGAAACATACCCTCCCAAAGCTTCTTTGGGACTACGAACTAGCACCTTTGAACGATCCAAGCAAATGTATCGTGGAGGTGTCGAGCGACATCGCGAGCCTGGTGCACGTGGTCTTGATCCGGTTTGCCAACCACACCAACGCCAAGCGGTTTGTGCGCAACTTCCATGGCCGCAAATGGGAGTCTGGGGTTCAATCACGTTCTGAGAAGAAACTCTATGATCCTCTCTTTTGCGAGATTTTGGATTGAGCTTCTTGGCTGTCCGTGTGCACGGACAATCCCCCAGACTCCCGTCTTTTGAAAGACTGGTCCATTCGACACCTTTTGATATTTCCGTCAGTTCTGTGAGGAGACACCCTACGGGGTTAGCAAGCCGCTCCGCTGGCACTCCGTGGGCCACTAGCCGTGGAGGCCTTGTTCCTCTACCGAGGAAGGCAGGACGTGGACTTCAAGGGACTCCTCGGAGAGGAGCCAGGCCCCACGCAGTGGCTCCCCCCGAGCAGGGGCCAGCGGAGCGTCCTACACGCCCCATAGGGTGGCTATCAACTCCGTGCCCTGCCGGGCTAGCAAGCCGCTCCGCTGGCACTCCGTGGGCCACTTACCGTGGAGGCCTTGTTCCTCTGCCGAGGAAGGTAGATCTCAGGAGACTCCTCGTAGAGGAGCTAGGCCCCACGCAGTGGCTCTCCCCGAGTAGGGGCCAGCGGAGCGTCCTACACACCCCGTAGGGTGGTCCATCTACTCCCTTCCCTTCTTGCCTACCCGGTCGCTCCACTCCTTGGGCCACTAACCGTGGGTATGATCTGCCCCTTATCCATTTAGCATTACTTGTAAATAGAACGTCATAAACGCCATCATTCACGACTTACGTCCCTCGTCTCCCGCTACAATTCCACCAGTAGTTAAAATGTAATATTAATTATGTCGAATGGGTTGTTAGAACCACTTCTTGAGGGCCATCTTTCAGACCCTGATACTCCTGCTCTTCTCTCCTTGCGACCAAGCTTAAGCAAAGGTGATAGACCCTTCTACTTACTTCTACTTCTAATTTATCTCTCTCTCCAAGAACGCATTCTGTTTAAACAGAACTATTCTAGGTGTCCTCTCCTCGTAGAGGAGCTAGGCCCCACGCAGTGGCTCCCCCCGAGCAGGGGCCAGCGGAGCGTCTTACTCACCCCGTACACTACTCCCATACTCGCGGGACCCTTAAGTCTACGTCTTACTTGGGGTTCAGTTTTGACCTTATGGCAATACATCCAATCGTTTCCAACTGTCGCGTACAATGTCCCACGTGTGTTTCCCATCTTGTGAGTTGCGTCTCTCGACCAACACGTACTTCTCCCAGATGCCCTTGTTCTTCCAAACAATGATCACGCTGTCATTTCCCGACCAGCCGACAACGCCCGTGTCGGGAACCCCGGAAAGTTCGTCCTCCTCCGAGTGGTATTGGTTGGTGTTCACCAGACAGAAAGACCATGTCGACCGGAAATAGTTGGGCACTGGGATCGGGAGTCTTCTCAAGAGATGTTGACGGTTGGCCGGTGGGGTATGGAGTGTGTCTCCCAAGCTGCCGCCAGGAACGGTACCGAGACCACTAGTGGCAGTGCCACCACCACCACCAGAAGAAACCCCGGAAGTACCACCAGAGCTCGTACTGGCACCAGAACCACCGACGTTGTACACATGGAGGGTGTTCTTATCGGAAAGGACAGCTAATCGCAGATCATTGTGGGAGAACTTCATGGAAGTGATCACTGCACGGTCAAGCCCCCGCCGGAACTCGTACAAGAGTGCGGTGTTGTGGGTCGAATGCACGCGGATGAGGGTCCCCGTCTCGGACGCCAGCGCCACGAGCGTCCCCTGTCGGTTCAAGGTGAGACACCGGATCTTTGATTTGTGGGCCTTGATGATGCTGATGAGGTTGCGTTCCTGGCCTGCAGGCGACACGTCCACAAGCTGGATCTGGCCCGCGGACCGTCCTGGGAAGGCGAGGATCTGACATGGGCTACTCGAGGAGCCCGTGGACCCTGCAGACGACCCTGTAGACCCCGCGCTAGCGACGCTACCACTCGTGACAGCAGCAGCAGCACCACCACCACCACCACCAGCCGAGGTCTCAGAAAATGCCTCAATGGACAGAGACAATGATCCAATGGAGCCCAGTCCATGCGGCGGTCTGTGTGAGGTGATCGAGACGGAGGTGGCTGTGGCTGCCAAGTCGGCCAATCCTTGCTCATTGTCAGCGGTCTCGTAGCTGGCAAACTTCTTGGGAGGTGCCAGGAAACCGTACACAAGCACCTGACTGCGGAGCACCACGACGATGCGGATCCGCAGAAGCAACACGTTCAACACGGCGCTCGTGAACTCGAGTTGAAGGCTGCTCTTGCGCTTGAGATCGTCCCAAATGACGAGCTTGTTGTTGGAGAAGCGCGGGTGTTTGCCCCCGCCAACGAGGGCCAAGTAGTTTGTCCGGTGGAGCATCGTGACGTGTCCTATTCCGGAGCCGCCGGTGTCTCCTCCAGACGCGCTGGTTGTACCACCAGAGGAATTGGCAGTGCCACCGTGTGGTGGAGCTGGAGGTTTATCTCCTTGATGGTGTGGTTTTGCTCCCGTGGCGGCTATGTTCCCCACCACGGCAGCCCCGTGGCCCACGACTCCATGGCCCCTGAAGTTTCTCTGGACGCGCGAGTCCACCGGGTCCGTGCTGTACACGTGGAACCCACCCTCGTGGCCCACGGCAAAGCACCCTTGGTCCTGGTTGAACGTCACGCACAAGAGCCTCTGGTGGGGGTGACCCCCTGCGAGGCCTGCAGACCCGTGGCCGGCAAGCGCTTGGTGTGTGTTCATCTTGTGTGTGTGTGTGTGTGTGTGTGTGGGTCTCTCTGGACGGCTTGGTTCGATTGATCGGATGGTTCTGGACAGAGTAGCTTGATGGATGGATTAGCTGGGTGTCTATCTAAGTGTAGGGCCTCCTTCTCTCTATCTCTCCTTTCTCTTTGTGTCTGTGTATGTCTCCCGTCTATCTCTCGCGGTAGGAGGTGCCCGTTTCTGCCTCTGTCTGCGCTCGATCTGTTCTCGAGGTGTTCCAGACGTCTCGCGCTATTGTCTTGTACGTCCGCCGGTCAATCAGCGTCTGCTCAGCTGTTCTCTTCCTCTCCAAATAGACGAGGGGTGGCCCAATGACGCCTTTGTTTATCTTTCCTGCACCAAGCCAGGAACGGTAACTGGGTGACAATGCCGCGATCTAGACGTCTTTCCAAATGGCAACGGCAATGCGCGCGCGCGCGCGCTGCTAGCCAGTTCGTGTTCACAGGAGTTTGCAACAAGGGTGCCCCGCAAACCAAGCGCTTTCTATATGATCTTTCTGTTTGACCACTCTGGCTCTGTTGGGTGGCTACCTCCTACCCCCAGAACACCACTTCCCACCCACCCCAGCCCACACATCCTCTTTCACCCTGACTCTTCCTTACTTCTCTGTCATGTCTTTGTTCTCCTTCTCTCGTCTTCTTTTTTCTGTGTTGTTGTTTATTTTTCTTTTTCTCGCCCAAACTAAAAAAAGCGTTACAACGGGTCGCCGCACAGATTCGAACGCCGTTGGATGTGACGCCACTGACGTGGAACGTTCTCAACAAGGGGGGGTGTTACGGGCAATGGAGCCGTCCTCAAGGGACTCCACTGTTCCATCCCTGGGAATAGAGATGGGTAAGGGAGGGAACTGTCGTACAAACGCGGCAAATTACCACCGGGTGCATGGCGAGGCTTCCATTTTTGCAGCCACTTCTCGTCCGTCGATCTGAGACATGGGACACCATCTACGGTTTTGAGCTGGTGTTTGGGGCCAGTGGGGCACCGCACCGGATAGGGAGGGTGGTGGAGAGGGAAGAGCCCTACGGGGTTGGTAAGCCGCTCCGCTGGCACTCCGTGGGCCACTAGCCGTGGTGGCCTTGTTCCTCTGCGAGGAAAACAGTGAGGGTGCAAGTGGACTCCTCGTAGAGGAGCTAGGCACCACGCAGTGGCTCTCCCCGAGCAGGGGCCAGCGGAGCGTCCTACACACCCCGTAGGGTGGTACTTACCCCATTCCCCGCGGGGCTAGCAAGCCGCTCCGCTGGCACTCCGTGGGCCACTAGCCGTGGTGGCCTTGTTCCTCTGCGAGGAAAACAGTGAGGGTGCAAGTGGACTCCTCGTAGAGGAGCTAGGCACCACGCCAGTGGCTCTCCCCGAGCAGGGGCCAGCGGAGCGGCTTGCTAGCCCCACCGGGTGGGTACTTACTCCCTTCCCTGCGGGACTAGCAAGCCGCTCGGCTGGCACTCCGTCACTGGACCTCGACTGTCTCCTCTACGAGCAGATCTCACCATACTCTAGTAGAACTGTTGTAGGCATACCGGATGGCAACTAACGGTTAATCTCATAGGGGTGTAAGTAGAGAAACCTCCTGTACGTAAGTATAAGTCGGGTATGGTTTGCTGTCTCGGTGGGCACACTTCTACGATCTACACTACATTCTCTCTCTCTCCTTCTAGTATATCCCTGGCCGTGTATTAATATTATATATATCCTCATTCGCTCTCTATATCCATAACCTCGTCATCTTCATCACTAGACTCCTCGCCACGTTTCAAAGCATTCGCTGCAATCGTGGCGTCTGTACCAACATGCTCGTCAATCCCTATCATGCCTCTATCTCCACCTCCACTGCCTCCACCTCCAGATGCCCCACCAGCAGCCCCACTAACTACACGTTTCCGGCCAACCACAACCATGTTCTTCTTCACAGGCGTGGTCCCTCCTCCTGCCCCAGAGAACTTATTCAGAGACGTCGTGATATCCGCAAGATGCTCACCCATCCCCATCCCATGGTGCTCATGTCTACGTCTACGCTCCTTCATGGTGGGGAGATTCAATTCCATCAACCGGGTACTCTTGGCCCCAAGAAACCGTGCGCCTTGCTCGGCATTCTGTTCAAGTGCTCTCTTCAACAAGTCCGAGGAGACCGGGTCCAGTGGAGTGATGGCTAGAGCCTCATGAAGCACCTCAATGGCACTCTCGTGGTCGTTCAATTTCAAATAAATCAACCCCATGGCCGCCATCACATTACTATCGTCCCTACTAGAAATCCGTAACACTTGCTGGAAACATTCCAATGCCTTGTGAGGGTCCCCTGACTTCCTCAAAATGTGTCCCAAGTTCGTATGGATCGAGATCCAGGTCTTGGAGTCCAGGTTGAGATGTTTGGCCGCACCCAATGCCTCTTGACAATACAGTTCCGCAGCACCAAATTTCCCCCGATGGTAGTTAATAACTCCCAACTCGTTCAAAAGTAACGGGTCAGTCAGACAAATTTGATAGCTGGCCATCAAGTACTCCTCTGCCAAGTTCAAATTATTCATTTGAAGGTGTTGCATACCAAGGAATAGATTGGCTAAATGGGTTCCGGGGAACAATCTGGCGGCAAATGCATATGCACTGATGGCTTGTTCATGTTCTCCCTCAGCGGCAAACGTATGGGCAAACCCTATCCATGCCTGGCCAAAGTTTGGGTTAAGAAGGGTGGTTTTACTGAAAAACTTCCTACTCTCTATGACTTTACCAATCAGAAGATAATAGATTCCTATGGCCAACCAAGTGGTTGGGTTCTGTGCATGGTTCTCTGCCAACTCGTGAGCTTTCAAGAAAAGTTTATTCTTTGCCCCAAGCTCATACAAACAAGAGAGATAGATTGGGATCGCGTTGAAATTGTAGGTGTCACGCGCTAACACACGCTCACAAACGGCAAGACATTCATCGAATTGACATTGTACATAGAGATAGTCTGCCTTGGAGAGAAGGATATCGCTATTGTCGCCCAATTGGTACTCATCAGCCAAGATCTCCTCGACTTCTTGGAATTTCTGTGCATTACAATATTTCAGAAGATGTGTAGTGTACAAGAGTTTGACCAACTCGGCGTTATCGTCATCGGCGTTTCGGAAATTAAGCAGCAGAACAAATTCCCATTCTTCACTTGGGGTCATGAGATTGTTTCTCACCAACTCCCTAAACGCCTCAAAGCACTTGACATCGACAAAGAGGGCCTCCTTGTACGATTCCTTAGCCCTTTCGAAATTGTTTTGGTTGGCGTAGATGAGCCCTCGGAGGTAGCACATGGTCAGTTCAAGCTTGATCCCACCGTCAGTGGTCAGGACCTGGTAGTTGTCATCACGAGTGAATGGGTTATGTTCCCCTACAACGTCCAAGGCGTCGTCCCAGAGTTCTAGCTTGATAAGAGAGTATGCCGTGAGATATCTACAGGAGATCGATTGGGCTGTGAAGGGGGTTAGAAGTTGTTTCGCCCGGAGGTAATTCCCGGTGGCAAAATGAACTTGAGCTAGCCAGAAGGCGTCATTGGGATCATTAGTAAGGGTTAGAACTTTGTCTCCGATGTACTCGGCGGTGGCGTAATGGTGTTGATTTAGCGCGTCATGACGCCAAAGTCGAAGTTTTTCTGCGGGGGAAATGGCATTTCCATGGCCGGCATGGACAGACAGAATCCCTCCCGAAGGGAGAGCTTCCAGATTAGTTGCTAGAGGGTGAATTCCCAGATGAACTCCAAGATGAATCCCCAGATGAGCTCCCAGATGAATCCCCAGATTCATTCCCTGGGGATAAGCTCCCAGGGGATGTGCTCCCAGGGGATGTGCTCCCAGTGACGGGCCACCCTGCGGGAGGCCCTGAGAGTGACCCTGACCATTTTGTAAAATCTGTGAAAGCAGCGGCTCTATAACCTCCCTTCCCTCCATATTCATCCCATTATACCCCAGATTCACCCCCTGGTTCTGAGTAAACAGATCCAACAGAGCCAGATGACTTTGTCTCAGGGTCTGGCCCTGGGCCTGGCCCTGCCCTTTCACCCGTCCTTGAACTTGAGGACTGTCAAACAACCCACCAGCAGGATTTGGCGGCGTCACAAAAAGGTTCGGTCTCCGATTGATCAACGGCGAGATGAACAACGTCGAGTTGTGCTGTGAGGGCGTCTTATCATTGGGTGCCATTCCTACTATGTCAACCCTTTCTCAATGGTTCTGTATATCTTCTTTAAAAAGTTACCTCTTGGGGTTCTTTGTTTATACTTTATAGGTCGTCTTATCCATACTGACACAAAGACTACGACCCATCCGAACACCCGCACATTTCCTCCCGCCCGAACACCCGCACATTCACTCCACCCAAACACCCGCACATTTTCTCTCAGTTTGAATTTCAATGCGATGAGCATTCTCTTAAAGAGACAATCCTAAATATAATATCTCTTCTACTCCTCCAATTTATCCTCATACACCACCATAAACTATGAAGAGCGCCTTGAAAGGATCTGCTCCGTCTAAGAAAAGCGGTTCCGTGGACGCTACACCAGCACATTTCCGGATCATGGTCGGATCTTATGAACACAATCTTCTTTGTCTCTCATTAATTCTTCGTGCCGGTCAACCGGTTTTCCAACCAGTCTTCCATTTCCAAGCCCATACACTTTCCATCAAGGCCATAGATCTTGCCAAGAGATACCTTGTCACGGGCTCCAATGACGAACACATCCGTATCTACGATCTCCAGAAGAGAAAGGAATTGGGTACCTTGTTGAGCCATCAGGGGACCGTCACCACCTTGAAGTTCTCACGTGAGGGAAACGCTGCCACTAAAGTGGTCAAGTCAAAAGTTGAAGAAAACAAAAGAGGTCCTAAATCAACTGAAGAGAAGGAAACCTCTCCTGTAGAACAACCACCTGTAGAAGTGTCTGCTGCCGCTGCTGCTGCTTCCAGTAGCACCTCTTCTACTGGAGCTCTGGGGAAATGGCTTCTTTCCGGGTCGGAAGATGGGAAAATCATTATATGGCGTACCAAGGATTGGGAATCATTTGGCATTCTCAAGGGTCACACCGACAGAGTCAATGATCTTCTGATCCACCCTTCTGGAAGAGTTGCCATCTCCGTGTCCAAGGATCAAACCATCCGTCTTTGGAACTTGATGACCGCCAAGAAGGCTGCCGTTCTCAAGATCAGAGGTAAGGACCATCTTGGCCAAGCTGGAGAGTTTGTCCGTTGGACTACCCATGACAATGGGGCCCATTTCCTTGTTGGGCTCCTCAACCAAGTCCTTGTCTACGAAACCTCCGCGGCTCGGATCATCAAAAAGGTCACCTTCACCTCCACCATGATGTGCATGGAAGTCATGGAGGTTGCCGGAAAGCAATATTTTGTCACAGGCCACACCGACGGCCGGATCAACTTCTACTCCATTGAATCACAAATGCTTGTTCGTAGAGAACACCAAGAGGACGAGGACAAGATCTGGGAAACCAAGCCAGAGGCTATCACCCCTGAGTTCACCTTGCATGGCCACACCAACCGTGTCAAGGACATCACCTTGTTCTGTGACCAACGCGCCACCAACGGGATCCCTTACTTGATCTCGGTCTCCTCCGACGGGAAAATTGTGGTTTGGGACCTCACCGAATCTGTACGCGACCAGGTTGCCGTGTACGACCTGGGTGAAAGATTGAACTGTGTGGTTGCCTGTCCGGAGGACGTGGAGAAGATGGATAGCATGAAGAAGCGGTCTTCCGAGTTTGACGAGGAGGACGACATTGCCAGTGGCTCCGAGTACGAGACAGACGGTGAGGAAATCAAGGCCATCATGAAGGGTGGAAACAAGCGTGGTAAGAAGAACAAGCGTTCCAAAAAGACAAAGGTTAGTGTCACTTTAGAGTAATTAAAAAGAGAAATAGATAGCAGGTCCATGACAAGTTTGTAGAGATTAGTAGAGTCTGGCGGCTTGCTAACCCCGTAGGGCAGCCCTACCCCCTTCCCTGTGGTGCTAGCAAGCTGCTCCACTAGCACACCGTGGGCCACTGGACCTCGACTGTCCCCTCGAAGAGGAGCTAGGCACCACACCAGTGGCTCTCCCCGAGCAGGGGCCAGCGGAGCGTCTTACAGTCCCACGGGGAAGGGGGTAGGGCTGCCCTACGGGGTGTACAAGCCGCTCCGCTGGCACTCCGTGGGCCACTGGCCGTGGAGGCCATGTTCCTCTAACGAGGAAGGGAGGACGTGCACCTCTTATTGGCCATCTTGAGTGTTTGACAGCTTTCGTACTGACTTTCTTCCGGTGGGCTGTCTACATTTACATCCAGTATAGGAAACTATTCACGGGCTTTACTATATAACATGATTCTGAGTCTGTATCGTCTATTCCTGGTAGAGGAACAGGGCTTCGACCCACCTACTCAATTCGCAACCGGGTGTATAAGCCGCTCCGCTGGCCCCTGCTCGGGGAGAGCCACTGGCGTGGGGCCAAGCTCCTCTTCGAGGAGACCCTTGATGCCTACGTCATCCCATTCCTCGTAGAGAATCAAGGCCTCCACGGCTAGTGGCCCACGGAGTGCCAGCGGAGCGGCATGCACACCCCGTAGGGTGGTACTTCCCCGTGGGACTGTACGACGCTCCACTGAGCCCCTGCTCGGGGAGAACCGCTGGTGTGTGGTGTATATGCTCTACATTGCTTCTCGTCTCCTTATCTGAAGTTTTATTACGTATGTACGGGTGGGTTGGACATGGCCCAATTTTAAATAATTTACAATCTTGCAACGTGCTTGTCAAACAAGTTCTTGGCACGGACCCAGACTGGGGCGGTTTGACGTTGTGGCAATTGCAACAACAGAGGCATCAAGTCCTTGGCAAAGAACTCGGAGGCCTCACGGGGCAACAAGGATGGGAGGTGATCGATGGAACACACAGACAACTTTGGACCGGCAGAGGTGTCGACTGGCACGGTTGGGTTGTTGAAAACGGTGGCAATGGAGTACACTGGGATTGGGTTGTGTGGGTTGGTGGTGTCGGCCGAGACATCGACAATGGTTCTCAACTTACGGTTGGCATCATTCAACGAGTCGTAGTCGACAAATGGAGGGATTGGTTGCGAGAGGTAGATACAGTTGATGAAAATGTCCAGGGAGACGATTTCTTCAAACGGCCCGCCGCGTGCAGTCTCCTTCATGTCCCAACGGATGATATGGGACTCTGGGATCCCAGCCTTTTGGAAAAGATCGATGGCTCCACTACCACAACGGCCCAAGGCACCAATGACCAAACATTTTGGTTGTTGGCCGCCATTCTTGGCCAAGGCCTCGGCCAAGTCGTTCTTGACGTCGGCAATCAATTCGGCTTCGTTGGAGTAGGCAGTGACTCCGGGTAAGTCACCTTCATCCCCATGGATTTGCTTGTAGGCCCAATCTCTCAATCCAATGGCAGCACCGGCAAACCCAGCATAAAACCCAAACGCAGCAACACGACGACCTTGTTCATTTTCCAAGAATTCCAAGTCGTACAAGGTACCTTGACCAGCAGGGAATCTGGACAAAACGTCTTTCCAGCCACCTTGGTCCTTGTAACAATGAGCAAATTGGATATGTTCATGAATCAATGGGAAAGTTTCATCTTCTGGAAGTTCTTTCAAACCGAAAATAATTCTGTCACGAGGAGCTTCTTTCCAAGAACCTTCTGGAACAATTTCAGCTCCAACTGCGGCATATTCACTGGATGCGAAAGTAGATTGCAGAGACTCTTCGACATATACTTTGAAGCCAGCATCAAGAAGTTGCTTGGTGGTGGAAGGAGTCAACGCGGCTCTTTTTTCCAAAGGCTTGGTTTCAGCACGAAGATGAAGAATCACTGGGTCAGACATTTGTAATGAATATGTAGAAGGTGGGCAGGGGGGTAAAGCAAATAAAATTTGGCTAAGAAAAGATGAGTTAAATTATTTTTTTTCAACAAGCGAAATTTTCTGCTCTCTTTTAAATCTCTCCACAATTTAAATGGAAACTTTATGAGCTTGTGTGTCGCCGTAGATATGACTCAGATAAGGCGAGCAAAATGGCAAGCTAATGTATGATAATGAGTCACGTGTGCCGTGCCAGATTAGAAAGTGCCGCCAGCTCGCTCGCGCGCGCACGGGTGTGTGAGTCAGTATGTCGGTCATGTGACGGGCACGTGATGATAGAGGACAAATATCTCTACCCTGTAGGGCAGCCTTACCCACTACCCTGTAAGCCGCTCCGCTGGCCCCTGCTCGGGGAGAGCCACTGCGTGGTGCTTAGCTCCTCTTCGAGGAGACTCATGGGGAACAAGGACTATACGGCTAGTGGTCCACGGAGTATCAGCGGAGCGGCTCGCAACCGACCTACTCATTTCCCTACGGGGTGTATAAGACGCTCCGCTGGCCCCTACTCGGGGAGAGCCACTGGCGTGGGGCCTAGCTCCTCTTCGAGGAGACCCTTGATGCCTACTTCATGCCATTCCTCGTAGAGGAACAAGGCCTCCACGGCTAGTGGCCCACGGAGTGCCAGCGGAGCGGCTTGCTAACCCCGTGGGGATGATACCTGCTCACTTTTCCCTGTGTGGTTGTAAGACGCTCCTCTAAGGTCCTACTTGAGGAGGGATACTCATGCGTGGGTACCTGCGTGCATTACCGGGGTGTAAATACTTGTAGTCTTCTCTTTGGAGTAACCATCTAGTGGCTGAAGTGATCAAGTTTGCAGCCATTTTCTCGCGTTCTCTCACGTGCAGCTCATCCTCCGCGTACTACTCCAATTGTCTCATCTATTCCTCCGTATCTATTGTCATGATCTATAATCTATTTGCTGTACTCTAATCATATAAATACTGCCTCCATTCCTCGAAGAGGAACTAGGCCCAACGCCAGTTGCTCCCCCCGAGCAGGGGCCAGCGGAGCGGCTTATACACCCCGTAGGGAATTGAGTAGGTGGGTTGCAAGTCGCTCCGCTGGCACTCCGTGGGCCACTAGACGTGGAGGCCTTGTTCCTCTACGAGGAAAGTTGCTCCCCCGAGTAGGGTCTACTGTCTTCCAATCCCTAACGTCTAGTCCCGCTACGGATCTCCTTTAACACAAAATGTTTCAAGTGTTCTCTAGCAGATTCCCAATTGTCTTCTATAAAAGCATCACCGTACACCTTGAATAACTTCTTAACAATGGCTCGTTCATGTTCATCCACAAAGATGCCTGTTTCTGAAGCCCGGTCGAAAAGAAGGAACCCAAACTCACGGTCATTCCCGTACAAGCTAGCAAGGATCATCGACTCGGTCAAACGACCCAGAGCACTACGGCCAGTGTGTTCGTTACGCACGCGTGGTACCTGGTTGATATACTCATTATAAAGCTCCAAGGCCGCATCGTTGCTGAATTCACCTCGGGCCAAGATCAAGTTCCCAAGAAGATCAACTGGTACACTTTCTGATGTTAATAGAGTCTGTGCAATCTTCAAGTATTGATCGTTGTGAGATTTGATGGCCTGGTAGCAGAAAACGGAAACAAGACGATGTTGGACGAAATCAATTCCAAACTTCTCATGGGATTGGTAATGGTGGAACTTTGCCAAGGCGGTCTGTATGTCGTCACGGTCGATCCCATAGGTGCTGATAAGTCTGAGACGGACCAAGAGTGACTCGGGAGACTTGTCTGAGTCGAGGTGGTTGATTTCGATGTATTTCAACACTTTGTCGGTGGTGGTGGTGGTGGTGTTGTGATTGGGTATTTCCTCTGTGCTGCTTGTTTCCACGGTCGCTCCTTCTCCTGCCAATTCCCTGAATACTTGCTTGATACGGTCTATCTTTTCCAATTGCTTTGCCAGAGTTTCCAGGTCCACCACATCCACCACCGTGGGCCCGACCCCAAGGGCCTTACAGAGACTTTCCTTGCTCAATATTTCAGGAGATTCTTGGAAAATCTTGCTGAATAGAGTGAAGTAATGCTGGTCGTTCTGCAAGGTGGTCAATACTGGCAAAAGTTGTTGGTTCTTCAACTCTGGAACGAATGTCAATGACAGGATGACATCCAATTGAACGGCAACTTCAACCAATCGGTTGACGAGACCTTCTGGTAAATCCTCTCCTCCATTCCCCCCGGATGTAGCCTCCTTGACCATGTACAAGGCACGAGCAAATCTGTCGAGATTCATTTCCTCGTCGACCAGTTCATCTCTGATCTCGACTCGTTCTCCAAACAACAACTTCTCTGCCACTGCAAGGGCTAGTGGACGAGGGGTGCCATCTCGCGATCCGTATCTTTCGAGCAAATCCCAAGCCTGGTCGACTCTTCCTGGATTGGCCAAGATAAGTTTCTGTAATGCCTCGGGACTCCAAATATGGGAATTCTTCTTCACCGTAAAGTACAACGAGTAATCTCCCTCCAAGGCATGGACAAGAATCCTATTCGTCAAGTCGTGCTTGGTGGTCTCATCTATCGTGTTGTTGGTTCTTACAGAGTCCACAAGCTCGTGTATGGCTGAGGAGTTGCTTAAGTCCACGTTTTGAATTGCCCTGGCAACGTTCTCACGGAAGGAATTGACGTCATTTTCTTTCAAATTACGAGTCAACTCGGCGAGAGTCGAGTAGCAGTAGCGGGACCCATGGCTCTTCCTGGCGGCAGCTCTAAACATAGGTGTGTAGCGCAACATTTTTTTGATAAACTGGGTGGTTGTATCCTCCCTCCTTGGTCCTTGGCAGCTTTTCCAAATAGACAGAAAATCAAAAAAAAAAAAAATATTCAAAAAAAAAAAAAATACTCCAAAGATTCCGCAACCTCGTTCTCCACGTCAACTTAAGCCTGCCCTCCTGACACTCCATGGGACCCCAACTGTCTCCTCGAAGAGGAGCTCAGAACCACGCAGTGGCTCCCCCCCCCCCCCCCCCCCCCGAGCAGGGGCCAGCGGAGCGGCTTACAGTCCCACGGGGAAGGGGATTTTGAGCAGCCCTACGGGGTTACCAAGCCGCTCCGCTGGCACTCCGTGGGCCACTAGCCGTGGAGGCCTTGTTCCTCTACGAGGAAGTCATGACGTAGGCTACAAGGGTCTCCTCACAGAGGATCTAGACACCACGCAGTGACTTACAGGAGGACAAGGGCTGGTTTTGTCTACACTGATCTCTATGTTTCTAATAAAACTTATAATTTTTATTCTAATCTTTCTTTAACAGTTTCTCCATTTCAGCCAACATTCCAATTCCTTGGAAATATTCTTCCCAGCGATCAGTTGTATCAACCTCTTCCAAACTCTTATAATCAAATTGATCACTGATATATTCATTGTAATCGATCCAATCATTCTTGGTCTCGCATGCATAGCCCCAACTGGCCTTGAAGGCGCCTCCAAGAGCACATGCATTGGGGATTTCTACTCGATAATTCCCCTCGGTCAGTCCAAGAATACTACTCATTTTCTTAACAATATTCATATTATTCAGGGCACCCCCAACAAAATAAACTTTCTTTGGTCTTGCAGTCAATGAAGATTCATTTTGTTTCTTCCCATCAGTGTAAATATCACCAAATTTCTCAACAAGTGAATTGTATAAATCATGAGCTTTAGAAGATTTACCATCTACTTCCAACATTGGTCCTAATCTTAATCTACAACTCAATGTTTGTGATTCAATGATCGATGTCACATCAGAATCTGAATTTTCCCATTTTGTAACATCAACAAGTTTATCATTTTCCCATTTAGATCGTTTGATTTGTGCTGAAGCATTAGGTACAATTTCTCCTAATGGGAAATAAATACCCAATTGATTATCAAAATGAGTTGATTGATTTAAAATTTCATCAAATTTCTTCCAATCACCGTCTTTTTCTCCATATTTCTCATTGACTTGATCTCTAACCTTTTCTCTAGCTAATGATCCATTACAATAACAAATCATCCCCATGTAATGTTCAGGCATGGTTGGATGTTTAAATAAATGATATTGAGATGATGGACAATAATTCTTGGTTACAAGAAGTACAGTGGTGGAGGTACCTAATGATACAAGAATATCATTTTCAGCTAATGGTAACGATAAAATAGTTGCCAAATTATCACCAGTGAATGAATAAATCTTGGTATTTGACTTAAATCCATATTTATCAACAAAATATTGACATATTTCTCCATTTGATTTATAAGTAATTGGTTTAATTTCACCCAATTTCTTTTTAATTGATTCAATTTCCTTGTCATAATCAATGGAATGGTCTTTATCAACTTTAGGATGTACTCCAGCAGTTAATGCCAACATTTCTTCATTATATTCTTGCTTGGAAATATCATAAATATTCATTCCACAAGCATCTGCTTGTTCAATTTCGGTTAATTTCCCCAATAATACAGATGCTAAAAAACTTGAAACTAATGAAATTCTTTCAGTTTCTTGATATTTAGATCTTTGATTTATTGCTAATTTCCGGATTTGTAATCCAGTAAATCTATAATGAGCTCTACTACCGGTTAATTCAGCTAATTTCCCACTATCTCCAGCAATCAGTTCGAAAACTTCAATTTCCTTCCCAGTGGAATGATCTTGCCAATTGGGGGAATTAGGGAAAGTAAAACTTTCATTTGAAGTCAATTGATCAACCAATTCACCAGATTTTACATTTAATTTTGTCAAATTTGACACTCCATCTTTCGACCAATACACTGATCCATGTTGTTGACAAGATCCAGAAATCCCACAAACTCTATCAAAGGGGAATTTTTTACGTTTCATTTCAGAAAAGACAAAATCTATAGATTCTAACCACATATTCACAGGAGAAACAATTTCTCCAGATTTATCATCACTTAAAACACCCTTTTTAATTGAGTATTTTTCACCAAATTGTTGATCAAATTCAACATTAAACGTCTCAAGATGTTTTAATGATGAGTCTGTGACAATCACTTTAAGTTGTTGAGTTGATAAATCCAACCCAAGGAATAAATCTTGACCCGAATTTGCAGTCATTATGAAGATTTGAGAATGCGTTGTTGTTTTTTTTTTTGTTTTTGCGGTGTTTTTGGCTGCTCTTTTACTGTCTAATTGACAACTTCAGGGGTAACTTCTTCGTCTTCACTTTGTTCTGGACTGAAAAAATTCACTTGTAACCACTGAACTGGATCCTTTGTATAAAAAGACCAATTGGGCAATGTAATAAGATAAGTACCAATCAAACAAATACCAAAAGTGTATACCAAATATTCAATACTCAGGGAGAAAAAACCAACAAGTACAGAAAAAACAGTGGCGATGTTTAATAAAAGAGAAGCAAAGTCGTGGGCTCTTTGTTGACCTTTGAAATCAATTGGAAATTCAAGAAACAGAATAAGATCGTCCATAGTAAAGAATGCGATTGATTAATATTAATTGATTGCTCTTATATGAGGGAGAAAGTGGTGAGGTGTCACTTGGCTGGCAAAAAATTCGGGCAATTCACAAAAAAGTCAACGCGTGGGGGAAAAAGGGGAGGTACTGCATGTACTGGTTTGTTGTATGTAGGATCCCGTATCACCAAGTAGAACTCGTAGAAAGTAATAATAAGATACAGATTGTTATATTAATTTCTGATCAATTGATCTTACAGATATAGGGGTAGTATGATTAGATATTGAGAGGGGAACAAGAACTATGAAACAGGTAAAGAGTGAATTAATATTATTGAGATGTAATAAATGGAGCGGAGCATTCTTTATACATTAGAAAGTATCAGGTGGATCTTAAAATGCCAACTACTTGTAGTCTAATGATTTTGCTGCAAAGGTATTCGATAACCCCCCTCCCTTACTACTTCCAGTGTAGTCTAACAATTTCTGATACAAATGTATTGGAAAATCCCCCACTACTTCCATTGTAGTTTCACCATTTGTGCTGCAAAAGTTTTATATGTCTTTGTACAGGAGTAATTGAACTAGACAGGAATCTACTTCTGCCCCAGTACATGGTTCCACTATGGGAAAGGGCTGCCCACAATGACTAGGACTATCAACTTCCATTGAAATTTTCCAATCCTCATTCAGTGAGCCGTCCCAGATCCGGTATTCAATTGCCCCCAACAGGATGTTTAGGAGACATTTCATTTATTTAATAGTCTTTTTGTGAATCTGAAGAATACCTACGATAATCCACAGTAGGACGTTCTTTTTGCAATTGCGTCACATCTGTGAATTCTCTTAATTTCCCATGTCTTGGTTGTCATTAAATGGACTGAGGGCGTTCAAAGCAAAAAAGATGAATACTACCAGTCCAAAAGAGAACTGAACCTGAACAACGTAAAAGGTCTAAGGATATCTCAATAAAGAAATGGCTGGGTATCAAATAGTCAGCTTTGAAATTGCGCGTGGGGGACACTCGGACAGGTTGACCCGGGGGGAAGTGAGTAGTGCCACCCTATGGGGTTAGTGAGGCACTCCGTGGGCCACTAGCCGTGGGGGCTCCTGTTCCTCTAGCGAGGAATTTGGCTGCGAAAGTGACTCTCCTCGTAGAGGAGCAAAGCACCACGCAGTGGCTCTCCCCGAGTAGGGGCCAGCGGAGCGTCGTACAGTCCCACAGGGAAGTGAGTAGTGCTGCCCACGGGGCTAGTGAGCCGCTCCGCTGGCACTCCGTGGGCCACTGGCCGTGGGGGCTTCTGTTCCTCTAACGAGGAATGAGAGGCCAGTATTCTGTTGTAGATGAGTTGTGGGTCCACTCAGTGACCCTCCACGTAATAGAGGTCCGGTAGCACAATGGGACATTACCTGGAAAGTATACGAATGTCAGTCTATATACTATTGGTCAGTCTGTGCCAGACAGTGAACTATTGGTGCTCTGATGGCTTTAACAAACGAGTAAGAGTAAGATAAAGTGTGTGTAGATTCTTTCTCTGGGATTTATAAAGGGGTATCAATGCTCGTTGGAAGGAACAAGGTCCATGAAAGTATGAAGAATACCATTAAATATGTCTAACTGGTTGAATATGATCTGTCTATTGATGGTAGTAGGAATGTTGATCTTCCTAATATCCCCCGCTTAGAAGCCGAAAGTCTCGCTTGCTACACAGTGCATCAACATACAGTAAGTGTGGACAACCGTGGGACAACCATGAGGCAAACTATTCAAGGTTCTCATCTAAAAACTTGACTAGTTCTTTCCTTCAATCTACATTCTGTTAATCTAAAGTTATCATAAATCGTTAATAAATAGTTAAATAAAGTCAATCCTGTCTAAAGGTCATGTCTGTTTTGTACGTAATAATTCATATCGTTGGCTATAAGCCTTTCTTCAAGAAAGTCTGTCACCAGGTTGTATTGGTCTTCTTTGAGCATCAGCGTGTATTTCTCTTGGGCACTGAGCTTGTGGTCGAACGTGAAGCCATACTGGTCGTCTACGGAGTCGAATTGTGGGAGTGAATAGAAGTTGTATGGTTGGTCTTTGAACATCTGGCCACCATACAGTTTCTTCTGGTGTGGGTGGTGGAGATTGTGGCTGTGATGGTGGTCATGTAACATAAAGGAAGAGTTATTGGTCAGCACTGTGGTGGAGCGGGTCAATGATGTCATGAGCGAGTTCTCGCAGTCTGTCTCTGAAGGAGACGTTGTTCTAGAAAGGGCTGGAGAGTCCATGTCAAAGTCTATATCGTCATCGCTACGTAAACCGTGTGCATTGGCAGGTTGTTCTTGTAATTCACCGCTTGTATCTTCAAGGTTAATAAAGTTGAACAATTCTTCATCTTCATCGATATCTTCTGGAGATTTGAGTTCTTCTGAATCGGTGCTGTAGAGGTATGGATGGCCTGAAGTGGCACCAGGAGTGCTGTGGGACAAATCGCTCATGTTATCAATGAGCTCATTCATTGGGTCCAGGGCAAGGAAGTCTGTGAAGGACCGTTTACGAGTGGATGCAGCCAGCTGGTGAAGAAGGTTGCCATGGTCGGAGTTCCCGGCCATAGAAGTGTCTGTAAGCACGACAGACCGAAGATGGGTGTACTCTTGGATAAGAGAAAGGAGATGAGTTTTAAGCGATGAATTTTCAGCTTCAATGGTGGTGATATGGCGCAGAAGCGTAGAAGCAGATGGGGTGGTGGAGGAGGAGGAGGAGACTGGCAACCCAATGGCAGAACCATTGGTGGCGAGGGACCCGCCAATTGCAGCCTGGGTGGTGTTAGCATTGACTTTATTGGTGCTGGCTGGACCAGAGTAAACTCCTGGACTAGGTCCTGGAGATGAGCCTAAGTTAGCTGGGCTGGTACTACCACCGGGTCTAGCAGATGTCTCTGTCGCTATCGATTTCGCTCTTCGTTTCTTTTCTTTGCACAGAGTGGTTGGTTTCCTCCCAGGTTTTGGTCTTGGAGGAAGAACCCATGCTTTCGAAGTTTTCACCGCTAACATTGGGACGGACAGGTCTACAGCCGCCAGCGGGTTCGAACACGGGCTCGGGCTCGGGTTCGGGTTCAGAGACTGGCTCAACTGAGTTTGTGTGGGCATGTTTCAAAACGAAATGCCAATGTGTGAGTGAATAGTTATGGTTCTAAAATGGGTGTAAATTTGAGTGTGTGTCCTATGGATCAACAGAACGGTCGGCTCGGAGGGAAAGGAATGTACAGGGTGTGGAAAAAGAAAAATTTTTGGGCAGCTCCGGAACAAGCTATGGGTGGAGCAGCTTGGGAGTGAGTTAGGGGGATTGGGGGGGGGGTCACAGACACTCGAGGTCCATATATCCAGTGAGGGCTAGGGACAACGATGGGAAGAAGAAAAAGGAATCAATTTAAACAAAGAAGACGGAAAATTTGAGTCAATGTTCGATGTGCGAAATTTTGTTCGATTCGAGAAGTTACACCAAGGAGTTAAGAGTCAAGGCGCGCGCGCAGCAAGTGTTAGTGTGGGAGGGATTGGCAGGGACAGGACTGGCTAGGAAGGCCTGGGTTTCAGGGTGGGAGAAACAGGCAAAACTGGCAAAACTGGCAAAAACTGGCAGGACTGACAAATGAGAAAAGAGAACGGGGATTGCTGGCAGGATTGATGGAGTCCGAGAGACTAATATAGACCGTGGGTATGGAGTGTGTAAAAATTTCAGCCGGGCAAATTCGGTTGTTTTCGGGTAGTCGGGCAGCTACGCAAAGGAATTTAGAGAGCGTGAAAAAAAGCAGAGAGAAAAAAAAAAAAAAAAAAGACTAGCTGGAAAAAAATAAACAAGAAAAAAAAAAATTAAAAAAGGATGCATTGGGCGATAAAAGGGAATTTATGGGGGGCGTGGCGAGTGTGCGGAAAGGCGGGAGAGCTGGGGAGGGAGGATTCTGTTGGAGGTGGGGGTGCTAGGGAAGCGGCCACCGGTACGGATGGATTGATCGGTTAGGTTGGTCAATTGATAGACTTTAAGCAACGTTTTTCGTGCGTGTCCTGAAGGTTTATGTCATGTCTCGATTTTTACATTTAAGGAGGTTACATGAGTCTTGGGTGTGTGCAGGACGAGTCATCGGAGGACAAAAGGCGAACATGACCAAGGGGTGTGTGGGTACGAGAGTAGAGAAGAGTAGAGGATAGTAGAGTAGAGGATAGTAGAGAAGGGAAGAGAGTAGAGAATGGTAGAGAAGAGTTGAGGGATCAGATAGTTTGTTGTTTGTAAAAAAATATTAGAGGAGACCTTGCTTACATTTCAGTTTAATCCAATAGCAATCAGAATATTAGTAGTAGATAGTTTATTATTAGCAGAGTGTCTGAGAGTGTTTATTTTATTTATTTTTTTCTGTGCCAGGGTGCAGGACACGTTGGGTTCCGGGTAGTTAGAGCACAATAGATTTGGTAACCAGTTCTCCAGTAAGATTACTCCACTTTTCGACTAAGACAGCCGAAATCCGGTCCCGGGGATAGGCGATCGTTCCACATTCCCATAGACGTTCTGTCTTATATCCCACCGGACATCTTTCCAACACAAAATAATCTCAGGCCACACACACACCCCCCCCCTGGGTAAATAAAATGATAAATTGCCCCAGATTTCCCTAAACCCCGTCGCGCCAGGGCTCGCACGCGCAGAAGTACCGGAAAAGTACGTATATTACGGAAAAGTGCGAAAAATATTCCATTGGAAAATTTTTTTGAAATGAACAAAAAAAAAAAAAAATTAATTTAAATAAAAATTTTGGGAATTACCCGTTTTGAGTGCGATGACGAGCGGATACCCGGATGTGACTAAAGAACAGGGGCTTCATGCACGCAAGAGACACTCCGTACACTAATCGACCACGATTGGTGGAGGACACGCGATCATACCAGTAACGTTCATGCGGGAATTGTGGCGAATGTGCCCTTGACTCGGCACCAAACTATTTTCTCTAAAATGATGACCTCTAGCCCAACTCTGATTTGATCTCTAATCTTTTTGAACACTTGGCGAATTTGTGCTGTCCCCCCCCCCTATCCAAAGATCTTGATTGTTTCGGATGGGGCACGACCGATGAAACAGTGATCTGAATTTCGATCCAGTTTAAATTGTCCCGTGCACGACCGGGCCATACGATGATTTTGATTATGGACTCGTAATTTTTGGGGGATTGTTTCCCAATTGGGAAAGAGAGTTTTTTTCTTTTTTTTTTCCAGTGGTTGCAAATTAGGCAAAGGTTGTAGATGAGAGGCAACACGACAAGAATGGAATGGAATGTATTTGTAATTGAGAAGTAGGGAAGTTGAGGGTATTAGGAGAAGGAGGTAACCTTCCTAGTTAGAGCTGAAGTAAGGATGGGGACCATATAGAGATGGTGAACTTATCCACCTCTGGTGCCCCGAGATAAGCGGCAGACCTCTGAGCAGTACCAGTGGCTTAGAGTTCAGTTTAGAGTATACAGTTCAAGGAGACACTACTAGACTACACCCGAGGTCTCCTCGTAGAGGAGCAAAGCACCACGCAGTGGCTCTCCCCGAGCAGGGGCCTAGCGGAGCGTCGTACAGTCCCACGGGGAAGTACCACCCTACGGGGTTAGCAAGCCGCTCCGCTGGCACTCCGTGGGCCACTAGCCGTATAGTCCTTGTTCCCCATGAGTCTCCTCGAAGAGGAGCTAAGCACCACGCAGTGGCTCTCCCCGAGCAGGGGCCAGCGGAGCGGCTTACAGTCCCGTGTGGATAGGTGTTGCCCGTGGAGGCTAATGTTCATCTGACAAGGAATGCTGCCAAGGTGTAAATCTGCTAAATTATTCGAATATTCTCTATGTAAAAAATTTAAACTTTCGTATCAATGCATGGCTTTGATATCTCGGAGTTTTCGGAAATTTTAACCGCCTGATTGAAGCCCTAATCAAAAATATCTTTACCGTAGTTCCCGTAACCTATCTACGCTCATTTTAGGTTTGAGTGGGACTAGTTGAGGCTGTGCCATGGGTCAGATAGTCCTCGTCAGAGGAACAAGGCCTCCACGGCTAGTGGCCCACGGAGTGCCAGCGGAGCGGCTCACTCACCCCTTAGGGTGGTACTTCCCCGTGGGACTGCAAGACGCTCCGCTGGGCCCCTGCTCGGGGAGAGCCACTGCGTGGTGCTTTGCTCCTCTACGAGGAGTCTACATAGTGCCTTCCTCGTCAGAGGAACAAGGCCACCACGGCTAGTGGCCCACGGAGTGCCAGCGGAGCGGCTTGCTAACCCCGTAGGGTGGTCCCTCCGTGTAGATCAACTTATCTCCCGGCCACGACACTGCGTGGTTAGCCGCCCGCTCTTACCAGACGCTCTCCTACAATTCTCTCATCTTTCATTGACCCAAAAATATCTTTTTTGTCTATAACCCAATACATATATTTTCTTCTTCTTTCTTTTTTCTTTCGCTACTGTTGAGTTGGCATCGATGTGGATGGTCTCAATTCCTCTTCAACGTTGTCGGTCTTCCATAAAGTGGTAATGGTCTTAGGTTGGGTCAAAAAGGTGATACCAGCTTGTCCATAAAAGTTCAAGTCACCCAAGAAGGAACCCTTGTTACCAGTGAAGGAAAACATTGGCAAAGGCACTGGGATTGGCACGTTAATACCCACTTGGCCAGCCTCAATATTCTTGGTGAATGCCTGCGCAGCAGGTCCAGACTTGGTGAACAAAGCGACACCATTACCATACTTGTTGGAGTTGACCACTTGAATAGCTTCTTCCAATGTTTCTACATTGACAATAGCCAAGACAGGGGCAAAGATCTCCTCATCATAGGCTCTAATCCCTGGCTTGGTCCCGCTCAAAATGGTGGGGCCAAGGAAATTACCCTTGCTAAAGGCACCTTCACCTACAAACTTGGTACCATCAAGTAAAAGCTCAGCTCCTTGCTTAACAGAGTCAGCAATAATCTCATGAGAACGAGTCAAGGCTTCTGGATTAATAAGAGGTCCAACATCACTTTTACTATCAAATCCACTGCCAACCTTGAGATCACGTGCAGCCGCAACCACATCAGAAACCCATTCCTTGGTTTTTCCTACAGTCACCAAAACAGAAATGGCCATACATCTTTGACCAGCAGCTCCAAAGGCAGCACCTACAACGGCATTAACAAATTGGTTCTTATCAGCATCTGGTAAAACCACCAAATGATTTTTAGCTCCCAAATTGGCCTGCACACGCTTTCCGAGGGCAGAACCCTTTTCATAGATATACTTCCCAGCCTTGTCACCACCAACAAAGGTGATGGCCTTGATTCTTGGGTCTTCAATGATCTTGTTCACGGTGTCATGTTTCCCGTGGACGATGGAAACAACGCCCTCTGGAACTCCAGCTTGAGCTACAAGTTCTGCAATGATCATGGCGGCCCCAGGGACTCTTTCCGAAGGTTTGATCACGGCGGTATTACCAGTCACCAAGACCAATGGTAAGGACCAAAGAGGAACCATGGCTGGGAAATTGAATGGACAAATCGATCCAATGACCCCTAAAGGTTCTCTAATCATTTTAGTTTCCATATCCTTGGCAACTTCAAGAGTTTGACCCTTCAAGTCGTTGGTCACGTTACACGCGGCCTCAGCCACTTGTAACCCACGTAAAACATCACCTTTGGCATCAGCAAAAGTTTTCCCCTGTTCCAAAACAATCACACCAGCAATTCTGTCCATATTTTCTCTTAATAATTGAACAAATTTAAAGGCAATCCCCTGACGTTTGATGACGGAGTAATTCTTCCAGACCGGAAAGGCGCGGTGAGCCGCGTCAATGGCTTGTTCAAGTTCTTCTGGAGTCGACTGTGGTACCTTCAGAATCACTTGGTTTGTAGCTGGGTCATGAATATCATACCAAGTCTTAGATTCAGATTTGACAAGTTTATTGTTGATGAATGAAGGGGTAATGTATGGCGAAGCAGAGGCGTCCACGTGACCGGTGGGGTAACTGTTGGTGGTGCTTGTAAGTTTCACGGTGCTAAGCAAACGTGAAGTCTGGCGCATGGCCATACGGGTAGTTGCTGGACGTAACATTGGTATAGTAGAGTGTGTTGTGTATGTATATACTTACAAGAGAACTGAAAGGGGAGGGGGCATATGGGCTGTCCTTTATAGGTTTCTCCACCACACATTCTGTCCATGTGCACACGCGCATTTCCGGTAGGCGACTTCCGCGCAGGACTGCACATGATAACGATAATCGGATCGGATTTTGCGAATATCGAGGGATTGGACGAAAAGTTGGGGTAATTCCCCTCCTCTTAAATGCGATCCTTTTAGTTGATTATCCGAAAGGTATCCGGTGAGACTATGTTAGACTTTATTGGGTCTAGTACAAATGGTTTCAGAGCAGGTTTGATGGAGGGAAACCTTTCTGAAATGGTGTACTATACTTTGGAGTAATGATTGCCCCTTTCCCAATTAGGACACGTGCGTGCAGGAGCGGAACTTTAGAGGGGCTGGTATTCCGATCAATAAACGGTAGAGGGTCTGGTTGTCCGATTAAGTAGACACAATTACTGAGAGTCATCAAGCATAGAGGCTGTCAGTTAAAGAAGGAGAGTCTTTAAATTAAAGTTTCCAACTCAATTTGGGGAGGAAGTGGATAGAGGGAATTTTAGCGTAGAAGGTTTGTAGAGGGGGTACTTGTAAGTAGAGCAGTAGTAGAATTGTAAAATTTATTAATATGGAAGCAACTTTTTTAGTTGGCTGAGTACTTTATTACACTCACGAAGAAGTGTGGCGTCTCAGGGCTTTCACAACTTCGATCTGATAACTTTGGAAGGATAAATGATTGACATATAATGAAGTGGCTGCATTGTTGAAGGTTGCAGTTGCCTAATTGGGATGATTGTCTTGAAATGTATGAAACTTGATTCAAGACTGTCTTCAGCACCAGTATCAATTTTCAATTAAACCGTCTGCTACCTATAGAAATGCTCTCGGAGTAAGGTTGACAGCCTCTAACCACAGTTCTGGTCATACATGATCTCTTTGTCTTGATAAAATCTTGTAAATATTTCAATTCTTGAAAATTATTTTGTACGTAAAATGTGAAAATTTTACAAAAAATTAAATTTCTTCCTTTTTTTATTGTAGCCTCCTATGAGCTTGACTAGGCCACCAGTAGACGAGACCCCGACCCCATCGTAGACGGCTCAAGGACTAGCAGCTACGAGACACATTCTAAAAGTTCACATTGTCCATGGTGCAACTTTTGAGTTTTGCACATTTCCTCAGAGGCGCGTTTGCGCCTATTTTTGCAGCCACCAATAGAGATTGTACAACCTTACTTCCCCGTAGGACTGCACGACTCTCCGCTGGCCCCTGCTCGGGGAGAGCCACTGCGTGGGGCCTACCATGATCCCGAACGTTTTCCTCGTCAGAGGAACAAGGCCCCCACGGCTAGTGGCCCACGGAGTGCCAGCGGAGCGGCTCTCTAACCCCGTAGGGTGGTACTTCCCCGCGGGACTGCATGACACTCCGCTGGCCCCTGCTCGGGGAGAGCCACTGAGTGGAGCCTGGCTCCTCTACGAGGAGAGTCACTTTTGCAGCCAAATTCCTCGTTAGAGGAACAGGAGCCCCCACGGCTAGTGGCCCACGGAGTGCCACCGGAGCGGCTCACAAACCCCGTAGGGTAGCACTACTCACTTCCCTGCCGGACCGCAAGACGGAAGCCTGGTTTCTCTGACGAGGAGCTAGGCACCAGTGAGGTGCTCCCCTTAGGGACCAGCAGTGCGTCGTACAGTCACACGGGGAAGTGACTAACTACCACCCCTACGGGGTCAGCGAGCCGCTCCGCTGGCACTCCGTGGGCAACTAGCCGTGGGGGCTCCTGATCCTCTACCGAGGAAGTCTGACCAAAGTCCTTCTTAATGACCTCGAACCCAGTTTCTTGATATCAACAATCACGTGACTTAAGTCACATGGGTATTTTTTAATTTTTTTCTTCACTTTCTTTTCTTTCTCTTTGGCATCATCTCTGTCTGCATATAGCCGAAAAACTTCAGACATGGCTGCGAGGTAAAAAGCCCTTGATTTCAAATCAACATTGTTTGCAAAAACATCAAAGAATAACCATAATGATCGACTCCATCGTTCTATTTGCTGCTTGTTCCGTGATATACTTACTTTCCGGAGGAAGATGGTCGATTTTCGTGGCTGTATCGGTCGGATTTTGGCTCCTTCCAAGCAGTCCGAAAAAGGCAATTGCACCATTGCCAGCGGTTAAAGAGTCTCCAATCTATGCGGTTGATTTCACCACTTCATCCGAAGCAACTCTTGCTGAGGACTCTAGTGTCAAGCCAGTTCCCCGTGCCATCCGCTCACGTGCAAAGAGGGCCCCCAAAATCATCAGAGCCGGGAAACAAGCTCCATTGGCAGCCAATGTCAACTCCCCCGCACTTACAAAGACATCCATAAATTTACTTGACTCTCAAGTTTATATTTTCTATACTACTTTGACCGGATCTTCCCATAGAGTGGCCAAGGCATTGAATGACAAGCTTGATGCCTTACCTGACTTGAAACTCCCACCCAAGATGTTGAGTCTTGATGATGATTTGGATGATCTTGAAGAATATTTCATGAAGACCCCCACTGATGAAAAGAATTACACAAAGAACATTTATTTGTTGGTTCTCCCATCCTATGAGACTGATTCCCCCATTGACTATTTCTTGGAACATCTTCAAGACACCTATAACGATTTTAGAGTTGATAAGTACCCGTTGCGTCAACTCACAGGGTTTGCCGTATTGGGACTTGGAGATTCCGAATCATGGGGTGAGAAGTCCAAGTTTTGTTATCAGGCCAAGTTGGCTGATCGTTGGATGGGTAAACTTGGTGCCAGAAGACTTTTCCCCATGGGGGAAGTATGTATGAAATATCAGGGAGAACCTAAGGCCAACGAATGGATTCAAAGCTTTGCCGAGCTTTTGAATGATGATGAACCCTTTTATATTGATGAAGACGTTGATGATAGTGACGTGGAGGCTGATGGGTCTGGCAATGAGGATGCAGACACTTTGGTTGATGTCGAAGACATGGGTGATGTGATGAGAAAGCAAGGACAGGGACTCCCAGTCAAAGAAATGGTTGCCAAGGACTCTCCAACCTACAAGTCACTCACCAAGCAAGGATATACCATTGTTGGGTCACATTCCGGAGTGAAGATTTGTCGTTGGACCAAGTCTGCCTTACGTGGGAGAGGTTCTTGTTATAAGTTTGCCTTTTACGGGATCAAATCTCATCTTTGTATGGAAACTACCCCATCTTTGGCATGTTCCAACAAGTGTGTATTTTGCTGGCGTCATGGAACAAACCCTGTGGCCAAACTGAACTGGAGATGGGAGTTGGACCCACCGGAAAAGGTCATGGAAGGTGCACTCCAAGGACATTACCAAAAGATTAAGCAAATGAGAGGTGTTCCAGGAATTCAGATGGATAGATTCCAAGAGGCTTTCCAAGTGAGACATTGTGCCTTGTCACTTGTAGGAGAACCAATCTTCTACCCATACATCAATGAATTTGTTGGTATGTTACATGAACAACATATTTCTTCGTTTTTGGTTTGTAATGCCCAACATCCTGACCAATTGGCCAAATTGAACAAGGTGACCCAATTATACGTATCCATTGACGCCCCCACCAAGACAGACTTGAAGAAGGTGGATAGACCTTTGAACAGTGACTTTTGGGAAAGACTTGTTGCATGTTTGGATATCTTACGTACCACTCAACTGCATCAACGTACTGTTTTCCGTTTGACTTTGGTTAAGGGATTCAATATGACTGATATCGAAAGTTATGCCGATATGGTGGAAAGAGCCCAACCTTCTCAGATTGAAATCAAGGGAGCCACCTTCTGTGGCTCTTCCACTGGGAATGGGAACCCATTGACAATGCAAAACATTCCATTTTATGATGAATGTAAGAGCTTTGTCGAGAGTTTGGCCAAGGAATTGCAATCCAGAGGACATCAATACGAAATTGCAGCAGAACATGCTCACTCCTGTTGCATTTTGATGGCACAAAAGAAGTTCTTTATCGATGGTAGATGGCACACCCATATCGATTACCCCAAGTTTTTCGAGCTTTTGGAGAGTGGTGAAGATTTTGTGGACTTGGATTACGTGAAACCAACGCCAGATTGGGCCGTTTGGGGGTCTTACGAAGCTGGCTTTAACCCTGATGATACAAAGTATGACAGAAAGGCTGAGAAGTTGAGAAAGAGATTGGAAAGAGAAGAGGCTGGGGATGCATATGTAGAGAAGAAGAAGGAAGAAATTGTTGTAGTGGAGACATGAACCCTACTTTGAATATTCTTTTATTATAGAACCATGCATATTATTTATACTAAACATGAACTAAGCTTTATCTTACAGATGTAGATCTCCTCGTAGAGGAGCTAGGCAGCACGCAGTGGCTCTCCCCGAGCAGGGGCCCCAGCGGAGCGTCGTACAGTCCCACGGGGAAGTACCACCCCTACGGGGTTAGCTAGCCGCTCCGCTGGCACTCCGTGGGCCACTAGCCGTGGAGGCCTTGTTCCTCTCTCGAGGAAGTTAGGTACCACACAGTGGCTCTCCCAGAGTAGGAGCTAGACTAGTAGTACAAGATGTATATTGTTGTTTATAGCGTACTCCTACATATAGACGCACTGATATGGATCGGGCTTTGTAAATTTCAAATTTGTACTATCAACAACTTTGAAGTACAGTTTCTTTACCGAATCATGCCTGTTATCAAGAAACCGCTAGGGGAAACAACTCCATCAAAGGACAAACTAGACATCGCGTTCATCCACCCAGACTTGGGGATCGGTGGCGCAGAAAGACTTGTGGTGGACGCGGCCATGGGACTTCAAAATCTCAACCATAACATTCACATCTACACGTCTCATTGTGACAAGTCACATTGTTTCGAAGAGGTAGGCAGTGGCGAGCTTGAAGTTTCGGTCTATGGGGACTTCTTCCCGACGAAAATCGCCGGGAAATTGCACATTTTGTTTGCCATTTTGAGACAATTTTACCTTACAATCAAACTTATTTTCACTGGAGAAATCTTAAAGTATGATTACTTTATAGTGGACCAGTTGTCATTCTGTGTACCCCTTCTTGTCCTTTTTGCCCGTGAGAATGCCAGAGTGTTGTTTTATTGTCATTTCCCGGATCAATTGCTTGCTCAAAGAGGCTCAGTGGTCAAGAAGTTGTATCGTCAACCATTTGATGCTCTTGAACAATGGACCACCGGGATAAGTGATAGAATTGTTGTGAACTCCAATTTCACCAAGTCCATGTTTCACAAGACGTTTAGTCAGTTGAGCTGGGTCGATCCCGGGGTCATTTATCCCTGTGTAGACCTTGCCTCTGCTGCTGTTGACCCAGAAGCTGATCTTGAAGTGAAGGAGTTTTTAACCTCCGAATTTTTCCTTTCGGTGAATAGATTTGAACGTAAAAAAAACATTGAGCTTGCCATTTCACTGTTTGCCAAGTTCAAGAGTGAGTTCCATAAGAGAGGTGAATCACCCAGTGCTAGAAGCAAACCAAGATTAGTGATTGCTGGAGGGTTTGATGCCAGAGTCAGTGAGAATGTTGAGTATTTGCGAGAACTCACTCATTTGGCCGAATCTCTTTATTTGAATGCTTTCACCATTAGAGGGAAGCTTCTTACTCTCCCACCTTCAACGGATATTCTCTTCTTACCATCCATCAAGTCGTCCATCAAGACCTCGTTAATAAAACAATGTGAACTTCTTCTCTATACCCCATCTTTTGAACATTTTGGTATTGTTCCAGTGGAAAGTATGTTGTGTCAAACCCCAGTGTTGGGTGCCAACAATGGAGGTCCTTTGGAATCGATTGTGAATTATGATTTCACGCTGGCTACAAGAGATTCTGCCACTGGGTACATTTGTGAACCTACCCTGGAGAAATGGGGTAATATCTTGATAAAGCATTACTTTGAAGTCGACCCTTCCACAAAGGAACAACTAGGCACCAATGGGATTGCTAGAGTGGAAAAGATTTTCCTGAGAGATGAAATGAGTAGAGCATTTATGGATAATTTGAATAAGACTGCTACAAGACCTAACAAGGGTAAACTTTTCACAATCTTACTGTTTTGGCAATTGGAAGCTGTCGTGTTAATATCGGGTATAGTATTAGCTATGTACAAGAGATAGAAGAAATACACATATACATATATATGAAGTATATCCTATTGTAACAAGGATTTTATAGCCCGGAGAAAGCCAAGAGACTCAGTGCCTTTCTCTTGTGTTACATGTTCCAATTTAAGGGTATCCATTTTCTGTTGAGATTCATTTTGTTCAATCAAAGTATCAATATTGGCCAATACTCGTTTGTACAGATTCTCAAGTTCTTTTTCTGGGACAAGCTTCCATTTATGGAGACTCAGAGATGGCGAAGAAAGGTTATAAGTTGTAATTTTGAGATTAATTTCTTTGATCTTTGGCTCAAGGTATCTCATTTTAAGACTATGGTAACCACTGTCCAGCAAGTCGCTACTCTTAGCCGAGTTTGATAACTCGATACCTTTTTGTCCTGGGAACTTGCGCTTGATATTATCAAGCATCCGGAACGACCAATCACGGTCGAGTTCAAATCGTAACCGTTCAATGTCCTGATCTACACCCTTTTGACTTTCTATCCATGGTGGCAAACATTCTTGTTTCTGAAGAATTTGGTTCATAAAGTAGTTTGTATCTGTACAGTTTGCCAAATGATCTTTACTGAGAGGTTTACCTCTTACATTGGTCATTGCATCTTCTTCAAATTTGCCACTTTTTTTGTCGATTTGTTCATTGATTCGTACGTCTGCCATGGTGGTGATAAGTCCAATACTGGACGAAGCGGAACTGTTCATAAATACAGAAGGTCCCAAGAGTCGTTCACGATATAATTCTCGGAAACTTTCAGATTCAGATTCCTTGCTGGGAGATGGTTGTTCAGATATCTTTGCAAGTTTATAATCCAAACTACCTTCAAAAGCGTTATGGATTCTTTCCTTTACAGGGACCTTTGGGGTGATTATTTTCATTTCTTTAGGCGAAGAGTCTATAAGCATTCTCAAATTGGCATCATGGACAGTTTCAGTACCAGTCCATGGTTTGTTTACTAGCGTATCAGCAATTTCTCTGGCATGTTTATTTCTTGCGAGTAGTGGTTCCAGCTTTAAATAGGTAAGTTGGGCCTGATGCTTATGTTGAAATACATGATCTGGATCTTTATATTTTGCATATATCTTTTCCAATTCAGGATTATTTTCTATGGATGTAGTAGTTATTGAATCTAATTTTGAATCTAAAATTTGTTCAAATCTCTCCTTCATGGCTGATCTTTCTACATCATTTGAGTAGTTCCGCAAGGTATGAAGAGGCCCAAGTCTAGCTCTAAGCCCCGTCCTAAGCCCAACCTTGCTCATTTTGTTGATGGTTGACCGGATTGCACTTTTTCCCAAGATCTCATCTACATATCTTTTATATCCGAGAGTAGTGTACATTTACACATTTGCAAATATGCAACCATTTGTTTCAATGACCTCCCATTTCATTGAGAATTAGTAATCTTTTTGTATACCAAAGAACATGCCACCCTAACTCCCTCTCCCTACATATTAACTCAATAAATTCTAATATCTTTATTTCTTTTTATCATTGTCTATCTACTTATAATGCATAGAATATGAGAACCCCACATCCCAGTACAACAAATGTTAAGAATAACAACTTTAATATAAATCCACAAACGTACTCTCTTTTACCGCCTGCGGTAAGAATGATTTGCTTTTCCAAATCAACGTCATCCATAAGTCTTATTTTGCCTCTTGACGAGTTTGAGGATGAATAGTCCTGCAGAACCAAATCGTTGATCACGCCTGAATGGGTTGAATCGGTCAGAGTAACCGATGAAATAGACAGTGAATGTGTACGTTTTGCTGAATGGTCAGCCTCTTGAGTTATGATTGTGGGCACCACCAAGGACGCCGAACGTGATCTCTGAGCACCAACAATAGATCCTTTTCTAGACGAGTGGGTCATAATGATTTAAATTTATCTTGGTATATACTTTCTTTTCTTTTCTTTTAAATTAATTCATACATATGTATATATATATATATATATTCATTTAAAAATGTGGGCGTATAAGCTTCTATACCGAAGGGGGTGTGGGGAGACATGTTGCCAAAAATAATAAATATTAAAAAAAATAATAATATTAATTTTAGCGCTAAATAAAATGCAACGCCGTACCAACAAATGTCCAAATTTATAACAAAGATAAGCGTTATTGTTGAGGGTGGATCCTATTTTGGTTTGCACAAAATCGAGTAGAATTGAAATTGGAACCCGCATATTTCTGTTTGTAGCAGCCTCAGCCACCATTTCAATTACAAATCCATCTTACATCGGTGCCGATTCATATTGAGATGAATCTTCTGGGTCCCGCCTTGTACTGTTATTTCAAGAAATTGATAGGTCATTGCACTTGACGACCAGACGACATGCATACAGTTTTAAGGAGGAGAACATAATCCTCGGTGACAGCTTGGTTGGGTTATGAGCGGAGAAGCAGTGTCGAATCAAAGTGACAAACTGATTCTTTTGAATATAATACTAGTTTCTTTCTCTTCGTCATGTATATAGTTATATTCAGTGGGTCACCCATGTTTGATCTCTACTAATGTCATGAATTCAGACTTCCCCATAATCCAGACAGATCGGATCGTGCACCATGTGTCAATCAAATAAGGGGGGTCATTAATTGCCGCGCGGCCATCGGTTCGAACCACCACTGCCTCCAGCAGTTTTTTTTTTTCTTTCATTTTTGCTGTTCTGTTTTTTTTGCTTGAATTGGTTTGCTGTTCCGATCGCGTGGCCTGCACACCACGGCTTTGTGTCGACTTTGACCAGATACGTTTTATCTTTCATTAAGTGAAACGACGAAACTCGTCTGTATTATTAAGTGTCTGTATAGATTTTGACATAGATATGTGGTTATTTGACTGGTGTATGTATGATTGGATATACGTGTAATCTACATGTGTTTTGAAAAAGAAAAACCCCCGGCTATATTTAAATGTTGGCCGTATAAATTTGTTTTCTGTCGTGTGTGGGTGTGCCCCCCCCTCTCTATATCTTTGCTCTTTACAAGTGATAAACCCACCTTTGCTTCCCAGTACTAACAGTTGCAGTCCAAGACGTGTTGTCATCCCTTGGCTTGTGGAACAAGCACGCCAAGCTTCTTTTCCTTGGTCTCGATAACGCCGGGAAAACTACTCTTCTTCATATGCTTAAGAACGATCGTCTTGCCACACTTCAACCAACATGGCATCCAACTTCTGAAGAATTGGCCATTGGTTCTGTCAAGTTCACCACCTTTGATTTGGGTGGTCACTTGCAAGCCAGAAGATTGTGGAAGGACTACTTCCCTGAAGTCAATGGGATTGTATTTTTGGTTGATGCTGCTGATCCAGAACGTTTTGCTGAATCCAAGGCCGAACTTGAGTCCTTGTTCAAGATTGAAGAGTTGAGCAATGTTCCATTCTTGATCTTGGGTAACAAGATTGACGCTGACACCGCTGTTGGTGAAATGGAATTGAAGGCTGCCTTGGGCTTGTACGGCACCACTGGTAAGGATGGATCCAAGTTACCAGAGGGCCAAAGACCAATCGAGTTGTTCATGGTCTCCGTTGTGATGAGAATGGGTTACGGTGACGGTTTCAAATGGTTATCCCAATACATTTAGATGTATTTACTGATTAATTAAATATAGGTTGAGTTGTATACAACTAAATAATAAACAGAGAAAAAGAAAAAAAAAAGAAAGAGAAAACCAGTATATGTAGATGAGAAGAATATAGATGAGAATTAATATGAAAGTTGTATAAATAATAAAGGTTATATATGTTTTGTTGACTCCTTAAAGATAAAAACTTAAGAGGGTTGAATCCGTCACGTGACCATACACAAATGTCCTCCATATGGGGTGTGTGGATGTTTTTATATATTAATGAAACATATCAATAATACTAAATTCAATATTGAAACTTATTATATTATTCAATTATTCAATTATTCTCAAATACAAATATATTTTCCCCTCTCTTATATTCCTTCTCATTTCATAATAATTAAATTCATATCAATTATAAATTCATTTAATCTAGATAGCATTTCCTGCACACAACACATCATCTCTTCCTTTGGTTTTTTTTTATTTTGTTAGAACCTCCAAATTTGCCATCTCTCTTTAAAGGATTACAAGTTATTAAATTGGATTTTAAACTATATTTAAATTAACCCATTATGAGTGAATACGTCCCACCAAACAATAAGGGTCAACTTCACCCGGAACAGAAAAAATGGAAGGCTCCAAAGGGTCCAAAGGCCGTACAACACAAAAATAAGAATTTGATTGGGTTGGGAAGATCCATTGCTAATCAAAGAAGACAAGAAAATCAAATTGAATATTTACCAGATGGGGAAATGAGATTTACCACCGACAAGAGAGAAGCTGACTGGGTCAAATTAAGATCTGTTACACAAGAAAATTCCTTGGATGAATTTTTAAACACTGCTCAATTAGCAGACACTGATTTCACTGCTGAAAGACATCAACAAGTTAAGATCATTAAGGTGGGGAACACCTCTGTAGTATCACAAACCGGGTTGCTTACCCAGGAAGAAGCCAACGAGTTGAAGAAGAAGCATCAAGCTTTTGAAAACAAGTTGACTATTCCAAGACGTCCAAAATGGAACAAGCTGCAACTGAAGTTTGAATTGGAAAGACAAGAAAACTTGGCCTTCTTAGAATGGCGTAGACAATTGGCACAACTTTCAGAGAACAACGACTTGTTGTTGACCCCCTTCGAACGTAACTTGGAAGTGTGGAGACAATTGTGGCGTGTGGTTGAAAGATGTGATTTGGTTGTCCAAATTGTCGATGCTAGAAACCCATTATTTTTCCGTTCAGTTGATTTGGAAAAATATGTGAATGAATTGAATAGCGAAGAAAGTCGTAAGAACAATTTGTTATTGGTTAACAAGGCCGATTTATTGACTAGAGAACAAAGAATTTCATGGGCTGAATATTTCGAAAAGAAGAATATTAACTATGTTTTCTTTTCAGCTTTAGCTGCCAATGAATTATTGGAAAAGGAACAACAAGAATTGGAACAACAAAAGTTGGACCCAGAATATCAAAGAGAAGAAGTGAAACAAGACGAGGAAGAAGAAGAAGAAGTTTCCGAAACTAATGAAAATATCAGAATCTTGAAGATTGAAGAATTGGAAGAATTATTCTTACTGTCATCACCAAGAGCTCCTTCTGAAGAACGTAAGCTTCAAATCGGGTTGGTTGGTTACCCTAACGTCGGTAAGTCTTCCACTATTAACGCGCTTGTGGGTTCCAAGAAGGTTTCTGTTTCCGCCACTCCAGGTAAGACCAAGCATTTCCAAACCATTAACCTTTCCTCTGAAGTTATGCTTTGTGATTGTCCCGGTTTAGTGTTCCCAACTTTTGCATACACCAACGGTGAATTGGTATGTAACGGTGTGCTCCCAATCGATCAATTAAGAGAACATGTTCCACCAATTTCCCTTGTTTGTCAACGTATTCCAAAGTTTTACTTGGAAGCTTTATACGGTATTCACATTCCTATCAAGAGTATAGAAGATGGTGGTACTGGAGAACCTACATCTGCAGAATTATTGAATGCATACGCCAGAGCAAGAGGTTACATGACTCAAGGTTTCGGTAGTGCTGATGAACCAAGAGCCAGTAGATATATTTTGAAGGATTATGTCAACGGTAAGCTTTTGTTTGTGTGTCCTCCACCTAAGATCACCGAAGGTGGTAGCACTTGGGATTTACCATCTGTTGCAGAATCTAAGGAATACAACAAGGCATTATACAACTTGAAAACTTTACCTGAATCAAGACAAGCTCAAATCATCCAAGCCATGGGTAATAAGGGGATTTCTGTCGATGAATTTGATTTGGCAAATGATTTGGCCAAGTTGAACTTTTCTATGCATATCAGTGAAGAATCAGCACATTTGACAAAGAATAAGAACAGTACCGATAACTTGGGTGGCCGTGGTGCAAAGACTTTGTTCTATGGTGGTAGACAAGCTATGTTGGAGAATGAAGGTAATGATTTGGATAAGGAATTTTTCAAGTTATCAGGAGTTCATGGGAAATTTTCCACTCCATTCCACAAGGTTGAAAACGGGAATGGAAGTAAGAAGCATGCCAAAAAGAACAAGAAGGCCGAGAAGAAGAATAGAGTTGTAGGATATTAGGAATAGATACCAGCATCAATAAACTGATCAAAGTAGAGAATGTAGAGAAGAGAGTATGGAAAGGTCTAGAAATAAGCAAATGGGAGGAGATTGTCATTATATTACAGTCAGAAGTAGGCTGAGAGGATCTTATGTCAATTCTAGTTCCTGATCCCCTTGTAGTGATAGACTTTTAGAATAGAATTTTGATCTAACTTGGAGGCAGGCCAAACTCACCTTAACACAGTAATCTAAATCTTTTCATTGACTTATGGACAGATACCCCATAAGTTCCCTGTACAAACTTTAACACCCTTTACAGTCCTACTAATAGTACTTCAAATTGCCTACTTAGGATGATCTTACTCTTGTGGGAGTAAGAAATATCCCTCTAAACTAACAGTCAGTACGATGAGCATCAAAGGGTTAACCAATGAGAACTACAACACCACTTACTAACACTACATTCCTTTTTAAAGTAAGATGAAATTAATTAATTTACCTAAACTAAAGTACAAATTTTACAGTTACCTAAAGAATTAAATAACTTAGTAAAGTCTGAAAGATGGACCCATGGTAGACTTGATGACCAAGGAACCGACGTTTTGCCAGTTCTTCTTCAACAAGGAAACCAAGAAGTTAGCAGCCATCATGATTTGGTTGACAAGGACATCTTGTTCCATTTCAACGTGACCAACGGCAACAGCCAAACACAAGACCTTCTTCAATTGGAACTTGATGGTGGACTTAACGTCAGTAACCTTACCGTACAAGTCATCGTTATGGGAGACTGGGGTTGGGAACTTACCAGCCTTGGACAATTGAGGACCCAACAATCTTGGGACTTGCTTGATCAAGACTTCGGAAGCGACGAAAGCGTTGTACTTCTTGGCCAACTTCTTAATCAACTTCTTGTTCTTGTTCAACTTCTTCAAGTCATCAACAGACATGGCATCAACACCACAAGACTTAGCTCTGTCAACATCGAAGGCATCACCAAAGATACAGATAGTCATGTTTGGTCTTGGGACTTGAGGCAACTTCAAAGAACCAGAGAAACGCTTGTCTCTTTGAGGGTCATAGTTCTTCAAACCGACTTGTAATTCGACGGTTTCCAAGAAGTTTCTCTTCTTGGTTTCGGTGGAGTATTCCAACAACTTTTGGACGTGTTCACGTACGTGAGCGGTGGTGATCTTAGACATTCTGGCTAATTACGTCTCCCAAAAGATATTTGGTAAAAAAACTGATTCGACGAGGATAAAGAAAAAGGAAGAGAATGTCAGAGAGTGAGTTGGTGAGGTGAAAATTTATCGAGGTGTTGAAGATGTGATCACGTGCAGTGCGTATTAAGGAAAAGAAATTTTGATAAAATTACAGAATGGGTAAAAACCGCGGGATCAATATTGCGCACTAGGGCGCAGCCCTAAACACAGCACGTGATGAGATATGGAATTCTGATACTAATCTCTATTATGATTATGTATATGGTTGCAATTTAATTTGAATTGATAAGAGATTGATTGATATTATCCTAAAACGGTGGTGGCAATTGAAGAGAGATTAATATAGACTTGAAGTGAAAGAATTTTCATGTAAATATATCCCAATGATTTCAATAAGAATCGGTATAACCCTTAGTACACGATCTATTGGGCTAAGATGTCTTCCTACTCATAAAATAGCTAGAAGATTACTCTCAGTAGACCATTACTTATCTCCAACGGAATCTATTTCTCATATTCAGGACAAATTCGAAATCTTTACCAATGTAAGACGAGTTTTAGATTTAGGAACAGCTCCTGGCTATTGGGCCGAATATGCTCGTGATCAAATCATTGAAGAACAAGGAATTAAAGAAGAAGATTTCGTTAAAAATTGTCATGTAGTAGGGGTAGATTTACTTTTCTCTACACCTCCAAACGGGACTTCTAAATTACAAGGGAATATATTCTCCGAAGATCTCCGGAAACGTGTTGAATCTCATTGTAAAGAAATTGCATTCCGTCAACATCAAGATAAGATACCGATAATACCAAATGATGAAGACGAAATTGTATCGAAAGATATTGAAAATTCATATTTTTTCAAGGAAATGAAAGAGGTAAATGCACAGACAGAAAGTGGAAAGTTGGAAGAAGATTATAAAGTGGATTTAATATTATCTGATTTAGGACCTCCACTTAAACAAAAATCTGGCTTTTGGGTTTCAACCGCAACCAATCCTTACAAAAGATTGGGAAGTTATGATAGTTTAAGGAAACCCCTTTTTGATAAAGGGATTTTTGATTTAGCTGATGCTGCCTTGGTGTATGCATGTGACCTTTTGAAACACAATGGTAAATTTGTTTTACGTCTATCACAGGTTGATACTAATGACGCAGAACTCAAGTTACTTCATACGCGACTTTTAAAAGTATTTAATGAAGTAAATCGTTGGGGAGGAGATCAAGATATCTACTTTATATGCAAGGGAAAAGATGATGCCATTGACAAAGTAAGAGCATTTAAATTATAATTCTACTATAAAAAACTACCATGTAATATTTTATTTGGAACTCATATGTACATACGATACATAATAACAGAATGCACGAATCTATTGCAGATTTTTACAACATACTTCTAAGCGTCTTCTTCAACTATTTTCTCAGTTTCTTCTTGTTCTACTTCTTTTTCTTCTTCCTCGACCGTTGTGGTTGCTTCTTCTTCTTCTTCTTCCTTCTTCTCTATTGGGGTTTCGTGAAGATCAATCAATTGTTCTTCAGCAGAGCCATTAAGTTGCAAACCTTCAAATTGTTCAATCAATCTGTCTGCAACGGCCGACTTCTTCTTGGAGACCAATTTAGCCTTCCAGGCCTTAACTGCTTCAATTGATTTGGCCTTGTCAGCACCGTAGTTAACACCAAAGAAGGCAGCTTCAGTTAATCTGTCACTCTTTACCAACAAGTCAAAGCACTTATCGGTATTTCCTGTCAACCACCATGCTTGCCATGCTATGTTATATTTACCCTTGGCTTCACTAGCTTCTGCCAATTTAGTCAATTCAGTTTGATTGTTGGTGGATGATAATAACAACAACAAGGACGCATAGTCATTAGCTAACCAGTAGCAATCTTGTGCCAACTTGATTTGCCATTTGGCCATAGCCAAAGTGGCCAATTTCTTCCACTTGACTGCATTGGCTACTGCCAAAGACGCATTATCCTTTTGATTTTCAGAAAGAAGTTCATATGCTTGTTTCAAATTGTTTGTAGAAAGAGATATTTGGAACTTTGAGTCAAAGTCTTGTGATAATGAGTAAGATAATGACAAATATCCCAATTTTTCAAAGAATCTAGATAATTGATTGGATTCTGTCTTGCTGAATCCTGAAAGTTGTTTGGAATATTCTTCTGATAAAGATTCAATCAGAATAGATCCTAAATCTGGTACTTGTTCTCCAGTTTCTTCATCCAAAAGTTCCTTTGTAGCGAATTGTTCAAGATCTCCACGCATGACTAAAGTTTGTAATTCCAAAACTTCAGCGTTAACAAACCATGAAACAACGTTGAACAGTTTATCAATCAAGTATAATTTACCATCTTGACCAGCACGGTACCCAACAATGTAATACTTATGATCGAAATGCCCCAAATTAATAACTTCTCCACCAACAAAATAGTTCAAACGGTTTGAAGTGGCTGTGGTGTAAACAAATACATCACCAATGAACTTACCAGATAAGATAGCTTCTGTGGTAGGAAGAGTGTATAAGACGTCAAAGGTATCTTCAACTCCTTCTTCTACATCAACGGTACCTTGTGCAAGAGCATCTTCGAAAATGTTTTGATCATAACTCAAGAAATAAGTTTCATCATTTTTCTTTGCTACTAATGAGGATTCACCATTGGCAGCGGATGATGAGCCAGAAGAAGTTAAAATGGCTAAAAGTTCACCGTTATCAGACCAAATAACATCTTGGATATCATCATCCAAATCAACTCTTCTTACAAGTTTACCATGAGTCCAATCGTAAAAGGAAATACAACCTTCCAGCTTGATACCCAAGAGAGCACCAGCAAAGATCTTATCGGCTTGATAAATTAAATCAATGGTATGTTGTTCTTCAAAGTTTTTAAGGATTTTGACAGAAGTGGAGGATTCTCTAATGGCAAAAGAACATGCGTTTGAGAAATCATGAGTGTTCCAAACAAAGTCCAAGGCACGGCCATAACTCTTGGATCTCCATGACAAGGCGGTGTATACAATGTATTCACCATCACCACAAACGGTAGCATAACGACCATTTGGAGAATGTCTTAAAGATTGTGGATAGATTTCAATCAGTCCCAAATCTCTTTGTTGTAATTGTAATTGTTCACCATCTTTCAAACCTTCAGTAGAGTTTGGTTTTATAACCAGTTGAAATATTTCAGAATTTTTACCATAAATCAATTTATTGTTTGAATCCATAGAGAACAATGGTTCTTCATTACCCAATTTCAAGATGGCAAACCCAGAGTCACAACCAACTGCAACCACATTAGATTTCAGCAAAAGACCAACACACCATACTCTAGCCAAGCCATAATTGACAGATTTTTCCAATTTAAAAGTGTTGGAGTTCCAAAACTTAACAGTACCATCTTCAGAACCAGATAAAATGATTGGTAATTCAGGATGGAAAATGGCAAATGAAACATTAGCCATGTGACCTTCTAAAGTGGCGACACAAGATTTAGTTTGATAATCCCAAACCTTAATAGTTTTATCATCAGAAGTGGTAATCATGTATGGTTTATCAGCTTGTGGGTAGTAATCGACCCAGTTGACCCCCTTCTTTTGGGCATGGGCAACCAAGGTGAAGTTAGGTTGAGACAGACCCAAGGACCAAACCTTGACGGTACGATCCAAACAAGCAGAGGCAAATGTACTTGGATCCTTAGGGTTGAAGTTAACCGCCATAACATAATGTTGATGGCCTTCAAACACTTGTTCCAACCTCCAGTTTTGATCCCAATTCCAGAGCTTGATGGTGAGATCATCAGAACAGGTAAGAACGTATGGTTTCAGTGGATGGACAGCAATACCACGAATATAATCTGGATGAGCCTCGAATTGAGCAACTTTTTCACCAGTGGAGTAGTTGTACACACGCACTTGATAGTCGTCAGACCCCACAACAATCCAGTTCTTACGGGCAATAAACTTACCGGTACGTACAGGCAAGTTGGTCACTTGAATGGACTTGACAAGAGTGTTGGTGGCATATGACCAAATCTCGATTTTCCCGTCATAAAGGGTCGTCAAGATCCATGGTTCCGAAGGATGGAAGTCGATCCCCTTGACACGAAGCAGGCGTGTGGAAAACTGTTTGGTAACGTCCAATTTCATCCCAGAATTGATCCACTAGTTAGAGGTACGATGAAGGGTTGTAATTGTGTTTATGTTTTATTGGGTAGATTCTTTGACGTGTTGATTTGGATATTTTGAACACGAATGTTGTTAGGGACACGACCGCCGAAAGAATTAGTTTTGCGCGTGAACATTGGAAAAGGGTTGCAAAGGGGAAATCTACAAATAGAAGCACTTTTAGAGAATATACATCAATAAATTTGTCTTATGACAATTCAATGTTAAATACTTGATACATGTATATGATATTTGGGCCGGATTCTATAATATTCTCACCCGTTCTCACCTATAAATATTTCTTAATTTCTTGGTTCTTTGTTGTTTTATTTTATTTTTATTTTATTTTTATTTTTTTCTTATTATTATTTGGTTCATATACTAATACACTCTAACTATATCAGTTCTCTTATCTCGATAAGATCTCTCAAGATATTGAAGTTCACCGACATGTGCCACCCATTGTTCAACAAACTCACTATTAGAGAATTTTTGTAACAATTTTTGGCCATTAGCACGAAGTTTATTCAAGTTCTCATCACTACTAAGTTCTGGATGTTTGACAATAATTTCTTCCAACAATTGAGTAAAATCAGGGAATGATTCATTGTCAAATATCAAAAATCCTTCTTTCGAAACCTCTCCCTTGTAGTCAGGATCAGTGCTATCTTTGAAGAAAAATCCGGTATTATTGTGCCATTTACCCTTATTTTGTTCATCTTCCCATCCAGTGACAATATCAAGGAGAGGTCCTGCAGATGCATGGACTAATGGTACAGCTCCCTTACTAAGATATTCAACTACTCCAATGCCAAAATGTTCATTCCACATGGCATTGAGTCCATATTTAACTCTCGAAAGCCATGAAAGAACTTCTTCATAAGAACAATCAACGACAAACTCAACATCAAGGTCAAGTTCCAGTGCCAATGATTTGACTTCGACAAGGGTGGCGGTATCTTCAGCGGTTCTACAAGATCCAAGAAATACCAAGGAAGGGATCAATTTTGGAGAAACCTTCTTATTCTGTTGTAAGAATTGGCTATATTTCTCTAATATCAAGACATGTCTCTTTTCAGGTCTAAATTGAGCAATGTATAACATTTTATTTTCTCTCTTTGTCACAAGGTCAACAGTTTCGATGAATTCCCCACATGGAGGATACAATATATCCACTTTCTTACCCATAGACTTGTTTACAGACCAAATGGATTGCATATGATTGTTTGTCCATGTACCATTAGTCAAGGTTACATCCACAAGACTACCAAGGTAAACGTACAAGTAGTACAACACCAGCCAATACATCAACTTACCCAACTCTTTCACATCCTGCAAACTTGGTTTAATGGTCTTGAAGGAGTTGAACAGGAAATCCTTAAATTTAAGCTTACCAAACATTTCTGGTTGAAGGACAGGATAATGAACATAACTCATGATGGGGATCTTCAAGATGAAATTCACTGGGAAGTAACTGGCTGGGAGTCCAATAGTATCCACCCAAACATCGGGAGAAAGCTCATACATGGCTTCAAGTGCCAAGACTACTGACCCGAAAAATTGTCCCAAAATGGTGAAATGTTTCCAATAATCAGCATCAATGAATTTACCATACTTCTTCAAGTATATAAACACAATTCTTGAACCATCCAAATGTTCAATTTGAAATTTTTGTTGGACTTTATTCAAAATATCTTTTGGTTGTGCATCGATGTTAGTGGTGTAAATAGCCACGACATTTCTGTCACTGGCCATAAGGGTGGCTTGTACGGCCAACCATAACACTCTTTCACCACCACCGCCATTGTTGGCATATGGATGGAAGAAACCATACACTAAGCGTCTGTGAGGATCATCCACATCCCGATTTTTCATGAGGTGTTCAAAATCTGAAGATTTTGCATCATCAGGCAGAATTTTAAGCTTATTATTGACAAAATTAGTGTAGTAAGCTGGTGCATCTGACGCTAATACAAGACGTCTACGATAAGCAGACCTTTTGCTTCCTACTTTCAAATAAATTGGTTTCGGATGTTCGATGACCTTTTTGATTTTGTCTCTCCAATCGTGTGGAGGAACTAAAAACAATCGTGGTAATGCCGAGGTAATGAACTTCAACCCAACATAGAGAAGGATTCCAATGTACACCAAGAAGTACATTTTAATCTATAACTGCTGTGAGATGACGAGAAAGTGAAGACAAAAAAAAAAAGAAAAGAGAGGTGTATACAGCTGTGATCTTTATCTTTATGTGTTTCCATCCTATACAGTGTCGTCCATTTATCCTGCATAAAACATTGAAATCATTTCTTATCATTTCGGTAACTACCGAAACCGAAAAATCTCAAGTTTCTCACCGGACACTTCCGGTCTAACTTCTAAGTAATATTAAAGATAGAGTTTTCGAATCCGATAGTAGGAGTAATTTTTTTATTTATTATTTTTTTTTTCTCCTAATTTCTATCTGATTTTGTCTTTACGGGGACATTTCTTCTATTCATTTTCAAAAATGAAAGTGAATATTATTACCACCATATGAAAATAAATTTGGTCTTTTGCCATATATATAGTATCGTAAATCTTTTACTATTTCGTATACGGTTGGACACACGTGACCCGTGTGTTTAAATCCCAATTAGGAATAAATGGAACGCGTTAATATAAACCGCATTGAGAAGAATTCACTGATTTCTGTATACTTTGTTAAAGTTTTAGTTTGCTAGAGAAGACATTTCTTAATTGACCCAGGGATACACTCAAAGTGAAAAAGTTCCTTTAGCACGCTGCACGTCGAACTTTAATCTTGCTAATTACCGTCCTATCCAGCTTGAAGACAGACTTGTACTCTGGTTCATTCCATCGCTTAATAGAGCAAAAAAAAAAATCTAATTTTTAGAATTACACGAGCTTCAATACTTCTTTACAGTCCATTCACTGTGCTATTGCTCTAGTCTTCGACCGTAGAGCGCCTCCCCTTGCCATTTCATCTTCCATGTACACACTTCGCGAGAATCAGAATACATCCAATATGACTCTGTCACCCACGTCTTCACCCAAAAATGAAGACGTGCCCATGTTGACTCCAAAGCAGCCACCAAAGACTCCCCTTAAGAAGGAAGACCTTGAAAAGATTGCCAAGCAACTTAAACGGAAGCTTTCCAAGGCGTCGATTGCGGCCAAACAGTCGCTTTCCCCCACCATGAGAACTTCTCCTCAAAGTAGACACACAAGTCCTTTAAAGAACTTCATGACAAGAAAGCTGAGAGATCTTTCTGGTCTTGGAGGCTCATTACCATATCTTGGTTCCCCTAATGGGAAATCCCCAACCCAGATGAAAACCCCAGCAGCAGTGTTCTTATCGTCATCACCTCTTAAAAACATGACAGCAGCTGACACCACCAATGATTCCGATATGCTTGATTCTCCCACCAGGAGAGGTGCTGATGCTTCCAGCTTCCATGATTCTCCAATTTCATTCAAGGGTGATTCAGCATCAACTTCTCCAACGAAACTGGAGCCGCAAATGATACTTCAATCTTTGGGTCCACAACATCTGCATCAACAACAGCAACAATTACTGCATCAACAACAACAACAACAACAACCGCCACGTACTCCACCCAAGGCCTTTGCATCGGTGTTAAAGCCATCACCCAATCTCCAGACAACACCTACTCTTGAAAAGAAACAATTGGCTACCACCGCCAATAATCTTCTTAGAACTCCAACACAGGCCGGGCCCGTGCCTGCGAGTAATGAGAACGAAGGTGCCGACTTGTTGATGTATTTGGCCACATCTCCTTCTCCTGCAAAGCCACCCCCAGCCATCTATGGTACCACTCCAAGAGGCACACAAACACTACATAAATCCGGATCCAATAATCCATCTTCAACTTCAAACAATTCGTTCATAGCACCAGCACCCCCACTTACTCCGAAAAGACCAATCGTAACTACCGCAAGAACTCCACAGAATAGATTAACCCCCCTGGTTAATCTCTTCAACAATGGGAACAATAACGGGAATGTTGCCAATGGTCTCCCCTCATCCGGGTTAATGTTGACCCCTGCTGGCTTCAATATGAGTGATTACTTCAATTTCTTTACTCCACTGCCCGGTGGTGGGAACTCTTCTGGAATGACTGGTCCTCATGGTCTCCCCAAGAATTTTTTGAAGACTCCTGATTTCAATGGACATCATGTGAATTCCAATATCAATAATGTAACCAAGCAAAAGGTTGACGGTAAGATGATCAATTTTGATAAAGTGGGACTATTTGGGAACAATCCAGAGCCAAAGAATGATAATTAGGATATTTTAACCGTTCTTGAACTTCCCCGTCCCACTGATATGATGACTTATATGACCATTGATTGCCTTTTACTTTTCTACCTAATTTCTTGAGAGCCTTCCCCATTTCCCATGGCTTTCTCTCTTTCTTCTGTACAATAGCATACTAGGACCTACTAGTTTATTTTCTATAGAATCGTAATATAGTATATTAATATTTTCAGTGTAGAGCATGATAGTAAACGAATGGATATTCAAGGAATAGAATATCTCTCTAACAAGTACCCCATAAAAAAATAGCTATTGATTATCTAAATTCCATCTATCTATCTAATTGTATCTTTTTGCAACTTTGCCACCAATCTTTGCAACAACTTTACAACAAAATTCCGTGTATGACGACATTCTCAAACCAACAGTAGTGTTCAATTTTTCTTTGAAAGAGATTCCCCAGTCTACAACACACACACTAAAATCACCACTACAAAAGTATCCCACACATTCACCCTTTCTCTAAACAACCTCCCCTCCCACTTCAATTGTGCAAACACAAAAAAAGAAAGAAAAAAAAATGTGTAAGCCAAAAAAAAAAAAAAAAAAAAAGAAGACCAGGTGAGTGCAAAAAGGGTTTCACCAGAACTATCATTCACGGAGATTTCATAGCATTATTGCATAACCATGTCAGCACAAATAGAAGTTCCTACAGTTGAGGAAAAGGTTTCCAACCTTAAAATCGACGACAATGTCGCTGTAGCAGAAACAGAGGTTCCTGCTGCTGCTGCTGCTTCTCCTGAAGCCGGAGAAACCACTGCCCCAAAAAAGAAGAAGAAGAAGAGTAAGAAGAAGAAGATTGTCGGGATTGATACACACTACCCAGATGGTGTTTTCCCTGAAGGTGAATGGCAAGAATACCCATTGGAAGTGAACTCTTACCGTACAACTTCTGAAGAAAAGAGATACTTGGACAGACAACAAAACAACCATTGGCAAGATTTCCGTAAAGGTGCTGAAATCCATAGAAGAGTTCGTCACAAGGCTCAATCCAGTATCAAGCCAGGTATGTCCATGCTTGAAATTGCTGACATTATTGAAAACTCTGTTCGTCAATATGCCAACGCTGACCACACGTTAAAGGCCGGGATCGGGTTCCCAACCGGGTTATCTTTGAACCATGTTGCTGCGCATTACACACCTAATGCCGGTGACAAGGTTGTTCTTGCTTACGAAGATGTGATGAAGGTTGACATTGGTGTCCATGTGAACGGTCATATCGTCGATAGTGCCTTCACCCTCACTTTTGACGACAAGTATGATGCCTTACTTCAAGCGGTTAAGAGTGCCACCAATGCTGGTGTTGCCGCTTCCGGGATTGATGTTAGACTTAATGATATTGGTGAAGCTGTACAAGAAGTGATGGAATCTTACGAGTTGGAAATTAACGGGAAATCATACCCAATCAAATGTATTCGTAACCTTAATGGTCATAATATTGGAGACTTTGAAATCCATTCCGGTAAGACTGTTCCTATTGTACCTAATGGTGACATGACTAAGATGGAGGAAGGTGAAACTTTTGCCATTGAAACTTTTGGATCCACTGGTGCTGGTTATGTTGTTGGTGCTGGTGAATGTTCTCATTACTCGGTCATCAAGGGTGAACATGATCTCAAGCTGGTCCCAGACAAAGCCCAAGCATTACTTAGCACTATCAAGGACAATTTCGGTACTTTACCATGGTGTAGAAGATATTTGGACAGAACTGGTGCTGATAAGTATTTACTCGCATTGAACCAACTTGTCCGTGCTGGAATTGTTGAAGACTACCCACCACTTGTGGATACCAAGGGTTGTTACACTGCTCAATACGAACACACCATTTTACTTCATCCACACAAGAAGGAAGTTGTTTCTCGTGGTGATGATTATTGATCGATATATAATTTACAGGAAAAGAATAAAAGTACATAGGCAAATTTCTAAATGTATTATTAGCGAGAGAGAATTTACAATGATTTCCCTATTGCCATTAATTGACAGGAAATCATTTTCACAATAGTTCATTCTTTGACAGGAAAGTAAATTATAAATTTGAAAATTGTTTACTTAGCCTCTTTAAAGCTCTAGACTTTGGAAACCAACGCGATTTGTTTTCTTTTTTTAACTCCAGTAATAGAAAATAAACGTATATTCTAAATAATAAAAAAATATTCGCAACCATTAATTTGTACTAGTTAGTTACACTTATTCTGTGGGCTACATATTTTCACCTTGACGTGCGTTCCATACGCCTCGTTTGCTCGTCTACACGGCAATAGTTTTGTATAAATATTCCCCCCTGTAAGTAAAGTATTGTTTTCCCTGTATATAACCCGCACCAGGCGTGCCGCTACCATGTCTTGTGCTTTGAAATATATCAAACTCGTTCACCAACTTGATCATTGTAACAAATAACATAGCCTAATCGCAACACATCAATCACTGTCAATATGGAAATCTCACCCAGTGTCTTAGAGTTTTCCGGTATGTTTTGTTTGTTTGCCTCTGTGCATACGATTTCTTCTGATTAATTTGAGCCCAAACAACACAACGTTACGCACACGTCTACTGATAAAGGAGAAAAAACACATAATGGTTATATCAGGAACTTCATAAATTCTTGACTATTACAACCACACGAGGACATTTTTGAACCGGGGGTCTTACTGCAGATGAGGGGGAGGGCATCTGTAGGTCGTTCTACCTCTAGTTGTTCATTTTGTTCTTGTCTTGTTTTTTTTTTGATCCCTCTTACTCAGATCGGACCTTGATCATCCCCTCCCCACGCCACCATTGCTATTTCTTTATTGTGGACCTCTTCCTTTGTCTCGTTGTCTCAAATTCACCCACTCTTTCAAAACCTTTACTAACAATCTATAGGCTCCTTTACCCAACCAACCACGGAGTATCTCTCCTTGACAAACACTTCAGACACACCTCTTGCCTACAAGGTCAAGACAACTGCTCCAAAATTGTACTGTGTCCGTCCTAATGCCAGTATCATTGAACCTGGTGCCACCGTCAAGATCTCCATTATCCTCCAAGGGTTCTCTCAACCATTACCTGAAGATTACAAGTGTAAGGATAAGTTCCTTCTTGTTACCTTGCCATGTCCAGAATTGGTCGATGCCACCAAGGTATCTGACCACTGGAGTTCTTTAGAGGCTCAATTTAAGAGCAAAATGGTTTCCAAGAAGTTGCGTGTGAACTATGTTATTGGTGAAGCTTCTTCTTCCTCCTCTGGTGCTGCTGCTGGTGCCGCTGTCCCTCAAGGTACCCCACTCAAGAACTCCACCAATGCCTCTGATGTCTCTGAATCTGCTGCTGCTGCTTCTGGTATTGTTGCTGCCGCTCAAATCGAGAAGTCTCAACCAACTTCTGACTTGCAAAAGGATTTGGATGAATCTGTCTCCAAGATCAACGATTTGTCTGAGAAATTAGACACCAACGCCTCTTCTACTTCTTCTACTACCACAGCCACCACCACTTCCACCGACGCTCCAGTTAGTGGATTCTCCCTCCCATTTGCAGTTATCCTTATTCTCATTGCCTTCATTTTGGGATGGTTGCTTCTCTAAGTGTTTAACGGGAGATGTTGGAGAAACGGAGAAGGGCGGTTTTAATTTTGGGGCAGGCTCTATATGGCATGCCCTACCGATTCTATCTTCCTCCCATCACATTTTCTCTGCCTTTCTGTTTTTAAAGCTTTGAGCTTTATATTTATAGTCGGGGTTAGTCAAGGGGAACAACTTTATTTTTGTCGAATGTTATTACTTTTTTTTTGTTTATGTGTAGAAATAATGAATTGATATGAAGGATGAGTAGAAATGATATTTACATCATAATTTAGGAGAGAGAAAGAGAGAGAGTTCAAGAGGAATACATAGATTTGACATTATTATAACGTCACGTTCATGATGGGAATTGGAAACTGGTTTCACTTTTAACATCTCTCAGGAGTTCTTCTGATAATTTCTTCTATTATTTCTTCTGATTATGTACATTTCATCTAAATAAAGTCTTGATTATTCAGTATTCTTTTGTGTGGTTATCCCTTTATTAAGAGTTTAAGGATTGGCTGCGAAAAGCTTCCATTCATTTTCATCAAAATGTTTACAAAAAACAGAAAAAATGACAGTCTACAACTTAAAATCTTTCCATATTCTTGAAGATTCCCAGAATTCATACCATCTTTAATATGAACTCTCTTTTTAATAAACCTCCTAATGTTTTAAACCCCCCCCCCCTCCCCCCTCAATCTCTTGGTTCTTTATGAATGTCCCTTCCTTTCTACTGCTTTTTAGTTGACACGTGACTTGTTATTTGCCCGCTCTCAAGGAATTACAAAACAATTTAGAGATTGTACAATATCTATATCCACTACTATAGACTAGCCATAACCTATAAAAATAGTAGTAACAGCTCTACCTATAGAAGCTAGAACAGGATGTCAAAAGCTGCCACTATCCGGTCGGGGACGATCAACTTACTCAACACCATTATTGGGGCTGGGATCTTGGCCATGCCATATGGGTTGAAAAGTAACGGGTTATTTTTTGGGTGTCTTTTGATTCTTTGGTCATCTATGACCTCATCCATGGGGTTGTATCTTCAAAGTAAAGTAGCCAAATACACCGCACAAACCGATGCTGTGTCATACTTTAGCTTGGCCCAATTGACTTACCCACAGTTGTCCATTGTGTTTGATTCTGCCATTGCCATTAAATGCTTTGGGGTTGGGGTCAGTTATTTGGTGGTGATTGGAGACTTGATGCCAAAAATCATGGAATCTGTAGGGGTATCCAATAACATCTTGATGGAACGTAATTTCTGGATCACCATATTCATGGCAGTTATTGTTGTTCCTCTTTCATATTTGAAGAAACTTGACTCTTTGAAATATACTTCAATCATTGCTCTTTTCTCAGTCGTTTACCTTATTTGTCTTGTTTTCGGTCACTATATTGCCAATGATATTGTGGTGGATGACCGTCATGTCTCTTGGATTGGTCCTGTTTCAATCAAGTCGACCCTTTCATCTTTCCCAATCTTTGTTTTCGCATACACTTGTCATCAAAATATGTTTGCTATTATCAATGAATTGAAACCTAGAATGGAAGCTGGACAAGCTGGTTCTAAAGCCAGACAATCCAACTTAATTATTCGTAATGCCATTACCGTTGCTTGCACTTGTTATTTGGCAGTAGGAATCGTTGGTTATTTAACTTTTGGTGATGCAGTCAATGGTAACATCATCACCATGTATCCTAAGGATTCCATCCTGTCGCTTATTGGACGTCTTTCCATTGTCATCATGGTAAGTTTATCTTACCCCTTACAATGTCATCCATGTCGTGGATCTGTAAACCATGTCTTATTTTATTTGACTGAAGGTATGAGTGCTAAATTAAGATCTTCTGCTACAGACTCTGCCGGTCAACGTCACACCGGTGAAACTCAAGCCTTAACTACCGATATGGAATCGATTCAATCGAATCAAGCCGATGAATCGTTTGTGTCAACCACCCCTATGGAAGGTGCCATGGATACAGATGGTCATGGCCCCATTGTAGTACCACTCACTTCAAAGAAGTTTTATATTATCACCACTGCTATCGTCACCTTATCATATCTTGTGGCTATAACCGTGACATCATTAGAACACGTTTTAGCATTTGTTGGATCCACAGGTTCCACTTCTATCTCCTTTATCTTGCCTGGGTTGTTTGGGTACTTGTTGATCAAGCCTATAGACGGTCGTGTCACCTTGACCACTAAGGAAAAGTTCTGCAAATATGGTGGTCTTGCATTGGCTATCTGGGGTGTTGTCGTTATGATTGTTTGTTTGAGTGCCACAATCTTCTTAGGGGCCACTCATTAGATGCTATTTATTAAAAAGAACCTTGTTATTACACACACTACACCCTTTTTATATTCATTTCCTAATTCACATATAGTTTCAGTATCGTAATCATTCAAAATTTAGTCTATGTACAAGTTTCCAATATAAATATCAATGCTTCTTTTCGTGTCTAACCTGTTGACCAGAATAATCCAAAAATAAATCACTTCTTTCCCATCCTTCAGGTCTATGTTGCTTCAATCCATTTTCTGGTTGAGGGGCATCTGATTCAATTTGAAGAGCAAATGGGTTTCTATCCTTGTTCTGTTCAAGATTTGCAAGAGTATGGTTAACTTCTCTATGCTTAGCTTCGTCAGCACGAACTCTCAAAACCAAATCTAAAATGGTTGAGTTTTCATTCAAGTTTGGCCAATATTGAATGGCAATTTGTGGAACCTTGGCATGGTCAAATTCAGGGAATTTATTTATCTTCAAGTCATGGACAAAGTGGGAATAAGTAGATACCGCTTCTTCTTCCAAATATCCAACAAACCGATGACAATAACGAGGGTTGACCAAGTAGAATATAAAGAAAAGGTTACAAAATACACCCTGTCCTACATAGATGATAGTACGGGTGAACCATGAAGGGTTACCAAGCTTGATAAAGGTTAAAAGATGCATTCTTTCGTTGTAAGCTTCATCCAACAATGTTTCAATCCATGCCTTGTCACGTCTCAAGAGACGAAGAGAGTGCAAGTGACGAATAAAGGCAGCAACCATACCAGGGACACCTGCAACACTCTCAAGGAAAATACATCTTGTGAGCCATTTACCAGGAGTCATTTCGTACCGGGTACCCTTGAAGCCATCTGCAAGCTCCTCGGGTGTATTTGGATGTTTGTACCCAGTCACCAAGTCAAACGATCCCTTAAAGAAATTGATCCCTTTTAATGCTACTCTGTCACCAAATGTAACAGGGGGTCTATGAGCAGGTTTGATTGCTTCGCAATCTTCCGTGGTGAACACAGGATGTGGGAAAATTGGATGGGTGATGAATTCCTTGTCGTCATGCTTAGCAATATCATCCTCTTTCATGACCTTGGTCTTGATATCAAGTGAGAGATTTCTTATGGACATGGCCCGTGGTGGCATTGCAGCCAAAGCACTCCTTGGTGCAGCAGTCTTAATGCAAGTGAACATTATTTGTATTTGTATGTTATTTAGTGAATATACCTCGAAACTATATTACAAGCTCTGGGCCCTATATATATATATATATAAATATATACACGTCAATTTGTATGTATTTCTTTTTTCGTTTTTGCAATAATAACTTATCTTCCAAATTGGTGTAACTGTGCTTGTAAGTCATTTATTTTTTTTTTGCTCATAATATGGCTCTGTGGTTTAGGGAAGAATGCTGCATTAAGTGCATGAATGCCACGTAAAAATAGTAAATTTCATACTAATTCCTGTATGTTAGGGCTTGACCTTGGATAATAAATCGCAATTGTTGGTCTAGCAACTTACCAACGGAGTTAGGCCATATACATTTCGGACGAACAGCTTTGAAATATTGCTACAATTCTTTTGATATACATTTTTTAACGGTCACCATAACTACAGTAATTGACATCTAGCTTGGCCAATGACTGGTTTAACAGTAATTAACTTTTTTGAATGCATTCAAAACAGGTATGTGCAGTCCGGACATAAGCTATTTCTCCGTATACCTCCGTGTTTCCTGTCTGTAGTATTTCCGCGTGAACAAGTAGATCGGGTTTTTCATGACCAAACTATAAAGGACAAATACGGAGCGGACTTCTATATCCGTTTGAATATTATACGGTCAAACGGCTTCAAGTGTGGCATTTACCACATAATAACGTAGAAAAGGTCATACAAGAGTTTTACGATGCGGGTACGAGCGCTGTAATAGGAAGTTATGCCAATAATAATGTAAAACGTTTGTAAGCAAAGTAGTATCTAGATTTAGAGAAATGAGGTAGATAATTCTTCAGATCAGTTTTAGGTTTATAAAACCATTAAGAATATGGTTCAAGAAATGGTAATTGTGTTATATGGGGGTATATCATAAGGATATATCTATTGATAGTCATAAAGTTTCAAATTAAAAACGTGAACGCATGATTCTATTTTTGTTGCAATTGCAAAATTTTCAAACATTTTAATTAATTTCCTTTTTTAGTTTGTGCCCGCCGCAACACTTCCGGACACCTACGGTCTTGCTTTATAATCATATTGAGTTCATATGATAGGTCAATACATACAGCATAGATGAAGGTACATTATAGAAATTGGCATCGAAATCGAAATAGATATAGAGAGAAAGAGATTGGTTTGTATTATTCTACACCCTAGTCAATTCCTACTGAAACTCTCCAAAACTGACTTTTAGTACTTTTCAATTACAACAACTACATTCACCAGAACCCTGAATCACTCTATACGAAGTAATACATCTAACTACCATTATGAGCAATTTTGTTGGAAAAAACTTGGTCATGATTTATGTAATCAATCAGTTTAAAATCGTATGTTTTCTATCACAAAATTTGATGCAAGACAACTCTACTGGGTGAAAATATAGTAATTTAATTACTGTTAGCATATACAAATCTATTCCCTATAAGGTATGATGTTTAGACACATTCTATTCACCCCATATACGTACCGCCTGCATATAAGTTTTTACCCTTTTAGCCGCATATCGAAAACCAATTGTATTCAGATCCATTGTATACAGTTCCCTGCACATGGAAAAAGGGCTCGGCTCAAATATATTCCTTCGTCATTTCTTTGTATCATCTAACAATGCTGAATCACTCAACTTGCAACTATTTCTGCCAATGATTTTTCATTTTAATATGAAACTAATTATAAAATATCATAGTACTATCCGTTTATCTTTCTCTTATGCGTGCCGGACATGCTTTAACTAACAATAAAAACAATCTCATTTAGAAAAATTACCTCTACAAACATTCACTCACATTGACACACATGCTTATTTTTTTTTTTCCTCTCTTCCCTCTCATCAAAACAATTTGTAAATAATATCACCCAATATTTTTGGTGATGCCATGAACTATTGGAGGACTGTTCTCTTTCTGCGGTACCTTTTATTTTTGACGGTCTAGAATTCTTTACCGACTTCGCGTCGCGTTTTACACAAAATCACTCCAATGTTAACAGCACTTAAATAAAAAAAAAAGATTTATCAATTTTCAAATATGAGGCAAGCCCCCATCTTTGTGTCAACTTGGCGTCCCACTTAAACAATTCAGCCTGCCAAATCGTACTTCTCCGCACGCTGTGGTCGCGACGTGTCCCATTTCCAGCACGCCTCATACTCTACAGATCGCTTGCAAAATTTGGTGGATTATTATTTTCTTTCTTTTTTTATTTTGAATATTAACTACCGATAAAATTAAAAAAAAAAAGGTGTTGTGTATGTTTCTTTAAACATTTGTATAAACCACATTACCATTTAACGTGTACATTTCCAACACACACGTCTAACTTCCCACGAAACGTCTTTCAAACCACCCTGTGCTCAGTCATCCCAGCGTGAAGTGTATGGATAGTTTAAATTAGTTGTTTACATTGCCTTTTTTTCAACAACTGCAGACCCCTTGATCTCCCCTCATTGTGTGTGTGTGTGTGAGTGTGTATTTTTTTTAAGGATCAAAGAAAATACCTTCATTGATTAGTATCAGATTGGAGAGATCCTATACCCCTACCCAGACCCCCCCATATATATACTTTGACCATGGCGTTTCATGTGTCCAATTTTTTTACTGATCCGTTTGCAATCTCAACTGTGTCATTCGGTGCCATCGCATGGATCGTGGCCATAGCTGGAGCAGCAACATCACCAGCCAAAGAGTTCCCCAGATTCACATGGTGGGGACTTGTATATGAGATTCTTCTCATCTTGGCCATCCTATTGTTGTATATCAATAACACCATTGAACTTTATAAATTCACCTTGGTTGGACTCTTGTCAATCGCCTTTTTATACACGTCGAACTCAACCAGTCAATTGATTTACCAATCTGATTCATCGGCAATGCTTTGTTGTGCAGCCGGATGTATCTTGCTTTCAATGTTGAACTTCATTTGGATCTTATATTTCGGAGGACATCCCGAATCACCAACCAACCAATTCATCGATTCATTCTCACTTAAGTCACAATCTCATAGTCATGGACACTTGTCACTGGGTGATGGTAACCGTCGTAGCTCACGCCGAGTCACCGGAGTCTCTGGAGGAGCTCACGACGATGATGAGGAATACAAGTACATTTCTCCTGTGGCCCTACCAAACGCTTCAGCACATAATCAATTCCAAGAAAATAATTTGAGACAATCTCAATTAACCACTAACAACAAATCCACCACCACTCCATACATGTCATCTTCACAATTGAATGGGTTGGAAAACTTTAGTACTCTGGATGTGCACAAATCAAGAGATTTGACAAATAACAGACAAACCATTTATAATGATGTGCAATCACAAGGTGAAATACCCGGCGTTACCTTCCGATACAAGGCACGTGCTCTCTACAGCTACGAGGCTAACCCTGACGATATCAATGAAATTTCATTTGTGAAAGATGAAGTATTGGAAGTCGATGATATAGATGGGAAATGGTGGCAAGCCAGAAGGGCGAATGGTCAAGTTGGTATTTGTCCATCCAATTATGTCAAGCTTTTAGAATAAGTATTTTAAACATTCTTGTATTTTTTTAGTATATGATATACGTAGTAGATTGAAGAATTTGTAGGATATAGGAAGAGAGAAGGGTGAAGTAAATGAAGTGATTATATTTATGGGATGTCTTTAAACGAGGTTTGAAATAGGAATTCTATAGAAATGAAGCATATCTCAAGGAGGAGTAGATTTATGTTGAAGGTCAAAATGGGTTAATATGATCATTGGGGGGTAAGTGGGGTATTCAGAGTAAGTGAAAGAGGCTACTTCATAGCTCATACAATTCTTATAAGTATCTGTTTTTTGTTTTTGAATGGTTTGCTGCGCGATATGGATATCAACGGAAAAGAAAATGAATATTTATATCACTCCTACGTTCAAGCACATTATGTACAGTTTACGTAACTTGTCGTTACCGGCAAAAGGCTTTTTCAACCGGGTCAGTATTCGTTCAGTTCTGTCTCAACCGCATTATGATGGAACTCAATCCTCATTAGCGCAAAATTCTGCTGCTTACCTTGGGGATGCTCTTTCCACTGATATACCTTCAGTAGATTTAAGCTATGATAAACATTCACCAACTAAAGGTGCTGGTGACAGTGACAAGTCACCTGTTATTATTGCACATGGTCTCTTTGGATCCAAGACAAACACCAGAACAGTTGCTAAGCAACTTGCTGACAAACTCTCAAGAGACATCTTTTGTATCGATTTAAGAAATTTTGGTCAATCTCCACACATGAACCGATTAGATTATCCATCTTTAGCATCTGATGTGGAAGAATTTGTCAAGAAACAAAATTTCGTCAACAAACCAATCTTGGTTGGTCATTCAATGGGCGCTAAAACCGTCTTAGCGGTAGCCTTAAGAAGCCCAGAACTTCCAAAGATGGTTGTTTCTGTAGATAATGCTCCAGTAGATGCACGTTCAGCTTCTGGATCAGTATTTTCAAGATATATTAGACAATTGCGTATTGCTACAGAACAGTTTAAATATACCAACATTAAAGATGTGGATGCTAAACTTGCTGAAGTGGAACCAAATGTGGTGGTTAGACAATTCTTATTAACCAATATGAATAGAGGTAAAAAGGACGAACCTGTCACCTCCAAAATTCCCCTTGATATCATTGGTAAGGCCATAGATGCCGGTAATATTGCCAGTTGGCCATATGACTCCAACTTGAACCGTTGGAGTAAAGGTCCAGCACTTTTCATCAGAGGAACAGAGTCTACTTATGTTCCAGATGACGTACTTCCAGAAATTGGTAAATATTTCCCTGACTTTGAAGTTAGAGATGTGGAATGTGGTCATTGGGTCATTAGTGAGAAACCAACTGAATTCATAGATATTCTCAGTGAATTTATAGAAAGAAAGGAAGAAGAGGAAGAATTCGAGTTGGGTGGAGATAGAAACATTTTTAAATAGAAAGATAATTAGTCCATATTTATATATTATATGTTACGTTCAAATTATTTAAAGATCGCTAACCTTGGCATTATCAACAACATTGTCATAAACGTCAAATCTTCTTTGGTAATGAACTGGGATTCCCTCTCTTGCCTTTGGAATCAAATCCTTGTTCAATTCAGCAAACACAATTTCTTCCCCTTCACCAGCCTCAGCGATGATGTTCCCGGAAGGATCGGCTACCAAGGAGTGGCCATATGCTTGGTATCCATTTCCACCAACATCTCTCGCAGGACTACATAAAACGGTGAACAATTCATTGTCCACGGCACGGGTTCTGGCAAGAAGGTGCCAATGCAATGGACCAGTTGTGGTGTTGAAGGCACCAGGATAGAACATGGCAAACGCATTGTGTGGGGCTCTAGAGGCAAGAGATGCCAATTCTGGGAACCGGATGTCATAACAGATCCCTAACCCAATGTTACCAAAGTCTCCCAACTTGAAAACGGTAGCCTTGTTACCAGCACTAAGCGAGACCAGTTCCTTGAAAGTGATGCCATTGGGGATGTCAATGTCAAACAAATGGACCTTACGATGCTTGGCAATGATCTCACCTTGTGGAGAAAATGTCAAAGAAGTGTTGAAGATCTTGTTTTCTTCCTCTGGTGCCAATTCAGGGATGGAACCTCCTACAATGAAAATTCCATGCTTTTTGGCCAATGAAGACAACAATTCAGTGGTTTCACCGGCTGGGATTGTCTCGGCATAGTTACGGAATTGGTCAACAGCATAGGGGGAATTAAAACATTCAGGAAGCATTACAAGATCAAGCTTACCAATGGTTGAGGTTGCAACTGCATTATCGATATATTGGGTCACCTTGTGCAAATTGGCGGCCTTGTCGGCACCTGCCTTGATCTGCACAAGGGCGATCTTCAAGGACTTGTTCAATGGGGCTTTCAATGCTGATGACATCGTTGTAGTTTTCAATTAAGGGAGAAAGAAGAAAGATGTACAATCTTATGTGGAGTCCAAGTCTAATTTGTCATATCGTCCACGCGCGGAAAAAAATGATTCACAATTTGGCTGCAACAGCCACAGATAACAAAAATAATAATACCTCTTACAATATCCACTATCTATTACTAACAATTTCAAACATCAACTCATCTATAATGACCCCTACATCCTCTTGAACTTATTATGGTAACCACTCATACATTATATCTTTTGTAGTTTACTCAATTCTCCTCTCCTCTATATATATACTTGATAGTCTAACCCATAGAAACCTTAGTTGTCTCCTTAAGCCATTTCAAATGTGGAATGAAAATATCTTTGCATCTTGCCTCATCCTCTTGTTCTCTATCCAGAACATACTTCAAATACTTACCAACATAGTCATTCTGTCTTGTTGCAGAGGATCCATCCACAGCAGCACCATCCTTGTCATAATAACTAGGACATAAACCTTGGACAAAGAATTGAAGTACTCTCAAATCAAAATCATACCCAACATTTTTATAGATATCCTTGTACATACGGATATGCTTTCCCAGCTTTTCATAAACCAAATCATGGTTGTCTGCAAGCCAATTAGGATAGAACTTGGGGTATGACAAATGCATAAAGCAATAATCAATCTCTTCGTCATCCTTAGTCATCTTCAGCGATTGCACTGGATCATAATGACCCAAGGCCTTGGAGTCAAATTTCCCAGAATCTTCCTTAATATAACCAGTCCAATGGAATTGTTTCAAAGTTTGGAACCATGGTTCTCCCATGACGATGGCTGCGGCAATAAAAGTTTCCTTATCACCTTCTCCAGCAGACCCTTGAGTCATGAGTGGGTAGTAGAAGTGAGGACCAAACACATTATAATACAAACATAATAATAATGTTCTCATGTGCGAGGTCTTGTTGATCATCAAGATCCCGGTTTCAGATGTTGGATCCGGGATAGCACCTTCAAAATCATGATAATTTGAATTGGTGAAATCATAATCTTTCAACTCTTTAACCTTGGTATCTTTCTTTTCAGCTTGTTTCTTATCATATGATGAATATCTCAATTTCTTTTCAGTTACCGTATGACTTGCAATGTCATAAAACTTTGGGTTGGTAGTTCTTGCCCATGCATCTGGCCAAATGATCATGTTCTTTTCCTTATACAAGTCACTCTCAAAAAGATAGTCCAAGTCCTTGGTGGGGAATCCATCGGAATCCAAATACAAAATATTTTCAAACTTGGAACTTAAAATTGCAAGCATTTTGTATTGATATCCACCAAGATTGAATCTTTTCTTCAAGTCAGCAGCCAAATTGTCATCAAAAACATTACATCTAGCATTGAACTTTGGTAATAACTTTTCACAGAAATCCTTTTCATAATCGTTGGTTCCTGGTAGAAACAATTCAATGGGTAACTTACTCCCAGTGGCACGAATCTGTTTGATCACAAGGAAGGAAAGCCAACTATACTCCCCTCCACCAATAAGAACATAACCAGAAGAGCCCTGGTAAGTGCTCCATTCTGGATCAGACTCCAAGATGTTCCCAAATGTGGAAACCCCGGAGTTTTCCACTAAACGATTGATTTGTTGATCAACATATCTCGTGTGACTGTCTTTCAATCGGGTAACAGTTTCATCTGGGACATCCAAGACATTTTCCAAGTATTCTTTGGAAAACAAAAAGTCGCCACCATTGGAAAACAATTCCTTGGCCTTATCTGTTTTATACTTACCCTTCAACAGGTCTGACTTTGGATCAAAATCTTCCAAATTGTGGAAAAAGATAGAGTAGTCACGGATAGACATGATTGTTTTCATATCAAGAGCACTATCTTCTCCGACAGAGTCGCCCTTTTCCATTGCATCAAGTGCTGCTCTTTCTGCATCTGCCTTAATTTGTGCAAAGGATAAGTGACCACTCTTCCCACTGCTTGTATGACTGAGTTTCTTAGGTGATGAATGTTCAAAGGTTGTCCTTGAAATCAAGTACACTATGAAGCATCCAACCAACACAGCCAAGGTCTTGTTCCTTTGACGGTTCAGAATCATAGTGAGTTTGATAGTAAAGAAGAAGAAGAAGATGTAAAGTTTTTATGTGATCTCTACACATTTTTCTGAGTTCGTATCTGCGACAAACATCAAAATTTAAAAGTCGCGTACCTTACGCGCGAGATTAACTTCCATTTTCATTCATAAATAGGGAGAGTGTAGTAAATCAAGATAGATTGAATTTGTGGACTGTTCTGAGTGCTAGAATTAGATGAGATGGTGAACACTACAAGATAATTATATTATATATAAAAGAAAGAAAAAAAAATTGTAGTAAAATTGTAGTAAAATTGGTACTATAGTAGAAGTGAGAGTAATTTTTTAATGGGATCCATATTGATGGAAACTAATTCAAGTTGTGTCACATTCATAGTATCTCGATAGCAACCGGTATCATCCATAATAAATATCATTCTAGACCGAAAATTATAATACCCTCTTTATGTCAACACACTTCCCCATACATATTCCCCCTTGCATCCCCCCACAAATTATCTCAAAGTATAACACAAAATATTTCTTGTTGTTTATTTTTGTGGTAATCTTTCAAAATAATAATTTGTTTCTTTTTAAACAATGTCCACTTGTGAATCTGATAGAGTTAAGGAACAAATTATCCCATTATTTGGGCTTGGGATTGCACATTCGCGTGCTCCCATGCTTCACAATTTTATTTTTGCAAAGCTTGGACTTCCTTGGAAATATGTTCTTTTTGATAGTGATAACGTTGAATCATTTAAAGAAAATTATTATGATGATTTCTTTGCATGTGCTGTTACTATGCCGAACAAGATTATTATGACACAACATGTAGATAGTGTAGATGAAGGGGCAGTTGCAGTTGGTGCAATCAATACTATTTATTCTAGAACAATTGATGGAAACAAGGTTAAAATTGGAACAAATACTGATACTATTGGTATTAGAGATGCAATTTTATTTAATTCTCCACAAATCAGTATAGAAAGAGCCAAGGGTAAACCTGGATTGGTTTATGGAGGTGGTGGAGCTTCGAGATCTGCCGTATATGCCCTTGTTGAATATTTGGGATGTCTGAAGGTTTACATAATCAATCGGTTTAAACAAGAAGTTGAATCCCTTGAGAAATCCATGGTTGAAGGAGGATTTAAAGGTCAAATTCTACATGTAGAAACACCTGAACAAGCACAAAACCTAGAGGTACCAAACTTAATTGTATGTACTATTCCAGATTTTGCACCCACTACTTTAGAAGAAATACGTGCAAAATCAACTTTAGATGTATTTAAAAAAAATGGTGATGGAGTTGTATTAGAAATGTGTTACCATCCAAACCCCAAGACTCGATTATACCAAGAATTTCAAGAATCTAATTGGTTTGTTATATCCGGAATTGAAGCAATGATATACCAAGCATTTGCTCAACAGGTTCTTTGGACTGGTTACAATATGAAGGAGTTACACACCAAGGAAGCAATTGAGTATGTACATAATAATTTATGAGACATATATCATTTATTAATAAAATAGCCAAAAAAACAAAAAGAAATGCCAAAGTGGATGACTTTGTATTAGGAACAATTACGTGGAGTTAGGAACATCGTTCATCTACAACCATGCATGCCAGATTGATAAAAATTTGGGTGGGGTTTTTTTTAGTTTTTCGCACTATCGCCATATAAAAAGGATTCGTACAGGAAATGCTGCAAAGATGTTTAATTTTCTTTCTAAATAACCACACATTTTCAAATTTATAGGATTTGCGGATTGATATATTTTTCGGAATGTTACTCAAGACTAGAAGTTTGTGCACCAGTAGAATCCATAGAATGGCGAAGCTAAGCGAACTTCCCAAGAGCAGCAGCTTCACGAACGATTTGAAGCCTGATAGTAAGATCCCAACCACTTATGATGCCCTTGCAAACAATGAAGGAATCATCAATAAACCAAGAATCTTACAACTGGGGTCATTTTCTTGGACTCTTCCAGAAAAGAGACCAGAATATAAATTTCTCACAGCAAGTGAGTTGGCCTTGAAAGATTTGGGATTGGACCCAAATGAGCCAGAAAATGAAGAATTTCAACGATTGGTCAGTGGCGAATTTTACAATGATAATGAACATTTGACCGACAAAGATTATCCCTATCCATTCCCATATGCGCAAGCATATGCTGGGTGGCAATTCGGCCAATTTGCTGGACAATTGGGTGATGGAAGAGTGGTCAATCTCTTTGAAGTGGACAAGAAGGAGAATAGAGATGGTAGGGATAGAAACAAATATGAAGTTCAACTCAAGGGAGCAGGGAAGACTCCTTATTCCAGATTTGCAGACGGTAAGGCAGTTATAAGATCGTCTATAAGAGAATACTTGATCTCAGAACATCTACATGCTATAGGTATCCCGACCACAAGAGCGTTAGCACTTACATACCTCCCCAAGACTTATGCACAGAGACATCGAGCTGAGAAGTGTGCCATTGTAGCAAGATTTGCCGAACTGTGGATCAGATTAGGTACTTTTGATTTATACAGATGGAGAGGTGACAGAGTTGGAATAAGGAACCTTTCTGACCATGTGATCAAGGAATTATTCACTCTCAATGAAGGCCAACAATTTACTCAATTTGATCAATTATTACAAAAGAAGGGTGATTTTTTCAATTCATCGCAAACTTCAATAGGTCCACTCACTGAATATGATAAAATGTACTATGAGATTGTGGTGAGAAATGCCACCACTACAGCCATGTGGCAAGTTTATGGATTTTTGAATGGGGTTTTGAATACAGACAATACCTCTGTATTGGGATTATCTATGGACTTTGGACCATTCCTGATTATGGATAAATTTGATCCTGGATACACTCCAAATTCCGAAGATCATGAACACAGATATGGATACAGAAATACCCCAACTGCAATTTGGTGGAATCTTACCAGACTTGGAGAAAACTTGGCCGAGCTTATTGGAGCAGGGCTGGAATTGGTTAACGAGTCATCTTTCAAAGAAGGGACTTTAAAGAAAGAATGGGAAAACAAAATCATAACTAGGGCAACGAAAATAATCGAGGTTGGTGGTGAAATCTATAAATATGCCTTCACTACAAAGTATGTCGAGACAATGTTTGGAAGACTCGGACTACCACGCTCCTTGATTGATTACTCTAACCCAGACAAACATAATGACGAATTGATTGCGCCAATGTTGGATATGCTTCGTAAGGTTCAATGTGACTATAACAAGTTTTTCTTGATCTTACAAACAATTCCTGAATTGGACCCTACGTTGTTGGCAATGACCATTTTGTTACCAGAGGAGAAGTCTGAACATTCGGACATACTGCAACAAGAGTTAACCGAAGACTTGACTTCGTGGTTAGAGGTATATGGTAAATATTTGGAAAAGGGAAACGCTCTGACATTGCGTACCACTATAGCGGCCGGGAACAATCCAATTTTCTTACCACGTAACTGGATTTTAGATCAGGTTATTGAAAAAGTGGAAGAACTGAATGGAGAAAATATTGAACATTTGTTAAAGTTACAAAAAATGTGCTTGAACCCATACGACAGAAGTAAGTGGGGCAGCGAATTGAAAGAATTTGAAGTGAAATGGTTGTTACAAGGTGACATGGGTGATGACTATTCTATGTTACAATGTAGTTGCTCCAGTTGATAAGATATATATGAAAAATGAATCAAGAATTTCTCTATTTTATTCGTGTATTTGTCTATTAAATCTATTTCTGAACTTCAACAGGAACATTCAAGAGGATGATTTCACCCTTCAGTAGCGTAATAAATATTTTTAAGTAATAAAAACGTGCCATTTGACACATTTGGAAATCAGGAACTAAGTTGAAATTATCATATGCCTTGGTATTGACAGGGGATTCGGCGGATTTTACTCTAGCGGTTGTCAAATCGCAAACAGCAGTGAGGTCCATTTTATAAGTAGTTGGTGCATCCAGATTAGTTTGTTTGTCTTTAATAATCCACGAAGCCAGATTCTTCAGCGTAGATGCAGTAGAGTTATTATCTCTGATCTTCACATCTTCCACCGCTAAATTCATATTTTTGGTTTTTAATCTACAAATATTCTTCAAGTCCCGAGAAAGATTTGCATCCATCCGGAATAGTTGCGAACCTAATTTTGAAGAAAGATTTTGAACTTCTTTAGCCTTCTGTAACATCGGCTTGACGACAGTCTCTTCAAAGTAATTAGTTTCAAAGATCAATTTCTTGAATTGTTGGTGACTGTTGTTGAAGATCATTCCATGATTGAATTCCACAGGTATACATTCCCCATTTGATTTTATTGTAAGTGATATCAATTCCATCGCAATTGATTTAATTTCTGGAAGTTTGACACCTTTCCTAGACGAGTTGGCACTCAGCAGAAGAACATATTCAATGTTGATTGGCACGTTGAGAATCCATGATGAAGTATCTGGTTCCTCGGCATGGAAATGAGATGGTGGGATGTATTTAATTTTGTAATGAATCTTAGGGGTGGTTATAACCATTGTACCTAGAAACTTGGTGGCTCCAGTTAAAGTTTTCTTTTGTATGGGGTAAAAGATCTTGTAGACATCATTATCCAAACCAAGCGCCATGGAGCTTTTTGACTTTCCACCTCCATTTACGGGTTTATATAATTGTCGACATTTAGCGAGTTCCCTGTCCATCGTTGAGTTTGCAGATATCGTTGTCAGTAACTCTGGTTCTACCAAATCACCACGAGGGGAAATGATAGCGCCAAGTATATTACTCTGTTCTCTACTACTAACGGGACTAATAGATCTTGATGAAAGTATATTCTTACCAAATTCAATAATTTCATCTATGCGGGCGACAAAATTATCATAGAATAATTTGATGCTTTCCCTATTGGCTCTCGTTTCCAAGCTGGTCAATTTGTTCTTTTCTTCAATGATTCGAATCATTTGATGGGTATCTTTAAGAATAAGATATTCATCACCGGCGGAATCAACAAGAGTTGCCTCCACTGGTTTCTTAACCGGTAATACTCCATACTGAGAGGCCTTTCCAATGAACCTAGCATGTACTCTATAACTGATACTGGTATCAATAAATGCAAAGTCTCGAACCTCAGAGTCCCCCATATTAGTAAGGTTTAGTTTCCCCAGTGAATTACCTATACTAGGAGGAATTTCAATATGACTAGACAAACTATGTTGACATGTAGAGTCCAATAACTTATCGGGAATTTTGAATGTGAAGAATCGCTTATGAGTGATAAAAGGTTTCACGGTTCTCTCAAATCCAAATGAATAATGGGTGTCATCTATGGGGTCAACATATTCAGGGTATTGGTTTGGCTTGGTGAATTCGGAAACCAATCTGTTGATATATCCATAATGCCATGATGCACTAAAGTCAAACATTTCCAAAAATTTCTTGATCACCAAGTCTCCTTCTGGGTTATTTGCATTGGGAGTCCCTCGGATCTTGAAAACTCCTTCGAAAAGTACATAAAACATATCAAATGGGATCTCCTCCGATGAAGTGTTCTGTACCTTGATATATCCATTGATCAAGTCTCCCTGTTTATATTCAAAGTTCAGCGGGTCAATAATGGTTGGCTTCATCCCCGATTCACCAACGTCTTCGGTGAAGTATATTTCGATTTTCAACGCCTTTGCAATGGGATTATCAGAATCAGATAAGTTTGTAAGAGTGTGGATATTATCAAGAATTGTATTCTCCCACAGATTGGAGCCTTCATCGGCGACAATCAAGTTGGGGTTGGGAGTTCCGGGGGTCGTAGAGTTTTCTACGTTGGACGTGTGAGCAGACAATGTGAACGTAGAACCAGCTACTATCCCATTTGATGAAGTCGTGGACAAATCATCGTATGTTGGAGGCTCGAAAGATTGGTCATCATTACCCACTGCTAGACTTTTCGACACCGTCGAAGTGTACATATGGTACAGAGGAAGGATATTCCATACAGGTATATCACCCTTGGCTATTTTCTCTATTGCATTCTGACATCGGTCGTCGTACTCCGGAACCGGCACCAGACTCAAATCCTCTCTTTGTGGTGATGAGGATGATGCTAGCACCTCCTTTTCAGTGTCTCCTTCATTATGCCGTGTGCTGTCATCTGTAGGTTCTGACTCACCTGTCATAGATTCATGCGGTATCATGTGGCATATAATGATGAATAGGTAAACAAACGAAATGAAGGATTTTCTACTGTGGAAATGTATAACCAAAAAAAAAAAAAGATTATGACTCAATTTTAAGCTAATTATTTTTGGGTAGGGGTATATATACTCTCGCACAAACACTATTACAACGAGAACAATCAGGCATATATGAATATACGCTATTAGAGTTTCTCCACTTGCACCATATTCTCCGTCAGTTGATCTATCACTAGATCATTTTAAAATAACCATTCATCGATATGAAGAAAATAAGCGCGGTGATTTCGTCGCTTATCAGATCCTTTTATCTCATACCGTGCGAAGGCTTCTTGATTAAAATAACTCTACAATTTGTGTTAATATAAATTTAAAATTTTATTCATAAAATACATAGATAAAAACTAGGCCTTGAAACCCTTGGCATCGTTGTAACCCTTGTGGAAAGCATTCTTAGCTTGTTCTTGAAGATGTGGTTCTAAAGAAGAGATTTCGGAATCCAACTTGGAGTTACCAGTGCTGAATCCGGAAAGAGAGTGGCCAGGAGTGGAGTGCTTGTCACTGTGGGATGTACCGGAAGATCCATGAGTATAAGAGCTGTCATTGGCATGACCAGAATGGGCACCATGAGAGCCAGTAGTACCATAAGCAGAATCGTACTTACCAGAAGTACCGGAGGAGCCATGGGTACCAGTGGTGCCACGACCAGTAGAGTCGTAAGCACCAGTAGAACCGTGAGTACCAGTAGTACCATGGGAGCCAGTAGAGTCGTAAGCACCAGTGGAACCATGGGTACCAGTAGTACCACGACCAGTGGAGTCGTAAGCACCGGTAGAACCGTGAGTACCAGTAGTACCATGGGTACCAGTAGTACCACGACCAGTGGAGTCATAAGCACCAGAAGAACCATGTGTGGATTCGTAAGCGCCGGTAGAGCCATGGGTACCAGTTGTACCACGTCCAGTGGAGTCATAAGCACCAGTAGAACCGTGAGTACCAGTGGAGTCGTAAGCACCAGTAGAACCGTGAGTACCAGAAGTACCGTGGGATCCAGAGTGATGAGCACCAGCGGCACCTGCACCAACACCAGCGGCACCAACACCGGCAGCACCAGCACCAGTGGCACCAGAGTGACCACCGGTGGTACCAGTAGTACCAGTAGTACCAGTAGTACCAGTAGTACCAGTAGTACCTTGAGCAGAGGTAGGCTTACCACCTACAATTCTGGTACCGATCCCACCTTCAGATCCTGACAAGTTTTCTCTTCCAAGATACTTACCAGCAGCCTTGTCGCCATCGTTACCATACTTTTCAATGTTGGCACGGTCAAAGTCACCATTCTTATAGTGCTTTTGTGCTTCGGAGGTATACTTTTGTGTGTTGTCCTTTCCGCCTAACTTTTCTTGAATTTTGTCTGTGATTCCCATTTTGTAATATTTAATTGATGATTAAAATTAAAACTTGAGAGAAATTACCAGTTAGATATCTCCTTATATACCATTATATTCTTATAAAAATTCATTGCTTATTGCTATTACTTCTCCACACTTGTCAGTTGCTCTGCGGCTTAATTGTGCAGAAGGATTATGATCACTGTATGGCTGCAAACTATGTTCACGTCATTGTGCAGGACAGGGGCTATTTCTTAATAACATTCTACTGCGCATTCTTCATCAGGGCTGCAAAACGCAATAATACAGGGGTACACTAAAGCAATTGTGGCATTGTTCTTTTATTCTACGGATTTCTCTAACGTTCGTTGATGTCATTTATTTCAGGATATCCTAATATTTAGAGATGGCATCAATTGATGATCCCTCGCATACTGTTTACATTTCGATACGTTACTAATTTTCAATTATAATTATATAAATAATCGCCATATGTGCATAATTGATGGCTATGTAGTTTGTATCATACGGATTGCTTGTTGCTATTGGCTCCCCTTTTTTGTTTTTTTTTTAGCTTCGAGTACATTATTTTTTCACTTCTAGGGGAACGTTTACTACAATTGTTTCCCCCTTCTGGAGCGCAATTAATACTTTGATATAGTAGAACCTTGTCATTTGGCACATTTGGAAATCTGGAATTAAGTTATAGTTATCATATGCCTTTAATTTTGACATCGTTTCTCCACTCTTCAACCTTCCAGAGGTTAAATCAATTGATACTGTGAAACTCTTTTTATATGTTGTTGGGGATTCTGCATTCAGAGGTTTATATTTGACTTCCCAGGGAATTTCGGAGGATGGAATTTCTTTATTATTATTAATCAGCTTTAATTTCACCTGGTCAATTACTAAATTCATATGCTTGGTCTTCAATTTGCACAACGTTTTTAAATCCTCTACAAGATTTAAATCCATTCTGAAAACACCAGGTCCCAATTGCTGTGAAATCGATTGTAATTTCTTGGTTTTTTCTTTGAGTGGTTTAATGACATGGTCTTCAAAAAAATCAGTTTCATACTCATATGCCAGCTTATGAGTTTTTTCCATCAGTTGATTATTATCAAATAACATGTCATGATTGAACTCAATGGGGATACTTCCTATTTCGGATTTAATTGTAAGTGCAATTAATTCGGCTCCAAAAGATTTGATTTCTGGAAGTTTAAGATTCTTGCTTGCCGAATTTGCACCTGGTATGACATATTCAAGATCAATTGGTACGTCAATATTCCAGGAACTAGAATCAACTTCATCTGTACGGTACAGTGGTGGAGGAATGTATAAAATACTGTAGTGTACTTTTGGGGTACAAGCAACTAAAGTCCCCAAGAACTTTGCTGTACCAGTAATCGATCTCTTTTGAATGGGATAGAATATCTTATAATAATCATGTTCCGAATTTTCCAATGACTCTGCTTTAGATTTTCTTCTTGATTGTGATGGTTTATACATTTGTTGGCATTTGGCTAGTTCTTTAGCTATAGTTGACGCAATTGTGTTTTCAGAATATGTGCGGGAATTGAATGTGTTGGAGTTTAAACTTGAGCTATTAGCCGAATTTGAACCTATTGGAGAAATAATAGAGCTTAGAAAACTAGGTTCTTTACTTGAAGTCTTAGATAGCTTAGCTGCAAGAAGTTCTTCTCCGCGTGTGACTTCATCATCTACCCGAGCTTTAAAATTGTCAAATAAATCTTTGCTAACTCTTTGTGCAGCCTTTAACTCAAGATCGTTTGATATTTTAGTTTCTTCAATGATTCTGATCAGTTGATGGGTATCTCTAAGGATGATAAACTCATCCCCAGTGGTATTGACAAGAGTAGCCTCATCTTGATTCCTGTCTGGTAAAACCCCGTACATAGACGCTTTACCAATAAATCTAGCATCAACACTATAATTAATACATGTATTGAAGAATGAAAAGTCTTTTAATCTTCCATCGTTAGTAGTAGCTGAAGTCTTCACAAAATTTGAGTTGTGTAAGTTTTTCAATTGATCACGCAGGGCTAAACCAATACTTGGTGGGGTTTCAGTATGACTTGATAAGTTGTGTTGGCATGAAGAGTCTAACAATTTATCAGGAATTTTGAATGTGAAGAACCGTTTATGTTTAATAAACGGTTTAATAGTTCTCTCGGCTCCAAATGATAATTGAGTATTATCTATTGGGTCAACCAGATCAGGACATGTGTATGGATTGGTGTATTCAGACAATAATCGGTTAATGTAACCGTAATGCCAAGAGGCACTAAAGTCAAACATCTCCAAGAACTTTTTGGTTACAAATGTTTCTTTCCCATTTGTCCCGAAGACATTTGAAGATACTTTGAAATTCCCTTCAAAGAGAACGTAAAACATATCGAATGAAATTTCTTTATCCGATTGGTTGTCAACCAAAAAGTATCCATTTATCAAATCTCCTTGCTTATACTCGTAATTCAGAGGGTCAATGAACACTGGTTCTTTTCCCATTTCTCCAATTTCTTCGGTGAAAAATACATCAATTTTTAATGCCTTTGCATATACGTTATCTGAATCACTCAAGTTGTTAAGTGTGTGAATATTGTCAAGAATAGTACATTGCCATAAATTAGAACTTTCGTCTGCAATGATCAAATTTGGGTTCTGTGCATCTACGGATTGTGGTAAAGATTCCAATTCTTCATATGAGGCACCAATGGTACCAGGTGTGGACGAGGAACCAGATGCTCTACCAGACTGACACGAAGATAAGGTGGCCAAATCATCATAGGTGGGAGGCTCAAACGCAGTATCGTTGAGGTCGTCATGTGTGACTCGAAGACTCTTTGATACAGTAGAAGTGTACATGTGGTACAGTGGAAGTATATTCCACAATGGGACTTCTGGCTTTTTTGTGTTTTGCTTTGGACTGAAATAGTCATATTCTTCATAATCTGGGGATGATAGTGGAAGTATATCTGTCAGTGAAGGTTGAGAAGATGAAGCATTATTTGATTCTGGTTTCATCGATCCGATCCGACTGTGGCTCTCGGTTGAAGTGGTAGATCCACTTGAATCTGAATCAAAAGTAGGCATAACGTCTTGCTTCCTTTTTTTTTTTTTCCACTATTCACATTTAGTGTTTATACGTTCAGTTATATATACATGTATGTTACATGCAAGGTGATATTTTTTCGCAACCCCTTTGATGACTCTTTTTATAGAATATCTAAAAAATAGTCTTGTCTTTCGATAAGGAAAAGCTTATTTTATTTGAGTCTTGGTTTGTCATCATGATTACTCATAAATTGTTTTAGGGATAGAGTTGGAGAGGATCGATTACTGTCCTACAGTTGTTAATGCTTTAATTGAAGATTTAGTGGAGTCCGCCACTTACTGAATAAACAAATACAAATACCAAGAAATTTTTACCTTGTACACTCTTTTTGACGTTCTATGGAGATGAGTCAATGTTCAGCCTTGCCATAATATCAATGTAGGGGGTTTTGCAGCCAATAGAGTGGCGGAAACGTTTTCAAACTCTCACATGATAAACTGGGGCGCGGAATTAGTAATCATTAACCAAAATATTTGAGATTATATACCAGATACTGGGATTCGATTGCGAAATCGGGCTAGTAATTTCCGCTTTGATTTCCGCCTTAATCGAGGCCCAACTTGTGTGTATTGCACGGCTAAAGGTCCATCTTGTTTATTGACATTCCAAGGGCCGTCCGTAGAGATGGCTACAAGTTAAGGACAAGAAATTACTACGATCCAGTATTACCCCAGTTGCCAGTTTCTGCAGCCCAGAAGGCTTTTTACCTTTCTGTGATGATTACAATAAGGTTTAAACTGCATGTATTTAAGAAAAAAATACGATGTATAGAGTGTTACTTTCCTCAACAGATAAAGCTTTATAACTAGTGAGTGACCAAAATTTTTTTGTAAAAGAGTAGTTTGCCAAGAAAGTATAATTAATATCACTTGGCTACTCTAGTATTATTTTTTAATTAAATATTCTTGTTGTACATACTTTTTTGTAGTATCAATATTATTATTTGTATATTATTGGTATAATCAATTCTATCATTCTATAAATAATTAACGGCCAAATTTCTTGAGCTCAAAGTATCTAAGCACTGGATAGACCAATCCACTGAATCCCATACACAACCACATGGCAATGTCTCCTCCACACTTCTCGGCAATTGGACCAACCCAATAAGCCTGTGACATACCGACAGCCGCACCAGTAGCACCAATTATAAATGCTGAGGTGGCTGCAAATCCATGTGTAAGACTATCGTAATCATTCCAAATAGAAAAGTTGTAGTGTTGATTACGTCTTGTTTGCTTGGCAGCAAGAATAGATCTCTTTGAAGTTTCTTCAACAATAGTATCAGTTCCATTGGGGAATTCCTTAGTGTATAAGTGAATGAATCTATCAGTTCTGAAAATTTGATTCTCTTCAAGTAAAATGATAAAATACATAGAAGTCCAATAACCAATCATTGGAAGGAAATTTCCTAAAATAGTAGCAAATTTGTTTCTACCAACCAAGGCACATACAAAGTATACTGCAGTACCAACAATGGCCCAAATCCATCTAGGAACCTTGGCGAAGCCAACACCGGCCAATTGAGCACCAAAGGCCGCGGAATAAGTATTAATAATGTTGTTAGAAACCAAAGACATGAAAAGTAAAACAACAAGGAATTTACCACCTCCTCCCCAAGGTTTGTAGGCTTCAGTAAGTAAACCTCCCATACCGTATTGGGCATATAATTCAGCCCAAGGTTCGTGGTTGAGGGCAATATTACCCAAAAGTAAACCTAAAATGGAAACATAAGTAGTTGGGATAAAGATACCAAAAAAGGTGATGGAGAAAATTTGAACATCTGAAGTAGTTTCAGGGAAAAGAATATAATAATCAGATGCAATCGACCCCCAAGTAGAAGTCACAGAGTAACAAAGAGAAAAAAATGAAAGCCAGTTCCCTTGAATCATTTTACTATCATTTGCAATAGCAGGAGCATCAGCATTGGACAAATACTTGTACTTTGAAGATGCAGCTACATACAACAATAAAAAGGAAACATTGACTGGAATAGCCAAGAATGCTTCAAATCTCATGAGTTGTTTAATACCACAAGTTGCAACAATGAAGGAAACACCAGCAATAATGATGATCCCGGCATATAATGGGATTTTCCCGTCACTAAGACTCGAAAGGATTTGACCACCAACCACAGAATTAACAACTGACCAACCCATGACACCAAGAATACTAACCAAGGATATAAGTTTGACAGACCACCATCCAAAAAGAAAGCGAGCAGATACCATTTGACGACATCCTGATCTTGGGCCCATAAGAGAACAGTATGCGGCAATAAAGCATCCAATAGTACTTCCGATCAAACCAGAAACCATGGATTTACGGAGTCCTAATTCGAAAAGAAGAGGACCCAAGAAGAATGAGGACATCGATGATAAACCCCCAGCTGCAGATAACCAAAGACCAATGACGGAAATAAGTTGCTTAGTCTTGTTGGTGGAACGTTCGTAAGGTTCAATACGTTCAATACCTCTAGTTTCTACACCAAATGAGTCAAGTTTCTTAGAAGCGATCGCAAGATAAGCCAAGATCGAGAACGAATCATTAGAGTCAGAGTAATCATCCGACATTCTGGGCGCAGCCTTTGAGCTGGTCTCGTAAGCTTCAACCTTCTCCATTATTAAAAAGGGGGAGTTCTAGCTGAAATCAGACGGAAAATTTACCTGATAGGCTCTATAAATGATATAAATAGTTTTTCATATTTTTTTTTTTTTGAGATGCATGAAAGTTCTCCATAGGAGTTACTTAGCCGTTCATAAGTTGGACTCGCGCCAATTTGTTCTGAGTCACCAATTTGTCAGAAAAAAAATTTAAGAAAGACGGAAAGCGAGAGCCACAGTTGACACAGATTAAAGTGATAAAAAAGTAAGGTTTGTATTAAGTATTCTACTGTTATAAAATTTTAATTCAGTTTCAAATTTCCCAGATCAACGTTTTAAGCATATTGTTAGCGAATTTCGTTTCATCGATAAATTGGATATTTTTATTTTATTGTGCTTGTTTATTTTTTTTTAAAAACATAAATCTTTTGAGTCATGTCGTACTAACCAGAACTCAAGTGTTAGACATTTATGCGACATTTTAAAGAGGGGTTTAGTACAAAACATCGAAGAATCACACACGAGCAATGACAAATATAGTAAAGAAATTTTTAGATCAAACTAATTTATTGATTAAAAAAATAATCTAGTAGCTTGGGAGCGTAGCAATTATTTAGACTATGATTCAATGTTATACTAATATGAAACTAGTAAATTTCATTCATTAATTCAATTTCTCTATGTATTTTAAAATTTTCCCCATATTTTTATAGGGAGCCTGCATGTGACGAAGATCCGGACGTCCGGGTCTGGGGTAAATCGGGTTTGTGTGACTAAAGTCAGATTGAAGTTTGTATTCCCTAGGCCCGAGCTATTTCAATCTACCTCCGCACGAGACGGTTTTCCAAGTAGAAACCTTGTAAACGAATAATTATTTTATTTGAATATTAGCTTATATTTTGCAACAAGGTACATATTGACTGCTATTCACTGCTAGCGGGGAAATACAACCAGTCAAGGGAAAGAAAAAAACTAAATTGAAAAAAAAAAATACGTAGAGAAGAGAGCAGAGGAGCGAACCAAACAAACAGGAGATACGATCGATTTGAATCAAATCAAGTAATACAAGGAAATACAAGAGCTAGCAAGATGTCCGAGGGGGCTGATGGAAACGTAAAGGGGGAGCCCACGAACTTCAAACTCATCAGAACAAACACGGGCGCTGTGAGAGTATCACAAGCGTGTGATCGTTGTAGAATCAAAAAGATCAAATGTGATGGGTTGACTCCATGCCACAATTGTTCCAAGATCAGTTTCGAGTGTAAGACTAGTGATAAACTTACCAGAAGAGCATTTCCAAAAGGGTACACCGAGAACTTGGAGATAAAGTTGAAAGAATTGGAGGATGAGAATAATTTATTAAAAGAGAAATATGGGTTGAAAGCTGTTGATGGGAATAGCAAGAAGAAGAGTACTAGCGATAATATGGATAACAAATCGAATCATGGCTCTATGAATGATGATATTGATACAAGTGCCATAAATACACAACCCAGTACGGGGATGCATACTCCTTCTCGAGGTCATCACTCAGACAATAGAGTCACGTTGAATAACAACTCCACGCATACTACCGTGCAAATTAATAACCCAATTGATCAAATATTTAATCTTGACGGTAAGGGAATCATTATTGGGAATGATAATCTTAATTTTGAGTCCCAATTCAATCATTTGTTGATTAATCTTAATCTTCCGTTCTTGAAGATTACAAATTCTCACAATTTCTTATTGAATGATCCCAACTCCTATTTGTATCATCCATCGTACACCATGTACAATCAGTTCCATAATCGGGATTTGGATGTTATTTATAATCCATTGACAGCAAACAACAGTCAGCATGATGATCTACTTGGAGAAATGGTGACTCTCACCAATAATCAACTCCCGATTGATATTTATGATTTATTTATTAAATTGATCAACAATTTTAAAAAGATTTTCAGTCTGAAAAAGGAGTTGGATAGTTATATTGTTCAATTTTTCTTGAATTATAACATATTCATCCCTATTTTGGATTATAAACAGTTCATGGAACTGTATGATGCATTCCATACCATGTACCCCTTTATGTTTACATACGATGATGCGACAATCAATGGGTTCAACATTCTGAACAACGATTATCATGTGGTGAATGAATATCTCATGGTGGTTGTGCAAATTTATGCTATGATAATGATGAATGATCCTACAATCAATTTAAACTTACTATTGAATCATGCAGAACCAGGGTATTTGTTGAACAAGAAGTCGACTTCGGTAATTAGATCATTGTATGATTTTTTACCATATTTCAATGTCTTCCATGTTTCAGTTACTCAAATGCAAACTTATTTATTATTTCTTTATTATTCATTAATTACGAATAATAAGGAGAAATCATTGGTATTATCATCGATGATTAATTCATTTATTGGGATCTTGGGGATTAATTTGAATTCTAAAAATTTATTTTTCAATGATTTAACCTTAACATTATCCCAAAAGAGAACAAGAGTCAAGATTTTCTGGGTATTCAAAGTTTTATTGAAGGTTTTTAATTTGAAATTTGGTTTCAAACCAAGTATTAATACCACAGTTATTAACCCAGTAACCATTGAAAGATATTTTGAATTAACCCCTGCCAAACTCAGTCTGTTATTAGACGAAGCAGAAAATGACGAATTATTTAAAGTATTACTCAAGCCAAGTATTGAATTTTTAAATTTAGTGAATATCATTATTCCTTCTTCATTTTCACCAAATTATTATCAATATTTAAAGGGTGATTCTTCTTCGAACAATCCTCAAGAACAACAGAAGAATAGAAAAAATCACCCCAAACAATTAGATTGGATTTTAAATGATGATGATGGAGATGGTAATGATGGAAATTTGAATTATAATTTTACTCAATTTGCAACCATTGACCGTAACTTGACTACTTGGAGAGCTTCATTAAAGGATAAGGAAATTAATTTAATACCATTCCAATTACAAATGAATCTACCAGTTCTTTCAAGTATAAAAACAAATAATTTATTCCATTCCATCAACAATTATGACATACCAAATGAAATAACTCCACAAGCATTTGAAAGTTATTCCAATACAGGTTTGCCTGATATTTATACAGCATCACAATTGATTAAAATTCAATTAAATTTCCATTATTTATTGATTCGTTCAATGAACTATTTGAATTTTGTTATTGATAAAGAATTGACTAATAATTTTTATTTGAAGATTTCTGACATATCAAGAGAAGTTTTGGCATATTTCTTGTTGGTTTTCAGCCATGTTGGAGACTCTAGGGAAAGCTGGGAATCGACAAAGGCTAAAAGCAAGAGCTCAGCTCCTCATAATGCAGTCATGGAAAGTTTGGGACTTGATGTGGATGAAGATGGGTTTGTCATTAATGATTTCCTGGTGAAAAGAAGGAAGATTGCCCCAGTAAATTATCCATCACAACAAAAGAAATTAATTCATGAACTTCCTAGATCTCCATTCAATCATATTTTAAATGGGTTATCAATGACTATCATCAATTTCAAGAAATCAATCATATTACAAATGTTATATTTATTGATTTGTTCATTAAAAGTGTTTAAAAAGGGAGGTCAGTTATCTAAGGATACAAAGGATATCTTGAATGATAGTGTTGACCTTTTTATCAGAGTATATATCAATTATAATTCAAACATAAGACAATATAGTTTGATGAACAATAATGGGAGCATTGGAAATGGTGTTAGTGCTGCCGGTCAAATAAAGCAATCTGAAAGAGTTCAAAAAGAAAACAAGTTATTCAATAAATTGATAAATGACGAATTAAAAGAAGAAATATTGAAAGAACCTAGAAGAAGTGGAGGTGGCGATAGTGATAGTGATGAAAGTGATGAAGAAATTGATGAAGATTCTGAAATTTCTCAAATTGATTGGGATGATGAAGATATGGATGAAGATTTAAAATATTTGAAGATATTGAAATTTGTCAAATATAAAATCAATAATATGTATTCAATCTCCCAATTTCAACAAAGATCGAAAACACAAACTCAACATGAACAAAAGCAAAAACAAAAGCAAACACTGAACAAAGAGAATGTTGAAATTGGAGGTAGTAGAAATTCTGAATCTCAAGGAATCTCAAGTATACTGTCCGATAATTCAATATCTTCGAGTAGAATGTTCCATCCTCCTCTTCCATTGACTACAATGGGGCAAGGATTTAGTGGACCATCGCCAACGTACACTGGGGGACTTTCAAAGATGCCTTCACTAACTAAGTTTGATTTTTTACTTGGAGAGGACCATTTCCCAGTCGAAAGTGCTGGTTCCGCACAACTGACTCCACATACATTTCCTCCAATCAATAAACTAAAAGAATATAATAGTGGGGTTAATAGATTAGAGGATCTTGAGTTGATCAAAAAGGAAAGATTAGCTATAAATGATTTAATGAATTTAAAGAATCAACACCCAGCCAAGGGAGCAGGATCTCCTCCTGTGGCATTTAATGGGAGTTGGAGCTATGACGAAGATAGGAAGACATGATTATGAACCATAAATGAAATTATAAATGAACCATCATTAGATATATGTACTTAGAGATAAAACTTTTTTAGGAAAATATATGTAATTTGTTGTTAAGATAGCAAGACAATCTCTAATTTAGTGATATCATAGACCCCGATAAGTAATGGTCATCTAGTAGTGGGGTACAATAAAATGTGATACTCTATAAAAGTTAGCTTTTCATTGTTGAAGTCCAAATGTAAAGTACTATTTACAACAGAGGCATGTGGGAAAAATAAATTTCGTTGTCAATTGCAATATCTTTCTATTTTGTTCCCACCGGACTTTTGAGAGAAAGTGTGGGGAAATAGATAGTGAGTGTGTATGATAAGAAAAACACATATTTTTTTTTTTCGAAGAGCAACCAGTGTTATTTCAGGAAATTTCAAAAGAAAAACAAACCAGGAACATGATCATGTGAGTTCAAGGAAAAAAGGTGTGGATTACACGCTGAAACAACGAGGCTTTGTCGACATCCAATGAAATCTCAAATTGGTTAGGCCGAGGATTAAGATTATCAGCGGAGAAACATGCGGGTCGGGCAAACAGCGAACTACGGGAAACGCACGACTTTGTGGTGTTTGTATTACAAAAAAAAAAAAACTTGTGAAGAGGAGAAGTTGCAGATTAGAAATCACAAGTCAAGGGTTACTGAAAATTGGCAAGATACGGAAATTAGACACAAAAAAATAACACAATAAGATGTGGTGGCGTAACAAAGAAGATACCAGAATTTCAGAAGTTTAATTTGTATGTATTCACTTCCTTCGCATTCTCTCATGAATGGTATGTATCGTAGTGGTTTTGTCAGAAACAAATTTGCCACCCTTTCTAGACGAGGGTGTACTTCACTTAGCCTATCTGTAGTATTCACTAAGAACCTTCTCGAATTTGTAATCGGGAGAAACGTGTTATCGCATATCCCTATTTATGGTAATACGTCACAAACTCAGCCATAACTTTTTTTTTTCTATCTTTTTTTTTTTTGTGCTATGCAGAATCAGGATGCTGCAAGTTCCCCACGTATCGGATTAAAAATGCTCGCTGGCGGGTTCCACCTCCGAAACATATAAAATGGGCCACATCTGCCAGATATTATTTTCTACATCTTCTTCTCTAGATACGACTTCTAAGTTTCACATTTCCTATTAACAAACCTATTCATATATATAACATGCCTTTCCACTTTGCCGACCACTTCCACAGCTCTCCAATGACTCCAGCTGAAGAGAAGCCTGACTTTTTCCCCACTGTTGATGATAACCAGGAGTCTGCTATTGATTCCGTTGACGCGGTAAATGAAGATGAGTTTGATCACCATGAACCCCGTCCCAGACAAGATTCATTCCATCAATCATCTGACAATTTGATTGTGGGATTGTAAGTGTTAGTGCCAAAGATTTTGAACCCCATATTCGATAATTTTAAGTCTAATCAAAATGAGAATCGCATTTCCCTGTCTTTTGCTAAAAAAAAAAGAAGTATTCCATCGTTCATAAAGGCTCAGTAGTAGCTTATCAGAAGAAATGCCCGCGATGGAAGTATCCCCATGCTATTATTAACAGTATATAATAGTGAGGTACAAAAGCTTATAGCAGCTCCTCTTGCACTTTCCGGTGCATGTGAAATTTTGCCTTACATTCAATAAAGGTAATAGTGATAAAAATATAAATAAATATACGTATAAAGATATATTACTGATATGTTTCAATTCATTTTGTAGGATCAATTCATTATAACACACTCTAAGGTTTTATATTTTTGAACTAATTCTTTTGTAGGCATATCCCATTCAGTATCAATTATAAAGCTTTGCAGTAATGGGTCACAACTGTCCATTTCTATGACAACTTCTAATAAAGCTTCTCCACTCATAAGACGAACTCCCGGTAAAGAATGTTTACAAGCTAACCAACAAAGTCTCTTTTTAGCACTCATCGAAATGTCCAAGTTTAGGCATGAAATATATTGGAACATTTTAATGACTAGCCCAATACGTTGACTATTTGCAGTATTGATATGAAGATTATAACAGCGAATATATAAGGCTTCGTAGTTAAAATCCGTTGGAAATGTAGTCCCTGATTCAAATAGGTATAGGAGTGTATTCAACGTGGCAGTGTAGCGTTTTAATGTTCTTGGAGGTAAAGACTTCAAACCTTCTTTAGGTGAGCCAAGTAGTTTTAACATTTCCATAAAAAATATCGATTTAAATGAACTTTCAGTAGATTCCAAGTATTTCAATAATGTATTTAATGAAGTGTTTATAAGTGAATGGTTAGCCATCCCGACACAGAATACATATCCGGACCAAAAAGACTTTCGTAAGGTTGGATCTTCCAATAGATTCTTAGTGTAAAACTGAAAGAGATTTTGGAAATATAATTCTGTGTTGGAAGATAAAGGTGATACAGTCGCAAAATCATTAGATTCAATTAAAATCGCCATTGCTTGCATCCTAAGACTATCTAATGCTTCAGTTGAGAGTCTCACGACTTTTGAGTACACTTCTGTTATCAAATTGGAGTGTTTCTGTAACGTAGGCAAGTGGTCTTTGATGAAATCAAGTACAGACAGTCTGATTTTAGACCCAACATCACCTTGAATGGTGATAGTATAATCATCTAACATGTTGAGAATTCTTGGTATAATTTCAATATTGATAGCATTCATCTTGAAATGATGTGACAAACTTTTAATGAGCTCAGCTCTTGTTTCAGCTTGAACTCCCTTTTTATTTTCTATCATATTGACGATGACTTGCATGAATGATGAATTAATATCTGAAAGATAACCAATACTTGAAGCTAAATTTAAATTGTTGTGCTTAATAAGACTTATAATACGATCTTGTAAATCGTCTGAAATTTGATCACAACTTGTTGCAATTTCAAAAAGACATTGTATTTGCTTCACAAGATCGGAATTAAACGAAACTCTTGATATTTCGAACAAATGATCCCAATATAGACTCTCAAGTTGAGGTTCACCGTTAAAGTATTCGGCATTTAAAATTGCAGTGAAAAATGATGTGAATTCTTCACCTTTTTCATGAGAATCTGTATGTATATCAAAACTAAAATGTTCTGCAACATACCGAACAATTAGATCCAATTCATTTTCTAAATTTTGCTCCGGCTGTGAAAACAATATCGCAGATATAGAATATAATGCTCCAGGAACTTCCAGTTTAATAGATTTACATAGGTCATGGGTAATTCTCGAGAATTCCCATAACTGTAAATCATCACTCTTGTGATTCTTTAAATCGTATTGCTTGCGTATGTTATTGGTTATGATTTCGTTCAATGAAATGGCACTAAGTTTCTTTATGTGGAAGTCTACGTCAGGATCGTTAATTTGGTTCATCAATATCGATATGAAGAAATTCACATTGAATCCCATGTATATCAATTTGGGAATTATTTCATATGATGCTGCTAAAGTAGACACTGAAGGTGTGTCAAAAAGCTGAATAAACTCAATGATAAACCCACCCATTAGTTCCCCGTCAAGATCGATCTCTTTTCTTTCAAACTCAAATATATAGAGTCCAAATCTCCCAATATATTCTTGAAGTACAGCAATACCACATCTTCTGATAATCAAATCTGTATCAAAAATTGCAACTTGGAAAAGATCGTATAAAATTGTTTGCAGAGTAAAGGAGTCAACAATTTTAGGAAATTCTCTAGCCGGAATACTTCTTGAGATTGCCCAAAGTACAAAGCAAGACGAGTCTCTTATTTGAGAACCCAAGGTCACGGTAAGTAATTTTTGGCTGAAAAAGAGAGTCTTATGTATTATACTCAATACCACGGGGATATAACTCGTAGGTAAACTTTTCTTTAGAGTAAGATATCCTAGAAATAAGAGGACAGTATGATAATGCGATGTTGATACGTAGTCAGGTCGTATATCTAAATCTGGATCAAACACAGAATCATTGGGAGAATCCATTTGTAAGTTTGAGATTTCCAAATCATTTAGGATATAGTTTATGATTTGATCTTGATAATTGACTGCGGTGGTAGAAAGGTGTGTGCATATATTACTTAGAGTCTTTGCCAATGCATATCGCAAGCTTGTATCAAGTTTCCCAGCGGAAGAAAGTGGGAATAGAATGCGTTGAAACAATTGGTTTATATTATCTGCCACTGGTAAATATTGTAAGCATGATAATTCATAAAGACACCATCTTTGAGATAATTTAATTAAATATAATACATTCATGTTGGTAAAATCAGATTGATCTTGACAATCTGATTGAACAATGGCAAAATCATGATCCAAAATGTCACGAACTACCAAATAATAGTCGTTATTAGAAGAGCCATCTATTCTCTTCAAGATTTTATTGATTGTTATCATATGACCCAATTTCAAAGAGCTGGGATACACTTTGTTCGTTAAGTTCAAACTCCAAACCGGTGGAATTATATTCATAAAATAATCGTTTAAAAGAACTTTCAGATCAGATCTTGTTAATAGTCTCGATAATAAGATCAGAATCATGATTTGATTCTTGGATCCCTTAGAATATTGACCCAATGCTCTCAAAGACATGCTGAATAGCCTGTCGGGTATGTCTGGGGAAATTTGTTGTAATTGAAAGGGCACTAGTACAAGGTTTGATAACCATAATAATATCAAGAATTGTTGACTGTCACTAGTTTTCGTGTTATCTTCCATCCATAAGAGAAGTTTTGGAACCATATAGACATCACTGGAGAAGTAATTGGTAATGTATTTAAATCCACGAATTTTGGACAAGGTATAAACAACTACCGCGATTGATTCAAGTATATCATCCACCACATCACTTTCACGAGCATTGGAATAGCCGAGAGATAAACTGTCTATATAACGAGACAATGAAGAGTCCAAGAGATTGGGGGATGGTTCAAACTCCTGCACTAGCACCTTGATCTTATTGGCGATCACCAATACTTTGGAACCTTTAGATCGATTGATTTGATCTGAATGGGATTTTTTCAATTTTGTCTCATCACATAATTGATTTATTAATGTATTTATTTGTGAATGCAACCCATCTTTCCGTTTCAATAACAGTTCCTCTAATAACTGATCCATTTGATAAGATGTTTATGGATGTATACCCTATACTTTGTCGGTATATGGTCTCCTATTTGTAATAGTGTGTTGCAATTCCATTATCCTGTATATACGTCTCAATATCATTCTTTGAACATGAAAGCAAAAAATAAAAAAAAAAATTTGGTAAAGATTTAATATTTTGTTTCATTCATTAAGTCTAACGATGTCAGCTCCAGCCAAGACTATGTTCTATAAGATCATTCAAAAGAAGTCCACCATCGGAATGCCACCATGGGTCCGTAGAAATATCCAACTTTTGGGTTTGAGAAAGAGACTTGATGTGTCATACCAAAGAGTTTCCCCATCCACTGCACACAGAATCGCTGCTGTTAAGGAAATGGTTGAGATCGAATTAGTTGAGCAACCTAAGACTAGAGAACAAGTTGCCAATGAAAGAAAGCCAAGTCCTGGATTTGTGCTTTTAAAGTCTAACTAGGCGAAATGAAGAGAACGATATACAATTATAATATTAGAGGTTACCGCGTTATGGATGGTGGTAGCCTTGCTCTGGGAGTAGCATGAGAGTTGGAAAGTGTAAGGTGTCACCATTCTTTCTTTCGCCATACACATAAAGATTTCTCCAACATTACAAAAGAGAAAAACACCTGTACATATAGAGATCAATAATCATATAGTGCCATTAATAAAGACGGTACATTAAAATTTATGTTTAGTATAGATATTGTAGATCAAGATGAGGTATATACAAAAGTATTATAACCTTGAACTACCCTTCGATTTAATATACACCGTTACATACTGAAGTATAAAACTCTTTTGAGTTTGAGCAATGTCGCTGAATGTCGTATTCTTGAAATTTTCCATCAGTGCGACATTCTCCTCCCTACATTGAATAAGAGCTATTTTATACCAATTTATTTGAGCAAATTTATCTAAAATAATACAATTCAATGAAATATCATTGTTCATTTCATGTTTCATTCTTTCATCATTAAAATTCTCTATACTTCTAGTAAAGTAGTAGTTCATATATAACGAATTATAAAGTAGCTACCAAAATCTTGACTCTGATTGGCTACTCAAGCTGTCTGTCACGTGCAAGATGAAAGAAAATATTGAATAAATCAAAAGAATCCAGAAAAAAAAAAAAAAAAAAGAAATATGATGAAGATGAAAACATACCATTTTTTATTTCTCCAGCTATCACCAACACCTTTAGTTCTACCAGATTAAATCATTTGTTATTATCTTCACATATTCATCCATAATGTTTGCATCCATACGAGCCACACAAAGAAATAGGTTGACCAATTCCTTATTCACTTCAACTTTTGCTGTATGCTTTATTTTAGTTGGTGCCAACTCTCTTGTACCATGTCCTATAGATAGTGTCCATGGTAACGATTCTGTGATAGATGAAAGACTCAAGAGACACCAAAAGGAGGCTGACAAGCAATAAGGGCATTTCACTTCTATCGCGAATAAGCACACGCCAATTCTTACTAGAATTATTTTTGATGATTCATCGATGGACCATCAACTCCAACTTATACATATTCAGGCTTTAAGCCAACTACGCATTTACAAAAATTTACCTGAAGTAAGAACACTTTATGGAAATATAACACTGTACCATAGACAATTATATATACTTAGAATATTTTTTTTACATTACAAAAAAATTCAATATTATGATTCCATTCATTCCATTAAGCATAATCTGTACTTCTTAGTAGTGTTGAAAATTAGCCAATAATAGAAGTAGTAAAAAAAGCACACCATTGAGCTTTTGATATTTAAGACTGCAGGTTACCATCTCAATTCTCAATCCATTTACTCTCCAAGGTTTCCTGTTTAAACCAATTATTCCTGTATATTTCGTAGAACTTAATATTAATACTTAGGAGAGACTCTAAGACTTTAGTGACTCGGTGGTCGTTGACATACTTGAGAGAGATTGGGTGTAGGTGATATATAATTCACAAATGGATACGAATTAAGATTACTTTATATTTTTTTTTTTATGATGTTCTCGAACTTTTGATGGAACCTCCATTTGGGGTAAAGTGGAAACAGGCGGCTGCAAAAACTTTTAACTACTGATTTCTGGGTTACATGATACTGACTACCGTCTTGTGGGCCGAAATTACTTATTTCAAATGGGTAATATTTCTTGATTCTTCTCTATGTTTCTTTTTTCTATTTAGGAAAGAACTGATTCAGATTTGAATATATTATAGATATGAAAGAACAAGATCTCCTGTATAAGATGTTGAGATTGAGACTCAAATCCCTTCACTGAGACTTGTCAGTTGTCTCTAAGGAAGACGTAGTTATAACTTTAGAATCAGACATAATATATAGAGAAGCAATTGCCTATTGAGGTAACAAAGGCAAACATTTAAGTTTATTCGATAAATTTAATAGAAGTTCAGCATAAGGTTTCTATCTCTTCGTGTATTTTTATGATTTCTGGTTGCCTTTGTACACTTATTAAAGAAACATTCAGGAGCAATATGACCTGTCCTTTTACATAGTTGGCAGATTGGTTTTTCCTTAACAGATGTAACCACAGGGATTGGCGAGCGGCAAGGCAAATTACTAACTATGAATCTTCGATGTATCCATAGAGAGAGGGAAATAATTCATAGTACCTGAGTAAATGATCTTTGGAATCATTCGCAGTAACATAAATTGAAGCAATAAGTTGCTCAGGCAGAAGAAGAGGAAGATATTGCTTTTTGTTCTTCTTTCTATATGGTTGCAAAAAGAACAGCAAAAAAAAAAAACAGATTAGTGTGAATTCACTTAGGAGTAAAACTGTTAATTTTATTGAACCCCGACAAGTCCTACTATTAATATCATTTTAATTATTATGATGTGATTATCATACATCTACAGTTTAAAGAAAGAAAAAAAAAATAAAGAAAAGAAAAAAGAATGCTCTATTTTTCTGATTCCAAAAGATGTTTACTATAGATTTCTCGACCTCTCTCAATTGCTAATCGTGCGTTATTAATCGGTTATGAATGAAAGAATCTCTCAATTTTCATTTCCAGTAATTGATAATCAACTCTCTGCTGGTTTTTCTTTACTCGGAAATAAGAGGAGTTATGTAGTATCCTGTATACAGGAATTTAAAAATTTTATTATTCCTCAAAATTCGTATTTTCTTCTTAATCTCAAAAATGACAGGGGTTTGTTCCCCATCAGGAAAATGTTTACAAATATAAAGACAAACATTTTATCCAGGTATCCATTTGAATACACATATAAAAGAAGTTCTTTGTGTTATAAATTCTCTCACCTTACAGCTGTACAATTTCAATTTTGCTACCATATTCATTCTAGGTCGAAGCAAATACTCCGGAGATAACAAATTGACAGGTTCTCGGCCGAAATTTAGTTTTCATGACAGGAGCTAACTAATATTTTTCCCCTCCAAGAAAAACACAAACTTTGTTGGGCCCCTTCTTTATTATTGCACTTGGCAGCTATAAATAATGTCCTTGAACTAAAGATCATAAGGCTGATCAGACTCTCATCCCAACGTAGAAAGTACCTCTAGTTCTATGACCGAAAAACATTAATAGCCTGTCGCATTATTTTGCACAGATTTTGTCCGGAGATACCAAGTGGCTGGAGTTAAACGGAGGGAGATCTAATGTTTATTTCCAGTCATAGCACGGCGAAGATGACACATCAAACTCCCTTTACACGACTGTACACATCACACTCCTTAGTACGTGGGAGATGACACATCAAACTCCCTTACACGACTGTACACATATTTCTAGAATACATAAACACTGTACTTCTCCTCTTTTGGCAGCCATTGTTAGTTCAGTAATTATTTCAAGATGTCTCTGGATACTGTTCGAGCCTTGTCCAATCCCGTGGTTGCAGATAAGAAAGTTTTCATTGAAAGTGACGCTGGTGATGGGACCAAGCGTGAAGACCAATATCTTCATGGAACAAAATTGGTCCTTTGCTTACTCTCGTTGTTTTTTTCATTGTTCCTCGTAGCTCTTGATCAAACCATTGTTATCACTCTTTTAAGTGACGTTGGTAACAAGTTCAATGCCCTCGATAAAGTTGGATGGTTGGCTTCGGGGTTTCTTCTTGCCATGGCGGTGTTTGTTGCTACTTGGGGTAAGGCCTCTGTAATTTTTGGCCGTAAAATTGCCATGTATGTTGCCATTGTCTTGTTTGAAGCAGGCTCGCTCATGTGTGCCTTGTCAAACTCTATGAATGTATTGATTGGTGGCCGTGTCCTTGCTGGGATTGGGGGTGGTGGTATCCAATCTTTGGTCTTTATCATCATCACCGAAATTGTCCCCATTGAAAAGAGACCTTCTACTATGGCATTCATTGGTTGTGTTTCCGCAGTGGCATCTGTATTGGGACCATTGATCGGTGGGGCCTTCACATCTAATGTCAGTTGGAGATGGTGTTTCTACATCAACTTACCAGTTGGTGCTGTTGCCCTTGTCTTTTTATTCTTTGCCTTTAATCCTCCTAAAACTCAAGGTAATTTTACTAAAAAGTTGAAAATGATTGATTATATTGGAACGTTCTTGTTGACTTCTGGTTGTGTGATCTTTCTTTTGGCCCTTACCTTTGGCGCCTCAACTTATTCATGGGACTCTGCTGCAGTTATTTGTTGCTTTATCTTTGGTGTCGTGATGCTTATTGCCTTTGGTGTATGGAACTTTAAATTTTCCAAGCTGCAAATTCTTGCTACTGAAGTTATTGTAATTCCTCAGATTGTTGCGGCAACTCTTACAATGTTTAGCATGTTTGCCTATTTCATGGCTTCAACTTTGTACTCTTCAGTTTATTTCCAAGTCATTTGGGGTGCTGATGCTTGGCATTCAGGATTACATTTACTTCCAACCATTATTCCCGTGGTGATTGCTTCGATTTCTAGTGGTATCACCATCAACAAGACGCGTTGGGTTAAACCATTCCTGGTTGCCGCAGGTATCTTGGGTCCAATTGGATGTGGTCTTCTTTCCATACTTGATGTTGATTCTTCTAGAAGTGCTCGTATTGGCCTTTTAATTGTGGTTGGGTTCTCATGCGGGTTGCACATACAAAGTTGCATTATCTCAGCCCAAATCCCTGCCCCAAAGACCCCCGGTGGAACCATTATGGCTACCACCTTCATTAACTTAGGTAGAGGTCTTGGAGGTGCTGTTGGTGCTGCTCTTGCAGACGCTGTGTACAACTCGTCGTTCAAAAATGCATACAGGACCAATGTGAAGAAACTTACTGACCAATCTATATTAGAACAATTAGATAAAATCAATATTTCACAACTCACTACATCTTCCACAATTCTTAATACACTTACTCCCGATGCCAGATTATTTGTCAAGAAGCAAATCATGGCAGGTATCCGTAATGTGTTCTATATGTGTCTTGGGCTTGCTTGTTTGGCATTCCTCACTGGTTTATTCATGACAAATAAACGCTTACCACAAGCCAGTGCAGGGGCATCTGCAGTCGCAAAAGAAACCCCAAGAAGTGATGGCAATAAAGACGATTCGGAAGAAGCTAGTTCCAATAATGGTGAAAGAAGGGATTTCGAAAGGGAAAAGGTTACAGTATGAGCCAGTTTCGAAATTTTTATAAATAGACTTTAAATAACATATATATATGCCTAAATAAACTATGATATGAGCAATAAAATTAATAATTAACCTATCGTTGTATATTTCAAAATTATTTAAATTAAACTGGTTCAAACCCTTTTGAAATTCAGGCAAGGCATCGATAGTATCACACCATTTACATGGCCATTGCTTGATATCAACCCCGAGTCTTTCCAAACCTCTAGCCCATGTGAAAATGGCAATGTCGGCAATAGTGACACGGTCCCCGAGGCCGTTTTCCTTATTTCTTTCTAAGTACAATTCGTTAAAATACAATTGATTACATGATAGATAATGTGAATAGTACAAAGAGAAAATTTGCATAACACACATGGTGAAATCTTTTTCGTTGCTACATAGAAAGAATATGATTCATTAAATGGGTAAAATATAAGCTTTGCAACCGTTTTCATATTGTCGCGTTTTTGCATTCACATACTTGTATTGTTCATTTTTGGAATTGGATATCTTATGAGATTTGCAGTTCCACCAAAGTATACATATTTCCTATTTAGCATCCTAATTTTATAGATTCAAAAAATATGATTTCTAATTATGGTCCTCACGTACTTAAAAATTCCATAACAGGTATCACTTCCACTGTACTGCAAAATGATGGGTTCTATAATGTTGTATAGAAGTTTTGCTTGCATATAAATCAAAGAATTGTATACAGGATTAGTGGATTTTGATATTCTTGTACATAACCCTAAAGGGGGAAAAGGTAAATAAACATGATTACATCTCCTAATTGGTAACTAAATTGCATTTTAACAAATACAATATAGACTGAAAAGGCTTGCGTCTAGAAAATCTTAAGACAGCTTTCCTATCCTTCTTCTCCCTTTTCTTTCCCGATTCTTAGAGTGCAAACTTTTTCATATCCCTTGAATTGTGTAAAAGTCGTGATTCAAATATATCATTACTTCCCCTAAAGAGCATTAACATTCACCTTAATAGGTATGACCCCTTCCACATGTGTTGCAACTGTTGCACCAACCATGGACTATTCGGTTCCTAGACGTAGCTCGTTTAAGCTGCTCTATATGGAAAATATACCCAGAGAAGCTTTGCTTACTGAAACATTAAAGCTTCCTAAAGAACGTTCAAGTAAACCACTTTATTTGGACTCGCCAATTAAGAAGTCATTCCCAGAAACTGACCAATCCAAAGTTACTATTGACCCATTACATGATATCCTTTCCACTAGCAAAAGGATGATTGAACAGTACATTGTACAATTACCATTTGCCAACGAATCAAAATCTATTTCATCATCTACGCGTCCAAAGACTCCTAGAAAGACAATGTCAAATAATCTTATTGAAACTCCATCAAGAGGCCAGAAACGTACTCGTCCTTCAGAAAAGGAACAAGATTTACGAAACACGTCTAATGCAATGGCGTTTGAATCCCCAATACCCAATAAAACAATCTTCTTTTCTCCACATCATCAAGGCTCAACGAAACAGGTTTCTAGAAAGTCTTCCCAATTATTCCAATCAACCCCTGCATTCAAAGACTTCGGTATACTGAAAAAGCAAAGTCCTCTGAAATTATTAAAATCTGACTTGGCTTCCACGTTAGAATTCAGTCAACTTGTAATTCCTTCTTCTGAACCATTAGCATCAACCCCTATGAAAGAATATGCACCATTTTCATACACTCCAATGGATAAGAATGACAATCAAGAAGAAGAGAATTATGACGAGTTAGCATGCCATGCCGACAACATTCTTCGTATGGCTGTAGATTCCACCATGTTGGGTTCTTCATATAATGCCAGTCTTTCCTCTAATTATTCAGTAGGTCCAAATGATTCAATGAATGGAATTTTATCAAGAAAGAAGAATATGGAAGTGTTTGACGATAATGATCCAGAAAGAAGTTTACTTGAAATTAAAAAAGCCAAGTGGGGTCAACTTAGTAGAGAAAAGGCAACCAAGATTGAGATTAATGCCGAAGATTTACAAAATATTCTTGGGGATTAGTTGTAAGTGATCTCCATTCAGATCTTCGTCTGTTTATTATTTAGTTCTGTTTATTATTAATGTCATGCCCTTCTATTTACGTTTCAAATAGATATTTTATGTAAGTGAGATCTCTCGTGTCTACCGACTTGTAGTACTTTCTATTTAATTCAGGAAGTGGACGGCCAGATATCACTGGGTAATCTTTACAGAGTTCCCAACTAGCCCAAATCTCTTCAATTTGTGACGATTTGACTCCCTTAATTGACTCATCATATGTAACCTTGCAATTGTCTGGGTTGCTTATGAATTTTATCAATTGTTGAGTCTTAACATTGGTGTCAATAGCTAATTGTGGTATATTCAGTATCAATTCTTGCATTCGTGGATGCATGATCCCTTCATGTTCTAAAAGATAATTATACATATAAAATTGGAAGGAATCGTGGAAATCATCCCTAATGATGGATGATATCAACCAAATATATCTTTCATGGGATATTTTACCCGAATTATTTTTTAAATACTTGAAAAGTTGAAATGAGATCATTTTAGCTCCTGATGATTTAGAGGCCGCATTCAAAATGATGTTCATCAGATCATCATCTAACCATTCACTTACAAGGTTTGGGTTTACCTTATGGACACTAGTCAAGACTCTGATAATCCCAGAAAGATTTTGGAACTTGTTAACGTGATTCAATACGCAATTCAAGAATAAAGTAATAGTCTCTGTAGATGCGTTTTTTTCCGTTTGTAAATAATTTATATGTTCAACGACAAATGTAGAAAGTATATTAAGATTGGCCAAGATGTTACCCTGTTTAGAGGATTCAATATTAACATTTTGGAGTTTTGATTTTAATGTATGGACTTCACTTTCAAGTACCCGCTGGGCTTCTTGCAGTTGTCTTTGTTGTTGGTGAGCTTCCACTTTGGAGTCATAAACATTATAGTTATTGAATTTTTGAGACATAAACTCAGTTATATCCCGATAGGTAATTTTGTCTTTACCTTCTTTCGAAAGCTTTTTCATAAATCCGTCCAATACATCCAAAACTAACTCCACGCTATGATCTTTGTTTGTGGTGGAACTTGCAGGAGAATTGGAGTCCCATTCATGTAAGTCGGGGCTCGAACAATAGGATTCTATTATACATACACACAATTCCTTTGTGAGAGCCTTTTCACCCTTCATTCGTTTATGAATATAATGCGATTCTATTAATGTAAGAGTCAGAGCAACATCACCGTGAAGTGCTAAAGTATAAAGAATTTGTAGAGTTGTTTCATCATTGATTGAATCAAGAATCGTATTCTTAGCAGTAGACTCGATTGAAGTATGGTCTGGGAAAAGTATGTTCTCAGTAGTAATCTCTGCATCTTCGTATCCTTGCATGATGATTGTATCATATATGTACCTCACGAGGGAATAATGACTTACTGAAAGTCCTACATTGAGATATGACAACCAATGATGATATTTAATCAACTTTTTTGACGGGTCTTCAACTTTATCTTCAACCTCGTGGATTATTTCAAGCCATTTTACAAGGCCATCGCAGTGTTTGTCAGCAGCAAGCAGATCAAGTAGTCTTATGGTGGGCAAAGTTGATAACACATCAAACATTGAATGGTTATTTACATCGTTCCCATCCGTTAAAGCCGTGAACGTACTTTTAAACAAATCCTGAGCTGCTTCAACTTGGCCAGTATTCAACATGGTATGTATGTAAGCTGAGAAGTATAGTAATTCAATGTTTGGAGATGATGTATTGGCACTGAAATAATTTTCCCAAAGAAGTTTCAAGACAAATAACTTGGGGATTTCGGTGCAATGTTGATAATTTCTTAATATTTGGTATATCATTGCTTCGTGTTCTTCAAGTGGTATATTTACAATTTTTTCTAGATCATTAGTGGATGAAATTCCAGCATCATCCACGATTGACATGTAAGCTTCGATGGCTTCTTCAAGCTTGTTTTGTTTACAAAGTAGTTCCACCGCTTGGTAAGTCTTTGGGATATGTTTAGCTGTCGTACGAATCAGCACTGGATTTGTTTCATGGTGATTGGCAATTCGGTTAAGGTTAGATTTTCTTTTTGAATCAAAACTTCTTCTTGAGGATCTAACACTTGGTATATCCGTTGAGATTGATCTACAAAAATTTATCAGTTGTAAACGTTTCAATGGGTCGCACTTCACTCGAAGCACGGCCAGGATCCTAGGTTTCATCAATCACTATTTTTCACGGAAGATAGACCTTTCTTGGGAACAATAGAACCATACTTTATAATGTAAAAAACAAGTTTCCCATGCAGCACTTGATTCATATTTCCATCGCGAATATGATTCTTTGATAATTTTTCTTTAAAATCCAGATTTGTCAACTCGCTCTCCATCGTCAAATCAACTTACTATGCTTGGATTGGTTTTCAGAAGGAGGTTGGCAACTTCTGCTTCAGCAGAAAAGGCAGCTTCTGTTGCTAAGAATTCACAGTTTAACGTTTTCGACCGTAAAAATAAACTTATTCAACGATCAAAGACACCTGCTTTGGATCCGGTAAAGTCCCGTAAGGTTGAATATTTAAGGGATGAAGTTGCAACGAGAACTATTGAAAGATTGGCCTTCATTACTAGAGATTTCACCAAGGTGCTTGACTTTGGTTCGCATTCTGGGAACTTTGCTAAAAACTTGTGTGAAGAAACACCACTCGGAGAGAATCCAAATGAGGAAGAATTACATTTCACCACACAGTTGAATAATGATAGAGTTACCATCAGAAATAAAATAAAGGAATTAGTGATGCTTGATTCTTCTAAGGAAGTGTTGGACCGTGATTTAAATGAACCATTTAATGAAATATTTCCTGGTAAGATCACTAGAGTGGTTGCAGATGAAGAGGCATTTGACCATGAATGCTTAAAGGAATCTGATCAATACGATGCCGTGGTGTCTAACTTATCATTGCACTGGATCAATGATTTGCCTCAAGCTTTGGCTAATATTAACCGTGTATTGAAACCAGACGGGCTCTTCATGGGCTCAATCATTGGTGGTGACACCTTGTATGAATTAAGAACTTCATTGCAATTGGCAGAATTGGAAAGAAAGGGAGGAATGTCTCCACGAGTATCTCCTCTTGTTCATTTGAATGATGTCGGATCCCTTTTGAATCGTGCAGGTTTCAGTATGCTTACCATCGATTCCGAAGATATTGTCGTGGGTGGATTCCCAGACATCGTATCACTCTGTGAGGATTTACAACTGATGGGTGAACAAAACTCCGTGTTATCCCGTGCCAACTTCCTTCCTAAGGACGTTTTACTTGCAGCTAATGAAATCTACAAATCTATGCATGGAGAGGAAGGTCCAGACGGTGTTGTAACTTTGCCTGCTACATTCAGCGTTATTTTTGTCATTGGATGGAAGAAGAGTGAAACTCAACCACAACCTTTGAAGAGAGGAACTGGCCAAGTCAGTCTTAAAGATGTTTTATAGATGTACATAATGATATAAATGAACGAAAGAAGGAAACTGTATTTATATGAAAACTAACAATTAAGAATAATAGCAAGAGCACTTTGGAATAAATAAACTGATATTTAGACTCTAAAACTACAAAAATCGCCTATTTCTTAGGAGAATCGTCGTTTATATCTATAGTATTGGTTGCAAATCGTTTATTGCCACTAATTTTGCTCATTTGTGGTTCACATTTCCTAATTGGGAATCTCTATCCGAGCCGAGACATCGATTTGAAAATTTTAAAATCAATATCAACATCAAATCTCCAAATATGAGTTTAAGCCAGACAAAGATTTAAGCAGGTCCTACTTAATCATATGATATAGGATCTGGTATTATATGGAAAACAAAAAATGTAAGAGTACTTAATTTAATGTAATATTCACTTATCAATCTGTAACCCTCGGATTTGCCCCACGAACCGGTTGCTGCACGCGCGCATTCATCATATCTTTTGATATCTTGTGATACCGAGGTCACTATCTCCACTTTTACTTTCTTCTTAACCCGAGATCACATTCCCACCTTTTCTTTAGAATAGGGTGTGCCACAACTTGTTGTATTATTAGTTTTATACCAATACTCTATCTAAACCACAAATTTTATACAAAGTTTTTGTTCCAACAAGAAACTGCACTTCAATTTGATAACAGGTTCTTGCCCCCGACGTTCCATCTCTCAATCCATTACTAAAATAATATAACTAGAGGAAACAGAAAAGACTGGTTATTATGGGCTTATTCAAACCTTCAACGCCCACTGGCCAACTGCTAGTGTTACCAACCTACAAGTTGGACTCGAATTTGGTGCTTCTTCCAGGTATTATCTACAATGTCACCTTCTCCCGCTTCAAGGCAGCAACTCTTTTGTCTCGCTTCAGAGGCCAAACAAGTGAGTTTGCCTTGGTGAAGAACTTATTGAATGAATACGAATTTGGTGAAAATGACTACAGTCACGATTCTGAAGGATCTGACACTTCCACTAATCCGGCGAGAATCTCTCAAGATGCACTTGATGGTATTCTCCGGTTTGTTGAAACGGAATCCAACTTAAAGAAACCCTCATCAACATTTGATGAATCTTCTTCTAGCGTAAGCTCGGAGTTTGACACACTCATTCTTGCTGTAGGCCCAAATCTTGATAAAATCAGAGAACCAGTGCTACTGGAGCAAATCGACGATGAAGATATCAAGAATAATATTGTCACTGTCGTTCGTATTGTTGGAATCACTGATGATTCCACTTCCGTGCGTCTTACACTTCAGGCTTTGACAAGAGGCTCGCGCATTCAAGGATATAGATCAGATGGTCCAAATGAAGCACTTATTGAGGTTGATTGGGATTTTGTGGTGAATGGAATCAAAGAAAAGTATCAAACTTTAAGTAAAAACGTATCTTTACTCTTCTCATCTATTGACAACTTTGTTATCAGCTACCGTCTGGCTCTCAACACTGCCACCAATTTGGCAAAGAAAGCTAAAACTGGTGCATCTGGTGCTGGAGGATCGAAAGATACTGGGGATCTTTTAACTCTCAACCCATTAGCTAATGCTCTTTATATGCAATTAGCTGGTTCCAAGGATTTCTCCAAAGCATATTCTAGTCTTCAAGGGATATATGCTGGTTATGATTCTGATATCGGTGCTGTGGATACCAAATCTTTCTTGAGACTTCTTGATTTGACTTGTGCCATAATGCCATTCCCTAACCATATGAAATTGACTTTGTTACTGAAGCAAGTACCAGCTGATAGAATCGAAGTTTTATCTGGAATGATTCGCTCCTTGAATTCAGTGTTTGAAACTGTCAAAGAAAATGGAGCATTTGTAAACCATTGGTTCTATAAAGAAGCTACCAACACACAAAAGGCAAATGTGGTTGCCAACCAATTGAAGTCTATTAGACTTGTACTTGAAGGGATGGCCAATACTAAAGGAGGAGTGAAACCTCCACTGACAGCTGCCCAAACTCCTAGTCGTCAACTTATTCGTCGACCAAATGGACCCCCTTCGCAGCAATCCCAACAATCCAAAGGTGCGAATGATTATACTGATGATGATAATGACGATGATGATGATGATGATCTTCGTTTGATCAAAGATTTTGTCAAGAATCAATTACCTGGCATTGTTTCAATCACAAATGATGCTAAAAGGTTGATTATTAAAGACTTTAAACGAATCAAATCTTCTCCGCCTGGAAATTCTGACTTTTATGTCATTCGTAACTATTTGGAAATTGTTGCGGACTTACCATGGGATAAATATGTCACCAAATTCCAATCTAATAAGGATATTGACGTAGTTGCTGCTAAGAAGCAATTAGATGATGATCATTATGGATTGGAACATGTTAAGCAAAGATTGATTCAATACCTCGTGGTTTTAAAGTTGTTGGGCATGAATGCAGACCATGAGTATGAGACTAAGAAAAGACAAGAGGAAATGCGTCGCGCTGATAAGTCTTCCTCTTCATCTTCGCTCGAACTTGATAATAAGAAGGCTGTTAATAGAGATGGTCTGATTAACGAATCGATTGTTATTGCCAATAATGATGAAACATCGTTGGCACATGCATCGGCAAGGGAGAAAAATCAGAAAACAAAGGCTGAGATCAAACAGGAAGAAATTACCAAGGCTATAGTTAAGCAACAGGCCGTAGCATCAATGCTCTCTAGAAAGAATAGTAAAGCTCCAATCATTTTATTGGCTGGACCACCAGGTACTGGTAAAACCTCATTGGCCAAATCAATTGCAAAGTCATTGGGCCGAAAGTTCCAAAGAATTGCATTGGGTGGTGTCAGAGATGAAGCGGAGATCAGAGGTCATAGACGTACTTATGTTGGAGCAATGCCTGGGGTTATTGTTCAATCTTTAAGAAAGGCAAGATGTATGAATCCTGTCATTTTGTTGGATGAAATTGACAAAGTTTCGGGAGGAGCTGATGGAGCAAATAAGGTTCATGGAGACCCTGCTGCTGCATTATTGGAAGTATTGGATCCAGAACAGAATTCATCCTTCATTGATCATTATCTTGGGTTTGCTGTTGACCTTTCTCAAGTTATCTTTGTATGTACTGCGAATGAACCATACAATTTGTCCAGACCTCTTTTGGATAGATTGGAAATGATTGAAGTTGGTGCATATGATTATAATGAGAAGATTATCATTGGGAAGAAATATTTATTACCACGTCAAGTCAAGAGAAATGGATTTCCACATGATAATCTTGTAAAGATTAATGATGACGTGATGGAGAAGATCATAATTGATTATACTAGAGAAGCAGGTGTTAGAAATTTCGAAAGAAAATTGGGTACAATTTGCAGACATAAGGCAGTTGAATACTCTCAATCCTTATCTGACAATAGTATTGATTATAGTGTTGAAGTTGAGATTCAGTCCTTACCTAAATACTTGGGGATTCCATATTCTCCATTTTCAAAAGATTTACAAGAACCTTTCCAATCCGCTAAATATGGTGTTGTGAACGGTTTGTCATACAACACAGACGGTTCTGGTTCCGTTTTAATATTTGAGAGTATTGGATTTGCTAGTGACAAATCTTCTTTGAATATGACAGGGAGACTTGGAAATGTTTTAATGGAAAGTGCTAAAATAGGACTTACATTTGTCAAGCTGGTGTTACATCGCAATTTATTGAACTTATCTGATCATTTCGCTGATAGTCAGGGCCCAGTGGATAAACTTAGTAATTTGGAGATTCATTTACATGTTCCCCTGGGTGCAATTCTGAAGGATGGGCCATCTGCCGGTATCACCATGGCTTTACTGTTTTTATCTCTTATCATTGAAAAGCAAGTGCCTTCAGATATTGCCATGACTGGTGAAATCACCTTGCGTGGTTCAGTATTGCCAATTGGCGGTGTCAAAGAAAAGCTTCTTGGTGCTCATTTGTCAGGAATGAAGAAGGTTATTCTTCCAAGAGAAAATAGAAAGGATATCATAAAGGAGTACTGCTTTGGAATCAATGATGATTCCGACCTCAATGACCTCTTGATCGATAACGACAACAGAGTAGGTTACAAACGCAGAGAACCAGAGGATTATATCTACAAGAAATTGGGTTTGAAATTGTACTTTGCAAGTGAATTCTGGGATGTTATCAAGGTGGTTTGGGGTAATGAATTGTTGGAAAAAGTTGATCAAGCACGTATTGTGGAATATCATTTGTAGGTGTCAAAAAAAAATATAATATAATTTAAAATAAAATAAAGTTTACAGCATAGATGTAGTGATCTCTTGGCTTTTTTTTTTTTGCTCTAGTTAATATATAAGCCAAGTTGTTAATCAAGCAGAAGAAAATAAGAATAATGACATAACTTTCTGCATAAGCGCCCCCAGTTTAATTTTAACTAGATATACTTCAAGAGTTTATCTATTCCTTCAAATTGCACTGCCTTCTAATAACCCTGAGATACAAGATTGACGTAGCTGAGATGCAGCATCAATAAACATGAATGTCCAACCATCTAATTTTTCCTCGTAAATGTGTGGGTTGTTTTCGTTTTATTTATTTATCTTCGTTAGTTGTAGCGCGCGGCGAAGTAAATTCATAGTGTACCGCGTCTCTTTTGTTTACTTAGTAATGTGACGTAAACCTCCTAATCTTAAAATATCCGCTTTGTGTCACAAGCGTTTTCCTTGTTTAACTACATCATGGATCTTAACCATTGACATTCCTCGAACTAAAAATGACAGTTCATAGCAACTTGTAATTCCTTGTATACCAAATTTATTCTTTTTCTGGGCTCAATACATTTCGTTCTAAAAAAAGATCGAATTCTATTCGTTGTACAGCACTGCCTAGTTACCACACTGCCCACCCAACACCCCCCTTGAGCACCTGCAGGAAACCCGATACCTTTCTATTTCTTTTTTCTTCAGTTTTTATTTTAGACTAAGACTTTTTTTTTTCGTTTAGTCAGATTTGATCCCTTGTCATTGTGTTAGAGGTTCAACAGCTGATTATCCTTTTTTTTGTTACTAACGTCTTGCTTCAAAACGTCACTAATCTAGTGCTGATCTATTTCCCTTCGCAGGACACATCGCTCACTTGATCCGACGACCCAGAATCTGTTCGTTTCTCAACTACCATTGCTGGAGACTGCATAACAAGAAATATAAATAGACATGTTAAGGAGCTTCTACACTTCTTTCATAATACTTGTCCTTGCGGTGACGGTATCCGCAAAGAGATCTCTCTCCGCGACCTCCTTAGTGACATGTATGGAGAACTCCCAAATCTCCCCCACATACTTTAACGTGACTTTCAACCCTGATGATAGATCTTTGACATATTCTCTTGACTTGAATACCGAAATTAGTGGAAGGGTCATGGCTGACGTCCAGGTATTTGCGTATGGATTCTTGATTATTGAAAAAAATATCAACTTGTGTGATCTCGGATGGAAACAGTTCTGTCCCATGTATCCGGGAAACATGCAAGTGGAAAGTATCGAATATATCTCCGATGAATATGTTAAGCAAATCCCGGGAATTGCCTACACTGTTCCTGACATTGATGCAGTCGCCAAGGTCATTATCACTGACATGGAAAGTGGAAAGGTGCTCTCCTGTATCCAATCCAGTTTCACCAATGGAAGAACTGTCTCTCAAACTGGTGCCAAATGGGCTACTGCCGTTATTGCCGGTTTGGGGCTCTTGATCGCTGCCCTCTTATCAACTGTGGGTAATTCAAACGCTGCTTCCCACGTCTCTGCAAATGCTGTGTCTCTTTTCTTGTATTTCCAGGCTGTTGTCGTTGTGTCGATGCAAAGTGTACAAAGAGTCCCTCCTATTGTTTCTGCTTGGTCTGAAAACTTGGCTTGGTCTATGGGTTTAATCAGAGTTAGCTTCATGCAAAAGATCTTTAGATGGTATGTTCAATCCACTGGAGGTAACCCATCTTTGTACTTTCAAGGTTCCACTAAGCAAATCTTGGTACAAAGAGCCCAAAATGTCTTGACAGATCTCCATGCCCGAGCCATGGAATTGAATCCATTTGTCCTGAAGAGAAATTTGGACTTTGCCCTTGATTCGAATGTAAATTTACTTGTCTTTAGAGGTATCAAGCGTGTTGGTTACAACTCCCATATTGAAATCACATCTATTGTCGTTACAGGATTCACCTTTTTCGTTCTTTGTGGGTATGTCTTGATTGCCCTCATTTATATTGGTAAGCAAGCTTTGACCTTGTTGATCAGATTTGGAAAGATTAATCCAAACACTGCCACTCACTTTAGAAGATCCTTTGGTAACATTTTCAGAGGATCTCTTCTTAGATACATTTATATTGGATTCACTCAACTTGTTATTTTATCACTTTGGGAATTTACCCAGAATGATTCTCCAGCTGTTGTCTTGTTGGCAGTTTTGTTCCTTCTTTTGGCACTTGGTATGATTGGTTACTCCTTATTTAGAACCGTTACATTTGGTAAATTATCTATTCAAAAGTTCAACAACCCTGCTGCATTATTGTATGGTGACCAACAAATTTTGGATAAATATGGTTTCTGTTACACCATGTTCCATGCTCAAAAGTATTGGTTTGGTATTGTTCTCGTTTGCTATTCTCTTGTCAAGGGTATATTTATTGGTTTATGTCAATACTCTGGTAAGGCTTCTTCGGTGATAATTTTCATATTGGATTTGGTTTATACCGCCGTTCTTATCTGGCAAGCTCCGTACTTGGATAAGTCTACTAACATTGTTAATTATTGTATGTCTGCTGTCAACACTGTGAATGCGTTTTTGTTCATGTTCTTCTCGGATTTGTTTGGACAACCAGCTCAAGTCTCTTCTATTATGGGATGGATTTTCTTTATCTTAAATGCAGCCTTCTCGTTGATCCTTTTGATTATGATCATTGTTTTGATTGTATTAAGTGTTATCTCTAAGAACCCTGATGCCAGATTTGCACCTGCCCAAGATGATAGAACTTCCTTCCAACGTAAGGCTTCTGTAAGAGATAAGAACGGTACTAGAGTTCCATCTAAGGGTGCTAATGAATTAACGGCTTTGGGAATTGCTGCCCAAGATCATCAAAATGATTGGGAATACCAAATGTATAAGTTAAACGATTTGGCACAAAGTGAAAAAGGATCTCCAAATCAAACTTCTCCACCAGAAGAATCATCTAATGATTCAATTGCATTAGAAAAGGAAGAAAATCGTGCTGAGGCACAAGCCAAGAACGAATCCTTGGGCACAAAATTCAAAAGATTAACAAGAGGAAAATCTCTCGTCAAACAAAAAAGCCCAGAAAACGTTAAGCGTATAAGCGATACATTATCCGACAATGATGATGATGATTTGCAATTTGAAAGTAAAGATATGTTAAATGAACCAGTATCATTCCCTAGAGATAACTCGGATATTCCAATTAACCAGCATTTCAGAAACCCATCGAATAGTGCCTTTTCTGCATACTCCACCAACCCTACCGACGAGCCTACAAAATCTAGAGGTTTTGTCTAGACTACCGTTCTGTTTGGAACTTCAAACTTTGTATATTATTTTCCAGCTCCCCGAAAGGTTTGCTTCATTATCCTATGATACTTATTTTCAACGTAGGGTTTTAGTACAATAAATAAACATTAATGTTAATTTTCCCTAATGTATGAATGATTTACTGTATGTTCAGATTATCCCATACCTCTTGTAATTTTAGTAAAGTTTTCTTCACTAGACTCGAAGGCATTAATGCCATCCATGTAATGAACTTGTGTTCCATGTTATTGAAATTTTGGATCTGATTGAGTAGAATTGTAGTTGTTTCTGGGTTTTCAAGCTTGTGTGAGCGAGAAGCCCCATACTTGACAGGGAGAGAAGAAAGATCAAAGATGATAAGTTTATTGAGATAATCTGCCGTTAGGGCTACAGCTTTTGAAATGTAGTGGATATCGGGGTCAGAATAGTTGTATTCTTCATTCACGTTTATTCTACTTGCCCAAGTCTGACTGTGCATGTCAGGAGTATCAGTGCTGGAAAACCGTAAATTCAATGGCGTGGCGGTAGATAAGTAAGGAATTGTTTGGATAAATGATGGGTTCAATGCGCCAATAATGGATTGAATCCATTGCTTAGTGCCATCATCGGCAATCAAGGGCATAATTGGTCGGGCTGTAAATTCATCACAACGGAAATTGTTCAATGGTTGCAATATTTCATTTGCGGTCATTTTAACAAACATTTCTTTCTTCTTTTCACTACTTATTGGACACTCAAATAATCCGCCTACAAATGTATCAGGCATGTAGTACGTTAAATCCCGCTTGGCATATTTCTTCCTTCTTGCTAACTTGTAACATACCAAGTCTCTGGCCTCCCATTCTAATACTTTTTGTGGACTTGATTTTTGAATGTCTTCTCGATGTTGTTTGGACCGTTGACTGGTATATTGAATGAACTTCCCTTTTGTTAATTTTTCAAGTTTATCTTCCACTTTAATTTTAATAAAGTTCCGTATACTATTTCTCCACCAAGATTCTTCTGTCTTATTGAAGATCTGCGTATGTTCTCGCATGTCATCTTCCCCATCCTCTCCTACTAGATCAGCAACTGTATCCGCAGGCAGTAGTGGGAGAAGCTTCCCCAATCTCGGCTTAAGTAAACAGAAAGGTTGATCCCAGTTAACTGAAGCTTTAGGGGTCTTCAATATTGCTTGATAATCTACTTTACCATGGCTGCAATGTGTGAGTAACAAATAATGAACTGGGATTGGATTCAACTTTAGAAATTTAAATTCTCGATATATTTTGAATCCGGTGAATGGAACAAACCCTGAACCCAGAGGATCGCACGGTTTAGCTTCTTGGTAATACCAAGTTCCAAGTGTATACTTAATATGCAATGTGATTAAAATAAACAATAATTGAAACAATCGAAGCATGGGCGGTATTTAATCAGACAGTTTGGACTAAAAAATTTTGGGGATCTAATGCAAAACAATTAATCCCCTTCCCCCCTCTGTGTTGACTTCAATAGAGAAAGAAAATAATAAAATATGTACATTTTATTTTACACACTCTATTCATTCATCACTTTGTGTTGCAACCAAATCTGTGGTTGAGAAACCGGAATACAATCTCAATCAATTCCGAGGTGCATCTCTTCTCCTACATTTTCTCAGAAAAAAAAAAAAAAAAAAAAAAAGTTCCGGAAAATGAGAAGAGGTAGATGGAGTTCAGTTACAAAACAGAGTCTTTGAAATCTCTTTCTAAAATTCATCACATCTAGACACGCAACTACAAGGGTCATGGACAGCAATCAGCAGTCAAACAAGGCCCATAGAGGCGGTGGATCTAAGAAGGTCACTGCCAAGAAGAAGTTGCATCAACAGGGGACGAACCAAAAGGCTTTTGCCGTCAATGCCCCAAGAAAGTTGGAACGTCAAGCGAGAAGATCTCAAGATGTTAATGAGAAGAAATTGCATGTCCCTATGGTGGATAGAACCCCGGACGATGACCCTCCCCCAGTTATTGTAGCAGTAGTGGGTCCTCCGGGAACCGGTAAGTCCACCTTGATCAAGTCCTTGATCAGAAGACTTGCAAAGACAACCTTGACCGAAATCAAAGGTCCTATAACTGTTGTCAGTGGTAAGAGAAGAAGACTTACATTCATTGAGGTTGGGAACGACTTGAACTCGATGGTAGACGCCGCCAAGATCGCTGACTTGGTGTTGCTTCTTATCGATGGTAACTTTGGACTTGAAATGGAAACCATGGAATTCTTAAACATTGCACAACATCATGGTATGCCTCGTGTTCTTGGTGTCTCCACTCATTTGGACTTGTTCAAGTCCCAATCCACTCTCAGAACCTCCAAGAAGAGATTGAAGCATCGTTTCTGGACTGAAGTTTACCAAGGTGCCAAATTGTTTTACCTTTCTGGAGTTATAAATGGCCGTTACCCTGATCGAGAGATTCTTAATCTTAGTAGATTTATATCTGTGATGAAGTTTAGACCATTGAAGTGGCGTAACGAACATCCATACCTTTTGGCTGATAGAATCACTGATTTGACTCATCCACAAGAAATCTCTGAAAATCCAAAATGTGATAGAAGAATTGCCATGTATGGTTATTTACATGGTACTCCATTACCTTCTCAAAATGCCCAGATCCATATTGCCGGTGTAGGTGATTATGTGGTACATTCCGTAGAGAAATTGCCAGATCCTTGTCCAACTCCATACTATGAACAAAAATTGGATGATCTTGAAAGAGAGAGAGCCAAGGCTGCTGCCGAAGCAGGTGAAACCCTTGCCAAGACTACCAAGAGAAGAAAGAGATTGGAAGATAAACAAAAGATCATTTATGCACCAATGTCTGATGTAGGTGGTGTTTTGGTTGATAAGGATGCCGTTTATATTGACATGGGTAATAACGATGAACAATTTGTTAAGGGTGAAGAAAAGGGAGAAGGTGAAAAGCTTATGACTGACTTGCAAGACGTTCAAAAGACCATGAAGGAAAGATTTGAAGAAGGTCCAGGTTTAAAGTTGTTCTCTTCTTCCAAAGAATTGAATGAAGGTGAAGATGACGAAGCTAGAGTTGAAACTGGGTTATTATCATCATCTGAAGAAGAAGAAGAGGAAGAAGAACAAGTCAACACCGGAAGAAAGGCCATGAGAAACCCTAGAATCTATGGTAAATCATTGCAAGAGGACGATGAGTTTGACAATGCAGCATCAGATGAAGAATTTGACGAAGCCAACAGAGAACCAAAGTTGGTCGAAGTTGACTTTGGTAACAACAAGTACACAGAAGATGACTTGGAATTTGAAGAAGATTCTTCTTTATCTTCCGATGAAGAAACATCAGGCTCTTACCGTGGAGTTGCTGCTAAACTTAAGGGATCTGTTCAAAGAAGGTGGGATATCAATAAGCTTTTATATTTGGCTAATGTGAATCCTGATGAAGTTGTCAAGAGATGGAAGAATCAATTTATCTCGGAAGAAGATGAAGAATCTTCTGAAGAAGAAGATATCGAACAAGATGATGATGATGAAGCATTTTTCAAGAAGAAGGACTTTAAGGATTCATCTAAGGATTTAGATCAATTCATCCCTACATATCCTTCAAAAGAAGAACTTCGTGCAAAGTTTAACTCTGAGGAGTTAGAGAATGGATTCACTCAATTAAAGGAAAGATTCTTAGTTGCTCCTAAATTGAGTGGAGATGATGAATCTAAGAATGGTGAAGCTTCTGCCGGAGGTGATGATGACGAAGACGAAGAGTTATACGGAGATTTTGAAGATTTGGAAGGTGGTGATGAAGAAAATGCACCAGCTGAAGAAGACGATGATGACAACAGCAGTGACGAAGATGGCGATGACTTTGCTGACTTTGATGAAGAAGAACAAAAGGCTGAAATGGGTGAAGATGAAGATGTCGAAGATGAAAACATGACCGTCGATGAAAAGAGAAAGCTCAATGCTGAAAAGAAAGCCAAGTTACAAGTTCAATTCGAAGAAGAAGAAGATAGAGAATTTGGTGTTGATGACCCTGAGGGAGACAATGAAGCTGATACTTGGTATGAATTCCAAAAGAATAAGATGGCCAAACAATTGGAGATCAATAAGGCTGAATTCGATGAAATGGATGAAGCCACCAGATTGAAGATTGAAGGTTACAAGGCAGGTTCATATGTCAAGATTGTGTTTGACAAGCTTCCATGTGAATTCATGGATAACTTCCAACCAGAATTCCCAGTTGTTTTGGGTGGATTATTATCTACCGAATCAAGATTCGGAATCATGAATGTCAGAATCAGAAGACATAGATGGCACAAGAAGATTTTGAAGTCTCAAGATCCATTGATTTTGTCTTTAGGTTGGAGAAGATTTCAAACCTTGCCGATCTACACAACTTCAGATTCTAGAACACGTAATAGAATGTTGAAATACACCCCTGAGCATGCTTACTGTTTTGCTTCGTTTTATGGTCCACTTGTTGCTCCAAATACAACTTTCGTAGGGTTTAACATTGTTGCAAACTCTTCTACCACTGGTTCGTTCCGTGTTGCTGCTACAGGTATTGTGGAAGACTTGAACTCATCAGTTGAAATTGTCAAAAAGTTAAAGCTTGTTGGTCATCCATATAAGATTTTCCGTAATACTGCATTTATCAAGGATATGTTTAGTAATTCGCTTGAAGTGGCTAAGTTTGAAGGTGCTTCTATCAAGACTGTTTCAGGTATTAGAGGTGAAATCAAGAGAGCATTGTCGAAACCAGATGGACATTTCAGAGCCACATTTGAAGATAAGATCTTGATGTCAGACACCATTTTCTTACGTACTTGGTACCCAGTTAAGGTTAAACAGTTCTACAACCCAGTGACCTCATTATTGATGGGAGATCATGCTGAATGGAAGGGTATGAGATTGACAGGTCAAGTTAGACATGAACAAAACATTGCCACTCCTCAAAACGCCGACAGTGCATACAAGAAGATTGAAAGAGTTGAAAGAAGATTCAATGCTTTGAAGGTTCCTAAATCCATTCAAAAGGAATTACCATTTAAATCTCAAATACATGCTATGAAGCCACAAAAGAAGAAAACATATGTGGCTAAGAGAGCTGTTGTGGTTGGTGGAGAGGAAAAGAAGGCCAGAGATTTGATGCAAAAGATTGCCACTATCAGAAAGGAGAAGGATACAAAGAGAAAGACCAAGAAGGATGAAAAGTTCAAGGAAAAGCTCAAGACAATTGTCAAGAAACAAGAATTGAGAACTGAAAAGGAGAAGGAAAGAAGAAACGAATACTTCGCTAGAGAAGGAAAGAAACGTCCTATTGGTTCAAGCGAGGGTAATAGCCAAGCTTTCGGTAAGAAGAGACGTTCTTAGGTTCATATAAATATATAAAGATAGAAAATAATGCATACATAACATTGTAGACATGAAAGAGAGGGGTTTGAGTGTCACATGATCGGATAAACTAACTGATCAAAATTAAAAGAAAATCAAAAATAATAATTCAAAAAAATTGAGTTAGCAAGAAAAAATAAGAAGAGATACTAAGACAGCAAGGACTTCTTTAAAAACAATCATTACATTAATTTCCATAGAAAAGAAATAGTCAGACATTGCACTTGTGTAGAGTTATAATATATATATACATCACAGATAATATATATACCACATATTCGTGCACCTGCGCTCCGAACCAACCCACTAGAGTTTGATAAAGAATTTGACAGTTGCAGTTTAATAATAGAGGGGAAATGGCCGAGGAACTAGAAATAACATTGAAACCAACGCTGGAAACATTTATAGATGATCCCACTAGTTTGGATGAAGTTAACGTTGATGAGATAGTGTTTGACATCTCACATAGCATCAAAGATATCAACAAATTACATGTTTATCATTCTATTTGCATCTTTAAGAACATGTTGCAGGATATTATAAAGCTTCAGAGCAATAGTGAGATGTTCCATCGGTTTCGGAAACAACAGCTAGAAAAGTATTATCAGATCAACATCAATGACTTGTCGAGTAATTCCAACAAACTTGAATCTTCGTCAAAGGTTACAAGGCTTTCTACCCCGCCATTGAAAAGTGATACACCCCCATGTTCCCCACCATTAAAGTTTGCTAGGGTTCATAAAGAAAATTTCAACGATAGCATTAAGGAAACTACACCTGACTCATTAGATGATCGTAATGAAGTGAAGAGCTTTGAAAATGGAGCCGAAAGTGAAGATGATGATGGGTCGCAAAATGGAGATGCGCCATATATTATGATGGAAACCCTTAGGGAAGATTACGATGCAAACGACATAGGAGCAGAGAAATTCTACGAACTTGATAATATCCGACAAGAAATAGCATATAATGAATCTAGAAAGATTAAAGACCAGAACTCGCATATCTTGAAAGGGTTTGGTCTTGCGAAAAAGCCCACCCTATCTATTGAAGAGTTTTTAGTAAGACTACAAACTTATTCATCGTCATTATCGGTACTGGTGTATATCCAAGCAGCCTACATGATGTTTAAACTTTGCATTTTATTGGATATAGTTCCCTTGACAGATTTGAACGTTTACAGGTTCATACTTGCCCTGGTCAGATGTCTGACGAAAACTTTGGAAGACATCTACCAGAAACAGAAGGTGTTTGCCACTGTTGGAGGGGTGTCTCAGAAAGATTTATTCAAAATTGAAGTTGGATTCTTATACTTGTGCAATTTTAAAGTTGTGTTCAGTGAAAATAATCTTCAAAGACTTTTGAAGGACAACTTTGTCGACTTAAGACAATTTATGAAGGATGATTTTAATGACAATTAGAAATATATATGTCTATATATTAATTTTAATGATTTATAAGAAGAAGAAGAAAAAATGGAGAAGAAGGGAAGTGTAACGTTTAATCCTCGTGGGACACATGATAGTTGGAATACCCGTTCAACTTCAAGTTGTAGAGAAAGCAAAAAAAAAAGAATGCGATTTCTGTGGATCGAACACAGGACCTTCAGATTAACTGGACCGAAGTTGTACTTCAGTCTGACGCTCTCCCAACTGAGCTAAAACCGCATCAAGAACCCACGGCGAGAGTCGAACTCGCAATCTTTTGATTAGAAGTCAAACGCGTTAACCATTACGCTACGCAGGCTTTCTTGTTTTTAAGAATTCGGCTAGAACAATAGACCAAATGAACTAACTTTTCCGATTTTTGGATTTTTTGAGTTTATTTCATTAAATATTCCTATAATAAAGAACTTTAGTCTTGCAGCAAATTTTAATGCCTTGTAAAAGGGTACTGGAGATAAGTATTTGTGTTTTTCTTCATTGATAGTATGATTTATGTGTTACCAAAATTTACTACTTTGGGTGCGAAATAATCCTCGTGTCTTCTCCCTGCTCTTGGGCTCTCACCCTCAATGAGAGAGTCCCTGGATGATGTATTCAGTTGTATTGAACCTAAGCTTGTATATGAGCGAATTTCTTAATCTTTTGGAAGTTTTATGGTGAATAATATGTCTCATTACATGATTTAATTTTTGAACTTTTGGAATATATATTTCGTTAAATTTTTAGGATTTGACATTTGAAATCTTAACATAATAAATAATTGAAACACTATTAAAAGTCTAATGGAATGAAACTACATATTTTTCACCTCTAGCCCCTAAATTTTCCAAATCAGCCAACCCATTATCAATTAAATGAAGCCCACCTTGGTATCCTTTGTATCTCACTGGCTTTATCAATTTTGCTTCTAAAAATTCGGCTGTAACATCAACAAACTTCTTCCCAAATTGAACATCTTCATGGAACTGTTTTATTATAACTTCACGGAGCTCAACCTCAGGAGGAATTTCTTTGGGGATTCCTACGATACCAGAAAATAAGGGTCGATGTGTATGTGGCGATAGAGCCGATTTGTCCGCAAGGATATCTAGAAGGATTTGGGAAGTCTCTCGGGATACACAATCAACTCCATAGTCTACCCTACCATGTATTTTTGTTTTAATTTCTTCACTGGTCAAATGTCTATCAATAACTTCATGTGCCCCAAGCTCTTTCAAATAACTCTCGTGCGCTAAACCAGCAATCGAGATTACCTTTAATCCAAGAATTCTTGCGAGTTGAGTGACATAAATCCCGACAACCGTGGAACCTCCCCAGATAACAATTGTTTTTTGACCCTTTTTAATTGAATTTGCTATCAATTCAAACCCAAAACTTTTGTAAAAAATCACACCTGCTGTAACAAGACCGACACCAATCGTTGCACCATCTTCATGAGAAAGAAATGATGGCAATTTCCAAACAAGTCGCGAGTCTATGGCAGTATATTCTTGAAAAGTACTTGTTCGATTGTCCCGATAACTAGTGCTGCTAACGACTACATTGTCATTCTCTACCAAATGTGTTACTTTCAGACCAACTTTCACCACCACACCACTACTTTCTCTCCCATTTATCCAAGGAAATCCATACACACCGAATTTGTATTTTTTAGCCTTCCAGTCTATGGGGTTGAGACCTACTGCTTTATTTAGCACAAGGATGTCATAATCGCCTATTGTAGGAACTGGAATGGAGCCAAGAGATAGAGGCTCATTAAATGCCGTTATTAATAAAGCCTTTTGCGTTATTACTACAACATTGGTGTCAACATCACTATCTTCTTCGATGCTTTCAGACAGGACATGTATTTGACCATTCTTAAGTGGTTCATTTGCAGAAATGGAATAATTTGTAGATGTTTCGACTTCGCTCATTTTTTTACTTCAAAGAAAGAACCAAGTCTTTTTACAAAGATGCCATGCTAGTGTCATTTAAATTTATATAATTCACACCAGGAGATGTCGGCTCGGCAGAGATGAATTGCAAATTCAATACTGTGGTTGAAACACACTGTGGCGATATGCAATTCCTGTACTAAATGCAAAAATTTTGACTTTTTGCAACCTAATTCAAAGACAGAAGAAATCCCCTATTATTATATAGTAACAACTCACTACGAAGAAGAAAGTTGATACTGCCTGAAATAACAAACCTAATTTAGCAAATCAGATAAGGAAATAGGAAAATATTATAATTAGAATTCCATCTCCAACCGTTAAATCTCTGCCGAACTTTCGAAAAATTCTAGTTGTAATTTATAGCCAACCAATTCCTATCTAGAAAAGACATCATATTTAAGGATTTGTTTTTGATTAAGGGATATGAATAGTTTATCAAATTTTAGAATGATAGAAAGAAAGAAAGAAAGAAAGAAATAAAAGCAGGCTTCTTATACATGTAGAGTGGGTAAATGTTTCTGATAGTCTAACTTTACCCGAGCCGAGCCGACTTATGATTAATTGAGATTCAAGCCACATGTTTGAGGTCGTGTATGTATAAAGCACGCCAAGGTTATAGATAGGTTCCATGTGTTTAGCCACATAAAGATTTACTACTAGTGTATGGTCATCTTATTTGTGTACCATAATTCATTTAAGAGGGAAGCTGTTCAACGACTCAAATGTTAGAATACGTCCACAATTTCGAAAAAATTAAGGTAATGTGAATGCGTGACATCTAAAGTTTCCAGCAAAAGTCTATATAAACTTTACCGTGGTAGTTGAGGATGAACTCACTGCCACACAATATCAAGTAATTATTGTCAATGTGGCGCTAATTTATGTTAGTAGTTGTGGTTGTAGCCAATTCCATAAAAAGGCCAGAATTAATTCTATTTTCTACATTTCTTGGTCAATTCAATTGATAGACACTGAAGTATGACTACTGGAAAGAAACCTCTTATTATAAACGCCTTTGAAATGGGCTCTCCAGGACATTTAAGTCCTGGTCTCTGGAAACATCCAGATGATAGATCCCCCGAAAAGAAGGATATCGAGTACTGGATCAACTTGGCAAAACTTTTGGAAAAGGGCAAGTTCAATGCCGTATTCATAGCTGATACATTAGGTGGGTATGATGTTTACAATGGCCCACGAAACCTTGACGCAGTAGCTACATCTGGTGCACAATGGCCCATCCATGAGCCTAGTTTGTTTGTGCCTGCTATGGCGGCAGTGACTAAGAACCTTGCCTTTGGTGTTACATTTAGTACAATCAGTGAAGCACCATACCTTCTTACTAGAAGATTGGCAACATTAGATCATTTAACCAAGGGCAGAGTAGGATGGAATATTGTAACTTCATATTTGGATAGTGCAGCCAGAAATACTCTAGGTGGGGAGGAATTACCACCTCATGATGAGAGATACTTGAGAGCAGAGGAATATCTTCAAGTGGCATACAAGTTATTTTTATCTTCCTGGAGTGATGATGCAGTTGTTTTGGACCGTAAACTGGGTGTATTTAACGATCCCAAGAAAATTAGAGAGATCAATCACATAGGTAAGTATTTTAACGTACCAGGACCAAATATTGTGCAACCAACGCCACAAAGATTACCCTTGATATTACAAGCAGGTGCTTCTTCATCCGGAAAGGATTATGCTGCAAGAAATGCTGAGGTTGTGTTTTTAGTATCCCTTGAGCCCGAAAATTTGGCAATTGAAATTGCTTCTATCAAAGATCTTGCTAGAGAGAAATATGGTAGAGAAGAGGGATCTATTAAATTCATCCAATTACTCACTACTGTGATTGGAGACACTTTGGAGGAAGCCGAAGCTAAATACAAAGAATATCAGAGTTATGGCGATAAGGAAGGTGCACAGGCTTTATTTAGTGGATGGAGTGGTTTTGATATCGGAAAGTTTGGATACGATGAAGAATTAGTATATTCCGAGTCAAATGCTATTCGGAGTTTTGCTGCAAGATTTACCAAACCAGTAGTTGGAGAGGACAACCAACCAAAGAAAACCAGGGATTACTTTGCCAATCTGATTACAGTTGGAGGAACTGGACCTGTGATTTGGGGAACAGCAGAACAAGTTGCAGATCAGATTGAAAGTTGGGTGGATATTTCTAAAGTTGATGGGTTTAACTTTGCCTACGCCATTGCCCCCGGAACCATCGAAGACGTTGTTAATAAGTTGATCCCAGTGTTGAGAAAAAGGGGATTAGTGTGGGACGACTACCCCAAAGAAGGTGTGACATTCAGAGAACAGGTATTTGGTACTGAGGGCGAAGATCCAAGCTTCTTGAAACCCTCTCATCCTGCCCACAAGTTGAGATGGAGAGCTGGAGTTTCTAAAGAAGAATTTGAAAAGCTGTTGGCCCAGTAGTAAGAGTATATGTATGTTTGTATGGTGTATATTAGAATAAAGAGAGAAATAAGAGTACACTTCTTGTAAATGGGGTGGGGGGAATTGATATCAGTATCATGTAAACAGTTAAGTAGCACCATTTTTATTAGTTATAGTATGAGGCGCCAAGAGGAATAGAAAATATTTACTACAGCCGGAGTTCCATGCATGAAGGACATTCAAATGAAGGGTACGTCGACTGCGGCTGCTATTAGTCACAAGGGGGGGGGGAACCCTGAACAGTCACCAGCAAACTTGCACACCCGATAAACATTTAGCTAGAGATGGGGTTGTAGCGTGTCTAGACCATGAAACGGGTGCAAAATTCAAGATAAGAACGTGCGCGGTACTTTTGTGTGACGCAACTATATGTATGACCCTCCCCATGCAATCAATGGTCCACAATCACAACACACACCCCTCCTAATTAATTACCTGTTTGACTCACTTACTATCTATATAACGTTCGGAATTTACCTCCCCCTTTTAAATTATGATACTAAGAAACATTCTGTTTAGATCAATATCTACCACCACTAGAATGTTACGTGACGTACCAAAGTACGATATGCGAACTGATGCGATAACAAATGCCGCTACATCCATTGCGCCATTGGATGTGCTTTTAGATACCGCCTGGGTGAGACACCATCTTTATATGATTGGCTCGGATCTAGTAAGACTTACTCTTTACCAGAAGTTGAGCCATTTGATTGAATTTGGAGGTGGCCCTGTCATTAAGAACCTAGTATATGAGATGTCCTCTTTCCTTAAGCAGGAATTGGGATCGGATCGCAGTCTGACCACCACGGCTGCGCAGCAGTTACGAGACTTGGTATACTTTGGGTCAAACGTAGGGGTAGTTGCCCCAGCAGTTTACAGACGTTATAATATTCCTGATTTCAGATGGATATACATAACCATTGGTTACATGGTGATTTCACAGCCCAATGATTTGGCCGAAGATGTGATAAATCGAGTCATTGACATCTACATTAACACTCGTAACTCTCCATATCTTAGTAAAACAAGAGCTGAGCCATCAACAATAGTCAGTGTTGCCAAGGACTACTACAAACACGTACCAATCAACTACAACAAGCTTTATTCAAACACCAAGTCTCGTTACATCACACTCCAGGAGACTAAAGACTATAAAATTATGCTCCCACCACTTCCTAGGCTTAAAAACAAGGAAACCCTTGTCAAGGCTCTCATACATAAGGAGCTTTACAGAGCTTGGCTTGAGCCAAACCACAAGTTTGCCCAGAGACTTTTAGAACTTAATGTAGATCTTGATGATTCAAGCACAAAGGATACCCTCAAGTACGAATTGTCATTTTTAGACGGGTTAGGCGACCTTTTCCTTGCAAGAGAGAGTTCGAACTTATTGTACAAGTTCAAAGGGGTACCACCACTGGATGATAATGGTACCTTCAGCACGAGAACGTATAACCAACTTAGAATAATACTTGCCACCAATACCCTTCTTTCAAAGCTTGCAATAGCTTACAAGCTCCATGAAGGTTTGAGCGATAAAAGAGTTCATGATTTATTGATTAAATCATACGTTCCAAATATTGGTAAGTGGGAGGATCCTGACTTTAACGACGATGACTGCAGGAGATACGAGCAGGAATTCCTTGCGGATTACTTTGAGCAGTACATTGGTGCATTATTCTTGGAGCAGCCAGAAGTTGCACAGCACTTTATCCTGGAGATATACGAAAATATTTTGAGACTGATTTCAGACGTTCATAAACTTACTGGTAAGGAGCGCAAGAAGTTCCATCATCCATACGATTACAGAGCTTGGAGTGTTGATGTCATTGGCAGAAATATTTGGAGATGATTTCGTTTACCAAAATCTATCTCTCTTCTTTTTTTTTTATAGTTACTCTTATGTATTTACGTATATTATTAAATCAGAATGCATGTTGGAGGTTTTCTAGCTATATTATACAAGTTATTAGATATTTTTAGCATCTTTCATCAAGTCAAAGAACCCACCTCTCTTTTTGGGCTTTTTCTTGTCGAGTTTCTTAATATTTATGAATTTAGATTTTTCTTCATCAGATTCAGACCCGCTATCAGAGGAGGAATCTGAGTCCGAGTCAGAACTATCGTCTTCACTACTTGAAGTCAACGCAATAGCCTTTGTTTGCTGCTGCTGCTGACTTGAACTAGGACTAGCGTCCTTTACATCAGGAAGTCCACGCAAGGCTAGGTCACTTAATGAAGTCAATGTTGGGATTTTAGTAACTGCAGGTTTCTTGGCTTCGGTTTTAGAAATCGCGGTCTTCTTGGCCGAAGTAGGAGTTTTCTCGGGAACCTTTGTATCGTTCACAGGAACTTTAGGTTTTGAAGTAGTACTTGGAGTCTTTACAGGTGGCTTGGAAGCTGTAGATACATTCCGGCTTGGTAATTTGGAAGGCGCTGGCGATTTCTTTGGAGCCGCAGAAGGAACGGCAACCACACGAGGTTGTTTCTTCTTAATAATCCCATCATCTGAGTCATCCTCTGACTCAGAACTGGAGCTTTCACCCGAAGAAGAAGAGGAATTATCCTCATATTTTCTCTTACTCTGTTGGGACGAAGGAGCAGAAGTAGCGGCAAGCATTACCACTGGAGAAGCAGTTGGTACTGGGATATCCTTAATAGGTGTCTTATCGGATACTTGCTTTTCAGCAGGTACAGAAATTTTTTCAGCACTAGTTCGTCTTGCACGTTCCAAATTTTGCTTTGCTAATCTAAGTTGCTCAGCTCTCTTTTTGATTCTATCCTGTTCAGCCTTTTGCTTTGGAGTTGAAGAAACCGATGTAGCCTTATTTATTGAAGCATTGTCCTTGAGAGGTGTAGATGTAGAAATATTATTTTTCTTATCAGTTGAAGAAACTGAGGTATTAGAAGTTCCCAGATTACTTCCCGAAGATGTCGATGACATATCATCAGCAAGTGAGCCTGGTGATCCTCCATTCTTTTGTTTCTTATTTTTTAACTCTTGTCTTGCTCTTTCAAGAACACTAAGTACCTTTTGTTCCCCATTTGAAGGTCCGTTCCCATTTGATTGAGCCTGAACTACCACATTTTCCTTCTCTTGGGAGTCCACAGATTGCTTCTGGGTTGGGCTTGGTGTATTTGACTCGTCGATTAAGCCTGCAGCAGAGTTGAGTCTACTATCAAAACTTTTCATCTTGTCAAATATTCTACTAAGCTTTGACTTTTTAGTAATCGAGTCATAAGCAGAAACAGATCCAGTTGAAGGGTCTACTCTTTGGTTAGTGTCATCCTCTTCAACATTTTGCTCAGCAACGTTATTAGCAACTTCTTGCGAAGGTGGAACTTGAGATTCAGTAATTCCTAATCCAGCTGGAATAGACTTTGGTTTCTTAGACAGCTTAGATGGGGAAGCTTCCATTACAACATCATGAGAAATAGATGGAGTTGAAATGACTGGAGTTTTCATGATTGGAGTAGAAACTTTCATTGCAGGAGTGTCAACTTTTGCAACCAGTTCAGAGCCTGAAGTAGCTTCCTTGGTAGTTTCAGGAACCACTGGTATCTTGGTTGAAGATCTAATTCTTCTGGCGGTAGCAGGTGTTGTTTTAGGAGTCAGCTTGGCTGATCTCTTTTTTGGCAATGTTGCTGAAGTGTCTTGCATCTCAGTATCAGTTGGTAAAATAGAATGATCTGTTTCAGCCATTTGTGTATTATCACTATGCAATTGGGACAGTTGCAGTAATCCAGCAACGGAATTTTGACGTGACTTCTGAGATGGCGTATTGACACCAGAACCATCACCTCGACGTCTACGTGATTTTGTTTCACTAAATTTAGTGGCAGCCTTTTGTGCTGCAGCTCTAGTTTTCCTTTGAGCTTCAATTTCACCTTCAGTTCTACCCGTTGTTAAAATAGTGCCTTCATCATTCATGGTAATTTCCAAATTCTTGAGGGATTTCAGGCGGGAAGTATTAGCAGATTTGGAAGTAGTTTCAACATTTTCAGATTTTGACAATCTACTTCTCATCTTGGCTGGAATTCTCATACCATTTTTAAATAAGCCCATAATTTCTTCCTTTGTTAACGTATCGACATCGTCTCCGTGAGCATGTCCATCTCCATTGGATGTGGCAACTGAAGATTGAGCAGCAGTTACAATCGATGCAGCACTAGGAGCTGGGTGTGATACCACTACTTTAGATGACTTCTTCTTTGTTGGAGAGGATTTTGCAGGTGAAGTCAGCAATTCATCTTCATCTATATGGGGCATAAATGCAGCATCATCTTCCGAGATTTCATCCGATGAGTCAGACAAGCTCAAATCATGAGCAGTAATGACAGTTGGAGTGGATCCTTGAGGATTAAGATCATGCATCAATTGTTCCTTTTCAAGCTGTACATGAACAGGGACACTCAACATGCCCGAGGTTACTCGTTGGGTTGGTTGAATCTCTTGTGCGATTACATTTGCTTGATCTGGAAGGACTTTCTTTTGAGGAATAATATGCGAAGCTTCATTTTGAAACAGAGTTTCCTCAGGAGGGGGTAATGAAATATTACTTTCATCCATATCAAGGTGATTTGGTGACGATTGCACCGATCTTACTTGTCTCGAAGCCCTCTTTTTCTTGATATCAAGAACGGGTAACGATGAGGATCCAACACTTGTATCAGCAGTAAGTCTAGGGAGAGCACGAGTAGAGGTGGACCAAATAGATCTTCTTGTTTTTTTCGGAATGTTTGCGTCGAACGTATCGAAGAAATTGCTCAGTCTCTTCTTACTACTGAGCACAGGTGCTGGTGGTACAATAGGAGTACTTTGTGATTGCTCACTCATTAAACGAGATGCCGAAGGAGTGGTGAGCGGCTTTGCAATACGTGATGCTGAAGTCAGAGGAGGATCCAAAAACGTACTATGCATCTCTTCAAAGTCATTGTTCACTATAACTTGAACAATGTCGCCGGACTGGAACACCTGGTCAACAATGTAGTCTGGATCAAGATCACAACAGTCTCCATTTTGAAGCTTTTCCACTTCTAGTGGATCATCATCAGGATATAATTTTGCGTATCTCGCGATTAAATCATCACACACTTGCAAAAGAGTTTTAGAACCAATGGTAAGATGGAGAAACTTTCTTGGTTGAACAATCGATTGGAAATTTGACTGTTGGTAAAAATTCTGCAGATTTTGTACTGCCAGAGCATTCAGGAGAACGAGCAGTTTTTGATTCAACAGAGACGGGTTTTGTTGTTGGATTTGTAACTGCTGTGAGGCTTGCTCGAGCTGTGTCTGCGGCTGTGGCTGATGCATCATTTGCAGCAGCTGCTGCTGCTGACGCAGCGAGAGAAACACTACTTGAAGCTTAAGCATAGGATTACCAGCTATTACTACCTTGTAATGGAGTCAATAAACGTGAAACACAAGAAAAGTGAAGAGAAAGTTTGTATAGAGGAAAGGGAAAAAAAATTGTATTGAAAATGTTGGTGTCACGTGAAGGGCGCTGCAAAAGATAGGGTAAGATCTGAAAACGGTTAATTTGGAAATATTGCCACACCAAATTATCTTCGAATAGAATTATATATAAAGCGGTTAAGCGAGAGTATATTATATATTATAAATATATAACCTGTACTTATATGAGTTTATATATGTCGATTGTATTGAATAGTAGTCAATTTTAATATCTCTTGAATATAAATTTTATTTTTTTTGCACCCAAAGCGGAAGTGAAAGCAAAAAAAAAATAAAATGAAAAAGATGACTGAAAGAGGAATGTTTAGCCATCGAAGGATCTTGCATTGATTTGAATGTATTCTATATGTCAAGAGAATGCGACCATTTTATGATTTCTCCATCCATTGTTCCACATAGATATGTCCCCAGCGAATTTCCCATGTAAACCATGGAGGATGTTCTCCCACTGTTTTTTGTACCCTTTCTAAGTAATCTAGATACCAATTTCCCATCAATAGTCCTGAATATGAATATATCTCCATTATCTGAGGGGAACATTAAGTATTGTAACTCAGTTTCTTTGGATGGACTCAATAACAATGGGATTGTTTGAGGATATTTATTTCTAGTCAAAGGTCCAAAATTGACCAATTTATTTATAGGAGGTGCGTAAGATGATACCATGTCCCATACACGGATCTTATCATCATTTCCTGTGGTGTATAAAGTATGGCCCATTGGGTCCCATGCCAACCCGTTGACAGGTCCCAGGTGTGCCTTAACCGAAGCTTTTTTAAGGATATCATCAACATCTCCATTAGAAGATGAGTTTGTTCGTAACATATCCAATCTACAAAGACAACTTTGACTTCTTCTAATATCCCATATTTTAACCTCTCCATCATACCCTCCAGATGCCAAAATATTAGGATTTTGGGTATGCCATTTAACACTCAAAGTTTTCCCCTTATGACCCGATAAACTGTGGGCAGCCGCAGTAGTTCGTAGATCTAAGATTCTAATGAATGGCTGATCACTAGCCACTGCCACCAATGCAGTCGATGTGCGTGTGTTAACAGTATTACCACATATATCTATAGAATATACCCGATTTTCCATATCAAACGAATGTACTACTTCCAATTCATTTGTATCCCACACTTTCACAGTATGATCAAATGAAGATGAAACAAACATCCCGGAGTCATATGGCCACCATTGAATGCACGATACACCATAATCATGTGCAGCCCTACGTGGGATTGTGGCTATATTGACAATAGTTGACTTTGGATGATCATAAATATAATTATCACCTTCATCTTCTTGCACTTCGTCATCCTCATCCTCTATAAACTCTTCAGAATTACTATTACTATTACGTATCATCTCGTCTCCTATCAATTCTACGTTTTGGGTTTGTTTCATATCCCATAATTTTATAGAAGAATCTGCACACCCACTCAATAAAAATCTATTCTCACTTTCAAGAGATAATGAATTTACTGCAGCATTAGAATGTGGGTTATTGGGGAATACATTACGGCCTGTTTGTTGTTTGAAGTTTGTATAGAATGACTCTGTAATCGCGGTAGAGAACTGAAGTCCCGTTATTCTATTGACCTTCCTATCCAAGAGCAATGATTGCATGACATTACTGGTGAGAGTGATATACACAAATTAACCAATCGCCCTCAAATAATAAATAAAAGTATCATGTTTCATAATTGCACAAAATCGTACAATAATATTTTTTTTTTTTTGCTTTATGTTAATTTTGTGACAAGTATTTTTTTTTTCCAAAATCGTCACCATAGAAAAAAAAATAAAAAGAGTACAACAATACCCATCATCACTTTTAAAGGGATAGTATTTGAAGCAATAGAATGTTGGATATTAACGCATTTCTCGTAGAAAAGGGTGGATACCCAGACAAGATTAAGGTCTCCCAAAAGAAGAGAGGTGACTCTGTTGAATTGGTTGATGAAATTATTGAAGATTACAAGTCATGGACCAAAATTAGATTTGAATTGGATGCTTTGAACAAGTCTCAAAACGCCATTCAAAAGGAAATCGGACAAAAGTTCAAGTTGAAGGAAGATGCCACCGAATTATTGGCCAAGAAGGACGAACTTGCCAACGAAAAGAAGGTTTTGGTTGAAAGAGAACAAGCCGCAGACAAGGGATTACGTTTCAAGGTCAACCAAGTTGGTAACCTTGTCCACGAATCCGTTGTTGACTCTCAAAGTGAAGACAACAACGAACTTGTCAGAACCTGGAAGCCAGACACCTACGAAAAGGTTGAACAAGTTGCTGCTGCCACCAACAAGCCAGCTGCTCTTTCTCATCACGAAATCTTGTTGAGATTGGATGGTTACGACCCAGAAAGAGGTGTTAGAATCGTTGGTCACCGTGGTTACTTCTTGAGAAACTATGGTGTTTTCTTGAACCAAGCTTTGATCAACTATGGTTTGAGTTTCTTGGCCAAGAACGGTTACACTCCATTACAAGCCCCAGTCATGATGAACAAGGATGTTATGGCCAAGACCGCTCAATTATCTCAATTCGACGAAGAATTGTACAAGGTTATTGATGGTGAAGATGAAAAATACTTGATTGCCACCTCTGAACAACCAATTTCCGCTTATCATGCTGGTGAATGGTTTGAATCTCCTCAAGAACAATTGCCAGTCAGATACGCTGGTTACTCTTCTTGTTTCCGTAGAGAAGCCGGTTCCCACGGTAAGGATGCTTGGGGTATTTTCAGAGTTCATGCCTTTGAAAAGATTGAACAATTTGTTTTGACTGAACCAGAAAAGTCTTGGGAAGAATTTGATAGAATGATTGGTTTATCTGAAGAATTCTACAAGTCCTTGGGATTGCCATACAGAGTTGTTGGAATTGTTTCTGGTGAATTGAACAATGCCGCTGCCAAGAAGTACGATTTGGAAGCTTGGTTCCCATACCAAAAGGAATACAAGGAATTGGTTTCTTGTTCTAACTGTACCGATTACCAATCCAGAAACTTGGAAATCAGATGTGGTATTAAGCAACAAAACCAACAACAAAAGAACTACGTTCATTGTTTGAACTCTACTTTGTCTGCTACTCAAAGAGCCTTGTGTTGTATTTTGGAAAACTACCAAACTGAAGACGGTTTGGTTATTCCAGAAGTTTTGAGAAAGTACATTCCAGGTGAACCAGAATTCATTCCATTTGTCAAGGAATTACCAAAGAACTCCACTTCCAACAAGAAAAACAAGAAATAGATGACATAATATAGTGAATAGTATTACTAAATAAGATTAAAAGTGTAGAAAGAGAGAGAAACAAAAAAGAGAAGAAAAATTGATTGTTGGATTAAATCATTCATGATACCTTTGATAAATCTAGAAGTATATGTATATTTAATAATAGTCCAATTATATGGAAGCTCCTATTCTTTGTTTCCCATTACCCAAAATGGGATTTATTTCGGAAGTTAGCTTCGGAAGTTAAATTTCGGATGATAGAACCGGAAGTTAATGAGCCATAAGTTCCGTTAAATCCGTATGAATACACTATAGCTTTACCCTGACCGGAACTACGGCTACTAGGAAAGGGTAACAACCAAGAAATACCCTGATATAATGCCCAGCACCACTTAAAAGAGATTAATCGAGTTTTCCGCTGTCCAATATTTAGATACTTCTATGCATAAAAGTTAGCGCGAAACGGCGGGTTTTTGTACATATACATATCGATTAACATTTTTTTTTATTTTAAACTCTCGAAACCCGCAATTTTCCGCTTACAAAATAGAAATAAAGCCCGGTGGGGAAAAGTTAATGCACTCCCCCCTGTTATGAAAAATAATTGCTAAATATTATTGGGTAAATTGCTGCAGTATAACAAGCCACAGTGCAGTCTTTTCCGAATCTATTGTTCTAGAATCCATGTATTTCCAACTATATAAATGTGGGTAGAAATATCCTCTTAACTTTCTCTTGTATCAAATATTCTCTACCAATTAAATTTGTTAATAATCAATTAAAAATGTCTTTCCCCCTCTACTCTAAACAAGCTGAAATCAAAGGTAAAGTTGCCTTGATTACTGGTGGTACCAAGAATTTAGGTGCTGCAACTGCCACTGAATTGGCTAAATTTGGTGCTAACTTGTTCCTTCATTATCATTCATCTTCTGATAAGGAATCTTCAGAAGATTTGTCCAAGAAACTTTCTTCAGAATATTCAGTCAAGGTTGAATTATATCAAGGAAATTTAAACACTGCTCAAGAATTGTCCGATTTGTACAAGGCTGCCAAAAAGGCATTCCCAGAAGGTGTTGATATTGCCATCAATAATGTGGGTAAGGTGTTGAAGAAACCACTTGTTGAAATTTCTGAAGCTGAATTTGAGTCTATGGATCAAATTAACAATAAGACTGCCTTCTTTTTCATCAAGGAAGCTGGATTGAATGTTAACCAAGGTGGTAAGATCATTTCAATTGTGACTTCCTTATTGGCTGCTTACACTCCATTTTATTCCATTTATCAAGGTACTAAGGCTGGTGTTGAATATTATTCAAAGGCTGCATCCAAGGAATTGAAAGATAAGGGAATTTCAGTCAATTCCGTGGCTCCAGGCCCAATGGACACTCCATTCTTATATGGACAAGAAACCGAGGGAGACATTTCCTTCTACAAGTCTGTTGGTTTGGGTGACAGATTAACCCAGGTTGAAGATATTGTTCCAATCATTAGATTTTTGGCCACTGAAGGTGGCTGGATCACTGGACAAACCATTTATGCCTCTGGTGGGTTTACTGCTCATTAAATAGTTAATGAATGAATATGAATGCAAAGAAAATGTCTGTAATTCAACAAACTGAGAATCTTTCCATGCGTCACTTTTATGTATTACCCCTGAATATTTTGTAGCTACCCCAGACAATTTATGTGTCAAAAAAAAATAGTCACCAATTCAAACCTTCCATTGTATGTATAAAAAATGTGGTACCCCACCTCTCTTCATTTTTCTACATTATTGAACTCTCGTAGTAAAATTATTTATCCTCTAAATAAACTATCAACGTACATATACATATTCTCTTTGACTATCCTTCATTTAAAAACATCCTTCCAAACATTCTTCAGCACAACAACAACAGATGATGGCGGCACAACATCCACAGAAGGAAGAACAACAGCCACCCCCACTTTTTTGTGGTTGTTGTTGGACATACATTGGCTGCTGTTGTTGGTAGTAACCACCTTGTGGAGGAGGAGGACCTTGTTGGTAGTAGCCACCTTGTTGTGGAGGAGGAGGACCTTGTTGATAGTATGACTAGAAAATTGTTAGTTACCCCTTGTTCATAATTAATAGAGATCAACGAAAACAAAAAAAAAATGAAATTAGAGCCGTTTAAATTCTTTTCCGAAGTCGAGTTTGGAAGATATACATATAAAGCTCACATAAACCAATCGGAATCCCAAATCTTCTTACAGCTTTATACATACCATTTCTAATACTTAAGCTTGAAAATCTAGGTGGCTAGAAAGAAGGGGAAAAAAAAATTACAAACTTGAATTAACAAAGGGCCAAAGACGGCTGATATATGTGTAGTGCGTTGTCAATAAACAACAGAGCCGAACAACATAAAACCAGGCACGTGATGATCATGTATTATGCACAACGTCAATTCGAATCAAGGCAGTGCGTTACTATATTTAGCCAAGTAATATGAAGCCCCTATTTCACTATATGGAGCATTCATGCCCAATTTAATGTCCTTGGCAATACTAGTGGTAGTGGTAGCAGTGGTATCCACTATAAAATTTAACCTATACAATCTATTTCTTTTTTGAAAATGAAGAGTTTTCCGTATGTGTAGTTAAGTCTTGAAAAATTCTTGACATATTTGACACAAAAAGAAAACAAGGATATTTCTTTTTATCAGAGTCTAATTTAAATTTGTTCTTTCATTTTTTTTTTTTTTGGTAAGGAAATTAACGTTTGTAATGTATAAGCCACTTTAAAAGTCACCACTTGATATGGTCCATTAATTATTAGCCATTGAAGTTGCCACTAATGTATGATGGATTGAACAAATATTTGGATTCCATTCTTTAATAATTTTGAAATATGAAACAATATTTGGGTCATTTGGTTGGAATATTGGCGATACTTCAATTTGTTTTTGTAGGGAAATAAATAGATCGGCTGCCTTCTTTGCAACCAATGAAAACCTTCCGAAGGATTCGAGAACTGTTATGCATGTGACTATTTCAGATTTCAAATCTTCAATATTTATACAATTCTCTTGTAGACAATACACAATACTTCCGCAAATAGTTAAAAAGATATTCATATTGATCAAATTGAAATGATATTCATTACCATCATACAATACCTGAATTGATTTTATTGTATTGAGAGTCGGTGAACCTATCAATAATTTCTTCTCGGGCAATGGGTTTGGATAAAGAAATGAAGGTTTGTTTAATAACATTTTTAAGACAAAGTATCTGGATTCAAATCTCATATATTCCATTAATTTTGTGTGTGACATTTTTTCAATCCCCTTTGCTTTGTTTTCCCAATATTCTTCAAATGCTGGGAAATGGAATTTAACTAATGAATTGTGATGCCAAGCTTCAACCTCATTATGAATCCCGTTTAATAATGATAATTTAGCAGGCTCATTGTTTATATATCTTCTGGAAGCCCCTACCGAGTGTACCTTTCTTAATATTTCTCCACAAAGATATCTGGCTTCCACAAAGTCGCTCCATTCGGCTTGGTCCAGACCTGCTGGTGGAGATACAATATTGACGTATTCATCACCGATCCATGGTGGTTGGCCCAAGGAAAGTGCCATGAATCCATCTAGAACGTAGACACTCCAAAATACTCGATTACGATCTTGACATTCAAAAGTTATGATTTCTCCATCTTCTCCTTCTTTACTACAATTTGTATTTAACCTCAATGAAAAACATGCTTGAATAGTTTTACCCAAAATTTCCCATGGAGTCCCTGAGGGAAGTAAATTTGCATAAAGTAATAATAAAAGCAGTCTCTTGACATTTTGAACTGATATTTCAGAAAAATCATTGCAATGACTAAAGGCCTTTGTAAGGAAATAATCACAACTTTGATCGTTGGGCAATGCCCCAGTTCGTTGTAAATGGGTATACCCAATAAGGAACATCATATAGAGAGTAAATTGATCCTGATACAGATTCAAAGCATTAAATTTTAATGTTTGCTTAACTTCCGCCTTACTAAGAAATGGTACAAATCTCCCACCTTGACTGAAAAATTCATCTAAGGATTTTTCAAGTACACTCGGTATAAATGAACGAGGATAATGTGAACTTTCAGATGGTTCGAATTGGAAACATGACATGATTGCAACTGATGATTCTTTATTCTTAGTAGTGAATGGATTATTGGAACTATCATCTGAACTTATTGAATTCACCCTATGTTTGTATAACCCATTACCCAAATTCATTGATGATGAAGAGGAAGAACTTAACGATGCTGATGATGATGATGAACTTGAAAGAGATGGTCTTTCGGACTTTGCTCTGATTTTCCGTGGCATATAAACACACGTGTATTTTGACTTCAAACAATTATAACATGCTGGATCTCCTCTGTCACACTTCTTCTTCAACTTTCTACATCTACTACGACTATTGTCGTGTCTTACCTGGGATTCCGGAGCCTGTTGTTGTTGGTGTTGTTTCACACGAAATTTAGTCAAAAGTCCCTTATGTGACTTGAATTTTTTTTTACCCTCGGTATCAACTTTGGATAATACTTCTCCTTCATGTATGGTTGGATGGATCTCTTCTGTTGGCTGAGATGTAGAGGCGATTATCGGATACGGACCAGAGTTACGAGTGGGTCCTTCGTTGCTCGATGGCCCTTCCTCGGATAAGATATTGGAGATTGATAAAAATCTTCTGGTATCCCCCGCCTCCATACTCCTTCGATAGTATTGAATCTATGGATAATATGTTAGATTTAGTGGAGTTGTTGTCTTGAATACTTCCCCCAAGTCTTATATGAAAATAAGCTTCAAATGAATAAATTATAAAGTTTGAAAATAAAGATTGTAAATAAATTCTAGTTCCGGAACCAGTGCCGTAAGTATCCGGCATGACGGCATTTCCGAGATGATCCAATATGCCGAATACAGAAAATTTAAGTTAAAGAACATAAAGCGCGACGGCTGTATTTGACACAATCCCGCTGCTCCTGTTTTGTGGGGGATCTAGAGTTATTTTTTTCTCGAGACCATAATATTTTCTAGTTCTCGGGCAACATCTATCGTGTGTTAATTTCTTGAGGTTTTCCTTGACAACATAACCGCTCTAGAAAGTGATGGTTCTAAACTCCGAATCTACCAGTGTGTTTTTCGTTGCTACAACACTCGTCTAAAACTTCCCCCCTGAAATTTCTGAGATTGTTGAATCTCGGCGTTTATCTCCTTCGTAAATGCGCCCTACGTGCATCATCTAGACCATGCAGGATATATGAACAATTGCCCTATGTTTGCTGTGTATGTACGGCGTGTTGAAATCTTGGCGTCCTCTATGATTCATAACGAAGAAACACCTTAATTTCAAGAGATTTAACATTCAGATTGAATCAGATAAAATGTTAGAGATGAACTTATACAGGGAACTTATATAGGTTAATAAAGGTGCATATAATCGGTTGAATGTATGGCGTACTTTCTTTACTTCATTCAACGTCCATTAGATCAATATGTGTAGAGGGTTAAATTTACGGAAAATCGGTATTTTACGTGTAGGCGAGTTCAAGGCGTTTCCCATTGTTCTAACTACGGTATTCTCCTTGAATTGTTCTTTTTTTCTATATTGACTAGAACAATAATCGAGAAAAATATCCCAATGAAGAAAATTTGAAACGGAAAAAAAAAAAAAAAGAGAAGTCCAGCACGACCCTGGAATCATGTACCGTTGTGCCAATATGTCGCAGAGATTATGATCACAATCCACAATAGGAGACGCTCAAAACGGACTTCCACCTTCGTTATTCCGTTCAATATTAATATTTTTATATTTCTCTGTTTTGTTTTTTAACAATGGTATAGTTGCTACCTTCTGAAAAGGATTATATATTAACATGTGAAACATGTTTATGGACATCTAAGGTATTTCATATCTGGGGAATCGAATCCGTGGAGTAGTCAATTTCCCACTTGGCGTTTTCTTCGTATTTTACGTACTCTATCTACCTAAGCATGGTTTGTTTTTTTAGAAATATTATTTGACGTTGTGTTTTCTTGAGTGGCTTACACATCGAAACAATAAATGATCGGCAGAATGTAAGCGCCGACCTGAATCCATCAGTTATTTTTTTCGCCTTTCCCGGTCTGCATGTGTGCTATAAACCTGTATTTCGAGAACTGTACTAACAAGAATCGGCGTTACCCACCAACTTCGGCTCAATCCTCGCGGCCCAACCAAAAAAAAACAATACAAATATTTTTTTTAAAAAAAAATAAAAAATAAAATCCACCAAACAACACACCAAGCTACTCCTTAAAGGACATAGCTGGTAAAAAATAATATACTAACCATATTGATTACTTTATGCCATTTAGAGTAAGTTTTGAAAAGATCTTTCTTCGTACATCGTTCTTTACAACATTACAGATATACCAAATAGTTCAAAATCTCTTTTTTTTTTTTCCAATTAGGTAGGAAAGTAATTGCAACAATTAGTAATTGAAATTTTGCAAGGGGAAACAGTTTAATCTTTTTTTTTTCACGCAGTAAGCATGTGTAGTAATCTATGTAAGATGATAAGTACTTATATGATATTACTAACTTCTTAGTTCCTCTAGTCATGGAGAGTTTCTTCATTCCATAAATATTGTTCATATAATATTTTTGGTACAATCTTTGAAAATAAGAAGAATACTACAATATATTTTAAAATTGGAAAAAATGAAGAATAGAAACATCATTTGCAAGCTTTTCTTACTTCATGTATAGCCCATCATTCTTTTCCAAATGAGTGGAGATATTCTATATCTATCTGCCATACGATTACAGAATTATATTTGATCTCCAGTATTTATAATAATATGATCATTGTGCCACAAAGATGATAAATTCGCTTGAATCCCGTTTTCCGGCATACACGCCTATCAAGGCCCATCTCTAAACACTTTATAATCTTGTGATGCAACCATTCATCTAGATCACACACCACCGATGGACTTTTCATACGGACCACCACCTCCACCACCGTCCAGAAATGGAAATGGCAGGAATTTAGGAAATGTAAATTCCAGAAACTCTACCTATAATACAAGCACATTATCAAACCGAGGAAAGAATAATCGATATCTGCCATCAAACACCAATATGCCTTCACAAGCCAATGGACAATTCAACAACAATATATCTCTTGCCGATCTCCCTACACACTTACCAAATTCTATAACCACCGCTCCCACTAACCCAGAAGTACTACAAACACCACCGGCCATGGTTGAGACTTCTGTAGCACAAAATGAACCTACACCTTCATCATCTCCTACTTCACCACCTCCTCTTGCTTCTACTTCAAAAGAGCCTGAGCCAGTCGCAGATATCATAAATCCAGAACCTGAAGTTGAATCTCAATCTCAACCTCCATCAGTGACTGAAGATTCCACAAATGCTAAAGAACCGGTCTGTATACCAGGGACAAGTATCACATTAGAAACAGAGGAAGATATTCGAAAATGGATTGAAGAACGTAAGAAGAAATGGCCAACTCGTAAGAATCTTGAAGAGAAACTAAAGCAAGAAGAGGCCAAGAAAAAGGAGTCTGCGCAATCGGATACGAATCTGAATTTGAATCCCAATGGGAAAAGAGAAATGACCTCTACTAATGAGTCAAATAAAAAACGTAGAGTTTGTCATTTCTTTCAACAGAACAAAAAGTGTCGATATGGTGCCAAGTGTAAGAATTCACATGAATTAGCCAACAATTCCAACAATTCTTCATCCAATACTCTTCCTACATCTACTGCATCGGTCGTTAAGACCATAAACAACATACAAGTGAACATTCCACAACGGTTCAAGAGTGAGTTCTACAGCAATGACCCCACTAATGCCAACAATAACAACAAATCTCTTTTCAAGATGCTTGTTCAAAAAGACCATTATGAAAACGACAATGACACTATTTTACAATTTTTAGAGTACCTTGATTCCAAAAAATTGATAGACCATAACATTGGTAAGTAATATAGCACTCATAATTTTTTTTTATATATATATATATATATGTATATATATTTGCACCTTTCATATTCTATTAATGATCCTTGAGCTTCTTAGTAGCCTCCAACATTATAGTGCATTGTTTCCCAATCTCTGCAAGTTTCCCAATGATAATTTCATTACCCTTTCCAAACCCATAGATGGAGTATTTCAATCCAACTTGTTTACAGAAATCAATTACGAACGGTTGCACTCTTCTCAAGTTATGTCTAGGCAATCTGGGGAAGAGATGATGGATGGCTTGGAATTGTAAGCCACCATGTAAGAAATCAAGCCATTCTGGACAGCCAACGTCCATGGTAGTACGTAATTGTCTCAGAGGGAAGGATTCACTAAGTCCCAAATCTGAAGTGGACATGGCAAAGTGACTCAAGGTGATTTGTACATGAACAAGCATAGTAGCAACATGACTAACTAACACATAAATGAAACGATCCCAACCATTATGAATAGATCTGTATACAACCAAGTAGAAGAACCAATAGAAAAAGAAGGATAACCCTGCCAATTCAAAATATCTGAACCAGGCTGCCTTCCCATGACGAGGACCATCACCATTCAACAAATGAGCCCACGAAAGTCTGTATAAATTAAAACGACCAAAGCAAAGAATTGGATAGTACATATAATTTTGAATTGGGATCATTGCACGGGAAATGGCATCAAAGGGTAAATATTTCTCATAGTAGGTGGAGTAAACATCTCCAAAGAGTCTGACACTAACTGCGAAGAATGGTAAATGTTGAATATCTGGATCATGAACAGGATCATTGGTAATGAGATGATGTACATTATGATTTCTCTTCCACCATCCCAAACTGAGACCACCAAACCAATCAGCAATGATCATACCGAAAAGGTTATCAAGCTGATAATTATGAGAGAGGGATACATGACCAGAGTCATGGGCAATGAAGGTCATTTGATGCCAAGCCATACCCATAAAGAGGGCACTCAAGAATATATAATTGAGCTTTAATAAGGAAAAGGAGTACAAGAAGAGTGATATAATCTTGACAAGCTCACGACCATAATCCCAATAATTACATTGGTAGAAACCATTCTTGATGATCAAGTTATGAAGCTCAACATATTTCTCTCTGAGATAGGCTTGTGACTTGTAATCCAATGAAGGAAGTGAATCAATGTCTTGTTGAGAAAGTTTGTTGTCGTAGTCATTCATAAGAAGTTGAGGATCGACAATTGGATTGAACTTGTTGTCGTCATTATTTGTAGGGAAAAGCGTGTTTCTATTTTCTTCAGTCACCACTGCCACGTTTTGAGGCACTACTGGAGTAACCTTCCCTTCAGGGTATCCAATACCAGTCGATTTAGGACCTACCTTGGATTCTTCATCCAGAGTTTTCACCCCGAAGTCCTTTTGATAAATACCACCTTGAATTGGGGGGAGAAGGTTTTCCCACTCACCTTCGATACGGCCGATTCTCCAGTTCTTGAACGTAGCCATGGACTCAGCACTATGGTATGCATTCATTTCGTCGGTGGCATCACGGCCAACCATATGGTAGACCGCGGTCAATCCACCTGGATGTTTCGGAAGCCAATGTGTCAAGTCGAGCACCAGGTTTTCATAAATCACCACTGCGCGCTTGTTGGAGATACGTTCAATAACGTCATCTCTTGAGAGGAGCTTCACAGTCGAGGTTGATTCAGACATCACTACAGAACCGGTTACGTTTGGTATTAAAGACGAACTGTAACAAAATTTGATGTGTTTTGGGGCTATGGGGTGATCCCAAGACACGTTGATTCCTATGCGTTTGTGTACAGGAGTATTGGTAATACATAGACTTTTTTCGTTTTTTTCTCTCTCGTACAAACTTTAAGAAGTGTAACAAAGAAGCGCTATACGACAAAAGATTTTACTGCTTAATACTAATATATCTGAACATTCAAAATTAGAAACGATTTACAGTTCAAAAAGTAGTTATAACTAAATTGTTTATTATCATAATAAAGAATTAAATTTAATATTTAACCTGTTTTGTGTCATTGTAAATTGGCTGCAAAAAAGGGATTACCATTTTCTTTGATTGTTAAATTATCATTAGTATTAATTATAGAATATATATATATATATATATATATATATATATATATAGTTTGTTATATTAGCTCGGATGTTAACGCTGCTCTTGGCCCTCAACAAAAGACATGGCTTCTTCTCTAACAATCTCTGAAACTGTACTAACCTTGTTGTTAAACATTACACCGTAGAATTTATCAGCAACTTGAAGCATTTCTGGTCTAAAAGTAGTACAGATAAATTGAGCATTTGCAGAAAGCGAATGAATCATAGCCGCAACAGAAGTTCTATATTGAGTATCAAGATTAGCGTCAACCTCATCGAATAAATAAAATGGCGCAGGGTCACAGCTTTGGATCGCAAGAATAAGCGTAATAGCACAGAGGGATTTCTGTCCACCAGAAAGTTGTTCAATTCTTTGTTGTTCATCCTCTTTAGAATTGAATGACACTGAAATGGATACTCCTGAATAGTTATCAACTCCTTCTTCTTGAGTGTTGGGATTCTCATCTTGTTGTTGCTTTTGCATGATCAATCTCCCAGTCCCAGCAGGTACAAGTTTTTCAAAGATTTTAGTAAAACTTTCTGCAACTTGTTTAAAACTTTTCGAAATTGCTGCATCTTTTTGCGATTCAAGATCAGAAATTAATACTTCAATTGATTCACGAGATTTTTCAAGCTCTTCACGTCTTTCAGCAAGATCATCTCTTTGTCTTGTGAAAGTATTATATTGTTCCATTGCCTTTTTATTAATATGAGAATAATCCAATAATTTTTCATTCACCTTGTTTAATTTTTCTAATAATTCTTGTGCAGTGAATTGATCATGTTTATCTTGTTGGAATGCCTCTTCTGGAAGTACTCCAAGATCTCTGATTTTCTTCTGAACTTCATCACGACGAATAATTAAAAATGATTTCTTTGAAAGTTGCTTTTCCGTCGTTTCAGAGAATTTTTCAAGTTTCTTTACAATTAATGCCTGTTGTTTACTTGATTTTTTCAAAAATTCTTCATTCTTTTGAACCTCTTTTTCAAGTTTCTCATATTGACTGATTGCTTCTTGATTTTGATCTTTAGCTGCCTCTAATTGTGCAGAAATTGTTTTAATTTCTCTCTGTAAATCAGTTATTTCAGTTTCAGGAACTTGTAAATGTGATTCAGATTGCTCTTTCTGTAATTTGGCAAGGTATGGATAATAATTATCTAATAATTCTGCTTGATATTGTGAATTCTTGGTTTCAATTTCAGTTAATTTCATCACCACATCATCCAATATATTTTCAGTTCTACTTATATCAACGGTAAGCTTTTGAAGTTGGCTCAATTCATCTTCTGATAACGATTGAGTAAAATCAGAAGAAAGTTCCAAAGTATGTTGATTTAAATTAGATTTTAAATTCTCTTGGAATTCCCTGGAAGTATTCAAATTTGATGTTATGGAATCAATTTCTTGAATAATATTAAACTTTAGGTCTGACAATTGTGATATTTCCGCCTTAATTGGTTCTTGAGACGAGTACTTCTTATCAAGTTCTCTGACACTAGCTTGTAATTCATTATTCAATGCAGTAAGTTTTGGATTTATGGATTCAATTTCTTCAACACATTTTGCTAAGGAATCATTATTACTAACCAATTCAGATTTCTTCTTCTTTTGTACTTTCAAGGCATCAATTCTTGACTTTTTATTATCTCTGAACCCACCAGTCAACACACCCCTACTGTCAGCACGATCACCATCCAAGGTAATACAATTAACATTGAAGTTTCTAGCCAATTCAGACCCCTTTTCTAAATTAACAGTCATGACAGTTCTGCCAAATACTTGTTTTAACGCAGGGAGGACACGTTGATCGTCGAACTTGATTTTCTTCAATAATGGAATACATTCATGTTCAGTAGAATCTGGATAGTTGACATCACCTGGATTCAATCGGTTCAATGGCATGAAGGTGACCCTTCCAGCTTTAGTACGAACTAATTCACTCATTAAAAGTGATGCAGTTTTGTCATTATCAACCACTACATGAAAAAGTGAATTCCCAGCAATAACTTCGACTGCAGTCTTGTACTTATCATTCACATGGAACAATTCTGCCAATGGCCCCAAAACAGACTCTTGTAAATTTAATTGATCTGTAATAGATTTCACAGCTGCAAGCCCCTGAGCTTGTGCTCTATCCATAGTCTGATTAACTAAATGAGCAGCATTGTTCAAATCATTGGAAATGGAGTCCTGGATACTACGGAGTCGTATTTCATCACGCCACAACAGTTTTCTATGGTCTGTCAATTCAGTGATTTGAGCCTTAGAGTCACTAATTTTGTATTGTAATGATTTTACACTCTCAGCAAAATTTGGTCCTAAAATCGAATCATTTAGTTTACGAATTTGCTCCTTTAAATCTTCAAGTTCAACTTGTTTTGAGTCAATTTCTTGTTCAAGTTTGGTAACTGTATTTGATTTCTTATTTAATTCCTTTGTGACACTCGAAATTTCCTTATTTAACCATTCATCACGTTGTTCCTTAGTTTGGAATTTCAGAAATCTGCTTTGCTTTGAGTACAAGGCTCTTTGCTTTGAAGTATACTCAGCAAGATCAGCCTTTGTTTGACTTTCTACGTCTTGTAAAGACTCCAATTCAGGTTTATTTTCAGAAATTTCGCGTTCCTTCTTGGCAATTAAACTAGTATAATGATCAATAGATGCCTGTAAGCTTGTACTTTGTTCTTTAGTTCCAGAAAGACTTGCCTCAACTTCATTCAATCTCATTTTCTTATCCAGAAGAGTTGTCAAAATTTGATTATAATCTAAATCAGTTTGATCCTTCTCCAATTTAGAAACTTTTAAACTAAGTGTAAGATCATTAATAGACTCTGAAAGCTCCTTACATAATTTTTCCCTCTTGTCTAATTCTTCTAAATCCGCTTGCGATTCAGAAAGAAGTTGATCATAATTGAAATTGATGGTCTCAACCTGTGAGTTTAAGTCATTCAATTCTCGATCGAAAATATTAAATTCCAACACTTTTTTGGACTTTTCCAATGATTGGTATTCCTTTAAATCCGCAGATTCAATTTGTAAGTCGGAAAGTCTTTCTTCTATGGATTTCAAAGTTTCATCAATTCTTTGTTTCTTATAATTGGAATTGGTCATTTCCTTCATTGACTCCTTTAATTTGGTTTCAAATACTCTTGCTCCACTAACTTCCTTAAGTAATGTCAACCGTTCAGAATCCTTTGAGTTCGTCAACGCGGTGATTCTACCTTGTGGAACAATATAGTATGGATTAGAGCGGGAAAACCCGGCACTTTCAAGTAAATTCATCACGTCAGATCTACTGGCAGACTTACTGTCTAATGAATAATCATCTTTCTTTAATCCAATTGTTCTTCTTACTGAAACCTCATCCTTGGCAATTGGGAATCTACGCTCGGTATTATCAAACACAATCTCCACATAAGCAGACATAACTGTGCCAGACCCTTCATGGATAAGCCCTTGTCTTTCTTCTCTAGTCATATGGGTATAAGCATCAGATAATACGAATCGGATAGCTGCAAAGAAATTCGATTTACCAGACCCATTACGACCCACAACCACATTATGCATGGGGGACAAAAAGTCTATGACCGTCGTATTCTTATACGTCTTAAACCCTTGGATTATTATCTTCTTGATATGCATTTTTGGTTGATATATATGAGATTGAAGAAAGGTTGATCTTTTGAATTTGAAGAGTTTATAAATAACGCGTCGCGTTTGAAGACTAAAGAATGAAAAAAGATACAGAAAAATAAAATAAAATGAACTAGGCAGCCAAAAAAATTTAAAAAGGAAAGCATAGAGTAGAATTTCATAGGGAAACTGATTAATTCAATACCTTATCGGATTATTTATTGTACTTTCAAGCTTTTGTAGTCCACCTCTATTATCAAATTATGAACAGTGTGCTCAAATATAGAATAAAGTACATGTCACGTGACCACCCTTTATAGGTAGGTTGAAACATCTAACTAAGATCTAGATTTCTATAATACTAATTATAATCTTTTATTATTGTACTCATTATATGCTTCTATTCTAGTAATCCTGGCCATGTCTGCCCTGTAATATCTGTCAAGTCTCCACTTGGCTCTATTGAGCTCCATGGTTTATCATTTTTTGAATAATGATTAGGAGGTAAATCAAATGGTACCGTAATTGGAATGTCATCACCCTTTAGATTTAAATTTTCATTATTATTGACTTTTGGCACCAATTTTCTCGTAGATCTACTAGGAATGAATACCCCCAATTCATAACTAGCAATTTTAAACAAATGTTCACCCTTTTTTGAAGCTAAGGGATAACCCCATGCTTGTTTTGAAAGATTATGGCTACACATGAGTGCCCATTTTAACATGTTCCAATGTTTATTTCCACAAAGTAACATTTTAACATGTGGTGGAGCACCCCCTCGAATCTTGGATTCCCAATTACATAAGTATGGTCGAATATTCTGAACATATTGTTGCTTTAAGGGATTTGTGGTTGTATATTTGAAGTGACACGCTTGTCCACCACCCCAACCAATTTTACTATTGGAAATATCACTTGTGGAGGGATAAATGATATAAGGAGTGTAATTATTCTGTTGCTGATGCTTTTCAAACAGTCCTGGTGTCAACGGTAATGTTTGGAATTCAGGTTCAATTTCAGGATCATGAAACACTATTGGACAAAGAATATGCGAGAAAACAGATGCAGATACCCCCTTTGAGGATTTAAATGGAGATGCTATAGACGAAACTTGAGATAAAAGGCTATGTGGTTCTCCTGTGGTGGTGAATAGCTTATTTCGCTGTAATAGTTGATACAATTTACCATATCCATAGATTTCACTTGTATTGGAAACCTTGTTCAAGTTGTAAGTTCCAGGAGCAGAAGCAAGTAACTCTACATCAATGGAAGTGAAATCATATTCATTCAAAGTATTCGCCAATTGTGATAATTGACTGATTTTATAACACTTCAAATATAGTGAAAGATCATTCTGAAATATTATTCCTTGATCTTTCCTTGATTTTCCCTTTGGAAGTCTTCCTGATCTCCAACACATTTGTGTCAAACCTCCAAAGTCAAGCATGGTTAAATTAGCAGTCATAATGATTATTTCCATTGTTCCATCGGTAAAGAAATTTATCATCATTTTGGTATGATGTGATCCAAATCGATCTTCAAGCTTGGCTAACAAACATTTGAGGTTATATTTTTGGATATATTTAGGATCCACTGGCTCATTATAATCTTGAAGGATGTTGTTACCACTGATGAAAGTGACCTGAGGATTAGCCTCTGGATGAATGTGAGTCAAAAAGTAATCTACTTGTATGCTGAAATTGAATTGAAATGTAGAGACTAGGTCTCGATGAGATATCAATTCTTCCAATGATACTCCAATTTCACCTACCCCATCTTCTCTCAAACTTGGTGTTTGAATAAGTTCAAATGGGGACTTGAAGTTTTTGGATGAGGTTAACTTATATCTAGTTTCCTTTAAGGGCTCCTTTTCTTCATCACTAGATAAAATTTCTATAATGTCTGGTTGCTGCAATGTCAGATCCTTTGCTGTTTCTTCTTGAGAACTGCTACTGGAATAATCAGTGTCTGGGAGTGTCTCTTGTTCCTCAACTACACTTTTGTGTTTCTTGGCCCAATGCTCAGCGGCTGCCAAGGATGCCACTGATCTTTTCATGCACACAATGTTTTTTTTTTCCGCCCCTACTGTTTGGCATTAGCAATTGTTGGTGTTTTCTGTATCATCAGGTTCGCGATAAATATGATATCATCATATTAATGTGATCTCCACGCCTCGTTTTTATGTACACGATATCCTTTACAACTAAATGTATTTCAACACTATTTTTATTTCAATTCGTTCCTTGTACCACTAAGTAACTCACAATGATTACCTTCAATTTTCAAGACAATGAAATTGTGTCCTCACCTACCGTAATAGTTTCTGGGAAAACTTCCAGTGGCATAGACCGTGGGGTAGTACAATTCGTTAACAACGCCAACAAGGTATTTCCTCCACAATCGTTCGAAGTCAATGGTCATGGGTACTTCAAGGCAATTCTTCACGTATCACCCGGAGAGCCCAATGTGTTCGATGTTCAGGTATTCCCCAATACGTCAATCGGTGCCTTTGGATTCCCTGATTTTCCTCAAGGTAGAGCTCCTAATCCGATAGATACCGGTAAATTGACCTTGATTCACGAACAAATGCCTCAAAACAAACCTGTACACCTCTGTGTGATCTTGGGGAAAGACTCAAATGGCTCATATGATATGCCAAGTTATCGATTACAAAGAGGTGAAGTTGCAAATTTAGACACAGCTATTCGCAAACTTAAGGTTGCAGGCAGACTCATGCAACTGTTCACTCAAGATGACATGCGTAGTAATGGATTCAGTAACCGTACATGGCAATTCACAGAAGAAACGGTCAAGAACCAGGGGATTTTCGGATATGACGTTGATTCCCCTACTCCTCATCAAGAAGTTAAGATCCATGTACTTCGTTCTCCCAAGACTGTCGCTGAATTGAGAGATCCAAACTTGGCACAACAAAACCCCAAGGGGAAAGATACTGGTGGACTTTTCTCCCATGCATTAGACTTGATCCATAAAGTACCTGAACTTTGGGATGAATTTGAAAAGCTGAGAACCGCAATCCAATGTGCTTGTTTATATATCGATGCCACTTTCGACGTCAAATCCAAGCTTATTTTGGCCCATGCTGCCTTGGGAGGTGGTACTGGAGAAATTAAGTTGGCTATATTTGGATCTCATGGTTTACATTCCTGGCCAATGAACTTCCCACAAGTAACTCCTAGCTTTTTGGATAGCACTCATTTAACCACCAAGGAAGTTGCCAACGATTGTAATGAGTGTGGAACTAGTTGGGAATGCTTAAATATCACCATGGGTGCCTTTATGCATGAAATCGGCCATTTGTTGGGATGTCCACATCAAGTTGATGGGGTCATGTTACGTGACTACGTTTGGTTCAATCGATCATTTATGACTAGAGAATCTGAATGTTTGAGAAGAAATACAAAAGGTGCAGTGGTACGCTCACAAGATGGTACCTGGGACAAGGTTTGTCATTGGCATAGATTAGACATTTTAAGGTTCTTCTATCATGATTCCTTTAGTTTACCAATAGATTCTCAAGACCCAACATTTGGTAAAGTATATGCAACCACTAGGATTTCTGATAAAGAATACGATGCCAATGGATCTAACCATGTCCCAGCTCTGTACAGCACACCACTGGGTGGAGCATTGATTAAATCTGCTTCAGGAATCTATCTCATTGAGTTTATTACTGATGGTCTTGCCCGCCACCACATTGATTCATTCCCTAGAGGATATGGAGGTTCAGGATTCCAGAATGAATTAATGCTTGATTATGAATCTTGCTTGGATGAACTTCGTAGACATACTGATCGGGCCAATGAAAATTTTGATGTTAGAGTCCTTTCTCTTTCTGGTGACTTGTATATCAATAATTTTAAAGAACATTGCAAGAAGTCTGCTGAGAATGTTATCCGAAACGATTTTGGTTTGGGACGTGGTCAATTGAATGGCTACAAGAGTGCTCTTCTTGGAAGTAAAAAGCAAAATATGATCATTGCTGGATTTGATCTTAGAACAGTCTACAAGGTTAGAGTATATCATGGGGGTGCATTGGACGGGGTTAGATTTTACTATACAATTGGTAATAATACACTGAAAACAAACTCCAATGATGGCGGACCACCACCTATCCCAGCACGTAATTATTTGAAAGGATTTGCCGACAAGGTATCTGCAGCCATCCGTCCTCCCCATCAAGTCATGCAAAATGGAGGAGCAGGTGAGCCTAAAAGTTCTCTTATGGGGAATGAAAAAAGAGACTATTCTGAATTTATCTTGAATTCTGGTGAACAAATCACCAAATTCCATTTCCGTGATGGTCAATGGATTGATGCTATTCAGTTTGAAACCAACCAAGGAAGAAAGTCTCCCATGTATGGGAATGCCAAAGGTGGCCATGCATCTACGCTTGAATCCCCAGCTCAAGGGTTGACCGTTGTAGGGATGTACGGATACGTTGGCTCGTGGATGGATGGAATTGGGATTATTTACTCTGGGGATATTTAGTTTGAATAAAAGATTTTAGAAGCATCAAACGGCAGTTTATAGATTATTCGTCTTCTTCAACTTGTCTTTCGATAACCTTGTCCCTAGCACGATTGTACTCTACTGGAAATTTCTGTACAATTCCAGACTTTTGACCTCGGAATAATGATGCAAACCCACCGGTTGTTGTTGTTGAAGTTCCATATTGTAATTTCTCAATACGATTCTCAATGTCGGCCATATCCTTCAGGATGCGTTCCAACTTACTAACACCTTCAACGGGGGAAAAATGGGACCTATATAGGGCTTGTAAATTTTTAATTCGATCAACCACCTCGATACGTTTATCAATGAGTCTCTGAGTGTCGTTATTAAGATTCCCACTTAGTTGTGCCTGCACAACCAATGATTTGTCCAATTGCAATGAATCCATGGCATTGGATAGAGAACTTGCAAGGTAAGCAGAATGATCTGCAAGTGTCGATGAATAACCTAGTCTCTCATGTCCATCTCCATTACTCAACACATTATCTAAATCTTCAGTATCGCTTAGATAATAGTCGTCATCTGTGGAACTAACGATTTCATGCCCACTATCACTTTCTTCTCCTTCTCCTTCATCCAGTTTCACGGATCTAGGGATCCCCTCTCCCTCCTCTAAAGAAGATGTCTCCTCCCTCGTCACTTCACTCTCAGGCATGATTCATTGAATTACAATTATTTTACTACCTAAATATCAAATGCATATAAATTTGGGACATTATTTATATACTGTCAAAACAGTTACACAAAATCAACCCTCAATTGTCGTAATCGATCTCTCTATCGAACACACATACATTACAACTAGAGAGATCTTACTACAGCACTACAAAGTTTGATATACACTAGTTTTTTTTTAAAAATAGAAGAGGTGACACAATTCCGACCATGTCGTCTTTCCAAATCCAAAATGCGGAAGTATTGGCTAGATTGAAACCGTTTGGAATTCTGTTTGAAAAGTCACTCAGTGACTTGATCAAAGGTGTTAGGTCTCATTCTAAGATTTCTCCAGATAGTTTACTGTCCTTTTTGGATGCTGCTATTTTGGAGTGTAAGAATGAATTGAGCACCACAGATTTAGAAACAAAGGCCATGGCCATTCTTAAGTTGACATATCTTGAAATGTATGGATTTGAAATGTCTTGGTGTAACTTTCAAATTTTGGAAGTTATGTCTTCTGCCAAATTCCAACAGAAACGTATTGGATACCTTGCAGCTATTCAATCTTTCAAAAACGAGCAGGACTTGTTGATTCTTGCCACCAATCAATTCAAAAAGGATTTAAATTCTCATAATCATTACGAAGTTGGATTAGCATTGAGTGGGATTGCCACCATTGTCACGCCTAATCTTTCTAAGGATATCAACGACGATGTGTTGATGAAGTTGACCCACTCAAAGCCATACGTTCGTAAGAAGTCCGTCCTTGCCATGTACAAGATCTTCTTGCAATACCCGGAATCGTTGCGAGCCAACTTCACCAGAATCATTGACGTCTTGGATGATGATGATATCTCAGTGGTTAGTGCTGCAATCAATGTCATTTGTGAGATTTCCAAGAAATCTCCTAAAGTATTTGTAAGTTATTTACCAAAGTTCTTTACAATTTTGGAAGAAACGAAGAATAATTGGCTTATTATTAGAATCTTAAAATTATTTCAAAGTTTATCAAAAGTTGAACCAAGAATGAAAAAGAAGATCTTACCAACTATTATCAATTTGATGGTTTCTACAAAAGCTTCTTCACTCATCTATGAATGTATCAATTGTATAGTCAGTGGGTCAATGCTTTCCGCAGACTCTTCCAAGGATAAAGAGACTGCCATCTTATGTGTGGAACATATCTTTTCGTTTTTCCTCGCCGGAGATTCGAATTTAAAATTCGTTGGACTTCTTGCATTGATAAACCTTTTGAAAGATTTCCCCACCCTTATCCATAAGGATAAGGGGGTGTCAACCATGATTATGCATTGTCTCGAAGACCTGGATCTAATCATCAAGTCAAAGGCACTTGAAGTTTGTCAATTCATGATTAATGAAAATAATATCACTGAAGTATTCAAAGTTTTACTTTTACAATTAATTCCTTCAGACACTCAAAGTGTCCCTGAGCAATTTAAATTGGATGTAACAATGAAAATATTATCGGTTGCTTCACTGGATAATTATGCCAACGTTCCAAATTTCAAGTGGTATGTTGCAGTTTTGAAAGATATGATCAATTTGACCCTTTTACCATTAGATTCGTCCAATTCCAACAATGCCAGCGCAACTTCGCCATCAATTTCTAAACATACTGCTGACATCATCGCCTGTGGCATTGGTCAAGAATTTAAGACATTGGCAGCTAAAATCCCTTCTATTAGACCAATCATACTTAATAAAGTCATTTTTGATTCTGTACAAGACGTGAACATCTTGGATAATTGTCCTACTCTATTGAGGGACTTTTATTGGATAATGGGAGAATATATCAGTGATTTGAAATCAAATGGAGTGGAAGATGAAGATGAAGATGATGTAGAAGATTATGGTCAAACTTCAAATAATCTCGTGCTTGATTTGGGTAAAAAGATTCAAATGTTCAATACATTTGTTAATCTGTACGTTGACTCCAAATTATCATTAACCAATCCAAATGAATTCCATTTCCCCGTTTCATACAGAATTACCCATTTGGAAGAACCTGAAGTGTTGGCAGTATTTATCCAAGCTATAGTTAAGCTCTATAATGGAATGGTGACTGATTACGTTTCTCTCTATGGATTGGATGGCTACAAAATGCAACATTCAAAATTTGAGGAACTTGAGTTTTACTTATACAAATTGATTCGATATTTGAGTAAATGGGAAAATCATCTACATTATGAAGTACAAGAAAGGTCTTTACAATGGCTTGAGTTTTTGAAACTTTGTCTTGAGGCAATGTGTGGAGAAGATTCCAAGGGGATTGAAAAGTTGGAACGAGAAGAAATTGAGTATTATAAGGAGATGAGAAAAGACCAAGATGACACTGAAGAAGATCTGGAAGATGAACTGGAAGAAGAACTGGAAGGAGAACTGGAAGAAGAGCTGGAAGAGGAACTGGAAGAAGAGCTGGAAGAGGATGAACAAGAAGTACCAGAAGAGGACGTAACTTCTCATGAACACATCAATGAAGGTTTAATCCCAAATGAATATGAAAATCCATTTACTAAGGAAGAAGATGACAAGTTACCTATGTTATTAACAGAAGTGTTCCCATCGTTTTTCAAAAGCTACCAATTAAATCCAATTGCATTGGACTCTCAACGGAATATAGAGATTCCAGAAGATTTGAATTTGGATATTCAATTAAATGAAACTCCAATTGACATTTTGAGTGAATTGGAAAATTCTGATCGTGATTCATTGTATGCTTATGATGATGATAACGAAGGTAATGGTGATAGTTCCGAAAAGGACGAGGAAAACGCTTTGATTAATTTGTCCAGTGCCGACGAAGAAAGGAAAAAGAAGGATAGACTTGAGAAACAAAAAGATGATCCTTATTATATCACATCCACAGGAAAACTGAAGAAGGGAAAACACGTCAAGCGAACTGGAATTCTTGATGAAAAACCAGATAGCGGTGCTAGTAGTAGTGATATACGTTCATTGGCTTCTGTTCAACCGATACAGAAAAAAACTAAACCAAAGAAGTTGAAGAAGGAAAAGGTGATGATTCTTTCAGACGAAGTAATTCCAGGAGGACATTCAATTGGATCGCCATTTAATGTTGAATCTCCTGCTGAACCTAAAAACCTCAAGAAGAAGAAGAATTATTTTAAGATTGACTCTTCAAACTTGGATAATTTTGACTTGGATGCCCCACCAGTCGAATCCACCAATGGTGTTGATCATGGTGCCAGTTATGAATACAACATTGATTTAGATGAGTTGAGAATGAAGCTTGAAAATAGTGAACTTGATCCAGCTAAATCCAAGAAAAAGAAGACTTCGAAGAAAACGAAGAAGCTGAGTACTGTTGACGGGGAAAAGAAGAAGAAGAAGAAGAAATCAGAATCAACAACAAAAATTACTAACAACCAAGATGAAGTAGTAGTTGGTCCTCAAGATTCTGATCTCCCAGTGGATGAAACCATAGCACTGGCCCAAAATAACGACGAGGGGAGGGCCAATACCCCAGATTCCGATAAAGTGATTGAGGTGAAGAAATCCACCAAGAAGAAGAGAAAGAAGGCAGTTATTGTGTAGCAAGCACTGAAAAGAGAGAAAATAAAAATAAATAGCATGAATATCTCGTTCCATACATTAGACTAATACATTTAATATTCATTAACATATACTACTATTATTCTAATATATATATATATATCTATATATTATATTAATATTGGATTGTTTTAATCCTTGGAGACTAACGGAGTAACTTCAGTATGTACCTCTACGTCACTATCGGTGTTGATATCAGTAGACTCCACTTCATCTTCCACTTGGGCGGCGACCTCTTCGCCACGTACAGTCGAGAACCCTAATTTCTTGTAGGATTCAGCCATCTTGTCTCTTATTTCATTCGTGAACTTGGTGACATCTTCATTAGTTTCCAATCCGGTAGTTGGCATTGGTTCCAAGACTTCAACTACTATTTCACCGCAGTTGAATGTTTTAGACTTGGCGTTAAAGATAGTGGATGTGTTACTGACTACAACGGGGATGATTGGAATACCAGCTTGCTTTGCCAAGTGGAAGGCACCCTTTTTGAATGGCAACAATTCCAAAGTTGTGGAAGCGGATCTAGTTCCCTCGGGAAAAATGTAAAGACCTCTCTTCTCAGACTTCAAATCTTTCAAGGCATTTTCCAAGACTTTTCTTGCCTTTTCACCCTTTGAACGATCAAGGAAAAAAGTTCCAGAAGCAAGCATAAACCATCCAAGGATTGGGAAGTATTTAAGCACCTTTTTGGCAGTGACGGTGTAACCAGGTTGGAAAACTCTACCCAATACCAAGATATCCAAGGCGGATTGATGGTTAGAGATGATAACTGCTGGGAGTCCGTGCAATCTTTCTTCGTTCTTGACGGTGATCTTGATGCCCAACACGGTAGAGAAAGAGTTATAGAAGGCTCTACCAACAGTCCATTGAGCATACTCCTTCTTACCCACGATTCTCAATGCGATGGAGGCGATGACTCCGTAAAGACCACATCCGGCAATAAGCGAACCAAAGATAACCGATTTGAGGAAAAACTTTATACTCTTAAACATGATTATTTCTAGATCGATGGTCAATTTAGAAAACTGGCCTACTGTAGGTAAGTTGTGATATTGAACTGACAGGTTTGCATCTGTGAGTGTGTGTGTGGTTCAATTTTACATGTGCGCTCCTAAAATTGATAAATACAACAATTGACTTTTTAGTTTTTGGGTCGTTTCATGACACAAACGTAAAAGGGTTCCCCCATACAAAATTAAAAGTTGGGGAAATTGATAAGGGGGGGTATAATGAATTTTACTACCAACAATAAGGGGCTAAAGTAAATGTCTTGGTTTCTGGAAGTCCTCACGGTATGGAGCTAGGAGCTATATTCAGTGAAAAAGTGTATACTATATATACATTCTTCTTAATTAAGTTTTGAAATAGGTAGTAGCGGGAATATGTGGTATGATGAATAAAGATAAGTAGTGTGGTTTTAATATTATTATGAAGCATTATATACAATATTCTATTATCTTATTTTTCTCTTTATGCCTCCAATTTTGTATATTGATTGTATTTGATTTATTCTAATATACAGATATTTACATACATATTTGGATTACATAAGCTCCGATCTAGACCCGAGATACATATTATTATTATTATTATGGTTAAAAAACAAATCAAGTTCACTATAAGCGGGTGAGTAACCCCTAGGGTATACTTTCCTACTACAATTTTGTGTTTTCTATAAACTTTAAAAAAAAGTGGGATTGCATTAAGTATTTAGAACTGATACAGCTCTAACCACCTAAGGTTGGATCAAAAGTCAAAAACAGAATCCAAGAAAAGGAAAAAAAGAAAAGACAACATACTCTCTTGTTACAGATTGCAGGAATATTCTTCGACAAGCACCCCCAACAGATACCTATATTGAGCTAGACTGATCATTCATATGTAATTATTCTGATGTTACAGATGGAAGATATATGTACAGGAAGTCGTTCTCTAAACCCCGTTAAGCGAAACGTTATCGTTACTAGATGTGAATATAGGTGGTTAAACGATACTATATGATAGGTGGTGGGATGTAGACTAGAATTAGATATTTGCCGTGTGAACGGGTCATTTCTTACAAGCCACTTTTGATGACCTCCCACTTTTCTATCCCCAGCTGCATCAACAACGACTGGAGGAGTAACTTGTCAATTTACCCGAGAAATAAAAGCAAAGGGGCATGTATTCATGAATTCTAACCCATTGATCACTTACATTTACGCTTTGTAAATTTAGGTTAACGGCACTGTCGCAAATACTTACAATTTCATACTTTAAGTTTTATTTTTCCGAACTTTTTTTGTTAAAAATCTCCACAAAATTTCCATTTCTCACTACCAAATTACAATCGCACTGAATTTATGAATTGTTATCATCCTGCATGAGTCTACTAAAAGAAATCGCGATAGCGGCGCTCGTAAAGGTGGAAAGACTTTACAATTTCACCACAAATTTCAATTTCTAATAAATTGCATAGCTACAAAAACAGTTTTTGAAACTTTCTTTTTTTTTTTATTGCAGAACAAAATGGCACGCACCAGAGCCAAGAAGACGGAGAACACACAACCGACAAGCACCTCTACTGCCCTGGTGTTTCTCAAACCAGAGTCAAACGCGGTTGATGTTGTAGATGAAAAGATCACCCAAGAGGACACAGTTCCTGATGTAGTTCTCCCCGATGAGGACGATGATCCATCAACGTATGGATTCCCTCTTAATGTCATCTACACAGTCCAAGACTTCTTGAACGATCATATGACCACCTCGAAGTTTGTTCAATTATTGGTTATGGCCTACACTTGTCAAGTCATTTACATCAACAATGAAGATCTTTTCTTTCAAAACTATCAAATTATTGGTTTCAACTTGTTGGGAGTCTCTATTGCCTTGATTTTATCCTACCATACCAAGAACAAGAACCATGGCGTCAACCCGGACAAGTATGAAAAGCCAGAGTTACCTGATTTTAATCATGTTTCTTCGATTTTCATCCCTTTGGGACTTTCCTTCTTGTTGGATCCACAAAATTTGTTGGTTAACTTGTCATTTAATTACTTTGTGGTTGGTAATTTACCAATTTTCGCCAATATCTTATCAGTTGTTATGTTCAATTATGTGTACAGTGTTGAAGATTTAGAAGTTTCCTTTTTCAAAACCGTGGCTCTTTACGTTTTTATTCAACAATTCCTCAATTATATCAATAAACTGGGAATCACTGGCTCTAAATCATTACAAAAGGCAGAAATTCATTTACTTTCATTATTGACTACCAAGATTCTTGATGCTCCTACCTTTATCTTGACTACTCCAATTGAAGAAAATCGTACCCTCCCAATTATTATTCTTCAATCTTTAATTATTGCCCTTTCTATCTCATCAGTTTTAAGTTATCCAATTTTCAAATATTATCAAACTCTTGATAAAACCACTACATTTGCTAAAACTCTTGCCTTGATTATCACATTATTTGTATCAATTGTGTTTGTTTTCTTAACCAACTATAGATTGAAACCTTTATTTAATGAAGATCCAATCCCTTGGTTATCCAAATATATCATGTCATCCGAAGAAAGAATTCAATACGTTGAAATTTGGGCAACCATCCTTGTTGCCTCAATCTCTAGTGTTTTTGCCCTTTCAGGAAAGATGTCCTTGAACATTAGAAGAAAAATTTGGCATTCGGTTATTTTGGCTATTTTATTAATAAAGTCTCCTCTTTTCAATCAACCAATTTTCACCTTGATTAGTTTGTTTGGTGCTTTCTTCTTGATGTTGGTGGTTGAATTGTTTAGATACAATCAATTTACCTTTATTGGTAAGTTTTTCTACCAACAATTAAGAATTTTCCAAGATGAAAAAGATCTTAATGGTCCATTAAATTGTTCCTACATCTTTTTACTTCTTGGTATCACAATTCCAATTGTTTTGGATTACTGTTTTTCTAAAGGTGATGTCTCTATCTATAGTTTCTTGGGTCTTGTTTTCTTGGGAATTGGTGACTCTTCAGCTTCAATTATTGGGAAAAAGTATGGAACTATCAAATGGAAAGATAGTGATAAAACTGTTCAGGGTACACTTGCATTCTTTGCCTCATCCTTTGTTTCGTTTTATGCCTTGGAGTACTTCTTACCAGTTTCTGTACCCAATTGGGAAGCTCTTTTCATTGCTTGCATTTTATCAGCATTGTTGGAAGGAGCAAGCGATTTGAACGATAACTTTTTAATTCCAGCGTTTTCATTCATCGCCTTGCGTGCCCTTGACGTTTAGTTTCAAGAAAAAACAAATCTCTATAGACCTAATACCCCCAATAGACATACAATATATTCAACCATCATGCATAACATAATGTACGGAAAGTTAATTGGTTGTGCATAATTTTTTTATTTTTTTATAGTTGCATCATGCGATCCTTTGTTTTTAGTTGGTTCCTGTTCTAAAAACTCTTATTTTTTTTTTTTTCTCATTTTATTTTCTACATTATTGTGGTTTTTTAACAATTCCTTCCCTTATTATCTTGTTTATTTTTAATTTATCTCATATTTTTTAAGGAATATTTTTAATTTTTCACGGGCTTCGGGCTTTAATAAAGTGAAGCACGTTATCTAAAACCCCCATGCCTAGAAAATGAACTACCACATTCTCATATTTATTTTATTTTATTTTTGCATGTCACGACTCATCTATTCGCCTCCAAACTGTAAAAAGGATGCAAAGCATCATCACTTGTCTTCTTTTGAGCGCTGTAGTGATGGGTTTCACATGTGACTCAATGCACACTGAGAACCCTTCATGTAAGTGCTCTGAACCCAACCATCTAGTGTAGAGCTTAAATGGCGCGAACTCGATATAACCGTTCATATCCACCTATGCGAAATCTTACTTGTAACTCTTCACTCTCTCATTAACGAATTTCACGTCCGTAGAAGAATTAGGAGCACACATCTTTAGAAGTATGGCTTTTTTCCCTCGCATCGTTTTTTTGCGTCGAAGAAAATGCTTTAGAAGTCACATTACGGAGTGGATTTTTTTCTTTCTAAACGGAACTCCGTTGTCTCATTTCGGATTCTCGAGTGCATTGAATTTCCCACCTCTACACCTATCTTTTTTCTTCATTCCTTCTCTAGAGAATTAACACATCCAAGATCAATTGTATTCTTAGTGCTAGATCTCTTCGATCGGGTTTCCATTGCTCCTCCGATATTACAGGCTGCGAACCACTTCCCATTTTGAAACTACCTTGAATCTATTGATCATTGATCTTTACATTCACATAGAAAAATACTTCACAATTATCGCAAAATCATTACTGGAAGTAAAGAAGTTGAATGGCGGAAATATTCCCCATCTCTTGTCTAGCCTGTCGGCGTCTCAAGATCAGATGCAACAGAGTCAAGCCATGTAACCAATGTACACGACGAAGTATTGTATGCGAGTATCCTTCAACTTTCAGGAACACTATCATCAGTTCTCAATTCCATGATGAATATAATAATAATGGAATATCTGTTAATACTACAACTCCCAACAAGTATCTTAATGAAGAGTTACAAACTTTGAAGGAGAACCAAGAAAAAATCTTGAGAGAAAATGCCAAACTTAATGCAAAAAATAAGGACCTTATCACCAAATTGGAGCTGCTGTCTAAGGGGAAAGGAAGTTCAAGTGGTGGTGGAAGTTCAGCTCCAAGTCTCTCAATTTCCGGGGAAACATCTGAACTTGGAGAGAAATATTATGGTCCTCTTTCTTCAGCTTATATGATTGATAATCTTAAAGTTCAATCAGAAGAACAAAATATCGATTCTAAACTGAAAAATGAAAATGTTGAATCTGAATTTACTAATAAAAAAGCTATTGAAATTCCAGAAATCCATAGAAGAAATGCACCTAAAGCAAAGGAATTAGCCAAGTCAGCTGAAACTGAAAATCAAATTGCTAATTCACTTGTAAAGAAGCCGTTACCAAGATTGATTTCTAATGGTGGCAATAATTTGACTGCAATTAAAACTCTTGTTAATTTATTCTTTCAACAGAATATTCATTATCAAACGTTTATATCCCGTCTGAAGGTCTTGGCATTCCTTCAACAACACAAGTCTATTAAGGACAAGGAATGGGAACATGACGATGATTTATTGTTATTGTATATGATATTATTCTTACTGATCCAAAGATTAACCCCGAAGGAATTCCAAAAGATTGGATTATTAGATAATCAACCAGTTGGAAACTTTAGATCCAGAAAGGAACACATCACCATGAATGTTTTGTACCATAGTTTTGAGGAATTGAGACATAACTTGATTAATGAATCAATCTTGACCATCCAATCATATATCTTATGTACCGAGTTGTATCTTATTGAACAAAGATATGAAGAAAGTTGGTCAATGATGTTCCACACATGTTCAATTGCTTATGCAATTGGTTTACATGCAATGAGGAAACTTCGACTTCAAAATGTTTCAAGTCGGATCCAACGAAGAGTTACCATCAACAATGAGTCCTCTAGTGATGATTTAGAAGAAGACGAAACCGATGTTGAACGATTCAAAGTATGGTTTGCATTGAAAAATATCTGTGGTCAAATTTGTTCAACTCTTGGTAGACCAAATCCAATCTCTATACAAGTGAATGCAGTTTTACTCAAATCCTTGGATAGTAAGGATTTCTCAAGTATTGATTATTCAGAGAGAACTGCCCAAGTTCTTTTGAAAACAGGATTGAGTGAATGTCTCCGATTATCGAATATGATGTTGATTGAAAATTTTATGATTGATTTCACTATGGATGATTTGGTGAAATTGAATAATAGATTCGATATTGAAATTAAAATTTTGGAATGGTATCAATCAGGAAGAGCCCCCATGGAAACAGATTCAAATTCAGATAAGGATTTCCCCAATCGAATTGATAATACAAATCTTCTTACCGATTTGATTATACTTTATATCAATAGAGCCAAATTATTTGAACCATTTGTCAATAAATTCACTGGTCCAGCTGAATCTAGAATCATTTCTGATATGTTGAGATATTCTATATTGAAATTTTTGGATTATACATTGATGTTTATTAATTTATTCTTTGAAAATTGCACTGAAAGATATTATGAATTTATTGATGAAGGATCTGATGTTAGATCTCCTGACACCAAATTTGGGAAATTACTCCGAGTGTACTATCCATTTTTAAACTCTTTTGTTTATCAAGGAATTATTGTGCTTTTCACCTTTTTGCACTACAAATTTAAGGATTTTGTTTCAAACTTTGATCAGGTCGACCGTGCTGTATCGACAACTGGGATTGAAACTATTAATTACAATCTCTTTTTGAATCAAGTAGACACCAAATTAAACTTTCTCCTTTCCTTTGGTGCAGAAAATGAACAATATAAAAACATCAAATTATGGTCATCCAATATCGTTCAGTTAATTGTGAAAGTTAGAGAACATATATCAATGATATTTAGAAAGCAAAAGCAAAAATCTGAATATCAGAAGGAACTCTTTGAAAAGGAACTCAATGAATTCCAAAAGGATTTGAGTGGTGCTGAACTTGAAGACTATTATGGATTTGACATCAACGACCCCTTTTGGTTACGCAATCCAGGTAATTTCCCTTACTACCTCAGCTCCCCCAGTGACGATAATGCTAGTACTGTTGGCGTATCATCCACCAGAGGAGATTTCAATGAAAATTCCGGCGACAACAAAAGTGCTTACTCTTCAAATTCCAGGTCATCCATTTCCCAATCGGTGAATCTTACTAATCAGCAAGATATGATGTCTAATTCTATGTACGGCATAATTCCTACCCCTTCAACAACATTCTCCAATGTTAGTAGTGGAGTACAGAGTACCCATGACTCAAACTTTGTATCTCAACCGGAGCAACCAATGAGTATTTCCGTTCCGAAGCTTCCACATTTTCATCCTTATGATACAGTTCAGGCTAGTGTAATGCAACCGGATCATGCCCCATATGTTTATTCGCAAACTGTTCCGTTTGGTGCACCTGCAACAAACTCTCAAATGTTCCAAGACTACCTGCAAACGCCCAATTACCAACTGGGAACTTTCACCCAGTCAACTCCCACCTATCAACAGGCACCTCCTAGTTTGATTTCTCAGCAACAGATCCTGCAGCGCTTACCTAATGAGTATCATCAAAATTGGCTTGGCCACGATGGTGGTGATCAACTAACCGAGGAAGAACCGCAACTGAAGAAGATTAAGAGAGAGAAATGTGCCTAGTTTCTACAAGCATAGATATACATAATAACTTTATATATATATATATTGTATTTTACTTCTGAGTAAAATCGTTTAATCATCCCCCTGTTAAATTTTTAGATTCGTTATATTCCCGAGTACATTTTTTTTTTGCAACCAAACCTCTTTTAATTTTTTTGTCTGTCGGATTGCGTAGTGCCGGTAGAGTACACAAAATAAAATATATTTATTCCCCACTTCTCAGTTACACAAAGTCGGCTCAAGTGGAACATAACTTTACATCACACGAATTGAACTGTTTTATCAATAAGTATTTCATTCTTTTGGCTTGATTTTTATCTAGTAATAGACTCCCAAACACACCAACTATATATATACAACATGTCATCTAACAAGTTTTTCAGCTTTTTGTTTTCCAAGCAATCCTTAAAATATATGTGTACCACCCACTTCTGGGGACCAGTCTCAAACTTTGGTATCCCCGTTGCTGCCATGTTGGACTTGAAGAAAGATCCAGAGTTGATTTCCGGTCCAATGACCGGTTCCTTGATTGTATACTCCTTGGTGTTTATGAGATATTCCATGGCTGTTATTCCACAAAATTATTTGTTGTTTGGTTGTCATTTCGTTAACGAATTGGCTCAATTGACTCAAGGTTTCAGATGGACCAAGCATCATTTCCAAGGTACTCCTAAAATCGAAGAAGGTAAGACTGCTTAGAGAATGTGTCATATTCTACCCGAGGGTGAAGGGCTTAGATAGTTGGTGCTATCTTTATGTATAATTTTTTTTATCTATATATAAACATTAATTTATATATACATATATTCACACGAATAAATTAATCAATCGAAAATAGATTTGGGTACATTAACCCCCTGTGTAGGTCCAAATTGTGATTGTTGTCGAGTACTCTGAGATATTTCTTTTTCTTGTTCCTCACCATCTGTATTTTCATACTCTGTATCTTGTTCCATTACTTCAGGTTGGAGAACATCAGTTTTCCTTCTTTTAGCATGGGTATTTGTATCATATTCTTGTGATAATTCTGGAACAAAGAGTCCCAGATCTAATTCAATATCTTGTTCTCCTCCCATAGGTGCTCTAGATATTGTCGATCTGGCTACATCAAGTAACATTGAACCATCTGTTCGTTTCGAAGTGACATGATTTGATCTTTGAAGTATATGTGGGGATTGTAGGTGATGTATAGTTGAGTTTTTAAGATTGGCTCCATCATCACTAGTTATTTGAATAAATTGAACTTTAAGATGTTCATTATTATCCAATTCAAACAATATTGGCGCTCCAGGAGGTCCGAAAAGTACCTCAAAATAATCATCAGTGGTTGATAATGCATCATTACTTTTATTCCCATCACTAAATGAAGTAATTAAATTTATAAAGTTTTTAAAATCTTTCAATCGGAAATTAATACATTGGGGCATTTTCCCAATTAGATTTGTATTTAAAAGTTCATCAAGGTTAAGTGACACTGTCACTGACATTGGTTGCTTCAAATATTCTCTATCTTTCATGATTTGTTTTGTATATGCACTCATCAGTAATTTATCATGTTTAACTTCTAATTTAAAATCTTCAGTCGATTGAGGAATCATATCCAAAAATTGCTTTGGTATCATTTGTTCAACCTTAATATAATTTATAGCATCTCCAGAAAGTTGTTGATGATATTCTGTGGCAATAGTCAATCTATCTCGTAATACTGGTTGATAATTGGTTTGATATTTCTTAAGAATCAATTTCTTGGTCTTTATTTCAATTAAAAATTTGTATCTTAAAGGTATTTGAGATCCTTTACCCCAATGTATCTTAAAGCAAACATATTCAAGATCGGAAACGTCAAAGTTTTTAAATAAAATTGCCAAATGTTTGGAATTGACCACAAATGAATATGTGTCAGTATCAGGAGCATATGAAGGTATCCTTTCAAATCCTTCACAAATTATATCATCAAAGTCACAAGTATATTCATGAAAAAAAGAACGATTAAACACAATTTCCCCATGCGAGGTTCTAGCTGCGTTTACAGCAGAAACCGTCAATGATTCAGGCCCAACAACAAACTTGACATTATCTGAAATGGATGCTAATGAAGCTATTGCCCTTGACCATATAAATTTATGTCGATCTGCATCGATGACTGCCACAAATGACATTGATGATTATTATAAAACAAAAATTAAATCAATAAAAGATAATATGTACAACTAATTGAAAAGTTCTAAAATTCTTTCTATTTGTGTTTAATTTTTATCGTTTCAATAATTTTTTTTTTTTTGTTCCTGACCGAATTATATGTTCATTCCATATAGAGTTACTAGAATATTTGACCTCTATTCTCTGATGGATTTGTTGCAAATTGTTTTAGATTTAGGAAAATTGATCTGCGCGCGTGTGCACACTAGAAATGTCTGTATAATAATTATAACTGTCTGGCGCGTTCCATAGTTTTTCAGGCACCTGATATTACTTAGCACATAAATGAAATTCCGCGCCTTTTTAATTAAGCTAAGCCCAATAAAATATTAGTGGGGTCGGGCGAGGTGTGCACATAGCACCGAGGGACCCCCAGATAAGGTAGCAAATAGTGAACAACAAAGTACATTGATAAGAAAATTTTATGACAATTATATAGTTCAGTCAGGCATAAATTTCACTCCAATGTTTGTCAATATATTAGTGATTAACCCAAACTCCTCCCAAAAGGTGTCCGATAACTTAAAAGATATCCTTGTTGCTCCACCACTTACAAAGTTTGAATTTTACACTGCTCCATCTCATGGACCAGAGGAAATAACTCCTGATTTATCAACAATTTCAGGAGAAATTGCCCTTGAAGATATTTTACAAAGAGATCTTATTTCGAAATATGATGGGTTTTTGATTTGTTGTTATTCCGATCATCCATTGGTTCACTCCTTAGCAAAACATACCAAAAAGCCAATCATGGGGATCATGCAAGCCACTTTACTCTACGCACTTCTGAGTGCATCTAAACTGTTCATTTTAACTAGTGTAAATGAATGGGAACCTGTTCTTGACAAGGGAATTATAGATTTTGTAGGCTCTGATACTTTCCCTAGTAAGAGATTTGCAAAGACAAAAGGGTTGGACGTTACTGTATTGGGTTTAAGTGATCCAAAGGAGTATGCAAAGATAGAAAATAGAGTAATTCAAGTACTTGAAGAATACAAAGATAGTAATATCGATTGTGTTTTGCTTGGTTGTGCAGGAATGGCAGGCTTAGATGATAAATTGGCTGCAAGTTTCCCCCATATTAAATTTATCGACAGTGTTAAAGTTGGAGTTGAGTTGTTAGGTGCTTTAATTCGGTTTCAAAAGTAATAAATAACTAGACATTACCCTAAAAGAAAAAAAAAAGAACAAATATTCAATAAAATTCACTATAAAGAGTATCTAAAGCCTCTGTTTTCCTTATCGGTCATATCCTTGAACCCATCAAGGATTGCCTGTCTAGCCGTTTCCTCAGAATATCCATTCTGTTCCTTATCTCTTGATTTATTTCTCCAAACCAACAAGAATCGATATAGTATGGCGAGTACCATTATACCCACATACGAGGTGATCAAACCAATCATCCCAGAGATATATTTGGGTGCCTGGTATGCGTAAAAGATATTGGCTCCAATAATATTTCCAGCAGCATAAAAAGTGAACCATATCCCTGTAGTAATAGTTTTCTTTGAATGACCGGCAATATTAGCATTGAGACACATCCATGAAAAGATAACCGGTCCTCCAATAATAAATTGTAACCAAGTGCAACCAACAAGTGCCCATTTGTATCTCAAGGGAATAATATGTATTCCAATAAGTCCCGAAAGACCAGGTATACAGAGCAACACTAAAAATATGATTCTCGTATCCTTAAGATATATGGCTGCAACACCACAAGCGAAAACCAATACGAATTCAATGGCACCCGTAGGGAGCTGCAAAGCTGTTGCATTCAAACCCGAAAATCCAAACCCTCTGATTAATGTCAGAGAAAAGTTCGAGCTACCACCGTTAACCACTCCACATGCAAGTCCTATCAATGCCATCATCCATACCGTGATATCCAAGAGGGCTTCATTCATTTGATACCTTTTGAATTCCTTTTCCTTGATTCCCATGTTATTATGAGACACTTTTTCAATGACAATTGATTTCTCATGATCAGTCAAAAATTTAGCACGTTCAGGAGAGTCAGGACATAGCCAAAGAAATACAAATGCCCAAGTGAAGTTCAATAATCCAATAACCATGAAAATAAGTTGCCATTCCTTGATTACAGAACTTTTCGAATACCCCAACCCATAACTCAAGAGTGCCCCAACCATTGTAGCGATCCCATTACAACTCAAGAAGGCTGCCATTCGCAATGGCTGTGCCTCTTTTGGGTAAAACAACCCACAAATCATCATACAACTAGGGGATATGGCACTTTCCAACATACCTAATAAATATCTCAAAACCAAAATTCCACCATAATTTTTTGCACCCACATGGCTGACAAGTAATATGGACCAAACAAACAACATACAACCAGTGTATTTCGCAACAGGAACTTTCTGTATAATATAGTTTGAAGGAAGAGCACCAGTAAGGTATCCAAAGTTGAAGATGGCTGCTACCCATGAGTATCTTTGACCATATAGCCCTAAATCTTCTTTCAATGTGTAAGCAGAAGCATAATTTAACGAAAGTTTATCCAAGAATTGGAGCATGTAAGTAAAACATAAGAGTGGGAGAATTCTATAGTCCAACTTTCTTAAGATTCTCTTGTATTGGAGCTCTATTTCTTCGCTAGAAATGTCTTGAGCTTGTTCGAAGAATTCCAATCCAACTGCATTCTTTGTTCCTTCTACGCGAACTGAGGATTTTACATGGACCAATTCCTTTTCATCTTCTGTGGACAGCATTGCAAATGGATTATTTTATGAATTTCAATTAGGATTACTGGTCAGATGAGTATCGACTTATCCTCATTATATACACTTTTGGTTACAATGTTAGGTTGTTATGGCTTCAGATAAGGGCGCAAACTTCCTGTTTGGGCTAAAGCGGAATGTATCAATGTTACTTTAAGAGATGTGATTAAGTGTTTGATTTCAAGCATCGGAAAATGTGAATGTCCTTAAGTTGTGGATTGCTTATCACAATATAATTGGTATAGTATTATGATCACCTTTGGATTGTCAAATAAAAATACTAGAGTATATATTGTTTGAGGAACCTACTGAAAATCTAAATCTGAAAAAAAATTGCTAATAACAGATTGCCAGCACTTGTTTTTATTTGGAAGTAAGCGCCCTATCAAATTACCCTCTCTGCGCAAAAAAGATAACATCGGTCCACCTTACAATCCAAGTGTAACATAATAGATATCCTGGACACACCTGGAACTCTTGGCATCTGGATTCTACCAGCAATAAATCCAGGTTTTCTTGTACTTCAGCTATATATCTCGCCTTTTTCCTAATTTGAATTCCTCATCTTCTCTACATGGAATTACCACATCGTAAGTTTCTTATCTATAGTCCTAAAAACATACTTTCTGATCATCGTTTCAATTGAGTAATGGTGTTACACAAGTTATAATTATTTTATACTGCATAAAAACAATCTGAGGCACCCCACACTAAGGGTTTATTATAATTGAAGAATGCAACTTTTATATTCATAGAAGGTAAGTAAGCACAGTATATTCATTCTTACATAGCTTTCAAGCCATAAATATAGATTATAAATTCTCAGAGGAATATAAGTACAATGTTTCTTTTTGTAGATATGATTTTCGGGAGATCTCTTGTTTCTGTTGCTAACACCGCTACTATAAAAATCTCAACTGACACAAAGAGAAGTTGATAATGGGACACGTTATGACCTCATTACACTTTTAGCAAGTCTTCCCATTGTACATCAATTATATATTCTAAGAGACCATTGAGCACCTTTAAGATATTTGAAAATGGTCAAACTTTCATTATTTGGATCATCGTCGCTGACTAATGTTTCCAATTCGTCAGAAACAGAGAATCAAGTTGATGACAATTATGATCGGGAGTCATCTCCACAAGGAACAATAAATTCAGAAAAGGACAGTTTAAAGGAAACTTATTCTAGATTATCGAAGCGATCTACATTGCTAGAGAGACTTCGAAACAACAAGAAAGGCTCCGAATCGCCCACCTTATCGCCTTCCAATTCATCAAGCACTTCTTCCCTTGCATTGCCACCGTTAACCCCATTGTCATTACATGGATATAAATCTAGCACTAAACATAAATTACTTGACAAAGAGCTTGCTGAGAATATAAGGAACCTTGTTCCTGCCAGATTCCAACTCTTTGACGACTGGTACTTGGAATATTCATTAGAACAACATGGTATCTCCCTCAAGACGTTGTATAATAATTGTAACCCAGACTACCAAAGAAATTTGAAACGTAAACAGAAGCAAGAATCAGGGTTCGCCGACTCTGTAGTCCTGTCTATGGTGATCACCACCAGTAATAGTTCCTATCTGAATAAAAGACCACATGGGTATATTATGATAATAAAAGATGAAACAAATGCGAAATTTGGATGTTTCCTAAATGAGAATTTGAAACCAATGGAACATAAACGTTATTATGGTAATGGTGAATGTTTTCTTTGGAAAGTAGAGACTTTTGATCCTAGAACACTTTCACATCATGACGAAAAATTAGAAGATGAAGAAAGTACACCAATATCTACACAAACTAGATTTAAGGCATTCATGTATACAGGGATTAACGATAACTTAATTTACTCTGATAGTTCATTCATTGCCATTGGATCATCAGATGGTCAGAATGGGTTATGGATCGATAAATCACTTTACAAAGGGGTGAGTTGTCCATGTGATACATTTGGAAACGAAATCTTGAACGGGCAACATAGCGGTAAGATAGGACGATTCAAAATTATGGGTTTAGAAGTATGGCGCATTGGTGATTACAATAAAATTTGAAATGTCTAACACTGCAGGACAGTAAAGTATGTATACAGCCCAATAGAATCGAAATAATAATTTGTATGTGTAAACGAAGAACATGTGTGAGTATCAAGGTTGTTTGATAAATGTAATCGAAAAGAGAATTAAAAAGAAGGAATCAAAAAAAAAGAAGGTAAAAATAATATAATTAATCAAAATACATCCTTATGAAGATGAGTAAATACTAGAAATGGATCGTAACTTCTATATTTGGAAGTCTCGACCCTTTGTGTGTGATATTATACTTCTGAAACAAGCTGCAAGGAACAATAAAGTTCCACATTTACGACATGTTTTTTTTTTTTCCGCGGAAACCACACAGGCCAAATTTAAAACATCCAAGAATTTTTTGCACCCAAAGAACTGTTTCAGAAACGAATCAGTTTTGATTAAGTTAAGGGGTACATGTCGAGTCAGTTGGAGACAGTTTATGTATTTAATGATGGTGAAACCCAATATTTCCGAAGTAATTGAATTTACAGTAAAGAAACTACACGGTATGGCTCTTTTGAAATTTATTTTTTTGGTGATAATTGCCGCTACAAAATTTGTTCTGGCAGCAGATGATAAGGTTACTTCTTTAGCTACTGTGACTGATACAGTAACTGAATTGATTACTTTGACAGGTTGTGACATCACAAGTTTGTCAACGAAAACAAAGTCCCCTGTTTATGTATATACTACAACAACTACAACACATGACATCTATGATACCTCTACAACTACCGAGTGCCTCCTAATGTCTTCCCTCGTTCCAACCTATGTGAAGAGAAACGAAATGGATGATGATGATGATGATGATGATGTAGAAATTGTGTATGTCACTTCTACTTCGACAGTACATGTCACGGATAGGTTGACAAGTTATGTAACTATCACATCTTGCAAGAATAACGCCTGTCTGACTATTACCAAGCCAGTAGATGTTACTACTTCCACGGTCACAGTTAAAGAGACGGTCTCAAAGTACACGACACTTTGTATACACACAAGTACGTCATTGACTTCTCTGACTCCTAGCTCAACTTCAACCACTACTTCTAAGTCTTCTTCCCCAAGTACTTCAACAACTGAAGAGAAATCAAGCTCCCTTGCTTTCACACTGATTGAGCCAACATCGGAAATAGTCACAACTCCTTTTTCCACTTCAACTTCGTCTTTAGATTCTACTTCTGAGCTTACCAGTAGCTCACCCTTCTCAACCGAAACAACCCAGAGTGAAACTACAACAACTGTTACTGAAGTACTGACAACAGTGTTGACTGTTACTGATTGTGGACATTACACGTGTCACACATCTACTGTCACTACTGGTGTGGTTGTAAGGACTGTTACTGAAAGTGATGTAACCACGTTGTATACAACGTACTGCCCTTTAACAGACACTTCATCTATAGTTCCATCCTCAACCCCCTCAACACCATCAACACCATCAACACCATCAACACCATCAACACCATCAACACCATCAACACCATCATCATCAACTTCATTGGCAAAATCATCATCAAAGACTACAGATGTACCAACTTCTTCCACAGCCGAATCAGCCAGTATAAGTACCATTGATATTGAAAGTCTGTCCAGCGTATCAGAAAAAACAACAACAGCTACTTCACTGTTTGAATCAAGCCTGATATCGGTAAGTACTTCAGAAAAAATCACAATTTCATCCGTATCATCGACTTCGCTGACTACCCTGTCATTATCTGAACCCACTGTAAGCTCTAGTACTTTAGACAACACTTCGATTACTTCAAGTCCGACTTCCAAAGCGACTACCACACTGTTGACCTCCTCGGACTCAAGTAGTAAAGGATCTAGTACATCTAGCTTAGAGCTGACTGAGTCTTACAATTCAGAAACTAGTTCTGTAGAGACCATTTCATCAACGTCGGAGTCGACTACACAGGATACAACCTTACTTTCAACCAGTCTGTCCACTTCAAGTGAGTCGTTTGACAAATCCTCGACAAGTTCAACTACAACTGAAACGGTACCAGATATTTCAACCACTACCATCACAACAACAACTTGTAGTTCTGATAAATGTCATACTACTTCATACAAGACTGGTGTGACAACTGTAACTACTACCGAAAGTGATATTACCATTTTTTATACTACATATTGTCCACTTACGAGCTCAGAGGTGCTTCCTAGCTCAAGTATGAAAGAAACATCTATAGCTAGTTCAGAAAGTGAAATTAATAGTAGTACACCAGTTGCACCAACTACTACACCAAGCGCTACACCAACTACTTCTCCAACCACATCACCAACGACTGCACCAACCACTACACCAACCACTAAACCAACCACTACTCCAACCACTACTCCAACCACTACTCCAACCACTACTCCAACCACTACTCCAACCACTACTCCAACCACTACACCAACTACTTCTCCAACCACTCCTCCAACTACTTCTCCAACTACTTCTCCAATTATTTCTCCAACTACTTCACCAACCACATCACCAGCCACATCACCAACCACATCTCAAACCACATCTCCAACTACTTCTCCAACTACTTCCCCAACTACTTCTCTAACCACGACCCCGACCACTACCCCAACTGAATCAGACGAGGAAAAAACAATCGAACCTACTTCTACCTTTATTCCAACACAATCAACCACCAGTACCAGCATTACCACTGTTACAGTTAGCTCATCAACATTTTCCACATCTTCACAATCTGAGGCAACCCCTACTGCAACAACTATCCCATCCAACAATGCTGCTTCTGTAATTCCCGCTAACGCAAGTTTCTTATTGGTAATATTCCTTTCTTATATGCAAATTTTGTGATTGTGGAACATTGACAAATTTCGACTCTCGGTACATTTCCTGATAGTTTACTTTTCAACCTTATATAATATTCGTTCATCATTTCAAATATGTGATACTTTCTACTTCAAAGAATAAATTGTAGGTATATTTTTGTTGTACCAACTTTAGATAATGACCCCTCACCGCTTAAAATTACCTTGAATATTCCCCTGTTAGTTTTCTAATTATAAATCAAGCCCTGGTGACATCAGTCAAAAATATGTGGGACTTTTCTTCGCTAAAAAATATTTTTGAGAGGTATCATTGCTTCCATCACATTTTGTTAATGAAATGTCTAGCTTCCATGTTAATCGCGTACCTGTCTTCACTTTCCCCGACTCATGTCGCGTAGCTAATCTACCGAAGTGTATATCTTGCTTATAACTACAAGTACAGAGTAGACGACAAACCATTTCGCATATGCACCGCTGCGCCCACTAGCCCAAATATTGGTACGGAAATATCTCCGGCCCTCCTAATTTAGTTTTTTTTTTTTTTCCCTCCCCTACATAATGACGAATATTAAAGTAGCCACAACTTGCACTTATTACAAAGTTGACACATATATTACTACTGATGACTTTGCGTTCCAAGGCTTAGACAATAGTGGTGAGGTATACGACGTCAAAGTGAAGGAAGAGCAATCCGCGAGAGAAGGGCAAACATGCAGTATTGTTGACGTCTTCGCTACAAAGCCGACTCTCCAAACAGTTGCCTTGACGATTTAGACTAATCCCATCTAAAGCAATATGTTTACTGCAGCATACTCGAATGTATAGAACCAATAGAATTGAATACTTCGAAAGTCTGCATGCATTGTTGTAAAAATTTGAATATGCGCCCAAATTTTATGCACGAATTAAGCTTTTCGATACTGCAATTTTATTCTTAGTCACTTTTTCTGCGCGTAATCTATGCGCTGAGCATGATGGAAGCTCTTCCGTAATTTGCGGCGGCTTTAGTTTTTTTTTTTTTTTGCATCCAAATCCTTTTCCGTCAAAATTGATCTTATTAATAAAATGATTTCGCCCACATTTAGTCCTGAGTAAGTACACTGAAGTTGAATACTATTGCAACTTCTTCAAAGGTGATTAAGATCACGGATCAAGATGTTCATTTTCAATTATATACCTTGGTTTATCTTCTTGACCATCAAATATGTTCTTGCAGACAATTCAAGTGAATATCCCACTGTAACAAGTCAGATAACTGAACTCATCACAGTTACTGCATGTGGTGGTGATATTCCAGTTACAACAGCTCCAACTGCAACCCTGACCGCAGCTGGTGGAATCTTCAAGAGAGGAAAACCAAGAACAGCAGCTATCTTCAAGAGGGGTGCAACCGCTTCAACCATCATCCAAACTGTGACGAGCTTTACCACCATCTGCCCTACCGTTACCAGTACAACCACGAAAGTAGTCACAATCACTACCTGTGGTGGCGATATTCCGGCTACAACTGCACCAACTACAACCCTGACTGCTGTGGGTGGAATCTTCAAGAGAGGAAAACCAAGAACACCCGCTATCTTCAAGAGGGGTGCAACCGCATCAACCGTCATCCAAACTGTTACGAGCTTTACCACCATCTGCCCTACTGTTACCAGTACAACCACGAAAGTAGTCACAATCACTACCTGTGGTGGCGATATTCCGGCTACAACTGCACCAACTACAACCCTGACTGCTGTGGGTGGAATCTTCAAGAGAGGAAAACCAAGAACACCCGCTATCTTCAAGAGGGGTGCAACCGCATCAACCGTCATCCAAACTGTTACGAGCTTTACCACCATCTGCCCTACTGTTACCAGTACAACCACGAAAGTAGTCACAATCACTACCTGTGGTGGCGATATTCCGGCTACAACTGCACCCATTACAACCCTGACTGCAGGTGGTGGAATCTTCAAAAGGGGTTTAACTGCATCAACAGTGGTCCAGACTGTGACAAGTTTCACCACATACTGCCCACCTAATACAAGTCCATCCTCAATAAGCAGTAATACTGGAGATATATCAACCACTTCCGCTGTTCTGACCAGTACACTTTCCACTGATTCTACTACCAGTTCCGTTCCATCAACTGACAGCAGTGAAGTCTCAAGCGTTGAATCTACAACCACTACTTCAGTTTCGACTAGCGAAGTCTCCACTGCTTCCACTACCAGTTCGGTTCCATTTTCTTACAGCAGTGAAGTCTCAAGCATTGAGTCTACAACAACTTCTTCAGTTTCGAGTAGCGAAGCGTCCACTGCTTCCAGTACTACTTCGGTTTCATCTTCTTACAACAGTGACGTCTCAAGCATCGAGTCTACAACCACTTCTTCAGTTTTGAGTAGCGAAGCGTCCACTGCTTCCAGTACTACTTCGGTTCCATCTTCTTACAGCAGTGAAGTCTCAAGCGTTGAATCTACAACCACTTCTTCAGTTTTGAGTAGCGAAGTGTACACTGCTTCCAGTACTACTTCTGTTACATCTTCTTACAGCAGTGAAGTCTCATCTACAACCACTTCTTCAGTTTTGAGTAGCGAAGTGTCCACTGCTTCCAGTACTACTTCGGTTCCATCTTCTTACAACAGTGAAGTATCAAGCATCGAGTCTACAACCACTTCTTCAGTTTTGAGTAGCGAAGTGTCTACTGCTTCCAGTACTAGTTCGGTTTCATCTCCCCACAGCAGTGAGGTCTCCAGCATCGAGTCTACCACCACTTCTTCGGTTGTGTCCAATGAACTGTCGACGGTCTCTACTACCGATTATGTTGCTTCGATGACTTGGTCGTACTTTAGTAGTCAAATGTCAACTGTTTATACTACCAGTTCTGTTCCATTTACCGATATCAGTCAAGGCTCAAGTGGGTCTACTACCACTCCCTCAGTAACTACCAGCGGCTATCTTCACATCACGAGTAACCATGACTCTACCAATGTACCTAATACAATGTCGTCGATTTCCAGTAACCAATTATCCACTACAAAATCAACTGGTTCTGTGACAGTTAGCAAACAAACTGAGGAGTCTCTTACCACTTATCCAAGTAATATCATATCTACTCAATCCACAAGAACCTCGAGTCATACACGAATTAACTCAACACCAGATTCTTCTTTTGTATCTGCAACCAGCATTCCTACATTTAATTCACATACCGTCCACACGAGCGTACCAATCACCAAGGTAACTACAACAACTTGCATCTCTGAAACATGCATCACTAGTGCATATGTAACGGGTATAAAGATTACAACGGTTGTAGAAAGTGATAATACCACTATCTTCACCACCTATTGTCCAATCCCAAGTTCGGAAGTGACCTCAGAAGAAGTAGTACCTACCAAATCTGAGGATGAATCCCTTCTTACATCATCTAAAGAAGAACACACAACTATGACAATTATTCCTGGCTCCACTGTTTCTACTGAAGCATCCACCACTACAATGGTCACCTCAGTTATTGTTTCACCTTTATCTATGGAGACAGGCACACCAATCAATCCAACATTTGAAATAATTTCAACTGGTACTAGCGTAATTACCCGAACCATAAAACCATCATTATCAATATCATCATCGTCATCGTCATTCAGTCAATCTTTATCAACTGGTTCTGTTCCGGATATTGTATCAGATAATTCTGCATCCAATACCCTGACAAAGCCAACTTTCTTCATAGTTTTTTTCCTTTCGTGCATATATTTCCTTTAGACCTAAAAGTCTTCACTGGCTCGAGACTTTATTTCCATCAAAGGAGGTTCTTCAATTTACTCATACCTCATTTTTATACTTCAATTAACAATAAATTAACTTTAATACATAATAAAACATCTACAATATAATTTTCTTAATAATTCAATGATTATATACATATAGAAAAAAACTTTTATAACAATGCCGTTGAGGATGCTACAGTGCAAAGGAACCAGAATAAAAACCAAAAACTTGTTGAAATGAAATGTTTTGTCCGAAAACAAAAATTAGTTGTCGTAAACCCTCGTGAAAATAGATACGCATTTTTCGACCACATTGTTGAAAGTAGTCGTGGATAGACATGTTGAGTGTCTAGGTCCTGCGATATGATAAAATGAAATAATGTCTTGTTTAGTTACTCAAGCTATCCAAAAGATTGAAAATAGTCTCGTTACCATCAATGAAATCATTGTTGACCAAGTTACACAAGACGTATTCATCTCCAAATTTACCCATAAGATCAGCAAATCCAGAGAGTGAAGCTTCAGGTGCACCGGTCGATTTCACCATGTCACTTTGAACAATTTTCCCCCATTCGGAAATCAAACGGTAGACTTCATCCTTCCATGCCAAAAATGATGTTTTTTCAACAATGGTTGGTTGAAGAATTTCTTCACCTGGGAAGACACCCCAAGTGACCGCATTGATGTCGTCCTCCTTAGTATTGGTCGACAATTCGCCATCCTTATTGACGGCGTAGTAGGTCAACACACTTGAGTTAGCCTCGTTACCTTGGCTGGTTTTGTGATTGAATTCGTCAATTTTTTGCAACAATTTTGGAATGATATCTTGATGACAGAAGAATTCCAAGTATTGCTTTTGATAGACATATCCAACCTTAGGACCCCAACCATGTACCTTATCGTTAGAACGAACAGCGTTCAAGGCAGGTTGGGAGTTCATGGTAAGGAATCCATCCTTGTTCAATTTGATCAAGTTGTCAACCATGACATGGGATTCCTCACCAATAGCACCATCTGACCATGGAAGTGATGTCAAATCACCCTTAAGGTATGAAATGATGGTGTTGGCGAGTTCTTCCATGGATTGTGGACACCCCCACAAATCATAGGCTCTCTTTGGAGATTGTCTCAACAAATCAGTGGCAGATAAATCGATATCACCAAAGGCTGGAGAACGAGAATCACCCCATCTACCGTTAGGGAATTCATCCCAAGTGGAAGTACGTGAAACATAGGAATGTTTTCTATTTTGCCAGAAAATTGGACGAATAGATTCTTTGGTTCTTTGTGGATGAAGAGATTTTCTCCATGGTAAGACAGATCCTCCAATAACTTCATGAGTTTTGGCCATTTCAATCAAATTGAGTCTTTCCAAAATCATGACGGTAGCTCTTTCCAAATTCATGGTGTAAAAATGGAGATGGTTCACATAGCCAGAATTGAGCAATTTGGTACACATTTCTGAGACAAGCTCAGTACCACGTTCTCTAACAAGATAATCATCTTCCTTGATAGATTCCAAAGCATCCAAGAAGTGTTGGGGGATCTTGATCTCGGACCACTTGGCTCTTCTGATGAACGCGGCATAGGTGGAGATAGGCATGATACCAGGAATGATTGGGATGTTAATACCAACCTTACGGAGACGAGCACACCAAGAAATAAAGTTATCAGCGTCATAGAACATTTGAGTGACGATGAAATCAGCCCCAGCATCACATTTTTCCTTAAGATACTTGATGACATTATCATCATCATTTTCTTCTGGGTGACCTTCAGGGTATGCAGCAACTCCAATATTGAAATGATTTCCATATTTTTCTTTGATGTACACAATCAAATCCTTGGCATACTTGAAATGTCCCGTTGATTCACTACCATCAAGAGGTGGATCCCCACGAAGAGCCAAAATGTTTTCACATCCAGAAGTGTACGCCTTATCTAAGGCCTCGTCAATAAGTTCAACAGCCATATTTGTGCAAGTCAAGTGCATACATGTTTCCAACCCCAAAGCAGATTGTGCGGTGTACACCATCTCGTTGGTCAAAGTGGAAGAACGACCACCAGCGTTCCAAGTGATGTCAACGAAAACAGGATTCAAATCGTACATTCTGTCCATTCTATCGTATAAATTTTGAACCCCTTGAGACGTTTTAGGAACAAAGAACTCAAACGAGAACGTAGCTGGTGGAGGATTCGCACATGAATGTGCTTGTTGCAACTTATCGGAGATTCTCATCTTTAATTCAAAGAAATCTTTATCCAGTAGTAAAAGAAATCGAACACTTTCAAATTAACAACCATCGGATCAAACTCTCTCCAACGTCTTCATGTTGGCGTATTAACATGTGACTCATGACAATCATGTGATTGACGCACGTGGAGGATTAGACGCATAATTTGTTGGAGCCCTCTCCCCCAAAAAAATACTAAATACTATAGAATTACCGTCAAAAAATAAGAGGTCACGCGTAAAATTGTCTTTCAGCTCTACATATGATACTACACGCTTGTTTGCTACTTAATATATACACATTTCCATTTATTTGTAACTATAATCTACTACAATTAATTCACTACGAAAAACTTCCTAATTTAAAAATCTCCGCTTTTTTGGGGGATTTTTTTTTTATTTGCTCTATCATTTTCAATCCGCCTCCGCTGCGAAAGCGGCCCTTTCGTATAGACGGCCCTAAGTACTATACCGGCGGCAGGTATCTAAAAAAAGCGGGAAAAAAAATAATAAAGAATACCCCTATTAGATTCCCTGGAGATTGTGAAAGATTTTTTATAGGGCGATCATAGAGTAAGACAGTGAAACAAATATGTGTATCGTATTACTGGTACTTTTCTACCCGGCTTGAGACTTTGATTGAAAAAGTTGAGTACCTGTCAACTTTTCTACTTCTTATCAAAGGGTAAAAGTTTTCTTTTTTTTTTTTGACTCCGCCCTTATTTTTAAAATATGTTTTTTTTTTGTTTTTTTGAATATTCGCATAACGTAGACTAGCCGCTAGCCTAATCTAGTCAAATTCTTCTACAAACTAATAATGTATCATTGAATGTGTGCATAAATATACCTATAACTCGTCGTGGTAATAGTCATCATCTTCAGACTCACCATTGTAATCCTGGCCATCTTCTATATTCTCAACGTTATACTCGTCAACATCGATAACCTTTTCTTGTAGTTCTTGTCTTTCAATCTCCCTCATTTCATTTACCAATGCAGTTACCTCGTCATCATATGTAGTCCATTCTGGAATTTGTCTTTTAGCACGCTCAAGCTTTGGTTCCTTAGTAAGAGGGTTGTTGCATAAATCGATGGTTCTGGCCGATTTAAGACCCTCATCGGAACACCAAGTCTCACACCAAAGCCAGTCTTGTGAAAGACTATGTATAGGAATTTGACGCTGGAGGTTATTTGGCAAATCTTGATCCAAATTAGCAAGTGAAAGAGGATCTGATGAAAGTTTCTGATATGAAGATCTGATACGGTTACCGGCTTGTTCTTTACGGAATTGAACCAAATCAACAACATAGAGTGCACTGATATGATATTTATATTCATCTCCAAGAACCTTCTCCCAATATCCTCGTTTCCAGAATCTGAAACCTTCCATTTCGTCTCGGGAGTCACACATAGGTGTAAACCCATAAACACATCCATTCAAATTCTCATCAACTAGTTCTTGTAAGTCTGTACGAACGATTTGATCAGCATCTACAAAGATAACTTTTTCAAGGTCTTGTGGGAAAATCACATCTAAAAATAATATCTTGTAACCCCAAATAGTCCTCTGCTTTTCTCTTTGTTGGCGGAGCCAATTTGGCCATTTGTAGGTAATCAATTCATATTCAAAATCGTACTTTTGAGCAAGATATGGTAGTAATTTCTTAAAATGCAGTGAAACAAAATTTTCGATAATCCAAAACTTCACTGTTTGATTCGTATTCTTTCGTACAGAAGCAGTCATGATACTTAAAAATCTCTCATATAGGTGCCCACTAACAATAGAGAAAATATTAATATCCGCCTGCTTTTTATTTAAGTTTTTCTTTTTAAACATCTTCTTCATTAAACCTCCAGAATTTGGTGCCTCCAAGTCCTCAAATAATGATTTGTCTTCGTAGCCAGTCTTTTTGGAAACTCTTAAGTTAACTGGTGAACTTTTCAAACTCAAAATTGGGATTGTAATATCTTCTCTAGGTTCAGTGTTAATGCTAAAGGAATTATCATTTGCTGAAAGCAATGAATAGTACGCACTACTGGTGGTTTCATCTTTCAATCTTAACTTCCATAACCCTGGATTAGATTGAAGTTGGAAATAACCTAAGGAGGACATGACATTTGTGTCACTGACTTTTCCAGCAGTATTTCTAACTTCCAAGGCTAGTCCATCTGGCGATAACCCAGATTTTGTTTCTCTTGCAAAGCCTTCAATTAGGATGCTTTTCAATTCATATGTACCTCTGGTAGGACCTAAATCATATTTAGTCAATTGAATATTATCAGCGTCTACTCCAATTGGGGTATCTTTGATAATAGGAATCCATTTCATTGGGGTTTCTAAATCTGCTGTAAGTAAAGTATCTTGAGGAAGGGTAGTAAAGTTTGCAACATTCGAAGTTTGTAAAAATCCCCTGGAATTGAATTTTGGTTTCGAATCAGGATATACACCACGATAGAATCTTTTAACATTAAACTCTTCCAGACTCAATAATTGTGGTTGAAGGAGAATTTTTATATTGACAAATGTGAATTCTTTAATAGAATTCAACATTGAAACTACTTTTTGTGCAAATTCATCTACTGGATCAAGTATTACAAGAACATCGACTTCATTTTCGTCATTTGATGTTGTGGAAGAGACCAGTAAGGAATTCTCCTTGTTCAAACTCTCGAAGTCAAATCTTGATACATCGTTCAAAAACAATGTATTGTCGACAAAGAACGATTTGGTTACTGTTGAGCACAACAAATCAAACCAATCATTGTCGGAAAGGTTACCGCCATTTTTGAAGTTTAATAGAGTCTTATAAGCAAATGTCTTAGGATAAGTTGATACGAGATCATCAAGAATTTCAATTCTTTGTGTAGCTTCAAAGTCAACCAATCTCTTCAATTCACTCTTTGTGATCAAAGAATCAGTGATTCTAATATATCTTGAATTCAATAATAAATACAGATGTGACAGAGGGAGTCTGTTTCGTTCAAGCAACTCCATAGTAGTTATGTTATGGCCATCTGACTCGGGAGCTTTAAATGGAGTTGAAAGTTTGGTTATGAATTTAACATCTGAGTCCGTCATACTGTGGGTGTTGAAAGTTCTCAAAATTTTGGCAAGAAGAGCAGATTCTTGTCCAGTATGGACTAATCTCAATTGCATTCCACCTGGGCTTTGGTCCATTAGGTTCAAAATTTCAAGAAATTGCAATTTAACTTTCTCCATATTGAAATCACCAATTATCCAAAAATTCATTGGAGTTTTGCTAAATGGGAATCTGTCACATTCGAAATGATATGAATTGTTTATCAATTCTTCACTGATTGGCTTGAACTTCATTGCTGAAGGATCAGTTGGGATAATCTTCAAGTTTCTACTAGATTGTGCATTTTCATAGATAAGCGACTTTAATGGAGTATCCATATAAGTACTCTGCTTGACGTGGAAGTTGATGATACGAACATCATGAGATATCTGTTTACCCATGGCACTCTGCCATCCTTGTGCCGTCAACTCATTAATAACACCGTTGAAAATAACAGATGGTTGACTAATAGAAAACGTTTCCAAGGTTGCCTCGTTGTATAAACCATAAATATAGTCAGAAGGTATTTCAATTGACTTCAATAACTCATCAGTCTCATCGGATGATTTACTTTCAAGATATTTATATAAAAATGCCAACGCTTCCTTGGCACTTGCGGTATCTGTGATGAAATAAAAGATTTTAATCAAAAGTTCCTCTTGTACATTTGTAGATTTCATGGGGAGGACACCAATTTGTTGGGGAATAGATCTATCCAAGATCAATTTTGAAATTGTGAAAAACACCTTCAATTGATCCCTGTTGGAGATGTCTATGGCAAAGATTAAATCGTGAACATTTTCTCTTAATTTCGGAATTTGACCAGCCCTCAATTTGGCAAGTTCAGAATCTGAATATGAGAGTTTACCATTGGTGGAGTATTCATTGTAACTTACATCGAGTGCAAGGTCATTGAAAAATACCACCCCGCCACTCTGCATACCATCAGGTAAGTTTGGTTGGAACTCGTGTTGGTACACTTTAAATCTATTGTCATTTTTTCCACCCATCATGGAGTTACCCTTATAGAAATGAGCCTGTTTGACAGCAGACATCAATGCAAATTTAGAAATAAGTTTCTTTGCCTGTTCATTAGTGAATCCCAACAGTTTCATATTCTCGATAAGTTCCAATTCGTTTTGAATTTTATCGACCAAGGTGAAGAGATCAAGCTCTAATCGGTTCAATGGAGACCCATTTACGTATAAACCAATAGAATCTTCACTGATCCCCAATTTCTCATTAGCTAACATATTCTTTTGTACATTTTTAATATCAATGTTAAGGTTGGCGATTTCTGATACCCGTTGTGGAAAATCTTGTAGAATATCGAGTAAAGCCTCGTATTGGGACTCATCTGATTGTTGAAGTACATGTGACGTTAACTTTAAACCAAGTTGTGAGATTTGATCTTTGTTGATTGGCTTGATATCATCATTTGAGCTCAAGACTTTTTGAGTAGAATCCTTTTTATCATCTCTGTCGTCAATAACTATGTAATCAGTTCTTTTCAATGTCAAGTCAACACCGTACCCGGTTAATTGTTCAGGTGTTCTCTTATGATTGGCCGATTCAATATATCTCCAAACAAATTGGATCTTTCCTGATTCAGCAGCATAGTAGACGTTTCGAAGAAAGTCTTTGAAAAATTTTGATTCAATATCTCCATACAATACTAAAAGTGGAGCTTTCTCATTTTCACCAACTACTCTATCAAAGGGGAGAAGAGAGTCTCTAGAAAGACCAACTCCATTGGTTTGCAAGGCAAATACTTCATCAGGTGAACAATAAATTTTATCGTTGTACAAGAGCCAAGCCTTGGGTTCTTCCTCTGGGGAAAGCACAGGATTTCCAAATGAGTCCGTGGCACATTCTCTCTGAACTCTGGCAAGAAATTCCGGTCTTACGGTAGAGTTATAATAATCATAATGGGCTTGAATTCTAGGAGAATTGATTTTATTCACAAGATCAAAATTGAAAAATGATAAATCTTTATCATTCAATTCATTAGCAATTAGATCATAATAAAAGGAGTCTGTAGGCCTCTCGTTATCATCATTTTCTATAATATTAGATAAGGCTTGAGAATATAGCGATTCATTATTAGCACTAACACTTTCAAGTAGATTCAAGATAAAAGGTGTTGTGTTCCACGAGCCTTCGAGCGCTATTTCCAACTGCTTTTCAGAAGTTTCTTTAGCATCTACACTTGCAATGAGAGCTAGAATTCCAGTAACAAGACTGTACAGCTTCCAGAACATAATCAGTAAGATTACCACTTCCTTTTGTTTGTCTAAGTTCTTTTTTTCTACAAAAGGTTACAGCCAGTCTGTTCTTCTCTCATGGTGGGGTTGCACATATTTGAGGCTTACGTACAGGAAAAAGCGTTTCATAACTATTCCAAAAATAATAAACAACACAAAGTACGCACAATCTAGCCTACAAGGGACAGATTGAACTGTTTGGTTTCCCGTGGATTTTAAGACAGACTAGGGCATTCAATTGTATATATATTTATATTTTCTGAGTTGGATTGTGAACTGGGATGTCGTCCAATTTATTTGAAAACCCTGAAGGGTCACGTTCAAACACACCATCAATTTCTGATACAAACAAGGAGATACATCGTGATGAAGATGACATGGAAATAGATGCATTGGCTGGTGCCTCCGACATCGAGCTTCTGTCGGATGAAAGTGACTATGCTACGCGAGAACCGTTTTTCCTAGGGTCTGATAGTGACGATGAATGGGTGGAAGATGATGCAGATGAAGACTACGATTTCTTGGATGCGGTTCGTGAAGCAGGGAACTTCAGATCTAGAAAACCTAAAAAGTCTGCCAAGTCATCCTTCTTGAAAAGATCTATGCGTAGAACCAAGAATGATGATCCAGAAATCCATCACTTGCTTGCGTTGGGTAATAAGGCCTTTGTAGATAAAGATTGGGAAGGATCATTGGAAATCTTCAGAGAAGTTATTCGTAAAGATAACAAGAACTTTGCCGCTTATAAGACCCTGGGGGAAATCTATCGAGAACTTGGTATGCTCAATGAATGTTGTAATTATTGGTTTTTAGCAGCCACCATGAATTCTGCAGATGGGGAGTTTTGGGGCACTGTGGGGCATCTTAGTGCAGAGCTTGGACATACCGAGCAGGCAATTGAATGTTACACTAGAGCCATTGGTGCCAGTAACAATAAGGATATGAAGGCAATCCTAGCCCGTGCCAAATTGTATAAGGAGCAAAAGAGATGGGGAAGAGCATTGGAAGGATTTCAAAAAGTCCATCTTGCCAACCCTACCAATACTAAAATTATCAAGGAATTGGCTAGTATTTATGTCGAGCAAAAGCGTGTCAATGATGCCATCAAGTTATATATGGATATTTTGGATCAAAACATTAATCCTGATGCTGCCAATAAGCACGCTACTCCGAAATTCACTTGGTCAGAATTGAATATTTTATCCGAATTATGTGCCACTCTGCATTCGTATAGATTGGGGATTAAAGTTCTTAAATTGCTGTCAAGATGGATTCAAGGTAGACTTGAAGAAACATGGTGGGATGAAGTTGATGATGACTCTGAATTTGATGCCAGAAGATTCTTGGGTATGGACAAACGTCCATATTCCGAACAATTGGCTGCCAAGGAGAAACCATATGAAATTCCTATTGATATTAGATTTAAATTAGGAACGCTTAGACTTGGACTTGGTGACAAAGATGAAGCCTTGAGACACTTTGAATTTTTGAAAACTGAAGAAAATGTTTTGGATTTATATTGGGAAGCTGGGGTATTACTTGAATCAAATGGATATTATGAAGATGCTTTAACTTATTTGGTGAAATATGAGGAAGAAGAATCAGAAGGAGAAATGGAAAATGAAGCGCAATTGATTTCTCTTTTGGGTAAATGTTATCAAGAAGTGGGAGAATATCAAAAGGCAGCTGCTGCATATGAAATTATCATTCACTCCATGCCTGATGATATCGATACTAAATTGGCATTGGCTGAAGTCCTCTACCATATAGGAGAAATTGAAGCATCTCAACAATTATTGAAAGAAGTTGCAAATCAAGCGAAAAAAAGTGGTGAAGTCATTGAAGGAGAAGAGAAAACTCAAAATGAGGGCGCAACACAAGGTGACAATGCTATTATTCAAAACCATATAATCCAAAGAGCAAGAAAGACAAAATTAAGTGACGAAGAAAAGATTGAGCTCGAAAACAACGCCAAGCGGAAAGTTTTGGAGAAATACCATAGAATGCAAAGACTCGAAGCTGCTATAATTAAGGGAGATAGTGTTGCTATCACTGCATGGATTCAATTGGCGTCACAATTGGTTGAAATGTTCATGAGTGTTCGTAGTTTCTTCCCCAGAGATAAAAACAGAATTTTCAAAGGTATTGTGTTTTATAGAAGAAAGAAACAAATGGGTATAGATGAAAAGATGGCGAGAATCTACAATTTACATGAAGGTATCAACACAGATGACTCACAGGCGAGACTGGTGTTGACCTCCAAGAAGGATTATCGTGGTCTTGACTATAACATTTGGTTTACCATTTTCGTTCAATATGCGTTATCACTTGCCAAATTTGAAGGTAATCTTGAATACGCAGTCCAAATCACTGACGTTGCCACTGATGTCAGTGTCTTTGTTCAAGACAAAAACAAGGAAATGATATTGAAGATGTTGAGACTTATGTTTGGTATTGCGCAAAAGGATGTCAATGCAACAGTTATGACCTATGTTCGGTTCTTTTTGTCTGCCAACCAATTCTCTCCGTTCATCTATAAATTCTTTATGTGTTGCTTTTCGTCAGGTATTGAAGCATGGGAAACATTTTCCAATTATAACCATCAAAAATTCTTTCTTCGTCAATTGAAAGCGTTTGATTCCATTTTAACCTATCAGAAACATATTACTGGTATGGCCACACTTACGGCAGACGTCAAAAGTATCAAGACCAAAAGAGAACATGCTGAGCTTTTGTACGTCTACGCAAACTTATTGGGTGGTAGTAGAAGTTATGTTTCTTCAATTGTATACCTTAATCGTGCTTACAAGCATTACAATCGTGACCCAATGATCTGTCTTGTTTTGGGGTTGGCCCATGTCCATAGATCAATGCAACGGTTGAGTAGTAACAGACACATTCAACTACTACAAGGGGTGAGTTACATCTTGGAATACACCAAACATCGTTCTCTTGATGCTAGCCCTTATGAACTACAAGAAATCAATTACAATCTCGGACGTTTGTTCCATATGCTTGGATTAACTACTCTCGCAGTCAATTCTTATAATAAAGTATTTGCCTTACATGACTCTATTGAAGACGAAGATTTCAACCTCCTGATGGAAGCTGCTTACAACCTTTCCTTAATTTATAATATCAATGGGAATTCAAACTTGGCTAGAGACATAACCGAGAAATACTTGGTGGTATAGGGGAGGGGTCATGTGACTTTGTTAAATCCTGCATATCTACATTTATAAAAAAATGTAAGATTTTATTTTTTTTTATTTAACGGGTCAATTAACATTGGGAGTCATTACCAGGTACCATTAGTATATTGACATGGTTAGGTTGAAACAGAGATATATTCTATTTGACATCTTATATCCTCCCCAAAATGACCAGGATCCAGATTTTGTCAATTTCAGTAATTCACCGCAAGAGGCATTGATAGCGATGTGTCAATCATCCCCCGCCAGTGTTAACCAGAAGCTAATAACTCAAGTAATCCGGAAAGTACTACAAGACCATTATGGTGACATGGGTGCAGGGGCTGCCGGGATGCTGATATCCGTCAAATACTTCAATAATAAGACATCAACGGGGATACTTCGATGTTCAAGACAATCATTTCAACTTGTGATGTCATCACTTACATTGATGAACCGGATTTCCAACCGAGAAGTTATTGTAAGATGCTTACATGTAAGTGGGACCATCAAAAGATGCGAAGAGTTTGCCATCAAGCGGAATCATGACATCATGCTACAATTGAAGAACATCAAGTCTACTGGAGTTGATGTCTTATTGGGCAATTTTGCCTCTGGTGATGACGTAATTGAGATGGAGGATAATGATCAAGACTAGTGCAGTCTACTAAGTTTTTTGTTGTATATTAAATAATTGTATATTAGTTCTATTATTAAACGTCTAAGTTTTTAAAAAAAAAACAGAGCGGGTGGACTTGTAAATAGCTTAGAGGGCTGCGAACAGTACTAATCTCTCTTTGTATAATGCGGCAAATTGCTCAATTTCTTCAGTCATATCTTTACAATCTTCTAAATATCCGAAGACAATATTCATCCCCAGTTCTGGAGTACTGATAATTGACAAGTCAAAGTAAGCTGCAAGTCCATTAGATTGACTGAAAACGAAATTTTCTGATTTCCAATCACCATGGGTAAATTGTTTGTTACCTAAGTTTGAGATATCCAATGTTGTACGAGAGAGACAATCTAATTTCTTTTCCAAGAACTCGTTGGCTTTAACATAATCCAAAAGACCAACAATACCAACACAATCTTTAGATTCCACTGATTGAGTGAGTTCAGCGGCAAATTGTCTCATGTGTGGGAGAAGTGACTCCGGAGTCAGGGGTAAATATGGTGTTGAAATGGATGCAGCGCCAACAATTAAACCATATTTAGGCCTTTTAGTTAAGTATCTACGGGCATCAATTGCCACATCTGTGTTAGCAGAAGGGGTTCCATTATTTGTAATTGTTTTGAAAAATGTGTCCTGGAGACATAACAAGCACAAGACGATTGAATAAGTAGTCATGGTGATACCATTTGCCTTACAGTATTTCAAGATTTTCGATACTTCGGCAGGGGTGGAATTGATCAACTTGTAATAGGTTGGAGTTCCCTTTCTGGTTGGGTTATGGGTAAAGATCGGGTTAATATTAGTATCAATATAATTTGGATTAGTAGATTTCCAATATTGTCTAATGAAATTGGATCCATTTTGATATGCGTCCTTGACCCATTGCGGGGTGAGAAGCTTGGATGTAAGAGTAGAAACGGTATAGTATAACCTTGGCTTATACATGTCAGAAACTTCTTGATTTAATGGTAAAACTGTAGGGTTTTCTGGATCATTTTCAAAGATTGTCTCGATGAATTTTGGATCAGAAGATAAAGCTGCCAATTCTTCAAGTATATCATCATGGAATTGGATCCCTCCATTACCATCAAACAAAGTATGGTCACAAATAAAGGATATATGTTGTGTAGTGGTGGTTTCAAACACCATCACTCTCCACAAAGGAGTAGTGGTGCTATCCATTGGACATACAACTCGATCAATTAGTTGAAGAATCGATTCATCAAAAGATTCAACCTTCTTATAGGTTACAACATCCGAAAATTTGATCAGATTAAGTGGTCTTAATCGGAAATTTGCACCATTACTTGCAAAATCATCGTTATTTATTCTCATAAAGTTTACCGCTAATTCAGCATTTTTCGAGATAAGCGCCTTCAATGCTTGTGAAAGAGCTGCGCTCAGTACATTTTTATTGTATTGGCCAGTAACATTAAAGTTTGTGTAGCAGCCACCAATATTTCTGCAGATATTGTATTTTTCAAATGAGGTAGGAGATCTGTTCATGTTCAGTTAAGGTGTGTGGTTGAAGATTAGTGGTGGCAAAACTGAATTTGTTTTTTTTTGCATATATGGCCTTAATGAAATCTGGCAAAAATTGCGTTTAGAGAAAATCTAGAATTGGTTTTATTTTTTGCTTATATCCGTAGAATACGAAACTACCACGGATTTAATACTTGTAGAATGCCGGAATGGTATTGTTTTTGAAAAAATTAGGTAGATGCGTGAGTAGTGCTGAAATATGAGCAAATAACAACGAATGCGTTTAACCCTGAAGGATGAGGGTAATTGTTTATTTAGATTTTCGAATCTGGAGATCTAACTATGTGAAATAGGTTAAAGAATCCGCAAGAGAGTACAAGGGTTAGATACTACAAATATGGAAGTTTTAACCCCCATCTGCCAAAGTTTACAGAATCATTGAAGTCTCGGTGTATGAAATGTACGACATTGTGCATGTTCCCCTTTCTCAAAAGAAAAGCAAAACAGCTATAGGAAAATTGTTTTGCAAGGGACTTACCTCCGATAATGAAACACCAAGTTTCAAAGATAATTAAAAAAAATGTTGTAGAGCGTGTGGTTCCCTTGTGGTTGTTCCTCGAGGTATCTAATGGGACGGTTTATTATTTTTGGACGTACAAGCATACTCAGACGCTCTATTAAAGAAATTCCAGGTGAAAGGATATGTACCTACCAACCTGGGGTCAATAACCTCTCTTTTCTTATCTTCTTTTCTAGTACATTTCCTATTCCCTCTTTCACCCTATTTCATCTTTTGATCTCATAGATTAACCACATTGGCTCTCTCTATTTTTTCAACGGTTTAAACTACTCATACTGTTGTCTCTTATTCCCCAAAAAGGAATGTCAATGCGCGCGTGCGACGCGTTCTTATTTCGCAACCATAAATCATGATTCAAATTTAAAACCCAACCAGAGTCGTGTAGTCACCTTATCGATATCTGAGATTAAAAAAAAAAAGAATTAGATTACCAAAAAAAAAAAATATAGAGAGGGATATACAAACCCAATTGAACGGATTTGGCCGTAGTTTTAAAATCTCTTTCTTTCTCATCTAATACAACAAAAAACTTCAATAACCATAAGATTATAAGACCATTCAGTGTACGATGTCTTTGAACGCCCAATATTTAGCATACCTTGCGAAGTATCCCCTTTTGACCAAATCAGTCACTGCAGCAGCCCTCTCTGGACTCAATGAGACTCTTGCCTCCACTTTAGCAAAAGATATCAAGACTGTCAAGATTGCTGGAATCAAAGTGAAGCATGTACTTTCTCCCAAAATCGTCACCATGATGATTTATGGTGCATTTATTGTCACTCCTACCTCTCATTATCTTTATGGGGTGTTGAACAGAATCTTCAAGGGACCAAATTTAACTCTCCCAATGAAAATAGCACAGATTATTACATCTTTGTGTACTATCACACCAACATTACTGGCGCTTTTCACATCTTGGATATCATTGATCAATAATTATTCTCTTCCATCTCATAAACAATTACAAAACTTACACCTTTCTGATATCAAGGAAGAACTCGGTAAGATGGCTCAGATCATTTCCATTGGATTACAAAGAAACTACTTTGGAATCTTAAAATCATCTGTGGTAACCTCAATTTGTACCTTGACAATTGCTCAGAATTTCATTAAACCAGAATTATGGGTGGTTTTCTTCAATGTAGTATATTTTGTATTAGGAACCATTCAAAATACAAAGATTAAATTAAGTGAAAAGAAGATTGAGAAGAAGGATGAAAATAAGGATGAGAAGAAAGATGAGTAGGTTTAAAACTTCAGATAATTCATTTATAGAGACCAAACTGGAGTTCCACAATTTAAATAATTATTGATGGTAATAAGCTATATTATGACTTTAGGAATGACTTACTACTGGCTAGAATATATTCAAGTGTATGTGGTTAATAGATAAATATATAATACTATTATAAATCTTGGAAATTTCGGTCTTTAGATCATGTTACCCCCTTTCTTTGTGTATTTTCATTGTTGCAGTTCCGCGGATTTATTCAAAAATGCTCCCACACAATTTTATAAGCTATAAATCTCCCCGCGTTACTTCTTTTTACCCCATTCTATAGTGGAAGAAAAATAAAATCGATACAATCTTATAATGTTTGTACGTTCAGCAAAACCTAGTAGATTAGCATCATATTCAATTTCATTACAATTCCGTAATATGATCACCGCGCAAGCAGTTGTATTTTCCAAACATGGGGAACCTAAGGATGTGTTGTCCACCCATACATATGAAATCGATGAAAAGAATGTTCCAGCTGGATCCATTGTGGTCAAGACTCTTGGATCTCCGGTTAATCCCTCTGATATCAATCAAGTTCAAGGTGTGTACCCTTCTCAGCCAGAAAAGAACACTTCTTTGGGCACTTCTGAGCCATCAGCAGTTGGAGGAAATGAAGGGCTCTTTGAAATTATTGCTGTTGGTGACAATGTCTCCAAGTTTTCTGTTGGTGATTGGTGTATTCCTACCAATGTCAACTTTGGAACATGGAGAACACATGCCTTGGCCACTGAAGCACAAATGACCAAGCTTCCTAACCCAGAACAATCCAAGGCCGCTGGTGGTAAGAAAGGTTTGACCATCAATGAAGGAGCCACGATTTCTGTCAATCCATTGACGGCGTACTTGATGTTGACTCATTACGTGAAATTGACTCCAGGTAAGGATTGGTTTATTCAAAATGGTGGGAATTCTGCTGTGGGTAAATATGCTTCTCAAATTGGGAAACTTCTTGGAATCAACTCTATTTCTGTTGTACGTGATAGAGATGACTTGGATAGTTTGATCAAGGATTTAAAGGAGGAAAATGGAGCTACACAAGTGATTACTGAAGAACAAAATGGATCTAAAGAATTTGGGCCCACTGTGAAAGGATGGGTTAAGGAAACTGGTGGAGAAATTAAATTGGCTCTCAATTGTGTAGGGGGTAAGAATGCCACTGGTGTAGCCCGGAAATTGTCAAATGATGGGTTAATGTTGACATACGGGGGTATGTCGATGCAACCAGTCATTCTTCCAACTTCTTTACACATTTTCAAGAATATTACTTCTAGTGGATTTTGGGTAACAAAATTGTTACTGGGTAACCCTGAATTGAAGAAAAAGACACTTGCTCAAATTGTTCAATGGTATGAAAATGAAGAGCTTAAGGTTGCACCATCTCAAGAAACAAAGTTTGATGGATCCGATCTTGCTGAATTTTATAAAAGAGGTGTTGCAAACTCAAAGTCTGGGAAGCAATTGATTACTTATTAGGAATATAGTTTAAAATAGAATCAATGAATGATGAAGTAGAACTCTTTCGTTAAAGAGATGTTAAAATGTGTAAAATAGAGATGATAATAGGGAATATTAGATTGGAGTTATTAGTAGTAAACTGAATGTGGCAAGACCAATTTTTGAGGATTATAGGTTGTTAGACAAGATAATGAATTTTATTTCGTATCATTAAATGGCTAAATCTTCATTTCAGTAAGTGTTCCAATATTCTTTTAATTTGAATCAATGACTAATCTAATCTACAATCATATGAAAAAGGGTAATCACCTTTATTAAAAAAAACATATATCAAAAAGTAATTCAAAAAGTTATAATTTAGTATTTTTTCCCTCTTTGGGAGTGAAATTGGTAAAAATAATCATGAGGAACTCTACAAAGGAGAAAAGTACCTACCAAAAGAAATACACCTCTCAAAGATATACACAGATTATACGACTCTACAACTCTTATAGTACTCTATATATAGTTTACTAAACACTGTCATCTTAAAATTACATCTGTTGAAGGAAATGTTGCAAAAAAGAAGAAAACAACAAATATCATATATATGACACAAAGATGAATGTCGAAGTACAAAATCAAGATATTTGGACCGATTTGGATACATGTAAACCACTATCACCAAGCCTTAAACTATACATTCAAGTACATATGGGACGTCAGTATCATCCCTTAAGCACGTGCTCCTTATAATAAAAACCAACAAAGTACTTATTTATGATTTTGGGATTCTTAAGTTTTTTCTATTTTTTATTTTTTTTTTCATTCTTAGAAAACCTTTTTCAAATATTACGGAACAAGGCCACGAAGTAATGCTGACCATATAAATCTCCGTTGCTAATTAATTCTTTATTATTTTTGCCTTTCTCAACATTAATGAACGTATGGATACTTATGATGATGCATTGTCTGTATATAATCTCCCATGCACGGTCTTTTTCAATATTATGCACGGTCTTTCACTCAAAGTTCATCTTTCGCACTCGGTCATCGCCGAACTCTCCGGAATCGGCTGCCCGGCCGGCTCTGCATACAGGACTGCACCAATTATTAACCTGTGATATTTATCGATAAGAGATCTTGTACACATTCTATTTCACGCATATGTGCGACAGATTCCGATGACACTCTGAAGGCCCTTTAAGTTGGGGAAATGGGGCTGCATAGAACCAAGATAAATGCACACCGCCCGGTAAGACATGCGGTATATACTAGAAGCACGGGGTTGATTCCATTTCCGTCATGCCGACTCTCACATAGACTTTCCGTTGTAATGTTGAAATTTGTATTCTCTGAAGGACTTTATTTCTTTTTCCATTTGTGTCCAAAATTAAAAATATTTTTATCCTTTTCTTCTTGTCGAGATATTTCAACGTGTTGAAACATACTTAAGTAGTTCATTCATTCGTACTTCCAAGTTCAGAATATTCATACTTTAAGACTTTTTAAATTACTGTTTTACGCTTTTTGTGTGTGTCGTCATTCACTGTCTCGGAAATAAATTCCTTATCTCACCGATTCATATTTTATTTATTTGATCTAAGAATTCAAACTCAAGTGATTTTATTGTTTTATCGTTAATTTACTTTCAAATTTACTTTTATTAGATCATCATGTCAAGAGCCATTACATCTACAAGAGTACTTCTTGGAGACGATGTTGTCCCAGCCACCATAATATTCTCCTTGGAATCTGGAAAGATTCTTTTGATTGAGAAAAAGGTTTTGAAATCATATGATCCAATCTTGAGACATTACAACGTTTCTGAATCGGATTACCGTGATGTTTCACCACATGTGATCATGCCAGGTTTGGTCGATGCTCATGTTCATTTGAATGAACCGGGTAGAACAGAATGGGAGGGATTTGCTACCGGTACCCAAGCTGCTGCATCTGGTGGGGTCACTACAGTCATTGATATGCCTTTGAATGCTATCCCACCAACGACAACTATTCCAAATTTCCAACTCAAAATTGATGCTGCAAAGGGTCAAACTTGGGTAGATGTTGGGTTCTGGGGAGGCATGGTACCCACCAATCTTCTGGACTTAAAACCCTTGATTTCCATGGGGGTTAGAGGCTTCAAAGGGTTCTTAATTGATAGTGGTGTTGATGAGTTCCCAGCTATTGACCCCAAATACATTTTACGTGCCATGACCGAAGTCAAAGATATGCCTACATTATTAATGTTCCATGCTGAAATGCAACCTCATGAAGCTAATCATCATGCTGTTTCTGTCGAGGATATGGGTTACAACAGAACCCCGAAATTAATTGTTCATGATCATAACCCGGCTAAATTCTCATTAGAAGTAGAGGATGACGAGGAAGAAGATTTCACCCCTCCAAGTTCTCGTAATAGTACCATCGAAGGAATTGAAATTCCTAAAATACTGGCAGACATTGAAGATTTTGACTTGGGTATGTCTGCATCATTCATCAACAGAGCACCCAAACCAGTGGTGGATCTTCTTTCAATGCATGGTGGTTCCAGACATGTTCATGATGAACATGAGAATTGTAAATGGCCACATAATCATGCTGGATCCATGGATCAATCGGTTTTGAGTGATTCACAAGCGGTAGCATTGGCAAAATCGCCACTCTTGGCTACAGTAGAGCCAAAAGTTGGTAAATATGCTGATTTGGCCAACAAGAGAAACCCAAATTCATCTAATTCTCCATTTATTAGAGCCTTAGAGGCAGAACAAAAGCAGTTGGAAGTGTTGGACAGTCCTTTACTTTTAGCACAACAAGCAGATGTTTCTTTAGCCAACATCGATCCTACCCTGTATGCATCATTCTTGGCTTCAAGACCAGATAATTTCGAAACCACTGCCATTGCAGAAATCATTAATTGTGCAACCAAAATTCCAAATGTTCCACTTCATATTGTTCATTTGGCTACTCATGAAGCCATTCCACTTATTAGAGCTGCAAAGGCCAGAAACTTACCCATCACTGCAGAAACTTGTTTCCATTATCTTTCACTTACCGCTGAAAAGATTTCCAATTGTTCAACTCATTTCAAATGTTGTCCACCAATTAGAACAGATGATAACCGGAAATTACTTTGGAGAGCTTTAAGAAATGGGATCATCACTACAGTTGTTTCTGACCATTCCCCATGTACCCCGGAATTAAAAGGGTTAGAAAAGGGTGATTTTTTCTCTGCTTGGGGAGGTATTTCATCAGTTGGATTTGGATTACCTATCATGTACACTGAAGGATTAAAATTAAATCCACCGATCAAATTATCGGAAATTTCTCAATGGTGTTCATGGAACACTGCCAAACAAGTTGGGTTATCACATGTTAAGGGGAAACTTCAAGTTGGATATGATGCTGATATACTTATCTTTGATGCCGAAGCTGAATATTCAGTGGCTAATCACAAGACTTATTTCAAAAACAAGTTGACGGCATACGATGGTATGCAATTCAAGGGTAGAGTGGTAGAAACCCTTGTTAGAGGTAACTCTGTGTTTGCTTATGGTAAGGGACATTCAAAAATTCCAGTTGGTAAACTCATTCTTGAGCCAAGAATTGATTGAGAAAGAAAGTGAAAGGAGAAATGAAAAAAAAAAAATACAAATAAAATAAAAATAAGCAATTGAAAATGAAATGGTTGTAGTTGTAGATTAACAGATCTTTATTGAAAAGATAATGAGATATAAATGGAAGAAACGGTGGATGTTCATAATAGACTGTAAGTACTAGAGCCATACTTTGGGTGTTCGTAGCCCTGCGCCACATTTGACTTTACGTGCACAGTTCAAAATAATTCAATGACTGAAAAATTTGGAAGGCCAAATTGGTTGGCAAAAAAGAAAAATATTAGTGAAATAAAAAAAAAAAAAAAAAAATTCAATACTTTGAACTGAATCAACAAAAAGCATTGTAGATACAAGTTGTTATACTACACATAGTCGAGAAAGCTCATTTTTTATTTGGAATAGCGACTATAGAGCAAGATGTTGAGAACTCACATAGCGAAGAACATCAGGGTGCAACAAAGACCAGTTGTATTTGGAGCCAGACTTCTCCATTACACCCAAACCAGAAACAATGAGGGACCTCCACAATCACCAATGAAGGTATTTTTCGATACTTTCAGAGCTGAAGTGAAGAAGTCATCTGAATTGAAGGAAAACATCAAGGCCTTGCAAGACGAGACCGGTAGAGTTGCAGACTCTGAAGCATTCAGAAAGGCCAAGGAAGCCTTTGATAAGGCCCAAAAGGGTAGTTCTGCTGCTGGTAAGGTTGTCAAGAAGACTGCTGACGTTGTTGGAGGAGCCGCTGTTAAGGCCTGGGACTCTCCTGTAGGTAAAGGTGTGAGAACCACGGTCAGAACCAGTGCCGAAGTAGCCGACAAGGCCTTTGAACCTGTAAGAAAGACTCAAGTGTATAAAGATGTTTCTGAAGTTATTGATGATGGATCCTCCACTGCATACGGTGGGTTCTTAACCAAGGAACAAAGAATCAAGTTGAGAGCAAAGGAAGTTGAAGAAAAATTGAAGAGAGGAGCATTCATGAAGCCAGTTAAGGAAAATGAAGAAGCTGGTGGCGCTCTTATTGCCACTGAACACAAGGCTACTGGTCCAAGTGTAGGAGAAAAATGGGAAGATTTCAAGGTTAAGACTCCAGTAGGACGTGGTATTGCCACCATGAGAGAAAAATGGGATGAATCTGAAAATGGTTTGATTGCCCTTGTAAGAACCATCATTGAAAAAGTGACAGGATTCTTTGCTGAAACTGAACAAGCCAAGGTTGTTAAGCAATTTAGAATGATGGACCCATCTTTCAGATTGACTGATTTCCAAAAGACCTTGACCAACTACATTGTTCCAGAATTATTGGACGCTTACATCAAGAATGAAGATAAGGTTTTGAAAGAATGGTTAAGTGAAGCTCCATTCAATGTATGGCACGCAAACAACAAGCAATTTGTTGAAAAGGGATTGTTCTCTGATGGTAGAATCTTGGACATTAGAGGTATTGAAGTTGTCACTTGTAAACTCTTGCAACCAAACGACACTCCTGTCATGGTTGTGAGTTGTCGTGCTCAAGAAATCCATTTATACAGAGATGGTAAGACTGGAGATATTGCTGCTGGTACTGAAGATAACATTCAATTGAGTACCTATGCCATGGTATTGACCAGAATCCCAGAAGAATTCGACAACAAGACCACCGAAGGTTGGAAGGTTCTTGAGTTTGCTCGTGGTGGTTCTAGACCATTCCATTAAAGGGACACAGTGGAAGTGATGGAGTGAATGATATAGAGAAGGAGATACAGAATGATCATATAATGTATTTAGTATTCGTGTATATACGAGAAGATCAAAAAAAATAAACTGGTTTTCAGAATGAATAGAATTAAAATTAAAGAAATTGTAAAAGAAGGAAAAAAAAAACAAATAATAAAAATGAATAGATATATACAGTTAAAGGTGAAGCATTGAATCAAGGTATTAATGATTGATGAAGTTTTGTAACATTCTTGATTTTGAGTCATATTTCCTCTGTCATTGTATACCATTGTATGCACTCTTTCTGTTCGCGTTATTCTTGTTTGATTTTGTGGCACCTCGCGTCCACACGACTTTCAATTAGGATACGGGTCTTCTTTCATGATCTTATTTAATTTTAGCAAAATCAAACATACCAAAACATTTGATAGTTAAGAACACATTCCTCCACGATAATGTCGGACACATTTGCCACCAAGGAAGAAGCCACGCTTATCTTCAGCAAGCTTAGACAAAACCCTGCCAATCAGGTTTGTTTTGATTGTCCAAACAAGAATCCTACGTGGACTTCTATTCCATTTGGGGTCTTGTTATGTTTAGAATGTTCTGCAGTACACAGAAACTTGGGGGTACATATTACATTTGTAAAGTCTTCTAATTTGGATTCTTGGCAAAGAATCCAATTAAGACACTTTAAGTTCGGAGGTAATCATGTTGCTAAGGAGTTTTACCAAAAGAATGGAGGGTCACAATTCATTAGTAAGAATGGTAATGTTGATATGAACTTGAAGTATACTTCACCTGTTGCTATCAAATACAAGGATAGATTGAAGAAGAAGGCTCAAGAAGATGCTCAAAAGCATCCAGATATTGTTACATTGGAAGATTCTACTGATAACTTGTCACTTTCTGAATCTAATAGTGCCACCGATTCTACAGATGATTTCTTTTCCAATTGGACTAAGCCAATTAATTCTACCCCATCACCACTCTCTTCCAAGACTGGTACTCCTAGTGCATCCACCGATGACTTGACCACTCAAGTGAAAAGACCAGTGAGAACTTCCACCACCACAACCACTGCTGCTCGTAAGACCAATGGTGCCACCGCAGCCAAAAAATCGATCTTATCTTCCAAGGGTAATGGTCCAAGAACTTCAAGACTTGCCGCCAAGAGAATTAATAAGGCAGACGAAGAAGTGATTGATTTCGATGAACTTGAAAGAAAGGCCAAACAAGAAGCTGAAGAAGCCAAGAGATTAGGATACACTCCTCAAAAGGAAGAACCAGTTGTTGCAGATGTTTCTAGAAAGATTGGAGGATTGAGTTTATCATCCAAGAACAATAAATACGATGATGGTGATGACGAAGATTATTCAAATGGTACTGCAAAGATAACTCTTGCCCCACTGACAGTGAAGGAAAAGCCACAAACATTTCAAAAGCTTGGGTTTGGTATGGTAAATGGTGCCAACGTTACTACTAACCCATCAGCCAAGAAGTATGCTGAAGTGAAATATACTGGTGAAGTTTCCAATAAATACGGAACTCAAAAGGGGATTTCTTCAGATGAATTCTTTGGAAGAGGTCCAAGATTTGATGAAGATGCACAAAGAGAAGCTCGTGCAAAATTACAATCCTTTGATGGTGCACAAGCCATCTCATCATCTTCTTACTTTGGCGAAGAAGAAGAGGGACACGATGGTGGTGCGGGCCGCCAAGGTAGATCCAATGCTGGTGGTATGGATTTGGAATCAACTGCTAGAGAATTTGCGTCCAGATTTTCTGGAAATGCGAACCAAGATTTGGATGTTTTGAAGGATGCATTGGAAGATGGTGCCAATAAGTTGGGATCTTACTTGAGAGATTTCTTGAGATAAGAAATGTTAATATAATCTTGTAATAGTACACGGAAATACAAGAAAATGAATCATAATTTGTTAGTTCGAGTGATGTAGAATAGTAGTGGAAAGATTAAGAGATGTAGAATGACATAATTTCGAGATATGCAACCCTACAAGCTTGAAACAATTACCTTCTCTCGCATGCAATAGAAACCCGCCATGAGCGATTCTCGGGGGGATTGTCCCTTTGAAAAAATAAAAATAAATTGTACATGTACCTTGTGCATGAATGAGTCAAATTATATTATGGGGCAGGGGGCGTATGTGTGAGTTTACCAGCCCCTCCCCCCCCCCCTGTAGTTTATGTAGATCTTAGAATAGTTGCAGGAATACAGTGGGGTAAGCGATCTAGGTATACCGCGACCCAACAGTAACCAATCTGATACCGATTTGGGTAGTAGTTCCGTCAGTTACGATGATGTATGGATTGAGATGCGTGAAATCACGCCTTAGGTATTCTAAATCCCTAAGTATCTCATCCGAATTGCGGCGATACAATTCAAAGAAAGGTAGAAGGCTCACCCCACATTCTACCAAAAAAATAAATGAGAACTGTTACAAATTGAAATCCTGGGGTGCACCACATCCTGGTAGGGCATGGCGTCTATTTGGGTAATGCTGCAACAGTGGCCCAGGGGGAGCGCCCTTCGTCGATCATATGCACCCGGAGTAATGATACGATACGATTGCAAAAGTCAGGGGAATGGAAGTGATTCAGTGGATTCTAATCTAGAGAGGTGCTCGATGAATGTATTCTGAAACAGAGTTAAAACTACGTAAAAAAATATGGTACATTAATCTTGTAAAACTTTCATATTCCCACACTGGGTATATCGAGTAGCATTCGGCTATTATGGATGGGGATGTGTTACAAGTTACATGGTAGCGTGCATACTTATCGAGTTAAAATATCTTTTTAATGGATAATTCGGATAGATTTCCTAATTGAATGTGTGGTGGGGCAATTAAAAATAAAATGTAGAATAGATGACACTAATTAAAAAAAAAAAAACCCACTCCCACGGGAAAAAAATGAGATTCGTATCGAAAAAAATTAAAACCTGGTACAACATTCTATTTGTGGGGAAAGGTTGCAAATGGTAAGTGGAGCCACAAATAACAGATAACGATCACTTGGCATCCGTTAACATACAAATAATATGTTAAACTATCGTAGCCTTGGCAAGTGTCATGACCAGAAGTATATAAAAAAATGAGAAAAGGTAGTTTGTATGCTGTGTAAGTTTAAAAGTTACAGAGATTGTGGGCGGGGAGCAATAAAAAAAAAAATTAAATAAATAAAAAAAAAAATGCCCTCGGAATGCGTTACGAGCTCGGAATGAGAAACTTCCGGAACTCTAGCTACTTTGTTTCCGACCCCGTCAGAGTCCATACCAAGACTTCCATTCATTATTGGCGGAAAAATATGACACGTTTCCAAGTCAAAGATTGAAGGTGTACTTGGAGGGGACTTAACGAGACAAGAAAAATCCGGAAAAACCTTCCAAATATCGTTTTCTGTAAAAACAACAGGTGGAAATAAAGAAACCTAAAATAGACAAATTTCTTTTTAATTAATCATTGAAAGCGTGATGGAACTAACTTTATTATTTTTTTACTGTTAAATTACACAAGTTCAAAAAATATATCGCGTACCGAGTCATAACAAACCTAAAGTTTTAGTTGCATAACTTGTGTATGTATGCTTGAGCAAGCAATTACAGTGTTATTATTGAATTTCCATCATTTCTAGGTCGGTCGGATTAAAAAAAAAAAAATCTCCGGGGCCTGCATACATTTGCACACAAAACTTAGTAAAGCCGACTCGAGAATCGATCCTCGTAAAAGCATGTTGTAGCTGTGTCTATCATTCACTTTAACGTCGGGCTAGATTTCAATATCTAATATGCGTGACATTTCTCTTGTGAATATGGTGGCGTATCTCGTGAATGGTGATCAATTTCACTTTGGATATGAAATTGGAGAAGGTAAATAGATAACAAGTGGGGGGAGGACCTGCAGGAGTTCTCAAGTGGAAACAAAAAAAAAATTAAAATCAAAAAAAAAAAAGATTAAGCCGCACCCTTTGCTGCATATCTTCCACCTTTCGCATTCTTCAGAAATGGCTGCCCCAGAAACAATAAGTCCGTACATGAGTCCGAAAAACCTTTCCAAAACACGTAAAGGTGGGGCAAATATAACCAATAGATGACCCAAAAATTCCTTACAGGAAGTTCGTTATCTGGTAGATATAAATAGACGGATTCCCTCGTTCTTAGAATAAATCGTCCTTCCAATATACTTTTCAAAAACTATAATTCATATCACCAGATTACCAGTTATAGCAACTTTAGTAAAATCAATTGATATTATTTTTCTTGCTATATTCCCTCAAAGACCATTCTTGCTCTCCACACTATAAATACTTTCAAGTTTCTGCTCGTGTGCCAAAGTATTCCAACCCCCAACCACATTTCCATTATATCCTAATACAATATGACTGAAAAAACAGTTGGTACTACACCTACTGATACCACTGCTCCGGCAGAGGATGGGTTCTTTGTACATAGTTCTTCGTCTTCGTTCAACGAAAAGCAAAAGCATGCCAGTGATGCTGAATCCACCTTGTCACACAAGCAAGTCAAGGAATCTGCAGACCAAAATATCCTTTCTTCATACTCCCCTTCTCAAGTCAAGCAAATGGGTAGAAATTACGCCATCAAGTATGGTCTTGACCCTGAATTATTTGCTCGTGCTGCCCTTGTGGCGAGATCACCAAGTGATTTTAATTCCATGGAAGAGTTATCTGAAGAAGAAAAAGTAGCCCTTAACACCGAAGCCACCAAGAAATGGCACGTTCCAAACAAGTTGATTCTTGTTATTGCCTTGGGTTCCATGTCTGCCGCTGTGCAAGGTATGGATGAATCGGTTATCAATGGTGCTAATCTTTTCTATCCTACCTACATGGGTATTGGAGGAGACTCTAGAAGAGACTTGATGCTTTTGGGATTGGTTAACGGTGCTCCTTACCTTGCCGCTTCCTGTATCGCTTGTTGGATGTCTGACATTACTAATCGTCATTTGGGTCGTAAATGGACCATTTTCTGGACTTGTATGATTTCTGCTCTTTCTTGTTTCTGGCAAGGGTTTGTCAACAACTGGTACCATTTGTTTATTGCTCGTTTTGTTTTGGGCTTTGGTCTTGGTATCAAATCCGCTACTGTTCCAGCCTATGCTTCCGAATGTACTCCTAAGCATATTAGAGGTGCCTTGGTTATGTTGTGGCAATTTTTCACTGCTGTCGGTATTATGTTTGGTTATGTTGCATCTTTGGCATTTTACCATGTTGGAGACCATGGAATTGGTGGTGGTCTCCATTGGAGATTAATGTTGGCTTCCGCCATGATCCCTGCTCTTATTGTCTTGGTCCAAGTTCCATTTGTCCCTGAATCGCCTCGTTGGTTGATGGGTAAGGGTAGACACGCGGATGCTTTTGAAGCCTTATGTCAATTACGTTTCGATAAGATTTCTGCTGCAAGAGATTCCTTTTACCAACATGTTTTACTTTCTGAAGAAAGCTCTTATGACGGTCTCCCAACTTGGAAGCGTATGATTGAAATGTTTACCATTAGACGTAATAGAAACGGTGCCTTGGGTGCTTGGATCGTCATGTTTATGCAACAATTCTGTGGTATTAACGTTATCGCTTACTACTCCTCTTCTATTTTCATTGAAGCCAACATGGGTGAAATTAGATCCTTATTAGCTTCCTGGGGTTTTGGTATGATTAACTTTGTATTTGCCATTCCTGCCATTTACACTATTGATACTTTTGGAAGACGTAATTTGTTGTTGACCACTTTCCCATTGATGTGTATCTTCTTATTAGTAGCCGGTTTCGGTTTCTTTATTCCTCAAGATACTAACCCACAAGGTAGAGTTGGTATGATTATCACTGGTATTTACTTGTTTGCCGCTGTCTATTCTTCTGGTGAAGGTCCAGTTCCATTTACTTATTCAGCTGAAGCTTTCCCATTATACATTCGTGACTTGGGTATGGGTTTTGCAACCGCCACCTGTTGGTTCTTTAACTTTGTCCTTGCGTTGACTTGGCCATTATTGAAGACTGCCTTCACTCCTCAAGGTGCCTTTGGTTGGTATGCTGCTTGGAATATTGTTGGATTCTTTTTGGTTCTTTGGTTCTTGCCAGAAACTAAGGGCTTGACCTTGGAAGAATTGGATGAAGTTTTCAGTGTCAGTTGTATGAAGCATGCCAGATGGCAAACTGCTCACTTCTGGAACAACATTCAAAGAGTTGTGTTACGTAGAGAAGTGGCTCCACTTCCTCCATTGTACGCTCACCAAAGAATGGCTGTCACCAACCCAGAATGGAACGACAAGGCCGAAACTTCTCATGTCGAATAAGATTCTATCTATACGTAGATTTATAATAATTCTGTGAAATTAATATTAATATAAATTCATTCATATAATCATATAATTAATCATTAAGCTATGTGTAACAGAGATTCTTATCTCTTCCACCATTGGACAAATTTGGCAATCCCTACAACTGTGAAAATTCCAATAGTCCCCATTTCTAACCTACCCAAGATCTTGGCTTGTCTTTCTTCAATTTCAACTGCCTTTGAATATGGAATATCTCCACGGAACGAGATCATTGTGTACATTGGGATCCATTGGAAATATTTACCATTCCCATACTTCCCCAATGCATAATCAATTCGTTTTCTAAGTAAATACCACTTACTAGTAACTTTGGATGACATTTCATGGTAATTATCCATGGCCAATTTACAAATGGTTTGTAAATCCTTCTTTCTAACATCTGAGTACACCTTGAAAGCTTCTGAAATGTCTCCCTTGGAATCAATAAGTTCCATCAATACTCTAACATCCTCAAACCCACAGTTCATACCTTGTCCATAAAATGGAACCATCAGATGGGCAGCATCTCCTATGATCAATGCTCTACCGTTAGGATGATGGTATGGATACGCGTTGACCTGCATCAACGAGCCTCTAGGTTGACTATTAAACGCATAACGTAACCCTTCCTCTCCCACAAGATCAACGGCATCGATAAAGTTTTCTCTAAAGAAATCGACAAACTCGTCATCATTCTTGAACAGTTCTATAACTTCCCAAGGACTGAAAAAAGTAGATGTAAATGATCCATCCTTATTAGCCAATGCAATCAACATAAATTTATGTCTTGGCCAAATATGTAAATGATTTGGACTGTAACTAAACCGGTCGTCGTCATCTTCCAGCAACGACTTCTTGGGTGGGATACTAAGTTCCAAATATTGCATATCGATGTATTCTTGGGAAAAGTTCATTCTCATTGATCTTTGAAGTTGATATCTAAATTGTGAGTGAGATCCATCTGCTCCAACCACATAATCAAATTCATATGATTTAATTTCTCCCTTTGTTTCTTGGAATGTCATCTTGGGCACCTTATCCAAATCCTCAATCTTCACCAATTTGTTGTTGAATAACAATTTGATATTCTCAGAGTGTCTAATCTCATCAAGAAGACTATCATTAAGAAATGACCTGTCAATAGAGTTGATACTCTCACCGAAAAGTCCATAGATTTGTGACTCTTGATTTCCAGAAAGATCATGAATCATTCTCCCATGCATCGGGATAACGTTCTCTAAGACTCTAGTGGCCATTTCCTCGTCTACATACTTCAAGGCACGAATACCCCTGTCGCTCACAGCAAGGTTGATCGATCTAAGGTTCCTGTTGCCGGCTGTTTCTCTTGGATCAGGTCTGAGCTCGAAAAGTGTTACAGAGTATCCCTTAGCAGCAAATGCCAATGCTGCCAAACATCCAACAAGTCCAGCTCCAACAATTCCTACCCCTTGTTGACTTTTTTCTAATTTGTCGGGCATTTTTAATAAATCCTATAGTATATACCTTTCTCTTCAAAGTTACTTTAAAATTGGTAAATCCCTCTCAATTCGAATCATGTGGTTCCCAAAATAAAAAAAAATAAAATAAAATAAAAATTAAACTACAGAGTGAGCAGCCTGTCAAGAAATAATTTGGCGTGCATCGTGTAATTAGAAACTGGCCACATTGACGGTTGTTATAAAAAATAATTCATTACTACGTATCTCTCTTATGAAACTAACTTAGCTAATTTCTCTCTTTTCCGGCTAATATTACCCTTAATTTGGTCAATTTGTTCCTCTAATTCCGAGTTTCTAATGCTAAACTCTTTATTAGCCCTAATAGTGTTTTTAACATTCTCCTTCATACTCAAGTTTTCATATTGTAACTTCAATTTATCTCTCATTGAATTTAATTCTAATTTCTCATCTTGTGCCTCATTTAATTGCTGTGTGTATGACGTACTTTGATCAATAATTTCTGAATGAGTTGTTTTCAAATTTTCCAATTGTTTCTTTAAATCTAATATTTTAACATTAAGATCTTCATTAACCTCTTTTAAATTGGCCAATTCATTGTTATTATGGTTTAATGAGTTGGCATGTAATAAATGATATTCATTTTCATATTTGATAAGATCTGGTTGATTTTTAAGAACATCTTCAAATTGGAACTCTTCAGTATTAATATACTTAAATAATTCATCTCCATTAATGAAATCTTGTAAATTATCACCATCTAATTTCATTAATTTATCTCCATTTTTGGCAAAAATTGAAACATAAAATCTTATGATAAAATCAAATCCTTCAAATAAAACAAAGTCTAAAAGTTTTATTAATACATCTTGTTCCATAAATCCTTCAAAAAATTTCCCCAAGGTTTTCTTGTACATATGATTAAGGTCAATGCCTTGTTTACTAATGTGTAAGAATATCTTTGGAGATATTTGTTCTAATGAACGATTTGCCTTGTAGAAAAATTCATCTTTAATCAAATTCAAATATATTTTATTGAATTTTAAAAGTAAAAATAATCCATCTTCAATTTCAAGATTTGGTAACTTTTGTAAAAGTTTCCCCACATTCACAACAAATCCATTTGGTGGGAGATGTGAAGTACTTTCGTAGTTACATGAAAGAGAAGTTTCACTATTAATAGCTTCAAGTCTTGAACTATTTGTAGAAATCAAATCTGATGTTATATATGTGAATATCTTAAGATTATCATTAAGTGATTGATCTACTGATAATGCCTCAAAGTACGAGTTTTGATCCTTAACTTTTGGGGAATTAAGTGCCTTCTTAAGAAGGTTATTATAATTTTCCTTGGTTAATTTATAACGTACTTGTAAAGTTTTGAGATAAATTAAGCCACGTAAATGTTGAGGAATCCCATTGGAAATATATTGTTCAAGTAAATTTATTTTACCATTACGTACTAGGTTGGCATTTGACGTGTCTTCAAGATATGAGATCCAAAACTTTACTTGATCGGAATTGATTTCATTAGTTTCGTTCTCGGAGTTCAAACTTTCAAGTTTCCTTGATATTATTTGGTGTACCGTGTCCAGTACTGCAAACAAATCCGAGTTTTCATTCAAATGGGGTGAGCGATAGGACTCCAATTGACGTGAAATTGAAATGGTTGAAAGATCATCATTCAAATCATAAGTCAATGGTGTGTTGTCTACAAGCAAAATTGGAGATTGTGCCTGCGATTGTGATTTTGGTGGTGTTTGTTTTGATCCATCCTCATGGGTCTCATTCACTTGATCACTCTTCCTTGGTGATATATCGTCCTTGGCTGGCACTGGTGGCGGTGGTGTAACAGGATCTGCAGACATCTTTAATAAACAATTTTTCGTTTTTTACTCTCTCTTTTGTATTTTTATCAAGGAATATATCGGCTCACTAAAAAAACGGTCAAGGGTTCCCTCATAAGATTTTGTGGAGCGCACAAATCGGTTAAAACGTTCCGCGCAGGGGATTATATAACACAAAACATCCACAACTACTCGTACTACTTAATATTATTCTACTATATTGGATTTGTATTATTATAAACTTATTGGCGTGAGACTTCCTTTAATTTGCGACGTTTATTGGGGAAGCTTTTGTATGATGATTTTAATATGGCTGGAAAATCGTAATGCAGTTCGTTAAGTTCATTGTTGGTTAAGCTTGGAGTTCTACGACTTGCCAATCTTTTCTCTCCGTTTAGTAATTTCCCGTTTTCTGAAATCTTTAATTCATTAACACTTTTATTTAGTTCTTCGTTATCCAGTGTATGTTTTATTACAAGAGTTTCATCCTTCGGTCGTTGCTTAATTGATGGCTGAGTGTCGTTAGAAGATGCAGTGATAGTATTGGTTTTGATTGTAGGAGTGGTGGGGGTTGTAGGAGTTGAGGATTTACTATTCAGCTTCTTCCTCTTGTACTTTAAAAGTTTCCCGATTTCACTAGCAATTGAATCGTGATCTGTTGATTCATCTAATGAATTCATGGTGTCAGCAAAATCGGCTATTCTTTCAAGTTCTTCCTTAGTAAATGACGTTTCATCAACATAGATTTCATTCAATATTCCAATGGTATGTCGTAATAATTTTCTACCTGAAAGTCCCCTTCTAAGTGGTTTATTTGTGATAATCGTTTCTAAAAACGAATTAAATTCATTTTCTTTTGCTTTCGGGTCAAGCGTTCTTTTATGAAGACTCATCTTTTCTATTATCCCCTTAGCCTTAACATATTCTCTATATGTTGATTCCGGTGAAACTGGTGAATCGGATTTGCTAGGTGAATCATTCCTAGTTTTTACTTTGTCATTTCTAACCTTCTTCAAATCTCCAATTGATTTATCTACTTCCTTGGGATTCTCCTCTGGTGTAGTCTTCTTTTTCCTATTCTCTACTTCTTTAGGAATTTCAATGATTTCTATATCATCATGTTCAGAACTATCACTTTTCCTTGGATCATCCTTAATATTTTTATCGGACTTTTGAAGGTCAAGTAAAGTATCCCTTAATGTAATTCTCATTCCATTTCTTTCTGATGCCTTGAAAAATTGCCTTGATTGATGTTTGGAATTCCCTGATTTCCATATTCTTTCACACTCGGTAGAATCACTTAGCCATTTACGAACATTATAAATCACATGAATCCCACAATCATTAAAATTATTCTGTTTGGGTACACGAGCATTTATGACTCGAAATTGTTCCTTGGGGATCTCAACTTCATATTTGTGAAAGCAATAATCCATTATAAATTTCTTCAATGGGAATGGAGTGTGAGAATGCTTCAGTGAAAGTGAATCAAAAATAAATATTTCTGCTCTTAATGGATCCCTTACTACTTGAACATCATTATCTTCAAGATCTCCCAAGATTTTCATCTGTTCTTTATATTTAAGTGCTCTTTCTAACAATTGTGGTAATCCCTTAATCACACAACAATACCAATGCAAGTTCTCATTAATTGGAATGATCACATATGGATGGCTCATAAGATCAACTTTGACAAGCCAGCGCTTGATGTTCCCATAATAATCTATTTCCCCATCAATTGCCGAATCGAATCCGGTTCCAGAAACAAGTTTTGTGAAAAAAAATGAATTAAATGCAAGAATATCATTCCACTTAAATTTGTTTTCTTTAACGGCATTTTCAATATCGTACTTGATAAAGAAATCAATCACTGAATCATTTATCCAATCATTATTATATAATGTTTTAAAATCGGAGTACGTTAAGGTAAACATTTTAGAATCCATAAATTTATAATTCAATGGAGGATCGAATGATGCAGGTTTCTCTGATAAGACCGTTTCAGGTGATTCTGCACTTCCAAATGGAGAGCTGTTTATATTACTAGATTCGTTATCGAGAGAGAGAGGTGTCCCTGGACGACCTCTGGTTGATCTACGAGGTCTAGTTGGTGTCTCTATGATGTGAGGTTTAGATGATCCAATTACCATCCTCTTCTCGATCTCTTCTGTACTTGACAACCTTCTTTTCTCGATTTCTTCCATCTTAGATAACAATTCTTGGTTAGACACCTTGTTATTGGTATCAATATCCCATATTCGTCTAAAATAGATCATTAGATCATCATCAGGTGTCAAATAGTTGATGTATATGTATCCCTTGTTCTGTTTCAATTCCAATAATAAACTTCTGCCAAGCTTGGAAAATGTTATCCCTTTAAGATGGGTCTTTCTGTTGATGGTTATTCTATTTATAAGCTTTTCCCTTTGAGTGAAATATATGAACTCATTATCAGATGATATGTTTAACATGAGCTGTTGCGTATCTTCCGATACAAACCGTTTCCCGTTGAAATTGATAGATCGAAGAATTAGGTATAATAATGGTTTATCATCTAGTAATGTCGTCAAATGTATTTCTTGTGAAAACACATCACACATTACTGAAGGAGAAGTTGATTCTTTCCTTGTAGAACTAGGTATGCGAGTGCTTACCACGGGGCTACCTGGTTGACTAGACGGTTTTTCCTCAGTATCTCTTGTTGCCAATGGGCCATTCTTCCCAGAACTATTCTTTCTATAAGGCTTGGAAATGTTCCCTCTGTACGGAACCGGCTTTAAATGATCTAAGGAATCAAGTTCATCTCGAATATGTTGAGATTTCTTTAATTGCAGCTCTAAAGTCGGACTACCCTCCAAGGTGTTCACGGCCCGAAACCCTCCCGATCCGATTGTGCGGTGTTTCCGACTTCGCTTCAACGAAGTGAAGTCCTTGTTGAATATCCCGCTCATCGCAAACGGTGTATACGTTTAACTTGACACATCATACAAATCATCTCTCGCGTTTAACTTAGATAACGCAGACAGCACAAAAAATTAGAAAATCCAAAAAAAAAAACTAAAAAAACACGAGTAAAAAAGGTGTAAAATACAAAACATATTTTAATACAATTGCAACCTCTTTGGAATCATTATAATTCTATATATTTTTCTATACTATGTATGGAAGTCTATTCGCTGTTAACCTCTGTCCAATCATATGCCTTCCACTTCCTTCTAAATCGTTCAACTCTTTCCATCTCCTCTCCGGATCTAGCAGAACTTTTCCATTTCTTATAATCTTTGGTTGAATTCACCAACATTGGATCTTGACATTTTAATAGCCCTTCTCCAACCACTTGTCTTGTAAATAAATCGTATTTAGGCCATTCTTTATAATTTTCTACAATATGTCCTATTCCTCCATCCAAACTAAACCATACATGGAAATAAGGAGCTTCTTTCGCTAAAAGTTGTTTCATCCCAGCTTGTCTTCTTGTACCTTGGCTGCGTTCTCTACCCTTTAATTGAGTATCTAAAACACTTTTATGTTGATCTTCAAGATCATCTGATTGAGATATTATGGCCTCTTTGAAATATCCTTCTGCCTGGGAACAAATACTCAATGATATTGGGATTACCAAAATATGTGCATGATTACGTTGATATTTGGTATCCACAGCATTTTCAATGAAAATTACTCCCTTCTTATATTCTTTATAATAGTAAGTAGCAAGGGTTTTCATAAAGTTTTCAATTTCATCCCATTCATCATCTTCACAATAAAGGGTATTTTCACGATGTTCATTTAAACAAATCGCCGTAGTATTACTAGGGAAAAGTTTATTATAACTATTGTATGGTAGTAATGTTAAATATGTCTTTTGACCCATTGATATTGGAATCGATTCCAATGAATTATTCTCAAGACAAAGTTCACATCTATCTAAATTCTTCATTATCCTTTGTAAAGATTGTGGATTTGATTTATTTTGCTGTATATCTGAAAGGTTAACTTTACCGGATTGAACGTATGAAGCTAATTTGGATGCATTTTCGTCTTGATATTCAAGATTAGATTCAAATTGTGAATCCTTTAAAATAGACTTTGCACTTTGTTCATCAAATGAAAATTGTTCATTCTTTTCTTGTTGAATTAAATCTTGTATAGAAATATCGTTTGTGGTAATATTTCCATTTTTTTCTTTAACAAATCTTTCAATTTCTACATTTGGTTGAAATATCCAATCCTTTTTAGGTTTACATTTCCTATCCTCTAATTCCTTTTGCTCTTGTTTGGCTATTTCAAATTCAATTTCAGTACCATATCTTTCTTTTACAATATCTATTAATGATTTTTCTGACTCTTTAGCAGCCTCAAAAATTCGATTTAATTTCATCATTCGCCAATTTGATCCCAGATCTCCAAATTCATAATCTAAACTAACTTTAATACATTCATTAGTGTTATTCTTTTTACGATTTCTACGATATTGCAGTGATGAAGAATGAGATGATCTCAGTGGTAAGTTGCGAGTGTCTTCATTCGATCTTACGGGAGACCTTGATCTATCTCTTTTATTATTAGAACTCTCTCTATTCATTTAAAAGAGTAGAAGTGAAATGACTTTGGCTTTAACTTAAATGTTGGGGGGAGGGGAGTTTGTCAATAAAAAATAATTACTGATGATAATAATTATGTTGTTTCACATATAGAATATCCTGCAGATACTCATCCAGTATATAATTATAGAGAGTTGTGCGAAATAGAGAGAGGGGGTTCTTCCAATCTCAAGTGTATACTACAAGTAGATACTACAATTATAAACTTTAAATAATATCCTCTTGATGTTAAGACGATTAACTAGACTCACGGTTCCAGTGGTAGCATTAACTACAGGTTATGCTTTTTTCCCTAAGGAATGGAGGAAAAATCATTCCTCAGAATTAAAAAAAATTAATCATTTCAATGAATCAATTAATGATCAATTAGAATTATCAAAGGAGTTTCAAGAACTTTCTAGTAATGATAAAATCAGAAAGTTTTCTCCTAGACAAGAATTCCCTTCACAGCACCGTGAAAATTATGTAGGTTCAGGGATTCTTTTCGGTCCTGATCTTATGGAGATAGATCCAATAGTATTCATTAACCCTGACGAAGGTGAATTAACAAGTTTTTATCATCTTGGAACTAAATTAATTAGTCAAGATGGTCAAATTCATAACGGTATAGTATCCACAATCCTTGACGAAGGATTATGTACTTGTGGATTTGCAAGATTACCATCTAAAAAGGGAGTTACTGCAAAATTGTCTATAAACTTTATAAATCAAGCACCACCAAATAGTACAGTAGTTTTACGAGCAAAAGTGGTGGAATCAAAGGGTCGCAAAGTCATTATACGGGGGGATTTAGAGACATACCCATTGAATGGTGGTGAGGCAGTGAAAATCGCCACCTCGGAGTGTATATTAGTCGAACCAAAATGGTTCAAATATTTGTCTTGGTTACAAGTGTTTTAAATTTAAGTATATAGGTTTCAGAAGTATATGTTAATAATAGTAATAATCTATATACGTCATTAGTGGAGTCAAATGTATTAGCAAGTATGTCAGATGACATTTCTCGACTAAACTTATGCTTCCATGGAGTTCCATGGGAGCGCATACACGCCCCGAGAACTCTCACATTGCTGTGCGAAATGTAGGAGCAAGCTTAAACTGATCTCATGCGCCACAATATTTGCCCCACAATCCGACTGAATGTAAATACTAGCAACCAATATACACACCGAAAATGGTTATGATTGCTCTTGGTCAATTACTATAGAACTATAAATATGGGTCAAATAGCCCCCTGAACATATAATTTTATTCTAGATCATTAATAGTTTCTTAACTACTTTCTTAACTTACTACTACATTAATAAAACATTACAATGTCCGACGCTGGAAGACAATCTCTTGGTGACAAGGTTTCTGCTGCTGTTAAGCCAGACTCCGAAAAGTCCACCCCAGAACACATTAAGGATTCTGTTGTTGGTTCCGTTGACAACGCTGCTGGCCACGCCACCACCGACAACAACAAGTCTATCCTCCAACAAGCTTCTGACGCTGTCTTTGGTGAATCCAAGTAAAAAAATTGATCGGTTGACAATTTGTCGAGCTGGATCTCAGATATATAGTTATTAATACACTAATTATCAATTAATTTTTAAGATGTAGACGTGTAGTGTAAAAGGATTCAGAATGAGACAATAGTCTCCCAATATTAATAAAAGGTTATAGTTTATAGAGTTCATTCCTAATTGAGACATAATTTGGGTTGTGAGCAACCAAAATTTCGCAACCTAAACTCACAACTTACAGATAGATCACGTGCAATATGGTAGTGCGAATCCTAACTGTGATAAAGAGTAAATATGATTATTAGTGGTGTAATTTTAACTGCATCTCTTAAGCTAAAAATGGAATCAATACTGTAGAATATAAAATGGAGAATATATGAATAAAAATAAAAGAATAGTAGTGATAATTCTTTGAATTTTGAACTTGTTACGAATTACACCCATGTATTTCAAGGTAAAGAGATCAAAGGATCTAATAGTACCGTAGTGTAATATTTCAAAGTTCCACTCACTTGCGTGAACTTTAACTCATCTTCCTTTTCGTCTACTACCCAATATCTGCACTTACTAAGTCTACACTTGTTTTGTCTTTTTTTTAAAAAAAAAAATAACGCATCACTGTATCATTAACTTCAAACTATTTTTTGAAAAGGAGTAAATAAAGTCAATCCATACCAAGAATAATCTAGACGTGCCTGCCCTTATTTTTATCTCAAAAGTCACGTAAGCTCATTACATAACCAGATATACTTATGTATATATATATATAGTACTTCCCCTCTTTTTTTCCCGCTTTCCTTTAACGTGTGTATTCTTAATGTATCTTAGATTTCAAAACAGTTAAAATACGCGCGATCGTGTAAATTGTGGGGGCTCATTTTCAAAAATTTGACGCCTCCGGCGAATCACACGCTGTGATTCGCCGGCAAATCCGCGCTCTTCGGCGAAATTTCTACACAAAAAAGCCCAAAAAAACATTGTAATTCGGCGAAATCTCCCACCTATAAAGCGCAATAAATCCGCTTAAATAATAAAAAGGAGAAATTACTAGTTCTCCATACCAACACTGTATACTTATTCAAATATGTCGAAAGATTCCCCTGCTCCAGTGGAAGTTTCGAGCACTCTCTCAAAGTCCACCAACGTGTCTTCCGATGCGTTGTTGTACAACCAAACACAAGATCAACAAAGTAATGCTGAATCCAGGTTTTCTGAACTGAACACTAGACCCACTAAAATGGTGATCATTCTTACTTTGGTCTCGTCTATCAGTGGGTTCATGTTTGGGTATGACACTGGTTATATTTCTTCAGCACTTGTTAATGTCGGGACTGATCTTAGTAATAAAATTCTTACATCTGGTGAAAAGGAATTCATCACATCCGCCACTTCCTTGGGGGCCTTTTTCGGAGCTATAATTGGTGGTATCTTGGCCAACTTGATTGGTAGAAAGAAGGTTCTTTTGGGATCTAATGTCATCTTTGTTGTTGGTACCATCATACAAGTTGTTGCCCATACTGTCTGGACAATGATTGCTGGTAGATTTGTTTTGGGTCTTGGGGTTGGTATTGCCTCATTAATCTCGCCATTGATGTTGAGTGAATTGGCCCCTGCTAAATACAGAGGTCGTTTGATTGTTACCAACTGTATGTTCATCACTGGAGGTCAATTGGTGGCCTACTTCATCAATTGGGGCTTGGTTCATGTTAACCAAGGTTGGAGAATTTCTGTTGGTTTGTGTATGGTACCACCAGTCATTCAATTTGTTCTCTTTTATTTCTTGCCTGATACCCCAAGATTTTACATTATGAGAGGCAATATTGACGCTGCTCGTAAGGTGATCAAACAAACTCATAATCAAGTATCTGATTCTTATGTAAATGCCACTATTGAAGACATGATTGCTGCTAACTCCACTGTACCAGGATCTAACCCCTTGGAACAAGCTTGGAACTCAATCAAGATTATCCACAAGACTCCTGCTAACTTTAGAGCATTGATTTTGGCATGTGGTTTACAAGGTATTCAACAATTCACCGGGTTTAACTCCTTGATGTACTTCAGTACCACCATTTTTGAAACTCTTGGATTCCATAATGCCACTGCAGTTTCCATCATTATTGCAGCTACTAACTTTGTGTTCACTGGGGTTGCTCTTTGTATCATTGATAAAGTTGGTAGAAGAAGAATTCTTCTTTGGTCAGTCCCATCTATGTGTATTTCCATGGTTGTTTGCGCTATTGCCTTCCATTTCTTGGGTATTAAATTCACTCTGGGTGCTAATTTGGTTATTAAGACTACCGGGATTTCTGGTTGGGGTATTGTTGTCATCATAGGTATGGTTCTCTTTGTTGCCAGTTATGCCATTGGTATCGGTAACAGTGCCTGGACTGGGGTTGAGTTGTTCTCTGACGTCAACGTTAGAGCTGTCGGATGTATGTATGCCGCCGGAACCAACTGGGCCGGATCCTTGGTAATTGCATCTACATTTTTAACTATGTTGGAAAACATCACTCCTACAGGAACTTTTTCATTCTTTGCTGCATTATGTTTTATTTCATTCTTATTCGTTTACTTTTTACTTCCAGAAGTCGCAGGTTTGGAATTAGAGGAAACTACAGTTTTGTTATCCAATGGATTCAATGTTAAAGAGGCTGCAAAGCTTTCTAAAGCAAGAAAATTACAATCTAAGTTTGCTGCAAATTCTGCCCCTACTGTATAAAAGTAAGACAAAAAAAATGAAGAGGCGTAAATTAGCGAAAAATGGCAATTCACAACCAAAAATAATGGCGGATAGATTTCCTTAGAAAAACTGCTTTGCCCCGCTAATTTTTCCCTACCACAAAATTAAATCTACAAAGATTTCATTAGCATTTCAGTTCTACAATATTAATCTTAATCATAATCATAATCATTATATAATAATATTAACATCTAATAACAATAAATTATCACATCAATTGTAGATCTACGATCATATGTTAAAAAAGTCTTACGTCACTTAGGTCACTCATGATCCGTAACTTGTGTGTATTTTTTTTCCCATGCCCAATTTTTTTTTTCGGAATCTCATGAAATTGCGCGCCTTTATCAGAAAGTTATAGAGATCCAAAACAATCACTCGATCTATTTGATAACACATAGAATATATATTATACTTTACTAAGGAACTGTCTGTTCGTCTTTTGATAACACCACTCTCCTGATACATATACACACGTTTACTGACTGTACAATGGGTGTCTCTATTTCCAAGTTGTTTTCAGGTCTTTTCGGCCACAAAGAAATGCGTATCTTGATGGTTGGTCTTGATGCTGCTGGTAAGACCACCGTTTTGTACAAGCTTAAATTGGGTGAAATCGTTACCACCATCCCAACCATTGGGTTCAACGTCGAGACCGTGGAGTACAAGAACATCTCCTTCACCGTTTGGGATGTCGGTGGACAAGATAAGATCCGTCCATTATGGAGATATTACTATCAAAACACTCAAGGGATCATCTTTGTGGTTGATTCTAACGATAGAGATCGTATTGCTGAAGCTCGTGAGGAATTACAACAGATGTTGAATGAAGATGAATTGAGAGACGCGTTATTATTGGTGATGGCCAACAAACAAGATTTGCCAAATGCCATGAATGCTGCTGAAATTACCGAAAAATTGGGCTTACACCTGATTAGACAAAGACCTTGGTATATCCAAGCCACCTGTGCCACATCTGGTGATGGGTTGTACGAAGGTTTGGAATGGTTGAGTACCAATTTGAAGAGCTCTACCTAATTATGTAGGCTCCATCCAACAATAATAAAAGATAATTTAATACAATTTCGTAGATAATAAGGATTCTTTTTATTTGAAGGGTCTAAGTTATAGTCAACTAATATATATTCCAATATGTCTTTACATGAAAACTGTCTCTATTAACTAAACATAAGATCTATACTTTTTAATATTGTCCCACCCAATAGAGTTCGCATTTGGAACCTTGACAACCTCTACTTGGGTTAATAATTGAGGATTGGCTAAATCTGGATACGTTGTAGTCACATCCAAAGCACGTTTGATTGAAGGAATCTCATTTTCAGCGTCGCCATCTTCATCCCGGAGTTCAACTGGAATCTTGGTAAGCAATTCGGGGAACAGAGCTGGTGTATTGAACCTATCCCCTAGCTTGTATGGAAGTGGTGGAGGTTGAGCTCCTTCTTCGATTTGTTGTTGACGTTGGGCTTCCTTCAATTTTTCTCTTTGGATCATTCCCAATTGTTCAAAATCCACGAGCTTGAACTTATAATAATTCAGCCATGTGTCTTCTGAAATCTCTCGATAAGCATTGAGTAATATATTAAACTGAAGATTGTTGTGAAGGATTTCCAAATTGGTCGAGTCTTCAACAATATTCCTTTGACGATCAAATGTCTGAGCCACAAACTCTTTCGTAAAAGCATCAGGTATGAACCCCTTGACGGCAGATGAGTACTTCACTGCCTTATCACGGCCCTTGGCTCGCACTTGGCGAAGTGACTTATGCGGACATTTATATATACGGCGAGTATTAGATGTCACAGGTATTTTGTTAATTTTGTTGATGAGAGCAGCATCCTTATAATTCCCACTTCCAGGTCCTCTATACGACATAGTATAGTAGTATTTGGAGAGTGAAGAATTATCATTTTCTTGTGCTGCAGCAACAAGTTGTTGAATATTCTTTGCAAGTTTCACAGTAGGCTCAGCTCCATTGACAGTGCCAGTAGTAGCACCAGCACCAGCACCAGCAGAATTGGTTCCAGAGGCCGAACTACCGAATAACGATGATGAGGACTTCTTAAGCGAAGGCGTATTCCCACCACTTCCATTGCTACCGGTGGTACCGGCCACGGTGGCAGAATTGGTGGTTACATAGTAGTTAGGAACTTTGCAAAGATGGGACACATTGAATTCGGGAATATACCCTTGACCAGGAATGAGAGATTCCAGTAAATCAATTGAGTTCGGGTCAATGTTGGTGTTGTATTTCTTACTTCTTCCAATGGGTTTCCGTTTTCTTTCTGTTTCTGGTCTAGCCTTGGTGGTTGCCGTTACCTGAGCTCCTGGTCTAGCTACTTCTACTTCGGCAAAGTCAGTATCCTTGAGAATCAATTCCATCTCACTGGCACTCATTTTACTGGCAGGAAGGAACTTACCAAGTGAAGGCGATGAAGTGTAATAATTATATTTGGAGAGGTTGGTAAGAGTATTGAAGGCCGAGTGGGTATACTCAATCGTCGAGTCGATGTTGTTAAATTGAGGGAACACTTGTGACACAGTAATCTTAAGGTCGTCTTCAGCAGCTGCGTTTCCCTTGGATCCTCTATTCTGGGTACCAAAAGCATCTTCCTCATCAACAATTTCTGGCTTCAATGATTCTGTAGCTACATTATTGACTAGCCAATCCACTTCCACATAAGTCATTCTGACTTTAATTTGCGCTTTGGTTATCAATTTAGCTTCCCAAAGAGCATCATTTAATTTGGCATTGGATTGTTTAACGAATTGTTCCTTTTTGGTACGAGTGCCTTTCGATAATTTTTGGATAACCTGGTAGGAAGACGGATAGTTCCAAAAATTTGCCAATTGTGATAAAAGGATGTATGATGTTGGGTTGTCTGTTAATTGAAACAGTGGAATTGGAAGATTAGAAAGGTCAAAGTTTGTCTTTGGCAGAGAGTCAAAGACAATCTTTCTTGGGGTCTTGTACTCCTTAAAAGCACCAATTTCTACAGCGGGTCGCACCACATTAATCATACTGTAAAATAAATAAATAAAGTGTATAGCAGATGGCTATATGTTGGGTTTTTATTTGTTCCTCCTCCTTTTAAAAATCTGTTGATGTTTTTGAGATTTAAACTGAAAGGGCTGGAGTAACTATACACGAACATTTGTTTTTCTTCTTTCTGCAGGAAATCCAGAGTTCTTGTGTGGAGTGCAGTATAAAGGAATAAAAAAATACACCTGAGTACATACATGAGTCACGAGGAATTGCATTGCTGATGGGGTAGGAAATACTAAAACTGGCAAGGTTCGTCTTAGTAGAAAATCAAATCTGTGTAAACCTATTGCCGTCCAAAATGAACATACCTTCTAGAGCTCCAGGGTTCCATGAAAGACAATACATCTGTAGAAACACCTGTAAGTATTGGACAAATCTTAATATAGTTGCAAAATACTCGCAAAGACTTAACCGCCAAATTTTGATTCAAGCACTTCAAGCTTTATTGCAGAAAGATCCTTGGTTAGTACTTGGTATATTTAGAAGTTCTGACTCGGTTGCATCCGATCGTGACTACAATGGGTTCAACTACAAAGTTAGACCAGTTAAGGAAATTCATTTTGATGATGTAGTTTCTTTTGAAAAGGGTAAAGTGGATGGCTCCACATTTGAACAATTAAATGAAAGAACCATACCTATGAACGTTGAATTGCCACTTTGGCGTATAGTTGTCATGGAAGATGAGCATGCTAATCAATGGGTATGCGTTTACTTTGATCATGCATTTTTCGATGGCATTGCTGCAGTTGAGTTCCATAAAAGTTTACTTGTAGAGTTGGGGAAATTGGATATCTCTTCTGAGCATACAAGTGAACCTTCTAGTTGTATTTATTCATTTGAAAAGACCCCGGTTGATGTACCTCTTCCAAGGGAGGAAGGTCCTGATAAGCTCTTCCATCTACTGTGGATCAACCGTTTGCAACTTTGGATGAACCAAAAATTATGGTTACCTATATACAACTATTTTTCGAAGCCAGGTCCAACATTCTCCTACAAACCTACCAGTATGAATTTGAAAAACAAGTATCATTGTGTCACAATCCCATCAGATATTACAACGAAGTTATTACAGTATTGTCGTACCCACGGTTTTACTTTGACTCCCTTACTCAATGTTCTTGCTCTCAAGTCTCTAGAGAGTAAAGTTTTCCCTCATCTTGGCCAATCTGGATGCAATACAACTTCTTGTATAGCTGTCAATGGCAGACCATTCATAAATGGTGGCAAATTTGGTGTATTTATCGGGTATGACATGTTCAATCTAAATCCAGTAAGAGACATATTGAGTGCCACTAAATTGATTTATTCTCAACTTACAAAGAGTATTAAGAGCGGTTCTTGTTTCCGTAGAGTTGGTTTGTATGCACATACCAATATTTGGGATTTGTACAAGCTGAAATTAGGTAAATCTGATGGGAAGGCTACCGTCACAGTGTCAAATTTGGGACGGTATTGCAATCCTATTCATGAAAACCCTAGTGTAAAATGGAGAATTTCAGACCTTTGGTTTGGCCTGAATTTGGGACTTGTGGTTCACTTTCTTTTAAATAGCATAAGCACAGAGTCTGGTGATTTGAAATTGATTTTTGCCGTACTACCAGAATATGATGAATATATGGAGGAGGCTATTGATGAGTTCAAAAGATTAATAGATGAGATAGTAGATAATTAGATATAGAAAAGTAATTTAGATAAATATATGATATGAAAAATTATAGTACTAGTAGAATATAGAGAAAGATAGATCACATCATTAATCAGATATACTATTACTTTACTAACATTCTGCTAGTGCAAATTGTTGTTTGGATTGGATGCAAATTCGTGAAAATCACAACAAATTGGTCGCATTTTCATAAAGGAAAGTGGGGATATCTTTGAAAATGCACATTTATTCATTACTGATGTACATCCACCGACTCGGTCCTATTCCCCCCATAAATGACAAGCGATACATATCTTTCACTACTCCACTCCTACATTGGGGGCTCCATCCCAATCCCTGAGACACACATATCATAACATATATATATATATATATATTTAGCTTAATGTGTTCCTCCATCAAGGGCATTCATTTCGAATACACTATTCCGACAATTCATCGAAACTTTCTCCATTCAAAATATCTTTAGTTTCACATATTCACCCAATTTTTTGTATGTATATTCTCCTCATTCTCATTCTCTTTATTTTATCTCCGAGATTCTATTTTCACAGGCGCGCACATCCACACACCAGTTGCCCCGGTTTTATATCCAAACTAGGCGGGCCCTCGGTTCTTTTACCGCACCCCACCATTTCGCATTATTGCCATCTATTTAAAACGCGGGGCTAGTCCAACATATTTCACTTTCTTCTACCGCCCTAATCACCTTCGACTCCTAGCATAAAATACATACGAAATGGAAGGTCAAGATATACTCTATGAGGTCAGAGGTAAAGTGACTCTCATCACTCTCAATCTTCCATCCAAGCTCAATGCTTTGAATGGTGATCAATATCTTCTTTTAGCCAAGCTCGTTGAAAGAGCTGACAGAGAAGAAGACACTGTCCTTACTTTGATTCAATCTACAGGTCGTTATTTCTCTGCCGGTGCTAACATTGCCGATAAGGGACTCCTGAATGTTGACAGCAAGGATTTATTTTCTCATGAATATTGGTTAAACAAGTTTGTGTCCAGAAATGTGTTCCTTGCCGATTTGTTCCACAACCATACCAAGGTCCTTGCTGCTGCCCTTAACGGACCAGTCATTGGTCTTTCATCGGCTCTTGTTTCCTTGTGTGACCTTATCTATGTCATGGATGAAAAGAAGATGTTCCTCTTGGCACCATTCTCCAACTTGGGACTTGTTGCTGAAGGTGCTGCCCTGGCCACTTTATTCTTGAGACTTGGATGGTCTAAATCTGCTGAAGCTTTGCTTTTCGCCCGTCCTATCCCAGGTACCGAATTGAACAAGCTTGGATTCATCAACAAGTCATACCATGACACCAAGTTTGAGTCTGTGGAAGCTTTCAATCAACAAGTTCATGATGACTTGGTTAAGCAATTCAGTAACCTTTATGAGCCATCCATCTTGGAAAACAAGCAATTGTTGAAGGCTAACCGTGATCAACTCATTAACTCTGCTAGTCAGCGTGAAGTGATCAAGGGTTTCAACAAATGGGTTCAAGGTGTTCCACAAGAAAGATTTATGCGTTTGTATCAAAAGGATATTCAACATAAGATGTAAACGTTTGTACGTTATTTATAGGAATAAATTATATAAATGGAAGAGAAGTTAACAATGAGTAGGAAAGTATAGCATTGAAAGGAGAGATGAATTAAGAAGATTCAAAAAGATAGAGTGATTGGAAAGAAATTAGACTATATATTTAAAAGAAGATTGAGTGATATGAAAAAAGATTGAGTGGTTCATTAGATAAGTGACATCTTTTAATATAGTGATGTAGTCAAAATCATTGAATGTGGCCCTAAATTAAAGAATATAATATATTGGTTCTCCTCAGCTCTATCGGCACATATGGAACCATTCATAACATATATGATATGTCTTCCACTAAATAATACTACATATTGTATTCCACTTCCATATCTCTTCCCTGTCTCTTCTTTGTTATCTTTCCATACATTCGCGAAATATGAAAAACATCATATCTCTGAACTCGCACAATCAATTAGGTTACAACTCCTTGCCAATAGCATATGTCATTTAATCTCCCCAATTCGTACTTGTTGGGGATCCTTCTCCTAGTTTCAACCCATAGTGGTCCCCAGCTCGTGTTCAATTACCCACCAGATCTATCTGCTGAACTGGCGGATAAATCACATACTGCGAAACTCTTGTTGGACTCTGGTGATGAAAGCGAAAATGAGAACGAAGAGGATGAATATTTGGCTGAAGATCAAAACGATGGTCGGGAGGAACGTTCCGATGAACTGAAATGGAATACCAGAAATGTCAATTATTATATGGGTACTAAAAAGGACTTGTTAAGTTTTCTAGAAGATCAGGAAAAACATAGAAAACCCGTTCCGACTACAACCTCTTCCAATGTGGCTTCCACTACGGCAACTACAACCTCTGTCCCAATGGGCCACTCCACTATAACGTTTGATGATGAAGCACTGGCTTCGCCGTTGGAAAAGACATTCAGTGGACGGAGTGGACGTAGTGCCAAAACCACGGGGGCACGAAGTGTAAATAGTGCAACAGGTTTAGGGTCCACCAGCACCACAAACTTGTCTGGTGGACACTCTCTGCAACAATTCAGTCTGCCTAGTACACCAACAACATCAACACATCATAATGGGACTTCTTCCTCGGGAAACTCTCCACCCAGTACTATATTTGGTATAGAAACAGATTATCTCTGTGAAACACTCTGTCCCCCACGTCAAATGTGTAACTCTCGATTTGAGATTCTAATTGATGACCTTGTCTTTTTAGGGTTGCCCATACATTGCCATGAGAATGGGAAATGGAGATCTAAAACTAAAACCACTAGTGAAGCTGCCCAACCATCGACAAATGAGAAAGATTCAGGAACTTCTTCATCGTCTACTCATCCTCCAATGAACATGTTCCATCTTGTATTTATCATGAATCCCCCCATTATTGAGACTAATTACCGAATTGATGAGATGTTCCACTATGTCATATCCCGACTTACTTTAGTCTTACGGTATGAACAACTGAAACATAATTACGTTTGGGAAGAAGTTAAATTGATTCACCAACTTAGAGAAGGGTTTCGACTGACAGGTCTCAGGAGGAACACTTCATATGGAACACCTGTTCAAAACGAACCAACTGAAACACCTGTGGCCCGGTCAACGTCCGGGAGGTCGATCAGCAATGCTCATTTAACCAATGCTACTCCTGATGACTCAACATCTTCACATCACAGTGATGGTTCAAGCTTGACTTATCACCTTATAACTCATTCATCACTTTGTAAATTAATTGCTGAATGTTTCAGTTCCATTTCACACTCGGAAATTGCAAATCTTTCCATCAACAATAAACTTCGATCATTTCAAATCCCTATCAAGACGGAATTCCACTCATTACCACAAACTACTGTCCCATTCCTCCCAGGTTCGCATCTTTCATCTACAGTCAGTGTTTTAGGTAATACTGGGTTGATCAATGTAGGTGATACTACAAGGTATGGAGGCGAAAACGCCATTGCTGCCGGTATTACAGGTGGCTTGGCAGCAGCCTCCGCAGCTGCTGCTGCTGCCGCTACAGGCAGTACTGGATATGAACCATTTGATGAAGATGGGGACAGCTCTGAAGAATCATCATCCATTATCTACTTTGCCTTACTTTTACTTGATCATCCTGATAACATTGTTCGTGATATTCGTGCAGAGCCTTCTTCTACACTTGCTAAATTTATACACACTATAAAACCAACTGAATCACTTGCAAAACTATCTCAAAAGGTTAAAGGTGATTCTTCAAAGAACTATGAATTGACTCAAATTAAGCTGTTTGCGTTCCACCTTGTGTATTGGCGCCGTGCTCGTGTTATTCCACCGCTTAATTCGAGACTGGTCTATATCGTTTCTCCTATGGCGCCCATCACTCTTAATCTATACTATGATATGCAGACTTTCCAGCAACAATTCCCAACACTTCCTTCACTCCCACATTTTTTGAAGCTGCTTCTGTCAACTTCGCAAAAGCCGAAACAGTATGCCACCATTATTCCTTCTCGTGACCACCGTGATGGATATTTGGATGCACTCGCGTGGCTTATCCGTTACGGTTACGTAACCCAACTCCATACCTTTATTTGGCTCAAAATTTCACGTAAAGTTAAAATGAGAGTCGAAGAAGATATTGAGAACGAAGGAACTTCTAAGAAGGGTAGTAAGAGTAAGAGCAAAAGTAAGGGGAGTATTGGTAGTAGGGGCTCATTTGAGAGAACTGGTGGAGTTGCCGCAGTTGATAATTCCTCAAAAACTACTGATGCCATCAGTAAATCCCCAAGTAAGACTGGGGCGTCATCTGTGACCTCGTCCATGGCGAATAATTCAAAATCTACGGCTCCTGGTTTGCAAGCTCCTAATATTACCCTTGAAGAAGATGGTGACTCCCTTATTTTGGATCCAGATAGAGCGACTACCTTGGAACGTCGCTGGATAAACAAAATTGTCACTGATGAATGTAAACTTTCGCTAGAGCTTACGACAGTCTTCTACAAATTGTTGAAATACATGAACGGAAAATCATCTCTTGAACTTCTTCTCTTGAAGGAAGATATATCAAGGATGGACCTCAGAAAACTTCTTTATGCTATTGAAGATCATATAGTCTCTGTTAGACATTGGTAATTTTTAATACAATCATTCTACCAGTTAAAGATATGTTACTTTTATTCTATAAAATATTTAACCTAGAACATTTTCTTGAGTAGCTTCCAATTCTGTGCCTCCCTCTATTTCATTAAAAGTCTTGAAATGGATTGGACGATGTAATTCATGGTAAAATGGAAGTGGAATATCAATTTTTACATCGTAGTCAGTGCCAGCATTCCAGGTGGCTCCAACAAATGAGTAATTCCAAAGGTCATCTTCTGGTACCAAGAATGATCCCACAATTCTGTCAGAGATTAATAGTTGACGTTTGTTACTGAATTGAGGTGAGAATCCTTGTGGTGCTTGAGAAATGAGGTCTTTATTGTTAAGACCCCATTCATAACCAGATTCAGAAAGCGTGTAAGCAGCAAGAGATACCGACCCAGGTGTGAAAGCCACTGTCATGGTTACCTTGTTTGAATCCCACACAGAAGAATCACGTTCTCTGAACTGAGCTAACGTAGTCACATCGACTGGTGTAAGCATGCCAGAGTCTGAGCCTTGTGTATGGATCCATCCTAAAAGTTCAAGCTTATCTAACCCGTTTTCAACTGTCTTCGTTGGAAATTTGTTTGGGAATTGAATTGAATGCGTGGTTGCAAGTTGTGGTACCAAAACAATTCTTTTCACTTCCTTGATCATATCGTTATCATCAGGAGAAGTACCATATATGTAAGCACCAACTTGAGTGCGCAAATCCGAAATTTGTACTAATTTTTTCAATACATTCTTAGGGAAAATGTAGGTGAAGCCAGTTTCATCATCATCATTCGAAGAGACGTACACGTTCTTTGCACGAAGATGTAAGTTACTAGAAGCAATCGCGCGATTTCTCCACTCATTCTTGGATGCAAATGACAGCTGTTCGTAGTTTGTAGTTGTCACAGTTACAATGTCTTCACCATGAACATTTTGTGTAGTGGTCTTTAAAGCAGTAAGTTGCTGATTAGCATTAGCCATACCATTTTCAGTTTCTTGCTTCCCATCTACTTCTGCTAATTCTTGTCTCTTGGCTGATGGTGCTCTGATATCTTGGCCCAAGATTAAATCTCTTATTTCCGCTTGAGTTAACGATTGGATATTTACCCCATGTTTCTTGGCGTAATCATTAAGAATCAAGTCACGGAGTTGTGTTTCCACATCGATCCATTGCTCGTCCGAAAGCGTTGGCCAAACATGATGATCTTGTGTGACCACTGTATGGTCCGGGCGTAAAATTAAATTTGTTCGTTCAGTGCTGACGCCCAACGCCCTCAATAACAAGATGACTCTGGAAAATGCAGTATAGGCTGAGATATTGTCTAACCAATCGTCATACAATTGGAATAACACCATTTGTGGTTCACTTGCCTTAAGAACGACATCTGCAAGTTTATCCACCTTAAGTGCATTGGCAAATGGCAACCTCAATTCGGAGGAACGGATTGAAATTGATGGGAAGTCTAACATGTGGACCTCTAATGGATCCATCATACCCTTCCTAGTTACAATAAGTTGTTTAGGTTGTTCTTCGCGTGGCAACGACCGTACAAGAGCTGAAACTTCTTCAGCAGTTTTCCATTTAGCCAACTGACTCAATCTTTTCTGTCCAGCCCATACAGAAGTATGAATGACCTTTAAGAAAAGTTGTCCAGTCTTCGCGTTGAGCATGAAAATTGCACCATTAATTGGCTTAGTAGCAAGATTTCCCTCAAAAGTCTTATGCACTGTAACTCTGTAGACATTGGTATCGTCAATAAAGAATTGAGTGTCATTGTTGAACAATTCGGCATAATTATTGGAGTTAAGCATAGCCTCTTGCGCCTGCAGCTGGTAAAGTTGAAGACCCTTTCTTATACGTTCTCTAAGAACGTAAAGTGCTGGGTTTGCCTTCATGATCTCTCGCATAGCGTTTTGCATCAAAGGTTGAAGACCAGGAATCCAATTCCCATACACGTCGTACATATTATAGGCCAAGTCGATACCAACCATAAGACCGGCAGGACATGGATAACTGGATGTCGTATCACTAGTGTAGTCAAGAAACTTTGCCCTTACGTATCTAGAAATATCATGCGAATCATAGTCACCATATCTCAACTGAACGTCAACCCAAAGTTTACTACTGCTATTGGCACCATTTTCTTCTATTTGACCGTGCAAGTGTCCTGGTCTAGTCACATTCCATCTGTAGCTACTAGTCATCACAATATCAGCACAAGACAGATTCATCTTGTACGATTTACGAGGATGAATGGCTTGCTTTTCAACCAGATCAATTCTCAAAACTTCCATTTCCCTATCAAGAACCTGGCACAAATCTTGAACCACACTTTCGTGAATTTTTTGCCACAAATGTGCCCTAAAGATTTGGATCAATGAAATCTTCAATGTAGGAATTTTACCATGGAGGAATATACCTGTGAGATCAAGTTGGACCAAAAACCCAACATAAACATTAGCACGGTTGATTGTAGGCAGCCACCATAATGTAAATCTACGATTAGGAATTTGACTCAACCCAGAACGTTGGGCGTTGGTTAACTTCTTAAACTTGAGAGAATCTTCAAAACCGGATGCTTTTTCCCAGAAAAGACCTTCCCATGAGTCAAATCCAGTTCCCTTAAATAATGTATGTTCCAAGATTGTTTCAATTCCACCAAGTGCTTGAATAACATCAGTTCTGTATGCATTCAAGTTCCACAATTTACCGTCATGACGATTCGAAGTCCACCAGAATGGATTGGCTCTTGGAAGGGAAAACTTTCTAAATTCCAACCTGGTTCTGTGACCCTTATCATAAGCCAAAGTATGTCTATCCTTTTGAAACAAGGTACTGATACGTGGTAAACCTCTATCCCAATTGCTTTCCATATCCTCGAATGTGATTCTACGATTCAGTTCAGCAGCTTCTTGTCTTTTGATAGCATATTCAGCCCATACTCTTTGAGAATCCAAAAATTCATTTTCCCATGTAGTGATGTACCGGAACACAGTTGGAATCATTTTTTGTTCTTGGTGGGTCATACCAGCTCTGAAATGAGAGATAGAACCAGTTTCGGTTTGTTGAGACCAGCGCAAATCGGAAGCTGGAATAAGAATATGCGAAGCTGAGAGCATCCCCAACCCTCCGAGTTCTTTTGGGGTATAGAAAACCGCAGGTGGGAATCTTGACGGCATCTTGGAGTTAAGACCCATCTTAACTCTGTTCTGGATCTTCGTTTCGCACTTCACTAACACATCAAGAAGACGATCCGTGGAAACTGCTGCTTCTCTGAAGTATGCAAAAAGAGCAACCAAAGCAGTATTCCATTTCAGTGCAACCTTTGTAAAAGTAGTTGAACCAGAAGACATAAGAATTTGACGGATCCGGTTTTCGAATCGGTCTACTTCTTCTGGGGATACCTGGAGGTATGCCTTGGCGGTTCTTTGCTTGGTAGAAGAATCGACTAAATCCCATGTTCCTTCGGCTGACGAAGAATCATCACCAATAGATCTAGTTTTAGGTAAAATTCTAACTTCAAATCCACACATTCCAAAAAGTAAATTAGGATTGTCTTGGGAATATACGGATACAAAGGTGTCACTCCATTCAAGCAGTGTCAAACTTCTTGGTAGTCTTCCTGCTAACTCCCAATGAACAGCTCTACCTAAGTTTACATCATGACGTAACAACCTCATACGAGAATCTCTTGGCCAACATCTCTTGTTGTTATATCCAACCACGTTCTCAAAGTTAGGGTCTGGTCTCTCTGCCAAAAAGGCGTGAATTAATTCATCGGCTTCCTCTGCACTATCAAACCTAAGAAGCATGTGAATCTTATCGACGTTACGGGAGTACATTCTGATTGGGTTGTCAATTTCAGTTTTTTCGTCAGCGAATTGAAGGAATCCGTTTGGTTGGGTGATTGGTCCAGCAAGTTGTGAAGCTCTCTCAAGACCCAACAACAATAAATCAATGGCCAAACCATAATACTGGAGTACGAATCCACTGAATTGTAATCCGCGGATCAAACCTTGTTGATTAACATGGCTCATATCCTTATAAGTCAAACTGATATTGTTCTTTGCAGTCACGTAGTCAGCAATATTTGGATCAACAATGAGTCGAAGAAGACGATTAAGAAGAGTCAAATCTATATTTTCTGCTAGTTTGGATAAAGAAGTCTCAACTATTACAGTTGATTGCCCCTTCAGTGTATCCCATGCTCCTTGGATGTTATTAATACCCTGACACCATTTATAAACTAAAAGTGGTGGCACTTCTCCATCGCTTGGTTTCACCCAATTTGGGAATAATCTTCGCTTGTCACCCTCGTACCATAAATATTGGTCCAAATAGGCATCAGTGATTTTTTCTAATGGGTCTACTGCATAAGTTGGTACTAAATGGGTGTAGTGGTCCATCATTTCTAAACCGCACTCCTTGAAAATACGTTGAGTTAACAAGAACTTTTTGATTCTAGCAAGACATTCATGAGGATTGTCATACGCTTGTTCGATAAGCAGCAATTCTTCACGCTGTTGTGAGTTAAGTCTGGCTGCAGCACTATATGATTCCTTCAAGTTTTCTAATGCCAACACTAAAAGCTTTGTATCGTGTTTGTAAGATAATGGAGGGAAAGGAATAGGGCTAAACTTTCTACTTTCCAACCAATGTACCATAGTTTGAAATACGGTTACAGCTTGATCTGGAGTTACAGAAGGACCTTGACGAGCAAAATCAACTTGTCTTTCCTGTTCATTCTTAATCCAAAGACGGGTTAAACGGCCCAAATTTTTTCTGGCAACGGTTTTTTCCACTGTAGCCCCTCTACGGATTCTATCTCTGTTATAGTGCGCAACACTAACCCAGCCATCGGCCTTAGCCTGGATGTATCTTTCAATAATTTTCTCGACTGGTTCAGGTAATCCTGGGACCTTCCATGGAATGTTAGCCTTCCAACATCTCCATGCCTCACTTAAATGTTGAAGAATAGTTTTAGTTTTATTGGCTTTAAGACCTTCCGGAATCATATCCAAAATATCATGCATAACTTGAGCTCTGAGTTCCAAATCATAGTACGAATCAACTCTTTGTTTGGTGATAGTCTTTGCGACATCATTACTTCTTCTTCCCTCGAATTGACGGGCAAGTAAGTTACCAAGCCAACGTTCTAATAACGGAATAACACCTCTTAAGAAAAAAAGCCACACCCTCCAAGCTGGTTGCCAGAACCCACAACCTGGACCTTTACCGATCAGAGCATTGAAACGATTGTATACAACATGCTTCAAGTCCTTACATGCCCGGATCTGGTGCATCACCTTGTACTTATAACGATAAATCCCTGTGAGTTGACCCAAATGGTTAAGGATGTAATAAATACCATCTGCCAACTGGAACGCATCTGCATTTCCTAATCGAAATTGCACATGTGAGTCCACAATGATTTTCACGACTCTTAAAATTTCTCTAATGAGATGGAATGCGTTACCAAATCTCGACTTCTTCCGTTCTTTGGTAGTTAAAGTTTTAGTAGGTTTGAGGTTAAAATTGTAGTCCAAATGAAGGTATGTAAGCCCTCTGCGATGAATTAAAAGGTTTAACATATTGAAACCTTGACTACACACTTGTAACCCAGCCTCTACCCAGTCTATGGTGGTTTCTTGGAAATACTTGGTTTGTTTAAGGGTTTTGAGAAGCAGGCCACGACGAATAGCAGCGTTAGGTTTCTTGGAATGCAACTCATTCAAGACATAAGATTTGAGAAGCTTTTGGTGTGACACTCTAGTCTTGAGAGGTGTCTTTCCCGATGTGTGTAATTTATACCATGGTTTGGTGAGGGCAACATCTTGAGCTCTTACAGTCCTTCCTGAGCGTCTATTAAATGGAAATGGTGAATGGTAAAGTGAAATCGAAGATGCAGTGAATTCAGGTTCAATGGGTGAGTCCATCCCAAATGGCGTTGGGAGTTCCACTTTTGGTTTCAAGAGAGACTTGTATGATTCCTCAAGTGCATTGGCGGAATTTGTAGCTCTCTTCTTCTTGGGCTTGCGTCTCTTTCTAGGAATATCTACATATTCAGGGTCCCATCTAAAAGCTGGAAGTTCCTGGTTGAATTTTGTATTCAGAGCTCTCAATGGTTCGGAATACCACCCAACTTTTTCAACATTCATTTCTGAATTATAAACCCATGGGAATGCTACTCTATATTCAGTACGAATAGGTTGTCTGAAAATGATCCGATCTATGGAATTGAACTCGGTAAAATCTTCATTACCAGTATCACGTTTCACGTTCCCTTCAGGTTCAAATTTGGGGCCTCCAGGAAGAGCGACATTTAATTTCTTAGCAGTAATGAATGATTGTTTATCGAAAAGATAATAGTAGTTGGCATCGGTAATTTCTGGAAGTAATGGCGTCGCCGTTTGATGAAGTTGTGCCATTGTCTCTACATCCAACGTCCACTTCTTGTAAGATTCTCCGTTAACATATTTACGATGCAGAGTACCACTTTCGGCATCAAGTAATGGTTTCTCGTCGTACAACCATTCTGGAGCTGACTCGTCTTGAATGCTATCCAATGGTTCCACGTCTTCGAGTGATTCAGCCCAGTCCAATGGGGGTTCCTCGTCATCAAATGGTGGGAAAGTCATTCTACGGAAGTTCTTTCTATCTCTCTTTTCTCTTCTCATTGCAATCCATGTGGTTGCCCATTGTGCGGTGTACACTGGTTCTATAACTCTGGGGGATTCATTGACAAATGTGATGGCCCCGGTAACATGGTAGAGTACTCTGACTTCCTTGGTTTGTTCCCATGGTTGTGGCATGTTTTCTAACAACTTGAGAATCGCATGAGGAAGGTACTTAAGCGATCCTAAGTGCGCTCGTTTATCAGTTGCAAACTTCCTGGACGAGAGGTCTGCGTGATTATGAATGATCTTACGAAGATGTTGTGGGGGCAAGTGTACTTTGGAAACAGTTGTTGACCCGCCTGCTGCGCCAGTGGACTTGATAATCGATGAGGTAGTGTATCTCTTTTTCTGCAATTGAAGCCATTGACGCTTTCTGGTTTCAAGATCCACAACCTTTCCCGATGACGATGATGCATGAACTTTTTGACGTTTACCCGTGGAAGATGGGGGTGGTGGTGGTGGTGGTGGTAAGCTCCCTCCTGTAGCTTGTGCACGGCTTGGAGCTCTTGGAGGTGGTGGAGGTGGTGGGATACCTCTTCGAACAGCCGTTCCTGGTGGAGGTGGAGGTGGTGGCAAGGATCGATTAGGTGCTCCAGGTGGCGCTGGAGGACGTCCGTTGGAACGTCCATGTGGTACAGCTCCCGGTGGAGGCGGAGGTGCCGGTAATTTCCTGTCCATACCGTCTAATTTGACTGATATATAGATGTGAGAAGTAGTATTAAAAAAATTCCTACCTAGATATCTTGTGTGTAGTGTTTTCAATATGATGGATATTGATGAGGTGTCTTGTGCAGGACGCTCGAATTGGTGTGTAGCTTACATTCAATTCCCCCTACTCCAAATCTGATGGGTGCAGGATTCCCCAACACAGATAGGAAAAGTACAAAAACCAATTGGTGTGGTAAGACTCTCTCTGTATTCTTCCTTTTTGGGCTTAACCAAAATCGTGTTTGGAAAGCTCTAAAGATGTCTACATTGGCCAATGTTAGGCAATCGATGGCTAACTCAACGCAAGGTATCGGTGGGATAGTCTCCGGGGTGTCTGCAACCATAGTAGCAGCGACGGCTTCTGCTTCCGTAGTAGCCACAGAACCCATGACGGAAAACCGGGCAGTACTGTTTGGTAAGGCATTTATCCTGGCCATTGGTGAAACAGCACAGGAGTCAATCTTGGACTGGGACCGGTTTGGTATTTCCATTACTTACTGTTGCAGTGTCTATGGTGTCACATGTTTATTGATGGCCTTGATTTTGAATAGAACCGTTGTATTGGCCCTGACCAACACTACTAGGTTACAGCAAATGCGTATCCGTGAAGGAATTCAAGGGAGAGGTGGGGTTAGAGGTGTTGCCTCGGGCACTACTCAGTGGCGCGTGCATGTCACCAAAGCCATCAAATCATCGACCATGGTGACTCTTCGAATTGCTGCCATTTTGGCATTAATTTACAACATATGGAATGTCTTGGTGGCATTGGATTTTGTCAAGAGATTTACAACCAAGAATAGATCCGGTCTTTCCGACTACTTGATATATAATCCAGATAATTTCGTGGGTACCTATATGGCAACCCCTAGAGATCAAGTTCAAATCGGCCCCACTGCCGATCTTTATTGGCCCGTGTTCCTTTCCTTTTGTTTCTCACAATTTGTAGAAACTTTTGTTTCTGTTGTCACGGGTCAGAAACCATTCAATGAAGCTGGAGTCACACTTTTTGAACATTCGTTTGCATTTCATCTGGTTTCATCCAAAATTGGAGTCTTGTACCATGGTCTGAGGATCTATTCAAGACCAACAGAACCAATTTTGGTATATACTCTCTTCCTGTTGTTCAACCACTTGAATATCCATATCGGTGGGTTGATGAACCGCAACAAGTACAGATTAATACCTCTGGCCCTTTTGGGTCTGACATTCATGGTGTATGCATATAAAGTTGCAGCCAGGGAGTTTAATCGTTGGGGTGGTGGCATATTGGGTGTATATCGTGCATTGTCTCAGTTCCCAGCCATTATCGTCATGGCGTATATCCCACAATATCTTATCGCATTGGTTATTCTGGTTTGTCTTTTGATTGGATCTCTTGCCTTCCTTTCAAATGGTCTTTCCCTTGAGAATTTGAATTATGCAGGGTTTTTCCAAATGGGTGGAGATGATGATCCAGAATTCATTACTAGAAACTTCAATGTTCATTGGACTGATGATTTCTATACTTTTGTACTCAATTTGGGTACTCTGGCGATTTCTATGGCAGGGAAATCATGCTATATCAAAGAATTGGGCATCATAGCTGTTTATGAAAACACTTGGTTGGAAAATAAGGCAATTATGTCTAAAGGTTATGGTAATATGATTGTATCGCCAACCATGAAATTAATTGAAGGAGATGGGATTCAAGAGTCTGGGGATTTGTCATTAAATGAAAAAAGTATTGCGAAAATGAGAATTAATATATTGATAAAATCACTTCACGATCTATTTCAATTGGGTACTTCATTATCTATCAATGCTATAAATAAAATATTGAGAAGAAGAGATACAATTAAAGTGATTCCTACATTTCTTAATAAGTTTATGGTACCTCCTGATAGAACCTCGAATCCTGAACAAGTTTATATCAATGTGGATGACATTCTGGATCCAGACACACTTTTACAAGTGGTTATAAATGGGAGACTTTCTGATATCGATAATTCAAACGATTATATTCCTGAAGATGATTTGGAAGAATGTGAAGAATCTGACATTGAAAATGAACAAGATGTCCCATTTACCGAATTGATTTCTGCACTGGATTTTGCAGAAGATCTCCTTCATTCCGGACAACAATTGCGTTATCATATGGATTATGATTATTCAGAGGCTGGGATTTTAACGAGATCACGTTACCAACGGCTTGCTAATGAAAATGATACCAGTAGAGCTGTTTCATCAAGATCAAGTGAACCTGAACTTGATGATAGTGCAAAATTATTAGAATTGCTTGTGGAGAAAAGATCAAATGAAGGAGCTAAAAAGTCTACATCAGACGATGATTATATGGACACTCGTTTTGATTGTGTGGTGTGTCAAGTTAATACAAGAGAAATCATTACTTGGCCATGCAAATGTTTTGCAGTATGTGAGCAATGTCGTTTGAGTTTGGTAGCTAAGGGTATGGAAGGATGTGTCTGCTGTAGAAGGGATGTCGAGGGAGTCTCGCGTATATATGTTCCATAAATAAATAGAAATGAAGATAATATGATGGTTTAGTGTAAAGTGGCTGCAAACTTGACCACGGCCACATGTCTGAGAAAATTGAAAGAAGGAAAAAAAAAAAAAGAAAAAAAAAAGAAGATTCCATTCCACAAAACTTCTGCCGACAATGTCGGCCGAAACAATTAGGGGTAATTTTACATCATTACTATAATGGCTGGAATTTCGAAACTTTTGACAGGTACATCTCCTAAACGTTTGTAGTTGTGATATGTGTATCTATGGGTGGGTATCAAAGGTTTGCCAATCAAGTACTAGTCAAATTAAATGAGATTAAAATGAACCCTTTTTTTTTGCCTGTAGAAAAATTCTTTCGTCAGGGCCAAAAATAGGTAATAGAGTACATGACGTATTTCAAAACCATTCAGTGTGTCTGTCTTTGGTCATATTTTTGTACCCGTGTGAATCCCGAACATTGTTTTACCACATGGTTGTGTGGGGCGCAAAAATATTATTGGAAAGACTCTAGATTTAAAAGAGCGTAAAACAACAAATGATTGTAGTACGTGTGCAACAATAAGATGTAGTGTGACTATATAGAAGTCCTATCTAAACCATCCTCTAAATAAAACGTCTAATCTCACCATCTCTCCACCATTCTGTTATGCTTGTCCGCCCTCTGCATACAGAATCACCCTCACACGACCACGACACGAAAAGTTCTCTAGAACAGAAAAAAGTGACGATTTCGCGGGTGGGACGCTTACCAAATTCAAAAACAAAAAGTCTGTCGCCTTTGTTTTACAGTCTGCCGCTCTTACTGCAAAATACACACATCCACGGCGCTAGAAGAACATAACTGCACTTCTCTCTAGTTACGAAGAACCTAAGAACCACTACCCTAGCGGAGAAACCCAAAGAGACTCAATCTCTCTGCATTGTTTTGCACAACACATAGAAAACAAATCAGCACTACTGTTACGCGTTAACCATCATGTCAGCCTCTACGTATCTCTACACAACCACAACCACAACCACCACGACTACCACCACCACCATACCGCCCACCTTGGAGCTTATCCAGGCGGCCGCTGCTGAGAACTTCGTGCACTACCTCAACAAACTTGAACTGATCCCTGGTGGTCTGATTGTCTTGCGTTACATTCGTTCTTCCTACAAGAATGACCCTATCCGGTCCTTGTTTGAATTGGCACTTTTTATGTTTGCAGTGCATTATTTCCTCCTGTCCAAGAAGAAGGAGAACAAGGCTGAAATCGTCAAGTTCAGTAAGGCTGAAATAGATGAGTTGATTAACGATTGGGTCCCAGAAAAATTGGTGGATGATGTTCTGCCATTGGAACAATGGCAATTGAAGTGTATTCCTGAAATTGAAGGACAAAACGGCTCGCATGTCAAGTTGAGCTCCGTGGGCGGAGGTCAACTCACCGCCGGAAGATTGGTTGGAGGTACTGCCAACTTGGCCACCTATGATTTCCTTGATCTTAATAACAACCCAGCCATCAAGGAAGCTGCCAAGTCTGTCATCTCAACCGCGGGTGTGGGTGCCTGTGGTCCACCAAATTTCTACGGTACTCAAGACGTCCATGTTCGTTTGGAAGAAGATCTTTCTCACTTCTTGGGAACTGACCTGGCCATCTTGTACGGACAAGATTTCGTTACCGCTGGTAGTGTTATTCCTGCCTTTTTAAAGCGTGGTGACTTATGTGTGGTTGATGCTGGTGTTAATATTGCCATCCAAAAGGCTTTGATTGTTAGTAGATGTAACATTGAATGGTTCGAACACAATGACACCGAACATTTGGAACTGCTACTTGAAGAATTGAAGCCAACATTGGATAAGGAACCACTTCGTCGTCGTTTCATTGTTACTGAGGGTTTGTTTGCCAACTCTGGAGACATTGCGCCATTGCCTAAAATCGTAGAACTTAAAAACAAATACAAGTACAGATTATTCTTGGATGAAACCTTGAGTGTTGGTGTTCTTGGAAAGACCGGAAGAGGTCTTGTTGAGCACTATGGACTTCTGAGAGATGAAGTTTCCATTACTATTGGATCTTTGGCTTATTCATTTGCCTCTTCAGGTGGTTACTGTGTTGGTGTCAAGCCAATGGTTCAACATCAAAGAATTTCGTCTACCGCATATGTCTTCAGTGCCTCTTTACCCCCATATTCCGCCAAGGTTTCTTCTCAAGCTATACGGGAAATTGTTGGAAATGAGCAAGATTTAACCGTCAACGATTCTAAGCTCATTCTGTCTCTTCACTCCAATATTGATCATATTCTTAAAGGTTTAAAGAAGAGACTTCCTTCCCAATATCTTACCATTGTTTCATCTCCTCACTCCCCAATTATTCACATTTCATTGGCGCAGCTGTACCGTAAGCAACTCAACCTCCCTGCATTCTACGGTGGTACTCATTTCCTCACCACTGGAAAACAAGCCCGTGTCTTGAATGAATTCAATCCATACTTCAACTTGGAATCATTCCTCTTACAAAAGATTGTCGATGGAGTCTTGGCTCATGCTAACGTACTTCTTACTCGTTCTAAGATCATTTTAGAACATGAAAACTTGCCAGTAAGCAGCCCACAACTTTTGGTTATGGTGAATGCAGGCATAAGTACTGGAGAATTAGATAGAACCGTTGATGCTTTGGCAAATGTAGCACAAAGAGTCTGTGGTGATATTAAAACTGAAGCTAGTTTATTAAGTTTGGAAGATGAACTTATTAGATATTAAACAGTTGAACAGGAAAAGTTGATAAAGTATGCATAGAGACAACAAGAAATTAAATGATTCTCGTATATGGTTACATTGCGTTTATTCTACTCGTATGAGTCCCCTACCAGACATTTGGGCAACGCTCACTCTGGATAATTAATACATAGTACATAATAAATATTGATAGGATATGAAGATAATGTAAATTAAAGATTGAAAAAGGTTGGCTATTCTTGAGTGAATTGATCACTTCATTCTATTTCTTGCTTCTCTTGCAATAGATCTTGCTTCCTCGATGTCATGAGCATTACTATGGTTCAAATCTTTTGCCAAGCCGTAGGCTTCTACAAACCGTCGGTTTTCCAATGCATTTCTGGCAAGCCAGAGTCTTGCTTTAGAAGTCTCATCACCAATACCCCATTCTCTTTCCAGATCAAGGCACATCTTCATATACTTTACAGTATCCTTTGTTAGTCCCAACTTTTCGGATATCGTAGCAAGTTTGTAGCATATATAAGGTTCTGCAAAAACCTCTCCATCTGCCATTTCATTATTATTATTGTAGTTATCGATTGCCAAAGCCTTTTCAAATGATTTAATAGCCTCTTCCAATTTTTCAATCTTCTCGTAACAATTCCCAATAGCTTGCCACATACGTTTATCAAGAGGTTGCAAGTTAGTAGCGCGTTGGTAGTAATACAAGGCATACATGTGCATGTCTAACACTTCATAGGCCTGTCCAAGGCCATACCATGCTCGGAAATCTTTAGGATTTGTATCAACTGCTCGTCTGTACAGCTCAATAGCAGCATGTGAATTCTTTAATTCAACAAACTCATGTCCCATCAAGGTCCATGCAGATAAACAATTTTTGTTGAGGGTAAGAGCCCGTTTATAATATGTGATTGCCTTTTCGTGTTCGCATTTCATAGAATGATAATTAGCTATGATACAACAAGTTTCTGGTCTAAATTTATCAATCAGCAGCAGAAATTGTGCTAAGAAGGATAACTTGGATTTCTTTTCCATCACATACAACATATTTGAATAAGTATCAAGGTCATCAAGACGAAGTGGATCATCTTTCAAAATCAGATCAAAGATTGCTTCAGCTTGGAAATAGTCTAACCCATGGTATGCGATAAGAAATTGTTGCACATTGAGGAAATTGAATTTGGGGAACTTTTGAGTCAATTGAGCTAAACTATCGGTTAAAACTGCCAGTTGTTGATAGAATTCTTGTAATATGACCACCTCAAAGAATTGAAACATGATATTATTAGAGAGGGAAGTCTTAGCCTTCTTTAGTTTGGTGATGAACGTCACAGCCTCTTCGTAGGTGGAAAGTGAAGCAATGAGTTCTTGCCAACAAGACCAGTTGTATGGAAACAAGCGTAAGGATTGGAAAAGGTTTGTTTGTGCCAAGGAGTATTTTTTCTTTTTATTGTATACCACTCCATTAAGATAATAAAGAAATGCGTTTGGTTTATTGGAGGTATTATTATGGAATGCAGTAGTCTCTTGGAGAATTTTGGATAATTTAGAAGTAATATTTGAATCTGAATTTGAGTTTGAATTATGAATCATATTTGAATCGTGTGGTGCTCCTCCAGCTAGGTATGTATGATTATTTGCATTCGATCCATTAGTGCCAGAGCCGGCCCCATTACCGGTACCTGAAGTTGCGGCATTCGCTCCTATATTGGCAGACATGCTATTTGACATTGCACCAGATCTTAAAAGACTTGCACCACCTATTTTAAGAGATCCATCAGTTTCCTCCATAGCTCTCTTATCAACTGAAATCAACAAGGCATATAATCTTAAAAACACTGCACTCCCACTTTTACAATCTTTTAACACATAAGCAGCACGGTCAAACTCCTTACAATTGAAATATGTTTTGGCTAGCAAGATTTTATCCTGGTCAACTAGCTCTTGTATATCCATTGGTTGAACCATGGGGACTTGTTCCAGTCGTTGTTCAGGTGAGATATCCAACCCATTCAACGCTTCTGCACACCATTTTGCAGCCTGGTATAGATTCAAATTCGACAAGATCTGACATGATTGGAAGAGTTTAACTCTTAGGTACGCCGGGTCGTTACTCGAGTCCATTGTTCATCTACTTATCAACAAAACTCTTGATAGATTATTAAACGTACACTACACCTTGTGTCTAGTTAACCGCGAAATCAACAAACAACAAAAATCTTGAAAGGGAGGGAAAAAAAGAAAATAACATAGTGTTGGAGTTTGAGAATAGTGGTGATAAAATCGAGATAAACCATCGATATTTACCACGAGCTCAATATAGACAAGATGACTTCTGAGTTGAGGGAACGTGTGGACGGAGTGCTTGGTTCATTTGCAAGTGCTGAGCTGGCTCTTCTGCAGCTTGGAACTTCCAATGGAGATCTTCGGAAACAATTTGTGATGGATTCATTCCATGTAAATAGATTCCATAAATCATATCGAGCATGGGATAACATACGTCGTGAAGAGTTCATCGACAAGGAAATAGCGTCATATAACCAGAAACTTGGAGTGGTGACCCGTCTCAACTATGAAACAGAGAAACTAGTACGCGAGTATGGGAAGGCATCCGACACAATCAAATTGCCCGAATTTAGCTTTTCAATCCATACCATTAAACAATATGATGAAGGGAGATTACTACAAGAATTGGGGATAGATGAATCAGTACTGCTGGTGGATATCAATCAATTATTTTCACTTGAGTTGGGAGGAGCGCTCCCCAATCCAGACTTAAAAGTGATACAAGACTTATTAAATATCGAGTTTAGACTTCGAATTGAACGGAAAATAAAATATGAACTATTACTTTTGGTGAAACAACTGTTGACTTCAAAGAATAAGAAGTGGGCCGTGAGAGATCAGAGTTTGAATGAGTTCATGAGAAAGTTGGCAGGCGTCACAGAAGAAGTTGAAAGTATACGAAAGAGTGAGAAAGAAGATTTGGGTTGGGCAGACGAAGAATTCCTGGATGAAGATATGGATGAGGAGGATGAGGACGATGACGATGATAGGCAGGATGCAGAGGAAGAAGAAGCAGTAGAAGAAGAATTAGAAGGTGAAGGTGCTGTTGAGGATTCAAATGATATGCAAATAGAGGACTCGACAAAAGTGGTGGAAGAGTCCCAACCAGAAGATGCTGCCACGATAGAGGAATCGGAATCTGTGACTCCGTTTGAAGCATCTCCGTCGCCTGCGGTCACTGACTTGAACAAGGAACAACCTTCATTGCATGACCTGGATGATGACATCATGAATATAGACGGGTAATCGTACCACAAATTTAATGAAAACAATTCAATTTAGTTTAGTAAAATGTAGTTCCTTGTACTACTGGAAACTGAAGTAATTGCATCGAACTCAATTATTCCATTCTTGGATACCTTGGAGGTCAATTTGTGTGAAGATACCCCCGCATTCCTTTCCTCCTACATAAACCAAATCCAATGTTACAAGTTTTTACCATGAATACTAACTACAGACTATCTACCCTTAAATAAAATAATCATGTCATTACTAGTTTAAATATACTCAATCTCTACGTATGCTTTCCCTCTGAAATAGTCTAATTTTCAGCCACAGGTTCAACTCTAGCAGGAGCCTCTCCAGTAGCATCGGTGCTACCATTTACAATATACTTGAAAACTTGACCTGGAGAATCACCAGCTGCTCTTCTGTAATCCACAATTCTGTAGATTTGGTATGATGCAACACCTCCCAAGAAAAAGTTGACACTGGCCAACAACATATTACGTGGCTTGATCACAAAGCCGGCCCAACGGGTCCATATAGCACCTGTGCAGAACAAAGCAGCTTGTTGTGTACCACTAATCTTCTCCACCGGTCTTTGTAAATCGTTAATACCAGCGATAACAAGAGCCCATTTTAAAACTGGAGCCCAGAAATGAACCGTCTTTGGTCCGGTTTCGGAGTTAAGGTAACGTGTGAACTTGGATGCGTGTTGTGCAGTGGCGGCCATTGTGTATGTGTTTGAATATATTAAAGCAAATTGAAAGCAATATTCTAATGGGATAATATCTTTACTCCTCTTTTTGTGGATTTTTTCTACCTATTGGAATAATCGGTAAAGTCTGTGCCGATGGTAATATGCAGGCTGGTGGGGGCTGTAAAAAGGATAAATGGTAATTTCATTGATATTAAATTGATTGGTTAAATAAGGTTTTATAAGTATTTGATTGGGTATTTAATTGGATATTATATTTAATAGTATTTTACCAACTATTGAGTTTATATATTTTCATTTCTATTATATAATATTCTTTAAATTGATTTATTATTTGTTAGGTATCATATATGGTCACGTGAGTGTGGAGAGCTTCCCCGCTTTTATAGGAGGATGTAGAAATGAAACTCCGAATAATTTTATAAATGAATAATTATTTCTTTAACTAGTAGTTGAATAGTGGTATTATCTAAACCTATATAATAGAATTTATATCATAATACATCTAGGAAGTTAAAATTCATACTTTATTTATTTTTTTTTATATATTTATTCTTTTATATTCTATGATATTGGCTGCAAAAATATATTTACATTTATAAAACAATATTAAACTTTTCTTCTTCAATAGATAGGACTCTTAATCCTTAATATATCCACCTTGTTTACATAACAGATAGAATATCCCTTCTTTGTTAGCAAGTAAGTTTGCTGGCGTATCAAACTCTTTAACCTCTCCATGATCCAATGCTAGAATCCGATCACTGTCCATCACTGTATCAAGTCTATGAGCAATTGTAATAATTGTACGGTCTTTGAAGTGACTACGGATTGTTTCTTGAATGATTTTGTCAGTTTGAACATCTACTGCTGCAGTGGCTTCGTCAAGAACAATGACCTTGGAAGTGTTAAGTAAGGCACGTGCCAAACACATAAGTTGTAATTGTCCCGCTGAAAAGTTGGATCCTCCTTCGGCAACCTTAACATCCAACTTGGAATCTGATTCTTCTTCTATTTCATTCACATGATCTTTCAAATGAGCAAGTTCAAGAACTTTCCAAATCTCTTCATCAGAATGCAAATTCAATGGGTCCAAATTTTGTCTAAGGGTACCTTCAAACGCTTGAGAATCTTGTGGGATAATACTCAAGTGATGTCTAAGCTCATAAACTGAAAGTTTACAAATATCCACCCCATCAATGTATATAGTACCAGATGCGGGTTCGATGATTCTAAATAGACCGAGAGTTAAAGAAGACTTCCCAGCGCCAGTTCTTCCAACAACTCCAATCTTTTCTCTTGGTTTAATATCAAAAGAAATATCTTTCAAGATTAAGTCAAGATTTTTACGGTATCTAGTAGAATAATTTTCAAATGAAATAGCTCCCTCTCTTGGGAAACTTTTAGACGGCTTCAAATATTCTACATCTTCCTCCTCTTCAACTGGCAATTCGCAATATTCCAAACACCTCTCGAATGCAACTATAGTTGATTCAACTTCAGCTGACATTCTTACGACAAAACTCAAAGAGTTGGTAACTTGAAGTGCGTACGTCATGACAAACCCAGCGGTACCTGCACTAAGCGGGCTTGAAGTTATTAAAGTGGAAATCAGTAATGCAGAAGCAGAAAGAATTGCAATTGATCCAATAAATTGTAATCTGGATGAAAGCCAACGATTCAGGGAACGCAACATATACAAACTCTTTAAATTGAAATCAAGATTGGAGTCATCCAAATACTTGAATCTTTCAGTTTGATGGAAGGCTCTAATAGTATCAACACCATTCAAACTTTCTTGAAAGTGTGCATAGATTGGTGATCTCAGAACTGAAACTAATCTTTTCAATTCTCTGGAAACAGAAGCATAGTATTGTTGATAATGAAAGTAAGCGAATGACAAAATTACCACAATAATCATAAATGGTGGAATTACAACAGCCACTACTCCAATGGTAAATAATGTTGAAACAAGAGAAGCAAAAAACCCACTAAATGCCCTTGGTAACGTGTCATCAATTTTACTAATATCACTTGTAAATCTATTCATGATACGGCCAATAGGAGTCCGTTCAAAGAAGGACATTGGTGCTCTGAACAAACTTTTACTCATACTATTGTGAATTGAACGTGATGCTCTAATTGAAAGATAGGTCCAAAGTAAGGCACCTCTTAAAACAGCAAACAAACTGGAACTAAATCCAAATAATGCATAAATTCCAACATATTTAATTGCATTATTATTACTTCCATTTTCCGAGTTTAGTTCAGCCCAGTGCTTCAACCAATAATTACCTGAAACCGAGGCACAATATGTGAAAAAGAGTAATGTAAGCCAAAAGACAACACCGATTTTCAGAGATGCATTGACATAGGCAGCATAAACGTTCCATTTCACTTTACCCTTGGCGGAGTTTTCTACATCTTGGGTAGTTCTAGCGTTAACACCAAGAGACGAAATAGATTTGAACTGGTATGGGGCAAGAACTGGTCCTGGTAGCGTTGAGGTAGAAAATGTTCTTGTGAGCTGAAGTGCTGTCTCAGCACCCTTAGCGGTGTCTGGGTAAAAAGTTTCTAAACTATCTGAGTCGGCATTAACCTCATTCAAAACTTCTTCATCCTTGATGCTTTCATCTGCATCAGTTTCTACGGTTTCTGAAATTATTTCGCCTCCTTCAGATTTACCAAATTCTTCCAATAATGCTGCCAACTTCGGATTACTTGAAGTTCTTGCCTCCTTAATAGTTCCTCTTTCAACTAATCTTCCCTTTTCTATGAGGTAGATTTCATCCGCCCAATTCAAAACCAGAATTGAGTTAGTTGCCAAGATAATTGTCTTTGAACGAAGAATACCTGTACGTGAAAGTACCTTATTAGTAATTTGTCTTCCAACATGACTATCTACTGCCGACAATACATCATCTAACAAGTAAATATCTGCTCTGGCATATACAGCACGGGCTAGCGAAAGTCTGGCCTTTTGACCTCCAGAAAGTGAAATTCCCTTTTCTCCTACGAATGTTTGATCTCCATCAGGAAGAACTTCGATATCTGGTAATAATTGACATGCATCGATTGTTAATTGATAAAATTCTTCGTCATATTCATGACCAAATAAAATATTATCACGAACAGAGGCATTCATAATCCATGGAGATTGAGCACAATAAGCAGTAGTTCCATGGATCTCCACAAAAGGTTCAGTACCAGGTTGACTCCCTTTTCCATCCAATTGGCCCAATAAAGCTGTAAGGAATGAACTCTTCCCACTACCAACTCTTCCTACAATACATGACAATTGGCCCTTATAGGCAGAATAATTAATGTTCTTAAGAGCATATTTCGGAGAAAATATGGAAGATTCCAAATCTGTACTATTTTGGGACTTTTCACTGGCAAACAAGAAATCCGTATCCTTAACTTTTACACTTATTTCTCCAGAATGTTCAACCTTGGGTAAATCATTGATCAATAATGGATCGATTTCTGATGCAACTAGGAAATCAGTGATTCTTGTTAATGAGATTGATGCGTCAATAAGATAAGTTATCACCACCGGGAGCGCTAAAAGGGGGTTTGATAACATGTTTAAAAGCGCAAGTGCTGGAAACACAATATCTGAAGTCAATGGTGTATTTTGAGTCAATGCAAATGTGGCAAATGTGGCAAACGAAACTAAAAATGGGATCACTTGCCATACAAAATTACCAACAACATTCACTCGACGAATATTTTTAAGGTTATTAAGTTCTTGGTTATTTCTAATGTCCAGAAGCTTTTCATTCATTGGTACTTCCCAAGCATAGAGTTTGATACTTTTAATGGATGACAATATCTCATTAATGGTTCTACTTCTAGCATCTTTGAACTTCATTTGAGTCTTGCTTAACCTTTTCAGATATCTAATGATATACGAATTAATAGGGATTAAAAGTGATAAAGTGATGATACTTGTAATAGTTGATTTTCCAAGAAGTGACCAGAGCGATACAATACAAAGTATAAGCTCAATAGGAGCAACAACAAGTGTCTGGATATTCTGAGTGATGGCTTGGATTCGATCTACATCAACAGAAACTAAGTTAGCTATATCTCCTGTAGATCTTTCCAACCGTGCTTGGGATGAAAGACAAAGGGATTTCTGATATAATAAGGAAGTCAATGAAGAACGACAACCAAGTCCGGCCTTAAGAATAAGGAGAACGTATTGATTATTAAACGATGTTTGAAGAAGAGTAATTGAAAACATGAGAAGTGAAATTAGAGCTCCATAAAGAATTGGAGGGGAATTGTCAGTTCCAGCCAAATTCTCCACATTATTACTTGTCTTTTCAGCAAAGAATCTAATGAATAATCTCAACAATTGCGGTTGAACAAAACTCAACAAACTACTTCCAATTTCACATAGGAAGGCCAATAAAACTACAGGACCAAAAGCTTTAGTAAGACAAAAGAACATTTGCCAAGTGTTTTTCCTTGAGTTTTTCACATCATATTGAACATTCCCCCAATATTTGATTAACTTTGTTGTTGATAACTTTGCAGTGAGTTCATTTGAAATATCCGGTAAATCATCCATGGAAAGAGTTTTGTTTAGGTATGCGTTTTTAATCACAGGGTTCATCCAAGTATAAGTGATGTTTGAATAAAGATTTGGTTTCAAAAGTTCATTTTTACGTCCGTCAAGTGTGTATTCATGGATAAGAGCATGAGTTGGTTGCCAAGTGATGGATTCCATCCCAATAATTAATCCAGAATTGACAATTAAAAAGACTTGAATGGCAACAAACAGTAAATCCAGTCCTCCATAAATAACAGGCCACTCTGTGTATTGATTTTGAAGAAATAAAACCAGTAATAGAGACATATGAATGGGCCAAAAGACTAATAAACCAGGACTGGGGGTACATCTATACGAAGTTTCAATCACATGTAAAGGTAAAATGATGAAAACCAATACTAAAGTGGTCAATGTAAAGGCAACAACTTTAAGATCTGAATATCTTGCATGAATATTGGTGTATGAAGTCAAATAAGCAAACAAAAGACCTTGAAGTAGTACAGAATTAATTCTAATATAATGATGAAGACCGGTATTCTTTGGGGCAAGGGAACCATATTTTTTCTTATGAATGGATCCAAATAAGCTATAGCCAATAAGACAGCCTAGTATAATAGTGGTGACAAGAAACATCCATGCTACAAAACATGGATTGAAAGCATTTTCTTGATGAGGAGCTAGTGGTTGTAGAAATGCAGTGTTCCAGTGACATAGTAATTGAGGATATTTGGAATTGCCACCGCTTCCTATATTACTGCCGGTCAGACCAGCCAACCGATCAAGGACGGAATTTACCGTTTCCGATTGCATTTGCATGGTCAAAGGTTATATGTATCGATTCATAAATATGTGGCAAATATTGTATTAATGAAGATTTATGCTTGTGGTGGTGGAGATAAGTAATGGGATTTCCTGTATACACAGATGTAAACGGACATAACGATTGGCACGTGTATGATCACGTGGGGAGATGTGGAGGAGATAAACTGATAAGTGGCATAGAAGATTTCAAATAAGTTTAAATGTACCTACACCTTGCTACCAAATATGTTTATAGTTACAAGATAGCTCTAAATATTGATAATATGATCGATATATTTCTTTTTAAACTATGGGATTAAGAATTAAATACATCTTAATTCATTCTATCTACATATATCTTTTTAGCGAATAAGAAGAAAGATCACCGTTGATTATATCATAAGGACAGCACTCAGTGTATTCTAGGTATATTTTTCTTATTCACCCTTCAATTGTATGTCAACTTTAACATTCCGATACATTCTTGTTAAACTAGAGGACAACTTAGCGAGTTTCCTGTATATGCATGTCTAATCAAGGTAATAATTCTATATGTTTACATATTTCACAATTAAACTTTAAAGGCAGAAAGGAGCATGGCTAAATAATAGATGTCAACTGAAGAACAAAGAAAAGTTAATTGTTTTCAAGATGAATACAAAAACTTTGTATGCCATAGATGAAAGAGATTAATCTGTCGATAAGAAGTAGAACTGTCAATGGAAATCATTTGGATTAAAATGTATCTATTCGCTACGGGTTTGGTTCGTAACCTCCAAATCTTGAATCTGTTCTAAAATTATAGCTATAAAATAAGAATACGGCGGTTGGGAGAAAATAATCGCACCAGATTCTAAAATTAATTATATGGTGTTCGTTTCAAGTTTTAAACGGCATCCTACATCTACAATATCTTGCCCACACTTTGTTGTCGCGTCCCCCCTAAATCCATTGCATTGAAACAATACGCGAAAGAATCCTGTAAATCATAAGATCTCGTCAAGTTTTAAAATATTTTCAACAATTCATAATAATTTTGAAATTAATGTAAATAAAAATATTAATATTTTATAAAACCATGATATGTGTTACATTTTCAGTTGACATTCTATAGTATTATTCGCGAAGTTACGGTTGAGTATTTACTACGACTCTCTCCTATTAATTATTCAACAAAGATGGACCTATATGTGGCTCACGACAGAGTGTTGGTGGTGGGATCTCGATTACATACGTCTACACTCATCGGCTACAGTTGCGGGTCGTTCTTTGCATAATTTGGTGGTCAGCTAAGTTACACAATTACGAGTGTTACTTGATTTTCTATGGATCAATTCAATCGTCGTCTAGAAACACAGTTTTCAAATATTTTGTCTAAGCCTTCAGTGCGCGTAATTCATTTTATTGCCCAAGCAAGAAAAATAATTGCCAAGTTCCGTATGTCTTTTAATTTTCTATAAATAAGTTACATCTTACTCTCCCACTCTCTTGTAGTAGGGTACATCGAAATATTCTATATCCAAGTACACTCTACAAACGATATATCTTGTATTCGCTTAACACTTAATTTTTTAAACAGCAATGAAATGAAATCTTAAACTGAAAAAAATGTATTATCAGTTACACGCGCATTATATGCGCGTTCCCGCGCACAGCACAAGGAATTCTAAAAAAAATAAAGATGAATCGAAAAATGATGTGAGGCGGGGCACATTCAAAGATGACTTGTACAATAAAAGAAAACGACAGCATGAAGCAACTTTCAGTTCATTGTTTTTTTTTCTCCTTTTCTAGGGCACAACTGCTTTTAGTCAAGTAGAGAATGTTGCTCCGTGTTCTATTCATGACCCTGGTTATAATGGAGGCTTTGGTGATAGCACTGGTGCAATCACCAAATTTGATAGCGCCATTTAAACTTGACTTTGACGTGCATAGAGGTTCCTTTGATCTTGTTAAGCGATCACACACTATTGATAAACGACTGGGCGTCATACTGCTCGGTTTGAACAATACGGGGACCTTGTATATCGCACAATTGGCCATTGGATCGCTGGGAGATCTTGTTGAAGTCGCAGTAGATACTGGTTCTTCGGATTTATGGGTTGCATCTAGTGATGTTCAATGCTTTTCAGACTCCTCAACGTTCAAAGACGTAGATCTAGAAAAGGTAATCAATAAGAACATTCTTAAACAAAGTATTATAGAGGGGAAGGAAAAGAGAGCTACTGGTACAGTAGCGGCAGCAGCAGCTTCAGGGGCACAAGTTTTCACAGCACCCACTGGCACTCAAGTTAACACTTGCACACAATATGGATCGTTTGCAACATCAAACTCAGATACTTTCAAAAGAAATGAAACTGCAAAGGATTTTTATATCTCATATACTGACGGTAGTGCAGCTAGAGGAATTTGGGGTGAAGACACCATAAGGTTGGGGAAATCCAACAATATAGCTGAAGTTCAAGGTTTGACCTTTGCTGTCGCCAACAAATCAAGCTCACATATTGGGGTTCTTGGTATTGGATATGGAAGTTTGGAGTCACTGTATCAAGATTCTGGTTATATATATGAAAATTTACCACAAAAGATGAAATCTTTAGGTTTAATCTCCAAAAATGCATATTCATTGTACCTCCATGTGGGTGAAAATATAGATACTGGGTCGGTACTTTTCGGTGCTGTTGATCATGCAAAATATAAGGGAGATTTGCAAACAGTTCCAATATTGGGATATCTATCCAAACCATCCCCCATTGAAACTGAAATAAACCCAGGTCCTAAACTAGATCAAAAAAGAATTTCAATTTCTCTTACAGGGTTACAATATGAAGATGAAGTTCTGGGATCTTCATTGGCTTTGAATATTTCCGATAACTATGTTCCTGCTCTCGTAGACACGGGTAGTACCCTTTCTGTATTCCCGCGTAGTTTACTTGATCAAATTGGAGCTGCTGCAAAGGGAACATTTTCTGATGATGTCAAGGCATACGATGTCCCTTGTTCGGGGAATGAAAATGCCTCTATAACATTTGAATTTAGCGGTGCCATCATCAAAGTCCCCTACAATACATTACTTGTACAAATGGGGGATGTTTGTTATTTGGGAATCACCCAACAAACAAGTTCAACTCCATACATTGTGCTTGGCGATAACTTCTTACGCAGTGCATACGTTGTGTTTGATTTAGACGATAGCACCGTTTCACTCGCGCAAGCGAACTACACTACACATGAAGATATAGAAAACATATCTGATAGCATTCCTGGGGCTACAAAAGTCCTGGGCTTTTCACTGACAAGATTCGGTGGAACCTCTTCTAGCACCACTACATCAGACTCTGCATATCTGGGTACAGGACTCCTTACAGAGCCTGGCCACACATCATCAAATTCAAAAAAAAGTTTGGCCCCAAGTCTGTACATACGAAATAATCTTCTAGGATGCCTTACAGTGGTAATATCATTAATAGCCTTATTATAGAATAGTAATGAGACGAAAAATCTTAATAACAATAATATGACTCACTTGTAGTGGGGGCACGTTGCATTTGACTGAGGTTCCATCATTTTAGGTTCTCCAACTAAAGCCGCACGTAGATGGCTTCGCTTTTTTTTTTAAATTGTTCTCAGCCACAACATTATCAAATGACCCACATAATTGGGATAGTTAATAAATGTTGGCTAGCGGGGACTTTGGGACAAAATATTGATACTATATAAAAACGGAAATTAGAAATGACGTGTGGGTTTAGGCTTTAGGTTTTTTTCTCGAGCGGAGATTAATTCTAAAACTAGTCTTTAACTTACTATCTTACCAGGTGTAATTGAGTTGGTGGACAATTTGACTTCTTATGGTGGGTCAGCATAACAAAACGGCAAAAAAAAAAAAAAAAAATCCGTTTTGGAGATCTAATTGATAAGTGATCATTCACTTTCACTCTGTGGGGGCATTCACGTTCACTCCGGATAAGACCTCGAGGATAGAATTTCGTATTTCTCGCGTATTTTAATCTTTCAATTCGCTTTATTTGATAGAATGAGGCATCTTGCCAAGAAATCCCCCAAATAATAATTCCGTATTCGTCATGCTTTACCTGGGGAATTGTAACATATCAAATATGTAGATTATATATATAGGAGAGAGATATATATACCATCCTGATGTAATTGTAACCAGTAAGAAAAACTCTAAACAAACATATGAAACTTGAAGTACTATCAATTGTTGCTTCATTAATTGCCGTGACTACAGCTAAAAATGTGGTAACTCCATTGAAATTGGACTTCAGTGTCCAGAGAGGTACCAGGAATGACCATTCACTGGACTACCAACCTCATCTAGTTAAGCGTCAAACCTCGAATGACAGTTTCACCATGGAATTGATCAATGAATCTACGTTTTATGTGGCTGCTCTCGAATTTGGCACTAAGGGGGACAAGGTTTCAGTATTGGTTGATACAGGATCTTCTGATTTATGGATTCCATCTCACGATGTAATCTGTTACGAAACCCCATATATGAAGAAAAGAAGTGAAGCGTTCACAAGAGACGTCAAAGAAGGGGGAAATGATATTGACGACATATTTGGTAAACATGGAATTGACCCCACGAAAGCATCATTGTCGTCTCCAATTGAAGGAGGTAACGTTCAAAAGGCAGTAGAAGCTATGACCAATACATGTACAACATACGGTTCTTTTGCAACTGGAAACTCGGGTACCTTCAAAACAAATACCACTAATCAAGAGTTTTATATTGCCTATGCTGATAATACTGAGGCAATTGGTGTATGGGGTTATGATGACGTCAAAATCGGAGATACAATTGTTAAAGACCTTCTGTTTGCAGTGGTAAATCAGTCTTCATCCAACGTGGGTGTCCTTGGAATCGGCTATGCCAGTTTGGAAACAACATTTCTGGCCTTCGACGAAATGTACGACAACTTACCATTAAAACTTAAAGGTGATGGGTTAATCAAGAAAAACGCATATTCTTTGTACTTGAACAGCAATGATACAAAATCCGGCTCCATCTTGTTTGGAGCAGTTGATCATGCCAAATATGAAGGACAATTGCAAACTGTTCAAATTGTAGGTGCCGTTACTGGCAGTTATCCAGACCCCAACCGGATTATTGTTGTTCTCAGTGGGATCAGTGTTGATGATAATGGCAATGATATTGGCGTGTCTGGTGATTCGTATCCCGCACTTCTTGATACGGGAAGTACAGCTACATTTATGCCATCTGCCTTGGCCGCTCAAATATCCAAAGCTTTGGGTGGCTACTATTCCACCTCCGTTGGTGCTTATCAAGTTCCTTGTTCCAGTGACTCGAATGTAAACATAAAGTTCAATTTCAGTGGGGTAACCATTTCAGTTCCTTATGAAGAATTAATCTTACATTATAGTTCTTCATGTTATTTATCTATCTTCCCACTGGCATCTACTAGTAAGTACATTATCTTTGGAGATAATTTCTTAAGAAGAGCTTATGTGGTGTATGATTTGGAGGATCATGTTGTTGCACTTGCTCAGGTAAAATACACTGATAAAGAAGATATTGAAGTGATTTCAGATGGAATCCCCAGTGCTGTTAAAGCTGAAGGGTATTCGTCTACTGCATATTCTACGGTGTTCAGAACATCCCAGCAAACGGCAACTGCTGGAATTTCGGGAAGCGCAAGAAGTAGTCTGCGATCAACATCTACCAGTTCTTCAACATCTTCATCATCTCGCTCTCTGGCGAATAGTTCTAAATTACTCCCAGTAACCTTTTTGATGTTAGCCTTGGTTGGAACAATATCCATTTTTACCGTGTTGTAATAGATATTGATAGAAACGTAAAAACGAAAAAAAAAAGAATATACACATATGAACGAAAGGAATCTTTCAAATTGTAGAATGTATCTAAAATCTTAGCATTTATCATGTAACCTTCTATCAAGTTGAACAGATTATGAACACTTTTTGTCTTTATTGTTGTTTATTATCATTACATCATATTTTTCGACTAACAATATGAATTATTCAAAAATATTAAAAATAAAGAGATGACCATTGGATATGTAAATGATACAGATTTTGAGCAATGAACTAAGATTTTAAATACCCCCTATCCTATTGATCATTTATTATTTTTTTTAAAAAAGCTACGTAAATGTTGTTCTTAAGATTATGGTTGCAAAAAGTAGACACATCCAAACACCCACTTTGATGTTACAAAAAGTTACCAGAAAAAAAAAAAGTCTAGAACGACAAATATCATGCTAATTAATGACACGATTATCTGAGTTCATGATTATTGCTTTAATTCCATAAAGAGATAGATAGAAAGGAGTGCTTGGGGTAATGAGACCATTAGCAAGCTAAACAGATGGTATACTAGAAGTTGCATTATTTTTATTGGACTTATTTACTCTGACCTTTGATCTTATATTCAGAATTGTATAAACCTGATCTTACTACAAATCTTACTACTCATACTTACTACAAACTAACTTCTTTAGTTAGCCTACACACACACAGTATAAACTTTTTTTCAAACGTCCATAACTTCCTCATATCCGAAGTCTCCGTAAAATATTGTTTGTTTTCTTTTCCGCACGGCTTTTTTTCTTTTTCTATTCAATACTTTTTTTTGGGATCATTGATTTTCATGCCTGCATCATCATGAATTCTCGCACCCGAAGTCGGCTCCGGAACCTAAAAAGCCAATTGTACTAAGTCAATTGAAATCTGGAGAAATCGGAGTATTTCGATGCCGAGACCGAGGAATACGGGGAATAACCACATGATAGTTTACAAAATAGTAAAAATTATCTCAACATTATTAGTTTCCTAGAAGTAATTATTGGTAACATTAGATTCAAAACTACTCTTCCTAACTTTTCACACCCTCTCATAATCATTAAAATATCTGTAGCAATAAAAAATTCCTATTATTCTTAAATTATCACCCCTTGTTCAATAATATGAATTATATTTTTCCTTAGCTTTCTCCATATTAAAATTGAAAACGCATCGTCCTGCATATCGTCGATTTGAAATTTCGCACTTTTGATTGGCCACAGAACTTTTTGCTAATGTTATAAAGTGGACGACCGATCCCGTTTTCCCCAAATCCGCATTTGATTTTTTCTAGTTAGTATCTACAATCACTAACAATGCTTTCCGCTAGATCCATTGCTAGAACCTCCCGTCGTAGCCTTGCCACGGCCGGTTTGACCAGAGACTCCCAGGTCAACCAAAATCTTCTCGAAACCCACTCCTTCATTCAATACAAGAAGCACTTGGAGAATGTTGAAATCGTTAAGAACAGATTAAACAGACCATTGACTTACGCTGAAAAGCTTTTGTACGGTCACTTGGATGACCCACACAACCAAGACATCGAAAGAGGTGTCTCTTACTTGAAGTTGAGACCAGACAGAGTCGCTTGTCAAGATGCCACCGCTCAAATGGCCATTTTGCAATTCATGTCTGCTGGTATGGATGCTGTTGCCACTCCATCTACCGTCCACTGTGACCATTTGATTCAAGCTCAAGTTGGTGGTCCAAAGGATCTTGCCAGAGCCATTGACTTGAACAAGGAAGTTTACGACTTTTTGTCTTCTGCTTGTGCCAAGTACAACTTAGGTTTCTGGAAGCCAGGTTCCGGTATTATCCATCAAATCGTCTTGGAAAACTACGCTTTCCCAGGTGCTTTGTTGATTGGTACTGACTCCCACACTCCAAACGCTGGTGGTTTGGGTCAATTAGCCATCGGTGTCGGTGGTGCTGATGCCGTCGATGTTATGGCTAACCTTGCTTGGGAATTGAAGGCCCCAAAGATTATCGGTGTTGAATTGACCGGTAAGATGTCTGGTTGGACTTCTCCAAAGGATATTATCCTTAAGCTTGCTGGTATCACTACCGTTAAGGGTGGTACCGGTGCCATTGTTGAATACTTTGGTTCTGGTGTTGAAACCTTCTCTTGTACCGGTATGGGTACCATCTGTAACATGGGTGCCGAAATTGGTGCTACTACTTCTGTTTTCCCATTCAACAAGTCTATGGTTGACTACTTGGATGCCACTGGAAGATCCAAGATTGCCGAATTCGCCGGTTTGTACAAGAAGGACTTCTTGTCTGCTGATGAAGGTTGTGAATACGATCAAGTCATCAAGATTGACTTGAACACTTTGGAACCACACGTTAACGGTCCATTCACCCCAGATTTGGCTACTCCAATCTCCAAGATGAAGGAAGTTGCCAAGGAACACGGATGGCCAATGGAAGTTAAGGTTGGTTTGATCGGTTCTTGTACCAACTCTTCTTACGAAGACATGACCAGAGCTGCTTCCATTATTAAGGATGCTGCTTCCCACGGTTTGAAGTCTAAGTCTATCTACACCGTCTCCCCAGGTTCTGAACAAGTTAGAGCCACCATTGCCAGAGATGGTCAATTGAAGACTTTCGAAGACTTCGGTGGTGTTGTCATGGCTAACGCCTGTGGTCCATGTATCGGTCAATGGGACAGACAAGACATCAAGAAGGGTGACAAGAACACTATTGTCTCTTCTTTCAACAGAAACTTTACCTCCAGAAACGATGGTAACCCAGCTACCCATGCTTTCGTTGCCTCTCCAGAAATCACCACTGCTTTCGCTATCTCTGGTGACTTGGGTTTCAACCCAATCACCGACACCTTGAAGGATGCCGAAGGTAAGGAATTCATGTTGAAGGAACCACATGGTGTTGGTTTGCCAGTTAACGGTTACGATGCTGGTGAAAACACTTACCAAGCTCCACCAGCTGACAGATCCACTGTTTCCGTTCAAATTGCCCCAACTTCCGACAGATTGCAAAAGTTGACTCCATTCAAGGCTTGGAATGGTAAGGATGCTGAAAGATTACCAATCTTGATTAAGGCTGTTGGTAAGACTACCACCGATCATATCTCTATGGCCGGTCCATGGTTGAAGTACCGTGGTCACTTGCAAAACATCTCCAACAACTACATGATTGGTGCTACTAACGCTGAAAACGGTGAAGTTAACAACGTCAAGAACCACTACACTGGTGTTTACAAGGGTATCCCAGAAACTGCTGCTGACTACCGTGACGCTGGTCACACTTGGGTTGTCATTGGTGACGAAAACTTCGGTGAAGGTTCTTCCAGAGAACACGCTGCTTTGGAACCAAGATACTTGGGTGGTTTCGCCATCATTACCAAGTCTTTCGCTCGTATCCACGAAACTAACTTGAAGAAGCAAGGTTTGTTGCCATTGAACTTCGTTAACACTGCTGACTACGACAAGATCCAACCAGAAGATGAAGTTGACATTGTTGGTTTGACCACCTTGACTCCAGGTAAGAACTTGGTCTTGAGAGTTCACCCTAAGGATGGTGAAACTTGGGAAACCGAATTGTCTCACACCTACAACAAGGAACAAATCGAATGGTTCAAGTACGGTTCTGCTTTGAACAAGATGGCTGCTAGTGCTAAATAAATCTATTGATTTAAGCCCCTTTGTTCATGTATTTATTTAACCGTCATCAATTCAATAGGAATACATTTAATGTTATTGAGTAATTTTTAAAAGAAGTATCCTGTAGTTTATAGTATATTAAAGAGTATATTAATTGTCAGATTATATTCGTCGCTTTCCCACGTACAATAAAAAAGAATAAAAGTTCATTCACGACTTTCGCAATATGAATATCGTCAAATTTTTGAGCTCACCAATTAACGTAGTGTTTCACATTGAAAAAAAAAAGTTGAATGGGTTACTGAATTTATTCCCAATACAACTTAATAAGTAGTCCATGTACCAGTGAAACAATGAGGGTTAGAACCAAACAACGGCCCACTGAACGCCTTTTTGGACTGCCAAAGGTCAAAAATTATTTCGAATACTCAAAGAGAACATATCACTACACTAATTTCGCGAAAATTAGGGTATTAAGGATCAAAACCACTGCAAATTGTCTGTAATAACTCTCTAATGATACTGAAAGTACGTATAAGAAACACCCCGTAGTATTTAGCTTAATTTTGCCGTTTTCCCACAGTTTTGAGCGTCATAATCACTTAAATTTTGAAAAATTCAATAACAAGAAAAAGACTTCGTGGCCAAGCTGGTTAAGGCGTAAGACTGTTAATCTTGAGATCGTGAGTTCGACCCTCACCGAGGTCGTCTTTTCTTTTTTTTTGCATATTTTTATGTATAGTATCTAAGGCTATAGCAAACCATTTTTTGACCCTTTGGCCTATATGACCAACTTCTAGCCTACGAAACTTACTACTATTTCTTCAAATGATTCATATAATATCAAAAAACACTATATACATAAAGGAATGCTACGAAGGGTATTTTTCAAAAGCATTGCCACCGAGAACATCCTTACTTAAATATACTCATATCAACATAGAACTGACGCCGTAACAGCCTACTTTGAGCTAACCCGAGCATTCCGATTTAAGGTGTTTGTAGTTGTAGGTGAAATGATCCTGTCTATACATTATTGTTGGTCCAAAAAAATCCATTGATCCATTAGATTTTCTTTTTCAAAGGTTCAACGACAACTTTTTCGAAGGTGTACATCTGGGAGATGGTAGATTGTCTATGTAACATAGCCAAGTTGTTGATACCTTCATTATAGAAGTTCTTGACTGCTTCTTCATCCTTGAGGTTCTTGTTGGCCTTGAAAGAATCAACAACCTTACGCTTAGCAAACTCTCTGAAGTTGTAGTTGTCGAACTTGTTGGCCTTTCCCAACAACTGTTTGTAAAGACCCAAGATTTGTTTGGATGTAGTTGACATTATGCTATAATTGATGAGTGATAAAATGTGGTTGATAGTTGAAGATGTCACTGAATACACAGTGCGAATTTGTCAGAAATTTTGAAATCCATATTGAAAGGTCGTGTACGAAATGTAAATTAGAGATTACATAATGATAGAGATAAGCACTATTGAGTATACTTAATGATTACTATATATATATATATATATATAAGCACCTACTTCTTCAAGCCGACTATCTGAATAAACAAATTGCCAAAAAAAAAAAAAATTAGTCATTAATGTCCAATTGCATATATAAAATAAATAATTACTATTTGGCGGCTTCTCTATCTTCTTGTTCTGCAACTTTTCTTAACAATTCTTCAATTTCCTTTTCACTGATAACCTTCTCATTTGATGATGCTGCTGCTGCCTTTTTCTTACTCTTTCTAGATTTCTTAGCATTTGCTTCAGCCATCATTTCTTCAAATATTCTGGCTTCTTCATCTTCTTCTGGTGATCTTTCAACTTGTTGCATAGTTTCACCCAAGTACTTGATAGCTTGAGATCTTGCCAATCTTTCCTTTTTATTTAACAGTTTATCATTTAATATTTTATCACAAACTTTATTAAGAACACCGGTAACTTCAAATTTGGTAGATGCCCATGCAGTTGCCAAGAACTTCCCAGTAATCAATCTTTCCATTTCTGCTTGTCTTGCACGCTCTTCCACGGTTAATTCTACTCCTGCAGCTGCTTGTGCTTCTAATACTTCTTGTTCACGAACCATTTCTTCCACCATTGCTTGTGCTCCAAGTGCAGTCTTCAAAATAGAATATCCATTTTTAATAGTGGTAGATTTGGATTTAACTGATGAAAATACTTTAGAAACTCCAAATGTCTTACATGAATTGATTGTAGCATGTGCTTGATCAACATAAATTTTACCAATTAAATGTAAAAGTTCAATACCAAAACTTTCAATTTTCAAGTCTTCTAATTCTTGTGAAAGATTTCTATTAAATTGTGCAAATGCCTCCTTATTTTTTACAGTTGATTCATATTTTTCAACTTTTGAAAGAAGTGTAGTTGCAAGAGTATTAATTCTTTCTTGTTTAATTCTTTTATTTTCTTCATGAAGCTTTAAAATTTCTTCACGTTGTTGCAGAGACATTTTCTTTGTCTTCTTTTTAGCTTCAGCCATATCAGAACGGAAATCATTTTGAGTAACTTCACCATTTTCATTTTTTTTCTCACTAGTAATAATTTCAGAATTGGTGGCGGCGGTATCCGTAGGCTTTGTTTCACCATCAACTTCTCCTGTAGTGGCAGCCACAGGATCTACCTCTGATTCATCCCCCAAGATATCTGCGGTTTTAGATACTTCATTTAACATACTCAACTCTCCAATCCAATCTTTGAATGCTTCTCCACCAAAGATTTGTGCAAAAAATTCAGCAGGATCTACATTGGCAGCTTCTCCATTGGCATTTTCCTTTTTCATTCCTTCTACACCGACATCATCGTAGAAGGCTCTAGAGTCTGCATTTTGTAAAATTCCGTATGCTTCACCAAGTTCTTGGAACTTAGATGCAGCGTCTGGATCATTTGCATTCTTATCTGGATGAAGTTTAATTGCCTTTTTACGGTAAGCTTTCTTCAATTCTAAGTCTGTGGCGGTTGGTTCAACCCCAAGAATATCATAATAGATTGTATCTTTGACCATAGTTTTTTTATTGTTGTACAAGAGACTTTTCTTTTATTGTGGGTTTAAGCTTCGCCTCCCCTTGCTTGTACTTCCTTGTCGCTTAGAATTGGGTAGAAAAAAAAACTTACACAAAATGAAGGAAAATAAACATAGCACTATAAATAGTAGAGAAAAGACAACGTGGTTAAAAAAAACACTGCTAAAAAACAGTTTTTATATAAAAAGAAGAGTACTTGAACAGAGTTTAGTTGATATATATGCAATAATAATGTAATATACGAAATAGTATTGAAATGAAGGGGAAAAAAAAAATAAGATTTGAATTATTTTGGCTGCAAATCGGTTAAGACAACAGAAACTGAGGGGAAACATAAATAATATGATAAAAAGTGGTTAAAATAAATCAAGTAGAGAGGATTGGTCTGTTTATGTGGACGAAGACTTTTATCTGTTGACCAATCAACATAATAGGAATACTAGTCAAACTCTATTTAAATTGTATGAATCTTGGAAGAGAAAAGTGAGGAATGAGCGCCTCTTATACTGAATAACGGTACCAATTCCTTGCAATAATACAGAGGAGTCTAGTCACCAGAGATTTTCAGCATTACCTTGCAAGAGAGATGAGAACTGGTGGTGGTGGTCAATTTTTAGAACACCAGTTATACTTATATCCTTTGTGGATCAATTTTTCCACTTTTATCTTTAATTTTCACAACAAAAAGAGAAGGTGCTTGACTTCGTCTAACGATTTGTTTCAAATCTTAAATACCTAAAGTCTTAAACAGAATAGATTCTGTGTCTGGCGGTCCTGATTCTAGGGCATTTATAATTTCTATCTCAAATGGCATATATTGAATATTTAGAGAGATTTATTATTGATTATAGTGTGGATAACAAAAGTATAGCATTGAATCATCCATATGTTTACATTTTTTTCTCTAGCAGTCACTCTCCAGATGGAGGTTATTTTGCCCGTTGGACTGTACAAGTTGACTTTTTCATACATCTACTCTCGGTTTTATCTACAGCATTGGGCCAACTACGTATAAACAATGATACAAGGTTATCTCAAAGATAGAATACTGTATCATATTTATATATATAAACTTTATTATGCTAGTTCTATCATCTCCCTCTCGCTTATCTTCCACCCCCTACTGTTTGTTGGATGTGCTCTCTAAAAACCTCTACAAATAGTACAAGAATTGCCTATTGTTACCAAATGGTGAACTAGTCGACTCCATCAATTAACCAATATACTCTTAAATATACTAATTCATATTGTAGTAAACTCTCTCAATTTTTTGTGCCAACCATTTATGCTTTATTAGTAATCTAAAATTTTTTAACAATATGAATATTTGACTCTTGTATACGTTGGTTCTATACTACAATCTTACACATTAACCAACTCCTATATTAGTGTGATCATCTATTTTCATGCTAGATTTGTCATCTACCCCACTCAAATGGTGGAGTTATCAGGGGTTACAATTCATTTTTATTGTGCGGCTCCAAAAAGATTGCAATTTGAAGTCCGAGATGTCCGAATTCCGCTCCGAAGTTTTTTCTCTAGAATATATAATCAAGACTGATTGCCTAAAAGAACCTTAAAGTGAGAATTCATGCACACAAACCAAAAATGACAGCTACGGAGTACCCAAATACATCTCCGGATCCGGGATCCGGGGTATCAACTCCAAATTCATTAGAGAAGAAGGCACTTGCTGAACAACTTGGCGATGTCCACATGAATATTCTTCCTCCAAAGAAATTAATCATTTGTTTGGCTGCCATGTCCTTAGGACTTTTCATCAGCTTTTCCGATCAAACCTCCATAACTGTGGCACTTCCAAATATTGCCTCTGATTTAAATGCTGAAACAACCATTAATTGGGCAGGTACATCTGCTCTCTTAGCAAACACAGTGTTCCAAGTCTTGTTTGGTAGGTTGTCAGACATCTTTGGTCGTAAAACTGTTCTTATGACATGTCTTGCTATTCTTGCAATTTCAGATTTAGCATGCGGATTTGCACAAACTGGAGTACAATTTTTCATCTTTAGAGCCTTTGCAGGTATTGGCAATGGAGGTATTCAATCTCTCACCATGGTGATTATGAGTGATATTGTTACATTAAAACAGAGAGGGAAATATCAAGGAATTTTAGGGGCCCAAGTTGGATTAGGGAATGCTATTGGACCATTTATTATGGCGGGGTTCATTAAACATTCCAAATGGAGAAATTTTTATTATATGATGACTCCATTGGTTTGTCTTGTAGCAATCACCATCTTCATTTTGGTTAAGAATGATAGTACTAAAAATAATTTAGATAATGTTTTATCAAATCGGGAGAAATTTAAAAATATTGATTATTTTGGATTAATCTTCCTGTCAGCTGCATTGACACTTTTATTGATTCCAATCAGTGGAGGTGGATCCACATATGCATGGAATAGCACCATTGTTATTGTGATGTTTATAATTGGTACCTTGTGTCTTTGTGGATTCCTTTTCATCGAATGGAAAGTTTCTAGATTACCAATGATCCCACTTCGTCTTTTCAAACATTTACTGTTGTCACAAGTCTTATTATCCAATTTCCTCTTTGGAATGGCTTATTATGGATTCCTTTATTATATGCCATATTATTTCCAAATTGTTAGAAATTTGGATGTTATTGTATCAACAGTATTTCTTTTACCCTTAGTTTTGATGCAATCCATTATTTCTATTGTTTCAGGGCAAGTGATTTCATATACGGGACATTATTTACCAACCATTATTTGTGGGTACGTCTTGTGGACTTTAAGTTGTGGTCTTTTACTTTTGTGGGATACAAATACAAACTATGGGGCCATTGCGGTAATTTTATTTATTATGGGATGTGGAGTTGGATGTACATTCCAACCAACAATGATTGCAGCACAAGCGCAGGCGCGGAGAAGTGAAAGAGCAGTTGTGATTTCTACTCGTAATGTGATTCGTTCCTTTGGTGGGGCAGTAGGGGTAGCAATGGGGTCTTTAATCGTTAGTAATTCACTTTTAAAGGAAATCACCAAAGCTGAAGCTTCCCCACAAGATTATGGGAATATTCCACAGAGCTATTTACTTTATTTTAAAGCTCATTTATATAATCGGATTGAAATGACAGGAATCTCCGAGACTCAAGCTCATTTCATTAGAAAGATGTATATGAAATCAATCCGTGATTTCTTTTATTTGACCATCCCATTGATTGGTATTTGCTTGGTATCGACATTGGTTGTCAAAGACACCGGGTTACAATGTATTGATGAGAAGAGACCAGAATTAGAAGAAAAGAAGAAGTAATAAATATATGAATTTCTATATAGATATATAATGAATAATACTTCAAATTAAATTACTATTTTTATTTTAATATTTATCTATTAATTATTCATATATTTATGGAAAATATCATTCATATCAATCCCATTACCCTTTAAAAGATCATCTACTTGATTAAGCCCGCCAGATACAAAATCTTTAACTTGATCTGGATCAAAAGAATCTCGAATGTGTTCAAAGGCTTCTTCATTTACTTCAAATCCATATTGATTATCACCTAAATTTACTTTAAAATGCCCAGTTTTTGGTCCCATAAAGTTGAAAATGTCTGAGATTCCAAATGGGATTCTAAACCCACCATTATTATAAGCGGAATAACCCCATCTCATGGCTGAGTCAAGGAAATCAGATGGATCCAGTGCAAAATCATGGAATGCATCACTAGTAAATTTATATTTCTGTTCAAAGAGGTACAGTGTCCAGAAGGGGATATCTTGTAAGAAGAAACGAGCACCACGAAGGTATAATATAAAACAAAAAATCACCAACCCAATAAACATCGAAACTTTTACAAGATATTTGAAGAAATTGATCCACATTCGAATAACTCTTAACAGTAATCGATACATCAAATATATCCCAATGAGGACAAAACAATATCTTGTTGCATTTGGATAGTATGTTTGTGCCAAATCCACCAATACCAAGACGTTTTTTAGTATGAGAATAATAAATGAAACCCCATATGCAAGCACTGTCAATATAGTCTGTAATGTATCCATTTAAAATAAAGTGTTAATAATGGGTATGTTTCACTTGAAAAATAATATTTGAATACGTATATAAAAACTATTTTCAGATATCTTTGTGGAGAGAACCATGCGCCACTACTGTACATACAATATATATATATATATGGACTGTATACATTGTGAGGGAGTGCACACAAAACACCACAAAATCAAATTTAGATCATTTTCAAATTTAGGCAACCAAAATTGTAAAACAGAAAGACAAAGTACACGAATTGTCATTATATAAAACATCTACATACATATAATATTGATGACCTTTTTAAGAGAAAAACATATCCAATATGTCAAGGATCTTGATTCCAAATATACAAAGGAAACACTTGAGTATTGGTTATCTGAGCATCTTAGAATGAATGGACTTTATTGGGGTGTCACAGCATTATCAACCATGGGAGTTTTAGAAGAAACTCTCCCAAAAGATGAAGTATGTGCATTTGTAGATTCATGTTGGGACTCAGAATATGGAGGGTTTGGTGCTTATCCCGGACACGACGCACATTTATTATCAACCCTTTCTGCCATCCAAATTTATTCCATTTATGGTGAAATAGATGCATTGAAGGCATCTAAAGGTCCACAACTTGTAAAATTCTTGAGAGGACTTCAAATACTTCCAACTGGTTCATTCCAAGGTGATCGGTTTGGTGAAGTGGATACCCGGTTCGTATATGCAGCACTTTCCGGGTTATCAATATTAGGACAATTAACCCAAGAAGTGGTAAATCCTGCAGTATCATTCATTCTTAAATGTCAAAATTTCGATGGAGGGTTTGGAATGGTTCCTGGAGGTGAAAGTCATGCTGCTCAAGTATTTACATGTTTGGGTGCGTTGGCAATTGCAGATGCATTGCCCCAATTATCAAAAGATCGTAAGGATCAATTATGTTCATGGTTAAGTGAAAGACAAGTATTACCACTGGGAGGTCTTAATGGTAGACCGGAAAAACTCCCAGATGTATGTTATAGTTGGTGGGTAGTATCCCTGTTGGCAATTTTAGGTAAATTACATTGGATTGATGCAATTAAATTAAAACAATTCATCTTACAGTGCCAAGATATTGATGCAGGAGGATTCAGTGATAGACCAGACAACCAAACTGATGTATATCATACATGTTTTGGAATTACTGGGCTTAGTTTATTATCTAGTGTCTTACCATCAACTCACCATGAAGAAGAACACCGATTTGTGGCTATAGACCCTGTGTATTGTATGCCGACTGCATGCACGGCTAAATTCAAGCCATACAAGTTTAATCTGGATCAATTATAATAATAATATTAATAATAATATATAGGGGCAGGATTTTGTAGCATATGTAATGTTATGCAATTGAGGTTAATGTCTTCTAAACGCGACCTTTGTGTCAAATATCTACGCAGGCACTTTTGAGAAAGTAGTTTGTGTAATTCATATGGATGGCGGTAGAACCCTTCAACGGATATTTGACATGACGGGTCGATATTAACACATTTACAATTCCGAATCAAAGACTGCTGTCGTACCACCCTCGGTATCGTTCCCAGTTTGTTGCAGATTCCCGCATATGCTAAAGTTGCGCCGCGTGATTCCGGGAGAGGATATATGACTGCAGTTTGCACAAAATACTGTATGCGGCTCACCTGGACACTCCCACATTTTGAGATTGTGTCCCAATACCAAAATTTAGAACAACTAACACATATGAACTAAAACAGCAATAAGACCGAAACTAAGTTTCGTCATTAGTTAGATGGGTTTCACTAGTTAAAGAAAATTTCAATTGTGAAACTAGTTTTGTTATTGAAAGCGGAGGATGGAATTGTAATGCCGTATTACAACAAACACCCCATTCTGAAGGGCTCGTAGCTTTCATCTACGAAGAACAAAATGATATTGGTAATCTACATTCAAGTAGAAGCCACCTTACTTATTCTTGTTAAACATAAACAAATTCTTGAAATGTAACATGAGGCAAATTTATTTTTTGTTTTTTGTGCCTAACCGTAATTGGTAGTTGGTTCCATTTCAGGTGTTCAATTCGTCGTCGTCGTCCATTGTGTTTTCGTGCCTTTTCAAGTATCTATTTTTATGTACTGTGTGAAAATATTTTTTATCTCAATTTCGATGAAATGAGGCGCTGCATTTAAATCTTTAATTTTCTCCTAAAAAGTTTAGTCAGGGGTTACTGTGGATCAATAGAAAAAGGACTTACGAGAGCACGGGAAAAGGGGATGAGATCAACTAGTTCCAAAATATTGTCGTACTCTGTTTTGAATGTTCCCTGTGTACTCTCTTTTAGATAAGTATGATGTTTCCTTGAGATTATCAGCCCTTACCCCTACAATTATTTTTTACTTAGTATTAAGATTACCGAGATGCATTTAATCGGCAGGCATGCGCGGAAATTCGCGGCTTCTTTACGTGGTACTTACACTTTTTTGTTTTTTTTTTACAATCCACCATATGCGTCGCTAAGTGGATGGTTACGTATAGAAAGAAATCCGCGGGCTAAAGTTGCCCGGGTCTTGCCCTAGTCAGACAGGAACACCGATCTCTTACCGTCTTTCCCCCTCCCCTTTAAATGCAGGAAAAAATAAAATAAAAATAACAATCGATATCCTGAGAATGATAAAAATTCCTTTCCTTCTAGGGGATTAATTAATAAATTGTAAAAAAAAATTTAAACTTTTTTTTTTTAAATGAAAAGAAAAAAAATAAAAAAAAAAAATCACACTTGAAGGAAAAACATACGTTTAAGAATACAAAACGATTAGTCAGTTTATTGTTGGGAGTACTATTAAACTAATTAGATAATACGTGGCGACCTTAACTATATGTATACTTTCGTAATGCCGTACCGGACCGTATCAAACGTAAACAAGCAGGTCTTCGTAGAAATCAGTACGAATAGTGATGCGTTTTTCGTGACGCAGCTGCATAAAGCCCCGGCATTTTTATTAAGCGGCCTTTCGTTTTATTTTCCCTCTCACAAATTTCTGTTCGTGTTACTTTCTTCCCCCCCACCCCTTATTGAACAGCAAAGTGGGAACTTTGAAAAGCAGGAGAGCACTTCAATACAGGTTAATTCTAGCGTGAAACAACTCGATGACCATTGGTTGGTGTACGTTCTTGTATGAAACTTCGTTCGGGTAAATACATTTATAGTCAACAGCAGCAATCGCAGAACTTCATATCTATTTTTATCCTCTCTCAACTTTCTGTCCAGTAGACCATCTTTCAGAACATTTTCCTGGATCGCTTCGACCTTCATGAACTTTCGTAGAATGTGAAATTAGAGCCCCACACAACAAATGTTGGCAGCCAAAGGAGAAAAATAACTAAAGTGGAATAATATTACAAGGTGGAATAACTTCAAGCATGAGCCTGCCCCAACCAGCTGTAGTGTAAAACACCAGGCTAGTTTCCGCCCAAAGTGTTTCTATAAGTTGTATGGGAAGACTCTCTTATACAAAAGTGTAATCTGAATCTATTTTATTTTCTAACCTTGCGGGATAGGTGTATAGAAAATTTTTTTTAACTCAATTAAGGAGAAAGTTAATGGAATGTGGTTTCAGTTTCGGGGAAGATGGCGTGGTATTTTCTGCACTGGAACTAAGTTCAAGAGATTTTGAGTCAATATTCAGCTCATTAGATTTGTGTTTTAGAATAATCTCTTTGTTATCTGGATTTTCTAATTTGATTTCTTGTGTAGTAGTGGTAGTGTCCATTGTAGTATCAACTTCGTCTTCTCGTATTGTACTGGTGGTTGCACCACTGACTAGTCTCCTCCAACGGAACTGACACGCGTTGGGGGTTCTATCTTCAAAATACGAAGACATTTCTCGCCAACCCAATTTTTGAACTTCTTTCAATTCTCGTAAAAGTCTATCCTCTTTTGAAGTCCAAATGGTTGAATGTTTGGACTTTTTACGTGGTCTGAAAGTTTGTTTGGGTTGGGTGTAGTATAGACTGTTCAGATAGACCATCCCATCGTATTGTCCAGACGGTGACAGGGATGGCAGAGTGTAGTAATAATGAGGCGCTGGGTGGATGTAGTACTGGTAGGGCTGGTTATTTATGAGACCAAGATTGGATCCTGGAGCACCAGGTGGTCCAAGAGTAGGATTGGGAATACCGGGAGGTCCAAGGCTCGGAGTGTGATGTGTGAGTTGTTGTTGTTGTTGCTGTTGTTGTTGTTGTTGTTGTTGTTGTTGTTGTTGTTGTTGTTGTTGTTGTTGTTGTTGTTGTTGTTGTTGTTGTTGTTGTTGTTGTTGTTGTTGTTGTTGTTGTTGTTGTTGTTGTTGTTGTTGTTGTTGTTGTTGTTGTTGTTGTTGTTGTTGTTGTTGTTGTTGTTGTTGTTGTTGTTGTTGTTGTTGTTGTTGTTGTTGTTGTTGTTGTTGTTGTTGTTGTTGTTGTTGTTGTTGTTGTTGTTGTTGTTGTTGAGGATGATGATGTTGTTGTTGATGATGTTGTTGTTGAAATCCTTGAGGAATACCTTGATTAAACGCTTGTATATGATGAGGATTTGAAGCAAGTCTTTGGGTTCTGGGCTCTCCGGGATACCCAACACCCAAGCCTTTATCAACTTGTCCAGGAATATTATTAGCCACTTGCGAAGGAGTTGGGTCTAACCCATAAGACTGGTACCCAAGAGGGACCCCAGAATGTAATCCAGTGTGTTGATGGGGTTGATGGTCTCGATATGGATGCAGGTACTGTTGGCCAGACAGAACAGATGAAGGTGACGAGAGTGGAGCCGGTTGAGAAGGAGGTGGAGGTGGCGGCGGAGGGCCATGAAGTAGATGTTGTTGACCCGCCGTATATGAGGAAGACGATACTGGAGGAGGGGGAGGAACTGTCACAAGAGCCAGGCTCGGCGGAGCCTGGTTCAAGTAGTTATTGGACTCATTCTCTCGTTTATATGATCCTGATGTTGGGAAGTTAAGATTCATACTCAGAACTGCAATGGACATCAATGCGGTGGGGTTTTTGATTGTAGGAGGCACCCAGTACGAGCCAAAGTAAATTGGTATACGGAAGTGGGGGTGGTGGAAGTAGGGTACAAACGGTCACAGTCGCTAACAGATCTCAGAAGAAAAGTAAAAGAAGAATGGAGATGGGATAATAATTCCCTTGATAGTTACAGTAAAAAGTAGAAATACAGAGTTGAATCATAGCGATAATTTGCATAATTAAATAAAAAAAAAAAAGAGATTCACTTCAGACTAGATGTGGGACGCTGCAGCCGGCAAGAGGAAGATCTGGCACAAATATGCAAGGAAAGAGAATGCAAACTGTGAGGGAACACGCGCAGGAGCGCACGAGAGCGCGCACAAAGGAGAGCGCCCCGCGAAACGTCAGCAATGATGGAACGAAGAAATCTGTAGTCATGTGGGGTCATCATTATTTTTTTTGCTCTTTTTCTGTTTTCCGAGTGGAGAGCACATGACAGACAAAACTATGCAATGAGTTTCTGGGCTTAGATTTTGTATCCTGGCACTAGAGAATTATTCAAAAGTAGTAATAAAAGCTACGAAAAGGTATAGGGTCAAAAAACAAAAAAAGGCAAAAAGCAAAAAGCAAAACGCAAATAGCAAGAAGTAAAAGATGTAAAAATAAAAAAAAAAATAAAAAAGAACAATAGACATTTAATAATGGAAAGTACTATTATAATAAAAATTCATCAACTAAAAATTCTCGGGTATCTTAATCATGAGATTCTCCAGGCATAAATCTGCAAATTTCCACTAAAATATTTTGGATAATATACTTCAGCAAGCAGGAGTAATGCATGTGAGTCGAATCCTGTTGGCCAGCGGAGCCAATGGTTTAGATGCCGCATGGTCCTTGCATATGCTGGGAGGCAAATCAAGAAAAATAAATCATTATATATCTCTAATCATGCGAAACATCAACACCAGAGAGGGTCGACATGGAAGATTTGCAACTTGAGGTACGATGGGTTAAATTTTGGGAGGCGTACAGGCGGCGGGTGTATCGATTCCTTTCACCTAATTTTGACTTCTATTCCAGAATGCAGTGGAGGGGGTTTTTATTTTGGGCAAGGTGGAATTTCACATTGATGAAACTCGGATATGTTTCGTATATTGTATAGATTAGATTTCCCCTCTCTGCAACTTTCTACGTATTCTTTAAAGTTCTGTACGTGCGAGGAATATATTCCGCTATTAAGATTTATCAGTGCGTGATCAATGATGTATTCCGTGCGACTAATTGAGTAAGTGATGTTTCGCTGTCATCTTCTCTCTCATACTACACCGAGATGAATCTTTTTTTTTTTTTTTTGTAAGTTTTTTTTTTTTATTATTTATTTTTTGTCTTTTCTGTATATTATTTTCTATGTACTTTTGATTTCCAAGTTTATTTTTGATTTTTCTTTTTAATTCGTACATGCCTCACTAAAACAATATGCATTCTTGCATAGCCCGGACATATGTATTGCAATTTGCACATTAACGCACTTGGGTAACTGGCATATCTCTTTGTGCTACATAAACCATCTTATTTACACATTCTTCTAATTGTGGAACTGCACAAACTATATTGCATATCTAATAAAGTCTAAATCCAGTCAAAGTTACTCAAAAAGAAAAAAATAAGACAACTGACGCACAGACTAAAAGCCCTTTGGCATGATACTTTATCATAGATATAGTTTGATGTGCATCAGTGGAATATTGCCCGAGCTCTTTGTCTGCGACACTTACTGCAGGGTACATTACCAGGCGTATTCTTGAGTTTCCTCGCTTCACCTCGGTAAGGAATTGAGAGAGGCGGATTTTTCTTCTGTTGTATTTACTACCTGACGCGGGGAATAATCACTTGATAATTTTTTTTACAATATATAAATATTTTCTACATTGAACCCAACATTTATTATATCATGATGAAATTATCATGTTAGGTAATGATAAAAGTTTATAGTGAGCTTTATATATATATATATATATAAAATTATTTTATTGCCAAGATAACGAGATTTACTTTTAACCACCCCATGACCCATATTTGGTGGCCCAATCTTCATGTTGTTTAAGTCCTTCAGTCAGTACACTTGGTCGAATGTATTGTAAAGATGCTACAAAATCGGCAAGACTTACTGGCCGAATTTGATCTCTAGGAGTGTTTAAAATCATATCCCCTAAACTTCTTAATGGCCCCATTGCTGCATCTTTAGCCAATGCAGTAATATCAGATCCAGAAAATCCAATTGTAAGTTTAACTAATTCTTCAAAATCCAGTTCCAGCAATGTATGCTTTTGATGATCTAATAAATGTCTAAGATGAACCCTTCTAGTTTCCGCTTCTGGTAATGGGATATACTGTCTTCGTACAAATCTACGTCTAGCAGCTTCATCAATTGCCCATGGAACATTGGTTGCTCCCAAGATAAGTACCCTTGTTACATCACCATCAGAATTTGTATCTCTACCAGCAGCAGCACTAGAAAGTTCCGACCATTGAATAAGAAATTCATTTTTAATTCTTCTAGAACTTTCAACTTCTCCCTCTGTTCTAGTACTAAGTAAAGAATCAATTTCATCAACAAATACAATTGATGGTGAAAGTTTCCTAGCAAGTAAAAATAATGCCTTTACTAATTTTTCTGATTCACCCAAATATTTAGACGTTAACAGTGAAGCACTAATGGCGAAAAATGTAGATTTTGATTCTGTCGCGACAGCCCTAGCAAGCATAGTCTTACCAGTTCCTGGGGGGCCAAATAATAATAACCCTCTAGCTGGTTCTCTTAACCCAGAAAAAAGATCTGGACGTAAAAATGGATAAACTACCGCTTCTTTCAATGAATTCTTGGCACTTTCAAGTCCTGCAATGTCATTCCAATGAACTTCATCTCCATGTACAACAATATCATTTAAGATTTGCTTTGCAGCGGTTTCATCAATCCCACGGATTGACAGAATAAGTTCATCTTCTTGTTCTGAAGTTAATACATTCTCATCAACAAGATCAACTTGTTGATCACCATTAATAATGGCATCTTCATCTTTATCATCATACCCACCCAAGATATCATCCATAGTTGGTGAATGGATTTCTGGAGGTGAATTGATTACATTGGAAGTCTTTTTAATCGGTTTCAAAGTATTTGTTGGTTTAATTGTAGGGCCAGTAGGTCCCTTGGATTTTGTAGTTGCAACTGAAGGCTTTGTAGTAGCTGGTTTCTTTACATAAATCTTTGGAATAGTTGTGGTCTTGTATGCAGTTGTATGAGTATTGTTGTTTGTCAGATTATTTACTGAATTACTTGATGTTGGTGGAGATTTAACCTTTGGAATTGATTTAGAGGCTGAAGCTGCATTTGCATTTGCATTCCGTTTAGCTTGAGCTCTCATCATTTCATTCACATTAAAAGGTTTAGGCTTTGTGTAGGAATATTTAGCAGTGCTAGTAGTACGAACATCTGGAGTACTCTTTGAACCTTGAGCAAGTCTTTGTGGTTGCTTTACCGGACTACTAGCTCTAGGTTCATTTGATGGTCGACTTTGTTCAGAAGATCTCTTTCTTGGAGGTGGGGGAGCAGGAGCTTTCAACCTTAAATCATCCATTGAATGAGTTCCATTACTTAATCCAAGTCCTTGAAGATCATTGGATAAATCAATTAATGGAGGTGGAGAGTCAGATGTTCTTTCCCATTGATCAAAGTCAGCAAATTGATCGATTGATGGATCGGTTGAAGATGAATAATACTGTTGTGATGGTATCGATTGGCTCGGTCCACCATTCCCATTAGGAGTTCTCCAAGAAGCACTAGCTGCCTTGGATGCATTTTCAAAAGATTGCTTACTATTATTACTAGGAACTCCTGGTCTTAAACTTTTCAACATTTGACGAGGTTGAGAAGCAGAACTTAATGATCTTGAAGATGGAGCATTTTTATTATTTCTTAATGAAGGCACTGACATTGAAGATGATGAGTTATTGGTATTGTTTGATCTTTGAATGGACGGCCTAAGATTCGCATTTGAACTTCTTCTATCAAGCTCATCCAATCTCATTTGAACTCTAATTAAATGTTTAATGTTTTGATCTCTTAAAGCTTTCAATTCTTGAAATGTATCTAAACTTTCTTGATCAAATTTGGGAGCTTGCTTTTCAAAAGTATCAATTTTATATAACAAGGAGGTATGAAGACTTTTCCAACCTTTGAGAGCCCCATCAAAGTTATTTTGTTCTTCAAGGTTAAGGTTTCTAAATGTGATATCACAACAATCATTATAAGTCAGGATCAACTCTTCTGATGGAGTTAATGGAGGTGGCTTTTTCCTTAGAAACATGTATAGCGAAGATAAATGAAGGACTCGTTAATAAAGAAGAAAATGAAGAAACACACGCTCTGATGTATAATGAATGGATTGGAACAATCGAGAGGATATGAATTGAAATTATTCGTGTATAGATTATATACACCCGTTTATTGGAATAAATTAGAATTAACCGTCTGATAGTTGTCTTTTGCGTGGATTTGATAAAGGTGGACTGGACATAGCCACCTGATTCGAGGTCATGTGACCTATTCACTTCCACAATATAGCAAATATAGAGAGATTATAGCAAATGAACTAATCAATCCATAATGAACGGAATTTTTGAATTATTTTACTTAATAGAATTTCAACTATGTCTTAGAAGTTATAGAGAAAATACAGAGAGAGTTCAGATTTTACATCAAGTTCCTAAATCTACAAAAAAGAAGTTTTCAAATCCTCCTCCATTTCTACGGTTTCATTTAAATTTTAACAAATAAAAATAAAACTGTCGTGACATAACGGGACACACTGTGGTTTCTAACCCCCCAGCATATTCTTTGTAGCCACTTTGATCTGACCGAATGTATGTCAACAGCAAACAATAGAAACGCATCACCCCAAGACCAACCCGATGCTGGACATCTCCCTAACTTAATAGGCAAGAATACACCGTGCTCTCCGAAGAGTACAATCTTAAAGATCAGCCCAACCAACTGAAACTGCCAAATTTCGTATTCGGAGTCAACTTTCAATAGGGAGAAAAAAAACTAAAACCATCAAAAGTGAGAATTTTTCAACTTCTTTTATACAAATTTTGTTTGTCCGGGTAAATTTATATATAAAAAAATGTTAATTACAGGGCAACACTTTAAGATTATGTAATATGTTGCAAATTTAATACACTTTTACTTTGAATAAGAGTAAAGTAAGAAATATTCTACTTATTCTATCAATATCTCCCTCTAGACTTCAAATTTTATTTATATTCTTATTAATCTAATTACTTTTCTTATCTATATATTTGTTTCATTTAAAAGTAAATCTCTTTGAAATTGCATTTCTTTGAACTTGGATGATATTCAACATAATTTAATCGTTTAGTTGTTCCAATTAATCTCCCAACATTTATCACTTTACATCCATTATACGTCACTTCGAATGGCCCAGAACTTGAATCACTCAAGATCAAAATCGATGGCAATGGTTCTAAGCGGAGAATATGATCATAATATGGTCTGATGACTCTCATGTCAAGTTTAAATGGTTGTAATTGACCTTGATCTAGAATTGTCTTTACAACTTTCCGAGCTTGTTTAACCTTTTCAGCTACATGAGGTCTTTCTAAAATCTCTTCAACTTCAAGTCTTGAACTACCCCTAGCATTCTCTTTCTTTAACAATTCTTCTTCAATTGAAATATCGGTTGGGAATATTATATCATTTCTTTTAAGTTTCTGAGTGATATCATCTCTCATAATTACGATTTCTTGTGATAAATAATTGATCCGAACGGGATTCCATCCACAAATAAGATGACCCTTTGGAAGAATTCTTGCAATTCTACTGGTAAATATAGGAGAAATAGGTTGTTGTGGCCAAACTTGAGTACTAGAGGAACCCAATGAAAATGTGGATTGCCATGGATCATTGGCACCTGGTATAAACACAAACTTAACCTTTGAAATAATGGTTGGGAATTTCCCAATTAAAGTTGCTAAGTCATCGAAATAATTCTTATATGATGCGGAAATTGGAATGTTGGTAGATGATGTATTTGTTGGAATAAGTGGCATAGATGTGAATGAACCTGAAAAGACTAGCGCTAATGGTAATTCATCTTCAGTTTCTTCATTTTCTTCAATAAGACTTTTCTCCATCTTAATGAAAAATGCCTTTAATCCTTGCATTGTTTTCATATTGTCCAAAAAGCAATCAGATCCCATAAAGATCAACTTGTGATGGGTCAATTGTCTTTCAAGATGTACAAGGTGTCTTTTGAGTTGTTTATCCACTCTCAAAATGTGATTGTTTGTATCCAAATGGTCACTTTCATGCACACCCATAAAATCTAGATTCCCATAATTTTCCATGCTAACATCTCTTTTCTCTGCTGGTGGATGGCCAATGTTACTTACATGGAAACACCCACCTACTACATTTGTGGCAGATGAAGAAGCTCCCCCAGTTGCTGAATAGATCCCCTCGGCAACTACAAACATTCCTGAACAATAATATGATCCTTCAGCTTTAAGTGCTTGAGATATATTCAATTCAATGATATCGGTAGAATCTTCCAAAGTATAATCACCATTTGAATTTTGTGACAATAATCCGAAAAGGATAAAACTTTGTCCATCTCTACCCAATAAGTTCTTGATAAGTGTGATCTCATGATGTAAATTTTTATGATGATTACCACGACTGAACGATGACATACTTGAAAAGGTTGGCTTTTGGAAATTTTCATTTCTTGAAAGACGATCGGAAATTAAATTATATCTAGATGCAAAATTATCAACTTTTGCATTTAAAGTTTCTCTCAAGTGTAAAAAGTGATGTTGTAAATTCGATGTAGTTGCTGGTTGTTGATCTCTAACCAAACTGAATTGCTTTCTAACCTTGTCAAACTGATATTTCGGTTGGTTATCGGCGCCAATAACTCTGAAGTAATCCTCCCATTGGAAAGTTGAGTTTGAATTGGATGTTGCAGGTGGTGGCGGTGTTGGGGTATCCACATCCATCCCATCAACGTCTACAATGGTATCTGTCCGAGTAGCCGCCTTAGGGGCAAATGAATCAATAGAAATATCCTTCAATGATTTGGATTTACTACCACCTATAGACGAAGAAATAGCTTCATTGATAACTTGTTTGAGCCCCACACCGTCAATGAAAAGTCCTCGATCTTGACTTTTCCATATACGTGCAATATCCTCAAGAAAGAGCTGTGATTGCGGACCTTTCCAGTCAGACCCAAAACGGAGTCCAATGGTCTCTGTCAATAATTTTAACGCGTCGGTCTGTACATTTAAACCATGTTTCTTGGAAAGAACTCTGTACGCAATTGGTCGAAGATTCGATGATTGAAGTTTCACTGGGAGTACAGCAGGTGTATCCATCTTTCAACGTCCAGATAAGTACAAAAATGAAAGAACTGGAGGAGATGAAAATAACCTTGGGTAGCAGCAGCAAAAAGCAATACGGTAGATCACTATGTCTATTCACAATAGTTTACGTAATACACATCATCTTTAAAATCTGTAAAATAGTTCGCACACGCGTTCCTCTGTTTGTTTTGATCACGTGTTCAAGAAGTAAAGACCGCTCGTGGTTTGTGCGTGTGCGCCCACACTCTTGCATACTCATAAATCTCCTTATCAATTATAAATTACTCATTTCAACACAAAGCCAATTAAACTTGAAATTTGAAATATAATCAAATCCATGAAATTTGAAATTTCATATCAGCCTACATTATCTATTATTCCGTATTTCTCCGACGAGATTCATATTTTGGCATTCCTTTTAATTTCCTTATTCGAACTGAACTCTATCTCTAAGCCTAAATCTAAAAATCCTTGTTCCTCTTAAGCCTCTAATTTATCTCTATTTCTAGGACTTAAAGATATTTACATAGGAGGGGCGGATTAACTCATGTTTCCTATTTTGCCGCATACATTTATGATTTCACAATTAGTCCAGAGGTGCAACATTAATGCACAAATATCTCATCGTTTCTAAACCACACTCCTTTATCCATTATGAAATTCACCTCAGTGGTTCCATTTTACATTCTTTTTTTTTTTTCTTCACGTAGAAGGCATGTCTACAAAATAACCACTGACGTCAATTGGCGATAACGAAAAAGGTCTTTCATAGCCTTCGTCCATATATCTTGGCGTGGATGTTGTTATCAATTCTAGATCTTTCAATCCTAGATAATCTTCTTTTTTCCTTATCAATTGATTTAAATATTCCAACATTATTAATATCCTGTTGATTTTAATCATTTCTCCGAGTAGTAACCCCTTCCGTTCATAATATGCCAGAAACCTTACACAAGTAGATGATTCGTTCGTTACTACCCTGGATGCTGTTTCAGGGTCAGCTAACATTAAGTTGATATTGAAAATCTCATGATTCAACTCCTTAACCCCATTCTTCCGTTTTTCAAAGGTAATACTCAAATTTTTCTCTAATTTATTAAACAATGATTCGAGTGCCGTTCTATTTTCATTTCTAGAGTGTTTGGAATTCTCAAACATTATTAAATATTCATTTAATTTCGTTTCTATCGATTTGTAGTTTTGAGTTCTAGATTGTAATTTACTATTCTTATCTAGATTTTTCAATAATTGCTCAAGATTAGATAATAATTTATCATTATTGTTGCTTTGTTTAGCGGTAACTGAAGTTGAAATATTTGTAACTGTTTCGAAAAATTTAACTCTTTGATTTTCATTTTCTTCAAACTCTTTTATCAATTCATGTTTTTCTCGAACTAAGATGTTACTAGTATCTGATTTGAACTTTTCAAAAGATGAAGTATTTGCAAATGAATTGCTTGGATCGAGTTCTGATAATACTGGCCTTTTAGAACGTATTGGTGTAACAAAATCATTATACATTTCACTTTCACTTTCTCTCTCTCTTTCAATAGATTTGACTCTACTTCTTTCATTTCTAATTTTCCTTAACATTTCAAATCTTCTTCGATCTAATTCAAGAAATTTCCTTTGTTTATTTTCAATATCTGTCTGTTGCTCAATAAGTATTTTTCTTTCTTTCTCTACACGTTCAGTTCTCTCTCTTAATTCTTTCTGTTGAATCCTGATTTTCTCCTCTAATTGTTCTAATCGTTGACGATCTTGTTGTAACTGATTTTCTTTATCTCTTTGTTCAGCAAGTCGTGCTTCATGATCTCTAATAAATGAACTTTCCAAATCTTGTACTCTTTTCTCTTGTTCCACTTCTTGGAGTCGTAATTGTTCTCTTGTGGTGTTTACTTCCATTTCCTTCTCGTCAAGCTCATCCTCAAGTTTCCTTAATTCTTCTTCATAAGTTTTCTTTAACCTTTCTGTATGTTCTCGTTCAATTTCTAAATTCTTATCTTTATCTTCAAACCAAACTTTTTTCTTTTGTATCCCTTCATTTATTTCTTCTTCATTTCCAATTGAATCATTACCACATAACCTCAGGAAAAACTGTCCTAACCTTTGTAATACTCCCTTTTTCTGTGATTGAAGTACAGACACTGGCATCTGCCTCTTGGATCGATTACTCTTCAGTAGAATACCTCCATCAATTTTCGATCTACGGGTTCCAGTATGTCTATAGATACCTATAGGAGCTTTCAATTTCGATGGAGTGAACGGGAGGGTGTCCAATGATCTTATGGGGGACAATGGTCTTTTCAATGAAGTCGATGATATTGGACTTCTCACTCTAGGTACAAATCTAGTACCATTAATTTCATTGTAATTGTTCCTCCTAGCGATGGGTTCTCGGGGACGATATGCTCTTCTACGAGACTCCTCGTATTTCTCTCGAAGCGTTGACATCTACAAGCAATCAGTTAACTATATCATGTAACTAAGAAAGAAAAGTAAACATAAACTAAACACAAACATTAAAAAAAAAAGCGATCTCACCAAATAAAGCGCGACAAATGACGAGACAAAGACTCTACAACTATACTTAATCTTATATATAAATAAATATATATATTCAATTGTTTCACAGATCTTCTATCTAGCTAAACGGAAGACATTGCACTTGTTCTCGATGTAGATGTAGAAATTCCAGACTCGACATTTTTTCTACCACCAATATTAATCTCATCAATACATTGTAAACCTCTATCCTTTACGAAGAACGAACTTATGAGACAAAGACCAATAAATGGCAGCAATAAGTAAAAGTAATTTCTCATAGAGTTCATGTACATGGATTTGATTATTTCCACTTGAGTCGGGGTAAGTTTGTCGACTTCAATCTGGTTGTAGATATGATCTTTCATGTAATAAAGATATTCTTTGGAAATATTGGCTATTAGTTCAGGATTCACTAAACCTTGTTCAATTTTAGCGTACATTGTATTGCTAATAACAGTAGAAGAAATGGCAATACCAACAGCTCCACCAAAAGATCTAATCACATTTCTTGTGGATATAACAACTGCTCGGTCAGCCTTTTTCGACTGCGCCTGCGCAGCTACCATGGTAGGTTGGAAAGTACTCCCAACACCAATTCCCATCAAAAGTAAAACAATAACATTTACTCCATAATTGGTGTTAACATTCCAAATAATTAAAAGTCCACAACTTAATAACCAAATTGAATATCCAGCTAGAACCACGAAAATATAATGACCCGTATAAGTAACAATATTTCCAGAAACTGTGGAGAAAAGTGCTTGACATAAAACGAGCGGTAAAATGAAAACTGAAGATTCAATTTCGGAATTTTGTCTAATAATTTGGAAATAATAGGGAATATAGAACAATACACTATAGTAAGTCATACCGAAAAAGAAGTTAGACGCCAAAATTAAACATAACAGTGGGTTTTTAAATAATCTTAATGGGATCATGGGTAATTTAGAAACTTTCCATTCAATTATCAAAAAGGTTGCGAAAAGTACTCCTCCAATTGAAAACATAGATATAATAAGAGGACTATTCCAAGAATAAGATGTACCGCCTCCACTAATTGCCACAAGTAAAAGGGTCAATGATGAAGATGATGACAAAATCCCCCAATAGTCAATGGTTTTCAACTTTTCAGATGAGGATAATACTCTATCCGAGTCACTTGTTCCTGGAACTAAAAAGTAAATTGAAATTCCAACAAGTACAACGATAGGAGTTAAAGTATAATAGAAACTTCTCCAACTGGAACTCTTGGCAAATGCAGACATAATAAAGGGCCCAATTGCATTCCCAACGCCAACACTTGCCCCTAAAATCCCTTGATATTTTCCACGTTGCTTTAAGGTGACAACATCGCTTAAAATAACCATGGAAAGAGATGAAACACCGCCATTCCCGATTCCCGCAAATGCTCTAAATATGAAAAATTGAACTCCAGTTTGTGCAAAGCCACATGCTAAATCCGAGATAGCTAAAATTCCAATGCAGGTTAAAAGAACGGATTTTCTGCCGTAGATATCAGAAAGTCTTCCGAAAAGTACTTGGCAAATTGTATTCGCTAACAATGAAGATGTTCCGGCCCAATTGATCGTTGTTTGTGCGTTTAAATCTTTTCCAATTTGAGACATAGCAACAGTAACACCGGTTTGATCAGCAAAGGAAATGAATAATCCCAATGATACTGCAAGAAGTACGATTAGTACTTGCTTCCTGGGTAAAAGATTTACATGGCTATCTCCTAATTTATCGGAAAGATCGCGTTTTTCAGTTACAACAACTGTTACAGTTCCAAGTTTAGCATGAGTCTCACTAGACATGTCGGAAGAATATGAATATTGTTAGTTTGTTTTAGAAATTTATGTCACTAACTAAGATACATAGCTATAAAATTAAAGTAGAATTACACCTTTATATTTAAACCCCCTTCCTCTAAAAATTACCACATTGGTTATGTTATTCAAAGACAAAGACTTAATTGAAACGTAACAAGGTGGCGTTTTCCAGGGGGGTAGATCAAACTCGATAAAACGAAAACGTTGAAGGACATAACCTAATTTCATGTTAAAGCCGAAAGATAAAGGATTTTTTGTTAATAGCTAGATTACCGTTAATGCACAATTTTTCTTGTACGTCGTTTCAGTTGCATTGCTGTATAAGTGCGTCAGTTCAAGCATTGTGGGCCACGATCTTTTGTTGATGCGCCGCACCATCAGAAATTTATTGTTGCAAATTTCACTTGAACTAAGAATCGCTTGTTGAAAAAAAGACAATATTTTGAGAATGTAAGGGTAGCAAAAAGAAATTATTATGCATAATATGCATTTAATAACGGGAAAAGTCGGAGCTTTAACATCCAATATCAATCTCACCTGAGAGTTCAACCTTTCTACTGGAACTCGATACGTACAAGGTATACGTACCAGTTTGGATGATCCACTGCTGTGAAAGTGTATCCCAAATACACAAGTCCCGGTGTAAGATTTCAAAAGTCACTCTCTTACTTTCTCCTGGCTCTAAGAAGACTTTGTCAAATCCCCGTAAAATTTTTGGCGGAGATGGAAGCAACGTGCTAGGCAACTCTATGTAAAGTTGTGCAACATAGCCTCCTTTGTACTTACCATCGTTCTTCACCTCTGCACTAACCTCGTAAAGTACATCCCACAAAGCTGGATTACCACCTAGACCACCTCCTGCTAAGGGCGGACTAGCTGGTTGGTCTGGGTTATACCCCTTCGGGTATTCGAAACACTCATCTTCTTCTAGCGACCGAATGTTGTCATTGTATAAGTAAGGATAAATAAAGCCTGGAACAGGAGCAAAATCTTCATGTGGGAATAATGCATCTTCAGGGTCGCATACGTCATCCTCGCATGTATTATAAACTGGAAGATATTCCTCTGGGTATGGTAAATATTCTGAAGGCGGGCAGACTTCAACAATTTTCAAATCACAAAGAACAAAATTAGTGTATGATAGCCCATACCCAAATTCATATCTGGGTCGAATATTATGTTTGTCAAAAAATCTATAATCCAAGTATATATCACGATCAAAGTTGTCTTGTGGATCATCTCTTTCTGAAATATCTGTTATAATAGGTACGTAGTGCAGCTTCTTCCTTGCAAGCGTGAATGGTAATTTCCCAGAAGGGTTTGCATCTCCAAATAATACATCAGCTATTGCTTGTCCTGCAAACTGTCCTAAGGGGGCAGCGTACAAAACTGCAACGACATTATCCATCTCTATCCATTTTTCTATATTCACTGGACCAACAGAATTCACCACCACCACAGTTTTACGGCACCCTTCTGCTATATGGCAAATAAGTTCGTCTCCATTGTTCCAAAGGGATAAGTTATTTCGATCTCCAAAATTACCATCCACTTCGATATATCCCTCTCCTGAGCTCGCACCAACAACTACGATAGCCATGTCTGCATAGTCTGAGAGTTCATCAACATTTTCAAATTCCCACACGTCCGACGTGTAGTCAACTACCATACCTTGCTCTCGTGCTTTCTCAGCTATCGCTTCGAAAGGAGTTACCACATATGGATTTGTTACAGCTGCTGAGCCCCAACCAGAAGTCAAAGTGCCTTCAACACATCTTTGATCTTTACATTTAAAACCTTTAGGGTCAGGTCCAGCCCCTGCACCAGCTACTAGAATCCTTCTGATCCCATCAGCTTTTGCAATTGGTAAATTGTGCCCATCATTTTTAAGTAATACGATTGCTTCTCTTGCAATATTTAATGCAATATCATCACTAAATTTTGAGCGAGCATCCACATGCCAGTTCTGTTGCTTTATTGGACCATAGTGTTGGTAAGGGTATTGTTGTCCGAATGTGTGATGAGTCCAAGAACTGAAATTTGGAAGATCATCATCAGTTGGGAGAAAACATGCCTCGACCGCTAAAAAAGGTGCTAGGATACGAATTGCCATATCGTTCAATCTCAGTTGTGGGATAGTTTGGTTATATACGGCTCTTGTTAATAGTGGCCCCCAGAGTGATTTTCCAGATAGCCAGTCGTCAAACAACTCTCCAGGCATAGTCATATCAAGACCTGCCAAAGCGGAATATACTCCAGTGTGTTGAGCACCCCAATCAGATACAACAAAACCTTGAAACCCTAGTTCTTCCTTCAATAAATAATTGAGTAAGTATGAATTCTCGCATGCATAGGTATTGTTCAACTGATTGTACGCACACATTATACTACCAGCACCTGCTCTAATTGTATCGGCAAATGGCCAAAGGTATACCTCATGCATAGCCCTATCGCCGATGTTTGCGCTTAAAGACCTGCGCAATTTATCCCAACCCTCGTCGTCCCACTCACCAACTTGACGAAAGTGTTCTTGCTCATTACCAACCAAATGTCTGACACAGGAAATTACTCCTTCATCTTGTATTCCTTCAACAGTTGCAGCACCAAGGACCCCTTGAAGGTAAGGATCGGTACCAAACCCTTCCCAATTTCTTCCCCCTGCTGCTTTAAGACCAATTGGACCAACCGTGGGGCCAAGCATTATATGAACCCCTTTCTTACTGTGCTCTCTACCCAATGCTTTACCTCTTAAATAAGTCAAACCTTTGTTGAAAGTACTCCCAACAGCAAGTCCTGAAGGAAAATGGGTAACGAAATCAGTAAATCTGACACCATTGGGCCCGTCTTGGAGACACAATTCTGGAATACCAAGTCTTGGAACAGATCCAGTATTTCCGATACAAGGACCGGAACCCCAACCTGTTCCCGTAGTTAAGTTAACCTTTTCTGTAATAGACATTTTCTCAACAAGCTTGCGTGCCTTATCGTATGCCTTTTGCCAAATACGATCCATTCGTCCTCCAAGTGCTAATTAAGTTAGTAATACTTTGCCCCCTCCCCAAGGGTCACTATTAAAACGGTATTTCTTACCTGATGGATAATATGGATCGGTACAGTAGTAGTCTGATGCACTAGTCTCAAATATATTTAACATTGAAGACTCCTCGTGGTGGCCACGTTTAAATAATTCATGTTCAGTTGTGTTTTTACCGAACACAATTTGTTGGCGAATCCCCTTAGAATCTAGGGAATATCCAAAAGGGATAAGTGCTAGAATCGAAAGATATTTCATTGATCTCATATTCACTTATGAGTAATTCCCCGATATAGTTTGGAGTCTGTGTGTTTGTTGTTTTTACAACCAAAAAATGGGAAGTGGGAGATTTTGGGGAAATTTGGGGTTTTTGGTTGCAAACGCACTGCATATACTCTGTGTAGGATATGCAGGGAACTTCTTTTTTTTTTTTTTGTAGAATAGAATAATAGTGCGTAATATCGAAAGCTGCATATTTTAATGGATTCAGCCGTACAAGTGGAAATATTAATTATTATGATATTAGTAGTTATACATAAAATACAGGGGAGATCAGAAAAATAAAATGCTGGGAAATGCTAAACTAGGTGCTCATACGTGCTGTAACTTGAATCGGAGTAATGATTCCTGGTGGTGGGGTGTCCATTCTTGATATGGTTGGAGATTTCTTCATTCCAGGATTTGGTGACATATGTATATTTGAAGGTGGAGCAAATGAAGATAGACTATTAACAGTCTTTGGATAATTAGAAGTTGATACTCTGTGTTCGGTTGATGAGGTGGTATTGGTAAGGTTGTGATTTGGGCTTAGAGGCGAAGTACTCTTTTTCTTTTTGGCTACCTTAGGAGTAGATTGAACACTTGATTTATCATGATTATGTAATGATCCTTCCTCTACCGATGATGAAATGGTAACAGATGCTAATGGTTGAATGATTGAGGTAATATCACCAATCTCAGAAATACTGGCAGCGCGTGAAGATGTAGAAGAAGTGTTGGTAGTTGCATTCTTTTGGTTCTTTAAACCGAAAAACTTTTCAAAAGCTTTAAAGGCAGATTCAGAATCTAAAAGTAATGCACTTTCAAAATATCCAGGTCTTGAATCATCGATTTTCATTTGATTTTTATACTTGATCCCATTAAATAAGTTGAATAAATCTATTCTAAAGTTCTTTGGTAATGAATTATTTGCCAAATAAACATTATTGAATTTTTCTGGATTCTTAATGAATTGAAGTACTATAGGCTTTAAAGATGTAAGGTCCTTTAAATTATTCCTTCTTAAATCAACTTTTTCTAAACTTGATAAATTATTAAATCCTTCTAATGAGGTTAATTTATTATTGTTTAAATTTAATGTTGAAAGATGATTAAGATTTGATGGTAAATTCGTTAAATCTGTCAAGATATTATCAGCCAAATTAAGATATTTCAAATTTTCAAGTTTATCTAATCCATTTGGAATGGATTCCATTAAATTGTTGGATAAGTTCAATTTAACCAAGTTACTTAATGGTTTAAAGATGTGAGATGGGATGGTTGTTATGGATGCTTCAGATATGGTTAATTGTTTCAACAATGCCCACTTCCGTTCTGGTAATGTATGATAATCTTTGGAAGTCGAAGAACCTCCACCATGGTTGGTTCCAATGGTACTTGTACGGTCTCTTCTGGGGAATTTAGGAATCCCATTGTCATAACAGTCATCATCATCAATAAATACAGATGAATCATTCTTTCTATATTTATGAGAATTATTAAATGAAGTTCTTCCAGTTTCATCATCAATAACTAAATTGAAAATAATTTCTCCAATATCACTGATTTTCGAATTTTTTATAATAAGAATTCGAAGTTGTTCACTTAAAACATGCCATCCATATATTTCATTAGGATCATAATCAATCATTTCTAATACTTGCAAGTTTTTAAACATTATTAAGGGCACTGAAGTATCGCATGGATATTCTTCATACCCACTAATGCTATTCATCTTAGTTTTAGGATTCATTATTAAACATGGAATTTTAGTGAAGGATGAATAAAGATATTTAAGATCTTTATTAATAACTTTTGGGTCTTTACTAAACCCAACCGATCTCCAGTACATAGAAGCACTGGAAACTATTGATTTCATGGAATTAATCGAGGATATAGATCTGGCATCACTCTCAAAGTGACGTGATGATCTGGCATTGTTAGCCATGAAGGAAATGAAGGTAGGTTCATGGTTTGGATTATCCAATTTAACATTCAAGGGGCCAATATCAACCCCTAACGGCGAAGAGTCTATCCGCTCGGTAACGTAATAAAGATGATGCATGGTGAAACTAAGTCTTAAAGGCTTGATTGTCTGTGATTTATTCTTTGAAAAGCATACAAGTCCATTCGCTAAAGATTCTTCATTCCGTCGAATATACGTTGATAATCTTTGAATAAAGATTTCTCCTTCTATTGAGTTTTCATTATATGTGAAGGCACCCATTGTTTGATTCTAATGGTTGTTTCTCCAATATAAGTAGAATATGTGCTTCTAGGAAAACAAATCGGGTTTATATATGTCGATGTAGTTAAAAAAAAGGGGGGGTTGGTGCCACTATTTTCCTTTTCCTTACTATTGATCTATTTTTATATGTGAGTGAGAACGCTCCAAATCTAATTCTCCCCTCAAATAGCTGGGATCGATAACGGCGTCTCCTGGTCAGCTACTTAGTGTAGTATATGTAAAATAAAATGTGAAGTTACCGTTTAAGTCGAGTATGTTTTGATTTTTTAATTTATTTTTCTGTACGAAAAACGTCTGTAGATATGAATCACTAATTAGGGATGTTTTTGTTTTTATTTTGATTCTATGCAGGTGTTTATATACAGGTAATTTGCAGCCAAAAATAGACCCCCTCACCTAGTCAGGTGATCTACACTTTACAATTGATTCATGAAGGTCATAGAAAAAAAAAATTGTTAGTTTTATGCCATAATAAAGTATTAACGGTAAGTAACTAGTCATGGATATTGTTGAAGTTTCCCTTATGTTTGTCAGTGATGTAATTTCTTTTTTTTTTTTACTTTTTTCTTTCCTTGTATTTTCTTTTTGTTAGCACGTCAACATTTTAGCGCTCTCCCCATACTGACAAGTTGAAGAGCGCCTTCATAACTAGGAAGTTCAAGAAATATAAAGCGATATTGGGTTAAATGTATATATTGACGTGGTGTCTTTCTGTGCTTGCTTCGACTTTGTTTTCATTGTGTTATTTGTTTGTTATATTTGATACATTCATAGCCTGTTCGATACCAAAATTCACATTGCTAGTCTTCTTATTCATGCCTTTTGTTTTTTTTTCTGATTTCCATTCCTTATAATTCTCGTTCTATGGATAATGGGGGAGTTACTGTTTCCCTTCAATTTCTCTGTCATCCTCTTGTGCCTCTTGAGAATCAGCTATACTGTTTCCTGCATCATTGTTGTAGACACTTCCACGGTCATACATACTCATAGCATACGTACTGTTGGCTGCAGTTGGATTTACAGATAACCTTTCCATGATACTGGCTGGAGGAATACCTGCTGTGCTACAATTCGTATCCAATGACCTTCTACGAAGTCTGCGCGAAGAACTAGCCAATGTCACAATAGACTCACTATCTCTGTTATCTACACCACCAGTGGGTAAGTTCGAGTTATTTGGACTGGAATTGGTATTAGGATTAGTAGCGGTTGTGGTAGTAGTAGCACTTGAGGTGCTCAATTGACTTCCAACTGGATAGCTTAAATGATGTGTAAGAGTGCTGGGGGCAATCGATGTATCTGCTGTAGATGCCACATACGACACATTATCTTGGTGGTTGTCACTGAGAACAGACGGGGATTTTGTAGAAGGAGTAGACCCCAAGGATTTTAATGGCGTCGTGCTCACGTTATCTGTATTATATGAATTCGTTGTAATGTTATCCGAATTGAATGATATATTTTCTCTACCTTCATTATCAGTGGAATCTCCTTCTCCTCCATCTACAGGTCTCAGGCTACTATTCCTTTCTATATGACCGTTGACGGGTACATGTGCCCCATTACTGGCCCTTTGTTGGCCCTGCATGAGCCGTTTGACCCATCCGAATCGTCCCTTTCTCTTATCGTCTATATTGTTAGTATTCATCCTTCATGAGCAAGAGCAATGAGTGTATAGTCTCCTGTGTTACTTCTCTGATAGTCTTTACCCATATATAATGAGCCCCTCATTAACCAGCCACCTCCACGAATTGTTTCAAAATTCGCCGCTATTACTGTTTAGATAAAATTATTCCAGCCACGTACACATATGACTTATTCTATGAGTTCCATATCTTTACATACCTTCTTGGATATTCATTCTTTCCCTCAATGTGTTCCCTTTATATGGTCCACAACTTGTAACTTTTTATTTTTTTTTTGAGGGGGAGGCGCCATTTTCATTGTGTGTAAATGTTTCAGTGTAAAGTGCGATAATGGGTCGTGTTAGTACAAATATGTATAATATTTTATTCAAAATATTTTTTTTTCTGTATTAGTATAATTGAAATTCTAAACTAAGACTCAGTATCGGGAATGTGTAAAGTAAAGTTTGAGATTGGATAAAACTAATTTTATGGAATTAATTTATATAAGTATTCATTATGTTCATATACTTTACGTGCCAAAGAAAAAAAGTTTCAAAGAATACCATATCTGTTATATACAGGATATTGTTTTCTTAAACAAAATGTTAATAATGATAATAGATATTCAACCTCAAACTGGTTTAACAGTTTGCAACGATTCGCAACTATTGTCTTTAATTATGAGGGGGAAGCAAAAAAATATGCGCAAACCCGGAATCGAACCGGGGGCCCAACGATGGCAACGTTGGATTTTACCACTAAACCATTTGCGCAAGTAAAATGCTCCGCGACGGGGAATTGAACCCCGGTCTACCACGCGACAAGCGGTAATTCTAGCCACTAAACTATCACGGATGTTTTGTGATATCTAAAAACGTCTACTTTTGTAAACGATAACATCGTTTTATTTTCTGGTAGGCGGACGACCTTTTTGATTCTATTCAATTAAGTCTATGTAAAAAGTAATTATGATAAGAGTATAAGCCAAAAGACTGCTTATCCAATGTTACTTTTAAGTGTGATTAAGTTTTTGTATAATAACTTAAAAAAAAATAGTAAAAATGATCGTTAGTGTGTATTTTTTTTTTTTACATTGATCATTTTCTCCTTTATTGAAGAGTTCCTCTTTCAACTATGTTTTCTACACTTCCTATATAGATAGATATATACGTATATCTATACATATTTCGGTCCTACTGGTTATTCTCTCCTCCTGCCCCTAAAAAGAGAAGACTCTGAAAATCACAAGATATCAAAAAAAAAAAATGCATGTGCCCGAAATTCACTCATAAACAATCTTGATGATTTCCTCTAGGATTGTATTATGGGACCATATTCAACACTTCCCAAGTATTGGACCCAAAAGGGAACAAAGTGGGGTTTTTTCTAGGACTTATACAGTTGTGTATAATAATTGATTTCCTCCAAGGTTTAAAAAAAAAAATATACAACTCAGATATTGTTAAGTTAAGGTAGGAAAAAAGCATAGAAAGTACTTCGGTCTTGGGGCTTATTCTCTGGCGAAGTACAATTCATATTGCTAACTTTAATAGTAACTGTCGATGAAATAAATATTAACGAAAGCAGTACAATTATATACGACTTTGATTAATAGACACGTTTGTTAACAATTGAAGTATAACTCTGTCCATAATTTGCAGTCATATTATAAACCAAATTAATCACTATAACAGAATATTAATTACCTTCTACAGGTTAAATACTTTCAAAAAGAACTTAAATTAAAATTGTTTATTGCTAAAATATGTCTATTTAATCCATATATTCAACTCCATTTATATCAATTTCTTTGTATTTCAAACGTGTATCTTGCAACACCTGGTTTCCTGTACAATTGGCACTCAAATTGAAATATTACCCAAATTCGAATTTTGTTCATATATTACACAAAATTAGTTTGTGTTGTTGTCCTTTTTCGATTCAAGAAAATTATGAACACGCCAAAAATCAATTAACCTTCAACTTATCAACAAAAGTTGTCCATATTCCACCCACTCTCTTTTGCATCATGGACTTTGAAGAAGCTGAAGATCTCAATGGAGTTCGGTTTGCCTGGAACACATTCCCATCAACCAAGGTTGAGGCAAGTAAAATTGTCGTTCCTACTGGTGCTTTGTATACTCCATTAAAGTTTAGACAAGATTTACCAATTGCCAACTACGACCCAATTTTCTGTCAAGCCCAAACTTGTAAGAGTGTTTTAAACCCTTACTGTCGTGTTGATCCTAATGGATTTTGGATCTGTCCATTGTGTCAATCTAGAAATGCTCTTCCAACTCACTATCAAGGTATTACTGAAGATAATTTACCAATTGAATTAGACCCAAACTCTTCTACCATTGAGTACATTACCGCTAGACCAGTTCAACATCCTCCTGTGTTTTTCTTCGTCATTGATCTCTGTCAAGATGATGAAAACTTGAAGGCTCTTAAGGAAACTTTAGTTCTTTCTCTTTCCTTTTTGCCTCCAAATGCTTTGATTGGTTTGATAACTTATGGTACTATGGTTCAAGTTCATGACTTAGGTTCTGAAAATATCAATAAACTGTACATTTTTAGAGGTGATAAAGAATATACTGATGCTCAAATCCAAGAAATGTTGAACAAGCCAACAATTAACCTTCAACAACAACAACCTGGTTATCCTGGTGTTGGGGGATTCCAATCAAACTCTCTTACTAGATTTTTTTTGCCAGTAGAAGAAGTGGAAATCCAATTAACTTCTCTTTTGGAAGGTCTTTCTAAAGATCCTTGGTCTGTTGCACATGGTGATAGACCTTTAAGATCCACTGGATCTGCCCTTAATGTAGCTGCCAACTTGCTTGGTGCTACTTTCAGTGGCTTTGGTGCCAGAATCATGCTCTTCTCCGCTGGTCCTTGTACTTTGAACCCAGGAATGATTGTTGGACCAAAGTTGAAAGAACCAATCAGATCTCATTCTGATATTGATAAGGATAATGCAAAGCATTTCAAAAAGGCTACCAAGTTTTATGATGCCTTGGCTGCTAAAGTTGTTAAGAATTCTCATACAATTGATATCTTTGCTGCTTGTTTAGATCAAGTTGGTACTTCAGAAATGAAGAATTTATGTAACCTTAGTGGTGGTACCTTGTTATTATCTGATGCCTTTACTACATCTATTTTCAAACAATCATTCTTACGTCTCTTTAGTAAGGATTCTGAAGGTGATTTATTGATGGGATTCAATGGTATTTTAGATATCAAGACATCTCGTGAATTAAAAGTCAGTGGATTGATTGGTCATGCATCTTCATTGAACGTTAAGACTGCAAATGTTTCTGAAAATGAATTTGGTATTGGAGGAACTTCACAATACAGATTATGTTCATTATCTCCTCAACATACTTATGCCCTTTTCTTTGATGTGGTAAACACACAACCATTAGCTCCACAAGCACAATCTTATATCCAATTCATTACCCATTATCAACATTCTTCTGGTACTTACCGTTTGAGAGTTACCACTATTTCTAACATTTTGACTGGAGATGAAGCTCTTTTGACTCAATCATTTGATCAAGAAGCTGCCGCAGTCTTAATGGCTAGAATTACTCTTTTCAAGTCTGAACAAGATGATGGAGCTGATGTCTTAAGATGGATCGATAGAATGTTGATTAGATTATGTCAAAAGTTTGCTGATTATCGTAAGGATGTCGATGAATCATTCAGATTGGCACCACAATTTTCTCTTTACCCACAATTTGTTTATTATTTGAGAAGATCTCAATTTTTACAAGTTTTCAACAATTCTCCTGATGAAACTGCCTTTTACAGACATGTTTTACTTACTGAAGATAGTAACAATTCTTTGATTATGATTCAACCAACCTTAACATCATTTTCATTGGAAGGAGAACCAGAAGCTGTATTATTGGATTCAGTTTCTATTAAGGATGATAGAATTTTACTTTTGGATACATTCTTCCATATTTTAATCTTCCATGGTAAGACAATTGCTCAATGGCGTAAGGCTGGGTACCAAAATAATGAAGAATACGCCAATTTCAAACAATTGTTAGAAGAACCAAAACAAGAAGCAACTGAATTATTGGTGGACCGTTATCCATTACCCAGATTCATTGACACGGAAGAGGGTGGATCGCAGGCGAGATTCTTGTATTCCAAGTTGAATCCAAGTACTACGTACAATAATCAAAATGAGATTGGTAACAGGGGTGCAATTGTGTTGACTGATGATGTATCATTACAAGTTTTCATGTCTCACTTGCAGAAATTAGTTGTTTCTGGATCAAATTAGTTAGATAATTAGAATGAAGCGTAAATTAATAAAATTATATTTTTTATAATTGAATGGACAGGAAGGATTGTATACGTAGATCACTCATCTATATTAGTATTGGGGTCATCCTTGAGGGTTTGTCTACTTAGTTGCAACCGTTTGTGTGCAGAACATGAAATTTGCAAAAAAATCAAAAGATTCAAACAAAAACCCACGAAACTGGTGGTAAACATAGAGAGGTATCACAAGATAATAAATACAACACAAGATGAGTCAAGAACATTTATCGGCAGGTACGTAATCTTTTGTAAAGTAAAACTATGGTGGAAGGCTAATTACTAACTGAAAAACAGATGAAATTGCCCTCTATGACCGACAGATTCGATTATGGGGAATGGCTACTCAATTAAGAATTCGTTCAGCTAAAGTACTTGTGGTCAATTTAAGTGCTGTAGGTACAGAAGTTGTCAAGAACTTAGTTTTAGGTGGTGTCAATTCTTTAGAAATTCTTGACTCCTCCACCGTTAAAGAAGAAGACTTCCTGGCCCAATTTTTCTTACCAAATGATGATTCAATCATTGGACAATTGAAAGTTCCACATGCTATAACTCAAATTCGTGAGTTGAATAATAGAGTCAAGCTCACGGCAAACACTGGGGTATTATTGGAAATGCCTCGAGAGTATTTCGCTCAATTTGATCTTGTGATAGCCACGGAAATATCCAAGCAAGAAATGTTGGCAATAAACAAGGAAACCCGTGCCTTAAACATCCCTCTCTATGTGGCAGGTATGCATGGGATGTTTGGTTACATATTGACCGACTTGGTTAGACACGAATCACAACTGGAAAAGGATATTGGTAACCAGCCAAGAGTGGCAGGTACAAAGATTAATCGTAAAAAGACAATTACTAATGTTGAATATAATCCAACTACAAATAAGGAAAATGTCACCATAGTAGATGATTTTGTGATCTTACAAGACTTGTTAGTTTCTGAAGAATTGCCCAAACAATTGAATAAAAGACAAATGAAACGTCTTTCAGCTGCACTTCCAATCATTTTCAGTTTATTTGAAGTACAGAGGACCCTCGAAGATATTGATATTGAATTACTTCGGAAATTGCTGCTTGAAACAGCTGAAAAATTGAAGATCCCCACTTCAGTGATAACTCAAGAATATTTAGAATTATTTAGTAGACAAGCATTTGCAGAGTTTTCACCCGTGGCTGCAGTTTTAGGGGGTAGTTTGGCGCAGGATGTCATTCAATTTCTTAGTAAAAAAGAAAGTCCAATCAATAACTGTTTGATATTGGACGGTATTCGGTCTGAAATGCCAATCTATTTGTTATAAGTATATTTTAACTTTATATATATATAAATTATACACTCTTAATATTACATCTACTTTCCACGGTTCACCTCTTGTTCTATTTCCCCGGAGTAATACCCCTACCTTTCCGCTTCTTCAAATGAGAAGTATGACGAAGAAATTTCCAAGATTTTCCTAACTTAGCCCTCAATACTTCTCTTCTTTTCTTCTCCGGTTCAAGTTGATCTACAAGAACTTTCTTTTGTTTCTTGAATTCCAATTCTTCTTTCTCTTGTGATTCTCTATTCTCTTCTAATTTCCTCTTGGTTTCTTCATTACTCTTTGTCACTTGTTCTATTTGTTCCTTGAATTCGTTTGTCGACTTTAAAGCATTTACATATTCTGTTGCCATGAATGATTTCTCTTCATGTTTGGCTGATATTTTCGTTATCAGGTCCTGAATATTTGCTTGAATTTCCCAAATTTTCTTTTGATTTTCATAATATTGTTTCAATTTCGGAGACGTAATTGAATATTCTTCAATGAAATTATCAAGATATCCTTCTAATCTACGGAGCTCCTCTTTACCTTGTTCAATATCGCTAGAAAGTTTCCCATATCTCTTCTCTGCTGCAGTAATTCTTGTCTTTGCATGATCAACATCATTTATAATCGTTGAAAGTGATTGTTGAGTATCCTTTTCACGACGACCGACTTTCTTTTGCGTTTTTTCATCATGGAATTCTAAATATCGATTATGTTCTTGTTGGATCAATTTCCATTGTAAATATGTACTATTCATCCGCATAATTAACTTATGTGTAAGAGTATTGGAAGACAATGATTGTTGTTTATTTTCTCCACTAATATTTTCTCCAGGGAAAATTCCTAATAATGAATTCATATCATTTGTTAATGGATTCGTCACATAACTTTGTCCACCAGATCTTCGAAGTTCATAATAAGTTTTCTTTTTCGATTCTTCATATGTATTCACAGAATCATTGAATTCAACAGTACTTCCTCCTCCCATGACACTAACTAATGTATTGGTGCCAGATCCATTTCCAGTGGTATCATAGGGAGTATAATGATAATGTACCTCTGTAAGCAATGATCTTTCAACATCAATTGGACTAAAATATTGTATCAGGGGTAATTCAGGTAATGACCATGCTGCTGCCTTTGTAGTTGATCTCTTGAAAAGTTCATCAAAAAATGTATGTGATAAATATGTCAAATTCTGATTATAAATTGGAATTAAATCAGGTGGTAAAAACCCAATTTGTTCTCTCAAGCAAACAATAGAACTAATAAGCTTATACAAGTAGTCGGTTTGTAATTTTGTGCCTGAATTTTCCTTCTTTTCAGATTCAGCTCCTTTCCAAGCTTCCTTATAAAATAATTGACAATGTTCAATGGTTTTCATAGGTACAAGTCTAATGATGGTGGCTGGAACTTCTCCTAAACCTCTCATTTGTTGTCGAATGCCACGAACAAACTCATGTTCAGTGTCCACATAACTATCAAATACTACAAGTACATCAAATTTTGTTCCCCGAAGTAACTCTTGATCTCGGCATATTCCTTCTCCATCGTGAGGTAATAAATGTAGCACAGTCATTTGTGGTGGCATTTCACTGGCTGTGGATGCTGCAGCAGCTGCCGCTACTGCCGCAGCTGCTGCCCCTCGGCCTTTACCACCTTCCTTCTTCACATGATTTCCCACATACCGTTTGATCACCCTATCACCTTTACATCCCAATAACAAGGCCTCGGCCAAATCAAAATACTTGTTATTGTTATTCATCACTATAGCAACATTCTTGTTGGGTGCCTCGTTCAGAATAATAACGTTCATTAAATCTTTCAACACATGAAATTTCCCACTGGTTTCGGCCAATTTACTCAGCATATCCTTTTGAGCCAAGTTTTTGGGCATGTAATGGTTGATCAAAAGATATGGGTGGACACTAACAGATATACAGTTGTTGTAACAAATCTCTAAAGACTTCACCACCAGGTCATTAGAGTCGTTGGTTTCGGAAAACTTGAGAATATCAGGGTAATGAAGTGATACAATTTGGTCAGTGAGTTCCTTCTGGAATTCAAACATCGGTGTTGGAAGGTTGTAGTCGCCCGAAGTATTGATCTCCAGAAGCTGGAGATCAATGATCGGTGGTTCCGGAGTGCTATCTAATATTTTCAAGAGGTCCATATTTTTAAGCAAATATTTGCAATCTCTTTTATTTTATTTTTTTTTGCTTTAGAGTTTTTTGAATGTGGTATGAGTCTGGGTGCTATTGAACAGTATAAACGGTATGCTAACTCGGCTCTTTCTTGGTGGATCGCTTGGCTTGGATTGCACGAGTCAAATTGCTCTATGGCCCTGCTATAACTACTCTGTGTGTGTGTATTTAGTGGGTGTTATCGTCTCAAGCGCACAATTTGAGTCGGATCAGGTGCAGGAAATTTGACTACTATAAAATAAAAATCCAAAAAAGTACTTCCCCAACATCATTGATATAACCATACAATTCTTGATATTCTACTTATTATTTATTATATTCCTCTTCGTTTCTAATTTACACTCCCCCATAATTTTACAGTTCTATCCCATCCACTACTAATTATTTGTCCATCCTTACTAACATCGCAACTCATAACCTTGTCATTATGGCCCTGTAAACTTTTACATTTTATCCAATTATCTGAACTCCAAACATTAACCAAGCCATCAAATGAACTTGTAACCAAAAATGTACCGTCAGCATTCAATTGAGTAGGGTTGGAATCATTTCCATCGGTAACTGCGGGTAATTCCATTGAGTTTGTTTGTATGAATCGGACATCACTGACCAATTTTGTATGTGCTGGAATGGAAAATAACTCCTTTGTAGGTCTTCTCATATCCCAAATTTTCACAGAACAATCACCACTAGCAGTAGCCAAATGAAATCCATTAGGAGACCAGTCCATGGAATATATCCCTTTGATATGTCCCTCTAGCACAGCTATGGATCTCCCCGATCGTAAATCCCACACCCTCGCTAGAGCATCAAGTCCCCCCGTAACGTAGAGGCCACCGTCTGGGTGGAATGATCCACAATAGACTTCCTTTGAGTGTCCTTCTTGTTGATATATGCAAGACATTGTATTGGAGTCCCATAATTTCCAAGTCTGGTCAAATGATGTGGATGCAATGTATTTCCCCGAAGGATGGAACGAGGTTTCTGTGATTCTATATCCCAGGTGTGCTTCTTCTACTCTAGTCAATGGTTTTATATTGGTGTCGGTACCTATGTTTGTGCTGTCCCATACGTTGATATGTCCCTCAGCACCTCCTGTCACCACTTTCTTCTCAAACCAATCAAGGGCACTAACCTTCTCCTTATGAAATCCAACCCCTCTTGCTACGGTTTTCAAATCAGATTTCCCAATAATAGTCAATGACCCGTCCCAAGAACCAACTGCAATTTGTTCATTGTTGGGAGAAAACCGAACGCTAGAGAGTGCTCTTGTATTGCCCGTGATTGCCTGCGATCCGTACAACTCAAGCAGTTCCAATTTCTTATTAATGTTACGACGATGTTTGAGGGTTTTAATAAAATCTTGCTTCCTACTTTGCTCCCTTTGTCTGGTACTTCTCACTGCTGCTTTCTTCAATGAGTATACAAGAATATCTGTACGAGCTTGAAGAACCTCTTCAGTTCCTGGTGTATAAAACTCCTCTTCTTCTTCCTCTTCTTCTTCTTCTTCCTCTTCTTCGTCTTCCATTTCTTGGACTTCCTCTCCTCCTTCTTCCATATCTATGTCATTCCCAGTTAACAATCCAATCAATCTTTCTCTTCTATCCGAATTGTTCTCACCAAAGTAGGTTACTGGTTCACCTAAGCTTCGAAGTTTGGCCTGTACATCACTATCTATGGTGGGGATATTGCCTGTCTGTATGAAACTCTTTTCATTCACAATAGGAAGTTCATGAAACTCCATTGATGTCTCTACAATTAAGGAACTAAAAAATAAATTGTCATCTGTAACTACGAAAAATATGTTTATCTCTCCAAACTACACAAAAGAGGTTTACTGTGTTTGTAATACAAGAGAGTTAAAAAAAAAATTTTAAGGAAGTCAAACTCAAAGTAACTAAACCTGTTGATTGTATTCCCTTCAACGAGGATGGCTTTACCTTCCGTCTTATTAAATTTAATATTATTGTTTATTCTGTTTGTTTTTTTTTCATTCTTTTCAATGATTACTATTTAAAATCCTATCAGCATATTGAGCAAAATTCTCAGTTGCATTGACCTTTTCATTCAAATCAGGTTGACAAAACACTGCAAGGGTATTTCTAGCAATGCTTTCCATTGAAGTACCCTTGACAAAATGTGAAACTGCTTTAAACCCACCCCGGGAAACCTCTTGTAACGTAGAACCTGATTGGAATGCTACACAATCCAGAGGAATATTCACTTTAACAATTCCTCCATGTCTATCACGAATGTATAGCCCGGCTTCCTTGTCTGGAGATCCATCAAGTGCATGAGTCAAACCCTTGGATTCATCCATAAACAAGGCGGAGGTAAGGCCAGTAAGGCATGAATGATCCAAATGTTCTCCACACCAATCGTCATTATTAGCTGTAGTTGTTCTTGTTGCTGGGTAGTAGTGCAAAAGACGAGCTTTAGTACAAGTTGAATTCTTGGTAATTCTTTCTAAAAATCCTTCCTCATACTCATTATTTCTCTTTGATATGTATTTATCACAATTAGATGCAACAACTTGTGCTACGTCAATGATTAGATTACATAATTCCTTACAATCTCTTTCAAAATCAATCAATGAACCTTCAGGTTTGGGCCAAATGTTGGGGCTTGTATACGTTTTGAAATTTTGAAATTCTTGTTGTAATTCCTTTGATGGTCCTTCAAGTGTACTATCTTTATGGAATGCACAATTCATATAGAATGATCCCTTATAGATATCTGGTAATCCAGAATTCGCTAATTTTTCCTTTCCTCGAGACCAGCCAGTTAGCCACATTGATTCCTCACATTCAAGTTTTAATAATTCATCTTCTGGAAGATGTGCTAAGTTTGAAGCACTAGATAAAACTTTTGATCTCAATTCATGGAATTTATCTGGAAGACCCTTCACTACAATGATCCCAAGTGAGTCTGGGCCAAAGGCTTCATTTAAAAGCTCATCACCCACGCTATTTGAAAGCTCTTCCAAACTAACCGTTACCGGATTACCTATAGACGCAGCCATTTTACCTTAGAGAAGGACCCTTCCTTGAATTGAATATTTCTGATAGGATGAGAATCGTTTTATTTTAAAGTGCGGTTTTTTTTCATACCCAAGATCCAAATTGTGTTATTTAACTTCTTTAATTTAGATATCCCAAGCACAATAATGGATATAATACCAGTACATTCTAACTCATATTTGTTTGTCAACTTGTAGGTAAGTTATTAATGGATGTAAATTGTAGCATATTTGTATTTGGTAAGAATTCTTCTTATCTAACATCCTTACACCCGCATTAAAACATAATAATATATAATAGCTACAATCGGGGAAATTCTAAGAGTTATTGTACTCCTAGATGGAGTTAATGCGGTCTATGGGTCTGGATTATAAGTCCCAGGTCAATTAGATAAATTCATTGATATAGAATATTTTATGGCAAGAATCTTCCAAAAAAATTTATATTGTTGAATATTGGAACATATTCTAATTTTATTAAACTGCCATTTTTATTTTAGCAAAAGGTCATTGTAAACTTCAAGATATTGATAAAATGATACTGGAAAGATGATGGTGTATTTAAATAGTGTAAATCAATCGATTTTTATCCACTTTTTGGTATTAGTTATCTTCATAATTGTTAAAGAAGAATTTTAGATTGCTGAAACTAATTGAATTTCGTAATAAACTTATCATTTATTGATAAACTGCCTTTAAAAGTTAAATATATCTAGTATATTAGTCGAAATGCCTTAAATTTTCCCAAAAATTTGCATTTTTAGACTAACTGGCTATCAAACCAGGTGTTTTATAAATATATCAAAGTCCGATATAGTGTAACGGCTAGCACGGTTCGCTTTCACCGAGCAGACCCGGGTTCGACTCCCGGTATCGGAGCTTTCTTTTTTAATTTTTTATTCTTCAGAATATAATAAGAATAATATTATAAGACTTATATACACATACTCATCCTTCAGTATAGATATCGAAGTTTGTTAGGAAGAAAAATAGTTAGTAAATATATTATTCTTTTTTAAAAAATTTCAAGCATCAAAATATTTAGTGGCATTAGAATGACCAAATAGGAAATTATTCTGCAACCATTATTTTGTTGTGGATTTTTAAATTCAGGGGGACGGCATGATTCAAAATGATTAGCTTAGCTTATATATGATAAATGGCAGAGTCTTACTTCAACGCCACTACATACAATGTACAGTATAAACTACCACGATGTGCATCTGATAGGGAACATAGGTTGATGAGGCTACCCAATGGATTATTGTGTCTCTTAGTGTCTGATCCAAGGTTCGATAAAGTATCTACTGCATTATGTGTTGCATGTGGTTCGTTTAGAGACCCAGATTCACTTCCTGGATTGGCACACTTGTGCGAGCACATGTTGTTTATGGGCACAAAGGAATATCCGGGACCAAGCTTGTATTTTGAGAGTATCCAGAAAAATGGTGGAGCATGTAATGCGTATACTATGGGACAGAAAACTTGTTTCCAATTTGAGGTGCCACTCAATTTTAACAGCATGGGAGAGTCTGAATTCTATGGGATCTTACAAAATTTTGCAAGCTTTTTTAAAAGCCCAAAGTTCAGTTCTAAATATTTAAAAGGGGAGATAAATATTATTGAAAATGAACATCGATCTAATATCACTTCTGAAGAGAAAGTCCTTTTCCATGGATTAAGAATCCTTGCAAACAAAAACCATCTATTTAGTAGATTCTCTACGGGAAACTCAACAACCTTAAAGTTTGAAAATGGAATTCGTAGCATACTTTCAAATTATTATTCCAAATATTACAAAGCTGAAAATATGTCTTTGGTAATCTGCGGACCACAATCCGTCAATCAGTTACAGAAATTTGTAGTTTCATGCTTTTCCGGAATCCCCAGTTCAATAAAGGAGAATATTAAGAGAGAATCCCCCTACTCTCAGTCGCTTCCAAAGATATCTATTCTTGAAGATTCGTGGAATGACATTGACTCCAATATTCCAATCTTTTCAGAGTTCCAAAAAATTGTAGGAATAAAATCAAATACTACAACTCCTCGAATTCAAATATTATGGACGTTAAAACTTTCTAAGCATATTAAATTACGGGTAAGGGCTTGGTGCAGTCTTTTGGGAGATGAGTCTATAGGATCTATAAGTAGATTCTTATCCGATAATTACTATTCTACACTGACATATGCTTACTCTCAAACTTTAAGCCAAGGTACAGAAGCAGTAATCTTGGAAATCAGTCTTTCATATTTGGGATCGAAAAACGTTCATAGAGTTATTGCAGCTGCTTTAAAATTCATTGAAGTTCTAGTATCAAGTGATCAATTCCAACTAAGAATATACCTTGAAGAACTTTCCACGGTTGAGAAAGTGAATTTTTTCTATTCAGATGCCGTTGAAAATTCCATGGAAGAAGCTTCAAGACTCGCAGAATTATTACATGAGGATTTGAGTGAAAATGGTCTTGGGGCAACTAATATTCTAAGAGGTTACAGTGGTTGGGAGGAATTTGAAAATAACGATTTCAGTAGGATAAGTATTGATTGGTGGGATCAACTATGCAAGGAGTTCAGAATGGATACTGAATCAAATCTTACAATTGATAATGTAAATGTGATAATTTTGGATAAAGATTTTGCAACCACTAGGTATCTTTCATCATCAATTGGTGAGGTTTACATTGATCAGTTTTACCAATTTGAGTTTATCAAAGAAGATTTAGATGTTAATAAGATTACTCAACAGATGTGTCATATTGACCCGAGTAGATTTAGTCTTCCTGAACCAAATGTATTTTTGGACTTTAGTTCATTTGAAATCAACAAAAGTATTGAGGATTTGTCTTTCAAATCTGGAAATTCAACGTTTAAATATACGACTGTTGCAAATGCATCTATGACAGAACCTACTTTGATTGACCATCCAATGAAACATGAAACTTGGCACAAGTTTCAAGATCTGAAAGGCTTTGAATCTAGAGTTATTGCTTCATGCGACTTAATCAGTACAAAATTAGATATTTCGCCCAAGTCATGCATATCAATAGAGGTGATTTGTAATTTGATTGAGGGCCATTTGCGTGCGACCTTGTATGCTTCAGAAATACTTGGATTTACTTGGAGTATTTTCACTGGCCTAAATAATAATACTTCTATCGCAATAACAGTCACTGGATTGAAGAATGGGTTTAAAGTAGTTCTAGAAAAAGTTTTTCTTGGAATTAATTTATTCTTGAACAAGGGTATATCAAATGTTCCCTATAAAGAATTTATGAAGGCAAGAGTGAATGTTCGAAAAAAATATGAAAACTTAATGAATAGCAGTGGAATGGAGAAAACGGAGGCAGGATTTTTACATCTACTTGAAGAGTACGTCTGGTCACTTGAAGAAAGGTTCGAGGCACTAGAAGAATTGGATTTTTATGAGGTTGTACATTTTGCACAGCAATTTGCTAGTGAAAATACAAAGGTTACCATGTTTTTACACGGTGATTTGAATTGCGAGGAAGCACGTCAAATGGCATCAATCGTCCAGAATAAAGAATGGAGTACGGATAAATATAAATATCCATCGGGGTATTTGATTCAACAGGGTAAAAAATATATTTATTCTCGTCCTGCGTCACAGACAGACTCAACAAATACAATTAGCTTGTATGTACAGATCGGGCTACGAGAAGATCATGTAGCTAGAACTTACTGTAAATTGTTATCCTTTTTACTAGGGATTGTGGCACCAGGTGAACTTAGAACTGAGAGACAACTTGGGTATACTATATTGACAGGACAGAAAATATTTCGGGCGACTGTGGGAGTATATATTACTATTCTTGGTTCAGACCATAGAACTCAATACTTAATTTCTCAAACTGAGGACTTTCTCTTCCAATGGGGAGAACGTATATCTAGTCTTTCAGAACAAGACTTTCAAGAAAATATTGTCCAACTATTTCTTTCAAGTTATCCGAGAGCAGACGGAGGTTTCCCACCAAATATAATTCTTTCAACAGAAGCGGAAATTGGAAGTGGAACGCGTCCAGGAGGTGAACTGTACCTAGAGCATAAGAGTTACTGGGAAAAAATATTAAACCGAACATACAGATTTCTGGGTGTACAAGGAGAAGAAGAGATAGATATTGACATTATAAAGAAGTTGAAGAAGGAACACTTTATAAAGTTTTATCGTGAAAATATATGTCCTCGATCACCTACAAGGTCTTCGTTAATATTAAGACTAGATTGTTCGCACCATACCGATGAAGATAAAGAGAATGTGTACCATAATTTGACCAGGAAAGGACTCGAATCAAATTCAGATTCCGAAAATATTGCTAATGAGCAAAAACTTCGTGAAAAAATGTATGAATTGCTTAAGGCAAAGTGGAAAGAAGTTTCGTTTTCATTGATCAAGACTAGTCCACGATTGATTCTGGGAGGATTGAATTCAGGCAAAAGGAGCACTTTGGTCTTGTCCCAGCCCAAAGAAATTGAGCGAGATCAGTTCCAATCCGAGTGTTTTCTTATTCCCAGTTAGGTTTCTGATATGCTTCTCCTTTGATAAACCTTTCTATATTTTCTTTTATTTTGCACCCAATGCGCCTGCGTTTATCCTCTATAGCGAGAACCCTGCAGAGACACACATGGAAGATAGAACAATTACAAAATTCTCTGCGCACCGAAAAAAGAAAAAAAGGAAAAAAAAAACGACAAAATGATAAAAGAAAAAGAAACTTTATCGTCACACATTTTGTCCGATGGCTTTGATCTAGAAGACTATTATTTTGTGAACAATCCAGCTCTATTACTAAAATCGTATATATATTATTTAAAGTATATTCATTTTAAACCAAGCTCTTGATGGTATACTTATCTGGACGTTTAGAACTTGTAATTCTTTGTTTAGTCTCTGTTGTTTACTTTTATTATTTTTTGTTATTAATGACCCGAACGTTGTCATCCATGTGTGACCACATGACTACCAGATTACATAAGAATCCGCGAAAACTTATTAAGCATACACACAAATATTACGTAACGGCCCGCATTACATAATCGGGATATTAAGTGATCCCCTTATCTGTTTCTCCGCCATGCCACCTTTATTTTACCTTTTTTTTGTAATATTATCGAAATCTATCTTTAAATCTCCATATATTGTACATATATAATATTCCATGAAATCAATATAGATAGAGTATGCCCAACCAATATCATTTCGGATATCAACTGTATTCGCCCCCCGTGGCAAACGGATTGCAACTCAACACAAACAGCAACAATAATGATAATTCAAATTATGTCTCACATTTGGCATCTAGTCCCACATTCCACAGTACATATCCTGATAATGCAAGCTCCACAAGCTCTACTAGTTCCAGCTTAGGTCTGCTGTCGTTATATCTGAATGGAAGTAGTGGTGCTTCAAGTTATTCATACCAGAATCCAAGGCTTAGATACTATATGTCCAAATCATTCGACATTGAAGATGATTTAGAATTTTGTCCAGATATTCCTGAAAACTTTGAGAACAGTCCACCAGCCAAAAAATTCAACCCATACACTGCCTCTGTGTTTCTGCCTCAGGAAGTGTACGGAGCTGCCCCTGGGTCACCGGTGACCAACAGACCACAGTCTCCACGCCTGCGTACTCCTCGCATTAAGAAGCCTTTGGAAATCATCAACCCTCAAACTAAGTTGAGAGTTGCTTCTGCATCTATAAATAAATAGACCTTTTCGTGGACCGATAGGGTTCGCATGTATATTAAGCGTATAATGAGAAACTTCATGTAGAGAGTTTGTATTCTATAAGAAAATGAGAAATGGTATGATCATGTAAAATATTCAGGGGGTATCGTGATGATGATATTGTAAATTAGTGAAGTATAGAGTTAAATATTATTTTAGATAAAATATAGAGAGAACATAATGATTTTGAATTGTTATTACTAATGTAGTATTTTTTCTATAATGTTAGTCTGAAAATATTCATTAACTTAGTTAATTTAACTTGAAAAAAAGTAAAATTCCGTATATGCTTTACACCAGCAAACTCTGCTGGATGAACTTAAAAGGTTAAATGCCACGTGATTATGAGGGTAATGAATGAAGTAGTTATTGTGGCTTTGTTGCAAAATCTAAGAGGGAAAACAATACTGTGACTGTAACCAATAGGAACACCTAATAAATTGCTGTATGTATCTTCTACGTAGTTCAATGTAATTTCATAGACTGATTAACTAAAATAGGGAAGGATTCTAACTTAGTTGACTACCGTCTCAGCCAATCATTATATACAAGAATATCTAGAATACAATGACTAGTCATCAAAGTCTAAGACATGTTTACCAACATTTGTGTTACAATTAATTGAAAAAGAACAAAAGACTTACAAATGATTAAAAATGACGAAATTCGTAGAAAAACATTCTGCTTCTTACTGTATTTCACAAACTCAATGATCCAAGTAAATATACACTAATAGAGAATAATATGTGTATATTGAAAACATACATACATCGAGAGGCATTAATAAGAACCAGACTGTTATTATAGAATATCAGAGTTCCAGATTTGAATATTAAATGGCGAATAAATCATGCCCACCAGTAACCTTTTTCTTTGAAGAACTCAGAAATTTAAAAACATGTGAATATATATTACATATAAGTCAATTTGCAGTATCTACATGTAAAATTGATAAGTCACAAAACCGCAATAAATAAAATAAAGCAGGCACAATCAACATGAATCTCGTACCGCGAATTCTACAAAATTTAAAGCCGCTATGATCGACAAAATTTAAAGCCGCTAAGATTGACAAAATTCCGTCCCATTATCGCTCAACAGAGTCTTGCCGCTACTTTAAACAATATTGATTGATTCAACGGTCAAATCCAGATAATATCCGCTAAAGGAAGAGAATAGAACCCTTGGCAAATAATATTTAAAATTCCGCTCATTCCCCCTCCTCTCAAAACTCACTTACTCACTCATTATTTCATCGCTTATTGCATGATGTAGACATTTTGCCGCTACTTTATTTTTCATTTTAGAGTATTGGTGGTCGGTGCACCAAAATATGAAATTGAATTATATATTATTTTTTTTTTTACCGTATTGATTTCGGCTCGTCATTCCTGTTTCGGAATTCCGATGCGAATCAACCTATTGTGGTAGGTCAAAGATTTTGGATTTCCGATTAAGCCTAATTGGGAAGTTGCAACAGCACAATCTAAGTAACACCATTAGGTGAGATGGTCGAATCTATAATATATAAAGGTATGATAATTTGCTCGAATATATTGATAGGAATAGTTCTTCAACATAGACTAACTACTTCTATTACATAATAATATAAAATGGTTGCCCCACATCCTTTTGACACTGTCAGAGAATCTGAAGTCAGACTCGCTTCAAAGTTGGTCAAGGATTCTCACCCTGCTTCCGCCAATGTTCATTTTGTCCAAATCGACAAGCTCGATCCTCCAAAGAATGACATGAAGAAATATTTGGAAATTGAAAGAACTGGTGGTAAGTTGCCATCTATCCCAAGAGTTCTTTACGCATACTACTATACTGAAGAAACTGTGTTTAATAAGGCCCTTGTCAATGTTACCGTTGGTCATGTTATCACCAAGACCCAACTTCCAAAGGGTGTTTGTGGTCCTCTTTTACCAGATGATCTCAATGAATGGGAAGTATATTGTAACAACCATCCAGCCGTTCTTGCCGAAATTGAAAAATTGAAGTTACCAGCTGGTTACTCCGTCAGAAATGATCCATGGATTTATGCTACCGATGATATAAATGAAAAGAGACCATTATGTCAATTTTTCATGTACGTTGCCGCTGGAAATGGTCATTCCGAATCTAACCATTACTCTTTACCATTGAAGTTTTCTCCAGTTTTTGAATGTTTCACCAAGAAGTTTATTAGAATGGATTATTTACCAGGTGGATTTGATGCCACTCTTGTCCCAACCCAACCATGGCAAGAAGTTCGTTGTGTTGAATACCATCCAGATTTGAATGGTGAAGATACAACCGCTCGTGATGTCAAGCCATTGTTGATTACTCAACCAGAAGGTCCATCCTTTACCGTTGACGGATCCAAGGTTAAGTGGCAAGGTTGGGAATTTAGAATCGCTACCACTGCTAGAGAAGGTTTTGCTGTCTATAACGTTAGTTTCAAGGGCCGTCAAGTCTTTTACCGTATTTCCTTGTCTGAAATGACTGTTCCTTACGGTGATCCAAGAGCTCCATACCACAGAAAGCAGGCTTTCGACTTGGGTGACTGTGGGTTCGGTACCAACGGTAACCACTTGGCCCTTGGTTGTGACTGTTTGGGTGTTATCAAGTACATGGATGGTGTTGGTATCCATGCAAATGGTGAACCATACGTTATTCCAAACACTGTGTGTATGCACGAACAAGATAATGGTTTATTATACAAGCACGTTAACTACAGAACTGGTAACTCAGTTCTTGCTCGTAAGCGTGAATTTGTTGTTCAAACCATTGCTACAGTTGCTAACTATGAGTACATCATTAACTTGAAGTTTGTCACCGATGGTTCCATTGACATTGAAACTCGTGCCACTGGTATCTTGTCTACCATGCCAATTGACGAAAACGTACGTGTCCCATGGGGTACTATTGTTGGACCAAATGTTATGGCTGCTTACCATCAACACATTTTGTCATTCCGTATCGATCCATCTATTGATGGTCATAAGAATACTGTTGTTTATGACGATGCCTTAAAGATGCCAAAAGACGAGCTCAATCCCTTCGGTATTGGATTTGTTTCCGATCGTCATTACGTTGAAAAGGCTGGTCATGTCGATCAATCTCCATTCACAAACAGAACTTATAAGATTATTAATGAAAATGTCATTAATCCTATTTCTAAGACTCCAGTTGGTTACAAGGTTGAAGTTCCTCCAAGACAAATGATTTTGGCTGACAAGGACTCCTTTAACGTTAAGAGAGCCAAGTTTGCCACTGAAGCCGTTTGGGTTACCAAATATAGAGATCATGAACTTTTCGCAGCTGGTGAATTCACTAACCAATCTAAATCTGATACTGGTTTGGGTGTTTGGGCTAACGGTGTAGATGACGTCAGAAATGAAGACTTGGTTCTCTGGGCCACTTTGGGATTCACACACATTCCTCGTGTGGAAGATTTCCCAGTTATGCCAGTTGAAACTCACAACATTCATCTTCAACCAGTTAATTTCTTTGACAGAAATCCTGCGCTTGATTTACCTCAATCAAATAATGCCTTCAACAAGTCCTCTTTGTTTGAATCCAACAAGACCAGTAGCAGTAGCGGCTGTTGCAAGACCAACTTGTGAATAGTTGAATAATTATGAGTTAATAATATACCAGTAAATAATCATTTTTAATGTAGATGATGTAACTGCTGCAATCTTGGCAATTTTGCAACTCTTCTAATAATTGAGATTACACAATAAAAAATATTTCCTGACGGTTTTCTCCCACTTATTCCGAACACACACATGATCTTTAAGTTGTTATCTCGATTCCAATCCAATTGAAACGTAGTATATATGACCATATAAGTTTAATGGGGTCTTATATGATAAGGCTAAGCTGATTAGAAACCCTGGGCCTGCATGTAAAATTGGTTAGGGGTTATAAATAGATTGTCTAGGCCAGCTGGAATCATTCATCTGAGTGATAACTCTTTATGATCCGCGCCACTAATTTCATTTAGCCATGGCTTAGATAATGTGCCAAGATTATGACAAGGCATATAAAGTTAGTTTTTTTTGCCATCGTCAAGATCTCTCCAGGTACATATATATGTAGATTCAAATTCCATTATTGACTTTTCTTTCTGGATGGACATACAATGACAAACTTCAACAAAACTCTTCTCTTAATTCTCAACTTAATTACATTAATTTATGCCATGGATTCTTCTGATGCTGCATTCATTACTCGTTTAGTCGATGACGTCAAATCCAATGTCAATGATTACGTACAATTTTATCTTACAGCAACCGTCAGTGTTCCTAAACAATTCACACAAGTTGCATTACAACTTCAAAGTTATACCGGTAGTGATTATGCTTCCGTTGTTGAATCTGATGATATTAATGTAACTTCTCTTGAATCTTTTGCAACGAACTTACCATGGTATAGTTCTAGACTTGCTGTTAATGACGTTTCAGCAGCCACTACCACAGGAGATGGAACTTCAGGAAGCGCTACTGCTACACAAACCAGTTCAAGTTCTAAATCTACAAATGGAGCTGCCAGTCCAACCAATGACATGGCCGGTGGCATAGCAGCTATCGCTGCCGTAGCTGCAGCAGCTGCAGCAGTTGCAATCATTTAAATACACATTCAATTAATAAAAAAAACTAAAAAAAAACACAAACAAACCAGGACTATCAAATAATCTCGGAACGTAACTAGCAGTCAATAGCTTATTAAACATTTATTTCTTCGATTCAGCATCAAGACTTGTAACAGTATCCAAAATAGTTTTTTCTTGAGGAATTGGGGTCCAATTGAACACCTTTTGAGCCTTTTCACTGCTGTAATGGTTGGTGACATCAAGGTAACCAACAATTCCCTTGATATCTGGAACCACATACAGCAACAAGCGAAGTAACCAGGAAGGGAGTTCCCAAGTGGGAAGGTTGTTGATACGTGGATCATTAGATTTAAGACCTTGTCTCAAAATGTTAGCAATTTGAAGTATACTAGCTTCCTTTGTAGAAGCAACCAAGATGAATCTTTCACCCTTTGCCTTTTCACTCTTTATAGCTTCAACATGTAATTTAGCCACATCTCTGACATCAATGACCCCAAATGAGATTTTTGGGGCACCATATTTCATCTCACCAGACAAAAGCTTTGTGATGATGTCAATTGAAGAGGAAAGGGTGGATGATCCTGGTACGATTGGACCAAGAATACCAGTAGGGTTGATAACTACCAATTCAAGAGGATGAGAGTCACCTTCTTGAGAGTTAATGAAATTCCAAGCTGCCTTTTCAGCAAGTGCCTTAGATTTGATGTAAGCACTTCCGGTATTTTCAACAATGGTCCAATCCTTTTCAGAGAGATTTGACCCATTAGGGTGTCCATAACCGACAGCAGCATAAGAAGATGTGAGAACTACACGCTTGACACCAAGCTTCTTTGCAAGACGTAATACTCTAAGAGCACCTTCTCTAGCGGGTACAATCAATTCATTTGGATCCTTTGGTTCGTAACTCGGGAATGGAGAAGCAACATGAAGAATATATTCAACTCCAGTGATAGCCTCATTCCAACCTTCATCAGAAGTAAGGTCCGCTTTATAGAAGGAAATCCTATCTTCAAGTTGGGCACTAGTAAGTTTAGGGGTGAGTTTGAGGATTGACTTTTTCAATTCTTCGACTTTACCAAGGTTTCTCACAGTTGTACGAACATTATATCCATTTTCAAGAAGGTCGACTATGGAAAATGTACCAACGTAACCGGTACCACCAGTGACTAATACGGGGGCCATTTTATATGCAATTTTATTTATTTAGTTGAAAATTCGAAAGTAAATTACCCTTTATATTAATTAGTGCAAATGGGGTTCTTTTTATTAAAAACTATGGGTGTGGTGGCGTTCTTGTATAATATATTAAATTGCGCTTTCTGAAAAGTTTAAAACCTTTTGATTATTTTGGTGCATGGATGGTTTAAATCTACTTTTTGCTACCGATGACATCTGGAATGCATCTCAAATAAGAGTTGCTACTTAGTTATAACTACGGAACTTCGGAAGATATATGGACTTTTTGCACCTTCGAAAATACTCGGACTTTTCGCATTTTGGAAGATTTACGGACTTTACCTGGCATTTCGGAAGATACACGGAGTTAACTGGCCATCCCGGAAGATCAACAGAACTTACGCCCGTACTCTGACTCTGTAACTTACGTTGTACAATGGACAACTCTTCTATTTCACTTACGGGGTGTTTATACTCCATTGAAATCACTTCACATTATTACCTTATAGAAAAGTACGTTCCTTTATTTTTTTACCTAAATTCGTAGTACAAAACCTTAATTTCTTCAGCCGCAAACCCCTTCTGCCGCAACTGGATAAAAAGCTAAAATGAGCCACACTTCTAGAACATCAACCAGTTTCTATTGCATCCTAGCACGCTTGAGCTCTAATTATATTGAAAAACACTCCTTCACATATGTATTTTTTTTCCCTTTTTAAAACCTTGTAGATAATTATATACAACGATATAAATCTTAGATAAGAACTCCCTATCGTTCCCTTTCGGTTTCAATACATGGGAAGTGTAACACTTACCTATTTATTTTATTTTTCAAATACAAACCTCAACTTAATAAACTGTTAAAACTCCTTATTATAAGAAGTTTTAAACCACGATACCCATCCCCCGACTTTCAAAATGTCCATCCTTACGGTGGCCATAAAGATAGTCGCCGTAAGAACAACCTCACAATTGCCACATAGAATCTACTGATTTTAAAAAGGTCGGTAAATGATGCTTCTGTGTTTACAATTATCAAAGCTGCAATCGCTGCGGTCCAAGAACCAGTCAAAGTTGGACTGTAAAATATATGTAGACATGGTTTCTTAAGTTATTAAGATTCTCTTCAAGGTAGCGAGGGCAATTGTTGAAGTTCGTCTGCCTATATGCCCAATGTATCGATGTATTTCCACCGCTGGTTCCTCAACAAAGGGCACCCCTTCCTCTACTTTTGTCCTCATTTCAACGCTTACATGCAGGCCATAAATCCGTTTTTTTTCCATTTTCCACTCGATGTTGACGAATCGGTCACATAATAGTGGAAAAATCTATACTTAAATATGTATCTTGCAAGTGGAATACATCACAAATGTACTTTACTATGTAAGTACATCATTAAAACCTATCAGGAGCATCAGAATATCGAGAAAATGCAGAATTTATGTAATCAAAAATACCGAATCCATTAAAAATTTTAAGATTTCACAAATCATCCGTGATAGTTTAGTGGCTAGAATTACCGCTTGTCGCGTGGTAGACCGGGGTTCAATTCCCCGTCGCGGAGTTTATTTTTTGAATTTCACATTTTCTTTTTTTAACTCTGTCAACCCCGGAGCCCGGATAAATCCAATATGAAATTTCATCCCTCATCTCGTATTGATGATCAATACCTTATACTCTATAACCCACCGGCACTTATCTCACAATGAGCTAAGATTACACCCTCCTAATTTGTATTTTGGCTATTTTTTGACGACCATATTTGCTTGTGGTACTCTTTTTTTAAAAGTGGGGAAAATCCATTTGTTCATAGAAAAAAATCCTAATCCAAAACAGGTAAAAAAAAGATAGGAAGAGCGGAACAATATCAATATTGCAAACGCTACCTAGCCATCCTCTAAATGAACCCTCTTCTTAGATTCCTAGACCTATTATTGTAGGTGAATCCTGCATATATAAAGTCCGAAGAGTACGTTTGTTATAGGAGAATTTGTCCTCTACCATTCCTTGGATAACGACGGTCACGGCGATTGAGAGAAACCCCACCCCGCCAGTGTGAATACATTAACTTTAGCCTATTGATCTTTTTTTTTTTTTTTCGAAAACGCGGGGACATTTTACTTTTTCTGCATATCCACATATTAAGGGAGAGGACTTTTGAAGATTATGCATCCAAATGCCCCAGTACGTTCACTCCAGGATATGAAGTTACACAACTGCGTCTTATACCCTCGTATCCTGTAAATTCTGATGGGACGTAAATCTACGAATTACTCTAAACAGAATCCTTAGTTTAGAGTTTGAAGTCCGAAATAGTAGGCAAAAAAAGAAACTATTCAAATGTTGGGCATCAGTGGGGAAAAAAAAACCACTTTGACTATGGAAAGGGGGGATGAGTGGCGCAAAATTATAGGACATGTACAAACTTTGTAGAATAGAACAAAATAATCCCTACAAACGATAGGGCAAGCGAGTTCCTGTTTCTGGAGATAAGAGAAATATTAGAAGAATGTTTGTAGCCTGTGACATATCTGAGAGAGAAGCTATTTACATTCTTGTATCACCGACGACTTACACACCTTTTCTCTGTATACTGTTTAATAGTAGACACACCCCATAAGTCTGATTTTTATACAAAATACCACCACTTCTTTTTTTTTTCGTTGTTTCGGCCGTACAGGGTACGTCATGAACGTTTCCTTGAAAATAATTATTTTCTTTTTTAAAATTTTGTTCACCTTCACCATTATTGTTAAGCCATTTAAGTCTAAACTCCGCACTGAACTACGTAATTTTTTTTTTTTTTAGTGAGTTCAGTTCATCAGAGACAAAAACACACAACTACAACCTCTGCCCTGTAGCCTGCGAATCTTATCATACCTCGAAGAAGAGAAATTGTTTCTCTTTGCGGAAGTAATCAGAGTCTTAATAAAAAAGAAGAAAAAAAACAAGCGAATCAGCAGGACAAGTGGATTAAGGACAAGGAAATAGGTACTCGAACACAGATGTCATTAATAGACACACAACCACAATATGATACTGAAGGTGGGGACATTAACGGTCCCCAAGGCAGAGCACATGTGAAGTATCTTCCTAATGGGAAGGTGATGAAAGTGCAGAAGACGCGGCAAAGGAAAATCTTGAGTTGTATTTATTGTCATTCAAAGAAGATCAAATGCTCTAGAGTCCAGCCTATCTGTAATAACTGTTCTAAGCTTGGCATCGAGTGCAAGTATTTTGTCAACGAGAGAGTCTCTCGAGGCGGTAAGAAAGGGGCGGGACAACCAGGCGACGCCACTGGACTTCGTCATGGATCTGTTAGTTCCTCGGTTGATTCGGCTACTTCGCCACCCCTTTCACCGGAATCAAAGGAATCCACCGATACTCCAGAGGAGGAAAGAATGGTATCAGATCAGTCGGCTCCCATCGAACAAATCAAATCTGAACTGGGATCCAACGCATTGGATAATTCCCAATTTGTCACGATTCAATCTGATTTTTTCCATCAAACAATCACAAACCCACCTAGCATGACCAATTTGGTGGCTCATATGGGCCCAAAGCAACAAGTTCCAACCTTGAACTCTATTAGCAATATCACCAATAACTTTTTCAATAATAGTTTCCATCCAGAAGAACCTTTTTCCTTGGGGTTATCATCATTTGTTGATTCTGGCAATAATGGTAATGTCCAGCAATCCAATCAAAACATAAATAGCTCAAATGGTAAGATTCCAAGACAAGAAACTTCTGGTAATCCAGTATTCCTTTCAAACGGAGGGAATATCGCATCAAATTTATTTTCTTCATTCATAGATAATTCTGCAAAGAAGAAACGCACAGTGCCACCACCACCACCACCACCACCCCCTCCTGCAGCAACAACAACAACAGCAGCAACAACACCCCCAGTGGCAAATCCACCGCGCGACCAGTCGATGTCAGTCTCCACCAACCCCGGTCTTCACAACTCATTGAACGCATATCCTTCAAACCCAGAGACCACCATTAATTACCTTTATGGGACAAACACCAATTATAACAATGAACTGCTTCTTGTGGAATTACTGAAACATCTCCCACGTACAAAGGAACGCTCCTTTGAACTTATCGATAGGTATGTGAACTCGGTTCATATTCTTCTCCCATTGATGAGTAACTTGGACACCTTCTTGATCGAACACAATGCATTTTGGAACAGAAGATCAAAGGATAATCATTCTCCGGATAATATGTCGGAATCTTCTTCTGGACTGTCTGGACAGTCCAGTCTCGGGGGTTCATATGATGGAGATCTTCAATTCTATACTCTTTATTTCCCCATCTTATATGCTTCCACCATTTCAGAATTTGAAGAGTATGATAACCTCCTCTTGAACGAAGATATCAACCTGTACCTTAAGGCATTCAACAAAATATGCCAATACTATAATTATCCTCATGGTTTGAAAACTATTCCACTTCTTTTGGGGAATGTTATAATTCAATCTACCCTGCCAAACCCATCAACAATGGAAATGTCTCAAATTATTCGATATGCCAAATTCCTTCATATGCACAAGGATCCAACTTTAACCTTGAGAATTACCGATTGGAAAGTTGTGAAATTTAGAAGAATGTTATGGTGGGTGATATTTGGATTGGACAGTTTGACAAGTCACAATTTTTGTTTACCACCAGTTTGTAAATTTGATGATTTCAACGTATTGATGCCGTTGGAAGAAGAACCAATTAATGATGATCCACGGTGTATTGATACAAAGCTCAATGTTGGGATTCTTCTGTTAAATGTTAAGTTTAAATATGATCGGATCTTGAGTGAGTTGGTGTACCGGTTACATGGACTCACGTCAGATATCACGTCGGAAGATACTGAATTGATCAAGGGAATGATTGTGGAATTATTTGAATATATCCATGAAGGAATGGCTAAAATTGATAATTATTACCGAGTTAATCCCCCTTCTAGCATGCAAGAATTGAATTTAATCAATTTTATTAAGAACCATAGTTGGAGTTATGTTGATAGAGCATTAATGTTGTTACATAAGAAGATTTTATTGGGCAGTGGTGGAAATGAAGATAAGGGAGCCAAGTCTCATACGTCTTCTTCAGGTACTGGCAATGATACAGTGAAGAAAGAACAAATGGATAGTATGATTAGTAGGAAAGTACACTCAGACCTTTCACTTTCACAATATGAAGATACGTTTGGACTTGTTCAAGAGGCAAATATAATTGCCAATTTTGATCGGGCAACCTTATCACAACTCAAATTCAGTCAATTTGATGATTTCACTTATGAAAATTTGCATAATAATCTTATCCCATCAATTCTTCATAATTTGAATGATTTCCTCAAGTATAATGATTTTATCAAGTTTGGGAAATATAATTGGTACGTCAAGAGGACCATCCCACTTGATTCTATTATCCTCATGTTCATTGTGATTACTGTCAAGTTCAAATACGAATTCATGACCGCCAGTGAGCTTGCAATTTATGTTAAACTTATAAACAAGGCACTTTTCATATTAAACCGTAAATGGTTTAAAAATGAAAAATATAAAAGAATGCTTCTGCTAGCAAACCTGACATGGGAATTTATGTTGAAAAAATATAATATTATCAATATTATCAACCAACATAATACTTTGGAGAATAGTAATGGTCGTGTTGAATTTTTCGATTATCAGGTATCTGGATATTTAAATATGAATGAATTATTTAATGTTATGGAAGTGCCACAACCTCTGCTTAGGGGAAAATCAACCAAACAATTACAGAATCATATGGATTCCCGGATTGAGAAATCTGAATTGTCGGGATTCTTCAATAATTCGCTCATTCCTACAAAACTCTATGGTATGAACCATGTTCGAGAATCAGAACTCATGCAAATGAAGGAAAAGATTTATTATGATCTTCGTAACAATTTTGTTGATATCAATGACTATTGTGCATTCTATTCATCATTAGAAAATATTATTCGAGAACTTATGGATTATATTAATAAGCCATAAGTTAATTATGTATTATAATTGATTAACAAGCAGACTACAATAATATACATATCTTGTAATTTTATATTATTACTCTATATTTATAATGCGTAACGTCGTGAGTGTTTTTTTGTTTATTCTTTAATTCATCTGAACATTTTCCCATCTGAATCTCCTTGAGTTCTCCATGCTGCGTTTAAATCACCACTATTTTCCAACTTGTACATTCTCCATGCTTCACGAATATGTTCAGGTTGAAGTGGAATTTCTCTGTCACCAAAATATTGTAATTTACGATCATCTACTTCAACCACTTCTTCCTTTCCCAGTTCCAAGCTTTTGAGAATATCTCTCTTTTGGCGCTTTTTATTATCAATATCCACAATCAAACGAGCCTTATAATCACGTTCTTGGATTTCAAACGCCCGCGTAATAATCTCACCTAGAAACAGTTTCGATACACCAGCTAAGACCACGGCAATGTTCTGTCCTATGGAGTGACCCAACACAGAGTTACAAATCTTCTTTACCCCCAGCTTATTAATGGTCATACGTCTGTACGACTCAAATCTATCCATCTGATCGTTACTAAATGATCCTATTATCAATCTCTTGCGTTCTTCATCTGTAAGTTCAGAAGGGGTGCCAAAATGGGAATCACCCGTACTTCTATCCTCCCGTTTACGCTTTCGATTTTGTTCCATTGATTTGAGCTCTTCATACTTTGCCACAAGATCGAGATCGTCCACCTCGCTGAGATCACTGATGGACTCATTCTCATCGTCATCCTCTTGGTTTAATATTTCAGATTCACTTTCATCAGTTGGATATCCTGAGTTGGTGTTCGACCTTTGACGCTTCTCCACATCTCCATAAAAGACTCTCCAGATCAATTCTTCATCTTCTTCATCCAAACTGATATCACTCAAATTCTCTTCACTATCAGACATGATATTAATAAGTTTATTAACTTGGTTCGTTTGCCGTATCATAAATATTGACAAAAATCAAAGAATGAAAACACAAGTAAAAAAAAAAAAATAAGTTGAAAGCCATAGTGACACAAAAAAGAAGGTACCCCATATAGAGGGGATAGTACTTGAAGGGTACAATCATTTACTTTATATATACGTAGTATAAGTCAGTATATTCATTCTGGCACAAGTACATATAAGAACATTAAATCTAATTTGTAATATATCAATAATCTATACTGTATACGTTTTCATAAGCTTAGTATAATTTACATAATACACCATGTTGCAACCAGTACCAATAAAAGAATGTACAAGTGAATATCCTTTGCTTTATTTTCTTGAATTTCTGAACCTTCAGATAATATGTCATCTTTATATAATTTGTCCCAATAAGTAGGTTGTTTTCGCCCTGGGTTTAATAATTTTTCCAGATCGGTTCTATTCTTATATTTTTTCATGATCAAACATCTTTTCATCATTTGCAACTTTAATCTGAGATTATTGTTAGGATTAGCCGGTATTTTCAAACTTTGTTCAATTTTTAGTACGGATTGATTGATAAAGTCCAAAAGATCTTCATAACATGCCACTCTTGGATAGTTAATAGTCTCATCTTGGGTGCAAATAAATGTATAATCAGCAGCACTATTACTATCAATTTGTTCATATTCGACAACTTTTACACTGATATTTACGTAATCATTTATAGCAGTTTGGAATGGAGTAAACCTTTTATCAAGAGCCTTTCCCCAATCAAGAAATTCTGAAGATTCAGTCATCATCATTCCTGGGTAATTTGAAAATTGTACCGTTAAATCATTCTGTTGGAGTTCAATATCTTTACAATCCAGTTCAAATAATTCAATCTCTGTACCTAAAAATGGATATAAAACTGTTTGTGCAATATAAAATGGAAGATCATTAGAATGTACAGATTCTATCGTATAGAATAAATATGCTCTATAGAACTCTGGATCAACTCCTACAGATAGTTCATTAGATCTAATTATCAAGAGAGAATACTCATTATTCGCTCCAATATCTTGACTTTTCTGTACTTTCCCTTGAATATTTCTTTGTAACACAGACATATCCAGATGTATATGCAATTGTTGATCCACTTGACTTCTACTATTTTCTAATTCATCCACCAAATCCACTGTCCAGTTTTTCACTGCTAGATTTGTAAGTTCTGCATCCAATTGTATCTGTGCCGCCTTTATCAAATCTGGGAAGTTATAGCCTTCATCTCCAAACCGAACATGAACAGGTAAATGGAGCACTGGTGGATGAATGGCAGTAGTATTCGACACTACAAAAGAAAACGGAGAGGAAACATACGAGAAAAGAGGATAGTCCAGACTACCACGCTTAAGTAACCCATATATCAACACAGCAAGTAGTAGGAAGTACCTGAATATAAAAGGTATAGACATTATTCTTCTTTCTTTAAAAGAAGTTCACTTTGCTGCGTTTTGTGTTGCTTGTCAAAAATCTATTGATCTTTTTCCTTCTATTCTTTTTTTTTTTTTTGACCATCTCTGTTGAAAAAGGTTGAGATACATTTGTATCTATAGAAGACACACTCTAGAACCTTATAGTTAATATGTCTGCTGTTCCATCTGTCTCTGTGGAGAAAAAGCTTGACCCTTCGTTTCAAGAACAACATTTTGTGCATGATGTCTACAATGATATTGCTCCACATTTCTCTCAAACAAGATATAAACCATGGCCAATTGTGGAGGAGTTTCTTAAATCCCGACCTGACTATGCAGTAGGGTTAGATGTTGGATGTGGGAATGGGAAATATTTAGGAGTAAACCCAAAATTATTTATGGTGGGGACAGATCGTTCCGAAGGATTAGTGACTTGTGCACAGGAGATCAGTGATAAGAGTGAAGGTGAACTTAGTTATAACTTGGGTGTAGCTGATGGGTTGAGTTTGCCCCATCCAAATGATTCATTTGACTTTGCTATATCGATTGCAGTCATCCATCATTTTGCCAACGAGGAAAGACGTGTAGAGGCAATTAGACATATTTTGTCTAAATTGAAGGTGGGAGGAGAATTATTGGTATATTGTTGGGCTTTGGAACAAGAAAGTTCTAGAAGAGGATACAAGGAAGGAGATGAACAAGACATTTTGATTCCATGGGTCAAACAAATCAAACAAGAAAAGAAGAAAACCAAGAAACCTAAAAGAAGTAGAAAAGATATGACTGAAGAACAAATCAAAGAAGAACGTGAAGCTGAAGAAAGAGCAAGAAAGGAGAAGGAGGAACAAGAAAAGATTGAAAAGGAAAAGGAAACTAAATACAGATACTATCATCTTTACAAAAAGGGAGAACTTAGTGAAAATGCAGTGAGAGCTGGAGGTTCCATAGTGAGAGAAGGATATGAAAAAGATAATTGGTGGACAATCATTCGTAGAGAAGCGAACTAATAGATTGCATATGTATATATAGATAACCCTAAGATTCCACACTGGTAACTTGTAGACTTTAAATAATTGTCGGTTAAGGTTGTTGGTTGCATTATCTTACTTTCTTGATCCACTTTGTGTAAATCTGCGCATATCATATCACTAAAGGAGAGACATCCATTCATTCGACTGATAGCATTCTCTCCACCAACAAACAAACAATTGCAATACACGCGATGATATCACCACAGGAACGGAAGGACAAGCTTGTTAGGGCAACTGATTTGGACGCACTTAGTTGTAGATTTAGTGCCAATAACCGCGGATATTTTAACACACCTCCAGATCAATACATACGAGCGCTTATTACATCATACCAAAAACATCTCCCCTTTTGTCAAGGATACACGCAACTTCTGTCGAATAGGACACTCCGGAGTGTCTTTCAAGACAATCAGAAGCTTCCATTGATCAATCGAGGCACTTATTTCCGTACACGATCTATCGATTTGGTGGTGAATGATTTCATCCTGCAACATAATGGTCAGTGTCAAATAATTTCCATTGGAAGTGGATCAGATACTAGAGCTTTCAGAACTTTGAAGGACTCACCAGATGTAATATACCATGAAATAGATTTCCCAGAGTCGTGTAAGATTAAAAGGGCTGCCATTTTAGAAGATGACACATTGCGTGACATCATTGGATATAAAGAGGATAGCACTCTCACGGACAGCATCACCTCAAAGGAAGATTTCCAATCATACCCATCTGATTTGAACACTGATAGGTACTATCTATATGGAGTTGACTTACGTGAATTGGAAGGCTCCAAATTTTCCTTTGATTTGACATTACCTACACTTGTCATCAGTGAATGCGTCTTGTGTTACATATCCCTCGAGAATAATGCTCGTATTCTTTCATTCTTTAGAGACTTATTCAAAAGTTCAACAATTGCATTTCTAATCTACGAGCCAATGTCACTCAATGATTCCTTTGGCAGTACCATGACAGCCAATCTTTCAGGTCGAGGAATTGTTCTTCCAACGTTTGAAAAGTTGCCTGACTTAAAGACAAGACTACTGTTTTTGAAAGAATGCAAGTTTCTTGATATTAAATTGACAGATTTAAGTGAAATAAGTGGGTATGAAGGAGACAATTCTTGGATATCTCCAGAGGAAATCCAAAGAATTGATAAGTTGGAAATAATAGATGAGATTGAAGAGATTAGGTTATTGTTAAAACATTATTGCTTGACATATGCTGGGATTGGAGACTCTTTCAAGAGTGACAGAAAGTGGATAATTTCTGAAAATTATTAAGTTAGAATCTCTTTTTCACAATTAAATAAAAAATATTTATATTTCATAGAGTCACAACTCTACCTACTATTTATACTATGTACACTATAAGCCCATGAAACCCGGACTTTCCTTCGTTCCAGATGGAAGAATAGTTAAAAATTTATATACTTTCCCCATCCCTTTATCATCTTTCCCAGTCAATCTCAAGTATGAATCATAGATCTTATCCTGTTCGGCTGGAGAATCTTTATTTTTCTTTAAAAGCTGGTCAATTCTATATCCAACTCCCATTTCATGTAACCAATCTCCTTGTTCCACTGGTCCAAACACTTTCCTTTCACCGTTACCCTCTCCTAAAATCTTGAGGTTTTCAAAATCAACATCTATCGATAAATCCACATCCCCAGGACTATAGAATGGAGAAACAAACTTGTGTTTATAAATTCCTCGAAGGGTATTATCAGGCACACCTTCTGAAATCCCATAATCCATTACAAGAACTGCACCAGTTTTATCCTTTACCAAATCTGCCATTTTAGAAATATATAATTGCGCATCAGGGCATATTTCCACTCTTGTCCCCACCGGGAGATCGTGGAAACGACGAGTATTCTTTGGAATATAAGAAGAAGGAGTTTCCTTTGGTGCAAGAGTTAAATGGAAATCTGTTTCAAGAAGGGAGGTATCTTTGGAATCCACTTTTGATGTACCTTCCAACTTGCCTTGAGTATTGTTTACACTAGAAGAATGTTCAACAAGCAATTCTCTCCAAGTATTCTTTTCACCCTTTTCAAAGGATTTGATAGGCAAAGCGTCAAAAAATTCATGAGCTAAGATATAATTTGCCATGTTCAGATCTTCTACAATATCCTTTTCAGTATCAACCCATTCTATGGTATTCCCCCATTGGGTGGTGCACTTGTTCCCGGGAAGTAAAGGGTTTTCTTTACATAATAATTTTCTTTGTTCTTCTCTCAATACAGGAGATGCTTCAATCATAATGATAGAAATGGTTGTTTTGTCACTTCCTCTACCCATGGCAGCGGCCCCTTTACTAAGTCTATTAAAACATTTGATTACATCGTGCATCAAGGTACCCTTCCCAGGACCAAATTCAATAATACGAACCTTTTTTGGACTTCCTTGTTGCAACCAAGTAGAGAATAACCATACACCAATCATTTCACCAAAAACTGAAGAAATTTCTGGAGAAGTGATAAAATCACCAGATTTGCTATCCAATGGATCTCTAGTAGTATAATATCCAAACTCAGGATGAGTAAGACATTGTCTCATATAAGCAGAAAGAGATATTGGACCAGTAGTTTTGATCGATTGAACAAGAATTCCTGCCAAAGAAGTGATGGAGATCTTGGAGGAGGTATTATTCTTATCCTTGGAGACTGTTGGTGCAGCAGGGATACTTGGCATGGTTCCAACCTTCAGTCTAGGGTCATTTGGTCCCTTGATTTGCTTCTCTAAATTCTCAACTTGTTGTTTAACAATTGCAGCCGCTTCGTCATATTCTTGTTGGGTAAATCTACCGAAATATAATTTTTCCTTCTCTTTCAAGGTGATAGTGTTACATAGGTTCCGCAAGGATGTCTTACAAAGTAATTTGGACCGCACTGGTCTAATCAAAGAGGCGTACATGGTCCACACTAGCTCGGGTTTATAATGTGAAATTCTTCCCTTCTACCTTTGTGAAAATGCAAGAAATGGAGAAAAAATGTACCAATTCATACTGGAATGCATATAGTGGATTAAGAGAAAGAGAATGAGTTAGAACAGTAGATAAAAGTTGTTGGAAACAAGGTAAAAGACAATTCACTCAGCTATGTTAACCATTACAGATTTAATGAGTGAATATTATTTGATGGATTTCAAAGAGAGTTAATTTCACTGAGTTTGAACTGGTTAGCTCTATGTGCATTTTGTTGGGATAACATCTTTTATGAATTTATTATTCATTTATGCTTACAAAGTAAACTATTACTTATTGAGGGATATCCACTCGTTTATAAATGTATATGCCCCTTATTTAAAACTCTCTGTCAAACTTAATTCTGGTTCATCTTAGAATTACCACAATACAAATACTTCTTTTTCCCCGCCCCCTCACTTGATCCTCACCTGAAGGCTCATCAAAATATTCACTCATCTAAAAAAAAAAACCTATTTTTAGACCCATCAAATAATTGTTAAGATTAGACCAGTATATATATATATATGTATATTTGATTCTTTATATACTTACCAATACCTACATTATATACCCATAGACTCAACCCCTTAATCCTTTCTTGTTATACTACTCTCTTACATTCATATTATCTTGATTATCTTGCGCAACACCCATACACCACCAAACCCCCACTTCCTGCACACACGACCCAAAGAGAATCAAATTAAAAAAGACGCCCTGGAAAGATACACAAAAAATAAAACAAGAAAAGAAAAAGCTCGTGTATATCTCAATTAACTTTTTGTCATAATTTACCAACAAAGGCGGGACCAACTTTGAAACAACTGAAAATACCACAATTCACACAGAACAATCCAGTTGTTCCGACAGAGTTTTATTTCCGTACCCTTCAATCTTTGGATTAATCTTAGTTATCCAAATTTCCACGCACCACTTCCAAAGAAAGAAAAAAGAACACCACATAACCTGAGCGCCAGTGCGAAACCGTACGACCAATAATTATACATAGACTACTTTGAACCAGTTCTGAACTGATAGACTTTACTAGTTAGTTCAAGCTAGTTGTACATAGATCTTCAGATTTCCCGGTCCCGGTAATTGCACATATATTCCGTTCTGAAAGCGCAATACTTTTTTGTTTTTCTTTTTGTATATTTACAACCTTTGACTAGGCAATCTTTCTTTTGATAAGACTGAGAGAGCTTAGAATAGACAGAGCCAGCAACTTGGAACAAGTATACAGTGCCTGTTCAGTTCATTCTCTAGCGTTTAAAAGTTGATTAATTAATTTTTTTGTCTATTGAATAAAGTCAAAGGATTAAAAAACAACACGTTACCCGTTTGAAGTATAAGAATATCCAATTCAAAATTAAAAGATGGGAAATAGTCCTTCCAAGAATAGGGCTCCTCCCTTGACTCGTACAGACACTGGGTCTTCTGCGAAGTCGTCAAGGTCAATAAGATCCAGAATTTCTAATAGAGATGATGCTGCCAGTTATAAAACCGCGTCTTCGGAGTCTCCAAAATTAGGACCGAAATCTCCTCGTGTACTATCCAGAAAGAACTCATCTACCCAGGAGGACCACGATAGGGATGACGTGCCGAACTTATCCAATCTTAACATCAATGGCGGTTCTCAAGACATGAGCTTACCACCATCAATGATTAGAGTTGAACCAAAGCAACCAATTCTAGTAAGACGAAATACAAATGATTCGGAATTCCCCAACACTCCAAATACAAAGTCTTCATTTATGGCAGGAGGATCTCCACCAAACAATTCCAACACCCCAAATAACATCAGTAGAACGTCTACAAGGAACTCATTCAACGGTGCAAGTTTCTCTGCTTCCCCACTGACAACCACCACCAATGGATTTGTGGGAGATGGAGATGCGGTAAATGACGGAGCAGGCTCCGTCTCGGGATCTATATCGGGCTCTGTTTCAGGGTCCGCAGCGGCATCAATTGCCGATGATCTGGCTAGTGTTCGATCCGCAATTGGTGAGAATCCTCTTTCTAAATTAAAGCTGAATACTACACGGTCCAACTCATTCAATACTGCAGGGACAGTTTCTTCATTAGATCCACCTTCTATAGACATCGAAGATCTTATACAAAGACTTTTGGACGCAGGATATTCCGGGAAACGTACAAAGAATGTTTGTCTTAAAAATACTGAAATTCAAGTTGTATGTGCCAAGGCCAGAGAAATATTCCTTCTGCAACCATCACTTCTTGAACTTTCACCACCAGTGAAAGTTGTTGGAGATGTTCATGGTCAATATGGAGATTTAATTAGAATATTCACTAAGTGTGGATTTCCTCCACAATCCAACTATTTATTCCTTGGTGATTATGTTGATAGAGGTAAGCAATCCTTGGAAACAATTTTACTTCTTCTTTGTTATAAGATCAAATACCCTGAGAATTTCTTCTTATTGAGAGGTAATCATGAATGTGCCAATGTCACTAGAGTGTATGGGTTTTATGATGAATGTAAAAGAAGATGTAATATTAAAACATGGAAATTATTTATTGATACATTTAATACCCTTCCAATTGCAGCCATTGTTGCCGGGAAGATTTTCTGTGTTCACGGAGGACTTTCACCTGTTTTAAACTCCATGGATGAAATCAGAAACATTGCACGCCCAACCGATGTACCAGACTTTGGATTACTTAATGATATTCTATGGTCAGATCCGGCAGATACAATGAATGAATGGGAAGATAACGAAAGAGGTGTGTCATATGTTTTCTCCAAGGTTGCTATCAATAAATTTTTACTGAAATTTGAATTTGATCTTGTTTGTCGAGCACATATGGTTGTTGAAGATGGTTACGAATTTTTCAATGATCGTACATTAGTGACGGTATTTTCAGCACCAAATTATTGTGGAGAATTCGATAATTGGGGTGCAGTTATGAGTGTAAGTGATGAATTATTATGTCTGTTTGAATTATTGGATCCATTAGATGGCACTGCATTGAAACAAGTACTTAAACAGGGGAGACAAGAAAGAAGGGCCGCTCAACAGCAGCAACAACTGCAACAATTACGATAAACACTGTATGTATGACATATGGGATGGGTATTGCAGTCACAGATTTTTTCTAATCTTGTTTTAGCTACATTTAACACTAATCCCTTATCTACAGTAAGACCACAATAACCAAACTAGAGTTAGGGGTATATATTCATGAGTGTTTGTTGCAAAGAATAAAAAGGAAAAAAAAATGAAATTACAAGTTGAAAAGACGGAAAACGATAAAAAAAAAGCAAAAAAAAAAAAGCAAAAGAAACGAATCAAATACGAAGATATGATTCAAATCCTAAAGGACAATCCTTTAGGATTAAGTTTAAGGTACATAAAGAATAATCAATATATATATAATTACGTATGAGATTTTGTAGATAGAATTAAGAGGATTCTGTATATAGACGCGTTTATCGTAAGGTATGCAAACACGACATTAGCGACATAAAAAGTAGGAGGGAAAGGGAAACAGCGACATTTAGATAATTGTATAGAGGTTGACTACTATAACACATAAAGTTAATCAAATCTAACTACCAAATGACTAGTTATGAAAATAGTAGTAATTTCTTTCTACTACAAACAGAAAATTTTGAACCACTTTTAAAATTAATAGATCAACTTAGTTTAAAAGTTGAAGAGAATCAAGAAATCATTGAACGAATTACCAAGAAAATAGATGGAGAGTTTGATTTCCCCGAATATAAACCGATTAAACTCGAGGAGGACGGGATAGAGAAGAACGGGACGACGACGACCAAAAAGAATAAAGCAGCAAGTCCTGATATATTAAGGCTATTTTTGAATGACAAGTATAAACTTGATCAGATCAAGATAGATGAAACAGGGGGAAACCAAAAGGGAGAAAATGATACAATTAGAGGACTTCGAAATGATATTGCAAGACTTCGGAAGTTGAGGGATTCCAATTCAAAGAAAAATAAAGATCTTTACCAGATAATTTTGGATTATGAAATGTTTGTAGTGAAAGATATTCTCCCCCGGATTAGAGAAGATATTGCCAGATATCAACAAGAATCCACACAAGATATTAGAGAACAACAGATGGTGGCGAAGTTCACTAGTGAATCTAAACTTTGGGAAGATTATAACCTGTATGTTGAACATTTGGATCGATTAGTATTGGCTTGTCATCGATTGACGGAGATGACAGATGTGGTTAATAGTCGAGAAATGCTGATATTAGAGCAAAAATTAGCGATATTAAACGAAATTAGATTGAATTTCCCCGGGAAATGGATGTTGGAAGGTTATAGAAGCAAATAAGAATATTTGAATTGTTTGCTATGTGGTGATATAGAAAATATTATATAAGGATCTACAGGGTGGTTCCTTTTGGAGGCAGTGATCAATTCGGGTGGATGATAAACCCAGTAGTAGTGATTAACCAATTATAAATCGATAGATATGTGTTTGATACACAAATATATGCAGCATTACCAGTTCATTTACTGTACAAACTTGACTTCTAAATTAAATTATCATCATCATTATTATCATTATACTATATACATTTCTATGATTTTGGAGCTTTTCGTTGGAATATATGCAATATTAGCGTTGGAACAAACCCAAAGACAACCATGAGTCCGGCTAATAAGCTGTATGTCCCCTTGATACCTAAGTTTGGATTCTCAAGCATCACTGGGAAGTAGAAGGGTCCAATGAACCCGTAGACCTGTCTCAAGAGTGTTATGAATAGTGAAACATCAGATGCTTTTGCGGGAATTGTATCAATACAATAGGTAATCAAAACAGTTGTAATGATCTGTAACCCAAACAGAGCAATGGCAAGACCAACTACCGGTACAATGGTCCATTCAGAGTTTCTTTCAAGGAAGACTCCATAGACCACAGTACCAACGACACATCCCGCGAAACCAATATAACTGAGCCAAAGACGATATTCTGGGGGTTCGCCACTACATTTCGTTATCATATTGGTATCTCTATTAATTTTTCTTGACATCCACAAGTCAGACATCCATCCTCCCAATTGCTCACCAAATAATGCGCCTAAAATCAATCCTACGAATTGCAATCCAATTTGTTGTGGATCAAACCCATATTTCTCATGATATAAGCCAGTAAGTTCGACCCCTAATGCCACATTGGAATAGGCAAAACATACAGAGTAAGCAATAGTTGCAAGTAAAACTTTTGGTAAAAGGAAACATTCCAATGGCAGAAGGAAAACATACCATGACAATGGTTGCATAGTACGTTTCTTGGTAATTTTCCAAAGTTTATTGATTCCAGGATACCATACAGATTGATCGTAGACAGTTTCTCTTCCAATGATTAAATATGCCAAGAATTGCACAGCATTCATCACTGCAAATATTAAAAACACATTTTTAGTTTCTCCAGTTTGCTTTTCGACAAATCCCATTAAAAATGGTCCGAAATGGGTTCCTATAGTAATCATCACGGCCCACCATCCGGTTCTAGAACCTCTCTGGTAACTGAAACTTACTTCTGCAACCACTGGTCCACCCACAGCCACAGCTGGGGAAATCATAAATGCCCCTAAGACTCTACACGTCATAAGACTGGCGTAGCTTTTCGCATACATACAGCCAATGTTACACACCATAGACCCCAAGGTTGACAATAAAAGAAGTTGTAATCTACCATATCGATTCATGACGGGCATCCAGACAAAGGGGAATACCCCCAACACTATGATCTGAGCCAGGGTTAAATATGAACATTGAGTGATGGTTATATCAAATTCAGCTGCCAATAACGCAAATGAGGGAATTAAACCTGCGGCCATAAATGTACAAGTGAAGGCATGAAATGCAACCATCGCTAGTTGAGCAGATTTGAGAAGAAGTGGCCAGTTTAAGGGATCCTCATCGTTTACACTTGGAAGCGGATCAAGATCAAATCGGCCATGTTTGCCGAGAAGATACTCTCGGTGCTCTACGGACAATTTAGGGGCATATTCTTGATCATCTGAATGTTCTTCTTTAGTCATGGTGAGAGGGGAACACAGAGTTGCACAATGTCACTTTCTCTCTGACACGATGTTATTCGTCGTTTATACTATAAAGTTAAAATACTGGAAATTCAACCAGCTATAGCCTTGTAGTTTATACAAATATCCAATTACTAAACCGAAAAAAGCACAAAGCAGAATAGGCAAAAGTAGCTCACGTTTAGGTTACAATATAATGTTCTAATGATGAGATAATTAATCGAGGCGCACACAGAATAAATTTTTAGTTTCACCTACTCGAGCCGCACCATCATCAAATAAAACAAACAGTCTGGGGCTAATCCACAATAAAACCAAATAATATCCCTTCCTAGTTTTCCAAGACGTTGTTATCATATGAAGGCGATCCTGTGGTTGTGTGGGGGATAAGATTTACGGGGGAAAGCTAGAGCTTCTATTGGATGGCATGATAAACTGTTCAGAAAATAAAAAATATAACAATGGAGATCATTTGGATACGATGTGCATAAATGGTTTTGGTATTGCCAAGAGTTGGTGCGGCGGAAACACTAGAGTCTCGAACCTCTGGGAGTTATTGGAAATATTTATACATCGTCGCTTTCTAATTTCACTTTGGCTACTATCTGAAATATATTTTTATATAACTATTTTTAATTTTTACTTAACCATATGAGCTATAAATAGTTCATTTTACACCAACTTCTACTTCATTTTACGCTATATCAAGAACTATAATTATATTAAAAGTATGGCATATTAATCTATATTTTTTTATTTATTTTTGAAGCAATTTACAGCTCCTTTACTTTCTTAAAAAGTCACTCTCTTCAATGCTTGCCTTTTCACAAATTTGATAGAAGATTCCTCTTTGATTGTACAAATTCCATGGAGAGTCAAACTCAGCCAAACTACCCTTATCAAGGGTGAGAATTTTATCATAATTTATGATAGTTTTCAATCTGTGAGCAATACAAAGGATAGTGCAGTCACTGAATTCTCGTACAATGGTTTGTTGAATCTTAGCATCAGTATCATAATCAACAGATGAGGTAGCTTCATCAAGAACTAAAATCTTGGTGTTTCGTAATAAAGCTCTAGCAAATGAAATTAACTGTCTTTCTCCAAGAGAGAAGTTGCTACCCTGTTCTTCAACTGTTTGATCAAGGTGAAATTTATGAATGTCATTGCCTGCAACACCTGAAGTTTGAAGTCTTGCTTCGGCTAATTGTTCCTCATTGAGAACACCAGCACGGAGCAAAACCTTCCAGATTTCATCATCTGGATATTCATTAAATGGGTCCAAATTCTTTCTAATTGTCCCATTAAACAAGACAGGATCTTGTGGAATAATGGAAAGTTTGGAACGAAGATCATGAAGTCCAAGTTCACTAATATCTACCCCATCAATACTAATTTTCCCACTATCTAATTCTGCCAATCTAAATAACGCAGTCATTATACTAGATTTACCAGCACCAGTTCTACCACAAATACCAATTTTCTCACCTGGAGAAACATTAAAAGTTAAATTATTCAACACATTTGGTAATCCCTTTCTATATTTCAAATTTACTCTATCAAATGTAATTCCACCATGTTGTGGCCAAGAAGAGTCAGGGCAAGTGTTTTGGATAGAAAAATCAGCCTCTTGTTCCATATGGAAAGCATATTGACAAATTCTTTCAGCAGAGTTCATATCATTTTCCACTTGAGTGGCAATTCTAATGAATTGAGATAATTCATTAGCCATATTGAACGCATAACTGACAATTAAACCAGCAGAAGCAGCATTAATCTTGAAAACACGGAACACGCAACAAAGTGAAACCAAAAGAGAGAAGAAAAACAACATCAATTCTAACATAAGTGCAAGCCAACGTTGGTTAGCAAACACGAGTATAGTGGCTTCATTCATGTTATCAATACTGGTATAGTTCTTATCCATGAATCTATATTTAGAATAGTATGCTTTGATGGTAGTCATACCATTAAGAGCCTCAGCAAAGTTATTATAGACAAATGATCTTTGAACTGCTTCTAAACGCTTAATTTCTCTGGTACTAGATTGGAAGTAATCAGCCAAACAAACGAAGATGAATGCAAGTGGAGGAACAGCAATGGCAACCCATGGAACGTAAATGATACATAACACTAATATACCAATAATTTTCCCACAAGAAAAGAACATCATTCTCAATTGTTCATTAATTTCGTTATCCAAGGCATCGGTATCCTTTGTGAAACGATTAAGAATTCTACCAGTTGGGGTGACATCAAGGAACGACATTGGAGCATGAAGTAACCTTTTAACTGCCATTAAATTCAAGTTTTTCAGGGATGATGTAGTAACAGTAACCAAAACAAAAAATTCAAGTGTCACAAAGATCACAGTACAGAAAGTTAACATGGCATATATTCCCATGTAAAAGCCATCACTTTTACCAGGGAACTTATGAGAAATCCAGAAGGATAACCAAGTATTTGTAAACAAATCACAGAAAGTTCCCAAAGCCACACTGAGGCAGAAGACTATAATGAACCCAGGGAATGACAATTTTGCTGTACCTTGACGAATGTATTGAATGTATACATCAAGAGACATCCGATTTACTGCACGCTCTTCTTCAGTAACCATTTTCCCCTTAGATATATCCTTCTTTTCAAGATCAATGAAAGATTCATCAGATTCACTGGATGTCTTAACAACGGCGTCCATTTTATCAGCCAAAGTAGGATCAACAATATCGGCATCATCAACTTCATCTTCTTCATCTAAAATAGCAACACTATTGTAACTCATCAAAGATTGGAAACCTGGGTTTCTTTCTTTTAATTCATCAACAGTACCAACATCAATAGAACCATCCCCATTGACATAAACAACTCTATTAGCATACTGAATTAAAGATAATTGATGTGTGGCTAAAATTCTGGTCTTATTTTTCAAATATCCCAAGATACAGTTGGCCATGATATGTCTACCGACACGTGCATCTACCGCACTTAAGACATCATCAAGTAAAATGATATCCGAATCGGAATAAACAGCTCTGGCCAAATTAATTCTTGCCTTCTGTCCACCAGAAAGAGTGATACCTCTTTCCCCAACTTCAGTATAATCACCAGCTTCCAACATTTCTAAATCTTGTTGAAGAGAACAACTGTATATGACTTCATCATATTTTTTTTGCAGATATTCAGATCCAAACAAAATATTCTCCTTAATGGTTTCATTTTGAACCCAAGGTTCACCGCACATCAAGTATGATCCATCTAATGTGGTAGATCCTGATTCTAAGAACATGGTACCAGAGATAGCTTGAAGAAGCGAAGATTTACCTGAACCAATGAGTCCAGTAATAACAACAAATTCACCCTTTGCAACTGAGAGATCAATATTTGAGAGTCCTTGAAATGTACTAGAATCTGGAGTAGCTGTACCAGACTTCTTAGTAGCCTTTTCTTCAACCTTTTCGTCTTCCACTTTAGTTCCATTTTTCTTTGCTAATTTTTTCAATTCCTTCAATTTCTTTGCTTCTTCCTTTTTCTTTTTCTTTAAGTCAGCTTCATCTGGTTCTTCCTCAATACCAACAGTATCCCAGATGAAAGTTGCATTTTTAATGTCAATAGCTAATGGACCAGAAGTATCAATATTTATAAATCTTGGATTTTCAGTTTCTTCTTCAGCACAAAGTAATTTCTCAGTTCTTTTGAAAGCATTAAGGAGATCTACAAGACTTGTTAAACACATTGGTAACATGAATACACAAATTGCCAATATCTCAAAAGTCGAAACCGAACTGAAAACACTGGCAGGGTCCTTTGTCTTTCCGTTTAAGGCAAAAAGAACCAAAAATGAAACCATGGCAGTAATTCCGGTCAAACTCAATGCAACAGAAGTGATAATATTTCTAACGGCTTGAATTCTAAGAATAGTTGAGATTTCTTTACTTCTTGCAGTGATGATTTTGTTCAAATATGGAACTTCCCAAGAATAAAACTTGATCATTTTCAAGTTGGACAAAACTTCCTTGATGATCCCAACTCTGTTATCAGTTAATTTAGTAACATGGTCTCTGTACTTGTACATTTGACCGGTTCCGGCACCAATGATGACAAGAAAGAAGAGGAAAACAGCCAAACCAATCAAGGAACTAACCCCAATATTGATCAAAAGAATGGCAATACCAATGCCCAAAGAGATTGGGAGAATGAATAACAAAGGTTGAAATACCATACTCATTTCAATTCTTGAAAGATCTGTACCCATAAGGGAAGTGATCTTTCCTGGAGTGAATCTTTTTCTAGATTTAGCAGAGAGTTTGAAAGATTTATCCAAAACCGAAGTAATAAGAACAGTTTTCGTTTTAACACCAACCAATAACCCAAAATAAAAATAATGATTGAATAAAAATCCAGTTACAGCCAAGGCAAAACTACATCCAAAGGCATAACCAATCCCTTGACCGATATGAACTCCCGGCACGCCAGCACTAATTTCTTGTACAAACTTGATAAGTTGTTTCATTAAAAGTGGGGTAAGAGACATAAAGATAATAGCAAGGGATGCAAATACCAGGGCTTTGATAAGATCAGATTTAAAAGTAGCGATTACAGCTTTAGCAATGGTGTATTTTGGCCATTCAAATGGTTTATCTTGATTTTCAGGGTCTGCTTCATGTTGAGCTCGGGCAGAAGCCAATTGGGAATCCAATACCTGATTGAAGTCAGCAGTTAATTTTTCAATTTTAATATCATCAGTAAGATAATAGAGATCAGCCGGTCTTAAAGTACGACTATAACCAACTTTTAAAACTGGAGTAACCCACCAGAAAAAGACCTTACTAAAGAAGGATGCATTGGGAAATGGGTACGGCTGACGTTCTTCCTCGGTTGGAATAGGATATTCACCTTTAATGAATTTAGATAACAAACGTTTTTGTGGCTGGTAATCAGTACCAGCTTCTAGTGAAGTAAAATCTTCGACACCACTCATTTAAAGTAATACTATAATGAGTGAGTGTATATTAGATGTATTTGTATTACTATAATCAATATTCTATTGGCTCGTTTGCACATTTATATTTGCAGCCAGAAAATACCAATGATTATGTATTGAAAATTTTTAATTCGTTTTTGCCACCATTAGGTAGTTGCCGTATCAGTAAAAGGCTTACAAAATTCAGTTTTTATCACAGGTGGCAAAACATTTAAGTCCGTATAAATTGCGGATTTTGCGGCGGAGATACTTGGATCTATAGAAAAACAAACTGAACCCTCAACCTTAAGCCGCGCTTTCTTAGTCTGCAAGTTATTCCGATCTATTGCCTGAGACTAAGGGTTCCAATTCATATATACACGACGTCATTGATGTTTGTCAGTACAAGTTTAAAATTGTTATCTGGTAGAGACTATTTTCGGCATAGTTAAAGTTCAACATCCTTTACATTAGTATAGGGCACGGCGCTGACGGATATAAATTAGGGTTCCCAAAGAAGTATGTCCGTTCTCAAAAAAAAAAAAATTTATTATTTTCCATGTCAGTCCTCGTACATGCACAAATGTTGTTCACTTGAACGACAAAAGTTCATTTAAACGACCAAGCCAGACATTCTCAAACTTGTTCGTCTAAGAGAAAATGCAAGTCTTCCACATGCACGAACTCGTTCAGCTCAACGGCAAATTCAAACAGATATGTACAAACTTTTTCATTTAAACTACAAAGTTAGTCTATATGCATTTAGATTTCATTTAAACAACAAAGCCAGTATTATCAATTATGCAGTCGTTATCGATAACCAGAAATGTGGTATTCGCTCTAGTGGCGTTCTCGAAAGTTCTCCATTACACTTTTAGTGGCAAATGCCGTAGCTAAAATATCAAGATAATATTTTCAATTTCTTTTCCCCCTCTCCCTATGTTTCAAGCATTTCATAGTAAACAAACTACCGTCTAACTACAGTGTTTTTATTTTTATTTTTGCACATCTCAAGTCATTCTACCTCTATCTACGAGAAAAATCTACAGCTACATCCTCTCTTTTTTCTTCTTTTTCTAATGGTTAAACTCTCTGACAAAGGACCTTGGCCTTTAGTGCAAAGAATGACTTTTATTCATTTTATTTTTTCATTCCTTTATCTTTAGTGTACATATGCTAGATAACAATAATAATAATGATGATGATAGTAATACAGTTTTAAATGTCCTTAATATGGTGAAAGAAGCAGATCAATCGTTGGCTTTTTCGATTGAAGGATAACTGGTGCCAGTAGCTTTGGTGGCTCATTGTTGTCTTCATTGAGTACCCCACGAAGCCATTGTTTTGAAGATGTACCGGACTCATTCAAGCCTTCCCTTTTCTTGGTTATAGGCACCGGCAGCAATTTCACCGTGGTTTCATTGTTAGGAATTGTCGATGGAGTGTCATTCACACCCGTCAATCCATTGGCCCGGCCAATTGACGAGATACTAGGAAGTGGAGTGAGCTGCGTTTTCTTCAATGGTGGTGGGAGAGATGTTATCCCATTGAAACTTGAAGAAAGTGGTGATGAAGTATTTTTTGGTTCACTTGAGAAATTTATCGTTTGATTAAACGATAAATGGAACAATGGAGATAATGGAGATACCATGTTTGGAGTAAGAGATGCAGACTTTGGACCATACGATACGGCCTTGTTCGAAGGTGGAACTAGAGGCGCAGACTTTAACAGTTGGCGAACATACGGTGCTTGCAGCCCAGCAGAAGAGCCGTAAAAGGAATGCAGAAGAGAAAGAGGTCTGGGTCTACGCTTGACTCTCATATCTGAAGGTTTCGATATCGGTTTGATGGTGTGTGATGAGCTTGACAGATTGGACGATATTATGCTACTTGCGCTCGATGTGTTTGATTGATATCCTTGATGATAGTATGAAATGGGCAGGTTGGAGTTGGGTGGTGATGCCATGCTCATGTAGTCTACAGATGAAGTTGATGAAGGTACACCAGATGAAAACATGGTTGTGTTAGGAGTTGCTGGGTTCGACTGTTTATCAGGGATTGAATGGCTCATATGAGTGGCGTATTGTGGGTGTACGACCTGTATTGGGTGGTGTAACTGGGTTGGTTGTGGTTGTTGATGAATGTGATGGAGATGTACTGCTTGTGCCTGGGCTTGTGCTTGTGCCTGGGCTTGTGCCTGGGCTTGTGCTTGTGCTTGTGCCTGTGCTTGGGCCTGTGCTTGAAGATGATGTTGTTGTTGTTGTTGCTGTTCAGAAACAGAAAAAACTTCATAAGCATGAACTGTCTGTTTATGTTGACGAAGATTGTCCAATCTGGAAAAATTCTTGGAACAATAAGGACATGTGAATGGTCTTTCACCAGTATGTTTTCTTTTATGACGCGCTAAATGCTCAGACCTTGTGAAGGACATGCTACAATCAGGATACCCTGTGCATTGGAAAACGCGTCCCTTTGGAGTTCTTCTACCCCCAGCACCGTCAGAACCTGACCCTTCACCGGCGGAAGTATGTTTTGCCGAAATGCCGTTTGTGCTGCTGTTACTACTACTGCTGCTGCTTCCATGTCCATCATCAAAAGTGCCCTCCGTGGGGCTTGTGTTTCCAGTGGAACTGGCCGACCCCACAGAAGACACAGAGTCTCCATCACTGGCCTCCGGCCCATACATGATTGTTGGCGCGGTCGTATGTTGAAGATTCACCATTGCCATCATAAAGAAAAAATGTGTAGTTTCCCCCTTTTTCGGTACCTTTTCTCCTTAATAAAGGGGAAAGCGTGAATGAATCGAGTCAAGAAAAAAAAAAATTAAAATTAAAATTCACAAAAATAATAAAAATTCACAAAAAAAGAAAATTTTGGTTGTAAAAACCGAAATTTTTTGTTGTTGTTGTTGTTTGTTTTGTACTACCCAAATGGAGTTAACCAAGGTGGATGTATCTGGACGTGGGTGTGGCAAGTGTGTAGGCTTGTAGAGTAGGTAACCCTGGAAAGCTTACTGTGTGGAGTTTAAAATGTGACACCGGGGTTGTATTCTCGTTAAGAATGACGTTTCGTAATTTGAATGACTTCTTTTTTTTTCAATGTGTCGTTCTATTTTGTACGTAAGTGCGGAAAGATTAACACTTTTTTTGTGTTTGTTTGTTCGTTCTTGATACCGACGTATTTACGATCAGATCAAAATGTGCGTTATGCAAACAAGGGACGACTATAAATGGGTGTGAGTTTGACGACGACACACTCTTACACCAATATGTTATGATTATTAATATTATTTTTTTGATAAATTTTCCTTTATTAAAAAAAATGGAATTTTAATGTCTGCAGACTCTTGAGCTCGGTAAGTTTGGCGGTGTCGTATGGAAAAAAAAAAGCCAGCTCAGGGGATAATTGTAAGATTTCGCGGATTTTAGGAGGGTTTCAAGGTAATTACGAGGAAATGATTGTAGGATGGATCAAGCGAAATGTGTGTGTGTGTGTGTAATTGAACGAGGAGATGTGTTCTCAGCCAACCTGTAGAGCCCAAATAATAAAAAGTACTTGTGGAATGTTGTTCGCTAGTGTTTTGATGATACCGCAAACAACAGGGGTAAACATGTCTTCTCCTTTCTTATATAAAGGTTATCTGCAAACACGCGCACGCCCCAAATCTAGGATTGCGCGAAACAGGAAGGTGGGTGGGTCAGGGGGCGATATGTGTGTGCAGGCCTGCAAGGCGCTAGTTCCAAAATATTTTTATTTTATAATATTTTATTGCAGTACGACGGATTAAACTTTGGTGGATTCAAGAAGATAATTGGAAGTTTGTAGTTTGGAATTCGAGATTTAGATTGAGATTGAGGCGAAATGGTGAGGCGATATTACGATAATGCTCGAGCTGAGGCTCGGGGAATTTTATTATGTTCATTATTTTTTTTTTTTTAATGACAGAAGAAGGAAAACAGAAAATGAGATAATAAAGATTAAATGAGAACAATGGGTTACGGATGTGTAGGAATATATACGAATAAAATGTTGGTTTGTAAATTCATTGTGTGTTGTTTGAATCCTTTTGATGAGTATGTATAATGTACCAACATATCGATATGCAACTCCTTCTAAGAAGGAAAGATGTGCTACAAATACCATAGGCACAGGTAAATATGCGACAAGGGGAACAACAAGAATTACAATACTAATTGATCCACAAAAACAAATAAAAGCGTGAGTAGGCGTTGTCGGAATACACGGCGGCTAATTTACCATGTTGATAGATTATTGGGGTGTAATTAGAATTAAAAACAACAATGGAATTAATAGGAGAGAAACTAGGAAAGATTAAAGTTGACCCAGAACGGGAAAAAATATTGATATGTACAACTGATGAACGTCTTAATCAATACAAATGAGGGAGGTTTAACTTTTAAGACGAATACGAAACAAAGGCGGTACCAATTTTTTTACTGGACCCATAAATTCGGTGCAGATTTACCAAACGCCTTAACTTGGGAATATGTATTCTACTATTGTTCCTGCACTAGGTCGCACGATTGTTATGACATCTTTACTATGGGGCAAATGTTTGCAGCACCATTGTAAATAATGCATTTGAGATCATTCAAACGCATTTCTTTCAGTATATAGCGAGTCCGAATATCCTTAACTCGTAAACGATGCCCAGTTCATTGTCTCTGTGAACAGGTACACATTCAAACTGGTAACCAAACTGGGAAGGTAATGATGTAGAACCAATTTCTTTTTATTTTTTGGCGACTGTTGTTTTTTTTTTTTTTCTTTCCTTTTTTTTAAGAAAAAATTGCAGTTTCTTTTTTTGCCTTTTACACTTCCCTTTTTACTTTTTAATTGAATTTATTGGAAAGTACATTCGACCTAATCAATCATGATAAAGACCATCATGCAAGAAAATCGCGTATTCTCGATGCAGCAAACTGCGTGTCATTGGCTCTCTTAATTTTATTCTCTCCATGAACCCCTGTTTGATCGAACAAATCGAAAGGGGGGAATGGGAAATGGAGGGGGAGGGTGGACCCTTGACAGATAGGTGAGGTTAATAGAAGGTGAAATAGCCTCCCTCCCCGCCTTTATTCTAATGTTCTTCATTGTATAGTTCGTGTGTAAACTCAATAATTGTTTCCAAATCAAGATCAAGTCATACGATTTCCAATTTCAATTGTTCTTCAAACAGAAAAAGTACTCACTCCGCTTTTGCAACTCTAATTTGGTAAATTGTTTTTTTCTATTTTTTTTTTCTTTTTTTATTGGTACGGTTAATTAGTTTCCGTATATGCCACTCCATTGACTGGAGTACATCCACGTTTCATGGTTAGCCGTTTCAAATAGACTTAACCTGTGGCTAGAAAATAAGCTAGTGAAGGGACCGTGTTTAAGGAAATTTGTGCATTGCTTTTCTGAACCCCGCAATATATCTGAGCTGTTTTTTTTTCTTTTTGAAATTAAACTTTAGAGAAGAAAAGGATAGTTTTGGAAGATTATGATAGTAAAAAATATATCAATGAATTGTACTGTGAAGGATGAATATTACTTGTTCTTCTAGAGAGTATATACATGTGACCAGTTATTTTTATTGAAATGGGATTTCCTTGATGCTAATCGCACTAAACTTGACTAAAATTAGGTTTATTCCGGAACTTTCTATTATCATTCGAATCTAGAGGCGGACGTTTTATTTTTCTTTTAATTTGGGTAGGGTTCTTTTTTTTTTTTAACTTCTAATTGTGCATACTAATTAGTTGGTAAATAAATGTAAATCACCTCTGGAATCGGAATAAATAATAGAATCAGCTCATCCATTTGTTTGTAAGTATTCCAATTTCATCTTGGGTTGTACATTTCTTTTTCTTCTTTTCTTTTTTTTATTTTCCAGAAAGACGGAATTTGGTCAAAGTTAGGCTGCTTAAAAATAGTAGCTCCTTCCTGATGAGTACATAATCGACATGGCATATATACCCGCTGATCATTAAAAAGGCCCAAGATTTTGTAGTACAAAGAGAGGTTATAGGAAGAAGTCGGATTAATTTTAATTGGTGGAAGTATGGAGGGGAGAAGTATTTCCGGGTGCCGAGACCATTAGGAGAGAGGCTTTTAGTAATAACAAAAAAAATAAACTGTAAAGGATGTTAAATTGAGTAAGATAATCCGTATTGGATTAAACTTTTGAAGTAGTAGATAAAGAGATTGTACAATCAGCAGAGGTGTATTTTTGCCGAGTCGGAGACTTTAAAAGTAAAAATTGTAAACAATTGACGTTAAAGTATCGAAGCCACATCTGGAGAACGAAGAATAGGAGAGTAATTTGTAAGTAGATACAGTAGGTAATAAATTCTCAAAAGGTAAATAGATAACGCAAGGTAAAATGCCGTGTGTTGATGGAGTCTAAATTTACTTTTAAGAAGTTGTGAGTGAATATGGACTAGTCGATGTGAAAGTTGTAGTTCAACAATAGAAATCTGTTATCTAAGATGAAGTGTTAGAAACTGCAAGACAGAGATTCTATTGACAATGACAAATAGAGGCTACCGAGGCTTTTATTTATAATAAATTACGAATTCCTACAATGTTAACACAATAGTTCGTCAGATTATACAAAATGAAACATTGTCGAGTCGCCAACTACACGTCTTGAATAGACACCTGGAATACTGATTAGCGAGAACTCTAATTCTTCAAAAAAAAAATATCTATTGTACTTGCAATTCCACTACAATTAATCTCCTATCTAATCTTTATTATTCCTTCATTAATACTTAAATACTTATTGAATCTTTAACAACATGATGAAGAATTCTCTGTGGTTGTCTCCATGCTCACATCAACAGTTTCAGGTTGGTTTTGAGTATTATTTTCTTCTGATTCTTCAGTAAAATCAGGAAGACATTGTGCAATCTTTTTGAATAATAATTTAACATTATGATTTGCCTTTGTAGAAGTTTCTAATGCAAATTTAGCACCAACTTTTTCAACTAATTGTTCACATTCTTCAGATGTTACTTGTCTTTTACTTCCTAAATCAGATTTATTACCAACTATTACGATGATTACGTCATCTCCACGTTCAAGCTTTACATCATTAATCCAATTTGTCAAGTTTTCAAATGATTTTTTCAAAGTAATATCATAACATATAACGGCAACATGCAGATCTCTGATATATGATGGAATAAGAGATCTGAATCTCTCTTGTCCCGCGGTGTCCCATAATTGCAAACGGATGGTCTTGTTATCTTCTAGATACATTGTTTTAGAAAGGAAATCGATTCCTATAGTTGCTGCGTATTGATCATCAAAGGTATCATACATGAATCTAGTGATCAATGATGTTTTCCCAACTATAATAAGAGTTAGTATAAATTTATCAAATGTGATAAAGAGAATAGTTTGGTTGTATCCAGATCTTCTCATCATGTGCCCCCGCCTCCCCTCCTATTGAGCCTCTATTAGATCATTAATCAAATCTCTTCCATTTGAACATAGCCTCAATATAGAAATAGATAATCGATAGATGTAAGGGAATCTATCTAGTTAGATGTACATACCACTCTGATCTCCAAGGAAGACAATCTTGTACTTCCTCAAAATCCCAGTCTTATCACTCATGCCGAATCAGTGTAGTATATGTATATGTGTATAGGAATAAATGGATAAATTCCCAATCGGACACCAAAATTTTAGTTAGTTCTCCAAATTGCTTTGTTAAGTAAAAATTCGCGATTTTGAATATTTAATGATCCTCCTGTTCAGGTACTCCCAGTATATAACAATCAAATTGAGATTGAGATTGATATCAGAGGAAAAAAAAAAAAATTATATACTGTTGAGGAATATATTGGAACGGACATAGCATAGCATAATGGACGAAGCAGAACTTAACGCGATTAGATCGGCCAGATTGGCAGAACTTCAAAAGAATTCCGGTCAGCTGACAGGTGCATCGGGCAGTCAACCTGAATCCCAAAAGGATCAAATGAAAACTTCGATGATGGCACAAATTTTGGAACCAGCAGCAAGAGAAAGACTTTCCAGAGTAAGAATTGTACGTGCCGACCGTGCTGAGGCCGTGGAACAATATCTCATTAAACTCGCATCTACTGGTTCGATCACCAGAAAGATTTCAGAAGATGATTTGGTTGAAATTCTTGACAGTTTGTCAAGAGATGAAAAGAAACAAACCCAATCCAAGATTGTTTTCAATAGACGTACTACTGTAGACGATGATGATGATGATTTTTTCGATTAGATCAAGTAAATAGATGAATGAAATAATATAGATGAAGAGAGGGGTGATCATGTGTAAGTTAGTGAAAGAGAATTGTTTGTAAGGGAATGATGGGGGGAGTGTAAGTGAAAGATAAGGGAAGGGTTAGTGAAATAGAAGGAAAGGGGAAAGGGCGTGAAAAAGAGAGAAGAGTTGGTCTCACCAGGAATTTAAAATGAATTACTTAGATTTTAATTTATGGTGGAGAAGTTACACGATCAAGCCTTAGAAAATTTCATATAAAGTCAAGACATTAAAGTCAGGACCTTAAAAGGGTGACACTCCTAGAAAAACTTAATAGGTGTAAGATATGAAAATTAATACAATAGTGAAATAAATTATAGAGTTGTCAACAATAGTAATAATAAGATTAACATCTAATAGTATGATGATCCCTTCATTTGAAGCTATGAGGCACACACACACTTTCTCTCTCTCTTTTTTTCTTGTGTTTATTTTTTTTCTTACTAAATTAAATTCACATATTAACCCAATTTTAAGCTACAATTCTCATAGAACTACTTGTTTACTCTTAAATATACAATTTATTCTTAAATCATCCTTTTGGTGGTGTCCAACTCCAATTCAAGTAACATGTCTCGTTCCAAATAATTCACTTGCTTTTTTCGCGATTCCTGCACATGCAATGCAAACAAAAACAAAGATAAATAAATAAAATGATAATAAAGAAACAAAACATAAACATATACACTGGGTCAACATACAACTACCAGGTAGAGATAGGATGTCCAATATTCAGGTGATAGTGAGATGTCGAGGACGGAACTCCAGAGAAATAGCATCGAAGTCACCAATCGTGGTGGAAGTTCCTGAATCGGGGAACTCAGTCACGATCAATCCAGAACAGCACCCAACTGATTTCCTTACTAGTATGAACTCAAAGACATATACGGTGGACCAAGTATATGGGGCACAGACAGACCAGGCGTCTGTATACACGCGGGTGGCGTTACCTTTGTTTCGAGACTTTTTCGGTGGTTTCAATGTCACCATTTTAGCTTATGGACAGACGGGTACTGGTAAGACATACACCATGTGCGGAGACACTACTACAACCAGTATAACATCCACTAGTAATACCAGTACACCTTCTTTAACTGAAGACGCGGGGATAATCCCAAGAGTGCTCACCGAACTATTTGCTAATCTCAAACGAAATGTTGATGATGATTTTATTGTTAAATGTTCATTCATTGAATTGTATAATGAAGAACTTCGAGATTTATTAGAAGATGATTCTAATAATGGAGGTGGATCAACACCTACATCTAATAAACTTCGAATTTTCGAGTCCAAACGAAGAGAATCGAGTCCAAAGGGTGATAATCAATCGATAATTATTCAGAATTTACAAGAAATTCATGTAACAGATGCTAAAATTGGATTAGAAATCCTTAGAAAGGGGTTATGTAAAAGAAAAACCGCAAGTACAAAACTTAATGATGTTTCTTCTAGATCTCATACGATTTTCACCATCAATTTATATAAAAAATTGACAAATAATGGAGGAAATGAAGATCAATTTAAACTATCAAAGATGAATTTAGTTGATTTAGCAGGATCTGAAAATATCAATAAATCTGGAGCCATGAATCAAAGGGCTAAGGAGGCTGGGTCTATCAATCAAAGTTTGCTTACCTTGGGTAGAGTGATCAATAGCTTGAGTGATCGTGAAGATACCAATAATAATAATAATAATAATAGCACTACTACTAATACTTCCAGAACTAATAGCTCTAATAATCATATGAATAGTTCAAATAATTCGAATCATATCCCTTATAGAGAATCGAAATTAACTAGATTACTTCAAGATTCATTAGGAGGGAAAACTAAAACTGCCCTTATCGCTACGATTTCACCAGCTAAAATTAATACTGAAGAAACTACTTCAACTCTTGAATATGCATCAAGAGCTAAGAATATTAAAAATAAACCACAGTTGGGACAAGATTCAGAATTAATGATGAAGAAAATTTTATTGAGAGATATGTCTAAAGAAATTTTCAAATTGAATAATGATTTAATTGCATCAAGACAGAAAAATGGAGTTTGGATGGATGAGAAGAATTATAAGAATTTACTTAGTGAACATGATTCAATCAAAACTGATTTAAAGGAAAATTTAGCCATTAGAGGTGGATTAGTACTGAAAATTGAACAATTAAAATCTGATAAAAAGCGAGATGATGAAGAATTAAAGAATTTAAAATCTGATTTAAAGGATAGAGATTCAAAATTAGCAATTTTTAAAGAATCAGAATCAAATTTGAGTGGGAAAATGATTAAATATGAGGCTAAAATCACTGATTTGGAGGAAAAATTGGAGTTGATTAATTCAAAGCAAAATAAAATGAATGAATTGGTTGGAATAGAAATTGAAACCATTAATGGGATACTTAATAATCTTACTAAAGATGATATAAACAATAATATTAAAAACATTAAAAAATCATTGGCAGGAAGTATTAATAATTTACAAAATGGTATGAAAATAATGAAATCATCAACTCATACTAAATTTCAAAATAAAATTCCTAAAATTTTATCAACTGAATTCGATCAAAGAATTGGAGAATTTAATAAAAATTTTGAACATCATTCTACAACAACAAATCAAGGGATTTCTCAATTAAAGGATTCAGATGAAAAATTAAGTGAATATTTGACTAAACAATGTTTGAATTCAATTAATATTGAATCAATTGTACTGAAATTAGTTGAAGAAAGAATTGTTGGGAAAATCAGTTCAATAGGTGAAGAATTATCTTCAAATGTTCAAAATTTAGTTAATGAATCTAACAAAAAGCATAAATTATTGGTGGAAGAAAGTGTACGGGAAATATCTAAGGAAATTACCGGACTTGAACGTGAAGAATTACATGGTAAACATTCTAAATGGAAACATGAAACAAATTCAATTACAAAGAATTTATTGAAATCTTCTGAAATGTTGAACGTACAATATTCAGATTACAAACGGAATAATATTGAATCAATAAATAAAGCTTCGCAAAATATTACAAAATATGTTGATGAAAATGTTGAATCTGGACTTAATGGTATTCTTGACCAATTTACAAGTAATGCAAGGCAAACAGATCAAAATCTTGAAGTTATTAGTAAACTTTATCAACAGAAAACTGAAAATACAATGGTTCTGTTACGTAATACTCAAAATTCATTAACGAATGGAACTTCAAATTCAAACCCAAAATCAATTGATTCAAAGAAAAGAGAAAAATTGCTGTCTTCTCCAATTAGGGGAAGTCAAATTACATCCCCAATAAGACAACTTTCTCCAATACGACAAACTTCACCAATCAGACAATCAAATTCTCGACAAACATCTCCAAAAATCACGTCACCTAAACATAGATTATCACCAGCAAAAATCGCTTCATTCTCCCAAAGTTTTGGTGGTAATAGCTCGGATATTACATTGATGAAAACAAAGATCCCACAATTACAAAGAACTGGAAGTGGGAATTGGGAAAGAGAAAGAGAAAGGGAAAAGGAAAATTCTTTCAAACGTCGTAAGTTTTAAAAGAGAAACCCAAAATGCATTCTTATATCTTTATCTATATAACTTGTATAATACTGTAAAATATAATTAATAATTGTTAATGATTTGTAAATTGTTAAGACTTTACCTCCATATACTTCATCATGATCGTGATTATGTCATGAGATCACCCGTTCCTGTACACAGATTTTAACACATATCTATAAACTCTCCACATAAACTCTGAAACAAATGATTATATCATCATTTAGAATCACAATTGAAATTGGTAATGAAGCAGAGTAGTAGGTATTTGCTTGTGTATGCAGCTGCTTCGATCTTGGTTGCACTCTGGGCCGTATACGACTCTCTTGATAAGGCTGTAGACTACTTTACCCTAGCAGTGGAGCTTACTCAAAACTACAAACTTGGAATTTTGCTCAATTTGGTATTACTTGTATTCATTGGGGTTGGACAAGCGTCTATCATTGGCTTGTTTGGAGCCCTACGGATCCTTGAAATAGAACATGTGGTGGAAAAATTACCCATGTTCATGGTCAATCTTCTTTTCAATTTGACCATCACTGACAGCAACTTGATCTTAAATTGTTTATTGTTAGGATTGGCAGTTATATCCAAAATTCATCATGTGATCTTGGTCGATAGGTTTGAATTCATCCATATTCGGTTGCTCAATAACGCTGAAAACGATCTGGCGTTGACCCGTGGTGACATCATTTCTCAGTATTGCAAATGTTGGTACTTTTGGTACATACCGATGTTTATCATTGGAGGGTTTACAACAGCAAAGTTTCTAGTATATGATGTGTTTAAAGGGGTGAATCTGGTTATTTGCTTACTATTTGGGTTCCAATTTGCAGTGCAAGAGGTTGAATTGTTGACCTATTTTGGAAAGGTCTTGTTGAACATGTATGAGATTATAGTGTATCGGGAAGTAGATGACGAAGAAGAAGAAGAAGAAGAAGAAGAAGAAGAGGTGGAAGTTGAGGTAGAAGTGGAAGTGGAAGAGGAAGGGATTGAGATTGGTGCTGGTGGTGTAACAGAGTCTGATAATGGAGCTGATGATGAAGATGATGGTAATGAAATTGATTTTGATGATGATGATGATAATGAAATTGTATGGGAAAATAAGGCGTACTATATCAAAGCTATTGACATTGCGTCTGCCGTTCTCAAGGCTGTATCACATCTTGGATTCATTTATCTCTTGATGGTGACTTCAAACCTCTCACTCCCGATATCCATGTTACTGGGGACTTATTCGTCCCTTGTACAAATATATAAAGAATTCAGCCAATTGTTGTTGTTCATTGAGTCTTCCAAGAAATTGGATACTCTTCTCCCCAATGCCACCAGTGTTGACTTGGAAAGTGGCGATAATTTGTGTAGTATTTGCCGGGAGGATATGCATGCGGTGGATGAAGGATCAGAAACATCCCATAAGCAAGTCAGCGCTCGGAAATTCCCCAAGAAATTGCCCTGTGGGCATATTATTCATATGGGATGTCTTAAGGAATGGTTAGAAAGATCTGAATTCTGTCCCTTATGTAGACGGAAGGTGTTTGTTTCTGCGGCTGATATTCTGAGAGAACATGAAAATGAATTGGTTCAAGCAGCACAACAAGAATTAAGGGCTAGTATTAGTGCTGAAACTGGGACTGAGACTGGCGTTGATGCTCGTGAAATTGAAAGAAATAATGCAATCAACGTTCAAGAAGATGACCTTACAAGGATTGAGGTCATATCAATCGATCCTACTCCTTCTTCATCTACATCCACCCAACCCACTTCTTCATCTACATTCACCCAAACTCAAACTAATGATGCGTACCAGATAATTCATTTACCAAAAAATGCATTGCTTCCTCCAGATTGGACTCTTTTGCCCATTACCAAGAAAGATGATGATTGTTATCTTGTGGATATAACTAAGGATTCACAGGCAACTTTGAGAGTTGTTTCTGAAGCAGAAAGAAGTAATATCCAATTGCACACGGTGGTGCCTCGTGGAAATGGGAGAGAAGATACCCTGGCTAATGATATAGTGAAGGAATTAACAAAGGCTAATAAGATTATGAGAGAACGGATCCAGGAAATGGAATCTGTTCTAGAAGCGTTTAGAAACGAGAGATAAATAGGTTATTAATATAAGGTGGGATTATAATATAGGTTTAAATGTAGATCGTCTACTACTCTTTCATACTCTATCTTCATTATTGATTTTGTGTTCTCTTGTTCTATACTCTATACTCTATACTCTATAATTATTCGAAATCAAAATCAAAGTCTATTCCCTCATCTCGTTCAATGTGTCCTTCGTCATATTCATTCTCAAGGTATTCACTTGGAGGTGAAGATGGTAGTCTGGTTGTCAGCATTCGTCTTCTCTTTTCTTCAAACATCGGTACATCAAACAGGATGTTCTCTGGTGGTTCGTCATCATTCTCGTCGTCGGACAGCTCGGAGCTTGACAGAGGAGTCGTTTCTCTCGTGGTGGTGGTGGTCTTTGTTGGGCCGTCCAATTGAGCCAAGACCAGCTTCAACTCATTATGGATAAGATCCCGTGGATAAGCAAAATGTAATTCCTTACATTGCTCCAATTGCTTTTCTACAAAATTACAATTGTTAACAATTGTATCTTTGAACCCATTTGCCCCCTGTCTGATCAATTCAATACATTCTGAAAGCTTACAAAGGGCCAGGATGAAAAAGAATACCCCATCGGTATTGAAAGGCGGTTCAAGAAGTAGTTCCTCCAACCTGTCGTTGAGTTTACTGTACTCCTGGCGAACCAAAAGCAGCCAGAGCGACATAATGATGTACAATGGTGTATGAGTCCTCGACCCAGATCTCCAGATGGGTGCAGAGATCATTCGGGTTTGGTTCCCTGCAGATCGGGATATAATAAAAAATGAAGCCAACCAATCGAAAAATCGGTCATCCTTGTACATCGTTGGCTGATTCTTCCCATTCAATTTCTGTTGTTGTCGAAGGATCTCCACTCCCAACGGCCATACCGACCGAATGTCAACGTTTGGAAGACGTACCAACAAGCAAAACACCTTGTACGCCATTTGCCAGTTCCTACGAAGTATATTAATGTGAAGAAGGTTCTTAAGGTTGTTCACATGGTACTTGGTGAACCCAGGGGGTGTGCTTCTAGCGGGCAACACTTCCAATCCTCGAGTTCGAATCAAAAGATTGGTCTTAGTCCAGCTATTGCTCTCATCAAATGACGATGTAAATCTGGCGAGCTGCGAAGCTATACTTCCCTCGTCATTCTCATCTTCTTCATCGTCGTCTACAACACTGGTGTTCTCGTCAACTTGGTTTTCATTGCTTGAAAGAACTGCCTCTACATCTCCTTCCACTCCCTTGGGAGGGTGTTGTCTTTTCAAGTTCACATTCAAGTTCCGGTGTTCGTGCCACACTTCAAACGTCTCCTCTGGCCGCAACCGACGGTTCAACTGCTCGTGTATACGCCTGAGAATCTTCCTCTTGGTTTTCCCATTTAAAAGACGTTTCCTTTGGTTGGTGGTCAACTGTTCATTTGTCTCGAGATCTTGAAGTCTTTGGAGCTCAACATACTTCTGAAGAAGTTGCCGCAACCTCTGTTGTTTGTTCTGAGCATGAGATTCGTGTGCATCAACATAAAAATCCTCAAACATCTATTATACCCATATATATCTGTATATATATGTTGATTGTACGTTTTATTTTTGTATGTTGATCTCTTCCCATCTGTGTACCATTTCTGAATTCTTTTTTTTTTTTTTCAATCACATCGCGCTAACTTCCTAATTCAATCTACACTGATCTTTGTAATAGAAATCCTCTTGACTATATACATTTGGGAGGCTTCTCTCATTATATATCCTATTTAAATAAAGAAACGGGTTGGTTCTTTCTCTAGAAACCCATTCCTGGCATACCACCCATACCGCCGGCTGGAGCAGCTGGAGCAGCACCCTTTGGTTGTGGAGCATCAACAATGGCACATTCGGTGGTGGCCAACAAAGAGGCAACACCACTGGCGTCAACCAAACCATTCTTTACAACCTTGAATGGATCAATGATACCGGCAGCAATCATGTCGGTGAATTCACCCTTGGAGGAGTCGTAACCGTGGTTGAATTCGGCGTTGTCGTAGATCTTACCGACAATAACAGCACCTTCTTCACCGGCGTTTTCAATGATTCTTCTGGCTGGCTTGGTGATAGCAGACTTGATGATGTCAACCCCGAGCTTTTGGTCGAAGTTGGCAGCAGTGGCCTTGACTTCGTCCAAAATTCTGGAAGCCTTGATAAGAGCAGTACCACCACCTGGTAAGATACCTTCTTGGACAGCGGCTCTAGTGGCGTTCAAGGCATCGTCGTAACGGTCCTTCTTTTCACCAACTTCAACTTCGGAAGTACCACCGACTCTGATGACAGCAACACCACCAGACAACTTGGCCAATCTTTCTTGCAACTTTTCCTTTTCGTATTCAGAAGTTTGCTTGTCTTCAACAGATTGTCTAATTTGTTCGATTCTTTGTTGAATGTTTTCCTTGGAACCTTCACCGTTGAGGACAACAGTGTCTTCCTTAGTGATGGTGATGGATCCACAAGAACCCAAGAGTTCAACAGTGGCGTTTTCTGGCTTCAAGTCCAATTCTTCAGTGAAAACGGTACCACCAGATAAAATGGCAATGTCTCCCAAAATGTTCTTACGGTTGTCACCGAAACCTGGAGCCTTAACACAACAGACTTGGACTTGACCACGCAACTTGTTTAAGATACAGGCAGCCAAGGCTTCACCGTCAATGTCTTCAGCCAAAATCAACAATGGTCTTCTTTGTTGGTTGGAAAGTTCCAAAGATGGCAAAATGTCTTGAATGGAGGAAATCTTCTTTTCAGACAAAAGAATGAGTGGGTTTTCAAATTCAACCTTACCAGACTTGGTGTTGGTGATAAAGTAAGGAGAAATGAAACCACGGTCGAATCTCATACCTTCAGTGACTTCCAATTCGTCTTCCAAGGTCTTACCTTCCTTGACAGTGATAACACCTTCCTTACCGACCTTGGCCATGGCCAGGGCAAGCAATTGTCCGATGTGGGTGTCACCGTTGGCGGAGATAGTGGCCACCTGGGCAATCTCTTCAGAGGTGGTGATTTCCTTCTTGTTTTGTTGTAAAAAGTTGACAACGGCTTCAACGGCAGCTTGGGAACCTCTTCTCAAGTCCATTGGGTTGCAGCCGGCGGCGACGTTCTTGACAGACTCGGTGAAAATACTACGACCCAAAACAGTGGCAGAAGTGGTACCATCACCAGCCAGTTCGTTAGTCTTGGAGGCAACTTCTTGCAATAACTTGGCACCCATGTCTTCAAACTTGTTTTCCAAGGTAATGGACTTGGCCACGGTGACCCCATCCTTGGTGATCTTTGGAGAACCGAACTGTTGTTCGATCAAAACATTACGACCCTTTGGACCAAGGGTGACAGAAACAGCGTCAGCTAAAGTGTTGACACCCTTGAGGAGGGCGGCTCTACCTTCAACGCCAAACTTCAATTCCTTGTGGGAGGAGTATTGACGGACAAAGGCGGCCACGTTCTTACGGGTGGTTGGAGCACGGACAGATCTCAACATCTTTTATTGGTAATATAGATAACTAAGTTGATGTATTGAAAGTGTTTAAATTTCATTTTATTTTTTCAACTTTTATGGGCATGGAGAAATGTTGGATGAAATTTTTCCAGAATCTTCGATGGTGTATGCAGGACGCGCCCGATAATTCCGTATCTCAGTTAGTAACAAAATGCCAGGAAGGGGGATGGGGGGGAGGGAAGATCGAGTGTGAGATGTAAGTGGTTGTGCATTATTGTAGGTGTATGTACCAGAGAGGAGAATAGAAGTCAAGTAATGAATGGTGAAAAAAAAAACAATAAAGAACTGTGGGGGTGTGGTAGTGAACTAAGAAGAAGAAATAGTTTATGTTATACAAATGTTGAGCACGTGCGCTTGCACTATAAAGGTTGGGGGGGGTAAGAAAATACTACAGAATACTGTAATTGGTTGATGTTAGCAGGGAGTAGGTGAGCTTGGTATGCGATTTGATGAGTACTGGAAAGAGAGAGAAAGAAAGAAATAGTAATGGTGGTGTAATGGGTGCAAATTTAATTGAATGGGGGGAAAAATAAAAAAATGAAGCTAGTGCAGCACATTTTGCAGCCATTGAATGCGGTGGTTGAAGTTTCAACTACAGGATAAATATCGAAAACGTTATCTATTGAAAAATATATAATATTGTCCCCTTGAAATAAGTAGGGAAACATTCACAAGAATGGAAAAAATTTTGAATCACATTGAATGTAATGAAAGAATACTGAACTTTGTAGAATTTTTTTAGTCAGTTAAAATAATAAGGCAAGCATTGGCAATGCAAGGTAAATCCAGGAAGTGGCCCTGGATGGCGAAGCACTGTTTTCAGAGTTGGTGATACTAGGTGTAGCCAATCCTGTAGCAGTCGAAATATTGGTCTGTTCAGCAGCGTCTGAGCTACTTTGGGTTCCACTGGAAGTCTTGGATGATGGGATGGTCACTGAAGGATTAGCTTCAGCGACGGTGTTCTGTCCAGAAGCAGGGGATCCAGCAGGGGATCCAGCAGGGGATCCAGCAGGGTTTGGTTCAGCGGCTCCTGAAGGGGTACCGACATGCTTTGTGTTGATCAGTGATGGAGCTGAGACAACGTGGTACAGAGTATAGGTTGAAACAGTGTTATCTCCAAGCTTAGTTGTAAGGAGGTAAGTTTGGGTGATTTCAGGGACAGCAGTTGCTACAGTATTTCCCTTGGCTGGTGTTGTAGACAATGGACAGAATGTTGTGTATGAGGTGAGAACATTATCGATCGTGGTTGTAACGACAGTGGCACCTGTTGTGACTGGCACCTCTGAGCATTTATTGTCCACACAAGAAGTTACTGTGATAATTGTGGTGGAAACATCAGAAATATCGCTGGTAGCAATGGTAGTTGGTGTGGAAGACAATGGACAGTAAGTTGTGTAGGTGGTTATAGTGTTGTCAACGGTGACGGTTACTACAGTAGCTCCTGTTGTAACCGGTACTTCGGAACATTTGTCGTTAGCACAAGATGTGACTGTAACAACTGTAGTAACTACGTTCTCGTCGGTCTGTGTGCTCACAGGGCTCGATGTCAATGGACAGTAAGTGGTGTAAGACGTAACCGACTCATCAATTGTGACAGTTACAACTGAAACGCCAGTGGTAACTGGAACTTCAGTACATTTATGATCATCACAAGAAGTTATTGTAATAACAGTTGTTGATACATCAGTTTTGGTAACAGTCTCGCCAGGAATAGAAGTTGGTGTCAATATTTCAACCGTGGTAGATTCGCTACCAACAAGAGTGGATGTACTGGTAAAAGTTCCAGTCCATCCAGTAGTAATAGTAGTGACCTTTCCTGTAGTTAATGGCGTACTCGTTTCCGATATGGACGATACAACTGACAGGGATTTGGTGACCAGCGACACAGTACTGCTGAAGGTTGAGTCGTATGTCACTGTATTAGTGTCAGTAGAACTGACAGTATGCACATCGCTAGATTTTCCAGTTGTTTCAGAAGCGTCACTTGAAGTCGTTGGGCAAACGTAAGCAAGCCCATTATATGTCCCATCACGTTTACCTACGAAAGTACAGCCAGAAGGCAATACAAATGAAGATGACAATTCTCCTTCAGATGAATGAACAGATGAAGCACCGGTAGACGAAGAAATCGCTGGGAGAGTGCTTGAGGTAGAAGATTCAATGGTTGATGATAAAACCAGAGTGGAGGCGCTAAGAGTGGCAGACGACTCAGCTCCAGATGAGGATTCAACGGTGGACCAACTTGGACCAGCAGATGAAGATACAGCAGCGGAAGAACTTGGACCAGCAGATGATGATTCGACAGCAGATGATGATTCAGCAGCAGAAGAACTTGGACCAGCAGATGATGATTCAGCAGCAGATGATGATTCAGCAGCGGAAGAACTTGGACCAGCAGATGATGATTCAGCAGCGGAAGAACTTGGACCAGCAGATGATGATTCAACAACAGATGATGATTCAGCAGCGGAAGAACTTGGACCAGCAGATGATGATTCAACAACAGATGATGATTCAGCAGCGGAAGAACTTGGACCAGCAGATGATGATTCAACAACAGATGAAGATGCAGCAGCGGAAGAACTTGGACCAGCAGATGATGATTCAGCAGCAGAAGAACTTGGACCAGCAGATGAAGATTCAACAACAGATGATGATTCAGCAGCGGAAGAACTTGGACCAGCAGATGATGATTCGACAGCGGAAGAACTTGGACCAGCAGATGAAGATTCAACAACAGATGATGATTCAGCAGCAGAAGAACTTGGACCAGCAGATGATGTTTCAGCAGCGGAAGAACTTGGAGCAGATGAGCTACCAGTGGACGATAAGACAGCTGACGGTGAAACAACTGTAGATGAGCTTGTTGAAATGGAACCGCTTGATGTCAACGAAATCGAAGAAACCGAAGTACTAATGACTTCTGACGACGAATAAGTAGAATTTGACCACGAGAATGAGAATCCACTGCTAGTTTCAGTAGATGACGGTATGATAGAAGTACTACTATAACTTGAGACACTAGCACTGGATGCTGAGGATGGAGTAGCAGAACTTACAAAATCACTTGAGGTAGTTGGGCATCCGTAAGGCATACCGTTATATGTTCCGTCCCTCTTCTCCAAGAAAGTGCAACCTGAAGGTAACACAAAAGAGGAAGGTTCAACGGAAGAAGAGCTTGGACCAGCAGAAGATGATTCGACGGCAAAAGAAGATTCAACGGATGATGAACTTGGGCCAGCAGACGAAGATTCGACGGCAGAAGAAGATTCAACGGATGATGAACTTGGGCCAGCAGACGAAGATTCGACGGCAGAAGAAGATTCAACGGATGATGAACTTGGGCCAGCAGACGAAGATTCGACGGCAGAAGAAGATTCAACAGCAGAAGAAGATTCAACTGAAGAAGAGCTTGGACCAGCAGACGAAGATTCGACGGCAGAAGATGATTCAACGGATGATGAACTTGGGCCAGCAGACGAAGATTCGACGGCAGAAGATGATTCAACGGATGATGAACTTGGGCCAGCAGACGAAGATTCGACGGCAGAAGATGATTCAACGGATGATGAACTTGGGCCAGCAGAAGATGATTCGACGGCGGAAGAAGATTCAACGGATGATGAACTTGGACCAGCAGAAGATGATTCGACGGCAGAAGAAGATTCAACGGATGATGAAGTTGGACCAGCAGACGAAGATTCGACGGCAGAAGAAGATTCAACGGAGGATGAACTTGGGCCAGCAGAAGATGATTCGACGGCGGAAGAAGATTCAACGGATGATGAACTTGGACCAGCAGACGAAGATTCAACAGCGGAGGAAGATTCAACGGATGATGAACTTGGGCCAGCAGAAGATGATTCGACGGCAGAAGAAGATTCAACGGATGATGAAGTTGGACCAGCAGACGAAGATTCGACGGCAGAAGAAGATTCAACGGAGGATGAACTTGGGCCAGCAGAAGATGATTCGACGGCGGAAGAAGATTCAACGGATGATGAACTTGGACCAGCAGACGAAGATTCAACAGCGGAGGAAGATTCAACGGATGATGAACTTGGGCCAGCAGAAGATGATTCGACGGCAGAAGAAGACTCAAACGCGGAAGATTCAATAGACGAGGATGATGGGGAAGAAGGAACAGATCCGGTAGAAAAGATACTGGATGAGTTGGGTGGAGTGAAAATTTCGACAGTGGTAGTACCATCAGAGTTGGTTGGAGTGATAGTGACAGTGGATGTGGCAGTACCAGTTCCCTCAGTAGTGATGGTAGTAACGTGTGGTGGAGTGAAAATTTCAACAGTGGTAGTACCATCAGAGTTGGTTGGAGTGATAGTGACAGTAGATGTGGCAGTACCAGTTCCCTCAGTAGTGATGGTGGTCACATGTGGTGGAGTGAAAATTTCGACAGTAGTAGTACCATCAGAGTTGGTTGGAGTGATAGTCACAGTGGATGTGGCAGTACCAGTTCCCTCAGTAGTGATGGTGGTCACATGTGGTGGAGTGAAAATTTCGACAGTAGTAGTACCATCAGAGTTGGTTGGAGTGATAGTCACGGTAGATGTGGCAGTACCAGTTCCTTCTGTGGTGATGGTGGTCACATGTGGTGGAGTGAAAATTTCAACAGTGGTAGTACCATCAGAGTTGGTTGGAGTGATAGTCACGGTAGATGTGGCAGTACCAGTTCCTTCTGTGGTGATGGTGGTCACATGTGGTGGAGTGAAAATTTCAACAGTGGTAGTTCCATCAGAGTTGGTTGGAGTGATAGTGACAGTAGATGTGGCAGTACCAGTTCCTTCTGTGGTGATGGTGGTCACATGTGGTGGAGTGAAAATTTCGACAGTAGTAGTACCATCAGAGTTGGTTGGAGTGATAGTCACAGTGGATGTGGCAGTACCAGTTCCCTCAGTAGTGATGGTGGTCACATGTGGTGGAGTGAAAATTTCGACAGTAGTAGTACCATCAGAGTTGGTTGGAGTGATAGTCACGGTAGATGTGGCAGTACCAGTTCCTTCTGTGGTGATAGTGGTAACGTGTGGTGGAGTGAAAATTTCAACAGTGGTTGTACCATCAGAGTTAGTTGGAGTTACTGTACTAGTAGAAGTAAATGTGCCAGTCCATGAAGTGGTAACAGTGGTAAGGTGTGGAGGTGTCAAGATCTCAACAGTTGTGGTGCCTGCATAAGGGTCTGTGGGTGTTACTGTACTAGTAGAGGTTACTGAACCGGTCCATTCAGTGGTGATTGTGGTTGCACTTGGTGGAGGGTATGGTGGTTCGTCTCTGCACACTGAGCAGACATCATTGGGTGTACTTTCTGCTGGTACTGGTCCATCATAAATTACTGCGGAATTAATGATACTGTTACCGAGCCCAGTTCCGAGATCATAAAACGTTTGACGCTTAATTAAGCTGCTGTCATATCCTTTACCAATATTAAAGTAATGGTTGAAAGTAAGCGGAGGCAATCCTGTAACAAGATTCAATATACCAGTGTTCGGATCGTACTTAATATTAGTAAGCAGGACTGTAAGCGCAATGGCATTACCTCCACCAAACCCAGATACTAAGTATGTTTGTGTACTAAGAGCCGAAACTTGCAAGGTTGAACTTGGTGTAGAGAGATAAATTGTTTGTTGCAGATCAAACGGAACATTCAAAGTACCAAGGTTAGAATTAACACCAACATTGATACAACCATTTCCTTGTACGCTTGGAGCAACGGGCCATCTATAATTCCTGATACAAATTTGACCGTTGTTGTTGATGGTGCTTCCAGAGGCTCCTAAAGTAGCATACCCAGTTGATCTGGAACTTGCGTACAAGTAAATAGACGCTCCTTTGTCATTGTTCCAAGTAGGAGCCGCAATGGTGAACATGGCACCAACGACATTTCCCTGTGCAATGAAGAAAATGTCTCCAGTGTTGTGAAAAGTCTTGGTGACCATTGAATAAATAGGGCCCAAAGCGGATTTAATGGATTTGAAGAATACCAATCCATTGTTGGTAAAGTCTAACAGGGTTGCAGAAGATATAGATAAAGTTCCCAACCCTGAACTACTATCAAGTGTCATATACAAACGTCCATTGATTAAAATATTTCCAGTAAATGCTTCTGACAAGGTATTATAGACGTTCCAATAAGCGCCTTGATCAACAATAACGTCTCCTTGTAAGAGAACAATTCCATTGTTGGTAGTGTCTTGGGTGATATGTTGCGCAACCGTGGGCAACACCGCAAGAGCAGCCGTCGTAAGTAGTTTCACAATTGAACCTAAACGCATTGCTCTACCAGGTTAGTAAAAAATTTGTTTATTTGAAGATAGTTTCGTTCCAGACAGCATTAGCTAATGTCGGAGATGTAGGATTAGATTCTGCTTATATACCTTTGACACTCAAAATTTGCCTGGTGCCTCAGAGGTATCGTACAGCTGAAGTGGAAGATTTTAGCAGCCTACTTGGCAAATCGTAGAATACGGCAGTAACCCGCCGCAATATTCATGCAAGAAAACAATACACTGCAGATCTTGAGGCAGCAAGTCACACTTAAAACGAATAATAATGGGTAACCTCGGAACCTTCGATTTGAACCCTTTCCTGATCACACAATGTGGAAATTTTGTTCCATTTACGGTGATATGCATGAAATATGCACCTCGCGGCTCATTATGTTAAATCCGAGATTATGGAAATTTATAAGATATTTAGATTATAGATGCATGTTCCCAACAAGACAATTATTTCTAGGATAGTAATAATTACTGAAGGGCCCGCCCCCTTGTTCTTTCAACTCCTACAACCAAGAAAGGGATAAATACTGATGATAGCCCAATCACGGAATTAAGTTCATATCCACAACTACGCTCCTGTCATGCATCTTGCAAACCTCCTTTTGTGGTTTCAATTGTTTAAAAATATTTTTATAGTTTAAAGTTTAGTGAGCAGCAAAGGCAACCAAGAAAATCTTAATGATGACTACAATAACGAGACAGATATTGTCCAAGAGATTTCGAGATGGAAGGTTTGGTATATGTACTACTTTAAAGCGTGCATTTAGTTGTCTTTGACAATAGATACTATCATTCAGTGATATATTGATATATTCACACAATAAGAGGCGAAAAACCAGAAGTGGGGTAAGTAGTCGTTTAGCGAAAATGTACTTCGTAATTGATTTGCGGGAATTTCTTCTCGTTAATGACATCCATGCTTTCAAGTGTGAAGTAGCAATACTAAACTTGAAATGATGATGTATAGAACTACAAATGTGCCTTTAAAATATTTTAACATACGGCACTTTTTTCAACTTCTGTCTCATCTGAATTAGATACCAAGAACTTTTTTCTAAGAAAAACAATTGCTGTCGTAGCATGTTTCATGAATATTTTGTTCGCTTGCATGTCACGATGCATCCATTACGTGGATCTAAGTACTTAATGTGATCGACCGAAAAGTATCATTTACAATTAAACTTTACGTAAGTAACCAGGAGAAATTACCGCCGTACTTAAGCTGAATTGTTGTATTTAGGCGATATATTCAATTGGAAGATCAAATATCAATTAAATAAGCAAGGGATATATACTGTGAAGAGTGCGAATTAACCAGAAGTTTAAACATTCCGATAGAGAAATCGGATTTATGCCCTTAGAGATTAATGAACAATTTGCAGTAAGCCCGCCCTCAAAATAGCTGCAGGTCACTTTGTTATGCAGATTATCTTACGAAACCGGCCGAAGCGTGCATACAATATGCATGTGGGGATACAGTACACAAGGTGGCTTATGTTATTTTGCATGAGGCTCACAGATAAATCATAGGCAGCAATATACATTGCAAGGCCTACCGTTTCATAACTGACAAAGGCTACAATAAATTACGACATACCCAGTTAATAAATGTGTATTTTGAGATGGTAAAATAATTCCAAATTGGTCACCCAAAAACTCCAACTGTAGAGGTATAGCCCGAAGTTATTGAACATGACTAACTGAATAATCCCGACAAGTGGTACTTACTCCTCACATTTTAGATTTAGTTTACAGTTATACTTAAGGATTCTATTTTAATTAAACTCTACTTTAAGGGAGGGTAATAAGAACGTAGGATTATACTACTACTGTAGCCAAAATTGGAATATATCGCTAATTGAATGCAAAGTCTACAGTTCTTAATTGTCGTATTATTATTATTATTGTTATTATATATTCCTTCTTACGAGAGATCTGAATTTTGATTAAATTTTGCAGGAACCTTAGTCCAGTTTGGTTCTCTTTTGGTTATAATCACTACGGCTCGGTATTTTATAGAGATTTTCATGTTTTTTTTCGACATTATATATCTAATAGATTTGCCCAATGGTGAAAAAAAGTTCACATAAAAAAATAAAAACGTATATACTAGGATCAATGAGCTCTACAGCTCTACAATTTATGACATAGACCCCTTCTATGAATAGAGTAGTTCGCAGGGATTTCCTTAAGAAATTGTAAATGGTAAATTTTTTTTTTATTTGAGCCTAGGTGTACGGATGTGAATTGGCTGCAAATTGTAGATTGTGAAGTCTGTTGTTTCCAAGTAATATCCTTTTTTTCTCACTTAACCATATAGTAAAATTAATAAAAAAGAGAGGCATGTATGTCCAATATGGTCAAATGCTATATAGGCAAGGGACTATATATAGATGTGGAAAGGGTTTTGAGAATGAAGAGTGAAGACTCATGTGCTCCACTTAGTTTCACTGTTTCCTCTTTAGGCGATAACTTAAAAATAATAAAAGGTATTACCAATAAGTAGATATACGAAAGATATAAGGTTGTAAAATATTATATGAAAGTGTACCAACAATTGATCTACAAAAATATACGACTGTGATACAATGAAGTGTTCATTATGAATATATTGCATTTCCATGGTATATCAGAAGATGTACAACCACAATAATTGAAACCGAGAGTCAAGGAAACCACTTTTCTTTTGCATAGTAATTTGAAGAATTAAAATCGGATACTAAGAAACACTTGAGTATCTTTATTGGAGGAAAGAATGTGACTGATTTCAAGTGTGGAAGGCAGAACCACGTTGCTTCATACCTCGGTTGCAAGTTAGGAGTATCCATTCCTACACTACGAATTGATCTGAGTCTTTCATGTTTTCATATTTGGATTTTAAGAACTAATAAGCCAGACAAATCTTTAGCATGTCAAGTAAAAGGTGCAAATACAAACTTGATCCATCTTCAAACTGAATTTGAATTGCAGAGATGGCATATACTGCCAAAAATTTGATGCACAAATATTGACGGTGCCATAGATAAACTAGTACATATGACCCTGCTGAGGCTTATACAATAGTGAAATGTCCATTCTCCAGATTAAAGTCAATAGTACAAAAGCTTAAAAGAGATAGAGAGTCCTTTCATTTTCGAGGATTGAGGTTGTAGTGTTTCCAAATTAGTTTTCTAAGTATTTCCATCATCTTGCATTTTTCTTGATATGTTACCATATACCCCTTCAATTCAGAAGATTCTTATCCACTGACACAATCTGGTTCCAAACAAACGAAATAGATTGTAAAGGGCTCGGGTTTCTCGATAGAAAGGCAATAGTATTAAAAGTATGAATTTGCCTTCTTTCAAGTTCGTAGGAAGGTGTAGGAAAACCGAGAAATACAAAATAATATTAAATACTGTTGAAGGTGGTTTGATGTGTCAATAATGTCTTGTATCGTTTATTCGGCTGTATTCGAACTAGAAGAGAATAAAAATATAAATCGCAGCATATTTTGTGTATCTTGGCTCAGGCGGCGCGCTTTCTCTTTCATGCAAGGACAGAGGTTTATCCACCAATCGAATATCTTGAGGCAACATCACACATAAAGACCTACCGATACAACTATCAAATAACTCCGTGATCATCTGGAATTATTATATGTGGCTATTGAAACCATTCAACTCCTGAAATTACGGATGTATGGTAGGAAAGTCAAAAAAAAGTAATAGTTGCTAAAACGTAATGACCATTGCGTCTTGTTATCATACTGTATTTTCTATAAAGTTTTTACTTTTGATACATTCAAATTCTGTAGGGCTAATTTGTCTGAAAGCTAAAATGTATCAATCCAACTTACTAGTAGAAATGAAGAGGATTTCCGTCACTTTTCCGAATTTGATAGTCATCCAACCTAAACTACTAAAGCTAGTTGCCATTGAATTTAGACTAATGCTTAAAACCAGTCTGTAAAATTTTAACCTTTGATTAGTGTCAAATGGAAGATAATACGAAATATTTTTACTGTCACGAACTAGTATTTGATTTTCCTTTCAAGTCTAATGATTAGGTAGTTATAAATCTTGCTTGGTATTTCCCAGATTACGTACTCCGCTACCATGAAATTTCTTTTTTTTCTTGGGCAATATCAAGGCACCCCCCTTAGGATTGAGATATACTTTCAGAATCAACACAACTGAGATATTTAGCCGAAATGTGACATATGTAGAAACTCTAAAACATGGAAAATTACAACAAAAAAAGTAAAACTCTAATAACACTACTCTAGCAAGTATACGTAACAAAACGATAGCTGTACTTCCACAGTATTCTGAATTTTAGAGGGACCTCCTAGAAATAATCACCTTTATTTGTGGGGACCAAATTTAAAGGTGTACCTTCAGGAGTAGGAATGGTGGCGCACACATCGGAGTTATGCATGCGCATAGAACTATCACACACTGCACGCATACGGACGTAATGTTCTTTTTCGGAAATAGAGTTCACAGAAAATAAGTGAATAGGTGGGGATGCATAAAAGAGATTTCGTTTAGGGGATTTCGTATTGTAGTGAAGGGTTAGCTTTACCTATAATAAATTTGAAAGGGTATCTAGATACGATTCCACAACCTCAAACCTTCCTGGACAATTTTTTCAACTTGTATATTATATGGTATATATTATCAGGTTCTGTACTAGAACTAGGTTACAATGATAGATGATATCTTGATTACAAAATCAAGATCAAGTAGAGGATTCGACGTGATTTAAGTACCCAGCAGGTTAAGTAAATAGATTTACCCGAAGGACCGTGGAGGTTCCGAAACACTGTAGAATTCACGAGGAACTGTGAAGGTCCCCAAGTACTTTGAAGGTTACGAAGTACAACTGAGGTACACTGGTTGCCATTGTTTCGTAATCTGCTTCCTAAGATTTCCTCCATAGAATAGTGTCAAATGCGTAACATCGGTACACCTACTAGAAACGTTTTGGCGGATCCTTATCTGTAAGATGGCAAATTTCAGTTTATTCTTTAGTGCTCAACAGTCTCTTACCGTGTTTGCAATTATACTCATTCTTATTTCTTAGAGTTTCGTAGAAACTCTTGACGTCGTTAATTTGATTATAAACATTAAAATATATATTCTTTACTTTTGTTGTCATTGTTGTGATATCCAATAACGAACCAGGTCCAGAGATAGAAGTTGAGGGAACAGGAAATAGTGGTATACTTGCATTTTTTTATATATATATATGTATCGTTAAGCTATACTAAAGTCTAGTCAAGCACGAACGCGTACTTGGATTTCGTTCTTAATTGAACACCATACTTGTAAAAAAGGAATGGAACGGGAATCATTGCCACAGCAACACATCCTAACAAAGTACCAGCCCACTTAATTTTCATATTAACAAACATTTGACGAGCGAAAAGTGGGAAAACACCTCCAAACATAGATCTCATAAAAGTATTACCTGCAAGGGCAGAGGCAGCAAAGAACAAATAACAATCAATGATATAATTCATACATGGCAAAAAGATGGTAATTAAACCAAAACCAATGAATGCAATACCAACAGTTGGCACCATCCAATGAACCTTGTCGGGGAAATCACCAGACCAACCCATCCAAAAGATACCAATTGCGAAAACAAAGCCACCAATCATCATTGGAGGAAGTCTTTCTTCAGGAACTGGCTTACCCTTTTCAGCCATGATTTTTCCGTATCTTCTTTCAAAGAAGATACACAATAACCCACCAAAGAAGATACCAATAAGCATAGACAAATATGGCAATTCAGCCACTCCGCTAACCCAATGGTATTTTCCTTGGAAGATTAATGGCACCGCCGTCAAAAAGAGATATAACAATCCATAGATGAACGAGTTGTATAAAGTAATTAAGAACAAAATTGGTTCAGTAAATAACATTCTTAAAGGTCTTGTAATATTCTTTTCGGCAATTTCTTTCAAGGAGAGGGAGAATTCTTCGTGTGGAGCGTGGATACCCCAGTTACCGGTTCTTCTTCTCAACGTTTCAGCCTTCTTGACAAGAATCAATGGATGGTGAGTCTCAGTGTAGAGGAAGATAAGAGAAATGAAAGCAACGATACCAATGAAGGCAGAAATGTACAGACACCATCTCCAGCCCAAACCGGGATTCTTCACAATGAAGCCACCGAATATTGGGGCCAACATTGGACCACCGAACAATACCATGGCAAAGAGAGCCATGGCTTGACCTCTGGTGGCGGCGCCAAACAAGTCTGCCAATGCGGCTGGAGCAACCACAAGAGGGGAAGCACCAATGAACCCAGCAAAGAAACGACAGAGCATGATAGTTTGAATGTCTTTAGCGGTGGCTACAGCAAAACTGAAACAGATGAAACCGAAACAGGATGGAATAAGCACCACTTGACGACCGTATAATTCAGAAAGCGGACCCCAAATGATAGGACCGGATGCAAACCCGAAAACATACAATGAAGTACCCAAGGTAGCAGTGGTGGATCCTATGCCAAAGATCTCCATCACTTCTGGGGTTGCCTCTGCGAAGATGGCAGAACCAACTGATGCAGATAAGGCCAACATACCAACCACATAACAGATGAGAATCTTTTTACTAAGTTTCCAATTGTGAGGATGTATAGGGTCTGAAGGTCCGTCGTAGGCAACAGAGTATATATCTCTGTCACCCAATGGAGGTGGATAGTCTCTGCCACCACCCATGACAGGCAATGGCTCGTCCGTGTCATTAGCTTCGGCAAGCAAGTCATCACCTCCGGTAAGACGTCTTGAGAGTTGTCTAGAAGCTTGAGCACTCAGTTCATAACGAGAAAGCTCATCTTCACCAGCCTCCAATCCAGACGCATCTAACCCTGAGGTATAGGCACGTTCAAGGTCAGCTGGGGCACCAGTGAAAGCCTGAGGGTCAGTCAATGAGTCGTTTCCTTCAACTGGGGATTCGGTTTTTTGAAGCGCTGGGGAAGTCCCAGACTCAGAGGAGTCAGAATCAGATGCTCTGGCCATGTTTGATGCTGGTATCTATTTATATAATAAGTAAAAAGGTATCCCTTTTTTTGGGGCCTTTATAAAATTTTTTTATAAAACTTTGCTTGGTCTTCCAAACAATGGTGTTCGATTTGTCTGAATGTAGAAAAACTCAAACAGGATGACAATAAAATCCAAATGTGGAGTACAGTATAAATTATCGTAAGATTTTTTTTCCTTGTATGGTCGGCACAGTCAAAATTTTTTCTCAACAAGGCACTCTTCCGATGCTAGGGAATGTTCTACGATATTATATATGTTTGTAAGTCTTCGTTAGTTGCTTATTAGATTACAAATCATGCAAAGGTTTTTCTACAACGGCATCGTTTTGGCCGATGTCTGAAATTTGAAATACTACATGCAGTATACTATCGGAGAAACGCCCAAATAGGATAATTTCCGTTTTTTTAAATAATAACAGCCGAATAATTAAAGGGTATTGTTGTTAAAGTTTGGGACTAATCAGTCAGTATTCCGAAACATTCAGGAGTATACTTGGTTTGGAAACATGGCTGCTTGACTGACAGGGCAGCATATACCTTGGTCTGTTTCTCAACTTTACTGTTGGTAATCCATGTTTTTATTTTTCTTTTGATTGTTATTTTTAGTTATCGAAAAAAAGGGAACCTTTTTTCAAAAAAAAAAAGAAAGAAAAAGTTATGTAGGGTGAGTCGGCCGTTCGCGATTTAGCCGTGCCCAACACTCGGTGATAACTAATAAATCCGTAGAGAGAGCTAAAGATGTCATAAAACATGACGACGGAACGGAACCTACCATGTGTGTAATTGATCCGTTAACATGGAGATTATCGTATCCATCAATATCAGGATTGACATGATTTGGGCTGAATCACATGCAAGATCTTGCATGAATTACTCACTTCATTCTCACTAATACTACATTAGTTTACACACAAAACTAGATACCAAGATTGGTATACATTCTTACAATGGTAAAGTAGGAATATATATAGAGTAATTCAAAGTGTAGTTTATCTTTATTCTAGACTGACACACATTATAGAAGTTAACATAATGCATTAAGAGGGTACTTCAGTTTTCCCTGACTCACCCATTCTCTTGTTATGCACTTTTTTTTTTGTGTCAGGGGGTTCATCTGCAGCATACCCATTCGGATGACTCTTCACATTCCTCGTGCCTCCAGTAGATTTTCTAGTACACGTTTATTGTCTTCAGTAAAAATCCACCACAGTCCCTACTCAAAGATACATTTGACCCGAATACTGTTGACAATGAAACTAGAGACGGTGGTTAAGCATGATATGAATTAACTCTTATATGTATATGTCAATTCGACTTTCTGGTACGTGTTGGTTCCCGTATAGATGGCAATGGTAATCGAGAAGGTGTAGCATTGTAGTTCCTTTTTATGAAAAGACAAGAGATTTGATATGAAAAGACAAGCACATAACTTATTTTGAAGCTATGCTGATAACCAGGTGTAACAAGTAATACAGCCTTCCATTTTTTTTTTTTGAAACAATTTTTATCATAAACAAGAGACCTTTCGAAATTAGTGGTACTTTCTGTAGTAGATGGGATAGAGAATGACCACTATCAAGAATCCACCTAGGTATAGATTTTTGTGTATTTCTGTATTTGTTAACATGTGGTGTTGACTCCATGTAATTATTCCATTATGATACCTCACTTCATCTATTGTTTAATGGATATTATTGGGCCCAAATAATATCCATACCTGAGTATATAAATGTGTAGATTCATTCAAAGAGCAATCGGAAATACAATTCAATTACCTTTCAAGAAAATCCACCAATGAATACAATTCAAATTGCCTCCAACTTGTTGGCAACATTTGTTGAAATAGTATTTGCAACCGATGGGGCTTTACAAGTAAAGTTCGAACACAATACTCATTCATACAACTCTGAACTATTCCATGCTCGACGTAGGTCAAAGTATCTAGATGTAACAATTGACCAACAATTGTGCAATTACACAATCAACATAATTGTTGAAAGTCCACCACAAGAAATCCAATGTCCAGTTTTGATTAGGGATTGAATTCGCCAAGGAGTCTTTGGTCTTGAGTTCAAGGAGCTTGAAGCCAGTAGTACAGCAATATAATACCACGTATAGCAGTCTAATATCCGCTCTAACTGAGCGTGGAGCTTTCACGAAACCAGTATTTTCCACATACTTGAACAATTTCAACTCATCTACTGAGTTGCTTCTTCTTGGTGGCAAAAACCGTGCCAAATATACTGGTGAATTGAAAAAAAAACTTCCAGCTGTTGATTTTTTTGTTGGGAAGCAAAACTATGATGAGAATCATATCCAAGAAAATTTGCTGTGTGTCTACGAATGGAAAAGCTTTCAACAATACCGTCACCTACGTATTTGACTTTGGGTTTCCTCAAATCAAATTTGATAATGAGTCCGTTTCCCACCTTATTGAAGGTCTCCCCTTTCTGTATAATCCAGAGTACAGAATACACGAGTACGAGTTAGTCAAGTTCGATCTTGAGCACGAGTTTCTCAACCTTGATGGAGAAGACGTTGTTCTTACCTTGAGACCTAACAATCTCAAATTTGGGCTCTATGATGAATATGCCAATGGAGCCTTGATGGCGAGAACAAGAGAGTTTTGGCTAGGCTCTAAGAGAATCAAATTGGGGTATTCTTGGTAATAACTTCATTTGAAAGGTTTACCAAGTAGTGGACCTTGAAGGGAGATCAATCTCTATTGTTAAGGTAAAGTACACTGATGACACTGATTTAGTTCTCATTATTGAGTAGTCTAGTACACATATGTTTCTCTTTCTGTTCTGTTATTATTATTTTTGCCCTTTTTATTCTTCTCTCTATATGTACCAGCACACTAGTCATAAAATCCTTAATATATGCTTCCTACTACTATGCCTCATTGTGTTTCATTTAAGGTTAGATTTCTTTTTCTTTCTCTCCTTTCGCAGCCTCCTTGGAATGACATTTGCAACCATTTGAGAAAAACAAAATGGTTTGAACTTTGCACGACCCATTAGATATGAGTTTACATCATACACACCATATCTTACCCCAGAGATACTCCCATTTTTTTCACAATTCCCCACCCATAAAGGAACCTTAACCTCTTGGCCCAATACCTGGAATACCTCTGAGAGAAAACGGCCACACTCCCTATCTAGAAAACTAATACGAGCAAGGAAACATGGAGAGCGATGGATTTGTTCCAATTCTTGCAATCTTTTATGCTGTTTTCCATCCAACAGAGGGGACAAAGATTTTACATCAAGTTCCTGAGAACTCAATCTCAACTCAAACAGGAGGAGTAAGTCCAACCTCTCACTTCTTCAACTTTGATACTGTGAAGAATTACGTCATCCCAAAGCCTCAGCTTTGTGATAAACTTATTCTGTTTAAGATTGGACGATTTCAACTTATGGGGTATCCTGTCAACATACAGAACCCAGACTATGCCAGAAACTCCTTCAGTTTCAACTTTTGCTTTGTATTTCCATATGATAGTGATACAACTCCATACGAGCTCTGCATTAGGCGGACTGGGACGATGTTTCGAGTTCTTGAAGAACAGAATGGGTTGTTATCTAAATTGGATCCAATGTTGAGAAGAAGCCCCGTAGTGAAAGTTGGAGAGGGTAAGAATGATGACAACAGCGCTGGAGGTGGAGGCATCTTAGATAGCATTGTGGGAGAAAATTCTGATGTAAAGCATGGGTCAATCCCTGAAGAACCTTTGGACGATACTATAACCTCACAATTAAGCAAACTAGCAGACGAAAAGCCAGCATCACCTTCACCGGAAGACCCTTCCAATCAGACTCCCAGAGGACTTAGTAGCAACGATTTGACACCATCGTTTGACCTACCCGGACATGCGAAATCTCGTAAAATTACTCTTACTTCTATTGCATCACTCATCCAACAAATCTATCAAGATCTCAATAACTATTCAGAATGTTGTATTCCCCTCGATTCTGCAAATTCTGTTGATATTAAACTTTTTCCAATTCTACCACCGCCATTAAATATCAAGGCGTTCCAAGTCCCCATATCTACGGTAGACCTTGACTCGCTTGTTGACGTCAATTGGGACCCTACGATGCTCAAGATTCTCCCATTTATCAACGGGCTCAACCTGATCAAGCGAATTTCACAACTAGCAGACTCCGACTACTTACTCACCAAACAATGTATTCAGCATCTTATGCATTACAAGTGTATTGAAATTGTCGATATATTCCAATTCAGCAATATTTACGCACCAACAAATCATGTTGGGAACTTTCTTAAGCTTGGAGGGTTAGCAGCGGAATGCCAAGCTTATACAATCACTGACAGTGATATGAGTAAATTACCTCTACGAGCTGGAGCAAGCAGCACTACGAGTTTTGCTGAGAAGAGTACGAAACCTTCTGAATCAACAAATGGTGCATCTAGAGCAACCCCGATGGGATCTTCCCCCCTTTCTGTTTCTCCATTATCAAGGTCATATCTTCAACGCAGACAGAAAAATACCCCTAGCGAACTGATTGGAACCCCCAAGTATTCAAACTCTGGCAATTTTGGCCTGAGTAGGGCATCAGGATATGGAGGGTCTGGATTCTCCTTATCTTCAAACTTGACAGTAACATCGAAAACGACACTTTTCTACCTTTATCGGTCATTGAACCAGGGTCAAACATTGAAGGAATGGTATGCACAACATCGAAAGCTCTTGGTTAATGTTGATATTCGTCGGTTCATTAACTTTGGAGTTCTACATGGCTTAATTTATAGAGTGTATTCATACCCAATTCTTAATAGATCCATTGAAACGTCTTCCAATGAATTAATTGAGCTTATGGAAGCGCTCAACACAGAGAAAATGGCTCTGGTACTGTCATATGGGACAATAATTCAAGAATCAGTGTCAGGAGAGACTATTATAACAACAACTCAAGGTAAGGGAAACGGGGGGAAATATATGAAGAACACAACCAATGAGACTAATTTGAAAACTGGAAAATCACATAGGAGGGTATCTTTCAATTATAATGTAGACAAACCACGATACTCTGTGAAGGATATACTTGGTAGTGACAATGATAGGAATGATGATTCCGATGAATTTGAGTACGATTCAGACAATTCAAGTTCCGCTCAGAACAATGATATGAATAATATAAAACCAACCAATAGATTTGGTAGCAGTCTTAATGAACAAACCGATTACATCAAATTGATAAAGCTTTTAAAGGGATATCAGCATTTCGATTCTATTTGCACAGAGCTACAGAAATCAAGAAGTGAAGTTGAAAGAATGCTTGAAAATTTGGGATCTTTCAGTGTGATAAATAGTTGAGTTGCATATTATTTATTCTTGTATATCTATAGAGTTTTATCATTATTAGTATTTTATTTCTTGGGCATAGTTCGTTTTGTTATTTAAGCTTCTATTTCATCTTGACCACTCTCTTCGAGAAGTGGAACTTCCTTCAAGTCTTCATCATGCTCATTCATGATCAAAGCTTGTACACAACCACCAATCGCCATTATTGAAAGTAACCACCATGAGACTTCTCCAACATTGTAACTATCACATAAACTGATCAAGTTACCCCAAGCCAAGGGGGCAATTGTTCTAGCTAAAGAGGTAGCACTTAAGACAGTTCCATTGATAAGGGCCCTATGTTGAGGAGGCGATGCTCTATGATTCAAAATGAAAATTTGAGGGTAAGCAATGGCAAATGCAAGCCCACCAAATCCAGCCAATACATACACAAGAGCAAGAGTAACCCAAGGCGGAAAGGACGGGTTATACTCTGGAACAGTGAATATAGCAAGTGGGAGTACAAAGTAAACCAAGGGAAGAACTGCAGTGGCAACCCGATATCCAATTAAGGTACTGTAAAGTCTATCCACAAGGGGGAAAAGAAACAAGACTACAAAGACCCCTAATAAACCAGTAACAGAAAAAAGGGTCCCAATTATTTGAGGGGTATACCCAAACCCACCCGTAATTTTAAATGGGAATTGCAACTTATCACCCAAGAAATCTCCAGCCAATAACACAGGAACAAACTCCAGAAAGACCATATTTTGGAAGGAAAGCAAAAAGTTTGCAACAATAGTTTCAATGACTGGTATTGTAAAAGTATCTCTGTTAAATCCAGATGGTTCTCCTGCGAACGTTGAAGTTCTAGAAACAGTCGGGGTGATGACGTCTTCTACTGGATTCGATGTGTATCTAGAAAGAATTGCCAGAGATAATCTTCTCGTAGTCGGCAGGAATGGGTCAATTACATTATCATCATCGGAGTTGATAGAGACAGAATCAGATTCTTCGTTTGTAGTTGTAATATCACTTCCCACTAGAAGTGGGGTAATTTCATCGCTGAGTTCCTTATTTTTAATAGTTTGATTCTTCTTCCACGGCCTTGGTGGTACCTTGAAACCTAAACTTCTTCTGATGAAATCTCCAATATCTAAACCTAAATCCCTTCTATTTTTGAATTTTTTGTGAGTTTCTTCAAGGAAGAGAAATGCAATTAACATACTAACAAATTGAAACCCACCAACTACTATGTTTGACAATGCATATGGGTAAGTATCCAAGAAGTGTTCATATGAACTGCTCCACAGAAGAGATTTAACACTAGTTGGTGGCTTTGTAAGGTATTTAGAACCTCCGATTAAAGGTCCTACTATACTCCCAAGCCCCCATAATAAGGGCAATGAAGTGAATGCAATGGCTTGATGTCTTCTTTCAGTGGCTACTTCCCCCACCATGGTTCTCAATACCGCGATATTCCCATTCAATGCCCCCATTATTGATCTAGCAAGAATAGCTACAGTGAAATTCCACAGGAATCCAAATAGGAAAATCATTGCTCCAGTACCAAACAACCCACCCAACAAGACAGGCTTACGACCGATCACATCCGATAAACGACTCCATTGAACACAGAGAAGAAATTGACAAAAGGCAAATGCGGCAGATAGATATCCAGTATACTTGGAGATATCTGCTTCATCCTTGGCAATACCAAAATCACGAACCATAAAATAGACATATGGGAACATGGATGTAAAGACAATTGGTTCTGAGAACCTCACCAAACATATCACTGTCATCTGCCATACTGGGAACCCATCAAGGGTTTCTCTCAATGTGGACATCTTGAAATCGGTACAGTAATTGGATGATAGAAAAGACAATCCCCCCGGTCTTATTATAGTAAAGAGTACGCTACCTACAAAGAGTCACCAAAACAATAGATAAGATAATGAGTCAAAATTTGTTTGATGCCACACAATCGCGGGCTTCTTTGGCGCGAGTTTAATGGTTCACTGAGTAATCAGATTTATAGATTAGTAATACCAAGTTGTACAATAGTTAGAATGGAGCCTGTACTACACATTTTCTTTAAAAAAGTATTATCATCTACGTCAAGTACTTTTTTAGTTGGTTTTAAGGGGCGAATGCATTCCACATAGTAATACTAATTTCTGTAGACATAAAATGCAAATATGTATTTTTTAATTAAAACGAGTGGCATTACAGGTGCTAACCTTCTTAAATGCCAATCTGCAATTTTTATTTCTTTGTTTGGGATGGCTCGAATTCCTTCATGTCTAAAAAATAGTTGGTAGGTTCTATAGATTGTCATCTAAGCGTCTACATGTAGACACCTAAAAAACCAAAAACCAAAAAAAAAATAAATAGGAAAAAAATTGAGATTTCTCAGTATTGTGTAACTTGAATTATCGCGCGGTAGTTTTGTTTTGATTTGTTTTGTTTTGTTTATTTTGAATTTACATTTAGTTTAGTTTATTGTACACTCTTCTTTTGTAATATTTATATTAAACCCTTCACATTACTGTACCATGTCAGGAAAAGGAAAAGTTCACGGTGGTAAGGGAAAGTCCTCAGAGTCCTCCAAGTCCTCCACATCGCACTCTGCCAGAGCAGGGTTACAATTCCCAGTTGGTAGAATTAAGCGTTATTTGAAGAGAACCGCACAAAATAAGATTAGAGTTGGTTCCAAGTCTGCCATTTATTTGACTGCTGTGTTGGAATATTTGACTGCCGAAGTATTAGAATTAGCTGGTAATGCTGCCAAGGATTTGAAGGTAAAGAGAATTACTCCTAGACATTTACAATTGGCCATCAGAGGTGATGAAGAATTGGACAATTTGATTAAGGCCACCATTGCTTACGGTGGTGTTTTGCCACATATCAACAAGGCTCTTTTGTTGAAGGTAGAAAAGAAGAAGCAGAAATAGTGTACTATATGTTTTAATATAAAGAATTTAAGTAAAGAGGAAAGCGAATGAAATGACAACAATGTAAGAGGAGTAAGTATAATACGTATGTATATCCATCATATCAGTGATTGTAGACCTTATATTTGAATAAGCATACCCAATTGTTTTACTCTCTACTGAAACTGATATCTTCGGTGTGGTATTATCCTTTGTTTATTTTTTTGTTTTGAAGTTATTTTTTGCGATTTGCAACACCAAGCTCCCACTCCCTAATATATACGAGGTGTATATATTTGTTTCAGAATTGAATCAAGTCAGAAATAACACATATATTGTACAATACTATCCTTTTCACGATTAATTTTCTACATGTCCAAATTCTTGTCTAATATTATTCCTTGTCTATGGTTTAAAATATGAATAAATAACCTTTCTCCCCCTTTGATTGCGCCATTCTACTTTCTTGTTTTACTATGTACAATTTAAGCAACAGTAGCAGCCGCAACAGTAGCCTCGGAAGTGGCTACTACTTTTGAATCTTCACTGTTGGTGGGTGTGGAAGAGGACACTTGTTTCTTCCCATCTTCTTGACTTTTCGTGTCACTTCTTTTATCCAATTTAATATATTTTGGATTCATTCCTGCTGGCGGTTGATAATCATCTAATTTCAAATTATACTCTCTCAACTTATTCTTTATATATTCTATTTCATCCTGTAATGTTGAAATATCGTCAGCGACTGCATCTCTTTCATTAGCAGCCTTCTTTCTTGACCGATAACTTTCATAGAGAATTAATGACCCTGCAACACTGAATATGAAAAATTCAGATAATAAATTGGCACCATTTTCAATAGCCTTTTTATCATTTAATGGTCTAATTTTAATTTTTGATTCTCCTAATAGTTTCATTCGAAGTCGAAGATCGGTCAGATGAACTGTTTGAGCAATCCGAATACAGGCATTCTTGAAAAGATCATGGTCTTTCGCCTGTGCTTTAAGTGTGGTGGCAATCGGCTTTGCCACCGTCCGTACAAGTAGTGATGTAAGTTTAAGAGCTATACCACTCATAAATGAATGTAGTAATGTGTATTGAAACCTTCTCTAAACCTCTTAATTATTAAACCTTTGACACTCGATGTATTTTGGAGGCAACGCTATCTGCAGGCTCTGCCAAAAACTGACATGTTCAATAAAATATCATTTCTTCTTTTGTGTTATATCAATAACAGAATACAAAAAATTTATCTCACCACATTTTTACCCTCAAAAAGTACCAATTTGCTAGCTATTGCGGGTAAGAAATTCAATTTAATATCTTAATGTTTAGAATAGTAGAAATTGACCAATTAAATAATTGTCGTCGTACTATTATCCAAACAACCTATATTTTCATTTATGTTATTATTTTTTACTGTTGTTAATAATATCATCTCCTTCTCCTTGTTTCAGAGAAGAAATATGCAAATTAGTGGGGATTCACGTATCTCAATCAAAAGTTATTCTTGAATTAAATTTACACTTTCTAGTATATTATATTCTCGCCTTTATATTTTAGGTTCCATAAATTATTGCCGCTGCTTATTCGCGTGCCTTCTCTTCTCTTAACTACACAGTTACTGGTTACATCAATTATATTCTCCCCACTTTGTAATACACCTGCCAAGATTCTATACCGAAAAATAAATACTTACAGTATATATTGAACTTGATGGGCCCGGAGGACTCCGAGGGAATAAAACCTTCTAAATTATTAAGTATCCCTTTTTCCCACGGAGTAGCGGATCGTCAGGGTTAAGTCCGGGGGTATTCCGTATTCTACATTTTATTATTGTATCATTGATAAGGACTACATGTCATGCAGATTGCGTATTATTCGACCAATTAACTTGTTTTTGTTTAAAGTTCGTAGCCCCGGACTCACACAAAAAATGAACTCCGTTATTTTGAATTCCGGTTTATTATTCTTCTCCGAAAAAATCGTTTAAAAATCTGGGGTAAGAGTCAAATGAGTACATCAATACAATAGTTCTAATTTGTCCAATTTTTTTTTTTTTTTGTTAAAGGTTTGTTCTGTTGTATAGTACAAACACATTTGATTTCTTTTAAAAATCATATCCCTTAATATCATCTCTCACAATTCCTCCAATTACGTATACTTTTTAATATGCATTTACCCCAGATTTCGATTTTCTCTCTTCATTTTCGTGAGGCTCACAAAACCCGTTTCGCCCAGAAATAGACTCCAGCCCCCGGAATACAACCCGCGAAAATAATATGCTTTTTTTCTGATCAGGTCATACATCCAATAATAATCTAGACATAAACCACCTCAATATCATATAATACTTTCCATTTCAATTTTTTAATTTCTTTCACCTCTTTGAACCCACACCAATTGCATACGGCACCCCCAATATATATAAATGTATATTTAAATTCTCAACAAATAAAAAAAAATTAATAAAACAAATAAATAAATAAATAAGTAAAAAAAAAATAATGCCCCACTTTACATGTAACAGCCTTACCCCCACTTTAATTTCTCGCTACCCAAAAGTCACGCACATATACCAACCCCTTTTGAGGAGAAGCTCAACATTTCGTCTGCGGCCGGATCTACCAATTTCCGATTTATCACCGGAATTACCACAGATGCATTGTGTGGAGTAGTTTTTTTTTTATTCACTAAACGCCGCGTCATGAAAAGTATAAGAATCAGTAGTAAACCCCCCCTATTGAGCGTGTCTAAAGTTTGAAATTTCTTCTCCTCAAGTTGAGAATTAACAATCTAAATATCTCTTCTTTATTTTTTATATATCATTGAAAATGCCTTCCAGTAACCAGCACTTGACTCTTGACCACGAGGCTAAGCTTAACCCACCAGCTGGGTTTAAAGAGAGAAGCCATTCAAAGCCAAATCTCCCTGACTTTGAAACTTACTCTAAGCTCTACAAAGAATCTATTGAAAACCCATCCAAGTTTTTCGGTGAGCAGGCTTTGGAAAACTTGTCTTGGTCCAAGAAATTCGATCTTACAAGATATCCAGTTTCTCCTGAAAATGACTTTAAAAATGGTGACATTCCATCTTGGTTCGTTGGGGGTGAACTCAATGCTTCGTATAACGCCGTTGATCGTTGGGCATTTGCAAACCCAGATAAGCCTGCTATCATTTACGAAGCCGATGAAGTGAACGAGGGAAGAATCATTACATACGGTGAGCTTTTGAAACAGGTTTCAAAGCTTGCTCAATGTTTGACCAAATTAGGTGTTAAAAAGGGTGACTCAGTTGCAGTTTACCTTCCTATGATTCCTGAAGCCTTGGTAACTCTTTTGGCAATTGTTAGAATCGGTGCAGTGCACTCGGTTGTATTTGCTGGATTTAGTTCTACATCCTTGAAGGATAGAATTTTGGATGCCGATTCCCGTATTGTTATTACCGCTGATGAATCCAAGCGTGGTGGAAAGACAATTGAAACCAAGAAGATTGTTGATGATGCTTTGAAAGATTGTCCAAACGTCAGAAATGTTCTTGTTTTTGAACGTACTGGTAATTCTCACGTTCCATTCAACAAGAGCAGAGACTTGTGGTGGCACGAGGAATTGGACAAATATGGTCCATACTTCCCTCCAGTCCCAGTTAATGCTGAAGACCCATTGTTCTTGTTGTATACCTCTGGCTCTACCGGAAAGCCAAAGGGTGTTCAACACAATACCGCTGGTTATCTTTTAGGTGCTGCCCTTACCACAAAGTACACTTTTGATGTACACGAAGATGATATCATTTTCACTGCTGGTGATATTGGTTGGATTACTGGTCACACCTACGTTGTATACGGTCCTCTTCTTAATGGTGCAACCACTGTTGTTTTTGAAGGTACTCCAGCATACCCTAACTACTCAAGATATTGGGAGATTGTTGACAAGTACAAGGTTAACCAATTCTATGTTGCCCCAACTGCCTTACGTCTCTTGAAGAGAGCTGGTACCAAGTACATTGAAAAGTATGATCTCTCTTCTATTAGAGTTTTAGGATCTGTTGGTGAACCTATTGCAGCTGAAGTTTGGCACTGGTACAATGACAATATTGGCCGTGGTAAGGCCCACATTGTTGACACCTATTGGCAAACAGAATCTGGATCTCATCTCTTGACACCATTGGCAGGTATCACTCCAACTAAACCTGGATCTGCCTCATTACCTTTCTTTGGTATTGATGCAAAGATTCTTGATCCAGTTACTGGCGAAGAATTTACTGAAAATAACGTTGAAGGTGTTCTTGCTATCAAGAATGCCTGGCCATCTATTACTAGAGGTATTTTCAATGACTACTCCCGTTATATTGATACTTACCTTAAGCCATACCCAAACCACTACTTTTCTGGAGATGGGGCTGCTCGTGATGCTGATGGATTTTTCTGGATTTTGGGCCGTGTTGATGATGTGGTGAATGTGTCTGGTCACCGTTTGAGTACTGCGGAAATCGAAGCTGCTTTGATTGAACATGAATTGGTTGGTGAAAGTGCTGTTGTTGGATATGCCGATGAATTGACCGGACAAGCTGTAGCAGCATATGTCTCTCTTAAGTCGTCTCCAAACGCACAAACTAAAGAAGACTTGGATGCTATTAAGAAGGAACTTATCTTGACTGTTAGAAAGGAAATTGGACCATTTGCTGCACCAAAGTTGATTCTTTTAATTGATGATCTTCCAAAGACTAGATCGGGTAAGATTATGAGAAGAATCTTGAGAAAGATCTTGGCAGGTGAAGAAGACCAATTAGGTGATATTTCCACTTTATCAAACCCTTCAGTCGTCGCACATATCATTGACGTTGTGAAGGATAGCACCAAGAGAAAATTTTTCTTGAAGTAATGAATGTAACTTGTCTATTTATTAAATATTATGAAGCAATTCTTTGTAGAAAGTGATAATTATGAGAAGTTAAATCTTTTAGTAGGCTCAGGTTTGTAGTGTTTACGTTGTATTATGTTATATTAATTCGCTGACACCCAATATAGATTCCAATAAACTTTTAGAGTCTGGCTTTGGGGCTACAACCAGTGGCTTTATTCCCTTTTCTTCTAAATATTCTTCTGTTGTCGGTCCAATTGAAGCAATTTTGAATCCGTGATTGTCACTATTAACCAAGTATTCTACAATACTTTCCGTACCTTGTGGACTAAAGAACACCAACCAAGAGGGTGTCTTGGCCACAATGTCACAGGTTTCTTGAAAATTGACAACAATATCATTTCTAGCCTCTGTACGATATAATACTCGCTCTTTCAAGTCAAACCCAGCCTTAATCAACTTTCTTGGTATAATATCTTTACGAATTTCTCCCGTGAAGAAAATCACTTTCTTATTGGGCAGCATTTCTTGCATTATTATATCGGCCAATATTGAACCATTTCCAGCATTTTTACCTCCGCGAACGTCTTTAAATCCAGATTGTCCCAATATTTCAGCCGTGGCAGGTCCTACTGTGTATCCCAGCTTGGAAAATATACGACTGGCTATCTCATTATCTTTTATCATACCCATACATTCATTGAAACATTCTACAGCTCGTTGACTTGTAATAATGAATGCGTCACAACCAAGAAAATCCACATCTGTCAAGTACTCAACAATCTTATCTTTATCCAAGTGAGTGTGTCTTAACAACGGTATGAAATGTGGACTATGTCCCTGAGTTTGTATTATTTCTTCATATGGGTCAGCAGGTGTAGTTTTGTTCTTCAAAAGTATAATATGCATCGATCTACTACTCTATATGGTATATTTGCTGATATCTGTACTATCTGAAATCTTGAACATATCTGTACTGATACATATCATTCACTGGTAAATACACGACACTACAATTCTTCATAGTCATTTTCAAACCATTATATTATTACATCCTTTGATATAAAAAATCTACTATTATCACTTGTACCTATATATATATATATAACCTCCCAATTTTTAATTTCTTCATTAGTTCGTTCATTCTTTTTTGTCGAGATCAAGTTACCAGTATAAAATTACTAAACCCATTATTCTCCTTTTGGAAAACCCGAACCACTCTTTCATTACCAACCATTAAATTACCGACAACTTGTCTGACGTAATCTTTGATACTTTCAATAAATTCAAATTTATATCCCATAACAGAAACAGAAAAGAACAATGCTGCGATAGTTATTAACGCTGGGAACCAGAAAAATAACAACATCTTATCATTCTTGACTGTCTTGCGGCCTGTCTTGATTTGGTAAGAGATAATCAAATCATCCAGAGAGTCAGATGTGACACCACTATCTTCTTGTTCAACACTGGCCAACTTTGAATTGGATGTGTTACTTCCAGATGAAGAAGCAGTTGTCTCAATAATCTCAGGTTTCGAGCTGTGTCCAAAGGGGAAAAGGTCATCGTAAGATGGTAACTCCATATCTTCATCGTCGTGGTTGAAAACATTCTTCACTCGTTGCCATAAAGAATTGTTTACAGGGAGTTGAGATTGCTCAACATTTTCGTTGTCAACTTCAGATTCCAAACCATCATCGTCATAGTCATCCGATTCTCCTTCAGAGTCCGCAAATTCAGACGAGTAGTTACTTTCGTCGTATACATCTGATGTATCCGAAGGTTTGAATTCGCTTCTCATGACATGCCTGTCGCCACTTTCCAACTTTTTACTAGTTGAAATTTCACTATTCTCTTCAATGACCATTTTGGAGATATGTTTACCATAATTCATAGTAAACATAGAATTCAAACTATCAACACTCAAGGATTTGTTGAGTTTATCTTTACTTGCGAAAACACTACCAAAGTCTTCCCCTTCACTTAATTCACTGAAAATATCCAACACATTCAAGTCACAGTAATCTGTCAAATGTAAATCGTTTGATAATTTCAAATTGTAGTTTGACTTACAACCCAAATAGATGTTAATTAATTCACGTTGACCACACAAGGCTGCGAAGAAGAGTGGAGTTAACCCCTGGTTATCCTTCACATCGATTTTACAGCCGTGAGTAATTAAGAATCTGATCAAGTTTGAGTAGTTCTTGAGGGTTGCCAAATGCAACAACAGTTGACCTTGAGCATTACATAACAGCCAATTCAAGAGTGTAATTGGACAGTTAGGAAGGTCAACTAACGACAAAAAGTTTATCAATATATCTTCAGTTGAAAGGTCAGATTTTGTGAGCTGCTGAACTGCTCTATGTGCATTGTCAAACCATTTGTTTGCTTCATTGGAATCAACATGACTCACGGATCCATTTCCAGGACCATTAGCCATGTTATTAGAACTAGCACCGGAACCCGAACCGGATCTATCTTCCCCTGTACCAACGATTCTCTTGGCAATGTTTTTAGCATCTTCCAATTTCCCATTCATTTTCAAACCAACAATTTGTAATGCCAATTCGATCAATTGTCTATCAGTATCATCAGTGTAAGTGAAAACCTGCAGTTCTTGATCTCCTATGACCATACTTTCTCCTTCACAAGTTACTAAAACTTGACCAGGTTGCAGCGCTGGTGGCAAGTATGTTACAATGGTAGTTTCACTCCAACAATGTGTCGCCAAGGCCAAGTGTGGACCGAATTTAACTCTTAAACCAGGTCTGAAATTGAACCCCAACAAGGTTACAGCAATACCACCACGAATAGGTCCCTCTGCAGGGATAATCCTTTGAATGGAAGGTCTTATGCCTTGTGGTTGTGTTATTGGCTGTTGAATGCCAAATGGGTTAGCAACAGCTGGTTTCACGAAATAGTTATGAGTTGATGTGTTGGTATTAGTGTCGCTGTTGCTGATAGGCGAGAAATTATTCGAACTGCCGTTGAACATTGGATTCATAGAATTATTATACGAGTCGTCAACAGAATACTTCTTACGTTTAAGACTTCGATGTTCTTCATTAGCAGTATCAGTGTTAGTTGAATTAGAATCATCAATTGAATTTGGTGAAAGTGGATGCATATGTGGGGAGTTATTATCTTCTTGTTTGATAGAGCTTAAAGATGGTTGCAGGTCTTGTATTTGCTGGGACAGTTCCTTGAGCATATTGGACGATTTATTATTGACAGTCTTCTTTCTATCCATAATCATAATAGGTGAAGAAACATTCTTAGCCAAAACTTCACCACGGTTATTCTTGATGACGAATAAAAGTTTGAACCCTTTAGGTTCCTTGTGATGTCTACAATAACAAACAATTCTGGCCAGAAGCTCAAGACTGCTCATGTCATTATTCAAACCATTTGGTGGTGGGAAAGATACAATCTCCTTACAATTGAAAATAATTGCACGTTTGGACATGTTTTCATCGGACCATGAGGTGTTATTCTTTGGCGAGGAGTCATCTGTTACCTGTTGCGAACTGGTCCCGGCTGATACGGATGCAGCAGCGGCAGCAGCAGCATCAGCTTCTCCATTCTCATTATCGCCATACATTCCAGACTTTCTTCTACTGGCTCTCTTTTGTTCTCTTTTTATACATCTTGAACATATAGAACAACTCTTTTGAAGGTCAGATGTGAACACATACGTATCCAAGAACAATATGTTATCCTTAAATTCTGGGGACAAAGTATCAATGGAATTCTTGAGACAAAACTTACTCTTTGAAATAAGATCCTGAGGGATGTGTAAAAGGTACGATGGGGGAGGCGGAGAAAGCAGAAAGTTAAGTTTAATTTGTGTTTCCACTCTCAGGTAGGCTGGAAGACTTGACAATTCAAGTTTGTATGGAAGTTTAGCCATTGCTTCAGGTGAGAAGTCAAGATAGGATGCATCGGGGACCTCTACAGACGCAGGGCGCGGGTCCATGTTAGGGTTACCAAACTTAAGTTTAGCAAGCTCAGTACGAATATAATCATAGTTGGAAGAGTTCAATTGTGTTGACTCCACTCCAGTTGGAATTGGAATTAATGATGGTTGACCGGATTTCTGTTCAATTTCGTTATGAATAGCTGGGGAAACACCTTCTGGGCTATGGAACGTTGTTTGGTTATTACTATAATCAAATCCTTCAGGAGAATTTTGATAGAATGAACCAATATCCAAACTATCCAAGGTATCGATATTATAGTTGGTGTCATCCAATCTTACGTCAAAAGGTTCCATTTTAACGTTTTCAGGGTTAGAATTATTGTGGGCTGGGATGTCACCTTGCTTGGATGGAATGGTATTTGGAGGTTGCTGTCCTGGAGGAGTTTCATAAACTCTTTGATCTAAAAACTCATCCAAAAGATCCTGTCCATTCATATGAAAATCCAAATCCATAGGTTGTTCAAGTGGATCAAGATGCTCCTGATGAGGCATAAACGAGGAGCTCATGATGTTATGCTCTAACTTAAAGTTGCTTGTTTGAATTCAATAAAAAGAGTGTCAATATACAAACTCACCAGGTGTAATTTGTATTTTTTTCTTGTGACGCCCCTTTTTTTTAATTTTTTACCTTAACAAAATATATCGGTAGAGTTTCCTGTATATCTGGACTTATCTTAATGTTATATCCTTGGGTTTTATTACTACTACGTGTTTGATTTCTCGGTTAATTACTTTTAGTGGGACAAACTTATGACACACCTACTCTCATCTGTCTAATGTTGGACTTCTCGTGTGCTAACCAGGAAAATACGGTTTCTAAACCCAAGCACATGCAGGAAAACAATTTGTTGGGTTTTCAAAAAAAAATAAAAGAGAAAAAAAGAAATTGTAAAAAGAGGGGTCTAGGTGTCACGTGTGTGTACTTACAGAAATTTAATGCGGGTTTATGGGTTTCTCCAATATTTTTTAGTGAGGTGTATAAAAAAAAGTTGAATATGCAACAAAGGGTAATTAAAAAAATTGTATGAACTCAATAGGGGTGGCTGTGCGTATGCGTTTCATATATTGTATACTAGAAGGTTCTATTAGTATTATGGAAGCCATTCGTATTAGTACAATAAAATTATAATCTGTTATACGCATAAAATAGATCGCCAAGCATACACCCTATGAACGATTGATCGGGTCATTGATTTTTACATTGTTCTATATAAACTTTAACCTATTCTACAACCGTACATTTTCACTATCTTGTATTACTATTGCTTTTTTTTTTAGTTTTTGAGCTCACTAGTACCCCCGTCTGTTTTATCTTCTGAATGAATTCAAGCCGAGGTAAGAACCTGGACTGTTTTTTTTTTTACTTTTTAACCGAAGCACAGAATATGTTGGTAATAGATAATCCACACCAATAGTGTTGATTTCATTTGTTGACAATAGGACGGCCAAAAAAGGTTTTGTTGAATTTAAGAACCCCTATTCCATAGGTTTTGTACTGTAATACAAAAGTTTTGGAAATAAAACAAACAAGACAGAATTGACTCAACAAGTCAAGCTGTCTGACTGTACTCTTTCACTTTTTACATCCACATTCATGTACAAGTGTACCAACCCCTAATATAACTAACTAAATTAACTCACTAGCTAAACAAAGTATCTATAGTAGTGGCTGCAAGCACTGCATACAATTTTGATTTTATTCTCAAAAATCTGGAACCACGAAATCTACCACGTTACTGAAGTAACTCTTTGAGAATCTTTCAATCTAAAGTATTGCAACCCATTCATCGAAGCACATATGGCGGCGATATTAGAGGTTTTAATCCTCACCGTCATTATGGGAGGAACCTCCTTCCTTGCCGGTCTCTTGCCCTTGATGGTGACATTACTGGCTCACAAGATATCAATTGCTTCTCTTTTAAGTATGGGGATACTTGTGTCCACCTCTTTGGTGATTGTAATTCCGGAAGGAATTGAAACGGTTTTAGACGATGATCTGTCTCCGGTAAACACGTATGCCATTGGAGTATTCCTACTTGCTGGCTTCTTGACAATGTACCTTTTGGATCATTTGGGCAGTATATCCGTTCTCAAGGGCTATTATCATGTGTTCAACCGCCATTCGTCAGATGCTGACCTTGTATCATTTTCAACTGTAGTGTCGTCCATCTTGCTGTCGCTGACAACCACCGGACTTGTAATACATGCATTGGTAGACGGTATATCTCTTGGCTCTTCTTTCATCAAAATTAGCAATTTCCATTTGGTGATCTTTTTCAGTATAATTATCCACAAAGTTCCAACTTGTTTCAGTCTTACTACAATTTTAATTAAGGAGAATTATAACTTTTCTCTTATAAAATATCATCTGGCAGTTTTCGCTTTAACATCTCCAATTACTGCAATTATTACTTATTTGATCCTTAGCTTTGGTTCAATTGGCGCACGAACTGTGGGGTATATGCTCTTGTATAGTGCTGGGACTTTTCTTTACGTAGTCATTCATGTGATGACAGAGACATCTTCAAATGACACTAATCCATTACCTCTCTCACAAGAGAGTGAATCGACCATCTATCAGCAAGAGAGTATGTCAACAGAAGAATTTTTAGCATCTATAATTGGTATGTCTATCCCAGTGATAATAGGAGGACTCTTTGGTGACCATTGATGCGGACCTACTTACATATATATATATAAATTCACATTCACAAATATTATGATATTATCTAAAATATGCACTTAATTCTACTATTTAATCATCATTATTATCATCATCCAGATGTTTTGTTCCATCATTAGTAGCAGTAGTGGAATCTCCTTCTGATTCCACCAACTCCTCATCTTCATCTTCATCTTTTCCTTCTTCTTCCTCGTGATCTCCCAACTCTTCACTTGAGCTCTTAACAGGGTCACTAGATTCTTTTTCTGTTTCGGATTCATATGAATCTTCCAGTTTGGAACTACTTTCCAGTTTTAATTCTTCCAGTTTCCTCCTACCTTTTTGCTTTTCCTGCTCCTTGGCTAGTTTGTTGATCAATAATGAAACTCCTTCACTGTTTTGACGACTCAAAACCATTCTTGTACCCCTGTAACCTCTTCTAATGTCAGGGGAAGTCAAGTTCATCAATTGTTTCTGATACGATTCGTCATCATAACCCAATTCTTTTAGATTGAGGTAAGATCCATTTGTGGATTTGTTTTCCTTCAAACGGTTCAATCCAACATATGAACCTCGTAATGAATTACTAGTCGAGACTCTTTTAGACGGAAGATTTGCCTTTGAAGTCGTAGAACATAATGGTGAAGTGGATCCATTCGAGGTGTTATCACTCAAAGTTGGGGTGTCTAAGTAAGGGTTACCTTTATAATAAGGAATTCTCTCAGTCTCATATTTTAATTGACGAGAGTTTTCAAACAAATGTGCATTCCCTTCAGAGCCACCATTATTTTCTAACGCATAAAAGTTTCCAGAACTTTTAGCCTTCCTAACCATTCTAGCTTGCAGTTGAAGTGTATTTTGTTGATCATCAGAAATCTCATCTCCTTCTGTTTGTGAACGACCAGTTCCAGTAACAACACCCAATCCCAAAGTTTGTCCTTGTGATGTAGCAAGTGGTGATTTTGATCTAGCCGATTCTTCTTGAAATCCATTATAACGCCCGTAAAGGTCAGAATTTTCGGGGGAATAATAGCTGTTTGCCCGACCATGTTTTCGGAGTATTGGACTGCTTTTAATGTTTTCTTCTTCCGTATCATTATCATGATCTTTACCGCTTGTACTAGTCATACCAACAAGAGATGTAGTTGATTTACCACGAGCTTTACTAACATTGGGGAAGTTCGGGTTTTTCAACGGTACCTTTTTTAACGTTGCTCTAATTTTTTTAGCTTGTTCTTCAAAATGAGGAGTATAAGATGAAATACTATTTCTTTGAGGTTTTGCCTTATTTCCCGACTTATCACGAAATGCAGTAGATGATACTGTGTTATGACGTTTCATTATATGCGGCCTTGTCTGTTCTGGAACTGGAGATGGAGTTTCGGAATCAAAATTAAGTATTGGCGATGAAACCAAAGTATATTCAGAATTAGCAACATTCCCACTGAATGAATTGGAGTTGAATGCCAGCAGTGCACTATAAGATGTAATTTTATTAGAATCAAGTTTAGATCTCCCATTAAAACTACCAGTATTCAAACTAAGACCATTATCAATACCTCTATTTCCTGTAATTAATTTCCCACGAAGTAAAGAAATGGCTTTATCAAGAGCAAATTCAACTCCACAATGGTTTTTAATCACCGTGATCTTTGGCCAGGAAGCTCTTGCACCTCGAACAATACATTCAAGAAGAAATTCAGGCGTGGGATTTTCAAAGATCTTGGTAAAATCCTTAATATTAAAATCCGGTAAAATTGTAATATCACCAGAATATTGTTGAGACAAAATGGAAATAAGTTTGGTTGAAAGATTCAGACCAACTCCACATTCATGCAAGACTTCCAAATAATGGATAACTTCACTGGCCATAAAATCATATACATTAGTCAAGAAATTCTTCATTCTAGAACTCACTTCATTTTCAATTTCCCCTCCAACACACGTTACTGACATCTTCAAGAATGGAACTACATGTGGATTCACTTGACATGCAATAATATGATCAACATTAAACATTTCCAGAAGTCTTGTGATTGGTAAGTCATTATCAACAGATCCATCCACATACTTGACTGAAGTATCATTATTCCATTCCTGAGATTCCCCAGTTCGTGGATTTTTCTCGTATATGGACGTGGAGGGGAATATCCCTGGAAGAGAACAAGAAGCACAGACAGCCAGCCAGATGAGACAATTGGGAGCCGTTAAATAGTTCAATAAACGAGTCTGTTCATGTATCGAAGCTGGAGAAACCGTAATATTCAAGATTTTCCCTGTACGATTATAAGCTTCTCTAAATGTAAGTTCACCAACAAAATCAATCATGGTATTTTTCAAACCTGAAATGTCAAACAAAGTCCCATATTTCAAGAAATGAGCCAATTTTTTCAAAGTACCACGACCATATTTTGCCTTTGGATCAACTTCAAGGTCTGGCATATCCTCTTCACCAAAAATGTTGAACTTTCTCTCACAGATTGTATTCAACAAGTTTAAGGTTTCCTCATTTGTGCACGAGCAAAGAATACTGGCCATAATGGACCCAGCCAGTGATCCACTAACAATTCGTGGAAGTAAATGTGACTCCAATAATGATGCTAAAACACCGATATGGAATATTCCAAAAGTAGAACCTCCAGAAAGAACTAACGCAGTACGACCGATATTCTTCCTCGTTTGGATTAACATACCCAACAAATAACGGTCATCAAGATTTACTGCATCGTCATTGACCAAATAGTCCAAGGACAACTCACATTCGGCAATATATTCTTCAATTAAAGACTTGGTACCAACATAAGAATGACGATATAAATTCACATCGCCCATATTTCCTACATTTCTAGTCCATGTGGTACGTACAAGATACAACAAAAGCTTGTAGTCATGGGATAGTCTAGCATTTTTCATTTGAGTCAACTGTCTACTGACCAATTCATAATCATACAAATCTGATTTAGGATCCAATTTCCACGTTTCATTGTTCAATAGATTATCAAGTTGCAAGCAAATTTTGTACCATTGCTTGTAATTTGTTGCCAATTTTTGTTGATATAAAAGATCTTGAATGTGTTGTTCGTTGGGGTCGGCTGCGGGGACAAAGTTCTTGATTAAGGGAATTGAATGTAAGGATGGTAGATGTGCGCCGGCTTTCGTTCCAGATTGGATCAACTGAAGGGCTTGGAAAAACCATGAGGCATTCTTCTTAGCGTCGGCACGTGCTGCGACGGATTCTAGTATAAACTCAGAATGCTTCGAGAATATTGAGTCTGTTATTCCAGAGGAATCCAAACGAGAGGATATTATGTCTTCCATTCCCCTTGTTGAATAGATGCAAGATACGTTGTGTTGGTAAGGTTAAGGTAAATATGATATTGCGGGGAAATGCTAGTCAAGGTGATGCAAGAATAATTGATATGGTGTGATTAATACAAGGGCCTGAAATAGTAGTGTACTATCTAATTCAAACTCACCCTAAATGAAATCAATAGAAATTTGATAAAGTAAAACGCTATAGATGCGGGTTAATGTAGAAGCAAAAAACCAAAACACCACTATATGGTCAGTGAAACATCGGCACTTGCGCACTTCTACAAAACTTGGAAAAAGAAATTCTGCATGTGACTTTTCCACGATTTGCAACATTTTCATTGACAACGACGGTACGAATGTGTAAAAATAGTTTAGATGTGTTTAGCAACCGGGTGACCTCCTTACAGGGGGGTGTTGTTCACTTTGACAGCATGCATGTAATTAAACATGAATGAGGAGATATTTACAACAGATATAGAAATTCCGTGACAAAAAGTTATAGGTGGAGAATATGTGCGCTTAAGCGAATGAGTGGAGTAGAGTTTGTGGGATCAAGGTGGTGGGTTGGTCCTAAGTAACATAATGCGTAGCCATGTATATATATAGCCTGATTTTTGCACAATACTGCTGGCCAGTGTGTAAGCTTTGTGTAAGCCTTGTGGTTCGTTCCCCCCATTCTCCTTGGTAGCTTCTATGAATGTTTCACCAGGTTGCTGCCAATGGAAACGTCCCTGAGGACGTCTTGGCAACTCTGGGGTAAAACGAAAATAACGACGGGTCTTGTCATGCAGAGAGAGGCTATTTTTAAACCTAGAGATTTACTTCAGCGGCGTTATTTTACTTTATGTCACTTTGTTTATTTCAGTCATTTTTTTTTTTTTCCAACGCTCAAGTCCCGCCTAGATCTCTAGGAAGAGGGGGGGTGATAATTGTGTGACTTTTTGAGTTCTGGATGCTAACGACTTCTTAATCTCATATTAAATAACTAGACTACAGAATTCAAACATGTTCAGAGACGTGGTGACTATTCACACGGAACTATCGGACAAAGCCCCTGGTTACCCTCGCGAAAATAATTAGCCTTCATGTTGAATAGCCATCATTTCATCATCGTGCATCTTTCCATGCATGATTTTGGGCTGCGAAATTCTTTGTAAAGGTTTCTAAAAATACAATAGGTATACCGAACTCTATTTTATTCAAAAAAAGTGGTATATAAGACCATGGAACATCTCCTAAGCAGAAATTTTATTCATTATCATTCAAAACATATTACAACAATATCCTACAATGCAATTCTCTACTACTTTCTCCCTTATGACAATGGTCGCCATTGCCACTGCTGCTAAATCCTTTGGACTTGTCACCATTCATTCTGGTTCCATGTTCCAATACTCAGGTATTATTGGCCATGATAATGACCCACTTCTTTACGTTGGAAGCTCCAACGGTGCTAAGACCGGCAACTTTGTCTTGAACGATGATGGTACCTTGAGTGACTGGAACAACAAGAAGATTGGTATTAACTCTGCTGGTGTTGCTGGTGAAGTAGGCAATGGTATTTCTGAGCTGAAAGACTTTGGTGTTTCAGACGGTCACTTGACCTTTGGTGGTAAGGAAATCTTTGTTGCCTGTCCATCTGAAGATCAAAAGAGTTATGTCTTGTCTGTCAAGCAATGTGACAAGGGTACAGGTGTTTCATTGAAGGTTATGGACTCCACTGACGTCAAGCCAACCAAAACTTCAACTCCTCCACCTGCTACCACCCACACAACGATCACCACCAAGGGTCCAGCCCAAGAAGCTCCAACCCCAGCCGCTCCAGTTGGTGGCGAATGCCACTTTGGCGTTGTCACTATCCGTTCTGGATCTGAATTCCAATACCAAGCCATTAAGAAGGTTGACTCTCACCCACATGTTTTCTCGGTTGGTGGATCAGAAGGTAGTGATATTTCCTTCACTCTCCTTAAGGATGGCTCTTTGAAAGACCAAACCGGTAGAGGTGTCAATGTTGATGCATCCACTGGTGAAGTTGGTAATGTTGACCCATGGGGACAAGAACAACCATCCAAGACCTTCTCTGTAAAGGATGGTCACTTGGTCTTTAACGATAAAGATGGGTTCTACGCTTGTCCATCTGGCGACAACAAGTTCTCCTTGTCCGTTAAGGAATGTACTGGTGGTACCGGCATTGCCTTGCATGTTGTTGACGAAAAGTGCACCTAAGCAACTAATGTCAAATATGAGTCATTTTCAGTTCCTATTCATCGTTCTTCACCGTCATCTTATTTCAAGTTTCTTTAGCATTTTCAATTCCATTCATTTTATATTTTAAACATACTTCACCTGTAGGAATTCACTTTCACATGTCTTTCAAATTGTCTACTTACATTGACTATGACATACCAATCCAAATCTGGAACGTTAAAAAATGCTCCCTCCGCGGTTCCCCTTTCTCTAAAATCTTCCAAATGAGTCACTGTTACATGAATCCAATATTCAAACTCGCACATGGACTTTTTCGTTAAATTCTTGTAGTCATTGATAAATTAGTCACTGGTATTTTTCTTCTATTTGCAACCTCAACCATTTTTATTCCTGCACATCCCAATATGGATCGATGACTTTTCTTTCTTCATCACTAAAACTACATTCTGGGTTGAGTCACTCACCGGCTGTTCACCTGCATCTATTCACGTTGTCGTTCACTCAGAATCTATACCGTCGAGCGAGCACGTCCCTGCGACCAGGCAAAGCGCAACCCAAACGATTCCCTAAAAGAAATTTGCCACATTCAAACAACGAGGCTCACACAAAACAGCCCCACCAAAACCAAAATCGTAATCACTCCAAACCCTATAAGAAGTCATTACCAACTAGGTCTATACTGGTGCACGACATTCCTCTTAAACGGTTCCCTGATTTCAAAAGTTGCGATAAGTATTTTAAACAATTTGCTTCATATTATAAATTCACCTCATTAATGTTTTCCATCACCACCATCACTCACAAGACCTCGGACACGGCTCATCCTTTGGTGATGCTCACAAACCGTGAAGGGTCTCGGTACTTTTTCGGTAAGATCCCAGAAGGTTCTCAACGTGTTCTCAATGAAAACAGATTGCGTTTGGGTAAATTGAAGAGTATTTTCTTCACTGGTACCACATCCCATTGGCTGGAATTAGGTGGCTTACCTGGTTTGTTTCTAACCATTAGTGACAGCACCAAGAAAAGTATAGACGTCTTTAGTGGACTGTCGCTTCTCTCGTACGTGGTCTCCACCTGGAGATACTTTGTGTTTCGTAAAGGTGTGGCATTGAAGGTGAATGAAATAGATGGTTCAGAAATCTTGGGTGATAGTAACATTCGTGTCAAGCCAATTCTAGCCAGAACATCATCTTCTCTTAAGTCTTCTCCTGCCCCTGAAGGGATCAAAAAGATTATTTCATTGATGTTCCCGATGGATACTTCGCAGGTTAACAGTGAAGATCCAAACCTGTACAAGTCGGATCCCTCAGAGACTGAAATCCATACCCATGTTAAGCTTCCAATCCCAAGTACTATTGGAGAGCCATCAACGAACTACCTTGTTAGTTTTGTCCCTACTCGTGGAAAATTCGATCCTCAAAGGGCCAAAGAACTTGGAATTACACCAGGGAAAGATTTCCGTACATTATCCGAGGGTAAATCCGTCATAAACTCAGCTGGAGTTGAGGTCCACTCACACGAAGTCTTGGGGAAATCAAAACATTTCCCAAATTTACTCTTTATTGATATCCCAAACAAACACTACTTGAAGGAAACTATAGAGAAAATCCAAATTGAAGTAGCAAATAGTTCTCAACCTACTCTCTTGGTTTATCATTTTCTTCCAGATGACGTTGATTTCGAACTGAATGAATATATTCAATTCTTGCAACTGTTCCCCAAAGAATGTAAACATGTGGTGAGTCATTCTAAAATTGCCCTGGATACGCTTGTATTTAAGACTTCGGCAATCAACCTTCTTAAACTTAAGGCGTTACAAAAAGAATGTTTCAATCTTCCATACAGGGAAGACTTTGGAGCTCGTACCACAGAGATGGACGTTACACCATTACAACTGCTTCAGAAATATGATATCGAAGCAGACAACAAACTTACGTTGGATAATTCATTGGTTATCAATGAAACTTGGTCCGAGTTATATGATCAATGTGTAGCTCCATTGAATCTTGAGGGAGTTTCCAAAGAGCAAGTTATAGATCCAACGCCAATTCCTTTGGAAACTCGCCAACCAACACTTAAGGACCTGGTTCAAGTGGTTACCTTGGGTACTGGTTCAGCCCTCCCATCTATGCATAGAAATGTCATTTCAACTTTGGTTAGAATCCCTTACAAAGATGAACGCAACCAATTGTCGTTTAGATCAATTCTTATGGATGGGGGTGAAAATTCTCTTGGAACTATGTGTAGAAACTTTGGATATGACGATCAACTTGTTAAAGTTTTCCAAGAACTTGGTCTTATATATCTAAGCCATCTTCATGCTGACCATCATTTGGGACTTGTTTCTGTGATCAAGAAATGGTTTGAGATTAACATCGATCCAAGCAAGAAACTTTATTTGGTTACACCTTGGCAATATGATCGGTTCTTATCGGAATGGCTCAAGCTTGAAGCCGATAGTGGGGTAGACATGAACAGACTTGTTTATGTTTCATGTGAAGATTTCCTTGCCAAGGAACTGCCAATTCCAGAGTATCAACAATGTTCATTGGATGAATTTGAACTGAAGTTCGACGTTGGTGATATTCATAGTACTATTTCCAGAGCACCAATGCGTGCAAGAGACTTGGATTCGATTTCAGCTATGTATGCTGATTTGAATATCAAATCAATTGCAACCTGTAGAGCAATCCATTGTTACTGGGCATACTCAGTGTCGATCTCCACTATGTTATCAAAAGACGAGACATTTACGGTGAGTTACTCTGGTGATACAAGACCAAATGCTCGATTTGCTGAAGTCGGATACAATAGTGATCTCTTGATTCATGAATCCTCTCTTGCGGAGGATTTGATTGAAGAAGCCCTTGCCAAAAAGCATTCAACCATGATTGAAGCCGTGACAGTTTCTAAACTTATGAATTGTCCAAAGATTATTTTAACCCATTTCAGTACTAGATTCTCCAACAAGGCGGACTTGTCAGTGAGCCCTGATGATTTGGTTGATATCGGGAAAAACATTAAGTCCTATCTCAGTAAACATGGTGTCAATGGTCCTAATAATATCTTGATGTATGACGATGAACTTAAGGGTCACAACAATCCAAATATTCGTAGATACGATGAATTGGAAATATGTTATGCTTTTGATAGTATGGCTATATGGTATGGTGATCTTCATCTGGCCAACCTCAAGTATAATGATATGCTCAAGATGTTCCAAACTGAAGAACTACAGAGTTATACTGGAGATCTTGGCACTCTTCAAGAAAAGAAGGACAGAGAGCTCGAGAGACAAAAGGAAAAGAGAGAGGCAAGAAGGGATCAAAGATTGAAGATTAAGAAGAGAAGAGTAAGTAGTAGTAGCAATAGTCTGGGTGAGTAAATTATCATTTGATAGTTTGAATCTGTACATAGAGAATTAATTTATTGACTACAACGTTAATAAACGTTGCAAATTTATACAAGATATCTGTAGAGAATCAGTGGTAATAAGGAAATGGAGCCATTGGCTTTACTGGATCAACTCTCCTGTATGTAAATGGCAGTCTATGTATATTTCCATTTAAAGTGAACTAGTATACATTATCCCAGAGTCAAGAAGTAGTGGTTACTCATGACATGGACCCTGTTGTGCTCCAGAATGGCTGGCTTAGAGATTCTCTTTTGAAAAGTATCTCGAATGTTCCTTCGGAACGAACGTTAACTTCAGAATTGCTAGCCAAGAACGTGTCACCGGAATCTTTACCAGTACTTCGAATCTTTCGATTCTTACAAAAAACACATCTGAAGGACTTGACAGCTATCTTATCGGATTCCACACACAAAATATATGCCGTTTTTCCGTACGAGGCCATTCGGGCTTTTGAATTGAAGTATAAAAAGCGGATCACGTTGCAGACCGTGAACAGCTTGATTTTAGTGGAGAGAGCAGATTATATATTTGTTGGTTCACAAAGACTACTTCAAGACTATGGGGTGAGGTCTGAAGCCAAGGGGGGTAGTTTAATTGTACTTAAAGTGAACCAAGTTGAGATATTTCTGAGAGATCAGATCGAATTAGGTTGGGTAGTATCTAGTAAGCTCAAATTTGTGTATGACACTGAGTATGAAAAGATGGTGAGTTGTGATAAAACACCAAAACGGACTAGAGTTAAAGAAGAACGAGAAGGGGAAAATCAAGGGGAGAAAAAGAAAGTTAAGAGAAGTGATAATAAGGTGCTGAACAAGTGTTGAATGGTATGATTTACTGGTGTTTAACTGAACTCGCAAGATGTTGCACTGTGATGTAAATATCTTTCAAATTGACCGTTAATTGCAGCTGATGACGCATAAGATTTATTTTGATGAGCGGGGTTCTAATATGGGTTTCTATCTATAGAGATAAATATGTAATATATATATATATATATATATAATTCTAGGTGCAACATTTGTATACATAGATGTATATTAGTGTTTCTCAATCGGAATTTAAATAATTAAGTCCAACTCTTTAAGGGTATAACCTGTGAAGTGATCTCCACTTCAAATCTAAATCTCTCACATCTCTTCATATCCTCTACAAAAATTCAGCTTTACTTTTGCTTTCTCTATGGCGTTTATTGACTGTTTAGCCTCCTATATACATTAACGTCTTGGTCTATCTTGAATCTTCATCTTGTTCACCTTCTTGAACTTTCTGGTACGAGCAAACTTCTTCAAACCCCATGGAGATTGAGAAACCTTGTTCGACTTAGACTTACCACGACCACCACCATGAGGATGGTCACATGCATTCATGGCTACACCTCTAACCTTTGGTCTGAATCCTCTGTAACGATTACGACCAGCCTTACCAAGAATAATGGTTTGATGTTCTCTATTGGACACGGTACCCAAAGTGGAGGTCACGTCCAAGGGCACGTACCGGTGTTCTCCAGAGCACATTCTAAGAACAGCTCTGTTACGTTCTGGGTACTTGGTCAAAAGACGAGCATAGGTACCTGCAGCTCTAGCAATCTTTCCAGGACCCCCGTTTTGAAGACCAACGTTGTGGACAATGGTACCGATTGGAACCATTCTCAATGGCATACAGTTACCTCTTTGCATAGTTCTGGTAGAAAGCAAGGCATCATCAATTTCACCATTGTTGGAGGCACGCATTTCTTGAAGGAAATCTTGAGGTAACCCACCAAGAAATGATTCAACTATATCACCTGAACGTAACCCATTCGAGGCTAAAATGTAAGAAAGGTTACCAGTTTCATTATGTTTAATCAAGGCAATGTGGGCAGATCTTAAAGGATCGTATTCGATACGGACCACAGTCTGACGACCACCTTCGGTTCTGAAATAGTCCAAAAGACGCACTCTTTGCTTGTGACCACCACCACGGCCTCTGACAGTGATCCTACCGGTATGGTTACGACCAGCAGTCTTCTTCTTGGGCACGGTAAGTTCTCTTACTGGACCACCTTGATGAAGGTGTGAATGAATTGGCATTCTGAAATGGGTTGAACCTGGTCTATGAAGGTCTCCAGTGAATGTCTTCATCTTGATGGCTTGGTTGGCTAAAAGACGCTTCTTGTTGTGAGCAGCATCTCTCATTTCCAAATCAGTGAGAGAAGATGCCGAGTCAATTTGGATGGAAAGCTTTGCATTGGACTGTTCCTTTGATTCGGTGGAAAGACTTCTCATGGATGCTGGAAGCGCCAAGGCACTAACAGCTCCAGTTCCAGCTCTGCGTCCTAAACACGTTCGTGTGAGGAGGCCAACCGAAATCATCTTACTTCTTACAATAATCGAACTACTATCTCGTTCAACCTTTGTTTCTATGGCACCGTGTGAAAAAAAAAATGTGTTTCCAGTCTCGGCCTATGTGACACAAAGAGCCCCCCTCCAAATAATACAGGATGTGATTTTATTTTTTTATTTTTTTTCGCGCTACTAATATAAGCTATATAACTGTATTTGTATGAATAGTTAGTACCCATAAATACGCGGGCGCGCACACCTAGGATGCACAACTCCGCGTAGATGTCAGCACTTCGCACACAGCCAATTGAAGCTCTTGATTGGACCGCGAAACGGGTCTCGGAAACAACCAAAATGAAAAAGGATTGCAATATAGCTTCGTTATCTAGTTAGTTTACCTCCACACATATACAGCCAGAGATGTCTTCCCGTTTGTTTCTCCGTTCGTTGGCCACCGCCTCCAAGACTGTCAGACCTCCAATCCAATTGTTTGGTGTCGATGGTACTTATGCTTCTGCTTTGTACACTGCTGCCAGTAAGGACTCTTCTGTCGACAAGGCTTTCCAATCCTTGACCAAGGTCCGTGAAGTCGTCAACTCCGACAAGCAATTGGCCGAATTCCTCACCAACCCAGCCTCCTCCAGAGACGACAGAGAAGCCGTCATCGGTACCTTGGCTTCCAGCTTGAAGTTGGACAAGTCTGTTGGTAACTTTCTTTCCGTTTTGGCTGAAAACAACCGTTTGAGTGAATTTGAAGCCATCTACGCTCAATTCTCCACCTTAAACGACGCCTTCAGAGGTATCGTTGAAGCTAAGGTCACCTCTGCCAAGCCACTTGATAGCAAGATCATCAAGAGATTGCAAGCTGCCATCTCCAAGTCCTCCTTTGTAGGTGAAGGTAAGACTTTGAACGTTTCCAACGAAGTCAACCCAGATCTTTTGGGTGGTTTGATTGTTGAAGTTGGTGACAGAACCGTCGACTTGTCTGTTTCTGGCAAGATTGCCAAGTTGAACCAAGCATTGAACGAATCTTTGTAAGGGTAGTTGAGCATGATCTGTAGAGTTAACGAAGTTAAAATATAAGAGTACATTAGAGAGACTTGTAGGATATGTAATGAATATGTATTTTGTTGGGTTGGATAGATGAAGAGGTTAAGTTTATGTCATCCATGGAGAATTAGGGTTTGTCCCACGTCTTTCCTATTTGAAAGGACCGTACAACTTAGATGGAATATAGGATTTATTACCTATCTGATCTTATATTGACTTCATTTCCAATATGTATTTGTTTATCGAAGCCCAGAGGGTTAGTATAGAAAGACTTGTTCCACTCCAAAGGGAGAGGTTTGAGGCCAATTCTATAAATAAACTTCAAATCCCCCCTCCCATCTCCTTCAAATCCCACTTAATTTACTTATACCTCCCTCAAAACATATATATAGTGACCCACATTAATCCCGTCTATATATATATATATATATTATATTTACTTCATCAATCCTAGTGGTGTCTAGTGTGTTGCAAACTTTCGTTTAACCTCGCACAAACGCTGAACTAGTCTCATTTCTGAAGGTACAACTTTTCTTTAAAGTCAACTATATAGTCTAACCTTTGATACATCTCCTAACTCATTCATTACCTTTACTACGCACTCCTACTACTTCTACTCTTTACATATATATTCCATGCACTTATCAGTAACATTCTTGTAACCTGCACACACTGGTGATACGTATGCTCTTTTTTTTTCTAATCATAGAAGCAACACAACTAGTCTCTAGATCATTCTAACCACTCCGTTCAAATACATCCTACTCTCGATACATCTATGTCATCGTTTCTTCGTGGGCTTACTTGGGCACTTACAGCTCTCGCTGTGTTGTTGAACGTATTCATTTACTTCTATCCGCATTTTAATGAGGCCAGTCAATGTCAATGGTACACAAACGACGAATCTTCACAATCAAAGAAACTGGTTCTCTCATCCATAGCAGAGGAGATCACCGCTAAGGTGTCTTCAAAGTCTGAATCCCCTGAGTTTAGAAAGTCTGTTTTTGATGCATCTGGTAAAATTCAAGACATTAGAATGCTCACGTTTGGAGACCCACAAATCAATGGTAATTGGCCGCTGACCAAATATATCAAGAGATTAGATAATTATGGCAATGATTATTATCTAGGACATATATACTCTATCATGAAGTCCCGTATGCAACCAACTCATGTGGCTGTTATGGGGGATCTTTTTTCTTCACAATGGATTTATGATTCAGAATTCTATAACAGAACATATAGATATGTCACCAGATTATTCCCAAGACCGGAATCATACAAGCAAACTGTATTGGACACATATAAAAAGCATGAGAACTACGACTGGCAAGCCTGGATGGGTCAAGAAGAGGCAATGGACCCAGTACATCGGTTTGAATCCCGTGTCTATAACGACGTTTATGATTGGACATTACAAAATGTCTCGTACCCATTACCATCTGGCCCAGACGTTCGTGAACCTCTTTTCATCAATCTTACCGGTAACCATGATATTGGGTATTCTGGTGATGCAACTTGGCAACATATGGCAAGATTCCATCTTCTTTTCGGTCAAAACAATTATGTTATCAATTACAATAAGGGTACTCCATATGAATGGAGATTGGTTGTGTTAGACTCTCTCACATTGGAAGGTCCTGCCCTTCAAGAAGAATTTGTTGACTATACCTGGTCATTCCTTGAAAATCTTAAGGAAAGAGAAAACCCTCTGTTCAAGGGATCAACTGTACTTCTTACTCATATTCCATTCTATAAACCAGAAGGGTTCTGTACCGATGGACCACAACATATCTATTACGAAAATAATGAACGTGAACCATACAAGAATGGTAAACTTAGATCTCAAAACCATTTAGCTCGCGATGTTTCGCAAAAGGTAATTGATATTGTTTTCCCCAATGCAGACAAGGAAGGGATTGTTTTGAATGGACATGATCATGAAGGTTGTGACAACTACTACCAAAAGAGCACTGAGAATGGGTTATGGGAGGCCACAAAGGAGATTTCCAAAGATGTAACCACCAAACCAATCAGAGAAATCGTGGTTAGATCAATGATGGGTGATTTCAATGGGAACACAGGGATCATGACTGGTGTTTTCAATGAAACTGAAAAGACTTGGGAGTTCCATTTTGCATTATGTCCATTTGTTGTTCAACACTGGTGGTGGGTTACAAAGATTATCACCGGTTTGACGGTAATTCTTCAATCATATTGTTATTTGAAAAGATAATTACGTACCAAATAGTATATAGAACTAGTTCTAGCTTAGCAAAATACCTCATTTATGTAACCATACATTATGGTCTTACAATATATTTCATTTACATTTGTACATTGAACTAAAGGATGATTACTTTTTATGTTTTGATTCTTAATATTAAATTACTTTGCAAATTCTTCGACGTCTTCCTTGGCAGTCTTGAAACTGACTTCAGGAGAAATACCAATCTTCTTGACCTTCAATACACCATCGACAAAGATCCAGTGTGATCTTGCGATCTTACCATCAGCTTTGCGCGCTCCCAAGGCAGCAATAAGCTTCTTCTTTGGGTCGGACAATAAACTATATTGGAAACCGTGCTTGGTAGCAAACGACTTTTGAGCCTTTGGAGAGTCTGCAGACAATCCCAAGATGGTTGCCTTGGAAGTTAATGCATTGTAGTTGTCTCTGAATCCACAAGCTTGTCTAGTACACCCTGGGGTAGATGCCCTTGGATATGAAAAGATCACCACAATTGAACGATCAAGTTTGGCAAGATGGATTTCCTTTTCATCCTGGTCAAGGAAAGTCCATTCTGGGATCTTGTCGCCGACTTCAAGCTCGGATACTGACTCTGGTTCTGACTTTTTTTCTGTTGGTTTTTCTTCTTCTTTAACATCTTCCTTAGGTTCAACTTTTTCTTCCTTCTTTGGAGTTTCAGTAGCTACTGCCTTTCCCTTTTTAGGGGCTGGCTTTTGTTTCTTAAGAGCTGGCTCTGTAGATTTTGGTTCAGCAGCAGCGGCTGCTGCCGCTGCTACTCTGGTTGATCGGCGTAATTCTGGCATAATTTGCGTATACAATCGGCTAAAAAGTGAAAATTATTCAATCCCCCCCCCTTCCAAATTAATCTTCCTAAATATAATTCCGCAATATCTTGTGAGAATGAAATACTGTGGCACAAAACAAGAATTATGTTTCAAAATAGGCCCAAGAACGCGGCGGGGGGTTAACTCCCGTACCCCGCCTCCTATATGGCATGTACGCGTCTACATTCCCAGTTTTATCTTATTTTTTTTTGGTTACAATACTTCTCAATGTCTTCAATATGATGGATAGTAATGGTGAGTATTTGTGAGTTGGCTTCCCCCGTGGCTGCGAAAACTCTCGATAAACTCCCTTCCACCCCACTTATATGTAGGTAAACGGTTTTTAGAGGAGATATGTAATTGTCATCATCTACGAGACCCATACATACTTGACAATTGCTGGGGGACTCACTTCTGATATCAGGTATTCCTCTTGTGAAGTTTCTCAACTTCACTTCCCCCTCCCCATTCTATTATTTCCCTTGTTTATCAAAGAATCCCAACGGTTATGCGCCCCCAATTTGAAGTTTTGACACCAACACCCGTGCACCCGCTACTGAAGCAAAGGTTGCACACAAATCTATCATTTTCAGCTACAACTATCAACATTAGGGCAACGAGTGACATACGAATTCTATTCCAATCAAGGCCTATTATGCGTGATAGTTTTGAAAAATGTTCATTTGAATCATTTTCCAAATTCGATCTTTCTTCCAGGATCGAAGACCAATTCTATTCCATAAAATTTTGATCCTTTTTTGGCTCAAATGAACAAGCGTGTCGGCTAACTGGAAGCACACCAACGTGAGTGTGAGAATAAATCGTATCTAACTTCTGCGATAATTAAGTCCCAAGTGAAGAACACACCGGGAGAAGGATTCTCTCCTCGCTTGAACGATGGAAGAATAGGGCTCATGATACTCTGCTCTTCCCTTACCGCAACAACGGGCTTTATGTAAGCGAGGAACTTGACACATTTTAAAAATTCTATTTAGGAATAAAACTCAAAAGATTTCCGAGTACATTCATAAACGTAGTAATAAGTGTGGCTAAGGGTCAATGATTAAAAAAAACCATTTCCTACTAAATCGATAAAAAAATTTCCTAACCCCACCCGTTCAATTCACACATTACAGTTTTTTTCTTCTAACTCACATCGATAAATACCCTTATTTCTCTTCATGCTCTCGCTATACTTTAAGTTGTCTATCACGTGGCCCAATCCTTATTTGTAATCACTTTTTTTAAATACCTCAACCTTATCCTTACTACTTGAATTTTTACGCAAATCTCACCGCCCAAAACTATTTCCACTAAAATAAGAAAACGGGGGTAGAAAAATAGTACTTTGATATCCCCACTATGATTCACTCTTTTCTCCCAAAGATTTACATACATATTATATATATATATATACATTACTTCTCTAACTACACTCTCTATAATTTTCGCTTCCCCCCACCTCAGTTTTTCCCCCTTTGTTCCGTTATCAATAACACGGCTGAGGCTCATATCTTTTTTTTTTCTTGCCCCTAAAGCATATGCCGGGAGGGCATTTTTTTGTATATATATTTTAAATATAAATATCATATCTGAATATTTGAATATCTGAGTTTCTGAGTAAAGATCCTCCAATATAGTAAAACTATGAAAAGACTCTTCAGGCGTCACAGGAACTCCGATCTGGGGCCTTCCAGGCCCCGTCAGCAAGAGTCGTCACAGCAACTGCCTCAACAACTGACGACTCCCAGATCTCTAGATCACCTTGACCTCCTGTCCATGGTTGCCCGTCGAGATGAAATTGAACAAACAATTCAAGATGATCTGGAGTCTGTGGAATCTGCCCCCTTATCAGATACAAATACGTTGTACTACTCGAACCAAGAACGGCTACAACTTCAGGAAACATATAATCAAAATTTCACAATGTATCTACCATATCTTATCCGACAATTGAGACTAAACTCGAGTGATAATAACCCCAATTATTCCATGTACCATCATGCTGAGCTCACTTCAAGTCAAGAAACAGTCGCCTCCACCGCTAATAAATATTCCATAATGGGCAAGCTCGCCATAAATTATAATCATAAACGTCGGATGATCTTAGTTCATGAATTATTCAAAAATAGTACCCTTTTATTTCTCAATGAAGAATCTTTTTCTTTATTCAAAGATCTCCGGGCCCAACACAAGGATAAACTAACTATAGTCCCGGAAAAATATCGCTCCAAGGGCCTAGGAATGCCATTCCTAAGAATGGATAGTCACTCTTATTTAAAAGTCGGTGAAGATAATGCAGATATAACATTCCAAAGATTCTACGAAAATGTCAAGAAGCCCAAGATTGAAACTTCTTCTCCGCCTCCAATATCGTATCGTTATTGTAACGTTCAAATAAAAAGTTTCACTTCAATCAAAAGATTGACTTTTATTTTCTATCCAGAAGGTAAACCTTCATTCAAAGTGATTCTATTCCAACATAACTTTAAGCCAATCGCCGACTTTTGCTACAAGGACACACGCTTCCGGATCTTTGGGAACTCTCTTATTAGCTTTGGAGTGGTACCTAACTTTAAATTATTGATCATTGATAAGGATAAACCTTCGCTTTGTGATAATGTTTATGATCGTCCTTTCTTCAAAATCCTGTCCATTGTCAAGAAAAGACGTCTGTCTCTGGTCCTGTTGGATGGCAATTCTGGTAATATGCCCGAGGTGGACATCACAAAGATGGCAAACCCTTATCCAAACGCCGATAACCCCCTTCTTAAGTTTGACCAGAGTCAATACATAAGCCGCAACAAGTCATATGTTTCCAATGATTTACCCCCTTTTGGTAATGTTCAAGACGCCCATTCATATCTTAAAGAAACTTCAGTTATTCCTAAACGGTATCGAGAGCAGGCCCGACTCGAAACGTATCTGGATCTCCTGTCGATGTCACAGGGTATAGATACCAAATCCACAAACTCTCTCGATATCGACACCTTGGTGTTGGCCTGCATCAACATGACCATCAGGGAGATTGTCTCAAAACGTAACTCAAAGGTAACATCAAACCTTGAGTTAGTTAATAGATATAATTATATGGGTGGAAGCATCTACGCTAATAGCGGTGGTGGAGGCATTTTGGGATCAATGTGAACTTTAATCAATAGAAAATATAATTTCAACTACGTCCTTATTTGTAAACTGAATATGTTTTGCTCTTAACCAATTCTATTATCAATACTTTTTCTCTATTTATTTATGTATACTAATAACGTTCTGGTGATCTTGACCTGTCACGTCTTACTGGTGATCTGGAAGGTGATCTCGAGTACCGACCTCTTCCGTATGTCTTTTCTCCGCCTCCATTTCCCTCTGGTACTTCACTGGAAGGTCCATCCGGTCTTTCTCTGGGATCGTACGCTGGTTCTCTGGAAGGTGATGGAGGTCCACTTTCTCTACGACTTGACCTGTAGTCCCTCTCGGAGCCTCTACGATCCCTAGGAGGGTATCCGCCTCTATCATATCCTCTGTCGTATCTTTCAGGTCGTTCGTGACTATTATAATCTCTTGCTCCTCCACGATATCCTCCTCTTTCTCTGTCTCTGCTATCATATCCTCTATCGTAGTCATAACCGTCGTCATAACCATCGTAGTCTCTGTATCCACCTCTGCGTCCTCCTCTGAATCCGTCGTGTCCATTTCCTCTAGGAGGTGGTGGTGCGTCTCTGTATCCGCCACCATAACCATAATCTTCAGGATATCCATAGTCCTTTCCAGAATAGCCGTATCCGTATCCGTATGAAGGTGGAGGTGGGCCACCTCTGTAGCCTCTGTAGCCACCTCTTCCGCCTCTGGAAGATCCTCTCTTGCTGGAGTATGGATCCGATCTAGCTTGTTGTACTATGAGGCCACCCTGTTTCGAGAATGAGAGTTCTTTACCATTGAGTTCCAAGGCCTTTTCGCAATCTTCGGCGTTCTTGTACTCAACAAAGGCAAACTTGTCGCCATCGTCGGTTCTTGGAGGTGGGATGTCCAATCTGACTAATTCACCATATCTATGAATGTTAGTGGGGGTTCATGGAATGATAAGTGGGGAGTAGGGTATAGGGAAAATATTCGTGGTGATACTGGATTTCCTTGGGAGAGGAGTGGGAATGCACCAGGAGGATAGGGGTTGATGAGAACACATCGGGAGGAAAATATGAGGAGTATGTCGTTGGTTTTAAAACAAAACGGAGGATGAATTCTTGTGGGGTTGGTGGCAAGAAAGAATGGACGGGTAGTCACGGGAGGACGAGGTGAGGTTCAAATCAAGATGGAAGGGTGTTTAGGTATGGTATCCTACCTTGTCAAGAGAGAGTGGTGCTCGGTGAGCCTCAATACTTGATAAACAGTCCAACAGAAAGATCTTCAGTCCTAACGTTAAGAGGTTTAGAGAACAATCGACGAGTGCCGCAAACTAAAATTGGCCGCAAATCATCAGGGGGGAAACGAGGAGAGGAGGAAAAAGATACTCACTTTTCAAAGTCTGGGGCCAAGTCAGCTGCCTTGGATTCCCTCGAGAAGCCTGTCACGTAAAGTGTATTCTTTGGCATTTGTGTTGAAGAGAATGAATATGAGTCGTTGATTGGAAATAAATTGTTTTTTTTTTCCTTTCAATATTCTCGACGGACGTGGAGTTGGTAGTGCGGAACAAAATGTTTGTGAATTCACAAGCCTGGCCCCACTTCAGACTGTTATGGACTTAGTATTCGAATAAATTATGTAGGTCCTTCATATGTTTTCGTAAGAAGTCACATATGTGTGTGTCTGTTATTTTTGACTAGGTAGGAGAGAAGAGGTAATTTTTCAGTTTAAAATTTTATCTAAATGATTTAGTGGACGTAGTTCTAATCTTGTCGAGGTCCAAGTAATTGTCCTTTGTCTCTATATATTCCAGATTAATCAATTCCATTGGAGAGTAGGTAGATGAAAAATTAAATTATGAAGCGAATCTGTCAGTTAGGCTACGAAGGAACTGAAGCGGTAGGAATGAACATGTAGAGTAGTGTAGAGTAGTGCATGATAGAGTATATATTATAATAAGAGTCAGCATTCATTCGTCATTTTCGGATTCTAGGATGTTTATGTAATTGTATCTCACAGTTGGCATGATATTAAGAAAAGGTTCAGCAGCAGATTAACACATAATTCCAATATTTATAGTTTCATTATAATAATTAATAAAAAAAAGATAAACATGTCTGTAGGGAACTTCGTTCATATTAACCATATTCAAATTTAATTTTGTATTACAAGTGAACTCCTATTTAAAATATATATGACTGCTTAATATAACTTTATATCATTATACATTTGATATAGCTAATAATTTCGTGGTTGAAATTTTGACGGTACCTCTATTCTTGCACGCTATGGAGCTGCTTGAGTTGTAGGGGCCTGATAAACTTGTGGTTGTTGTTCTTGTTTTTGATATGAATCGTGGTATGGAGGTACAGAATCATTTGCTACCTGAGCTTCATCTTGTTTTTGTGGCTGCTGTTCTGGGGGTACATAAGTTGCAGTCGAATTCAAATTTACAGGGTTATCTTCCAGTAAAACTACCACAATTGCATGAATCATGGCAATAAACCAGAAAATAAACAATAAGCACAATACGAGGTTTAACCAAAATTGTCCATGAGCTCCCTTTGCCATGTATACAGCTACAGGTGGGAGAAAGAGGGCAATAATAACCAAAAGTAGCTTATCAGTATTGTCATCCGTTTGCATTTTTATGTATATATTCAATTGAAAAAAGTGTGAAGTATATTTCGGTAAAACACACCAATATCTTCAAGTATACAAAAACATGGCAATACAAGTTGCTTTATATTCAAAAAGATTATGTACATCTGTCGTAATATTATTTAAAGTCAGCGTAACTCTAAGTCAAATTGAAAAAAATAATGTAGGCGTAGTTGATAGACTCAATTTTTTGCCGTCATTTATATGACCATACATGCATGTGTGGGAGTTTAATTCCTTAGAGTTACAGACTACATTTTTCTTGATAGTGGATTAGCCAGGCAGAGAAATACAATTGAGATCAAATAAATTTTGCTCAATGGTAGATTGTTTTAGTTTGCAACAAATTAATTGTTGATTCTGAAGTGCCATGTTTATACCAAATCGTGAATAACACTAGTGTCTATACGCATCATTTAATCTCGCCTAATGCAGACAATCAACTTCAGCCTCACTGAAAAATATAGTTGGTTAGGAGCGTTAAACTTGGGTTTTTCGTAAATTTGGCATGACAGTAGATATTTATGCGTTTACGAAAATATACTAACAATAGTAAAGTGGGGAGTAGGTTATGTGTCCATTGTGTAATTACTTAAATGTTTAGTGTAAAGTTATAACATGTTTTTATTGGTAACTGTGTTATCCTTGCTAATCGAAATTTTATTTGTAATAAAAGTATAATTGTTCAAGCAAGTTGTTCTAAGGTTTTGATTGGAAAGTATTCTTCATCTTATCTTGTCACGGTGTACTTTCATAGTTTTGAAATGTTATGTTTCTATATGAAATGCATAGTAAAAATATTCCAAGAACCTCAGCAGAAATGGACTAGTATATCGTCAACCTCAAGAGATGAAGAATGTAGAAATATCCATTCTTATCCGTACAATTCCAAATTATCTATTGTAAAAATATTATGTCTTGTACTCTGACTCCATCGTTTTATGTGAATTATAGAGTGAGTTTAGTCGATTTTGAAGAATCGATCAAATGGTAGATAAATAATATTCATTCAACTACAAGGAATTTAATCTGATATTTTTATTGTTTGAATAAATAAGAGTATGTCTAGAGATGATATAATGAAAAGGTCAGCCCAATGCTGAATAGAATCAAAGTGTGCTTGAAAACATATTGACTAAAGATTCTTATAAGGAAATTTTTCTGCAGGTTACCCTTTAAGAATGGTTTTTTTTCTTGAAAGGGTTAGTTTCACAGTTGGAACTTTTGGACTCTAAGATTTTCAGCCCAAGTGAGTTTCCGAAGTGGAGTTGACTTTGGAGCAAGATCGAGAAATTGAACAATGTCGAATAGTTCTTCGAAAGATAAGTATTTGTCCTCTTCAATTTCATCAAGGTCTGCAAAGGAGAATGGGAAGTCGAAATAGTAATCAGAACCATTCGAATCGGCAATTAACGGAATCTTGACAGGAACTTCAACTGAGACAATCTTTGGAGCAGCATTTCTAAGAATTGTGGTCTTATCCTTCAATGGAGTTTCCTTCTTTGGTACAACCTTTTGAACACTAAGATGTTCAGCCCAAGTGAGATTCCGGACTGGAGTTGACTTGGGAGCAAGACCAAGACATTGAACAATGTCAAATAATTCGTCAAATGAGAAGTGTTTGTCCTCTTCAATTTCTTCAAGGTCCACAAAGGAGAAAGGCAAGTCGAAATAATAATCAGAATCCTTAGACTCAATGATTGATGTAACTTCATCTGAAAGACTAAGAAATTGAATAATGTCAAATAATTCTTCAAACGACAAGGATTTATCATCTTCAATTTCATCTAGGTCTGCAAAGGAGAATGGCAAGTTAAAGTAATAACCAGAATCCTTAGATTCAATCGAAGGAGCAACTGGAGCTTTTGCAGGAACATCAACAGGTAAAATCTTTGGAATATCCTTTCTAAGAATAGTCTGCTTATTCGTCAATGAAGAATTCTTCTTTGGTGCAACGTTTTGAATACTAAGATGCTGAGCCCAAGTGAGATTTGGGTTTAAGAACAGTTTAGGAGGTTCAGAAACTATGCCAAAGCAATGAGCAATGTCAAGAAGCTCTTCAAACGTGAAATTCCATGGGTTTTCTCCAGAGTTCAGTGCAGAGGTGGCCACAGAGTGAGCCTCTTCTATGACTCCAAAGCAATTTGCAATATCAAGAAGCTCCTCAAATGAGAAAAACCATTCTTCAGAGCTGGTGGTAGAGTAGACCTCCTCACCAATGCCAAAACAATGAGCAATGTCAAGAAGTTCGTCAAATGTCAAACCCCAAATGATGTCCCTAGTATACACTATGAACTCATGATTTGCACTGACACAAACTTCAATACTCTCATCCATGACACATTCAGAAGATTCAACATCACATACTTCAAACAGAGAACCGTGAATCTTTTGTTCACCAGAAATTAATTCATCCTGTTCATCTTCAGATGATTCTTCAGGAACCAAGTCAAATATTTCAACATGTTTCTCTTCATCCAGTGAGGATGCTGAGTCGTCAAGTTCAACAATTTTGCATTCCTCGATAGCAATAGGACTGGCATCAATGCACATCAAAAGAGCATAAGGTTCACCCTTGAAACAAGATACTCCACATCTTATCGGAAAGTATAAATGTTGATTATCAAACTCAGTATCAATTAAATATGAAAGGGGAAGAATGTAGGAATTGCAACACCTTTTTGAGATTGAATGAAGCAGAAGCAACAAGATACAAGCAGCAATGTCAATGTTAGAAACCAAGGGAGTATATTGGGAAACAGCAAAATTTGAAGCAATTGGAGTGTTTGGACGAGGAATTTCTTCCACGTCTGAAGTTAAAACTTCGGATAATTGGGGAGGGTAGGAAACATCACAAGTGCTTAAATATTCATTGAGAGTTGAAGAGGAAACTTCAGGGCTCACGGTCCACTCAACAATTTTAGAAATTGGAGGGAAGATAGCTCCATGTCTACTCAAACGAGTAGAGACGACACAAGAACAGATTTGTTCAAAGTTTTGAGGATAAGTAGAGCACATTGGAGTTTGAATAGAAGCTTTCGAGATATGGTTAAAAAAAAATAATCGGGGGATTCAGGAGAACTTGGTCCCCTTTTATAGTCAATGGGTGTTTTTTTGGATGCTCAGAGGTAGAACATGTCTGAGTTAATTTGTAAAGTATAGGGAAAGATTCCCCTGAAAGGCAAGTTATGCAACATTCTAAATGGTTCCATAGGGATCTAAAATAACAACATCTTCCGCAAGAAAACATGAATTGGTTAAGTTTGGGTAAAATACCCCAATAAGGGAAGTCATAAATTATTCTTTGAGGCTCCACCCATATCTAAAATGTAAAGTCAGTACAAATGGGACAAGTTTAGGAAAAACAATCCAACTAGGGCAAGTTATGCAAAGTTCTCAAATGTTCCACGCATAGATAAATTATCGAGTCTGACAAGTATAGATAAGGCATACCCAACAAGATAAAGTAATGTGCTGCAATGCTTTTAAAATTTCCATGGGCATCAATATAATAAACATCAAGCATGACAAAGGCGATGTAGGGACTTTAGTATGCAAAGATATTCAAATACAGTAGTTGCAACACGTACAAGAACCACAAATATGCACCACAATTCTTCTTAAAATTTAAATTTATTATTTCCCAATCTGGAACATAATGATTGAATCCATGGTATTGGTATATTCAATGTAGATAGCCACTGTCCAAGAGTTCAAAGGGTGGAGAAATCATGGAAGATTGATTGCTAATAGAGGGATTTTTGAAAACCTCTCTAGGCTCGAGTTACCTCTCTTTTTTTTAACATTTTCCACGATTTCTTTCTGAAGAGATGTTGCAATTAAATAGTCTTTGGTGTGGAATACTATAATTTCCAGTCTGAGGTCTGCCACAATGTGGCAGCATCACAGTTCGAATTAGGAAATTTAAAAGGATTGCAATTTGCAATGGCTGCAAATTTGAATAAATTCGCGCATAATTTGGAATTGTTCCGTTCCTGTGGCAAACTTGTGAAATTGAAGGAAATATTAGTTATATTCAAGGAAAGAATAGGTAAAGCCATTAATATGTTGTATTCTCCAAAATTTCGTATGCCTGTTTATTCTTGCAAGGGCGATATTAGAGATAAAAAATGAGATAAGAATCAGCATAATTTAGACCTTCTGTTTTGTAGAATAGTTTTCAATTAAGGAAGTACCAACAGATTTCCTCCTTGGTTTTAAAAAAAAAAGTATGAGAGAGAAATTCGGAGTTTGGAATATCTCTTGAGTGGTCTTAATTCTTCATTTTCAGTACACGGGGGTTTTAAAATTAAAGATATAGAGAAAGAAGAGATAATTCTGGCAAATAAAACCAAATTGATGACCAATATAGTATTTTTAATTGCAAGATTACGTTTGAATTATAGATCTAAAAGAATAAGATTGAGGAGAGAATGTAATTTATATGTGTACTACTAAACGATAAAAGTCCACCAGTATTATCAAACGGTAGTATTGTAAATATTTCTATTAGATTTCCAACTGTAATACAGTATATAGAATTTATGGAGGTCGTGCGCCGCCAAAATAGTCGAAAAAAAGTAATTTTGTATATTAAACCACAAAAATTAAACTTTCAATAAGGGCTCTTTGGCCGAGTGGTTAAGGCGGTAGACTCAAGTTCTACTATCGTAAAGATGCAGGCGTTCGAACCGCCTAGGAGTCATTATTTTTTGAATTTTAATTTTTTATCTTATAACGCGTTATCAATTTATTCACAAGCCAAATTTTTTTTCCTAGTTGCATACAACACAATATATCATATTCCAATGATATAGAATAAACAGCTACTAATGGAAACCTATATTTATATTGATTTCTGATTATCGTCAATAATCTTTCTCGCTTGCAATGGCACTGACTTCAAATAAATATCAAGAAATAATTGATTCGAAGATTCAACAAGCCATCGAATTATTCAAGAATAAAAAGTATGAGAATGCTCTTCAGATATACACAGCATTGATCCGTAACATCCAAAAACTTAGCACAGAAGAGGTTATAACCATAAGAAAGAATGCTGGACTATCTTCCAAGCCAGTGGTTGGATCTGTAGTGCACCCCAAATTAGGAAGCATTTTAGATCAACGAGCAGCTACATACGAAAGGTTATCAGACAATAAAAGAGCATTAAGAGATAGTGAAAACTTGATTAAATTGGAACCTATTGGATGCAAAGGTTATTTAAGAGCGTCTAAGATAATGATACTCACCGGACAAGAAGTTGAAGCATATAAGGTACTTCAACGAGGTGTTTACACTATCGATTCAGCAATAAAGAAGCATAATATTGTGGTTCCTCAGAAACTTTTTGATAATTTGAAGTTAAAATATAGATTACTAAACGATAAGTTAAAACGGCAACAGCATCAGCAGAATCAACAACAGAAAGAAATATCTAGGTCAGATCTGACTAAAAGGACTTTGCAACAAAGTATTGATGAAATGCTCCCACTAAAGAAAAGCAAACAAGGCGATATATCCTCTTTAAAGCACAACCCAAGAGCAGCATCACCATCATTATCATATTCAAGTAGAGACCCATTTCAAATTTTACCATTAGAATTGATTGAACTTGTATTTCAACATTTACCCTTTAAAACGGTTCTAAAACTGCATTTAGTCTGTAAAACTTGGTATAAATTTCTTACAAGTTTACCGTCACTATACAAAAGCATATTATTCAAATACAAAGTAGATAAATCTGAGTTCTTGAGAGGAATGACACTTATGAAGAGAATTTATTCTAATTCATCCACAAAGATTGTCGAAAGATTGAAGTTATCTACAACACTCCGCGAAGAACAATTCCTTGAAGCCTTAAAGTATCTAGCATTTAAAGCAGACTTGAAATATAAAAAAATGGAAGTGATTAATCCAAAGTTTAATATTGGTGATATTCTTTTATCCTTTTTATTCCCCAAGAACAACATATTAGAAGAAAGAGACGAATCTGGGTTAACGGCATTTAATAGACTTGAAGCGCTTAGATTGGGTGTTTCCGCTCTGACTACGCATATTCCACATATTTTGGGACTTCTGAACCATTTGGAATCTTTAGAATTAATTCACATGTCACCAGAATCTACTCCAAGGTTTGAGATTCTGAACTATAAATATATCAATTTTCTTAAGGATAAATGCCCTGAATCGTTTCCTACATTACTGAAACTTGCCATGATTGGCCACCCTCAGAGAGAAGACGGCGGGAAAACCCATCTTTTGAAGTATATACTGGAGGGTAGATTTCCCAATCTTCAATCCTTAACTATAGTATCGCAAGATCTTCGAAGTTGTGATAGTACTTTAGTCAAAAACTTACCCTATTTAAAAGAATTATATTTGGAAAATAATACTGGATATGATTTAAATACTTTATTGGGAAATTTCATAGTTGAGGAAGACGTGATATCTTCAACTACTTTCGCCAAGCTTGAAAAATTAGTATTTAGAGAGAAGGATTATCTTGAAGATGTAACTCTTGAAGAATGGCCATCAACGTTATTCCCTGGCTTGGCAACGATCAAATATTTAGACCTTAATTCTACGAGTTTAACTAGAGATGGACTCTACAAATTATTAAGTATTTGCAATGTCGGAAACCAATTATCATTTTTAAATATTGGAGCAGCCAGGAAAATTTCTTTTCCAATTGATAACTTGAATAGTCGTATCAACAATATGACTACTCCTCCAAGGAATATTGTTTCGATAGCTAAGGTTTTACAGATTGTTCCAACATTAACTCATTTATATTTAAATGAATTAGAATTTGATAATTATTCTGCAAAGATGTTCTATAGAGAATTAAAAGAGAATATCGGTTGGGAAAATGTCCATTTGAAAGTTCTTGACTTAAGTTTTGCCAGAATTGATGGTATTGGATTAATGGATTTGTTTTATGTTAGTACTAGACAAGGGGTGACCTTTACATTGGATGAATTAATTTTGAATGGAATTGAGATAAACCAACAGACGATTCAAATATTGATGAATAAAGGATATGTTGGTAAAGTTATAAATGATTTCAGGAAAACTCGCTGGCGAGAATATGGAATAAATAGTTTAATTCAAGAATGATCATGTTCAGTTTTGAAGTAAAATAAAAGATTTGCAACCAAAAAGGAAAAAAAAGACAAAAAAAAAAAAACTTGGTCGTGTACATAACAAGTTGGAAAAACCTAGACATGGAGATGAGAGATGATGTATGGGAATAACGAAAAGAATCAGCATAGATAGTAGTATAGATACCTTAATATTAAATTCAATATGGTCGTGACACGGAGTTCTGGAGTTCCCAAGAAGATTAAGTTTCTGGATGAGGATGTAACTAAAGACGTTGAATATCATACTGCCGATGAGAATGAACAAAAAGCATCTGAAGATGAATCTGAAGATGAGGAATCTGAATCAGATGATGAAGCTCCAGAAGAAGAATCCACTTCCCTGGCCAAAATTTCCATGTTGAAGCAACAGAAGGAAAAGGCTAGATTGGAGCAAGAACAAAAGAAGGCCGAAAAGGAAAGAAGAAGAAAACAAGACAATTTGCATGCGGAGCAGCAGAGAATTAAGAAGCAAAACGAAGCTTCAACTCCAGCTGCCTTGCCAGAATACTTACCAGAAGATATATTTGATGCCATAGAAAATGATAGTGAAGAAGAAGAATTGTCAGTTGCACAACAACAAGCTAAACATTTAAAGTTAGAAGATTTTGAAGAACTTGACAAGAAGGAACTTGCTAAACAACTCAAAGAGGAGAAACTTAGACGTTTGAAATTACAAAAGAAACTCATTGTGAAGAAAGGTCCTGTCCACGTTAAGGTTGCATCATCAGCCATTAGACAAGTGAACAAGAAATTAGTGCCGAAGGCAGAAAGTAAGATTGTCAATTCTAGAAACAAGTGGCTCAAGAGGAAATCTCTTGGTAAGAAGTAAATAGGGAAGATCATCACCCTCATGTATATTAGCTGATTATATAGAAGGATAATAATCTATAAAATAAAATAAAATCAAATAAGCAAATAAGAAGGTGGTAGTTGTGTTTTTCATAAAGTCATAAAAATAGAGGTGAGGAATTCCCACCTTGTACAGGCTCACTGTCTAGCGGTGCTTCCTATACGTTCATCACGGGTAACAGAAACATCTGGTAAATCTTTAAACTTCAAAATAGTATGTTCTTGTTCTTCATTATGACTTGATTGTTCGTTATAAGGAGCCAGCTGAGAATGTCTTGATAAGGCATCATCATATTCAAGAATATCTTCTGGTGTGAGTTTTATTGTTGTGGCAGGCCTGCGGAGCATCGTATATATGAAAGTGTACGGGTACGGTAGGGTAGGAAGGAACGATAAATAGCAAGATAAAGTTGTGGAATCGATTGATAGAACAAAAACAATGAGGATAGAATACTGCATACAAACAAGTATGGGTATTGATTCAGTTTTGAATTAATATCGACTATATGGATGTTAATATATTGTAATAATGTACAAATGTCCACAGTGGGATGATATAAGTGATTGAGCTTTTTATATACGCTTGAAATAGGTTTTTATCTAAGGTTTTGATAAATTATTCAGTAGTAGCATTTTGACCTATCCAAGCTATAAGTGCAAAAAAGTGAGGAAAATTAAAGATTTTTTTAGCTCAGTTATATCATGAACGTATTTAAGTAAGACAAGAGACCAGAGACAGCTTTAAAGGGCCAATTGGCACATTTTTTCACTTCTAGAAGGCATAACTTGGCTAACAGGCTGTTTTTCTTCGTCACGAAATACGACTTCGTGGCCAAGCTGGTTAAGGCGTAAGACTGTTAATCTTGAGATCGTGAGTTCGATCCTCACCGAGGTCGTCTATTCTTTTTTTTACATTTTTTTTATAATAAAATTAGTATTAATGATTTTGCTACTTATCTTTATCTATTAATATCCTATTAGCCAATCGGTGTACAAATCGGTCAATATATTAGAAATTAGCAATATGTCTTGGTGGGGTATTCATGATTCGTTATTAAGATCCTTTATTCGGATTTTGGGACAGTAAGGGCACATCATATGATCACATCGATGACAAGTAAACCTCGTAGGTATTTTCAACATAACGTTGGAACTATTATTCATTTCGGTCATGTCTGTAGTATCTTCTACATTAAACCGTCCAACCCTCAATTCAAGCGGCACTGTCAGTGGGGAATGAAGACCACTGCTAGGGTATGGATGGTACTGGAAATAGTCATTATCTTCAGGTTTATGCTGATTGTACACAATTTGGGAGTAATATTTGATTTTATCTATCAATTCATTTTGTATTGGAACGGATGATCTTGGTACGGGTTCTGATCTTCTATCTTTATAATAAATTTGGCCAAAAGTTTGACCACACAGACAACAATACCATTGACATATTTTATTTTCGTCAGGGAATCCTCTATGAGGGGGACTATGTATACGAGTAGCCATATTGTGGTTGATATTTGGGTGTAACATCAGTGATAAAGAAATAAAACTTAGAAAACAATGATAGTCTCCGTCGAGTTAAAGTAATAAATGGCTGAGTCAAGAAGCCTAGACAAGCTATAAATTGTTATAAAATAACGTTCAAAATTCTAGAATGGCATAAACTTCGTGATCATATGTGTGAAGTTAATGTTATGGGTGGCGAATGAGTTGGCCAGACGATTAAGTATAAGTTATGGAATGTGTTCTTACAAAAGTCTCTTTTGGGCAAGAACCGCAGTTGAATATTCGTTTGATAGTTGCAAAAATACAATTGCTAAACAAATTGTAAAATATTTACGTAATCGGAGAATTTTAAAGGAAATGTATTCCTTATATGTAACTCCGACATTTGCTATATTTCTAGGAATCGTCTAACATCTACATAGATCAAATGCGTTACTTTGTGCATATTTCTAACTAAAAGGCCCCAAATTATCGCGGCGAGAACTGGATTTGACTTACCAAACTAGGTGTGAGGCTTGAAAAATTCCTTTTTATTTTTTATGCAGATTTTTTTTTCCCACTCCCAACCTAAAAATTTCTCTTTCTATTCCCGCCTAGTTTTGCTAGATCATGGAACTGTATCTATCACTAGAGAACATTTTTTGACAAACAATGGCACTAGCTCACCATATTCCGCATAGCATCACATATACACCGTCTAGATCTGATAAGGCGTAATGACATTTCTACTACACCTGGAACCACAATGGTCGTGGACTTGGCGCCATTTTTGATGTTGTTGGGGTCCTGCACCATGCAACTACTCCGTAAAAAAAATGCACTGTGTCGAATCTAGATTCTGATGAAAGAATTGTTCCCACCAATTTACTAGCGGGTGACTTTCTCAATAGGTAAAGGAGTCAAGGTTTACGAGAAAGAGAGAATTGTAAGAGTCTGCATATTAATGGACTCCACCCCTTTAATAATCATTCCATTCTCATATAGTGCATTAAACTGTCACAAGTAGTTATTGAATGAATATTGGTATGTAGTGAAAAGAATAGAAAAAGAAATTCTCTACAATAAATTCTCTTCAATAAATATAGGAACTTGAAACGGGATTTACCCCAGGAAACGAAAATCTCGGTAGCGCGAAGGGTTAGAATGCTAAAGGACCCCTATATCATAACCAAGTAGGAGGAGAGAGTAATGTTACCTACTTTCACATCTTTCAACGCAGTAGGTTGTCATACGTCAAATGAAGTAAATTCGATTGTGAATTCTTTGTCTATTTAACAAATTATGGACCAGAATACCCGGAGTCAGACTGAAATTCCATGCATGTACAGTTTATTCCAACGAGATTTTAGAATAGGAATTGCCCATCACCCCCCATTTCATCGTGACGATCTACAAAAATCTTTTGTTTTGAAATCTAATTTCTCTATAGTAGAACCTTATGATGGTGCCTTGAATGGGTGTAAATTCAAATGATATGTCAAGTGGCATGTTAAAAAATACCACGCTAATGCATCTCACCAACCTGCGGAGCCCCAGAAAAAAAAACCTTCCTGAAATATGTATACCTAGATACATCACGGAAAAGTATTTAGGCAGAACGGAAAAGATGCATATGGTTTGCTCTTTTCTTCCATTACAGCTGGATGTGGAAAGTTTACCCACAAATTTAAGGTTTGATCCTTACAATAATATTTAGTAGGCATATGGAATGATCTTTTACATATACTTGCCCTTTATTGTATTTATCAGCAATTTTATCAGCCTCCCTCTTGTTGTAGTGAAACGAAATTTTGCTATCTACTCTGCTTCTAGAACATTTCCACTTCTGTCTACAACTTTCAAGAATAAATCTGGTGAAATAAATCCCTTGTCATTTCCAGCGCATAATATGACATTATTTGAACTCTTGTAGAATTGAAGTCCACTTTCGATACACTTCGGAATATCCAAATAGATCAATGCATTGCAACCTTTCCGCATACCTGATATCACCTTTGACTCATTTGTTTCTTCAAAAGTGAAATGTATGTGATTTCTACCCATACGAGATAACCCTGTCTTCATAATCAATGGTAAATGCTTTTTATACGTTCCATGAATGATAACCGATGGGAAGTCTTCAAGGTTAACGAGCTGGGTAAGATTACCTTCTCCAACTTCCTTGATTGTATGGCCTTGGTTTGCACATATGTACAATTGATCGCCACGAGTTTCTATACGGAATCTCTTTTTATCATTATTTTCTACAATGCTTTTAATTTCTTCAAGTGTAGCTTTATGAGTCTTGATTCTATTATGATTAAGTATAGTGTCTAACAACACAAACCCATCTTGATCGATTTCGATATTTTCCTTCACCGCGCTATGACGAAGAAGGAGTGACAATGCCTTTGAGATTTGAACCTCACGTTTACTTGACATGGTTTAGTCAGGAGCAGTTTAACGTTTATTAAAATTTTTTTTTTGTATATCAAAATTGTTTTTCCATACCATTGATTTAATTTCAGTTTGTTGAATATACATGCAATGAATTATATCATTAGATTTATAATCATTAAAGGTAACATATTTCTCCCACATTCTTAACTTACAAAATTTTCCATTTTATCTATCATTATTTCATTTTTTTTAATACTATTTACAAAGTTTGAATAACTAACTATTTATCGCTACATCTCTTGGTTGCCTTCGCACCAGCCAAAGACCCCATGTCTGCCTTCTTTTGCTTGATAGTTTCATTATCACCCAATTCAGTCTTATCGTGAATGTTCAAGAAATATTGTCCATCTTCTTTCTTTTCTCCTTGAACGATATTCTGTACTAAAAATTTGGATACACTGTTAAGATTATCAATCTTTTCTTGTACAGTTTGTGAGCCTTGTTCAAGATCTTCAAAGAATCCTTGCTTTATTTTAGCTCTGGAAGCCAAAAGGACTTCGGCATCGTTCTTGAATGCCACTCTGGTAGCACGGAGAGCCGTTCTATACGCGGAAAGTGCTGCTGAACGTGTCATATGGATATTATATAGTGTATATGGGTTGTCTTGTAAGCACAAATTTACTTTGATTTTTTTTTCCTTGTCACATAAATCCTACCAAACGAATTTCCTGCATTCGGGGGATTACATAAAATTCAAACCGGAGAAAAAGGAGATTTGCACCCAAACCCAACTAGCGTTACCTGTATTATTATTTTTACCACTAATATCCAAATATAGTATCTATATCATGGAAACCACTTTCACTTTTATTCTCTTTTTGATTTGCAGAGTTCTGCTTGAGATTATTGTAATACTAAAAAATGATCTCAATGTACTTCTAGTTCTCTCACCAATTACACTCTTAAATTCTCCTATCACACAATAAAATATTTCTGAATACATTTATATATATATTCGTTCTCTTTACAAAAAAAAGCTATAACCTTTTCTATATGCATTCTATATTACATTATAACACCAATTTCTCTACCGAGTAGAATGGAATCTTCTTTGAAATAGAAATTCCATCATCAAGTAAATTCTTTCTAGAAGTATTGTTAATCGTCAAGATTGAGTTGAGTTGGTCTTGTTGCTTATTTGATTCGATAATGTTCTCATCCTCCTTCTGTTGTGATTGCAGCTTCTTCTTTGGCTTCTTGGATTTCTTAGATTTCTTATTGACATCCAGGGTACTATTAAGCAAAAGTGCTTGACTAGTCAAGGTTAAATTGTAACTATTTTGATTCAATGATTCCAATTGATTTTCAACATCTTCAATAACATTATCAATCAACAGTTGAGACCATCCAAAAAGTCCACCGGCATCAATAACAGCTGGAATGATTTCCCAACCAATATCCAATGCAAAACATTTCTTTACCACATATTCCAAATTAAAATTGGATGAGCTCTTCAAGATATCCAACAATGTAGAGGTGATTTGATTTACAGAATATTCGTCAATAAGTCTGTTGACTACATCTTGGAAGATTTCATCATTGGAGTTTTGTAATTGCTTGGTAATTTCAAGACATGACAAGTTAGGACAAGTAATAACTGCTTGTCTAAGTAATCTCAAGTTTTGAACACTATCGAAAAGGGCCAATAATCCTCTGGCGTATTCGTGTGGATACAATGGATGAGTGAGTAAATAGGTAAGAGAATGTTCAGGAACGAAAGAAGACTTGAATTGTAAAGATCCATCTGATGATGGCTTGTCGAAAATCAATGACACTACCGCATGAATAAAGTTATAATCAATGATTCTATCCTTTTCCACTTCAAATACTTGGAACTCATAATTCTTCTTCTTGTATGGTTTGTTGGCACTGACAGATTTCTTAATGGATTGCCAAGATTCTCCCTTGAGGTATGGGATGACAATTCTTTCCCATTTATTAATACTTTCTTCTTCGTATGCTGCCTTTAAAGTGGTGTAGATTTCTGATAATTCAACAGATAATTTTGAGGATTCAGCTACAAATTGATCTTGAAGCAAATCAGACAATCCTTGGAATGTCAGAGAAATGTTAGCTGTGGTGGATGTTTTAGGGGTAGAAATTTGATTAAATCCCTTTCCAAGACATTCATTTAAAGTTCCAAGACCCACATTGACATTGATTATGTTCAAATTGGTGTCATTCTTTTTGCTGTTGTGACTCAAGTAGACTGCAAAAGTGTTACTAGTCTTCAAAGAATTACCCTTGACCGATAATGTTGATTGAATGACAAGTTTATTGGAATCTTCTTGTTGATGAACGTCCAAAATTGACTCATATTTTGTGTTGAGAAGATAAACGGAATCATCAAAGGAAAGTAATAATCTAGATGGAGCTGGACAAGCAATAGAAACCGAATCAGCAGAAGTTGATGGGAATCTTTTGGCAAGTGATATGGTCTTAACGAGTTTGAAGTTTGGTAAAGCATAAGTACTAAGAGTTGATGATTTAACCAGGTAACGGTACAAAACACCACTGGTGGACTCGTATGCAAAGTGAGAGTCATCATAAACTTCTTCAAGGACAAAAGTCTTTACTTCAAGAGAATTAACCAAATCCAAAGATAAAAGACGAACTTGAACCTTCTTGTTGACAAGTTCAACCAAAAGTAAAAGACCGTCTTTAGCACCAAGACCAAAACCTTCATCTATGAACTCATGGTATAATACATGGGAGTTTCTCAATTTGTTGAGGTTGGAATAGATTGGTTCATTAATGTTTTCATCTATTTCTACATTGTCTTCATCATCTTGTTCATTATCGACACTGAACTTGTACACTTGCATAGTACAGTCTTCCAAGACAAGGTATACGTGTTCCCTATCGGAACTGAAGGAGGTACTAATGATCTTCGAAGATGTTTTGATGGTTTTAGTGGAAGTAGTTTCTCCATCTCTCAAGATGTACAAGAGCTTATGAGACTTTCTGTCAGTCAAACCAACGGCAAATCTCTTCGCAGACAGCTCAAGTTCAACCACATCAATGCAATCGACTACGGTGGTTGGAGATAATGCATGAGACCATACCAATTTAGGGGTAGGCTTCAAAATATAACTGCAAATTGCAGATCTAGATATCCCAACATCAAGAACAACTTGGTTGGCCAATCTAGGACGTGCCACCACTGCCTTTTGTGCTAATCTGATATCGGAAATACGCGGAAGCGTCACCAAGGGGAACAGATCTGTCAAAGATGCCATCGTTATTGATAGATATCAGAAGTGAATTTATTTGAACTGGTCTTGTGCTTTTGTAATTTCTTACACCTTTTGTGAAGACCATCGCAATTTTTTTTTCCGTACATAGTGCGAGGATTATGTAATCGAGGTTAATGAGATGGAAATGTTTAAAGTTAGAGAGATTTAGAATGCAAAAAAAAAAAGGTTTTGTTTTACTGTTAATAGAAATCTTTAGGTATGATTAAAATAGAAAAAAGATAATAAGATTTAAATTTATATCTAATTATTTCTCTATTATTATGGTTATTATGGAACAATTTGATTGTGGAAATATGGTATTGTATAGCTACAATAAAGAGGGAGGGATGTTATCCTGCGTATACTTGTATTCCTGGACATAAAAATACATTCTAAATCAGGTGGTTGCAATTAATTGACACAACATTAAAGGTTAAGCGTTCATTTTAAGACTATATAATTTGAAGTAATTCATATCTTTATTAACAGTAAATCACAAGAAAAGAAAAGTTTATAATAATAATTCTTCATTTTAAATACTTCATCCAGCAACAATGACGTATTTTTTTCAATACTATAGTTATATAATCACTGCAAGTATTCTTTCCTACAATCTTGCTAAAGTGGGAAATCAATCCAACAATATCCTCTCTTTGAATTATTGTTAAATTCGTGTCATTGTACGTTTTCTCTTAATGGTAAATCGATGATAAAACTAATTAACATACACCTTTCAATTACGTAATGGATGTGTATATACAGGACATACAGATTTAGGATCAACGGAACAATAAGGGGGGGGGGGGGGGGGGAGTTGATTACACAACAGATATACAAAGGGAGGGAACCAAGTGGGTATATTTTTTTTATTTTGAATCATGACATAAAACAAGTAGTCCAACTACATCATTCTATGTATTCTTTCTTTCAAGCTGATATCCCATAGCAGTATCAGTATTAAACAGCTACCAAATTTTCTCTTGTCATTTTTTTGCAGCAAAACTCTTTTTAGATAATCTTCATCAAATGTTAAGGGGGATCATTTCCTACAAGGTTATTTTTAATTCTCTTATATCTTTCTATTATACATGCTCTATAAAAACCTTAAACCGATTGCAAAAATTCTTCATTTGCGAAGTGGTAGTCAGAAACGACAACCTTGAATTCGTCAGTTTCCTTGTTGTAAGACTCAATCTTGAATGAAGAAAGGTCATCAACAACAATGTCAGCACCAGAGTTTCTGACCTTTTCTGGATCGTAAGTGGAACAGATACCAACAATCATGGCACCAGCACCCTTACCAGCAGTGATACCAGCAGGAGCATCTTCAAAGACAACAACCTTGTGGTGGGCTGGTTCGTATCCTAAGGTGTTTCTGGCGTTTTGGTAACCCATTGGATGTGGCTTACCCTTGGTGACCTTTTCAGCGGTGATGAAACAATCTGGTTGGTCGATAGTAAGAAGCTTCAACCACTTGGTGGCTAATGGGAGAGTACCAGAGGTAACAATGGCCCATCTTTGCTTCTTGTTTTCAGTTTCTTCTCTAGAGAACTTGTCGAAAGACTTGACAAGTTCAACAGCACCCTTGATTGGCTTGGCAGCGTGGCCATAAGAGTCTGGAATGTCACCTTCCCATTGAGTAACTTGGTCTGGGATAGCATCTTCTGGAGACCACTTAGCAATAACATCGAAAGTTCTGCAACCGTGGGAGGTTCTGATGATTTCTTCTGGGTTGACATGTGGTCTGGTCTTTCCGAAATCTCTCCAGAATTCAGAAATAGCACCAGTAGAGTTAACTAAAGTACCATCACAATCGAAAAGTGCGGCGTTAACATAAAAGACAGCTGGTTGTTTAGTAATAGTCATTGTGTTTAGTATTAAATTGAAGGAATGTGTATGATACTTTTGAAAGAAACATTTTGTGACTTTAGGCGGATTGTCATTGGCTTTATATAGATTGGGTGGGAGTATCTCAATTGCACCTGCTAACCTCTTATCTGGAGAGATCCGGCATTGAGATGCCCGGAATACATAAAAAAAAAATATTGGCCGCGGGTTCCTAACGCGCCAACACGTTGAACATTAGACTACTACGTCATGAGATGTTCCTTTTCCGGATTCAATTACGTATTTACAAACATTTAGCTTCAAAATTACATTTAATTCTAAATAAATGGTCTGAAGCACTAGACGTACTTCAGTAGGGTGGCTAATAGTTTATTTTAGAACCCAGTTCATCTGTTTGTCTCATGAGTAAATGAATACTTTTGACACCATTCTGTACACCTGATCTACTTCTCGTTTCTTTTTCTGTTTCTTTTCTCTCCCTCCTTAACGTGATAAGAGTATAGCGGTAATGCCAACGCTCACACCCACAAGACGTTGTATGTGTTTGGTTGTTCGTGTTTATTCCTTTTTTTTAGTTCCCTTTTCTTTTTTTTTTTTTCTTTTTCTTGCCAGAAACGGATTTGATCCGGATAATTACCATTTCCGACCACACACCAATACGTCATATGACGTTAAAGTATGGTGATTCCACGACTGACCAAGTTAAAACCCTCACCAAATATAGCTAGGTGTACCATAAAACAGCATGTGCCGACAATCAGAGAATGGCGACCATATGTACTACAATGTAAACATGGTCTAAACAATGAAACCTACCCAATATTTGAATATAGGGTACTTGTCAGAGGATTGTAAATGACGTTTCAATATCCAATGTAAGCAATATATAGTACCTACAATTATGTAAATTATATCAATGTCGCTACACAGGGGTTGTTTTTTTACAGCTGTTATGCATATTACCACTTACTACAATGATTCAAATTCGGAGATTATTTTAGGTCTGGCCCTTAGATTTCATTTCCGTGTTTTTTAATTTATTTTTTGGCGATCTGCTCAAAACAAGTTGTAGAATTAACTTCAACTGGTTTATAACCCGGGGCTCAAGAAAAAGTTCACCTGACAATATCTTAAAGACAGCACATGCGACCTATATTGACTATACGACAAGATCTATTAATATTATAATTGTAACATAGTATAGAATGTTCGGATATTGAGACAAACCAACATCCTTTGTCAATACGTCACTGTATTTTTAGTGCGTAAGAAATTACAAAGTGCTGACAAAGGAGGCTTGTAATACTTAAACATTTATTTACATGAAAGTGGCATAATGTAAGATATAGATAGATTACCAATTGATTAAGAGATGAATTAGTATTGACTGCGTTTAATAAGATATTCGAGTTCATAGAGTGAAATCTCCAATAATTTGACATCCAATTGGGCTATAATTTCATGAAAGATAAGCCAAATCCATTCTGTTTGGAATAGGCAATATATCGGAACTATCGGACAGTGACAAACCGAGTTATAAGTTCATGTATTACTTGTGTGAATTATAGTTCCAAATATAAACAGGCTAAGTATTGCAAACAACTTGAATTTAGATTAGCCAAGTAAAAGAGGAAATAAAGTGTTTCAAACAGAAACTCAAAACAATGTTTTGTGCTTCTTGAAACACATAGATAGTTCTACATCTACACTATCACTTTTAGAGTGATATTTTTATTGTAGTATTATACACTTCCGTAAGAATTGTTTCCTTTAAACAAATTAATATTAACTAATTTAGATGTAACCAATTCTGTTAGCAATATCTAAAGCGTCGTGGTCAGCGGTCAATCTGATGTAAGCCTTCTTGGTACCGTTTGGTCTGATCAAGGTGTTGACGTACAAGACATCGACATCGTATAATTCCTTAACAGCAGCCTTGATTTGGTGCTTGTTGGCCTTAAGGTCAACTTGGAAGACCAAGATGTTACCGTCTTCAACCTTCTTCATGGCGGTTTCGGAAGCGATTGGGGAGACAATGATCTTGTAAGCATCCAATCTGTTGTAGTGTGGAACGGACTTTCTAGCGTATTTTGGAGATCTGGTCAACTTTAAGGTGTTTGGCAATCTGAAAGTGGTAGAGGTTCTGACCTTTAAAGATTTCTTAGCGTTACCACCCTTCAAGGCGGCTTTCTTAGCAGCAGAGGCCTTAGTAGTAGCTGTCATTGTTAGTATATGGAATGGAAAGAAGAAAAAAAGTTTCTAGGAAAATTTTTTGAATTCAATGCGAGAGCGAAAATTTCAACGAATGTCTTCACAAAATAATGTCCAGTATCTTTGGTATGTATCGTTATTGATCAGGATATCCTGATAGATAAATGTAGTCCAACCTTTACAATTTTATATTATCAATTATTCATGGCATCTCTCCATTATTTAAGCCCATACGTGGGTCCCTTACTTCCCCATGCGATGACCATGGAATCTGAGCATGGAATCTGTGAGTTCATTACGTTGTAGTCCACTAGTTTCTATCTCCCGCATACATTATATGTACTTACTTGGAGCCATTTTAGTCGTTATTGTCTGAACAGTAAAAGATGAATTATTCAATGAGAACAATTTTTCATAGTTAGTTACTTTGGTGGGTTTGCGCGAAGGAGTGCATCTAGAAAGAAAAATTGAAGATTTTTCCCAGTTGTGACGGTGCGAGTGAGCCCTAATGCTAACCACGTGATATGCACGCGGAAACAAGATGGTTATTATAAAAAGTCAATTAGACACTTAAATAAGTTTAAAACAGCCATTATATAGATCGATGAATACTTGAGTTATATTAATAAATGTAACATGAATTTATATCCATTTCTTCCATTTCTGAATTTCAGGATTACTTCAATTATGGTGATAATAGTTTAGTCCCTTTTAAGAAATATGTATTGATATGACAAACTATTGACTATCGTAAATTTACATACAGGAAGAGGGTAGATGTTACCACTAATCTATAGACATTAATTAGATTTAAAAAGTATGATTGTAAGAATCTTCTATCAATAATCTACATATATAATATCTTGCCCTTGATTAAAACTCTAGACATTGGATAAATATTCTAGAAATGAGGAAAGTGAGTGTAGTCCCTCCTTTGTTAATACATTGGTCATACTTTGCAGTTATGTACCAACCAAAACAATTCAGATCGTCTACTACAGTGAGTTATTCTTAATCATTCCATTGCATGTATATACAGGTCTATTTACCGTTGCACTCAATAAAAAGCCTTTTAAAGATTATTATTGAATCATCAGAAAGAGAGGTGGAAATCAACAACCTTGTATTTCTGATATTCTTTAAATCTTTAATGAGATCATTTATGGTAAAAAATCTCTACAATCTTCTCAATTTCTTCGATCTTACACCACCAAACTTAATCTTAGTATCATCAGAGATTCTTACGATATGTGGTTTGATCTTAGCACCTTCCTTACCTTGCAAGGCTGCCAAGAATGCTTCTCTACCCTTTCCGAATTTGTTCAACACCAATTCGACCTTATCCTTTGGTCCTAAAAGGTGTCTTTCCTCTATGAGCTTAAACATTTTGTTTGTAACTTGATATCCTGCTTCGTATTCAGCTCTTTGAGCCTTTCTGAACCCTAATTGACCAGCGGAAACATGGATCTTTGGGTGATGTGGGAGTCTAAGGTAGTACATGACCTGTTCATTGTATGACAAAGTTGGATTGTTCTTAATGAAATCCAAATCTTCAACCACTGCTACGAGAGTAAGAAGAGTGTTATGTCTGTTGAAAGTGGCATTCAACTTCCACAAGACAACCTTCTCATTCTTGACTGATTTGGTGGTTGCTGAAGAGCCAGCATCTTGGGCTGGAGCACTAGTAGAACCTATGTTGTTGAATGAAACTGGACTAGAAGCAGATGATGAAGATGCATTATAAAGGGTTGAGTTCGATGAAAATGAACGGTTGAAAATGGAGGCAACCGGTCTATGTAAGGACATAGTCAGGCTGTTGAGGACAGACGACTTGGCCGTTACACCTGCTATAGTACCGAAACGTCTGAACATTGTGATGTATACCTGCTTCTATATAATATATTGTGGTTTGTACCACTCGATCTTTTTTTGTCGATGTTGAAGTTTTTTGAAAACAACATATGCAGGACACTCCAAATTTTATATATGTATATATAAATGAGAATGAGAAAATTAGTTTCTGGTTGCGAAAGAATATATTTAATAGTGAACCAGAACAACAAGTTTAAACTTTGTACATTTCTTTGACAGTTTTCTTGTCTTGTTTCCTTTATGTGCTTGGTTTTTTTTTTCTTTTTTATTTTTGGAAAGAATCCGACTCTAGGCCAATTTCATTGTACATGGGGGTGGGGAGGGGGCTTGGTGTTCTTTTTTTTCTTTACTTCCACTGTGTGAGCTTCTTTATTCCTTTTCCCAAAACACGGTGAGAATTGTAAATCAGTAGTAAGTACTCTATATCAACTTTAACCTTACAATTCTTACCCTTCTCAAAATGTCTCTAGCTCTACCCCTTCCGGGTTGGAGACCAATTGAATGCTTTGCACCTTCACGTAACGAACGTATATTATTTTAATGACCAGTTCGTTTCATTATTAAATGCCGCAACATGAGATTTTAACTTTTTTTTTCCCGCTAGAGCTACAAATAAACAAATACTAAAGGGCTATATTTACCAAGAAAAACAAATGATTCATTTCTAAATATTTTTTCTTTCTCGTAAAATAAGTGAAAGAGAAGTTTCGAATAGAACAATTAGACGGAATAAGGCTTATACCAAGTAATATCTCTAAACTAACACATGACCAGTTGAACTCTTTCTATTTCTTTTTTTGGCAAAAAATTGAAATATCTCTTTGCATACACAAATCGTCTCTTAAAATAACTCTTATCGTTTTACCTTTGTACTACCATAAAAAAATAAATAACCATACATAAATATCCACACTATCATTGAGGGTTCTTGCCTGCATATATCGGACAAACAATTTAATTTCTTAGATATTTGAATTTGAGGGATAACAACAATTACAGAAATACGCGTTCAACAACTAGAAGTTTCTACCAATTGAGCTGTATTAGCGGGTTCTATAAGGACATCAACGATATACCAATATAATATTCATTTCCGCTTTGTCCAGTACCCCCACTGTGTGTGCTCATACTAGACTGAGATTGAAAGTGTACAGAGAATAGCAAATTTGTTGTGTTGTTTATTTTTTTTTGGGGTTCCATTTTTGCTTAATAAGTTAGCAAGTACGACGACTGGTCCAAGCCAATAAGAGAAAGCAAACTTGCAGCACTATATATATTTCTGCTAGAGACGTTGTGCGCCAGATAGAGAATTAAAGGACAAGAGAAAGAACCCACATATCCAATATGCCTGACGTGAACGAATATGTCCTTGACCGGGTTACGGAGAATATTTCATCGGTAACCTCTGCTATGGTGGTTAGAGAATACAAACAAATCGGAGAAGGTGCATTTGGTACGGTAGTTGAGGCTGTCCTCCGTCCATACGATGGGCCCACTGACCAGTGGCTTGGTCCATTTGCCATCAAAAGGGTCCCGGCACAAACGGAATACAAGAGTAGAGAATTAGAGTTACTTCGTGTGGTTAACCATCCAAACATCGTTTCATTACGATATTTCTTTGACAAACCTTCCTCGCTGGACGGTAGGGTATATCAAAATTTGGTGATGGAATGTTTACCGTCCAATCTTCAAAGTGAAATCAAATACTATAAACAATCTAAATATACCATTCCATACCCACATATGAAGGCATATACTTTCCAATTGGCTCGTGCTATGTTATATTTGCATGGGTTTGGAATCCTGCACCGTGATATTAAACCGTCAAACATTTTGGTTGACCCAAGCACAGTAACTCTTAAAATATGTGATTTTGGATCTGCCAAGAAATTGGAACCAAATCAACCTTCAGTATCGTACATTTGTTCACGATACTATCGAGCACCAGAATTGATTGTTGGATGTTCCATATACACCACCAAGATTGATGTATGGGGATTGGGATGTGTAGTTGCAGAAATGTTCCTTGGTAAACCAATTTTCCAAGGTCAATCACCGGAATTACAATTGAAAGAAATTAGTAAATTACTTGGACCTCCACCAAAGACATTCTTCTTTAAAAGTAACCCTCATTATCGCGGAGAAATGTTTTCAAATAAACTCTTTTCATGCACAGTAGAGGAAAGATTTGAACAAATCTTCAGTAATTCTCCACCAGATGCAATTGATTTACTTTTAAAGATCTTGGTTTATGACCCAGCCCAAAGAGCTAGTCCAAGAAGAATATTGGTACATCCATTCTTCCACGAATTGAAACGTGAAAAATTCCAAGTATATCCAAGAGGAGCAACTGAACCAGTTACATTAAATTTATTCAATTTTAGTAATTATGAACTTGAACTTCTTGGATCGTTGAAGGATGAACTTTTGATGACCAATTGAGGAAATTTGATTGAGATATGGTGATGTGATTGGGTTTACTTCTAGATTACTTTCCGGTGCTTGTTGCATAATTTTGAATGAGCAAGAGGTGTTTAATTAGAGATTGGCTGTTTGATTGCGAGAGAGAGAATTTCAGATACAGAGTAGAGAGACTGAAAGTAAAGGAGTAAAGTTGGCGAGAATGATTATATTAGTTAATAAGTTGAGATTGATGAAGGAATAGAGATTGTATGTTTAGTATATCTAGTTAGTGAATGGATGTACATGTATATGGAGAGTTGTTCTTAGGAAGAAGGTGGTCTAAAGATGTACATGACCATCAGTTAAGTACGTAGTTTTTTTCTCTTACAGCCAATCATACAAATTAGACAATTGTTCCCCAATATGTAACATAATTCCAGTCTGGAGAACCATTCCCCATCGATTCCTATTTTTTTTATATTATTACTTATTCCTAAAAAATTCTATACAATAGTCTTTTTAGAAAGCTATACATTTATCTATCTTCTCTTTTTTACAACGCTAATGAATAGCTGTATTCGTCTTCGATGTTTTGTGAAAGCCACAAGACAATACAACTCAACATAATACTCCCATTGCATACAATATTGGAGACACCCATTCCTAAGGTTGGAAAAGTATAATGCTTCAATAAGAATTTGATTATAAACACCATAAAGGATCCAGCAAGTCCTCCGGCAAGTAAGGAAAATCCAAAGAAAAGAATGACTCTTGCCTTCCAAGCAGTGGAAGAATCGCCACCACCAAGAAACGAACTATTATTGTTGTCATTGAGTAAGTGGGTCTTTTCAATAGAATTAACAATGATCATCCCCAATGTCGAACAAATGAATGGAATCCAATCAACAAAGGTAACATGAACCACTGATGCATTGACAGTCTTTGAATAAATAGCGGCGTCAATCATTGACCAAAATCCAATTGCAAATAAAATCCCAGAGAGATACACTCCAAATGAACGCAATTTCTGGGACTTTGGGAGCCCCAATCCAGCAAGGTTAAACCTAAATAATCCACTACGTTGATCCATGGTTAATTATAGTGGGGTAAGGGTTCACACAAGTTAATTTGATTAACAAATAATGAACACTTGATAAAGGGGTGATATATGCAGTCTTTGAATCCTGTATATAGAGTACACACAATGTCTTACTTTGTAGGTTTAGTACTATGGAACTCTTATTAATTTATTAAGTCTGTACTATATATTAAGTAGAGTTATGGATAATTAATAAGATGGAGAATTTTGAATTGAATGGTTAGAATTTTTTTTTTTTTTTTTTGGTGTTGAAATATAAAAAATCAATGTACTTGGGTAGTCTATAATTTTTCATGATATGCTATATTAATTTGCTTGGTACCTAAATTTATTTGGATTGGTACATGAATAGCCGATAACTTTTAGCCTCTTTATTATTTTATTCTTTTTAGTGTATCTAGAGTTTCTGTTTCTTAACTCAATTCCCATACTCTTACCCATCCATCTTTTGAACAACTCACTAGCAATCTCCCCTCGTCGTACACATCCACATCTAACACGGGTGACAGTTCCGTTTCACCATCTCCTAATCTTCCAACAATCTTCTTCAGCTGTACATCCCATATTAAAACTCCAGACTTTTCTGATCCAGAAGCTATCATTGATGATTTACTCTTTGTAATGAATTTTGCTCCACAGTTGTAGTTTTCACTCACTGGAATTGTATCTACATATGTCTTCACGACCTTATTATCCATATAATTCCATAATCTTAAAGTTCCATCAAGACTGGAACTTAAAATAAATTTACCATTAGGGGAACATTCAACGTTCAGAATAGGGAAATTCACCACATCATTGGTCAGCGCGGTGGCTGTTCCGTGGGAAGAACTGTTATATGTCAATGTTTTGAGACACTGTCCCAGTTCTGTATCAAATAGACGCATCAACCCGTCATATGAAGCACTGACAATGATGGAGTTATCTGGAGTGAGTGAAATGCTCAGTACAGGGTCGGAATGAGCAGCCAATGTCTTCAAAGGTTTCCCCGTTGTGATATCCCAAATGGTTATAGTTTCGTCCGCAGATCCAGATACAAGTACATTCCCCTTACTGCTAAACTTGATTGTGGTTATATGATACGTATGTTTTTGTAATATTCGAATACATTTGGATTTCTTTATGGACCATAATCTTATGGTTAAATCATCCGAACAGGATACAAGAATATTGGAATCTATGGGCAGAAATTCGATACTGGAGACTCCTCTCGTATGACCTTTAAGTTCAGTCTGTAACTTATATGTGTCAGCGTCATATATCCTTACAATTCCATCCGACAGACAAGTTGCAATTATTCTACCATCGGGAGAAAATCGAATAGAATTGGTTGAAGAGCTTGATGACGGTAAAAATTTCGCCTTAAATTTATATGGACAACCATCCACAGATTTTTCTTCTGATATATCAACCATGGGAAGAACTTAATGGGCAAGTTTATATATGAGTTCTAGTTATGTTTATCTTGTGATGATCCATTATGAAAGTTGATCAAAAACACATATCGGGGTTAGATATGCAGGCATGTCCGTGTCACGTGATAATTAAAATATGTTCTACACATACATTAACAAAAGTTGATAATACTTTCATCAAGTCTAATAGTATTTCTTAGTTTAATCATTCATTCATGCTGTTTATCTTTCTTTATTTGTCTTATTTATATAAATATATTAATTGCTATTCTTCCTATTCCATTTGTTTCCATAAATATTACTCCTAATATTTGCCTTACTATATACTTTCTAATGTACAACAACACTTTCAATCTCTCCATCGAGCATTTTCCCGATCCAACTGTTCATTAAACTCAGTTCAATCTCATCAAACTGCGTCTGTGTCTGTGTCTTGTCTTGTCTTATGGTTTGTAGATTCTTATTGTTGCCCACCAATACCACCAGTGGGATTATTAACCGTTGTAACATGGTTCTATTTTCTGATGGGTTTTCTCTCATTAATTCCTTGAAAAAATACCGGAAATATTGACAGATTAAAACTTTGGGACTCTTCTCAATTTGGTTATCTTGCATGAAGTTAACAAGGTTTAATATTGAATTATTTAACAGTACCAATGAATCGTATTGTTCCGTAAGTAAACTATTTTTCGATTCAAGTTTATGGAAAACCTTGTTAACAATTTTATTAAGTTCTGGTTTTAAAGTTTTCTTCAAATTTTCTTGCTTTGTATCTATTCTTGAAAGAGAGTTATAATGAAGTGCTGGAGATTCTTGTTTGGCATCAAGCTTTTCAGGAAGTTGTGGGGATGATGAAGACGTTGTTGAGGATGGTATCGATGTACCTGTACTGGAAGACGTCCCCACACCGCCACTAGCAGCTTCCTCAGACCCTTCCCTTGAATCACTTTCTCCGTCATAGATCAGACTCAAATCAAATTTAATGGTTTTCGATTCCTCATTTGATTGTCCTAACCATTTATTTTGATTTTTTTTCATTTCCGTCGGTACATAAAAATTTTGTATCTTTGCCACATGATGTTCTTGATCCCATAATTGTTTGTTTGTGATAAGTTTATTTAACTCCTTTTTCTGAATCTCTTTATTTGATGAATGTTGTGTAATAAATTTATGCTTTAATAGTTTTGATGCTGATGAACGTTCCTTTGGATCTACAATGAAACATTGATGTAAAAAATCCTTGAATGTGGAAGATATTCCTACCATTTCATCCAATCCGATTAATCCAACAAAATCTTGATCATCATGACACTTGGATATTTGACGAAGTGCCTTCATTGGAGGATATTGGTTTTGCAATGGGGGTTTCCCCGTGAATAGTTCATAAGCACAACATCCCAATGACCAAATATCTGCCTTATAACTATGACCACCGTTATTGTTTAAAATAACTTCTGGGGCCATCCAATATGGAGTCCCAACCGTGGTGTTTCTTCTTGAAAAATTGGATGATAATTGTGTTGATACTCCAAAATCAGTTAATTTCACTTCTCCATTACGATTAAGTAAGATATTTTGTGATTTTAAATCTCTATGGATCTTCCCCTGATTATGTAAATATAATAGAGCGATCAATATTTCATTTACAATTGTCAGAATGGTTCCCTCATTGGTTACTGCTCCTGGTATAAGTAATTCAAATAAACTACCCCCATTAACGTATTCCATTATTACCCACAACTTGTATTGTTTCACAAAGCATCCCATGAATCTGGTGATTTGAGGGATTCGACATTCAGATATAATCTGGATTTCTTTATTAACTTCAATTAAATCTGCTTGTTCACTTTCAAGATCAATCTGTTTAATGGCAACTTCTTCTGAAGTAGCTTTGATCAACCCTCGGTATACAACACCAAATGCACCCCTACCCACTTCTTCGCATACTTCAAGCTCTTCGGCTGAATTTATGCGCATCATCTATAAATGAGATGCTTCTTTGTACTAGCTGGTCGTATACTAATACAGCAAAGAAGTATGATTATAGTAAATATATGATAAAATTCTTGGGGAAGGATTTGGATTGCTTTAATAAAAAATAAAAATAAAAAAAAATTAACTATTATTAGTGACAACGGTAATTCCTGAATGCCCTTTTTACATATATACACCATTTAGTATACGTCAGAATGACCGAACCTGCATTATATTCGTTCCATTATTTCCTATAGTAGTTTACAGATCACACGTCTCATCCTTTAGATTTGTACGAATAAGGAAATGTAAACAAACAGTATGCAGGCCAGGCAGTACAAAGCATGAGAAAAGTGGCTATTAATTGGAAACATTCTATAGGCAGTAGTTCTGGAAGTTCTTATACATTAACGATGTATACATGCAGTAGAGCTGTTAGAAAATATTAACTTTTTGTAGATTGTTGTAGATGAATGAAGAATGGTTTACTATTGTGCTGGTGTATATCATATATTATTTTTTGTGGTAACATCGCGAAATTGAAGTGTATTGGTAAGTAACACTCTATACACTCGAATCAGTGGAGAAAAAAAGTGGTTGGTGGGTAAATTTAAAATTGTGGTCATTCAAAATTCAACTGGCCATCATGTTCATGGATAAAATTCCAGGGAATGTTAACCTGATAGCATAACGAAGGATGTAGAGAAAAGTATCCAAAATAGTTCTGGGCTGTTTTAAATTAAATCACTTAAAGTATCATGTTTTATCATTTATTTCTTCTGAAAAGTAGAGTGAAATTAAGAAAGAAAAAAACTGTATTATAATAGTACTACTCTCCACTTATCTAGCTTCATATACTGTTTGATCCGACACCTCAGTTGGTGCCTAAACCCGTTCTTTAGATCATGGAAGGTATGTGCAGTCCGATATGATTTTATGTCTCTTTTTCAAATTTTCTTGATTTAGTTCTTTTTTTAGCTGTCATTAATTTTGCCATTTGGATCGTCCTCTTCACTCAACCATGTGGCGACAAGTCCGAAATTCTCAGAGGATATGTAGAACATTTCTAAACTTAGAGAAACGACAATACTCCGGGAAAGGGGCGGGAGGTGATTCATTCCATGATCTCTTTCTAACTAAAAGTCTCGCAAGTAATAATAAACTGACTGATAGTTACCCAATTCGTTGCACAATTTTCGATGGGACTGGGAAAATGATAGCGCATGGGAAAGATTTTACAAGACTGGAGTTCATCAAAGCACATGACTTAATCCCTAGAGATTTCCGGAAACTTAATCGGTATCATCATGGAGTGGCTGCTGGTACAGGCACTTCTGTGGATATGGTACCCTCGATTCTCACCCGTGCGAATTCAGTACTACTTAATATATCAAACGTTCGTAGTTTGATTAAATCAGATACAGTTGTGATATTCGATGAGGGAAGCTCAGGTATCAATGAATCGCATTCACATGGAACTTTCCTAAAAGATATGCAAAAAAGATTACAAGAAGAACATTCAGAACATGAAATGTTACCATATGAATTCCGGGCATTAGAATGTATTCTCGTGCACGTGACCTCCAACTTGACTACTGAGATGAAAGTACATCAAACTGTACTTCAAAATATATTATTGGGGTTAGAAAGTTCAATTGAAAGAGTAAAACTTCGATATTTATTGATTCAATCTAAAAAGATCACTCAATTCCATCAAAAGGCAAAACTTATTAGAGATTTATTGGACGATTTACTTGAACAAGATGACGAATTGAATGAACTTTATCTCACGGCAAAAGCTCAGGGTAATCCAAGATTTGGTACAAATCATGCTGAAGTTGAAATGTTGATTGAATCTTATTATAAAACTGCAGATGAAATAGTTCAAACTGTAGAAAACTTACTTTCACAAATTAAAACTACCGAAGAAATTATTAATATTGTGTTAGATTCAAATAGAAATGAACTCATGTTGTTAGGACTAAAATTTTCAGTGGGTCTCTTGTCCATGGGGACCATTCTTTGGGTTGCAGCTCTTTACGGTATGAATTTAGAAAATTTCATTGAGGAAAAAGATGGAGGCTTTGAAGTTGTTGTGACTGCTGGTTGTATCATGTTTGGATTTCTTTTACTATACAGCGTCAAAAGACTAGCCAGATTACAAAGGATCACCATGACTGGCGTGGTGAAGCATGACCGTAGATGATGGTCTATAACATAATTATTTATTTTCTAATACTATAAATAGTAATATTTCTATTATTATATCTGATTCTATTCAAACTCAACGTTTATGGAGGGAGTCAAATACGTATTACTTGAGCTTCTCTCTCTGGTAACATCCAAAGAATTCTTGGGTGTATGACTAGGTGAAGTGGAAGGAGATGGATTTGGTGTAGCTCTCGTACGGAATGGTCTCAAGGTAAAATTCTCTTGACCTGGCTTTGGGCTTTTTGGTATCACAAGTTTAGCCTCTTTTGCTATTAACAATTCTGGTTTCACGGGGAGTTTCTTCTCCTTTTCTCTCTTATTACGATACTTTAACTCGTTTTCAACCAAATTGCTAAATATCTTTGATCTAACCTTAATATTGAGCAAATCAGAAAGAATTAGAATGTATTTCTCCAATGGAGGTTTGAAACCAGTAGAGTTCTTAACGGCAGATGGTCTCATGAGGAGGTGAACAAAGGGAATTGATCCAATAGCTTCCATAGAATTGAGTCCTCTGGAGACTTCGACTATTCTATTTTGTCGTTCCTCAACTTCATTTACATTCATTTCAAGATTATCAGAAGTTCCATAACTTGTGATCACTGACAATGAAAATACCTTGCAAATATGTTCAATGATATACAAAAGCGTACTGACATTGCTGCGGGGGATTGTAGCAAGTGAAGAAACTAGTTTATCGTGTCTGAGTTCAACATCAAGTGAATTATTGTTTTGAGAATTATAAGTTGTGTAGTTGGAGATAACCGCATCAAATGAAGTGAATGGGATAACAGAATCTCCAATTTCCAATAACCAATACTTAACAAAGTTCACTTGTTCAGCCACCGGACGGCTTGATGCATAAAAGAGAATCTTGGAAATGATATCTCTATGTATAGATTCTTCATTGGCAGGAATGTTCTCATCTGAGTCTCTTTGTTCGAAAGAACTAATTATTGATATTATTTCTTGTTTGAATGACCAATACGCCTCTGCATTCATAGAAGATTTCCATGCCAAGGTCAATTCTTCCTCGTTACATTGGTCAATCTTTTCAATCATACCATATAAGAATTCGGGTATACTGGCTAAACTCAAGATTTCATTTCCACCGTGTAAGGGTTGTAAGGGGAAATCCTTATATAAATTAAACTTAAGTTTAACATTTTGGAAATTTGAATTGGTTTGCGCCGAGCTATAATGCAGTTTAGCCAAATTATCAGGTGAAAGAATCGATGGAAAGTAAATCCCGGTACTAAATTGCTGCACTAATTTGGTAAAATCCTCTTGATAATGCTCTTCCTTATTGATATTATTTATCATTTCAGTAGCAAACAAATGAAGACGATTTGTTGAATTTAAGGAATAATTGTACATAATCTCCAGTAATTTGGTTAAACTTTTGTAAATGAGTTCAATCTTTTGACGTTCAAACTTTTCAAGTTGTTGGGACTTTTTAATAAGTTCAGTGTCCAACGTGTATCTAAGATAATGAAGATGAACATACATATCATTATATTTTGTTTCAAGATCTTCAAGAATTTGAGGGAAATTTGTCTTGAGGATCGAAGTTTTGACGCTGGATATCATATTATTAAGTGTGAATATCGGTGGTGTTATATGTGACAGAGTTCCAATGTCAGTCAGTGTAGATTCCTCGGGTTGTTCTTTTCCCTGAACTTCTTCAACACCTTCAGTTGATACATTATGCTCCTCACTTGCATAAATTGCTAAATCAGTCCATTCAAACCACATTCCTTCACTTTTGAACTTTTTAGATCCTAAAAACCCCATTCCTACAATCAACTTTAAATCAATGAAAGCTTGTCCAATTCTTTCGAGATTAGCTCTAGTAGGACTAATACGATGTGGACGGTTATGGGTGAGCCATTCAAGAAGTTGTTCCCCTGAAAAGGTCTCATTTCGATATCCTGGTATAGGGATCTTACGTTTAACGGTTGAGATCTCGGCAATCATCTGTTTGAGTAACGATTCCAAATCTTCACGAGTAGGGAGTTTGATAATTCCTATCATCATGGGGAAGATGAAATGAGAAGTTAGGGCAACAACAGATGTGCCATTAGCATGTGCTGTAGAGTTTGATGATGATACAGGGTTAATTGTAGAGCTGGTAGATCTGCTTATTGGGGTGATTTCTTTAGATTCCTCTTCTATTATGGTATTCCCTTCCACTTCTCGATCGCTCACTTGAGTCATTTCCTGTAAACGTAAATTCTCTTCAAAGGCTTTCTTTATAGTTTCAATTTCTTTGTAACAGCGTTCATATTCTTCCAACAAATCACTAAATTGATCCACTGTATCCCTGACAAATGGCTCTTGAATTTTCAAAAACGATGTGATCGGTTCTAATACCTGGTTATCTATAACCGAACTGAGAGTGGCAAGTGTATGTGATTCTTGAGATATGTTTTCAATGTGTAATTTAAAGGGTGTAGATGAATTGACATTCAGTTGCGGTTTGACGTGCTTTGGGCTCAAGTCCAACCTAGTAGCCTCTTTGAACTGATCACTTAACCGTTTAAGAGTCGACTTCAGGGCAGTAGTTGCCAGTGGGATTTCCAACTTATCAACATGGTGAGAATCTTTCCCCAATCGATTCAAATACTCGCTATTAGAATAATAGTAGCTCATATAACTAAACACCAATTTACGTAGTTCATGTAGTTGCTGGATCGATTGAAGAGACTGCTCAGAGAGTTTGTCTATCCCGGTACGGCTATCCACCGACCAGTAGTTATTCGCAAACGACATTGTTCTATCGGTTTGAGGAAGAAAGAAAAAGGTACAACTTCTTAAAAGCGTCATTTAGGAATTTTTGAGATCTAAATATACAAACACGAAAATCAAAACAAAAATATTTAATATTAAGTTTGATCTACTCCACACACACAGCCCCTCACTAGGTTCCATGGATATTGTCGAGATCAAGAAATATATCGAAGAGTCTCTAGAAGACGTCCATTCGCTTGAAAGGGATGTCGGGAGACTCGAAGATGAGAAAATAGCGCTAATGGAACAGATTAGGTTATTAGAAGAGGAGAACTATTCCGAGGCTATCGCCATTGACACTACCCCAACAAACACTACTGATATAGAATCAACAAGAGCAACCAATGAGAATTCTGGAAATAATAAAAAGAAAAATGGTGATACACCACTTTTACAACACAAGTATTTTGATGATTCGCTTTTAGAATTCTTTGGCTCTAATCAGTCTGATGCAATTGACAAGAACCAAAACAAAGATGGTGACGTAGATTGTGAGAATGGGGAAAGATCTAGAAAACGACGCAGAACGATAATCCCTGAAGGAATCCACAACCTGGCGTTGTATGAAAATATCTACCGATTTGGAGGTATAACGGCATTCCCTATAAATAAATATTTGTTTGATGAAAATGAAGAGATTCTAGGTTTACGATTTGATGTGTTTACATTTCAGAAGTTCCATACACCGCATTACGTGATATTACGAAAGGAACCTTCAAAGGATCATGATAAATGGAGAGTGTTCAAGCATACACTCCCGGTGTACGTTCCGATACGGCAGTATGAAGCCCAATTGGATGACAATGATGTCACAATTGCTGCATTTGCAAAGTCCATTAGGACCTTTCTTGTTCTTATACAATACAAACATGACAAGTTCAACCTGGTGAATAAACTAGGGTTCAAAGTGATTCCGGACTTGCAATGTGAGCGAGTCATTGTAGAAAAGGCTCTGAAACGAATGGAACTTATTTGCTCCAACGACCGAATAGATGAGGTGCACATAACTCTGCAACTTTCAAAAGAACTAAAATTATACTATGAAAGCATGTTGAGAAATTGTCCTATTAAGGACTTGGTCAAGACATTCAGGAAAATTTCCAAAACGTAATCAAATACCTGACCATTTCCACGTAGACATTCATACCGGCCAGGTGGGTCATGTGAACTATTAAATAGAACTCATTTAATAATGTATAATTATCTGCTGTTGAACAAAGTAGACCAATTTCAACTACAAACGCAACACGCTTATTCTAAACATATATTAACTATAAACACAAACAAACAAAATCAATCATAAAAAATAGAAAACAAATCAATTAAAATGCTTTTCTTTATCTCTCCTTTTTGTAATTAAAAGGCGTTTCCAAATCCAGCACCGGTTGGTTGGTATCCCATAGCCCCGTTAGTGATCATCAAAGGCTGGCCAGCAACTGGTGTGTCTTCATCCTTCTTTTCTTCTTCTTTGCGCTTTTGCAAGTCGCCGTAAACTTCATTAAGTTTCTTTTGGTTTTCATAGGCAATAGAAATCTCATATGGCTTGATGAAGTTACCCAAGTCGTGTAACCAGGACAATTCCAAAACGTAGTCGTATTCAATGGTTTCGTAACAACTGTACAACATAGCAACAAAACATTCACGGTTACCAGTTTCAACAAAGTAGTCCAATAATTCATGAGAAATCTTAGTCGACTTGGAAACTGCAGCAGTCTTGATTAAGTCAGCCCATAACTTATCATTTTTCAAGATTGAAATAGCCTTAGTGTACTTCTTGTTCTTACTGTACAAAGTGGCGGAGATCAGTCTAAAGAAAATAATGTCATGGTTTTCCAAACGTTCAGCCAAATCCAAAGAGTTAAATCTGTTGTTGGATTCGTTTTCGATAGAAGATTTCAAAGATTTGTAATCTTCTTCTTCAATCAATAAATCATGGTAAGCACCGTTAACTACAGAATTGTTCTTGTCCAAAACAGAGATAAGGAATGGCTTAATTAATGGAAGGTTATCAGACTTGACAAACATTCTAACCACACGTGGCAAGTCCAATTTAGGACTCAAAACGCTCAACAAGTCAACTAACAAAGATGGATTTTCCGCAAGGTAGAAGTTAATAGCCTTGTAGTAAATTTCCAAGTTTGGAACCTTGACAATAATTTCCTTGAAAGAAGAGTGTTCAAAGGCAACTTCAGACTTTTCAATCATAGTCAAAGCAGCATTGTCCCATTCTTCGTAGTGACAGTACAAGAAAATCAATTCGGGGTAAAGGTGAGCACTTTCACAAGCAGTCAAGACCTTTGGAATGTTAATTCTACTCCAGAACAACTTCAAGTGTTCCATAACCTTATCTGGGCTATACTTGGAGTACAAGATGGCCAACTCAGTGAACATACCCATGTGAGCTCTTTCCAAACCCAAACCACTCTCAAAGAGAGCAATCAATTCGGTAAAGTAACCATTGTATTCATAAGTAGAAACCAATTCTGGGAGTTCTTCGGCATCAATAATCAAATTCAAACCACAAATTTGAGCCAATCTGAATTCCTTGTTTTCGATACAGGCAGCGTTAACTTGCTTCCAAACATTAGTGTTGGAGGCCTTACGGGCACAATCGACAGCACCTTGGTAATCCTTAAGGTAAACTAAAGTGGTAGCCAACTTGGAGTATTTAGAAACGTTGGAGTACAAAATCTTGGCAGCCTTGTAGTTCTTAGCTTCAAAGAGCTTGTCACCAATAGCTTCAAGGTCAGCAACATTAGATCCACCAACAAACTTTTCAATGTCGTTCAATCTATCCAAGGAAGCGTAACAGTTGATAAGAGAACCGTCAATCAATGGTTCTCTCAAGGATTCTCTGGCCATATCAAGGAAGGCAACAAGTTCTTCTTCCTTTCCACCACGTTCGGCAATTTCAATGACTTGTTCGAAATTATCAGGCTTCTTAGATTTAACGTAAGAGTCAATAGCTTCTGGAATACGTAACCCGTTCAATTGGGCAGTACCTAATTGGTACCACAATTCTGGGTCCTCGTGCTTAGAAGCATATTGTTCACCTCTGTCTAAGGACATGATATCTTCAACCAAAACCTTCATAGCATCGTTACGTAATTCAAACTTGTCGTAAATCTCGAATGCTTCTTCGTACAATTGGTTTTCAATACACAATGGTGCAATTTCTTCAGGATCGAACTTGTCCAACTTCTCGATATAGTTCATAACACGAGAACTGTCGGCCTTGATGGCAGTCAAAATCAACAAACCTTGAAGAGAAGTGTTGTCGTTAAATGGAGATGGTTCCAAGATAATCTTTTCGAGAAGTTCGATCAATTCTTGTGGAAGATCATTCTCCATGAATGCCTTCACAGTAATAGAAATTGGTTCTGGGTCACTCAATTCTGGAATACCAGTAGAGATAACTTGATCAACCAATTGTCTTCTGTGAGTATTTTCAGACGACAAAACTTGTCCCCAAAGGTCAAAGTCGGACTTTTGAAGCAAGTATCTGGCTTGGTACTTGTACATCTTGTTTTCATTGGTGATGTTAATCAATTCGGCATCATTGCCACCCTTGGAGTAACAAATGTAAGCCAAGTATGGGTCTCTCTTTTCACAGTACTTACCAACGGCCAAAGTGTCATAGACATCATTTTCTTGAAGGAACTTTTCTGGAGAGTTGTTAGAGTCGATGTAAATCTTAGCCAAAGTGTTGTAAACTTCTTGATCATTCAGACCACCTTGAAGGGTCTTTTCGAGGAATGGCAATAAGATCTTGAGTCTGTTTCTCTTTTCAACTTCAGCAACCAAATCCTTGACTGGAACTCTACCCAAGACTGATTCAAGTAATCCCTTGATAATGCTTTCGTCACAGTCAACATCCAATAAACCTGCAATAACTTGTGGAGTGTTAGCTGGGTTGACTTGTTGAACGTAAACTTCAATAAACTTGAAGAATTGGTTCTTGTACAAGTACAAGATCAAATCGTGAACAAAGTTGAAACGGTCACAAACAATGATCAATGGGAGTTGATCTTCAAGTTTGGCTTCCTTCAAGAAATTCTTAACCTTTTCACCATTATAAACATTGTTATCACGGACAACTCTTTCAATTTCCTTGGTTTGGTTCATCTTGGCAGCAGCTTCAATGTATTTGAATACAACGTCTGGTTCTTGAGTCAAGTTGACAATAGAAGATAAATAATAGTATTCACCTTCAACACACTTGTAATCTTCAAAAATCTTAATCAAGGTCAATGGACCGATCAAGTCAGAATATTTGGTAGCAACTTGAATAACAACTTGCAAGTTTTGTTGCATGTTTTGAGTAAGCAATTCCTTCAAGCATGCAACAGATTGTTGGACATTTAATTGACCAAAGTAAGCGACCAACCAGTCATTTGGTAAAACATTGGTGTGAACAATAACTCTCTTGATATCCTTGAGGTCGTCATAATGCTCCAAAGCTCTTTGGAAAAGACCTGACTTTTCACAAAGCTTTCCAATAGTTGGCTTGTCGTAATGGCTGAACATTTGGTTACCTAAAATAGCATCAGCAACTTGTGGTGCATGTAACAAATTGGTTTCTAAAACCTTGGTTTGTAAATGACCATCAGCTGGAGAATCATCCTTCAATGCATCCAAAAGGAAGGCGGTACCTTGTTGAATGTAATTTTGACTAAAGAATAAATCGGCAATGCCTTCAACATTCAAGTTGGAAGAATCACTGGCCAACAATGAAGTGGCGAACTCACTAGCCTTGTCTGGATTCACTCTGACCAAGTTTTGAATCAAATTGGTGAAGTCTGGTTGATAACCAACCTTTTCGCAGTATGGCAAAATCTTGTCAAATTGACCTAATTCAGCTAAACAAGAAACAACCTTGATGTTAACATTGGCACGAATGTAAACAGCCAAAGCTAAGGCTGGGTCGTTGTAAGACTTGACAATATCACCCAACTCTTCGGAAGAGGTTAATTTATCATCCTTCAACCACTTTTCAAAGAGAGGTTTACGATCTTGTTGAAGAACTGGTTTGGCCAATTCAATCGATTCATACTTGTTCAAAGTACCACGGTCAAGCAAGGTGGAAAAGTATTGAAGAATAGGAGAGATCTGACCTGGTTGAGGGGTGATGTGCTTCAACTTGTTGATAGTGTCCTGGGTACGTAATTGTTCCAGCAGAGCAGCAATCTTGGCAGCATTGAGGTAATCACCTTGGTTCAAGTAGTTTTGGAATTGTTGAGAGAACAAGTTTTCGGCACCTGGGAAACCACCACGAGCACTGAGGGATAATGCTAATGGAACATTGGATAATTTTTCCAAAACATATGGAATGATCTTATCTTTGGCAACCTCAACACTCAACACTTGACCGGACTTGTTGATAGTGATGATACCAGTACCATTGTTGTAGGCAGCGGCGGTGAAAACAGGGTCTGCTGTAATTCTATTCACAAACAAGTTGGCACCACTTTCCATATCGTACAAGTGGATGAAACCATACTTGGTAAGGATATAAATGATCCCATACTTGTCGGAAGCTTGAAGAGAGATTGGGAAATCATTGGTGGCATCTGGTGGGAAGAAAATGTCAACAGTCTTCTTAGGGAAAGATGGGTTTCCATCCACATGGTCAATCTCGATAATGTGCAAGTTACCTTGGCCCTGAGCGTTCTTGTTACCAACACAAAACACCTTGGTTGGGTGTGGGGCACCTTCAAGCTTGATGGAACCAAACTTACATACGTGACCTTCAATGGCTTGTGAAACGTTACGTGCCTTGGAGAAGAGTTGAACGTGACCTGCGATTCTTCCATCTTCTTGTGCAATGCCGGTGACAGCAAACCAGTTGAGATCTGGTTCCGCAACAAAGTTTATGATTTGAGCGTTCAGAAGGGTGTGATGACGGTCGGCCAACTTGGTTGGGCCTGCGTTGGAGCCATCAAAGATCGACCATGTGAAAATGGCAGATCCAGTAACCAACCCCAAGACGTCAGAAGTCAACCACTTCCAAAACACCACCGGTTCGTCCATGGTGAAAGACTTAAGACGTTGTTTGGAACCCAAGTTGAAGATTTGGATGGTGGTACCATTGGCACGGAGCGAGATGACAAACTGGTCAAGATGCATGATGGCCGAGTCTGCACTCATGTTCTTACGGGTGACGTTGTTGTTGTCATGGAGATCAATGATTGCCACGGTGTTCCCCTGGGCTCCACTTTCACGTACACAGACGTAGTGGTCGGATTCTAAGGTGGTCGATCTGAAGTCCAAGGATGACGCCTGAATGCCCAACGACGAGAGTTGGGCCAATTCTGTGAAATCGATAGGAATGTCAGACATATTGTCAGTTAGATGCTGAGGGTCGATTCAAATATAGATAGATAATATACGTCGGCGGTATATTAGTTGCGTCTACTGATTCAATTGCGCCTCCTCTAGTTCAATTGCTGGCGGCTCGGAGGGTATATGTTACTGCTAGCACGTAATTGACAGCTAAAACGGGCGGTGTGATTGGGGTAGTAGATACGGTTAGCCGATATAGGGGCGTTGAAGTGTTGTGTTTTGGTGCACACAACGATCGGCATTTTTCGAGTGCGTTGGTTTTGGATTTTTGGTTACGTCCACGCTGTTAACACCTGCACACCCCGCGTAGAAAAGGGTATGACGCAGGATCCAGATTTATTAATAGGCGGAGCTATATACTGGGTACAGCTTTAAACAAGTGAAGTTTGGTACATGGAGTGGTATTGATTCTTTTAAATGACCGGTCTTCACCCTTCTACCTTGCTCTTTCGTAAAGAATTTTTACGTTTAGTCAAGTCTATATTGAAACACTAAATCTATATTGAGAGAGGGGGGTGTTTGGTGTGCATATAGCAATGGTTCTGGATAATCCGGAGAAATGGTTGCGACGTAGACCAGTGCAACCAATCAAACCAATTAGGGGTTATTAGTCTCTAGTGAATATACAATAGAAAGAAATCTAATTAGATTATGGCTACGTATAGTCTGTTCTTTTTTTTTTATCTGTCATGCAAGTTTATATATTCCTTGAATCTAATTGTAGAGAGTAATTGCCACCGGGGCAAATCTATACCTCCTCTCTATTCTAAATTGGAGGACGTACCTTCTTCAATACATCCTCAACTACACTATTATACATTTTTCTATCCTGTCTCTCACATTCATCAATGTACTTTTTGATATAGGTCCAATCACTCCCAAACCAGTCCCCGGAGAGCAGGCCAAATTCAAGCAGTTCACGAAACTCTCGTTGAGAGTACAGTTCTCCTGTAATCTCAGTAAATTGCCCGCCAATCTTTTGCCAATTAACTAACCAATAGGCAACTTTTCTCATGGCAACTTTACATATATCAGGAGTAATGTAAAGTTTAGATTTTTCATTGTTTCGATTCTCCCATTTCACCAAGGCCTCAGCAAGAAGATTGATATTACTGATGGCCATTGTTGGTAGACGACTTTGCATGGGGGCTATCAGACAAAGGCGATGATTTCTGGCATGGATCACAAGAGAATATATATACCGTTCAATTTCTGGTGACATGTACACACTCTTTGATCTGAGGCGTAAGATACTTGAGATGTAATCATCAGTATCATCTAGACTAATAGAATTCTCTCTAGATTCATCTGAATTATATTTATTGGGCACATACTGACAGAACCAAAACTTTAACCTTAGTGGTTGTATAACGTTACAAGGGGTTTCTATTACAAGAATAACGGAAAAGATCAGACTCGTGGAAAACATAATCCCATGAGCATTATCCAGATGATTGTTGAGTTGTTGTTCGCCGCCAGTAGCCCATCGAGATTCATTTGTATCATATTGATCTAATTCGTTCAATAACCGAATGAGTATTTTTTGCTGGGCAGTAGAGCAATTGTCGGCATTGGTCCAGAACATTATGCTGTGGCCCGATACATTTTCGAAAATATCATTCAAAGACTCGGGATCTTCATCTAATTTAGCCTTAGTATCAACTACAATGGTGGAGATATCATTCGGGGTAAGTAGAGATTCGGATATATTCTCTATGATTTCAGGTCTCGATCGTATTGCTATACGTCTTTCACATATAAGAGATAGCGATAGGGCCGTATGGATTCCATCCATACTCAAAGAATAATGGTGTTAAAAAAAAATGCTATTCTTAAAATAGATAAAAATATACAAAAAAGTACAAAACTCCTACATTAACCCTTCTATGCTAAGTCATACTGAGAATTAGAATTTTATTAAAGTGCGAAAGGAATAGATACCAAACAGTTAGTATGGGTATGTAAACTGAAAAATATCTCTACTCCCGAATGTGGTAATTTATATACATTGCATAAACGGTCTCTCTTAATAGGGGATCTCTCTCGTTATATTTTCTTCTATCATCATTTACATTCCATTGCTCGATCAGGTAACTATCAATTAATATGCGGAATTACAATGCATTACACGTCTACTTCTACTCGTCATGTATTCAATATCGTCAATCTCATACACGACAGAACTATTTTTATTTGCATTCCCGTTTTTAATATACAAACTAAGAAATTTTTAAAACTTATTCATGTCAACACCAAGACTTTTTCTCTTATCATACCGCTCAAGGTCTTACCCTCTTGGCTCATGTTGCTTTTTTTTTTAATTTTTCCCCTCAACCAATCTTTCTTAACAAGAAGAAAAAAAAAGCTTTCCCACCTCTGTCACGTGCCAACCAAGACACGCACAACACGATTGTTGCATTTTTGAGCCTTACAGGCAATGTTTTTTTTAAATAAACGCTGTTGCAATAAAACACTAATATTTCAATTAGGGTAGGAAGCCCAAAAATACAAATTGGTACGAGGTTTAGATGTTCACAGATTGGCCATCCGGGGAACTACACCTCAAGCCACAAATATCACCTTATCCGCCTACATACATAACTTAGATACTCATAGTCATCCGTAAAATAACCCACATTTCATTTTGACTTCTGCATTAAAGTCGCGAAACGCGATTCTTCACCAAAGAAGACGCCAAAACTGCAATGTAAATAAAATTTATAAACAAGTACGAGAAAAAAAAAAAACATACACACACAGAGTAGTGGACTTTACCAAAACAGTGTTTGACACTAAGAGCAAGTTCAAACCAAAATAAACTTTTTCTTTCTGTAAGAGCTTTGGAACTTCATTCTAGTGAATCTGATATATCGGCAGAATAGTATCTGTGTGTGTCCCCATTCTTGTTCTCCAGACAGTTTTAGTGTTCAACTTAATCCGCTCTTTGCTCGTACCCACTGTCCAATCACCTGCACCGACACACTAGCTACCCTCCCTCATGTCTCGTCTCGACTCGTTACCGAAGTACTTCAGGACCGAGCCTTCACCAAATGTCCTTGAGTCTGCATTCCCTCCATTCAAAACTGAACATCGTTATCGTGGAGTTTATGAAAGAGCCGGCTTTGATGTTAATTTGAATGGTTATGCCAAGAATAAGAGCAGTCCTAGTGATAGTACTTCCTCCTTCAAGCAAAGATACCCTTCGCCTCCAAAGTCTAACTCGGTGTCGCCAACCTCTCAACAACATTCAATCCATCATCAGTATCCTCAACAATCTTCAAGAAGAGGACAATATCTGTCGACTTCACTGGAGTCACTGGCAGAAAGAGAAAGACAAAGATCACAAACCATGAGATCCCATGCCCTGTCTTCTCAGTCCAGCGTTCCTAAATCGTACAATATGGACATGAAGAATGGGAACAACTATTACCATACAAATAATAGTAACGGCAGCAACATTATGAACACATACCCTAATGCAAACAACCGTTCAGGTTCTCTCACCGGTTCTGCTTCGGTCACTGGCTCTGGTTCCCAGAGATCAAACGGAAGTAACAACAGTCAAGGAAATAGATTCAACCCTGCCAATCAAAACGCTTATCCTGAAACTTTGCAACAAGAGCCGGAACCTGAACTTGATAGAGGTAGTTTTGATTTTTCTCCTCAAACTAATGCTTCCAAAAATTTTAAGAATTTATCGATCAAAACCTCTTGTAGAGACGATATCGACACTAAGAGTTTAAAGCTTGGTGGTGGTGAACAAAACCGTATGGAATACCCTTCGATTGATGAGCAACAGTACAATGGAAATGTTAACACGGAACTTAGAGATATCTCATCAACTGAAGCGCCAACTGAAGCACCAACTGCTGCACCAGCCCCATATCAACCAAAGAGTAAATATCAACCAAAGAGTAGATATGCTCCAAGCAAACCAAATTCTACCAACCAATATTACCATGGGTATAACGATGATACTAGTAATCCTAGCTTCTCTGCTCATGATCAACAGGCTGACCAATCTGTTGACTCCACATTTGACTCTTCTAACAAGACTGGCCTTGGACTTTCCCTTACTCCATCGCAAACTCAAACCACACTTTCAAGCATTGGTACTGACGAACTTAATCAATCACAAGCTCCAATTGCAATCGATATGGATGCCGCTGGTGTGAACTATAATGCTCCTATTGACCCTCCTTATCCGGTATCAAGATTGAACAGTGTCAAAGGACAAGGGGAACTTGAAAGGGATGACAGTTTCATCCGTAAGAAGAGACTTTCCTCTGCATTGGATGATTTCAAACGCGATATTGAAGATGTCAAGAAGAATACTCCTCAATTGCAACAAAGAGAAGCGTTTAGCCCTGAAGGACAAACTGAATATCAGAAGTTTCTTTCCTTGGGCGATAGTACTGGAAAGCAATACCCAAGACATAGTCAATTGTCGATGGTTAGTTCAATTCTTTCCAAGGGATCCTTGAATGATGAGGATGCTGAAATAGAGAAGGAATTGGAAAGGCAACTCCAAAGCTTGAAGACTGGAGAGGATAGTAAATTGAAGGAAGCTGCTGTTGTTGTGCCAGAAGCTGTTCCTGAAATTCCTACATTCAACATTCAACAAGAGGGTGAATACGTTCAAGACGAAGAAAAGAAATTCCACGAGCTTGATCAGCAAAGTGATCATCGTTATTCAATGGAAGAATCTACACCCCCACTTTCATTTATTAAGGGTCAAGAAAAAGAAAAAGAGGAAGAAATTCCACAACAACAAGAGCAAATTCCAATCCAACATGCAACCAGTCAGCCAACATTTGAAGTTACTGCTCCACAGTCACCTATTTTAGATCAATCCCGTGAAATCGAATCTCCAGAGAATCAATTACATTTGGATGAATCACCTTTGGCCCCATTGAATGTCAATCATTCAGTATTGCACCAATCTCCAGGTATCGAACCATTAAACCCACATACTCATAATATTGGGGAAGAATTAAAGGAGATTAACTTCCCAGTAGAAATTCCATCCCAACCGATTACAACCGAAGAAGAAATCTTCCCCCCAGGAGAAGGGCCATGTAGATCTTGCCATAAACCAATTTTGCCTAATAGCACAGGATCTAATAGGGCTATCTTCTCAAAGACTGGTGAACTTTCTGGGCAATGGCATCGTGCATGCTTCCTTTGTAGTAAGGAAGGATGTGACGTGAAATTCCAGAAGGGTATCCAATGCTATGAACTTAACGACAAGCCATACTGTCATGGCTGTTACCATGAGCTTAATGGTAGTCTCTGTGGAAGCTGTTTCCAAGGTATTGAAGGTGAATGTATCGAAAACGAATTACAACAGAAATGGCACTTGGAATGTTTGTGCTGTCACCAATGCCAAAGTGGAATCACAGAAGATTATTATTTAGTCAATGGTAAGGTATTCTGTGAAGAGGATGCATTAGATCGTATTCGCCAGCAGCAAAGCAGTCGTAGCACAAGTCGTGCTGATAAGATTGAAAAAAGACGCACAAGATTGTTATTCTTAGATTAAAGTCCCACGTTATGTGCATGTAATATAGTAGAAGAGTCTCGGTTGTATCATAGGTCCGAATTATAGAAAGAGAAAAATATACCCATTATAATTACAAATTGTAGCAGAGTGCACCTCATTATAGTGTGTGTGCATGTGTAGTATTTGAATATTCTAGCTATATCCTCTAAAAATTGTCCCGAAAAAATGTCAACTAATATATGAATCCTAATTATCTCTAAATCCCTTTGTGTTCGTCTTTACCTTATGGCTATCAAGCTCTGGGAGCCCTTCTTCGACTTCGTAGTTATTTCTTGGTGTGGTATCTGTGTCACGTTGTTCATCTTCGTTTTCCTCTTCATCCTCGTCATCTATTACGAAATTATCAGCATCAAAGTCTGTAGAATCAAGTTCAACATTCGATACGGTATCTTCATCAAAATTCCCAAAGATCATAGCATCGTAGTCCCCATCATCAGCATTTTGACGTTGGTGATAAGTATCTAATTTCTGCTGCATCTTGTTATATATAAGATAAGTTGTAGTTGCCGAGGCTGCCGCAGTGATCAAGATAGATATCACATCTACCACTTTTGTAGCAGTTGTCTTTTCTTCGTCTCCCAATTCTCTCAACTTGTTACCCACAAATACATGGATAAGCATTTTAGGGGATGTGATCACGGATGCGGCCAAATATCTCCAAGCTGGTAATTCTGGGATAGCAGCTAGGGCACCATTAGATAATGAGTAGGGTAACGGGCACAATCTGAGCAAAATCAATAGTATCATACTTGTATCTTCTTTCAAAATATCAGCAAATGCTCTAAATTTTTCATGAGATTGAACCAACCGAACTGCCTGGTTATGGAGAAAATATCTGTAAACGAGGAATGAGGCGAACAGCCCAGTGATTGAAGCAGTGGCAAGCAATGGCCATCCATATGGGAATCCATATACCATCCCACAGAGCAATGATAAGGGGGAAAATCCCAACAAGGGAGGGAACCCGACGAAAAACACCAATACAAATAGGAGAAGTTTTCCATGAGATAAATGTTGCCAAACATCAGCCATCTTTACCAATTCCTTCACAATCAAGTTGTGGAATATCAAGACTACTAAGGCACCAATTGCACCTAGCACAACAAGGATTTGTAGTAAAATCTTACGTGTTGTGGATTGTTGTTGATACCATTCCGTTGATTGTTCGGAAAGAAGTTGAAGTTGCTCAATTCGAGCGTTTAATTTGTCCTTAAGGGTAGAGGAGGCAGTATTCCCACGAGGCATCCTAGTAGTGGTGAAGGGATCTGAATTGGAAGCCAAGCGAGGCATTGGCTGGATTTATCGTCGCTTTTTTATATCGATGACGAACAGGCTATGCTCTCAAAACTAAATAATACTTCTTTATCAATAACGGATACTGCAGGCGCGAATATGTTAACTTTCCTAAACGCTTATGATTCTGACGAGAATATTCAATGAAATGAGGTTCCTTACAATTGAGCACTTGAACACCCGCCTCATATATTCAAACAGAATCAGTTATGGGTATGGTGTGTTCGATATTGTTGTCAACTTTTCAAACTTTATGTGAGTATCAATGAAAGGAAGAAAAAAAATATAAAAAAGAAGCTCCGATACCGGGAGTCGAACCCGGGTCTGCTCGGTGAAAGCGAACCGTGCTAGCCGTTACACTATATCGGATAATTTCTGAATTTTGTTTTTCGCAGAGTCGCCAGACAATTTGAAACACTAATTTTTGTTGAATTTTTTAAAAAAACGCCGTTTAAACAATGTTCAACTACGTATTATGGTAAGGAGGTGACCCAATGTATCCCGAAGTAAGATTATCAAAGCTCACAGTGTTTAGTTCTTATATATTTTTTTATTATAAGACACATTTTCAATTTCTAATTTGCACTACCTAATTCTTTTTTGAAATTTGAAGTCTAAAAAAGTCTAAATTTTCAAAACTTTTAGTTCAACCAACAATCCGGTCAATTTACTACAGATATTGGTAAATATGTTGGTAAATACAGCTTTCTAATTGGTGTATAATTAGGTAACATGATAATAATAGACAATATTTTACGTCTGATTACGCTTAGCGGATAATAATTATTCTACTTCTTTATTTTAATTGGTCTTTTTTTAAAAAAATTAGAAATATAATACAAGCTAGATAACAGATTTTTTTAGAGACCTGCCACTTGTACTTATCTACTAGTAAAACCACATTTAAAGTACAATGACTAATATGGAGTAGCACCATTGAGTAATCTGGTCGTACATGCAGGTTAAAGTGTGTAGCTTAATTAAAACAATCCTAATCAAACAATACAAATTTACATCAATGGCATAGTTCGAGACAAGCAATAAATGTCATAGATATCCCTCAGATAGTATATCCGGTCAAGACACTTCATATAGATAACAGTATGTTAATCAAACATAACACCACATATCCTTATTTATAAAATTACTAATTTTGATTTGTAATAACGAGCTGATAGTCCTGCAGGAACAGTGCCGTACGTCAAATCTGGCGATCAGATAAAGTACACCAAAATCGCTCGGTGGTGAACTATATAAAATACCCGAGAACCCTAAATCAGAAAAAAAAAAACCCCCAATAGATACATAAAGTTCAGAAAATGGCTTTTTACGGTGGAATTATATCTTATGATGTGCATACGTATTGGAACAATAACAATGAAGAAGAACGCCAATTTGCATTTGAGCTAAGAGAAAAGATTCTTAAAGAATTTGCGTCGGAAATTGAGGCGGGCGACATTCGAGTGCATAAGTTTTGGGATAAACCAATTGGTCCTCATCCAATTAATATGTTTGAAATTGACTTCAAAAGTCCTGAAATATTCGCAAAAGTGGTACCTTTCTATCAGTTGAACCACGGGCCATTGTCAGTTTTAATTCACCCAAGATCTGGTCAAGGTAGTTTGATCGACCATACAAAGTATGCCTTGTGGTTGGGACATAAGGTTCGGTTAGATACTTCTCGATTAGAATAAAACTTAGTGTTTATGTAGGCGAAGAATAAACAATAATAATGAGACAAGAATGTAAAAAAATATTTTTTTTTTTTACGTGAGCGAGGAATGTATGGCTACATCTAGAAGTCAATGATGCCCTTTAAAGAAGCAAATATATATAGACAATGTTAATTTGCATAAAACATGGCCCAACAATTAAACTTTAATATCGTAAATGTCCCGGAATGGGAAGCAAATACGACAACATAAATAACAGATTTACAGATATTGTCTAGTCAAGAGCTTCCCAATACGCAGAAATGAGTTCCAGATGCAATTTTTTGAACTATACTAATATAGAATATTAATCTTTCAACTATGTAAAGGTGCTAGTATTGCCTATACATGAAGTATTGTAATATTTTCGGGTCACTTGCATGATGGAATTAAAGTCCTGAAACGCCAAGTTGCTCTCATTTGGATATTTGCAACCATGTTTTTATTATTAATAAGTACCCACGGGGTCGCCTTTTCAGACAAACAATTGTAGATTTAGAAAGTGATTTTCACCACATAATGAATAGCTTCCTATTTGTAATAGTATTGCTAGAATGTGTACTTGCATGGTCTCCTACCAACTCATATGCCCCTGGAAAGATCGAATGTCCTGCTGACCCAAAACTTATTAGAACGGCACAGGGACTCTGCAATGAAGAACTGACATGGCTCCAAGGTAGAAATGCCGTAACTAAGCAAAATGTCATTGCATTCTTAGAATCTGCAAACATGACAGACTTTAATGCAAAGCAGTTCTTCAGTAATGCAACGAAAGACATTAAAATTGGATTGGCCTTCTCTGGTGGTGGATATCGGGCAATGTTGGCAGGAGCTGGTCAATTAGCTGCCTTGGATAGTAGAACTCAAAATGCAAATTCTGTAGGATTGGGTGGACTTTTACAATCATCGACATACATCTCTGGGCTTTCCGGGGGGAGTTGGTTAGTTGGTACAATCGCCATGAATAATTTTACGTCAGTGGAAACCATTTTGAATGAAGGAGTTATATGGGATTTGACCCATTCCATTGCGAACTATGGAGGTCTAGACTTTATAAGAAATGCGTGGTACATTAATAAAATCTCTTCTGATCTTCGTGATAAATCATTTGCTGGGTATCAGGAGTCTTTGACCGACCCTTGGGGTAGATCTCTTTCTTTCCAGTTTTTCACTAAGTTGAAGGATAAAGGTGCTGCATTGACATGGTCAACTTTGCAAGAAGTGGATGTATTCACAAATCACCAGATGCCTTTTCCCATTATTGTTTCAGATGCTAGAACAGATGGAATCAATATAATTGACGGGAATGCTACCATAGTCGAGTTCAATCCATATGAATTTGGATCTTGGGATCCGTCACTCCATCAATTTTCGAAAGTTAAGTATTTAGGAACTAAAACAGTTAATGGTGAACATGATGGGAATTGTATTGGCGGATATGACAATGCAGGGTTTATTTTAGGTACTTCCTCATCATTATTCAATGAAGTGGTCCTTAAGATAGATATGATACCACTTATTGGGACCCTTCATCAATTAATTCAACAGGTTCTTAGTGGTATTTGGAAAAATGAGTTGGATATTGCCATTTATAAACCAAACCCATTCTATAAAACCAATGTGGGTACTGTTTCAAAGCTTGTAACAGAAGATTCATTGTACCTAGTTGATGGCGGGGAAGATGGTCAAAACGTTCCACTCGCTCCTTTGATCGAACCAGATAGAGAAGTGGATGTAATTTTTGCCTTCGACAACTCTGCGGATACAAATGACCACTGGCCAGATGGATCGTCCTTAGTTGCTACATATAAAAGACAATTTTTGGCTCAGGGTAATGGAACGCATTTCCCTCCAGTACCAGACACAAATTCATTTAGAAACTTAAATTTAACTTCAAGGCCAGCATTCTTTGGATGTGATGCCAAAAACCTTAGTTCGTTGGTAGGTGATAAAGAATCAGTATTTGATGTCCCACTCGTTGTTTATACTGCAAATAGGCCATTTCTGTACCCATCAAATGTTGATACTTTCCAATTATTTTATTCTGAGCTGCAAAAAAGAGGTATGATCAAGAATGGGTTTGAAACTGCCACACGATTGAATGGGACTCTTGATGAAGAATGGAATGCATGTGTTGGTTGTGCCATTATTAGAAGACAACAAGAGAGACAAGGTATAGAACAATCTGACCAATGTAAGGGTTGTTTCGAAAGATATTGTTGGAAAGGAGATACAGATACTGCTAATGCGAACAATTTACAATTTACCCCTACTGGACTTTCAAAGAGAGCCAAACAATGGGACTTCAATTTTGGACCTTTGAAATTTAGTTTTAAGTTTTCAAGTGGTAAGTAAACTTACATATGTGAATATGATTGAAAGGAACGCAATTTTCCTCAAATAATATATTAAAACTTTAAATACCCATATTAAATTATTACACCCATAGTTATTTGTTTATTCTAACTAGTAACTAGCTTTGCCTCTAGGTTCGTATGGAAAGAACACCACCAAGACAGCAGCAAAGAGAAACAATGCACCACTAGTATAGATTGGGGCAGGAGTAGATAAATCTGCGTAAATACCGATGATTGGTGCAAAGATACCAAAGATACGGTTGAATGAAGCAGCCAATCCTACGGCAGTTCCTCTAACCTTTGCAGGGAAAACTTCCGGAGTGTATGCATAAAGAACACCAAACATGATATTAGAAACAAAATTGAATCCACAAACCCAACCCAAGTTTGCATTACTGGTTCTGGCGGTAGTAGAGGCAAACAAAAACACACCAGTTAATACAAGAGAAATGAATAAAACACCCTTACGCCCAATTCTCAGTTCAACGAGAACACCAGCGATAAGGGAACCTGGAATACCCAAGACAGAAACAATCAATGAATTTCTGTAAGTTCTTTGAACACTTGGAGTTTCACCTTCGTAACCACGGAGCTCCAAAAATGTGGGCAAAAAGGCATTATATAATGGGAAGGCCAAACCAATGATACCCCAGGCAAAGATAACCAAACCAGATGAAATGGCAAGTTTTCTTGAGCCAAAACAGTCTTTAATATGACTCAAATTGTACTTTTCGAGCCTTTGTTGAACTAATTGATTACCAGCAAATAACCCACTTTTTCCTTCCTCAACCAGTTTGACCCCATCCAAGTTTTTATCATCAATTTCTTCAAGCTGTTCAACAGTTAAAGTCGAAGTTTTACCATTAATCTTTGCGATTCTGTGAACGATTTCAACAGCTTTGGCGTTATTTCCCTTTGCCAAATAAAACTTTGGAGATTCAAAAACATGAAATAAATATCTAAAGGCAAACATAACCAATGTTAATGCACCCAATGTAAATACAAAGTATCTCCAGCCCCAGTTGTCCTTCTTAAGACAGACTTCAGCAGTGTCTGGGCATGAATAATTTGGGATCAACCCCCAAGAAATCAAATTGGTAACCAATTGACCAATGGCCCACCAGATGGACATAACAGTCAAGATCCATTGTTTGTTGGATGGTAAGGCCTCCAAGAAAATAGCAGAATCTACCGGGAGATTACCACCTACTCCAAAACTCCATAATGCATCAAAAATACCAATGGCTGCAAAATTTGGGGATGAACCAGCAACCAAGGAAAAGATCCCTGTGATGAGAAAGGTCAACACAAAAGCCCACCTTCTACCAATGATATCTGCCAGGAGAGACCAGAAAAGAGCACCACCAAATAACCCCAAATTCTGGGCCAAGGTCAAATAAGGAGCCCTTCCTGGAGGGTAATGTGCCCCGTCAACTTCATTAAGTCTCAGTAAAATCAAACCGGTGGCTACTGGCCACGCATTATCGGTGAACCAACCAAATCCAGCCACAAAAAATAACCCCCATTGGTACTTTCCAAATCCTAATTCATCGATAGCTTCACCTAAAATCCGCGATTTTGCCAAGTACGCTTTTGAAAAATCTCCCTCTTCAAAAAGAGTGTCTTCGTCGGAGACGACTTCTGTCTGGACCTCGACTTTCCCCTTGGTCGGGGACTCTGTAGAGGTTGGGGTTGCTACCACGGACATTGTTAGCAGTGTGAAAGAATAGATATAAGAAATTCAGCAAGTGCTAAATAAATATAATAAAAAATATATTAATAATCGAGTTTGCCTTTGCCTGAAAGATAAAGGTTGCTATGGCAAAATGTAACAATCTAAATTCTCACACAGAAACTAGAAGACGGTGTATGAGAGTCTATGGAAAGATGGGGACAAAGCTTGAAACTGCATTGAAGCGATTTTACTTCTATTTAACTATTTTCATGTGGTGTCCCTTCTCGAAGTTCCTTGTGCATCATTCTACTTCGTTGAATGCACCCTGTCCATTTAGATTCATGTGCGAACGATCGCATGAAATGACGTTTTCGTGGTAATGTGGCTGCTCACAAAAAATTGTGGATTGAGGGGGCCCTTGAGGGGCTGTCTACATTCTCTACCATGCATGAAAATCTTTTACCAGGTTAGTGCACTTTTCAAAAAATAAAGTTTGTCCATCCTCGGCTTATTAGCATATCAACTACGAATCAATCATCGAGCAATCACCCCACCTCTCAAAAATGCTGCAAACTAGAGATATATTATTGCGCCCACTCCTACCACTCTGTCAAGTGGTCTCCCCCTAAAAATAGTTGACCCCATCATTTTGAATTTCACCTCGACAATCGCAACATCAAAGGTTCAACTTCTTGCCACTGTGCGTATTTTTCCCCATTGTTATCGCAGTTAGTTTTTTTCTTGTTCTTTGTTTTTTTTTTTTGCATCTCTACAAAATGAGCCTCTATGTGAATATGTATTTTACTATTTTAATTCTATCTCTTGGCTACAGGCCCAAATGAGTACCCTTCACCATTGGGGAGTATGTGTAATTCGTACTCCTCCACTTGCCAATGTTTGAACCATCCTTTCACTAAGGCCATACCTTGTCGGTGAGTTTTCCCTCCTCCTCCAACCACAGCTGCTTGACGGTCGGTCCACCAGCATGTAGCCAAATTTTTTGCATTTTCATCGTCTGGGGTACCGAACCAGTACTTGAGAAGACCACCAGAAATGTTAGCCTCTGTGTGCGATCCCTTATCGATATCAGCAAGCTTTTGTCTCTTTTCTACCGATTCTTGTACGTCAATATGTAAAATTGATCTAAATGCAATTACATATACTTTTAATTCTGGAACACTTTCTTCGCCTAAAATCTTTGCGTATTCTTGTGCTCTTTCCACCGTTTCCTTCACCGGGAAAGCCTTTTCATACTCTTCGTATTGGTAGTCTTTGTTCCCATTTACCGGGACAAATGATTGTAAAGCAAGCGCAAGAGCTTTATATCCTAGATCAAGAGTATCCAACTGAAGGAGATGTTCCTGTTCGTGATATGGAGATGATCTGATATACTTCGGACTAGCATCTAAAGATTTGGAAAACTCTCTAACCGGTTGGAAAAGCCCTTCATCGTCATCGATATGTGCCGTATGGTGTTGAGTCATGGTTGATTCTTGATGTATAGATGGTGCCAAGTGTTAAAGATTCCCCCGAAGATCGTTAATGGCATTTCTCCCGTCAATTTACTCTGCATCTTCTGTATCACGTTTTACATGTAAAAATTGCGTAATAAAACATTCCAAACCCCATTAGAAAATACTTCTTATCTTTTCTTTTTTTTCCCACATTTAATAAACCTCCATGCATTAATACAAGATCTCTAATTGGCGAGACACAAGGAGACCCACACGAAGCGGGTGGTTATAATGCGACCGGGTTAGGAAGTGGGTATGGTCCCCCATGTGTCAAAAAAATAATCGGGGAAGGTTCTTCCTTTGATTAATATTGACAATCTCTTCTCAACGTGTCTCGCTGAACTATCCACGTACAGGTAAGCGACTCTTGGTATATCTATTATTTCGTATGTGTATCATTTTTTGTGCATATTCTTCATGCACCACTAACAATAGAATTCGATTTCGGCATTTACCTTTCACATAGTTGTTCCTCGGAAGTCTCCGTGTTTTGTTTCAGTATCTACTAGCAACGTCACTATGTGTACAACCATAATTTTCTGTATGATGATACCATTTGTCGTCATCTACTGTATCCTTACTCATATCATTTATTCATATTATTAATATTCTTCTTTTTTTATTACTGCTACTTCACACCTAAATGGAGAATCCCAAAACGAGGATACACAAAAGTGCATACCCAATAGCCTTAAATACACTGGTGTTACCGGCTTGGATAGTAATGGACAACCCTGCAGATACAGTACGGTTACCATCATTCTCTGGTCCGTTTGTAGTCCCGTCCGTAGTGAAATTTACTCCAGCATCAGAAGAATCTAATTCTCCATTCCAACAATATCTTGCGAAACATCTCTTACATTGCTCTGATTGTTCTATGCTTTGTCTCTCTTGTTCTCTTCTAATAATGGCACATCCAACGCATGCGGCCCATTCGCTATCAAGAGTCTTGTTAAGTCTTGATGATACTTCATACCCATTACGAATCATACCCTTCTTTTGTGCGTCAGTATAATCCATGTCAAAGGTTGAAGTATTAGACCAGAAGCTAAACGGTCTGTTGGCAGTGTAAACAACCAATGGAATATCGTAGACGCTGCTGGTTACATTGGTCGACACATTGGTGGGTGGGCTATTGAACAACAGAGAAAGATTCTTAGCATCACATCCAAAAAAGGCAGGCTTGGCAGTTAAATTCAAATTTCTAAAAGTATTCACGTCTGGAACATGCGGGAAATAAGTTCCATTACCTTGGGTCAAGAATTGTCTTTCATAGGTGGCGACCAATGAGGCACCATTGGGCCAATATTGATCAGTATCACCAGAGTTATCATACGCAAAGATGACATCCACTTTACGTTCTGGTTGAATCAATGGGTAGATTGGGACATTCTGAAGATCTTCTCCACCATCAACAAGGTAAAGAGTATCATTCTGTGCAATCAGACTAATGGTACCTTCATCAGTTTTATGGAATGGGTTTGGCTTATAAATGGCAATATCATTTTCTGCTTTAGAAACATCATTTAAGAAATGAGTAATTAAATCCTTAAGGGCACCAACAATGGAAGTTGTGTTGATCTGAAGAACAAATTGGTTGAATAATGTGGATGAGGTCCCCATGACATAACCAGCGTTATCAAACCCACCGACACAAGTCCCATTATGCTCACCATCAGTGGTGTTTGTCCCCAAGTATTTGACCTTTGTAAATTGATAAACAGAAGGGTCCCAAGAACCTAACTCAAACGGATTGGTTTCAAAGACTGTAGAGTTCCCACTGATGATGTAAGAGTTTGGCGTTCTACCATCGGCTACGACAATGGGGAATGGCATTTCATGGTTGGTGAATGGGTCACTTTCTTGGAGAGTTGACCAGGTCAAGGCAGCACCAGTATCGTTCAATTCACTGAAAAATTGATGAGAAAGCATTCTTGCCCAAGTATCAGTAAGACTGAGATCAAATCCAGCGTCCTTCTTAGCATTCAAATCATCAGAAATCCCATTATAATATTTATACAATTTCACTACATTCCAACCAGCGGGGTTAATGATTGATCTTTCTAAATCCCAAATCTTACCATCATCTACAATTTTTTCCACTGAAGTGAAGTTGTTCATGGCTATGGTCCCCACAAGCCAGTTACCACCAGAAAGTCCTACAAGGTACGTGGAAGCCTGTAAAAGACCACCCAACCCGGAAGCGTCGGCATTGGTGGTTCTGCTGTCCAAGGCTGCCAACTGACCGGCCCCACAGAGCATGGCACGGTATCCACCTCCCGAAAATGCAAGTCCAATGGTGATATTCTTTTTAGCATTTTCCACAAACAGTTGTGCATCAAAATCGGTCATGTTTGCATTTTGCAAAAATTTAATGAGATTTGCTTGGGTTACTGGGTTTCTTCCTTCGAGCCAAGCATGTTCCTCGGACGATAAGCCTTCAGCTACACGGGTGAGTCTTTTATCCGAGGGACATTCAATTCTACCAGGGGCATAAGAGTTGGTTGGAGACCAGGCATTCACTAACGCCGGGATTAGAAATAATAGGGAGATTTTCATCTTGAAATTATCAATTCCCTATGTATATGAGAGCTCCTCGAAAACGACAATCTGCGGGAGATAGGGGGTGGTTGGACTATATATATAAATACAATAACAAAAACTTTTTTTTTTTATGATGTTTAATTTAGAGTGAACCGCAGCGCTGCGAGATGGTGTAAACATTCGTTTTTCAGTAGTAAAGTGATAAACAACCGCTTGGTACTATGTGGGGGCAACTGCTACGAAAAGCTCGCGATTTCTTTGTTTTTTTTCTTAGTACTCGGCAGCCAAGCATTATGTGGGTCGACACTCGAGTTCTGTTGAATTTCTAGTTAAAGATGATGATTGTGAGTGCATTAACAACGGTCTAATGGCACGCTCGGCTTTAATGGGGTCGGAAATGTTTGGACATTGTCTTCCGATCCGGGTCATCAATTCTGAGCCCCGTGGCTGACCTGTCACTACAAGGCCTTAAAAGGAGGCGCGCGCCCACGCGTAGAAGCTTCTATCTGCAGGCATTGGGTTCACATACAGGTAATAATACCTTAATATGAGACATTAGCAGACTTCAATGGGTAGAAATCAGTGTATATGAAACAATCACTCCTCCGAGTCTTCCGTTTCTCACCTTGACCTGTTTTTGTTAGAAATTTCAAATATAGACTCGGTAAACCTCTAGATGCACATGTTGGACCTTGAGTGTATATATCACTCTATCAAGTAGGGCTTCTTAAATAGATGATGTTAAGACACAGTACATGACGTAATACAAAACGCACGGATTAATCAACATCCACTGACGATGGTATAGATGAGGAGAATTGTATTGAAGATGAGAGAATGATAAAAAATGAACCTTTTTTTTTTACAAAGAAGGGAAAATCCTCGTTCACTAATTATACCGTACAAGGAGTCAACTCTCTGGAAAATGGCACTACTGTAGAGATTATAAAGTCTTGATACATCAATTATTCAATACTGCTCGTAGAGGTGCTAGGCCCCCACGGCTAGTGGCCCACGGAGTGCCAGCGGAGCGGCTTAGTTACCCCGTAGGATGGTGCTGACCCTTCATTTTGCACCTCAAAAAATCTACCTACCTACCCTACGGGGTCAGTAAGCCTATCCCCCTCTGGCACTCCATGGGCCACTAGCCCTGGCGGTCTAGTACCTCTACCAGGAGTTAGGCACTTGTGGAAGGATGCTGTCCTGCATCTATTGTCTCTCTGTATTCACAATTCCGCTAAATTATATATCCTGCGTGTAATCCCCCAGTATCCGCTAACTTCATCTTGGACTTGTCTTCCCAATCCGGTAATGATTTCCATCTCTTAGATAAAGACAAAGATCAGTTTATTTCTTGTTCATTAATTCAAACCAAACTTCTTTTCTTTCTCTCTATTTTCACCCTTCATTTATACCACACCATGACCTTTACTGTAAACCAAGAGATTGCCCAATTCCAAGGAAAGTTGGCCAAACTTTCCCATGAATCCACCTCCACCAAGACAAAGATGGATGTCAATGTGTTCCTCCCAGCAGTAGCACTTAAGTCAGATGTATCAAATGGCTCAATTCCTGTCCTTCTTTACCTTTCTGGTCTCACATGCACCCCAAACAATGCGTCTGAAAAGTCCTTCTTCCAATATTTTGCCAACAAGTATGGCTTTGCCATTGTCTTCCCAGACACTTCTCCACGTGGAGCCAACATTGCTGGTGAAGATGATTCCTGGGATTTTGGTACTGGTGCTGGTTTCTACGTAGACGCCACTGCCAAGCCTTGGAGTGAGCACTACAACATGTACAGCTATGTCCACTTTGAACTCCTTGATGCCTTGAGTACCCAATATCCTCAATTGGCCTTGAAGGATAACATCTCCATCACTGGTCACTCCATGGGTGGGTACGGTGCTCTTGCTGGCTTCTTCAAGAACCCAGGAAAGTACAAGTCAGTCTCTGCCTTTGCTCCAATTTCTAACCCTCTGAACTGTCCATGGGGTGAAAAGTGTTTTGGTAACTATTTGGGTACTGACAATAAAGATGCTTGGTTGGAATATGATCCAACCCATTTGGTGAAGTCCTACAAAGGTGATGCCTCGGATATCTTGATTCATCAAGGTGCTCAAGATGGCTTCTACTACAAGGACCATCAATTGCAACCAGAAAACTTTGTCCAAGCAGCCAAGGACGCTGGTTACAAGGGAGAGGTCGACTTGAGGGTTGTCGATGGTTATGACCATCTGTACTTCTTCATCAGTTCCTTTGTGGAAGACCATGCAAAGCATCATGCTAAGTACTTGGGCTTGTGACTATCCACCAAGTTATAAAAGTATATAATGAAAAAAGGAATTAAAAACTTGCCAAAGTGTACTTTGTGCAGCTCTCTTAAATTGATCTTGTAGTGTGGATTGTGTCCATGAAGTGTCAGTGGGACTTGTAGTGGAAAACTATATCCTCACCGGGGAACGATTTACACGGAGGGTGAAAGAGTGACTACGGACCTATGGAGATGTACGTCACCTGGTGGTCATTGTAGAATGTAACCCCAGCGGACCATAAGACACTCTGCTTTGCCCCTGCTCGGGGAGAGCCACTGAGTGGTGTCTATCTCCTCTAAGAGGAGATGCTTACTGACCCCGTAGGGTAGCCCTCCTCACTACTCACATCCCTACGGAGTTGTATAACGCTCCTTTCTTTTCATTCTCTATAGAATATTTCCTTTCTTTGGTGCTTGGCTATTAATTATTATTCTTAACTTTCTATCTAATATACATATCATAATCCCTCTTTGAACTTTGAATCCCAAGCCACACACCATTTGACCTTGTTTTCGTTTTGCTTGTTGACCGCCTTCACTTCCTTGACTAACACTTTGCATGCACGTACGATGTCATCGGTGAGCTCTTTCGACTCCTCCTCATCAACCTCCATATTCATCATCAAGCTCAGAATGAGCTTATCTATCGATGCAATGAGTTTGATTTGTGTGCTATAGATTGTGTTGATGGTCTCTGCAGATGTAACCAGAGGGAGTGACTTGGTGATCGAAGAAAGAAGAATCTTGATGAGCTTGAACTTGTTCAACCAAAAGAGTGAGTATTTGGACAATTCAGAGTAATCTTCGGTGATTGGAGGTTCCTTATCTGAAGATTCATCATCGTCCTCTTCTTCGTCAGAGAACTCACCAAAGGGATCGTCTCCCATTTCTTGTGGATCCTCAGCCCATTCTTCAAAGTCGTCCAACCCATCATCTATAAACTCGATCCCCTGTTTCATCTTTTGGGTAAGAAGTCCCAACTTCCCCTTTTTAAGCAAACTACAGATATTGTCACAGTTAGTCCAAACCATCCCTACGGAAATAAGTCTATCGCCACCAGTGGTTTCAATTTCAGCTTCTTGTTCTTCCTGTCTGGCATTCTTGTTCTCGCTCTTCAATTCCTTGACCAATCCTTTCAAACTAGTTAACAATAACCTAACAAAATTGACAATCTCTTCATAAAAAATTTTAGAAATCAGGTCTGGAGTAAGTTGACTCACCACAGACACCAACAAGATCGAAGATTCCGAAAGTTTTTGAAGCGTATTACATGCGGTCTGGGTCTCCTTTGCCAAGGTTTCCTTCTTGAAAATAATCCCCACTTTGGTGGTATGAGCCTTCACTAATTGGGTGGTTTTAGATAGTTCCTCCAATGGGTTTTCCACCTTGGCTGCCTTGATTTGAGAGGACTCATTCCCCAAGGTAAGGAGCCAGTATTCAAGGGCCTCTTCGTAGGAGATGAATAGTTTGCTTAGTTGGTCTTCAGACATCCTATGGTTAGGGTTAAATCGATGTTTTAATCGAGCGATCTACACACATCATAAACCATTTTAAAGATGTTTTTCATTAAATTCGTTTGATGAGATTTATATGTAGGAAAAGACACAAGTTGCAAAAAAAACATATGATAGTTATGAAATGGTTGCAATATGCTAAAAGTAGATTAGAATGTGGAGTAGTATGGGTATATAGTCCCATAGTAAAACAATTAAAGAAGTTAACAAAAAAAAATTTTACTAAGATTCCTTCTTACCAAAAAAATTCTTGTTCGAATCTTAGTGATCCATGTCTTTTCCATTCCCTAACTAATGGTTCTTGTGTCTACATTGTCATCATATGGTAATTCATTTTCTTCTCAAATACAAATACTTGTTGCGGTTCTTTTTCTATATCTACCAATCATCGTCATCATCCTCTGCATCACTCCCAACTACCTTATTCTTTCTTTTGTTTAAAGCCAATGCCAAGGCATCAGCTAAACTAGCTGGCTGGCCAGTTGGAGCACCCCCAGGAGATGCTGAAGGAGGTGCTGCAACTGGTTCTCCCTTGGCTTCTTGTAATAAAACGCTAGGTCTTTCAAGATTCGATTTATCAGTTTTCTTAAGCGCACCGATACCTGCTCCTCTAATGGATGCAAGAAGAGCATCTCTTGATGGGTCACCGGAAGGTGGTGCAGGTACAGGTGCGTCTGATGGGCCAGATGGCATTAAAGAGGGCGGTGGCGGTGGAGGTGCTGGAGGTGCTGGTCCTCCAAATGAAGGAGGTGCTGGTGGTGCAGGTGGTGGTGGTCCTCCGAATGAGGTTGGTGGCGGAGGTGGAGGTGCTGGTGGTGCTGGTCCTCCAAATGAAGGTGGTGCTGGTGGTGCTGGTGGTGCTGGTCCTCCAAAAGAGGTTGGTGGCGGAGGTGGAGGTGCTGGTGGTGCCGGTCCTCCAAACGAAGGTGTTGTTGGTGCAGGTGGTCCTCCGAATGAGGTTGGTGGTGGAGGTGGGGGTGCTGGTGGTGCTGGTCCTCCAAATGAAGGTGGTGCTGGTGGTGCTGGTGGAGGAGGTGAAGTGTAGCCAGTTGGTTGTGGATGTTGTGGAGGAAGTGGTGGAGGAGTATTCATTGCAGGAGCACCACCTCTTGCTCTTGGAGGTGGAGGTGGTGGTCCACCTCTAGCGTTTCTTGGGGGTGGAGGTGGAGGTGCTGCACCACCTGCTCTTGGAGGTGGGGGTGGTGGGGGCCCACCTGCTCTTGGTGGTGGTGGTGGAACTGGACCTCTACTTGGCAATCCAGGAACTTGACGTCCTGGGGGTGGTGGTGGACCTGGAGGAGGGGGAGTAGCTGAATGCTGCACTGGAAGAGGTGGTAACGGCGAATTCTTAGGTACTGGAGCATGTGCCGACATAGGTGGTACTCTGAACCTTTGAGTTGGTGGTGCCTGTTGTGGTGGTGCCTGTTGTGGTGCTGAATGTGAAGAAGTATCTGAATGACTAGCAGAATCATTTTCTTCGGGACTTGATTCTCTAGTGTAATGAGGTGACTCTGGGGCTGGTGAATATACCGGTGATGCATGTACAGGCGAGCTTGCTGCTGGAGTGTATGTTGCTGGTGAAGCTGCCGTAGGTGGAGGTGGAGGTGGTGCCTTCTTATGTCCTCCATGGCTAGTCGTAGTGGTTGTAGTGCTTTGACTAGAAGATCTGGCAATTTCCTTCTTACTCAACTTTCTTGGGATTGGTGGTTCCAACCCTACAAGTGGGCCGCCTTGCTTAGCTATGTACTCCTTGATAAACTCTCTATTATCGGCAATCATATCTTCGGTGATCCCGGCTGCTGCAAGCTCACTGTACAAAGATCTCCACTCTGGTGGTGGCAAATCATCGTAGTACAACACCCCCTTGGCACGTCTAGATCTTTGGCCCGTAGTGACATCTACAAACTCACCACGAGGTCCACTGCCCACTGGCTTCTTACCCTTGGATACACTGATGGCGTTCTTGTTGTTGACAGTCTGTTTGCTTCCATGCTTACTTCTTTGAGTGACTCTCTTGTAGAAATGCGCAGCATCTTGAGAATCTTCAAATAATAACCCAACAAGACACTCTTCGATTTCAAACGTATGGAAGAACTTACGATCTTGATGGTACTCAAAGTCAACATAAATCTCTTGATCCCATATAACTCCTCTGTGTCCTAAAATGTCCACCAATTTAAGAAAATATGTATGTCCCACTAAATCGTCAACTAGAGCAATTGCGCCCACAAGTTCGGTGTACTTCCACTGAGTAGGGTCTGGGTATGCCACGTACAAACGGGCAACAGTGGCATCTATGATCTTGTTGTTTGCCTTAGGAATGGCTCTTTTAATTTTCTCCTTGTCCTGAGCTGTTAAAATGGCCATGATTCTATATCAATTGTGTTTCTTTTTTGAATATTGTGGAGGAAGGACTAGCAAGTGAGCTTAGCCTTGTGTTCTTTTTCCAAAAAAGGGGGGATTCTTCTTGTGTCTTCTCTATTGCAGTCTATATCAAATTGATCAATCTAATCCAGAGTGTAGCTGAAAAGTTACTACAAAGATTTGGATAATTTATAACCTCACAATTCCCAATTAGATATTGTCTAAGGTTTCAAAGAAAGGTGTGAGTGTATGAATTTTTGTTCGATTTTGGTGGGGGAAGATTCAAATTTAAGTTTAGAAATTAAAATATATGATGGGTTATATGCAGGTATTTTGAAGGTGATTCCAAAAATGTTTATAATTAATGCATTTTAAATGTAGTTCAATGACATACATTGGAAGTAGGACTTTAGATGTGGAAACAGTAGATGGATGTGAAATCATCAAGACGGAGTATAGTGCTTGTGATAGTGCATGAGTTTGGTAATTGCAAATCTTCAAATTTATTTTTTTTTTTTGTGTTTTAACAGGATTATGATTGATCATGTGACGCAATGATTGATTGTGGTGGTTGTTCATGTAATTTCAATCTGTATCTTATATAGATTTGTCTTGTCAATGTTTCGTATATAGGTTTAAATTACTCTCATTTGACTCACGTTGTATGTTTTTTGCAACCAAAGGCAAATAAATTTTAAGGGGGGAGAAGTCGAGAAAAAAAAGGTAAACCAGGGATTCTCTATATGTAGGATAAAGTATGTATACAGATGGAGAGAACAAGGAGTAGAAGATGATGATATATGTTTTACTATCGAAAGAGACATTTAAATTATTGAAATTTGACCACTCAAGAGGGGTCCACTCTTATATGTAACCAGTTAGTATATTTACATCAGATATATATATATATATATATATACATATATGACTATAAATATAAGGAGAACTGAAACAGTTCAGAGAATCACTTTTTTTTTCTTCACGTGATCGCTTCGCAGCAAATCAATTTTTAAATCATCAATGTTCACAACACGATGTATCAATACATTTCTTTATCTAATCAATAATGTCCGGACGTCAAGGAGGAAAAGCTAAGCCTTTGAAGGCCCCAAAGAAGAAGCAAGAAGAGTTTGATGAAGAAGACTTGGCTTTCAAGGCCAAGCAAAAGGCTGATGCTCAAGCTAAGAAGGACATGGCTCAAAAGGCAAAGAAGGGTGGTCCATTAGTCGGTGGTGGTATCAAGAAGAGTGGTAAGAAATAGGTTATTTAACGATCTAAATATATACAAATCTATACCTCATAAATTGATTATACACGTAGATTGTACCCTAGAACAAGTAGATAAAATTTTGTAACGCATTTCCAAATCAATATCTGTTTTTAACTTTTCCCTCATCTCAGTAAATCAATAAATTTCAACACCATGTACGCCATAATTATCTCTATTAAGTGGTTCATAGTCTAAAAAGAAAACAGGAAGGAGAAAGGCATCAGATGTGCATTCTATAAACATAGTATATGTAAACTCAACATTCAAGCTTCCACTAACAATAAAAATTATGGCAAAAAAATAAACGACCTCGGTGAGGATCGAACTCACGATCTCAAGATTAACAGTCTTACGCCTTAACCAGCTTGGCCACGAAGTCGTTTTTTTGTGAGAAAATATTTTTGGCTTGAAATACTCGCAAACTTCTATTTCCGATTTACATCCAGACACCCACACTAAATATGACATAGGACACCTAATTTATATCAAGTATATTTCATTTATTCCTTTGATTTTTGAATTTGCAAACAAGGATATCAACTGGTAATAAGGTCATACAGTCACATTAACAATTAATTAACAGTTATATTCATAGAAAAGTTATCAGCATAATTTTGTTTAATTTGTGAAAATTCAGTAAAGAATATATCTTATCCATATGTATCATAATATTTATCCATTTTTTATGTCGACAGTGAGGATCTTGGAAGTAAGGGAATATGTATCATAGGTGTAAACTTGAATAGAATACAACTCAAAGTATTCGAATGCTTTTCTTCAAAAGAAAGGAAGAACTACGATAATTTCAAAAATGCTTTCATAAATGATCTATATATGTGTATTTTTCTGGAAAATGCATTCATCTCGTGCTTAAGAGAATCTTGTTCTCTTACAATTCGTGTAGATATCTTCACTCTAATGAATTTAAAGTTTTTTATTCAATCCGATTAATCCTCAGCTGGTCCTGGAAATTCAAGCCCTTTCACCTTATAATATTTCCTGGTACAACTGAACTTATGAAACGTGAAATCCTTCCTAGGGTTACAGTCACATTGAAGATCCTGTCTTACAAATTCGTCTACTGGACACCCTTGATTTGGCTTGTGATAGTAGCCAGTGTTTGCAAAATGATATATTTTGTCCGAAGGAACAAATAAAGACATTGCGATACTATGCACCGGTGCATCGCCCCAACGTTCATAGAAAAAGCCACCTGCTTTGTCCAAATATTGGAAATATTTCTCATATGGAGAATCTTTTGACCGATAGAATTCCAAATCCCCAATCTCAAAATTTGACCAATAATGACAAAGGTTGTATGTATCTCCATTATCATCGGTCACAAAGTTGTACATGTTTTTCTTTGAGATCAACCCATTATTTTTCTTCAAAAAAGTTTGAGTAGTGTCCCAAAGAGTAGGTACAGTATCTGCAAATTCTCCCATGGTCATGGTCCATCCATAAATAAAACTGTTATTTTTCATTACTTCAAAGGGATCTTCCTTGAAGTTGCATACAAACTTGACATTTGGTTCTATTCTCCAATAGTATCGGTATGGTTTCAAGGCTTCCAATTTGTAGAAGAACCCAGAGTTGAATCTACACATGTGTCTGTACTCTTCCGAGCCCCCATATGCCATGCCTTTACTTTGGGCAAGGGTTCGAGATTCAGCGGCCCTATCCAAGTCAATATGCTCAGGATATGACCAATATTCCACTGGAATACGCACAAATATGGCCCTACCCGATGTGAAGGTCTTTGTGACCTTTTGCTTGAACTCTTCAGTGAAGGGTTTATCATTGGCAAATACCCAATCTGAATGGAATTGATTATTATATCTTTTTTGAACGTATCCTATTGACAGAAGCATGCCATCAAGTTCTTCATTTCGTACCAATGAAAAGAGAACCCCTTTATCGTCTTGCATGTCTTCAATTTTGGTGTCTCCACCTTTTGATGGGATTTTGACTTCCAAGAGCTTCAAATCAAACGAATACCATGTGTATGCCCAGATTGTAAAAAGAATGAGGACCACTCCTAGAAGCGCGGAGATCCTTTTAGGACGTATACCTACCAGCCAAGGGGACGCCATTTCAAGGACAAGGTGTAACAGTGGGTTAAAAAAAAAAAAGATGGAGAGTGTTTTTATATCGTAGAGGCTTAGTATTTAAAACGATAAGAAAAAAGAAAATACGGTTACACGCAATTTTAGCGATAGTTATGGGTGTAGCGCATATATGCTATAGAGTCTAGGAGAGGACCCTCTACGACAGTTAATAATGACTTTAGACACAAATATATATATATATATATATATATAGACAATTGCCACCTTTGAGTCCCACGATCAATACACATGGTTTAAAATACATGTCAGACAAGAACGACATAAATTTACGACCAACGCGACTCTAAATTTGGAATTTGGCAGCCAAATGTAGTAAAGACATATTCCACAAGTTACAAATGAGTGATAAGATAAATATTTCAGCAATAGAAGTTAGATAAATATTCCAAAAATAGAAGTTTGAACATTAGTATCATAATAATCGTACACACGACAGACTCCATGAAAATACGAAAAGGTAGACTATCAAATAAAAAATTGATATGTAATAATTTCATGGTGGAATCCAGCTAGATGTTTGGAAGTAAATTACTACGCGATAATTAGACCCTATAAATTGCTTCCATCATACTCTATATATTAAATGTCTTAACCAATTACCCCCACACTTCCCTCAATAATCATGTCAAATAAATGATGTTTCCTTTACAAACTCAGAATCAAAACTGTCCGCCTGCAGTCCGTCCACAATTCTATGATAATATTTTTTCCAATTTTTTTTTTTTGTACTTTTCGCAAAAATCGAAAAATTCGAACTTCATAAAAAAAAACGAAAGTGAAAAAGACAGACTGGTTACCCAACGACAATACTCCCCACGCCGTGATGCCAGCATTGAACAAATTCATCAATAACAAGCGCTTGCACCACAAGTTGATGGACAAGAACTTGGCCGCCAACTTGATCCGTCATGAGTACATTGTGACCGGATCCACCAAGGCCAAACGTGCCCAAGCTAAGGTTGAACAATTTCTTGCCAAGGCCCTTTACACTGAGAAGAACAACACTTCTGGAGAATCCACAGCACAACGTGTAGCCGCAAACCACAGATTCAACTTCCTCCAACGTGCAGACAGATTGGAAATAGGATCCAAGGTGATAGAACAGCTCACAAAGCGTTATCCAGAGAGAGCTCATGGTTTCACTAGAATCATCAAGTTGGAACCAAGATTGGGTGAAGACAAGGCACCTATGTCCGTGTTGGAGCTTGTAGACTCCGAGTACGAAGTTTTCTTTTGGTTCACTGCCAAAGTAGTGGCCCGTTTGGAACTTCAAGGGTTAGCTCTCGATGAGTTGACTCAACATAACGTCAACAAGCTTACCAAGTTCCGTCAAGATGGTGAAAACAAGTTCAGAGCAGCTGTTGAAGAGGCCAAGGTTGCCTTCTTCAAAGTCAACCCAGAAACTGGAGCTGTAGAAAGTGAAGAAATCAAGGAAAACCTCAAGAACTTACCTAGAGAACAAAGTTACCAAAATGGATCATTGTTGATGTCTAAGAAGTTCAAGACCATGCCAAGACCAGCACAAAAGGAAATCAAGGAGCTTCCAAAGAGTCCATTTTTGAAGGATTAGGGAAGGAAATTTATATGTACATAGAAAGTCCCATTGAAGTGTCCAATCTTCCGGGATAGAAGGAGAATAGAGCTTTTTTGAAAGTTAGTGTAGAATATAGCATTGAAGGGAGTAGCCAAGAGAGTAGTACAGCAAGATTGAAATGGCAAGAATAAGGTTTTTGATGCCCTTAGTCATATATTCACGAACGTATATAGACTGGGGTACTTTAACCAACTATTAAATTTAATTAATCGTAATGGACAAACCATCCATATCTTGTTGGGCCAGTTCTAGATACATCCAATTGTTGGAGAATGGTTCCTATGAATTCCTAAATGGTATTTTTAAAGTTTGGTTGCAAAATGGTCGAAGATTTTGCAATGTTCCACCACACAGAACGATTATTATGCTCATTCGTAAGTGTCAGTGGGAGATTTGTCTTAAAGACGAAATAGTGGAACTGAGAATACGAAGCGTGATTGATAACAAAGAAGGTGACTGGGCGAACAGCATAAACTCACCATCTACGTAGAGTAATCAACTGTTTAACACCGGTGATGTGATTTAATGACTTTCCAATTGATTAACACCTCTATTACAAATACGGGATATGTTGCTAGGATTAGGAATCGAGATCTACATTTATTTCGACTATTAACAACCAACAAATATCTTGAACGACCATTCGATTAAAATGCCGAGAATCCGAGATTGACACGAAGGTATTGTTATACCGAGAATTCCAGCTTACTGTAAACAATTTCGACATCTCGGTTAATTTAGCCGACATATATAACTGTATTAGAAATTGCCCCGAGCCTTGAAATTGTCTCGGTTAATAGCATATACGTGGTGGTGCAGCATCTACACAAGTACTACATAGTTGACGGTGATGTCTCGTATAGTGCCAACAATGATAATGCAACTACTTATATCGGCGGCTTTTTATTCCTTCAAATTACTACCTCGGTAGACCGTTTAGCGGGAAAATTTCTTGTTGCAGCATCTGGGACATGTTACGGCGTTTCCCCTCTCTTGGCAAATGCTTGTATTGGCAGACTCACTACGAGAATACGTATTAGAACTAAATCTGAAACATGACCACATATACTGTGAAATCAGCCCCTGCAGCTATACGAGTTGGCTTGGTAATTCTATGCCAAACTTTGGCTGCATTTACAGGGGTGTGCTGTTGTAGACAATTTTAAATTTCCCTCTACAGTATACTTACCCCTGGATTACGTGAATATACTTTATCAACATTATGACTCAAGAGCTATGGAATTCAAATCCGCGCATCATCCATTGTCTTTGATGATGATCTTGGATATGCATCATCTCTAAAATCTGTTTTGCCAATGCTAAAGCATATGGAATGTTTGGAGATAAACGATTGTTCTCGTGCGAACTTTTGACGGATATTTAAGTTCTACCACTTTTGTAATTGTTGCAAACGAGAGATGCAAGCTGTATAATTGAGTAAACTAAGAATATTCACACTGAGGAATAGGAGAGGAATGACAATTACAAAATTAATTCCATGACAGTTGAAGCATTAACGATCATGGTTTATTACTTTAAATGAAACTTGTATGCTTATTTCGAGATTAAAGTTCATGTATCCCAAACGAGAGATAGCAATTTGAAATATCGGATTCAAGATTAAGGAGATCAACTTTTTCGAGTTCTAGATATATTTTTCAATTCTTGTTTAGTGCATGTTGATTTCTACTTTACTCGCATATGCAGATGCTCCGACCTACAGAATGCGTACCAAGGAGTGGAGACGATACGATACTATTGTTTCCGCTGGTAATATTGAATAGCCGGCCAAAAACATCTACATGGGGTAGCAGCCGAATACTAAATAATAGCAAAATCAATTTGCATATGAGTTGCACTTCCACAAGAATGGATGTTAATTGTGCTCATACTCACTACGAAATAGAATAGACTGTATGAATTGAAAGGGTATTTACCTATAACCAAATTTCGGAAATATTTTGGTGAAAAAACTATATGAAAATGTTTACCGCTGCTGATAGTGAATGTACGATGGTGTATATTGATTGTCCAATACTACCACATGCATGCTTCATAGTAAGCTAGCGCAAAGGCGCTGCTGTATGATGACCAGGCTATAAATAATGGGCTCAGATACAAACCAAATCCTCTTTCAATGCAAGAGCTCCCCAAGAAACAATGAAATCATTGACGCTTGCCCTTTTGTACCTGACTCTTACACTTCTGGTTCATGCTCTGCGTGGATGTGCACCAGTGGGAGTTGGAAAAGGTGGGTTTAATGTTAAGATATATCCATACAAGATCTCAGACTCAAAAACGATGAACGATTTGGAATATGTTTCATATGGATACTTAAACAATAAGGTACTTTCTACTATGAATGCAGTTAAAGACATCAATTTTGAATGGTCAAATTATCCTGAACCAGATATTGGATATGCAGTTGAGCATAACCTCTATGGTGGACCACCGATTACTATCACTAACTTCACTATGGAACTCACTGGCTATTACCATTCTGTGGAAGCTGGCGATTATACCTTTCAATTGTCCAAAATTGACGACTCTGCTGCCGTATTTATTGGCGATGGTATAGCCTTCGATTGTTGTAAAGAAACTCCAACAATTGATCCCACTGATTACCAAATATTTACTTCAAAGGTTTGGAATGGAAAAACAGGAAATACTAAAGCAACTGTGAAATTTGCTGCTGATACCTACTACCCCATGAGAATCGTGTACACGAATGCGCTCAGTCTGGCGACCTTGCAATTATTTGTTAAAAAGCCGAATGGTGACTACCTACAAGTTCAATCTGACATGTTCGTTTATGATGTACAGCGTAATAGCTGTCCAGTCCCATCTTCATCGAAGGTTACAACTGTTTCTTCTGAATGGTCTAGATCTGAAATATCTAGTTCGACTTCGACATCTTCCCTCTCTGAAAGTTATACCATTGTTTCAATATCAGCTTCAGATACAGTCACCATTGACACCACTGACCGGTCTAGATCTGATTTATTAAGTTCCACTTTGGCACCCTCCGCTTCTGAGTGCAACACCACTGTGTCAATATCAGCCCCAGACACTGCTATCACTTTGTACGCATCTGAATCATCAATATCTACCTTGACACCATCTGAGGGCAACACCACCGTTTCAAAATCAACTCCAGATAAGGTCATCATTGCTACTTCAGAATGGCTTGATTCTGAAACATTACCTTTCACTCCGACCCCACTAGTATCCGGAGACCCCTCCACTATTGAGATACCAACTCCAACAACAACCGGTACTACAAAATGGTCAGGATTTGATATTTCAACTTCTAGTTCAACCTCGTCAGTTTCAGATGGCACCCCCAATGTTGATACCTCAACAATAGTTAAGGTAAGCAATGATGCTACCATGGTTTCATGCTCAGATGGCGGCTGTACCAAAGTACCAGTTGTGGAATATATTTCTTCAGTGAATGGCTCTACATCAGTGAATAAGAAACTTTACCAGATATCTTCTAGCACTATCGAATACTCGATCACTGAGACTCAAGTTTCTACTGTTGAAATGACGGTAACATCTTGTTCAAAAGGGGCATGTTCAAGAATTCTGAGCACAATTAGAGAACTTGTTGTTACATCAATTCCAGGATTTGGAATTGTTTCTTACACAACAATTTCGTCATTGCCAACATTGACATCAAGTGAGTCCAATACTGTAACCGGTGATGCTTGGACTTCTGCAAACCGATTTGTTGCTACCAATACAATTACGGGAAATAGCACGCTAGGCTATTCTTCAGCAGCTATACCACCCTTGACAACTAATGCTGAGAATGCTTCAGGGAAATTATTATCTTCATCTTTCTCAATGCTTGCAGCATTCGTGGCCATTTGTTTCTATTGAAACACGAGCCGACTCCTCTTCTATATAATTCTACTTCCTTTTGCCCACAGATGTAAGTGACCTCCTTAAGATGTGCTTATGATATATAAAATATTTTCGGTCTTAGTATTAAGTGTGTATTCCTTTCCTTCGTATCTTCATGTTTTAGTGTACGTTTTATATTGTACAATGTAAAATCTTCTAGTCACCTCAAGTAATTTAAAAACATAATAAAATGTTGCAAATATCAAGGAATGATTCCATTTATAGGACCTTGACAGATAAAAAAACAATGGAAATACCTACTAAACCAACCAAATGCTCAAAATTTTACTTTTGATAAATAGGAGCCACCTTAGAGTTATTTAATGAATTTACGACCTACGTTATCATATATCAAACGCTCAAAGCACTTGTATTACTAGGTATAACCATGTTAGACATCTAATATACTTTAACACCAGAAGTGGTACCATCTCTTATAGAAAGGTTTAGCGGCAATTGCAGCCTTTTCTTCGGCAATTTCTTGCTTAACCAAATCTAAATCTAATTCCCTTCTTCCGGTGTCGATATCAATGTCCTTAGCTCTAATGTAAAATTTCCAATTCTTCTTCCAAATCTTGTGGAAAATATAGAAAGACAATATAACTGGTAAACCCAAGTAAGAGACAAAGAATCCATACGCATCAGGTTTACCACCCAATGGGAACAAAGCGATCCAGAATTGAGCAATAAGTACCAAGACATTCAAAATGAACCCATACCAAGCACCATATACACCCGCTTGGGCAGTATATGTGAGCTCACTAGTATCTCTACCCTTTACTTTCAAAGCTCTTCTGAAACGAATAAGACAGAAGTTAATGGAACCCCAAGTGAAAAGAGAAGATAAACCAGAGAGAGCAAGAAGCCAATCAAAAATTTCGCCAAATTTATCGGAAGCTGTAACAAAACCTAAAAGACCGAAAACACATTGAAGAATAATAGCAACAAGAGGACGACCTTGCTTGTCAATGTAGCCCAAGATTTTTGGTGCTTGACCTGCAGCTGCAAGGGCAGCCAAAGTTCTTGAAGATCCAAAAACAGAGGAGTTCCCAACAGAAAGGACAGCAATCATGATGACAGCATTCATAACAGAGGGAAGGCCACTAATACCCCCATTTTGAATTGCAAGGACAAATGGAGAGGCCGTAGCATCAACAGAACTGGCACCAATCAACCTCTCGTCAGTGTATGGAACAAGCAATCCAACAAGAGTAAGAGAGATCACATAGAAAAGAGTAATTCTCCAGAAAACTTGTTTAGTGGCTGTTGGTAAGGATTTTCTTGGGTTTTCCGATTCAGCAGCTGCTAAGCCAACAAGTTCGGTACCAGCAAAGGCAAATGCTGCAGTCACAAAAACAGAACATACACCTTTGAAACCGTTCGCAAAAGCACCTGGATCACTCCAATATCTACCACCAATGTAACCACCTTTTGGGCCACCCCCACAAACAAGGACAATACCCAAGATAATGAAACCGCAAACGGCAAGAACTTTGATGGCTGAAAAGGCAAATTCAGCCTCACCATACCCTTTAACACCAAAGAAGTTGATGGCAACAATGAAAACATAAAAGACAGCCACAAAGGCTGCTGGATTAATGGAGGTTGTCCAATATTCAATTGTCATTGCAGCCGCCACCAATTCCAACGGTAAAATAACAAGCCATTGTAAAGCATAATTCCAAGCCATGGCGAAACCCCAAGATGGATCAATGAATCTGGTGTTGTAGGTGACAAAGGCCCCAGAAACCGGGAACGTTATAGCGAGCTCACCAAGGGACTGGACAGTGCAGTACATCATAGAACCAATCAAAATATAGGCAATAAGGACCCCAGCGGGGCCACCAGCCCTCAAGGTCTTACCGGAACCAACGAATAAACCAGTACCGATGGAACCACCAATGGCAATCATTTGCAAATGTCTGTTTTTAAGAGAACGTGACAATGGAGAGTTTGCAGTAACAATGGCTGCACGTTCCACTTCGGTTAAGTTTGGGTCCAAACCAAGTTCTTCAGAGTCATATCTTTTGAAAGAGTCAACAAATTTGGCAAAGCCAGTCAATGGTACAGCATTGTCACTCTTGTCAAAGGCATCGATATAAACACCGCCGTTTTTTTCTGTGGAAGACCCATCAGCAGCGTCTCTGGAATGGATGTAATCAAGTTCCTTTTCGGGCATATTTCCTACAGAGAAGTTAAAAGAAAAAAGATTCGACACTGCACAAAACAATGGTCGTTTATGATTCCTTTTATACACCCCACTACATCTACAACCTTAGACTGGGGGCTTATACCACGACTAGATATCAAGAAAATGGGGATACTATTCTGCGGCAATGTATGCAACACAAAATATCTCTTATCAGAAATAATTTGGTATGCAGACCCCAAGTCTAAATTGATCTTTTAATTGACGCGCGGTTTCGAGCTCCGTGCTATCATCTTTAGTTTACGGATGTGTAAGAAGCTCATTTTTCAGTGATGGGAACAACTGAGGAGTAAGAATAATGGATGGCGGGGGTTCACATAGCTTGAACGGTTTGTGGACACAATGGTAGCTATGTTGTGGGTTGTATGGGAAACCAAACCCCGTAGTCGTAGTGCCGTACCAGTGGGTCCACCCTTCCCCACCTAGAAAATGCCACATATCTATCAAGATTGTGATTTTTTTACCGCTACTATCTATCTTTGTTATTTTTCTTGTCCTTCCGTCTTCGTTGTGAGAGAGACTGTCTTTGGTGTGAGCCGAGTTTCCTATCAATCAATCAGAGAATTCGACACTCGCGCGGCAGAGATTTTTTTTTCTTGGAGAGAGGAAAAAAAAAAAAAATAAAAAACGACCGAAAAAACGCCGTAGATACCTCCTACTAAAGCCTCCTTGGCAGTATTTTTAGGTCTCATAGTGAACTAAAAAATATTTAAACTAACTAAAGCGATACCAGATATTTCTTAGTAGCCCCAAGACTTGATCTCTGAACGCGGCTTGTCAGTTTAACTTAAGATTACACTTCCATGTGAAATCGCTCTCCACCTTGACTAAACCCGTGCTGGAAAAATATTAGACATACAGAGTACATATTGTTTTTTTTTTCTTAACTATACATCTGTTAGCCTTACATGCATATCAACAGGACCCCCCCCCCCCCCCCCCCCCCAAAGGACCGACTCTAATTGCTGTGTATGTAGATATTGGTAAAATTTCTTTTTTTCCTGGTGGCAGTGCAATACTAAAAACATCCTCGATGTCCTTCTCGAGCCGTATTTATGTATTTCAATATGTGTGTAGGCGAAAATATGCCTTTGATGAACATGCCTGTGCTCGTAGAATTGCGCAACAAACTTTTATTCTTCCTCGAAAGGGACTGGGACCCCTGCTCTAGGCTGTAGTAGACCTCTAGTAGACCCCACTTCATCAACCTGAAAATTTCATGTTGTTGTCCTCTTGTACATGTCAAAGTTAAAAAATAAATAGGTGGGAATCCTTACTTATGACTCTCTGTGTTTTGATATCGTAAGGAGCAAATATGTAATACGAGCGAACAATACAATTTCATGTTGACGAGTACATCTAAGCTGCTACCCGGCTTATGCGGTAGATTACCCAAAGGATATGTTTCATGTCACAACAGATCCAGCAACAATCAACAATCAATTTCAATAATTACATTCTCTAGGGGTTTGCCCGACTTTTATTATCATCGGGTAAACCCCTTGGTGGATCCTTTAGTCTTTATTCGTTATTATTTAAGCTCTGGACCACCAGCGCGTCTTCTCATAACCAAACATTTTCAGCTCAATGTGTCTAGATTCTTAAGATTTGTATTACGTAAAGGTCTACAGAGTTGGTAAAAAAAAAACACACACCAAGCAAATAAATTAAAGAACGGAAGTACTAAGCTAATATCTAAAGAACGTACACTTCTGGGATTGATCTTCTACTAAAATATGGTTGTCAATCCACCACCTTGCTGTAGAGCGTATACCACAGGGACACATACCAGCATGGTCTAAAACAGTACTCACAGTCATTTTACTATTCATCTTAATATCATCAAATTTGAAGTGTCTAGCCAATAGGTGCCGTTTGAACTCGTACTTTCTTTTGTAGTTTACATATTTATAGTGGCACCAACCCGAGGGGAACTTGCAAGTAAATCGAGGACATGTATCATGAATCTTCATATGTCTCAGCATCTCATTAGGACTCTTCCCACAAACGGGACAAATCCTTGGATTGACGAATGTTGACTCGACCTTGGGTAGGATGATGTCCGGATTGGAGTTGATAAGTGTGGTTATGTCGGAATATAACATTTGGACGTTCATTGCATCGTAGTTTTTGTTAGTATCCATTTAAATCTGCAACTGATTTTTAGGTCTTTTTCTGGCCATTTTGTAGATCGAAATCAGAATGCCCCCTCGTTTGAGACCTCGACCCAATCCTTGTAGTTATAGACTCCATAGCCTGATATTTCATGCATAATGTGTGGTCTTCAATGCACGAGAGCCTCTAGTTATAAATCCGTGGCTTAGCGGTAGGTCACAAACTTTGAGTTAAGACGATAGGATTCGTTCATGCATGAACTTAATCTTCAAATGGCTTCACTTCACCCCCCACATTTTTGCGGCAATTCTTCCCGACCACGCATTTATTCTGCAGAGAAGAAAAAATTGAAAAAATAAAAAAATCTTTGAGGCAGAGGGGTACATGTACATAGCAAGATTCTTTTTTCAAACTACTATCTTCTGCATTAATCTGTTTGTCGGAAGAATTGATATGCATAAAATCCGTCCAATACATATTTAGTAATATTGATGACTTCCCGATGTGATATCCTTAAAGGAACACTTTAGGAGCGTGCGGGTGGGCCATTGAATTAGGAAACCTACACCGGGTACGGCGCACACTTGCACTGTACATCAATCACTTTAAGGGTACACTATGTACTACATGAACTGGGTATTTTGTGGAAAAGTTGCTTATGCATCTTTTCAATTGTTTTATACAAAATTTGCGCACCAACGGAACTACCCGAGATGGTAGGCCGCTCCCTACAGTATGGTGTATTTTTTGAGGAAAATATAGACATAGGGTAGAAGGAAAGTAGTTACACAGTAGATACTCAATAGTTACTAGGACCAATGTAGTTGTGTAGAGCCTCTTTAAAACTTACAATTCAGCGCTCTCTTCCTTGAAAAAATCTTTGAAATACCACACAAGGCTCATATACATGGGTACATTTGTTGTGGTCTTCATTCCCGCAGAACTTCTGATTACCGATGAATGCCTTTACAAGAGAGAATGTTAAAATAAATAAGCCATGCCATGACCCGTGCATGTGAAAGGATTGCTGTGTGCAGGCAGAGATGTGGCAGCTAAAAAGTTTTTATTGATGTATTGCATATAATTTATACACTTTTGATGAGTGGAATGCTCATCTTCAAAGCCAAATAACTGAACGGCTCTGAAATTCATACAAGTCCAGTATCCCATTTCCTATCTCTCAATATCATTACGTTGATCGACGTCCATCATATGGCAAATATAGAAACGTAGATGCACCTCGGCATCTTCCACCATTTAGTTCAGAGAAGTTACGTCTGTCCCTGAAGAATATCGTTCTAGAAGCTCACGGCCCTTACGCATGTTCCCAAAGGGGATAGCCGAAAGTGCTATTTTTTTTTTTTTACATTGCCATAGATGTAGTGCACACGTCAGTTCAGTACTAATCTAGTTCCACGGGTGGGGGTTTCTATTTTTAGCAGCCTAGATTTATGCTCTTGGTATTTGGCAGGGACTATTCATGTAGATCAATACTCCCTCGATGCTCGGCGAAGGCATCTTATGGGATGTTGCTGCAATGCCGCATGCGCAAGAACTAACTGTTGGTTGCGATCCAAGAGAAAGGATCAGTCGACTGCTGGGTTATGCGTTTCACTACCCGTGTAGAGAGTGCCTTTGCAAATGTTGCATTATTAGCGCCTTGCAATAACTTCGGGTTCCTAGAAAAATTGCTGTGTCGCAATGCATCGCGAAGAAGTTGATAGGGAAATTTTATAGTCTCGCTTAATTTTGAATTCTATTGAATTTTGTTCCCTGACTTCCCTTTTAGTTTTTTACCCTATTATTTTTTACCTTTTATTTTTTTTTTAAAATTTCTTTTTCTTTCAGCCCCGTCTTTCTTTGCTACTTCGATTCGTGGCACCTTTAGACTAATGTATAATGGAATGCAAATGCGTAAACAATCACAGTTTCCCCCCTCAATGGTACTAAACATGCATGAGAATTCATCTGCAAGTTTGGTGGTATGGCAGGTAGTTTGGCGAGTCTGTCATGTAGGTTAATTCTAGACACCTGAAAGAAAAGTCTTGTCCTTCATTTTATTTGATGCACATCAAACATTTTCAGCTATTGAACTTTGGCATGTAGAGAACTACATTGAATTAGATGAGAGAGATTAAACTTTTAGGTTCTCTCTCTTAATCGGCCTCTCATCAACTTAAATTGATGCCGGGAATGTCCAGTTGGGACATAAACCGCCGCACGAATACAAGTAGTCGTCGTATGTATCTGGTTTCAGTTCGTTTCTCAAAGCTATTTCAGTAAAATAAGGTGCATATTATGCGCTATAGTTTTGCTAGCTGCAGGTATACACCATAATTTAGACTTCGAGGAGACACCTTACATATAGCGAAGGGTCGAAAGGTACTTTTGCAGCAAAGTGTATGCAGAGAATCTATCCGCGGACGGGCCCAGGTAACCGAGGGGTCTGTTAATGCTTCAACTCATGTATTGTACTGCCCCGAGGGGCCCTAATACTACCAAAAGGGTCATACTGTGCGGATAAACAATACTAAATAGAGACCCTCTCGAAAAGTATAAATAGTGGCCGTCGTCGGAACTAGAAACTTAAAAGTAAAGATTAACACTAAGAAACAATGCAATTATCTACCTTAGCAATTTTATCTCTGGCTCTTGTATCGCTGGCCCACGCTTTAGGTGGTTGTGCTTTGAGCGGCTCAAAATCTGCTGGTTTTAAGGTTAACGTTTACCCTTATGAAATCGAAGATCAATACACCATGGCAGACTTGGATTATGTCTCTTCTGGATACAGAAAGAACGCAGTGATTGCTTCAATTCCATCAGTTCAGAACATTAACTACTATTGGAAGCGTCCTTTGTATCCTGATAGCCCTGATCCTTATGTGGCCCAGCTCTATGGTGGACCACTTATTACTATGACTAACTTTACCATGGAACTCACAGGTTATTACCATGCAATTGAAGCTGGTGATTACACTTTCGAATTGACCGAGATTGATGACTCTGCTGCAGTTTTCATCGGTGATGGTTCAGCATTTGACTGTTGTAAGGACACTCCAACCATTAACCCAGCTGATTTCAAAATCTTCACCGCAAAGGAATGGCAAGGTCATACTGGAAACACCAAGTCTACTGTGCAATTATCTGCTGATACTTACTATCCTCTCAGAATCGTTTACACAAATGCTGTCAGTCGTTCCACCTTGCAATTCTTTGTTACCAAACCAAACGGAGCAACTTCTGCAGTTCAATCTGATGTTTACGTTTACGATGAAAGCAGACAATATTGTCCAGAACCATCTTCATCTATCTTTTCATCAAGTACTATTCCATCATCTAGCTCTGCTACCCCAACCCCTCACGTTACCACCGTCACTACCCCATGGACCGGTTCCGAAGTTTCTACTACTACTTTGACTCCATCTGGACCTGACGGTACTACCACTGTTGAAATCTTGACTCCAACTCCAACTCCTGAAGTTACTACTATCACTACTCCATGGACTGGTTCCGAAGTTTCCACCACTACTTTGACCCCATCTGGATCTGACGGTACTACCACTGTTGAAATCTTGACTCCAACTACTCCTCACGTTACTACCATCACCACTCCATGGACCGGTTCTGAAGTTTCCACCACTACTTTGACCCCATCTGGATCTGACGGTACTACCACTGTTGAAATCTTGACTCCAACTCCAACTCCTGAAGTTACTACTATCACTACTCCATGGACTGGTTCCGAAGTTTCCACCACTACTTTGACTCCATCTGGATCTGACGGTACTACCACTGTTGAAATCTTGACTCCAACTACTCCTCACGTTACTACTGTCACTACTCCATGGACTGGTTCTGATGTTTCCACCACTACTTTGACTCCATCTGGATCTGACGGTACTACCACTGTTGAAATCTTGACTCCAACTACTCCTCACGTTACTACTGTCACTACTCCATGGACTGGTTCCGAAGTTTCCACCACTACTTTGACTCCATCTGGATCTGACGGTACTACCACTGTTGAAATCTTGACTCCAACTACTCCTCACGTTACTACTGTCACTACTCCATGGACTGGTTCCGAAGTTTCCACCACTACTTTGACCCCATCTGGATCTGACGGTACTACCACTGTTGAAATCTTGACTCCAACTACTCCTCACGTTACTACTGTCACTACTCCATGGACTGGTTCCGAAGTTTCCACCACTACTTTGACCCCATCTGGATCTGACGGTACTACCACTGTTGAAATCTTGACTCCAACTACTCCTCACGTTACTACTGTCACTACTCCATGGACTGGTTCCGAAGTTTCCACCACTACTTTGACCCCATCTGGATCTGACGGTACTACCACTGTTGAAATCTTGACTCCAACTACTCCTCACGTTACTACTGTCACTACTCCATGGACTGGTTCTGAAGTTTCCACCACTACCTTGACTCCATCTGGATCTGACGGTACTACCACTGTTGAAATCTTGACTCCTTCAACCACTCCATCTGGTCACATCACCACCGTCACCACTCCATGGACTGGTACTGATGTTTCCACCACTACTTTGACTCCATCTGGATCTGACGGTACTACCACTGTTGAAATCTTGACTCCTTCAACCACTCCATCTGGTCACATCACCACCGTCACCACTCCATGGACTGGTACTGATGTTTCCACCACTACTTTGACTCCATCTGGATCTGACGGTACTACCACTGTTGAAATCTTGACTCCTTCAACCACTCCATATGCTCCAATCACCACCATCACCACTCCATGGACTGGTACTGAAGTATCCACTATTACCTTGACCCCATCTGGCTCCAATGGTACCACTACAGTTGAGATCTTGACTCCAACTGGTGAAACCTCCACTGTTACTGATATTCACACAACCGTCATTACCGTCACCTCATGCTCAGACAACAAGTGTACCGAAGTTCCTGTCACTACTGGTGAAACTGTTGTTACCACAACTGTTGACAGTACTACTTACGTTTACACTACCTACTGTCCATTGCCATCCACCACTGCAGTCGTCCCTACTCCACAAGGTACTACTCCATCTGGTGAACAACCAGCTGCTACCCCATCCGGTGAACAACCTGCTGGTACTACTCCAACTGGTGAACAACCAGCTGCTACCCCATCCGGCGAACAACCTGCTGGTACTACTCCAACTGGTGAACAACCAGCTGCTACCCCATCCGGTGAACAACCTGCTGGTACTACTCCAACTGGTGAACAACCAGCTGCTACCCCATCCGGTGAACAACCTGCTGGTACTACTCCAACTGGTGAACAACCAGCTGCTTCCCCATCAGGTGAACAACCTGCTGGTACTACTCCAACTGGTGAACAACCAGCTGCTACCCCATCCGGTGAACAACCTGCTGGTACTGCACCATCTGGTGAACAACCAGCTGCTACCCCATCCGGTGAACAACCAGCTGGTACTACTTCATCTGGTGAACAACCAGCTGGTACTGCCCCATCTGTTGAACAACAATCAACCGGTTCTTCCCAACCAAGTGCATCTCCATCAACTGGAGCTCCATCCATTACCCCTGCCGATAATGCTTCCGGTAAATTATTATCTTCTACCTTCTCCATGCTTTCAGCCATGGTCGTTGTTTGCTTTTTCTAAAAGTGAAGTTTTCATTTTCTTAATTCACATCATTTTAAATACTTCTTGTCATAAAATGGAAGTTCCTAGTGCTACTTTCATATTTTCGTTCTTACTCTTTTGATGATTAATCATTGTAAATATATGTACTAATTCCAATAAACATTATTTCATAAACAGTTCAACATGTAGCGACTAGTATCCTTTGATAGTTACACCAATTTCAATCTATACGACTATAAAGAGACGGAAGGGTATGCTATCTTTTGTGATATCTTCAATTGCAGCCGTGTTGCAACCTAGTTCCTGACAATAACAAATATGCTCTATATACAGAGGACCTGGCTCACATTTATAACGAAAATTAACCGCCTCCATAAACTTGTTAGGGAAAAATAGACGGCAAATTCTATTAGAAGGATTAAAGGATCATCCAAGGGAAACCCAAGCTCCAATATCGCCCAGTCACTGAACCACAGAAATTTTTTAGGGCGAAATTTATGAATCGCTTGAATTATCTAACATTATTATATAAACTCTAGAAGAAAGACATATTCTTCCATATACCAATACACCTATTCATTTAACATACCCCAATATCGTATTATTTTAATCATGATCTATACCCTCGAAAGTCAAAAACTACAAACACATAGAACTAAAAATTGTCTTTATACATATAAGGAACAAATTACACCATGCACGTGATAAACATCACATGCCCACAACAGCTCCGGCTAAACATGAAATTACAACTAGCTTAAACATTGTGAGTGTTGGAACACCTATATTTTAAACTAGAAGTGGTAAATATATGTGGTTTTCAGGAAATTTTAAGCCCAAGGGAAAGACTGCGCTTATCCTAGGCGCCTCTCAGGGATTGGGTGCAGATCTTGCATTGAAATTGTATCAAGAAAATTGTTCGGTAATTCTTGTAGCGCGTACTGAACTGAAATTAAAAGCACAAGTTGAGACTATTAGAGGCACTTCCAGCAAAGAAAGCCAAACAACGGCAAACTATATACCCTGCGATGCATCTGATTATAATTCATGTGTCGAACTCTGGAAAAATGTTTACAGTGAGGGCTGGGACCCAGACTATATCTTTTGTTGTGCTGGATCATCCATTCCAAAATTATTTGGTGATTTAAGTGGATCTGAATTGAGCATGGGGATTACTACAAATTATCTGACAACTTTAAACCTCATCCATTCTGGGTTTAAGGAAGTCAAACAAAAATTAGAAGGTGGTACGACACCAAAACCTCGTCATATTATTTTATTTCTGTCTGTAGTGTCATTCTTCCCATTTATTGGATACGCTCAATATGCTCCGATGAAGGCAGCTATACAATCACTTTCGATTATTTTGCGCCAAGAGTTGGGCCCTTTCAATTATAGAGTCTCCTGTGTATTCCCTGGAAATTTCCAAAGTGAAGGATTCGACGAGGAACAAAAGACAAAGCCAGAAATCACTAAAACTATAGAGGGCCCCAGTAGCCCAATCCCTGGACCAGAGTGTGCGCAGATTGTATTGAATAAGCTTGACCAAGGCTATGATACCATCACCACTGATGCCATTGGCTGGCTCCTAGGATGTTCTGTACTTGGTGTATTGCCAAGAACTTGGGGTTTCTTACAAGTTCTTGTAAGTTTAGTTTTCCTGATCATTGCACCAATCGCTAACTGGGTAATATATAGAGATATTGTCAAGTATTTTGATAAGGAAAAGCGAGCATAAATTGATATTAATGAGAGAGATATAATAAATAGTAATAGTATACCTTAATTGAATTTGTATTGTAATACATTCGATAGAATTGAGATATCAAACAAATTCGTATCATTTCGTTGTGCCTGAAATGGACCTTTCGGTGAGGATCTGCTCTTTTTCCACAAAAAATGAGTTCACCGATAGAGTTTAGCTCCACATTACAATTTCATGATCTTAAATATTGTACATTTCTACTTACTTTACTTCTTTTCTTCAGCTACCACCACCAAGTTTTCTGCCACCTTACTGGTCAAATCCAGTATCTTCTTGTCGGCAGCAATTCCCCAACTATACCAGTTAATTCCATACACCCAATTGACCATCTTGATGATCTCTTCGTTCCAGATATCCTTTGAAGTTTCAGCAAAGTTCCTGGTGTGTAAGTCAACCCTGGTGTCTACAGCTACTGGCTTAGGAATGCCAGAGTCAGAAAGAATTCTGTTGTTGACTACATCGTCGGCATTTCTAAGTTGCTTGGACACAAACTTTTGGTTTTTCTCAATGTACTGACCAGTATAGTATGTCAAGGATGCGGTAAGGAGAACACCTCCAAGGAACCCATGTATTCTGCCACCCATTATATATCGTTTTATTTGTGTATGTGTGGTGTATCTAATTGTAAAGTGTAACCTTTTAATGATAAAATAATTCTCCTGTGTTTTAATTCGCGGAAATTTATATTTTGAGAATTTTGTGTGTTGCAATAATTCGAGTAGAGTAAGGAGAATGTAAATGAATGAGTGAAAGACATCTAAGTTCCATGTGTAGATACTTGGGAATGTTCCCACAAAGATAAGGGGAAATCCAAAAGTGACCCCCTCTACTTATTTATTTTTTTGTACTTTTCAACAATTTTCGATCGCATGTATCGAAATAGTTTCAAGTCAAGAATGAGTGACTTTATCTGAAAGTAAAGGATACCCACAATTTTTCCCATGTGGGTTAATACCCCATTTCTTACAATATATTTACTTTACACGGCCAGTTCTATTATTCTTCTTCTCTATTAGCTATATACACGGGATACGTTCCCCACCTTATATGGATCTTCTTATCTTATACCTATTGTTCTACTTCAGCTTCTTCTTCAATAAAAGTTTCTAAAGCGTTCCGTACAAAGGCAAATACTTCAATCTTATCCAACTTACGTACACCATTTTCTCTAATTTCACGTAATTCTTCAACAGCAACGTCGGTTTCCTTCAAGAAAAATGGCAATTGTTCAACAATCCCGTCCAAAGGACCTTCGATTTTGTCGCCAGAAGTTGCCAAGTAACGAGAAAACTTCAAGTCGGCAATGTATGCAATTCCTTGAATCATACGTTCATTTACATCTTTTTCTAAATCAAAATCAGCAACTTGAGGATGAATACCGAAAATGGCATATTGTAAACGAACCAATTTTTCACCAAGTTCAACATCAGTTTCTTCGCCTTCCCCAGTGGCATCTACATATCTTTGCTTGAACTCAGCCAAGTATTTTTCCTGCACGTCTTGCATGAGTTGGGTTCTTTCAAAAGCAGTTTGACGTTCAAGTAAAACAACCTTGATTCTCTTTTGTACCTTTACTAACTTGTCATCGATTTCAATATGTTGAGCAAAGTCTGGATCTTGAATAGCTTGAGCAAGTCTGATTTCACGGCCCAAGGCATTTCTTTCCTTGAGGACTGTGTACCAGAGAGTGTGCAAATCTTCAAAAGACTTTCTTCTGAGCTCGGCCATGGTCCATGGTCTCGACTTGATATGTTCGATCTCCGCACGAGGTCTGAAACAAGTTTCAGTCTCTGAACCTTCTGGGAAAAATTGCCAAAGTGGATGGTTTGGATTGACATCAAAGTTCTTGTGTGTGGGGACAATGGGTTCTCTCAACTTGATGGAGTCAAGCGAGCCGAACTTGAGGGTACGGGCCCTAGCCTGGATGGATCCAGAGAGGTATCTCACAGAGTTTCTAGAGTACATTGCTGTTTGATTTAATGGACTTTTCAATGAATCCTCAGAAACGATTGAAATTTTTCGAACAGTTTACCAAAAAAAAAAGAACAAAAAATAAAAATAAAAGAAAAGAACAGAATGAAAGGAACGGAATCGGTACAGGAACGACCGACCAATGGACTCCAAAGAGTATTCAAGAATTGGGAAAGAGAACCATTTTTATTGAGATATAAAAGGATAATGTGCTAGAAGGAGAGGAAAAGATTTGAATTGTATGTTTATACAAGTAAATATAAGATAGTAGTATACTTTTGGTAGTAAACTAAAAGAGAAGAAATAGTTCTTGTACTGCAGATAACAAACACACCTAAATTTTACTTAACAATTTAACAGCCATCAATAGTAAATTTGAACGTTTTTATTCAAAATTTAACCATATTATTGGGTAGATACCTTCAATACATCGATATGTATATTAATAGTATTGATGGGATTTGGTATTGTAGAAATCAACAGAGAAACAAAAAAAGAGTATTAACGTCTTTCTCTCGTCCCTCTCTCTATCTCTTTTTGTCATGGTAAATAATTTCATTAATGGTTCTCACACGACGGGTCAAGGTTGAAGTATATCACAAAGAAGGTTACCCATACCAACTTTATCAATCAACATAGACCCCCATCAATAAGACCATGTCCACAGTACAAACAGAACAACAGCTGCAGGAGCCACTTGACCTTATTAGATTCCAACTTGACGAACCTGTGTTGGTCAAGTTGAGAGGAGCCCGTGAAATGAAGGGTAAGCTTCAAGGGTACGACTCTCATTGTAACATGGTGATCAGTGAAGCTGAAGAATATATATACGATGTCAAGGACAACGAGGAACCAGTGGTGAAGAAGTCCGAAATGGTGTTTGTGAGAGGGGACTCTGTCATTTTGATCAGTCCAATTTCCGAGTAAGGAAATGAATAATAAAATATGTACAATACGATATATTAAATATACAAGGGAAGTAGAAATTGACGTTATTCATGTAGATAGTTAGTCAATAAGTTGAAGTGAGTGAATGAGATAAGTTAGTGAATGAGTGAAGGATAACCCTGACTCATCAATGACATTTGTGGAAATAGGTTGTCAGCTCTACTTATAGGTAGCCTTCTCTACTATATGACCATCTACATTTGTCACCTAGTGTAGTCAATCCTACATTTGACCACTTTATATGGACCCCTCTACTTCTATACCACTCTAGTTCTCTTTATTATATCTAATTCTTAGAAATTCTCATCCATTAATGCCTCCTTTATCACATCCAAACGGAGTGCATTGACACTCCATCTGTCTCTAGCTTCAGCCCCAGTTGCCTCCAACTCCCCAATGCTGTGAATTACAGCTCTAATCATTTCATCGTACTCTGCCACGGTAGTGGTGGCCTTTTCCTGCACTGATGACCTGGAAGCATTGTAAACATACTTGTTATCCGCCAATCTTCTAAACGTCTTCCCGCCATCTAGATGCTCATCCAAGTACTTGTGGAGATCTACACCATCAACCAGCGTGGCTAGAGCTTTCAACTCGTCGTATCCGAACAAGAGTTGTTCGTTATAACTATTTTCCTTGTCATTGACCGTGCCATTCATTTGTTTGGCGGCATTTGGTTTGGTTCCGGGCCGCCTTTTCGTGTTCAATCCAGACTCAAATTCGACCAAGAGCTTACCCAAGTCATCTAACAAAGGCTTCTGAACCGTGGTCAAGTTTTTAATCTGATCATTCAATCGAATTTTCGTTTCTTGTAAGGTATCGTGAGTCTGGTCCAATTCAATGGTATGGGTCAGGGGGACTTGTTCATGAATGTCCAACTGGGTTACCAAGGCCTCAACATGGAGGGTATATGCCTCTCGCACTTTCTCCAATTCATATTTGTATTTTTGAGCTTTCAATTGTGTTTCACTGTTGGAGTTATTCTCTCCATTAAAGAGCGTTAAAATGTTTTGACGAAGGGTCAAATATTGCTGTGCTATACGGTCATAATTCTCAATATAACTGGAAATAGAATTCTCTATAACTTGAGTCTGCGACAGCGTTATTAGGGACATGATGGATGGATTATGGTTGACCAATCCAGGAGATTGGACTGTTTTGTCTGGGTGATGATTTAGGGTGGAAAATCATATTGGTGGTGTGTGCAGGCCAGGCGAAACTAGGAAGTTGATAAAATATGACATTCAACATGTGAAGATTAGAGATGAAGAAAACAGATAGAGATAGAGATATATGTAGGAAAAGTGGTGAAAGTCACCTATCTAATTTCAATGGTGGGTGATTACATTAAATGTATCAGGAAAATGGATTTACTCTCTTAGACCACACCATTTTTTTCCTTTATTATCATCATTTTAATTTTTATTTTAGTGGAAAGATAAGTGACTAAGGGGCGTTAGGAAGCAGTATTTACAAGCAAGATCAGTATATTGTCATGCTTGAAAACTGCTGTTCTCACAGAGTGCAGTTGGATTGGTGGAGGGGTCTTATATATCGAAGGTTAACGTTTGGCTGCAAAAGTGCGAAATTCTTCAAAGGCGGCTAAATAGAAGAATAGACTCTATACAATAGATTCGAATCCAGCTAATACTCTCTATGTTCCACTTGCACTAGAGCTAAGGAGAAGTGTTATTTGTGAATAAAAAAGGTCCTAAATCACTACGAAATTTGAGTTTGAGTATACTTTAGCATTCCAAAGGGTGGAGAGCGTGAATGATTTGAAAATAGGTCCAATACAAAAGGAGTCCATCACTACTCTTATATTCACTGATTAATGTTAGTAGCTTCCAATTTTATTTCCACTGATGCTACTACAGCCCTCGAGCCTTTTCCTTTCCTTTAAAATATTTTACTTCTTGGACTTAGCCAGAACACACTCGGGTCAACAACAACCTGTCACTCTAATATTCACTGCACTGACTTCTTATAAGCACATTAAAAGTATTTCCATCAACCATTGTATCATTTCTTGTACTCACCACCAGAATTCTGGTGGCCATTGTCGTTTAAATATAATTAGGTGATATTTCTATCAAAACCACAGTTGTCCATATCTCAAAAGCGAGTTAGGTTGCTCAAGTATCCAAACTGATAACATTTTATAAACACAGTCGAGACTCGGGGATAAACCGGTTCCGGTCGATGAATTTAAAAGGGGGATGTATTTGCACTAAATCCGCAATATACATACTCCATCTAAGCTTGCGTATAGGCTAGTACGGCCATCTTATTTTTTAAACCACTTCAAGTTATTGATGCACCTGGAAACAATACACGATATATTACATGAGTGCAATGATAAATACTCCTAGTAATGTCGTATCTGCAATATTGGGAAAAGAGTTCTAAGTCCGTTCATACGTGAATAAAATAATACCACATATCCTGGTATTCAAGTTCCGGTCAGGTGCATACCCTTCCCATCCGGAATCCTGATTGATTTTGTGTGATATGCACCATCAATATGGTCGACGACCCTTTATATTTGACGCATGCTACAAAGCTCATACATTCACAAAAGAATGTGTGAAATTTCCTACATGTTTCTTCTTAGCGAAAGTTACCCAATATTACCACATTATGTACCCTCGGTGCGCGAAAAAGTGATAATACAACTTACATGGGGAGCGTCATCGAAGGTGCAATTTCTGCGTGGATACCACTTACCTTAATTGGCATGTTTTAATGTTTTGTATCTCGTGAAGGTGGATCTAAGATTTGTGCCTAACCATAACCATGTATAGACAAAATTTACGAGATACATAATCCAATTCAGTACAGAACAATACAGAGATCTCGGCAAAAAAAAGCTATTGCGCTTAAGCCTAGCTGGGCTTCTGTCTTAGCCTTACTGATCTTGACCGTTCACCTGGGAGCAACCTTCTTTAAAATTTTCCGTGTCATGACATGTCGGCTTAGCTTATCAAGCCTTTACACACATCTCGATAATAATGATTTTATGGCTAGAATAGCCGGATTTCCCTGTACAGGAGAACTCATATAACGCACATCTTTGTGATGTCACATGATGTCGTGTGATCGTTGCTGGTTAAACTAACATCATATAGCTGATAATAGACGTAAAAATATGTATCTATTTATGCGAATCGGTGTATTGTTCAACTTGACGTCCATTGACATGTATGTACTATTCTGTCAACAGTATCTATATACTCTAGAGTGAAAAGATTAATTCGATTTGTATCAATCTACAGGTCTTACACTACGACTTTCATCTTTTTCTTTAACCAATATTCCTTTTCACATTATAAACATACTTCGTAGAACTACTCTGGATTGGCACCAATTGCCCATCCTAAACCAGAAACCAAAAGATTGGAGATTTTCTCTGAAGCATGGTGTGTAGTATGAGTAGCCTCATGAACCATATTGGACGCCAACGTCTTAACTGTAGGAGCATAATCCAGATGCTGGGTATGATTAGTACCATTCAGTTCCAATTCTCTATACCAATTGTTGATTTGGAGGTTCAAAGAACCCAATTGCCTCACAATAAGTTTATTATCGATAGAAGGACCTCCAAGCTTTAAAAGAAGCGAGAGGATTTCTCGCTGCTTAAGAAGAGTGTCGATTTTATTAGACGCTTTAGACGACTCTTCATCAAACCACAGAGGAGAAACATACTTCCCAACTTGATAAAAAGTTAACCATGGGAGTGTATCAGTAGGTTTGTCCAAGTACCTGAAAAGTTCCATTGACTGATTATATGCAAACAGGAAGTTCCCATCCACCAATGCAGACTCGATGCAAGCAGACTTGAGCGAGATGAAAGGAGATGAAGATGGGTCAATGTCTTCAGACGTTTCCGAGAACGACAACAAAAGATCGTTCAAAATTCGATATAATTTCTCATATGCCAAGTATGATTTAGGATTCTGTTCAAGGATTGTTGAAATAAGATCAATAGGGGCTGTCAGAAATCTTTTAATAATCACATTTGGAGTAATAGGTGTCCTTTCTCTGTTGTTTGAAGTGGAAACAAGAATCTTGAAATTCTTCATGTTTGAAATTGCCCTAAGGAGATGTTTAATTTGGATAATTTGGGCTGAGTTTTCTGGAGAAATGTTCTTGATAGCTTCAAATAAAGGAATGCATTGAGTTGCCTGGTGGAGTTTCCCAGAACTCGTCTGAAGGGAGGTGGCAAGGTTGAACGAATCCCAGAACTTGTTAAGAACACAGGAGAAGAATTCATCAGGCAGAAGGGGGGGTTCGCTTTGATTTCGTTGATACAATGTCAATGCTGGGTCGAAAAGATCAACCAGAAGTAACCGAGAAATTACCAATTTGCTTACTTCAGGGTATGACAGTTTGCCGATAAATGAGTCTCTGAATGATTCCACTGATAGTATAACCACTTCCCAGTTGGAAGTATTGATCCCACTCATGATTCTGATGATTTCCTTTTGTTTGTATGCTTGAGATGATCGTGAACCCCATCTTAATTGGAGGTAGTCAAGAATGGAGAGTCTAGTAGTTGAGGAGAGCGAGTTTGACACTTTAAGGATAGTGAGAATAAGTTGAATAGACGCATGTGTTGGGGTTAAAAGAAACTTCAGAAGATCGGTGGCGAACTTGGGATCTAAGTCAGAATGGAAAAGCGAACCAGTCTCATCAATGAGTGAGTCAAGGGATACCTCATGCTCAGATCCCGTTAAAATTTGAAGATCTTCTGGAGATTCTGCATCAATAATTGCGGCCGACTCAGTGTCCTCGTCTTGAGATAATGTTATGCCGGTTAAAGTCTCCTTTATAGTGTCGTAAACCTTGATAGTTTCAGTGGAAGTAAGGTTACCCTTCTGAATAGAATAATAGTAGATGGCCACAAGGTAGCGGTGAAGGATTGGGGTCAATTGTTGAGAGGGAGAAGTTCTGGAAATGGCAAGAATGCTTCTACTCCATAATTTATGACTGCGATCGAGTTGTTTTGATTCCTGGAACATCCACTCTTCTAGAAGAGCCAAGCTGCCTCCTTGGTAAGCAAGGAAGGGCATCAAGACCCGGGCAAGCCACATCTCGCAGTTGGATTGGTTCATTGGTCCCACAAGCAACGAAAACTGTTGACGTGGAGCCAATGCCTCGAATTCTGCAAAAGTGACGTTTTCGTCTACCTCTCTGTGGTACCACCATTCGTTGTAAGGGACAAATAGTCCCTTTCTCCATTGAGAGAATGCCACGTGGCCGTCCATCAACAAGAACAACTGATCAAAGCGATCAAAGCTTCCCACATAACTGGACAGCCATTGAACCTTAGCACGAACAAATTGGAATGCAAGGTCCTCTGTGGATTCTGTATCTAGCCCAAACACCAAGGACTGTTTGTGGGTATCTGCTACAAGGTCACGGGCAGTCGAGTTGATCTGTTCGTCGGAAAGATCTAGATCAAGATCAAGATCAAACCCATCAGACATGTGGTCCTCACTCACCACCAGGTCGTCTCGCAAGACCGCACTGACAACTTCGGAAACTTTCCCGACGGTTACTCCCACGGCAGGAGCATAGCACAACAAGAGTCCTAAAACATTTCCCGCTGTCATATAGGGTTCCCCGCTGATGATAGCGCCACGAATGTTGCTGAGAGAGGACGAGTTCAACTTGTTCAACCGCGAGGCGGACGCAAAAGCCTGGGCTGTGGAAATGTATGTAGCCATCTAGTGTCTGTATGTATGCGTGTGTGTCTGCACTTGCTGGCTTGGTACGCTGGCCAGGATAACTGCTACTGAGTCTATCTATTCCAAGTTCCTCACACTGGTTTTGGTCCTCCTGTATGCTCAACGTTTTGGAGTTTGCGATTCTTTTGCGCACTTTTTTTTTTGTTTGGCTTGTTTTTCATTGCAACAGATGCTAAACAAGCCTGGAACTGGAGCGGTACACAGAGCAATACAACCCCTTTTACAAAAGCAAGCACTTGTATAGCGACTGTGTGTTGTTAATTAGACCCTTCAGTAGCTGTACCCCTGTCGTGCGCTTATGATTCGAACGGTTGTACGAGCGGCTGCATACACAGGACCACGACGCGTATTGATGAATGGACCCAGAGGGATGATGGCCAACCTGGCGGCGGTCGAGACAGTTGAGCTGTCTGGGTCGCAGACATGGGCGTTGGCAGACACCAGTTATTGTTCCGAGACCAGTCACGGGAGCGAGGACGTGCAGGTTGTGCTCCCAACTGAGGTGGCAGCAACGATCATGTCATCCCCCGTTAGACAACCAGAACTCACAGCAAGTCTCCTTGATTGTATAGACAAGGTTGAGTGGGAGTCTTCATTTGAAGATACCCAGGACGATAGGCTCATGGGGAGCATTTTGGATGAAATTCAGGTGAAAGAAGGAGACTTGGAGCATGAGAATGAACTTCTTTCCTTTGCCAAAGAGAATAAGAATAATAATTCTGGCACTGACTTGTCTGAGACAAAGGATTGTAAGAGTCCTGCAATAGAAACCATTGTAACCAAAGTTCCCAGTACTGCTAGTCCTGTACGAGTCTCTAATCCAGCTAGTCCTGTGCGACTCTCTCATCCAGTCAGTTCTACGAGACTATCCAACCCAGCTCAACTCTCTGCTGAGAATGTATCTTCAAGCCCCACCATACACCATACCAACCCACTTGTAACCTCTCCAATATCAATAATCAACTCAAGAAAAGCACCTCCGAAAGTGCTACTTTCGCTGACTAGTACAATCTTGACACAACCCCCTCGACAACATCCCCAGGAATTACCCCATAATGAAGCTAACGATAATCTTAATCCCACCAACTCTACGAGTGACCACTTTACAAATCTATACCCACCCAGTAAAATTCCTAGAAGGAATGATTCTTTCACATCCATGGGCTCTAGAGTTAACAAGGAGCCTCCGAGATATGCCACGATCCACCTTTCCACACAGAGGGCACTTCATGTCACTTCGGGTTCTAATGCGACCTCGGCAGACCCCAATGCAACCAACCCATCCACCGCAGTTGCCCCCAAGGCAGTGAAGCCAATGATTCTTTCCGCAGAACAAGAACATATTCTTCAATTAGCTACCCATGGGACCTCCCTTTTTTTTACCGGGTCTGCTGGTACTGGTAAATCGGTGCTTCTTCGTTCGATAATCAAATCTCTTAAAAGGAAGTACAATGAGGGAGAAGTGGCTGTTACTGCATCTACAGGGCTTGCCGCATGCAATATTGGAGGTATAACTCTTCATAGTTTTGCCGGAATTGGGTTAGGAAATGCCCAAACCAAGAAATGTCTCAAAATGATTCGTAGAAACAAAAAGGCCGTCAACAGATGGAACACGGTGAAGGTATTAATTATTGATGAAGTGTCGATGATTGACGGTAATTTTTTGGATAAGTTGGGAGAAATAGCTCAAACCTTACGTAAGAACAACTCACCATTTGGAGGAATTCAGCTCATTGTTTCCGGAGATTTCTATCAATTACCACCAGTCATGAAAAGACAAGTGACGAACTCTACCGAAGCTGCTCATTACGATTCATTACCTGATCCAGAAACAATATTTGCATTCGAAAGTGAAACTTGGAAGGAAACAATCCGCAAAACTCTTATTTTGCAAGAAGTGTTCCGTCAAAAGGGTGATCAAGGATTCATTGATATGTTGAATGAAATGAGAGGTGGGAAAGTTAGTAAAAAGACTCAAAACCAATTCCAATACCTCAGTCGTGAATTACCAAAACATGATGGGATCGAACCGGCTGAATTGTTCCCCACCAGAATCGAAGTGGATAGAGCAAATAATAAGAGATTGTATGAATTACCCGGGAAGTCTCAAGCGTTTCAATGTATAGATTCAGGTTCCTTGAACCCAGCTCAAAGAGCAACGTTATTGAATAACTCATTGGCTCCAAGAACTTTATTCTTGAAAAAAAATGCACAAGTAATGTGTATCAAGAATTTTGATGAAACTTTGGTCAATGGAAGTTTAGGTCAAGTTGTAGATTTCATGGATAGAGAAACTTATATGGTTTATAAGGAGATTAAAGAGGAACCATGGCAAGATGCTGATGAAGTGGAGAAGAAATTGGGGGAATTTAGAAGGAAGGCTGAAAGAACTCCTCCAATCGAATTGCCCGAAGAAGAAGATAGCACAACCAAATTTACAACTGAGCAATTGATGGATAGTCAAGATTCAATCTTTGCATTTCTAAAAGATGTCGAAGAACCACTGCAAGATACCCAATCAGAATCTTTTATACATCAAATGTCAATCAATCGTAAAAGAGATCTTTTGAAAACTCTTTATACAAATACTAGTCACAGGAAGTACCCACTTGTGCGATTTCTTCTCCCCGATGGGTTCAACACGCGTGAAGTTCTAGTAGAGCCTGAAGAATGGACCATTGAGGATGAGCAAGATATCGTACTCGCTCGTAGAGTTCAACTTCCACTCATTTTGGCTTGGTCACTTTCTATCCATAAGTCACAAGGACAAACGCTTCCGAAGGTTAAAGTAGACCTTCGTAGAGTGTTTGAGAGAGGTCAGGCATATGTGGCATTGTCACGGGCGGTTTCAAGACGTGGTCTTCAGGTGTTAAATTTCCATCCAGATAAGGTTATGGTGCATGAAAAGGTGAATAAGTTTTATACCACGTTGATTTCGGCCCTGGGCGAGTCCAAGAATAATGAAAAGGTACAACAACCGGAGTTTAGACAGAAGAAGATGGATGATTTTTTGGGAAATAGGATATAATGGTAAATATATAAATAGAATATAAGCTAATATGCGAAGGTATTGTATTGTTTTTCTATTTACAGGAGTGGCTATATTCGTTTGTGATTTAAGACTTTAGCTTTTTAATTTTAGCAGTCGCCTTGACCAAGGTCTTTGCATTCTCTTCAACCATTTCATTGGTGAGTTCGTACGAGAGGTCAACTTCCAACTTATTACTAGGAAATATGTGTACAGACTCAACATCATCTTGAATATTGTTGTAGAGTACGATATGCGCCAATCTTTGAAGGTCGAGCGACGCGGAGGAGTCCAGCACCACCACGAGATGACCCTGTGACTCCGGAGACATTCTGAGCAAGTAGAAGTAAAAAAGGTCGGCCATTGGACTATCAATTCCAGATATATTTTTAAAAGATTCTTTAGTGTATTTGGAAACTGCTAGTTGCGGTATCAAGCTATCAGTAGAATACACCATGAGGTTTTTGCTTGGTAATTTGGATCCAATTAAGTCGTCAGCATACGCAACAGTATGCTTTGTGTTTTCTGCAGACGATGTTTCGTCACCAATCCAAGTAAATCTAGCATCTGTAATGGAGTCTCGTTTGATGTAAGAAGGAACAACCACGACAAATGCTTCATGATTATCTGGATTATGAATTCTGAATTGATCTATAGTCTTTTTGATTCTTGTGAAAATCTGGGTTGTATCATTCAGTAACAATCTTTGGGCAAATTTCTGCTTCAAGTACATTTTATGGAAATTCTTAAGATTATGGTTTGTCACATTGATTTCTCTGACAAACATTTTAACGGTATCGGCTTTGTTTGGGATATTCTTCGTCATATTAATATCACGGATTTTACCACTTTGGTACTGAATAAGTGAAAATTTGTGGCGTTGTTCAACCACTGGGAATGCTCCCACGGTGACTAGCTTTCTTTCTTGATTTCTAAATATTCTTTTGGAATCATCAAATCTGATTAGTTTCTCTACAAATTCAACTTGGGGATCAACTGACCGCTTCATAATGCTAGCACTTTTTTCAAGAAGATATTCACGATAATTTGTCAGAAGTTCATTGGTGGTGGACTTGAAACGTACTTGTTCTAAGTTGTTCACTTCTTCATTGATTTTCTGAAGTGCTTCATCCACTTGCTCACTCAGATTGAGTCTCATCAATGCTTGATGGAAAGGGTTTTGAGGTTCACAAATAAAGGAATACTGAATTGGTTTATAAAGAACTTGACGCTTGGCCTTGAGAAGTCTTTTCAAAAGTACATGGTTAGCCTGAGGTGGAATTTCTTCTGGGACAAGAGTAGGTGAACTATTTTCCAACATAAACTTGCAATGGTCGAATGAGTCAAGTTCCTTATCTGTATTTGTTACCTTCCATTTTCTCTCAGTCCAGCGTAACCTATCGGCTAATCCTTTCGAGTATGAAGTGATTTGTAAATCATTCAACTCTTGCACAACTCTTTGTAACAAACCGACGTACTTCCCCTTTTTCCCATGCACAGTGAAGTTATCCTCGCCCGCCACACTAGTGCTATTCATCATCCAATTCATGTTATCCACTCCAAGGAATCGAACTTCATGAACATTTGATCTTTTCACTGTGGTTGCAAAATCTGCATTTTCGGTCAATATTTGATGGAATTTTTCAGGTGTACATACCAAGATATGCGGGATGGCGTTGGAGTCTTCATTGGTACCACTAACATATACTTCGGTTTTGTCCCCCTTCAAATACTCAATCACCAACGGTCTATGACTAACTTTGTCGTCTTCTATACGGTCAGGACAACACAGGCTAGGAATTCCAACAGTTAACTGTGCGAAGTATTTCCTATATTCTTCTACTGCCTTGGCAGTTGGCACCAATATGACACTATCTACACTCTTTTGTTGTCTTGATAGAGCCCCATAATTGGGCATTCTGGTTAAGGAATAATTCATCGCATACGCAGCCATTGCAAAACTCTTTCCTGATTGGGAATGACCTCCGCGATGGACCACACTATGGTGAGAACTTAACACTGACAAAATAAGTCTTTGGTCTTCAGTGGGTCCGACATTCTTTTTCGGGATGTCTCCCAGTTTCACCACTCCAAACACACGGTTGATATTTGCCTGGATGAAGGGTAATAATCCGAACGATGTAAAATCAGTACTTTTATCTTGTGGATTGAACTTTAGTTGTGTGGTGCGGTGATGAGATGGTGATGAGTTCTCAATGACAGAGCGTATGGGAGATTCCCGGGCCGCTCTATAACTTCGTATAGATCGTATAGAGAGCCCCGGTATACGCCTATACCCCACCATGGATTTAAACATATTTAGGATAAAGAGGAACAGACTGCAACGTTGAACTACATCTATAAAGATTCAAATAAGTAAAATAAAAAATAAAAAAGGAATAATCCGAAATCGAGATCACGTGCTCCTCACACAATGGTTGCAAACTGGAGAACCACGCTCACATTGAGTTGAAGTGTTCCTTTTTCTTTATACATACAAAGTATTGACTCAGTAAATATGTATTTAACATTATATAAATATAAATATATTCTTTTCATTATATGCTGTTTCTTCTATGCAAAAATTTATGGGGATCCTTCTCCTTCAGTTTATCCACCATTCCTGCAATTGCTGGAAGGGTGCCCTTTTGTTCCCACAGGGTAAACAATTTGTCAGCATAATCCATACCAACGTGATAAATCTCGTCAAACTTGGCAAAATCTAACGTGGCATAATGATCAATTGGTGGTCTCAAGTAAAGAACGCCTGGGGTGTTTTTTGCTATTTCTAACGCATTGACACTTGCCACATAGGCTAATCTCATTTGAATATCCATCATGTTTGGTACGTTTGGGTGTGTCAGGAATGGGTTCCAACGATTGAACAAAACCCAGAACCCCAGAAGTGTGTCACCATAATTCATCGGCGTCCTGTCATCTACTGAACCCACATCTACCGCAATGATGAACTTAGCACCTTTCTTTTTCATTTCCATTACTGGTAGATTGTCCAAATACCCACCATCAAGCAACATGCACCCTTCGTGTGCAATAGGAGGAAGCAACCCAGCAAGGGACATCAGAGCTCGAATAAAACGCCAACTATATCCCTTTTCATGGATATCCATAGTGGAGTTCGTGATATTGGTGGAATTACAAAAATATCTGATCCAAAAATCTTCAATTTCAGCGAATCCAAATGTTTTCCAAATCCCTCTATTGAACTCATATCCTGTAATGTAAGAAGTCACGGGATAAGTCAAATCAAGAAGTGATCTCCAAAGAGAACTAACTCTGAGAGAAAATATCTTGGCACGCCCATAGATGGACACACTATTATAATCCTTAGCATAAAGACCCCCTACGAAGGAACCTATTGATGTACCACCAATAATATCAACTGGAATACCATGTTTTTCCAATGCAACTACAATCCCCACATGTGAAATACCACGTGAACCACCACCTCCCAAGACTAACCCAACAGCTTCATTTGACAAAAGTCTTGCAAGTCTCAAAAAATCATTTTTATGAGATGCCAAAGGTTTATATGGATATTCTCGGTGATGTAATCTCATATTAAGTTTAACAAATGACAGAATCGCTCTACTTTTAACAGAATCGATTCTAGCCCTAAATGTTTCATTCGAGATTTTAGCTGCCAAATTACGGAAAAGTGCTGATGTACGTCCTGGAACCCGGCCCCGTGATAACTTACCTCCATTTCTTGCTTCGTTATCCATTTCCATATGAATATGGTGATGTCCTTGAACCCAAATTCGGTTTTTCAACCAAATACTGGTCAGGCCGGCAGCGACATATCTCTCTGGGTGGATCAAACAAAGTTCAGTGCGGGCAGTAGTCTTTTGTTTAATTAGGAGACGTTCATATTCACCCATTGTAGTGGCAATTTCATGGTCATCCGCGTCTGCTAATAGTAAAATACAATCACCTTGAGACATACAAGTAAGAGTCCAATTCAGCTTCACTGGAGAATCACACACATAGACAACTGTTTCATATTCTTCTTCAAGATAAGCAAAATATCCTGATAGTTTTAACTGTGACAAGCGTTCATCAAAGGCATGACGACCCAAATGGGTTAAAGTAGATGCTTGGTCAAGAGATATTACTTTTCTACCAATTGATCTGAGAGCATGAACAAGTTTGTCCGAGAACTCTCTAACAGGCAAGCCCGCGGTGGTGGGTAAAATAGTGATGGTTTTATAAGACGTTGAGAGATAATCAGATGTAGACGAAGAAACATATGCAGTGGTTGGGCCCGTCAGAGGGTTGTTACTTGCCAGAAGTACCTTTTTAGCCACAATACGTGAGACCTTAATCATAATCGAAGGGTTTTGAATGGATAACATTTCAAAAAGAGTTCTTGGGATTCTAGCGGTTTCCGAATCTCTAATTGCAATCAATGAGTTTGTTCTCCGTGAGGCGGTGAGTACTTCAACTTCCCCAATTGACGTTCCATGACCATACTCTCCAAGAATTGTCAAGTTATCATCACTTTTCTTACCTTCCTTGCGTACCACACGGAATCTTCCACTCAAAACCATATGGAAACCATTAGCTAAGTCACCCTGGGAACATAATACATCACCAGCTTTAATATGACACCATTCTAAAGCAAAGTCTATAGTTCTAATTTTCAGCGAGAGATGCTCTTTCATACGCAGCGCAACTGGAAGTAAAAGATAGTAGAATTTATCTGTAAGCTTGGTAAAATCTTTCTTACTGATATGAGCTACAATAGCACCATTTTTGGAACTTGTAGATGATTTGATTGAAACTAACGACCGGAACCCCACAATTGATGAAAGGTATCCGGCCAACCCACCTGGTCCAACGGAATACAATCGAGAAGTGGTAGTCAGACCCTCTTCATCATCAGACTTTTGTAAGTGAATCACATCCAACTCTCCATCAATGACGTAATATAATCCAGAATTAAACTTCCCCTGCTCGACAATTACGGAATTTGGTGCATACTGTTTGATTTGAATCACTTGAGAGAATTCATCCTTGACGGAATCAAAATCAAAGTCTGGATGAAGCTCTTTATTGGTTTTAGGTGATGATGCTCCGTTCAAGAATGGTCGTGGAGATGTATGATTAGATAGTCTCCTCTCATGTTCAATGACTTCTGAGACATTTATGGTATCATATTGAGGGGAGGAAGAATGGAAAGAACTCATACGGGGTCTTGCACTAGCCACCAAGCTAGACAAACCAACTATAGAGGAAGATCGAGATGATGGATTCGAAGTTCCCATTAATTGAGTGAGCTCTCTCTCGGATATTCCCAATAGTTTGAAAAGGTTTTCAACAATAGCGATTCGTAGGGAAGTTTCTTCAGTTTCCTCACGATCAGACGAAAAAGTTCGATCAATTGAGCGTCTTTTCTTGAAGGATCTCGAGGGGAGTCGAGTTCCAGACTTGGAATGGCATGATTGAACTGCAGGGGAAGCCGAATCCTTCTTGTACAGAGATGAGGGTTGTTCAACTACTTCCTCGCCGCTATGGGTTTGATAGTAGTCACTTCTTCGTGAAAGTGGTACCGAGGATAAAAGATCGCCTGGATGAGTCGCCTTGTACCGAGAGGCTAGTACAACGTATCGAGAAGAAGTCGATCTTCGGCTCGCGATTTTAATTGGTTTATTGAGTAAGTTTGTGGAAGACTGTGATTGGATTATAGGCGGTGTTTGTGGACGGGTGGGGAAAGTAGGTGCGTTGGAGCCACTCAAATTCCCCTTACTTCCACCCTCACTTGTGGAAAGTTCAACCTCAGATTTATGGAAGCGTTCAACCACACCATCTCTAAGATAGCTAGGTAATTGAGTAGCCTCACAGTCCTTGTTCAATTTAATTTCTGCCTCTATAATCTCACGCGTAAGCCCCAAATAATTGTTGATGGTATTCATGGTGACTTTGTAAAGTCGCGTGAGAACCATGGTAACTATATGGGACGTTGCCCTTGGATATTTAGCCTGAACACGTTCAAATGCATGACGAGGAATAATTGCAATTGTAGCAGAAGAGGACGAACCAGAAGAATTTGGTGAAGGCTTAGACTTTTTCGAGTTTTTGGAGCGGTCCACCTTTGGTCTCGCAATAATAAGGGGCGTTTTCAGTTCAGTAGAAGTACGTGGACCATCCAGTGGACCAATAATTGGCAGAACTGCTTCTGAAGAACCCGCCGATCTAAATGGACTGAGGGGATCTGGGTTAAAGATTGATACAGATTCATCCTTTGATGCCTTGAATAGGTCAAGGGTACTCATCAAGGAAGATAAGGGGGCCCCACTTTTCACCTCATTTAGAAGTTGATACCTCAGATTGCCAATACGAAGAATGTCACCTCCGGTCTCGTAATCAAGATCGGAGAAGGTGGACGAGGCGCCAGAATCAGGGGAGCCTGATTGCTTGTTATCCTCATCTGCGACCTTTATGTAGACCTGGAACACTCCTTCCACTACAATCAGAAATCCACGTTTCTCATCCAACTGTAAAATCTCGTCTTCCGCCACTCTTTGAGTGGTCATATTTTTAGTTAACTCATGGAAAACCGCTCTTTCCAAGTATCCAAAAACTTTTATGGCACTGAGGAACTCATCCAAGTATGTAGATCTTCCTCTACGGTTCTTTTTCATCAAATCCAAAGAAGAGTTCCCTGACCGAAGTGAGTTGTGGATCGAGTCTGTCAAGGTTGTTCCTGCGCCTCCTTCAGCAAGTCCCAAGTCGCCAGCACCGGGCCCTACGCCTGCAATGGACCCACCCTTTGTGTTCTTGGAATATCCAGTCAAATACTTGTACCGTACGATCAAAAAGCAAACCCCAATTAATAACGTGAGCGAGATCAATAAAGATGAAAGTGATAGGGTGATTTGAAAGTTCTTTGAAAGAATCCGAACCGCTGAGGAGGGGAGAATAAGAAAGATTCGATTAAATAAGTAAAGGAAATACTTTGAGATGAGACTCAATAGAAATCCAGGTAGTTTGAAGACTCGTGTTAGTGTCTCAATGGCTGGCACTGTTGCACCTGTGGTAGCAACATTGTCAGGCGAGGTAAATTCATGGACCTGTTCCAGCACTGATTCTATAGAAGACGCTATCAATTGATCCAGATTCATCTAATAATGGTGGATACACAAGCTCGCAAATTTCGAGGAATGGTTGAATTGGTTAATGCTTTGGAATTATGGGGATCAAAGCCATTGTGTTACTATTAGGTGGGGGCCCCAATCAGTCGCTCGTGGCAGAATGCGAAAGTGCAGGATTAAAATTAGATAGACCCTTTTTTGTTAGTTTTTTGGAGATTAGACAAAGTGGCAGTATGGGTTTGGGTTTAACATCGGAAATTCTGGTAAAGGTGCCTTAGTAAAGTGAAAACTGTGCTGGTTATAAGTGGGCTTAAGCGGAGGCTAATTTGTAGGGATAAATGTGAAGTTATTACTGTTCTGGAGTGGATCTTATGAGGTTGTTCTTCACTAAAAATTGGCTGCGAAAAGGAAAAGTGAGGTGACCGACCCCAGTGAGGTGTTAATTCAGATGAAATTATGGTGAGTTTAGATAGTTGAAACTTGGTTCTATTCTATATACGCCGTACTGAGTATACTCTGGTAATTCATGGAATAAGAATGGGCCTTGTGAAATGGTGATCATGGTTTTATTAAATGGTTGAATTTTATAAAGTAAATGATTAGATGCCGGCAGTGAATATATGTATAGAATCGAAGTAGCAATCTTTGACGAACTGGTGTTTGAAATATTTGATTATCGTGATATATATTGTGACGGAGGTCTAGTATAGCTCCAAAGTACGGTTTATTGAATTAAGAAACTGTCCGTTGTTAGTGGATCATATATCATATTCTACTCTCACTACACTCTATACTTCCTACACATTCTCTCTCATTTATCATGGCATGTATTTAAATAATGTCTAATGTCTCTTGTATGGCAAACAATTGTATCTCTCTAAGATTCTTTCAATTCCATCCATTCCCTTGACAATTTGTTCAAATTCTGGTCCATAACTGATACGCACATAATGGTACCAAATCACATCTTCCAACTTCAGTAAGTTTTGAGGGTTGATCAAAAAGAAAAACCCTGGAACGATAATAACTTTCTCATGAAGACATTCATGGAAGAACCCCAAACAGTTGGAAAGTTTCCCTGGGAGATGTGACAAGTTAAGCCAAAGATAAAATGTCGAGTTTGGGATGTTTCCATGTGGTCCTGGAGTGAATTTAAATCCCATTTTCAGAAGTCTACCCACAACATAATCACGCTTCATCTTAAAGTGTTGTTGCAAAGCCTTCATTTCGTTGCGAACACGTACTGGTTCAAGGAAATCAACTGCAGTGTACTGAAGTGGGGCGTTGGACCCACCATCAAGGAAAGATCCTGCACTGCTTAAGGCATTGATGTACTCTTCTGGACCTAAGATCCAACAAATACGCCATCCTGGAAGTCTGAAAGCCTTGGTGAGCCCGTTAAGAATAAGTACCGGGTCACGGTTGACATCTTCCACGAATTCCGCCAGTGATATGGATGACCCATTGCAACCTTCGTCATAATAGTAATGGGAATAAAATTCATCCATGATCAAAAGACATTTCTGGCGGCACAAGTCATGAAGCTGGGCCAATTGACGGCGGGTCATACAACGACCAGTTGGGTTACGTGGATTTGAAGTAAGAAGAGCCAGGACACCACGGTCAAGTTCTCGTTTCACGTACTCCAAATGAACTTCATAGTTGTCCAGTTCATTCAATGGAACTGGGATTGGTGAGAAGTTTTTGAAAAGTGAAAGCATTTCAGCGTACGCAGTGTAATCTGGGAGGAAGAACGAGAGATAACAGTCGCTGATGATGGAGGCAATACGCGTAAGACCAGCTCTACCCCCAGGGACAATACAAACGTTCTTGTACGAGTACTTGGAGGGTTTCCCTTGACGATAAGTGTCGTTGTAGTAGTTGGCTACAGCCTCACGGAGCTCCTTGATACCTGCAGTTGGAGCATATTCCTTCCCAATGTTGGTAATTGGGATCAGAGTGGGTCTTTTGAAAGACCCTGGAACTGTGTCCCCATGTTCTGGAGCACCTTGGCCCAAGTTGGCCCAATCGGCATCCTGAGGGTCGAACCCGTACTCTGAGGCCCGTTCTGTGACCCAGAGCACACCAGTGGACGATTGCTTGGTGTTCATGGCAGGCTTCAAGATCTCTGAGTTGAACTTTGGCTTAGGCATTGGGATTGGAGATGTCAGTCTGTGGTCACTCAAGACATGGGCAGGAATTGCCTTTGCTCCATGACTGGGGACGTGTGCAGAGCTAGGTACAGAGTCTCGCGAGTTCAACCAGCTGGAGCTGAATCTGTTCTCATGTTGGGCAATTGGTGTGGAGGATCCGGAATCAACTGGAGTGTTTCCTCCTAACAGCAATGCTTCAAGCAACGATGAGGCACTACGACGAAGTGGGGGAGGCAAGGTTGATTCCAAGCGTTCGAATTCTTCCAAGTTTTCTCCCGAGCGGGAGTCATTGGGGGTTGGAGACGAGTTACCGTATGGACTAGTCATTGTATAGGGAGCAAACGAAGGATAATTGGTGTTAATTGGGTACGGAGGAATCGGATCTTTTAAGTGACTCAGACTAAAAAGGAAATTCCCAAAAAAAAAGAATTGTTCGGAAACGGCGGTGCTTAATTGCGGTGGAACGGATAGATGACGTATCCAACGGGCAGAGTGTTTTTACTACTTAGAGAGGACGCAGTAAGGTATTCAGTAGTAGTAGATCGAAGTTGCATGGACTTGAGCCCAAATAAGGGGAACATACATAATATATAGAGAGGTGGATAGGTTAATTACTAGATGTGTTGCATTGATGGAACAGGGGATAATTTCAGGTAGATTCTATAGAAGTAGAAATTAGCGGGAAATTATGTAAATGGAGGGGAATTACGTAGAAGTGAACTCTATTTCTAGGGTATGTTTACCACTGAATTAAATGGTGGACATGGTTGCAAATAAATAAGCAAATCTATGGGATACAGGCGAGTTTCAAATGACTCTCCTCGTAGAGGAGCCAGGCACCACGCCAGTGGCTCTCCCCGAGCAGGGGCCAGCGGAGCTTCTTAGATCTCCGCATAAATCTCGGTAGTGGACTCCCCTACGGAGTCCGAAAGCCGCTCCACTGATACTCCATGGACTACTAACTACTGTGGGGGCGCGGATCCTGCTCCTCTACGAGGAATGATAGTTGAGTTCTCGTCTGAATGAAACGTTCTACATAACACTAAATGAATTACCCTTGTTCGGTTCTTCTGGTTCAGTTCTCTCTCTCTTCTTCTATCCAAGTTTATGTTTTAGCTTATGCTAAACAAGAAAACATTCATTAGCACCCATCCAATAAATACAATTAAATTTTAAAATTAAATCCTTTCCTACGTTTACTAATGGGCACCTATTTTCTTACTCACTCGTACAATCCCCCCTACCTATTCACCCCCGCAAATCCGTCTTACCACTAAAAAATTTTATTCCTCCTCCCCCTCAAAACTACACGGCGTTGGCTCTTTACACGGCATTGACCTTGTACGCGAAAATACTTTCACAAGAGTCCTCCTCCAAATAATACTGCCAATGATTGGCCACAGAAGACTACTGATAGACTACCAAGACAGACGTGCCCTTACATATATTCAGGCAGTATTGATAAAAAACCATTATGCCCCACATTTACGCTTCTCACAACTTCTCAATTTCTCACTTCTCCCCCATGGGACCATTCCAAAACGGAGCCGCTCCCGGAAAAGGAGGAGTGTTTACGCGCTATGTGCACGCCGCCATGACGCTGTATCCTCAGATCCCGCTACGGAGATCTCACCCACATTTAGAAGAGGAGTTACAACTTACAAAAGCACCCAACATTGTAATTGGATTTATATTCTTTTATTTTCTCTTTTGGTATCACTTTTTCTACTCGTTCTGCTTGCACTGAAATCTCCAGTTCAAAAGCTGTTCAGATACACACACAGAGGGACAAAGCGGTAGATTAAGCTTCTTTTTTTTTTTTTTTACAACCACAAGAGTTTGTGCTCCGATTAGGTCCGTCTTCCAAGAGGTCTGACCCATATCTATAGTTGTACCTTGCAAGTAAAACACGTCTACTCCACTTGTATATCCAGCATCTGTCAGCGGAGGTCGTTATTTATTTTATATCCCTTGTCTCACAGAGAAGAATACCTTTACACCTGCTTATCGGGGGGCCATCGCACAGTTTTACAATGAAGTACGTTGATCCGGGCCAATATCTCCTTTCACCTATCCCTTCCAATGAGGAGCAGCAACAACAACAGCAGGAACAGTCTGCGAGGCTTGGCTTTGGGAAGGTTTTAGCTGCTCTTCGGAAGTCCTCGGGGGATGGCATACCGCTGCAAAGACCCATTCCAAGCAGGAATTCTTCATTCCAACGTAGAAAGTCCTCCCATATTGACGGAACTTTAACTCCTGATCTAGCATCCACCACGGATGGAGCTCCCGTGGACGTTGATAAGGAAGAAGAGAAATTTTCTCTCCTTCTTTCCCTCCCCTTGGAAATCCTTCATCGTATCATTGAACTTGTCTACTACGACAACAACACTTCATCTATATCCCTGAATCTTGAGAACTTCTCAAAGACAATGCCTCTTTTATCCAGAACCATGAATGCATTATCCCTCCGTTTCCTATACAAGTATGCCATTTTCAACCGTCCACATGCATTTGATAAATTTATGCAAAATGTGGCCCGTCAGCCTGACATTGGGTTGTACGTCGAATTTATGGATTTCCAACAATTCACATCCGTGGGGCTTGGCAGGACCGGCCGTATGAATCAAGAAATCCAAATGGTGACTTCACAAACTATCCATCATGCATTGAGATTATGTCCGAACTTGTTGGAATTTCTAGCCAGTGAGAATATTCAGGATGATATGGATGTTGGGGTGTTGGATTGTCTATTCAATGGTATGTGGAAATTACAAGGGTTGGACTTTTGTGGTGCCAGTAGTGGTGGGTTTGCAAGAGCATTCCAAGAGCTACAAATCAGAACTGAAGCTGATGGTGATGCTGAAATGGACGAGTCTACGGGTGAACCAATGGATGGAATTATTGAAAATGTAAGTAATAGAGTTGCCTTACTAAACACAGTTGATGAATCAACAGATCTGTCAAAACCTAAAAGTTCGTTGAATCATCTTCTTAAATTATCATTCCATGATTGTTCCAATATTACCGCAGATACTTTTGCTAAATTACTTCCACACTTGACATCGCTCCGTCGTCTTGATCTTAACCATACGTCAGTGACATCGACTCTATTGAACACATACACACCCCCATTAACCAACCTCACACATTTATCACTTTCAAGATGTTCCAAATTAACCACTCGTGATCTCATTCTCTTCCTTACCCTGCATCCAGCCCTTACTCTGGGTAGACTTCGTTGGTTGTCACTTCAAACGGATTCAAATGTGGTTTCTCCTCTCAGTGACGCGTATCTTCTCCATACCCTTCGTCATTTAAAGGCTCCAAGGCTCCAATTCCTTAATTTGGGAGGACTCCCTGTGGCGCAAAAGCATCTAGTTGAAATCAAATCTCGCTTCCCACATTTAAATGCCCTTCATATTCTGCATGCGGCGGCCATAGAACCGCAACATATCAATGAATACCTTGCCAATAATTCAAATATCAAGTACATTGATATCACTGGTTGCAAGAGGATCACAAGATGGAACATTACTCAAATCCTTCAAACAAATTTCCATTCCAATCTCGTTGCAGTGGAGTTTGATTATAAACTATTGATGGAACTTACAGCCAGTGGAGAGTACGTTAAAATAACTCAACAACAACAATCTCTCATATCTGACCTTCTGTCAAGCTCATCTGCTCCACAAATCTGGAAATTTTACGATAACCAGGGGCGTAGATCATGGATTTACAAGGTGGAAACGACCGATCCATATTATAAATCTGTAGTCAACTCAACATCTACATCCTCTCATGGTATCCCAAGACCAGCTTCTGTATCCAATCTTACATACTACGATCTTGAAACTGGGAAAAAGATCACGCAAAAGTTCAAGAAACCTGACTTTCTCAAGTATGCATCGAGGAAAATTTCATGCTCCATCGGCTACCATAGATTACAAGATGCTAAAAAGAAGCCATACATTGACGGGATTGAAGAAGAAGAGGAACAAGATGTATGGCCAGCAGAATTCTCTCAAAGAGGTATTTATAACTACTACTCATTGAATGTGAAGTAGGATATTATTTAACATAGCATAGAACTTCAATATTTAATAAACAACCACATCTGAAGGAAAATGGAATGATAATTGATATATTATTAGGATTTACTAATTTTAATGCAATTCACACTACAGGACCCTTACATTCTTTTCAACCTGTCTAAACATTATATATATGTCTAGTCCAATACCTATCGTACGTTTAACACATGTCGGATATATTTCATGATCCGACCCAATAGAATCTTCGACCCCAGGTTATCTCGGTCCTGTATATATAATCTCCGAGAGAATCCAACAACAAAGTAGAACAAGTAGGAGTTGCACTCAATTACTCGAAATATTGTTAGGGGTACCCCGACTCGGCTGCTCGGTTTACGGCTTATGTGGCTGATTAATAAAGATTAGTGGAGTCTGTAGCCATTTGTATCAAAATTGAGCCCTCTAGGCATGAATAATTGACAAATTACATCTCATAACAATATTTATGATATCTCTATCGATTTGACCCATCATGATAGGAATTGTATATCTTTATATATATATATCCAGATTTCCCCTCAAGAAGCTGAGCTTTTTCTCTCCAATTATGGTTTACCTTTGAATCTTCATAGGCGAATTCATTTCTTTTCTTTCGTAACTTCCGCACATGCGAGCCGAATCTCAAAAGGCGGGGGGATTTAGATTCTCCACACTAACTTTCTTGTACTATATATATTTTACACTACTCCCCATTCAACCACACCGACATACAGGCCGACACACATCTCTGAAAATATGTCGCCAAACGTTGACGTTACCCCTATTCGTAATCCCTTGGATGTTTCAGCCCTTGAGAAATTTCTATCAAGATCACAATCGCCAGCTCCATTAGCTACGCAAGCATCCACCAAAACCCCAACTATTTGCACTCTTGGGCCGTCTGTGACATCATGGCCACCTCCATTTATGAAGGCACCCTTTACCGTCAAGCAGTTTAAATTTGGTCAGTCAAATCCAACTTATTTTGTCACAGACGCAAATTCTAGATACTTTGTCTTGAGAAGAAAACCTTCACCTAACAACAAGTTAGTTTCCAGATCGGCCCATGCTATTGAACGTGAGTTTTTCATGTTACGAGCAATCAACATATGTAATGAACAAACCGAAAAAGCAGGTGGCCCGGCCTCTAGACTAGTCCCTGTGCCAAAAGTCCACCTTCTCTGTGAAGACGAGTCAGTTCTTGGATATGTATTCTATCTCATGGAATTTGTAGATGGCAGACAATTAAAGAATCCTTCTATGCCTGGGATGCCTCAAGATGAACAGAACCGCCATTGGCAGGGAATTATGGAAACCATTACCGCTATCCATTCTTTGGATGCAAAGACCCTATCAGATGAACTTCCAGCATCCCACTTCCCACAATTTCAACCAGAGAAACTTTTCAAAACTGGTGGACAATCATATTTCCAACGTCAGGCACGGACTCTTTCCTCGGTGGAAGCACTTCAGACCAAAACCGTAGACCCCATACCATCCTTTGGACCCCTCTGTCAATGGGTCCTTGAGAATGGTCCGCGTGATCCAGATACGCCTACACTCATCCATGGGGACTTTAAGATTGACAATGTTATCTTCCACCCAACTGAACCTAGAGTAGTTGCGGTATTGGACTGGGAATTGTGTACTTTTGGTCATCCAATTTTCGATTTGGCAAATTTCTTGCAACCATTCCAATTGCCCAACCAGCTTAATCTCTTGCTCTACAAGCCTGATGTTACCGAGATGGGAATTGAACAGCCAGGGAGTTTAGAAGCAGTTCACGATAAGCTTCGGTTGTACCGGGAAGTCTTGGGCCATGATTGGAGTGACCACGATAAAACTAACAACCCAGTAGATAATTGGGACGTAGGATTTGTGTTTGGATTGCTTAGATTGTGTGTAATTTCACAGGGGATTGCCATGCGTGTAAAGCGTGGTAGTGCTAGTTCTGGTGAAGCAAGTGGATATGCCCGAATGTATCCACTCCTCTCGAAACTTGCCGTTGAGTACGTTAAGAATAGTAAGAAGGGTAAAACGAGCTCGGTGAGATTATAAGGTTTATAGTTTAATATAACTGATACTCAAAAAAAAAAAAAAGGTGGTGAGTGTAACCTCGTCCAGTAGTATTACAAGAAGTGTATTACAAGATTTTCATAATCTACAATTTATACTTTGCTCTCCACTTTTGTCAATCTACAATGTCCGTTGCTAAAAAATGGGGTTAGGATCCTATCATTCCCAATTCGCACAATATATAGAAATCAGATTTTTTACTCAACAATGATGATGCACTTCCAAGAGATTCATCTATCAATAAAATGTCCTACCTTCAGTATTCAGAGACCAAGAAGGAGTCTGCGGCTCTTATACGCTGTCCCTTTAAGGGCTGTAATGCGAGGGTGATTCCTACCAAATCGTTACAGACCGTGAAAGTGGCAAACTCTCCACAAATGACAAGCTTAAACGAAAAAGATACCCACACTGAATTCTACCAAGTGAATGACGTATGGGACTTCGATAACATTGGAGTTTCGAGACCTTCAGATGAATTGGAACAGCCCACCATAACTACGGCCCTGGGTGACGAGCTTGAGATTGCTGTCCAACGTTTGCTTATCTGTAGTGAATGTGATCGTGGTCCCTTGGGGTTTGCGGGCATTAGCTCCGGGGACGATGAGAAAGATCACAAGAACTTGAAATACTTTCTCAGTTGTACAAGTGTATTATATGAACAGAAATAGAGGAATAGACATCTTTTTAACGATTAAAATTTGTGTAAGTGCTTCGGAAACTACGACACACTGTAGACCTTTACACTATTGCCCTGTCTACTCTTTAATGGGCCTACACGGGGTTTCTTCTGAACACTTAATTCCATAGATATATAATTACAACTTTGCACTGGGTTGCAATTCCTTGGCAATTCCCAATGCAATGACTCTTGCGATGGCCATGACACTGATCATGGGGTTGACACCGCTTGCAGTGGGCATGGCACTGGCATCTGCAACATAGACATTGTCACATTCGTAGAGTCTTCCTCTGTTATCACAGGCTCCATATTTGGGTCCCTTACCGGCAATCCGACAGGAGGACATTTGATGAGCACTGCCGAAAGTGGTGCTGTATGGTTGAAGGGTAATTTTGGCAATTTCTGCTCTCCAAGTAGCAAAATCTTCATCATTAATGGTTCTGTTTGCCTTAGGCTTATTACTCTTGAACAGCTTCACTCCAATCTGTGGATGAATGATTTCTAAAGCACCTTCGATATAAAGAATGTCAGCAGCTATCAAAATACTCTCTTGAAGAGCCTTCCGGTCAAACTTATTGACGGAATAGTCCACAATGAGAGAGTCTGGTTTCTCTGGGCTGATCAGGAGCTTACCCAGTGACGTGTCACGGGTAATGATCAACATAGATGCCAAGTTTTGGTACTTTAAAAGCCTAGTACGTGCAGAATCAGATGAATTCCATGGGAGGAATACACTTTCTAAAAGTGGAGTGTGAAGAATCGTCTCGATCTTGGCTCCATGAGCAAGTCCATCAATGTCATCCAGTTCCGTACACACAGATGTCAAAATGGCCTCTTGGTGTGGGTTCAGTTGTAAATCTTTACCGAAATCTCCAAAAAGAACTGTCACTGGGTGAAGTTTTAAATTAGCACCAATGTGTTTGTTACGGAATCCAGAGTTCTGAAGAACAATTGGAGTATTAAGGGCTCCTCCACAAACAACGTACTTTGAAGGCCCGGTGATGGTAAATTCTCCACTGGAATTATCTCTGACATCTTTGCAAACAACACCTACACACTTTCCTGCCTTGTGGATTAATCTCACAACCTTTACTTCGCTCATAAATTGAACGTTTCCAGTTTCAGCAGCAGCTCTGAACCAACATTCTACACTTCCTTGCTTCACTCCAAACTTACAACCAAGGTGGCACATCCCACATGAGTGATTGGCATGATTGCCGCTGTTTTGCGGTACCTCTTTCGAGGCATAACCTAATTTTTTGGCCCCATCAAGTAACACTTGGTTAGAAAATGAATGCTTGATGTTCTCGGTTGAGGCACCCATTTGACGCAATACATAATCAGTGGCATTTTCGTACGACTCACTGGCGGCCCAATCTATCCCAAAATCGTCATACCATTCCTTACGAACCTTGAAGGGGGTCTTCAAACTGGCCAGCCAATTGACTGTAGACCCACCTCCAAACGTGCTTCCAGCCAATACAGTAACCAGCTGGTCTGCACTAGCCAAAATTCCTCCATTTTCGTACAAGTTTTCTAAACCTTGCAAATCATTGAATTCAAGTTCCTTTTTCGTATAATACTTGCCCTTTTCCAACACTAAACACTTGTGTCCCTGCTCGGTCAATGTATGTGCCACAACTCCGGCCCCCAGACCCAGTCCTATGATCAAAACATCAACGTTGGGCACATACAATTCATTACCCGCTTGTCTTGGGGTGTCCAACATGGTGAATTTGAAATCATTGACTACCTGCAGCTCGTACAAAATGTCACGGAGTTCAGTTCCAGGATACCCAATGGCTTGATTGTGTAACTCTGGAGCAAAGGCGTTAAAGGCAAACATACTCAAACTAAAGAAAAGATGAAACAACCTACGTTTTGCTGGAATTGCAGACATCAGCCACAGCTGTAACAATTCTTCACGTTGTTCCAAGGTCATATCTCTGATCAAAGTTAACGAAGACGTCAACACTGGTGCAAGAATCCTCAGTTCCAAAACATTGGCAAGAACAACGTACATCCGCACTGCATCCGTGGGTGTTTTGTTGATTGCCGAAATCATGAACTCTTTGACCCCTGGAATTTCCGAGGTCCTGGTCACACTGTTGCAGTATTCTTGAACCCGATCTTTAGGGAAATTTGGGCTTAACCAGGGCCCCACGGCTTCAGGAGTAGTCTCGTGGATGAAGCCGTCTGCTAACGCAAGCGCTACTTCAATATGTTTTTCTTCTACCAAATCAAGCATATTTACTATATGTATATTATTATTACTCTAGCTAAAGGAAAAATCATGTACAATATCGAACTATAAATAAGATTCCATTCTCCGTTGGTTGTCACACAGTTCCGCCCCACTATTTCAACTGGCCTGTGAAGATTTCCCCAAGTTTTCCCTTTCTATGTGCCCCGTGCTTTTTTTTTTTTTTTTTTTTCTGCATGCAAATCGCGGGGCAAACAAAAAATTGCCTATATGAGAAAACGAGTTTTGCAGCGTCTACAGAACTGTTCGAGTGCAAGAGAGGCTGAAGTTGAAGAGATCTAAGATATAATGAAGATGAATCCTTCCAGGATTGTGGTGAGACACTTTCTCTTCCGAATGTAGTTGTTCAATTGATTGTCTCTATAGTTAACGAGTCTCATTTGTTGTTATCACTCGTGCATTGTGTTGCATTATCACATGAGCTTTTGCTATCTCCGGTGAAACATACGATTCACCGACAAACATATGATAATTACATAGAGCATATGGCAAAAAGAGGCTGAATATGATGCCATCTTCATCGTCACCATGATCATGGAATTGGACTACGGGGGCTGTGAAGCACACAACCAGTTCATCAGAAAACGGAATTTCATATTTTTAGCCATATACGTCATATTAGTACTACAATCGTTCTTCTTCCTTTTCTTCCTCTTCTTCGTACCTATCACTTCTTTTTTCGTCTAAGGATTCGCCTTCTTGGGTTACTCTATGACCATATTCCTTTTCAAACTGCTCAAGTGCATGTTCTCTTGCTCTCCATGCTGGAACCTCGAATAAATGATCAATGGCCTCAAGGGGAACTCCCTTGGTTTCTGGATAAAATAAATATATTACAAATGGGAAAATCAACATACAAGATGCAAATAAAAAGTAGAGCCCGTATCCGATTGCATTGAATGCATTCCCAGTAAATCTACCCCAAATAAAAGCCCAGAACCAATTGGCCAGTGCGTTTATAGCCTGAGTGAACGTACGAATCTCTTGTGAGAAAATTTCACTATTGATACACCAGGGTGTACCATTCCACAGAGCCCCGTAAAAAATGGTCCAGATGTAAAGCATGGCCTGTGCAGCCTTACCACCGGCAGTCATTCGAGTTTCTCCTCTTGCAAGCGCAGCTGAAGGGTCGGCAATTTTCACATATGCTCCAATGTACCACATTGTTAATGAACAAGGAATTGATGCCCAAATAAGTGCTGTACGACGGCCAAAGTTATCTACAATAAAGAAAATCCAAACCACAGATGCAAAACCTTTAAGAAGACCAAATATTCCGGTTGAAAGAAGACCTGCATTGGATCCATTCACACCAAGGGATTTGAACACAGTGGGTGAATAATACGTGATTGCATTGATTCCCGATCCATTTTGCATGGGGAATAAAGATGTCAGGAGTAACATCCTATACAAAAGCTTACGAGAAGTTATAACTTTCTTCATGGGTGCAAAAAACCCGGTTCCGAGCTTTCTTTTCCTTTCATTGAAATCACGCTCAATATTATTCATCTCATAGATACTATAAGGGTGAGATTCCGGTAAATTACGAAGAATGGACAAGTTTTTACGGGCCTTTTCCACCTTTCCCCTAGAAATGAGGAATCTTGGTGATTCTGGAAGGAACATCACACCTACCCAAAAGAGGCCCAGCGGGATTAATTGAACTGCAAAGGGGATTAACCATTGACGACGCAGTGGTGGCATGTTTTCTAAGACCCCATAGTTGATCCAATACCCAATTATTCCACCCACTTGCCACGAGACTTCCCAACATCCTACAAGTCTCCCACGGATCGATGCAGGTGAAATTTCACTCACATAGATTGGTGCAAGTCCAGAACATCCACCGATACCAATACCAGTAAGCACTCTACCTGCATAAATAGCACCTAATCCATTGCTACTGTTGGAAACTAACGAAATGGCCGCTCCAAAAGTAAGGAAAAATCCAGATATAAAAAGACCAACTTTGCGGCCCACGAGCTCTCCGACTGGATACATGAAAAGAGACCCCCAAAAGGCACCAGCTTGGAAAACAGACACCACATTGGCATTAACCAAGGTTTGATGAGATTTCGACATTTTGTCCAATCCAAATTCTTTCTGGAAAGACGCCAACGATACTGTACCACCAATAAACCCAGCATCATATCCAATAATAACGGCAGCTGCCGCGGCTGTCACAGCGACTAGGATCAATTTCCAATTATAAATCTCGTCGGGGATGGTCACAACTTCCCCTTCTTCTTGTTCGTGCAACGAACGCACGGACATGGAGTCACCAGCATGAGAAATGCTTCTCTGTAGCTTGTGGAGCAACTTTGCCATTTAACTCTGTACAAGAAATGTAGGAATGACAACAAATGGAAGAAGAAGAAAAAAAGGAATGGTTACAGAAGATGATTCGTGTGTAAATTTTCAAGTATAGTGGTGTATCCCGGAGAATGGAGATGGTGTCCCGACAGCGAAGAAAAAAAAAAATATTTTGCAAAAGGGCGGGGGGGTCGGTAAAAATAATTCAACCGGGGGAATGATCAAAATATATATATACGAGTATAGATCGGCGATAATACATAGACACGGCTGACAGAGAAGTCTAAAGATAACACATATCAGGATCGGTGCAGTAAAGATGTGACCCACAAAGAGTACATCAGGGCCACGTTTTAGTTGTTTTGCCACATGTTACCCCACACGAAGGTTTCTTATCTCTAGAGAGAGTGCGGAAACAAACAAATATTTCCCACTAAATTAACGCGTCGAAAACGCCAAGCCGAGATACGAGCAGTTGGCAGTCGGGTAGCAATTTCGAGTTATTTCAAGACCTGATAACTACCATTGTTCATTCCATACATATAAGAAATGGGGCGTCGTTGGCACCATTTGGTAACAAGGTGGAAACGGGCTATATTAAGATCTATTAAGGTATTGTGCGACTCAAGGAAGCGTGACCTCTACCTCAGGACAGACTTGAAACAATTAAAAAAAATTTTAGAACTGTAAATGAACAAGAATGCAATAAATGGGTAATTGGCAGGAGGAGGGTCGTCGTCGACAGTTTGCATTTAGTAGGAGTTTCAAATTCTAGAGGATACTCTTTTTTTATTGTTTTTATTATTAGTATTATTATTATTTTTTTTTATTTTTTAACTTTTTTAACACTCTTTGTGGACTAACACTCTTTTTAATCGACTATTGAAGGACCTATTTACTTTATGAAACTTAGGGTAAGTCCATCTTAAACATAAGGTAAGTCCATTTTTTTAGTAAATTTTTGTGGTTGGGGGGTCTGCTTCACTGAATTGTGATGGCGAACAAAATTATAGTCGCGAAAAAGTTTTGAAAGTCTATGGTGCGAAAAACGTTGCAATCAAGCTCTTCATTACACCAGTAGATAATTGTCACGCCTTTATGGATGCAATACAGGGATACTCATCGGGTGAAGAAATAGAAAAGGAACATTTAGACGTTGACGAACCAACCGAACAACCCGTAACCCAGCCACATCAGCCTGCTTCTCTAGATATTTACCTGCAAAATTTTATTTACAACACCTCAGCAATGCATAGTATATTTGCTTATATCCCCTGGAGACCATCTATATCAACCACCAACACTCTCAAAAAACTTTCCCAGCGAATAATCACCCACATCACAAAGACCCATCCTGAGAGCAGTTCCCATTATAAATGGCACTTCATAGGAACCCCCAATGCTAGTGATTCCGGTACGTACAGTATCACCAATAAACACAATTTAGCGTCATTTCATATAACTTTAGGACCAAACATTCGAGGACCAGCATACAAAATAGACATGTTATTAGCAAATATTAAAAGAGGAGTGCGAGATATGAAACTCCCACGCGAAATTATTGGGGCAGATGGTACGGAACAAGCAAGGAAGAGCAAATTAAATAATTTATTAGGATTGACCAGTGGGAAGAGTGATGGTGTTCAAGGTGGTAGAAGCGATATAGCACTCACCATGGAGCCAACGCTTCACATTTTCCGTAATAAGACCACGGGGAACTTGTTTGTTACCGGGGTACTTTCCACTGCTGGTAAGCAAGGGTTATTCCTTCGAACTGTACATGAGATCATTCAAGATAACATTGCATTACTTTCGCTAGGACAGGGTCTGAAAATGCCTAATTGGCATATCTCATTTGTAGTGGGGGAATACAAGGGAGTGAAAGTGGATGGTATGAAAGGAAATAGTGGATCTAACAAACAGGGAGATGATTTAGTTGGAGTTCTCGACGTCGATATCACTGACGTGGTGAAGGACTTGAGGATACATATAGATAAAATAGAGATTACACACAAGGGTGCATTACGAGACTGTGAGGAAGTTAAATTCCCAGTTAATGCCACCCGAGTGAGGAAAAGACCGTTTATAGAGAAGAAGTGAAGTTGACACTTTAAAAGATTTAATTTATAAACCATCAGTTGGTGGCTTGTGTGGTAGTCATATTGTAGATATCTAGATCAGTATATAGCATCTGTAAAGGGGAATATAAAAATAAGGGGGGGTCCTATTAATTCACAAGGCTCATACATGCTTCCTTCTCCAACAATGTTTATATATATAGAGAGAGAGAGATATTAACACAGAAAGTTACTAGATCAAAGAACTTGTCGGAGGATATGTACATGGAAGGAGAACATTTTTCATCATTGTTAAATAAGTGTTGTTGTCTGTCGTACATACACCGTTTAGCATTTAGTGCGTAGCTTACAAAAAAAAAAATACAATTCGGGAACTCCGCCGAGACCCTTATCCTTTTCAACCCCATTTTTCAGTATTCCACTGTCTCTCATTTTATACGGTACATAAACATGTCCAAACGTCATCAGAAGAATATAGAGAAGCAGTTGATCGAAATTGTCAATAGCCCAGCTAATGAGAATAAATGTGGTGAATGTTCTGCACAGTTCCCAACGTGGGCCAGTTGGAATTTGGGACTCTTTCTCTGTGGGAGATGTGCTTCTGTCCATCGTCGTGAGTTGCTGGGCATTTCCAAAGTAAAGCTGTTGACCCTTGACCAATGGAACAACGACCAGATTGAGAATTTGCGTAGTATTGGGAACCGTAGAGCTCGGAAGGAATGGAACGCGAGAAAAGTTCCATTTCCATTTGCAGATGATGACGATGTAGGGGCCATAGAAGAATATATTAGGGAGAAATACAGAGATGGGAAGTTTAGAGAGGACAATCGGACTGGTGCCGAAGTTGTTGGGAATGGGAGCGGTCGTTCAAGACTGCTGCTGAATGTTGGTGGTACGAGATCCCGTCTGCTGACCGTTAGTAGACGAGAATTACCCCGATTAACCCACAGACGATTGACTCAGTTTGAACAGGGCCAATTCACTTCTCAAGTGAGACAAATTATAGGTTTGGGTTATGGTACACGAGACTTGGTGTTGGAAGCATTACTATTCCTGGGAGGTGATGTTGAACTTGCCTTGGATATTTTGGATGAAGACATGAAGGTAAACCCAGGGAAGGAAGAACTTCCTCCGGATTTACCCAAACGTCCACTGACTTCTGCCAGTGCTCTGACTTCTCACTCTGCGTCGGCGGGTGCCTCGGAACTGAGACCAACTTCGGCTGCTCCTTCCAGCGATTGGTGGGGTCAACAACAGCAGCAGCCACAACAAACTGGGCAACCTCAACAACAGAGTCCACAAATATACCAGTACACCGACCCTGTCACGGGGCAAATTTCATATGTGGATGCCAATGGACAAGAATATCTTGATCCAAGCAATCCACAACACCAGCAAAAGCTTCAGCAGATGGCCACGCCATTGAGTGCCCAGCAAACAAATAACCAAGCCATTTTGTCATTGTACTCTCAGCCAGACCGTTTCACTTCGAATGTAGTAGCCCCAGTTCAACAGAACGGTCAAAACGGTCAACAAGTCCAACAGACTCCTCAACATACTGGGCAACAACTTGGTCAGCAAATGGGCTTCCAACATACTGGATATCAACAATTTCAACAACAGACCGGCTACCCACAACAACAGTCTGCGTTTATACAACAACAAACTGGCTTTGCTCCTCAACAAACTGGTTATTTACAACAACAACCTACTTTCCAACAGCAACAGTTCCAACAACAGCAACAATTCCAACAACAGCAACAATTCCAACAACAATTTCAACAACAGCCTGGCTTCAACGGACAAAGTTATTCACAGTTTGGTCAGAGGTGAGTAGCACGTTAAAAATATATTGTAGTACATATAGGACAATATAAAGGTTAGAATGTATTTCCATAGGTATGTAGACCATGAAGAAATACAAAAGAAACTCTCTGAGAATTTGGTTTTTAAGAATATATATCTACCAAAAATTATCGTTATTTCTACTATCAAGTTCTCGTTCAGTTTGTTGAATGAAGAGGTGTAGTGCACTTCCAGGTGTTCCAATAAAAAATTATTATACTCCTCTATGATCAATAGAAGTAGTTACACATATTTATATATATATAATATCTATGGATTCAAAAAAATGCCTTCAGCCAGATTCGAACTGACGATCTCCTCATTACTAGTGAGGTGCCTTACCAACTTGGCCATAAAGGCTGTTTTTGAAATGTTATTTTTTTCGCATTACCATATGGTTTTATTTTAGCGTTATCTGCAGGACTTTGTGTAGAGCACGACCAATGTTTATATGGCTGCAAACTTTCTTTCATCATATTGAACTATGTATTAAATATAAAGATACTCTTGAAAGTCCGAAAAGTTGAAGAGAGCTTTGTAGGTATCTATGAAAATAATATATTATTAGCTCTTTTCAAAAACGTTATGTCTTATTTTTTTTATTTTTCATATCAATATGCTGGTTTCCCAAGAAAAGTTATTAGAAATAGTAATCTCCTTTGTTTGCTATCTCAAAAATCACAATAACTTTACTACACCCAACAAAGAGCCATAAAAAAAGTAAACTCTCTGGCTAAACTGAAACTAGTTCAATTCGATGGGAACTTCGATATACTCCACATCCGTGGCAGATTTATGGCAAGAATAACCAGTCTTACATTCAAACATCATTTTATCATTAGTGAGTCCTACAGCCTGGTTTCAAGTGTGGGTAGCTTTCGCATGCCGAGGGCCAAGAAAAAATTCACTACATCATCTTGGTAATATCACATTTTTAATATACGGAAGAAAGAAAAGGTGTAATCGTTTTCCGTAAATGAACTTCTATGATGAACTTCATGCTTTTGATATAAACTCTGTCCTCGTATTGATTGCTTTCTTTATTTTTCTGAGAATGAAAGCCCAGTTGTGCTATAGTCAGGTATTTTCTCCGTCATTTCCACCATCTATGTAAGTGTATGCAACACAATTTCATAATTCCGCAAAAAGTAGTTTCAAAACTCCACAAATTCAAGTTACATCACTCACATGATTTCTATCTTAAAACAGACACTTCAACGTAGATCAATCTCCTAGCTAAATATAATAACCCGCGTCTGCTATTTTCTCTAGCAATCATTGACGTGACCATCTCCACACCATTAATCGAGACAAATGGTTTATTAATGTTTATTTATCTATATATTGATACTTCGTAGTTCACTCTTTAAATTGGTAATATTTCCAGTCACAACATAAATAGGTTGCACTAAACCTACTTATTTCTCTTTTGATATATATATATATATATATATATACATAAAAACGCAAATACTTAGCCCTGGAATGATTCAACCAAAGCTTTTCCTGTCAAAGGCTCTTTATGACTGCTGTGCGTACTGGTCCTGGCTTACTATTCATCTTCAACTGACAAGGGAAGTTGAATTACAACTTCAACGAGTGCCTCCACTTCTTCTTACTGTCTATTTCCAATCACTCCTTTTTGCTTGTGTTATTAAGTCCAGCATTAATTCATTTTCTACTTTTTGTGCACCTATACCGAGAAGCTCACCCCTTTTCCGTTTTTCAACGTTATCCAAATTTGGGTTCGGTTTAACTTTTTTATTAGGTTTCCAACCCATTCCTCGAAGTAATGCAGCACCAAATTGTTCAACTGGAACTTTATTATATTGGTCTTCATCATCTTCCTGATCTTCGATGTCATTATCTACCGATTGAGGTCTTTTAATAGTAAGTCCTTCAGAAGAAGGTATCAGATCTCCTGAGATCAACGATTGTCGGATGATTTGATCTTCAGTTAATATTTGATCTTTGGAGTCAGATATTGACTCGTTTACATCTTGATCAGTTGCAGACTTTTCAGTTCTTCTTTGTTTACTATCAGGAATTTTAATCACAAGCACTTCCTTTTTAGGCTCAGCACTTACAGATATGTTCCCATTTCTAGCACCACCTTTCCGTTGATCAAATGAATCTATGGAAACTATCTTCTCATCATCATCATCCTCAGAATCGGAATTTGCCAAAGTTACCGTCTTATTTATAGGTTTCTTAGGTATATTTTTCTTAAGAGAAAACCCAATTTTAGGTGAAGGGGTTCCTGCCCCTTTACTGCCTTTTAAATTTAATTTGAACCCTGACATATCTCAAATTTGAATATTCATTATATTTATAATTGTATTCTTAGTACAATCATCATAATGTTATACCAGACCTTCAAAGTGGGTTTCCTTTTGAATACGTTGTGATGTAATGTCTGTGTGATATAATTCTCGGATCATCACCCTATATTTCATAATATTTGGTGGATTGGATACGGAATTCTCCATCGTAGTAATTTCAGTGCAAAAGTGGTGAAATTGCAAGATGAATCTGGTCCTTCATAATTGTATAAATATACTGACAGTAACATAAGAATCAATGGTAAATATCCCTCTTTCAGTAAATTTTCATTTTCAGTCATCAGAAATTATGAAACTAAGCCCACTATTATCGCTAGCGTTTACTTCGCTCTACTCGGTATCCTACGTTCATGGACAGCACATTGAAAAGAACACATTCACGGTTGGAAATACCATTATCCAGGGTGACACTCTTATTGACAAGGGCGTCTGGTGGACTCTTGTTCGTCCCGACTTAGAAACATTTACTAGCACGGTAAATATTTCTGGTGGACTCTACATTTTTAGCGATAATCTAACTTCATTGAAGGTTAACACCAACAAATGTCAAGCATTTATAAACTCTGGTATAGTGTTCTTCAAAGTTCTTCTGACGTCGGCTAATTACTACCTTAAAGTTGGCGAGTTTGAAAATAGTGGTGATATGTTCCTTCTCGCAGAAACTACGAACAGTATTAGTTACAGAATTGAATCTGAAAAGTGGGTGAACCATGTGGGTGCAACGTTCAATATGTATCTTGACTCAAGAATCGCGAGAGAGACTGTCACCCTTGGAATAATGGGAAAATCCATTTCTAATGAAGGACAAATTTGTTTGAAAAACTTTAGATGGAATTCTACCAGTGCCATAGTAGGTAAAGGGTGCATTGATATTGGTATCAATTCCATATTTCAATATAATTTACCAAGGATTCCAATGAGCAGTGATCAGACATTTTATCTTTCTTCCCCATCTTCCACTTTGTATGTCGGTTCCACTGAACAATACTTACCGTACACTGTTGCTGGATTTGGAAATGGGAATGTAATTGCACTCAGTAAAAGAATCATTAAGTATTCCTATGATGATCCCCTGGGTATTTTGATTTTACAGACCGCACTGTACACCATGAAGTTTCAAATCGGCCACGGGTATGATCCGGATTTGTTCTACTTAATGCCAGCAGCTGACCTAGGTCCAGGAATTGGTGATACCAAGCTTTATGCGGCTTTTTCGTACGATGGAAATGTACCAGATGAAAGCACGAGTTCGTCAGTTTGCAAGTTTTGCCAAGATGAGCCAATGTTCCCGCCTGAAGGAAGTCTTACATAGTACACAAAACTCTTGTAGGCACTGGTACGAAGCTGCTACATACAACAATCTTTATATATATATATATTATATAAAAAAAATATCTCAACATATGATGAATAATTTCATGTTCCTATAATAAGTTCTCGCAAGTGCTCTTTTTGTTTTTGTAGTAATAGACCTTTACTTTGAACTTACCATTCAATTAGCAAGAAACAAAAGATAAACACAAATATACCTCAAGCGGTTTTGAAGTCCAAATATAGAATTTTGCTGAAATGGGTCAATAGAACCAATATCTTACTATCTAAGATAGACCAGTGTCCTAGAATAGCGCTACTTTGTCTGATGTTTCGTGTACAGTTACGGCTCTTTGCTTGAATTTCATCTGCGGCTCATCGGTTCGTGTCATCAACAAACAAACAAAGAATTCTCAATGAAATTTCAAGAGGTGAAACATGGCAAAACTGATCTCGCGATGTGTTACATACGCCACTAATCGGCATGATATTCTGTGAGTGGAAGTAGTTGCCACATCTCAAAAAAGCAGGGTCAGGATTTCAATTTTCGTTTATATCTAAAATGAGTATATGTTCTACAATCTAACTTCTCTCGAAACAGATTATATGAATGAAATAGTCATTTTTGATAGGCAATTCGGAGGCTATCCTTGGCTTCAGGAACATTGAAAGTGGATTCTTCTCTACAATTCTGTTGACTCCTACGTGGATTCTTTGGAATCTCGGCAATCGTGTTGGTTTGAGTGTGGAAAAGAGACGCATCAATTTACGAGATTTCGCGTATTATTCGCGCATAGATTGTCGACTTGCTGCAAAAACGAACACACGCATAATGAAATTTGACCGAAGAAAGGAATGGCCATGATAAAATAAAGTTTTTATGTTTGTAGCAAACTATTATAAATAGTGGATTAGGCCCTGTTTTATAGTCTCATTAATATTATACCTATTCTATAAAAAAATGTATTTGTCAACTATTGTCGTTACATCCCTATGGGCAATCAATCCGGTGCTAGGATTAATCAGTAAAGGAACGTTCCCAGGCTGCTTAGCAAGTGCGTCAACTGAATCGGGAATTAATGGGTTTTCAGTTAAGGTTTACCCGTACCGCATTAACGACCAATATCTGATGGCTGATGTAACCTATATGTCATCAGGCTATAAGCAAAACCCATCCATTGCTACAATTGATGCAGTTCAGGATATCAACTTCCATTGGGAATATGACAGCGATCCACTTACAAACGATGTACATTACGGAAGTCTTTATAATGGACCAGTAATCACCATGACCAACTTCACTATGGAACTCACCGCCTACTACTATGCTTCAGAAGCTGGAGAGTACACATTTGACTTAACTATTATTGACGATTCTGCTGCTGTATTTATCGGTGACGGATCTGCTTTTGATTGTTGCAACGACGCACCAACAGCTACACCTTCTAAATATTCAATCTTCACTTTAAAGCCTTGGGATGGAGAAACTGCAAAAACTCTGGTTACAGTGACCTTAGAAGCCAATAATTTCTATCCTATGCGTATTGTTTATGTCAACTCTCTTGGAATGGGAGGTATGAATTTTTTTGCAAATAAACCAAATGGTGTCAAGGTTCCTGTACTGGATGATGCACATATTTATCCTTTTGGAAAATCGTGTCCATTATCCCCAGCTGCATCATCTATTAAACCTTTCTCGTCCATTGAACCTTCCATATCAGTCGATCCATCTTCATCTGTTGAGCCATCTTTATCTGTTGAAACATCATCTTCCGCTAAACCAGAACCAACCGCAATAGGTTGCCCTTCAAGTGTGTCTGCATCAGGGGAGAATGGTTTCAGAGTAAAAGTTTATGCGTATGAAATTATGGATCAATTCCTGATGGCTGACCTTGATTATGTGTCCACTGGTTACAAAGATAAAGGTGTGCTCGATACCATTGATGTTGTCAAAGATATCAATTTTGTTTGGATTTATGAACCGGAACCTGCAACTGGCGATGTCCACGAAGATAAATTATATGGTGGTCCGACTATTACGATGACAAATTTTACAATGGAGCTCACAGGTTATTACCTTACTTCTGAAGCGGGTACATACAACTTTGATTTGGCTGTTATTGATGACTCGGCCGCTGTCTTTATTGGAGATGGTGCCGCATTCGACTGTTGCCAAAATCTGCCAACAAGGAACCCCTCTGACTACTCCATCTTCACAAAAAAAGATTGGCATGGTGACAATGGAAAAACTAATGCAGAAGTGACTTTAGCAGCTAACACATACTATCCTATACGTATTATCTATACTAATGCTGTTGGTATGGGTGTTATGCGTTTCTTCGTTACAAAACCAAATGGTGAGACAGTCACTGTACTGTCAGATACATATGTATTCGATTCGTTTGGAGATGATTGTCCAGTACCATCGTCTTCTTCTTCTTTTGAGCCATCTTCATCCGTTGAGCCAACTTCATCTGTGGAACCTTCATCATCCGTGGAATCATCTTCATCCGTTGAGCCTTCTTCATCTGAGGAATCATCTTCATCTGTGGAATCATCTTCATCCGTAGAATCATCTTCATCCGTAGAATCATCTTCATCCGGGGAAACTTCGTCGTCCGCTGAACCATCATCATCTGTGGAACCATCATCATCTGTGGAACCATCATCATCCGTTGAACCATCTTCATCCGTTGGACAATCTTCGTCCAGAGACCCTCTAGACCCTACGTGTACTGGTTCTGCTACGTCTGTAAGTTTCTCTTCAAATGTTCCTGAAACATCAGAATCTGTTACAACTGAGATTCAAACGACGGTCATCACCATCACTTCATGTTCAGCTAATAAGTGTACTGAGATCCCGGTCACAACCGGGGATACAGTTGTAACTACCACCGTGGATTCTATCACGTCTACTTACACTACGTATTGTCCATTGTCTAGCAGTGTTGAAAGTTCGGTCGATATGACTCGGACTTCTACTGTCATAGTCACTGTCACTAGTTGCACAAATGGAAAATGTTCTATAGTACCAAAAGAAACAGGACAAGTTGTGGTGGTTTCCACAGTATCCGGTTCTGGTATTTTCTCCTACACAACAAATTGCCCACTTGACGACTCGACATCAGATTTCCTATCTACAACTACAATCACTTCAACTTCCATTACATCAAAAGAAAATGTCAGATCTACCTTCGTAACAACTACCAATTCTATTTCTACTCCATACGGAGATAATGTGTCAAGCGAAGTACCTTTCAATTCTCCTTCTGGTGCTTCTCCTTCTGGTGCTTCTCCTTCTGGTGCTTCTCCTTCTGGTTCTTATCCTTCCGCTATCCCAACTGAGAACTCATCAAGGAGATTGGCTGTATCATTCTTTTCACTTCTAACAGTAATGTCTGTTGTACTCTTTGTTTAAATGTTAACGTCCTTCTGATACCATTATAGTTAATACACAAGACACCTGTACCCCCTTCTATTACTAACTCAATAGTCTTGCAGTCATATTCTGTTTTTTTTTCTATTTCTTTTTTACACCTGTCACCAGATGCATAAGTGTTACCTTTATAAATATAACCATTTCGGCTATATCAATCGAATGGAATTGTTAAAATTTGAGTAATGTATATCTACCAATGCCAGTGTATGGAGAGCTTAGAATCAAATCTCATAATCGGACAACCATTTATTCGACGTTGTACTTTTCTCTATAAGTTTAATTATAGAACAATCCCATCCTTTCATATATTCATAGAAAATACATTGCTACGCTAGCTACATTTGAGTTTTCCTACGCAATTCTCTGATAGCCAATTGAATCCCCCATGCTCGTAGGACATTCGATCTTATGCACACACCTATATAATTGTCATTCACATCCGGGCCAAGCGGTGAGTTAATATGCTTATGTGTGAAAAAAAAAAAGAACTATCGTACATTATGCATCAGCAACCATTTTATTGGACGGTTTTGGCCAAGGTACCCTGTTAATTATTTCTCGTATCTTATCACCCCATACTTTTCTGTCACATTTCTCATTAATCTATGGTGTATGCAGTACTTTTGTGGCATTTTGTGGAACTTTCTAGAAAGATCCAGAACAGTCCAGAAAATCGCACAGGAAATGTGATCTCGGCCTACAGTAGAGATCACCAGTATAAAATGCACAGTTGCTTTCTTACTTTTTCATTCTTTTGAGCTTTCTCTAAAGTAACTAATAGTAGTATTATTACAATATGGACGATTCACAATATACAGATAATGCATTGAAGATCATTACCAATGCTTCCAAGTTGGCAGAAGAGAATTCCAACTCTCAATTGCTTCCATTACATTTCCTTGCAGCTATGGTACCTACTGATGATGAAGAAAATAGTGTACCATATTTGAAAACACTTATACAAAAGGCCCGTTATGAATGGCCTACCTTTGAACGGGTTGTGAATAAACAATTGGTACGGTTACCACTGCAGAGTCCTCTGCCAGATCAAGTGACTCCCAGTTATGCCATTGGAGTTGTGTTGAAGCAAGCACTGAAGATAATGAAACAACAAAAGGACAATTACATTGCACAAGACCACATTTTATTGGCCTTATTGGACGATTCGCTGGTAAAGGCGGTGTTCAAAGAGGCCGGCATGAATGTAGACACCATCAAGCAACAAGTAATTGAGCTTAGAGGTCTGCAAAGAATTGACAGTAGACAAGCCGATTCTTCGAGTACTTATGAATTCTTGAATAAGTATTGTGAAGATTTGACTGAAAAGGCCCGTGAGGGGAAAATTGATCCTGTCATTGGTCGTGAGGAAGAAATCAGAAGAGTCATTAGAGTGCTTGCCAGAAGAACAAAGTCGAACTCTGTTCTCATTGGTGAAGCTGGTGTTGGTAAGACTTCTATTGTTGAAGGTGTTGCTCAAAGAATCATTGACGGAGACGTGCCCAATGTCTTGAGTGGTTCTCGGTTGTTTGCCCTTGATTTGGGGGCATTGACCGCTGGTGCCAAGTACAAGGGTGAGTTTGAAGAGCGTATAAAAGGTGTCTTGAACGAAATCGAGAAGGCTAACGAAATGATCATCTTATTCATTGACGAAATCCATATGTTGATGGGTGATGGTAAGTCTGATGCAGCCAACTTGTTGAAGCCTATGCTTGCCAGAGGTTCTCTTCATTGTATTGGTGCCACTACCTTCACCGAATATCGTAAGTTCATTGCCAAAGATGGTGCTTTTGAAAGAAGATTCCAAAAGATTGATGTTCCAGCAAGTACTGTCCCAGAGACCGTTGCTATTTTGAGAGGTTTGCAACCAAGATATGAAATCCATCATGGTGTTAGAATTTTGGATAGTGCCTTGGTTACAGCAGCTCATTTGGCTCTGAGATATTTGACTTACAGAAGTTTACCTGATTCTGCGGTAGATTTGATTGATGAAACAGCTGCCGCTGTGGCTGTGGCAAGAGATTCTAAACCCGAAGAATTGGATAATTTGGAAAGGGAATATCACTTGCTTGAAGTTGAAATCAATGCCTTAGAAAGAGATAAGGATGCCGATGCTGATTCTAAGGACCGTTTGGAACTTGCTCGTAAGAAGAAAGAATCTCTTGAAGAGGATCTCGGTCCACTTCGTGAACGTTTCAATCAAGAAAGAGCCAGTCATGACCAACTTATTGCTGCTAAGAGAAAGTTGGATGAATTACATGTCAAGGCACAAAATGCTGAAAGAGATCACGACACCGCTACTGCTGCTGATTTGAGATACTTTGCAATTCCTGAAGTGGAAAAGAATATAGAAGCACTTGAGGTCAAGGTTGCAGAAGAAGAAGCTGAATCAGTGGAAGGTCTCTTGACAAACGTTGTTGGAACAGAACAAGTTGCAGAAACTGCTGCCAGACTTACAGGAATTCCAGTAACAAAACTTACCCAAGCTGAAAACGCCAAGTTAATCAACATGGAGAAGGAATTATCATCCGCTGTGGTTGGCCAAGGTGATGCTGTCAAGGCTGTTTCCAATGCTGTTCGTTTGACCCGGTCTGGATTGGCCAATCCAAACCAACCAGCTTCTTTCCTTTTCCTTGGGTTGAGTGGGTCTGGTAAGACTGAATTGGCCAAGAAGGTTGCTGGCTTCTTATTTGCTGATGAAAGAGCCATGATTAGAATTGACTGTTCTGAATTGGGTGATAAGTGGTCTGCATCAAAGCTTCTTGGTGCCGCTCCAGGGTATGTTGGTTATGAAGAAGGTGGTATCCTTACCGAAGCCCTTTTACGTAGACCTTATAGTGTCATTTTATTTGACGAAGTTGAAAAGGCAGCACCAGAAGTGTTAACTATACTTCTTCAAATTTTAGATGATGGACGTGTGACCTCCTCTCAAGGTAAACTTGTCAACTGTTCCAACGCCATTATCATTATGACATCTAACCTTGGTGCTGAATACATCAACGCAGCTAAGGGAACCAAGATTGATGAAGCTACAAAGGAACTTGTCATGACCTCTGTTCGTGCACACTTCCGTCCTGAATTCCTTAACCGTATTTCGTCAACTGTCGTTTTCAACCGGTTATCCAAAAAGGCAATTGCAAAGATTGTTCGTATCCGTTTACTTGAAATCCAAAAGCGTTTTGAAGCTAATGGAAAGACCATTTCATTGGATGTCGATGATGCAGCCTTGGACTATTTGTGCCGCGAAGGTTACTCCCCAGATCTTGGTGCTAGACCTTTGAACAGACTCATTCAATCCGAATTACTTAACAAGTTGGCGGTATTGTTGTTAAAGGGTCAAATCAAGGATAAGGAAACCGCACGGGTTACTGTGGGTAGCAAAGGTTTGGAAGTTATTCCTAACCATGACATTGAAGACGTGGACATGCAAGATGTTGATGTTGATGACTGGAGAGACAGTGAAGATGATGATGATGTGGTGGATTTGGACTAGATAGTTCAAGTTGTTTAATTCTTGTTTATAATTTAATACAGTATAATATTAATAGTATCAATTGTAGAAGAGTAGTTAGAGGTAAGTGGTTTTCAATATGACAAGCTTCTTTGAATATAAGAATCTTTGAATCAAAATGAGGTTCTACTATAGTACTAGATGTAATGACATTTTGACAAATGCAACCAATACTTTTTTCTGTCTCTACTGCCCTTGCTTACATGTTTACAATGGGGGTATCTACTATAATTTGTTACACTATTAAAATGAACCCTGAATGTAAACACTCAAGTTAAATAATAGAAAGCACACTTCAAGTATTCATGCATGACATCGCCAAGTATTTACAAAATGGAAAGAATAGTATTTAAAAACATTCGCTGAAAAACAGTTACTTTTAGAAGGTTTCCATGCTTACTCACAAGGTTCCACAATTCTCCCTAATTATTTTTTTTTTGGTTTTCCAAAACTACTCAGTTAGTTCTAGAATTCTCATTAAAACCATTTCACTATAATAAATAACAACTAACCTCTGTACTTCATTCTCACTTTGGAATGTAAAAATAAAATCGTCTGGTTCGTATAATTTGCCACCCAAACTAGGTACATAGTGCAATATTTTGAAACTTCCTCCACAAATGTAACACATTCCTGCATTCAGAGGCGATGGGGCCCTTACAATGAACCTAAAACAGTAAATATATCGGTATTTTGAAATGAGTCACATTTGCCACTTTTTACCGACCATCATAAGATTTCTGGGCAACTGGGTAGTCGAATCTCAAAGTCACCAAACTACAAATATCATATCAAGATTCTATCATGTTTAAGATTTTCGTAAAAATAATTAAACTTCACTACTAGAGATAGTAAGAAAGCGTGCACCGCTCAAATCTTTCTCATCTCAGAAAATTATCACACAAACTTGTGAAGTGGAAAGCTCTGCTCAGGATTTTTTTTTTTCACTGTTCTTTCCCATCTAACTATCCTTTATCATTATTATCCATAATGGCTACTAGAACCCAGTTTGAAAATTCCAATGAGGTTGGTGTCTTCTCCAAGCTCACCAACTCATATGCCCTTGTTGCTGTAGGTGGTTCCGAAAACTTCTACTCTGCTTTTGAAGCTGAATTAGGTGATGTCATCCCTATTGTCCATACCACCATTGCTGGTACCCGTATAGTTGGTCGTATGACCGCCGGTAACAGACGTGGTTTGCTCGTGCCTACCCAAACCACCGACCAAGAGTTGATGCATTTGCGTAACTCCTTGCCTGATTCTGTCAAGATTCAACGTGTGGAGGAACGTTTGTCCGCCTTGGGTAATGTCATCTGTTGTAACGATTACGTTGCATTGGTACATCCAGACATCGAACGTGAAACCGAAGAACTTATTGCTGACGTCTTGGGGGTTGAAGTGTTCCGTCAAACCATTGCTGGTAACGTCCTTGTAGGATCTTACTGTGCCTTATCTAACCAAGGTGGTTTGGTTCATCCACAAACTTCCATCCAAGATCAAGAAGAATTATCCAGTTTGTTGCAAGTTCCTCTTGTTGCCGGTACCGTCAACAGAGGTTCCTCTGTTGTAGGTGCTGGTATGGTTGTCAATGATTGGATTTCTGTTGCCGGTTTGGACACTACTGCCCCGGAACTTTCTGTTGTTGAATCTATTTTCAGATTACAAGATGCTCAACCAGAAAGTATTTCTGGTAACTTGAGAGATACCTTGATTGAAACTTACTCTTAAATCAAATAAAGTTTAGAGCTTAATAAGCTTTGATGAAGAGAGTTGATGAGAGTACTCCTGCATTTCCACAGAAAGTTTGTAATTTTCTTTCGTCTGTATATTAGATAACAATCCACAACTAAAGGCAAAATTAGATTACCATTTGTAGATGTAGAAGCAGTAGAGGGGGTGGTGAACTACGAGTTCTGGAAAAAAAATAGGACATAACGGAATTTAGGTACAGACTTACAGTCATATGACCAACATTCTAAACTTTTTAGAATGGCTAATTACTTCTATCTATCATATTAAATGTATTCCCATACCGATAATAATCTACTACATACCCCTTGTTTCTTTCAAAAGTGGTTGTAAACTTTTTATTTTTTGGTAGTAAACTCAATTGTGGTGTGTGCAGGATTGGCGCTTAATTTTAAATTTCTCAATATGGGAATTGCCATGTTGTATATGTGATAAGTTTACAGATTCAATTCGATTTTTAGACTATTTAAACAACACTTTTAAGCTCTGTAATGGATTACTTTGGAATCCAGAGGGGCTCTATTCGTGCCCAGGCGTTGAAAAAACTTGCTAGAAGCACCATTGGAACTTTATCGGATGCTTCTGTGTCCAGTTTTGGTGACAATTTCTCGAGACTTTTAGGCGAGACTGCCGAAAATGATGATCAATTGGATGGGTCCCCTAAACATTTGTCTCGTGTAGCAATCTCCTTGAAGGAGTATGAGGTTCTCAATGCCTTGTGTGACGCGATAGTAGGGGACGATAACAATGTCAATCCAATGATTTCTTCTCAACGGTCCGAACAGCAAGTTCAATTACTCTTGCGTAAATTTGGTTTGTATTTAAAAGAATTACCAGCTCAGAAATTTGCCAAAAGCATACTCTCTGGCTATGTGAACACTCGTGCTAGTAATCCCAGTACCCCTTCAAGTAACACGACTTTGGGAGATAGTGAGCATTTAGGTACGCCTCCAAATTCACCATGGTTGGAACTTGCAGACAAGTTAACCTCGGCTATTGTAGCGCTTTCCAATTGCTGTAACAAAAAGTTTCTTACTCAGTCCATTGATATCCTTCATGACTTCATTCAGACTTTTTTCCATGAGAGTAACGACTTGAAAATGTCTCATTATTTGCTGTTACTCGGGTTTATTCGTGCACTTACAAGAAACTCGTCCATTTTGATCGAATCAAAGGAGGCTTTCAACGTCTTCATTTCTTTGGACTCAAAGATCGACAACCCAAAGTTTTTGAATGGGGTGGAAGTCTACTCCAACGCAAACTACCTGGCCGCTATTGATGCGGAGTTTGCTATGGAATTCTCCCCTATCTTGTATATTGGAGGAATGAGTAAGTTGATGGTGGGCATTCTCAAGGAAATTCTTGTGAGCGGTACAACCTACAGTGGCACTTATGATACGGCAAATGGTTACCTTACTGACAATATTGACCCATTTTCAAAGGATACCAACTCCTCAGCTCCCTTGATTGATACCTCGGTCACTAATTCTGACTCTATTCGATCTACTTCACTTCTTGAATACATCTTGCAGAAAGTTGGAAATGAAGAAGCATCTTCAAAAGACCCTAAAGTCGTTGCCGGTGGTCGTAGATCTTCAGGTGACTCGGTCCCAGAGAGCCTGGGACTCGAAATTTCTCCAGACCACTATCCTCTCATCAAGATTCTTTCCGATATTGCCATTCAGAAAATGGAGTTCCTTGATCGTGGAGAAACCTACATTGTTTACTCTACCTTCTCTCGTCTTCGTATTGGATACCTTGCTAAGTCATTTAATCTTCAAGTGATTGGTTGTGGTATGTTTACCGATAATGTGCCTCTCAAAGTTGCCAAAAGAATCTTCAAAAATTGCTTGAGCATTTACGATGTTATGTTAGATAATAATTTAGGTCCTAGTGTTATCCAATTAGGAGCTTTATCTGTTTATAAGGATGACCACATTGGTCTGTCCTTGACTAGAGCATTCACTTCTTTGGTGGCAAACCCTGAATTTGACAGAGAATACTGTATCAGTGCTTCCAAGAGCGTTGGTTTGGCTAGTAGAATTTTGAGTCAAGATGCGGTGGTAACTACCATATACACATTGGCAAACTTGTTGTTTGTTGGTGGAGATACAGGTAGAATCAGAAGAGGTAGATTGGAAGAATTAAGCAGAGTTCCAAGTTCAAATTCTATGCGAAGCTTGACCGAACCTCCAATGTCAGCAAATAATAACTCTTCGATGGGTCCCGCTGAGACTAGACCAAATGGAGACTATCCTAATGTAGCCGACGCATCATCTACTATTAATGGTGGTGTGGTGGCTCATGGTGTTTCACTTGTAGCAAATGGAACTCCAGGAGCACTTTCCGATTCTGATCATATTCAAATATGTGAAAACTCGATTGTATCAATCTCCAACATCGTTTCCGCTTGCAATGATGAAACCGTAACTACTCTCGCGGTTACTATCCTTTCTCAAAAGATGTCAAAACCTGACTCTCGTATCAGTCTTATCCTTCTTAGTGGTCTTGTATCTTGTGCACCTTCCCTTCCTGAACGTGAATTCCTCATTCTTATGAGACTTCTCAACAAACTTGGGTCGGAAGCACGTAGCGCGCAGAACTATCCATTATTTAATGCAATTGTTGATGCAAAGGTTACGCTTTCGCGTAACATTTCCCAATCCAACCCTCTCTTTTACGTGTATCTCAGAGACATGCTTCAACAAATTATAAGCAAGGGTGATGTTCAAGTGTTGGAACATCATCGTAGTCACGTTGAAATCAATGAAATTGGTGAACAAATTGGTGTGTTTCTCAAACCATTGGCAGCCCTCTTACCTGATGGAAGGGCCAATCAACCAAAACTTCAAATTGAAGACACTATTACTATCAATTTATTCCGTAATATTTGGTTCAATATGGTGGTACATGGCTATCTGATAACTTCAAAAATTGCAGTCAAATATGCACGCGAGTTGGAAATAATTGTCTACAATACCCCACCATTAGCCTCCGAGCTTTCTTGGGATAGAACTGAAACATCTCTTGAGCTTAATACAGTACTCCGTCGTGGCTCTTCAAACTCTAATGTTAAGGGCCACAAACATATCATTGGCGGTATCTTCGATCTCCCAAGAGGAATGCTGTATCCTAAGTTGATGTTCCTTTCTGCGACTGTCTTCGTTGAGTCCCTTCGTGTTAAGACAGGTGATTGTCTGACAATTTTAATGTATTTCAGTGACCCCTCGATAAAGACATCTGGTGTTGATAAGTACATTGGGTACACCTCTTTCAAAGTTGTGAAGGACTACATCTACCTTGTACAGTGTGGTGCCAACAAGCAATTTCTGTCTCAAAGTATTGCCCAACAGCTCACCAATATGCTCGCATTATGTTGCCACCGAGTAGAGGATTTGCAAGACGCAGCATTACAATGTTGTGATCTTTTGATCAATAAGGTACCTCTGGCGTTATGTTCAAGTAAGTCTCTCTTTGCCATCTTTGACTTACTAAGCCTTCTCTTCCAGTCTGTGGTTGATGCTGATAAACACCAATATGAGCCTACCACTACATATACAGCTGCTGTGTCTAAGATTCAACTTTCTCTTCTGGACTCTTATGTATGGAGAAACGAAACGTTTGATCGTTTCCATGAGAAAGCAAAAAATTGGCTTCGTCTTGTTTTAATGAGGGCTAACGGTGAAATCAAAAGCTTGATACAGTCATACGTTGCAGAGGTGGACAAATACGAAATCCACCAACTGGTTCAATTTGGGGTTCTGTTTGCATTAGAAATGGCAGGAAATATTCTGATAAACTACAAGGAACTTTCGAATGTATCTCAAATGGCAATTTCCAAATTCAAAACATTCCCCGTATCTCTTTCACTGTTTAGTAGAAGAAGTGGCTTGGTAAGCGACTTTTCCGACAAAGTAACAACTTACACTCTGGACTATGTTGAGAGTGCTTTTGAAAATGTGAGAAGAAGGATCAGACGTTGCCGAGTTGCAGTTAATGATGAAAAACTCGGGGATCCTATTTTGAAAGACGTCCCACCCAAATCTAGTGGTCCGGAGCTTATTCTTCTTCTTTCTGATTGTGCTGGTCTTATGGCAATTTCATCCCAAAATACGGCAGAAATGGTAAGGTACCTTGTGGAAATCCCGTTTAACTCGTTTGATCGTACTGTATTTAGTGCTGCTATTTCAATTTGGTATTCCGTCATGAGACAAAAAGATGTTTCAGTCTTACTTCTCTCTGAGATAGCTAAACGTTGGGAGCAATCGATTGAGCAACAAGTTGGCCTCTTTTCAACCGTGCATGATTTGACAAAGCCTGAATTCCTGTTGATGGAGTATGCACCAAGTGACCGTAAAGTTGTGGTACGTTCTGCAGCAATTGCTGCGGATTCTTTTGAGCCCCATTTACTTATTATCAGAATGTTCAGTTCTGCATTTGAGGCAACTCTTAATCAAAGTGACCATATACTCAAAATATTTACACGCGTTATAGAATTTGGTCTTAAAAGACTTGGAAGTCCGGGTGAGGCTTCTACGCATCCATTTGCGAGACTTTCGAGGTTCGAATTTATCAGGTTTGCGTTTACAGTTTTGAATTATCATATCCAACTTGGATCCCGGAGTGTACATTATCTCCTGGAATTAATATTAAATGCGCTGCTTTCGTGGTTTAAGAACCGCGCTAGCTTCCCATTTGGATCCAATCTTTTAAAAATCAAAGCTGACTTTGCGTTATTGAAAGAGGTAGCAAAATTAGTAAATGGAATGGAAACATACAAATCAGACAACCTTGAACTGCGTAAGGCTCTTCTACTTTTTTTCTTAGATGATGAGATTGCCAAGATTGCAGTATGGTTAAACCCATTGGGGACACCACAAGACACACACGGAACCTTTATCTCTAATCATATCAGCGGTCTGCATATTTCTCAGGCATACAAGATTGACCCCAGTCTTGCAGTTAGTTTGGCACTTCGTTATAAGGTTAAGAACTTAGATGAACTTCTTCAGAAATTAATCTCGTCTAACCCCCTCCCGGCAATATTTTACCCAGACGCGGTTCAATATTTTATTGGCATCAATGCCGGGTCAGCAATGCCACTGTACCATTTGTTGTTCTGGGAGCCTCTATCTCCTATAGATTCAATTACCTTGTTCCTACCACCATTTGGAAGCAATCCTTACATTTTGCAGTACACAATGAGATCTCTTGAATCTCATGACGTTAACCTTACATTTTTTTACGTTCCGCAGATTGTTCAATCCCTTCGGTTTGATGCAAAGGGATATGTTGAGCGATTTATTGTTGAAACTGCTCAGGTTTCTCAACTTTTTGCTCACCAGATTATTTGGAACATGTTGGCAAACTCTTATAGAGATGAGGAACTGACAGATCCAGACCCTCTCAAGCCTACCCTTGACAACATCCAGGAAATTATGATTAAGTCCTTTTCACCAAAGGACCTTGATTTTTATGAGAAGGAATTTACGTTTTTTGAAAACGTCACGAGTATATCCGGTAAGTTAAAACCTTATATCAAAAAGACTAAGGCCGAGAAAAAAGTGAAGATTGACAGTGAGATGGCAAAAATTGAAATTCAACCAGGTGTATACCTTCCTAGTAACCCAGATGGTGTTGTAATTGACATAAACCGTAAATCAGGAAAGCCTTTACAAAGTCATGCCAAAGCTCCATTCCTCGCAACATTCAAAATTCGTAAGGAAGTTCTTGATGTGGATAAAAATGGTAACATTATTCATTTCCCTCTTGAAAAGTGGCAAAGTGCTATCTTTAAGGTTGGGGATGATTGCAGACAAGATGTCTTAGCTCTTCAATTGGTATCCGTTTTTAGAACTATTTGGGAAAATGCCGGTTTAGATCTTTATGTCTTCCCATATCGTGTCACTGCTACTGCTCCTGGGTGTGGGGTAATTGATGTCTTGCCAAATTCAGTTTCTAGGGACATGTTAGGTCGTGAAGCTGTTAACGGTTTATACGAGTATTTCACTACCAAATTTGGTCCTGATACTTCCATTGAATTCCAACAAGCACGTAATAATCTTATCAAGTCTCTAGCTGCATACCTGATCATCCTGTACTTACTTCAGTTCAAGGATAGACATAATGGTAATATCATGTATGATGAACAAGGACACATATTGCACATTGACTTTGGGTTCTGCTTCGATATTGTCCCAGGGGGAGTAAGGTTTGAGATGGCTCCATTCAAACTCACCCACGAAATGATTCTTGTGCTTGGAGGTAGTAGTAATACGCAAGCGTTCCAATGGTTTGAAGAACTCTGTGTCAAGGGTTATTTAGCATGTAGACCATACATGGAAACCATTGTGCGTTGTGTCAATCCTATGCTTGAAAGTGGCCTTCCATGCTTCAAAGATACTACAATCAAGAAGCTTCGCTCTAGATTTGTTCCTTCAAAACTGGAGAAAGATGCCTCAATTCACATGAGAGGATTAGTTAAAAAGTCCATGGAGAGCATGTATACCAAGGGATATGACGAGTTCCAAAGAATTACAAATGGAATTCCTTACTAGAAGTATATATTTATATTTGATTTGTTGAAAATTGTGGAACATTTATCCTGAAATAAGAGGATTTTCATGAGGTGTAGTACTAAGACGTGGGAAATAACTCAGATCGTATTTATTTCAATGAAAAGATTGTAGTTAATAAAAAGAACGAGTAACAAAGGTCACTATTCATGTAGCGTACTATTTTTACCTAATTCTAGTTGCGCATTGCATTGTAAAGATATAAATCCCAAGAGTTTTTAACTACGGAATTACTCTATTTATGATTGTGTTCCCAAGTTGTAGAACTAGATTTCATGCTCATTCTTGGAGCTCCCATTAGTGCTCATCAGTCTAAAGTTCTACTGTATCTAATTATGAGTAGTGTAATGCTTATGATATACAAATACATTTTCTGACTACGGTATTGATGTGCGCATGTTTAGTCTTTTTGAAACATACATTACCCATTTAGTGTACTAAAAGATATATGTTTGGTGGATAAATTTCTCTATTTTGAAGTCAAAATAATGAAGGTTCGATGCCTTGTATTGAATTAGAGGATAATACTTTTGCGATTTAGAATAATGTAGGGTATTTGGAATACTAGGAGACAAAAATATAATACCAATATTTATTTACAGATTTAAGTTTTTATTATCCAATAAATAGCCCCCCCCCCTTTTTTTGGATATAAAAAGAGTGAGGATCGTAAGGCAAATAAATTCCAGCAAACATAGTACTCATGATATACATGTCAAAAACCTAATATACGCATAACAGTACTCTACAAATTATTCTATTCCAATCTTCAAAATTGTTGATACCATGCTATTAATTAATCCGTACACCCAAACATTTTTTTTTTCTTTTCAGAATTAGTGTATGTTTCAGTGTTCATTGTGCGTACCGAAGGTTGAAACAATGAGCACCACAAGATCCAATTACAAAGGATCGGTATGAAACTCAGAGATGGTGTTAAGAGCTAAATAAGATCTAAACTTCTTTAATAGAAGAGACTACAATTACAGCATATTTATATAGTTCAGATAGTGAATTTGTTGGAATTAACACTACATGATATCTAGGATCTAGATAACGGTAGGTCTATTATATCACCGTTTCTAGTAATTGTAAGCTTTTATATTGAAGGAAAGTGACACATGTTGTGCGTGTGATATTATTGAGTTGATGACTAGTCACATCGGAATGCAGTTCACTGAACACAGAACGTCGCCTTGAAATATATTTTCTACATCTTCAAACCATTATAGTACTGCTCCTGGGAAAATACTAGATTATTCCGACGCGCCAGATTTGCGAGAACGGAACTCCGAATGATTATAGTTTGAAACTTCGGTTAAAATTGCATTAGACTTCATGGCTTTCTTCGACAATGCATTGACGACGCATGTGCCCAAATACACGAATTCATGAGAAGAGGTAGTTGTGGCCGAACATTTTTCAATTGTTTCGAAGATGTAGATACTATGTTGGGATACATAGTATTCGATGTGGCATGAAGGGTCCCTGGTACTCACCTATCAGCATTAACTTGAGGTGCGCTTATCCTGTTTCAGACTTGCGAATCGGTAAAAATTAATACCGCTCATGCCTAAGCGTGCCTCATTAAATATGCAACACTCACTAACTCCCCTTTTTGCCCTGAATTCGCTTGACTTCAATGCAGGTGAGCCAATTTTTTTTTGCGTAAAATTAACTTGCGAAACAAAATATTTAGACGAACAATGATAGTGTCAGGGTCGAGGAGGAGCTATTCAATTGTTCTTTTAGCTCTTAGAACCCACATAGGTACACAGTCAAGTGATTTTAGCCACCGAGCCTCTTACCTTTGGCTGGTTTAGTTGGGTGTTTCATTACGTGGAATTTATCCAACAAAATGAGCCAGAAAGTGTTTTCCGAGATGCATGTAATCGTCTAAAGTGTGTTGCATTATGGTAACCCAAAAAAATAGTTCAACACTAAAGATTTCTAACATTGACTAGTCAATTGGAGTTAAGTATCGTACAAGTACTACGTCTACGGACAGACTAAAGTTTTCAGCATATTCACATAACGTGTATCTTTTAACTTTTTACTAATGGGGAGGTCAAGCGCGATTAGGAGAAAATATGATTTGACATGGAATGTGTATTCGTATTAGGTAGTTTATAGTTTGTCTTGGATGCAACTCCAAACCTAAAAGAAAAAATAATAAAAATGGTTTGGAGACTACATTAACTTTCCGTCTGGCCCAATTGTCCTATTTGGGAACCACTATAATTTATAAAAAAGCAAGCAATTATTTTATTAGCATAGAGGTTTTAGCACCGACCAAGGTTTCCGTAATCGCTGTTCCCACACTCTCAGCCTTCATAACGCTTGACTTCTCCCTGTAGTGAAATGATTGAAAATGGACAAATTTCTGTCGAGAATGCTATCATGTTTTAGCCTCCGTACAATACGTGTTTGCGCGCCATGCTGCCCTCCTGCACCACACGAAGTACATGCATGGACTATTTTTGCATCCACGAAACAAACTCGTGTGTTACCGCCTAACCTTTTTTAACGGCAAACTATGTTGAAGAGCTTCGAGAGATCGGGTATAAGAATGGGAGATCTCCAACATAATTTAGTTTTGAAACAAAATATTGTAAGCTAACAAGAAATACTATGAAATTTCTTAGTCTCGTACTGTCGTTTATTGCATTAGCAGTTGTTGCCGGATCCTCGAGTGGGTCGCCCGATGGGTGTGTCCCTAGGGGTGAAATGAGCTCAGGTTTTCAAGCCAAGTTCTATCCTTACCAGCTCCAGGACCAGTTCACCATGGCCAGCTTGGACTACGTGTCAACTGGATATACCAAAAACAAACTTCTCCACACGATCGATTCTGTCGAGGACATTAACTTCAGTTGGAAGTTGTGGTACAACCCTTACGATGGTGGAATCCACAAGGACTATGTTTACGGATACTACACAACGATTACAAACTTTACCATGGAGCTTACTGGTTACTATCACGCACTTGAAGCCGGTGAATACACTTTCAATTTGAACAAGATTGATGACTCTGCTGCTGTTTTCATCGGAGATGGAAAAGCTTTCGATTGTTGTAAAGACACCCCAACTGTTGACCCAAAGGACTATTCTATTTTTGTTTACAAGGTTTGGCAAGGGGAAGCAAGAAGTACGAGCGCAACCGTTAGATTGGAGGCTGATACATACTATCCTATAAGAATTGTGTACACGAATGCTGTCTCAATCTCAGAATTAGACTTTGAGGTTACCACCCCAGATGGTTCCACCCTGCCAGTTCATTCCAACACATTTATATACCAAGGAAAGAGTGATTTGTGTCCAGTGCCAGTTACTACAATCACAACTCCATGGACTGGCACTTTTACTTCCACCAGTACTCTTACTCCTTCGAACCCTGATGGTACTACTACTGTTGAGATCTTCACTCCACCTCAGCTCACTACCGTGACTACCCCATGGACCGGAACTTTCACTTCTACTAGCACCATCACCCCATCTAACTCTGATGGTACTACTACTGTCGAGATCTTCACTCCACCTCACCTCACTACCGTGACTACCCCATGGACCGGAACTTTCACTTCTACTAGCACCATCACCCCATCTAACTCTGATGGTACTACTACTGTCGAGATCTTCACTCCACCTCACCTCACTACCGTGACTACCCCATGGACCGGAACTTTCACTTCTACTAGCACCATCACTCCATCTAACTCTGATGGTACTACTACTGTTGAGATCTTCACTCCACCACATATCACCACGGTTACCACACCAGGTACTGGAACTGCAACTTCCACACTCACAATCACTCCATCTAACTCTGATGGTACTACTACTGTTGAGATCTTCACTCCACCACATATCACCACGGTTACCACACCAGGTACTGGAACTGCAACTTCCACACTCACAATCACTCCATCTAACTCTGATGGTACTACTACTGTTGAGATCTTCACTCCACCTCACCTCACTACCGTGACTACTCCATGGACAGGAATTTCGACTTCCACCAGTACTATCACTCCATCGAACTCCGATGGCACTACTACTGTTGAAGTGTTGACCCCATTGGAATCGTCGTTCCACTGGGCAAACTCTTCCAGTGTAGTTAAAACTTCATCTTCAGACTATTCGAGCGCTGACATCTCCTCCTTTTCTTCTCGAACTGACGAGAGCAGCACCTTTGTTTCAACTGTTGTGTCATCTTCTCCAGTTGTGTCTTCATATGTACCAGTTGTTTCTTCATCTGTGCCAGTTGTGTCTTCATCTGCGCCAGTTGTGTCTTCATCTGTGCCAGTTACCTCCTCATCTTCTCCAGTTGTCTCCTCATCTGTACCAGTCACCTCCTCATCTGTGCCAGTTATTTCCTCCTCTGTTGGAATTTCAGAGATTATCTCGACTGTACTGACTGTGACAATTCCATCTACAACTGTTATCACCATTACTTCTTGCTCCGATCACAAGTGCACTGATGTTCCAGTTACTACAGGTCAAACAGTGGTGACTATTACCATCGATAACACTATAACATCCTACACTACCTACTGCCCACTCTCTAGCGATTCTGCCGACACCGATGATATTAATTCCAGTACCACAATTGTTCCTGCTGCTGTTTCTAGCTCTGACAGCGAAGTCTCTACCGTATCACAAACTACTGGTGGAGCCCCTAAATCAACTCCAGTTGGAAACAACGATATCCCTGGAACAACTTCTAGCCCGGTTCAAACAATTCTGTCAGTTACTTCGCACAAACCTAAATCAACAGTCGCTACTTTCACATCTTGTGATGGCAGCCTGTGTATCGAGAATCCATTAACCGCTGCCGAGACCGTTGTAACTATAAGTCATGGAAGCACTGTCATTACGTACACAACCTACTATGTTGTTGGACCTACTAGTGTTCCAGATTTTGCACCTGTGACAGATTCTGAAACTTCTCCCGCTGCCAAGTCTACCGCCCCAGTTGATGCTTCCGAGTCTTCAGGCGTTGCGGGCACTTCCAGCTTGCATTCCGAAATCGTCACTACCTCTACCCCAGAACAAACGGGACCAGCACCAACCGGTGAATCGCCAAGTATTATTCTTGGACCATCTTCCTCGTCAAACGCTTACCCTATTCCAGTTCCGTCAACTGGCGGATCAAACCAGCTCGGGATGACAATCCTGTCTCTTTTGATTTCTTTCTTAACATTCGTGACAATTTAAGGTTACTTTGATAGTATACTGTGGATTGCTGAGAGCTTCTCTTATTTCCTTTCAAATCACAGCTGTGAGACCATTTGCTGCTAGTTTTTTTTCTCCAAGTATAAACACTTGCTCACTGATTTCTAGTGATTATTTAGCCACTTTTATACCCTTTCTTGGATAACCATTAGACTTTCTACTCATAATATAATATTTAATAAAGTTTACCTTGTAAAGCCATAGAACATTCTCCCAGTGGGGAAGAAAGTCCGTCTTAGCTCCCCAGAAAATGAAAAGTTAATTTGTTGTTTTAAGCGCCATCGCTCTACAGATGGCATAGTTATACTTAACAACACCTACATTTGAATCAAATACCCATTTTTCTAACCTCTTGGAGTAATAAATCCTACATAAATCGACGTGAGTTCGTTCTCCGACAGCAATGCCTCAACTTAATGCATATTTTTTAAAGAACAAAGCGTGTACCTGACCACAGTTTTTCTTCTTGGGTTCATCATTTATCATCCGACAGAGCTGTATATCTTTATATATAACGCGCTTATATAATAGATCAATCTCAATATACGACCAGACATTCTTCTCATACATAATTTAGAGACAATAAGAATGACCATCTCCCTTGAAAGAATCTCCCTTATTGTCTCAAAGGAAAAAGAAATTTTTTACGTACACTTTCATATAGTGCATATGCATAACTCCCCCAAGCCTGCACACACTTTAGCCGCCTTGCATAAACCTTTTCCACTGGGATTATTTGCCATTGTATATTTTGCAGGCGCAAGCCAGCTACGAAGAAGAAAACACGAGATAATTTGAGAACAATAGAACTAAGTTATTGGTATTGACAGGCTTACAAAGTAATCAATGTGTCGGCTGCGATTATACGAGGAAATATGTATCAGGTGGGCCGAGTTTCCTCATGCTGGCGAACCCAATTTATTGAGTCTTTCCCATTTGCAGACACCCTGCATCTGCCAGCCCAAACCTCAACGCGCCCCCACCTTTCCAAAAGATACATTTTCGTAGATTTTTATAAATTTCGTCATCGAAAGGTGTGACGCCATTTTGAAAGTAAAATGGATATTAGGGCAGATATTATCAAATTTGGTTGGTTGTCAATATTGTTGACGCCCTTTAACGCCTTGTTATAAAGTAGGCTAATTCTTTTACGTGAAACGTTCGGCGTCTTAATAGGCTCATCATGTCATACTACAACTCCGTTGCTGCGGGTATCTGTCCTCCTTCCACCCTTCTACAAACTTACAACCCCCGCCATCAACTTAACTCCTCTCTTCTGTGCGTCCTATTTTTTAACAATTCTGAGCCAAGCAAATTAGATCTCAACTCCAATCTCGAGATTTACAATTGATCTTATCAGTGGGGATTTTAGTTATTTCCTAAATAATACAATGTTCTTGATTTATCTCTGCTATAAAATATAATTATAGGTATAATAATAATAAAATAATAAGTTCCCGATAGAGTGAGTTTCTCCCTTTACACAAGTTTTACTGCTACCCTGAAAGAACTTTAATTTTACAAGGGTGTCCCCAACCCCTTTAATTTGTACCAAAAAGCTATAGAGTTTTGAACGGCGCAAATATTACCCTTTCATGAAGAGTGCACCAAATAGGTCGTGGCTATACCAGCTTGTTGCATATCTTTTGCAGCTAAAATCAAATGATGGTGCGCGTATATGTGCACGCACGGGATTGTGAAAAAGCAACTTATGGAATGTATGTCATGCACGTCACCCTTTACAATGTACAATGGTGTTAATCTTCATTTCTCTTGCACTGAAACTCAGTGTCCCCACTCCCAGACGCTCAGTGCTCCGTACCCACGGGAAACTTTCGCGTTTTAGTGCCAGCTCTCTATTAGCGAATGGTGAAGGTAAACGACCACAATTACGAGAACGTACGTCAATGGCAGGTGCCAAAATCAATGTCATACATTCTACATGAAATACGTTAATAATCTGTTGAGTTTGCGCGCGCGCACGGTGTTTTGCGCCAAGATATTATACTTAAATTATACTATATTTTTTAACAGACCTAAAACTCGCTATTTTAGAAACTTCTGTTTCAATTGAATACCATCGTCACGTCACGTGTATCTATTGATATCTCTTGTAAATGGGACCTCCTATTCATTATTATAGGATGAAACCTAGTTGTAAGGATAAGACTATGAGGTAATCACGTGCATACGTACACATAGGTGCATTTATCTAAGCCAATAATCATCATATGCATTACTGGTAGTAGAACGATTGTCAGAATATGCGAAACATTCTTCTGTAGAAGAGAGAATCAAAATAAAAAGTGTGAGTTAAAAAAAACATAGAGTTTAAATGTAAGAGGATACAAAAGCCGCAATAGAGTAGATTGAACTTCTTGATTAGTCAGAACAAGGCGGACTCTATTCGACAACATATCATTGGATTACGACTGTACTTGTATGACAGTGGCAATCTTGAGAAAATATCGAGTCGTCAAAGATTTGGTGGAAAAGCATTCCTGTTTAGTCAGATCCTTGCGCTTTTTGTAAATATTTTGTAGAGTCTAACCGTTGTAAGCAACTTATACCGACTTAATTTTCTACCAATAAGTAGTTAGTTGACATCACCAAAGAGTATCTGGGACAAGTATACCAAATTAAAGTTCCAACCACTTGCATGCAGCTTGGGCGGATTTCTGTACGATTTGTGAGGGTGAGGTTTTGTTCATGCATGATATAAGGGCAATTTTGTGCTTTAAATCTGCACAGAAAATTTCCGAATATCTGCTCAATACGGACAGGTGCGCCAGTGGCTATGACCATGCCATGCTTACAATTGTTCGTCGGTAGTATGCGTAGCGAGAAGAAAGCCTTCTCTCCTTCTCTTCCCCTCGTAGAACAGCAACTTGCAAAAAAAAAAAAATTCGCCTTTAAGAGCATTAAAAAATGTATATAAAAATCTTTTACTTGATCACTCTCTCCTTTTAATGAATCTGAGGTTTCCAAGATTCTCTCCAATCCTTCTTTCCACTAGTAAATTATTTTAAACAAAGATGCGATGTCGTCCACACCGATCTCTGTGCATTGCTACACCCTTATGCATGCCGCCACAAGCCCGATGCTCGAAAAAAAAAAACAGATACGTGGACCACAAACAAGCATTCATGCATATTCCGACCGCCTCATTTACGGTGCATGTCCAGAAGTTGCGCAAACCCGACCTGTAACATTACTGCCCCAATTGGTTGACACTATAGGAGGATTGAGTATATGGGCCACCTAATGGTATGATATCTAAGCCACTCCTGGGTATTACTCCTAAAACTCTTTTCTATATATTATTCTACCGTACATTTATTACCTTTTTAGGTTATAAAAGTTTTTATAATGGAATCTCTCTCATCAGGATTACCCGCATGACGCAACCTCGGATCATCGTGACGCAGAAATAATCATTTTAAACATTCGCATAATTTTTATGCAGGTAAATCTCTTCAGGATACAGATTGCATTATGCGATGCAACCCTTTCAATCATAGTAAGGATATCCGCACAGAAAACTTCATCTTTCCAAGCATATTATTGCCAACGATTTTATAAAACCATCCAAATCCCAAAGTGTGAAAATTCCGCTAAGGTTCATTCATCAAGCAAGAATGAAACTCTATTCAATAGGTCTGACCTTCTTGGCGGTCACACTGGGCATTGCAGCTGCCTTCGTGTCACCCCTCGAAAGCAGCCCTCCTAGTATTACTAGTGACATTCTCAACTCGGCAACAAGCACGAGTCTCGTGAGCCCCCTGATTACCGGCCGCTCTGTTATTGATCAACCTTTCTTACAGAAAAGAGACACTGCTGTGCCACTTGATGTAGAACGTCCAACTGCTTGTAATCCAACCAACTTGGGTTTGCAATTCAATGGTTTCATTGCCAACTTCTACCCTTATAAGTTTAACGATACTGTTACCTACGCCCAACAGGCTTATTTAGCTGGTGGCTATAAGGCCAATCCTATGATCGGATCCAAAACTGTCTCCGGTTTGATGGCTCTTCCACCTAATCCAAATTTCAATGTTGGTACTAACACCGGCAAGGTTATTAACAGTTATATCTACTCTTATCCGTTGACCACCTCCAATTTCACTCTTGAAATTATCTCTTGGTTTTACACCAAGTATGGTAATGGTGCTTATGTTTTCCAATTGTTGAACACTGATGATTCTGCCGCTATTTTCATTGGTGACGGGGTTGCTTCTGACTGTTGTTCGTACAGCGCCAGTGCCAATCCTGGTAGTTACTCTATCTTTATTGCAAAGTCATACGCTCAGTCTACTCCTGCGGCTCAATTCACTGCTTACTTGGTTGCAAACACCTACTACCCCATTAGAATTGTTTACACCAATATCTTGAACATTGCTGCCTTGACAATTCAAGTTCTGTCTCCAGGAGGGAATGGATTTGGTGATATTTCATCGCAACTTTACGTTCCTGGAAGTCAGGCCAACTACTGTCCCGACAAATCTATTACCACCGTCACCACCTCCTATGCTTGTACTACTGCCTCGTGTACCACTTCATATTCCACAAACACTGGTGGATCCACTACTCTGATCTACCAGGCACTTCCAGTAGTATACTCCACCACTAGTATTGGGTACAACGGTGCTAGTACCAGTATCACCACTGTGGGTACTGGCTACATCCCCACCAAGACCGTGCAAGTCTACTACCCAACAGTAGACCCAGCACCCCCCAACGCACATTATCCAAAGGGTTGTTCTCCAACCAATATCCCATCAACTATTTTAGGAGGACAAAATAGTGGTTTCCTTGCCAAATTCTATCGTTACCCCATGAATAACACAGACTACTACGACAAGTACGACTTTTTGTCCGGTGGATACAAATCGATGGGTTATCTTGGATCAACAACCGTGAATGGGGAAATGCTGTTCAGTCTTGGTGATAATTCGTCACAACGAAAGAGTGGATTTGTTTTTGGCTTTTATACCGATGTTTCCAATTTCACAGTGGAAATGACCACTTGGTTTTATCCAAAGTACGGTGCTGGTGCATATGATTTCCAGTTATTAAGCGTCGATGATTCTGCCGCCTTGTGGATTGGTGACGGGATTGCCATGGATTGTTGCTCTTCCTCCACCAACAAGAACCCAGGTAACTACGGTATTTTTGTTTCCAAGTCCTATGCTCAAGAATCGCCAGATATCCAATTTACCGCCTATTTGCTTGACGGTGTTTACTATCCTTTGAAGGTTGTTTACACTAATATCATCAACATGGCTGTCCTTACTGTTCAAGTTCGGTCACCATACCATTCTGGTTTTGGTAACATGAACTCTCAGATGTTCCAACCGGGCGGTGACGTCGATTATTGTCCAAGCAATGGCCTTACTACGGTAACTACGTCCTACACCTGTGCTTCTACTCTTCCTAGTTCTCAATGTACTCCATATTGGACTACCTCTTCTAGTTGTACTAAGCCATTGCTCACTTCAACAACTTGTTACGCCAAAGCGGTGACTCAGTTTATCCCCGTGGCTCGTACAACTGTGACAGTGGAAGGAACTGGAACAGCAACTAGTACCACCACTATTGATGGTCCGTATCTTGGTGCTACCACGACTATTGAAGTCTTTGTTCCTCCACACGTGACCACACAGTATCTTCCTGGATCTGCTGCTAGTACTACTACCAAGGCGGCTAATACTGTTGGTGGTACTTCTACCGTTCAAATTTATGTTCCTCCACATGTTGTTACTGTGACATCCACATACACTGGCCAAACCACCAGTTACTCGACTGCCAATGGTGCTACTCTTGGTGCCACCAGTACTGTGTTCGTGTTTATTCCTCCACAACAAACCACAATCACAACCCCTTGGGATGGTTTCTATGTCAGTACCAAGACTGTACCTCCTTCCGTTAGTGGCGGTACGACCACAATCGAAGTATTGACTCCAACTTTCAATCCTACTGCATCCCCTCCTGCTACTTTCACGCCTGGTGGTGCTTGTAACCCCCAAAGTACTGGTACTGTTGGTTTCCAAGCTGTATTCTACGACTACACTTATAATGATGATACTTCTTCTAGAAGTAAGACTTGGTTAGCTAGTGAGTACAAACAACGTAATGTTATCACCACCCTCCAAGGAATAACAGATATCAACTGGGCCGATAACAGTCCTTCGAATCCAAACGGTATTATCACCGTTTATGGACAAAAAATTCTTCAAGCTTTTACTTTGGAACTTACTGGTTACTTTAAGGCTACCGAAACTGGGTTGCACACCCTTAATTTAGTTGTTGACGATGGTGCTGCGGTCACCTTCGGAGATGGTCAAGCTTTCAGTTGTTGTAGCAGTGATGTCATTGTTAGTGGGTCTGGATTCTCCTTGTACGCACATTGGCCAACCACAGCAGGAACCCCTGGTGTTTCAACTGCTTCATACGCGCTTACTGCTGGCTATTACTACCCTATTAAGATTGTAATTGTTAATATGGGTGGTCCATCCCAATTAGGATTTACCGTCAAGACACCAAGTGGGGCTGTGATTAGCAATTTCAAGAACGTTTACACAGTTCCTGACTTGCCAAATAATCAACAATGTCCGGCTGCTGTCAAGACTATCACCACTTCATGGACTGGATCTAGCACTACAACTACTACAATCAAAGGTACTGGTCTGACCCCAACCGATACCATTGAGGTGTTGACTCCAGTAAAGCTCATCACCACCACCACTTCCTGGACTGGTTTCTCAACCTTGACCAGTACCATTACTCCAACAAACTCAGATGGAACTACTACGGTAGAGATCTATACACCTCCACATGTGACTACAATCACTACAAAGTATTCTGGTACAGCTGAGACAACCACCACAATCGTACCAAGTGTTTCAGGAGGTACAACTACCATTGAGGTTCTTGTTCCTTCTGCCACAGCAAGCGGATGTGCACCTCAAATGCCACTCGTTCCTGGTATGAATGCACTTTTCTGGACTTATGTCTATGGTGATCAAACTTCCTCCTCAAGTATTGGTTATATGACGGGTCAATACAAGGAATACCTGACCAATATCGGGAAAGCAGATGGAATCTCAACTATTAACTTCAATATTACTCAAGCTGCTAATCAAGCTTCTACAATGACTGTCTATGGACAAACTGTATCTCAAAATTTTATGGTTGTTCTTAATGGTTACTTTGTTCCCCCAGAAACAGGTGACTATCAGTTTGATCTTACTGTTGATGATGGTTGTGTAGTCCAATTTGGTGCCATGCAAGCCTTCCCTTGTTGTCAATCGTCAAAATCTGGATCTAATACGGAAGTCAGTATGATCGCTCATTGGAATATGCAGACTTTGACATACGGTGCAAACTCGGTTATTTTCTCTCTTAAGAGCGGTGTTGCTTATCCACTTAGAATTGCATACTCTAACATGCTTGGTCCTGCTGTTTTAAACTTCCAAATTAAGAACTCTCAAATTCCTGGTTTTGATTACACCCAACATCTTTTCAACTTTGCAGACTCCACCAACACATGTCCGGCTTTCCAAACAACGGTCACAACACCATGGTCGCAAACATTCACCTCTACCAGTACTATTACCCCATCCAATTCGGACGGCACTACTACTATTGAGATCTTCACCCCACCACATCAAACCACTCAAACAACTTCATGGACCGGAACTTACACCTCTACCAGTACTATTACACCATCCAATTCGGACGGTACTACTACCATTGAGATCTACACCCCACCACATGAAACTACTCAAACAACTTCATGGACCGGAACTTACACCTCTACCAGTACTATTACCCCATCGAACTCGGACGGTACCACTACTATAGAGATCTACACGCCACCACATTTAACTACTGTTTCTACTTCATGGACTGGTGACCACACGTTGACTAGTACAGTTTACCCATCCAACTCCGACGGTACTACTACTATTGAGATCTACACTCCACCACATGAAACTACTCAAACAAATTCATGGACCGGAACTTACACCTCTACCAGTACTATTACCCATCCAACTCTGATGGAACCACTACTATTGAGATCTACACTCCACCACACGAAACCACTCAAACAACTTCATGGACCGGAACTTACACCTCTACCAGTACTATTACCCCATCGAACTCGGACGGTACCACAACCATTGAGATCTACACCCCACCACATTTAACCACTGTTTCCACTTCATGGACTGGTGACCACACGTTGACTAGTACAATTTACCCATCCAACTCCGAAGGTACGACAACTATTGAGATCTACACCCCACCACATGAAACCACTCAAACAACTTCATGGACCGGAACTTACACCTCTACCAGTACTATTACCCCATCGAACTCGGACGGTACCACAACCATTGAGATCTACACCCCACCACATTTAACCACTGTTTCCACTTCATGGACTGGTGACCACACGTTGACTAGTACAGTTTACCCATCCAACTCTGATGGAACCACTACTATTGAGATCTACACTCCACCACATGAAACTACTCAAACAACTTCATGGACCGGAACGTACACCTCTACCAGTACTATTACCCCATCGAACTCGGACGGCACCACTACTATTGAGATCTACACTCCACCACATTTAACTACTGTTTCTACTTCATGGACTGGTGACCACACGTTGACTAGTACAGTTTACCCATCCAACTCGGACGGTACTACTACTATTGAGATCTACACTCCACCACATGAAACCACTGTTTCAACTTCATGGACCGGAACTTACACCTCTACCAGTACTATTACCCCATCGAACTCGGACGGTACCACTACTATTGAGATCTACACTCCACCACATGAAACCACTGTTTCAACTTCATGGACCGGAACATACACCTCTACCAGTACTATTACACCATCAAACTCCGATGGAACCACTACTATTGAGATTTACACTCCACCACATGTTACTACTGTTACTAAGACTTGGACTGGAACATTTACTTCTACAAAAACTGATGTTCCCGCTGAATCCGGTGGAACCACAACTATTGAGATTTTGAACCCTCCTCTTGTCACCACTGTTCATACTACTTGGACAAACACATACTTGTCCACCACTACTATTGAACCTAGTATATCAGGAGGAACCACAACGATTGAGATTTTTGATCCACCACATCTTACTTACCATACAACACCATGGACTGGAACGTACACGTCATACAGTACTATTACCCCATCCAATTCGGACGGCACAACCACTATAGAGGTTTACACACCACCAAAGATTACAACCGAAACGACTTCATGGACCGGAACTTACACCTCTACCAGTACTATTACACCATCCAATTCGGATGGTACTACTACTATTGAGATCTACACCCCACCACATGAAACTACTCAAACAACTTCGTGGACCGGAACTTACACCTCTACCAGTACTATTACCCCATCCAATTCGGACGGTACCACTACCATTGAGATCTACACCCCACCACATGAAACTACTCAAACAACTTCGTGGACCGGAACTTACACCTCTACCAGTACTATTACCCCATCCAATTCGGACGGTACCACTACCATTGAGATCTACACTCCACCACATGAAACCACTGTTTCTACTTCATGGACCGGAACCTTCACATCTACTAGTATCATCACCCCATCCAACTCGGACGGTACTACTACTGTTGAGATCTACACCCCACCACATGAAACCACTCAAACAACTTCATGGACCGGAACTTACACCTCTACCAGTACTATTACCCCATCCAATTCGGACGGTACTACTACTATTGAGATCTACACTCCACCACATGAAACCACTGTTTCTACTTCATGGACCGGAACCTTCACATCTACTAGTATCATCACCCCATCCAACTCGGACGGTACTACTACGGTTGAGATCTACACCCCACCACATGAAACTACTCAAACAACTTCATGGACCGGAACTTACACCTCTACCAGTACTATTACCCCATCGAACTCGGACGGTACTACAACCATTGAGATCTACACCCCACCACATGAAACCACTGTGTCTACTTCATGGACCGGAACCTTCACATCTACTAGTATTATCACCCCATCCAACTCGGACGGTACTACTACGGTTGAGATCTACACTCCACCACATGAAACCACTCAAACAACTTCATGGACCGGAACTTACACCTCTACCAGTACTATCACCCCATCGAACTCGGACGGTACCACTACTATTGAGATCTACACTCCACCACATTTAACGACTGTTTCCACTTCATGGACTGGTGACCACACGTTGACTAGTACAGTTTACCCATCCAACTCCGACGGTACTACTACTATTGAGATCTACACTCCACCACATGAAACCACTCAAACAACTTCATGGACCGGAACTTACACCTCTACCAGTACTATTACCCCATCCAATTCGGACGGCACTACTACTATTGAGATCTACACTCCACCACACGAAACCACTCAAACAACTTCATGGACCGGAACTTACACCTCTACCAGTACTATTACCCCATCCAATTCGGACGGTACCACTACCATTGAGATCTACACTCCACCACATGAAACCACTGTTTCTACTTCATGGACCGGAACCTTCACATCTACTAGTATCATCACCCCATCCAACTCGGACGGTACTACTACTGTTGAGATCTACACCCCACCACATGAAACCACTCAAACAACTTCATGGACCGGAACATACACCTCTACCAGTACTATTACCCCATCGAACTCGGACGGTACCACTACTATTGAGATCTACACCCCACCACATGAAACCACTGTTTCTACTTCATGGACCGGAACCTTCACATCTACTAGTATTATCACCCCATCGAACTCGGACGGTACTACTACTGTTGAGATCTACACCCCACCACATGAAACCACTCAAACAACTTCATGGACCGGAACTTACACCTCTACCAGTACTATTACCCCATCCAATTCCGACGGTACTACAACCATTGAGATCTACACCCCACCACATTTAACCACTGTTTCCACTTCATGGACTGGTGACCACACGTTGACTAGTACAGTTTACCCATCCAACTCTGATGGAACCACTACTATTGAGATCTACACTCCACCACACGAAACCACTCAAACAACTTCATGGACCGGAACTTACACCTCTACCAGTACTATTACCCCATCCAACTCGGACGGTACTACTACTATTGAGATCTACACTCCACCACATGAAACCACTCAAACAACCTCATGGACCGGAACTTACACCTCTACTAGTACTATTACCCCATCGAACTCCGATGGAACCACTACTATAGAAATATTTACACCGGTAAGCTCTTTATCATCTGTTGCCTCCACATCTGATGAACCATCTTCCGTTGGTTCCTCATCTGCTGAATCATCATCTGTTGCTTCCTCATCTGTGGAATCATCATCTGTTGAACCATCTTCCGTTGGCTCCTCATCTGTTGAATCATCATCTGTTGCTTCCTCATCTGTTGAACCATCTTCTGTCGCTTCATCATCTGCTGAACCATCTTCCGTTCCTTCCTCATCTGTTGAACCATCATCTGTTGTTTCTTCATCTGCTGAGCCATCATCAGTTGTTTCTTCATCTGCTGAGCCATCATCAGTTGTTTCTTCATCTGCTGAGCCATCATCAGTTGAACCAACTTTCAGCTCAACCGTTGTTCCTTCGTCTTTGGAATCTAGTAGTGGATACTCTACCTTCTCATGGTCGAACTCCACATCTTCGTCCGTTCCATCATCCGAATGGTCTAGTGCATCAGCTTCTTCGGCTTCTTTGACATCATCATCAGTTGCTTCCTCATCAGTTGCCTCATCATATGTTGAATCATCATCCGTTGCTTCCTCATCTGTTGAATCATCTTCTGTTGCTACATCATCCGTTGAATTATCTTCCGTTGGTTCCTCATCTGTTGAATCATCTTCTGTTGCTACATCATCCGTTGAATCATCTTCCGTTGCCTCCTCATCTGTTGAACCATCTTCCGTTGCTTCATCATCTGCTGAACCATCTTCCGTTGCTTCCTCATCTGTTGAGTCATCTTCTGTTGCTTCCTCATCTGTTGAATCATCATCTGTTGAACCCTCTTCCGTTGCCTCCTCATTTGTTGAATCATCATCTGTTGCTTCCTCATCTGTTGAATCATCATCTGTTGAATCATCATCTGTTGAATCATCATCTGTTGCTTCCTCATCTGTTGAATCATCATCTGTTGCTTCCTCATCTGTTGAATCATCATCTGTTGCTTCCTCATCTGTTGAATCATCATCTGTTGCTTCCTCATCTGTTGAATCATCATCTGTTGCTTCCTCATCTGTTGAATCATCATCTGTTGCTTCCTCATCTGTTGAACCATCTTCTGTCGCTTCATCATCTGCTGAACCATCTTCCGTTCCTTCCTCATCTGCTGAGCCATCATCAGTTGTTTCTTCATCTGCTGAGCCATCATCAGTTGTTTCTTCATCTGCTGAGCCATCATCAGTTGTTTCTTCATCTGCTGAGCCATCATCAGTTGAACCAACTTTCAGCTCAACCGTTGTTCCTTCGTCTTTGGAATCTAGTAGTGGATACTCTACCTTCTCATGGTCGAACTCCACATCTTCGTCCGTTCCATCATCCGAATGGTCTAGTGCATCAGCTTCTTCGGCTTCTTTGACATCATCATCAGTTGCTTCCTCATCAGTTGCCTCATCATATGTTGAATCATCATCCGTTGCTTCCTCATCTGTTGAATCATCTTCTGTTGCTACATCATCCGTTGAATTATCTTCCGTTGGTTCCTCATCTGTTGAATCATCTTCTGTTGCTACATCATCCGTTGAATCATCTTCCGTTGCCTCCTCATCTGTTGAACCATCTTCCGTTGCTTCATCATCTGCTGAACCATCTTCCGTTGCTTCCTCATCTGTTGAGTCATCTTCTGTTGCTTCCTCATCTGTTGAATCATCATCTGTTGAACCATCTTCCGTTGCCTCCTCATTTGTTGAATCATCATCTGTTGCTTCCTCATCTGTTGAATCATCATCTGTTGAATCATCATCTGTTGAATCATCATCTGTTGCTTCCTCATCTGTTGAATCATCATCTGTTGCTTCCTCATCTGTTGAATCATCATCTGTTGCTTCCTCATCTGTTGAATCATCATCTGTTGCTTCCTCATCTGTTGAACCATCTTCTGTCGCTTCATCATCTGCTGAACCATCTTCCGTTCCTTCCTCATCTGTTGAACCATCATCTGTTGTTTCTTCATCTGCTGAGCCATCATCAGTTGTTTCTTCATCTGCTGAGCCATCATCAGTTGAACCAACTTTCAGCTCAACCGTTGTTCCTTCGTCTTTGGAATCTAGTAGTGGATACTCTACCTTCTCATGGTCGAACTCCACATCTTCGTCCGTTCCATCATCCGAATGGTCTAGTGCATCAGCTTCTTCGGCTTCTTTGACATCATCTTCGGTTGCCTCATCATCTGTTGAACCATCATCTGTTGCTTCCTCATCTGTTGAATCATCATCTGTTGCTTCCTCATCTGTTGAACCATCTTCCGTTGCTTCCTCATCTGCTGAATCATCATCTGTTGCTTCCTCATCTGTTGAATCATCATCTGTTGCTTCCTCATCTGTTGAATCATCATCTGTTGAATCATCATCCGTTGCTTCCTCATCTGTTGAACCATCTTCTGTCGCTTCATCATCTGCTGAACCATCTTCCGTTCCTTCCTCATCTGTTGAATCATCATCTGTTGCTTCCTCATCTGTTGAATCATCATCTGTTGAATCATCATCCGTTGCTTCCTCATCTGTTGAATCATCATCTGTTGCTTCCTCATCTGTTGAATCATCTTCCGTGGCTTCCTCATCTGTTGAACCATCTTCCGTTGGTTCCTCATCTGTTGAACCATCTTCCGTTGCCTCCTCATCTGTTGAATCATCATCTGTTGCTTCCTCATCTGTTGAATCATCTTCTGTTGCTACATCATCCGTTGAATCATCTTCCGTTGGTTCCTCATCTGTTGAACCATCTTCCGTTGCCTCCTCATCTGTTGAATCATCATCTGTTGCTTCCTCATCTGTTGAACCATCATCTGTTGTTTCCTCAACCGTTGTTTCCTCATCTGGAGGTATTCCGTCAGTAACGCTGTCGACATATTCTACTTCATCGTTTGTATTACCATCAGGTTGTACCTTCTTACATAAGCGTGACGAGACTATGGCTTACGGGTGTCCATCCTCTTCTAGTGAAAATACTGTGTCAACGAGTACCACAACAATCCCAACACCTGCTACATCTTCATTCGTCTTGCCATCTGGTTGTACGTTCATACAAAGTGACGACGGTGCAATGACATATGGATGTACATCCTCATCCACTTCCAGTAGTTTGACTTCACCACATGTCACCACTGTGACTACTGAGGGTACTGGTAGTGTGACCAAGACTATTACCATCACTCCTACTGGAACTGATGGAACCACCACCATTGAAATCATCACTCCAAAGCCTACTGGCACTCTGCCACATGTCACCACTGTGACTACTGAAGGTACTGGTAGTGTGACCAAGACTAATACCATCACTCCTACTGGAACTGATGGAACCACCACCATTGAAATCATCACTCCAAAGCCAGGTAAGACTAACGAAGTTACGGTAACCAAACCAGATACAACTATCATTACCGTAACTTCTTGTTCTGAAAACCTGTGTACAGCAGTACCAGTCACGACTGGTCAAACTGTTGTGACTATCACAGTTGATGATACTGTTACCTCGTACACTACTTATTGCCCACTTTCTTCCGAGGCGGCTACTTCTGTAGATGGAACAGTGACAAAGCCAAGCACAACGGTTCTTACAGTTACATCATGTTCAAATAATAAGTGCTCGGAAGTTCCAATCACTACTGGTCAAACGGTTGTTACTGTCACAGTGGATAATACTGTTACATCCTACACAACCTTCTGTCCCCTTTCAGGTACAGCTACTTCCCCTCAAGCAACAGCTATTACCACCACAGGACAGGATTCCAACGGAACTGACTCTGCCAACCCAGAAAAACCTATTGCTGATGGCACATCTGATGGACCTACAAATAATGGATCTTCTAATCCAAATGCTCCAGGTTCTGGTAACGATTCACCTTCTGATGGTGCATCACAAAATGGCTCCACTGGAAATTCCCCTGATTCCGACGGTGAACAACCAGTTCCAGCTGCTGGCAATGAATCTTCATCTGAGGGTTTGCCACAGAATGGCTCCACGGGAACAAATTCCCCAGGTGCCGAAGGGGATCAATCTGCTCCAGCCGCTGGCGATTCTTCAGATTCAAATACTCCTGAACCTAATCCAATGGCTACAGGTGCTGAACCTGAAAATGTACCTGCCCAAGGAATCCCAGAAACCATTTGCTCTGAAGGTAAGTGCAGTGTTGTTGCTTCAACACCTACTCAACTAGTTGCCCCAACTACTGTTGCTCAATCGGTACAATCTAACGCCACTGACTCCTCTTCACCAGAGCAAGAACACGTAACATCACAACGTGCGTCTACAGTTCCTACTACGGCTACTTCAGTAACCAAGGCTGGCACTTCCTCTACATCAAGTGTTGTCACTTCTGCTCCAGCTAGTGTCACCACTGGTGGTTCAGGTAAGATTGGATTGTCGGGGTCTACCCTTTTTGCAGCTTTGTTGGCCTACATGTTGGTATAGCTTCTACATCTCAGTTAATTGTTAACTAATTTTCGTGGATTCACAGTGAATCTATATTTTTTCTTGCTCCATCGAGCTTCATTACATTTTTATCCCGGTTATGGCCAAAGAGCCTCCTATTTGACTTCTTCATCCCATCAATTTCATTCAAAATTGAGTTATAAAAAAATTAGCTGCAACAAATTTTTTGTCACATTTCATTTTTACACATTATATTGTTTATATTACTTAATAAAGGTATTTTTAATAATTTCAAAGTAGCAGCTTAATAGACACAGATGTAGGGTGATAGTAAACACAAAATAATATGTCTTTGTTTGAAGTGGATTGCGCCAACTTCCATTTATTTAGGTGGTTCCTCGGATAAATCTTAGAATTTCTCTCTTTCCGAAACTTAACTTTAGCGTCTTCACTGTTTGTGAAATTTGGAGGTCCTTCACATTCTTAAAAAAAAAACATATATCATACATACCAAGTACAGAGAAAAATCCTATACAAAATATTCCCGCAGAATATGTTCACTAGATCAACACAACCGATCTTGTGGTTAGAAGTGGTGATCCAGTAACCCGGGGTTGAAGATGACTACCATATTCAAGGGTTCACATTAAAAACCTAACGATGCGCCATCGAGACTAATTTCAGGTTACCCTTCATGTACTGTTTAAATATTTCGGTTATTTACCCGCTGCACTCTTCTTCCTTCCTTTTCTTCGTTTTTTTGTTTTAGCTGAGATTTTTTTTTTGATGATTTTTACTTCTTTGAAGATAAACAAAGTACGCATACATTCCGATCAATATTTGACAAATACGTGTTTTTCTGAAAGGCACACGCAGCAGTAGTACTAGAAATGCATTAAATTGCTAGTGAATGTGTATTCTTCAGTGTATCTACTGTTTCGTTCCCCAAAACACAAAGTCGTTATTTACGAACCTATTTCAATCCATTTCAAAAAGTTTAGCATTTGCACAGGATAAACTCGTACCTGGCAGTAAATGAGTCCACTTTATGCTTCTTGGGCACGGCAAACACCTAGAAGAATATTGTTTCTATCTTGGTATTAATTCTACCATCTATCTAGAGTTGAGTGTACCGAAGTCGCAGGGTTTCATGTACAACAACAAAGAATGTTTCTGTACCATCTATTATTATTTGAATACATACATATATATGTTCTAATAGCGAGAGTTATCTCGACTAGACCACTTCCTGACTATCGACGATGGTGGATGTCTAAATTTGGAAGTATGAGGATGCATGGTACATTCCACCGAGAAAAAAATGAAAGGGGTGAGTATGCTGCAAAATGCTTATGCGCGGAATCTAAAATGCAGCACTTCTTGGAAACAAGAAACACCTCCACCATAAGCAATACGTGCATTCTACTGCCTTGTGTAGGTCTTTTAGTACATATAGCATTCTGCTAAGTAGTAGTATAACTCAGAAGAGGGCTCTATAAATATTCAACCAAATCTTTTTAATCATGAAAAGAAAATATTCAAACAAGCAAGAATGCAAATCTCAACTCTAGCAATCATTTCTCTGGCTCTTTTGACCCTGACCCACGCTTTAGGAGTGCCTGGATGTGCTCCAAGTGGATCTAGATCAGATGGTTTCAAAGTCAACGTATACCCTTACCAAATATTGGACAAATCGTTAATGGCTAGTTTGGATTATGTCTCTACAGGTTATAGAAACAGCCCTTTGCTTGACACCATTCCTTCAGTTGACGATATCAACTTTCGCTGGCAAAATCCATATGGCCCTGCTGATATTGAATACTCAGTAGTGGACAAACTTTATGGAGGTCCAGAGGTCACTATGACCAACTTTACCATGGAGCTTACTGGATATTTCCACTCCGTCGAAGGAGGTGACTACACTTTTAAATTGACCGAAATTGACGATTCCGCAGCAGTTTTCATTGGTGACGGTACAGCTTTTGATTGTTGTAAAGACACCCCTACCATCAATCCTTCTGATTATCAAATCTTCACTTCCAAGGTATGGCATGGAGAAACAGGAAATACACAGGCCACAGTAGAATTAGTCGCTGACACCTACTATCCAATTAGAATTGTCTACACCAATGCTGTTTCACTTGCAGCCTTACAATTCTTTGTTACTAAGCCAGATGGCCAAACCACAGAAGTCCACTCCGAGGTTTTTGTTTATGACGAAGAAAGACAAAACTGTCCTGCCCCATCATCTGCAATTCCTTCTTCTTCCGAACCACCTAGTTCTTCTTATGTTCCATCTACATCTGCTCATGTGTCTTCCGAAAGCACGACTCCTCACATCACCACCGTCACCACTCCATGGACTGGTACTGATGTTTCCACCACTACCTTGACTCCATCTGGATCCGACGGTACTACCACTGTTGAAATCTTGACTCCAACTCCAACTCCTTCTGGTCATATCACCACCGTCACCACTCCATGGACTGGTACTGATGTTTCCACCACTACCTTGACTCCATCTGGATCCGACGGTACTACCACTGTTGAAATCTTGACTCCAACTCCAACTCCTTCTGGTCATATCACCACTGTCACCACTCCATGGACTGGTACTGATGTTTCCACCACTACCTTGACTCCATCTGGATCCGACGGTACTACCACTGTTGAAATCTTGACTCCAACTCCAACTCCTTCTGGTCATATCACCACTGTCACCACTCCATGGACTGGTACTGATGTTTCCACTACTACCTTGACTCCATCTGGATCCGACGGTACTACCACTGTTGAAATCTTGACTCCAACTCCAACTCCTTCTGGTCATATCACCACTGTCACCACTCCATGGACTGGTACTGATGTTTCCACTACTACCTTGACTCCATCTGGATCCGACGGTACTACCACTGTTGAAATCTTGACTCCAACTCCAACTCCTTCTGGTCATATCACCACTGTCACCACTCCATGGACTGGTACTGATGTTTCCACCACTACCTTGACTCCATCTGGATCCGACGGTACTACCACTGTTGAAATCTTGACTCCAACTCCAACTCCTTCTGGTCATATCACCACTGTCACCACTCCATGGACTGGTACTGATGTTTCCACCACTACCTTGACTCCATCTGGATCCGACGGTACTACCACTGTTGAAATCTTGACTCCAACTCCAACTCCTTCTGGTCATATCACCACTGTCACCACTCCATGGACTGGTACTGATGTTTCCACTACTACCTTGACTCCATCTGGATCCGACGGTACTACCACTGTTGAAATCTTGACTCCAAGTGGATCAACTTCTACAGAAACTGAAATTCACACAACTATCATTACCGTCACCTCATGCTCAGATAATAAATGTACTGAAGTACCAGTAACCACCGGAGAAACAGTTGTCACCACTACCGTCGATAGTACCACGTCTGTTTACACTACCTATTGTCCATTACCCTCCAGCATTAATGAAAGTTCGGTCACCGAGACTCATGCTTCCACTGTTGTTGTTACTGTTACTTCTTGTTCAGACGGAAAGTGTTCTGTGGTTCCTACTACTACTGGAGAAGTTGTTGTTGTAACGACTGTTCCAGGGTCTGGAGTTATTTCATACACCACTTATTGTCCATTATCATCTTCACCAGCCGGTCCTGCTCCATCTGGTGCCGCCCCATCTGGTGAATCCCCAGCCGGTCCTGCTCCATCTGGTGCCGCCCCATCTGGTGAATCCCCAGCCGGTCCTGCTCCATCTGGTGAATCCCCAGCCGGTCCTGCTCCATCTGGTGAATCCCCAGCCGGTCCTGCTCCATCTGGTGAATCCCCAGCCGGTCCTGCTCCATCTGGCGAATCCCCAGCCAGTCCTGCTCCATCTGGCGAATCCCCAGCCGGTCCTGCTCCATCTGGTGAATCCCCAGCCGGTCCTGCTCCATCTGGTGAATCCCCAGCCGGTCCTGCTCCATCTGGTGCTGCCCCATCTGGTGCTGCCCCATCTGGTGCTGCCCCATCTGGTGCTGCCCCATCTGGTGCTTCTCCATCTGTTACTCCTTCAGAGAACTCATCCGGAAAGTTGATTTCTTCCTCCTTTTCGGTTCTTGCAGCCATGGTTGCTATCTGTCTCATTTAAGACTACCCCAAGCACACTCTCTCCAACGTCCAAGCTCGTGAGATCGCCATTTCAATTTTATTTCGTATCTAATCTTTTAATGGTTTACAAACCGTACTATATGTATTTCTTAACTTCTTCAATGATTGCTCTTGTATAGTATAATTCGATCTATATCAATCCTTTACTACTTTGTAATGTTACTCTATGATTCTACAACAAACAATAGTTGGAATAAAATGTTGAACATGTAGTTTGCATGCATTCTGAGCTTGGCAAACAAACATAATTCACCTCTTCACCTTCAATCCAAACGTTTCAAAGTATACTTCGTATGATGCAAATGATACCACTTTAATACTACGTCTTCTACAAATAGAAATATTTTGTACATTAGTCTTGCTCAAACTAGTAACCTCATTCCAATTCATTCGTCTCGCTTACTTTCATCTAGTCGTTAATTTTGTGAGCGTTCATTTTGCTTATAATTTTTTAAAACATGCGAAAGAAAGGGTAAAGCAGCTTAGAAAATAGAAGTAGAACGCAAAAACAATTGAACATAAAATAACTTCAAATTAAACTATCATGAAATTAAGATTTGGAACAACATTCCATAAAGAAATACAATCTGAAGTTGAGAAATTTCAGATCTTCTCATCATAATCATTCATTTGTTCACTGGAATTCTCGTTCTTTCCAAGAATCAAGCAATAACTTAAACCAAGAACTTAGAACCAAGACCCAAGACAATTCTCTCTTGGTACTTTTACGTCAAGTAGCCTCCCCCCAGCTACAAAATAAGATTGGCACACCTATTACTTCGCCTACAGTGCAGGATGTCCAAAAGAAGGCGCGTATTTGAATCTTCTTATATCAGCGGTCATCCTTCCATCAACCCTTCTTTTCAAGACTTTTGTATGACTATCGTATGACTGTACGACTCGACGCAGCTGAGCTTTTCGCTCGATCCAAATAATTGTGATATATTATATTTTAACGGCTACAAATTACTCTCCTCTCTCCCTCCTTAAAATTCGGCACAGCCTTGGTTGTGAGAATCCTTCATAATTTTAATTTTTTTTTCTCTTGAACTACGCAATTCCTGCATACCAACTGGAGTTTCTATTTTTACACGACGGGGTAAATGCTCAACCCCATTTTGATTCACACATAAACATTCAGCTGGATCTCTTTCCTTCTCCCCGTTGCCAGCAAATACACTCCACTCCACGCAAATACCCGGGACCATTTGCTAGCAGAGACTCTCAGCAACAACGCGATCACCACCCCACTGATAAACGTACCGACCTGCGCGCGTGTCCAGTCTCCAGTAGCTCGTCCCATAACCCGCTGATGAATTTCACATACATCTGGACCCTCTTGGTCCTCGCACACTCCGTTCTAGCAGTCAACCATATCCGATCGTCTTCGCTTTTAACATGTATGGACAACTCCCAATTCACAGCCTCGCATTTCGACGTTGTGTTCTACCCCGATAATAGAACTGCTTACTTTGATATCACCGCCATTTCCAACATCGATGCCAAGGTCAATGCTAACGTCCAACTCATTGCGTACGGGCTTAACGTGTTGCAGCGGAATATCTCGCTTTGTAGCTTGAAGTATGGCTCTATCTGTCCTCTTACCACGGGTCACATGGACTTGACCTCACACTACGAGTTGGATAAATCTGTCACTTCACAGATCCCGGGCGTGGCTTACACCATTCCTGACTTGGATGCAAGAGTCCGTGTCGTGCTATATGATGAAGAATCCGGAGACAACTTGGCCTGTGTAGAGGCCGTCTTGACTAACGGTAAGACCGTCCAAACCAAATATGCCGCCTGGCCCATTGCAGCCATTTCCGGGTTAGGTGTCATCACCTCGGGTGTTGTGTCTGTCATTGGTCACTCCAACACAGCAGCCCACATTGCCTCGAATTCGATGTCTCTTTTCGTTTACTTCCAATCCTTGGCTATTACTTCCATGATGGCAGTGGCCAAGGTGCCACCTATTGCCGCCGCATGGGCTCAAAACTTCCAATGGTCTGTCGGGATCATTAAAATTGGATTTATTCAAAATATTGCCAACTGGTACATCCAGCTGACGGGCGGATCTCCAACTGATATCTTGGACTCTTCATATTTATCAATTTCCGTGCAAAAGAAGTCCAAGCGTAGCGATGCCTTGGATTTCTTCAATGGGTTATACCAAAGTCAAAAACGTGATAACCATCTTACTATCTTTGAAAAGCGTGCATCCATCACCTTGGATTCGGATAATTTCGGCTACTCTGATACCCTCAATTCTACCCTCTACACTACCAACGAGAAAGATCTGTTATTAGCCTCCAAGATTCTTGTGCTCAGAGGTATTCAAAGAGTGGCGTACCTTGCTGGTATTGAACTTACCTCTCTCTTTATGACAGGTATTATCTTTTTGATCTTCTTTGGTTTCGTTATGGTTGTCTTCCTCATGCTCTTCAAGGCAGCCATTGAAATTGCTATCCGTTCAAAGATTATGAATGAAGGTAAATTCAATGAATATAGACAACAATGGTCTCAAATCATCAAGGGTGCCTTGTACAGACTTCTTCTCATCTCGTTTCCACAAGTTGGTGTTTTATGCTTTTGGGAATTTGTCGAGAGAGACTCTGTTGGAACCATCATTATTGCAGTATTCCTCTTGGTTATCAGTATTGTACTTCTTTTCCAGGCAGCAATTAGAGTATTTTTCATGGGTCGTAAATCTGTACAACAATTTAAAAATCCTGCCTATCTTTTGTTTGGTGATGGATCATTTTTGAACAGATTTGGTTTTGTTTATGTCCAATATCGTGCCGATTGCTACTATTTCGTGTTGGTGGGTCTTATATATACTTTCTTGAAATCCTTGTTTGTGGCCGTCCTTCAACAACATGGTAGAGCTCAAGCAGTTATTGTGTTTGTCATCGAGTTGGTATACATGGTGACCCTTTGTGTTGTCAGACCATATATGGACAAACGTACCAATGCTTTCAACATCACTATTGGTGTAATCAGTACCATCAATGCTCTCTTCTTCATGTTTTTCTCATACGTTTTCAAGCAACCTCACGTTGTTGCATCGGTTATGGCGGTGGTTTACTTTGTCTTGAACGCTGTCTTTGCCTTGTTTTTGCTCATTTTCACCATTGTCACATGTGTTTTGGCCCTTCTTTACAAAAACCCAGATACTAGATATCAACCTATGAAGGACGACCGTGTGTCATTTTTGCCTCGTTTTGACAACCCCAAGGGTGGTCAAGCTGGAACTAAGGCTGTTGACAATAGTGAAGATATGGAATTGATGGCCTTGGGTGCTACTGCCAGAAGAGGTCATGAAAACTTTGGTAAAAATTACGAAGATGACTCTGTATACGAAGACGATTCTGTATTCCGTAACCATGCTGAAAGGTATGAATCCAACTCTTCTTCATATCCTAACGAAGATAACAGACGCGATTCTTATTACGAAAACATGACTCCCACGGAACCCTCTTCTACCATTGTTGGAAACCCAGCAAATGCAATGAATGCATACAGGGACCGTCAGTACAAAAATGCCCCTAGAAATAAAGTTCTATTCGAGCAAAACCGTTAAAGCAGACTTTATATATCCAGCTTTATTCAAATTTTATGTGTTAACTATATCTTACTTATATAGAGTATAAGAACTATTTTTTTTCTCTCATTGGTAGCCGAAAACTTGTAGCCAACTTGGTTCTGTGTAGATGACGTTGCTGGATTGGAGAGCCTGTGGGAATATAACCTGGGCATATTTTTTAGATCTCGGTAATGTAGGATGCAAGTTGTATGTTGGAGCAGAAGTACCACCTTGTCTTTTCTTTAAATTCGAAATTCCTCTATACGATTCAATCGATGAGGTATCATATGGATCATAACGTTCCAAGCCGATTCCTTCTTCTTCGGGTTCTTCTTCTTCCGTTTCCTTACCTCGCAAAATACCTCCATTCAACAAGGAAGTTCTGATTCGTGGTCTAGAAGATGCCTTTGATCTCACATTCTCCAGAGTTTCCTTAAGAAGATCTTTGAAATCATTGGCCTTATCGAAAATATTCTCCGCTAAGTTTTGTAGTTCATCATTCAAATCTCGCCTTTCTAATCGATATGGAGATGTATCCCTATATGGGTAACTAAACTTCAATGAGTTGGTCTCTTCGTCAATCTGAATACAATGATCAGTTTTGGAAAACTCTCCATTGATGTTACAAAACTGGGAATGTTTCACTTCATCTAAGCTACCAGTTGCCTGTAGCCAATGATGTACAAAGGAATCAAAGAATTTGGAATTCTGTCGGCCCAAAAACTTCCCACTACTAATAATAGGCACTGATTTCTCCAGTTTTCTACTAGTGAAAACAAAAACTAATATCGGATTGTCACTATTGAAACTCTTGTGGATGAGAGGTATATTCTTTTTATGCACTTCTAAGATTCCCTTTGATAACACTGGGTGTTTAAAATAGGAAGCATCAATTTGTGTGGCATTCAGCAAAAATGGGACCATCAAGAAATAATCCAGAAAGTATATTGATTGCGGTAATGTGAACGGTGGGTTTTCACTCAGTGGTACACCACTATTGACTGTAGTCATGTTGAATATAACCATTACCTTAGTATTCACAGGAATTGAAGCATTAAGGCTATCCCCATTGTAGTCCACATTTAAAGTCATTGGATTCTCATCGATAGGTAAACCTAACTGGGAAAAGGCTTGCGGTTCAAGCAAGCTTCTAGACAAGATTAAGAGCTTGGTAGAGTGATTTACTTCTTCAATTTCATTTCCCTTCTGTACAAACATTAATTCCTTTAAAGTTGATTCTATTGATATTTTTTGATCCCTGATATCTACCAATGTACTTTTCGCAGCCAAATTTGACTCTATGACCAATCCATACACCGTGTACATCGTCAAATAATACAAAAGACCCCAGATCATTCTCTTATCCCTTAAACTAATATATGTATGTCGTACTACTATTATTAATAATCTATTCTATTTGTAACCTTTTCCTTCCATTAAAACTTTCTCTCCATTGTAATTTTTACCATTTGTGGTTTCAAAATGTATACACCAAAATTTTTTCCCGGCCTCTAACTTCCATTTGATCGTTGATAGGATATAATTCTCCTCTTTCATTGAGTATGTACTCCTTTATGGGCTGTCCAGTGTACGGGTCAACCATTTGCGACGATGGTAGTGGTTGAGGTGGTAACATCGAGTTGGCCATGGTATCATTTGCTTTATTGATGTTAGCATTATATTGTGGAGCTGAACCTTTACCACTATAATCAAAATTTAACTCATCAAGCAAATTAAGAGTTGAAATATACTTTGTAGTAATGAACATGATCAAGTTTGTAAACCAAATAAACATTGAAAGAATTATGAAAGCCGTCAAGGCTCTTCTCATGTTGCATATGGATGGTTTTGAGCATGATTTGTTGGGTATAATAGTGGAGGTAACCATTATAAATGACACAATATTCAATATAGTTGCCAATAAACAATAAAAGTTACCATTTCGTTTTTCAAAGTTGATCACTGAGAAGACAAACAATAAAGATACAAAGAGTGAGATCACCCCATCAGCAATGAAATACCGGTAGATTCCAGTCTTCCCCATTCCATCATTTGACAAGAGCACCCCTGCTAACGTTATGACAATAATAGCAAAGAATATTTCAAATACATACACCACAAAATGGAAACTGATCACCAACTCTGTCTCTTGGTAGTCGTTAAACCCGACAAATCGTCTCGTGGGGAGAACAATAAGGGGCCTATTCATTACACTTTTAATCAAATGCTCTTCCAAATACTTTTTACGAGAGATAATACTTTGCACGTCATTTGGTGGGCCGCCGCTTCTTAAGGGACCTGCTACCCCAGAAGCGAGGCCTCCACCATCTACCATGATGGGCCCACCTATCACAGGTCCCCCCATTACCGGACCTGAGGGAATATGTTGCCCTGATGGTGCCAAATTATCCATATTCATGTCGTTTTGTATAGCTGCAGGTGGGAGTTGGTCATCGTAGATGATAGGCGGGTTGGGGGCTGAATAGCGGGTGTTGCGATTACTACTGTTTTTGAGATGCTTGGCATCCTTGGGAGGAGGTTGAGGGATAATTAAAGTTGGAGGTACGACGCTATTGTAGGGGAGAGTCACCTCTGGCTCTGGCTTGACTGTTCTAGTTCTTGGTAATTGGGGCACTGCAACCGGCACAGGCTCTGGAATTCGGTGATCTTTCGATCTATATGGATCATCGTGAGATTTTTCGTTATTGAATGATTCTGGATACGGTACGAACTCCGGATCTTCTTCATTCAAGGTGTCTTCCTCCTTCATGTAATAGCTGAAGAAGTCGCTCTTATCGTCATTTGTTACATCTCTCTGTTTGGGATTGCTTAAGTTACGCTCTGCAACTTCGATCATGGTCGGTTTCCTAGCAGGCTTTAGTATGGAATCCATAGACGAGTTGTCGCTCATATGATGTTCATCTATTGATGTAGGGGTTGCGTTTCTTGATCTATTTCTTGGGATCACGGCGTCGTATTCAAACCGTGAGAGGTCACTCACTATTCTAGTGTTGGACTGGCCATACGGTTGGAACAGCAGCATTTTTGGCTAAGGTTCCTTTATATGTGCTAAATCGGTTACTACGGCAAAGTCCCCTGAACTCATACACTTATCTGTAGAACGTTTTAAATTTCCCAGGGCAAACAGATCCACCTTTTGATTTTTTTTTGTAGAAGGGTTTCTTGATTAGGATGTGTAAGGCTGGTTTATATGCAACAAATTTTCCTAAAGTGGACAAAATGTAAATATATGTCAGTGTTACAGGGACGAAGGTTTTGATTATAGCAAGGAACTTCGGAATAATAATATCAGGGTGTCCGTATATTTGAAGTAAGGTGGATGGGGTTAGACCTCGTGCTTCCAAATGGGGAATAGGCTATTTTTAAAGTAGTATGATTAGCTAAGGGGTAAGTCAACTAAGCGAAAGTGCGATTTTCTGGGGAAAAGAAAAAGAGTAGATGTACTGGGGGAAATCTTATAGAAAGAGTTTTGGAAGAAGACTTGCAATGGTAGATACTAAGAGAGGATTGTAATTTAAAGTTTATATTTGTAGCAAGTGTTTTTTATTAGAGAGCAATAGACATAATTTGCGTTTAGTGATCAGGTTGTATATGAGTTGTAAAGTTTATTAATTTTAAATTTCATTTTGTTACTTTCGTTGGTTTTTATTTGCGTTAATAGTTCTAAATTGGAGGTAACATGACATGTATGATATTTTCTACTAATTTGTCGTTCTTTTATCCTCGTAAACAAGGTTTTAAGGGGGGGCTCTTTGTGATGTAACGACGATACTAAAAATTAAATAGTGAGGTACATAAAATTCACTTAAACAGGAAATATTGTGTGACTCAGAAGTCATTTTATTTGCTAAGTTTGATCTTTATACCCTTATGAAGAACTGATACCTTTTATAAAGAGTTGAACCAAATATTGGGTATGAAATCAGCGAATTTAAAAAATCCCGGATTTGGTTACCCTGTCCGTTTCACTACCCGCAAAAATGGAAACTCCAGAAATGCCTGGTTAGCTCAATCGGTAGAGCGTTTGACTCTTATGAGTAGCAATCAAAAGGTTGCGGGTTCGACCCCCGCATCGGGCTTTCTTTTTTTTTTCCACCCATTATTCTTAATAATAAAAATATATCATCATAAATTGTGTGTTAAAGATATCTTCAATCATATCTCCTTATATCACTTTTTTTCCTTTCATAATTGTATTACGATATTAAGTAGTACTATTAAAATTTTTATGTTCGTTGGTGGTTATAGAGAAAAATTCGGTAGTAACCCTTAAATATACTCTCTTCGCACTTCTTTAGAATTTTGCAACTATAAATCAATAACCTTTGAAAATCATCAAGTATATATTCGCTATATAATGGACATATTTAACATGATACTGATAGCAACGATAAAGATAATATTCACTAATTCATTCTAAATTAAAATCATACTCATCCCTGAAAAATATTTTCAAATGTTGCTACAATTAATTTTTGAAGGGGAATTACCCCTCATGTCTAACCCGATCTCCATCCCATCTCTACCACATATCTACACACATTGCTCTTCTTTAAAGGATCTACAGTAACAGTTATTTATAACAATTAACTTACCCCCTTACACTTATCATAAGTTATCGAAAAAAAAAAGTATTGGCAGTAGCCCTATATTTAGATAAAACTTTAAAACTGGGGAACCAAAACCGTTTACAGTATGGAACTTGAATAAAAAAAAAAAAAAGAACACCTGAATATGCAAAAAGTACATAGCTAAGAAGTCAAATTCAAATTCGAAGTACAAAAATAAAAAATAATGGAAAAAGGGAAAAATGCACAAAAGAAGAAAAGAAAAGTCGCCCAAGAAAGATGGTAAACTCAATTGACACCTCTTTCATCTTTTTCATCCCTCCTTCTTCCATCTCTTATATGTTGGGTGATCTAATATATTCTCCCTCCCTTTATTTATTAACTCATATTTACAACAAATGCAAAAAAAAAAAAAAAATAACCCTTAGTATTTTGATATACCCGGAGTTTTTCCCCGGCCAACGGCAAGAACGGGACTTTTATCCAATCATTTTAATTACTGCTCCGTAGCTGACCCCTCATTATAACACAAAACTGGCGAAATTCAAAAATACTAATATACATGCCGTGTCATTGCGGTTGCGAGCCCGTGCAGGTCCTTTACACCTAGCAAATGAGAAGACGACAAAACTTCATAGTAAATTAAATAAGTTTGTTATAGAACAACTATCACGGTTATTTTATTTATTTTGACCACGTCAACACGCCTAGTCAACCACATCACATAACCACCATGTTGTCCCTTTCCCGTGCTGCTCTTCAAGCCAAGAGGCCAATTGCCCAGGTTGTTGGTAGATCACTTGCTCTTCAATCAACCCCATCCTTCAACAAGATCAGAAGTGAATTGGCCTTCCAAAGATTTGCCTCTTTCACCGTCAAGGTTCCAGACATGGCTGAATCCATTACCGAAGGTACTCTTTCTGCCTACACCAAGGCCGTTGGAGATTTCGTTGCTCAAGATGAAACCATTGCCACCATCGAAACCGATAAGATTGATGTTGAAGTCAATGCTCCAGTCTCCGGTACCATCAGTGAACTTTTAGTTGAAGTTGAAGAAACTGTTGAAGTTGGTCAAGATTTGATCAAGATTGAAGAAGGTGAAGCTCCAGCCGGTGGTGCCGCTCCAGCCAAGGAAGAAGCTCCAAAGAAGGAAGAAGCTGCTGCTCCAAAGAAGGAAGAAGCTGCTGCTCCAAAGAAGGAAGAAGCTCCAGCCCCAAAGAAGGAATCTCCAGCTCCAAAGAAGGAAGCCGCCCCAAAGAAGGAAGCCAAGGAAGCCGTTTCTTTCACCAACTTTTCCAGAAACGAAGAACGTGTCAAGATGAACAGAATGCGTTTGAGAATTGCTGAACGTCTTAAGGAATCCCAAAACACTGCTGCCTCTTTGACCACTTTCAACGAAGTCGACATGTCCAACATCATGGAAATGAGAAAGCTTTACAAGGATGAATTCTTGGACAAGACCGGTATCAAGATGGGTTTCATGGGTGCCTTCTCCAAGGCCTGTACTCTTGCCATGAAGGACATTCCAGCTGTCAATGCTGCCATTGAAAACAACGACACCATGGTTTTCAGAGACTACACCGACATCTCCATCGCTGTTGCCACTCCTAAGGGTTTGGTGACCCCAATCGTCAGAAACGCTGAATCTCTTTCTATTTTGGAAATTGAACAAGAAATCTCCAACTTGGGTAAGAAGGCCAGAGATGGTAAGTTGACCTTGGAAGATATGACCGGTGGTACTTTCACCATTTCTAACGGTGGTGTTTTCGGATCCTTATACGGTACTCCAATCATCAACATGCCACAAACTGCCGTTTTAGGTTTGCATGGTGTCAAGGAAAGACCTGTCACCGTTAAGGGACAAGTTGTGTCCAGACCAATGATGTACTTGGCCTTGACATACGATCACAGAGTTTTGGACGGTCGTGAAGCCGTTGTCTTCTTAAGAACCGTTAAGGAATTGATCGAAGACCCAAGAAAGATGTTGTTGTTGCAATAGATGGGATATGGTAATTGAGATCCTCTATAGAAGAATGTAGAATACATGTTAAGAATAAGAAGAAACGGTATATGTAGGAATAAGAGGTGTAAACCTACAACTGGTGAATAGAGAGAATAACAAGACAACTATTAAGTTCAACAACATAGTTCCATAAAGGTCAGTTAAAATTAAGTTTGACGTTATTTTTTGATATCTTTAACGTCAATTATGTAAAAATACTCACAGAAGCAAATGTGTACTTCTAAGAACAAATGATAATTGCTAATTCACACATTAGGATAATACTCAACATGCATGCAGACGGGAAGACTACTAACCACACACCGAAAATTAAAACAAACACAAGGAAGGAAACCTATTTAGTATGTTGTAGCCATCGTCTTCTCGCTTGTTTTTTTTTTATTTGTGTAAGGTATGTATGTTCAGAATGTCATGTACGAGAAACGCTTTGTCTGGACTTGAATCTTTCTCTGTATGTCATCGTGTGAATAAAAGATTTTCTTTTTTTCACAGGACAGCATTCCTTCTCATTTTCTATTCCACTTAATGAAATAGGTGACAAGATACTCAACTACAAAAATATTATACTAGTACAAACTTACGATACTACAAGTGCGTCTAACTTTTACGAGCATACATCCTATTTCAAGGTATAGATTACATCCGACACTCCATAAAAGCAAATAATATTGAAAAGTGCAATCAATTGTGCATGCGAACCTTTCCTTCTTCGCTGTTAAATTATCGTAAATTCTGCAGCAGTCGCATTAATTGGTACAGTAATGTTTACGATTTTCCTAAAACGTATCAGCATGGGCCACCAACGCCTAATTAGGCAATTCCAACTTTTTTTTTGCATCAAATCAATAACAGTTGCGTAGACAGATCGGGTTCTAAAGTGATTTGATTATGTAGGCTCTTTTTTCCTCTATATGATTATTTTATTATATCGTATTCTTCTCTTTAGTTTAATAGCAAAGGTAAAATACTTTAAACCAATATCGAGTGTTTTGAAATCAGAAACAAGGTCAACACATACTGAGACCTCATACTTTGCAATAGAATAGATTCTTTTGAGAAGATCTTCACTTGAAAAGGGTAACAAAGAAAAAGAGAGAGCGAAGAGAGTCTGTGTGCTCTTCAAGGATAAGTTGAAGAAAAGTTTACAGTAGACATACAACTTCAAACTCAAGACAAGTCAAAGACAAGTCCAACTAGTAATCAACTCGTTTAGTGGCACACAATGGAGTACGCTAATTGGGAAGACCCCAAACTTACGATGCCTCAGGATGAGTTCGACCAATACTTCACTGGCTATAATGATATGGACAATCTATTCAACGAAACGTTAGCTGGACTTCTGGATTTAGACGTTCCATCTGGATTTGCTGCTCTGCAACAACAACAACAAGACAAGTTCAAGCTGCACACAAGAAAGATCAGTGGGACTGCGATCTTTGGGTTTACAGAACATGGCCCAAGTTTCTCTCTTGGTAATGACAGGAAAGAATCCAAATCAGTTTCTCCAGGAGAGTTAGTTAAGGAACAACAACAGCAAAACATAGATTATCTCTTCCCAGATCAAGATGTGAAACCTATTTTCCTTGCCGAAGAGGATGAGGATGAAGAAGATGAAAATGAAGAGAATGAAGAAGCCAGGGCTTTAGAAGAGTTGGCTAAGGCCAAGGCTGAAGATGCTCAACGGATGATGAACTACAAAAGCAGGAATCTCAACGATTCTCCAATAAAAAGTTTACAACCTCCCGATGACTTCATAGTGACCAGTTCAAGCCCCAAAGGTTACAAGTTCCCCCCTTCACCACCCCCATTAAGCAGACAGCCAACCATAAACAGCTACTCAGTCAAATATCTTCAGGAATTCAAGCCTGGTAAGCAATCATCAACAGGACGAATAGAGTATGCGGACGATATTGAACCACTTTTGGTGGATGATAACAATGTTCCATTTGATGCGCAATCCTCACCCTTCATTTCCAGACATCAACAGCAACCACCTCCACCTCCACATCCTTCACATTCACAATTGCTGCAACGACAAGAGGCCCAACAAGTAAAATATGTTCCAATACCCATTCAAGTGCCCATGAACTCTACCAGGTCGAACCAAATAATACAACCACATCAGCAACAAGGTATAAAAACCAATGTGTTTCTTCCACCACCATCACCACCAGTCCTTTCCCATGGGTCTCCAGATTGGTCATCCCCGGAACCACAATCACCTTCACCCTCAAGAGTATACATGAATGGATCTAACGCTGGATCGAATGTCCCTTTGCAACACAATAACAACAACCCTAACTTCCTGTCTCCGGTGCATCCTCATCTTGGAAGAAACTTCTACACACCACAGTTCTTCTCTGACAATAACCCTATTGGATACGTCGAGCAAAACACAAACAATTTGGCATACTCCCAACATCAAAATTGCAGACACCATCCAAACGAGCCATGCGATAAGGAACAAATACCACCACCACCACAACAACAACAACCACAGCAGCTCCAACACCTTCAACAACCTCAATTTTCTTCGCCTCGCCAGGGCCAACCTTCTTCCTTTATTCCATCTTCTCCTATGCCCAGCAACTCGATAAACTCGTCGCCAATAAAGTACTATAGTCCTCTCCGGAATGTGCAGCAACTTCAGCAACAGCCACCTGGAGCATCTGCAGATGACTCGATAGACGTCAATGCTACCATTGTCCAGCTCACGCCGCTCAAAGATCAATTCCAGAGCCCTTCCAACAAAATGGATATTAAATGGTCACCTGTGATCTCCCCTAATGCCAAATCTTCAACCGATGTCCGTCGTGCAATTCAGCAATTAACTCCAAAGAGAAAAGTGGAAAAGACTTCTCTTCTCCCACCCGGAGAGCTCGACCAATACTGGGAAGGTCCCGACGAAAATAAGGTCTTCACGTGTACATTCAATGGGTGTGGTAAAAAATTCACCCGTAGATACAATGTGAGATCACATATTCAAACTCATCTTAGTGATAGGCCATTTGCGTGTGTTTACTGTCCAAAGAAGTTTGTGCGTCAGCACGATCTCAACCGTCATGTGAAGGGTCATCAAGAAGCCAGATATTGCAAGTGTCCCTGTGGAAAGGACTTTGCCAGGATAGACGCCATGAGGAAACATCGCGCTAGAAATATCTGTGTTGGAGGAATGGCCAATCATGACAGTCATTGTGTTCTGAAACCTAAACGCAAATCGATCCGGGTGATTGATGACATTACTCTGGATATGCTACAGGAGGAGCTTCTGTCGTCCCTTGGGTCTCTGGTATGAGTTATCTTTTTTTCCATCGTTTTTCTATCAAATTGCATTTTACTTCTACGTTGAATTCATCAGGGTAATCTTTATCGACTATGTACAAAACTTTCGATTTTAACATATATAAACATATATAAATATATTATACATTACATGCGTCATATATCCCTTGTACTTGTTCTATCATAATTCCTCCTCGTCTTCCTCCTTGATGGAAAACTGTTCGGTACCATCACCTCCTAATCCTTCTCTCCTGGCCAACTCTTCTTCTTCCAACTTGTGGATCTTTAAATGTTGGTTCAAGTTGTCTGACCGAGAAAACTTCTTGTGACATATGTGACAATCATAGGGCTTATCAAACGTATGCAAAGACCGGAAATGTCTCTTGAGATGTTCTTGACGTTTGAACCGTCTGGTGCAATGCGTACACAGGAATATCTTGGACAGGTCCAGCATGTCCGCTGCTTTGTTTTCCTTACGTCCACGAATCTTACTTTTCAGGTTGACAACGCTGGTAGGAAATACTTGGGTGTTTGCAGGAAGGTCTAGTGACTCCAAGTCAACTTCAACTCCTTCAGTTTGACCGTTTTTATCGATATTGAGCGATTGTACATTGCTACTGGTGGCCGAAATGGCTCCCATGGAGTTTGAGTCCGATGTTTCGAGGGGCAGATTATCCTTCTTTCTAGTTAAGAGTTTATTCCCCAAGAGCCTTGAAGCACTGGACAAGGAAAGTGGCTCTTCCTCCTCCTTTATATCTTCATCGACATAACTATTTGGGTTAGAGGTAGTTTCAATACCAGCTTCTGTTTGTTGTTCTTTAAATCGCGGCTTATTTTTAGAGATATATGAAGAAGGCTTAACAATATTTTTACGTTTCCCCACCTTCTCGAAAAGGGCCGCGTAGTCAGGTTCGTTCATACTAGTGTTATTGGTCGTTTGGTTGTGAGATGTGTTCAGTGAAGTTTGATCTAGTGCAAGTGCAGCATGGGACGCAGCTGATGACGATGGAATCGATATCGAAGAATGCTCTTCGATTCCATCCAACTGCTCGAGTTCTGTCTCTGTGATATTGGGAATACCACCACTATTCATATTAGCATTGAAAGTATTGTTGCTATTGCTATTATTGGTACTGGCATTACTATTATTATTATTGGTATTGTTGGCGTCCTCAATTGGATTCGACTTGAATCGAGTGAATAACCTTCTCTTTGATTTCTTGGGCTTCTTGGTTGCGGAAACGTCTTCCAACTCATCTTTCACTGTTGTACCCATCATAAGGTCTTCATTGAGGAACCCCTCGCCGTAGAACTCAGTGTTATCCAAGGTGGTGGTTCCATCCTGGTTCCCTCCAACAGATATGGGCGTCATCGACATGTTAACTCCATCCATCATCATGTTTGGTCCACCCTGGTCCTCTTGATTTATATATGACTCATATCCATCTTTCTGCGGAGCATTTTCAAGGTCTACAAAGCCTCTCCCATTCTCTTTATTCTTAAAAATACTTCGAATGAGATGTCTGGAAGGGGTTGCCTGTTGTGAACCACCCCCCATCACCGGCACGGTGTACTGTTCCATGCCATTGTTGGACCCATGGCCAACCGAGTTGTTGAATGGTGGGGAATGTGATGAAGGAGATGGAGGACCTGAAAATGACGGTGATCCACTAACCGTCCGTTGGTTGTTCATGAATGGGATATAGTTAGAAATGGAATTGGTAAACAAGGTATATCTTCCAGGAGCCGCTCCAGAGTTACTTCGTACCCGGTTGTTTTTGTTGTTACTGTTGTTATTGTTGTTGATGCTACTGTTTATGCTATGTTGACTGTCTATGGACACCCTGCTCTTTGTGTAAAGATCCAAGGAAGCTCGGTGATACAGACTCGGAGGACCCTGATCTATCGAATTCCTGGTCAAATATTGTTGTGCTGAGAAAAATGATGGTTGAGTGGAATGTAAAGAACTCACCGAAGGTGTATGGGAGTTGACGGTTGTCAAGGGGGAAAGTTCATGGAATGAACTGCTAGGATTGATCCCGGAAATGCTGGTATGTTCAGCGTTATGCTGCGTTTCAAGAGATTGTCCCTGGTAGTTGTGAGGGTTGAGGTTGTTTGAATACTGAACCTGAGGGTTGATCGTCTGTGACGAAAAGGTGAAGGCGGAACTTTGAGGTGGCGCTTGGACCGGAGCAGTAGCTACAAACTCGTCTGCCACATCCACATCTACCGCCATTGGATCGAAAAAAAGCTCCAGATCTATCGTGAATTGGGGCGATTCGTCCATGTCCAGCATATTGGTGGCACTTCCCACATTGGCGGAATTTGGTAGAAATGAAGGGTTCCCGGGGAAATTATTCTTATTGTTCAATAAAAACCCCGCGGTTTCCATCGGCTGGTACCCGCCACTGGCAGGAGCAGTCACACTGTAGTCGTCCTTCTCCCACTCTCGTTGCTCCATCAAGGACTCTAGCCCAGCTCCGCCAACCCCACTATCAAAATCATACTCTCCGGATCCTCCTCCTCCTCCTCCTCCTCCGTTCGATTGGCCGTGACCTTGACCCTCGCGAGTGTCCTGGTACATATCCCGGCCACTATTCAAGTTGTAGTCCATGGCGTCGTATCAGTCTCACCGTAGACACTTATCAATCTGGTCTGATGCTACCCCCAAAAATTTTTGTGATAGCCTGATATGTTTTTTTTGACAATCTGGTGACGGGGACAACGCACGAGGTTTTAGTATTGTCCGGTGCGAAAAGATAACTAAATTAGAATAGCTACAGTACGATTTTCCGGATCGCAGGCTAAATTTAATTAACAATGAAAACAAATAAGTCAGAGCAAATAGTTAATAACAAGGAGATTTCTTAGAGGCTCGGGGTTTTCTCTCCAGAGATTCTTCTGACTCCAACTGCAGTTGTTCAGAAATCTATTTACAAACAACTCCCCCCTCGGTCAATTTGTGGGCTGGTACAATGTAAATATATTTGCACATTCGTTTTTTTGCCGCACAACTAAATGTCAATTTAGAGTTGTGCGCACGCTCAGCCCAAGAGAAGTGGCGTAGTAGCACAAGAAATAATCACCTTGGTAACACGGGGCAGTGTAGTAGAGGGAAGAAGAGAGGGGAACATGGTAGTAGAGAGAAATCTATCTCAGAGCCTCGGAGTGTTTAAAACCTGTATTCATGTTTGTTTTTTTTGTTGATTGTAGGGATCATCTATATCAATTTCAGTGTAACGTTGTGGCACAATTTTTCAGCGCTAATATTTCCCTTCGTACTCATTAAGCTATTACTACTACTACAAAACAAATACATAGTTTGGTTTCTTCCTACCTGTTTGTTTTTTGTTTTTTGTTTTTGTTTTTGTTTTTCTTCGGTTTAATCCTTTTATATTATACATTCTATTTATATTACATCCTTTGATTCATCTCTAACTGGTCCTGAGGGCACCCTTTGTCTTAACTCGTGTATTGACTCCTCTTCTCCGTCAGGAATAGTTTCCAAATCCGGGTTCACGACTCGGAGCACTGATCTTCTTTTCGAACTTACCAACACTTGTACATCCATTCTATCATCCACTGACGCATTATCAGAATCATCTTCATTTTCTGACTTGGAATCATATGCAAATTCGTCATCAAAGAGTGATGGTGAAGTCCGTACCGTTCTAGTAGAATTTTTCTTGTTGAGCAGACCATACAGACCGTTCCCATTGCCATTCCCAGTGCCAATTGTAGAACTGAATGACAAGGTCTTTCTAACTCGTTGATTAAGAGATTCCATTCGTGGGAGTCCTGGTGGTGGTAACACTGCAGCTTGTGGTGATGTAGGCAAAATTCCTCCCCGACCACGGACTGGCAGTGCTTGTACCAGCAGGTAATTCGTTGAGCTTTCATGTTCATCATCATCTGGAACCATTCCACGTCTCTCCACGTTCTCGTCATTGAATGGATCGGTGACCCTCGTGTGTTCACTAGCGGCATCAGTAAGAGTGTCGGTGGATTCTAAGTATCCAGATTGTCTAGCCTTCTCAAAATCTTCTCTCTTTCTAACCCACAGATCCATTGATTTGGCATCCAATGTAGAGTTCGTATCATTAGGCATGTTTGTGGGCAACCTAAGTCCACCTCTACTTCCCATGGTACTTTGATCGTAGTAATTTCCAATTTGGTAATCGAAGTCATCTGGTTCTTGTTGGGAATCACGTTTACGTTTCTTTAAAATAAATGTAACCACAGCTGCGGCAATAATTGCAAGTGCTGCAAGTGGGACTATAGTTCCTACGATTGCCTTTTGCAGTACACTTAATGATGAAGATGCCGTTGAACTCAGTGAAGGAGATAGTTTTTCCAATAGATTATTGGTGTTCTTCTGTAAACTCTGTACTGTTTGTAAACTATCAGAATCGAATAAATTTATTACATATTGATCATCAGAAGATTTTGTGGAGTTTACTACAATCAAGGTATTGAAAATAGTGGCAGCTCCAAGAATATCATCTTGAGTGAAATTGGAATTCACATCACTCCAATGCCAATCGTTGGAATCCATCGATAATTTCTGGATGAATGGGGTGTTTTCCTTAGACAGATCTCCACCAACAAGCAATACCGATTGAGTCGAGTAATAGTTCATGATGGTGGAAATGGATGAATTGGCAAGTGGTTGAAAAACTGGTAGGGCAAGCGCATATTTCCTTGAATTGACCGTGGACGACGTCGATGGTAATTGTTCGAATGACCACCCGGAATTGAATGCCCAAGTGGCCAATTGGAACATGTTGAGCCAACCATTACTACTTTTCCCACCTATTACCAATTGAGTTTGCGGGTTTGGTGCAAAAAGATTGGTAGCTCCATAAAATGGCTGTGGTTTAGTGGAGGTGGTAATATTGGCAAATTCATTTGTCTTTGGGTTGAATGAAAGAAGTCTGCTAGTAACAGCTCCAGAGCTGCTACAGATTCCTCCATAGATGTATATGTCATCGTTGGTGGTGGTGTCCACTGGTGACAAGTAGGTGGCACCCAGATAGAACGTCGCATCTTGAATGTTCCCATAATCCAAGGGAATATTGTCCCACAGATTAGCGCCTGTATCATATTTGGATAAGCTGAGAGTTCCTCCAGTGGGGCACAAGTTCTGAACCTTATCCGACTTAGCATCAGTGTCACCGCTGAATGCATAAAGATCGGTTCCAAACACAAATAACGTGGAATCAGTAGGTGGGGTGGCAAGCTTCCCGATTTTTTGATTGTCTACTAGGGTGAGATCCTTCCCCGTTAGACTAAAGTTTAACAGAACAAGGTCATTATTTGAAAGATGGAGAAATGCTTGGCCAGCTTCGAGTGAGTACAAGGTATTCCAAGTGGCTAACGCTGGCTCACAGAGCATGATAAGCAATAATATTGGAAGCATCTTTCTTGTCCTCTTGCGGAACCTTTACAGGTTGGGATACGATGCTATGATAACCGGGAATGTAAACAATACCGATGTGCAATGACTATCTTTTGATATACCCCCGATATATTTTCGCAGCCTCGCTTGGAGTAAGATGTGGTATAAAAGAATAATTCCCCTTATCACTATTGATCGTTAAAGGTTAACGGGATGAAAAGTGGGATAGTTGCGGTTTTATGAAGAAAAGGGAAAGCAAGTGAGTTGCGGCTTGAAAAGTCCGTGGGGTTGCTGATCCATAACTTTTCCTTCGGTGTAGATTTTCTTCTGTCCTCTCATCTTCAAGACAATAGCATTTAGGGCAGTATGTTTACATTTCGCACTAATTTGGTAAATATTGCTGGACAGTAACGGGAATGCCACAGATTCCGGTAGGGGAAACAACCTGAAATGGAATGCATATTGGAGAAAAGAGCCTTCGTTGCGTCGATGCTGGTTAAATTGAGATTCTCTTTATTGTCATCGTCTTTACCATTAACAACTCATCATACCACTCATTCCGGAAACAGTCGTCAAAAAAGAAAAAAATTAAGATGGAAAACCGGAATTATGTCAAATAATCCACCAACTAATAATTCGAAAACTATCATTTAAATGACATTCATAGTAATTATCCAATTCATCTTTCCAAATACATATCTCATCTAATATCTTGATATATATAATTTATCAAACTCTAAAGTCTTGCTATATCAATTTTAGTTCCCCATCCTAAATTATACCTAGCAACGTGATCCGTGTCACGTGGTATCACTGATTACCTTTATTTCATTTTACCTTTTTAATGTTTTTTTTTTTTTTTTCTGTACTTTCTCCCAGATTTGTTCAATTTTTCAAAGCTTTGACTCACACATAGAGAAAAAAGTCCGATTTATCAAACTTTTCCAAATTAATCTTGATAGAAACATTTCTTTAAATAATTTTTTTTAAAAAAAAACAAGTAAAGGAAGATGTCTTCATTTGGTACTCTTTTCCGTGTCACAACCTACGGTGAATCCCACTGTAAGTCTGTTGGATGTATTGTTGATGGTGTTCCACCAGGAATGCAATTAACTGAAGCTGATGTGCAACCACAATTATCTAGAAGAAGACCAGGTCAATCCAAATTGCTGACTCCTCGTAATGAAAAAGATCAAGTCCACATTCAATCCGGTACTGAAAACGGGTTAACTTTGGGTTCTCCAATCGGTATGCTCGTTGCTAACGAAGATCACCGTCCTCATGATTACTCCGAAACTGATTTATACCCCAGACCTTCTCATGCTGATTACACTTACATACAGAAATATGGTGCCAAGTCTGCTTCTGGTGGTGGTAGATCCTCTGCCAGAGAAACTATTGGCCGTGTTGCTGCTGGTGCCGTTGCTGAAAAGTTCCTTAAGTTGGCTAATGGTGTTGAAATCGTTGCCTTTGTAAGTTCCATTGGTAAGGTTTCCATGGATCGTAACCCAGAATCTCCAGAATTTCAAAAGATTCTCAATACTATCACTCGTGAAGAAGTAGATGAAACCGGTCCAATCAGATGTCCAGATGCTTCTGTTAGAGATTTGATGGTCAAGGAAATTGAACACTACCGTGACTCCAAGGATTCCATTGGTGGTGTTGTCACCTGTGTGGTGCGTAACTGTCCTGTTGGTCTTGGTGAACCATGTTTCGACAAGTTTGAAGCCACTTTGGCCCATGCCATGCTCTCTCTTCCAGCCACCAAGGGTTTCGAATTTGGTTCTGGTTTCTTGGGTACCGCCATTCCAGGTTCCAAGCATAATGATCCTTTCTACCATGACGAAACCACTGGTCGTCTTAGAACCACCACAAACTTCTCTGGTGGTGTTCAAGGTGGTATCACCAATGGTGAAAACATTTACTTTTCCGTAGCCTTCAAGTCTGCTGCCACCATTTCTCAAGAACAATCAACTGCCACTTACGATGGTAAGGATGGTGTTTTGGCTGCCAGAGGTAGACACGATCCATCTGTGACCCCTAGAGCTGTTCCTATTGTTGAGTCCATGGTTGCCTTGGTTTTGGCCGATCAATTGTTGATTCAAAAATCTAGAGAATTTTCTAGAAGTATTGTTAGTAAATAAACTAACAATAGAATAGATAAAGATAAATAATTACGAAAGGGAATAAATGAAGTAGGATGATTTAGAAGAGTAGAGATATGATAGAATCGTTAATTATAGTATCGTAGTGTCAAGTGTGTACGAGAGTGTGTGTGTGTGTGTGTGTGTGCTGCAAATTTCCATAAATGAGAAATGAAATTGAAGATATATAATCTGGTCTGTGGAAGATATAATTCTCTACGATAACCAGTCTCTTCTACAAGTGTCATAAATATTAATGTATGTACCTGACATGTTAGATGTTTTCCATATCCATGTATTTCCTTTGTATATTACTTTGTATTCTTGTAAAATATCTTGCTTTTCAACATTTCTGTCTATTTTTGCAGCATTACTCAAAATATTCGAGATTTCCTGTATATACCCATCTTTATTCCCGACGGATTTGGATCACATGAGTGAAGGGAGCCTTTGACACACTTAAAACCGGTTTTATTAACTGGTAAACATAGATGGATTTCATTCAAATATCATTGTTGACCGTGTTGGTTGGCTTGGTTGTCACCTTGGCGGTGTCCTACTTCCAATCCAGCTCATTTACTGGGGCCAAAAATGGGATCTCCACTCAATACAGAAAACCAACATTTTTAATCTTGGGTCCAAATAATGCTGGTAAGACATCTTTATATTTCCGTCTTGAACAAGCTGCAAACGACGAAGAAGACGAAGAAAAGGACGGTAATAACAAGCTCAAAATCACTCCAACTGTTTCATCTATAGAGCCAAACTATGGATCTATAAAACTTCCAATCTCTAATCGTTCCATTGCCAAACCATTTCAATTAATTGATTTCCCAGGTCATTTGAAATACTTCCAGTTACTCAACAAGTTGATTGTTGATGAGGTAACTTTGCAAAAGATTAAGGGAATCATCTATGTCATCGATTCATCTTCTTCCCCTGATGATCTTCGTGAAGTGGCCAAGCATCTCTTTAGATTATTATCAATCACCGAAAAACTTACCAATGGTATTGATTTCTTATTTGCTATTAATAAGAACGAACTATTCAATTCTCGTCCAGTATTCAAAATCCAAGAGATTTTAGAATTGGAAATCACTCAATTAATTCAGGAACAACTTAGTGAGAAGTTTTCTGGTGGTGGAGAATCTGGTATTGATCAAGGTGATGATGAAGAAGATGGTGAAACTTCTGGTGGATTTGGTGCCTATGCCAAGGATTTCTGGTCTTCGGTTGTTGGTTCCAATGGGAAGTTCAGATTCGAAATGTTGGAAGGTAATATGGATTTCTTTAATGGATCAGTATTAAAGAATAAAATCGGTCCATGGGAGAATTGGTTAGATGAAAAAGTGGTTAATTAGTATAAAATTTTTATTTATATATGTAAATGAATAAATAAATAGAGAAAGAGGAAAAAACCCGTGCAATGGAGTGTGGATTGTATTCTATATTAGAGTCATGATAATTGGGAGCTGGGTGCAGATGGAAAGAACCCCGGTTTCAGAAGCTCTTGTTGGCGTTTTTGATTGGCTTTCACTTGTATATGACCTCTTAATCGGTTTCTATATATGTTTTGATCTAAGTTATATTCTTTGAATGGGAAATCTTTCAATTTAGCTGTAAACTCCTCGACTTCGGTCCTTGCCTTACTCAACTCCAATTGTAATGTCTTGGCATCTTTTTTATCTGATTCTTTAACTTCTACTTTATCTTTATCCTTACTCCCTAATCCTGGAATCTTATTTATAAAATCCCAATTGTATCCCAATTTAGATATCTCAGATTCTAAATCTGTAACCTTGATGATCAACTTTGCCTTCTCCTTTACTATGTTCTCATATTCTTCGGGATGTATCGCATTAGCAAATGATGTATCCTTCAAATGCGAGGAACATATATAAAAGAAATCAACCTTGTTATCAGATATTAACACTTTAACTGTTGGCTTATAACAAACATAACATGATTTAGAATCTGATGCTGCAACTTCTCTCAAAGTGTACTTATTGAGAAATGGAGCTGACATCTTGGTTATATGAAGGAAATCAATTTATCCGAAATTTCTACTACTACTTTAACTACTGCTACTACATTATCTCTCTCTCTCTCTCTCTCTCATTCTCCTCCATATCTAGAGATAATCCAACTTCATGGATTATATGCAGAGAAGGAGTCTATCGTACTACACACACTCCAAAACATTTCTCATCTATATCTTGTCTCACTTTGTGATACGTATACATTAATTTGTTCAAAGTCTTCTCATTTTTTCCCTTTTCTAATGGGTATTTTTTTTTTTTTTTCTCAAACTTGCTCCGGGTAATCCCTTCCGGATTAGTGACGCTATATTTATTAATTTGCCATCCCACATTACCCCCTATCACACATTAGAATATTATCTGTTACAGACATTTAAAAAATATTGTTTGCTGCCTATATATCTGTCCGTAAGATCTCTCCGTATCGTCTTCTTGAAACTAGTAATTTTCTTCCTCCCATAATTCCTAGACTCCCCTCTACTGTACTCCTCCTACTACTTTTAACCCTCTTCGTTTAAATATTATTTACCCTTAATATTTTTTCTTTCTTTTTTTTTTTTGTTTTTGCTTTTTTTCGCTCACACTGTTTTCACTCCCTTCCCTTGCCGTATTTTTTTCCGCCCTTTTTGCCCTTTTCAATTTTAACAAGTTTCGTGTTTTGATTGGGACCAGGAAAAAAATTATTACCATTAATAAAGTTCTTTTTTAAGACTCGTTTACTACCCATCTGATTTTTTTTGACTGGACAACGTTACATTCTGCTGCTGTGTGCATAAAGAGAAAGTACTAAGTCGTTCGTTGTCATAATAATTTTGTGAGACTGTATTGTTGCTTTCAATATTAAAGAGAATTAATCAATAACAGAAATATCATCTACATATTTTTATTATATAACCTTATCAAAGAGAAACAACTCCCATCATCCGTGTCGTACCTTTGAAATAACTTCCCCCCTTACCCCCACCCCTTCCGTATCTTATTCCCACCCCCATACACACAATATAAATAATGTCTGAACATCAAGAAGCCGATATCGATTCCATTGTGGACAGATTGCTCGAAGTTAGAGGCTCCCGTCCAGGTAAGCAAGTGACTCTTCTTGAACACGAAATTAGATACCTTTGTACCAAGGCTAGAGAAATCTTCATCCAACAACCAATTCTTCTTGAATTAGAAGCTCCTATCAAAATTTGTGGAGATATCCACGGTCAATATTACGATCTTTTAAGATTGTTTGAATATGGTGGATTCCCTCCAGAAGCAAACTATCTTTTCTTGGGTGATTACGTTGATAGAGGTAAGCAATCTCTTGAAACCATTTGTCTTTTACTTGCTTACAAGATCAAATATCCAGAGAACTTTTTCATATTGAGAGGTAATCACGAATGTGCTTCTATCAATAGAATCTATGGGTTTTATGATGAATGTAAAAGAAGATACAACATCAAGTTGTGGAAAACTTTCACAGATTGTTTCAACTGTTTACCTATTGCCGCTATAATCGATGAAAAGATCTTCACCATGCATGGTGGTTTGTCTCCAGATTTGAACTCTATGGAACAAATTAGAAGAGTCATGAGACCTACAGACATTCCAGACGTTGGTTTGTTGTGTGACTTGTTATGGTCCGATCCCGATAAGGACATCACCGGATGGTCCGAAAATGACAGAGGTGTATCATTTACATTTGGTCCTGATGTTGTATCAAGATTTTTACAAAAACATGATATGGATTTGATTTGTAGAGCGCATCAAGTGGTGGAAGATGGTTATGAATTTTTCTCCAAGAGACAATTGGTTACATTATTTTCTGCTCCAAACTATTGTGGAGAATTTGATAACGCTGGTGCCATGATGAGTGTTGATGAAAGTTTGTTGTGTTCCTTCCAGATATTAAAGCCAGCTGACAAGAAACAACCGAGATATCCTCAATCCGCTAGTGCTGGAAACAGCAGACCGGTCACCCCACCAAGAAAGCCTAAGAGAGGTACCAAATAAGCATAAATAAAGAAATAAAACAAACCCAATGGGGGTGATTAGAGGAAGCAGAAGCACTTTAATGTGTCCTTTTTTTTTTCTGCTCCTTCTTTTCACTTTCATTGAACCCATACATTACTACTAACCATCGTTTATAAGTACCCCCATCCCTATAACTCACACCAACCACCTGTTTAATTTCTTTTATTTGTTCCTATCCTTGTTATTATTGTTTTTTTATTTACCTTTTATGATTGCCGCCATTTTGCAACCATCCATTTTCACCCTCGCGAACTCAACCCCTTTCAATATATCACTCTCGGGTGATTTATTGTTGATTGTGTTTTTTTTTTTCAAGTTTCCTTGTCTTTGAATATCCAAGTTATAAGCTTGTGTTATTTAATCATCGATTTTTCATTATGATGATGAGATTTGAAGAAGAACATATGAATATTGAGAGGTTTGACCAATAAATGAGAGTCTTTTGGATAATGTTATGACTTGTTAATGCTTTTGAACCAGTACATATTTACCCATCCACCAACGCTGTCATCAACCCACCCACCCACACGCCCGCACGCACCACACACAAACACGCACACATACCGTCTTTATAGCTTTTATAGAGTAGGAATTATTTATCTTTAGATAGTATTTTAAATAGTGACTAGATTTTTGCAATCAAAATTGGTTGCAAAAATGTTACTCCTTTGGAAACATAAATTAACAAAGGAAAAAAAATGAAAAGATAAGAAATTTTTTACTAACTAGAGTTTAGACTTATTGATGGTGAGGTGACTATGCTACGGTTTGGATATATTTATGTTTTATAGTTTAATATTTTTGAAAAAGAAGAGATTAGTTTGTTTTTATTAATATGAATATAAGTATGAGAATTTGTTTTAAGAATAACTTGTGTAAGATTGAAAAAGTTTTGTTATATTGGTTCAAGACTTTCCAAATTTTTATTGCTTGTTTACACACATCAATTAATTAATTAATCAATTAATTAATTAATTTCTTATATAGTTTATATTGATTTTACGGGATATAGATCCTATGTAACTTGATAATGTATTATGTATGTACATATATACATTGCATACTATAACCAGAACTGCATATTACAAGATAGATTCAAAACTCAATGAGGGAGGTGGGGGATTAAAAATTTAAGGTTTAGCAGTCACGCAATCACGTGTACATTTTCGCGCTTTTCCTTACGTAAGAATAAGGGTGTGTGTTACGTAATACACGATGAAATTTTTCATGTAGCCGTAAAGTTTAAGATAATAATGAAAAAACTGTTTAGTAGTTTACCACTTGATATCACAGATTAATACGGCAATATGGTATGTAATAACATGTACAGACGTATAAAAGATGATATATAGAGATGAGACGAGAATGAGGAACATGACAAAGTGCGGTACATATTAAGGGGATTTGAAATACTCGGTGGAGGGCTTGTGAATGTATACGGAATGGATATCGAGACCTTAAAAATAGAGGAATGACAACAAAAAGTTTTCGTTATGATGATATGAATCAATATATAAATTCCTTGAGGGGTTAATAGGACTCTCTGAAAGAACGGGAGCGTCGAAATGGAGTAATTACAGATACTATGGATAATTATTGCCCATTTGATCTCAAGATTGATATTGAACAACAAGAGGATATCAAATGAATTAGTCCCAACCACTACCAAGATATCCCCATCGATCCACTCGTCAGTTATTGCTACTTCTATTATGTTCTAATTCCCACTACATTACTATATATACATTTTTTTGACTACTTGTCACAGTTTTATTTTGGACAAAGTTACTAACCCCCATTTAGGTTTTAGTTAAGGATTTATTACACCCAAACCCAGCTACTGAAGCTCAACAACACAAATTGAAGACCTTGGTCCAATCCCCAAGATCCTACTTCATGGATGTTAAGTGTCAAGGTTGTTTGAACATCACCACTGTTTTCTCCCACGCCCAAACCGCTGTCACTTGTGACTCTTGTTCTACTGTCTTGTGTACCCCATCCGGTGGTAAGGCTAAGTTGACCGAAGGTTGTTCATTCAGAAGAAAGTAAATTAATACGTGTATAATTATTAATCTTCTATAAAAAGTACAGTTACGTTTTAATGCAGTTGATGTAGATTGAGTAGATATTTAGTAGGAAATTGTTTATTCTTCATATTGCTATGAGAGAGAAATTCATACTTTGGAACATTTGCTACATTTCATTTTCTTGAAACAATTTAATTATATTACCTATCTATGTTTAAAATTTTGATTTTGAAGAAAATCTAACCACTTCATCAAATGCCTTTGCCACCTTATCAACGTTATGATCATTCAATCCTGCAACGGAAGCTCTTCCAGAGCTCACAAGGTAAACTCCATGTGTCTTTTCTAATCTTGCAACCATTTCTGGGGTTAATCCTGTGAATGAAAACATACCAGTTTGACTCACAATATGGTCCCAGTTACCAGGAGTGTTATATGAAATAAGTAATTCTCTCAACTTATTTCTCATCTTGTTGATTCTAGAACTCATGGTTACAAGATCTTCTTCCCATTGTGCTCTTAAGGCCGAATCAGTCAAGATAGTTGCCACAACTTTAGCACCATAAGCTGGAGGATTAGAAATTTCTGATCTTGTCAATTTGTTTAATTGAGATTTAATGGCATTGTTCAAAGATTGTTCCTTTTCTTGAACAATAACGTGGACTGCACCAACTCTTTCACCGTACATACCCACATTCTTGGCAAATGATTGACAAATCACTATAGGAGCCTTGATAGAATTATCATCAATGGCCAATCTGACAGCAAAGTTATCTTTATCCAAGTTACCACTGGCAAATCCTTGGTATGCAGAGTCAAAGAGTGGTAAATGATTTTTTTTAGAAATTTCATAAAGTATCTTCTTCCATTGGTCAACAGTGGGGTCCAAACCAGTTGGGTTATGTGCACAAGCATGAAGAACGAAAATACTTCCCAGAGGAGCATTACGAATAGTTTCAAGGTATCCTTCAATGTCAAGTTCCTTAGTGGCATTGTTCCAGTATGGGTAAAAGGCTACTTTAAACCCAATTGATTCAAAAATTTGTACATGGTTACCCCATGTTGGCTTGGACAAGTAAACAGTTGGGGTAACATCTGAACCAGTGTAGGATTCCTTGAGAAACTTCCCGGCTAAATGAAGAGCTCCAGTACCTGATAATGATTGTTGAGAAACAACTCTACCTTCAGAAATTGCTCTAGAATCATTTCCGAGAATTACCTTGGCAGCCTCAGTTAAAAATGGTTGATAACCAGAAATGTTAAGGTACTCGTGGTTGTAATCAGGCAATGCTACCAACTTCTTTTCAGCAAGTTTAACAGCTGGTAAGATCCATGGTTTACCGTTATTATCTCTATAGGCACCAATTCCCAAATCAACTTTATCGGAACGAGTATCCGCACCGTATCTTGCCTTTAAACCGAAAAGTGGGTCAGGTGGGAGTTCTGTAATGTTTGCAAAGAATTTTGACATTTTAAGACGGGTTTTGTGGATTTTTTGGTCAGTAGAATATACACTAGCCAAATTGAAATATTTTCTATATAAAAGATTGGATTTTGAAGTCCCAGTACAACTTACTTTATAGCAAATGGTGCAAAGATATGAGTGAGGGGGAAACTCATATTGGCTTATGCAGGCGGACGAATGGAAGAGTCACCCCGAAAAATGCGCCAAAAAAAAAAAAAAGAAAAGAAAAGACACCGTAGCGACAAAAAGGTGCTGAGAACGATTCATGGAGTTAAAGTAACACCACTACACCATTACCGCACTTGCCGCATCGCGGATGCGTTGCAAATTGTGGGGAATTCCTGTTTGCTAGATTGTTTTTATTTTATTTTACATAGGGAAACTACAAGTATTTCTCCTTTTATGATTGTCATTTGTTCATAGATGTTTATCAGGTCTATGTGATTGCTATGTTTTTTTACCAATTTCAGTCTGAAATTGGGCGGCGCCGCCTCGCCCAATTTGGTAGTTTTTTTGCTACGTTTTCTTTATTTACGCTTTAATATTTAATATTCGGCATTTCGAGCCATTGGTCCTTGAGGAGGTTTTCATCCTGGTGGGGAGGGACGGCATCGCAGTATTAACGCCTTGGCGGGAATATGGAAAGTTAGAAACATTCTGTTTAAACAGAAATTTTGTTCCAGGTTTACTGAAGAAATATATACGTCTATCAAAAATGTGGTTGAACGGTTACCTCGGCACCGTTTGATCTAGTTGTCTTGTGATTTAAGCAAAATAAAAAAATTAGTAAAAAAAAAAAATAAATGCAAAAAAAAAAAGGGACTCACAAATATAATTAGCGGGAGAAAGGATGACAGATGTTAGAACAATCGAAACGGGAATTATATGTGGATAAATAATAAACATAAATTGGTGCTTGACAGTATTGTGCAAGACACTAATATATTCGTAGTACTCCCCTGAAATAATATCAAGAAGTGTCGTATATAAATTTTCTAAGCATTACTGCTTATTTAGAGACTTGGGCATTATCAAAAACTGCCACAAGCTGATAGCCTCTAATATTTCCTTTACGATGTAACTTTTATTAGTAGTTGACTCTAGTTTCTACAAATACAGTTAATATGATCTGGGTCGAGGGTACATTACCATTTAGATTTTATTCTCTTTTTTCTTTAGGTATGAATCTCAAAAGTGTATATGTTGATGTCTTCTTGTGCAAAGGGTTGTAATGAATATATAGCTCTGCTGCCATAAAATGGATATTCCATTTTTAAGGATTCAGTTTGATATGTCTATTTACAATTGAATCAAATCTTACTATCGTATATATTTCTACAGCTCTTCTTCTACAGACTCGTTAAATCTTCTTTCTTTATTTTATTTGGTTACTAATTAAGAAAACTAGTATTACTATATTTAATCGTATGACATTCACTTGGATTTGCTTGCTTAAACAACAGACTTAACTTCAAAGAAACGTCTCAAGTAATAAATTTGGAAAAGAGAGTTAGTTGCTACAACCAAAATTTGGAAGACAGACCACCACTTAACACGAGAGTTGGTGGATTCGGCGGTGTTTCTGTGAGTACGTTCACGGATGACCAAGTAACCTTGTTCAGCCTTGACGTCAGTGGTGAGTTGAGACAATCTTTGGATGGCGTAGTCCAAAGTGTCAGACTTTGGATCGTTCATGTCAACATAAATGACACCATGGACGTTGAAAGAGACATCAATGTCAACACGACCGGTCTTTTCGTTAGAGAAACAATATTGGTATTTACCGGTAGTGGAAGCCAGAGCAGACTCGTCACCATGGTCGAGGTCAGTCTTCTTCAAAACAACTTGACCATTTGGAGTCATGATCTAAAAAAATGTTAGTATAAAGTAATCAATAAATTCAATACATCCCGCCCACATAGCGCGGGAGTACCCATGAGATACATACGTAAAAGTCAACCTTGTGTTGTTCAGCATTGTTTGGATCACGAGATCCAACTTGGAAACTAACAGCCAACTCATCATTTTTCTTCAAGTTTTCGAAAAAACATTGCTTCCCGTGTGGTGGCAACAACACGTTGTGTGCTTGTACTAATGCTACGAAAAAGCAGAAGATGGATAATAAGGTAACCTTCATAATTTAGTTAGTTTCCCGTATATATGACCAAAGTGTTATGTTGTTGAATGTTTCTTTGTGTGTTCAATCGAAAAAGGCCCTTGAGGTTTTTCTCTTGACACGCGTTTGATACTATGTGCAGGCCTAGGTTACACAAACTTCGCAAATTTAGCAAGAGTACATTTTCTATTAGCGTTAGGATTAATTTGTTATTGAGTGAATTCACAAATATAGTACTACTAAGCTGTTCTCTTTTAAATAGAACGTATGTGATATCTCTTGTTTGGTGAGGGACAAAAAAAAACGATCCATCACTTTGAATAAGTAAGAAAAGAATCCTTTGTGACTTCCTTTGTTCTGTATTTATTTTTAGAAGTTGTTGTTGCAAAAAAAAAACAAATTCTAATACAAAGTAAGAATCTGAGTATAAGAACCTCGACTTTTCAAAGTGTATTGTGGCAATAGTTGTAGGATTCGACATTTCATGTATCATGGTGTTCAATTGAGTAATCTATGAGCAATAATAAAAAGTTGGGAATGATGTGGGTGTAGATTGTGACCCCCTTGTAGGTTAAGTGGTAGCAAAATATCACCCCCTTTGTCCCAAAGGAAGATAAATACATCAAATTAATATTTCGCTTAGCCACAATGGGATAGATAGGACTACCACTTTTGTCTAATTCTATAGTCTTGATTACTATCAAACATCAATTAATTTTCTTAGAGTTCAGGGATGTGTTAATTTTTTCTCTCAGAAAAATGCCTGATATGGACGTCAATGGTAACTTTCGCACAATAAGTCCAAGGAATATACTTGGGGTGCGGCAACTTTACTGATCTACTAATGCATGTAATCAAGCCATAGCATGCACCAGATCTAACTCCTTTGTAGACTTGAAACCGTAAATAATCTGAGATTGAGTATTCAGCTGTGGCTTGGTGATTACTCTTTTTGGCTGCAAATGGAGCTTTTCCAACACCAAAATCGAGTGAACACTATGGGGTAGTTACAATCAAAAGTACTATATAAGACAATGGATGGACCTCTTCTAATCACTTTTATCTTCTTATTTATCATCAAGCTACTCGCTACAATCCAATCCAATCATTATTATGCAATTCTCAATTATCGCTCTTACTTCCATTTTTGCTGCTGCTGTCTCTGCTGCACCAACTGGAACCTCCTCTGAACTTGAATCAGTTCCAACTCAAGTTTCTTCTCAAGATGGAGGATTTGAATTCCCTGAAGATGCAATTTCCTCTGTTTACACTTTGGACACTGATGAAACTTTCATCGTTGTAGATGCTGAAGGTCTTCAACAACTTCTCATCGTTAACACTACCATCTTCGAAAGTTATCCTCCAAGTGTTCAAAAGAGAGAAGCTAAGTGGTACTGGCCAGGTCGTTTGCCATACGAACCAATCTTGAAGAGAGAAGATGGTCAAGAACTTCTCGCTAAGAGAGAAGCTAAGTGGTACTGGCCAGGTCGTTTGCCATACGAACCAATCTTGAAGAGAGAAGATGGTGAAGAACTGCTCGCTAAGAGAGAAGCTAAGTGGTACTGGCCAGGTCGTTTGCCATACGAACCAATCTTGAAGAGAGAAGATGGTGAAGAATTGCTCACTAAGAGAGAAGCTAAGTGGTACTGGCCAGGTTGTTTACCATACGAACCAATCTTGTGAATTGAATTTTTTTACAATCGACTTCATTTCTACACTCTTTACCAACAGAGTAAAATGTCTTCTCCTGGTACCTAGTACTGATTATACGTTGTTATAATCTTTTTTTTTTATACCTTGTTTCTTTCCTAGCTAGAGTACCTTACTATTTTATATTATGTCCAATACTACAAAATATATTAAATCCTTTGTCTATTCCATTTGTAGATCTCTATTCCAATAATTCCCTAAGGTTTTCCTTCTCTACCAAAGTTCTTAGATAATCTATCATCTAATTACTATTTAAAGTTATTGATAGACCCTTGTGGGCCCCTTGTGGATTTTCTCATGCTGTGCGATTATTACGGTTTCTACCCATACTCATTGATTTTAAAATTTCCTAAACTCTATAATGGCTTCATAATTTCTTCGTACAACATGTTCTTTAAATCTGGTATTCCCAATTCATCCTTCATCTTATCAAAATCGAAGAAATCTTCCGGGATTTTCTCTGCAATGGGTTCATCTTCTGGGTCGTGGTACAATTTGAGATAAGGGTGATTTAATGCGTTTCCAACCGATATTCTCTTGGCTGGGTTAAATGTTAAGAGGTTTTCAAGCAAATCAATTGCTAATGGATTTGCATCTGGGAAGAAATTAGTAAATGGTATCTTCTTACGGAAAGGTAATGATCTTATGTATTCTCTGGCTCTTTTCAGCTTGATATTGTAGTAATCCTCCATGTTTGGTGTTCCTAAAACTTCAATAATAAGCCATAATTGATTGTGATAGTCTCTACCGGGGAAGAGTGGTTTCCCTGAAAGCATTTCAGCCAAAATACATCCAACCGACCAAACATCGATAGCAGTGGTATATTCCTGGAAAGTAAGCATGATTTCTGGGGCACGGTACCATCGTGTGGCCACGTATTCAGTCATGAATCCAAAATTGTCCTCGCTAGACGCAATTGATCTGGCAAGTCCAAAATCACAGATTTTAAGATCACAATTACTGTTAAGAAGAAGATTTGAAGGCTTAAGATCTCGATGAAGTACATTGGCCAGGTGCATGTTCTTCAAAGCTCTCAATGTCTGGTAGATAAAGTATTGAATATGATCGTCGGAAAGCTTTTGGGTACGGATGACCCTATGTAAGTCTGTCTCCATGAGTTCTTGGATAAAGTATATCTCGGTGAACTGTTCAAATGAAGGCGGTCTTTGGATGGCCAAAATCGAGATGATGTTCTCGTGATTGAAATGCTTGAGAAGCTTCAATTCCCGTAGCGTTCGTAAGCACAACATCGACCGTTCAAACGGCTCGATCTTCTTGATGGCCACCTTTTGGTTGGATGGCTTGTGGATGGCTGAGCATACCACTCCGTAGGCACCTTCACCAACAATCTCAATGATCTGGTAGTGATCACTGACGTTGAACGCAATCTGTCTTGGCTCTCCCATATTCCTCCAACTCCTTATTTAGTATTGAAATATTGATTTCTATTCAAAATTAGTGAGGACGTGTAGATTTTTAGTTCCCGCTAGTAGGATGATTGCGCGTGGTTGTTGCAGTGTTAGCGAATACTCTTTGTGGGTCAAGAGGATGTACAACAAATATAGCCAGGTAGTCTCTAGTGTGAGGTGAAGAAACCAGTTGCGTGGCAATGCAGTTTATTGTGCCAAGTGTCGACCAAATCCCGTGGCCGTAGTATCTTTACCGGACAATGTGGAGACTAAAAATACAATCACGGGAAAATAAAATAAAACGGAAAAAAAAAAATTAAAAATTAAAAATTAAAAATTAAAAATAAAAAATAAAAATTATTAAAGGGAAAATTTAAATATAGAGTATCATTTTACTTTATAAAAAAAAAAAAACTGATTTTTAGTACATGGTTTGCCCTGTATGTTAGGCAAAGGTTTGCCATGTAGTTGTTGCCATATTTACATCTAGTTGCATAGAGTGGCAGTGCGCACGCTTGCTTATGTTCCTGAATTTCAGATTTTCAATATTCTAGCTTCGTTTTGGTATCTTGCCATTGTCCTCCCACATAATCTGTTACGGAAAGGATCCTATTCTGTTACTGGAAAAATAAAATAAAAAAATTCTTTACAGTGAAATAAATACAATTAACGAAAACATAAAAAATATTACACAGATGCCAGATCGGATTTTCTATCAGGGGAAAGAAACACCCGTGGTGGTAAGTACAATACGAGAGATGATTCGACGTATTGACAGGTGGGTTCCCCCTGGTGTAAGTTTCAAATGATAGATTTCCACGTTGTTCGTTGGACACCTACTTACATGTAGTGGTGGAGGGTCTCTCATGGGTGGGTTTTGAAGAATTTGTGAATTTTTGTGTTGCACCTTTGTAATTTAGGTGTTTCACCAGAAAATGAGCGCGTATCTTTCCATACTCAACCACATCAAACATATCATTGTGTGAATACAAATGTGAGATCATTGTGCAGGTATCACACAATAGAATATGTTGTTGTTGCTGTATATTAAATCCTCTAAGTATGTTCCATTCCTCTCATTATCATTTCCCTGTCCATTTTTGCAACAAAATTTAACAAAAAATTTAGCATTCCAGTTTTTGTTGTATGTTTGTTTTTTACCTTTACGTTTTCTTTACTTTTTAACAGCACACCCACTTAATCTACATTCATTCCAGTTACCTTTTCTTTTCAAGTATTATACTAAAATACAATTACTAACATACAACATAAAATAATCAGTTCCTTCTTGACGTTCTCGTCACCATTTTAATTCTTTGGTTACAAATTTCTACTTCTTTCTTCCAAACAATCCTCCCTTCTTCTTCTTCTTTTTGTCTGCCTTCAATGAGTTCGCACTATAATTTTCTGCTTGATACATTCCTTGTTCTCCATCAAAAGTATGTACTGGAGGTTGCATTCCGGTAGAGTTGCCCTCTTGTGCCCCTTGAGCACCACCGTTGCCTTGGAGGTTGTAGTAAGGGAAGTCCTCGTGGAACGCCCAACCAAGCTTTCTTGTTTCTAGTTGATCTCTATAATTTGCATCTCCAGTAATGGCATATTCAAATCCTCTAATTGTATCTAAAGGACGCTCATTTCTAGCCCTGGCCGGGTTAGACATATCAGCTTGTCCAATAGTTTGGCCAAATATATCCCTATAATGCCCGTTTTCTTGAGATAAGTATGATTGTCTTCTTTCTCCCGTGGGGTTAGCTGCTTGCTCAAAAGGTTGTGCCTCGTTCACAGCGGTTAAAATTGGATCATGGAGGTTGGCGGTATGTACTTTATACTGCGAAATATCCTTCTCTGTGATCTTTTGCTGTTGAACAGAGTTCGAAGACGAAGAAGATTTGGTTCTGAAGATGGCCATTTTATTTATATCACTTATTTGAATTCAAGATCAATAACTTTTCTTTTGTTTCTATACGAGTCTCACTGGGGGGGAGTAACTTACTAATGATATATCTAGTATATATATAATATGTATGCGTGTATATAGTAGTATACTCTTTAAACGGTAGTAGCAGTGATAATAGTAGCAATATATGTAGTACTTCGATATTCTCCTATATTCTCGTCTTTTACTAAATCTTTTATTTGATCCCAACTGTTGTTGATTTGTATAGCCCCCTTTTGCGTTGCGCGAGTAAAATTGGTGGTCATATTGGGTGTGTTGGTGACAGCTTGGCTGCATGCAGGCCCGGGTTATGATCTCAGTTCAAATCCAATGTGGGGGGCATAATGCAACCAAACTGGTTTTATGATAATGGAGCCTTGGGAAAATCATAAATCATTGGTTTCTACAGTACAAGTGAAACCATATAGAGTCTAATCAGATATTACGTGGCTCAATAAGAGTTTCGTGAGTTGTTTTGTATGTATGCATCATTGGCCATTAATCCTTACATTATTATTTCCGGTTGGTTTTTTTTTTTCACCTCTTTTTTTTTCTTCATGTACTGCACCTTGTGATGGCAAAATATGTATTATGTTTGCTAGGAACAATAAATCACAGCCTTATAGTTCTATTGGGAGAAAATACAAGGCTTCATTTCACTATTGAGGCTCTATGTTTTTTTTTAATTCAATTAAAAAATGTATACTTGGATGATATAATGGTAGACCACATCGCAATAAAAGTGTCCTACTTTTTTATTATTATACGTTACGCATTAAAGCCGAAGGGGTCTCTCGCATTTATTAAGCATAACCAGCGGATGTCCGTCGATATCCCATTATCTTTTTTATCACAAAGTCTAAACGGTGTACGAACTAGATAATAGTAGTATGTAGAACAATGCTGGTCTGGTAGCTATTATATGGATTCTCCTAGTGTACTGTGTACTAGGGACCATATCTACTGTCATTTTTTGTAATACTTTTTTTACGATTTTTTTTTTCGCTCTTTTTTTTCAGAGGAAATTCAGTTATTAAAATTTGGGTCTCCTTAAAAAAACCCGATAAAGTAGGAGTATAGCACAAATATAGTATTGGTCTATGAGTGTGCTATAAAGCACTTGGAATGACTCGTTATCGTACATAGATGTACAATTTCCAAATTTCTAGAATAAAAAATTAGTAAGATCAAAAATATGTAAACTATATTATATTCCTCTGATATTTCTAATAATTGTTGCAAAACTAGGTATATTTTTAACATCTACCAAATTAAACGGATATAGACACCAAGTTTACCATAACTCAACTCTTTTATCACTTTGGAAATCACACTGCTTTTTCAGAAATTTATACTGCTTTTTGAAACTGTAAATTCGAACCACAAGACTACGTATTTGGGCTATTACTACCATTGTTCAAATTTATTTCTAACTCTAGGTCTTTACCAAGATAATTAAGGCTCTAGATAAACGTAATGTCCACTAAATCCTTATTTAAGGAATTAATATGTCCAATATTCTGCTCAATTCTAAAATTTGAAGCAAAAATTTACATAAAGTGACGAAAAATTTGAAATCTTTTGTTTAAATGGTTACATATACAAGATATTTATACAATAAAACGTATAAACTTGATTTCACCTCAAAATATGATCTGTAGCATTCATGAATTAAAAAAATAATTGATCCAAAGAGAATAAGTATTACATAGCAAACCAGAGAAATAAAAAGATATCAAATATCCGATATAGTGTAACGGCTAGCACGGTTCGCTTTCACCGAGCAGACCCGGGTTCGACTCCCGGTATCGGAGATTTCTTTTTTTTGAGATTTTCAATTGCATTTGTTTTATTTATTTGCAACTAAATGAACCATATACTTAGTTCAATACTACAATAGATTATAATAAACATGAATTCAAATAAGATGTATATTTTTCAAGAAAGTTCATTTTCCTTGAAGGAATCCCATGCTTTATTCAAAACTACAAAAACACCTTGACAGATCATTCGTTCTTGAAGTTCCAATTTACCCAACTTATCGGGATGGATAGCACTAATCACCTTCATATAGTTGATTTTAACCTTCTTTGGTAACATAATATCATTAATGGTGATTTTCTTGGTCAAAAATGGAAATGGTAAATGTGATGGAATGACATCTGGGAGCCCAACCAATAAAGTTCGGAGGTTATCTTCTTTACCAGCACTCCATGTTGATAGTTTGGCTTGGATTTGGTCATGAAGCTTGAACTTTGCATCATCTTCTTCACGTTGTTTATCAAATTGTTCTCTGACCTTTTTGGATGCAATCGCAGATGCAGTTGATGCAGAGTTTGGTTTGGTTGGGACCTTCTTGACTGGCGCAGGAGGTGGAGCCTTTTTAGGATTCACAATACCATCAACTCTTCTTTTAGCGTCCATAACCTTTTTATCATTTACTCCCATTTTGATTAAAGTCTGATATGATTCGAGCGACTCTGAAAATAATTCTAATTGTTCCAAACTTTCAGCTTTTCTCAGTAAAAGTTTAATATACCAAGATTTGATGGATTTTTCATGTACTATCCAGCTAGCATCATTTAATTTATCTTTAGGAATCTTAGAAAGCCCATCCTCACTATATAATCTTGCCTGTTTATAATTGCCGATCTTAATACATGTAAGTGCCAAGTTGCTTAGTATTACGATCTTTAAGTCAAAAGTATCAGGCAAAATTTCCAAACATTTCTTGTAATTAGTGAATGCAAGATCATAATCTCCTTTAGTGAAAGAGTTCGTGGCCAATGACTTGTGTTTGTCATAATCTGTTTGTAAGAATTGATCAAGAGATTGAGATTCCTTTTGGTTAAGTCCAAGTAGATCAAAATCAGATGAAGGTGGCACCGGAGATTTTTTAGCAATAGGTTCAGCAGGAACTGGAGATGCGACTCTTGCTTTCTGTTGTACAGGTGTAACACTTTTACTTGACGGTGGACGCATGGGCGAAGACTGCAAAGAAGGTGATTGAGATTGAGAAGATGGCCGAGAATTTGAAGGTCTTCCAATTATTGGAACTTCCTGTCTTCTAGCTACGGGAGGTTTTTGTTTTCTCTCTCCAATATTCTGATCATTATTATCATCACTATACTTTGATTCTCTGGGCCTTTCTCTCTGTAATTTACCTAAAGTTTCTTCAGGAGTAGTGGAACCTTCAGCTACACCTTCTGGCAACCAACTTTCATATTTTGGTTGATTTCTCATCCATGTTGGACGCGAAGAGTCTCCTTTTGGTTGCTGGAATTGTTCTATATTTTTTAGTACAGTCTTTTTCGACTTGTTAATGAAAAATGATGCCTTTGAAAAAAGATCGGCAGAAAGATCGTTAATCTTGGAATTAAGATCTTGTGGTTGTTGATGTGTAGGCGAAGGTTTTCTTTCACTAGAAGGCAGAGAACCTTCCATAATGAAGTTGACACATCGTTGTACATCTGAACCTACGGATTCAATTGCCCTCCTGGCAATTTCAATGGGGAATCCTATTTCCATAAGTTCTGCCAATACATGGTCCTTTTGTGAAGTAGTTGATGAAACATTTGAGGAAGAAGATCTTGAGGATGATGAAGACGATGAGGTGATTGGTACCGAAGATTTATCATCTTTTATTCTTGTTGGTTGTACAGAAGAAGGCCTTGGAGGAATCTCCTCAGTAAATGCATCAGTGAATTCATCATCTAGAAGGTTAATAGAGCCGTTATTGGATGATGAAGTAGTCGGTTTTGAAGTTGGAGCTTTAGCTGGAGCTGATGATCCAAATATATCCCATGGATCCCCCACTGAAGTAGAAATTGGAGTATTGGAACGTGATTGTGTTGCACTATTTGGACGGTTAATACTTGTTGCTGACAGGCCATTACTACTCTTTGGTTGAAGAACCCCATTGGAACCTACACCACTCACACCCAGTGCCTGTGGAACTAAAGTCAGAGAGCCATTACTTAACGCGGTCAATGAGCCACCATTATTAGAACTCATTGATCCAAGAGATCCCGTAGGGGTTGAGGACCCACTAAGAATATCCATGCCTGAAAAGGCATTATTTCCAGTCGATCTGTGTACAGAAATCCCATTCATAGGCTGATCTTTCTTCAGTTTTGTCCCGGAAGCACTCAGAAATAAATCGGCAAACGCATCTTTCTTCGGTGGCATCTTTTTACCTTCTTAATAAATTACTAGATCTTAATTGTTTGCTATGGTGTTTTGTTCGCCTTTACGAGCTTCTCTTGCATATATACACACAGAATCAGACTAACTAGCAAGTCGTGTCCAAACCAAAAATATATACTGCATATTATCATCTTTTTTTTTTTCTTCATTGAACTCATCTTAAAATTTAGAAATTCTAAAGGATTATTCAAATACATTTAACTTCATTATCTAACCTTATAACTATCCAACATGCATTTAATGTACACCTTGGGTGCCGACGGCAAGAGAGTCTACACTTTGAACAAGATCACCGAACAAGGTGAAATCACCAAGTCTGCCCACCCAGCCAGATTCTCCCCAGATGACAAGTACTCCAGACAAAGAGTTACTTTGAAGAAGAGATACGGTTTATTGCCAACTCAACAACAGTAAATACTATGGTCTCTATATGACTTATGAGGGACGACGGTACGTCGTGTGTCACCTCGAGAAGAAAGGCTTTTATTTGTAATGTGATATTGGTTGTGTTGCGAAATGTTAGAAACTATTATCTACTCTTTGCGCTACAACGCTACATATGTATTCATTTTCAGCATTTTTCTTCTTTTATTAAACGCCAGAATCTGGTTATTTACCTGTACAATATACATACGTTCATTGAATTCCCTTGTAATCCCGTAATTCCTAAATTGGTTCCTGGACCTGTCCAGTAGCCTCCAAGTTAAATTGAGAATTCTTAGAATAATTTTCCCACATTTGTGATAATAATTCACTATTCATATTCTCTCTATTAAGCTCTTGAAGCGATTTATTCATTGTAACTATAGACTCATTCAAATTTTCCTGCATGATGTTAGAAACGATCAAAAATTTATCAATAAAAAAATGATGGCAAAAAAGAAATACGAGTACTGCATCCATCACCAGGAAATTCTATAATGTTATAAACAAAACAAGCCAAATACTCCCATATGAGAACACCATTTAATAGAGTATATTTGAGTAGTATATTATTATGTACATACCATATTATTAATTATCCGTGATAACAAGGCATTCTGCACTTGCTCGTGTGGATTCTCCATGGCTATTGTTTTTTTTATTCGTGGTTGAAGAAAGAGATTCTAAAATTTATGACATATATATTTTGTTTTCAATACGATTACAACAATATTGCGTTTTTGTGTAATTTGACGCCATTACCGTACATAATGATTTATTTATATTTATCATATGCCTAACGAACGGCTATCTTTAAATATGTTTCATATATTCTTGGTGGGAATGTACATATGGGTACCTATAAATTTTTCTTTATTTATCTCATTTATATCCTACTTGGGCCGGTTTCATGTCCTATTTCGCTTAATGCCTCGTGTTTGCGTGTCATACGTCCTTGAATCCGTATCCTGCAAAATTTAAAAAGCTTAACTTTTTCCCCAACATTCTAATCTCCATCAACTGTCCTCTCCTCTCTTCCTACTCGTGTATCTCTCATGTATGAGAGTATATATATATATATATATCTTCCTGAACTGATGCTCCACTCATATCACTCCGTAGATATTTTCATCTAGATTGTTCTTCATGATCAACTTGCTTCACTCTAATCAACAATTACAACAAGCAGCAGGTGGCTCGGGCCTTGTGGTGATAGATATTTACCGAGAATCAGAATGCAAACACATGTCTTCATTTTATAAGAAACTACCAAAGAAATTCCCCAAAGTTGCATTCTTCCGTATCGATGTTAAATCATTCTCTGGATTTGATAATTTTGCAATTGCAGCACAAATCTCAACCATCCCTACAATCTTGGTGTATTGTAATGGTCAAAATTTAGTTAAAACTGGAGTGAGTTCTCCACAATTGGTGGAGTTATTAATTGAACATTGTCACGAAGAATACCTGAAATCAATTTCATGTTCTTCATCAACTTTATATTCTCCAGCTTCCTTGTCTTTAACTTCATCTCCATCCTACACTCATTTGGACAATTTATTTTAACTTTGAAATTGTAATCTATACACTTTCCGCAGCGTTCAATGCTTGCTGGAATTCCCTACATGCCCTAGTCAACCCATTCCGATCACACATCAAACTTTCCTTCACTTCCTTGGTCAATTTTTCCCGTAATTTTTCATCGGTGGTATGTGTTTTAACTAATTCAAGACATTGTTCTTCAATAGTATCAAAATGAGCTAAACATTTTTTAAGGGAAATAACAATCTTTCTCGTAGCAACTGCCTGACTACTATCCCCGCTAAGAAATCCTCGCCAAAAATGAGTTAAGAGCTCCATACTGGTAATATGTGTTGTAATAATGTCTTGTATAATCAGCACCGGAATAATTGTTTGAGCTGCAAGTGCAGTGGCAGACATATTACCTCCTCCACTTCCTAATCTGAATGTTTTAAAGTTATGTTTAATTAATGAATTTATTTCAATAGATGTCTTTTCAATATCATCTTTCTTCGTAGAATATGATTCACAAAGGTCAATACCATTCCCTAAATTCTCAAATTTCTCTCGTAACATAAACTCATTTAAAATATTCAACGGGGTAGTAACTTCTATATTGGTGCTTTCTTGAACCACCGGCTCATTGTTTATCTTAAGCGTAGTGTAATGAATCTCTTCTGTCTCATGAAGATCTTGTAGTTGAAGGGATTTGGCCTCAGCTGCCGCATGATCTTCGAGATCTTCTGCAGCAGCTCGAGTACTATTGACCATTTTAGAACTCAATTTATTCATATTTCTCATGATAACTAACATTTCATTTTCTCCTCCATTTAATGCTCCTGATTTATTCTTTGGATTATTTAACAAGTTGGCTGCATTGTCTCCATATCTCATAGTTATATCCGGTTGATTACCCAATTTTTGGGAGTTATCTTCTTCATTGGCGAGTAAGTCAATAAGTTTAGATAATTTCTGTCGTTTTTGTGCTGGTTCTAAAGTTGCTGAATCAGTTTTAGTTGGGGCGGAATCCGATAGTTTATTCTCGGCATTCGATGTTCCGGATGCCAGACCGTCAGTTGTAGAAGCTGCAGTCCCCGCACTAGTAGTGGCACCAGTAGTTGTAGCAGCTGCTGCTTGTGTTTTGGCAGCCTCAGCTTCTACAAAATCAGCATCAACGTATAAATATTTATCCAATACAACATCACCTCTTTCATTTGAGTTATTAATCTTATCACCACGTAATCTTCTGAAAAGTTTAGAATTGAAAAATCTTGACCAAAACTCACCTTCAGGAAATTTTGCTGGTACTAAATCGTCAAACAGCTTTTTAATGATTGGATATGTATCAAAGATCTCTCTGATGGTATCTCTGGTAACATTCACATTGACCTGGTTATCCGAGGATGCAACAGGCTTAATGGTAGAAAGAACATTATATGGACCTCTATGTTGTGAAATGGTTAATGCAAAAGTTCTTAATTGGTTCAATCTTGTTTGCCAAAACATCACCGGAGAAAGTTTAAAATTTATCACCGCTTGAGTGAATTTTTCTCTAAGTAACTTATCTTCAAGTAAAAGTTTCTGTTGAAGAGTATGATTTTTAAGAAGTGCAGCATCTGAAAGTGATTGTGGATGTGAAAAATTAAGATTATCTGCACTGGCCAAGATGGCATTACTACTTGACGTTGGTGGTTCTGATCCTGAAGATGGACCAGGAGTCCCAGCACCACCACTCCCCTGTACACCCCCACCAGTAGAAGTACCCCCATTGATACCACTACCAGGTCCTTCAACCCGTGTATTGACTGGGACATCTTTGACAACCGTTCTCAGTCTAGCAAGAATACTTTGAAGGACATCTTTCACATTATTCATTGTTGGTCGGTTGGAAAATGTTAATTTCAAATCCTTGGTTTCCTCTTCTGCAACTTTATATGTAAGCTTAAGCATAAGCTTGGGAGTAGTTTCCTTGGATGCTTGGAGATTAGTTAATGCGTTCAATGGGATCGTTACCACTTTCAGCTGATCTATGGCTGTCCATTCAATCACCAGAGGGGTTGCATCCTCCTTAATATGGATCATTCCAGATATCTTTGAAACAATACATGCTCCAGACACTGTAGACATCTTCCCAATCTATCTACCTAATTATATATTAGATGTATTTTGGTATATCATACCCATTTACACTCCCTCACACACACACTCTATATCTACAAGGTCGTGCTCGTCCCAATATCAACATTTCTCACTGGTGTGATTCTTTTTTTTTTTGCATTACAAAGAAAAACAGGAACGAGCGAATAGTTTTCAATTCATAAGAACTTATACCTAAAATCAAACATATATAATGCTAGCTAGAGGTCTTGGACGCTCCACCAACATTCTCCGTACCACATGGACCAGACCTGTGGTGCGTAGTTTGATCAGAACTTTATCTACTGAAGCTCCACGAGTCGTATCTATTGATAGAGAATTACCAGATCCATTCCAAAAGAAGAAACAAAACAGATACTATTTTGTTTGTTATGGTCTTGGGGTTACTCTCTCTTGTATTTTCATCTTCAACTATGAGAAAACTATGTCACCTATCACCAATTCTGTGATGTATTTTTTGAGAAGATCACACAATGCTCTGGAAGTCTTGGGTGATGATATTACATTTGCCAGCCAATGGCCATGGATTTGGGGTCCTTTGAACGCAGTAAAGGGTGATGTTGATATCGAATTTGACGTCAAGGGTACTAAAGGTACCGGTACTCTTAAATTGAGGGCCACCAGAGAATCGAAACAAGTTCCTTTCCATGTTCATCATTGGACTTTGGATGTCAAGGATGGTGAATCCACTAGAACCGTTGATTTGTTGAAGGACTCTTCAGTTGAATTTGGTATCTAATGAAGAAGAATTCGACGACAAAAATTGTAGATCGAGGAGGGGGTGTGAAGAGAATGGATAACAATAAAGAATCCTCATAAACTTTGCCGTTCTTTTCTCAGAATGTGCTGTCCGTACATTTGAGAACGGTGTTGTGTTGAAGGTGCCCTTTATGAGTTAGTCCAATTGTAAATAGAAATTAGTTGTTCAAGTCCATCAGCAAACCCTTGGGTTTTGATTTTGTACTTGGAACAAACTTGCATATAATAAGCATGAAGGAAATATGACTAGAAACAATTGTACTTGATGTAGAGTTTAATAAACTATGCATGTAGTCAGCCCAATTTGAGGTAGTGTCATTTTGCAGCATAAATTTGCACTTTTACTGGTACATTATCTTGTATTATATGTAACAGATCAAATTTGGATTTTTTTTTAACTTTATGCTAATGTAAATAGACAAGTAAAAAAAAAGGGAAGTGATGTGTATCAGCTCAATAGATATGGGTCTTCTTACCTCTATGAGGAGGTGACCCAAATCTCTACATTATTAAACGAGAGGCTATACGAAGTAGGAAATGTAGAGCACTTTTAATATTATAATGCCTAGGATATATAACTTTCTCGTTCCAATCTATTATTGTATGACCTCTTTAACCCACTTTAATAATTTAGTAAACTAATTAATATCTCCTAAATCCCTAACAGAGATTTACTGTTATAAATAGACTATAGTATTAATATTTTAGGGGACCCTGTCTACAAGGTCACATGACCGTGCATAGCCGACGTTCCGCCCCTAATTCCTATACATCCACACATCCACAAAGCTTCTTCCGAAACTTATTCTACCATCCGTATTTCTGTTGTTGGTTGCCAGGCGCAGTTAAGCTTTCACTTTCTATTTTTTGACATATCTTGAGATATGTTCCCGCTAATCGGGATTCGAGAAAAATCATATATGTACATAATCTATCAAACAAGGCTAAGATGAAATTTTGTTCTCCCCTCATCTAACCCTCATTTTAATTTTATATCTTTTTGGTGCACGACCACAATCTGTCTCTTACATCATTCCAGGACCAAGAAATTTTCGACGGAACTCAAAGTACTTACTCTATTTATACATTACAACTATATCCATTTTTTTTCCTTTACGCACACATATACGCATCTCTTGACGTATGTGTATCTCCTTACTCAAATAATTGCTTTAGTTAGAAATTTCCAAACTGTAAAACTTTTGTGTTTATCCTGTATGTCTCATGGCTGGCTGCCCTATTTGCTATTATTACATTTTCTGCGCCTGATTGTTGTGAATGAATTTAATTTTCTAGCACCTTTTTTTTTTTTGGTTTTACTGTTGATCCGATTTTATTCTCTCTCTGTGATATGGAGAAACACCCCTTGTAATTTCATTCGTTTTATTCTACACTATACATGGTAGACTCATCGGTAACTGTCGGGCTTTCCGTGGGGATTCCTTCGGCATTAATTTTAGGTACTTGTCTTCTTCTTTGGCTCCGCAATCAACGGAAGCAAGAAAAGGAAGATTTACTAGATCGTGACATTGATCTTGAACTCAAGGACGATGTATCATATACAAACATGCAAGATGTGATACTCCAGCCGAAAGGCGGGGCTATTGGTGCTCCGTTGGGTCCATCAATAGATAGTAAGAGCCCCGCACCACCAAGTTTCCAGGGCTCTCCAGACAAGCAATACGTTGACTCGTCTCATTCTTCGTCTTCCATGACTGAACAACCATCCACTCCTCGTCATCATTTATCCAGAGAACCAATAACTTCGGTTCCAGGACCTCTCCACCACCGCACACCTTCTTCATATGACTTTTATGATTCGGTAATCCCGGTGTTACCCACACCACCAATGGCACCAGACCACCAGCAACTGACGGTACCACCATCACCTTCAGGAGCAGGCTCTATAACACCATTAGCCCCACCGCCGGCGTTGGGCGACAATCATACTCAAAGCTCACCCAGCAAAACAAACTCAGTGGCTTCACTTAATAATATTACTAATTATGATTCAAGTAGTAGATCTTTGGACAATTTAGCAAAGCAGCTTACCCAACCAACTTTTTTCGAAAAATTACCTTCAAGAGCAGGAGCTCCAGGAACCGTGAGGCGACGAGACGAGGGCCCTCGAGTTAATAATAATAATACTACTAACCCTCACACGGGTCCAAACTCTCTGCACACTTCGCTCGATCAATCTCGTGATGATTTGGGCTCTGGATCTGTTCATATCGGTAAGGTCCTTGCAGGGAAGTTCGATAATAGCTTTTCCGGGAAACCCGGATCGCCCTTTACCGACGAAGAGCAAGGTGATGTTTTATTTAAGTAGGATGATGGTAGTTAATCAAATAATGAAATAGAGTACTTGTAGCTGACAAGATGGTTAAATGTTGGATGGTGAAAAGTTTCCATTCTACTACTAAAAGGCACAACGAAAAATCAATTAGTTATGTTGAGTAACTGTGGATATATAGTTGGTGGATGATCCAGAGTTTGCCATTTGGATAGAGATATGAAATAAGAGTAGGGTGACTATATAGATACGTGGAATAATGGTGTGCTCATAGACCATCTATCCAAACAACTTTGAACGACTTTCTTACTTTTATTTGCATTCATCTGCATTATTATCGCCCAGCAAAAGCAAATTGAGGGTTTAGTTAAAACGGAGATTTGGGTCACTTTACCTTCAATAAACTCTCTATTCATAACCCCCGTACCAATTACTGCTAATGATATTGGAAATTTTTATGTATTATCTTAGCTATTATTTGAATTACTGCTAAAATACGCTAGACATCTCGTAAATTGTATAGATAAACCATACTGAAATCTGCCTTTCAAGAAGTATTAAGCAAGTTCTGAGCAGCTACTTGCCACCCCCACAAATCACGTTCGTCCAATTAAATCTCTCCATTAACACAATCAAAACACACAAGTTTACTATCTTGTCTGAGGTGTATATATTACATGGATCTATGTAAAAAGGGCAGAACGCCCCCACTCAAGTATTCAAGTCCCATTATCTTGTTGCAAAATAAAATTGCCCCGTAAAAAAAATAGAATCCATATACCCGCGAAATTTAACCATGGTTCAGCGAACATGGTTAGTTTATCTCCTGACATTGATTATATATTATAGGATAATTGATACACTTCAACTATGTTTCGATCATCATTAAGACTGTCTGTATCGCTTGGAAGGCTGAAACCTTTCACATCTTCCGGTAGACAGCTCACCAGTCCTGTCACAAAAAGCTTCCAGCAACATCGATTTGCCGCCTCATACAAACGCTTCAATCAAGGTTCATCTGCCTCAACTCAATTTACCCTTTCACAACTTCTCCGTTCAAGAGCGACTCTATACATTGGTTTGGGTACTGTGGGGTTCTGTCTCTACAACCTTGAAAATGCTCCTGTCACAAATCGTCTCCGATTACTCTGGATTCCGTTCTGGTTGGAGGCAAAAATTGGTGATTATTCATACCGTCAAATTATGAGTGAATATGGTAATCAGATCTTGCCAACAAGCGATCCTTTATACCGTAGAGTGTCCAATGTTATGAATAAACTCTTGGAGTCTGCCATTTCCAACACCCCAGATCAATCTCAACGTGAACATCTCAAGTCATTACCATGGACGATTCATATTATTCAAGTTGATCCAAATAAGGTCCCTCCAAATGCTTTCATTTTACCTAATGGTAAAATCTTTATTTTCCTGTCTATCTTGGGCATTTGTGGTAATGACGATGGGTTAGCTACAGTTCTTTCACATGAGTTGTCCCATCAACTTGCAAGACACACTTCTGAACAGCTCTCTAAGCAACCCTTTTATCTTGCTTTGCTGGCGATCATGTACATGGCCACTGGAGTGGACTGGCTTTCCTCAGTATTTATCAATGGGGTATTGAAAATGCCTGCTTCTCGAGAAATGGAAGTTGAAGCTGACCATATCGGATGCACTTTAATGGCACGTCTGTGTTTTAATATTCACGAATCAGTCAAGTTTTGGCAACGTATGAGTGATTGGGAAGCACAAGCTGAAGTACGTTCTCGTGGGGGAGGTGTCGCTGCCGCTAGTTTACAAGAGTTTTTCCTGACTCATCCAGGAACTCCCCGTCGTATTGCAAATATTGAGAAATGGATGCCTGAACTTGAGAATATTCGGGAATCTTCAGGTTGTTATGAACATCAATTTGGATTATTTATGGATAAAACTAGAAACTATTTTAAATAAGTTATATAGATAATATACGTACAGGTATAGAGACTATTCAAACGAATGGAGTTGTTCATCTTGAAGAGGGGGGTATTGAGAGGATGGTAGGGTTTAGTTTTATAAGTCTATCACATCTGCTGCAGCTTTATCACCCCTACTACTGGTTAATCCTCCTTGTTCGAAATCATCTATTAAAAGAGTTTTACGTCCAGGAAGAGTTCCATACGGTGTAATACCTACTGACACATTGTAACGATGTGGATCTTCTTCATGTTGTAACAAATAAACTTCAACTGTAGCCAATCTCTTTCTACTGGTTGTATCTCTACCGGAGAAAAATGGTAGAGAGAATTTAATGAATTTAGAGAAACGAATGGATGTGTTCGTTTCATTTAAAAGTTGATCACGAGTGAATTCATTGTATGGAAGAAGGTTTTCACGGATTGGTAACACGATAAAAGTTTCAAGATCTGACGATAATCTTGAAGATACTTGATCTTCATTCATAAAGATCCCCATTGGATTATCGTGAAGTATGGCATAATCTACCAATTTCTTTTCCAATAATGGTAGAAGTTGCAGTTTAAATGAGTCGAATTCATTCTCCACTCCATTTAAAACGTTGTTTATATCACTTTCATCGTAGGGTTGGATTTGAATTTGGTTATTAGTATCGTTTGCCTTGTCAGTGGTAGATGGGTAGACCTTAAGAAGCTCACGCTTATAGAGGTATGATTGATGATAATGACGATATGCGTAGTATGAGCCTATAGCAACCGGTGGACCCGCGGTGATCAACGTGTTGGGATGGACATGACGGATCGTTGCTGCAATGAGAAGGAAAATCAGAAAGTACTTATATGAAGGGGAAATGGAATGGTAGAACTTTGTTATTGGAGATGTGGTTGTCAAAAGTGATTGCCTTGGAGCGGAATAGTTACGAACATTAGACCAGTTTATCGGTATTATATGCCGTGGGGTTGTTGTGAACTGAAAAAGTGACCTTGGATGTATTATTCTCAACGAAGAGATCGTTGTCGTCATCAACATTGTTCGATTTACAGACTCTGAAATTAGTTCTCATCATCACATTCAAATCATTTACAATTATATCAATTTGTGCACCTTAGCGCGGAAAGTGTGATAATACTACTACTACAATATCCATCTACATTTAATCTGATGTGAGTATATGATTGTGAATGTACAGCACTAATAGGAACCTATTGGACGTTTATAGACCTATTCATGGTATATAGAAAGATTGTTTCCATAACTCTCATCTCCATCAAACGATTCATCATCTCTTTGTGAGTCGCGAAATTCATACAGTTATACTTTTCGTCTCAGAATATTTATAGCCATACTTCTACTTGTTCTTCTTCCTCTTTACATTCAATTATTCATGAAAGCAGAGGCTGGAACAGCTAAGCATCAGTCTAAACAGCTCAAAGCTTCAGGGCTTCAGAAGCTTAAATTTTATTGTCAGCTCTGTCTCAAACAATGTAGAGATGCCAATGGGTTTAAAAACCATTTGAGCTCCCCATCTCATCAAGGTAGACTCAGTAACCTTGCCACTGGTAATCAGGAAGATCCAATAGATAAATTCTCGGACCAATTCAGTCTGGACTTTCTCAAACTCTTGAAAATGAATCATGGTACTAAAAGAATCAATGCCAATCGTTTTTATCAAGAATATATTCTGAATGATAGAGATCATATTCATATGAATGCTACAAGATGGACGTCTTTGACTGCATTTGTCAAGTTTTTAGGGCTGAATGGCCACGTTAAGGTTGAAAGAGACGGTGGAGACGACGATGAGCTCAACTTCACCATTGCATTGATTGATCGTTCGCCACAGGCGGTTCAACGACAAGAACTTCTTCTCAAGAAGCAAAAGATTTCCCGCAGTGACGATGAAGTAATGATGAGGCTATTAAAACGTCAAATTGAACGTGGTAAAGAGAGACTTAAGCTGACAACTTCTCTGGAAGAACCTGAACCTACTGTGAGCAAACCAGTGGTTCCAAGCGCAGGACCAGTTAAAGTATCCATGTCATTGAAGCAAGCTGTTAAAAAGAGGAAGGCGCCATCTGCATTTGATGAAGATGATGAAGAAGAAAGCGACAATGAGGAAAACCTGGGAAATGACAAAGTACAAAAGAAGACAAATGAAATGAAAAGAATTAGTGAGAGATTATTCAAGAGATAAAAAAAATTGATCTATATTGTATTGAGCTTCATTGATACAGTCTCTTCTATACAACTTCCATTTGTTCGTCATTGGAGAGTTTATTGTGATAGTACCTATGGTCACTATCAAGGGTATTTTATTCCTCAACTTTCTCATAACATAACACATAGACTTCCTTCAGATTCAATTCACTAATAATCGGACCCAGTTCCATGTTTATGTTCCCATGTGTTACCCCTGGTTGTACTGCATCGTCGTCAAAGTAACACCAGTATGGGCGCTTCAAGTTATCGATGTTGTTAGGTACAATTCGTTCAGACAGACTCATGTGTTGATGGAAGGTAGATTTGTTGACCAAAGATGTGTAGTGACCACTCTTCAAGTTACCAAAGTGGTTGATTAACCCTGTAAGCTTGTAGAGAATAGTCTTCTCGGCCAGAGCATTAAATCGGAGTTCAAGAGGGTATTTGATAGTAGTGTTTAATTTATCAGTTAGACTAAACATGGAAAACCGCGAAAGGTGAATAAAAAGGATTTGTGGTAATTTGACAAACGAGAGTCTCTTGATTGACGATTGCGCTGAACCATTTGTACTGATTGTAGAAGATGTTGTGGTATTTGGATTTGAAGCCGGAGTGGGGGATTTACTCCTCCTGCCAAGTTTAAATAAACCTGAACGTTTTGTATTAGATGCATCTAAAGTTGTAGTTGTGGTAATGTTCTTGACTGTACTACACTTCGGACAATTCCATGCATTATCTCCCGTCAAAATTTCATCCTTTATATAGTAGCGTAAGCAATCTCCAAGATTAACTGATCTTGTAGCCGAATGACTGGGTATTGGTAACGATAAACTTGTAAATTGTGAGTATGAAACTGATTCATAGCCGCAATTATTACAAATTAGTTTATTTTGTAGGTGACCCTGAAAAAGGTCATTTACTGGGGACGTACCTTCAAGGGAGATTACAGATTGGTACCATTTAAGATATTGGTCGTAATCCTTAGCTGATACGTTTGCATCAGAAGGGAGATGATCGATCTGAACAGAAGATTTAACTGCTAGTTCATCATGTAATCTCTCTAGTAAGAAAAGAAGAAATTCTTGGGCATCTTGTTGTTCATTTGGAATATTGAAATCAGGCTTGAGGTTGGAAGAAATGCGTAGAAACTTTGAAGGTGCAATACCACATGATCCATGGTTCACAAACGACTTGAGGAGTCCCAGAACTGCCACCAGAAGTAGATGGGGTTCAGGAGATGAGAATTGTTTTACAAACTTTGGTTCTCGAATATAACGATGGTACCTCAGATTGGAAAAGATTGACTTGAATTGAACAAGACCAAAGAGGAGTTGAAGAGTCAGATTAATGTAGCATGATGAACCGAAATTTCGAAGGCCGCAAATGGCATTATTCTTCATATAACTTGACGGGGTTGTCGCCAAGTGACTTCCTGGGTTTGGTCCAGAAACGGTTTGGTGTGAAGGTGTGGGATATGCTGGTCCAGAGCCATGTCCAGAGCCATAATTCTGGCTATATCCTGGGTTTGACGCTGGATTGATGTTATTTGATGACGTGTTGTATGCTGGAACCAGAGTAGATTGATTTGAAATTGGCTGTCTTCCAGAAAATTGGGGCATTTCAGAGCCTCTTGGGTATCCATTTTTTGACCCATTAGAGTAATTTTGAGTATTGTCAGTGGTACTCAAAGGCATAGGTGCTCTACTAAAGGGTAGGTTAGACCTTTTACGTGATTGATTTAACGGGATTTGATGCGACGAAGATTGTGTATAAGAAGGGGTACTGTCATCCAGAGAAGGATATGGTGCTGAGTATCCATTAGTCTCAATTATTCCATGAACTATATTAGTTCCAGGATGTGAGTTAGGAACAGGTAAGGGTGCAGTTGGAATACTGGAGAAGGTTCTTGCTCGTAAGAGCTGTTCAGGAAGTTGTTGTGGAATCGGTGGACGACTAGTGACTGTCGAGCTGGATAATGGTGAGGAAAATGTTGTTGATGAAACAGTAGGTTTACTGGAAACATCTCCATGATCAAATGGATGTTTCATCGCTAATGAAGACATGGTAACTGATTTAACAGGTGTCGCCTCGTTAGCAGGAGTTTTGTGGTCCAAGTAAGTTCCTGTTACACTAGGAACTTTCCTAATGCTAACCGAAGGAAATCTGGACTCAAAAGATCGATCGTCCTCTTCCTCTTCTTCTAATAGTAGTGTAGGTTCAGGGGCTTCGTTAATAGAAACATCGGTTCCATCTCCAATGGCATCTTTCTGTTTCAAATATTCCAAATAATCATCTAACCAATCTGTTAATACTCCGATCTCAAACAGTAACAATCTCATTCCCCCTAGGTAATCTTCCACATAGCCACGTAAAGGTTTTAATTCATCTTCTTTGTCGTCCTCTTGTCTGAAAAAATGATACAAATTGATATATATCAAAAAATCGTACTCCTTTTTTGCAACAAATTGCTCGAATCCACCATAGTTGACCATTACATAGTTGTTAATGAAATAGCAAAACACCAAATAGCCGCGGATGTACAGTTGTACCATTCCTGCGGAGTCTGCAGCATGAGCCAGTGCCTCGTAGAGAGACTCACAGTACTCAATCAAGTCAAATAGTGACATTTTCCCCACGTTTGCGTCCTGTTCAAGAGTTCGGAACTCTCGTGCTATAACGTTTAGTGCATTGGACCGCACAGAGTCAGACGGGTTATTTCGGGTACCCCCTGTGATATTGCCCGTCCCATTGCTCATATCTGTAGGTGTTGAAAGAAGTACTCGAGAGTGGTTGTAGATATATATGTGTAGATATAAATCACAATATGTGTGTGAATGTGGAAGGAGTGATTTTTAGTGTGCTTTGCTAGAGTCTTTTGGTTGGGGGTATACTAGTAATAGCACTACCAAGTGCAGATGCTGATGGTAATATATGATATAAGAGCTGTGCTTTGGTGGAAGTATGTATTGTTCGCTCTACTCGTCAATTTGTATTCAAAGCACTGCCACCAGCCTTTGAAGATCGATTCCCGGTCGCAACCTGCCAAGTCCGCGTTTTCGCGAAAATCCCATTTAATCGTTAAAACATCATTCTCTTTATTTGTACAGCCCATTCACAATTGTACACTATTCTATGACCTCTTCTCTGATTGCCTAGATCATCCATTTACTTTAGAATCTGGGTAATCACCTTTACTTTAAAACTATGGAGGTCTACATGAAACCGAAATGAGCCCCCTGACTTATACTCCATTTCACCTACATTCCCCTACATTCCTTGATATAACAAATGCTCCAGTGGCTGTTTATTCAACTGATATATATGTATATAGATGTATCCTCATCGTGTAGCATTACTACATTTCATGAAATTATTCCACCTCATTCTCCTTTTCTCTAGTATGTTTGTCTAAGAAGGATTAAATGGAATTACCCCGAAACTGCTGGCCAAGGAATCATATGGGTTCTGTTCAACCGGAAGGGATGATGATTCACGCGTGTATACATTGTAGAATAATCCGTAAGCTTCAAGGTCTTCGTCCACATCCTCGTTATCGTACATTGGCGTAGCAGCAGGTCGACTAGGACCATTCTGGTGATGCAATGGGTGATGTTGTGAAACCGGCTTTGCTCTGTTTGGCGGCACGAGATGACTAGGTGTTCCTTTTGCAGGGTCAGATGGACCCGTTATAGACTTACTTACTATTGGTGCAGTTGCTGATGTAATAGTCGTCGTCTCTACCGTTGTTGAATGAGGCAAAGGTTGATTGTTAACTGGTTTGTTTGGTTTATTAAGATTAACTTGTCTTTGGTTGGAGTTCTCTTGTTGAGTTGTAAGATTACGCATGGTTTCCCAAAAGTCAAGACCTTCTTCATCCTCCTCTTCATGTTTTGATCTTTTAGGTGAAGGGTTCTCTGTAGTAGCTGCGGCTCTCTTGTTTCGAGTTTCTACTTCGGCTTCTTCTTCTGCTGCTAACTCCACTGCATGTGCAAGTGGCGTAAGAGGCTTGTTGATACCGCTAGATATCAAATGACGAGGTGGTGGTGGTGATCTTGTACGTGGACTTCTTCCATTGAGTAGTCTCATGATATCTGACTCCTTACTAGACCCACCCACGGGTGGAGTACTAGACTTGGAGTATGCATGTGGATGGGGATGTGAATGAGGATGAGGAGTTGCATAATGGCCCTCGCGAGAAGAGCTTGGTGATGATGCAGAACTATTTAATTTAGGAACTTCCGTTAATGGTGGAAGGTAATTAAAGTGTTGGTACCTGTTGAGCTGAGTCTCTGGTTCAACATAATAACCCGTGGATGCCGGTACTGGAACATCATTCAACTCGGGAATCGAGCTAAATGGCGATTGAAGCGTCGCTGAGAATGGTTGTTGGAATGATTGTGGTGGGAGGTAATGATGATGGATATGTTGATGTACAGTTATATTAAGACCATTTGATTTAGCATAAGATACAAGGTATTGAACAAGTTCTTGCGATGAGATTGGACCCTCGTGAAATATGGATCCAGAGTTATTGTTCTCTCCAGTAAGGGTATACTTCCATTCCACCTCTGAAGATACCCCACCACCAACAGGTGGTGTACCTGTCCCAGTCCCAGCTGATGCGTGGTTATTATTAACTGCATGAACACCTCCCATAGTGGTAGTAGATTGTTGCCGATGGATATTGCCATCTGCTGAACCCATCTGGCCAAGCTCGTGGCCACGACCTGTTGTATTAACGTCACCAGACGATGAGTAGGAATTTGAAGTTGTTGAATTCGTATTGGCTGCACCCTCTAATTTAACCAATTTATCTGTTCCTGCTGTCCCAGTTGCTGCTGCTGCCTCTCTGATCATTTCCACATGCTCCTTTAAAGCCGGTGCCTTGTTCCTCACAACATCAGTGACCACTTTCCTCCATCTATTTCTACAAGTTAATGAAGGTCTCCCATCTATCTCCAGGGCAATTGTCTTCCATTTCGTCCCATGTTTCTTCACTTGTCTTATCAATTGTAAATCCTCTTCGTGGGTCCATGGCTTAAGTCTATCCTTTGTCTTAGGATCAAGTACTTCGATATACCGCTTTGCACATTGATCATCAGTTCGCCCCTTAATCTCGGCAGCTACTTTCTTCCATTGTGCACCAAATTTTCCATAAGCTTCAACGAGTTGTAGGTCCTCAGTCTCAGTCCATCTCCCCTTCTTTAAGTTTGGATCTAACGAATTACTCCATCTTTTTCTACAATCTTTGGGTTTCCTTTGAGTGGTGTTCACAAAGTATTGGGCTATCACATCCCACTTAATCTGATCCGGGTGCGGTATGGCTTCCCCGGGGTGTGATTCTTTCATGATATTGATAAGTTGTTCATCTTCTTCTTTGGTCCACGGTCTTCTTGATTCCCTACGAAACGTTTGGAATCCAAGTTTTTCCGTCACCGAGAGGGGATCTATTTGTATGGTGGTTGGTTTCCTCTTGGTCGCATTGGATTCCCCTTCATTCCCCGTCTCTATGCTTGTTCCATTAGTCTGTGACATGTAAACTCTATATGTTTTAAATATAACCCCCGTCCCTTACGTGATATCACTGTGTATACGGCTATGTACACGTCCTATTTGTGGTTTTCTTTTTTTTTTTTGCCTTCTGTATACCCTAGGCACTCTGGTTTTCCTTCAGCGAATCTTGGTCGGTCACTTGGTTGAACTTTATATGATCTCGTCTGATGCGATGAAGTCGTATATTACCTTATGAGTAAAGGAAGAAAAAATAGATTTGTAAAAAAAAAAAAAAACAGTAAAGAAAAACAGATGCACATCACGTGTCAACGGTTTGAATGGGTAGAGAAAAACAAAATGCCGTGTGTTTTTGCAACCCACAAAGATCACAGGTACTCCGCATGGAATTCCTTTTTATATAGAAGAAATTGAAGACTTCTAAGAAACGGTCAGCGTTTGTATGCATAAAAAGCTAAGAAAGAAAAAGAAAGAAAGAGAAGAGCGGGATAAAGAGAGTTACAAATATGATGTTTCAAGGAAAATGGACAGCATTTTATTTAGGCAAGCTCTTACTCTATCGGATGGGGCTGGTGAGGCGGGGCCAAAGTCACATAAAACTTCGTATATACGCAGAGGTGTTCCTTCCACCTTTTCAAATTCTCGCCATATTGTAAGTCTACCACATAATCTTTCCCTTGTTCATTCTGTTTTCAATCCCTTATAACGTACTCTTTAGTTTGTTTTTTTTTGTTTTTCTGTGCTGGTATAGTTTAAGTTTACACAAGGCGCTATTCCTCCGCTTCCACTTTCCAATTATGATATCTTATTTCTTATCCGTTCCATTATCCTTATTTGGCTTCTTCTCTAACCTTCTTGTTGTCAATCAACCTCAACAAATTTCTCAATAACATTGAAATTGTAACCTTCCCAATTGAGGGAACATAAAGTCCAGCCTTTTGCTTGATGTCATCATTGAAGTTCTTTGCACTAGCAAAGTTTATCACTACAGCTCCGTTAGAAACATGTTCGGTTGGGAACTTGTAGTTTTCCAGGGGAACACCAGTGATGATAACATCACAAGTTGGTGCTAACGATTCTATGGAGATATCGTCACCATTTAACTCGATCACTTTGTGGCGTTGTTCCAGCAAATCATCACCTCTGGTGTATTGCTGAATGTTATTAATATCAACTGAATAAACAGTTGCTCCATCATTGGCCAAAAGTGCAGCCAATGGTCTACCGACAATTTCTGATCTATTCACAATTAAAACTTTTTTACCATAAAGTCTATTTCCGTAATGAAGAAGAGTATTATATACTCCCAAGTATTCCAAAATTTTAACCATAGCAAGTGGAGTACATGGTAAGATCAGCTTTTGCTCGTTATTAGGAGGATCCAAAAATCTAACATTATGATAAAGATTATGGTAATACATAAAGTTCAATCCTTCCACATCCTTTTCTGGAGAGATTAATTGTTGAAGATATTGATCTTGCTTGTCACCAAAAACTGGGAAATAAACCATAATACCATGGGTTTCTGAGTCCTTGTTGGCTCTTATAAGGGCAGCTTCCAATTCGTTTTTGTCAACTTTTTGCAATTCATATTTGAATCCTAACAGTTCACAAGTCTTCCCTGTCCAAGAAGCATACATGGCAGCAGCAGGGTCATCATTTGCTAAAAGACCAACCAACTTTGGAGTGTACAGAAGAGACTCCACAGTCTTAGTGATTTCTTCAGTAAATGGTTTAGCAATAGTCGAAGCTAAGATGGTTCTACCAGCAGGTTTGGAGGTCATGTTTAAAATTGAGCTATAATGTATAGAAAATTATACTAAGAAATAGAGCAAGAGTGAGTCTAATATTATTAAGAATTGGGACGATGGGGCGGGGTTAAATAGAGATGAGCCGCGATAACTCTAATATATCTCGAGTCAGAAAAGACTCGTGAGAAATGATGTGCACGTGCCGTATATTTGTCAATAATAGATTTAGTGGAGTGCATGAAAAGTAGTCCAAATGCAGGATTGGCGAAGTTTCGAAATTTATTCTATGTTCCTCTTGGGTTGCAAATAGAAGAAGTAATGATAAAATTGAATATATAAATCAAAATAGAAACGGTATCTACCAATATTCAGTAATGTTACTCTAGTAAATTCGCTACATTTGTAAGAATTTTTTTTTATTAATTATCTATACCGATTTTTATATCATAGTAGCTATCTCAAATGGGCAGTTGCATTTTTATATAAACTTTGCCATATGAAAGCTTCACTCAACATTAGTTCAACGTCTGATTCCAGCCACAGTTGCGTAGGGGGGTTTTGTAAGAAGAGGAGAATTTCTTGGAAATCCTTATGCTTCAATTCATCACTAAATTTGATTAGGAATGCTGCACAAACGTACACGTGGAAGTCGTTGAAACCTAATGGGCTTTCACTAAGATAGGTATCCCACATACGAGTTATTAATGGCATTGATAATTCTCTCATTAATAGACAATTCATCCAACGGAATGAGAATTGCATAAACTCGATTCCTTCACTTTGGAAATGAGCAAGAAGTTCAACATCAATCTTTGCAATAAGAGTATTAAGTTCATTCACTTGACGAATGATCCCTGGTTGTTGATGGATATAGTTATCAGTGATATTCTCCAATAGACGAGAAAGACACCAGTAAGTGTCTGCCTCTATAGCGTTACAAACTCGAGCTGAAAGTCTTCCTGGATCAAACAGCATTACATCAAGCTGAAGTATATCATTCAGTTGTAGAAGATCTTTTTCGAAGCTATCCAGGGGATCGCCAAAAAGACCAGGGACAAGTAGATGAGAGTTGTTCTGTTCCTCCTCTTTCCTTTTAACATCTGATGCAGATGAAATTTTGGCCCTTTGGACTTGCCAAAGATAATGACCTAAAAAGATCTGATAAAATGGCGTACACAAGTCATTAATACCTTGTACGTACCCACTTGCTGGATGACGGATTGACCAAAGATAAAGAATTCTACGGAGTGATTTTTGGGTTGCAGCATATGAGTAAAGTTTAATTTTTGGATGAGTGCGCTTCACGTCAATATTAATTTGATGATATAATTGTTGAGAAGATGAATTGGATGTTGAAGGGGTATTAGACCCACCACTAGATGTTTCATTAAAATCTATTTCACGGATGTTATCAACCCCATCCAAATACTCTTGACGTTTCCTGTTAAGGGTAGATTCTTGACGTGACTTATTGGTTGGAAGATATCCAAGCAAAATCTGCCAAGTTATGGCTCGAAGTTCACTTGGAATTCCATTCCACGATAATTTCCGAAGATCTTGGATATTTATTGACGAAGGCTCCATTATTTTTTTAAACTTGAGATGCTTTGAACTTGAAACAGTACTTGTGTTGTAAGAATTGAAGTTATCTGATTTATTGGTCGTGACTCCAGACGTATTAGAGATTGTTGTATTGTTGGGTTCAATCGATGATTCTTTCGAAAGTTGCTGTTGGGGAGAAAATGCCATTGTAAGATCTGGATATAGTGAGTCTACCATTGGGGGTAATGACGGAGCCAGTTGAAGTTTGGGAGTTGTCTTTTGCGGTTTTTCTCGTTCATTTAACCCATCCAATTCAGCATCCCAGTCATCATCCAAATCAGTATATTTCATACTTCTACGACTATGACTGGCAGATCGCCGGTCATTAGAAGAAAATGGGGAGCCTCCACCAGCACGCTCAGTCGATTCTGCATGAGAATAGCCCGCACCTACTGGTCCAGATACTGATCGAAACGATCTTGTTGGGGAATATGAAGTTTTCCTGTCTCTGCTTGGCGATGCCCGTCCGCCAGTAGCACCAGAGAGGTCTGCACTGTATCCCAAGTTTCCATATATACTACTACTAATATCTGCATCAGATTCTGCACCAGGACCAGTTAAGCTCGATCCACTTGTCTGTCTTGAAGATCCAGTCAACGAGAGATTTTTTAAAAATGAACTTAGATGTTTCCCACGACCTCCATTCTCTCCAAAAATGAATTCATTATTGCTATTAGCATATACCTGTGACATCTCTTGTTTTTTCTTTCCCATGGTGAGAAGCAATTGGTGATGGAGGAGAATGAGAGCAAAGTTAAATGTATATAAATAACAGCGCACATTATGCGCACGGATCACGATTTCGCATTTACAAACGTTAAACGACAAGAAAAATGCGACACAAGGTTTGTGCATTTATTATGAGTTAAGTATATTAATATAGTGAGTAGTTTATGTAGGTTTTTATTCAAGTGTATACTCGGAAACGTTAATCAATTGCAGAGTTGAAGATAACGACATACATTTCAAGAAATTAACCACCAAAAAGTCCTACATATTGATTATGAATCAGGTAAATGTTCTTACAATTTATTCTCATTGTAATGTAAATATCAAAGATTCATACGGGATCGTATCTACAACTCGATAACTGTCACTTCTATTCTATTGTCTCTATTTACGCGGTTATTTCACCCTTAACAGCAATAGAACCTTGCTTCAATTCTCTTCCAGAAACGTGCAAAGTACCATTTTGAGTAATGTTAACGATAACTTCGAGCTTAGAGTTTGGCTTTAAATCCTTAAGAGCCAATTCACCGAGTAATTGACCACATTCGTAGACAACTTCCTTCTTGATTTCTGGTTCATCATCGGAGTAATCATCTTCAGAATCAGAGTTTGGTTCAGCTTCAAGAACAGTTTCCTTGATGGTTCTCTTACCTTCGTATAATTCAACGACAACAGAAGAAGATTCACCGTTGGTGACTTCGATACTCTTCTTGATTGGGTAAGCGGTTTCGGCAACCAAGATAGATTGGAAGTTGCCTTCAGCATCCTTAATACCAATAGAGTGCTTCAAGTGTTGGGTGTTGACAACAACTGGTTGAAGAGATTCGTGGATTTCTTCTTCATCGAAAGCTTCGACAAGCAGGCCTTGCAAAGCAGCACCTCTACAAACTAATTCAGCAGGGTCCAAAGCCTTGGTGGATAAAGCTGGGGCAACAACAACGGTTGATTCAGGAAAGACAAATGAAACATTGGAAGCCAACTTTGGAGTGTGGGAGGAACCACCGACAAGCAAAACTTCGTCAATGTCCAAGTTTTCTAAACCAGCCTTGGTAACAACCTTTTCAACAAATGCAGTCATTTGAGAAAGAACCAGCTTGGCAGTTAATTCAAAACGAAGTCTATTTATAGTGGTGTGGAAGTCAAATCCATCAGCCAAGGATTCAATGGAACAAGTAGAAGTTTGAACGTTAGACAAAGTCTTCTTGACGACGATGGATTCTTGCTTCAACTTAGCAAGGGATCTAGCTGTAGTTCTTGGGTTAGCCTTGTACTTCTTTTCGAATTCCTTAGCAAAGTATTCGGAAAGAGAAGCATCTAATTGATCACCACCCAAACCATGTTCGTGAGCAGTGGCTAAAATAGTAAAAATACCACCTCTGACAGAGATAACAGCAGCATCCAGTCTGACACCACCAAAGTCAGCAACAACATAGACCTTGTCTTGCAACAACTTTTCAGGTTCAGCAGATAAATGAGCCAAAAGGGCGGCAGATGGTTCGTTAATTAATTGAACAACCTTCAAGCCAGCTTCACCGGAAATTCTGGCTAATTCAGTTTTTTGAGTAGCAGTGAAATCAGTTGGGACAGTCATGACAACACCTTCAATAGACTTACCGATGTAGTCTTCAGCGGCAATCTTAATTTGCTTCAAGTGTCTCTTGGTAGCTTCTTCAACGGAAATGGTTTCGTTGTTAACCTTGTAACCTGGAAGACCGCCAGCAACTTCAACAACTGGAGCAGCAACATTAGCTTCATCGGCAACAATTTCGACGAACTTCTTACCAATGTGGTCTCTGAAGTTGGTGATGGTGTTTTGTGGGTTTCTGATCAATTGAGCCTTAGCTTGAGCACCATGGTACTCATCTTCACCAACGTAGGACAAGACAGATGGAATGGAACGATCCCCATCAGGGTTGGCAATAACCTCGACCTTACCGTCTTGGTTAGCTACAGCAATAGATGAGGAAGTGTTTCCGAAAGCAATACCAATAACAGACGACATATTTCTAAATTGGTGGATTCTATGAGTATGTTAAACAATTAGTCTTCTCTTTCTTTCTTTCTTTCTTTCTCATCTTTTCTTTTCTCCCCTTCATTTTTTTTGCAAATTGTCCACAAAATCAAATCTTCAAAAAAAAAAAAATTCTTTTTTATGAAGGACTCAAGCTTCGTAGGCTCAACCATTTAGAACACATTGTAAGAACTGCGTGCTGACTAGTGTAATGTATGGGATGGGGAAGTTTAAACAATATTTAAAAAATAAAGATAAGAAAATGGTGATTTTTTTGAAGTCCATCTTGTACTAACATCATACTGGGATGAGGTGGAAAAAATAAAAGGTCGTACCCGGACTCGAACTGGGGTTGTTCGGATCAGAACCGAAAGTGATAACCACTACACTATACAACCATTTTATGCACTTGTTTTTTTTTAAAGTTGGTTTTCGGAAGCCAATATTTTTGCGATTTTTGCGGCGAAAGTCAATAAAAATGAACCAAATCCCTTGGTTTTGGTCTTTAATATTCCCATAATTTACTTTGACATGCATTCTTTGAGAAATTGAATTGCTTTCGGGCACTTATTTGAAATTTTCAGTATGTATTTTTTTTCGTGCACTTCTCAGTAAAGTTATTTCACGGTTTGCCGGTATGTCAGGCAAGCTATTCAATTTATGGGACCCGAAAGGGAACAAAGGGGGTTTTTATCTCGGGCTTATATAGTTGTATATAATAATTGATTTCCTCCTAGGTTTAAAAAAAAAAAAAATATGGAGATTTGAGGAGAATTCTATTCACCTCATAGTTATAACATAGTATAAATCGATAAAAATCGCACTATACAAATTAGACTAAGATAAACTTTGAAATGAAAAATTGCAAGATCTCTCTCACAATCTCAATACTTACTCTGTGTACATATTCTCCTCTTATTATTATATTTGCTCTTTACATTGTAGTCAACTTTCTTATTCTTGTGAACTTCAAGACTCTCCTTACTATTAGGCTTTTTTCGTATATACATATATATAGTTTAAAAAAATTAATGATGGGATTTTGGCTGAGTTGATGCTCCTTTATGATGAACGATTAGTCCTAGACATATCTAAGTCCTTTACCTGAAACTAAAACTGTTCCGATTACTATTAAATTGACTTTAATGTAGAACTTTCAAAGCAAAGAAATAAAGGTTGGCATCCTTCAGTACTACTGAGTTTGTGGTCAGACTGTTGAAAGCCATTATGTCGTTCTGGACAGCACTGTTCGTTAATCATATTCCCAATACATCGTAGAAGTGGAATGGGAACTCTAGTGGTACCTAAGCATTCGACATTATCAGATTCAAATCGCACAATCCCAAGGTGTATGTACTGATTATGAACTTAATACTAACTCTACGGAGAATCAAAAAAAAGTGCGCAAACCCGGAATCGAACCGGGGGCCCAACGATGGCAACGTTGGATTTTACCACTAAACCATTTGCGCAAAGAAATCTCCGCGACGGGGAATTGAACCCCGGTCTACCACGCGACAAGCGGTAATTCTAGCCACTAAACTATCACGGATTTTATTGAGAGATATTTTTTGCAGTCCTTTATGTCGAAATGATATTTGATTTCGGGCGTTTTTTTGCAGTAGCGTAATTGTAACTATGATTGGCACAAATATTTACTGCTATCCTTGAGCGTCCTTGAATTTACTTTAATACAGACTAGTTAATATGTATTTAAAGTAAATTTTCATTTGGTATCGGCTTTTATAAGATTCTCACCAATCAAAAATATCCTTAAAAATACGGTTTATACAATAAAGAGGCATTTGAGAGTATGATTTAATATACCAATGTTACTGAGATTACTGAAGGATCTTGGGAGTTAAATATTTTAATATGGCGTTTTGTAATTTTTAACCTTGCTAAATATCACCGAATTCTAAAAATATATATATTTATATATAAATATACCGTTTTTGCACTTGATACCCATTGAACTCAATAGCTCCCCAGTACAATCCCTCTGTAAATTCGTAAATTTGTTTTTTAGTTATACATAGTGTAAAGTTTAAAGATAATAGCCTCTGTCGTTTGCCCATACTAGCTATTAAGAACATTCCCATAATGATAAGGCAGCAATTCCAAACTGCTATGAAGGTCTCAAGACGAGCAACAATGGAAAAGATTCTGGCAGCGTCTTTGTGATGCCCGGAAAAGTGGGGGAACCAAAGCAGTGGCGGAAATACAGCGTTACAATCTTTGGCATCGGATTAGGCAGACGAACATTGATCAATGTCCCCTTTGCCTTAAAGCAAATCTTAATAACTTAAGAGACCATGTCTACATATACTGTGCAGTTAGTGTCCAAATCTGGCTGATTCTTGGACCAAGAAAGAGATTGCAGCTTAGAGAATTAGTTACAAGTACGGAAACATCATTTACCGACCTTTTCAAATTCAATAGATATCTCGTGGTGATAAAGAAGTTGTTCCAACTTCGACTATCGTTTATATCCACCGTAAGGATGGACGAAGCGGAAGTAAGTGGGTGGGTATCGTGGTTTAGAGCTACTTGTAATGAGGAGTTTTAACCAATTGTTAAGTTAAGATTGGTATTTGAAAGAAATTGAAATAAATAGGTAAGTGGTAACACTTACCCAAGTATTGGACCCGAAAGGGAACAAAGGGTTTTTTTATCTAGGACTTATATAGTTATATATAATAATTGATTTCCTCCAAGGTTTTTTTTAAAAAAAAAGATAAATTTGTAAAAGTGTGGCGTTTTGGTGAAACATGGATTTTTGCAGCCAAAATTTCATCACTCGGCAAGTTCTTTAAACTTCTGAATGGGTAGTTGTACTTATGTATAGACTATTCATTTAATCCTGAAGATAATGATGGTTCTGAAAGGATGAATAATAGAAGATAACTATATAGTAGTATAAATTTGCAACCGTTTGTGTGCATGATGTCATCCGAGCACGCAACCGCATTCAAGCCACCACATTTTTATGGAAAATACGAAAGTATTTAGAACACTCTCTATTTATATCAATCTAGAAGTCCACCTGAAAGTTTCATAAGAGACAAACTTCCTTAAGCAGTATGTCCTCTACCATTTCTTCATCTTTGAAAATAACACCAACATCGGAAATTATCACACTAGCCGGAGGGTGCTTTTGGGGAGTGGAACGTCTCATAACAAAGCAATTCCAAGGACAGGGCCTAGTCGATATTAAATGTGGATATGCAAATGGAAAATTGGATGTTGGTGAGGTAACCTACCAAAAAGTTTGTAGTGGATCTATAAACTTTGTTGAAGTTGTCCAGGTATCATACGAGCCTTCAGAAATTCAAGTCGAAGAAATTTTAGATATCTTTTTCCGTATCCATGACCCGACAACTGTAGATTCACAGGGTAAAGATGTGGGAATTCAATATCGTTCTGCAATTTTCACCCATTCAAATGACCAACTAAAAGCCGCCTTGGTTGCTAAAGAAAAGGCTCAAAATAAATGGTACCCAAATCACAAAATCGTCACAATTATAGAGCCAATTAAAGTGTACTATGATGCTGAAGAGTATCACCAACGATACTTTGCAGTACATCCAGAAAAGAAGGGATGCCCTAATCATTATTTAAGGCAGACTGTCAAGGCATAATTCCAAAAGGCAAATCATTGTAAGGTGGAATTGTCAGAGAAAGAACTATGATACATATTCAATGTTAAGAGAGATAGAGTTTTTTTTAAAAAGTACAATTGTAGTTGAGTATCAGTAGAAGTCTTTGATCGCAAAGTGGAAGAAATTGTTAAAACCTTTGTGCATTCCCATATTCCAATATGAATGTAGGTAACATATGTTGATAATCTCTTTGAATAGTATAGGAGACAGAATGTATCATTGTGGCCACGTTCTGGCCATTCATATTTACCGCCTCCTTTAAAAATCCACGTTTTGTGTTGCTCATAACCATAATCTGCATTAGTTACCCCAGAAACGACCTAACTATTTTTCTACTCATTATTAATTTTACACCCCCTTTCTTGCTATCGTTACAGAACACAGACAATTCGATGTCAGCAACAAATCAAGCTATGGCACAGGCACTGTCAGGAACTGCTCAAGGAACAGAACCGGAACAAGAACAAAACTTCAACTTTTCAGATTATCTTCAAGGGAAAAGATCGAAGAACCGTAAAACCATGGCAATCGTCTCCGCATTGCTAATCATATTTGGTACATTCATCCTTTTCAAAATCTATGAAAGCTCTATCGTGCCCGAAATTGAATCTTCTCCGCTTGAGCTCCGCTTATACACCCATAATATTCGGAATGATAACCCTTATCCAGACAAAGGTGAACACCCATGGACTGAGCGCAGGAATTTGGTTGCTTCTTCCATTAGATTTCATACGGAGAACACCGGATCAAGCGTAGTGGGCTTACAAGAAGTACTTTACAATCAATTAGAAGATGTCTTGAACATTTTGAACTATGAAAATGAAAAAGGTGATTGGACATATTATGGAATTGGACGTGAAGATGGTAAAAAAAAGGGAGAATTTGCGCCTATTCTCTACAAACAGTCTGAATGGTCAATCATTGGGAATAGAACATTTTGGTTGAGCGAGACCCCAGATGTTCCAAGTATTGGCTGGGACTCTGCCTTGGAACGTATTGTGACCATGGTCACCTTAAAGTCAAAGAATTCGCAGGGAACAATCGTGAATGTATTCAATACTCATTTTGACCACATTGGTGTCGTTGGTCGTAAGAACTCGGCGAAACTCATTGTCGATCGCATGGAGAACTATAATAATTATCCTTCGTTCCTCTTGGGTGACTTTAATACACTTCCTACGGACGAGCCTTACCAAGTACTTAAGAAGCATGGCATTAAGGATAGTAGAACACTTGCAACCAAGGAGCAATCTTATGGCCACAGCTCTACATTTACTGGATTTGATATTGATGACGAAAAATCTGGTATTATTGACTATATTTGGGCTCCTTCGTATTCAACAAATAACAGAACTATCGATACTCCTAAAAACAAAACAACTGACATATCAATCAAGAGCTTTGGAGTTCTCCATTCGCATTTTGGATTTCATCTGAGTGACCATCGCCCAGTTGTAGCTCTATACGAATTGAATAGATTCTAGATTATATATATAGTAGTCTACTTTACTAGTTAAAATATATGCGCATATTTGTATTACCCAGGTTTTTTCAATTCTAGATTGGAATGTATCTATTAATTGTGAATTCAAAAACCAGATGGGATTGGTTCTCATTATATGAGGAGCATGGTTGAGTTTTGGTAGGTAATAATTACAAAGGTTATAATTACTACTTTTATTTAATTTTGTCCTAGACTAGTTCAAGTTCTTCTTCTAGTCGATTCTTTGAATCTAGAAGATCCCGTGTTGCCAATTCTATTTACAATTATTTCTTTTTCTTCCTTTTCATCACTTCTAATGTCTCCATTTGTTTCATCCTTTGTTTGTGGAACCTCATCGAAGGTGGGTGGACCATTGATGATAAACATAACAGTTGACAAAGTGCCGAATACAATTGTGAATGTAAAGAGGAAGGCAATACAGTATCCCACAAACTTGAATGGATGGTGCATAAGGGTTGGAACTGGGTTAGACATAAATTCAGCATAGAAATCTACCGCCTCCAAAATAGTCTTCAATACGCATGCCTTAATAAAGGCAACAAATTGGGTCCAGGTCGAGACGGAATCATCATTGTATAAATCCTCAAAGGAACGAGGTGGTGGAACTGGTTCATTTTTAGCGCGAGGTCTGTTTTTCTCCAATGATGCATTTTCAAGTGCTGACTTAGGAACAAATGTTTCATTCCCGATTATTTCAGCTTCCTCAATACTGTGGCCCAAATAGATATTGTCAAAGAATACATTATTATCCATGGACCATAATTCAAACCCAAGACCACCAATGAGTTTCAAATCCGAAGGTCTTGAGTCCTCGAAATAATGAACATTGGGTATAGATCTTGGCTGCCATTCTCCCATATAATTTGGATTAGGAATCATTGGACGTATCCAGGGACCAAGGTAGTCGGGATTGGGAATACGGGGGCGAATCCATGGTCCACATCCTTGACTGACACAAACAGGGTTACGAATTAGTGGTGCTTCCCATTCACCGTCTTCTTCAACATCCCATTCTTCAGGAATAGTTGCTGCAGGGTTTGGGATGTATTCAGGTTCAGATTCATCCCAATCATCAGGTTTCACAGCATTCGGATCGTCAATGTCGGTAGAAGCATACTTTTCTCTATATCCTTCCGGAGGCAGAGTCACTTCTGGATCTGGGATGAATTCATTATCATCCCAGTCCAGTGGTTGGAAGTCAGTTACATCGATTATATCTTTCGAAGGATTGAGTGGAGGACTCAATGCCCCCAAGTCTGAAACCAAATTCCCTGCCTTGGCTACTTTCCCATTAATTCTAATCTCGTAATCTTGAGTATTCTTCAAGATGAGAGTATACAACGTGGTGAGTTTCCCCGTGCGTGACAACGGTGGGAAAGTCATGTGTTTCTCCTCCAGAACATGGGTATTAGGGTTCTCACGTTTCACAATAAAATGAACCTTGTTGCTAGCTCCACATTTATCTGGTCCAAACATAATTTGATACGGAGTTTCATTGTTGAATTGAGATTCATCAGCAACAGGATAATCCAATAATTTGATATATGTACCCCCACAGTTCATCCCCTTTTCAGGTTTAATTTCATATTGTAAAACTAAGTCTCGCCCAGTGTTGTTAAATGGTTCCGCCAATCGATATGAAATTGCATGATGAGCTGCTGGTGTTTTCATAACCAAACCCATATCATCATGGAAGCCTGGATACACTGATGACAGTTCAAGACTCCATTGTCCCACATACGACTCGTCCCCCTTCTTTGCTTGGGATACTTTCCATCCCGACTCTTCGAGTGAATTGTAATCAAATTGTTCCAAAAATGATGACAGTTCAAGTCGAGAAGTATCAAACTTAATGAAGGAAGTGTTTTCCCCCAACGAAGAAGCACTCCCAGAGCATATACTAAAGGCAATGGCCACCAATACTGATAGCTTCATTGTTAATTGAGTTTCTACTAACTAACTGCAAAAAAAAAAGTTATGTGACGTGTAAAATGTCGGAAATTGAAATGGTGACGGATTTAGATCAGATTTAATGATAAACGTATGCAGGACATACTTGTATAGCTCTTTATTTATCTCTTACTTTAATACTATATGACTCTAATATACACATGGTTTATGCCTCTGCTTCATCCAAAAGAGCAAAAGCGTTGATCACCTTTTGTTTCTTTTGAATTTCAGCTTGTTCTTCAGCTCCTTCAAAAAATTCCTTAACTGCTTCATCTTCTTCTTCAGCCTTGAGTTCCTCTTCAGTCTTTTCCTTAGCAGTTGGTCTAATATTAATATTTTTGTTGATTTGATCCCATCCAGCCTTTCTCGAGCTTTGAACATAACGAGCACGGGCAATACTTTGTTCGATTTTAGATCCAAGTACACCTGCAAGTTTGTCTGAACGTTCAAGTCTTGATCTTATAGCATTGTTCTTCTTCTTGGCAACCTTACCTGTGGTTTGTTTCTTTTCCATCTTTTTGGCTAATAATTCTTCATTTTTGATTGTAGTACGAATAATAGATGATTTCACACCATCAGATGTCTTTGGAATATTTTCAAGTTCCTGAGCGGATCCTGTAGTTTCATCAATCTCTCCTCTACGAGCAGCTCTACTTCTCTTTGAGACTATACAGCGTTAGTAATTGTTCGGTAGAAGGTCGCATAAAGCTATATTTTGATTCTTACTTACTCTTCTTAGCCATGGTTGGATTTTGGTTAGTCTAGATATAATAATATCCGTCTGTCTCTTGGCTCATCGGATTGAAAAATGTATAATCTGCAGAAAGACCTGCATGGGCGCATAGATACACAAAGTCATATGAGGTTTTCAAATTCTTCGGTAAACCCCGCGATCAATCAGTGGGAGATAATTAAATTGGTCCCCCCCCTCCGCCACATAGACATCTTTCTCTTTTAACTATTTTTTTCAATTAAATACTTCATCCCCCCAAACTTGTACATCAATATTAGACAATTTATTTTAAAATCAAGATGAGCATTTCCAACAAGAATTTGTCCCAATATTCCGTTGAATGTATTTCAACAAAATTTGCATCAAGAAATGATAAATCGTCTGATGATAATCCTTCAGCCTTTTGCACAATTTACAATACTAATACAAATACAAATTCAAGATACTCCTATTCATTGATTTCTCCGCACTCTGAGTGGCGCGTTTGACTTCGCAAATATAAACATTGGCGGGGCAACCACAAACACCAGTTATCCCCCACATGAGATTCCACACTACGTTACAAATTACCATAGGTCGATAAGTAAAATACCAATGGAAATGAAGATTGTTGTTAGTTTGGGGAGTCATACCATTTATGGGTTCATTGAGCTTGGCTTTACTTATTTAGTTCTCGACAACAAATCTATCGATTGGTTGATCAACAGTAAAGAAATAAGGCTCTCGGCAGTCTTACAAGTACTAGGTGATCTCGTTGATGATTTGATTCAAACTAAGATGTATATTTTTACGTTGGATCGTTTTGCCACCGATTGGGAAATTGTAGCCCAATGTATTAAGAATACCCTTGATGGTTCTCTCATGCAGGTAAAATCAAACCAAACCAATTACGAAGAGAATCGTTGGATAAATATGGTATGTGCTCTTTAACCTAAAGCTTACTACATAGAAATGCCTCTATTCTAGAAATACCTCTATTCCAAAAATACCTCTATTCCTGATGTAAACCAAATATATAATTTGATTAATCCATAAACTGTGTGTGACTTTTATTTTTTATTTTTATTTTTACTTTTTTTCATAGAAATCTGTCACAAACACCACGAAAAACAAATACGAAGTTGAAACTGTTTCAAGTATCATTTAGGTATATTCAAACGCATTATGAATGATGGTCCCTTCAAGGACATAAAGCTAGGGTATTATGATCCCTTTGGCGTATTTTCAATACTTGAACCTAACTTAAAATCAAAGTTTCCTCTTACCAACTTGCATTGGAAGTATGAAGCGACTAAACCATTAAAATCAATCCCTTTATTGCCAGTTGATTTGGTCGAAGAGATTCCCAAGTCCGCAGGTACAGCGTCGTCTGATATGTATCTTAGGATGATGTTGGTTAAGTGTGATTCAATTGATACCTATAGGTCCCAGGTGCGACCATTGATAAAGGAATGGCTTCGACTCATGGTTTTCCTGACTCCACATACAGAATGGATGATTGTACAGCTTATACCTGCCAATGCAAAAGATAAACATTCCACCATAATGAAATTATCGATACAAGATAAGTTACGGATTGACTTTGGCCTTGACGGTAAGGAGTTACCTGCAAGTTATATCAATAGAAGTAATCTGCGAATATTGAAAATGAAAGAAGTTTATGAAGATGAAGTCACCAAACTTGAGGCATATAGTTCAATGGCGGCTCAAATAAAAGACCAACTTCTAACATCCTTTAATGATAGGCACATTGAACTCCAGAATGCATTAATGGAAAAAAAGATTGATCGGTACCAACAATTTCTACTTGAACTCAAATTGGCTGAACTTTTAAATGATATGAGGTTATACGAAGACTCGTTAAAATTATATACTCAACTCATTGAGAATACGAACAAACTTCCCGAAATACGAAGTCACTTTTCTAAATTTCAAGTTGTATTTCCTGAAAATTTCAATGATTATAATTTTGAGAGTTCGTTTGACACCACCAATATTAAAAACAGGATTTTATCGGAGAACGAACCCCATAGGTCAATCAATGACTTTGAATTGAAATGCTTTCTATTTATCCAACAATCTTTATTACTACAATCTTTAGCTGGCCAGGGGAAGTCAATATCGTTATCGGCGTTGAACGTCGCAACATTGTTTCAAAAACTTATAGTTTTTTTACAAGATGTTACCACAAAGTTGAGCAAAGACCCAAAAGTTCATGAATGGAGTTATGTGGTTGTTGATAACTATTTGAAACTTCCAATCTACGAAGCATTGTTAAGAGAGCAACAACAGAGGGAAAGTCCAGATGAAAGCCATCCCTTTAAAGAAATTCTTGAATGTTGTGGAGAATTGAAGATTTTCCAAAGATCACAACTCACAAAGCTAGGTCATCTTTCCTATAGATATAAATTGTATGGTCCAGCAGTTATAATAGATGAAATACTAATGGATGATATTAGTTTGGATGATGATGGAGACGACCTTTCAGTTACATCCAAAGAAAAACCCAGCGTTTCCTACCCTCCAATTGTTCACGCTTTATCTTCGGAGGAAAATTTCTACGATATGTTCCAAATGATAACTGAATCGATTATTCAAGACTTTGTCGCATCAGAAAGGGTAAAATCAATTGATGTTTTGAGTATTGACATAGCCTTAATAAAGCTTTATCGAGGTAAGTACCAAGAGGCACTTGATATTCTAGAGGACTCGTATGACTTCTTCATTCGAAATGGCTGGATGTTCATGGGTGGAATCTTATTGGAAGCGTATTTGAAATGCATTGAAAAGGTAACAATAACTGACGAAAGAAATTTGTTGATCTTGAATACGTGCTTAACCTTGCTAGCAAATTTGAATAACGGAAGACGTGATACTGGTATAAACAACTATAGTTTAGTAAAAAACGTACAAAAGGTATCAACCTTGTTTGAAAAGATATACTTTTACTCCAGACAATTGGATCAAGATCAAAGAGTTGAATTCGATCTACATGAAATATTTAATGTTAAATTGGTTCCATTTATAAAGAGTGAGAAGAAATCTGATATTTATTTTGTTGATATCGAAGTTATTAATGAATTTGGCGTGGATGTAAAGGTTCTTGACATTGTACTAAAAATGGAAAATAATTCTGGTGATACTATCGAATTCGTGAAAAGGGATTGTACTATTTCCTCAAGAAGTGGACCAAATAAAATTCGGTTAAACAGTAAATCTTTCCTTCAAGGGGCCCTTCGAACTACAGGATTCCAAATTCGGTTCAGTAATAATTTAATTTTGGTAGATAAGACTGATCATCATGATCAGGATAATATGCCAGGAATTTTAGAAGAAGCAGATGAAACCGTTGTATTCTACAACTCAAGACTGCTTGAACGTATGAGGAGTTTGCCTACCCAGAAAAAGGTATGTGGACATCGTTTATTATGCTATCCTCGTTGGGGAAATTTTCGAGCTGAATTCAAAAATGTCCCCCATGTTACATTAGGAAAAACGTCAGTTCTTTTGAGAATATATGGTGGTAGCGTTGATATCACAAATGGTACTATTAAAGTAGAAAATTTTACTGCGGGTGGATCGATACCTGAAATAATTGATTCTGGGTCTCGATATAGATATGAAAATGGTAATTTTATCATTCCGCAAATCAAAGCTAAGTCCATTATGGATATTAAAATACCATATATTAACTTGGGTGACAAAAAGCTAATATCGTTGAAGGGTGAAATTTCGTACTTCGAAAATGAAGAAGAATTCAGTCACGTTTTTTATGAAGAGATAGATACTTCTTTAACAATTGCAGTATCCGTTCAAGATATTTTTAAACTTGACTACATATTTTCCAAATTCCAAGTAGGCACTTCAAATTCCAAGTATCCTATAAGAATATTATCAAATGACCTCTGCTCTCCTAACAATCACAATTACAAAATCACCAAGCCCGCAACTGATGCAAATATAGTTGCATTGGGAGAACAACCAGGGTCATTCTTTTACAAGATACAGCCCAACGAAGGATATATTATTCAAGCCGATGATATTCTAGAATTGAACATAAGATATCAAAATATAAGCGAAGAAGCTAGTAGAAGCTTTGAGAAATACGTACTTTCGCAATTTGAACCTGAAGCTTTGGACCCTTATTGGTTCCTTTTGAAAAAATATGTCTTTGATTTGGTGGTTATTGATATTAATATTTTTGCACTACACGGAATGGTGAAAGTTGTAAATATTGATAAGGCCCAAGTAATGTTAGATGAAGTTATACTGCAGCACGTACAAAAAAGTTCTCACCAAGATATATTGAAACGAACTTTTAATCTTATATTTGCTAGTAGTTTTACAGAAGAGGATAACGAAGATACAGGTGATATTGATGTCTATGATGAGGCAATTCCACTTGAAGAGAAAATGTTGACGATCTCTGTACCTATTCCATTTTTAAAGATTTTGCAAATCGTCGAGTTTCAATATCAAAGAAAACATCAATTCATTGTTGGAGAACCTATTAATGTACAAATGAATATTCGACCAAGTACAAGATGGTCAACAGGAGCTACAAGAAGCAATAGCAGGGATGGAGAAAAAAAATTGAAAGGGAATATTATTGATGGACCTTCCCAATCAACTATTGGAGAGACTGAACTTTTTCAAATAAATGTTTTACCAGATGAAAACTGGTTAGTTAGTGGGTTCCGTAAAACCACTTTTGAGGTAAATTACAACGACAAAGACATACAACCACTTCTGTACGACCTTGTCTTGATACCATTAAATGTTGGTAGAATTTTACTTCCAAAACTTGACATAAGACTGACTTCTAGCGTGAACGAAGATGGCACTTCGGATGTTTTAGTTCAGAATGGAATAGAATCCGTCTTAGTTGTTCCTGAATTAGATAGTATAACTTTTTCATTTTAAATATAATAGAATGAATCTTGCAGATCAAAATGATACCGCAAAATGTATAATGGTTAGCGATAATTGCATCAACTTTACATTTCATTGCTTTTATACAATCTCCATAAAAGGTAGAAACCGAAATATGTAGTCTTTCATATATAACTAACGACCCTTTTCAAGCCAATATCTAAATATTGAGCCTTCTCATGATTTTAAATTTAGTACGAGGTGTCAACATTAATTGAATACAACAGATGTATTCACCTTCATTGTGGGGAACTAATTCAGTATTTGTGCTGCAACACGTAATTAGTATCATTTTATTAGTATCATTTTATTTTTATTTTTTTCTACTTCTTGGAAAAAGCTCGTAAAGAGTTTAGCATTACTGAATTGATCCTAAGATTTCTCAGCACCTTTCCCTTGAGGACACTTATTTGCCTAATTCCTTAGTTGTTCGCATAAAAAACATGTTATCTTGATGTGAAGCGGCAAAGTTGTATAAACATAGAGATGTATTCCTTGGCAGAGGTCCGATGGATTCTTGGAAGAGGGACCGACTAAGAACTTGACGAATAAATAATTCTTCTATAAGCTGAATCCTAATTCTTCAATTACTGTTATATATATATATATATATCAGTCAGAGACATCAAAGTAAGTCGCCGAACAAGTTATTGGCCAGAGAATTTGACCACAAAGTCAGGATACACTTGCCATAGATTAATAGTAAAAGTAAGGTGCTTCACATTAAGTGAACTGTAGTAGTCCTAAAAAGATTAAAAATGTTCGAAACAGCTTAAAACCATTGTCTTGTTGAATGAATGGGCACTGAAATAGTCCGTGCTATGTACTTCAACCGACATACTTATGTGCTCGTCTCATCGGAAACATGTGATCTGATGTAATGCAGTACGGCTTTAAAATTAATATGCATAGGTAGGTTGCAGGAGAATGAGGTTACCATATCTTAACAATATGTAGATGATTTAATATAGGACAAGAAAATACCTTCCCTTAACAATTACATATCTCAATACAAATCAGGATCAAAATGCATTGAAGTATCGGGATCGAATTAAACAGAAGACAATACAAATTTCTCTAACTAAATCTTTGGATATTTATATAGTGCATAGGTGGTAGTATACGGATATTATCCTAATTTGGAAACTGATTTCACAATTTTCTTTGTGATAACTTACCTTCATTTGTGTTAAACCACAATCGCGACCTTGTATTCTATTGAACTACGATTATCAAAAATGTTTTTTCTTTCCTTACCTTTTCTTGAATATAGTTTCACAAATGATATTTGTTAGTTGGTTATCATATTCATTTATTTTCATATGTTTTATAAACGTATCCAGATTGATATGAATTATATAATCTTTTACACAACTTTCCGTCAAGAAAAGTCAATATAAAACAACCTAAAAAACATCCTACACTAGACACAAACATTGAGTTGGTACAAACCTACCAACTCCAGAATTGAAGTATATAATAATGGAAAGCAAAGAAAAAAAAAGATGATAAATTCAAAGAAGATGAAGTATAGATTAAAAAGATAAAGTTGAAGATTAAAAAAGATAAAGGTAAGAATAAAGAAGAATAAAAAAACGGTAAAGATTAAAAATAAAAAGTTAAAGATAAAAAAGATTAAAAATAAAAAGTTAAAGATAAAAAAGAGTAAAGAAAAGTTAAAGAAAAGTTAAAGAAAAGTTAAAGAAAAGTTAAAGAAAAGTTAAAGAAAAGTTAAAGAAAAGTTAAAGAAAAGTTAAAGAAAAGTTAAAGAAAAGTTAAAGAAAAGTTAAAGAAAAGTTAAAGAAAAGTTAAAGTATAAAAAAAGATAAGATAAAGATATAAAAGATAAAGATAAAATGTTACAAAAGAAAAGATAAAATGTTGCAAATAAAGTAAAATCAAAGTCGAAGAAAAGATAAGGAAAAGATTAAATAATATCAAGAATTAAAGTTAAAAGAAGTTAAACAAAAGATAAACAAAGAAAGTTAAATGAAGTTAAATGGAGTTAAATGGAGTTAAAGAAATAAAAAGTTAAAGTTAAGGTTAAGAAAACAAAAGTGCAATAAAAGATAAAAAAAAAGATAAAGAAAAGACAAAGAAAAAATAAACAAAAAATAAACAAAAAATGATGAACAAAAAGGTATAACAAAAAGAGAAGTATAAGAAAAAAATTAAAAAGAAGTAAAAAACAACAGAAAGAAACGAAAAAAGATTAGGTTACAAAGACAAGAAAAAAATAAAAACTAAAAGATATCAAGAATTACAAGAATGAATAATGAGTGAATACATTCTTAGCAATTGTCACTCACTCCTGGGGGTTAAATCAATGAATGAAGTTACATCTGGGGAATCAGGTTGAATACTTATCTGGATGTTATTAAATAACCTCAATTTAGAGGACTGAGACAGAAATTGGTAGCAGAAAAAAAGTAAGTATAAGAAGAAGCAAAGGAAGCAAAACAATGAAGACACACAAGTGATTATAATCTAAAGGAAAAGGCTTAACATTAGCCAAATTAATTTATAAATATGTGATGGTGGAGGGAGAATTGGAACGGAAAATGGAAAAGATAAAAAATAAACAAGGATACAGAATGTGGAAGTGGTTGCAGAAATAGGGTGACAAAACAAGGGAGTTTCAGGGTTGAAGATTTTGTTGGGAAGTGGAATTAGTAGGTGACACACTAGTGCTTTGGCACTTGGGTCATCTAGCGGAGAATTATGAGATGTCCCTTTAGTGTGAAAGCACTTGGGACGTGGTGGGGTTTGGGGATGCTCCTTCTGTGCTTTTTTTGCACGGTTTATAATAGAGCGTCTCCGGTGCGTTGCTGGCCAGACAAATTTAAAAGTACTCGAGTTTGCACGGTTGTGCAAGTCTGGTCAGTGTATCGTTGGCACTAGTTAGATTGCGTCAATGATACGTAGGTAATTCGCACAGATGGAGTGTGATCTAATAGCACAATTATCAGCTAGGGTCACCGGGTTTATTTGAAATGAAGTAAACAGTTGTTGTACAGTTGGGGGATACCTGTGATGCGTTGCTGATTAGTCTTGAAGTACTCGAGTTGCACAGTGGTGCATGACTAGTCAGAATGTAATCCGCACCAGGTGGGGCGTGACAACCGGTAAGTTTGTACTTGCTGGGGTCACCGGGTAGGGTTTGCAGGTGATACGCGAGCAGTTTGTAAGTCTTGGGTCACCTGCGGTGCGTTGCTGACCAGTTACTTTGGAGTACTTGAGTCTGCACATTTGTGCCTGGCTGGTCAGTGTATCGGGCTCGATACAAAGGTAATCCGCACCTGCTGAGGCAATGACAGCCGGTACAATGACAAGTGCTGGGGTCATTGGTGGGTTGTGCTGGTGATGTGCTGTTATAGGGTACATATTTAGTTCGGGACATGAAGTCGGGTTGCCAGGGTAGAGTACACATGGTCCATTTTGATCTGTAGGTGTATTTGTAAGCGCCCAATGAGGCGTCCATACATTGAGGTATGGGCGTAGTCTGAGGGTGTGCGGCAAGTGCTGGGGTGTGTCTCCAGAGCCGGTCTGCTAGTGTGCGGACGTCACTCGGATCCACTTTTACGAGTGGAGATCGAGTCGATGGCCAGCACTAGATTCTGACTCTGGGCGCTACTTCACCTATGTGCCGTACACGTATCAGCCTTACTGGGTGATCAGCTAGCCACTTGGCCAGCTGGTGTGTAGCATGCACTGGGGTGACCCCACCTTGGGGTTGGCCTGGTAGTGCATGGGTGACGCTGGGGTCCACCACTACGGTTGGACCTCTGGCCGATACCCTGCACTCCATGCCGACCGCGAGGGTCCTCACCGGTGTGTGCTATACACCCGCCAAGGGTCTGGCTGGTTTGTAGATACACTACCCAAGTCTCTATGGGTAGTGTGTGAGTATTTACCTGGGGTCGGCCGCTACGGTCGGACCATTTTTTGATGTTCCCCGCCTACCACTCCTCTCTTGTTCCATAACCCAGTTTCTTAATGTTTCTACCAACTGAACCATGAATATACATTACTCTTAACGTATACTTCGTCATGGTCTGTTTTAGTTATCTGTGGAGTTATTGTGTTGTAAATTCAAAATGTGTGTTGCAAAAGGTCGTGCGTTGTCCATTTCTAAAAATACTTTTTTACCACATTTACAAAAGGTTTGGTTTCAGATTATGCACATTCCTCAACTGCGTGCACAATCTGAATATTTAGCCTTGGCTGCCAACAATAATAAAAAATAAATTATTTTCTTCCCTGCACCTTTCTTGGATTTGTGTGTGTACCAGATCTAAAGTATAAGAAAATACAATTTCCACGGGTGACAGCTATTGCGCTTGTGCAGACACAGTTGAACTGACAATCGAAGTTCGTGGACAATGGTCAAGCGATTTGATCTACGTGCATACTACAAGTTGATCGACTAGCCAGCCTACCCGCTAACCTTCTGGTGCTTAATATGTAGCACACACATTTGGGCGCTCATTGGGAAGGAGATTATGTGGAGATCAAGGGAACAACTAGTTGTCCAACCGTAGAGGTAGACCCCCGAGCCACCCACACACAACCTGGACAACCCCAAGGGGTGCATGCTACACACCAACTGGCCAAGTGGCTAGCTGGTCACCCTCAGAACACGCCCATATCTCAATGTATTGACGCCTCATTGGGCGCTTACAAATACACCTACAAATCAAGATGGACCATGTGTACTCTACCCTGGCAACCCGACTTCCTGTCCCGAACTAGTATATCCACACTATATATTTATGTCTTTAGAATGAGTAGTGTACGTCGACTGAAGTAACACATAGCGCAAGTGAGTCAACGGAGCAGCTCAATAAGTTCAGCATCAAAGCATCAATCTCGGCAACAACCCATGCCGAGCCGGTATTCCAACCCAAAAGTAAATGGATAGTACTAGATTGACGTCAAGGTTCATTACACAGCGATAATCAATCACATATCAGCAACTGCTTCCTGGTGAGTCATAGACCACTAATGGCCAGGTGGATATAAAAAAAAAAGCACCGAATCTCTAATTTAAACATAGCACGGGTCTCTGTGGCCAAGTTATCAAGGACACTAATTAAACTGGAAATGGGTCTAAGGATAAATCATAAGATTTGTTAGTAAAGGTAATTTGAAGAAGAATAAAATCTTATGGAGCATATCAATTCAGAATACATGGATATTCTAAAAAGTTGAACGGAAAAATGATGGGACTCACCGAAGGAACAAAATAAGTTTTACACTGATCTTATTGTACTTTTTCTGAAAATATGATAACCCTCTTAAGTAATCCCCACAGCTTCAATCCACAAACCAAGTGTCCACAAACCAAGTGTTCACAAACCTAGTGTCCACAAACCTAGTATCCACAAAGTCAAAACCAGAATATACATCAACAAACTCCATACAATATACAGGTCTTATCAGTATTTCCCGTATCAATAAATGACCGCATGAACTTTTGCTTGGTTACAAATATGTGTTGCATATGGTTTTGATAGAATAAGCAATTATTACATTTTTAACAAGGACGTTGGTACAGCTTAAAAATGATCGTTGATTAGCATCCTTTATGGGTGTATCAAATACAAGAGCTACTGGTGAAGACATTTGACTTAAATCATGAAGATACAAGGTCGCAATGGAGAGAAGTGACAGAGGAGGGAAGTGCGGTCTTAGTAAATTTACGAATTTTATATACGTAACGCGGTACTGTACTATACTATTTACTATATTTTATAGACGCGTAGAATTTTGGGGTTGTCTCCTGCATTTTTTTCGATTGTGGATTTTGATATAGTGAATTTGTAGTTATTCTCTCCTCGTCCCCCCCTCTTACTATTTTAATAATAACCATATGCACCTTTTTGTGGTTTTAAATTTGTGGGCTCATTGCCACATAATTTGGGAAACTGGGATCATATCACTCTTTGACCTCGTTCCATTCTTTCTTTTTCTTGCTGTTTTAGCACTTATTCCAATATGTCTTACTCTCACCCTATGCCCATTTTCTGCATCTTTCTAGCATATCTACCCGAGTTGATAATTAAATTGACCACCCACTGTCTATCCATAATCTTAAAATCCCCCATCCAATTTGCTGCAAAAGGTCGTTCTTCAACCATATCGGGAGTGCAGAAATACGGAAAGATCTGATCTCCGCACTTATTTTTTACTGCAACACATGTATCGCTAAAAGTTACAAAACCAACGTCCTACTACTGACAATTTTTGTATACGAACTTTCTATGATACCAATTCTAATGGAATGGTGCGGGATTGGATGTAAAGTTGTACTAATTGAATAACATACGTTTGGCCGTATTACAAAGAAAGAGTTCACTGACTCAAAGGTGTCAGATCATTGTTTTATAATATCGCGCATTCAGTTTTCTAAGGCGAAAAAAATATTTTTCGATGGAACGTTGGCTAAAAAATAAATGTTGTTACACTGGTTCCTCCCGCCCCTGCCGGGTTTGTAGCAACCAAATTTTACGTTGTTAAATTTTGTTTGGCGGCCTGTCCAATTTAAGGCCTACTAATATGGGTCTCGTTGTCTTCGGCTTGATCACAGCACAACATGTCAAGTAAAATGAATTCCAAAAGGGCGCAGATGGATTCCATTTCTGATATTCAAGTTTTGCAACAAAATTATGTTCCAATTCATAAACAAGGTTTTCAATCACAAAATCTAAACCTTATCCCTAGTCCCCCATATTTTCTGCAATAATTATGCACCAGAAAATGTACCACATTTGCAGCTTTTTTACCGCCATTTTTGGAAACCTGAAACATCCGCACTTTTTACATATTTTCCCATTAATTGAAGATGTAGTAGATCTTTTAGGTCTAGTGTAACCACCATCAAATACATGTTTATATATCTCAAGTGAACCCGTGTTGGAGCTCTATTAGATCACCTCTCAAATGGTAGAATTGGTCATTCGACTGTGTTATATTTTTTTACAAGTCTTTCAATATTGAACCCCTTATCTCAACACAAATAAAAGACTACACATATATCAAAAAGTACTATATCTACATGTTTCAAACGGGGGGGAGTCGTTACTACGACTATCTACAGTATATTGATTTTCTACGTATAAATCGAAACGAAAAGAGCAACATGTTAATAACTGCGGAATTATGAAGCAACAGTGGTTGATTGGGGGTGGCAAAATTCTAGTCCGGTGTTAGTCAATCCAAAGGGTGTAGACCTCGTATATAGGTACCAGGGTGTTATTCTCTTCGCTCATTTATATTTCTCTGTGCTTTGACCTTGTAAATACGTAGGGCTCTGGAGACAAGTTCTAAATATGGCCATGTTGTTCTGCTCGCATATCTCGTTGAAATGCCATACCCTTGTCATCACAAATAGCATCTCTTACTGATTACCTGAATTATTTGATAATTACTTCTGTAAACTACTGTGTACTGTAATCTTTCAAAGTCTTTGTATACTTAATTGGTCATTGTTGTTCGGAATATATTATACACGTCTGTTGTACGACGCGTATAATTCTCTATAGTTGATATGTGGATTCATGACTAGCCCCCATTTTGCCACCCAAGTATTCTCAACAAAATGAATGACCATATGCACCCTTTTTGTGGTTAATTTTATGTAACTTGGTTGCCAATTCAAATTGTTGGGGTTGTCAAATTGAAACATAATATCTCCTTGATCTCGTGCCATTTCTTCCTTTTTAAGGAATTTAAGTATTTCTTCGAGTATAGTCTAATATCATCATGTACGGAGTTTCCCCATTTCTCTACGATCTCTAATCGTGTTGATAATTATGTTTACAGCACAATATATATCCCAAATTTTTAAATTCCCCCCTTCAATGTGCTGCAAAAGATTTGTTACAGAAAGTCGTGTGTTGTCCATATCTACACTCCGCATTTATTTTTTACTGCAGCATATTTATCGCCGAAAAATGTACGTCATACTACTATAGACGGGATTCATAAGCAATGTGTTCCATATCATATTTGGTATATTTAGTATAAGAAGTAGAACTACTCTCAAGTAGTTTTGGTATAAAAAATCGGTAGAATATACAATAAAAGAGGTCATCACTCAGGGATGTCAAAGAGTTGTTTTAAACTATCGCATATTCCTTCATATTAGCCGAAAAAATAATTTACGACGGAGCAGTTGGCTGCCAAAAAATAAATGTGGCCCCCCTCCTTCCTCCCGCTCCTTCCAGGTTTGTGGCAAACGATTTTTAAGTCATCATATTTTGTTTGACGGCCCGTCCAAAGCAGGACCTACCAATATGGGTCTCGTTGTATTCGGCTTCTTCAGAACACAACATGTCAAGTAAAATGAAGACTAAATCGGCCCAAATGGCTACCATATCTGATTATCTAGTTTTGCAACAGCTTCTGCTCCACTATCTAAGATCTTTTCAAGATCCACAAAACCTAATTTATATATTAAGTAAGATATTTTTTAGCCACAATATTGGTGCAATGTCAAAATGGTACCACCTCTTGACTGCGATTTTGGGGGGAAATTTCAGCTGCAGTTTTAGTTGAAATCCCCCTTATCTCTAACCAAATACACAGAGACAATTAATTATTAAAATATGCAATTTCAGCTTAATTTAAACGGGGGAAATTAGTACTGGTACTATCAAAGATATGGTGAGTTACCATATATAAATGTGATTGATAGTATTACTCGTTAGTAGTTTTATTCAAATACAGACTTGTACCAAAGGGAGGGAGGTGGCGAACCTGTTGTACACAAGTAACTGCGTAAGCTAGCACCCCCTTTGAATGAATATTTTTTCTGCAGGGATACTTTGGCTGCAGCATTAATTGAAGGCCCCTTGTTCCCTCCCAAATACACAGACACATTGGAGTTTTAGATCATACAATTCTGGCTTGTTTCGAACGGGGGAAGTTGGTACTGGTACTATCAAAAGTATGGTGAGTGCCTATGAAAAATGTGGTTGATAGTATCAACTCTTTCGCTGTACTATTTCTAATAACAAACTTGCATTGAACGGGGGAAGGTGGAAGCTTCTAGTACAGCTGTAGTAAATTACTGCGTTCATTGGGACCCCCCTTAACTGCCTAATATATTTTCTAGCGGGGTAACTCGGCCAGATTTACTTGAATAACTCCTTATCTCCACACAAATACACAGACACTGAATTTTTAGAAGATGCAATTTTAACTTGTTTCAAACGGGGGAAGTTGGTACTTGGGCTATCTAAAGTATATTGAGTTACCATAGATAAATATGATTAATAGTATAGATCTGACGGTTTTTGTTCTTCCAATTACAAACTGCTACAAAGGGGGGACGGCGTCTGTTACGGCTGCAATAAACTTACTGCGCATATTAGGGGGTGCAAATTGTGCACCCCATACACTGTAATTATGCATGGTAACAGGGTAGTACCCCATACTAATATATCTTTCGAGATTGTGGTCACCTCTGTTGTTTGTGGTCCTTTGGTTTTGAAAAATATTTAAGGACAGCCAATTCCCCCTTTTCCCCAAAATACTTTTTTTCAATTATCTATCACTCTTTTCTTCTCTCAAATTTATCCTCCTCAATTCAAAATCAAAATACTGTGAGTAACCCACACCCCACCTCTTCCTTCACTCCTGATAAAACTTGATTATACTAACAACAATATTGGGCACTGAAAGGTCATTGGTTAATAGTGACGTGCTTTGACTTCCGTTGTTGGTCAATAGTAGTTGTCATTGTGAATTGTTGAATTAGATTGACATCTCTCTTTGTCGGTGGTAGTTGATGCATTGATATTTAACTGTTTGTGTTCTACGATTCTTGACTTGTTTAAGCGTTGGAAAATTTTCTGAATACATCCCATGGATGTGCTGTTCAGCAACCTTTAACTTAATTTGTATCTACACCACTGATCAGAAAGGTGGTTGATTTAAATTGACGATGAATTTTGACTTCTGTTCTTGGTTCGTTGCAGCAGTTGATTTGTGTCAGTGTTGATCTTTGATTTACACTATCTTGAACTTTGTTGTTGGTCGTTATTAATTACTGTTACTTAGTGGATCCCTTCACTTATGTTAACCTTTGTTGTTGGTTGTTGTTGGTCGTTGGTTGTCATTATTGTTCTTCGTGGATCGCTCTCACTTATGTTGACCTTTGTTGTTGGTTGTTGTTGGTCGTTGGTTATTGGTCTTAGTATTCTGTTGATCCCTCTCACTCATGTTGACCTTTGTTGTTGGTTGTTGTTAGTCGTTGGTTATCATCATTGTTCTTCGTGGTTCCCTCTCACTTATGTTGACCTTTGTTGTTGGTTACTGTTAGTCGTTGGTTGTCATTATTGTTCTTCGTGGATCCCTCTCACTCATGTTAACCTTTGTTGTTGGTTACTGTTGGTCGTTGGTTATCATTATTGTTCTTCGTGGATCCCTCTCACTCATGTTGACCTTTGTTGTTGGTTATTGTTAGTCGTTGGTTATCATTATTGTTCTTCGTGGATCGCTCTCACTTATGTTGACCTTTGTTGTTGGTTGTTGTTAGTCGTTGGTTATTGGTCTTATCATCCTTCGTGGATCCCTCTCACTCATGTTGAACTCTGTTGTTGGTTACTGTTGGTCATTGGTTATCATTATTGTTCGTTGTGGATCCCTCTCACTTATGTTGACCTTTGTTGTTGATTGTTGTTAGTCGTTGGTTATTGGTCTTATTATTTTGTGGATCCCTCTCACTTTTGTGACCTTTGTTGTTGGTTCTTGTTTGTTGTGGTTCCTTAATCCTATTGGTACGAGAATTTATTATGGTTAGCTGACTTATATCGACCTGCACTTGTGAGATATAGTAACCTTCTGGGAACTCTGCAATTATCTCATGCTTTCATTCGCCGTTTGATGAACTTGGAAGTATGGCGTACTGTTATAAGGTACATATTTAGTTCGGGACAGGACGTCGGGCTGCCAGGGTAGAGTACACACGGTCCAATTTGATCTGTAGGTATATTTGTAAGCGCCCAATGAGGCGTCCATACATTGAGGTATGGGCGTAGTCTGAGGGTGTGCGGCACGTGCTGGGGTGGGTCTCCAGAGCCGGTCTGCTAGTGTGCGGACGTCACTCGGATCCACTTTTACGAGTGGAGATCGAGTCGATGGCCAGCACTAGATTCTGACTCTGGGCGCTACTTCACCTATGTGCCGTACACGTATCAGCCTTGCTGGGTGACTAGCTAGCCATTTGGCCAGGTAGTGTGTAGCATGCACTGGGGCAGCCCTTCTAGGGGTTGGTCTGGTAGTGCATGGGTGTCGCTGGGGTCCACCACTACGGTTGGACCACTAGTTGATGACCTGCACTCCACACCACCTCTCCTTGAAGGACGCCCAAGGGTGTTTGTCACTGAGGTCCATCACTACGGTCAGACCTAATCTTAATGTGGTTTTGAATTCAATAGGATATATTTGTAATAGATCTAGCATTCAGTTTCCTAAAATATTAGGATAATAATAATAAAATTGAACAGCTTATCTAATATGTACTGTATATACTAATTATCTAGTCTTCCTTATAGGAAATGTCTTCTGCCTTTGAAATCGACATGAACTCGAATTTGACGTCATATTCGACCTCTTTCCCCCGCCAAACATGTAGAGATTTCCTGCATATGTCAGATCTAAGGACTGCATAATACTTAAATAGGTTTAGTCCTGTAGGTAACACAAAAGTAGATGCAGGAGAGCTATAATATCCTGTATAATGTCATTTCTAACAGAACTAAAATCAAATTTGTAGGCAATAAAATATTGGGCAGAGAGCTTTCCTGTATATTGATTAAATTATTGGCTTGAAGTCCTTCATGTTATCATATACCTGCATATATACCATGCATCATGCAGGATAGTCATAGGCAATTGCAACCTGAACAGGTTGGGAAAATGACTTTGATACTAGGCAGAATATTTAGACTGGAAACGTCCTAATGAACCAATTTATATGTTTCTAGACGTCTCAGGGACCAGCTGCAAGTATTAGAAAGTCGATAGAACGAAAATTGAGTATTTTGCACTTCCCCCCAAAAGCAAAACTGTATTTCTATATGCTCACCGATTCCGCAGAAACGCTCTCTTTCCAGATTCTACCACCACCAGCGATGTATTACAGCCTATCATGAAGCGCAGTGATGATTTGAAGTCATTTACGTGGTGTTCGCAACATCTCCTCCCAACCCAAGGGTCAAGAGTTTATCCGAGATTATGTAGCTTTCGGACGCACACGAGTAGCTGCAGCATGTATACCGTGGACCGGGAGTAGCCGACCGAATTCAGGTGGCTCTAAAGCTTAAATTTGGTCTCCCAAGGGTTTTTAGACGCGTAAATCGCGGACTTACGAACATATATGCAACCCCGGAAATCGATCCCGGAATTGATTATGCATATGTGCATTTCGGAAGTGGGATATGGGATTAAGGTATACGGATATGGAATGATGTGCATATCGGAAGAATATCATGCATATGGAGAAATACCAATCATCTACCCCGCCTAAAGCGGGGTGATCAGGGGCCTAGCTATTAGACATTAAGAGCTGATCAACTAAAGACTTCAACCACTAGCGATGTATTACAGCCTATCATGAAGCGCAGTGACGCTTTGAAGCCATTTACGTGGAGTTTGCAACACCACTTGCCAACCCAAAGGTCAAGAGTTTATCCGAGACCATGTAGCTTTCGGACGCACACGAGTAGCTGCAGCATGTATACCGTGGACCGGGAGTAACCGACGGGATTAAGGTGGCTCTAAAGCTTAAATTTGGTCTCCCAAGGGTTTTTAGACGCGTAAATCGCGGACTTACGAACATATATGCAACCCCGGAAATCGATCCCGGAATTGATTATGCACATGTACATTTCGGAAGTGGGATGTGGGTTTAAGGCATGCGGATATGGAATGATGTGCATACCGGAAGAATAACATGCATACGGAGAAATACCAATCATCTACCCCGCCTAAAGCGGGGTCATCAGGGGTCTAGCTATTACTCAAATAAAATTGATGTACTAAGTTCAGTCCAAATCACGAGGTAGAGTACTCCACAATCTATCAGAGGACCCACTAAATATATATTGGCAAGAAAAAGACTAAAATGGGCCAATCAGGTAGCCAGTAGGGCGTGAAAATCAGGCTGGGTGTTAGGATGTTCGAAAGTGGGTGTCCGGATGTTCAAGGTTTTGTGCCCTGATTTTTAATTTACACAAAACCAAACCCCATTTTGAGTGGCACACGACTTCGTCAATTTTAACGTGAGCGCTCATCTGAAGCTAGGGTAATGTCGTGGCGTGGTTAATGCTCTCTGGCCTTAATATCAACCGGATCCACCGAGCGGTTGTCGAGATATCGCTATCGAATATTTGGAGTCGGTTGTAAAAAAAGTGGTGTCTGGATGTTTCGACCGGAATTCAAAAATGACCCTGATATTTGGATTTTTACACTAATTTTGAATACAAAATTTTGAGATCCGGGGGCGACGTAGAATTGAGCCATACTTATATCTCGCTCAATTTTAATGTGAGCGCTCATCTGAAGCTAGGGTAATGTCGTGGCGTGGTTAATGCTCTCTGGCCTTAAAATCAACCGGATCCACCGAGCGGTTGTCGAGATATCGCTATCGAATATTTGGAGTCGGTTGTAAAAAAAGTGGTGTCTGGATGTTTCGACCGGAATTCAAAAATGACCCTGATATTTGGATTTTTACACTAATTTTGAATACAAAATTTTGAGATCCGGGGGCGACGTAGAATTGAGCCATACTTATATCTCGCTCAATTTTAATGTGAGCGCTCATCTGAAGCTAGGGTAATGTCGTGGCGTGGTTAATGCTCTCTGGCCTTAAAATCAACCGGATCCACCGAGCGGTTGTCGAGATATGAAGTATTATAAAATGTCCGTTTTGCGTAATTTAAAAATCAGGGCACAAAACCTTGAACATCCGGACACCCACTTTCGAACATCCTAACACCCAGCCTGATTTTTCGCGCTCTACTGGCTACCTGATTGGCCCATTTTAGTCTTTTTCTTGCCAATATCTATTTAGTGGGTCCTCTGGTAGATTGTGGAGTACTCTACCTCGTGATTTGGACTGAACTTAGTACATCAATTTTATTTGAGTAATAGCTAGACCCCTGATGACCCCGCTTTAGGCGGGGTATATGATTGGTATTTTTCCGTATGCATGATATTCTTCCGATATGCACATCAGTCCATATCCGTATGCCTAAACCCATATCCCACTTCCGAAACGTACATGTGCATAATCAATTCCGGGATCGATTTCCGGGGTTGCATATATGTTCGTAAGTCCGTGATTTATGCGTCATAAAACCCTTGGGAGGCCGAAATTAAGCTTTAGAGCCACCTTAATCCCGTCGGTTAATCCCAGTCCACGGTATATATGCTGCAGCTGCTCGTGTGCGTCCGAAAGCTACATGATCTCGGATAAACTCTTGACCCTTGGGTTGAGAGTAGGTGTTTCAAACACCACGTAAATGGCTTCAAAGCGTCAGAGCACTTCTTCTTAGGCTGTAATTCATCGCTAGTGGTTGAAAACTTCAGTTGATCAACTTTTAATGCGTAATAGCTAGGCCCCTGATGACCCCGCTTTAGGCGGGGTATATGATTGGTATTTTTCCGTATGCATGATATTCTTCCGATATGCACATCAGTCCATATCCGTATGCCTTAAACCCATATCCCACTTCCGAAACGTACATGTGCATAATCAATTCCGGAATCGATTTCCGGGGTTGCATATATGTTCGTAAGTCCGCGATTTATGCGTCAAAAAACCCTTGGGAGACCTAAATTAAGCTTTAGAGCCACCTTAATCCCGTCGGTTAATCCCGGTCCACGGTATATATGCTGCAGCTGCTCGTGTGCGTCCGAAAGCTACATGGTCTCGGATAAACTCTTGACCCTTGGGTTGGGAGGAGGTGTTGCAAACACCACGTGAATCGCTTCAAAGCATCACTGCGCTTCGTAATACGCTGTACTACATCGCTGGTGGTGGTAGAATCTGGAAAGAGAGCGTTTCTGCGGAATCGGTGAGCATATAGAAATACAGTTTTGCTTTTGGGGGGAAGTGCAAAATACTCAATTTTCGTTCTATCGACTTTCTAATACTTGCAGCTGGTCCCTGAGACGTCTAGAAACATATAAATTGGTTCATTAGGACGTTTCCAGTCTAAATATTCTGCCTAGTATCAAAGTCATTTTCCCAACCTGTTCAGGTTGCAATTGCCTATGACTATCCTGCATGATGCATGGTATATATGCAGGTATATGATAACATGAAGGACTTCAAGCCAATAATTTAATCAATATACAGGAAAGCTCTCTGCCCAATATTTTATTGCCTACAAATTTGATTTTAGTTCTGTTAGAAATGACATTATACAGGATATTATAGCTCTCCTGCATCTACTTTTGTGTTACCTACAGGACTAAACCTATTTAAGTATTATGCAGTCCTTAGATCTGACATATGCAGGAAATCTCTACATGTTTGGCGGGGGAAAGAGGTCGAATATGACGTCAAATTCGAGTTCATGTCGATTTCAAAGGCAGAAGACATTTCCTATAAGGAAGACTAGATAATTAGTATATACAGTACATATTAGATAAGCTGTTCAATTTTATTATTATTATCCTAATATTTTAGGAAACTGAATGCTAGATCTATTACAAATATATCCTATTGAATTCAAAACCACATTAAGATTAGGTCTGACCGTAGTGATGGACCTCAGTGACAAACACCCTTGGGCGTCCTTCAAGGAGAGGTGGTGTGGAGTGCAGGTCATCAACTAGTGGTCCAACCGTAGTGGTGGACCCCAGCGACACCCATGCACTACCAGACCAACCCCTAGAAGGGCTGCCCCAGTGCATGCTACACACTACCTGGCCAAATGGCTAGCTAGTCACCCAGCAAGGCTGATACGTGTACGGCACATAGGTGAAGTAGCGCCCAGAGTCAGAATCTAGTGCTGGCCATCGACTCGATCTCCACTCGTAAAAGTGGATCCGAGTGACGTCCGCACACTAGCAGACCGGCTCTGGAGACCCACCCCAGCACGTGCCGCACACCCTCAGACTACGCCCATACCTCAATGTATGGACGCCTCATTGGGCGCTTACAAATATACCTACAGATCAAATTGGACCGTGTGTACTCTACCCTGGCAGCCCGACGTCCTGTCCCGAACTAAATATGTACCTTATAACAGTACGCCATACTTCCAAGTTCATCAAACGGCGAATGAAAGCATGAGATAATTGCAGAGTTCCCAGAAGGTTACTATATCTCACAAGTGCAGGTCGATATAAGTCAGCTAACCATAATAAATTCTCGTACCAATAGGATTAAGGAACCACAACAAACAAGAACCAACAACAAAGGTCACAAAAGTGAGAGGGATCCA